TCAACATTTAGTGTTGCTTACAGGTTATATACTTTTGGTTTTCCAAGTATGTTTTCTTATGATTAAAAACAATTCTCTAAAATTTTTTATGTATTTTTCATATATGGGTGGTTTTATTTATTTATTGGTATAAATTTAATCAATATTTTAAAAAAATCTAAAGATAAAACGCCACAAGCCAGGTGTAAGGGTTATCTCAAGTGATATACTAAAAATATGGATGTTAATCATATATATAAACACTTACAAATTATATAATTGGTTGATTCTAACTATTAAATAGATTAGTCTTGGATATTCTTCTTCTTCACCTATTAGATAGATTATGAATATTAATGCTGATAATTACCTCTAGTACTATTTCTCAATAATCAAGGGTCTCTTAAGTAAGCTTCTTCATAATTTGCCACAAATGTCCATCCGACGATCATATGTTTGTTCGAATACACTCACAACCTTGGGCCCAGAGTTTCGGTTGTTCCAAGTCCTTCGCCTCGACATTAGGCGTTACCCACAGACTACGTATTTCAGGATTTCCGGCTAGGGCTCCTTACACCAGGAAATAGTAGAATTTTATAATTTCTAAATAATACAAGCTATAATAGGATGTTTTAGCATAAGAAGAACAGATCAAATTACACTTTAGCAAATATTAAAGTAATATTTAAGGATTACACATCATTAAACTTTGATGGAATTATTTATTACTTGTTACCCTCTGCAAAAGAGAATTAACAAAAATGTGACATACAAAAAGGTAAGAATTTTTCGTAATGTATGTTTTATTTTAGTTACAAATGTTCTATATATTATGATTTCTATATTATATAAAAAAAAAGAAATCTCAAGAACTTTTCTTTTATTTTTTTACTGTTAACTGTAGGATAATTATAATCAAAAGAGTGCCCAACGTCTTGACTACATATAGGTACTAATTCTCAACATGCCACGATTCTAATAACTCTCTTTTTTGTACAAAAAAGACTTTAAAAAGTGTCAAAAATTGATTTATTTGTAAGTTCATGTTATTAATTGCTGAATAAAAATCCAAAACTCAAGAAATTTTTTTCACTGTTTTTTGAAACGTATCTCAGATTTATAAATAATTCTCCTTTTTGTGTTAAATAAGAAAATTTCCAAGCTTGATTTGGATACAAGTATAATTCAATCAGAAAAAATAATTAATTTTCATAACTCTTAATAACATTTTTGCTATCCTATATCTCCTTTCCTATCAACAAAGGTATACTAAAAACTGACTACCAACCACTAAAACGTGTTCTAAAGGAACTTATTTGACGAATATCATATTAATGTTTGTTTAATTAACAAAAAAAATAAAAATCCCTTGATATAAATATTTTTATCTACGTCTTAATACTATCTACTCAGTTATTATTAGATGTTAAACAAAGCAAATTATGTTTAATAAATCGAAGGAAACGCCAGTTACTGGAGGGTAGAGAAAGAAAATCATAAGGGGGAAGGACAACAAACAACAGAGTTTATGATATTATGGCCGCTATTTTATTATTGAATCACAAACACTTTGAATACCCATATACTAAATCAATAGAAAACAAAATATTTCTGAGGAAACCAAGAATCTTGGTGACAAACCTGTTAATCTATTAAAACCGACAAGTAGTGGTTTCCAAATCCAGTGACGTTACTGAAAATGATGACCAATTAGATAGGGAATTAAAGAAATCAACTTAGACAAGCCCAATTTTGCTGAATAATAAAAATGCCGCAATATATTCTTCAACACTTATAGAAATATGAATTCTACGAAAATTCCGTTAAACCATGCTGATAAATTATTAATAGTGGATAATTTATGTAAAAATGGAACAATAGATTTATTTAATAGAAAGAGTCAACCTTCTGGATTGCTGATCAGGCTATTCTAATTAGAACCGATATCAGCAATAAGAAAGGAAAATAGTGAAAAAAAATACAATTGTAAGCTATTTTTTATGATATAACTATTGTTATGTAAGCTATTGTTTGTATGTTTACATATTGATTGCAAAATAGCGGAACAATGCTAGTTTATTTTTTTTTGTCTATTTGGACATTTCCTTTTTCGTGAATCCCAAAAACTTTTTGTGATTTAGTGTTTTTGCCACATTTTTTTACTTCCTGCATGAAACAATAGTTCTGTAGTAACATTTTTTCATCATAAAAAATTGTTTTATCTTTATTTTTTATTTTTTTATTTTTTGTCTTTTGATTCTAATCAGATATTTCTATATAGACAGGTACAGTATTAGTTAATTGTAGATGCAAGTTTTTGGTAAAAAATATTGCATTTCATCATGCTTTGGTCAAAACAGTGTTTTTTTATTTGATAATTCTAGGGGTAATTTTAGGAGAAAGATCAAAATCTCTAGTTTAAAATAACAATGAATCTAGTATTCAGATATATCCGATAAAAGTTTGGTTTATCAAATGTATTTTATGAAAATTCTTGACTCTTCTTGAAACAAGAAAATTGAGGAGAGTAATCACGTTATTTCAAAAACAATACAGTCTTATGTAAGATATACTAGGAAAAAATAGCCATAAAAAAAGACTTTCCATCTCTCTAAAACTTTTTGTTAAGTCTTTCGGTTCGCACTGAAAAGGAAATTCAAAAGTTTTCAGAAAATAGCACTATTTTATGGTGTATTGTTGAGCTTTTTATGGTCAAAAATTTAGTGTTGAAATTATATCCTTGCTATTTTATTATAATTACGTACTTTTACCCTATATTCTAATAATATTTTAAAGAATATTCAAACCAAAAATAAAAGAGGGATTTTCATTTTGCATTATTAGGGTAAGTATGTTTAGTTTTTACATATTTTTAAATTTACGGTATTCTTTCCCACCAGTATAATATATTAGAGTTCTACAATACTATGAAGTTTCCTCTTAATCACTTTGTACTATTAGGTGTATTTTATCTTTAAGAAAATTTCAAAGAAGAACTCAGGAAAATCTTACCAGGTGAAGAAACCCAAAAAAAAAAATATTATTAATCTTGCACCTTATTCTTTCCTAAACGAAGACTATTGAAACTAACATTCCTGAAAAATTATAACACTTCTATGTTATTTTCCGATAATATGTGCATGCAAAAAATTTAAAAATATATATAAAATATTTTAGAACTATTACTACTCATACTAATATTACTAAACAAGTATGTCCCTATGTTGCTAGCCGATATTTTTCTTAAAAAAAAGTTAGCAATAAATTCTTCTAAATAATACATTACGTAACAATAATCATTATATACAATATATACAAAAGTCTAGATAATTATTTAATATTTTTGTGTTCGATATGAGGGGGGAGGGGGGTAATGTGAAAAATTTCGATCTCTATTATTTTATTTCTGGTAAAAAAAAAGCTTGCCCTATTTACGATGTACAAAAAAAAGAGATAAAATTTTAAAACCCTATCAATTATGAAATATGTAAAATCTGGATAATTAAGCCTAAAGAAATGAACTACACTAAGAATATACACAGAATCTACTTAACTCTAGCAGAAAAAAAGTGATTATTCCAAATTTTCAGATACAAGTTATAGTTTGTAGTTTTTATGGCTGCTTTTTGATAATTATTATGCTATAAGTATTTTGTACTTCTTAGTAGGATATATACATGTCATAAATTAGAGTCTTATGTATTGAGTAAGGTGGATACATTCTCAATTAAAATACCCTATTCCAGTAAGGAGTCCAAATAAAAATATCATTCCCTATGTATAAAATGGGCAACAAATTCATGATGAACAATTTAATAGTGAGGTATGTAAGTTTATGTATATTTATTATTCTTGAGCATAGCACATAAAAGCAAAAGAAGAAATGTATACTGCGTATCTATCCACTATTCTTGGAAATAGTAACTAGAATTTCCAAGTAAGATACATTTATACTTGCATATGTTGTGGTGCTCCACAACAAAAAAAAGATTCTAAATGCTTATATTTCAAAAAAGAAATAGGAAAGTAGTTGAGATAATTTTTGTAAATCCTACTTTTTCTTGCTCTAAAATGCAAGTGTTCATCATAATTTTAAATCAAGAGACCCAGTAACCCTATAAAAAAGGGAAACAATAGTATACACAGATTTTTAATACTGAATGAACACCAATTTGAAAATACAAAGACGTTAATATCACCTTAAATGAAAATATCATTATAGTACGTAGAAATCAAATAATTTTTTAACAATGCTTTCTGATGGTTTCGGGCATTTCCACTTTCAATTACATCCATTGAACCTATTGTTTCCGTTTATTTTTCAAAAAAAAAATGAAAAAAAAACTGTGTTTCTATCTGAGATCACAAAAAAAAAAAAGAAAAATCAACAGATTTTTTCATTCATGTTATCGTTAAAAGTATTGTTTTTTTTGTATTTGCTCCGGAAAAGCCAGCAGGATTATCTACTATTTTACATAAACAGAGTAGGTTTATTGGTTTGACGAAAAGATTTGCCGTTATCTGATAACTGTAGCATTTGCTTTTTTGTTGAGGATATTGTGTATTTCAAAACAATGAATATATATATTTACTAATAAATAATTAATGCCGATAGCTCCTGTTAGTAGTGATGTCATTTCACTGTAATGTATTAAAAAATGCAAGATGGCAAATAGATCCAACTATTTCCTGTAATAGGAAGTATCTCAGATCATCTGAAAAATAATAATAATAATAACAATATTAATGGGAACATTTTTATTCAATTTATTGTTTATTATTCTCAAAAATAAAATAAGAATAAAAGGACAGATAGATACTATATAATCATGAATGCTACCTCATAAACAACTACTTAAATCACCTTAATGGAAAAAAATTCATATAAATACGTGTATGTATAATCAGCATTTTAGCGATTGGCTTCCCATTGATCTGCTTTCTCTGTAAAATCGCAAATATCGCGTTTGTTACGAAATTTCTTTAAGTATAACAGTAACAAACTACCAAACCCAGTGAAAATGATAAGTTCTTTTAAAGGTTTTTTGGTACCTTTAATATTTTTACTCATCTTCGCGGATGCTGTAACAATCTCTGACAACACTTATTTAGGTGATATTTCTTTCTCTGTCCCCCTTACTATTGATAAGGGTTATTTTTTGGCATTGGTAAATGGTAACTCTTATAGTTTCAGCAAAGATTTGCTCGTGAACGGTTCACTTTTCGTTGGTGATATAAACTCATATGGTAACGGATTTAGCACTACATTTGATGGTTCAACTATTACAAATGACGGCTTGATTGTCGTTGATAGTAAAAATCTTACAACTGGTTCAATGACTGTATCATGGAGTGGTTCTGCAATTACTAACAATGGAAAAATGTATTTCAATGGTTTGAATAGCAGTTCTAACAGTTTCACGTTAAATCCAAGTATATCCTTAACCAATACTGGTTTGATGTCTTTTGGTCAGGACTCTACTTCAGATTATAGTAGTGTTGTACACCTTAAGTCTGGATCTTTTGTTAATATTGGTACTATTTGTTTGAAGAATGTTAAGGCATCTTTGGAGAGTTCTATAGCAGGTGACGGTTGCATTACAATAGGTGAAAATTCTGTATATGCTATACCAATACAGTCAAGTTCTGGTACAGTCGGTCCACAAACTATATATATGACCTCTCCTTCCTCAATGCTTTATGTGGGCTCATATGGTAACACGGATAATATCTTTGTTAGAGGTTTCGGTAATGGTAATTATTTGACGTTTCGTACCGCAATAGCAGGTTATAATTATGATCCAAATACTGGTATCTTAACAATTAATGTGGCCACTATTCATAAAATTAATATTGGTACTGGTTACAACCCACGTGGATTTTCAATGAAATCTATAAATAATCACATTGGTTTTAATTTTATCAATAACGCATTAGTCTACAATGGAACTGCTCCAAATGGTTTTCCTAGTGCTTGTATGCCATGTGATTCCCCTCCTTGGATACCTATTATAAATTCTATCTCATCTAGCTCTTCTTCTTTTTCTTCTACATATTCAAGTATCTCTTCTAGTTATTCCACTAGTTCCATACCATCTACTGTAGGCTCTTCCAGCTTTATTACTTCTTCATCATCATCAAAACCAAAACAAATCACCTCCTACATCCCAGGCATCATAGGCTCTGCTTCTGCCCAATCCACAATCACCTCCTACACCACTGATGCCAACGGCAGCAGCAGTGAAGTTGACATTGTTGTTGTTGCCACTCCAGTTCAAAGTACTGTTACTGCCTACACTGCAGGCTCAGTAGGTGCAGCTTCTGCCCTTTCCTCCTACATCTCCTACACCACCGACTCCAACGGCAGTACCAAGGCCATTGGTGTTGTTGTTGTTGAGACTCCAGCTGTTAGTCAAATCACCTCCTACATCCCAGGCATCATAGGCTCTGCTTCTGCCCAATCCACAATCACCTCCTACACCACTGATGCCAACGGCAGCAGCAGTGAAGTTGACATTGTTGTTGTTGCCACTCCAGTTCAAAGTACTGTTACTGCCTACACTGCAGGCTCAGTAGGTGCAGCTTCTGCCCTTTCCTCCTACATCTCCTACACCACCGACTCCAACGGCAGTACCAAGGCCATTGGTGTTGTTGTTGTTGAGACTCCAGCTGTTAGTCAAATCACCTCCTACATCCCAGGCATCATAGGCTCTGCTTCTGCCCAATCCACAATCACCTCCTACACCACTGATGCCAACGGCAGCAGCAGTGAAGTTGACATTGTTGTTGTTGCCACTCCAGTTCAAAGTACTGTTACTGCCTACACTGCAGGCTCAGTAGGTGCAGCTTCTGCCCTTTCCTCCTACATCTCCTACACCACCGACTCCAACGGCAGTACCAAGGCCATTGGTGTTGTTGTTGTTGAGACTCCAGCTGTTAGTCAAATCACCTCCTACATCCCAGGCATCATAGGCTCTGCTTCTGCCCAATCCACAATCACCTCCTACACCACTGATGCCAACGGCAGCAGCAGTGAAGTTGACATTGTTGTTGTTGCCACTCCAGTTCAAAGTACTGTTACTGCCTACACTGCAGGCTCAGTAGGTGCAGCTTCTGCCCTTTCCTCCTACATCTCCTACACCACCGACTCCAACGGCAGTACCAAGGCCATTGGTGTTGTTGTTGTTGAGACTCCAGCTGTTAGTCAAATCACCTCCTACATCCCAGGCATCATAGGCTCTGCTTCTGCCCAATCCACAATCACCTCCTACACCACTGATGCCAACGGCAGCAGCAGTGAAGTTGACATTGTTGTTGTTGCCACTCCAGTTCAAAGTACTGTTACTGCCTACACTGCAGGCTCAGTAGGTGCAGCTTCTGCCCTTTCCTCCTACATCTCCTACACCACCGACTCCAACGGCAGTACCAAGGCCATTGGTGTTGTTGTTGTTGAGACTCCAGCTGTTAGTCAAATCACCTCCTACATCCCAGGCATCATAGGCTCTGCTTCTGCCCAATCCACAATCACCTCCTACACCACTGATGCCAACGGCAGCAGCAGTGAAGTTGACATTGTTGTTGTTGCCACTCCAGTTCAAAGTACTGTTACTGCCTACACTGCAGGCTCAGTAGGTGCAGCTTCTGCCCTTTCCTCCTACATCTCCTACACCACCGACTCCAACGGCAGTACCAAGGCCATTGGTGTTGTTGTTGTTGAGACTCCAGCTGTTAGTCAAATCACCTCCTACATCCCAGGCATCATAGGCTCTGCTTCTGCCCAATCCACAATCACCTCCTACACCACTGATGCCAACGGCAGCAGCAGTGAAGTTGACATTGTTGTTGTTGCCACTCCAGTTCAAAGTACTGTTACTGCCTACACTGCAGGCTCAGTAGGTGCAGCTTCTGCCCTTTCCTCCTACATCTCCTACACCACCGACTCCAACGGCAGTACCAAGGCCATTGGTGTTGTTGTTGTTGAGACTCCAGCTGTTAGTCAAATCACCTCCTACATCCCAGGCATCATAGGCTCTGCTTCTGCCCAATCCACAATCACCTCCTACACCACTGATGCCAACGGCAGCAGCAGTGAAGTTGACATTGTTGTTGTTGCCACTCCAGTTCAAAGTACTGTTACTGCCTACACTGCAGGCTCAGTAGGTGCAGCTTCTGCCCTTTCCTCCTACATCTCCTACACCACCGACTCCAACGGCAGTACCAAGGCCATTGGTGTTGTTGTTGTTGAGACTCCAGCTGTTAGTCAAATCACCTCCTACATCCCAGGCATCATAGGCTCTGCTTCTGCCCAATCCACAATCACCTCCTACACCACTGATGCCAACGGCAGCAGCAGTGAAGTTGACATTGTTGTTGTTGCCACTCCAGTTCAAAGTACTGTTACTGCCTACACTGCAGGCTCAGTAGGTGCAGCTTCTGCCCTTTCCTCCTACATCTCCTACACCACCGACTCCAACGGCAGTACCAAGGCCATTGGTGTTGTTGTCGTTGAGACTCCAATATATGGAAACTCCACTATTTATGGTGGAGAAACTGGATCTACTTTAACTGGTACTTTAGTTGTTTTGACTACAGTTGTTAATGGAGTCACTATGACCACAACTTATTGTCCAGAACCATCTGAAACTTCTAAAACAAGTATGACTGCTATCATTGCCCATAATTCTATTGAATCTGTTTATTCAAAGAACCAACAAGAAGAGACCAACTCATTTTCTGCTGTGTTCCATGCAACTTCAGTTACTTCTATTGCTTTTACCACCACTGGCACAGTGTTTACCAACAATGAAAATCAATCAACATCTAGAAACTCCAGAGGATCTGCCATTGTTGTTGGATCCACAAAGGGTAATGCAGATGTCGCTTCAGAAACTGGCGTTGTTACAGGTGCTGTAACTTCTGGAAGACCAGAAACATCTCTAACTACAAAGATGCCACAAGTTTCCCAATTCGTTTCTGAGCAATTCTCGTCATCTCCAACTGTTATGACAGCCTCTCATGTAAGTGCACCTTCTCTTGCATCATATAAGGGTAAGGGTAGCACTATATACATGAAATGGAGTGTTGCCCATCTTGTTGGTCTATTATTATTTATGATTATTTAAATCGAATGCAGATAAGGAATTCTAAAAGAAATAATTCTAAGTAGTTAAACAATTAAATACTACTATCTAAACATATATAATACCCTAATATTATATGTATTGTGTATTTTTTTCTTTGACTCTTGTTTTCCAGTTTTGTTAAATACTTTGGCTATGCTTAATCAATAAATCTTGATTAGCGAACTTACTGTCATACAACTTTGAAATCAACTGATCATATTTTAGAAATATACGTATTTTAAACCCCTTTTAATCAAGAAAAATTGTAATCATGAAAATTTAATGCTAATTTAATTCAAAGATCATAATAAAAGGATTGACACATATCTTAAAAACTATTATAATATTTCTCTACCTATGTTAGTATTCGAGAACTTGACTAGATGAGTGATCATTAAATGCGAAGCAAGAATGTCTTAAATCTTTTTCTTTCTATATTCCCTTATTATTTCCTCTCTTTCCCATATATATACGTACACACGGGGATGAAAATAAATAATATATATATATATATATATGCTAATTTTATAACACTATTGCCCCTTAAGTCAATTAACTACATATATATATGTACATTTACATAAATATGCTAACTCTTATTACTTTCATTTTTGACTAATGATTCCACTTCCACCTCTTTTATTTTTGTAACATCATACTTGACCCTAAATGAAATAAAGTATTGAAAAACTATTATTCTCACACGAATAGTAGAAAGATACCATAAAATTACTCCGACAATATTCAAAGCAATGAAAGTTTTTTTGATTAACACAAAAAAAAGTATAAGAAAATGAGGTGTCAAGATATTTTTCAAATACCCATAATTGCACACTGATGATATATTGTACTTACTATTTATGTTAAGAGCATTATACGTAAATAATTCAGATATGCATTATATTGTAATATAGATACCCTTTGTTCTATAAATATATGGCATCTCTTCTTGTATTTTGCTGGATGTAGAGATTTCAAAGTTTCAAAAGAGACAAGAAAATTTCCCCTCTACACTTGAAAAATATCGTAATAACAATTATCCCAAGATTTTAATAATATGAGAACTTTCTTTTTAAATAAGGAACATGTAACAATATTAGAACATATTCATATTTTTGCAAATGTTAATCCATAGATAAAGTATGTCTTGTTATTTTAAAGTTATAATGGAATTAAATTCTTATTTTTTTTTTTGAATTTCAATAACTTCTCATCATTCTTTGTTGCAGTTAGAGATCCATATACAGTATTAGACATCCAGTCATAATAATGTCAGACTAATTCTTAAAAAAAGTAGATTTTCTGAATAGTAAATTGAAAGATTAACATGTTAATACTCCACCATAGTATATTTTTAAATGTTGTTCAATGTTCAAAGATCGAGATAAAATCTCTTTTTATTACGTTATTTTTCAAACATTAAAATAAGATCATTTGAGTAAAAGATAGAACAAAATTGTTGAGCAGGAAAAGTAATACAGTAGAATGAAATAAAGATATAATCAAAATATTATTCATTATATCAAATCAATGTGTCTTTTATCATCATTACCATAAGCATTGAAAATCAAACACAAATCAAATCCATCTATAATAAGATTGGAATTAGTAAGGATAAATATGCAGTGAGATATAAGAAAAAATCTCATAAGTAAATTTGTTTATGGATATAGCATAATTGTATCTACGTTTATAACAGTTATCATGATGTGCTAATTTCAAAAGAGTATTGCATACGATCATGAATTATTATAACAGTATCATTCAATAGATAATGAAGTGATATAGAAGATACAATTATTCCTTTATATTGGAAACATTAGTAGGGGATAGTGTTCATGTAATATTGGAGTATGCTTTAATAGTCATATTCATAATAAAAGTGGTAGTGGCACAAAAAATGGTCATAGTCTATCGATGAATATTCTCCCTAGTTACAATATATGTGTGGAGTAGGTTGTTACGGGGGTATTCTCTATAGTCATTTAGGAATGATTATTAAGTAGATGGTGGTGTAACTATACCATCTTAAATAGTGGTTTAGCAATGTTCAATGTTATACCATATAGTAAACATATCGTAACTGTTTATTTATGGTTAGATGGATCTGCATTTTATATGGTTGTCGATGAGTGTGGTTATTATTGTAATTGATTTTTTTTTTTCGAACTATTTTTTCAAATTTTGAAACAAGGAAAATTGACAATTGAAATCTGAATGAAAAGAGATTGGTGGATAATGAAAAGAAAATGATGGCTGATGCTAAGAGTAATTAAGTGTGATGTGTTTGTGTAGTATCATTCTTGTTTAAGACATAATATCAAGAGAAGTTGTATATTAACAAAGAGTTTATAGTTTAAGAGTGATACCATACAATCTACCAGTTATTAATATCTAAATGAAATAAGCAGTTCAAGAGCAAAGACATAATTGAAAGTAATAGTGGTTAAAATGAACTTAGTCTACTATGTATAAATCCATAGTAACGATACATGTTAATATCATGATGGCAGATACAGTAAATAACATTGTATGTTATAGGTTTGAAAGAGCAATAAAATTTACTAGATGATATCACTATAATAAACATAAAAATGTGACCGTAAATATAAGATGTGATAGAGTAACCATTGATGAATCAGATTAATCCAGTGTATTATGTTTATGTTGTTTACATCTTTTCTACATCCTACACATGAAAAGAAAATGGTCAAAATTCATTGACTTATTTATCACAAAATAAATAACTCTATCGTTGTTATTTTTATTCATTCGAAAATTGTGGTTCACTCATATTTTGTAATTTAAAGAAAGAGATAGTGATATATATGTTTCAGAAACTTTTTAGAAAGAGCTCATTGTTTTGCTTACCTTGGTATAGTTGGTGGATTAAGTATAAATTGTTCATATAATCATTTGACATGGAAAATAGTCTTTACTCTACTCATGGGAAAGGATATCTTAGACAGTTTCCAGAGAACTATGAGAAATATTCTGTGCCTAATAATATAAAATTATTTTCCAGAAAACAAGATCGATCCAAAAATAATCTACATGTTCTATATGCAGTGAAAGCCACAAATTTGAAAAATCTGCTTACGTTTTTCATTTCAAAGAAGACTTTGATAAATAGATTTATGTTAAACACTATACCATCTTTCTACTGTTTATGATCAAGCATTTATCCTATGAAAATATTTAAAATGATATTTAATTTAAATAATCTTAATTGTTTATGGAAGTATAATTTTGTAGATTTAACATTTGAAATTAGAGTTTCAGGGATGCTAATATGGTATCTCCTGAACTATAGTAGACTTAAAGTCTAACGTTGTTATGTTTTAAGTATTTAGTAAATTGGATTTCTCGTTTATTGAAAACCCATGCAAATAGTATATATTGTATTTATTATTAAATACATATTGATCTTTCACAACTTTACTTCTTTCAAAAAAATTACCAATGATCTACTCTATGTGATTATTAACAAAGAAACGTGATAGATATATTGTCTATTTTTTAACAAGCAACATTAATAATATAGTAATTGAGCTAAGATACATACCAATAAATATTTAATACATATTAAATATGAAGTAAATTTATACAAAAAGGTAATATTTGCTGAGCTGATTGTCTATTTTTTTATTGTGTACAATCATGTATTTAAACTTTCTATATGCAAGCAATTGAAAACTTAAATAAGTCAAAGCTCTTGAACAGTACGTACTATTGATTATTTGTGTGATATTCCAATACTTTATAAGTATGACATTTATCTGAATCAAAAACATATACAAGCTATTCAGATACTATTAAATTCTATAGTAAATATTTATTTATAAGTTATAGATTTAATAATATAAATGTATTTTGATTTTAAAAATTTAAAGAGTTTTCAACCAATATTTATATTATTGTATTAACTTATATATCTTGATACTGGTTTGTAATGATTAATATTCTTTTCATGTAGGATGCTAATTGTCTATTATCGTTTATTTATATGATAAATATTGTTCTTGTTTACTTGATAGTTATCAAAAAGAGGAATAATAATTGTATCAATACTTTATGTTTAAAACTATTATAATATTTTAAAGTTATTTTTAACATTAATGAACCAGGTTATTTGCTCCTAAAAATCTTTTCATAGTTTCTAATCAAATTCTAACCCCCGAACAAACTAGTCATTCAGTCATATATGTTATGTTCTTATTAACTTTATATCAAGCAATATACTTTCTTGTACGTGTATGTTATAAATTCATGCAATAACTACTATGAATGAATTATTTCCGCTACTAACAGGAAGTCTATTATTAGACGATATTATTAACCACCATAATATTACCTACTTTTATTCTTTTTTTATTGTTTTGATATATTTCACCATTCTTTAAGATGAAAATAACATAATTACTGTCTTGATCATAGATTTGATTATACTGCAACATTTCTTAGCCAAATTCACTGTATGATGTTTTCACTGATATATTACTAGATGTCTATTTTTGTCATTTTCATTCTTATTATGGATGTTTGAAGATAAACATGATATTCGCTTTGGTTCGTTAAGAAAAGATTGTTTTGTTGTTTGATTGTCTTTACTAGATTGTCAGTAATTTATTAGGAAACGTATTATATATTGCCTTTGAAAAGTTGTAAAAAAAAAAAAAAAAGCGATACACTTATATCTATATCCTCCTATAACACAATTCTCCCTTACCTTTCTACTATCATTTGATCAACAACAATGTGTAGTAATGGTGTTGTAGAAAGACTATTTAGCAAGCAAGATTTTGATAATAGATCTTGCAAACCAACCATAAAGATTGCATCTTGTGTATACGCTGGAAATCAGTTTTACTATAGTATTATTAAAAGACACATTATCAGACACAAAAGGTAGAATTTAGTTGCCATGTGTGTAATTCATTGTACTGTCACGCTCTATAAGGAAAGCATTACCTAAGGCATGAATGTTATTCAAGTTCTCAGATCTCATTTTATCATCCAACATTTCTCGAATCTTACTAATCTCAATAATCAACGGTCCTAAAAGAGCAAAGGAAAAGGAAAGTAAGCCAAGTATCATAAAGGTAGCAGCTACCTTGAATTTTATATATTTCTTTTCCTCTAGTTCCGTCATGTTCAATTGTAATATAAAATTTGACTGATCTTTAGTGGTGTTTAGTTCAATTGGTCCTAGAACATTAATTGCGTTTTTTTGAAAGAATATGAGGTTAGAAACAAAAAATAGTTGCGATTTACTTGAAAAGAAAAGCATTTGAATAAATTAAAGATATTACATATGTCTATACTAATATATTGGAAATATAAGGAGGTCAGATAGTCAATATTAATTGCAGATTCTAAAAGTTATTCCTAGAACTTTGGAAAAACTATCGACCAAAGAAAAAAAAACAATAAAAATGCTTGATCTTTCAATAATATATGAAGATTACATCACCATTAACGGTTGTATTGTCTTCTCAACCCTATCTTACATTTCTATTATTTAAAGTAACGATTGCAATCTTTTTTTTAAAAAAATGCATCTCAATTTCGTTTTCAGGACAAGGTCTATTAGAACACTTTCCCCTATTATTTTTCTTATTTATTACTCACTTATTACCGGCTATTAACAGAGTATTAATGTAATTCACTGTTAGATATTTTCTTAATATACCTATGTAATATAAATTTTCCATAGTTGTAAGTCATTAGAATAAATATTGCAATTATACCGTACACTGGATTAAAAGAACGTTTTCTTGATAGAAAAAAGAAATACAATAGTTAAAATGACAATTGCTAAAAAAATTTTAATGTTTTGCAAGTGAGCTAATGGAACAACATCCACTTTAAAACATGTATAAGGGAAGAGATGGTTCAAAAGCATTCTTTTAACTCTATCCTCTTACTCTCTTGTAAATATAGAACTCTGAAAAGTAAAGTTTCTGTTATTCTATGCTCGCTGTTTTTTTCTCTGTTTTTTTTTTTTTTTTTTTTTTTTTTTTTTTTTTTTTTCTTTTAATTATTTACACAACAGGGAACAGAATAGGGCGAAAAGAGGGTAATGGTTCTCCAATTATAAATTCTTTGTTTAAAGACTATTTTTAAATAGAAAACTTTCAATATACACTAATCAAACAAAAACTTACCTCTTGAAGAATATAATTGCTCTTTAAATATAAATGGTTTGTTTGTTTGTTTGTTTGTTTTGTATTATATTTATTCATTTTTATTTCTAGATAATAATAAGCAGTAAGAATATTACTTATATAATAAGCATACCTGTGGTAAAAAAAAATATACAAAGCTTACGTTCATTAAGCTTTTTTTTTAATTTTTTAATATGAGGAAATATAATAATGGAATGCTATTTCAATAGGTGAACTCATAAAATGAAAAGTAACAATTATTTCTGAAAAAAAAAACTGAATATAAAACATTGTAATACTGTATCTTAATACATATATGTATATATACATATAAACTAAACTCTGAGACGTTTAAGTGCCTTTCGTATGGTTCAAACCAAGATATTTCTTTTATTTGAATTTCTTCCCAAATAAAACCATTTGTAACTGATCATATAATGATATGACCCCAGCAGCTGCGACACCCCTGAAAATATTCGCACCACAACCTTTAAATAACGACAATACTCCTTCATTAGTAATTATTTGTTGCATACAGTGTCTTGCATTATTATATTTTACTGCTTGGCCAGATGTCATCATCATTCTCCTTCTTACTGTGTCCAATGGATAGGAGCAAGTGGAAGCCCCAATAGTAATACACCAACCAAGTAAAAAAGATGCTAAGAATGAATTTTTCAAATGACCTGTTAATAAAATAGGTTTACATGAATCATATAGACCGAAGTAAAGGCCTCGGTAGACTATAATCCCAACAACACTTGGTGCAAAACCCCTATATAATCCTAAAAGACCATCTGTTTTTAAAGTCTTTTGATAAACGTCTAAAATACCATGGAACTGTCTTTGTGTTCCATTGTTTACAGATCCAGGTTTGTGTGCCCTTGCATCAGCTGCTAGTCGAGTCCTTGCATAATCTAATGAATAGACGAAAAGTAGAGATAAAGCACCAGCCAACCCGCCGGAAGCAATATTTCCTAAAAACCATTTCTTGTAACCATCCACTTCTTTTTTGTAACCAAACTTTGATTTAATTTTATCTTTAAAAGCAAAATTTAGAGCTTGTGTGGGAAAATATCTTAAAACATTTGCAGTGTTTCCCCTCCAAAAAGATATAATTCCTTCATTTTTCGCTGTTCTTGTAAAACAATCAATGATTCCTTTATATTTTGAGTCAAGAGATCCTTGTTTCAACATTTCATCTTGATTTTGTATTAATAGTTTAACTCTTTCGATAGGTGCTGCCCCGGTTTTAGCAATTGCAGCAGATATCCCACCCATTAAGAAATCAATAACAAAACTTTCTTCATTTTTTGCTGTGATGGACATGGTATATGTTTTTTTTTTTCTTTTTACTACTGTTGTTTGTATTATTTTACAAAGATACTATGATTTAGTCATATAGAGTAGTGATAAAAAAGTAAACTGAAAGCTACTCTTGAAGAATTAATTAATTGATAAGTCAAGAGTAATAAAATATGCATGTATATATGCTGAAGAAAAAATAAGACAATCTACAATATAACTGTTGATATTCGAATATCACTACTGACATTATTATATATAAACGTTTTATTTTAGAAGAGATTAAATATTCAAATGTTTCTCAGGCTTGGCATTGTTAATACTTTTTTGTATCATCCTCCCAATGCCAAATTTTGTGACACTACCCTTCAAAAAAAACAAATAAAAATAAAAACTAAAGAAAAAAAAGAGAACCCTTTGCTATTTGTCTTTGCTTTTTTTTTTAATTCCCTTCAAAAGATAAGAAAAAAAAATAAAAAATCTAAATTTTACTAATATACTAAAGTACAATTTAACTATATTATTATTAATATTGAGACTTATTTAAATATAAGGCAATTTTAGAAAGTTAAAGATATATTGAAAATATAAAAGGTATATATGTACATATATGAGTGGGTCGATAGAAAAGCATCTAGATATTTCTGTTTTGTTATGCTTTATTTTAAGAAGAAGTATGAAAAAGGTTAATTGCACTGAAATAGAACTGTGAGCTTCTTTTGGCAGATATCAAGCAATAAAATATTGATAGTTTATCGTTTGTATACAGTTAAAAACTGATGAAATTATTAGGTTGATCTTTTTTTTTATAATTCCCAATTTCTGATAAAAATAGAATAAACAGAATATTAATACAAATAATTTTCTGTTTACAATCAATGTTATTGTGAACATTCTACGGTAATAAGTTTCTGCTAACAGTCGTTTTACAAAATAGATATTGATAACTGTTCACTTCAAACTATCTTTGCCTGTCACATCAAAATTGAAACATTTCATTCGCCAACTTTTTTTAAAATTAACAATAGAGAAACCTGCAGAAAAATATGCAATCGAAAACTGCAAAAAAAACAATAGTCGCCTTCTATCGTTAAAGACGAATATTTAAAACGACAAAAAAATAAAACAAAAATTATTTTGCACTACACCCAAAGTGCACCCAAATATAATTGTCATTTAATAGTGATACTTCCAGAAGACCCTTATTAGATTGTTCATTCAATTCACAAATCTTATCTCTTCAGCTCTTCCCCTATACATTATTTGTGTCAAAAATTGAGAAAAACATAACCGTTTATGTTGGTTGGTTGATAAATTATATGAGCAAAGGAAAAACTATATAACTAATTGTGGATTCTTCTTACAGAACAAGGTGCGACTTTCACATCAACAAGACTCAATGAATAATTCAATCATATCTCTTTTTTTCTTTTCTTTTGCTCATTGCACCCTTCAATCTGATAATATATTCCATATAATACAATAATTCAACACTTCATTTCTGCTTCTATTTTCTTTGTTTTCTTTTTTTCTCACTATTATTATGGACGGATATCTTGTCCTCAATGTCTGATATAGCTGTCTACACTCATCCTCATCCATCATTATTTGGTATTTCTACTACTACTGTTACCATTATTACTGACAATGCTGCCTTTAATTTTTCAGAACTGCACCTCACTTAGATGCTAAGATTTAAACGGATATCTTTTATTCACAAAACTTTCATGTAGAAGACGATATATATATATATTTGTACAAGTTATTCTAGAATTGGTTACAAGCAAATATATTATGCAAGGAAAGACTTATTGCACTTAGCATAGAAGGCTATATAGTAGATTTGTATGTTATTATATTTACTTTGAAACGATTACACAGCAAGTTATTGGTAAGAACTCTTAATTCTGCCAAATTCATCAAATAAATACTTGATACCTGGTTAGATATTACTAAATCATTGATACTACTCATAATAAAAAAATTATTTCAAGAGTTATGTTTGAAGTAACGTTTTTGCTGATTTTACTTTCATTATTCTCTAGAATTTATAGTAAGACACATGTTTTCAATTGGACAGCTGCTTGGGGATCTGCCGATGTGGATGGGTTGGGTGCAAGACCCGTTATTACATGTAACGGTGAATTTCCCTGGCCCGACATCAGAGTTGATAAGGGTGACCGGCTTGAAATTTATTTGACTAACGGATTGAATGACTCTAGTACTATGACTTCTTTACATTTTCATGGGTTACATCAGGTCAATACAAACCAAATGGATGGTCCTCCAATGGTTACTACATGTCCAATCAGTCAAGGTGATACCATGTTATTCAATTTCACTGTTGACAGCAATGTTGGGACATACTGGTATCATTCTCATACACTAGGCCAGTATGAAGATGGATTTAGAGGTATGTTTATTATTAATGATGGTGAAAATAATAAAAATTACCCATATGATTACGATGAAGAAGTCGTTTTATCCTTAGCTGATTGGTATAGTAAAACTGTAGACCAACTTCTACCCGATTTTATGAGTGTCTATAATCCAACTGGTGCTGAACCAATCCCAAGAAACCTTTTGATTAATAATACAATGAATTTGACTTGGTCAGTTAAACCAGATACCGCTTACTTATTAAGAATCGGCAATTTTGGTGGGTTTGTCTCCCAATATTTTTGGATTGAAGATCATGAGATGACCGTTGTTCAAATTGATGGTGAATATGTGAAACCTAACACAACTGAAAGGTTATATATCACTGTGGGACAAAGATATTCCGTGTTAGTTCATACAAAGAACTCAACAGAACGAAATTATGCCATTATGCAGAAGTTTGATGACACAATGTTAGATACGATTCCATCAGATCTAAGATTGAATTGTACCTCCTTTATGATGTATAACGATTCTTTGGCTAAACCAGACGAACATATTGTTGATTCGTTAGACTTCTTAGATGATTTTTATTTAGTACCAATGAATGAAACTGAGATACTACCAGATCCAGATCATCGGATCACTTTGGATGTTGTAATGGACAACTTAATTGATGGTGTCAATTATGCCTTCTTTAATAATATTACCTATTTGCAACCGAAGGTACCAACATTAATGACCGCTTTATCGGCTGGAGATAATGCCACAGATGCTATAGTTTATGGTAGTAATACAAACACATTTGTTCTTGAAAAGGATGAAATCGTGGAGATTGTTGTTAACAACCTTGATACTGGTGTTCATCCATTCCATTTACACGGTCATGTGTTTCAAACTATTGTTAGGGATAGAACATATGATTCAGATGTAGGCGAAGATCCACATGCTTATGATCCGGATGATCACGCTCCTTTCCCCCAATATCCAATGGCCCGAGACACCATCTTCCTTAGACCACAATCCAATTTCGTTATCAGATTTAAAGCTAATAACCCAGGTGTTTGGATTTTCCATTGTCATATCGAATGGCATCTTTTACAAGGGCTAGCTATTGTTTTGGTAGAAGATCCATTATCTATTCAGGCTAGTTACTCACAGCAAATTACCCAGAACCATCTGGAGGTATGTGCAAGAAGTAATATTTCTACTAAAGGTAATGCTGCCGGTAATACTGAAGACTTTTATGACTTGAGAGGTGAATCTGTTCAACCTAAATTTATTCCAAGTGGTTTTACAAAAAAAGGGATTATTGCAATGACATTTTCATGTTTAGCAGGTGTTTTAGGTATCGCTACCATCGTTGTTTATGGTATGATGGATCTAGATTCTAAACCTGTGTCTTTGGGTATTGATAGTGAAAATACTAACAGTTTAGACTTTTTAAGTTTAAAAGGTGGTGATGAAGCCAAACAATTTGATGACGATGACTGGAAAAAAGAAGGTACGGAGAACCAAACCCAGGAATCGGAAAATCTACTTGATAAGTTTGGTAATATGTTAAGAAAGAAATACTAAGTTTAGTCAACAAGAATTTGAATGGTTTTGAAAAGGAGGAGAAAATAGTTTAACAATCGCATTAATATACATAACCTTTTCTTGTATCAGTTATGTTTGGATTTTATATCCATCTTTATTATTACGTATATATGTGTATCTATAATTTTGGTATAGTTATCTTTTTCTTTTAATTTTTTTTTTTCATTTTTCATTTGAAAATATATATGACAAATATCAAATAATCAATTTTACAATCGTGTATTTATCAGTAACATTAATATTAGTTTCTAGATTTTTTTGTTATCATTGTTTTAATTTAAATACATGATTATATACAGCTTTATTATATGTAATTTGAATAGTATTTCAATTTGTGATATACGGACATGATCATATTTCCTTGTTCTGTGAAAGAAGGTTTTCTTATTGATAATTTGTTTTCTATTGATGAGTAAGTACGGATCATATTGTCAATTTTGGAGACCCACTCATCACCTTTACTCTGCTTCAAGTGTGTGATAATGTTTGCACCATTTGGTAACGTAAATTGTATGTACAAGTTTGCCAAAAGATAAAGTTCCAAAATGCGTAAAGGATCCGATATAGTGGTATCAAAAGTACACCAATCATCAATCATTTCTACCAATTTATTGCAATATTGAATATGATGTTTCCAAGACTTTAAATCTTGCAACTTATTTTTTTTATGAGATAGAGAGAGACGTAAGGATTGAGAATTAACTACTTCATGAGGCAAAGAATGAGAATCTGTCACATCGTTATGTGTACTATTAGTATTTCCGTTTTCCAGACCTTCCTCAGTTTCATTGTCATCTATAGGAAGGCATTCCAGTTGTAGAGTCTGGTCACACATATATTGAACATTTGATCGTATTTTTAAGGGAGCTGTATACCATGCAGGCCAATAGAACAATTTGGAAAACTGTTTTCTGGTAAATTCAGTGTAATTAGTTTTGTTTAGGTACAATTGATACAATGTCATACACTTAAAATCACGACACAGAAATTGCAAAGCAGCGAGGAAATCCAGAGTGAAAGAAACGTCTTGGTTATCATTTAAAAAGTGTCTTGTATCTTTGATTAACTTAACTGTGAGCAAATATTGAAGAATATCTGCAAAACCTGCGTAAAAGCTGGAGACCTGTTTCTCAGTTTCATTCTTCTTAGATGAAGAGGGAGAGGATACAATTAATAAGGGTAGAGTATTTGTTGGACTCAAATCAGTATTGTTGGAAAAAACAATTTCAATCTGCCTGTATAAATGTTTGCAATAAGGACTATTTAGCATCCAAAACAAGGATACAGACTCAGGACATGTCAAACTTGGGGTATCATCAATACCAAACAGATGGAAAGTATATTTGGTCATAATTCAAGTTATTGTGATTTTCTCAAAAAAAAAAAAAAAGACATAGCCATTAGAGTAACAGTGCACAACGTAACACTACACAACATAACACAATCGTTAGCAGATACATTAATCACAGACATATGAAAATAGTTGTTTGTTTGAAACCGATTGTTTTCATCTCTAATGGCTCAAGTTCAGATATTAATTGCACTAAGTTATTCCATGCAGTTCGAAAGATTGTCATTTGCGACAGGTTACCCTCTTGGTCTGTTAAAATGAATTTCTTTCTTTCTTTTTTTTCTTTTTTTCTTTTTTTTTTTTCGTTGCACCCATACACCCATCTGTGAGGGTAAAATTTTTGGAGGGAAATTCAAGTGAAAAGAAACTGCAAGAAATAAAAGAAGAGAGAGAGAGATAAAGGAGGGGAAGCAAAGAGATGCACATTACAGACAAAACACCATATAACATAGAGTAGAGTGAGTTTACAAATAGTTTGTCTCTCAGTGTGAGAGTTATTTAAAAACAAATAATACGAGTGCGGTCATACTCCATATTGTTTTGTCTTCTTTTTGCATTTTTTATTAAAGGAGTGTGTCGAGACAAGAAAACATAATTACAAAAAGAAAAGAAAAAAAAATTAATAAATAGAAGAATAAAAGAAGATGTCTGTCTCTAATGAAACATCTTTGGAACCTCCTATCCTTGCAACAAACCGCTCTAACTCTAACACTTTGGGAAACGATTCCGCAGATGGAAAGTTGAATAATACAGAAATGATTCTTAAGGATAAAATAGAGGCAAATCCACTAGATATTCTCGGTTATATTGATTTGATTAGGCACTATGAAAGCACAGACCAATTTGAAAAGGGCCAAGAGGTATATAATAAATTGCATGAGAGATTCCCCTTATATTCTCCATTATGGGTTATTCAATTGAAAGGTAATTTATTAAGAGATGAATTTGTGTATGTTGAGAAATTGCTAGCTCAGTGTCTTTCTGGGAGTGATATAATAAACAACGATCTTTCACTTTGGATGACATATTTAGATTATGTTCGTCGAAAGAATAACTTGATTACTGGTGGACAAGAGGCACGTTCGATCATTATTCAAGCTTTCGATATGGTAATGAACAAGTGTGCAATATTTGAACCACATTCTTCACCCTTTTGGAACGATTATCTAACTTTTTTAGAGGCATGGAAACCTATGAATAAGTGGGAGGAACAGCAAAAAGTGGATATGATCAGAAGATTATATAAGAAGATGCTTGTTATTCCCTTCGATAACTTAGAAACTATGTGGAATAAATATATTAAGTGGGAACAAGAGATTAATAATTTGACAGCAAGAAAATTTATTGGCGAGTTGTCTGCAGATTATATGAAGGCCCGTTCCTTGTATCAAGAATGGTCAAATCTGACTACTGGGTTAAGGCGTGTATCTCCCGTTAATATCAATACATGTAATAAAAATAATATTCCACAAATAGATCAATTTACTACTGATTCTGACAAAAAAAGTTCTCAATCAGAACAAATCCAGCTATGGTCAAGATGGATTGAGTGGGAAAAAGAGAACAAGTTGACATTATCTGAAGAAAACTTAAATGAAAGATTGATGTATGTTTATCAACAAAGTATTCAATATATGATTTTCACACCAGAGGTGTGGTATAATTATGTAATGTATATCCCAGAGACTGATTTAATGAAAAGAATCAGGATTTTAAACATTTCTATTCAAGCTAATCCGTCTTCTCCGACTTTAGTGTTCAAACTGACAGAATGTTATGAATTGGAGAATAATGTGGAACAGATCAAAAAATGTTATGAATCTGCAATTGATTTCTTGTTAAAACAAAACAGATTGTTACAATTAATTCAGAATCAGGCCCATGATTCTGACCATATAGGGAATACCGATCTCGTTGATGTCATGTCAAATAAAAATTCTCATTTAAATAAGATTAAAAAACAATTAACATTTATTTATTGCATATATATGAATACAATGAAGAGACTCTCTGGTCTTTCAGCTGCAAGAGCTGTTTTTAGTAAATGTCGTAAATTGAAGAATCAATTAACACATCACATTTACATTGAAAATGCGTATTTGGAATTCCAGAATCAAAATGATCATAAGACCGCATGTAAAGTCTTGGAGTTAGGTTTGAAATATTTCCAAAATGATGGCGAGTATATTATTAAGTATATGGATTTTCTAATCTTAATCAATAAAGACGCGCAAGTAAAGCAGTTATTTGAGACATCATTAGATAAAGTGGAAGATAACGACCATGTGAAGCAGATATTCAAAAGAATGATTGGTTATGAATCTAAGTTTGGTAATTTGAATAACGTGTATGCTTTGGAGAAAAGGTTCTTATCTAAATATCCAAATGAAAATCTTATTGAATTGTTTACAGATAGATATAGGATTCAAAATGAAAATTATATTAAAAGATTGGAGTTAACTTATCTTTATGATTTGGATAAAGAAAAGTTGAAATTATTAGGATCACTAACAAATAAAGAGGGTTATTCAGAGAGTGTGAACAAGATAAGGAAAAGAAGAAGAGCATCCGTTGATGAATTTGAGCAAGAAACTGATCTTAATAAAAGACAAAATAATGGTCCACATATTCCTAACGAAATTATTGATGTCTTAAAAGTGTTACCAAAACGTCAATATTTTAAGAATACATTATTAGATCCAAAAAACTTGATAGATTTTCTAGTAAATCAAATAGAGATACCTGAACATTAATAAAGTCATTGACCGTAATAATTATAATGAAAATATGATATATTTTATTATAATATGCAATGTATAGATGAAAGTGATAATTTAGATAGACAATTAATCTAGTATTATGCAGAATACGTAAAGTTTTTTTAAAAAGTATCATTACATACAAGTAAGCTGGAATAGTATGTAAAAAAAATAAAACAAATACTTTTATGTAAGATGCGAATCGCGGCTCCCATAATTGTTATAATAGTATGTACTTTTATAATTCCTTACATATAAAATATTAGGGAGTTTTTCAAATAAATAAATAAATAAATACATAGATATGCAAAGATATATATAAAAACATTAATCATTAAAATATATCAAGCACAGAAAAGATGTTTATTTCATTATGTTATATTTTAGGTTTATTCATTAAGATATATTATGTCTTTTTTCTTTTTCATCTTTATTTTCATTAAGTTCTATAATCACCATTAATAGTAACGTATTCATGAGATAAATCACATGTCCAGAATTGGGCAGATTCAGTGCCAGTACCAAGATCAACCAAAATTTCTAAATCATTTAAAGCTAATAATTCAGAGGCTCTAGCTTCATCTATATCTAATTGTGGTACACCATTGACAACAAGTTTCAATTCACGTGGTTTGGAGTTATCAGTGGCCACAAAACTAACATTAATCTTATTTTCATCTAAAGATTTAAGATTATCTAATTTAGCATAACCGATGGCACATAAGATTCTACCCCAATTAGCATCTTGACCATATAAGGCAGTTTTGACCAACATTGAGTTAGAGATTGACTCTGCGATAATCTTGGCATCTTTAAAAGTCAAAGAGTTTCTAACGTTGACAGTGACAAATTTAGTGGAACCTTCACCATCACGAACCACCAATTGAGCCAACTTCTGTGCAAATCCAGTGACTTGTTCTTGGACTTTTTGATAGGCATCAGATTGTTCAGTAATCTCTTCGGTATCAACGGCACCATTGGCAATCATGCAGATTGTGTCATTTGTACTCATATCACCATCAACAGAGATACAGTTGAAGGAACGATCAGTAGCATACTTTAACATTTTTTGCAAAGCTTTACTTTCAATTGGTAAATCAGTGACAATATAACCTAATAGAGTAGCCATATTGGGACAGATCATACCAGCACCTTTAGTCATACCTGTCAAAGTGTATTCTTTACCATCAGGTAATGTAAATTTAGAAGTAACAAGTTTTGGGAAAGTATCAGTAGTACAAATAGATTTTGCAATATTTAACCAAGATTGGAAGTCATTATTGAATCTATTCTCATTGAACATTGTATTAATACCGTCAGTAATCTTGTTCATTTGCAGTCTTTGACCAATAACACCTGTGGACATCACTAAAGTGGAATTAGGTGTTCCACCCATATGATTGTTTACAAGACTAATCATTTCATTTGCATCAGCCAACCCAATATCTCCAGTAACAGAGTTGGCACAACCAGAATTTACCACAATGGCATTAATACCTTTTCCACGAGTGGCTTCAAACACTTGTTTAGAAGTTAACACAGGAGCAGCTTTGAATTTGTTTGTGGTGAATACAGCAGCAGCAGAAGATAAATGCGATTTGTTTGTGTTGACAATAATACCAAGATCTAAAGCATTATTTTTTTTGACACCACTGGCAATAGAGGCCACTTTAAACTTTTGAGGGAAAACACCTTCTTTAGGGACATAGAGAGCATATTTATCAATCATTTTAGCAGTGTTTTGCAATAAAGCAGCAGTTACTCTCATCTTTTTTATAGACAGCAATGAAAAGTTGACTCTATTATTTTTTTTTATAGCGATTGCTTTTACTTCGTAGAAGACAGGAAAAATAAAACTCAAAGTGAATTACTCAAGTACCCTGTGAGATAGTGAATATTTGACTACATGTTATTTTATAAGAGGTGTAATTATTGGTTTGGCAGAGACATATACATCTGACAGATGATGACTAACTTAATTTCATTTCTGGGATGCTTTGATTTTTGTTTACAGAAGACAAATTTTTCTCGAAAGCAATTTTGGAGGGGAAAAAAAATTTTTGTACAGCCAAACAGGCGCTACCACGCTGTGACTCTTCCGTTTGAAGCATAAATTTTTGTTTGACACATAAGCACAACATATATAAAAGAGATTGATACAAATGAAGATACAAACATAGACATAAGCACAAGACGAGTGAAAAGGGCTAAGAAAACAGTAATCCACCTCATTAGTTGTGTGATTTATGATTCTTTTTGAAGAGTATAAAGACTAAGGATTTTGGGGATCCATAACGTTGTTGCGGTGGTGGTTTGGTTCATTATTTGTTTGTTTGTTTGTTTGTTCTATGTGTTATTTATGTTGATACATTAGAATGATTGTTACATTAGTAATTGTATAACACGGTTTTTTTTATCTAATTGTAGTAGTTGTTTGATTATTTTGTACCTTATTTTATTTTGTTTGGGAATAAAAGAGAAAGAACTGGCTTTATTTTGTTTATAGTTACAGGGACAAATCATGTCTCGATCTAACAATGGGTTTGTCATACTCAATATACATATCAAAACAGCTTTGTTATTGCAATTTGTTCTAATTACTGCTATGACCGCTGTTCAAAGTTTTCCAGTGTGTTCGGTTCCAGTGTCTACTATTAGATTAGCACATAATTCAAAGTATGAGTATGGTGTTCTTGGGTGGTGTGTGAAACAGCCTCAAAGGCAGTGCACTGGGACGCAAATAGGATATAACGAAACAACCACAGAATCATCCATTCAAAAATTATTATTACCTTCAGATTCTAAATATTCAGTATCCAAGCTGTTATTATTCCACATTATATCCTTTGGATTGAGTATAATTCTATGGTCTATGATAGTGATAGCTATGATATCACCATTGCAAGAGTCGCCTCTTTTTTTGTTGTTATTTACTTTAGTAATGATAGCGATGTTTCTTTTTGCTCTGTTGAGCTGGCTAGTAGACATATTGTTGTTTCGAATATGGTTGGATTGGCCAGGATGGTTAATGTTGGTGGTAGCAATCACTTCTGCGTTTTGCGGTTCTGCCATATGGTCGTATCGTAGAAGTGTGGAAATAAGAAACTATACAGTACTAAATGAGGAGGATAGTGTGGTAAGTATAAATCAGATCGAAGTTAACAATAAAAGGAGAGATATAGAATCAAGAACCTACCAAGAGAGCATTGAGATGATGCATATAGTGGAATCTGATCCAATGATGCTGTTTACCAGTGATATTTCTAACAACGATCCAAGGATTCGAACGCTAGCACTAGAAGATGAATTAAGAGAGCCAGACATAACGTATCATCGGATTGTGGAGGGGTAAATATAACAATACATACAATTATCTAAAACTAGAGTTAGATTATCTGTTATATACGTATTTGCATGGAAAATATTCTGCATGTTTTTATTTCCTTTTTTTTTAGTCTGCAATGAGCCACGTGAAAAAAAGCTCGAGATCAAACTTTGCGAATCATCCAAACCTACAAAGTTCTAAGAGTGTTCAAAAAGTCGAGTATACATATATCTGTTTATAATTCTGTAATGTATAAATATATATGTATGTATGGGTGTGTATGGGTGTGTGTCCATGTAAATATTGGTGGTTGATTAGTCAACAGATATTTCTTGTAGAATAAAAGTATTATAAACAGTTAAAGAAAAATTATAAAATGAAGAGAAATATGGTACCGGTTTTAAGGAGTTGTCATTCTTTTTCCAAACTGATTAATACTCGTTTTTATACTACATCTAATCTTAAGAATGGGTTGGCTCATCCATTTTTCAAATTATCGCCAATGGAACAATTTTCTCTATGTTTCTCTGAAAGAAAAACTTCATTAGCAAATGGGTCTAAAATATTTCCAATTTTTACAGAAGATCTTTCAAATATGAAGCAAACTTTACAATTAAACTCTATTAATCTTTCAAATAAAAAGGAGGTTATCAAATGGTTGCAAAAGTATGATAAAGAAGTTAATGTGGAATCTTCAAAGAGTAAATTAAAAAATTTTAGTACAAATAAAGATGACACTATGCCGACAAGTTTCATTAATAAAGAGAAATATCCACAATTAAACGAAATCATTGAGCTGTTCAAGAATGAAACCTTAATTACTAAAGATCCTGTAACTTTGAATTCATTAATTGATTATTTTCTCCTGAATAATCAGTCAGGTATCTTTGCAGAAAATATCTACATTTTCTTATTGAACGAATATTCCGATTCTATTGATAAATTAAACTTAATTCTTGGATCACTTAAATTACATCTAAATAATAAATTAGATTATTTCCCCGATATTGAAAATATCATTTTAAAAATTTTAATCTCGATTAATAAATTATCAAACTATCCAAAGATTGAGTTCTTTGATAACGAGTTCCATAATTTATTAAAGAACATATCCATTAAATTCAATTTTCAGGATACATTATCACCATTTAATGATGCAGTTATTCATCAAATGTTGCAGTATCATCTATTTAAAACTCAAAATTTGATAGAATGTAAATTTTTGATCGGTTTGTTGCTTTCTAGCAGACATATAAGGCCATCAAATGAACTTCTACATTGTTATCTAAATTTATTAAATAAAAAAACACAAACTTTAAGCTTCAAAGATTCCAAATTACAAAAATTGATATATTTATCTGATTTCAGAATTTTAATTGAACAATACCCTACTATTGAATTGATTCGTTTTATTTTACCACTATGTGGTAGCTTTAATGAATTAAGAAACATCCTAAATATTATAATGAAACAAGATAACAGTTTGCAATATTTTGAAACTTTAACAGACTTAATTATTAAGCAATACGAGGTTGTATGTCAATGGGATAAATCAATTATGGGTTCTGTGGAGACTATTCATCTATACAATTGTTTCAATGTAATCTATAAAGGACAGATTCCTGTTGATCCCTTAAATAAAATACTTATATTGATGGGGTCAAATGGCAATTATTCAATGATAGCTTATATATTAAACCAAAATAAAGGATTACAAAAGGATTCAGGAATTCTAAAAGAGATTATTAACGAATTTCCTCCTAATGATTCCCTAGAGAAAAAGAAATTTACAAAACTATTTAAACTTTCTTCAACCATCAAATAAAACTAATATAACATTAGGGAAAAAAACGCATTGATTAAAGATAAGCGATTTACTGTTGTTGAAATTTCTTTGAAAATAAAAAAAATGGTCTGGTGTTATCATGAAGATAATAGATATTTAGGTATATATGTGTATTAACTATATGTTAATAAATAACTTGTAAATAACATGTTGCATTAGATGCTATCAAAATATGTTTCAAAGATGTTTGAAGATTAACTACATAACAAAAATGGTATTTGGATACTGCTAACTTATTGCAGATACATACACACACATATATATATAGGAATATCCACATTCAATAGTATCATGTTGTGGTTAGCATTGAATTTATTATTAATGCTAAGCTATTTGTGTGTAGGTTTTTTTGATAACAGAAATATCAATGCCCTTAAGATATTGGCAACAGGGAACTATGAAACATGGTGTATCTTGTTTTACTCCACCTAGCATTAAGTTTATATTATGTTACCACATTAGGTGAGACTTCTAGTAATCTTGGATTTGGTCTAATTTTATCTGACCAAGTCCTAGAGAAACAAATAAAGCAAATATTTGATGATAAAAGTTTGTTAGAGGAATTATTTCCTATGTTACAGAGATCCTGTGTCAAATCTGCTTTACAAATATTTCTACCACAGTGTTTATTAGAGGGTATAGAAACTGTAACTGATTCAATTAAAATGGAAACTGCAGTCAGACTTTCTCTTTGTCAATTCGAAGCATCTGGTTTAGCGCAAATCCCTGAAGAATGTTCACATACAGAAAGCACTGAAGATATGATGGCTTGTATGTTAGAATTAGAAACATCAAATAAATGGTGGACCACATATAATGGCTATTATCAAAATTTACCAATGATGTGTATTACACATGGTTCAATGTTTCAAAGGGAGCAAATAATAAAAACGTTTATGAACATTACTAAATTTGTTAATCAGCTAAATGAGAATTGGGGGACTGTGTTCAAAACAAATATGGATGAGGTTGATAAAATCATCTCTTATAATTTAAATAATTTAACAGTTAAATTTAATCACACATTAAATCAAGTTGACAACTTTAATGCATCTATGAACTTTATACTACAAAAGATGCAGACAAGTTTGTTAAAAAATAAGGATGAGGTTCAATTGTATATATCAAGAAAAGATGAAGAAATTAAAAAATCAGTAATGATTCTCCAAAAATTCATTAATCAACTTAAAAATGATGTTGTAGATGAAAACTTTTTGCTTGACTTGGAAAATCGAAGACGTGGAGAATTGAGCCTTTGGAATGAAATGGAGACAGCTTTACAAGCTGAGAGAGATTTTAGACTAAAAGAACAAGAAAATATTAATATTTACCTTGATAATTTAAAAACCAGTATTATAAATTTAAATGATAATATGGAGAGTTTAAATCAATTTCAAATCAAAAATTTAGAGAATCATGTTCGAACAGAGCTAGCAAATATTAGTAATCAAATAATTAACGAATGGTTATCACTGACCAAAATTCTTAATAAAGATATACAGTATTGGAATGAATTAATTAAGGATAATTTCAAAATGATATCTAACAAATTAGAAATAACCATTGAAAAGATAGATTTCGTGGAGAATAAAATTTGCAAAATAGTGAAAGTTTTCCTTAAAATATATACAGTGTTTGAATGTTGTTTCAAAGTCGTATTTACAATTTTCAACAATTGTAGAGGTTTTACTATTTTTGTCGTTTTTTTACCACTGCTTAAAATACTAAGGTTAAAAATTTCAATTTTGAAAATAAATAGGTTTATAGTTATTCTGTTTGGAATTCTATTAGGGAATCAACTTGGATATAAATTAAGTGGCATAAGTTCTATATATAGATTCACCATGATAAATAATCCAAATTAACAAAACAAGTAAAGAAAGCAATTAACAACGGCAGTTTTTTATAACTGACTATAAACTATTAACTCTAATAAATAAAATTTTGATGTATGTGACAAATGCTTATATGGTTATCTATAGCTAGGCCTTCTTTTTTTTCGGGTCCTTTCTCTTCATAGGTAAATATCTATCAAATTATTTTGGTTTTATTATATTTAAATGAAAACCTACTTGTGATAAATAGTCATTATTTTTGATTTCAACTGAAGATTGTGCTGCTGTCGTGGATAATGTCGCAGAAACTTCTGAAACTGATGATGTTGACTCAGTTAATGATACTGTAGAAGTTAATGTTAAACCAGAATTTTGTAGAAATAGAAACTGTGAATTTTCTGTTAAGACAGATGACGCTATCGTACTGTGACTTTCCCTTAAATAGTGTGATTGTTGTTCTTGTTTATTTTTGAGAATTTCATTCTCCAAGAATCTTATTTTTTCATTATTATTTGAATATAATGCTTTTAAATGGTCCAGTTGCTTTTTATAAATCATATTCTCATTCAGATAATCTTGAATCTTTATTTCTTGCTGATTAATAACATCCAATAACTTTGAATTGATTGTATCAAATTCTGTTTTGATCCTCTCCCCATTATTTCTCTCTCGATGCAATTGCCTATTATTATCAATACATGTAACAAGTTGTAACTTATAATCAAAAAGTGTATTAATTTTATCTATAAGTATTTCGATTGATTCATTCTCATTCTCATCATTATTACCATGGAAACTATTTTCTTTGTAAACATTATTATTTTTGGTTATTAATTTTTTCCATTCAATCTCCAAAATTGAATTATCTAAAATGGTCTTTTCAATCTCCCGCCTTTTAATATTAATATAATTATCTTTTTTTGGTTCGAATAATCTCATAGTATCTTTAATTAATTCCACTTGCTTCTCATAATTTTCATTTTTTATTTCATTTACACTTGATAAATTGTCAAGTTTATTTTCTGGGGAGATCCATATCTTATTTGGTACAATATAATTTTTAACAATATTTGTAAGGTATTTTGTAAGCTGCAAAGTTTTCAAAGTCTCATTTTGTAATACAGGTGACAAAGAACAAGTCAATATAAACCTTGTATTGAAATTGCTAAATATTGGATAATACAGCAATTTATTTAAATTGTTAGCAGTATAATGATGGCTTTTCCCTGTTAACATATTAATAAGATTTTCATGTAGATTGTTTCGCTTATCAAAGTTTTTCAAATCAAAAATTATTAGATTACTTTTAGTTACCATGTTTTTTGACATAAATGTTTGCTGCAATTCTAATCTTATGGCAGTATCCCCTTGAGAAAAATTCAATATCTGTTTAAGGAAGGTTAACACTTGTTCTAAAGTATCACAGTACAACCTTCTGATATTTTCTGACCATATTCCGTTATATGAGCCATCCACATGATCATTATGCAGAGTTAAATGATACTCTTTGTTTGATAATAGATCTTTAATTATATTGCTATTGTCCAACAAGTCCAATGCAGAGATTCTGAAGAATACAGTATAATCTGCACCTAATTCCTTATATCTACTTTCATTCTTATTTTTTGTCTTGAACAATCTTGTTAATAACCTCGGTATCAGACCTAGATGAAGTCCATCTCTGCCAAATAGTGTATATGTTTTCCCAGTGTTATCTGACCCATATGTTATAAGAGAACAATTGATACCATTCATCAAATCCTGTTCAATCAATGGTATGAAATAAGAAGCAATAACACTTTGTGACGAATAGTTATTAAAAATCTTATCGAATCGGAACGTCTCATCCGGTAATGAATTCAATTTACCTATCCCTATATTTGAATGGAAGGTGATAGTTTTATCGTTAAATGCTTTTTCATGGGGTTTATCATCATTTATATGAGTTTGATCTGCGTCAACATTTTCTGATTTTAATCTTAAATACACTTCCATAGTTTAATGCCCTGATCTGCTGCACATATAAATATCAATTACCAAATATAAGGATAACAATGTGACTATTAATACAATAAGTTAAAACAGCCTGGGTATAGTGCTATTTTCTTTCAGTTTTATAATTTTTTTTTACTTGATCTTTTACTTCTAACCCTTCCCCATTCCCTTTAAAACCACATGGATAGTCGTATTATTGCTCAATAAAAAAGAATTATACATCAACAATAAGACACAATTAACACTGGTATCAGCCACTCATGCAATACCCCTCTTTACACTGCCACGATCTGTAACTGTCACCTCACAAGCTTATCAACTTTTCAAGAAGCCTCAAGAGAAACAATAAACTGCAATAAAACTACTAATAATCATATTACAAAATCAACATCAGGGAAAGGGGCACAAAGTAACAAACTAAGACTTACTAACTTTAGTCAAAGATAAGAAAACAGAGGAAGGCATAAAAGTGGCAATGTTAAGAAGAGAAGTGGTCATAAATTGTCAGATTATAAGTTGTCGACACATGAATTTTTTTATAGCATATACTAATTCATTCAGACAGGGATAACTGTTAAAAATATAAAATGTTCTCATCATTAATCAACCACTTCTCAAAGAAGACTTTGAAGAAATAATATCATACACAATCTAAAAATACACTGCATAATATAAAACAATCGTGTCATCATGCAACAATCGTTAATAGAAACGTCTCTTCACAGCGAAACACCTCCAAAAAAGAAAGAATCAAACATGAACATCCCGATACCAATTTAAATTACACGGGTCCGGCGATGTTCTACAGTTTGCGATATGGAAATTAGATAATTAGCGAGCGGAACACACAAAGAATGCGAGGAAAGGTTTGAAGAGGAAAGCATCTTCTCTCATCTACCTCGTATTTATACACTTTCATTCACTATGTAAAATTTTTTTTTAAAAAGTCGAATATGCACAAACAAAAAATGAAAAATTTTTTATTTATTTTTTGTTTTTCTTTTTCCTATTTGGGAAACACAATACCGTGTTGTAGCAAACGCGGAATTACTAAATTCAAGTACCTCAACCCTAAAGGAAAAAATGTAAAGAAACGATAAAAAAATGAAAAGTTTTGCAAACCTTACTTATTTGGTCATTTTGCTTTTTTTTACTTTAACACTTTCCAAAGTTTTGTTAGGGTTGTAGTTGAAGTTGAGTGTTCTTGAAGGTACAACTAAAACGAACTGCCTGCAGATCTGGCGAAATATAATTTAGACATTATTGATTATGTTACATACATTAAATAAGACTAGATTGTAAGGATGATTGACACATAATTTAGGTAGTTTCAAATTCCACCTGCTTTCATTCTCACAATTTCTTCCTGTCGTTATTCTTTTTTTTTTCTTTTGCCATTCATATAGGTATGTGGTTTAACATATAATATTCCAAATCAATGTTACCAAGGAATCTTACACCATACAAGCATGCAGCCAGACATATTATTCCACTAGTGAGAGATATACCAATTGTTCCTTGGACCAATTTTAGTAAGAAACCTACCCAGCTAAATTTATTTAGAAAAATCCATCTTCACACCGCCAATCGTACAGATCAAGCTTCTGTTAATTTAGGTACCCAAAATGACGGCACACTAAAAAATGATCCTGATGAAAGAGATCAAGTATATCTATATGGGAAATCCGAGAATGATATTACAGAAACTTTGCAGAAACTAAATTTAATTAAAGTACCAATGAATTTAAAATCTAATATTGAATTGGTTTGTACTTATCTTCAAAAACTTAATGTAATGAGTTTTAAAAGGACCACCACTCATTTAAATAAGTTCAGAACTTTTCTAAATAAAAAACAACAGACAATGGACAATAATAACATATTACTCTTCAAATATGTTATTGAATATTTAATTGAGGAATCTGATATGGAAGTGAAAAGATTGATCCAATTCGGACCAATTAATCTTATCCAATCTCGTTTAGATAATATTTTGACTGAAACAAATGACAAGAATTTAGTTAATAAGGATTCAGATCCACAAGAAGACATTGAAACTTTTGTACTAAATAATCTCTTTGATAAAAATTTTGATTTAGAATACCCATATTTGTCTCATTTACAGTCTTTGTTTCATATACTTAATGAATTAAGAATTAACAACACTATTCAATGGAATCAATATATATCCATTGATCAGCTAATCAACATTTTTGAAATGTCGAAAACAATACCTGATCAAATATGGAAGGACAGAGGTGTTTTCCTTTCCGCTTCCCTGTTATATTCCAATGGAAAAATTAGAATGGATCCGGTTAATGAATCCTTTTTTATAAACACATTAATTAAATTTGGTTATTATAAATATGGTTTTAAATTGTTTAAGACAATGAAGGATAATATTAAAGAAAGATGGTGGATGGAAATGGGAATGATGTTATCTCTGGTTAATAACAATCTACGTACTTTCCAAAAATTATTATATGAAATGGATCATCACTATGATCACAATACCAATGACACCAGGTCAACTCCAAATACTTACTTATCACCAAAGGTACTCAAATTTGCAATTAAAAAATATTCTAAGATTTATTCCTCTAAGAGTAATAAATTACAATTTTTATTAAATAGATTTATTGAAAATATTCAAATGTATGGAATACAAAACCAAAGCAAAAGTTTTGAAAACCAACCTGATATAAATTTTGAGAATGAAAATGAAGCTAACTCATATTTAAATAAAATCGTCCCAATCTCATATGATGATATTATTTCCGTGATAAATTCTTTGCTTTATAATAAACATTTAGACCTTATAGGACCATTTCTAAACAAAATATTATCATTAAGGGATATTGATCCGTCAATATGGCATATGATTTTAATCAAGACTAAACTAAATCTGTTAAAGGATTTCAATTGTATTAAATCAATTTTACCAAAAATTAATGAGACTCCTTCCAATCTTCACAATTTAGCGAACTTTGAGGATGTATTTAATCAACTAACTTCCAAGTATCTCAAAGAAAAAAATGTAGTAATAGATATGCTATTGTTTGATAGCTTAGATGGTTTAGTGACAAATTATAGATTGCCAATAAATCTAGAAAATTTTTTAGAAAAATTATTAGCTTCAAATAACAACCAGCTGCACAACATAGAGGATAGCAGCAATAATAAAATCAAATTATCTCAATATTTTAATGTTCTATTAAAATCATTTTTATCCTGTGGAAATTTATTAAAGGCAAATAAATTAATACGATTAATGGAAAAAGTACGTACAGATAAAGATTTTGCATTACAACATCAGGGAAAATATCCTCCAATTGATATTAATCATTATACAACAATGATTAAATATTATACTAATAAAAGAACTAAACATCATAAACCAAAGGTATGGAAACAAAAGGAGAAAAAAATCATAGAAATCACTGATAAAGTCAATGCTTTTGGATTTCAATATACATCATCTTTTATCACTAAATTACTTATCTTTTATAGAGAAAACAGAGATTATAACCGTTGCTTCCAAATTATCAACAAAACTTTGAAATCAAGTCAATATCTAAAGTCAGAAATATCATCAGCTGAGATAAGTGACATCAAATCAATGACACCATTTTTGAGACAAAAATTATACTTTGAAATATGGAAAATTTATTTTCAGTTCTATAAGCATGAATCGTTAGAACTAATTACTACTGGAAATCAAACAAATATAAAAAACTGGAAACTTTATCATAATTCTTTGCAAAAAAAAACATTGATTAAACCTGAAGTTGATTTGCTGACATTATTTGATAATATGGTTAATAGAGACAACGTTCTCCCAAATTTAAGGTTTTCTCAACTAATTTTAGCAACTTTCATGAAATCCAGAGATTGGACATCAATCCCTGCTATTATAACTCAATTAATTCATGTTTTTAATATAGAATTAGATAAAGAATTTTTTTCTAAAATTTCAATTGGAATCAAAAAAGAATTTATTGCGACTGAAACCAAACGTCTTTTACGAAAAAATAAGAATATGTCATTTCTTGAAGCAAAACAACAAGCCAAAAAAGAAGCTAAAAGTTTGGAATATGATAAAAATAATCCAATATTTCAACCAAATGATAGTGATAAAAATTTGACTAGTTTACTAGGTAATATTCTATTACTAATGAAGTATCAAAACCAATATGATAAAGAATTTGTAAGAGTTAAAAGGGCTTACCGAAGATTAAATCTTATAGATTTCTTCCCAGAAGATATTATCCAATCTTGTAAATAAAGAACAATATTGCAATATAAGTAGTTAGTAACCTCTTAGTAATATCAAAAGAGACTTTTCTTTTTAAGTTTTTTTTTATAAAAAACATTATAGTATATAGTATATACTACTTATCTGTGATAGTAAATGTATAATAATAATAACATCTTTACATAAGTCTTATATATTACTTTTTACTTAGTTTTAACCACTTTGGAATTCCCCTCAGAGATTTCTTTGGTTTAGTTTCTTGAGTAGATATGTCGTTGTTAGTTGGATTTGTTGATTCTAAGTTTAAATGTTTCATCTCCAAATCAGAATTTCCTTCCAATGTCTCTACAATAGATTTAGCATTAGCTAATAAAGTATCCTTCAAAAGCAGGCCTTTCTTTGTTGGATCTTCTAATTCTAATACTATAACATTCTTCGATCTGAACTTCAAATCATCCACTAATAATTGATCATTACACGGTAACAGTACATGTGGATGAGTCTGATACAAATTAAATTTCACTTGACTATTTAAAAAATTTTTGGAGATTTCTTCATAAACATTTCTCATAGTTTCATTTGGTTTAAATGCAATCTCTAAATAACTACGATCGGGCAATTTAATTCGCATTAAACATTCTTTAATATTTTGTCTATTCATTTCCCTTATTTGTTTCATTTTTTCTTCTCTTAACCTTTTAGTCATTAATGGTCCACCAAGATTACCAGTTTGTTTTAGCAACATATTCTGATACATTTTTGCATGTTCTATAGATAACTCATAAATATCATCATTGTAGTTAGTATCCGCCTCTATTGTTAATTTATCAGATGATGGCAAATACACCGTTGGTTTATGTATTTCATGTTTAATGTTGATCTCTTTCCTAGTTTCTTCCTGCGGGGTATCTGTACATGTGGTCACATGTTTGTTCATCTTTAATTTGGATTCAGAATCCAGATGAGAGGGGATCTCAATATTGACAGAAATTGATTTACTTACCCCTAAATCATGAAAACTTTTACCGTTGAACATAGAGTAATCATACACTGATGACATAACTCTGAACTTCAATTTTTGCAAAATATCATTTGAACAAAGCTCGTCCCAATTCTTTTTCTCACCTATATCCTTAAAAGTATTTGTAATAGAATCCATTGGGTTGATCTGTTGAACAACACTCTCACGACCACTTACTTGAAATCGCATTTTGATTAGGTTATTACCAACAGATGAAGAAGAAGAAGAAAGACGATCAGACGATCCATCTTTGTATTCACACGTATTGGTACTTTTATTATTAATAACATTAGTATTATCTTGAATATTTATCAAATCTAATTTACAACCAGCAGGTAGATTCATTAATCTCCATGGTAAATCCATAGTCATTTCTTTCCCCTTATATAAAAAGACCCATCTACAAACAGATCCATTTTGATTGGAATCTCGGTCCAATTTAAAGTGATTTAAACTTTGTCTTAAAATATCATTTAAATTCGTGCTTGGAGTTACTTTTACTTTATAAGCTTTGAATTGATAATTGACAGTAACTGTAGACATTTTGCCACTTAAAAATATATCTACAATTATTAAAAAGGGGGACAATAAATATATTGAACGTTACTGTTGGTAGTCTCTTCCTATTTATAAATAAATGACAATATATATATAGATGTAAACATATATCCAGATATGTATCTATATCAACTACGAAATTTTTATCACATCTCATCATAAAACAAATGGATCAAAAGATATTCTACAAAAATTAGTGAAAAGTTAAAGGTTATCAGATGGGTGAAAATATATCAAACAATGAGAACATGATTTCAAGAGTAAAAAACATACATACAAACCTAAACACACACCACCATACATACATAGAGATATATGTATGATTTCAACATTAGTGCATTGAAATCAGAAGTGCTATTGGAAATAGAGATAATACTGCAAATATAAGAGTGACAAATTAAACTAAGGACATTGAAGAGTGATCAAATACAAAATTTCTTAACTCTTTAACTTATTACAAAAAAGTTGCTGTTCAATTTATGCCTAAGAAGATAAAGAAAGAGTAACTTCTGTTTTCTGTGTTCTTAATATAAAGGCCGATGTTAGGTGAAACTTCAATACGATTAAGGGAGGCTATTATTAATGGTAACTTGTTGATTGTAAAACGATTATTAAGAAGGTACCCAGAACTGCTAACTAATACAGATCCTACCAACGGCTGGAGTTCCTTACATTACGCTTCATATTATGGACGATATTTGATATGTGTATACTTGATTCAATTAGGACATGATCTCAATGAGGAGTTGTATACATTCAAGGGGAACACCTGTGTCCATTTAGCATTGATAAATGGTCATGAACAAACTACACACCTCCTTTTACAACATTTCCCTCAATTCATTAATAAACGGGGAGATAAAGGTCGAACTCCAGCCCATATTGCATGTATTACTGACAACTTTCGTTGTTTAAGTCTGCTGCTCGGTGTTGGTGCTAATCTTACATTACGAGACGACCAAGGTGAAACTCCTTTACATATCTGTCTAGAATATAGTTCTATTGAATGTCTTAAGTTACTATTTCAAGAAGGGTATCAAGATTTCATTCTAGTTGCAGATCAAATATCTGATAATTATGGATGGAAACCAGAAGAAGTAGCTGAAACCTTTGACTTTGCGAAAATATATTCCAAATTAAAAAGAAACTATAAATCAATAGTATCATCAAATACCCCAAATGTAATTCAATCTGCAAATTTTCGAAAGACAAGTTTTCCAAGTTTTCGTACACCCATTGTTGAATCCAAAGGTGTTTTTGATGAGGCAATTTCACCATTACTAAATGTATTTACTCCTGCAACTTTGTCAAATACGGGGCAACTAAGTTCTCCTCTAAGTAAATTACCAAATATATCTACAAGTAGAAAGACCTCCTTCTCTACTCTCTCTAAAAAAGAAAATATAAACTTTTCATCTTCAAGAAAATCATCAGACTCGAATAGAACATCACCTTCACCATTAAAGGGAATTGACTCACGTGGTGAGTCAATTGAGGAAAGTTATTCTAGCACTATTTCCAACCCAATCGATAATAAATCCCAGCATAATGATAGCATAAGCAATATATCTGCTGCTAGTTTTAACAGTAATAGTAAGACTATTAATTTAAAACATACAATCACAAATATAACTATGGAAACCAACACAAGTTGTAGCATTCATAGTGTATCCCCTAAAAAAGAACCAGATAATGCATCACATTCAGAAACAAGTATAGTTACTCCTATAGGTAGAACTTTTAGTAATGATACCATTCAAAGAAACAAATATATCCTTGATAATTTGAGTGAAGAGAAAACAGAAAATAAGAAAAAGAAGAAACCTATAACAAGACTGACCCAAGGTCGTTCCAAAACGAAAAACAGATTATCACTTCTGAATGTTCCTATAGCTAGAGTTCGAGACAAAGATGGATTAGATAGCTGAAAAAAACCTATTGAAAATGAACACATTTATGAGTATTATTTGTTCCCGATCCACTTCTCATCTTATCTTCGACTACGACATCAAGCAATAATAAAAAGCATATACATGACAAAAAATATTTATTGTAATAACCTTTTGCATTTACTATTTGAGCATTTATTTTTATATCATTATGAATAGCACAATTACTATGAATTGATATAAAACTTGAAGAAAATAGACATATACTTCTTAGCTCTGTACATTATATATATAGAAATATATTTATATATACCGAGACTTATATATTAGAAAGAATATGAATTCAAGTTATCATAGTAACCCGCTTCTCTTCATATTTTGTTGAATAATCATATCAGTCACTGCACTTAAAACGAATTTCATTGTTTGAGAATCTGTAGCACAGGTTCTCTTAACATATATCGGCTTATTAGAACAATTCAGACTTAAGAAGAGCTTTTCAAAATATTGTAAACCTGTTTCTGCATCACCCATACGACCTTGATAATCTGGGAAATATTTTCTTATTGGAGCACGTTTCACTTTTTGTTCAAATAAATCTATTTTATTTAAAAATAAGATGAATGGAACGTTTCGAAACCACTTTGAATTTAACAAAGTGTCAAATAACATAATTGACTCATGCATTCTGTTTACTCTTTCATCTTCAAACAACATTTGATCGTATTCACTTGTTGCTAGAACAAATATTACCGCAGTAATATTTTGAAAACTATGTATCCATTTTTTTCTCTCAGAACGTTGGCCACCTGCATCTAACACTTTAAATTTTGTTGAACCTATGTTGAATAAATTTTCCGTGATACCTGTGGTCTTTATTCTACCCATCAAAATATCTGTATCCGAACATGTATAATCCTTGGCAGCAAATTTTATAATATTATCGAAATAGTATGCAGCAGAGGATTCAAGTTGAAATTCATTAGAGCGATTGAAACATTGTTTAATCCCCTTATCATTTTTCCATAATTTAGCAATAGCATTTGCTATATCCTCATTCGTATAAACTTTTGGTTCCAAATTTTTTGAAGAGTTTGACCTGATATTATTATTATTATTACTATTATTAATGCTTTGTAAACTTCCAATAATCAATCCATTATTTGAATCCAAATTATTGTCCTTTGATAAAGTTTCGTTAATTTCGTTTACATCTATCACATCAACACCATCTGATGAGGGATTTATATCAAATGTTTGTACTTTCCCTGTTGATTGAATCCTTCGTTTTGTTTCAAACCTTTCAGAATACTTAAGTACATAATCATTTAGAAAATTAGAGCCACCCGCCAAATTTGCATCAATTAGTTGTAACGTATTGGTATTCAATATAACAGTCTTAGCCTTAAACAAATCTTCATTTTTCTCTGGGTCATCGCAATCTAACGGAATATTCAATTTTCTTGCCTGAATTATAAGAATTTTCATGGATTCAATGGCATCAGCCCAGATAACCTGACTGTATTGTCTTCGTTCCCTATGTGTGAACCCACCTTGATGTAAGAGCTTTAATTGTTTTAATACTGTAGATTTACCAGACTCCCCAGCACCCAGTAGTAACAGTTTAATTTCATTTTTTTTTCTTTGTTTCTCCAGATATAATTCTTGTTCAATTGCATCGTTTGCTTTTTTGAATTGGAGAAATGGGTCATTTTCCTCTTGACCAAATTCATTATTTGATGTACTTGCTATACATCCCATTCCAAAATTTAACCACTAATACTAATACTATTAATAATATTATTTCTAATCATCTATATCTATCTATATACAGGTTCTCTAATCAAGAACCAGGCATGACTTTTAATCCAAAATTATTTCCTGGCCAGACAAAAAAACCCATTTTTCAAAAACATAAACATTAAATAAAGAAAAAGTTAAGGAAGAAAATGTCTCTTTAGGACCATCAACTACTTGATAAATAATTAAAACGTTATTGAAAGTAGTATATAATTACTGCAAGTTGGCAATTTGAAACAAGGAAGATAATTTTTTTTACCTTCAAAGAATTTGTGACACCTGTTTTGAGGTCATGAAATTTCCTGTTTTGGATATGTGAAAGTATCAGATCCAAACCACTAATAGAAAAGGAGAGGAGGGGAAGAAAGAGAACTAAGACTACAAGCATTACTAACTAGGCATACCATAGCTTATAATATCCATTAAACATGATCTCTGATGTCATGTAACTTATCACGAATAAGTGATAATTAAACTCTGAAGATAGAGTCACAAAATATATCGAATCATAGGTACATATATATACATTTAGATGTAAATATATTAATATCAGAAGCTATGTACATGAACAGAATGAATGTAAGTATTAAAGACACATGTATAGTAGTGACTCAATATCTATGCAATCTCAATACGAACAAATGGAGACAAAATGAAATTTAAACAACAATATATGTCATTTCTAGACCATCTGTATATCATAAAACCATCATATCATAGAAAGTGTATGAATACAAAAAGAAAGTAGAATCATAAAATTAGAACAAGAAAAAAAAAATTGAACAAATTTCATCATTAAAATTTACCTGCAGCATTAAATGTTTGCCCCATCTTTTGCATATTTTCTCCTACTTTAACATTAGTTTCGAAATATTTGGCCACACATCTATCTAAACAAGTAGACTCATTGGTATTTAAAGAGCCGTCTGTGTAATTTGTAGAAATGCATTTCTTATAACAATTGTCAACAAGTTTGTTGAACATATCAGTGACCAAATCTAATTCAGTTTCTGCAGCAGCAATTTTTTGTTCAGAAGTTAGTTGTGGTTGAGAATTTCCAAATCCTAAAAATGACATTTTTCCTTGTTATTACTTTTTTATTAGTACTTATTTAGTGCTATTTATTTTATAATTGGATATCAATAAAACTTATTTGTATATATTGTCAAATCGTGATTATAAAAGCCAATAGACTATTATAAAGTATTGAGATAAGCTGTATCACAAAGCAAAGCAAAAGCCAAACAGGAAAGAACAAAACAACCCGATAATGGTACAGCAGTTATTAATAGTTGTTCACGTTTTATTATACCAACCACACGTAATATTTGCGTCTTCTCATCTATTCTCACGAGCAGACAAAACTGTTCGTTCACAGCCAAAGAATTAATTTTTGTTTCACTGCATTTTCTTCTTTTTGGTTTTTTATTTTTATTTTTATTTTTTTTTTGCTTTTCAAAGAAACTTTTTTTTGTTTTCGGTTGATTCTGCCTGGCTGACCAGCCGTGTAAGACAATAATGAGCTCCCATCATTACACACGAACATCGTGTAGTACGACATAGTAAATGCAGTATTCTTATCTCAAATCTGAGGGGTATCAATCTATCCATTTATACATATAAAACATTAACAGTCAGCTTATTCATCATCATCTTCCTCCTCCTCCTCCTCTTCTTCTTCACTTTCAAGTTCCGTATTAACACCTTTTGCTTCTCCTTCATCATCGTCATCATCGTCATCATCGTCATCATCTTCATCATCTTCGTCTGCTAAATCTTTGTGAATTTGTTCTAACTCTTGATCTTCATTATCTAAATCATTCTCATGCCTTTGCCTATGTATTTCCTTGATCTTCAATCGTATATTTTCTACAATATCATTCCACTCTCTCATCCCACCCATACCGATATCACCACAAATCAATACTTTCTCTACAGGCTTTAAAATCTCCAAAGTAGGGATATCTTCCTTTAACATCATCAGATGTTTCTTTGTCATTGGATTTATATACATGAAAGTGTTCATTGCAGGTGCCACTACAATAGGGGTCTTCTTTACATTCCAATCTCTTACCACCGAGGTAATCAAATTATTACATATCCCATTGGCTAATTTAGCTAAAGAGTTGGCACTCAATGGTGCAATAAGAAATATATCTGCCCATCTACTTAATTCATGAAACAATATAGGCTCCACAGTATCCTTGCGTATCCTTTTCCCACTATTATTCAAATTACTAAACGAACTATTTTGAATTACATCATTATTAAAATTCCATAGACGTGACTTCATATCGTCTTCTCGCCATATCTTAACATCCTTTGAAATTTTCGATCGGTGAAGAAAATGTTCTGCTGCTTTAGTCAATATTAACTGGATGGAAATTGTATCATGTGAATATATTTTGAATAATCTATCAATGATTAATGGAATTTTTATTGTAGCTACGGATCCAGTAGCACCAATTAAGATATGGAATTTATTGTCATCTTCTTTATTGAAATCAAATGTGTTATCTAGGGGGCTATATTCATCCTTGTTAAACACAATCTTATTAGACGGTTTTTGCTTTACTATTTGTCCAGTATGCAGCTTTGATTTGGTTGCCGGCGTCTTAACTGTAGCTTCTACAGGTTTGATATACACAAAATCACCTGGCATATGAACCGCACAATCTCTTTCTTTGTCATCACCAATATCACCTGTATCTTTTTCTTCTTCTTTATCTTCTTCTTCTTCCACTTCATCTCGTTGTTGTTGTTGTCTTTCTTGGTCCTGCTCAGTTAGAGAATTTCCAATAGCATCTATATCCTTCAAAGAAGCCTTTTGTGAGATATCGAGACCCTTCTTACCATCTTGTGACTTTAGCTGTGGATTCAGTTTATTACTTATAGAATGACGGTGATACAGTTGAGATAAATTCTGTGGTGGTATATCAAAAGAAACAGATGTATTTCTTTTCATTGATGGGTTATCTTGTAATGATGGGATAATTGATGGTTCACTGTATTTCTTACCTGATCTGCTCACTCCATTAGTGCCTGATCCTATGCCAACACCAGGATTACATATAACTGTGTCAGTCTCTCTTTTATTGAATTCCTCTATCTGCTTCTTTGAACTTTCAAATGGAATTGGTTTCCAAGTTTGTTCTGACATTATATTAAGAATAAATGCCCTTTTTTTTCTTTTTTTCTTTATTTCTTTATTAATTTATTTTACCTAAATTAATGAGTACGTGATTCTTCTTTATATATATATATATATATTATCTTCAGATAGTTGTTATTCACTTGCATAAATAGTCTGGATTACCTTATTTACTATAAATGAATCAAATCACTGGCAACAGACACCAGATTTGAACTTTTTTTTCTATCTGGATAAAGGTTCTACATAATAATTACGAAATATTCCTGGATTTCTTTTATTTTACTCTTTTTTTCTCTTTTTCTTCTTTTTTCTCGTTCCTTCTTTGTTTTGTCTATTTCTCCTCTCTCAGTTCAGAAATTTCAGAAAAGTACGAAGAATACTGGAAAAAAAAAAGTTTCATGATAGAGAGGCAAGACATGTTGAATTGACGAACGAAGTTGAGACGAGGATATGTATGATCTCAATGTACATATCTATATGGGCCTGTACTTCTCTTTATATATAATGGTGCACGACATGTTATTTATTTCGTTTTGGCAGTAATCATTAGTAGAACTAATTAACTGTTAGGGAAGTTATGAAACTAGTAAAAAACTTACTAGTAATCTAATTCAACCTGTTCTAAAGTTCTCTTTTTAGATATATTTAGATTTTCTTGATGTTGGTGTTGATATTGATATTGATACTGATACTGTCTTTGTTCTTGCTGCTGTTTCATCTGTTGAACCAAGATAGAATATGATTTATACATTTCGTCTTGAGTTAATGACTGAAACTTGTCTTTACTCATTTGTTGCAACTCTGGCCAGATTGTTTCCCATGCAGGCATTTTCCTATAGTTCCGTGTATTTAATGTATCTATTAGTAATCCTTCGAATGATTGTAAATCCTTTGAATGTTTTTGCCAACCAATAAATTCAATCAATTCATCTATATCATCATCTATATCATCATAATCATCATTACTATCCTTACCATTCAAATTCAATTTTTGTCTTTCCTCTAATAATATCTTTTTCAATTGTTCTGAATTGATTTGGCTACTATCAATACCTCTTTCAATCAGAATATCTTCTACCAAGGAGCTTTTGGTTTTTAATATAACCCTTAATTCATTAACCTTGTCATAAAATAAGTCCAACGGGGATGATCCATTTCTTCCGACTAAATTTAAGAACCTTGGATCGTTCTTAATCCGTGGATAAATATCTTTGTTCCAATCATCATTAAATTTAATTTTGATTTTAACAAAACATCTATTCTTTTGACCTTCGTCAATATTCTCACTATTACTATTGGGATGAGAACTATCAATGTAATCCTTACCATCTAACAATGCTTTAAATTGATCTCTTGCAAATCTATCCCTTGTATAATTCATTTCTTCTAAATCAGCCAGTTTCTTGGTTAATTCATCTTCATATTGCTTCAATAAGTTCATGTAAATCAATAGACTATCTTCCATGGTCAACAATTGGAAATTTTTATTTGCTACAAATCTTTTATTATCAACTGATAAATATTTTGATACCAAATGATCCCAAGATAAAGGCTTTGACATTGTATTTGAAATTATGTTTGAATTTGAATTTGAATTTGAATTTGGATATGGATTTGGTTCAGCATCAGCTTGATACATTATAGATTTTAGGTATAACCTCATTTCATCTTTAGCCTGATTTATTGAGTTTGTTGTTTCGATATCTTTCAACTTTCTTAAATTTTTAATGAAATTATAGTAAATTTTTTTCTGTAAGTCATCATTTAATATCACAAAGGAATAATCTGTATCCATGTTCAATATATGTTTTTTAGCATAGGGCCATGGATGCCATATTTTTAACATCCCATCATTATATTTCTGTTTCAACAGGGATTTAAACGAGGATATATGGTCTTCTAGCCTTTGAGACTGTTGATCCCATACATAATCTTTCCAAATAGATTGCTTCCACAAGGGATCGTCCCATTGACTATTAATGTTGTCGTTACTACCGTCACTGAACCAATACCTTTTATCTTTTGAGGACAGTTCATCCATGACACGTTCAAATGACCATTGGATGTCAACACCATGATCTTTTAACATGGACACAAACCGTTCTTTGGCCTGGGATTCAGATAATATTTCATAATTTCCATTAATATCCTGAGATTTGCCAGCCTGATCCGTACCTCTCTCTTCTTGATGTTCCTCTTGCTCCTTAACATTCTTATCATTAAGAGTAATATCTCCACTTTTTTGCAACGTGGCCTGACTAGTAGTTACAGAAGAGGAAGCAGATGGAGCTGGCGGTATCACTGTTTCTCCCTTTGGAAGAGTCCAACTTGTAGCTCTTGTCACTGTATCATAATAATATGTCCGACCTTTTGGATCTTTAGCTGCCTTCCATACCATTTTTTATTTGTCTTTCACCTTACTTCTTTCTGTGGGCCTGTATATATATATATATATATATTATATATATATATATATATATAATAGCACTTTGCATCTGAATAGTAACGACCAGTAACTAATTTTACTATATACAGATCGATTATATGCATCTCTCTTTTGTAAACAACATAACATGACATTAACATTAACATATAACACATGGCATCTGCAACTTCTCCATATCTTCCAACCGGGATTTGCTTCGGCTTAACAGGCGGAACTTTAACGGAAATATTTCCCGCTTTGCAAGGGAGGACGAAACCATTGGAACGATTTGTAGAGCTTAGTAAGCCTGATGACATAAGCCTAGTGTTTATTTCCTTTGCCCCCGCCCCAATCTTTGTAATAGCAATGTTTAAAAGGTTTGATTCAATGTCATATGTATATGAGGAAAGGAATCAAAACAAAATGAATGAATGAATGAGAGCCTGTTATGGTGGTTCAAGTTATATTTTGGTTATAACTGCCATATGTAGTGAATCTTTACTTGGCACACTACTATTTGCTAGTTTTTGGCATCCATGGAGATTCGAACGGGCGCTTTTTAATAATTCCCTTCCACCCCAAAGATGTGAATCATTTCGTACGGCTGTGTCATCTTATTTTTATTTTTATTTTTTTTTTTTTGTTTTTATTTTTTTATCGTTTCTTTTTTGTGATTTAGAAGAAGATTTGAAATTTCGAATGGAGGAAGAGGTGATTCAAAAGTGTACAGACAAAGCCCCACCTTTGTTTGATGTGGAGCTTATGAAATATTACAGCAAAAAAATTTAATAATCTCAAGTCTTATCACTCATCTTTCTAACCAGCTTTGAACCCTCAGATTTATCGCACTTTCTTTTTGTTTATTTTCGATTTTAATTGTATAGAAGTGTTTTTACTAATATCGACCAAGGACTTTCATTTAAGTAGGAACATGGAAGTGCACAATAATAATAATAATAATAATAATAATAATAGTGATAATAGTGATAATAATAATAAGAACAGCAGTCATAACAACCGTCAAAACCATAACATCAATGATAGTAACAACCAAGACAATAGGACAATTATTGCTAGCACTACAACCACTGACACAGTTACTACCAATAAAAATAATGATTACAACAAGAATATGAATAACATAAGACAAGATTCATTCGTGCAAAATGTTAACAGTAATCATAACACAGCAAATGATACATATAACCAATTCTTGCAAAATTTAACACAACAACAGCAGCAGCAGCAGCAGCAGCAACTCCAAAAAGATCTAAACCAACCTTCTATAAATAACATTAAAAATATAGATATTCTATTGCAACAATATGGCAACGACTTTAATAATACTAGTAATAACAATATCAGTAATATGAATTCCGGACATTCTATACCAAATGGCCTGGTAAATCCAATATGCATCACTTGCTTGCAAAATAATTGGAAGTGCAAATGGATACCTGATTTAGGTAAGTGTGCGCAATGTGAAGGTATACAATGGAAATGTGAACTTATTAATCCGAATTTTTTACAAATGGCTAATGCAGTCACTGACTTGGTGAACAATAACATTTTATCCAATCAGAATATTTTGAAAAGAGATTATTCGGTTCAAAATGAAAATGTGAAAAGACACAAAAGTAATAATTTATCTAACAATAATATTAATAATATCAATAATATCAATAATAATCATAGCAATAATCATACTAATAATAATAATAATCCCTCTTCTTCTACTCCAAATAATCATACTGTTTACTCCAATTTTATAACAAATTTATACAATTCCATGTCACCAACTTTCAATAACACTAATAATAACATTCCAAATAACTTAAAATATATATATGATAATAACAATAATATCACTAATACAATCAATATGACTAACTTTCCAACTGTAAATATAAATACATCACCTGCCCAAACACAATATCCACGTTCATCCTTTTATGTGGGGCCAACTTCAGTCTACGATATCAATATTATTAACAGCATTACATCACATAATAATAGCAGTAATAGGAACAACAACACTCATGCCCCTCATTTGCCGATTGTCACAGATCAAATTCAAATATCGAATTCATCTTCAATAAGAAAGGTGTCTCCAATTACACAATTTTTACTTAGAGATGATTCCAATCAATCACTATATTTAAGGCAAGAACAAGAAGTTGATATGGTAGAAGCATTAATTTATCCACACGGAAAGATACTCATCGATATCTTCTTTAAATTAATACATCCATATTTCCCAATCTTACATGAAAGAGTCTTCTTAGAAAAATATTCAAGATCTTATAGAGAACTAACTGCACCTTTATTGGCATCAATATATTCATTAGCCTTACAATGGTGGGATTTCCATCCTAAACTGATTGGTTTTAAAAAGCCAGATCTCAATGTAGTGAACAAATTAAATGATTTGGCATTCACGACTTTCTTTAGTAGAATTGATTATCCAAAACTATCAATGATTCAAACTGGTCTATTAATATTACAATGTAGAACCAACCAGCCAAATAATTGGGTAATTTGTTCAACTTTAGTAGCATTAGCAGAAGAATTAGGGTTGGGTGTAGACTGTGACGATTGGAAATTACCTAGATGGGAAAAAGATTTGAGAAAACGATTGGCATGGGCTGTTTGGTTACAAGATAAATGGATCGCCTTAATTGAGGGAAGGCATTCGCATTTGATTTTAGGTAGAAATTGGTTGGTTAAATTACTGAAAGGAGATGATTTTCCACAAAGTTCACATACAATTGATATGCAGCGTAACTATAACAATCCTAACAATCTTAATTCAAATAACTTCTCAGGAAATAATATTAAAAATGTCAATGATAACGAAAATAATAACAATATGATGACAAATAATGAAGATCTATTAGGAAAAAATGATCTGGACAGTGCAAATCCTGCATTTTCCTCAGTCATAATGATGGATTCTTTAGCTTTAATGGATGTAAATATTACCAAAGAAGATTTTGACAATGGAAATCTAATGTTCCAACAAATGATATCGTTAAGTATTATTATTGGCGAAATTATGGACACATTTTATACCCAAGGAGCAATTCATGTTAATACGTCTATTGAACAAGTATTAAAAATGGCTAAGCCTTTACAGTTAAAATTAAGAGAATGGTATCATTCTTTACCATCACAATTATCTATGGCAAGATTTGTACCTAGAAAATTTAATTCTAATGCATCATTAACATTATCATATTTTACTGCAGAAATAACATTACATCGTAAAATCATTTCCTCATTATTTCAAAATTCAAAAGATATTCCAAAAGAATTGACGCATGTTTGTAGAACGGCAGCCAAAACTAGATTGATTGCTGCTATTGAATTCGTCAGAGATTTAAAAAATGAACATATCAATTCATTTTGGTATTCTAATTCTACAGGGAATTTTATGTTAATTGGTACATTTGCAGCTCTATTATATGTTACGTCACAAACTAAAGAAGAAGCAACCATGTATAGAGATTTGCTGAGAAATTACATATGGATATTAAGGGTCGGGTCTAAATCTTTTGATAAATTGAAAATTGTACTTGACAACATACATCAATTACTAACACAGGTACCTGGTCTGTTGACAGATGTAACACCTCTGATAAGTGATTTCATTCCACCACCTTTAACATCATCATCTAATGCAGTTAGACCTGGAAGTATGCCTAATACCACTCAGCAACAAATGTACAACCAATATTCAAATGGATCCAATCCATCACATCAAGGCTCTTCTTCATCACCAACAATAGCGGATCAAGGTTCACGTCCTCCATCAGTTTTACAAAATAATATTTCCAATAAGATTAATAATAGTAATAATAATAGTAATAGTAACAACAACAATAATAATAATAATAGTAATAATAATAAAACGAACCACTTGACAAGCAATTTGAAAAATGTAGCGGAACAGATATCACCTGAAGATTTCTTATACCCAGTTATGGCGCAAAGCCCATCTAATAAAACTAATGTAGTCTTAACACCAAGGCCACTTGGTAAAACACCTATCTTTTCGATACCAAGTCATATGAATGACAGTTCTCCTAATAATGACAATTATAACAGCAATAATACCTCAACTCCAAACAACTCCAAATCTCAACAACAGCAAGCTCAATATTCCCCTAGTTTACAAAGTCAGATATCTGAAACCTACAGTGTTGGTCAAGTTGCTAACCCAAGTGAAACTCCAAAGACAGAACCTAATACAAATATTATGGATATGGCTACAATGAAAGATAATCATATTACTGATGATGTTAATAGTATAACCACTACAACTAATGTGACTAATATTAATAATTCCACTTCTATTGTAGACACCAACATAAATAAAAAATAATTTAAAAACTTTATAGAATATGAAATTATATGTGCGTGTATATATATATACAGATATTACAAATATGTTTGTGGTATTGAATTTATCTTTACTTCTTAGAAATACTTTTTTTTCACAAATATTTCGCCATTTGAGTATCCTTAGCAGCTTCCACTAATTCTCCTGGTTTTTGAACAATGATATGTGTACTCGTTGGAGTGAAATACTTTAGTTCTTCTTCTTCTTGTTTTGAGGCTTGAAATAAAATATTTGTATCTCTAATAATATCATCAGAAGAAATTGTATCATTATCATGAGTATCATTTGATGTAATACAAGTAATGGTAGGATTAATTGAGTAATGTATTTCAGGTGGAGAAATAGATGTATCTGCCAAAATATCTTGCCATATATCCTCCAAAGATTCTCTGCTAACATCTTTATCAATGAGGGAATTTGAATTTTCTGTTACTGTACCATCAATAAAAGGGGACTCTTTTTTCTTGTAATTCTGAAGAGGTGATGGATACCTTTTAACACTTCTTCTTTCTAACGCTTGATTTACTAATCTTAACTCATCATCTATATCTACTATTTCTCCATTGTTCATTCTGTTTATTATACTTTTTAAAATATCTATCTTCAAATTATATTTTTCTTCCATTTCTTCGTATCGCTGTTTCTTATCTATTACATGCATTAGCATAGAACTAAATATCACAACCCATATACCCAGCTTAATTAAAGAGCCATCTCTTGATATTTGTTGTGAAGCTTGGGAACCTACTACATCTTTCAATTTCTTTACCACGTTTAATTCTAGTGGGGGTGTGACATTATTTGTACGTAAAAGTAATCTGTTTACATGCAAAGAACGAGTGGTTAATAGTATTCTAACTTGGGACAAAAAGACCATTTTACCCTCTTATTTTTTTATTTAAAATATGTACACTTAACTGATATTCTGACACTATTATCAGGTATTAGTTAACTATTCCTTAAACAAAATGTTGCCAGTAGTCCATTTATAGCAAAACTGCTTATGTATAATCTGATTGGGATCTTCTAGCATATATTGTATCATTTTACTCTGTATATTTAGATTATGAGCCCTCCTTCTACTTTTTCAAAGTTATTTATTCTATATATTAGGGTTCTTGCAAAAAAAAGTCTAATTATCCAAACTTTTTTCCCATTTTCTTCATAACCCTATCTTTTTGTTTACTTTAGTAAAATTTTTATCAAACGAAATATCTAACAAGCTCATCGCAAAAAAAAAAAAAACTAATGTAAAAACTTTTCAGTTGTAGAACAATTGCTAATTCATTGAATGAATGATTAAATGTAATAATATTAATAGAGGTTTAGGAAAACTATGATTTAATTTTGCGTGATTAATAGAACTTAGACTACTACTTTTTATAAAGATTGAAATAAAATACACACACATATATATTTATTTATAAACACGGCATCCCTGTCTAAGAAAGGATAAAGAAAAAAGTTTTTTCTAAATGGATCACAATACCAAGAATCGTGGGCGTAAATCTGACAACAAATATTCTCAAAATACGCTTGATGCAGGTATTTACTCCAAATTAGATGCAATAGTTAAAGATTTACAGAATAATTCCAAAGATAATACAAAGGATTATAATCAACTAATCCAATTCTGCGAGAAAGGTTACTTAAATCAACTGGTTCAAAATTGGTCATATTATGCGCAAGTTAATAACCATTCGATGTTTGTAAAAAGTACAATATTGCTAAGTAAAATTCTCAACTTAATCAACCAAAATGCATCAATTGTGGACCATGGTGATCAAATTATTAAATTATTATTAACTGATTATTTGAAAGTTATATATCGGGGATTAAACAATTTAAGAGTCACAATTACCAACCCAATATTGTTCTTATTGAAAGATATAATCAATTTTAATAACTCAAAACATGTAGAGGATTTTTTATCATTTTTTGACTTTTCTTTATCAAGTTTGATCAAGATTCTTACTCCTACAAAATATGAATTAGAAAACACAAACTTTGAAAATTACATCAATTATAACAACAATAATTCCTCTAAAAGTAACAAGACTGTGAGAGCGGCATTTATAGAATTTTGGATTGATTTAATAGATAAAACACCACCTCTGCTTAGAAAGGATCTACTTGTTGATAATGCAAAAATCATGGGTGCATGGTTCAAATATATGGATAAATGTGATTCAAGTAATCTTATGATCAATACAATGAATACTTTCATCAATGATATATTGAATGAAAAAAGCTTTAAAAGAATGACAAAAACCAAAATTTTGAACGAATTTGCATTATCTAAGTTACACCAAATGTACTATTCTACAAATAAAGATTTAGTTAATAAAACTAACGATTTTTTCCTTGCATACGGTTACAGAAATGAGTCTTCAGTCTCATTTCCGGATAATTGTGTTTGGTTCGATGAATCACCTAACACTAATATCATCTACTCTACTGCTATATCTACATCTGCCACAACTAATATGAGGGCGCCGGTGTTAATTAACCAACGTGAATTTAAACTATACAATAAAATGTTATTTAATATCTTGAAGTTGTTTAAACCATGGGAAGACGATTTACAGTCTGTCACTTTAATAAAAATTTTAAAAGCTAACCCAGGTTTAGTAGCACCATACTGTGCATATTTAAGTACTTTGGGGTCACATGACCCTAGAATGACATCTTACTGGTTTGGTATGACGTTACTTTTAGATAGAATTATAAATCTTCCAATTCCTGAATTCATGGAAAATGTAGAGACTGATATGATTCCATCTATTTCACTAGTTATGGAAAATATTATACCGTCATCGCTGACGAGGAATTCATTGACTAAGATGTTACAAAATGATATACTTGTGGTAAAACAGTTGGGTTGTCAACTATTAATCTTTGCATTCCAAAAATTAATCAAAATTTTAGCATTATATGATAGAAAAGGTTGGAATTCCTCCAAATCATCCATAAATACATCATTCTTTAATAATATTCCAGATTTGAATATTATTGTCAATGCATTGAATCAGGTTTATATTAATCACAAAGATAATAAGATGATTTTATTATCATTAACAGTAATTCTTAAGTACTACAGTCAATGTTTTCCAAATTTCTTTTCTGTGACATTACCTTCCAAAAATATTTATCAAGATATTATGAGCAAAAAATCATTTAATGGTGTTGAATTAACAATATTGGATAATTTTTTACAATTTCAAGAATTTAATAGTACTCAAACAAAATGGTGGAATAGTACTGATGGTGAATCCTCCTTATTTGTTTCTTTATTGAAACTAGCTTCTTCACCAAATACCAAATCTCTCACTAGCATGAAAGTAACAAATCTTTTACGAAATTTGTTGGATGGTTCTGTAATCTTCAGAGAGGATTTATTAGTTTCATTGATAGAAGCTTTAGTTTCTAGTTTAAAGGTTGTCTCTAAGACACAAATAAATTTGAAGAGTGATAATGATAAAAGCAACTTGGATAGTATATGGAAACTAATTGACCAGTCTATTTTACGGGCAATAAAGACTCCATATAAGTATGTTACAATGTCTCAACCATATGAAAATATTTCTCCTTGCTTAATGGTATTAGCAGAACAATGGAAATATATTAATCAAGAACAAATAACAGAAGAACAATCTAATCTAACCATTAAATGGATTTTGATCTTCTATAGAATTATGGTAATTATTGGTGAAGATCAAGATGGTGTTACAAGACTCATGAAGGATTATTTTCCTGGCATATCCAATAGGTTGATAAATTCTTATCTAAATTTCTCTGATTGTAATGTTGAATATTTTAACAAACCAGAATATCTACTGAAAGATTGTATTGATTCTTCATTTTTTCATTATGTTAGTCTGCTAGAGTATAAAAAACTCAAGATTATGTCAAGAGTACCTGTATGTGAACTAGATATTACAGCGCTTTTATTCAAAATTAAGTTAGTTTCCATTGATCAAAATATTAAATATGATTCCTATTTTAAGGATACAATAATGTTTATGTTTGAACAACTTGCGGACTATCTAGTAGCTAATAACTCCAATAAAATCTCTAATAATATTAAAGTCTACTCATCATATTTTGATTTTATTCTAGAACATGTCAACGAGGAAAATTCAATGTTATTAGAAAAACATATTTTTGTTGCTCAACAAATTCTATTAATTATTAACAATTTAGCTAATAAAGAGAATGACATTTTGAGAAAGTATTTATTCAAGTGGGTATCCAAGATAATTACTCTTGGCTCTTCTATGGATAACAAGGAAATCACTGCTTTAATCACGTTAGCAGTTACATTTTTGGATTCTGAATTAGCTTTAAGTTTAGTACAAAGTAATTTTACCTTTACTATAAACACAGTAGTAGTGTTGCTTTCCATTATTGCAAATGATACAAGCAAACATATTAACTTCAATATTATTAAAAAATATCTAAGATTTCAGAATGACCTTGTCGGTCCTCTTGTTCATTTGATTGAAAATAAACAAGTTAATGACATCAATGTCAAAGAATTGATTCCGGTTTGTTTATTAAATTCTAATTCTGCTACAATACTAAAGTCATTATTGTCCTCTAACTTGTTGCAAGGAAAAGATATGATACCATACATAAATGAGGTCGATGATATTAGTGTATGTGTTTCTATTGTAGAACTATTTGATTTGTCTAATAATGTAAATGATGAGATGTTGACATATATTAAACGAATTGTGGGGAACTGTTACAATAAGTTAAAAGAATTGGATGATAGTATTTTTGAAAATGTAATTAACTTATTTATAAAACATAGCGATTTGTTAAGTCAAATAGAAACTGATAATATACTGTTATATATTAGTACTGAATATGTTCATAAATATAATGGTACGGTTATCAATTTTATTAGGAAAGTGGCAAATTTTGATGAAGATTTTATTATCAAATGGATGAATAAAATGACAGTGTATATTACGAAATATTTTTCAGATAGAGATACTCTGACAAGCAAGTTTGAAAGAATATTAAAGGAATATACATGTTTAATAAATAAGGTCAATATTTGGGAAAAAGTCAATCATAATATCATTAATTCGCAGTTAGAAGTTATATTTAGTAAAAAATGGGTCAAGGATAATATTATTTTAAGATATGGATTAACACTTATATTTGGTGCTAATAAAAGAAGTATTGAATGTGAAAAAATTGTCAATATTATTGTTAACAATGAGGAATCATCACTTGTGAAAGGTCCTGTTGAAAGTGAAAATAAATTTTTAACTGTACTTTCACTATATGCTTTATTCAACTTCGAATCAGAGAAATGTTCAAATATTCCTATTCAAAAGAAATTATTAACCTTTTATTCCGGCTCGATGAGTGCGTCAGACAAACTTATTTTAAAGATATTAGAAATGATTGAAACAAAAATCTCTACTTCTTGGACTAATCTGATTTATACTTGGGATTTATTAGAAAACAGTGATATTGATATAGATTTGATTGGAGAAACCAAGCTGATAACAGAGGAAAAGGAGGGTTTGATTTTGACTTTAAGAAAAGATTTAGTTGAATATTCTCTTCAAAATTATATTTTGACGTATCCTTCTATTCCAACTTTATCAAGTGATTTATATGAGGATATATCTAGAAGCATTAGAACTTTTGACTTATATTTTAATGAATTTAAAACAATAAACAATTTTAAAGATGAAAAAATTGTGTATGACCCATTCTTTTTATTGTTATTATCTATTCAAAATGATGAATTAGTGAAATGCCAAAAGGATGAAAACGGTGCAATTAGTTATAAGTTTGTGATTAAAAATTTTATCACATCTAAATTATTAAATTTAGTAATATATGCACTGTCAGATCCATGCAATAGAATTAATGATATTGCATTATCACTATTAACACAAATGGTTTACTCTTTAGAAGATTCTCATCAATTTAAAGGAGAAAATATATATAAAATATTATTGAAAAAGATAGTCTTCACAGTACAAAAAAACAGACAATCTGAACAGGAACAGCAAAATCAACAACAACATGGTGGTATTCCGCCAATACTGTGGTTCTTTGTATCTAATTTATGTGATATTTTGAATCAACCTTTATCATCTTTATATGAAAAGACGTTCCGTTGGATCTTAAATGGATCATTTATACGTAGCAATGACTTACCTATGGTTCATGAATTAATGTCACCAAATTATAGTGACTCTATAAATGATATCTATTACAGCCAGTTATCGTGGGTTTTACATAATTTGGAGTTTGGTATTAGAACCCAAGCTGATTTTGAATTTTTAAAGAGAAAGGGCATTATTGAATGGCTATATACTATGTTGAACAATCCATATTTAAATAATAGATTAATATCAATGATCAAATCTATTTTTTACAAGATCCAAAGAATTGATACTGGTGCATCTGTTTTGATAACTAGGTATGCTGCCTTGTCTGATTTAGATATGTCTACTGTCTTCTTGGAACAATTAGATAATCAAATGAATGAAAAATTGAGAAAGAATAACAAAAACAGTAAAAATATTAGGAAGAAATTGTTAGTAGATGAACAACTTTTAAATAACAAGGAATTAATGATGGGTTACTCCATAATCATTTCTAATAATAAGAGATTAAGAGATTGGACAGAAAATGAAGTTGAAAATATAAAGAAGAGAATTTGTGACAGTAGTGTAAAATTACCGCAAGTCTTAGAATAAGTTATAAAACAATTTTCATGGCGGATACTATTAAGAAGATCTCTTTCTTAAATTACCAGTAAATAGTGGCAATATAAACAACTTTTATGTATCTTGTATATTATTAATATATATTTGTATTTTATATAGATTTCCAATTTTTCACAATTATATACTGACACTGTATATTCTTTTTTTTTTTATTATCATATGTTATATGCTTTTTAACTTTAGTAAATTATATGATTTTGAAGATATAACTTGTGATGTAACTTGGTGTGAACATATGATGAGAAAAAGTACTCTATAAAAGTATTAACTATTTGTTCAGAGAGCATATAAATATTATCAGTCTAGGCATAGACAATACCAGTAAAGTGATGTTGTTGGATGAGTTGCCTATCTTCGAACAAATTAAGAAACATATTTTAATTGATGCTACAGATAAGAATCAATTAAAATCAGGTATTAATAGTTCTAGCAGAGATGGTATGAGCAAGAAAAAGAAGAATAAAGTTAGGTTTTCAATAAACAATAATATTAACTCTGTGGCACAACCCCCATTATCTGCATACACTCCAATGGAAACAAGACCTTTTTTGATAAATCGTAGTGGTTATAGCAACAATAAAGGATATAGAATAAGAAAATCTTATGATGAAAGTAACATATTAATTGAACGAAGAATATATCAGATGAAGAGTATCAGAAAGTTGGGGATGAATTTATTCAAACCCATTGGTTTCCAATACCGTAAGACAGATTTTACAAAACATTTTGTATCGAATAAAGTTAATGATAGTGACATTTCTGATCCAATAAGAGATAATAACCATAGTAGTAGTTTTCAGTTTCTTGAAAATACAGGATTGGGAATCAATATGAATATTGAGAATGTGGATAATTCATTAATTGTGCCTAGACAAGAATTATTTAATGACCAAACATTTAATGGAGGGAATGACGTTGAGACTAGTATGAGTGATTATAGTAGTACAACTACTAGCAGTCGTGGTTCAATAAGTGACGATAATATACATGGAAATGAAGAACAAGGTGAATTGTATAATAGAGACACACAACATTATATTACAAACAGTAGTGGTATACGATCAGGGTCATTTAGGTTTGACGGGTCATTAACATATTCTTATGACAGACTATCCATACCTAGATTCGAAAGTTCTGAAAATTGCGAAGATGGATCAGATATAAGTAATGGATCTATATCAGATAAATCTATGGACGATTACTTGAATGAAATAGAAGATGAAGATTGGTAATAAAACATTCAATAATTTGTTTTTATATGTATATCTACCGGTTGCTAGCTTATGTGTTTAAATAATACAATGAAATGTATAGATATATATACATATGCATGTTGGAGTTACATGCTATTAATAATGAAAGGCTAAGATAGTATACTACTAGCAAGTAATATTAAACTAAACTTGAACCTGTTATGAAGATTGAAAATCAACTACATTAGGTAAATAGATAGATTTTACTGGAAATTGATCTACTTTATTTGTTAAAAGGTGAATTGCAGGAATAACCCATTTCCCACAAGAGCATCTTGAACCTTTCCAATTGTAACCACCAATTTTTGTCTTACAGCCAGGACAAAAGAACTTACCTTCCAATTCTTGTTTACCTTGCAATTCCTCTTTCATCCAGTTCAATGGTTCGACAAAGAAGTGTGAACATTGATCTTGTGATTCTTGAATATTAATAATTCTCCTTCCATATGTAGCTCTTCTAATAAAATGACCCTCCGACGATTCTTTGCTTGGTGGTTCATGATTAATAAAACTTGTTGATAACGCCAATTTTTGTCTACATTTTTTACACCTTACTACAGAAATTTTATCTAATTCTTCATCAGACATCGTTGATAATTTCTTAGTTTCAATGTCAATATCATTACTATATGTTGAATTTTTATGCAAAATGTCTGATCCGGTTGGATCATCAATTACGGATTTAGTCAATTTCCATTGTTTATATTCCTTATTCTCAGGATCTACATATTGTCCACCCATTTTTTCAAAAAGCTCTAACTGTTCTATAAAATTATCATTTGGTTGTGCTTGTGGTCTTTTTCTTTTTAAAGCATGTAAAGCTACTTTTAAAGTTAAACCATAACGATACATTAGATAAGCAATGACAAATGTTGGAGATCTTGAAACACCTGCTTGACAGTGGATGAAAATGGCACCCTTCTGTGGAATTTTTTTAAAATCCACTTTTCTTGGATCATATTCTTCCATTTCAGGAAACAAACAATTATCGATGAATCTGTTTGTTTCATTGAAATATTGTAATACATCTTCCTTCTCTGTATCATCAATAGGAATATTTTTCAAAGTATATGACTTTCTAACTAAGTATTCTGGAATGACATTAAACTTTATTATCGATAAAATACTAGAAATATTAAATTGTGCTTTTAAAGGCACATGGTCAATAATTGGTTGTAAACTACCAACATAAATCCCACCTAAAATTCTTGTAAGGTCAGGTTCATCGAAACTCATATCTATTGTATGTTTATATATCCTAGTAATATTATCGTACTTTTTTTTGAATATATAGCAGCATAATGCTCCCAATATATAATTAAACTGTAATCCTTAACATTATATGCTCTTGAAATGGTGTAACAGATTTGTATTTATGTTGGCAAAAAAAGGTTTTTAGTGAATTTAGTTAATCTCATCGCATCTTAATATATTGCGTCTCTAAGCAAAAAAATTTCATGAATAAATGTAATTTAATTTTCTCTTTGAATTTGTTAATTTGTTTTCTTGAGCCCTAAAATAATTTATATTTAAAAATTGGAAAAATGTAGTTTTTTTGTTTAGACCTATTTTAAAAAAAAGAACTCTGCTGCACTCCGGTTTTATTTCCGTTTTCTTTTGTTTTCTATTGTTTTCTATTGTTTTCTAATAACTCAACAATTCATTTTTGTTGAGATTGATGTTACTAACACACTGGCCAAAACAGTTTACAACCAACTTTATCAAACTCATCTCATTGTAACGTCTTAGCTGAATACGAGATTAAAAACAGATTGCATATTGACCACATTTTCTCCTTTTATATTTATATATTCTAGCTTCTGAGATATGGTGTTGGATGTTTCCTTGCTGTTACTGTTTTCTTTTCCGAGCCTCTTCGTCTGTTCACTTGTATTATGACCCGATTTTGTTTCAAATCCGTTTTGACATTCATATTAAAAGATTTGATAATATTAATTTAGTGTAATAGCACCATACGAATGTTAATAAAACGTTAAATATATAGAAAACATATAGATTATTAAGGTTACTTATAGTCTATTTACAGTTTGACTTTTATATTCTTTATTATTTTTTTCTAAAAAATATGGCAGATTTAAAAGATTCTGCAGCTTCAAACAATAATATTAGTAATATAATAATAAATATGGACATGAATTCGATAGATGATAGTCCTGTAATTGTTCAAAGATCCCATAATAGTAATGAGAATATTGTGGACAAGAGACAATCTAACACAATTGAAAATTCCGAATCACAGCAAAATGATGTGATTAAGTATGAAAGCAACGATATTCTTCAATTAGAAAATGTCATATTTAACCAATACATTTTAGATCCAACAAGCATAAACACTTCTCCAACTAGCAAACTTGATACAGTAATCCCACAATTAGATGGTGCCATAACAACTCCTTCTTGTTTAACCTATTTCGAGGTACAGAATCAAAGCAATTCAATAAACGGTGGTCATAGCAATAATTATAGGCCCGTCGATGATAAAATCTTCCATAACTATCTTTATGCAGATAATGTTGATATATCACCATCCAATAATAACAACACTAATTCTATTCATCAATTTATTCCACCAATGGTAACTACTACTGTACCCTCCAATAATGCACATTATTCAATTGATGAGAATGTAATAAGGATAGATAAATCTACCTCCTCAGTACCCTTACCAACAAAAAATAATAGTACAAATATAAACGTGAATAAACAAATATCGAATGAAACAAATCCATCAGATTACAAATCTGTACCAAATCTAATGGAACAAAAATTTAAGACTTTAATAGAAGAGACTTTGACATTCGGACGTACTAAAGAAATTACATCTAGATTTATTGATCCAATTAATTATTTGAATTTAGACGAATCGACTTTATCATATAAATTAACTTTACAAGGTTTACCACAAGTTACACGTGTAGAAAATCAACTGAAATTATCCTTGATTCTAAGTCCCTTAATAAGTGATAAATATTTAATTTATTTGCCAATTGACTCAATAACACGTGAAAGGTTCTATCTATCAAATGATATCATTACATATCCTAAAAGCTTACAAGAACAATTGCTCTACTTGGATGCTTTTGTTTTAGACAAAATGACAAATAAAAACATTGAAGTATGTATGAAATGTGTAAATAGAGAACAAAGAAGAGCATCCCGTAGAAAATCGAAGATTAGTGATAACCTTTTATGGTGTAATAATAAGAATAGAAGAGCCATCATTTTCAATAACAAACAAATTTCATTAATTGAACAAATAGATTCTAATCACAAGAAGATTGAATTGACAACTAGAATTGTTTGTTATTGTAGACATCATAAATCAGAAGAAGGTTTTAAATTATTATTTGTTATTAAAGATTTTATGGGTAACGTCCTAGCTAGGACTATATCAGATCCAATTATTATTACTGATAGGAAACAACAAATATTAGAATTGGCCCAAAAAAGTGCAAATAATAAGACAAATGCTTCAAATCCTCCTATGGCAAATGACATACCAACATTATCTAACTCTGTTTCCTATAACCCTCATTCAGATATACCAAGCAATATAAATTCTACTATAAATCCGTCATCAACTTTCAATGAAAGTTCTACTTCAAACTCAACAACTCCAGGGCACTATTATGACAATATAGATCATCCTTTCCAAGTGGTTAACCAATTTGGCAATTCAGATCATAATTTAAGTACCCCACAACAAAAACAAAACTTTCCTAACATTTATCTATCTCAGCAAAATTTTACATATTCACCACAAACTCAGCTCAATAGGAATTATAATGTAGTTCATGATCCTTCAGGCAAAAAAATAATACCATCACCAACCTCAATGAGTGAGGACGGCTCTGAGACAATTGCAACGGAGTTGTTGTACAATAAAAATAACAATCCAAGTGTCAACTCTTTGACATCGTCAAATGACATACATGGTAATTCAAGGAAAAGATCCAGAGTAAGTATGTCAGGTGTTACTAACCCAAGCAATTTAAGAAGACAATATTCTGCTAATGTGCAAAACAATTTACACAATATGAGTGACATCAATCTTCGGCAACAGCAACATCAGCAACAATTGCAACAATTTAATTTACAAATGTCCAATAAACCATCCATTCAGCGTATTATTCCATCCAAAGGACCCATCAGTGGTGGTATAGAAGTTACTTTACTTGGAGCTAGATTTAAACAAGGCTTAATAGTAAAATTTGGTAACAACATTGCACTGTCCACTCAATGTTGGAGTGAAACAACTATTTTGACATATTTACCTCCTGCCACGAGTGCAGGTCAGGTGTATGTTACATTACATGATCCAAATAATCCAGACAATGGAGAAGGTAGCATCAATAATAATTTCCCTGATGGTATGAGTATGAATTCTATCACTCATCCTTCCCAAAAAGCTATTTTCACTTATAGAGATGAATCTGATAGACAATTGATTGAATTAGCATTGCAAATTGTTGGGTTAAAAATGAATGGGAAGTTGGAAGATGCCAAAAACATTGCAAAAAAAATTCTAGATGATGATAATAGAAATTTATCTGCAAATCAAGATCAGTCAGTAAATGAAACTAATACTAATAGTTATTGTACATTAAATGATTCTTCGATGGTTGAAAACGATGAACAATTGATAATTAAAGTTATTCAGTCATTAAATAATACAACTTCTAATTTATCAATGTGCAATAGTGAAGGACGTACACTATTACATTTGGCAGCTTTAAAGGGCTATCTGAAACTTTCTACTGTTCTGATAAAAGCTGGTGTTCATGTTGATGATAGAGATAAATTTGGTTTTACTCCATTACATTTTGCTGCAATTGGTGGTAATTATAAAGTTATTAGGTTATTATTAACATGCCAGTCTAATCCATTGGCATTATCAAATAATGGAATGACGGTTAGAAGACTGTATGAAGATAATCATATATCAGATCCTGAGTATGAGAATGTCATTGATATATTAGAATATTACATGGATTCTGATATTCCATTAATATCAAGAAGAATATCGCAAACCAGTTTTGACTCTAATATTTCCGCCAGTCATTCTGAATTAAGCCTAAATGTGGAAGGAGAGCATGTATTACCGGATAATTTTAATAGCTTTCATGTCATTTCAGATTTGGATCAAAGTTATGAGGAGTATGAAGAAGAATTCAGTTTTAGTGATGAATCAGAAATAACCTATTCAAGTAGTGATAATGATGAAAATATCTCTGCTTCATTTGACATCTCAGAGGAATCTTCTGCAAGTGACACTGAGTCTTTGGATTATGCAAGTTCTATGGAATTTGACGTTGAAGTACCAACAGGCAATTCTAACGAAATATCTAATAATGAGAATGATAATACAAGTATTATGAATGGATCGATGTCTGCATGGAACAGATTGTTGACTAGAATAAATGAAGATTTACCCAAATATGAAGATTTATATCCAAGGAATTGGATGAATTCAAAGCCCAAAGATACTACACAGGAAATTATAAAAGATTCTTCCATTGTTGCAAGGAACAGAAGAACTTCTGAAACTATATCAATTACTTCTCAAATGACATCAGAAGATGATGAAGATGATGCTATTCAAAAGATATTTAACCAGTTCTTCCAGACGAATAGATTAGCTATGCATAAGGATAAAATGTTATTCTTTTTTTGGTTACCTGTTATGGTATTATTATTGGTTTGGGTTTTCTGGTTACAATTTAATAAAGATAGCAATAATGTGGTTAGTAAAATCAATGGATTGGTTCAGCATTATGTGGCGATGGGGTTAGCAAAGATTGTGCTTGGCAATCAAAGAATGAAAACTGTGTTCAGAAACAGTTTTAATAATTTACAATCTTCAGGAATACTGAATGATTTAATAGTGGGATAGAAACATATATATGTGTGTGCGTCTATGTGAGTGTATGTATGTACAAATATTTTGTAGTTATTTAGTTAACATAGAATATGCAATAATTTATTTTAATTTGAGCAAGAAGCCTGCATTTTAATAATGATAGTGCGACACAGGCTAGAGCTGAAGGTAATAATAACAACAATAATAATAATTTATTTTTTTTCCTTCATTCACCTTTGTATATGTAAGGTATAGATTTATATACGGATATGTATATATGAAACTTATTATTTGCTTATAATTTTGAAGATCTTGAAACACGTGCACAATGTCTTTCAAATAATCTTTCAGCTTTAACCCAAACAGGTGCAATATGTCTATTAGGCAATTGTTCCAAGGAAGGTAACAAATCACGAGCAAAAAACTCAGATGCTTCTCTTGGTAATAAAGATGGTAAGTGATCAATAGAGATGACTGACAATTTTGGCCCGATAGTAGTAGGTACACGCACAGTTGGTTTGTTGAATACGGTGGCGATGTCATATATTGGGATTGGGTTATGTGGGTTAGTAGTATCAGCAGAGACGTCAACCACTGTTCTTAAACGTCTATCACTTCTGTTCAACAGATCAAAGTTAATGAAAGGTGGAATAGGTTTAGATAGATATATACAATTAATGAAGATATCAGCTTGAGCGATTTCTTTGAAGGGACCTCCACGGGCCGTTTCTTTGATATCCCATTTCAAGATATTTTTATCTGGGATTCCTGCTTTATGCAATAGATCGATAGCACCAGAACCACATCTTCCCTTAGCACCAATTATAAGGACAGTTGGAGGCTTGGCACCAACTTTATAGGCTTTCTGTAGATCTACTTTAACGTCTTTAATTAAGGCTTTTTCATTTGGATATGGTGTGACACCGCCCAAGTCTTCATTATCACTATGGGTTTGCTTAAAGGCCCAATCACGTAACCCAAGAGCAGCCCCAGCGAAACCTGCATAGAAACCAAAGGCAGCGACTCTTCTACCTTGGTCATTTTCTAAAAACTCTAAGTCGTAAAGGGTCCCATTTCCATTGATGAATCTTCTTAAGACGTCCTGCCAACCGGCTTGGTCTTTGTAACAGTGGGCAAATTGGATATGTTCATGTACTAGTGGAAATTTATCTTCTTCAGGCATTTCTTTCAAACCAATGATGATTCTATCACGAGGAGCAGATATCCAAGAACCGAATGGAACGATGGTGGCACCTGCCTGTCTATATTCATCTATATCAAAGATAGACTGTGGGGACTCTTCGACATATATCTTGAAACCTTTGGCGATTAATGCCTTAACTATAGTTGGAGTTAAAGCGGCACGAGCTTCTAGTGGTTTAGTTTCACCTCTTAGATGTAGAGTAACAGTCATGATGTACCGTATATGGGGGTGTATATATATATATTTGAATTTCTGTTTTTTATGTATCTAATAGATATATGGGGAGGGAGAGGTATACTTCTGTTACGATGATTATCCAACGAAGGGGGATGAAGAAACAGCCAAGAAAAAAGGAAGACTATGTTTTCAAGACAAGTAAGAAAAGCGATAACAAAAGATAATATATATATATATATATATATGTGTGTGTGTGTGTGTGTGTTTTACAAAAAAGACAGGTTTCCATAATAATAATAATAATAATAATAATAATAATAATAGGAACTCATCTCACCAAACGGTGACTAATCCAATGATAGAGAACTATATTCAAAGAAAAGAGAAAAAAAGAGTAAGGAATGAAGAAGAATATAACAGTCTATATGACATTAGTATAGCGTCATATATTGTACTATACAGGGTAAGGCATTTTATGGTAAGAACGACAGGTATTGCTTTAATAGAGAGTTTATTATACCAGGTGTAGAAAACTTTTGTGATACTTCTTCTCGACCTCACAGGAGAAAATCCGCTGGGTTTTTGGGTTTTTTTCCTTTGTTTTTGTTCCTCGACCTCCACAGCAAAGCAAAATGAGAAATGAAAAAGAAAAAAAAACAGGGGAGGGGGAAAACCTTTCGAAGAATTCCGGGGGGAATTTTTGTTTGCGTCTGCCTTCACCGTTTCCTCTTTGTCTGTCATTTCTCACGTCACTCGCTGTTTTATATTCATTTAAATCTGTTGTTTAGCACTAATCTGTTCTTGCTACATGTTATAAAGCATTGCTTAAGACAAAGCATACACATGGAGGTGTACATGTCTCTTTACCTCCATCCATACCACAACCTTGCAATGCATGTATAGTTAGAGACTCAATATTTATCATGAAATATTGAAAATGTGCGGTTAAAATCCCTCCTATTGTGTAGTACTGATAGTACGAATGGACTGATTTGCTGAGACATGTTAATCGTAATCAGATAATTCACCTTATTCATTTTTACGTTTCACATTCACAGTATATATATGCTATATTTATTATTTTTGATTTATATATGATAATAATTTTGTATCATCATAACGTACATATAGTCCGCTTAATTCTTCAGGGATGCCTTTTATCGCTAAATATCCATAGATATGACCAGGGACGCTTGGATCCAATAATTGGTTCGTATTGTATAGATCTACAAACCTTTTCAGTGCATCTGATGGCATACCTTGAGGACCCCATCTCTCTCTAATATCAACTTGCATCTGTGTAGCCACTACTCCAGGTGCAATTGCAATCGACTTTATTTGGGGGCCCATTTCCGTGGCTATTGATAATGTAAACTGATTTAATGCAGCTTTGGATGCGCAATAGCATGACCAGCCCTTGTACACCTTAACACTTGCACCGCTACTTACCATTATAATATTGTTACCTCTACTATTAGTATTTTCTTCTTCACCATTACTTTGCTGTTTGTTCATATGAGGTACACATTTGGAGACAAGGGATACAATGCTGAAAAAATTGATATCAAAATGATTTTTCCATAATTTAGGATCATAATTTGTTATACTATCCACAGGAGCTAATATACCAGCATTTGCCACTAAAGAATATATATTCTTGTCAAATTTTAAGGCAGTTTTAATTATTTTATCTTGGATACACTGATCAACTATGTTACCAACTACATATTGGAATCTTTCAGAACCATACTTTTCTTGTAATAACCTTAACGGCTCTACTGTCCTTGCTGTGCTGATTACAACTGTGTCTCTATCACTGTGAGTTAATATGTATTCAATAATAGCCTTTCCAATACCACGTGACCCTCCAGTGACAATAACAACTTTTACCATATCGATTTGTCCTAACTTTTTATACTCTCTTTAATTGCTCAACTTACAAACTATTTTTATACTACATCATCTTTAGTACTCCAACTTGTAGTTAACTATGTGTAGTCTTTTATGTTACAAAAAAAATAAAAAGAAAAGGTGTTATTGCGGTATTCTAATGCTCGTTTTTGAGTTTGCATTCTTCATCGTTATTATTTTGTTTTTTTTTGCTATTGTACACCCTTACAAATGAGCTAAGTTCTTTATTAAAAATGCTAAAAAAAAAAAAAAAAAAAAAAAAGTGAAGTTTTAATTTATAACTTGACAAATATCCACTCCTAACATTTTTTCAACAATCAAAAGTAGTTAAATACAAAAGTCAGAGTACAAGTGAGATTACTGGATAACTATAGCGTATTGTATCCTCTTTTTCTAATTTTTTTTTTATTAAGAAATGAATAGTAATGAATTTTATGATTTAATTGCATATAAAGGTAATGGAGAAATATTCAGGTTTGATCAACTACAAGGTAAAGTAGTATTAATAGTGAATGTTGCATCAAGGTGTGGTTTTACACCACAATATAAAGATTTGCAATATCTATATGAGAAGTATTCGTCAAGGGGACTGGAAATTCTAGGGTTTCCATGTAATCAATTTGGTAATCAAGAACCTTTAAGTGATAAAGAGATCATTTTTTTCACAAAAAAACACTTTGGAATCACCTTCCATATACTGAAAAAGATCAACGTCAACGGTCCTGATGAACATCCAGTATATAAATATTTGAAAGAGCAGAAACGTGGCGTTTTAGGTTTTAAAGGAATTAAATGGAATTTCGAAAAATTTCTTATAGACCGTTCTGGGATAGTAACAGATAGATTCTTGTCTGCTACACCTCCAATTAATTTTGAAGATAGGATAGTAGAATTGTTAAATCAACCTACTATATGACACAGTTAGAATAGTACAACAGTTTGTTAATAAATTATAGTGGAATTTTGTTGGCAAATAATTTACAAACATTTATTGGAAAGAATTCTTTTTTTAGTTATTCATATTTGTCCAAATATATTTGTTCATATATGTATATATCTGTGTATGTATGCATGTATGTATGTATAGATGAATAGATAGAAAGATGAAAAAAATGACATTTTTGCATGAGTTTCTATAATGAAGGTATACACATTTAAATAATAAAAAATGGTATAGAATCTTTTTTTCTCTTTGTTTTATTTTCTAACCTATAGTTAATGTTATTTTCTCAATAAGCCAATGCCCTTCTGTTTAGGGAAGCAGAATTTCTTTTACATATATTTGAAATAGCATCAATCCAATAGTATCTATATATCAAATTCTCTCATTGCTTCCAACGCTTCCTCATCTTCTTCAAATTCATTGTTATATCTATTGTCATTATTTAGAATATTATTCAAAACATTAGTTTCATTTAATTGTTCTTGTTCTAATTTTTGAATCTCCTCCTCAGTCGTAAGGTTCACATTCCTTTCAACATCACGATGAGAAGACATTGATGGTTCAATATTCAGAGTTCTTTTGTTAGATAGTGCGGATAAGGAATATAAATCGTCATCTTCTTCTTCTTCCTCTTCTTCTGGTACAAATACAGATTTAACTTGAAAAACAGATACATTTCCTTCATTAATATTGTTGTTATTATTATTATTACCATTATCTGTATTGCCAATAGTTAAATTCGTTTCCTTTGTTAGAATTTTATTCTGTTCAAAATTTTGAGATATGTTATTTGTACTATTAGAATCGCTATGTCGTATGGAATTATCGGTGTTATGTGTGGTAGTAACAGGAGTAGTACTTACAGTATTTTCATTTTTACCTACACTTGATATTCCTAATTCTTTTCTAATAACATTTTTCCTAAACTCTCTTAACATTTTATCAGATTTCCCTAACTGTTGGCACAATATGATAAAGTCATTAAATTTCGCCTTTGGATATAATTGATGAGCCCATAATTGATATATTCGAATAATACTTGATAAATTTTCAAAGTTTGATTTTTTACTGGATATATGTAATCTTTTTTTGCCAATTTTCATTAAATAAGGTAACCCACGTTCAGAATCCATCAACCTTTCACCAGTAAGTTTTACTTGAGCCCTACGTGTCTTTGTGGTAATAGCAGTTGGATCTAAAACTGTTGAGTCTATCATAGTAGGGTCTTGTCTAAGAGTGGAAGTTCTATCTCTTTCGAGAGTCTCTTCGATATCCATGTTCATATCCATGTTTATATCTGGTTTTTTTTTTTCAAATATATATTTATTTTAAAAGGATAGTTTTTTTATTTTTGTTATTTTTATTGATTGATTTAATAATATAAGAGGTTATTACACATATGGTTTTTGATAATACTTAGATCTTGTAATCAAATGATGTATAGTGGGTAGTTTTTAGTAGCACAAAAATGTAAATATACATATATATGTTATAACTATTATTCTAAACCTACTCTTGTTGATAGATTATAAGTATTATTATCACCTATAAGTGCTATGGAATGCTGTTGGATACATAGACACTTTTAGATCATCGATCTTTCTTGTAAGTCATTCTATGTATTATTGGCATTTCAAAATATAACTTTGAAAGAATTTACGCGTTTTTTTTTTCTTCAAAAACTCACGCGTCACATACTGAGTAAAACACCCAGACATTTATGCAAAAAAACATTAAGATTTTAATGGGTGTCTGGATGTAAATATCAACCCCTGTTTTTTTTTTTTTTTTTTTTTTTTTTTTGAGTGTTCTTCTGTTCCTTTAGTTCGGCGGTTAAAATGCCAAAAAATATTTTGACGCTGTACATAGTCGCAGTTATATATATATATATATTTATATTTATATGGATGGGAGTAATTTTTCATGTCAATTGAATACTACTTTTTACAACAATTAGTAAGTGGGGTCGATCTTTGTGCAAAATGTTGTTTGTTTTTTTAGTTGTTTATGATTTTTAGAATGTACCAGTGTAAACAAGACATAATTATACTTTATAAGTCATACACCTGGTATTAATTCAATAAATACACTAATTTAGCATATTCCCTGTATATAATATCATTTTTTTCAAGTTGTTACTTCTACTTTCATTTTTTTGTCGAAACCTTTTTAATATTTGTATCGTCTTATACCTGCTAACACTTTTTCTTTATTTAAGTTGTATTTATTCCGAAAAGTTCATAGTTGTACAAAGGATTAAATCCCGATAGTAATTCCAGGCGGAATTTATTCGGCTTTTTATATTTTTATAGTCGGATATTGGGATTTATATTTTTATACTAATCTTTTTTTGCAACCCTAATGTTGGGCTTTTGGATATTTCATTATTATTATTATTTTTTTGGGAAGAAAATAAAAAAAACATTGAAAAATAAATTACAAAAAATATATATAACCAAAAACTTACTTAAAAGTAAACTAGATAACAATAAGGCAAAAACAAACTTTCCTTCATCCACATCTATTTTAACATCCACAAAATAACTATATAAGTGATTTAAATCATTTAGTTTATTCATATATAGATATATTTGCATACATTTAATGGACTGTCGTAAATATGTTTGGTAATATGTCATCAAATCCCACGTTTGGGAATTCGGTTGGTAACTCGCTTTTTAGTGGGAATACCAGTAACAATAATACTACAAATACTGGGTTCGGTGCTAGTACAACTAATCACTCTCCATTTGGTATGAACAATAACGCGATAAATAATAATGGGATAGGTAATTCTTTGTTTGGAGGTGGAGGCATGTCTAACAACAATAATAATACAGGTTCTAGTATCTTTGGTCAACCAAATAACATAATGAATTCAGGATCATCGTTATTTGGTAATAATAACAATAACTCTACTAATAATCAATTTGGTATGATCGGTGGAGCTAATAGTAATAATAATTTGATGGGTACAGGCAATGGTACAGCTATTAAGCCATTTGCTCCATTTTTAGAAAAGGACCCAACCACCAATACTATGAATTCTTTTCAATCTATTACTTTTATGCCGGAATATAGAAATTATTCTTTTGAAGAATTAAGATTACAAGATTACAGGGCTAATCGTAGATTTCCAAATTCGGGCACCGCTGCTACTACTACTAATCAATTTGGAAATACCTCAACAACATCTACTGCCACTGGAGGAGGGTTATTTGGTCAGCAGAACTCAACTGGAGGGTTATTTGGCCAACAAAATAATAACATTAACACTGGCAGTGGATTATTTGGTCAACAAAACAACAATAACAATAATATGAATAGTGGTGGATTGTTTGGACAACAACAAAATAACTCTTTTAATACAACAAGCAGGGGTCTTTTTGGCCAAAACAATAATTCTTCTAATAATATGAGTCCATTTGGTAATAACCAACAAATTAGTTCTGGTTTATTTGGTCAAAATAACAATTCTAACACAAATAGTGGAGGTTTGTTTGGTCAACAGCAAAATCCATTTGGTAGTAACAATAATAATACAAATACTACTGGTGGATTGTTTGGTCAACAGAGCAATAATAACAATAATATGAATAGTGGCGGGTTATTTGGACAAAAACCAATAAGTACAACTGGTGGTGGATTGTTTGGACAACAACAATCTAATGTTAACTCTTCTAGTGGTGGACTTTTCGGGCAGCAATCAAGCACAGCAGGAGGTTTCTATGGACAACAAAATAATAATAATAATAACACTATGAGTAGTGGAGGTTTATTTGGCCAAAAACCAATGGGTGCTACCGGTGGAGGTTTATTTGGTCAATCAAATATGAATAATAATAATAATAACACCAATACTGGTGGTGGATTATTTGGTCAACAAAATAACAACAATATGAACAATGGTGGATTGTTTGGTCAACAACAATCTAGTACTACTACAGGCGGTTTATTTGGTCAATCGAATGTTAACAATAATACAAATAGTGGGGCATTTAATCAACTATCTAATGCAAATAGTGGGGGTCTTTTTGGTCAACAAAATACTGCTACTTCTGGAGGTTTGTTTGGTCAATCCAATGCTACTAATACATCAACTGGTGGTGGTTTATTTGGTCAGCAAAATAACATTCAACAACCAGCTACTGGTGGACTGTTTGGTTCTAAACCTTTAGGTTCAACATCTACTAGCTTGTTTGGTAATAATACTGCACAACAACAGCAACAAACAGGTTTAACTGGGGGTCTATTTGGTGCAAAACCAAGTACAACTAGTACAGGTGGTTTATTTGGTAACATTAACAACAACAACAATAATAATAATTCTACCTTGAATGCAGGTGGTGCTACTGGTGGTTTGTTTGGAACATCGACTTTAGGTGGAACAAATACAGTAGGTTCAACCACTACCAATAGTTTATTTGGAAGCAAGCCAGCTACCTCATTTGGTTCAACTACAAATTCTTTTAATACATCAACATCCACTAGCGGTTTGTTTGGAAATAAACCTACTAATACATTTAATTCAGGAAATGCTGGCGCCATTACTGGTGGCTTGAATGGTAGTAATAGTACTACATTACAAACTTCAAATCCATCTCAATCACTGCAGCTGCAACAGTTACTACCACAATTGGAACAGCAAAAATTGTATATCAGAAATAATCCATATGGTACTGATGAACTATTTTCTAAACTCTCCAATGGCAGTACGTTAATTGAAGGTAACAAAGCTGACTCCATGATTATAAATGCAGATTTAAAGATGAAAGCTAGTTTAGCAACAGCGTATAGAATGGCTCCTAAAACCTTATTTGCAGTTAAAGACTTAAAAAATACCGAAAATGAGTCAAGTATAAAAACTATTGCTATAAATAGTGCAAAACAGAGATTAAGTATTGCCAATGAAGCTCACAATTCATCTGATTCAAGTATGAGTAAAAATATTGAGGATGTTATTTTAAATGCTGATAAACTTCTATTTAATCCAGATAGAAGATCATTCAAGAACCTTATTATAAACAGAAAAATGATGGAAGAAGATAAAAGGACACAGCATGAAGAGGCAACAAGAAAGGCTATTGAATATAAAGCAGATTCAGATGAAAAAGAAAAGAATATTGTATTAGAGGACATAAAAGAAACTTCTGCACCTGATAGAATTAAAGAACCGGATGCTATAGAGAGTCCAAAGTCTATTAAAGGTGAATTAGATAATATGTTAAAACCAAAAGGATGTCCAAATGCTGACTTTTCCTGGGTTGACGATAGTTATTATATATCACCATCTATGGATACATTATCTTTGATGACATTGTTACAATTGAAGAAAGTTAGAAATCTTGTTATTGGTAATAAATATTTTGGTTTTATTGAGTTTTTAGATCCAGTAGATTTATCTGATATCCCACTAGCCTCTTTGTGTGGTAGACTTGTCCGTTTTGAACAAAAATCCTGTATTATATATCCAGATGCTTCTAGGAAACCAGAACCAGGAAGTGGAATTAATGTTCGTGCAAGAATTACTTGTTACAACTGTTATCCAGTTGATAAGGAAACTAGAACCCCAGTCAAAGACAAAGAGCATCAGTTAGTCAAGAGGCATATTAGACAACTCAAAGAAATTCCTCATACTAAATTTGAGCACTATGATGTTTCCACAGGTGATTATGTTTTTACTGTTGCTAATGCTGTTTTATAGATGGATAAATTTATATTTTAAGAGATGATTGTTGAACAATAATGTTTAATAATTTTATTAAATGTGAAACTAATTATATAGAAGTATATATTATTGTATGTAAATTGTATAATGAAATGTATATATATAGCATTGTTGTATTTTATGGCATTGTTTGTTACTATCTAAGTCATGACTACATATTTCTTGGTTGCAGGGTGTTGAGTGTTGACATATTTATGACAATCAAATATTATATATAAAGAAGTACAGGTGTAAAATAGATGAGGATGTATGAATGATTGAATAAATATCTTGTTTATTTTCTGTTTGGAACTGGTTTTTCTTTGGCAGAGTTAATGGTTGTGGATTGATTTGTCTCATGTAGAGAAGATTAAGGACTTTTTTGATTCAGTTTGCAAAACAATAATTATAAAATTATGAAATTTTCAAAAGAAATATTTGTATAAAATAATAACAAACAATGATTGTATGGTAAGTAAGTACTTCAATCAAAATGTGGGATAATATGACTTTAGAAAATAAGGATTTATCAGATATTTTATTGTTTAGTTGTGAAATAAAATAATTGGATATTTTATTTTTGTCAAAAAATATGTTTTGTTGAGTTATTTTATAATGATGAGAACACAGTATTCTGAGCAGAGTTTTTCAGAAAAATAGTCCTAAAGAAACGTGTATTAAAAGAAATATAATAGAAATGTTGATACCAAAATATATATAAACTTACAAGTATGGATAAGTTCCAATGATTTTTTTTAAAAAAAAAGATCTTGAACATATACTAAAGTATATAATGTACACTTTAGTAGATTAAATATACAGTTGTAAATGCCAATCATACTGAATAATTCTTTATATCAAGTTACAACACATAATTTATTGATTTAAATAGGATAACGTATATATTAGAAACTTTTTATTCCGAGAAGAATAAATAAATATACTATTAAACCTAGAATACTCCAAAAGTAACAATAGTATAATAATGCAAAATATAAGATGGATATAAACCAGATAACAATGGCTATTAACACTGTTTGTATCATCTTCTTTATTTTTTTCAAAAAATAAAATTTTAGACAAACATTGCAAAATAAAGTTCCACGATGTCTACTACAAAATATGAAAAGTCAATTACCTTTATATGCGAATAAGCGTTAATATTTTGCATTTTTATGCTTTTATCAATTTTACCTGTTTAATTATTTGCTTGATCTTTGTTATTTGTTTTGGAGGTATCATCTATGGATTTGTCTCTAGACCATGGAATTAAATCTGGAATAAAAAAGCAATTATATATGGATTTAAAAACTTTTTGAAAACTATCATAAAGCTCAAACCTATGCAATTCATCTAACTTCATATTAAATAAAATTCTAAAGTTTATTAATAATTCATTATTCCCTCTCAGAACCGAAATGAATTCATTTTTAGAACCATTCATTTTTAAGACAATATCTAATTCATCTAATATAATTTCGTAATCATCTCTTTTAGGTGTTTCTGTAATAACTTTTATAAAAAGTTTATTCATTGACATTAATTTATCTGTTAAATCCATTTTTATTTCATTATGTTCCTCTAATTTATTTTTATGTGCAAGTTTCGTCACAATAGTACTAATTTTAGAAGTGATATCATAATTTTGGGGACCCATTCCTACAATTGACCAATCTTCATCGTCCTCATAATTATATTTTTCTACAACAGGTTTCACTAGAATTATGTTTTTGGAAGTTTTAGTCTTTTTCTTTGGTGGTTCAGATATTTCAATACTGGGCTCTTCCAATTTTTTAGAACTACTTGAATTTTGTTTCTTTAAATTTCTTGTTCTTTTCGACCTAGAATCTATATTTTCTTCCAAAATATTCTTGTTTTGATTGTCACTTTCTGTTTTTGTACCACGTAGTTGTCTTTGTCTAGTAGAACTTCTAATAGAGCTTCTAGTAGATTTTTCTTGATGTGACAATTTATCTTTGCTTCTGGTCTTTATACTGTGCTGATTTGTGTTCTTGTTCTTCTTATTGTTGTCATTGTTCGTTAACGAAGCTCGGTCTTCATCTATGTACTCTTCATCATCAACATTGGTTTTTCTATTCTTCGAACCATACTCAACAAATTCCCATACATCGATCCCAGGACTTTTAAACCCTTGACACGCCATTTCATATGCAGGGATTAATCGTTTATTTTTACCAGAAGATTGATTTTTCTTTAACCAATCCTGACAAACATTTAAAGACAATTTCTGTAAGTCATTTAACTTTACCCAGATATAGGAATCATCCTTAAAAAATTTCACACAATAGGAATCTTGTAACTTATCAAATTTTTTGAATTTAAGAATCTTGGAATAAGAAATGTAATTATCACTATCGTTGTTGTCAGTTCTAGACGCTTGATCACTTTCATTATCTGCATCTATATGCGGATTAGATTTTAAAACATTAGTTGGGATTATTTCATTCGGTATAATCATGGCTGGCCATGCAGGATATCCTTTAACTTTAGCTAAAACAATATCTGTTGGTTGATATAGGACATTTGTAGAGTTTTCATGTCTTTTCCGATGTTGCTGACTTCTTGTTTGGCGTTTCTTGTTTATCATGGTTAAAAGATAAATCTAAAAGGAAATAGAAGATGGAAAGAGAGGATGCAGGACCAAAGTAATTGTATGTATATAATAAATCTAATAGAATGCAACTGACTGAGTATAGCTATATGTATTTCGCAACTACTAATTAAGTGTTGATAAGGAGATAAGTGCAAAGGATGCCAGAAATCTAATAAAAATAAGATATGGATGAGAAAGATAGAAAGTTTGTTTTGTATTCAAACTCGCTTAGACTTCTTAAGAAAGTAAGAGGAAGGGATAGGAGACGTGATATTTTGGTTTAATAAAAGTAATCAAAATTTGATAAACCTATGAAGTATGTCCTTATTAAATATACTGATGTCTATTGTGATTGATGCGACAAGAGATAGAAATATACGATTGCCTTTTTATATTATCAAACTTCTTGTTCTGTTTATTTTTGATGTTTTTTATGCTTTTTTTTTTTTTTTTTTTCCTTTTTTTCATATTTTATTTACGAATCTTAAATGACTTTAAAAAGCAAGGAATATATGAAAAAGTAGTATACAGATTTTGGTGATAGGATACTCTATCAAACGTATATGGCAAAATATAAATGTGTATATATGTAATGTTTATCAATAATGTAAGCGTGTGAGTTTATCAATCTTAAAAAGAGGTGCATGGAAAACAAAAATAAATGCATATGCTGAATATTTATAATTAACTGTGGGAAAAGAATAAGAAAAAAGATGCATGCCGATAGTCAATTTGATATTTGAGGATCTGCAGTAACAGCGACAGTAGTAGCAGTAGTTGATGATGATTGTGAATTAAGACAATTTCTAATAAGTTGCTTGCCTTTATTTTCTCTTATAATTGGTTCCAATTTGGGTGTAGAAAAGGTGTAAACGAGTCCAGAATGACCAAGGATAAGTAGTAGAATATTAGCACCAGTCAAAACACTCAATTCATAAGCCTTCTTCATGATTCCGTGTCTTCTTTTAGCAAATGTAACTTGTCTTCTAGTTCTATTTTCTATATACTTGATTGGAACCTTTCTGCGAACGTCTTTAGGTTCTTGAATCATTTCAATTTCATCAATATAATCATCCTCTTCTACTTCCTCCACATCATCATCATCATCATCATCATCATCATCGTCATTATTTTCTTCTTCTCTTTCGTCGTCGTCGTCATCCTCCTCCTCCTCTACTTCTTCTTCATCCTCCACCTCGTCGTCCTCTTCTTCTTCCTCTGGTTCTTCCGCATCCACCCCTATTTCTACGTTATCCTCATCATCAACATTTTTCTCAACGAGATTCTTGTTCTGTTCAAATTCATTTGTTTCACCATTCACAGTCTGTGCTTGTTCATTAAGTTTCTTATCCCATTTTAATGGCTCATTTCTTTTATTCAAGTCACTCTTTGAGAACCCCACTGACCTTTCTTTCTTATGCGAGTCTTTTGAATCATTGTTAGTTAGTTGATTCTTGGACAAAATACTAGCTTTTTTCTTGGGGGATACATCGTTTATCGAAGCAGCAGTACCCAGTTTTCTCTTCTTTCTATCAGAAACAGCAACCATGATGATAATGATAATAATAATAAAAAAAAAAGAAGGAAAGAAGAAAGGAAAGAAAAAAGAAAAAGAAAAAAAAATTCCTATATATATGCTTGTGTATGTGTGTGTATACAGATTTGTATTGGGTGTTGAAGATAAGTATGTGTTGGAAATAAACCCATGTCTGCATTAAAATGTTTGGCAAACATATGCGATCATTGTTCTTGTATATCCAAATACAGCTGGTATTACAAGCGTTGTTCTATCTATTATTATTCCATTTTCTAAACCCAACAATTTTATTTTTGTATCATATAGAACGACAAACCATGGAAACACAACAGAACGAAAAAAGAAAGAAAAAAAAAATATGTGAAAAATCACAACAAACGAACGTCTCTACATTGCAACAAAATTTTGGACCCCACACCACCATTTTCGTATTGGATGACAAAATTGATACGTTTTCCTTACCCTTATTTTTCTATATAACGTGGTGTACAGGTTTTTAGTTTTCTTTTTTTTTTTTTTTTTTTTTTTTTAATTTATTTCCGACATTTAAAGTTTCACAACACCTGTGACAAGGGTTTCCCTAGAAGACAAAAAAACAAATTTATATATATAGGGTTGGACAATTTGTCGTGTGTGAGAGAAAAAAACTCAATTACTGAGCTTCCATGCTCTTTTCCTTTCTCAAGGCCCATCATTTCTGAATGTATTTGTATATGGTTTAGTTTATCTGCGTGGCAGCCCACACAGTGTTTGCGTATAGGGTGCGTATATTGTCGATACATCTCTATACTACATATGTTCGGGTCATGTGTATATGCGAGCAAGTAAAGAAAAAGAAAGATTGGCTGGACGTAGGTTGGTGACGTTGTTTTTCCTTCTCTCTTCTGTCCTTTTTTTTTTTTTTCATTTCATTTCATTTTTTTTTCCTTTTCTTTTCGTCACTGTGCAAAGGTACCTTACTTTCTTTCCTTCCGCCTTCTTTGTGTATTTCTAATCATTTTCCATCTATTTGGAATAAGATAAGATAGCTGGTTTGGAAACATGTTCTTCTTTCCTCCTTTGACTTTGAATCAAGGAAGAAATCTTCTTCAATAGTTACATATATATATATATACTTTTTTTCTTTACTTACCTGCTTTCTTCATCTGTTCTCCTTTTCGCGCCTTATCTTTTTGTAAATTTTTTTTTCTCCTATTTTTTCTCTTTCTTTCTTATCGTAATAGTAGAGACTAAAAATAAAGTAACACACAGTATAATAGATTGTAAATAGAAGGAGCCTAAAGAAGGGAAAAGAGAAGAGAAAAAGAAAAAGAACGAAAAGAAAAAAAAAAAAAAACACAAGTATATTTACTATCTATATTGTTTGTATATATTACTGGGTTACATTACGTTTATCATATTTAAATAATAAAGGGAGAGTAGAGGAAGGAACTAGCAAAGTTAAGAACAGAAAAAAATAAAGTCACCATGTCATACTATAATAGATATAGAAACAGAAGAAGACAGGACGGTGCCAACAACAACAACACTGCCGGTGGGAGTGGAGGAGGAAGCCTCATCGGGGGCAGCAGTGTAGGCAATGTTTTCTTGAACAGAAACCACAACGGCAACGATCTGATGAATAATGGGGGGTTGCAGGTCCCTGATGCGATATTTGATCTAGGTAAGAATAAAAGGGTCACGGTTAGACAGTTTAGAAATATCAATTTGATCGATATAAGGGAGTACTACCAAGACTCACAAACCGGGGAGTTGAGACCTGGGAAGAAAGGTATTTCGTTAACTGAGGACCTGTACGATGCCTTATTAAAACATAGATTGAATATCGATGAGGCGCTAAGAAGGTTTGGTTCTCGTAGACCAAGAACCAAATTGGTTAGATTGCTATCTGATGATGAATATGACAGCAGTGACAGTGATAGAAATACTAAAGAAGATAATAAGGATAAGAACAAAGATAAGGATAAGGATAAAGATAAGAATAAGAATAAGAATAGAGACGGTGATATCATTATTGGCTATGACAATGATGACGATGGTGACAACACTGATAACAAAGACAAAAAAGATAATAACAATAACAACAACAGCAACAGCAACAGCAACAATAATAAAGACAGTAATAAAGATAGAAAAGATAATGGCAATAGTAAGGGTAAAGATGGTGGCAAGGAAAGATTGAAGGAGTCTAGTTCCAACAAAAGAGAAAGAGATTACAGTGATTCAGAGATAACAGAACAAAAGAAAAGAAAACCAGCAGCCGCCACCTTGTTGCCCTATGAGGAAAGTATTGAAAATGCAAAGAGAGAGGCCAATGCAACCCTTATTATTCCAGGTATGGGTAAACAAAAGGATGAACAAAAGGATGAACAAAAGGATGCTGACACTACAGAAATTAAGAATGAATACGGTGATAAATCTGAAACCAAGACCACAGCAGATACTGAAGAGAAAGCAGAACCTGTGCCAAAACTAGCTGCAACAGACAAAAAAGATTCTACTGGTAAAAGCGATGATAACAACAACAACAACGATTCAAGTGCAGAAGAATTTGCAGAAAGTTTACAAGCAGAAATGGACAAGATGATGGATGAGAGTAGTGAAGAAGAGTGAGTGATCCTCGATCTTAAATCCTCAATTCTAGATCCTAGATCCATTCCTCATAGAAAAAGAATTCTTTTATATCTCTATATATTTAATAGTTTATTTGTTTGTTTGTTTTCTTTTTTTTTTTATCTTTTTTTATCCTTTTTTTTATCCTTTTTTTTTTTAGCTTTTTCCATTCTATCTATCTTTCTTCTCTTTAAGTAAGCATAATCTATTTTTCTTTTTTCTTCTACACTATGTACCTATATATCATTAATCATTTATATATATATATATATATATAAATGTGTTGGTGTGTTTTTTTCAAATGTACTAGAAAAGAAATACAAATATTAATTTTTATTTTGTTTATTTATGTCTTGTTGTATAATTATATGACAATGAAATAAGCGCCTAGGGTTTAACTGTTTATTTTTCTAGCCCTAACGAGACGCATTTGATTTTGTTCAAATGAATTGCTTTTTTTTTTCCTGTTGTTTTTTTTGTCCAAGATGTCTGGGTGTATGAGGAAACGGCGGGTTGATCCGTCCGACAGAAAAAAATAGAAAAAAATAGAAAAAAAAGAAACTAAAACATCATCTCGAGAAATTGTCATCTTTGTTCAAGAAATTCCTTGTCGATCGTGAAGATTAAGATTAAAGATTAGAAATTAAAAGTGTCGTAGTCGCAATTAATTAGAAACATTAAAAAAACAAAAACAAAAACTTTAGATACTCTCTAAAATCCTTAGATACAACAGTACGTGTATGCATGAGTATTTCTTTCACCTCATACTTTATACATCTGCGTTTACATCTACATCTACATATATATATAGATATAGATATATATTTATGTGTGTCTCATTTAAGGTAATAGGCTTTTAAATCCATCGGTAAATGAATGATGTACCTGTAATTTTGTAATAATGACACCTCAATTGACGATGACAACGACGACGACAACGACAACAACAACAAACACTAATGATAATAATATCTCAATACAACCAGATATACCTAATATAAATAATATGGTTAATAGTAGAGCTGAAAATAATGTCCCTTATGATCAGCCTCCTCCTGACTCACTTCAATCCATCCTCTCCAATCAATCTGTCTTTGATTCTATAAACAGCAATCATAACAACAACAATAATAGCAACAATAGTAATAGTAATATTAATGTTGATATTAGCAACATTCCCAATGCATATAATCCAAATATTTTTGACGCTAATTTCAAGATCACAGATGATATAGACATCTCGAAGTATCTATTGAGTCCCACGTTTGAAGATTTATTGTCCCCTAGATCTCAATCTCCACAAGCCAATATAGATACAAAACCTAATATTGATGAATTAATAAACAGTTCAAACAATAGTAACGTTATGACGAATAAGTTTTCTAATAAATATTTAGATCTTACTCCAAATCTAATTTTTAATGACAACAACAACAACAACAACAACAACAATAATAATAATAATAATAACAGAGTTATTCCTTTCACATTAGAAGAAGAAGAATCTACTACTAATTTGGATGATTTGCTTAAAGATATTACATCAAATAGTAATAATAACAATATTATTAATGATAATGATCTTTTTCTAAATGATTCCTTTTTAAACCTAGATAACAGTGTTAGAAGACATAGCGATGCATTTTTAACCAATAATACTCTTTTACCTTCAAACATGTCCACTTCAAGAGCCTCGATATCTCATCAATTTGATATGTGGAGTGGTTTGCAAAGGAACACAAATAAAAATAATATAAACAAAAATAATAGCGGCGCTAGTAACAGTACTTCACTGCGGAAAGTGGCAAGCCTAAATAACAGTAGTAATAATATGTTATTACGTACAAAAACCAATAAACAAGCAGACACAGATAATAATAATAATAACAATAACAACAATAATAATATACTCAAACCTAATGATAACTTCAATTCTAATAATATTAGTTTTATTGACCCATTCAACAACAACAATAATAATAATGGTAACAGAAGTAATGGTAGCGGTAGATCCAACTCTTCAGATTTCATTCGTCCTCTACAAAAACGCGCAGTCACATCCATTAAATCTACAGAAAATATATACCAAGTATCATCACCAAACAGTGAAAGACGATACAGCATAAGAAAGGCTCCATATAGAAGTTCAGTACCTACGATTGATATAAACATTTTAAAGGAATTGTCAAAGTCAGCAAGAATGACCCCATTAAGTAATGTGTCATCATCAAATGATAGATTTTATAATAATTTAGATAATTCCTTAAGTTCAAATAATTTAGTTTCGGTGCCAGCTTCAGTGTCCGAAACTGTGTCTCTCAGTAAGGATACATTCAATAGTATATCTGAATTACCAAACTCTGTTCATCCAAACAGTGAATCCGTTTATGCATTTGACAATACCTTAATTCAATTAAATAATGGCCCAATGATTTCACCTTATTCGAATTATAACAATAACAGTGACTACAATCACTCGCATCTTTCACTACCACAAAGGACAACAAGGTCTGCATCTGTTGTTGGTATTTATTCCAATATAGAAAAATCTACACATACACCACCTTTGCAGACGGTTACTCCATCATCGGTAAAATATACGAACATCTCAAATAACGCATGTATGGAAAAAATGTCGCCAATAAACATGAATCAACAACAACTACAAATGATACCTCCATCACAAATGAATCAAAATTTAAATCAGTATTCAATTCCACAGATGCCACAGTTTATACCAGCTTCAAACAGGATAATGAATGTAAAAAACAATCCTTTAGTGGAACAACAACATATCGCAAACTTGCCAGTACAAACAATTCCTCAGAATACACCCATGCCATCTGAGAATCAAATAAGTAACATTGAACCACACTTAATAACTCCCCCAGGAAATAAACGCACATCAACAACTGCTGCTAAGCCTCATAATAAAAATAAGAAGAAGAATTCGGCAACCAAGTCAAATAAAGAAAAGATTTATCAATGTGAATATTGTGAGAAATCATTTAACAGAGCAGAACACAGAAAGCGTCATGTAAGATCGATTCATACCCAGGAAAAACCATTTGTGTGCCAACTATGTGATAAGAAGTTTAGTCGGAGTGACAATTTAAAGCAACATATTAAAGTTCATAAGAAATACGAATCGGAAGAGATGAAAAAGATACAATTGAACATTTTAAAAGATCCATCTTTTACCTAAAATCTTTTTTTTTTACGTATCTATTTATGTTATATACTATTTATTGTTAAATGAGTGATACCCTTACCGAGACATGAAAGTTGTTAAGATTAAATATACAAACAGTTATATAAATATTAGTACTTCATAGTTGATGTTTTTTCAACAAATAAATATAGATATATGCTTATAAAGATTTCTTAATAAACTAGAATTTCGACGATATTTTAGAAATCAACGATCCCTCTGATAATGTAGGAAACACAACTTTAAGAAATGCAATATAAAATTGTATTGATAGAACTTTTAACAACTACAGAAACCTCAAAGATTCTACTGTTAAAAATTATAACGTTATATAAAAAAGATTTATATTTCACTATCCGAGAGGCGTAAAAGACAAAGTGTGGAGATAAATTTTGGTAAATAATTTTTCTTTCAATATAGGTGATTATGAAAAGAGAATGAATAAATGAATTGAAACTGAGAATATAAAGTTATAATTCAAGAAGGTATAGTAAAGCTAATAACATTTCAATAGACCTTTTGTCTAGTTTATCTATATGATTTGAACTTGTTTCAATAATATTTTTCATTAAGTTGATAGCATGGGGTGATGATAAAAATCATGGTATACCATTCATTATGCCACATGAAAATATAAAATAGCTTAACTAAACATTTTTCCATTGGTATTTATATGTACAAAATAATAAAAAACTAGATATTATTTCTATCATTATTGATCCGAAGAAAATATCAATAACAACCAACAATAAAAAATTCCATTGCATTGAAGAAAGTTTATCCTGTAACAATAATTGTTTGAAGGATGTTTCAAAATCCATATGTTGAAATAATTCATTAATTTACTTTTCATACTCATATGTATTACAACAAACTTTATCAACTAAAATATCTTTCCATAGTCTGTCTCTAGCATTTCTTGTGTACGGGAATATAAACCTCTTTTTGATAAAATTGTAACAGTATAATAAAAGATATTTCCTAGTAAGTATTATTTTTACAACAAAATAATGTCCTTGGTGTTGTCACTTTGTACTCAGTGAAGTATGAAAAGTATGGGTCCATCTTATTTACAACATTACTTGATTAGGTCAAAGTAGGCTGCAACTGCATTCTTTTTGCCTGCAGCAGTTGGGGAATGATCTGTCTGCGACAAAAACAGGAAAAAAAGCAAAAATGTTATTAGGACAAGGAACAAACAAAGGAAAGTTCCAGTTTCATTGTGAGACACAAAACGGCATGAAACAAGAACGATATAATTTTGTTTTTTTTCATTACAGTTTGTTTAAAAGGAGGGACTAGATTATTTTTCTATAGACACATTATCATTGAAAATTTTCCAGGTTGATCATTTCTTAAATTATTTCTGCCCTATCATCGTACCATATAGGATCACAGTCTTTTGACATACTTCTCAGTGTGATTGTTAAAGCTTCCTAAATATTAGAAATATTAGATTTGAGAGAGTTTAAATTTCATTCTTTTTAAATTCTTTATATATATATATTTACTTGACGTTCTGCTAATGGGAATGTTAACAGATAATCCATTTAATAGATCATTATCTGAAAATATATCTGAACTATCCAGCTGCCATACTGATGAAAATATAACTGATGTGGATATTTTTGCCGAGTCAAACACCAGCAATCAAACTACATACAACGCAAATGATAAAAAGAAATTACAATTACCATTATTTTCACCTGTTACTATAGATCTGCCCACGTTTTCTGGACTAAGACGAAGTAAATCATGCCGACAACCGGTTTATCCAGCTAAAAATCATTATAGAAAAAGTACTAACGACTCTATTGTATCCCTACCCTCAAGATCAAATAAATTATACTCTCCCATCAAGACTTTTGATAAAACTATCAATATCAATAAAAACACATCAAAATACAATCATGTTTTGGAACCCCTTGAACACAGAAATTGTTTTAATAGTGTATTATCTAAGACATCAATAACGTTTTATAGGGAATCGCATGATTTATTTCCTAGAATAACGGTGGAAACATTAAAAGAGATTATGTGTAATAACATACATGAACAATTATATGATTCTTATAAAATAATAGATAGTAGGTTTGATTATGAATTTCAAGGTGGTCATATTAAACAAGCTTTAAATATTTCGTCTACTAATGAAATTGAAACACAATTGCTTGGTGCAACAGCCTTACCTAATACAAAAAAACCCATTTTATTAATCTTTCATTGTGAATTCAGTTCCCATAGAGGACCTGCATTAGCTTCGCATCTAAGAAACTGTGATAGAATCATTAACCAGGATAATTATCCTAAATTGTATTATCCAGATATCTTATTATTGGATGGTGGGTATAAAGAATTCTATGACAAATTACCAGAATTCTGTTTCCCAAGGAATTATGTGGCAATGAATTCAAGTGAAAATTTACATAAATGTAAAACTGAATTAGATAAATTTAGATATAATTCAAAAAGGATGATTAGCAGGAATAATTCTATAAGAACACTTAATAATACAAAATTAACTAATGAACATTCAAAAGAAAATATTTTAAAATTTGATACTCCACCCAAGTTATCCTTTTTTAGCTCATCTTCAATTGAAATTTCATCTAGGGAGGAGTACAAGGAAAAAAACGGGCAGAATAGCATTGGTGATATACCTTCAGTAGACAGTAGTTATATTAGTATTAACAAAATTTTACTAATGAAAGATTTAGATAATGACTTTTATGACAATACTGAAGCAAATAACAATTTTGAAATGGATGAAAGTGATGGTGGCAGTGTCTTAGATTGTCATAATTATGAAGAATACTCCTATAATGGAAAAACATTTACTTCAGAAGTCCCAGTAATGAACAGATCGAATAGACTCTGTTTTTACAATACTCCAACTTTCCAATAAATGAAACCTTGCACAATATAATACTTCCATTATCGTTGGTGTTAAAGAGAATAGAAAACAGTCACTTGTTGCATCGGTTCAACCAAATACAAGCGGTAATCAATATATCTATTAATATATTCATTATAATATGTACCAGTTTATTATTATATAGTTACAAAATAAGAATGTCATAAATATTTTATAAAGCATAAGGCTCGTTTTATTTCACTGAGTTTTGATTATGTTTTGGTATATTATTCCATCAAACACATATAATAATAAGATTAATAACACAGAATCCAGCTATGCTTTTTCTTTTCTTTTTATTCAATTTTTTTCATTGTTAGAATGGATAAGGATATTATTTCCAACCCATTTATTCAACCTTGTCTTCCATCTCTGTGGTGGCCAAATAATGAATAAAACTTTACCCACAATCAATCCTTTGGAGATGGGACCAAAATTACGACTATCCACAGAATGTATGTTATCACCTTCCACCCAAACATGCCCTCTCGGTATAAGCATAGTATTATTAGCATCACAATCGCCGTATGTGTCACGTTTGATTGTATCTAAAGATATAGCTTTAATTCTTTTACAAAGAACCTTTGAAGGGTCAAATGGTGATTTCAAAAGGACAATATCATTGACTTTCAAATTTGAGGATGGTCTAAATTTTTTCAACAATACCCAGTCATGTGTATCCAGATCACTTGGATTTAAAGTGGGTCTCATTGAACTACCATCCACTTTAGAGAAATGGAACACGTCACTTATAGCCAATGCCACTGGAACCCAAGATAATCCGAGCAATACCTTCCTAATTGTGACTGTCATCAGTGGTATTGCTGTATGTAATTTTTTTATTATTTGATCATGCTGTTATGGATAATAGTCTGAAAATAGCAAGAGGAGAAAGAGTAGAGCTCCATTTCCAAATAGAGTATGCTTTGACATATTAAAGGAATATCATAGTCAATTCCCCTTGAGGATTACTAAATTGCAACTGCAAGTAGATGTTCGGGGATCTCGGAAGAAGCTTCCGAGGAACCGACGAAAATGACTTTTAAAGAAAACAGCCACACATTTTGAAACAAAAACTGCTATCGCCGTTGGTTACACAGGTGAAGACATCGTTAAATGATTAAAACTGCTAATAATATGAATATATATATATATATATATATTCACATTGAGTAAAAAAAAAATAATTGACCAAGAATACGTTTGTGCTATAGATTTTTTTTTCTTTCTGTGTGACATGATAAAAATTATATCTTTATATAGGTCAAATATTCAACATATCGAGAAATAGTTTATTTTTATACAATCTCTCTTCACTAAGAATACTACATTCAACTAAGTGTCTAATAAAGACTAGTATAATATGGTAATAAATCAAACTGTGGATCTACATATAAACACCAATACAGTCAGTTCTTCAACAACAACCACAATAGATGAGGCTGGCAAAAAAAGTAGCAAGAATTGGAAAAACAGAATTCTTATTGTGTATAACCATCCCATAACACAGTTTATTGTGGGTAAATGGTTCTTTATATGTTTAGCTATATTCATTGTTATTGCAAGGTTTGCTCCAAATTTTGCTAGGGATGGTGGTCTTATCAAAGCTCAATACAGTATTGGTTACGGTTGTGTTGCTTGGATATTTTTAGGATCAGGGCTAAGTATGAAGACTAGTAGAATTATGGCTAATATGGCAAATTGGAGGGCACATTTAGTTATCTTTGCACTAAGTTTTCTTATCACATCTTCCATTATCTATGGATTTTGTACCGCCATTAAAGTGTCAAATAATAAGAATATTGATGATTGGGTACTTATCGGACTTCTCATGACTGCTGCTTGTCCCACCACAGTAGCTTCTAATGTAATAATGACCACACAAGCTGGAGGTAATGACTTATTATGTGTATGTGAAGTATTTTTAGGTAACCTATTTGGTGGATTTATTACTCCGGCAGTAGCTCAAATGTATACAAGAAATAAATATTTCCAGTATGGTAACCCTGCAAATGGAAATAGTATGCAAGCCCTGTATGCTCGTGTGATGAAACAAATGGGTTTATCTGTTTTTGTTCCCTTATTTATGGGTCAACTTATTCAAAATTTTGCTCCAAGAATTACTAAAATGTACTTTGATTTTTTGAAAAGATATCATTTGAAAATTGGTTCATATATGTTGTTATTAATTATGTTTAGTAGTTTTTCCACTGCTTTCTATCAAAAATCTTTTACGAGCATTTCCCACATCTCGGTAATATTTCTTTGTTTCTTTAACTTTGGATGTTATTTACTATTTACCGCCATTTCCTTTGCTGTGGCCAGGCCATGGTTTATTACCAAATTATTTCCTCATGAACCTATCCCAGGTACTTCATCTAAATTATATACCTGGTCTTATAAAATTTTTAGACCATTTTATTACAGTAAAAGAGATTCTATATGTATTATGTTTTGTGGTCCGGCTAAGACTGCTGCTTTGGGTGTCTCTTTGATTACATCACAATATGGTGATGATAAGGAGCATCTAGGGAAACTGTTAGTACCATTAGTGTTATACCAAGCTATACAAGTTTTAACTGGTAGTTTTTTTGTTCCATTATTCAAAAGGTGGGCAAGGGATGAAATTGAGAAATATGACAATGATCTAGTTAATGAAAAGAGTCAAGAGAATATTAGTGATATTTCTAACAACAGTTTAGACGATACAACTTCTGTTACAATTGACAAGAAGACTGAGATATTAGATCTAGAGAATAATCCACTAAAAACTGATATCAGTAATGATTCATCACTTCAAAGTATGATTAAGTCTGATGTATAGCATGTGCTAAGATAGAATACACTAGTTAGCATTATTATTTTTTTTTATATCACATAGTTTCTTTTTAGACTATATTTATATATGTATGCATATATATATTCGTTTTTGATAGATGTAAAAATTGTAATAGGTGTAATATAAATTTTAAAAGTTACAAATTGTGGATAAAAATGTCCAATTTCTTTCTTTAAGTAAACAAACGTGTGCGTATATATGAATAATGCATAGATTCAGAGGAATATGATTTATAAGTATTAAATTACCTAATCTAATATTTTTATAAAATTATATGGTATCAATCCTATCTTATGTGCAGGATGAATCTTGTCGTTGTCATATACTTCACCGAGGTACCATTCTTCGTTTATTTCTTCAGTTATTAAAAGGTAATCATTTTTATCAAAATTTATCACTTCAGGTGAATTATTATCTAATAGTGGGTATAACGCTTTGGCATACTTAATCACTGAGTTACCTGATCGAGTCACCACAGGTAAAGTAACTATGACACCATTGTCATTTACACGTCCCATTCTTATATCCTTTGCAACACCGCCTTGTAATTTATTCATCTCTAATATAGCATCCTCAATAGGATCATTTGAACTTGGGTCTTTAACTAAAGATTTCCTTCTTGTGGATCTTGACATATCCAAAGACTTCATCAAAATTGTATTTGTACTGTTTTGTCTTGTTCCATTAGGACGACTTCCTGTTGATCCATTAAGTTGTGCGTTTGTATTATTTGTGATATTATTATAGTCATTATTTGAAGCTTGTAGAATAGTTGTTGTGGAATTGTTTAATAACGATGATATATGGCTCATTGACTTTCTCTTTCTATTATTTGTGGAGTTCCATGATTTTGCAAATCTTTGATTATCATCGATGCTTGAAGCAATTGATGTTACAGATGTGGACATAGATTCAATGCTTCTTCTTCTTCTATTTATATGACCTGAAAAGTCTGTTGGATTTGAAGAACTTGAAGTAGCTGATGATTCCGAATGTGTTTTTATGTGCTGTGGTGTAGAACGGTTTTCATCATTTTTATATGCAGTTTCTTGTTGGGAGACATCTTCCGACTGTGTTTCTACCTTTTCTACTGGAGAAGCAAGCACATCTTCATCCATTTTTACATAATTGGGAAGATGTGATTCATGTAGAGAATACCTGTTGAACTTCCCCTTGGAACGTTGTTTTATGACAGGCAAAGTTTTTTCATCATCATACGTAACATAGCCCATATGTGGTGTAGAAGCATTCTCTGTGGTCTCTGTTTGTCGGATGTTATAGTAATTTTGTTTCCCTTTATTAAGGGAATTATTATTCCTTGACATATGGGTTCTCTGGAACTGGTCTGATAATTGTCTGATATCTTCCATGTAACTCTCTCTTTTCGACAAATTATTCCTCTTGTCATCATTTGTATTTGCATATGAAGTTAAAGGAATATCAGTTCTATTTGCAGAAGATGCATATGATACGGGTCTTGTTGATGATTTTTGATGTTTGTCCTTTAACCTTCCTGTTCCATAATCACTTGAAAATTTTTTAATATCATCCCAGGCAGTAAAAGTGGCTAATTCATTATTTAAAAAATCTAATTTAGTTTGTTCAAGTATGCTTGTTTCCATATTAATGTTGATATATTCTTGTAGTTTACTTTGAATAAAACTGATTCTTTCATATTCCATACCTTGCAATTGTTCAGAGATTAAAGCCCATGATTTCAACCAAAATTTTTGGGAAGCTTTGTATTCATGCTTTAAAACAGTTAATTGTGTGGATATTTCTTTAACGTTGGTTTCCCATTTAATGATTTCTCTATTATTTTGTTCTGTTTTCCTAGACCCAATGATATTGTTTTCATTTAGTTTATAATCTCTATATTTGACTTCCGCTTCTTTTAATCTTTTAGCCAATTCTTCACAACCTTTTCTTTTTTCCAGTTTATCCTTTCTTAGATTTTCAATTTTGCCGGATAAAGTTGTATAGGAAGCCTTCATATTATCAGTAAACAATTTTATTTGTTGGTACAGATCACTTTGTATCAGTTCATATTGTTTTGAATACGCAGCTGCTCTGGCCTTTTCTACAGATAGTAAAGATAATAACATTTCGTTCAAATTACCAAAATCAGGATTTTTGGAGATATCCTTCTTCAATTTTTCACCCATGGCACCAGATCTTCTTGCGTAGTCCTTTGAAATTTCAGCTTTGGAACGAAAGAATTGTTCCAAAGTTGACAATGATTTAATGCCATCGGAGATATGTTGTAATAGGATGTTGACACCATCATCATGCGGATCCCAGAAACACGATTTAAAATCAAATTCCATAATTCAATAACAATAATAATAATAACACCAAAAAAGAGGAAAAAGAAGATAATGATGGTATGTTTAAAAGTATTTGACCAGTTCTGATGTATGTATATATCTTTTCTTTTCTTTTTTTTTTCCTTTTTTTCTCTATGGAAGTCAAATTAAATAAGATAAAGAAAGAAGAAATGAAAAGGAATAATGATGACGAGTGATAATATCGAGAATGAAGAGAAATTTATTCAGATTTATCTGGATTGAAAGATATAAACTCTTTGTAGTTTTAAAGTGTTGAAAACCAGTAATAACTTATGAAAATGTATTAGAGCTCAAAAGAGGAGTATCTGAAGAATCAATTAATTAAATCATTGATTGATTAATTGATTAACCAAAAAGAATAGAATAAGGAAAAAAAAAAAATAAAAAAGAGAGAAGTTATTCAAAATCTTCACAAGATCAAAAAATTTCCCTATATCAATGAAAGTTTAATATTTACGGTATTTCCTAAAAGGGTTAGAGTGACAGATCTTGGTGAGAGAGAAGTACTTTCCTAAAAGGGAAAAAAGAGTGCTAGAAAATTAGAAAACTAGAAATTAGTAGCAGAGAGGAAAAAAGTGCATGTTCGATTCTCACGGAGTTCTCTTTTTTTTAAGTCATTTTAAATCCATAAAAGTAGTTCTAAGGATATATCGTGTATAGTTACAATGTTGTGTATTACACTTACCATCTGTCATACAAATATTATGATCTTTTGTAGTAAATCTCAGGAACAAGACGAATTTTTCATTTTTTGTTACAACTTTATACGGATGGCAATATTTGTATTGGGGGAAATGTATATGATTGCAGTCTGTGATATAATTTTCTACAGAAGCGAAAACATGTTTGTATTCTCCTTATGTTATAACTACTCCAGAAAGATATATCAATTTAACCTCCGACAGTACGTGGAATCTTTGGAGCCTCTGTACTTGAAACATCCTAGTTTTTTTTTTATTTTCTGAACAGAGCTTCTTTTTTTGTTGTTTTCTTCATGTCTCTATCGGATTGTTTGCCCCTGTCTCCCCTTCTTTGTTGTTTGCAAGCCGTTTGACGGCTGTTCGTCAATTTCTTGATTCCGCAATTTCGTCCCCTTTTCCCCTTTCCCTCTTCCCGTTTGGTGGTTGCTGCTGCCGTCTGCTTTTCTTTTTTTTTTTTTCTATTTTTTTTTTTTTGTTTTTGTTGTTGTTTCTTTTGTCGATTTTGCGTTTAAAGAAGAAAAAAAAGGGATAAAAACTCAAGAGAAGGGGAAAAGAAATAAGAAAAAAACAATTAAAGATTCTCGAAGACATTTGAGTAAAGTTATTTAAATAGGATCTTATCTCCTGGATCTTTTCTTTTTTCCTGCCTATCTGCTACATGTATACATGTATATATATGTATATATATATATATATATATGTGTGTGTGTATATGCATATATTTAATAAATAACTTAACTTTGAGAACTAAATAACAGACAAGAGTAACAAATAAAAAAAGAGGAACAGAAAAAAAAAATATAACTATGTCATTGGTATCTGCTTTATCTGAAAGAATCAAAGTTGACAATAACAATACTACCAGTCGGTCTGTTTCAGTTAATAGTCGAGCTGACTCTCGTAACAGTAGAGTTCCTAGTGTCTATCAAAACGCTGGAGAACCTTTGTCTAAAGAGGCTCTATTTAGAGCCAGAATGAAATATGGATACTACCAGTCGCCAACAACTAATTCCACATTAGGTGTCTCTGATCCTAGACTGTCTGTCGACGTTGCTGCATCCTTGGCTGATCTAACACATGTTAACATGCCCACGTATTTGAGGGAAATAGACGAAAATGCCCATAAGGCTGCCAGAAGCATTGGGAAGAGAAGCCTTCATAGACAACAGTCGTTTAGTTCCCGTGCTTCCAGTATCTCATCCAATATTGAAGGTGCCTCAGCTGCTTCAAAGGCATACTCCATGTCTTATATGGAAATCCCAACAAAGATAAATACTGTGAAAAGAACATATTCTATCTCTTCTGCTGCGTCTGCATCTGCGTCTGTTTTACGTAATACCGTATCCAACACATCAAATATACACAATCAAGTTCAAGGACAACAGAGAAAATGCCAATCTTTGACTACACCAAGACCAAATTTATCTAAATTGCTCAATAGCGCTGAAAGAAAGGCTGATGCAGCCATTAAGCACCGTTGGGACCCACAAAGAAAGAATTTCCAATACGGAATACGCAAAAACGAATCTAATGGTCCCGAAGACCGTAAACAATTTGAAATTGATAACAGAGTCATGCAAAGAGTGATCCTTAAGACACAGAACTCTAAACAGAGTTTAGTTAATAAACAGAAACAAGAGGAAAGTGAATTGAAGCAATTACAAAGGGTTAGAGTGGCAAAGCATGCTGCTGTGAAAGTTAAGGACACAAATTTCACAGAGTCTATCGATAAAGATATCGAGGCCAAGAGACAAGAAAGAGAGACTTACTTGAAAAACTTGACATCCACACAAGTACTTTCCTTGGCCCGTGCAAAAGTAGATCAACAATTGCAATTGATTGAAGCAGCACACGCAGAAGATAGAATCTTTCAAAACGATGCATTCAATAAAGCAGCTATGAAATATGCTCAGAGCCGTGCTGATAGTCGTTCCACAGAACGTGATTATTATGCAAATAGGATCAATTTAGGTGGTGGTCTGTGGTTATCCCCAGAAAACATTAATGAGATTTCACAGAATCTGTTGAATCCAATACTTGGTGAAATTGATAGTAAAGCTAAAAATCAACGTGATACTGATGTAGAGATTGCTAATCGTACTAAGAATTATAATAATGAGATGGCTAAATTTAAATCTTTACAAAAGGAAAAAGAAGATAATAATACAAAGATCTTACGAGATACAGAGGAGAATAACACTACTGAGTATAATAAGATTGCAAAGCAATTAGAAGATGATTACACAAAATTAAAATATGAGCTTCAAGCACAAGTAGATGAGAAGAGAAAGGATTATCAAGAAACTGTTCAACGCTTGGAGGATTTAACAGAAGAATGTGAAATGAAATTAAAGTTACAAAGAGATCTGGCTGATAAAGAGTTAGATTCGTGGGAAAAGTATAAGGATAATGATATAGTAGAAGCTGAAAAGGAACAAGCAGAATTATTGGCGCCTTACAATCAACAGTTGGAATCAGCTAATGACGATCAAAGGAAATTGTCCACAGAATATGATAGTATAATGGGTAATATGCGTAAATTACAAACTTTCATAAGTTCACATAAGGGTAAGATCAAAGAATATACAAGTTTAATTGAAGTACAAGAAAATCATGGAGATCGTGAGAAGGTTCTTCTAACTCAGTTGGCGGAACAGAAGGAAGAAGCTAATCATATTTTAGAAGATGAAGTCATGGTTCGTGCTCAAAGAATAAAAGAACAATTAGAATTATCTAATAAAGAATATGAAATGAAGCAATTAGAAATCAGTGCATTGATAAATGAACGTCAAGATGAATTGCAAAAGATTGATATTGTATTGCAAGAAGAAAGATTGAAACTATTAGATGCCATGCAAAAGGTGGCCAAGGCTCGTGGTGATGAGAAGTTAGATGAAAATAAAATCAGAGTTTTATTTGGTATGACTAGTGATGAATTCATGGAGATGCATGGTTTAAAAGTGGGTGAAACAAAAGAAGAGGATAGAGAGGAAAATAAGGAGGAAGGTGAAACTGATAATAAGGACAACAAAGAATTGAAGGAAGAGAAGATAGATGAGAAAGAATCAAAGATTTTGAATGATGCTGATGATAAGGTTTCAGAAGCTAAGTCAAATAAAGAGAAACAAATGAAGCATGATAACAATGAAAATGATGATGATGAGATTGACAATAATAATAATGATGATGATGATGATACGCCTTCGTTTAGTGGATTTTCACAAGGTTCAATAACGAATAATGATGATGTAGAGGAAACAGCAGTCGGATCTCCAAATCAGAGTGATGAAACTGGTTATTTCAAGGAAGTTTTTTAAATATCGAAGAAAATATTCTTTGTTGTATATATATATATATATTATTGTTATAATTATTCAAAAAAAAAAAAAAAATAAGGTTCCTTTTGTTTTTTTATTCTTTCAATAAAAAAAAAAAAAAGTTGAAAAAAAAAGGTGGATATTAATTACGTTTTGTATTTAATAAAGGATAAATATAATATATATTTTATCTACAGAATAAAGAACAGTAATCTATAAATATGAGTTGCTTACATTGAAGATGTAAAGTAGTAATACAATTATGGTACAAAAATGCTAAAGGTATCGATATAGACAAAAAAAATAAAAAAAAATAAACAATAAAAAAAAGCAAACATTAGGCTTTATCGACAGTGGTGGTCATACTATCATCTGAATCCTCTGCCTCTACTAAGTATCTATAATTTGGGAACTGCATTAAATGTTCTTTTGGTATAGATCCAAAATATAAAGATTCTGTTTGGAACCTCGATCCTAGATAAAAGTCTATAGCTAAAATCACGAACAGGATTCCAAACCAGAAAGCCAGAAGCCATTCAAAACATGCACTTCTGGAATCATTGGAGATTGCACCAAAGCATATAGCCCAAATGACTGCAAGCGTTAGCCAAACCATTTTACATGTTGCACTAAGAGTATATTTATTCCAAATATAACCCTTCCACTCACGTCTACTTAATACATTGGATAAATCTATTTCTGAATCACTTAGTTTTGACAATGGATGAATAAGCGCATAATATTTCCCCATTATAAAATAGGCAGTTGAATGACAACATACCGAAAAGAACATTAGAACAACAAAGACACCAACCATAGCTAAATGTACATGGTGGTATAATGCAGTGGAGAAGATAGAACACATTAACAGAGCTATCTCACCTAGTCCACCAATTATAGCGGATGCAAATAACAGACGAGTCTCATGTCTGGTGAACCCTGGAGCCATTAAAACTTTCTTGTTCTTGAATCCACCACGTTGCCAATACTCACAAATAATAGTTAAAAAATAACCTAGCCCTTGCCATCCCGCACATGATATGAAAAGAGGTCTTAGGTTTGTAGCACCAATATCAGAGATATATACTGGAGATGCCTTTGGTCCATGCATGAACCAATACATGGGATGCCCCTGTGCAGCCCAGCAAATTAACATAGCAATCAACATTCCGTACCATGGAACAAATGCCACGATGGGCAAAATAAACCACCAATTGGTAGGCATCTTTGAAGAGCTTTTCCTGGCAAAACTCATTTATGATAATGACAAAAATTATTTACTAAAATTATTTATTATATTTATTTATGGATTTATGTTTGTCTACCTCTCTTGTCTCTTTAAAGTATAATGAATTTTACCTTGCAATAGAAATTGAAAAATTAAATGTCTTACTTGGTTATTTATAAATGGTAATGATAAGTATTGAGGAACAGCAGTATCAAATTTTCCTTCTATACAGATATACTGCGGCTCGACTAAAAGATCTTGGATCTTTGCATCTCCAGCAGTTTCGTTTTTTATTTTTTCTTTCTTTTTTTCTTTTATTATTGATTTTCATTGTTATTTTAATATGGTTATAAGTTGTTTTTTTTTCCGATTTACTCGAGGTCAAAAAAAAAAAATAATAATAACAAAAGCATTTCAGTTTGAGGTTTTTCTAGGGTTTGGAAATTTACATTACCAAAAAATTTCACACAGAAATTCTTGTGAAAAAAAGAAAAAATAACCAGCAACCCTAAAGAAAAGTTTCTACAAATCTATTACAATCCTACTGTAAAGCAATGTACATCTAGCTTTTTTTTTAGCAATGAATCCTAAAAGCATTAGGTTGGACAAAAAAAACAAAAAAAGAAGGAAAAAAGAGATGTAATATCTACACTCAAGTATTGGCAAGTTAGTTAAGGTGTTATTAAGTTATTTTCATACGGATTTATTCTGTCTGAACTTTAGTTGAGCTTTACGTAAATAGGCGGTTCCAAAATGCTCTCCATAAACCCTAATTTCAAATAGCTCTAGCAATTAAAGAAAACACATAATATTACTTCCTAGTCGATGTTTGTTTGTTTGTTTTTTATTTTTATTCTTATTTTTTTAGCTCTGTGGCAGTGCTAGACATTACGTTTTCTATTGTTTTGTTCAGCCTTGTCGTTCTCTTTCCCTTTCTCTTTTCCCAAATATCAGTAGCTTTCATAGCGGAGAAACTGCCAAAGGCGGAAAGGCGGGACAAAAACAGCCAGACCTTCGAGGGTTTGCAACAAAAAGAAAATCCGCCAGAACAGAAATTGAAAAAAATAAAAAAATAAATAGGTCACATGATCGCCGTATATAATGATACACAGTTACCCGCAGAATGACAAGATTCCTAAAATTTTTATCCTTATTTTTCATTTTTGTCTTGTTTATTTTATTCTTTTTTTTTCTTTCCTTTTCGCTATGACTTCACTCCTCAACATAAACATCGACTTTTCCATTTCTCTCACACAATTTCTTAATCTTTATTTCATTTCATTTAATCAAATACAAGAGATAGCTAGAGTGTTTTTTCTTTCTCTTTCAAACAGCGATCTTTTGTGACGGTTTTTGTTTTCTGTTGGTACGTAAGAGTTAGAGATACTTGTATAAAACTTATTCATAGCGTTTCTTTTGACTTCTTTTTTTTGTTTTCTCACTCTCACCTTCATTGTGAATCTATCATTGCAGAGTTACTTACTACAAGTGTAGTGTTTCAAAGCATATATAATAACCACTAGCATATACGTTTGTCATAATATGTCGTCTTATCCCAAAAATAAACTAAGTCCCGCAGTGAAAAATAAAATAGATACTTTAACTGAACTGTTTCCGGACTGGACACCTGAAGATTTGATTGATTTGGTTCAAGAATACGATGATCTAGAAACTATAATTGACAAAATTACTTCCGGTGCAGTAACTCGATGGGATGAAGTTAAAAAACCTTCTAAAAAGGAAAGAAAACAACAGCAATACGAAAACACATCAGATACATACACATCACAACATTCTCATAACACAAGTAATAATATTAGCACAAGTCATAGCACTTCTTCAAATATAACGCATTTGGATGAATATGATGGAATAAATACAAATCATAGTAACACCAGACGTTCTAAATACAATAATAACAATCTTGCATCTACATCACAACGAACTTCAAAGAGATACTCACATTTACCAAATAAGCAACCACCTTTGAAACCGGTTCATGTTCAGACTAAGGCAGTTTCCCACACTAATTCATGGGCTGATGTTATTTCCTCTGATATGAAAAAAGCGGCTGCTTCCCAAGTTAAAGTAGAAAAGGAGACTACCCCTCGTGCAGAAACATCGGGGTCAGCCTCTGTACCAACTCCATCCTTATTATCCGAAAATAAAGCTACTACTGCTACTGGTAATACAGCATCTGCCTCTACTGTAACTTCTGCACCAAAGAAAATGACATGGGCTGCAGTAGCTACTCCAAAACAAAAGGTGCCAGCCAAGAAGCAAGAGCCTCTAGAAAATGTCAATGAGTTGAAGAAAGAGATTGAAGCTGTTGAAAATGAAGATAAATCCTCTGCTAAAGCTGAATCTGAACAGGTTCATTCCAAGAAAGAAACAGAAGTAGAAACAAAAGAAGAAGAACATGAAGAAGAGAAAGAAGGTAACAAAACTCCTGCATATGAACAAGAGTCTTCAAATGAGGAAGAAGAATCCTCATCTGAAGAAGAATCTTTTGCTGAAGAAGAATCCTCATCCGAAGAAGAAAGCTCTGAGGAAGAATCGTCCAGTGAAGAAAACTCTCCTGAAGAGGAAGAAGAAGAAGAAAAGCCAATTGACAAAGTTAGGGAGGGAAAACCAGCTGCTCCAGCAGCCACTGCAGAAGTTAAAAAAGATACTGAAATTCCAGCTGTTCAACAAGAAACCGCTCCAGTTCAAACCCCTGTACCAGCCCAACCTGTCACTGCTTCTGCCACAACTTCTACCACCACCACGAGTGATGTTGCTAAATCTATAGAAGGTACTCCTACTACTCAACAAGCTGCTGCTGCCGTCGCTGCTCAACAACAAGCCGCTGCTGCTGCTGCTGCTGTTGCTCAACAACAAGCCCAACAACAACAATATTACATGTATCAAAATCAATTCCCTGGTTACACTTACCCAGGTATGTATGATTCCCAGTCTTATGCCACTGCTTATGGTCAACAACAATACCCACAATATAATCAATATCAGCAATATCAACAGTATCAACAGTATCAACCACAGGGTGTTATGGGTGGTCAAGCTGCCTTAGCTGCTCAATATGGTAACTTCCAAGGTATCTATGACACTGCTGCTCTTGGTACTCAATCTAATTCTACTCCAGGCATGACCAATGCAGATGTTTCCACTGGTAACAACAGATCTTCTCCAGCTTCTGGTCAAGTACAAATGAACAGACAACAGCAGCAGCAACAACAACAACAACCTTATGGAGGTAACTTCTCTATGCCATACTATGGACACTTCTATCAACAGTCTTTCCCATATGGTCAACCACAATATGGTATGAACGCTGCAGGTGCTCAATACCCATACGGCACCGCTGCTTCTACTTCAGCTGGTGCTGGTATTCCAAAGGTCTCTGGTGCTTACAACAACTATTATCAAACCCAACAAGGCCAAATGGATGCTGATCAATCAAGACAACCAGTTTCTGCACCAGCTGCAGGTCAGCCAGATGGTAGTAATAGCCAAGAATACGGTGAAGAACATGGTTCTACTGAACAAAATCAAAGTCAAAAAGCCGCACAAATGCAACAAGCTAATTTGACTCCACAGCAATTGCAATACCAACAATACTACCAATTACAACAAATGCAAGCACAACAAGGTCAACAAGGTCAACAAGGTCAACAAGGTCAACACCCATACGGTGGATACTCCAGTTATGATTATGCATCCCAAACCTCAAGAGGTTATTACTGATTGTCCTGCATTTAATTTTCATAAAATAATGAAGAAAAAATAATAGATAAAATTATAATTTTTTTTTGTATATTTCATGATTTATCTCTTCATAATTTTTGGTTTTAATTAACATATTCAGTTACGTTTCATCCATCTTTTTTTAACGTGCAAGTACATAGTAAATATATAATTATATTTAAAAATAAAAAATAAAATATTTCACATGCATATATATATATATGCATGTCTATTAAATGGTTATATTAAGACTTGTATAATGATTACTAAGATCAATGGGCCGATGTAGCTTTTATTACAATGGTAATCGATTTAGAGTTTCAAAGGCGTTATCTGTCATCAATGTGTTATTATCATCTACCTACCCTCATACCTAGTTCAAATGCAATATATTTCTAAGTTTCTTAAGTTTACCATCAGTTTGCAGCTTCAGAGTTACACTAGAAAGGTAGACTATCTAATAATAATAATATGTGTATATGTAGCAGACCTATATGAAGTTTTTACACTCAGTCGTTCTATATTATATATTGATCAATCCCCAAAAGTGTGATATTTTGCTCTCTACATCTTTTGTTTTTCTTTCTTTCTTTCTTTTTTCGCATACTCTGTTCGAAAAAAGAAAGATTCTTCATTTTAAACTCCGTTTTATCTTGCCAGAAAGAGTAAAAAATATCACATTAAAACTATATATAGAAATAATATAAAAGTAGTATACTAGAAGTGCATCAAGATAAGCACTCTGTGGAACACTATTCAAATCTGTAGATATTACAGTCGAGACTGGTTCATCATCGATGTTATTTATATTATCTTCATACTTCTTCCCTTCCAAAAAAAAAAAATCTAAAAGGGCAAAAGTTGTGTCAAACAGATTTGTTTTTCATGTGTAAGAAAAGCACAACTGTTAAGACTTCATACGGTTTTTTTTTGCGGGAACCGTTTGGTTTTTATTTTTTATTTTATATATTATTTATATATATATATTTTTTTGGTGAAGGGAAAATGGTACCATTTTCTAATACTTGAAAATTTCAAAAATATGTTTGTAAAAATAAGATAGAAAGATAGGACAAAAAAAAAAAAAGAAAAAAGAGGAAAGGCACCCCATTCTGTAAGAAACGGAAGGATAGTGATAATCATAGAAGCGGTAGTAAATGGTTGTAAATAATAATACAAAATTTACAGAAAGTTTGATTAAAGGAGATAATTATTTTAGTTAGGTTTTTTGTTTTTTTTTTTTTGTTGATTTGATTCAATTGTTTGGCAAGGAAAGAGAAAAGAAATTTGGTCATGAATCAATATAATCAGCCACACTACACCTTGCCGGGTGTGATGCATTATTTACAATCAGAATTCACAAAAAATGAAAGGGATAGAATAACATGGGATTTAGAAAGATTAGAGATGAAATCATATATAAACCAATTAGAGAGTGAAAATAGAGAGTTACGTCATAAATTATCAGTTTTAAGATCGCAGCTTCAGTCTCATACAGTAACAGATAACCAATTGGAAGATGATGGGAAATTGTATTTAAAACAAAATTCAAAGGAGATTGATTCCTTGGTGAAATCTCGGTTACGTGTTCAAGAAAATGTGAAAGAAATTATTTATTTATTGAATGGACCCAATGTTACTTCTGATTTAAATACAATAACTAATAGAAATCTACCTTTACATCAGATGGAAGATTTGAATTTAAATACTAGAACACAAAACATACTAAATGTTAATTCTGATTCGGAGAGTGAATTATCAGATAATAATATAATTCAAAAGGATAATCGAAATATCGATAGTAAAGAGGCATCAGACGTAAATGGCGCGTATGTTGAATCTCTGTTTAAGAAGAATGGTTCTCCAGTTATTTCTAAGGATAATTCCTATCATTACGTTCAAACAGATGTTGGAGACGAAACTAATATACCTGAGGTGGATGATCTAACTTCCGACACTACTGAAGTTGCACCTGTATATGATTTGGATGAACAAATGGAAAGTAAGGATGATGAAATGCAGATTTCATTGCCGATACAAGATGATAAAGAAACAAGTACATTACAGATGGGGTATCAGCAACCCTTGGCTCAAATATTAAGAGTCAATAAAAATCATATTTTAGCAACGTTAAATAATAAACTAAAGTATTATAAGATTGAAGAGGATTCCTCATGTTTAGATATGGAAGTATCCTTTGATACACTGTTAAGTGGTATGGATGTAAAAGGTGTATTTTGGATCAATGAAAAGATGATAATGTTTGTGTTAAATGATGGGGTAACTGTGTGGGATGTACAGCTGAGCAAGTTGATTGACAAATTCCCCTTATATGATGACGTTGCATTAAATTTTAAAGATATTATATCAACAAATTTGAAGAATAACTGGCTAATATTGACCACATGTACTGGAGTAAACATTGTAGAATGGGATTGGGGTGACCAAGAGAAAGAAAATGGGTCTGACTCAAGTATATCTGTTAAAAATAAATATTATATTCATGTCTCGAATTGTATGGCTTCTGTCTTGGGTATTACAGAAAAATCGTTTATTGTCATTACAAATAATCCATTAAAGCTACTTATTTATAATTTCAATGGAGAAATATTACAAACTGTTAATATTAATAAAGAAGTATCCAAGAAGAGAATCACTAAGGATGTCAAATTATATATAAATAAAGAAAGTTCCAAGTTGCTCATTCAGATGAAAAGACACTTAATCTTTTATTCATTTGAACAAAAGAGAATAGTTCAACAGAAAACACTAGTGAAGACACCTACATCAATATATTTTAGATATGCTGATGATGTCATTGGGGTTGCATATGATGATGGAATGGTAGAATTAAGAAAGTTAAACAATTTTGATAAAGTGGTGTTTGAATACCCTCATTTGACCACAACCATATCGAATAAGGGAAATCTTGGGATAGAAGATAAAATTTTGCACTTAATTTCTATTGATACCACCTATTTGAATAACAAATATATATTTGTTTCCTTAGGTGATAACGTACTAAAATTGGAAACAGCAAACATATGATTATAACTGAATATCCACAGATATAATTATATATTTATATTTATGTATAATGAACATTATTGTACCTATTATAAGATAACATATAAAAAAATTGGAATTACAAAGATTTAATTAATGTTAATCTAGACTGTCAAAAGGCTTTTATTATCAGTTAGAGATAAATATATACATGAAGTATGTTATTTATTGAAAACATTAGTTTTATTGAATTTTTTTTTGAGTAGCAAAACGTTAGAACTCTTTTTTGACTTAAAATTATAACTTTGAGGTTATTTATTTTCTTAAAAATAGGAAGAATTGTAAGGAAATTACAAAAAAAAGTAGGTGTTTGTGTTGTTCGTTAAACTCAATCTTCTTTGCTTAATAATAAAATGATGTTAATATCCATACTTGGCTATTATATAATGTGTAGATTTTCAAGGATATTTCTTGGAGAAATTTTTAAAAGAAATAAAAGGTAATTGTACAAATATTTATGTATGTATGTATAAAAAATAATATCAAAACAATAAAATTGTTGGAACTTAGTGTATGCACAGTGCCATCTTATGCAATTGTATATAAAAAAAAAGAAAAACTGTTATTCATTTTTTTTATAATTAGTTCAGAGCCCGGAGATCACTAGATGGTACAAAGAAAAAAAAAAAGAGATCGAACAAGATGATAAACAACAACAAAAAAATAACCTGATAAACATTCCATTGTTGAAATAAAATGTTCTATAATAAAATAGATAGAACAATAAGATTTTAGTAGACACTAAACGATAAATTGTTGAGTAATAATTGTTGAGAGGTCACCAAAGGTTGTTGAGTTTGTTTATTAAATATCTTACTGTTCGTAGAGGAAAATGGCTGAATGTTAACATATATAAAGCCAAGGATTTCATCATACATTATTTTTATCTTATTTACAATCTTTGTATATAATTATTTCTATGTTGTATATAGAGAAAGAAAGTGAAGAACTTTATTATAATTTTGTATACTAAATCTGTTTAATATAATATTGAGAATGTTTACTATATATCCAATGAATAAAGGCGCTCATTCTCAACATCCATACATTTTGTATTATCTTTATAAGGTAAGATATAATTAGTAAAAACTTTTTTAACCTCTCCAATTATCGGAAACATTATCAGAATTTGAAAAGTAGTGAAAGAAAAATCAAAGACCAATAGATAATATGAGGTGAAAATGAAAAAGCATTTTAATCCCCATAGTTTACTCAAAAATTTCCTTTTTTACCAGGTAAAACAGATGAGAGATCCTAAAAACGTTGTTTTGGATTTAAACAACTAAATTAATTGCAATATGACTAAACTAGATGCACATGAACTATATGCCTTTAAAACACTAATCTACTGTTTATGCAAAGAATTCCAATCCAAATATCTCAAGAAACAAATATACTAAAATATGGATTTGTCATTCTTTCCATACCCACCATCGATAATTCTTCTGTATAAACTTTAGAATTTTACTTTACTTAGCCGCCTTTGCTCTCTCAGAATTTACAGACATCACCAGCCACGTGACTTTATTTTTATTTTTTTTTGTCAAACATCCCAAAACAATCTTTAAAATTTTTTTTTTGTTTTCTTAACTTTAAATTAATCAATAGGAACGACATAAATTAAGTATTTCCGTCGAGAAATTTAATTAACATAGAAATATATACGTACTTTATTCTTCTGTACATATTGATTTACCGTACACAATACATCCGGATAACCAAAGAACAAAAGAAACAAATCTATTCACATATTTACCAAAGTGAGCATGGTTACTCTGTTATCTAAAATTGATGCGAATTTATTACAATTTGCAGAAACCAAACGAGAGACTATTAATCTTTATATACCTGATCCTATAAGCAACGTAATCCAAGGGAATACTAATGATGATAATAATGAAGAAAAGATAGTAGAAAAAGAAGAAGAAGAAGAAGAAGAAGGAGTTGCATCTTTTAAGAATAATATATCAATAAATGACAGTTCATATTCTGGAAGTATATATACTCCTACACATGACATTCTTTCTTACTATGTTTCTTCAAAGTATAATTCAGTGGCTCTTTATCAATTAACCAGCACTAACTATTTAAAGTTAGTTCATATCCATTTTTACACTAAACTATTAAATAAACATCATACTCTATCTTTATTATTGCATGAAAATGAAGAAATATTAGTAATAAATATGATCTTAGATGATAATGTCTTCATTTCTATCAACTTACCATTAAGTATCTTTACCAAATTAACTAAAACAAACGAAGTTAAGCTTGATAAAAATTGGTTCACTGCACATGTTCCATATGATTTCACTGTTAGACTCCCACATTTTTTATACACTATCAACTCTGAATTTTCAATGGTCTTTTTAGAAGATGGTGGTTTATTAGGATTAAAGAGTCTTAATGATAAAAGTTTTGAACCTATTTTATTTAATGATGGCTCGTATCTTCAAAATTTGCTAGGTATATTCAAAAAAAATAAAACTCATGGCAAAGTTATCAGTTGTACAACCTTTCAAAATAGATTTTTAATTACATTAACCGAATTCGCATACCTAAGAATTTGGGATTTAAAGACTTTTAATCTAGTTCAGAATATTATTTTATTACCAACCGACTCTGGATCAATAAATAAGACATATGATATTATTGGTAAATATTTGACAATTTACCATAATTTCTTATGCATCTATTTACCTTATGAAAATGGCAAATTTCAAATTTATACCCTATTTATAGATAATTCAGATTGTTTACAAGTGAGTACCCAATCGATTATAGCTTGTAATTTATCATCATCTTCTATTTGGTTTTTAGCAGATATGAAATTAACAAGACCTTTGGATTTAAATCTATCTAACAGCTTTATCAATTTGGTTATCCTTTGGAAAAGTGGTGATAACAGTAAACTTCAATTGTTGAACATTACTGATGAAACTTTGACAGGTTACCAATGGATTGAATCATCTAGCAAGTCAATTAATGATATAGATTCTAATTTAGATCTAATATCTGAAAATAACGTTATCTCAAGTGATGATTTCGATAAAATGTTATTCAAATTAAAAACTCGTTACCCAAAGGATATATTTGAACGTGCTCAATCAATCCTAAATGAAAACAATATTGTTATAAAACAAAATAATACATATTCAGAAACTGACATGAAACAAAATTTGGAATATTTAGGCAACTTGGAGACAATATTAAAAGATCTTAAAAAACAAGCAAATGATGTATCATCCCTATCTCTTTACAAAAATGAAATCATTATTGTCAACACTTTAAACAAATATAATCATTCTGTCTTTAAGGTTAACAATACTATAGAAAATTATTTTTATAACATTACAAACAAGATTGAGAAAACTGATTCTGAACTGATCAAATTTTTGAAAAGTTTATATGTTTTCATTACATCCATATCTGATGAAACTTTATTAGATTGCACAAGAAAGTTTATGGATGTTATCACTGGAAAAATATCTAAAGAGTTATCATTACCTGAAAAATTCTCAATTATATTTAAGGAAACATTACAATCAAGATTTGATGTTAATCAATTGCAGATTCTTTTTAATGAATTAAATAGCCTTGACGTAGTTAATGTGATAAATGATTTTGTTGATAACCATATTTTAGATACAAAACAAAACAAAAATTTCATTGAATTGTTAACATCCAATATATTCAGTGATATTGTATCTATTGAGAGTCTATATCAAAGTATAAGTATTGCTAATAAGTTTGTATTAATGGTACTATTAGTGTTTGTCTTACTAGATTCAAATTATTCCATATTTGATAAACAATTAAACACATTATTGGAAATATTTTATAAGCAATCCCTATTCCTAAAACTTTATCAACAAAATAATTATTTATTAATGAAAGATGTTTTGAAAAAGACCACTGAATTAGGACATGGAATAAAGCTTGATTCATATTCGCAATGGAATAATTATATTCAACATGCAGTTCAACAAATTTACTCTTTACCTATTGAATCTAATGATTACTTGTGGAGATTCTTTGAATATTATGTTGTTGTATCACCATTAGACCAAACCACACAAAATCTAAAAGCATTTTCTAATTTAAGATCATTATTTTATATCCATGATAATAAGACACATGAATTTTTGCAAGCAATGTTATTATTTATTTGCGGGGATTATAACCAATCTTTTGATTTCTTCCAATTACATGATGATTATGTTGATACACCTCGTGAATCTCTTCCTTATTTTTTAAATAATATTATTGATGACACATATGGTGAAACTTTATGGTCTAATATACTTAAATGTTATATTAGTAAAGATAATAAGTTAGCAAGATTTAATTACTATTTGTCTTGTTTATTTGAAACATATGCAAATGACAATAAATTAGCATTAAGAGCTATACAAAAATCAATAGATATTGCAATGCATAATGAAGTGCAAGATATTAAAGATTTTGATATTGCCACAATCCAACATCAACAATTGTTAGATCTCCTACTTTATTTCTCTCTGTATGAAGAAGCTATTGATGTTTTACGTCTAAGTCATTTCTGCCTTCCAGTTCCTGAAAGAACAAAGTATTTCCAAAAAATGTTAGGTCATGGAAACCATAATACAGTTTTCTTTTCAAAACTGTTAACATTATGTAAAACATACAATCAAGATAAAGAGGGTAAAAAGTTTTTATCTCATGAAGACTATCATATTATAGATTCTATATTATTAAATAATCTGGAAATTACCAAGGATTGGAAAGATTATAAAAGAGTTTACAGTTTCAGACTATTAAACAGATCTGAAAGGGAGGCCGCTGAGATCATTTACCAATATTATATCAAGCATGGTATTCATCAAGATGTGGAAATCCAAAAACAATGTTACTTAATTGTCATGAATATATTGGAGACATTCGACACCGTATACGATCAATGGTTGGTAAATGGTAGTAATATTATATCATTACAAGATTTAAGAAATGATTTCAAAAGATTATGAAAATTCTCGTCTTTCAAATTAATCATGTATATAAATAAATAAGTATACGCTTGATTTTATTTATATACATACATACATTTAAGAGATTGTATAATAAGATGACCATACTGACAATAAAGGAACATATTACATTAGAACAATCAACTTCTAATGACTTTTCAGAAACTGACTTTTCAACCTCTATTCATGGTATTTCCACTTCCTCTTGGGTTATTCTCTTTAAATTCATCCCATTCTCTTGCCTTATAAGTTTCTCTGTCATTATATTCATAATTATCTTCATTATCTTCTTTCTCTTGTTGTTCTCGTATGAGTTCGTCCTTACCACCTTGTAATACTCTACCTGACTCAAACTCATGTTGTAAGAATTCTTCTACTGTCATAGTAGGACCATATTGTCCATACCCTTTAACTTTATCTTGCAACTGTTGTCTTTTATTTGTTAATGTAAAAGTTCTTAATACCTTACCTGATTTAGATAAAATAGGTTTATCAAAAGTTTCTAATCTCTCAGTAAATCCAGTTGGATCTTCTGTAGTACTTCGATTCTCCTTATTGAGTTGTGTATTCTCGACTGGTGCCATTTTTACAAAATTTTGAAGTAATTCAATTTCATACAATATCTGTTCAATTTCATTAAAAGCATTATAACTCAATAATTTTAATCTCATAATTAAAAGGTTACGATACATGTCTTCATCAGTAGATGAAAAATCTTCATCTGATTCACCTTTATTTATCTTATATTGATCTTCTAATTGTTTAATCTTTTTTTCAATAGAGATTGTCTGACGATTCATTTCAATCTTTTGTTGTCTTTTTAAGTATGCATTATTTATGTCAGTAGAAGACTTTGGTTGTTTATACAATTCACTTAATGTGGGATTCATAGGATCATTAAAAGTTTCGATGGTTGATGATAAAAATTTGTCAAGAATTCCATAATTGTCTAACATATTTAAATATTGCATATATAATTGTATAGATCTTTGTAAAAAAAGTATTTTCAATTTGTTAGATTCTAGTAGACTAATAGATTTTCCACCAACACTCTGTTTCTTCGAACTTAATAGACCTAAATAATAATTAATTGATAAAAAATTAATCGAAGAAGTTGTCAAATCATCTAATGTTTCATTGCCACTAAATAATGCTAATTCATTAAACACTTTATTCCTCAAATTAATAAGTTTATAGATATTTTCATTCAATTGATCTTGGAATTCTTGAGAATCTTGACGTAACCCATTATGCAACAATTTTGATTCATATGAATTGATAATTGAGTTATATTCCTCATTTACAGACATTCTTTTTACTACTTCTTATCTGGCTGTATTCTTTCAATATTATCAACTAACCTAAGGTTAATATATACACAAATCGGTCTATCCACAAATATATAGCAAAACACTATCATGGTATAACTAACGTTCTACACAAAACTTGCATATATACTCATATATATAGGTAAATATAGATCTAAGGTTGAACCAAATCCCCTCTGAATAGACTAATAAAAAAAATTAACAACTTGAAAAAAAAGTCGCATATACAAACGTTATGAAAATAAAATAACAAAAGTACAAAAAGTGAAAAATAGTTATATATAGTGTTATACAAGGCAAGCATATGTGTCTGGTAAAATAATGCAATATACCTAACGACCATCACAATAACAAATAACAGCCCATTTGCCACTACTACACCACCAAGAACCTTGACCGGGGTGTTCCTTTTCCCAAAGAGCAGACAATTCCTCATCCACACCTTCTCTCAAACCGACTTGAACATCTGCTTTACAGGTCCTTAAACTTAGAGTAACAAGACCATTACGAGCTAAAGGACCAATAGCTGTTTTCCACGGGGTAGTACGTGGCCATGTTCTATCACCTGTCAATTTTCTGTAATTCAAATCACCCTTAAAAATCACTAAAGTAGAATTTAATAGTTCTTGATGCATTTTACTACCATTGTATTTAGTTTCACTTGGATCCAAATTCCAATAATCCAAACCAGTCGTCCAGAAGGAATCTGCTTCAATGGACAATCTACCTTCTTTTTTGAATTCTATCATATCATTAGCAAACAAATCTAATGCTTGAGATTCTTGAGTATCCTTGCTACCAGTTGGGAAAAAAGTTCTATCCAACAAGTCTTGAATCAAAATGTCAAAATCCTTAATCATGACATCAGACACCATATACGGAATATCTTTACCATGAAAAATACATTTATCAACCAAGTTAGTATTTAATAAAAAACCAGCTAACATTAAATCAGCATACAATTCGAACCCAGAATTATCCAGAACAAAATCGACCCTAATTTCTTTACTATTACTACCACTGTTGTTATTGGCATCAACTACAGTTTTCCAGGCCAATTTAGTGTCATTAATCACAATTTTGGATTCTGATTCCTCTCTAGCCTTAGCACCTTGAATAGATTTAATATCCTCTAAAGTGGCATTAGTCAAAAGGGACAGATCTGTAGCATTACCCCATAATGAGATTTCGATAAATTCTTTAAATAAAATTTCTAATAACTCCCAATCTCTTTGATCAGCAGATCTTATAGAATTTTGTCTCCAAATTGGCAAAAGATTCTTGTATCTAAGGGCCAATTCTACAACACCATGGAATGAGGCTTTAAATGTTGATTGTTTCAACAAATTAAAGATATCAAATTTAGCCCATTCAGATTGCAAAGCAAAGTAACAGTTAATTCTTCTGTACATGTAAACTTCGGTGAACAGCCATTCAGAATGAGTCCATCTCAAATCTTTATCTTTATTAGCTTCCAAATGCTGATTGAAAGAATCTAGAGTACTTACAGCATATACTTCTTCCTGAGTGAAAGGACGTAACAAATCATCATTAATAACTTCTTCTCTGAAAAGGATTAGCTGAGTCTTAATAATTTCACCCTGCTTTAAGGATAAATCTTTATTATTAACAGAGACTGTGTTAGATTGAATGGCTTCTAACTCCTTACTCAGGTCGTTCACAGCATTTTGAAGGATGATTGGCCAACGAACACTAGCTGTGTAAGCACAGAAAGTGCCCTTATCATCAGTCCAAAATCTAGCAGGAATGTTAGAAACAGAAGTAGACATTTTGTTAATTGTAGCTAGTAATTAATAGTAATTTATAATCTAACACCTTTTATGATTTGAAACAAATAAATATGTACAGATACATATGCAAAAATATCTATAGTCAATCGAGTAACATAGATCGAGACGTTTAAGGGCAGCATCAGATTTTCTTGCATTTATTTTTGTCTTTTTTATTTTCTTTTTTTCCAGCTCTAAAGAGAAAAAAAACAATAACAGAATGCAGGATAAATCCTCGAGAACTTATTAGAAAATACTTTATATATAATGGGTGATCCTATTTTTATCTTTATGACTTAACCCCTCCTGTGGAAAGAAAACAAGTGCTAGCTATAATTACTTTTGCCAAAAGAGATGTAATGACATTTCAAGTGAAGTTACTCATCGACAGGAGTAAATTAAAAGGGGAAAAAAAAGTACAATATTAGGTGTCATGTAGGTTAAATCAAGAAGTGCAACTTAATGATAGTATAATTAATCATTAATGATCCTTGAAAAGAATTAAACAAAATACAAAGAATAAATAAAAAACAAAAAGCATAGCAGTTAACTTTTTGTTTGAACAACTAAGAGTAAAGAAAGGAAAACATTATAATAAATGTTTGGACACAATTTATTCATATTTAACACAACATATAAGAATAATTGGAATGTTGACATTGAAAATATTTAATTCATTTGAATAATTAAAAGAGATGACTGAGGAATTTGAAAAAAAAAGTATTGATACATGTTAAAACACTTAAATATGACTTATCAATCGCCTATTATTAGTATAATTTTACAGATAAAAAAGTAAGATACCTATCAACTCCATGAATGTAAAGAAATTTTTTTTATCCTATGTCAGACATACAGCTCAATTTTATATGAATAGAATTAAAATCATATTAAAAGTAATAGTGCATCACCAACTGGAATTACTAAATATTAAATTATCATCATAAAAAATATTGCCTCGATATTTACAAACTTATTCCAATTATTTAAATTAATTGGATAATAAATAAATCTATTTTCCAATTGTTTAATGTTTATATATATCATAATTTGTATTAATTGTTCAACATTTTGCCTTTAAAATAAATAAAATTATTACTGGCTATAGAGTCTTGATGCTAACATATCTTTTTATTTTCTAAATATATTGGATATCTATATATGCCTCTATAATAATTTATCTAATTATCCTAGCATACTTTTATGTAATATAGGGTAAGAAAAATAATCGATCGTAGTCTTGTGAGAATTCTTCTCAAAATCATGTAATAATAAAAGCTCCCAACACTATTGACCGTAGTTTGAGTTATGGTGACACACGCTAACTGTGTAACTCGATGATTCTTCCAATTGTTCAATTACGCTATTTGATCCATGTTACTTTCTATCAATGTTAGGGCTTGTTATGGTTTTGTTTTTCTTCCTCTCCCCTGTTCTTTTTTTCGTAAGGTTATAGAGGAAATCGAAAAAAAAATTTTTTATTACAATTGCGATGATAATATCAAAAATAAGTAAGAAATAAAAATAAACCAATTTAGATAAGTTAAAATAAACCTTCTTTGAAAATATTATTCCTTTGTACATGTCTTCATTCAACAATGTTGAAGTATCTATCTGTGAAAATTAAACAAAAATAATCCTTATCTTTTTTTTTTTTCAAAACAAATATATGGTTCACCTCTATCGTTAAATTTATTGGTAATTACTATTTTTTTTGTTACCTGTTTTTTGCCCTTTTTCAGTTATGAGTTTCTATTCCAATTTACCATCAGTTGGATCTATTACAACATCTGATTCTTTGACCCCTACTTTATTCGAAATCATTTCTTCCAATGAAATAAACGATCTTTTACCAACATCAATAAGATACATTTTAACTAAATACTGGATTCAACACCATCCTACTCGCTTCAACATTGAATTAAATAATTGGTTTGATGAATGGTTCTATCTAATCCTTAAATCCACTGTTCAATGGTACCATCTGAATAAATATGATTCGACTTTTATTAATAGGTTTTATGGATTACAGCAGTATAATGGAAAATCTATCTTAAACCCAAATATCTCATCTCAATTCTCTTCTCCAAATAGCAATGTATGGTCTTCGTTATTAAGACTAACGAATAGACAACGTTGTGTTCTATTAGTACAAGATGTTCTTATCCCGTATTTAAATGAAAAACTGTCATATATACATAATCAACTAATAAGGGAAAGCCAAACTCTATTCCAGGTTCCAATGGTAAATGAATATGTTTCAGATAAATCCCATTTTATTTACAAATTGGAAGTTCAATTGAAAAAATTATTTATTAAATGGTACCCAAGAATTGTCAGATTATTATCTTTAATTAATTTAAGTATAAAATTGAAGTTTCTATCTGGGAAATATGGTTCAGAAACAACCTTATTAGAGTATCTTTTTAAGATACAATATACACGTTGCCTACATCCATTAGAAACATTGACAACAAATAATAGTAATAAAAATAACAATTATCAGACTGTCCCATTTGAGTTAAACAAAAAAACAAAATTAAATAATATCTACATTTACAGTAAACTAACTCGTATTTTCCATGATTTCATTCAGAAAAGACTTCTGTGGGCTGGATCCACTTTATTTCCGAGTTTTATTTTTTTATTAAAAGTATATCAATGGTGGAATCATGAGAATATTACTAGTAAAATAACCAACTCATTGAATCAATTAAATAAGTACGTTCCAAAACCACCACAAGCTAGATATGTACCTAATAGCGATGATATTTCTAGTCATAAGAAATGGAAAAATGACAAAAATCATTGTATTATCTGTCAAAATGTTATCACCAATTCTTGCATAATAGAGACTGGTTGCATTTCATGCTATCCTTGTATGGTTCAATATTTAAAAAATCATATGGGTAAATGCCCCTTAACTGGTAAAACTCTTCTTGGGTATAATCAAGATGACCCACATAATTTTGGACAGAGTATCCGTAGATTATTGATATAGAACAGGAAACATCATTTTTCCCTACCTGTTTTCTTTCCACTTTTTTCTCTCCTTCTCTTTTTCTCTCTACATACATATATATATATATATTCATATTATTTCTTCTACTTTTAATTAATGATTTCCCATTGATTACAAATAGTTTGGAATATGTCTATTTCATTTTCAATCAATGTTAGTTCGATATCAATATTTTCTGTATTGACATTTTGTAATCTTTGTATTAGTAAATTTATTCTAATAAGTATATCTTCACTTGGACTGGGACTTTCTTCCAAATAATCAATCATCTGATCTATTCTATTGATTAACCTTTTAATAAACTCAGTTTGTTCTTTTGTTTCCTTATTAAACACCTCATAATCTGTTAAATTAATATCTCTATCTGATCTTGTATATTGATAATTAATCCCTGGATTGCTATTTCGGTGTTTGTCCATATCTAAAGATGCTGGTATTAAATCAATGTTTTTATCATTTATTTCAAACTCTGTAAGGTACCATCTATAATCCCAGTAATAACATTTCAAGTGTAATTCATTATCTGCATACTTCTGGGCCATATCAATCGCACCTCTAATACTAGGTTCATATTCAAATTTATATTTAATTTGAAATGCATCAAGTATCATATTTACAAGTTCTGAATTATAGTTGATATTTGGATTGACTATTAATAAGGCTAAAGGCTTTATCTCTTCCTCCTGGCGTTTTAGGACTTGCAATAGTTCAACTTTTTGTTTAATTGAATTTGATAGAGCCACAGTATCTGTCAGATAATTTGATATATAGACGCTCTTAATTATATGTATTTGATTATCTTCCATGGATCCCATCAATATATGGTATTGCGAACAATTATTTGCATTATTCAGATATTTAACATTGTTATTCTCATTCCTTTTAATAGTCTTATTTATCTTTAACTTTTGTAATTTAACCAGTTCTAGTTCATAATTGTAATTTATTTCTAATAATACCACTGATTCAATGATCACCTGCATCTTCATATAATATATATGTACTCCCTAAATTAAGAAAAAAAAAAGGGTCCTCTTATCCTAATAACAAAGTACGTCAGATCTGATCTATACTTAACACTGATAGTTTTATTTTTAGTTTTGTTATCCATACAGAACCAATAATTTATAACTTAGTAACAGCTAATTTGCATACAGAAAAAATATAATTTCTTTTAAAGAATACACAAAAAAGGTATAAGTATAATAAGAAATAAAAGAGTCATCAGTACCCTATATTTACAAGATATTATTATAAGTGTCAACTGTGTAATGAAACACATAGGTATATATATGTATAGATATGAAGCAAGTAAATAAATAAAAAGGAACTAACAATATGTGGAGTGATACATCATTGAATAATTAGCTCTTGACTGATAAAACAAAAAAGTACATCTTGTTCAACTAAACAATGATAGTACCAGGGTCAATAACAACACTTTGAGATGGATCATTTGTCGGTTGATAACAATACCATTTCATTAAAGCATCACTAGCAGCCTTAGCCTTAGCTTCTTTTAATGACGCACCAAAACCTTCACCAATTTTTTCTTCTCCGCTAAAAACACCAACGATAAAGACAGGACTCCTTGATAATCTACCAGATTCCGCCAACAATCTTGAGACTGGCCTTTCCAACTTTTCTCTTTCACATAACCTAGCTAATTCTCTTGTTGGTTGTTCAAATTCAAATAGTCTTGTGATATCGAGCTTTCTTCCATGCAAGATATGGCCATTAATGAACTTTGTGGATAATTTTGGATCGAATGTCCATAGAGTAGCAATAATACTTCTGATCACTAAAGCATATGCAGCTGTCTCTGAGAAATTTAATTTTGAAATAGATTCAATGCCGTCGCTGACCTTTTTCAAATTATTAAAATATCTTAGTTTCCCCAAAGTGACATTAACTGGTTCATTTCGAAGAAATCTTTCCATGATCGACAGATTTTCAGTTTCGACCCCCCAAGATTTGACAATAGATGCAAGGACTTCATCTGATATATAAGCATTAATAGCAACGTTTAACACAGGGGTAGGTAACCGTGGGTATTTTTGTAATAAGTATTTAACGGTTTCAAAAGTAAGTAGATTCTTACCAAAAATATTTAATCCGTAATTGTCTCTTTGTTGTTTTGAATAGTATGTTTCATTTAATTTGGTGTCCGTTGAAGGTAAAATAGATGGAATATTAGAGGATCGACATGTTAAACATCTTGAAAGTAAAGAAGTAGAAAACTCTTTTGGTAAATTCAATCTGCTGTGTAATGTAACCAATGCGGATGACTGATTACAAACATCTTCCGGCATATCTCGAAGAGTTTGTTGTAAGTTTTGATAATAATTCTTGTATTCTAATAATTGTGAGGATTTAGAAAACTCTTTTACACTAGAGTTAATGGAGTCTATATCTTTTGAATTTGTAAAATTGGTATCTATAGTTTCTGTAGAATAGTGGGATATCTTATTTTGAATCAATAATAATTTTTTATAACTGTTAACGTTACTTCTTGGTATGGTGATTCTAAGTAATTGTAAATGGGGTAAAGGGAATATTCTAACCAATCTCATCTTTTCTATATATATATTCTTATCTTTGATTTTGTATCAAACTATGGGTATTATACTCTAGTCAGTCCACCAAATATATGTTCTAGTATCCATGCCTTGTCTTTTTATCAGCATATATGTTTTTATTGAGATGAATCTGTTTCTTTACAAAAGAGAACTTTTCTTTGCTTTGTGTGTGTTCAGGGCTATCTGCGATTTATTATTATTTTTTTTTTCTATTTCTGTATTTTCCTTTTTCTCGATCTACAAAAGTTCAAATTTTAATAAACAGTAAATTATATCATTCTTGACGAACAAAATAGTATCCACAGAAAAATCTGTTCCACTTTAGAATACTTTATTGACTAAATAAATAAATAAATAAATTCTTTCTAAGAAAAGTAGTGCATATAAGGCAAAGGATGTTTTTTGAGGATAATTAAATTTACAATATCATATGACATTCATATTATTAATTCATTAAATTGTTGTAGATCAACTTTGATATTATGATTAAATAAAAAAAAAGAGATTAGGGTTGAAAAATATTGTTAGGGTTTTTGTGATGGTTGTCAAGAAAAAGTTCTAGTTTGGATTTATAGGACTTAGGGTTTGTTGATAAATCCCATATGATTGTTGAATACTAAGTAACAAAATGAAACATTAATGAGTTAATTAAAGAGTTAATTAATGAGAGATGTTTTTACGGTGACAATCGTTACAGAACCCCAAATAAGAAACTATCAACCCATGATTCATATATAAAGGATCATCATCTTGATATCTAAATTTGTGTGTTTAGTTGATTTATAATTATATGTAACATATTGTATAATACGAAAAAGAACAAGCAATAATTCTTTTAATTTTCCTATATATATAACGTTCTTATATATATTTTTATTGCCCTTACTATTCGTCCAATAGTCCTATTAAAAGTGTTGTAATTTGGAGCCTTCTGCATCCATGGTAATGGTAGACATCATTAAGTTATAGATGCTTATTTTATTTTTGTATTAAATACATGTACATATTTATTATATAGTGTATTCAGTATACATTCTTTTATTTACTTTAAGTTTTCTTTTAAAGTTTTTCATTTCTTTTCAAATCTTCGAAAAACATATTTAGTGACAAATAAAATGTTTTCCTGATATTATGGTACATCCGTACACCACATAATATACAGAAAAAACTAATTAAAAATAATTCTTATGGAAATGACAGTAATAAACTCTCATTTTCCAACAAATATATTAGCTCAATATAAGCCGCTCAATATATAAGACCGTTTTTGTAATTATATTATCGACTACAGTTGATTACTGTCTCGATTATTTGAATAACTATTAATATTATTTGCGCTTCCCTGGAATACACAAAGAATTTCACCACTTCATAATACGACATGAATTGTGTTGTTATGGGCGTGTGGCGTAGTTGGTAGCGCGCTCCCTTAGCATGGGAGAGGTCTTCGGTTCGATTCCGGACTCGTCCAAGGTTTTTGATATTAAAATTTATGACTTCGGCAATAAGAGAAACATCCTTTAGGATATTCCTTATATAACTGTGTAGGGGTTTGTTTAAAAAAAAAAGGGTTGGCGATATTTTTCTAAACTTTCTCTTTTGCAAATTTTACAAACATAAAAGCAGGAGTAGCCAACATAAGTACAAGGAAGTAACGAAGGAAGCAAGGAACAAGGAACCAAGAATTAGATAGGTTTAGATATATAGTATATAAGTGTATACTATTAGGTTATCTTAGATTAGGGATATAGATATATAGATATATAGGAATATTACATCTAGAGATATAGAAAGAATCTATATCTTATATCTATCCAAGTGAAATATTATTGAGATTTCAACAAGAATTACTGTTATCAGAAACACATAACCTCAGGGTTATTACATCCATTACGACAGATGTACTCTTCAAGACACTAAAATAGATAAATATAGCTTGGTTGGTTCCTTATATGTTATATAAACTATACTCTACATAAAGAGTAAACTGACGTACACAGATATACAAATAAACGTAATTATATAAGTAAAAAAACAAGAACGTCATTGCCAAGTTAAGAGTTCACAAGATCGTTTATAGTGATATCCAGATTCCGTATGTCACAATCTCTTTTAGTTTTGATTGTAGATGCAAATCTAAGAATACTAAAAGAAAAGAGATAAAACTAGTAATTGCATGTAATGCCCGTAAATTATAATAACTTGATTTATCTATTTTATTTTTACATTATTCACGTTCACATTTTTGGTCAAAGTTAGAATTATTGTAATAGCTAGATGATTATAATAGATGAGGGTCTACTATAAAAGATACGTTCTTCCCGAATATCAGATATGATGATAAACTCCTAATTGTTTCCTTTATGTATATGATACATAATTATGCTGTATATAAGGTAGTAGTCTATATAAATATATCTGGAAAGATAGATGTAACATTAGTAAATATGAAAAACAAGTTCGTCTTCAGTGACATTAGAACAAAATGTATCGTAGACTAATCATTTTGAAGTTCAAAGCTCTGCTATATTTAGTAAGTGATTTAGCCATTCCCAACAGATACTTCCTATCAGCATCTTACCTTTAATATGAATTCAATAAGATAGTGGAAATGAGCATGTGACACCATTTCAACTCTCAATATTTTTAACTGTTTTGGACATAGTGCGCTTTAATGACATTACTATTTGGTTGTTTATTTTTTATCTAAATCAATGTTTATAAGAAGTCTGTTTACTGGTTCCTTTCCCTTAACAAAAAGACTATATTCAGTAACTGCAAATTTGCCTACAATATATGCATTAGCTACATCAAGAGGACATAAATCTGCTATCGCCATCTTAAGAGTCTCTGGATCACAGACTAAACTTATTTATGAGTCCCTTACAGGACGTTCAATCCAAAGATTAAAACCTAGATATGCATATATAACCAAAATATATTCACTACAAACTGCATCAAATGAATCCAGCTCATTGATTGATTCCCCATTAATGTTATATTTCCCTAAACCGAACAGTTATACGGGGGAAGATATGATTGAATTTCATTTGCATGGAGGTGAAGCTATTATAAGTTCGGTGATTAAAAATATATCACATTTACATGATCCTGAAAAATCAATAAACATCAAATATGCAGAACCTGGTGAATTCTCGAAGCGCGCCTTTCAAAATGGTAAACTGGATTTAACTGAAGCAGAGTCAATTAATAATTTGATTAACGCAGAGACTGAAATGCAAAGAAAATCTGTCATGTCAAGTTTTAATGGGAACAATAAAGCGCTTTTTACAAAATGGAGGGAACAATTAGTAGTATCTATGGGTAAATTGACTGCATTGATTGATTTTGCAGATGATAATGAAATTGAAAACGGTAATAGCTTCCAGTTATTAGATGAAATTGAATCTGAGGTTATGCTGGTCAAATCAGAGGTTGTCGATTTTGTTGACAGATTAAATAAATCTAAATTGTTACTTGATGGGATCAAATTAGTCTTATTTGGATCTCCTAACGTAGGAAAGTCGTCTATATTGAATTGTATAACTAACGAGGAAACTGCAATAGTGAGTGATATTCCAGGGACCACTAGGGATTCAATAAATACTGTTATTGATATGAATGGTTATAAGGTGGTCATAGTAGATACAGCGGGAATACGAAATAAAAGTAAAGATTCAATTGAGTTAATTGGGATTGAAAAAGCTAAACAGAAATTTCTTGAAGGTGATATATGCTTATTAGTGTTAGATGCCACTAATCCAATGATTGACCCTGTGCTATTAGAGATGATTGCATTGCAGAATGATCATCAAATGAAACGTTTAGTAATTGTACTTAACAAGACAGATTTAGTTTCTAATGCTGATATTTTAAGAATAAGACAAGATCTTTACCAGAATAAGTTTTTAAAAGAAAAACCAATTATTACTGCTGTGTCATGTAAGAATTTAAACGGGATTCCAGAATTACTCACTTTGTTAACCAAACAATGTGAAGAACTTACTACAGAACAAGAAGGTGTAGAACCAATCATAATGTCTGAGAGAGTAAAAGATATATTAAATAAAGATATATTGTATGGTATTGATGAATTCCTTCAAAATAAAAAGGAGAAGAATATTAGTGATTTAATCATATTATCAGAAACATTACAATACTCAATTGATGGAATAGGGAAAATTCTTGGAGACGCAGTAGGATTGGACGAGGTGTTAGATGTCGTCTTTTCTAAATTTTGTATTGGAAAATAAGGACTGCATAAAAAGAAAATTATATAATATAAAACATAATAAGAACAAATTTGATATATGTATATATGATTGTATTTATATTGACATCAAATAATCGTTAAACAACTATATATATATATACATATACTTCCTGCTTTCTCCTTCATAAAAGAATATCCCTCTATATCTGTTTATCTGCTAGTAAGCATATAACCCATGGCCATTGTCTAAAGTTCAAAACCCTAAGGATTTTAAAATGTTAAGTTTAACCTGTCTCTCAAATTCCGACCTATTATCCCTCCAAAGAATGCATGCATCGATATTTGCTCCACTTTCAATATTTGGTTCACTTAATATACTCATCACACTCAATAAAATTTTCTCTACACTTTGCACAGGTGACCATCTTTCTTCGGCCAATTCATACATATTTGGATCCTCACCAGGGGCATGTAAAATGGAAATACAGACTTCCCCATTTGGGTAAACATTTGGATGTAAGATACTTGGTGTAAAAGTTAATTTTGGTGGAGATAAAGGATAATCCCTGGGAAACTCCAACTGAGCATTAAACACACCACCTTCATATGGTGTGTCTGGAGGACCTTGAATCAAACAATCCCAGAGAAATAAATTATCTTCGTCCTTTGGACCAGCCACGATCCCAGGTGGTGGATCCTTAACCAACTGTTGATATTCTTTCAGCAGTCTCTTTTGAGCAGTTTTAGACATCTTTCTATAAATTGTTTATATTTAATATATATTTTTACGTATCTGCACGTATGTATGCGTGTGTGTATGTATATATAAAATGATAATTCTTCTGTAAGAAATACCTGCCTTGTTTTCTGTTCTCTTCTTTTCCTTAATTTAAAAGATTTAAATTAAAACAAAAATAAGCTAGTTCTTTTCACCTTCTAATGATTGTTAATGACGATTATCTTTCAATTTTACTTCCTTGGGTACCAATGAGTCACTATTTTAGTGATTGCTTTGCTGTTCAACTGGCTTTAGTCAAAGGAAATGGTTCCCTTTGTTCGTTCAATTCTTTCTAATAGGCAGCACAATAACAAAGAATAAAATTATTAAGCCAAACGCATCACCATTGCAACAAAAAGCGAAAAGAAAAAAAAAAAAAGGAAAAAAAAACAAAGAAAAGAAAAGGCAAACTCTATTTTGAAATATTCGCTCGAGAAATTTATCTTTCGAGAGAGAGTTACAAAATTTGGGAAAAAAAAAAAAAAAAAACAGGGAAAGACCGAGAAGTTTCAGTGCAAGATGAGGAATTTCAATGGGGATTAGGCTGCCGGTAAAAGAACAAAGTGTGTATGTGCCTTTTAGATCCAGTAATGTTTATTGTTGTGATTGTTAAAGACCATTACGCAAAGTCATTAATTTTTTTTCGTTTTTTATTTACCAAAAATTTCTTTAATTATTTGTTAGTTTTCTCTAAAACTATTCTATAGTTATTATAATCATAGAGTTTATCAAGAATATTTATATGTCTGCCTCTTTATTTTCCTTGCTAATTTGATTGCATCAACTGCTTTAGAGAAAGAAGTAGAATTAGACAACAATAAAAATTACATTTCTGAATAGCTAAGAGCATTAATACAGGACTTGCAGGCATACAATTTTAGCTAGAGAATCAAATATTATTGTTTATCAATCTTAAAGAGACAGTAGATACACTTTATTATTTTAATTTAAAAAAAAAACAATATAATAACAGTAAAATATGATTATTTATAATGGTGACAAATATGCATGTATATCATGTATCAGAGGACATAGGTCTTCCACTTGTAAACATGCTGCAAGAATGTTGGTCAAAGTAAGAACGAGAGGAAGACCATCTCCAGTTGATATTAGAGATGTTATAATGGTGGATGTTACATCAAGAGTGAAAAGAAAGAAATTACCGTCTAAGAAGCATTGCTGCGATGACATTGACCATTCAAATCCCCATGGCTATGAGTATGGAGATACTGTAGAAGAAAATGATCATCCACCAGGTCATGAAAATTGTTGTAAAAAAATGGATGCACAACCTATTATATTTATTAAGGCTAAACAGACTCAAAAGGCTATGGTCGTGGATGGTAAATTGAAAATTATTGTCAAAGATCCTGAAACCGATGGCGATGAAGTCAAATATATATCTGAAAAGGAATTCTTAAAAAGCGTTTCTGCCCAAACAATAAGTAATAATACAGAGAATACTCCTCCTGAACTTTCATTTAGTACTTCTGCACATACTAATAATAATAATGATGATGTCGTTGATAAGAGATTACAGAACTATAGTGTGCCTCAAATTTCAAGAAAAAAATGTTGTGATCCAAATCATATTATCAAATCAGATGTTTCATCCCCAATAGATAATAGAGTCGGTAGAAATAACCCCATACCTACTTATTCAATAGCAATGGATGCAGTTTCGCCACCTACAACAGTAGAGTCGGTTACTTCAAATGATTCTCCAGGAAATGATACTCCCTTGCAAACTTTAAATAAATCATTTAGCCATTTGACAAGTGATGATTTAGAGTCTAAGAAATTATCAGTCGACATTTTCACTCATAAAGGTCTTTATTTAAGCTCAGAATGTTCTTGTCCTGCAAATGAATGTGATTGTATTAATTGTTTGATTCACAGAAATGAAGAAGAATTAAATAATTATGTTTTGCAAAGTGGAGTACCGTTAACGAACATACTAGACTCATCAAAACCCGGGCCTTATGATGTAACAGCTTGTTCAGGTCCTGACTGTGAATGTTCTTTGATTGATTGTACTTGTCAATCTTGTTCAGTACATCCTACTGACATTATACCATTTGAAAGATTCTATTATCAAGGTTTTAATAACATCACGTTAAGAAGAAAGACAATAATAAAATATAAACACAAACTGATTCCTTCAGAATATTGGTGGGATTTCTTGACTGTAGAGTTACCAAGTGTTAATACAGAGACTTTGGAGACAATTGATCTAAAGGATTATTTTGAAAAGCTGCTAAAAAAATATCAACATGAATTCTTAAATAGTGAATCAGAGTGGGGTTTATTAAATGATTTGGAAGGATTTTATGTGATATGATTGAAATTAAAGTGCTACAAACTTATAAACGAAAAGATAAAAGAACAAAAGATACAATAAATATATATAAATTATATGATTTTATGTATTTAATAATTCTATAATATATTCGTTAAAAATCAAAAATAACACAAATCAAAAGTACTGAATTGGTCGAAATATCATAAGGTAGTATGTTCGGCAATATAAGTGGCTTCACGATGACCACTTTCCCATGCACCATATACACAACCAGCACCATCCATCACTGTATGCTCACCAGCAAATCTAATTTTTGAATCTTGCCCTTCATTCATTGCTACAATCATATACCAACCATCATCACCAGGTTTACATGCTGTATAGGAACCTCTAGAATATGGATCGGAAGACCAATTAGAACAAATGATATTCTTCAGTATCGCATGGTTTCCACTTTCACTAACATCTTGATCTATACCATTAACAACTGATCCACTATTAAATGTAGACATAACCTTATTTAAGATAGGTTCAAAATATTGAAAGATTTTATTGTAATCATTATTTAATGATTCAATATATTTTGAAACTGGTTCTTGCGTTAAAATCATTAAACTGGGTGTTCCATTGATTTTTTCAAAATTGATAATATAGAATGGATGTTTCCAGCAATCTTCTTCTTCTTGATTATCTAAATTAGATAAATCTTTAACTAAAGTTGAAATATCGGTAGAATTTCTGACTATTTCAACAAATTTTCTAGATGATTGAGCTAAAGTTACTATTTTACTACTCTCAGCAGACCATGTTGCCTTTTGAAATTCAAAGACTACCTTACCTAAAGATCCATAATGTATTGAATTTAAGCCTTTCACAATCTTTTCATTTAATGGTGGGTTAAATTCTATCCTTCCATTCAATTGTTTATTATCCAATAAAGATAATTCAAGAACACTTTGTGGAATAGTCACAATCACATAGTCAACAACATGTGTATCACCGGACGTAGTAGTAATAATAACCTCATTATTTCGACGGGTAATAGAATTTACTACAGTATTTAACTTAATCCAGTTAGAGGGAAAATTTCTAGCTATTCGTTGAACTAAAATATCAAAATTTAATACCATAGCATTTCTACCTTGATGGCCGAAATATGTATCCTTTGCACTTAAAGATTTCCAATCACAACCATGCCATAGTTCTAAGAATCTACAAATTTGTGGAGCATACCTAATTTGTTCATCACTTAAAAAGTTCTTTTTTTGAAATAGATATTTTATTATAAGTTCATAGAATGATGTATCAGGGATATCTAAGCTTTGGTGATATTGCATATCTGCAAATTTTTCGACTTCTCTGTCAATGAACTCTAGTCTCATTTCGGGATGTCTGTCAACACGTCCATAATTCTTATCTATATATATATTGAAATCGTCATCAAAAAGAAAGGGTGCTGATGAGCCATCATTTTCTTGTAATTTAGCTTCCTCATCGAACAAGCCATTACATAAAGTATCATGATGCCACCCTGCACCCATATCGTACTTTCGAATACCATCAAATCCAGTTACTGTATACAACCTACCACCAATTCTGTCTCTGGCTTCAAAGATCTTCACTTGTGTAAACCCCTTCGCATGAAGTGTTGATGCAGCCTTTAAACCTGCTATCCCGGCACCGATAATTGCTACTCTGGACATTATTAACACTATGTTCCACGGTTCTTTTATAGTAATTTAGTTGGATTCTTATTTTTTCTACAAAAGAGAAGGGAGTTTCTGTTTAATTAATTAATTAATTGCAGGATAACCAAGAATACTTATGTAAATCTTGTCAAAAATATCGAACATATTTATTTAACGACTAAAAATAAATCTAGGGGGTGAGTGAAATAAAGAAAAAAAATAAATCCAAAAAGAGAAATTAATAAACATCCTGATATATACATACACAAGTTGATGGAAGAGTACTGAACCTCATTGATAATGGTATAATTATACAATTCTATTGGTTTGTAATATAATTATATATATATAAATAACAGTGTTATTTGTAAGATAGATATAATCTAATCATTTGTTTAGAAAGAGATTCTTCAAGTTCCTTGCAAGGTTACATGCTGTTTATTCTTTGTTGTTTGATATGAGCTTGTATTGATTATCCTCCGTAAATATACAATCACTAATTTAACGTTTATATTCACAATAAAAAGAAATATTATCAAGACTTAGCAATTAGTTGGACTAGATAATTCACCAAATCTATTTATTAATGACAAAAAATTGCTGTTAAAAACCTACTTCATTATCACGTACATCAGTACTCGACTTGTTTAAAATTATTATTTCAGAATAAATAGTCTATTCTACGATTTAAATATTTCATCTGCTTGCCTACACATTTATTTAGATGAAGAATGTATATTAGAACATTAACCCATAAAGAATTATTTAATAGAGATATGAAGCTAAAAAAATTTCCTTTATGATCTAAAATGAAGTAGAATTAATTAGTTCAAAAGTACTCAAAAATTGTTGGAAGACAAATGAAATCTTATAAAAAGTAACAACTGATTATGTATTTTCAAGAATAATTATTTCTTTGTGAATTGTTTCCCGAATTATGTAAAAAGTTTCTCGCAACTATTCTGTATCTTCTCCAGTGGTAGATGTAGACATTGGGTGAGAACTTATCAACTTTAGAATGCCCTCAATATCATATATTTCATTCTTATGCCATGTTTCAAGTTATGTTCCAAATAGTTTATCTTTTTTAAATAGGTATTTTTGAATAGATGTTTCTTTTTCAAATTTATTTCATATTATTAGCTATTGTAGCTATAACTTTTTCACAAGGAAAAGATTTTCATTTTGATTTGACCCTATATCCCTCAATCTCATCCCTTAGTTTCTAAACTAATTTAACAATTGATTAGATATTTTCAATAAAAAAAAGTTTTAGTAGTAATATTTTAATTATCTTTCACAAATGTTTTTTTCCAATCATAAAGCAGAATTAAAATTAATACCATTTAAGATGGCATAATAATTTAACCTTTGTTAACTTTCATCTCTCTGATCTAGAATTTGCTGTAGTGAAATAAATGTCAACAATTTTTTATTTATAAGGAAAATTAATGCGAAAAAAAAAAGATGAATAACAGCTTACGTGACTACAATAATATTAAATATTCAATACTTTTTTTTGATTCTTAGAATCATTTTAAATTTAAATAATGATATGTCATTTGATTTTTGTTATAAATAATTGTCATATACTGCTTCATAATCTAAATTATTTTTTTTTTCTCAAATAAATTTTATCTGAGATGACATATCTGCTTCTCCATATCTTCAGTCCAAAAGCTGACTTTTTTTGCTATTCAGATTTACTTTATACAATTTAGTTATCTCAGTTGTATTGATATGACATATATACCATGGACTTTATATTAGCCAAGCGAACCCATATTGATTATCTCTTTTAATAATAATAGCAGGCTCGATATAATATAAGAATCAATGATGAAAACGTCATATAAAATATTGTTATTGGAAAAAGTGAAAATTTTAGAAATGCATTCCGTAGATTCAAATTATACAATAAGAAGTTAGGAAGTTAATAAAGAAAAAACATACACAAAATACATACAAAAAAGAGTGTCTTAGAACCATGACTGAACCTATCACCTTATCACTATCACCATTATAGTTTTGTTTTTTTTACTTGAATTTTTTTTTCATAGAAAATTCTCATTAAACCAATGTAAAGTGGCTAAGAGATCATCTGAAAGTAAAGAATCAGTAGTATTTGTCATAGACCCCTCAGTAAACTCAAATTGTGCATTTGCAGATACTTCCTGTATCTGTTCCAGTGTATTATTTTGGTCCTTATGAACCGTTTGTTTTGATTCGTGTTGTTCTTCTTCATTTTCTTTAACACGATTAAATTGCTGAAAATTATTCTGATTTGGAGTATTATCACCATGATCTATGCCAATGGTTTTTGACAAAAAGCCAGTAGAATCTTGTATAATGAGAGTAATCATATGATTTAGCATTTTGATACACCAATCACATTGTTTCAGCATGACGGGTGGGTTCCAAGGTGTTGCATTTTTAACAATTTTCCACAATCTTGATATTTGGGACAAAATATGGCGGTATGACAAAGTTTGTAAGTTTGAATATGAACAAATCAATGATATTAATGTTATTGTAAATAGATTAGATAATTGTAGCCACCAAGGAACGAAGAATAAATTGTTTGTGCATAGATGAGTAAGTAAATCCAATGCCATCAGGACATGCGTTAGTAAATTTGAGGAATCCAGTGGTAAAATAGCTGAATTTGAATTTGTATTTGATACCTGATGACATGCTATAGGAAGCAAAGATCGTATCTCGAAAGTTAGTGTTATGTCAAGATATGTAAATAATGGTTGTAACTGTAGAACGGTGAGGTTATCTCTGGTTATATTTACAGAATTTGCTTGAATCCATTCAGATAGGTGTTTTCTAAATGCTATTGAATCAGGCAATTCCATTTCAAAGCATTTGTACTGTTGGAACTTGTAAATAATCAACGACAGATCATACATTTGCCTTGTCTCTTCATGGAACCAATCATCTTTGCCATCAACAGACATTGTATGGGACACTTGACCAGTTGTTGTATGTCTTGGTGTTGGCATGTTATTCAAGGGCAACTCCAGTTGAAAAGTTCTGCCCATTTGGAAACTTATGATCTTATCCATAATGAAACAAGACCAAAAACAATGTGACGCTTTCATTTCATCATAAGGATGGTGTTTCGAGGGAAACATGTTCATTTCGAGGGACATCCCCTTGACCAGAGAAATGGCTTTGGACAGAGCGTTCCAAGTGCTCGTCTGTCTGTGACAAGTGCGTAGATAGAATGCGATCAATAGCCATGATTGAATCAATTCGAAGGATTCCCACTCGAAAGTCAATTTTTGTATGAAATCGTATGAATAAACAAATAGATGTTGTTCCAAGTTGACGGCCTTTGCACCGAAAAGAAAGTTAAATTCCCAATCCTCGAAAACTATCCCATTAGCAGGAGAAGGATCCGTATAGGTAGTGTTATTTCTTGAGATTAGACCTGCGTTGAACCTTATTGTGATAATAATGATCAGATATAGTAGAGATTGAAACAACTTATTAGATTTACCGACTGGGTTAAGATTAGGTAAGAATTTGTTATTGAGTTGAGAATAGAAGATGGATTCGTGGAGGATGCCAAAGATGGGATTGCAATGATTGAAGTACCATTGTAAGATTTTTTTAATTAAATTGATATGTTTAGTATTTTTGAAATCGAAAAAGTGTGGCTCGTTAAGAAAACAAGGGTCACCAAATTTAGGGAAATGGCCACCTGCCATATTCCAAGTATAATTTTGTATTCGTGGTCTTTCAAGATCCCACTGTTTTATAATGGAGGGTGATAATTGTTGGATTAGATTATCAGCGAAAAAATAAGGCAAAACATTTTGATACCTTCTGTGGAACCTATATTTATCTATAGAAAAAGTGAAGTATGGAGATGGGCTAAGGGGGATGTCAATATTAGGATTCAGATAAGAGGAAGAAGAAGAAGGAATAGTGGTAGTCGGGGTATTTTTTAAGTGTGATAGATAATGTTTGATAGGATACATACAATTTTGATTAAAACGAATACAATTGGAACATGGTCTACCACGATCACATTTGACTTTTTTTTTCTTACAGAATTCACATGCAGTATTGATTCTATTTTTATTTGGGTTTGACTTATGAATCATGATTGAAACACTTCTTGATAAATAGAAAAGTAAGATAGTAAAATATAACCTAATACCAGTTGGAGTAACATATCTGTTTGTGGAAAGTGCCACTAGTACTGAATGAATGGTTATAGAACACAGATATTACTCATCACCACAGATATACATACATAAAGAGAGAGGGAGAGAGGAATAAGGGCTTTTTCTATATTTTATACTATAAAAGAAAGATAAGCAAACAATATGCTAGCTAGGGTTGGTCTTGTAGTAATCAGTATGTATTTATTGAAATTCCAACAACACCCTAACCTCCCAAAGGAGGGGAATTGGTAAAACAAAACAAGAAACACATATTAACCCTAGGTTTTTATGCTATAGTACAACGCTCGAGACCCAATAACAGACAACGGAATATAGAAAAAAAGGCAAGAAAACAAAAGAAAATGAAATCTCAACTGCTTTTTCTTTTTTTTTTGTCTTTTTCTAAATGCAAGAATAAGAATGAGAATAAGAATTAAACAGGAGAGGCAGGAGAAGGAAAGGAGTTAAAAAGGAGATGAATATGATAAATTTCTTTGTCTTTTTTTTTTTATTTATCATTTGTTTTTTCCTTCGTATGCCGCAAAATTTCTTTTGTCTCTTTTCATTCATTCGATGAAAAAAACAAGTAGATAAATTAATTCATAAAAAAAAATAAAAATAAAAATAAAAATATGCAAGTAGCAGAGATCTTTGCGTATCTTTGCACACAATATGGTGAAAAGAGAGGAAAAGCAGAAGCAGAAGAAGAAGAAAGAGGAGGAAGAGGGCGAGGGGCAGAAGGGAAAAGAGACTGTTTTGTTTTGTTGTGTTTTGTCTTGTTCAGTTTTTGCTGTTGCTGCAATTGTGTGCATATTGTGCTTTCTTTTCTGTCTGTCTATCTGTTTGGTTTGGTTTGGTTTGGTTTGGTTTGGCTGTTTCTATGTTTGTTTGTTTGTCTTTCTTTCTCTCTCTTTGTATTTTCTCCTTCCTCGTGTTTTAATTTCTATGTTTTTTCTATTTTTTTTTTTATATAAGGAACAATCGGGACAAAAAATCGTCATAATACGTAGATGCCAAAATATGCCTCCTTTTGATGTACTCTTAAATAATTTACATCGACGTCCTGTTGTTTGGTTGTTTGTTTGTTCATTTTTCCTTTTTCCTTCTTTTTCTGTTTTTCTGTTTTTCTTTTTTTTTTTTTTTTTTTTTTTTGGTATCTAATCTATACGTATTCTGTCTTTCTTCATTTGGACCCTGCCTGCTCTTCTTTCATTCTCTTGATTTACTTTACTTGCTTGGCTTGCTTAGATTTTGTGTATGTATTTTGTGTGTGTGTATGTGTGTGTTTCTCTTGTTCCTTTGACTGAATTTCTTTTTTTTTTTCTTGTTTTCTTGTTTTCTTGTTTTTCCTTTTATTGGATTTTTTTTTGCTAATGCCAGCTCGATACTTTCGTTTCCACATATTTATACATATAATATACAGAGATATATCTGGTCTATTGTTATATGTACCACCAGCATTATTTACTAGTTCAAAACAGAAATAATCCAATAGTTCATTAGTTGATAACATACTAATTGCATATCCATTCCTATTTTCTATTCTATTCATTAAAACATTGTTTGTTTGTTTGTTTGTTTGTTTGTTTCCTACCTCTACTTAAGTCAACTTAATTGTTAATATTAAAATTCACAGTAAATAAATAAACAAATAGAACACCACAGATATCCAAAAAAAATAAAATAAAATAAAAGATAATACTAACTCTAATATACATGTTACATAATGTCTTCAGATAATTATATGACTAGTCACGGATCTACGTACGTGGGTACATTCGATTCCAGTATGAACCACATTTCAAACAGTACATTAAGTAACCCACCAATTCCTTCTCTTTCTGCTAGTGCCACAGATACCTCAAACTTATCGGCAAACACCAATACAACAACAGTCACTAGTGGCTCGCCCCCTTTGTTTGCTAATCCTAATTCCTCTGCTTCCACAATCACCACCATACCTCCAATTAAACAGCCATTTCCACAATACTATGCAGGTCAACAGCCAGCACAGCAACATCAATCGCTGCAACATCAGCCATTGCAACCGCAGATACAGTCACAACAGCATTTTACACAAGGGCAATACCAAATACAAGCTCAGCCGATTGCATTACAACAACATCAACAGCCAACTCAATATTACACACAAGATTACAGTACGATAGATCCCTACTATCAAGCTCAGCAATATAACAATCAATACTATTATACCAATGGCATCGCCACTAGCGCTGTTCCATATCAGTATCCACAGAGTTTTGTTCCACTACAATACGGTGCATATGCACAATTAGCCTCCTCTACACGGGGGCAAGCACACCCACAAGTAACTTCTTTACCGTTACCATCACAACACCAATCTCAAGTGCAACAATACTATTATGATCCTACTGTTGCTGCTACCGTCGCTACTGCCACTACTGCCGCCACTGCTGCTGTTACTAATGCTCCAACAACAACAACAGCAGCAGCAACTTCCTCTTCTATTCCACCTATCTCTAATTTCATTACTGGAGCTGGATCAACTATAACTACTGCCCTAGATAATGGTATAAAGGACAGTAATAACAATAGTCATAATAATAGTAATAACAATAACAATAACAATGACAGTAATAGCAGTAATAGTAGTAGTAATAATAATAGCAATAACAATAATGTTGTTTCTCTTATTACTCCTTCTATTGCTCCAATAATCAGTACTTCTAATAATAACAGTGGTAATGTTGTTACTGTTAGTGATGGTGCTAGTACGACAATTGGTGCTGCCTCTATTATCAATAGTACTACTACAACTAATAACAACAATAATATTAGTACTAGTGCTAATACTGGTAACAATACTAGTAACAGTAACACCAACAGTAACACCAACAGTAACAGTAGTAGTAGTAATAATAGTAATGGTGGTGGTAATGGGTACGTACAAGAGGAATATACACAACTAGCACCGTTACCGCAATTACAAGCAATTTCTCCACATCTTCCAGTTCCGTTTGCTTCACATCAACAACAGCAACAACAGCAACCGTTTTATTTCACACAACAGCAAACACCACAGCAGCGACAATTACAAACTCAATCACCATTTCAATTACAGCCACCGATACAAACACAGCCACTCCAACCTACAATCCTGCCTACAATAAAACCACCAGTCCCATCCTATCGTACAGTTCCACATACAAATTTCGGTGTTATTACTACTATGTGGGAGGATGAGAACACACTGTGTTACCAAGTGGAAGCCAATGGTGTTAATGTTGTGCGTAGAGCAGACAACAACTTCATTAATGGAACGAAACTGTTGAATGTGACAAGAATGACTCGTGGTAGAAGAGATGGGATTTTAAAAGCAGAGAAGGTGAGACACGTAGTCAAGATCGGGTCCATGCACTTGAAGGGTGTTTGGATTCCATTTGAAAGAGCTCAAATAATGGCACAACGAGAGAATATATTGGATTTGTTATACCCGCTGTTTGTACCTGATATCGAGTCATTATTATCGGGCAATTAAAGCAAGAGATTATTGAAAGGATACCATGGCCATTCCTATATGTGACTGGCCCACTGAATTAACAGAGTTACTTTCGCTGTCTGATGGGAAAAGTCCGGTATAATCAGATCAAATAAACAGACACGCTAAACAAAAACGAGTAAACAATATCCCTGTGTTATAATGTTGGCTATATAGTTGATATTGTTCATAAATTACTCTGTGTATTATCTAATTGTATGTATACATGTTAAATATATAATAGATTATTTCAAGGTAGGCAAAGGAGGGGGAGAGGGAGGAGTGGAAAACAATGTAGTTAAATTCTCGTTGCTTATCGTCGTTCAATTCTTCTTTTTTTTTTTTATCTAGTGAACTAGGGAACTACAAAGAATAATTTTTTTAAAAGAAATGGGAAGGAAGCCCTTATTTTGTATATCTGATAATATTTGAATAAGTAGATGTTGTCATGAAACCTCGCCAAAAAGCCCTGGTTCATAAGAAGCAAAATAAAATGATGATCTTGACACACAAATGTGTTTCGCCAAAATGCAAAAAAAAAAAAAATCCCATTGCAAGCGTGCAACCCTTTGCGAAATAAAGAAGAGACGTGTTTCTCTGTCCCCTTACTCCAATAAGTTTTTTGTTGTTGTTATTTTTTTTCTTTCTTCCTTTCTTTCTTATTGTTGATTTTTTTTATTTGAAACGAGATCTTAACCGAGAATTAAACGAGTATGGGTGTTTTTTCTTTTTTATAATGCGTCATTTAGTTAGGGGTTTCGTTTTTCTCTCTATGTCCCCTAGCGGAATTTATGAAAATAGGTTAGGTTACATGTTTTGCTCCTTTTTTTTTCTTTTTCTGTCTTACAAAAATAAAATACACTTGTATTTCTTTTAAAAGATCTGTACTGATAGGAGAGGTTGAAATCCTTTTTACTTGTTTCTAAGTCGATATCGAATAGTAGTTTCATAGGGTAACTATCAAATAACACAAAAACAAAAAAACAAAAGAAACCCTTTCTATTCGTTGTTCCTTCTTTCGGTCGATATTGTTTTTTTTTTTTTTTGACAAATTTTTTCGTGCTTTGTGTTTGATTCTTCACTTTTTCTTTTTTTTTTTTTTTTTTTTTTGACGTTGGAAATATCGCAAAAGAAGAATTTCGGTGATTTTTTTGAAATTTTTTTTTTGTTTGTTTGTATTTGTGTTTTTTCTTTGTAGTGCAAAAATCCGAAAAAATCCAAGAATACAATCTTAAGGGAAATAGAAGGAAAAAAAAACAATACAGATATAGGACCATAGGGCTTTGTTTGGCCCGTGGACACGGATATAATGAATGATAAGAGAGTATCGAGTTTTATAATATAATCTGCGACAATATATAAGTCAATAAACTCAGTTCTTTCATACACATACACACACATATATATATATATATCTGTATACATAAACAACTGTAATTGATATTCCCCTTGTTTTGGATTTTTGATACTTAACTTTTTATATCCTTTGTATTTACACTTACTCTTATGTAAAAAGGACAAGCATACAAGCATACAAAAAGAAATCAGAAGATTATTAATGTATAACACTACAGAAACAGTTACAGAATTGAATAATTTTATTCATTCAATCAATTCTATATCCTACTGGAAGTTATCCCTAACTTTTATCCTTATTGTGTTAATATGGGATCAAGTCTCTTACATAGAAAAGAAAGGTACCATTGCAGGCCCCCGTTTTAAATGGTATCCAATCATCGGTCCATTTTTAGAATCTTTAGATCCAAAATTTGAAGAATATAAAGCTAAATGGGATAGTGGTGAATTATCATGTGTTTCAATCTTCCACAAATTCGTTGTTATCTCTTCTCAACGTGATTTATCAAGAAAAATTTTCCAAGCAAGCAATTATGTTAAGCCATGTGTCGTTGATGTCGCAAAAAAGATTTTAAGACCACAGAATTGGGTCTTTTTAGATGGTAAAGCACACACAGATTATAGAAAATCCTTAAATGGTTTGTTCACTAAGACTGCCTTATCCAAATATCTACCTTCTTTGGAAATTGTTATGGATAAATATATGGAAAAATTTATTCAAATGTCAAAGGACAACAACTATGAACCACAAGTGTTTTTCCATGAAATGAGAGAAATCCTTTGTGCTATCTCCCTAAGAGCGTTCTGTGGTAATTATATCACTGAAGACCAAACAAGAAAGATTGCTGATGATTATTATCTAGTTACTGCCGCTTTGGAATTAGTCAATTTCCCAATCATCATCCCATACACAAAAACATGGTACGGTAAACGTACTGCTGATATGGCCATGAAAATCTTTGAACAATGTGCTCAAATGGCCAAGGACCATATCGCTAAGGGTGGTAAGCCAATCTGTGTCATGGATGCCTGGTGTGAGTTAATGGCAAAGGGTGATTCTTCCATTCATCGTGAATTCTCTAATAAGGAAATCTCTGAAGCTATCTTCACCATGTTGTTCGCTTCTCAAGATGCATCCTCCTCTTTGGCCTGTTGGTTATTCCAAATTGTTGCTGATAGGCCAGATGTCCTTGAAAAGGTTCGTGAAGAACAATTAAGAGTCCGTGATGGTGATCCAACAAAGAGAGTCAATTTAGAAATGATTGAAAAGATGACTTACACAAACATGGTTATTAAGGAGACTTTACGTTACAGACCACCAGTCTTGATGGTTCCATACGTCGTTAAGAAGAAATTCCAAGTTACTCCAACCTACACTGCTCCAAAGGGTGCCATGTTGATTCCAACTTTATATCCTGCTTTACATGACCCAGAAGTTTATGATGATCCAGATGAATTTATCCCAGAAAGATGGGTGGAGGGTTCCAAGGCCTCTGAAGCAAAGAAAAACTGGTTGGTTTTCGGTTGTGGTCCACATGTTTGTTTAGGTAGAACTTATGTTATGATCACATTTGCTGCATTGCTAGGTAAATTCGCTTTATACACCGACTTTAAACATAAAGTAACTCCATTAAGTGAAAAGATTAAAGTGTTTGCCACTATTTTCCCAAAGGATGACTTATTAATGACTTTCAAGAGAAGAGATCCATTGACTGGTGAAGTCAAGGAATAATTGCATTATTTTATTAACTTGTTTTTTGTTTTGTTTTATTTTATTTATATATTTATTATTGTTCTCGTTGTCTGTTCTTATTCTTATTTTATTCAAATAATAATTTATTTATACACAAATTAAAGAAATGAATATACATATACATATATTATGTTTTGTGCATTAATTTTTATTATTGGTAGTATTTTTTATATTGTTCATAAAGGAATTAGGTGATTGATGATTTTAGATATTACTTATGCATGTATCTAGCACTTTTGTCCAATAAAGCGTTATTCATTCAAACACACACACACGCATATGTATATATATATATATCGATGCTTCCATATATTAGTGTTCGGTCCACAACTGCTCAAATGTTTTTAATCAAATTTGATCTTCTTTCCTGAGAATTTTGTATTCTTTAATTTTTCTTCAGCTAATTTCTTAGCAACCCAAGAAGGATGATCTTCAATCTTCTTATTTTTTTTATCTTCTGGTTCTTCTTTTGATTTATTAGATTGATCTAGATTTGATCTAGAGCCCCTTTCCCCTAATTTAATGAAATTTGCATTATTCTTATCATATTCAGCTTGCTTCGCAGCTCTTTTGGCTACACGAGCTTCGTATTCATGTTGTTTTTGTTCACGAGCCTTTTTTTGTTTCATTAATTCTTTTTGTATATGATTAGCCCTTTTACCATATTTTTGTTCCCAGATCTTACGACGTGCTCTTTGACCACGTCTATTTTTTCTCTTGATTTTGTTCGATGCTTGTTCTTTGGCAACTTTATCTTCTTCAAAGTCTGATTCTGAATCATCACCACTATAATAACCTGTCATTAATTCAGGTAGTTTTATTTTCTTCTTGGCAGGTTGTTCCTTCTCATCTTCACTTTCTTCATCTATATCGTAATCATTTTCCTCTTGACTTGGTTCTTCATCTGTCACTTCATTATAATTGACATTAGGATCCAAAATACCTTCACTTTCATTTTCATTATCTGAATCGGCCACTAAACCCTCGTACTGTCTCAACATCTCATCCTCATCGATATCTATAAACTCTTTTTCACCGTTTTGCAATTCTTCCCCTTCTCCCCCTTCATCCTCATTTTCTAATTGTTGCTTTTCGTCTTTCTTTGTATTTTCACTATCCAAGTTTGCCTTTGATTGTTGTTCAATTTTAATACTTTTAATATTTTTGTCTTTATTAATATTTAAAAATACGTCCATACCATTCTCAAAAACTTTCAAAATGCTTTGTGATTTTTTTTCATTCATTAACAATCCAACAATTTTAGCACCGTCTTTGATTTTCAATACTATTTCATTCCATATCCTACTTGGATTCAAATCATCGTTCTTATTGTTGTAAATTGTTAAATACTTGTGGTTTTGAAACCATACAGGCACATTCTCCAAATCATTGGTTTGTTTATTACCTACAATCTTGGAAATTGAAACCTTAATCAATTTAGATACAGCAATATAATTGACGAATTGTTCTAAAGATTTACACTGAACTAATACATGATCTTTTATCTCCAGTTGATTCAATTTTTTAAGTAATGAATTTTTTAAATTTTTTTCTACTGTGAAGATTTTACCATTAAAGATGATCAATCTTAGTTTGTTAAATTCTTCTGTGATATCTGGTAATGTGATTGAGTTCAAAAGTTTCTGTACTCTTTGTGATGTTTTTTTACCTTTTGCACTATAAAGTTTTCTAGTTTGATTCAATCTTGGCTTAAAAGAATCCAGTGTATTATTTAAATAATGATATTGATATTCAAGATTATCTAGTTTAAACAATAGGTTGTCTTTAGGCATTGTGCAATGAGTAGTGTTGTGTAGTGTAGTATTACTGGCAGGTATGGAATGGGACTAGTAATGTTTGTTGGCTACTATAACTCTTTTTCGATCTTAGGTGACTGTAATATAAATATTTAAATTGTCTCATCTCATCCCAAGCATCAAAATATCAAAATTTTCCATTTTTTTAGGCTTCTCGAAGGATAAGTGAAAAAAATAAAGAAAAAAAGAAACTGCAAGAAAAAGATTATACGTAGTGGTGTTGGGCTTACTATATCAATAAGGCTATCAGTTTGCTTCGGGAAAGAATAAAGCAAAAAGGAAACAAGGTTCATAGTATTCCAAGATCATTATGACAAGAAGAAATAGATACTGTAATGTTGATGAATACATTACTACTAACAAGAATAATAGTAAGAATCAGACTGACGTGCAAATCGTTTCAATTTTTTAAGCTAATCTTCATGATAAAATGATTTTTATTCAGAAGATCTCTGAAAAGACAGTAGATATAGCTCAAGAAATTGTCATCACTTTTCTTACAAAAATAAAAAGAAGGAAATTAGAAATACAATTAGAGAAATAATAATGTCCATATCACAAGATCATTCACTTTTAAATGTTTCCATATTCTTGTTTCTTGTCTTCCTCCCTTTTCCCTTTAATAATCCTTTGTTTTTACTCTTTGAAATCTCAGTACCACGCCCTGTCACAGGCAGATTATCATCAACGTCGCCAAGTTAAACATACTGGGACACAGTTGACCGTCGTGAAAATTGTGGAAATCATCATAAACACGATTTCAAATAAAACAAAAGAAAATAAAAACAGCAAAATAATAGGAATAAAAGTTATATAGACAATCTGTCCCATAAAATTCATATTCCTCACAGATACGTTTGTTGATACGAAGGGAAGAGAAGATTGGTACTTCATTCCATAGTTAGCTTTCACTAAAGTTAAATTATGGAAATCTAAACATGTAGAAAAAAAAAACAAAACGAAATGAAAAAAGCATCAGACAGTATTTCTCATATCACTCATTAAAAAGTTAACACTTTTCTTAGACATATGCTTGTCTTTTGATTTGAGTAAATTGTTTCATCTTATGCAAAATAGGAAATAGTAAAAATAGTAAAAAATGTGAGTGTGATAAACACATACATTGTTAGATATTGTCAGAAATGCATGAATGGTAAATTTTAAAAAATATTGTCTTCAGTTATATAACATATCAGACTCGTCATCTAAAAAGAAATATCATCACATCAATATCGCACACATTGAACTAAAATGAAAAATACACATACCACATTATGATAGGAAATACATCTAAAAAAAGAGAGAAGAAACAACAATAAGATAGTAATTAATAGAAAGAATCAGTTGCGTAGGTTTTCTAGGCCTACTAATAGCAGTGTCACTCATTTAATAAGAAAAAATTGTATTAAAGTCGGTGCCCAGTGCTGTGACTCGTCATTTTCAATTAATTATGCTACATTTCTTCATCCTTTTTTTATTGATCAGATATCATAATTTTCATATAGTATTTAACAAAAATCATAGGAAATAAACAATAAAAACAAACACTTTTACACAGAAAACTCTTCCAATCTAAAACTATTTCATAGTTTTTTTCCTTTTTGTGTATCTGCTCTATATTTCAAAACGAAATAATGCAGTGTTATGTTACTTATCAACTCCAAAACAATTTGAATCAGAAATGGTGCAAAAACTTATCAACATATAGTCGTTCAGCCAGTAATTCCAGCTATAATTGTTTTTGTAAAATTCATCATATCAAAATTCTTGAAAACATATTATATACAATTGATAAGTTATATAGCACGAAACGAGCAGACCAAAGGAAAATAGCAATTTTCACAGTCATAAGAATGAAAAAATATTCGTATATATATGTGCATGTGTGCATAGGTGTTTATGAGAACCGATGAATGACTCAATATGTAAACATCATACTACTCAAACATTGGATGAAGTTATTGAATTACACCTGTAATTCGTGATCATGAAAAAAAGAGGTAAGAGTATGATAATATAACTTCCATATCCTCAGGTATAATCAATTTTCTAATCACAAGGGATTCAGAAACTCTAGTTTGTAAAAAAATTTGATTTGGTCATCAAAGGAAATGAAAATAGAGATCATCAATAACTTCATTCAATACCTGATCTTCTGACATTACATATATTATAAAGTTGCACATTTTTGCTTGCTGGTATATCTTATTAAGTCAATTTTTTGGAATGATTATGCCGGAAAGTATGCGTCGTGGACAGACGCATTAAGAAGAATTCAATGCTTTTAGTGCTGGTAATTTTTGTGTATTTATATCAAGAGAAAGTGGATAAGTCGAAGGGATGAATAGAACGTAATTGAAATGAACGAAAGAAAAAATTTTTCCTATGTTAGTCATTCAATACGAAAGAAAACTTTTGCCTTTGATGTTTCCTCCAGAGAAATGAAAAAAAATTAATTAGGGTTAAAAAATAAAGATGTCTGGGTGTTATGTGCCTGCTTTTTGTGAAAGTTGACTTTTTCTCTGTGTTCGAACCCTGAAAGTTGCTAATTTCTTTTTTCAAAATATTTTATTTCAATTTAGTGTGATGAGATCGATTCATTATTATGATTCACTTTTGAAGTTTGAAATATTATTTATCTGTTATGGGCATATGGACAGTTTATGTCACTTTTAGATTCATTATACATTAAAATGTGTCACTTGTTTGTTCTTTCTAACCACTAGTGCACATTGGTTCATATTACACCTAACTATATTGGTGCTGTTAATATTTTTACCTCGATAAAAGCTAAAAAGATAACTGATGACCAAACTTAGAATTCCTGAGGGTACCACTATTATAGATGCTGATGAATATGAAGAACTTCAAAGGCAAAAATTTGTTGTACATCAACAGCAGAAGCAACGAAATGTGGACTTTGAGGGGATAAAAATACCATTTCCTGTATTCATGCAACTCATGATTATGGTAGCTACTCTACACGCAAGTTATACTGTGTATGGTAAGGAACCCTTCCAAATGGTTTGGAAATTGCTAATATTTATTGGTGCCCAGGTTGTTAGAAGATTCACTAATAATCAGAAACATATCATTGAATCTCATAACAAAATGCATAATAATAATATCAACTCTGACACCAATGTTAAGAATAAAAATAAAATTAAAAATAAGCATAATAGCAAAGAACAAAATGATACAGTATCAACAGCTTCCACAAATATGGTAGATACGGATTCCATTAATATAAAATATCCTTTTGAAACTGTTTATGTGTTTTTTTTACCGTTCATGATGTCATTGTTATTTTTCCCTTCTTTAGTTAATATAAATTTGGTTTTGATGTTGAACATATTTGATGGATCTTTATTTACCAAATTTATAATTCAATTATTCTTTTTAATGTTTACTAGCTATGAAGAAATAGTATTGTTTAGAAATTTTATTGGTGTTATTTTAAATATTATAGTGAATTATATCTTAATCCATATCAGTGAATTGAAAAGTTTGGATATAGTAGATTGCAATCTATTTAGTATTCTTTTAACCGATGTATTATTTTTAGCAAAACATCAACAATTAGTTCATTCTGAGAATATTAATTTGCCATATAATGTGATCTGGGGTGCTTTAGTAGCATTTATAGTATCTGTAGGGATCAATTATATGTTATCAATACCTCTACAAAGTGTAAAAAATAAAACTATCAGATCGTTAGTTTTATTTGTTGCTTTCATATCAATTTTCCCATCCTTTCTTAACTGGTTTGTTGATGTTGAGGCAAATAGACAAGATATTCCTGTAAGATGGTTATTCAATTATATATTGGAATCAAAGATACGTCAAAGAATCTTAATTACATGGTTACTATTTATAGTTATATTAATTCCTAATATTTTGATTCTCAAATCAAATTTTTCTTTAAATACATCAAGAAAATTATGGCATTATTTAATCTTAATATTAATTATCCAGCCTTTTAACTGGGATCCAACTTTTGTTAAAATTTCTTTAGCAGGTACAATAGTCCTGTTTCTATCAGTGGAATATTTAAGATACTTGAAGTTGGAACCATTAGGTAAAATCTTAGATGAAAAATTAAGATCATTTGCTGATTTCAGAGATGAAAGAGGTCCAATTATTATCTCATATATTTATTTGATTATCGGTATTGCGACACCATTATTGATTTCTGATTCACCTGTCGGACTAATTAGTCTTGGTGTAGGTGATTCTACTGCTTCTATCATTGGTAAGAGATATGGTAAATTTCGTTGGCCAGATTCAGATAAGACTATTGAGGGTACTTTTGCATTCATATTAACCACTTTTGTTACAGGATATATTTGTAAACAATATTTGGGTTATTTTGAGTATTTAACTGTGGGAAATTGGTTATTAGTTTGTACACTATCTGGTGTGCTTGAAGGCAACAGTATTTTAAATGACAATATATTAATTCCAGCATTTATGATGATTTGTGAAAAATTATTTTCCTTCTAAAAGTATGATGAACTTTTCTTTTTTTGATTTTCAATTTCGAATAAACTTGTAAGTATATATGTGTGTATTGTTAGTTTACTTTTATTACAGTTATTTGAATCTACGTAATATTATAAAGGATGAAAATAATATGAAAAAAATCATAATAAAAAACAAATAAAACAATGATAAGGTTACAAGTTAAAAAGAGAAAACAAAGTCAAAATAAAAATATCACTTATATATACTTGGTAGTTTAATCTTTTATTTTTTGCTATGTTTCTTCTTAGATTTTGTTTTTTTAGTATCTTTACCCTTAGCTTCATCACCTTCAATGAAATTTAATAATTCATCAACAGATTTGTCGGCTAATTCTGGATTTGGCGTATCTTTCTTTTTGGAATGAGATTTCTTGTGCGAGATAAGACCTGAAGCTTGCTTTTGATCTTGCTGCATTTGTTTTTGTTGTAGCATATCCTTCATTAAAGTGCTTAAACCATTAATCCATTGTTTGGAAGTAGCTGTGGTGGTATGGTTGCTACCTAGTTCATTGAAGAAGACATCTTTTGCATATGTGATATGTTCTAAAGCTGCACGGTGATCTTTCATGGTAGCATACAAGTTACCAATTTGAGATTGAACATAACCATAAGCCAAACATTCTTTACCATCTAATTTAACAATAAAGTCAGAAAGAATATTTAATGATTGTAAAGCTAACTTAATATCTTCAATACCTAATGAGATTTGTTCTAATTGACGAATAATGCTAGATGCTGTAGGATGGTGTAAGTGGGTCAACTTTAATGCTTCTAATGTCTGGATGATTCTATTCGAAATAAGAGTGCTGTTGTATGGACTTTCGTTAGCTAATTCTAACAAGGCTAAGTTAAATAAGGCTCTAATCATTTCAAAAGAATCAATACCACATGTTCTTTCATAAATGGTACAAGCTTTACGACAGAATGCAACAGCTTCATCAATTAGATTCAATTTGCTGTAAACAGTAGCCATGCTCATATACTTTTCAGCAACCTCAGGATGAACAACACCAAGCACGTCTTCTAAAATGGCGATAGATTGAGCCATAAAGGTTAACCCTTCAGTTTCTTTATTTTCAGACAGTAAAACACTACCCTGGGTCCAGTAGTCTTCACTAGCAATAGAAAAAGAGTGAAGGGTCTTAACGCGTGGAATGATAGATAGATCATCTTTGGAGAAAGTAGTTGTGGGGGTAACCAATTTTTGCTTCAATTTTTTGTCTAGAGAAGCTTTATATCCCTCAAAATCGTTCTTGGTAAAAAAGTAATTTTTATTAATCCACTGAATACCGAATCTGTAGGAGATTGTCCTCATTAGCAAGTACTTGTTCTTTAGCAAAGCAGTAAGATTTTCAAAAGATAAATCATAACGGAAACGTAAGAAAACTTCCTTTTGGATGGATTTTAATAAATCATCACGATTTAATGATGCAAAAGAGTAATTCTTTAATGAGTAGAATTTGTCAACTTCTTCAGCAATTGGATTTTCGTTGTAATCATAGCCAAGTAATAAATTAAAAACGTAGGCAACTAATGATGAGACAACAGGATATGGCAATTCTTTAGCATATTGTCTTAAAATGTGCTTAGTTGCACGAGACACCATTTCAATTTCAGAGATCTTAATTAACGGAATTAACTCATCGTAATTAATAATAATGGCAGGTTCATTAGTTGGGTGTTTAATCTCGTCATCATTTAATTTCAAGTCTTCAAGTAATTCCTTTGGAACTTCTTTACCCTCTTGAACGTATTTGTTAATTTCTTGTTGTCTTTCCTTGATCATATTTTCAATTTTGATCAAGTAAGAGGCTTCCCAATCCTCATATTCCTTATTAGCAATAATTACATCCTTTAATCTTTGAGTATGTTCAACTATTTGTTTGTCTAATTTAGCCTTAGCTAATGTTGCAATCTTACCTATATAACGGATATTGATACCATTTTTGTGTAAAGTATCTATCAAATGTTCACCATTGTATGGAGGAGAAGAATTACTATTGACAAAATCATCAACAACATTAGGAATAACAGTATCGTTTAGGTACTTGGAGATGTTGTCAACCGTAGTGTCTCTAACACCGTCAATTTGATAGGCATCTGGATTGTAGGCAAATTTGGATTCTTCGTAAGCAGTGTTAGAATCTAACCCTTCAGTCTTATCAACTTGTTCAATCCACCATTTTTGAATTAGTTCAGGACGTAATAATGTTTGTCTATGAGGATAACGTTTTTTAGCATCTTCGACACCATCAAAGTGTTGTTTAACAAAATTTATATCCAATGGATAAGTATTTGCCAAATCTAAAATGTAATTTCTCTTATCTAAGCCAGTAATACCCTTTGAAAAAGAAGAGAAGACCACACTATTTTCATTATCCTTTTTCAAATGGAACGATTTTGTGAATTCTTTCTTTAATAACTTATCGAATTTTTCGTTCTTGATGATGGTCTTAGTTTCTTCATCAAAACCGTAATTAATTGTAATGTCACTTTCTAAATCCTTCATGGTTTCTTCACCGGTCTCTTCATCCTTAACAATTTCTGTACCAACAGTATTTAAAAGACCTGGTACTGGTGTTTGAGCTAAGATCCTTTTGCCAGCAATATCAACAATAGTAGTCAATAGATATCTAATTTCCTTTAATCCAATCCTGTTTAAAGCAGATAAAGTTAAAAGATCTTGGTTAGCAGCAACTCTTGCAGCCTCATCACCACCTTTACCTTCATAAGTACCACTAACATCAGTGACAAAAGAATAGAAAATGTTATCTTTCAAGAAAATTTGTTCAACCTCTGGTGCATCAGGATTCATTGGCAAAAGATTTTTTTGGAAGATAGACATGGCACCTTTAGTGGCACTAACAGAGAAATCTTGAATCAACTTGGCAGATAGTCTTTCACTGTCCATTCTTGCAGCTAAAGTGTCGACTGAAAGATCTTTGACAGCTTGGAACTCATCATTAAAGTTTCTTTCAGATGATAAGTTTGAATCAATAGAGTCACTTTGTAAGCGGAAATAATCGCCAGCAGATGGGAAGTTTGTGGAATTGACTAACCATGGCTTGTGTAAGAAAGTAGTTAATGGTTTCACATAAGTAACAGATTCTAATGCACCAATTTTATTTTCCATAATTTCAACATGGGAGACAAATTTCTTCGAATGAGTAGCAATTAAGTTGAATAAGTTGTAGAATACTCTGTTGTTCAACTGAGGATTGTCTTCAAATATTTTATGGGATGGGTCAAATTTGGTATTTGTAGATTTATTAATGTAGAAACCAGAAGGAGTGGCAGTAATGTGGAAATTTTCACCTTCTAATGTAACAATTTGTAAATATAGTAAATGACCCTTAGATTTGTAAAATTCTGGAACAGGATTATATTGAGAAAGACTAATAGAGCGGACACATGGAGATATCACATTAGCTTGAGTAGTTTGTAAATCCTTGACAGAGGATTTTTCTAAGGAAGAGAATATTTCAAGAATATTCTTTTTGGTCTTTTCTTTTTCCTCAGCAGATATTTCAAAAACGTTTTTGTTTGGTTCGTCATTTTTAGTTTCCTTTTCTTTATCCTCACTGTCAACTGTCTCTGTTTTTTTGGATTTTTTAACATTTTTCTTTTCCTTAATTGGATCTAATGGTAAGAATGGAAATTTAGTAGCATTGGATGTTGCAAATTCAACTAAATTATCTTCAGTCTCAGAGGTAAAGCCGATGAAATCACGTAATACAACCACGTGTTTTAAGGCTTCTCTGGTAGTGTATGGCTTCAATCCAATAGATAAATCCAAATTGTCAACGTTATCTGGAACAATAGTATTCAATGGAGCATCTTCAGATAAGACTTGACCTCCAGCTTTCAAATCGAGATTAGTCAAATATTTGGTTTCGTTAGCAATACCCAAAACTTCTAAAATTGTTTGGACTTTGGTCTCTCTATTGAAGAGGAAAGAAAGTTTATCCTTCACAGTAGTAGGTTTTTTATTTTTACTGTGAGAAGAAGAAGTGATAGTAATATCAGCAGGTAATTTAATAGTAATTTTGACGTTGCTGTTTGCTGTTGTAGTAGTATTTGATGACATGACGTTAAGTTATAAGTTTAGAAATATGTGCAAATAGAAGAGGAGTAAAATAAATTATCAGGGGTTGGAATTATGCTATAATAGAAAATGTATTTACAAGTTAATATTATTCAGTAATTTCCACGTGACCCTTCTAAAGAATAAAAATAGTAATATTCCACTCTATTCTATTGACTATTTAGGTGTTGGTGTATGTATATTTATTTTTTTTTGTTCTTAATGAAAAATTCCAAATTGTAACTGCAGGCGCACCATATAGATGCAATTGAAATCTATTAGGTGTTTAAAGAGACTGATATGCTTTATTGTTGTTCATTTCATTATTTCTCCAAAATTGGTTTCGGTGGATGTTCATTGGTAAACAAACAGAGCAAATCGATGAAAATAAAATAAAAAAAAATATCAATCAGGATTGTTGTGACTTTTTCTCTGCAGAATTTCCAGATATGGAAATTTTTTTAGTCAGATTCAAAAAAAAAAATTAACACGCAAAAGCAGGTTTTACTCAAAATTAGTTATAAAGGATAGAATACGAAAGCCAAGTCATTGGGTTTAGATGATATATTATCTTTATGTAGTAGGAATTAAAACGTGGATGAGGACTTTGTAGATAGGGCTTACACTAAGCAAGATATATGTATACCATACATTATAAGTTGACTGATCAGAAAACATTACTATGGATATATTTCGTTTCAAAATCAGTATTTAATTTAAATATGTTTTATTGAGAAAATACTTTTCTTAATTTGGGTGGATAACACTATATTCTGTATCAATTAATTAAACTAAAGGTTATTCAAAAGTTTCTATTTGAACTGATAACTTGTGTACTGAAATCTGATATTGTATTGAAATAACAAAAAAAAAAAAATGAATCGTTACCTGTAAAAATAATGAATGAGGAACTACTATTTCATAATGCTGGAAATATTTTTAAATGTTTGTATAAGATGTATACTTAAACAAAAAAAAATTAGTGATTATGGAGACTGGTGGATTATTTTTCCTACATAGTAGTATATCGCATTATTTTTAAATGTTTAAAAAATATCTTTCATTTTTGTATCTGTTGGTTAAGTATAAAAAAGGAATATAATCCTATTTATATTTCTTTTACAAGTTTTCATAGTTTTTTATTAGTTAATGCTTTCTTTCTAATTACCCTGGTTTTTCTAAAGATATATTTTTAAAGGATTGTAAAATAATAAGAAGTCTGAAAATGTATTTTCTTTCAGATTTAACAGAATAAATAGTTAAATATGTCTCTTTATTTTTTTATGAAATCCTTATTGTATAAGGAGATTTCTGAGAGTATAAAATATATTCATGAACTCTACGTATTAAAAATATAAAAAAAGTATATTGTTTTTATACATAAGAATTTGTAGCTCAATTTATTGTATATCATGAAAGAATATCTTTATTGCATGTAACAACAACTATTCTGCTATAATATGTTTATGTTGAGGATTAGCACCTGTGGTCATTGGGTATATATTAAATGTTCTCAATATTATATTAGATAGATATAGTATACAAAATTATAATTAAGTTTTTTGGTTTTTTTATTTATATATAATATACAAAGATGATTATAAAAGATGAACAAGGGAGGAAACATGATAAAAAAATGTTGGCTTTATATATTGTCATATATGGCCCATCTGGTCTACGTACAGCACCAAATTGTTGATTAGGTTTGTTTACATCCTCTGATAAGCAAACAGTACATTCTCCACATTTTGCTTATCAATTAATGTTTATTAAAATATAATTGGTCTGTCTATTTATTCTAGAACGTTCGATTTCAGCAGTTTAATATAAAGAAAAGTCAAGAAATGCAGCAATAACTTAATGATAGCTACGGTTACTAAAGATGTAAAACTGTTCCAAATTTTGTCTTTATTGATCATTTTCTTCCAACTGTAAATATAAAATATTCATAAGATAGAATTTGTGTGGCTTCCAATTGTTTGTATTTACTTTTTTAAGAATTTTTTTTCCTACAAGCCTGTTGTATAATAAAAAGGTTATTTCCACCAAGATTACATAGGATTCCGAGTAAATCTAGAATTATCTATTGTTTTAATAAATCAAATATGTATTACTAATGATCATAATAATTGTGCCGTTTATCAGCAGTGCACCTAAATTAATGTAATAAATTTTAGGGTTTGAATCAGTCAGATCATTAATGTACTAATCTGAATAATCGATAGAGCTCCAGAAAACACATAAAAGGACAACGTTTTCTGGAGATAAGAGATTATTTTCCATAACCGTTTCTTGTAAATAATTTATATATTATATATAAGCATAAATAGAACAACAAGCAAGTAGCAAGTCAAGCAACTTCGAATAAATATTGTTGTAATTTGGAGCCTTCTGCATCCATGGTAATGGTAGACATCATTAAGTTATAGATGCTTATTTTATTTTTGTATTAAATACATGTACATATTTATTATATAGTGTATTCAGTATACATTCTTTTATTTACTTTAAGTTTTCTTTTAAAGTTTTTCATTTCTTTTCAAATCTTCGAAAAACATATTTAGTGACAAATAAAATGTTTTCCTGATATTATGGTACATCCGTACACCACATAATATACAGAAAAACTAATTAAAAATAATTCTTATGAAAATGACAGTAATAAACTCTCATTTTCCAACAAATATATTAGCTCAATATAAGCCGCTCAATATATAAGACCGTTATTGTAATTATATCATCGACTACAGTTGATTACTGTCTCGATTATTTGAATAACTATTAATATTATTTGCGCTTCCCTAGAATACACAAAGAATCTCATCATCTAATATTACATCAGGTCGATGATTTGTTATCCGATGTAGTGTAACGGCTATCACATCACGCTTTCACCGTGGAGACCGGGGTTCGACTCCCCGCATCGGAGTCTTTTTCGCATTTTTGGTAACATATGAAATCCGGATGTCACTATAAACGATTTTGTGGACGCCTTGGTCGACGACGATGCTATTGTTTTTCTTGTTTATATTGTTTATATAACTATGTTTATCTGTATATCTGTATATATTAATTTATTATGTATGTAGAGTATAGTCTATATGTCATATATAGACAACAAATCAAGCGATATCTATCTATTTTAGCGTCTAGAAGAATATATCTCTCGTAATCGGATTTTCATCTATTACATTTTTTGTAATAACCCTGAGGTTATGTGTTTCTGATAACAGCAATTCTTGTTGAAATCTCAATAATATTTCACTTGGATAGATATAAGATATAGATTCTTTCTATATCTTTAGATGTAATATTCCTATATATCTATATATCTATATCCTTAATCTAAGATAACCTAATAGTATACACTTATATACTATATATCTAAATCTATGTAATCCTTGGTTTCTTGTTCGTTCTCGTTCGTTGTTATTCGTTGTTGTTCTTCTTGGTTGCTCTCTTGTACTTATGTTGGTTACTCCTGTTTTTATCTATGTTTGTAAAATTCACAAAAAGGAAAGTTTAGAAAAATATCGTCAACCCTCATTTTTTCTAAATAAACCCTAAACAGTAATATCAGGGACATTACATTTTTTATGTATTATGTAATCGATAAAGTTTTACTACGGGAGAACACTAAAATTGTCACAGATGAAACTCCTAATACGAGAGATGTACTCTTCTGAACACTGAAATAGATAAATATTCCTTAATTGGTTCTCTATATATGATATATAAACTATACTCTACACAAGGAGTAACTAACACACACAGATATACAGATACTTATACTTATCTAAGCAAGAAAAACAAAAACGTTATCGTCAACTAATAAGTTTACAAGATCGTATATGATGGCATGAGGATTTTATATGTCACATTTACTCTGTATCCTTACTTAATACCAAAGCTCAACTCTATACTATTATTACTAAGTAACTAAACATAATATTTGTATTGTTATTGTTATTAAAGCTTATGGCGTTAATAATAAATGTAATTATTTTGTCTTTCTCTCCTCTTGTATTTTTCTGTATAATTCTTCAATTAAATGAACATTGTCTTTAATATATTGGATGTAAAAAAATTTCTTGATATACTAGGATTATTTAGTAAACACACCTAACATGAAGTAGAAATATTCATAGTTGGATGGTCTTGAGATTTTGTTTTCTTAAGAATTATTCATTAAGGCACTTCGTCATTTGTTTTCTTAAGAGTGCATTGTAATAAAATATATTTATTTTGTTATTAGATCTGTTTGTTATTTTTCTATTATAATCTCTTTGGCATCACTGAAAAAATGGTATAGAAAAGGAGGCAAAGAAAACTTTTAAAAGTTGTTTTTTTTTTTTTTGCAAATTGGTTTTGGTTTATTAGATACGTTCTGCAAAGAGAAAAAACAAGGCTAAGTAATTTTGGATTTTTTATTCAAAAAGTATAAAAATGTTGCTTCAAAGGGGGGTGACTTTTGACACTTTGTAAAGTCTTTTTTTTTCTTATACAAAATTCTAAGAATATTATTAACATTATTCGGTAACCATATAACATGATTTTTATATAAATTATGATAATTATATTTAAGGAGCCCTAAATGGAAATTCTGAAATACGTAACCTGCGCATAACGTCTAATGTCGAGGCGAAGGACTTGGAACAATAGAAATTCTAGGCCCAAGGTTGTGAGTGTATTCGAACGAGCATATGATTGTCGGATGGACATTCGAGGCAAATTATTAAGAAGCTTACTTAAGAAACCCTTGATTATTGAGAGGTAGTGCCAGAGGTAATTATCAGCATTAATGTTCATAATCTATCTAATAGGAAAGAAGGACAAGACGAATATTCAAGGCTAATCTATTTAATAGTTAGAATCAACCAATTATATAATTTGTAAGTGTTTATATATATAATTAATATCCATATTTTAGTATCCTATTTGAGATAACTCTTACGCCCTTACACGAGTTTTTGAAACTTGAATTTTCTTCACAAAAAGTTATATTTAATCTTCCAACTAAATAGAATGTAAGGGTTATCTCAAATAGAATACTAAAATATGGATATTAATTATATATATAAACACTTACAAATTATATAATTGGTTGATTCTAACTATTAAATAGATTAGCCTTGAATATTCGTCTTGTCCTTCTTTCCTATTAGATAGATTATGAACATTAATGCTGATAATTACCTCTGGCACTACCTCTCAATAATCAAGGGTTTCTTAAGTAAGCTTCTTAATAATTTGCCTCGAATGTCCATCCGACAATCATATGCTCGTTCGAATACACTCACAACCTTGGGCCTAGAATTTCTATTGTTCCAAGTCCTTCGCCTCGACATTAGACGTTATGCGCAGGTTACGTATTTCAGAATTTCCATTTAGGGCTCCTTACAACTCGTTTTCAAAATATCGGACTCCAGACATATATAGTAAAATAAACAACAAAAATTTCCTGATATAATATTACCTTTATGCTGAAATCGAACGTTCTAAAATAAATAGACAGACCAATTATATTTTAATAAACATTAATTGATAAGCAAAATGTGGAGAATGTACTGTTTGCTTATCAGAGGATGTAAACAAACCTAATCAACAATTTGGTGCTGTACGTAGACCAGATGGGCCATATATGACAATATATAAAGCCAACATTTTTTTATCATGTTTCCTCCCTTGTTCATCTTTTATAATCATCTTTGTATATTATATATAAATAAAAAAACCAAAAAACTTAATTATAATTTTGTATACTATATCTATCTAATATAATATTGAGAACATTTAATATATACCCAATGACCACAGGTGCTAATCCTTAACAAAAATATGATTTTTCAACACTGTACTTTATGTTTAATTAATTAAACATTATTAAAAATATGGAAAATTCTAATCTATCTAAGGAACATTCTGTTTTATGATAATAGAAAATATTCAAGCGATGCAAAACTTTTAAAACATTTTTATGTTTTTGCTTATTTTATTAGTTATGTTTTCACTCAGTGCTTATAGACAATATTAAATATGTCAAGAAGTATACAACGATCCAAAAAAGACCTCATTGTTATATTAATAAATTACACACACATAGGAATTAATAAAATATTTACAGTACAGCATCTTGTTTAAGAAGAAATTATTCTGCTCCTGTAGCTTTTTAGGTTTCTATCATCAGTTCATCATAAATTTTTTTACAAATCTTATATGCAGAGAAAGTAGATTAACCATGGGCTTTGGGGGGTGTATATAATTTATTAATATTTATTTTTAGCTCTATCTATGATTAATAAACTTCATAAAAAAGCCCCTCTTTTATTCTATTTTAGAAAAATTTGGAACAAATTATCTCATCTAATATACTAAAATATAGTTGTTATTTATGTCCAAATAATTGTTCAGAAGAAAATACAAATAAAATGTCTCAAAAGCTACTCGTTATGGTTAATTGAGAAGCTCAGCCATACATATTATAAATGAAGTTCATTTAACCATCATTTAGCATGACTAAAAGTAAATATTTTCAACATTTGAAAGAAAAATTATATAATTATTTCTTCACTTCCTTTGCTAAGATCTATATATGTATTTTTTCAAGTTTGAAAGAAACCAGTTAGTTTTATATATTCATTTATTTGTATATTTTTTATCAGAACTAACCATTCTGTACAAGAAAATGTTTATTGATTTTTTTATAATCATAATATGAATTATCCATGTATTCATCCAACATTTTTAATAAATCTATGATGATTATTCTTGCTATCTCTCCTAAAAATGTTTGCAGTATTAAAGATGCAAAAAGTTGAAATAGTACTTGTTAAATAATGAACTTAACAAAATTAATTGACTATACTTTTTAATATTATCCTTATACATACATATATATAATATGATTTATTTATATAAAACTAAATAATTTACATAAAAATAATGTATAGTAATAAAGTTAAAATCTCAAATAATAAAAAGAGTAGTGTCTATCTTTATATATCATCAAGATATATCCCAATCTTAAGAACCTGCTCTGATCTATAATTTACCTACAGAGCAAGAATAATGATAAAGCATATCTGTCACTTGATCAAAGTAATATCTCTATCTATGCTCATAAAATTTCTGTATAAAGCAACTTTAATTATTTACATATAAAAAATATAGTAAGTCTGTAATGTTATCTGTTATAACCGAAATTTGTCGTTTTTAAACAACCACACGTCTCTGATTTACCTCTCTTTAGTATTTTTGGCCTGCATAAACTTTTCATATAGAGCTTCTTTTATCTCTTGTTTTTGTTTTACCCATTCTTCAGCTTTGCCTAATGTTGAATCGACCACTTCCATGACATTTTGTACCATATCTAGTGATTCCTTTGCAAGAATCAAGACTTTCCCATTTGTACTAATATACTGATCTTCTGAAGTCGGTATAGATCCTCTCCGTAAATTGTTACTTGCTAATGAATTATTTGATAATGAAAGATTTGAAACAGTAGAAGACCAATTTGTAGGCAAATTTAATAAACTTGCACGTACTTGAGACCTAGCGGGTTCAGGTAAAGAATTTCCAGTGAATCTCGATATCATTGAATAAATTTTTTTAATAGTTCCTACAACTTCCATTTTAACTATTGTAGCTTGTTCATTATTTTCTTTACTATCAAATGTATCAAAAAACTCTTCATCTTCATCCTCCTCAGAGTCAATACCATTATTGTCATTTAAAGTTTCTTGATGCTCCTTTTTGACTAAACTCTTCCCGTTATTATAATTATTATTATTTTGTTTCTCTCTTATTGTCTCCTTATTCCTATCATTACCATCATGACTATGAGTTATGAGTGAAGATATAGATGTCTTTTTATTATCTATTTTTTTTTCACTTAATCTTGATCGACCTAATTTTAGTTGATACTGATACTCCGCTTCATTTTCCTTTTGAACTAAATCCTGTAAGTTTGTTATCTTTTCAGATAATTGCTTATTTGCTAACTTTAGTAAGTGGAGACAAGCTATCAATCTTTTCTTTGATTCAATGGACATGTTAAATTTATATTCCTTAAAATTATCAATTGCATCTGATATCTTTTGTCTTTTTGAGAAATTATTTTCAAATGATTCAACTTCGATATTTCCATTACGTTTATTGTTAACAGAGTCACCTACATTATAATCACCATCAAATGATCTCTTTTTGTCTGATAAATTTACAGTATTATTATTATCCTCGTCTTCGGTCTCCCTCTTACCATCTTGGTATCTATTTTTATTCTTATTTTTATATTCTTCTTCAGTATCATCATTTTCCACTTCTGAATCACTTAGATCACTATCAATTTCACCTTCAGAAGTGGTATAGTTATCCTCATATGCATCATCTAATAATCTAGCTATAGAAGCTACTTTCCTCCTATCATCATAGAAAGTAGCCACATTATTCATTACTCTATTCAATAAGTTACTTGATCCTTCTCTACAACGTTCATTCTGGTTCTGGTTCTGGTTCTGATCCTCTTTCCGCTGAACAACCAATTTATTTTCGTGTGGAGAATTTAGATCCTGGTTAAGGACAGTTTTCCTTAATTCATCAAGTACTTCTGCTGCTTCAACATCCTCTTCAGAGAACCCTAAATGCCTAGATAACGACATATGAATAAAACAAAACAAATACAACTTATTGAGGGTATAAGGTTAAAACAAAATGAAGACAAAAAAACAGTTATAAAATAAATAAATCTATGGCAATTGTACTGTTATATGAACGAATATATATGGATATGTATATATGATGCTAATTAATGGATTCAAACCCAATGCAAATAAAAATTATCAAAAAAAAAAAAAAAGATAACCAGTTCTTAATGCAAGTCTATCAGTGACTCTCTCTTCTTTAACTTATCAAATTGTCAATCTATTACAATCAACAAGAACATACAATCAATTAAAACTGCATTGCACATATGTGACTAAAGGGATCCCACAAAACTACCATAATGAATCTATACTTCAAACACCTTACACAATCTGTCTTTATTTCTCTATTTCTCTGTGCCATCACTGAATTTTTGTTTTTCCTCTTTCTGAGTTTGGACAACTTCTATTTTTTTTTTTTTTGACTGTGGTGGTTGGGTTTTCTGGTGTATCTATGCAATTTTATGTTTACCACTCCTGCAGGCATGTGATAATTATAAAACCAGCTCCTAACAAAAGCCACAGAACCACAGAACCATGAAGAGAAAGAGAGAGAAAAAGAGAAGATAGACTATCTGGGGAAGGGGGGGTGATTAGTTTTTTCAGTAAACCAAATAGGTATACTCCGGATCACTGACAATTTTGTACCTAACCCAGGGGAGCGACTGGTACTGTAACTGTGGCTCCTGAATTTTCAGATATTCGATCTTCAGTCCGCTAGCTGTAAGGTATGGTACCTCAAAACTTATCTTCAAACGACGATCTTTGTCTTCTATAGTTTGCTGTATACGAGATTGTTGCTTGACTACAGATAGATCCCCTCTGCCTTTAGCACCCTCAACAATATCAGTCTCGATCAAATCTTGACCATGTATTTGTTTATATAGTTCTTCCAACTTGGGGCCTTCCCTCAATGGTGGTGGATTCATAGATGTTTTTAACTCTTCCTGTTGTCTTAAATACTCTTCTCTATTAAATAATGTAAATTCAACTGCCATAGACAATTGGGTTTCTCCATGTCCTCCCTTCATAGTGTCTATCTCCCATAACAAATTATTGTCACTAACATTAAATAATATCCTGCCTGTATCACATTTAAATTTCAAATTTTTACTTAAATCAATAGAATACTCCACCAAAAGATATTTTATAGGGATTTTTATATTCAAATTTGTAGTTGAGTTTGTGGTCTTGAAATGACTCTCTATCGTTAAACTTAATTTTAATTTGTACTTCTTCCATTTTGGTGTAATTTGAAATGATGTTAATTTAATTAATGGTTCATCTCTAACATGTCTCTTTAGATCATACTTACACAAAGTAAATGGCCCATCTGGTGGGATAAACTCAATTTCTTTCCCATCTTCAATTGATTCGGTAGATACACATTGATGAAATTTGCAATTAAACAAAAATTGCGGGTCCTTATCCAATATTTTATTAATAGATATTTTCAAATTTGGCATACCAGATAAAAATGACTTACATATAATTTCCCCATGAATGGAATTGTTCTTAATCACATTATTGGTAAAATCCATCAAATATTCCACGCTTTCTATCACATCTAGGAAAAATTCATTCTTTGAATAGTGTATACCCTTAGTTCTCCACGATACTGCCATGATTGTAGTCTTTGCAATATCACTGTTCATGAAATTGTCTAAATCCTCTTCAACCACTGCATCTTTTGTATCTTTCCGCCACAAAGATCTAATACTATATTTGGATTTAATTTTCTTACTTTTATCAATTAATTCTAATGGATCCGATGGTATAGTCCCAACAATATTTTTTGTAATTTTCTCAAGCTCTTGATTTCTATAAATACCACCACCATTATTATTATTAGTATTGTTATCGGCACTATTATTATCAATATCATCCTTTTTTACATGTGGACACGTGTGTCTGTGTTTACGTTTTGATTTCTTCTTCTTTTTACCTCCGTCATTTTCTATATCACTACTGGAACTACTACTACAACTACAACTGCAATTGTCCACATGCATACTATCTTTATTATTTTTATTTTTATTTTCACAAAGTATTTCAGTCGATAATCCAGGAATATTAACTTTAATTCTAATGTAATCCTTCATTATTCCAGAATCGGTGACCTGAACTACCCCATAATCACAACTTTCATCAATCAATTCTGTCACTAACGTAGTATTATCTAATATGATCTTTCTATCCAGCTTCTTTATATTAAGATAATCCTTTAAAAGCTCATAAAATTGATCTAGATACGTTAACGTCTCCATAAGACACGTGTCTAGCCTATCCAATATAAACAGAAAGACTAACGAGTCTCTCCGTATATGAACAAATATCCAGATATCGTTATAATTTATCACTGGCCTTTTATCATAATTATACAATCTTTGAAATTGTTGAACGGGATACTCAATTGACGGCAGTGATTTTATATTTTTACATATCAATACTTCTAAATTCTCATTTAATATATAAAGGGCCATTCTTCTATAAGCAGTAATAATGTTCTTTCTCCCTTTTATTTGTTTTCTATTTTATTTATTGCTCTTCTACCCTTGTTTTCTCTTAGGAATTAAGTTAAACTTGGGTCTTGCTAATTGCAAATCGTTTCACTGCCCTTCTCTTACACCCATTTATGCCTCTTATTAAATCTGACTTTTTACAAGTTTTTTTCTTGCTCTTTCATTTATTTATTTTTTTTTTCAGATAAAAAATAAGAACTTTCTTTAAATTTAAAGATACCCCCTTCTACGGAGAAACTTAAAGAACTTCAAATACCAACTTTCCATAATGCCATTTTTCTGTAATATCAGACTCATTCGTTTAACTTTCAATAGTTTACAAAAAGGTCTTTCTTAATTTTTGCTATTATGTATAACAAAATCTATAAAATGAATGCTGTTAAAATCCCATTATCAGAATTAAATACAAGGCTGGTTACATTAGGATTATCTCCGAATTGGACAATAAGAGAGACTGGTTTGAAGGGATATACTTTAAGAAGAAAGTATACCTTCTCCAATTTTGAAGCCACTTGGTCCTTTCTTATTCAGGTTTCCATGAGAGCTCATCTGTGGGGTCATCATCCTACAATCCATACTATCTATAACAAAGTGGAATTAGAATTGATTACACATGATCTTGATAATGGTTGTATATCAGATATCGACCTTAAATTGGCAAAACAAATTGAATCATATATAAATTTATACAAGTCACAAGAAAATGGGCAAATACTAATGAATAAACAGTAAATAAATATATAAACAATAAGCAGTAGCAAATGGATAACAACAACGATATTATTAATACACATTTTTATACATCAGTGGGTAAATGTCGAAGTTCTTTTCAAATCATTTCAAACTATCATAGAGTTTCTTTATCAACATAATATCCCAACCCATATCTCAGAGAAACAACAAAAAAACTTAAAAAGAATTTATCATTTTTAAATATTTGCGGTGCCATTACTATTTGGTTTACTAGCTGATAATTTCTTTTCTAATTTATCAAATTCTTTTAACGATATTTCTTGTTCAGGATCCATCATTTGAACTACTTCCTTAACCTCCTCCACATAATGTTTCAACATAGACTCAATACCATACTTTAAAGTGACTTCACTACTTGAACAGGAAGTACAAGCCCCTTGCAATTTCAAATATACAACACCAGTCTTTGGATCCCATCCACGGTAATCTATATCACCACCATCTTCCATAATTGCAGGTCTAATTCTAGTGTCAATAAGTTCTTCAATCAATTCACTGATTTCCTCTTCCTCTTCACTATATGTAAACTTAGGTATATTAATCTTATATCCGCCGTCTTTTTGTTCTTGCACCTGCTGAAATTCATCACTTACTACATCTTCACCAGAGGCTAAATGCTTTGTTAATATCTCTAACACTGTAGGTTTAACAGAATTCCAATGTACCATAGGATCCTTATTTATTGTTACAAAATCATCCCCTATCATAAGTTCTTCAATACCAGGACATTGTACAAACAGTTGTTCTGCAAACTTGGAGTGATTGATCAATGTCTGATCAGTGTTTTTAATCATGATACTCTTAGAACCTCTAATTTGAAACATTTCACCATCCTTAGAGATAAATTTTAATGCATTTTCATTTGGCGTAGTAAGTGTTTGTATCGAAAGTAACCTTTTAAAAGACACTAAATTTAACTTAGACAGTCTTTGTACTAGTTTGTCAGTATGCTTAAAAGATATATTTAGCATTTTTTTATTATGAATTGATTATTTCTATGTAACTGCACGTTTGATATTTATATATGTGGATTAGTGGGTGTTATAATTCTTTGTTTTCTTAGATCTGTGTTTTTTTCTTCACCTTGCATTACCAGATAGATAAAAATAGCCAATCCATCAACAAAAATATTTAAATGGAAAGTGTCTGTCTCTTACCCTCTCTTTATATATGTGCGTATCTAATGTATCAACATTTTCTGTCTTATTATTAAACATCACGATGTCTATAAATAAAATTATAATTATCTTCGATATTGTAAGCCCTCGAAACAGTTGGATGACTAAATTGCTTACAAATCGAAAAATTCAAAAAATCACAAGGATCCCAAAAAGATATATTTGAAGAATTTAGTACCCAGGCAAAACCAAAATACTTTAATAAGAGATGAAACAACAAAGTACCAAAAATAAGATATCAAAACTAAGCATAGATGAGAAGAAAACAATGACATAAAAAATGTTGTTTATCGTACAATGACAGATTAGTTATAACTTAATTCTCAATTAAATCATCTAGATTACTGACAATAATATCTCTAACTTGGGAATTGTGCATACGGGCACTTATTTGAGATTTCACCATATGTAATTCTTGTGGATTATTATTTTGCCATTCTTTTAATTTGTATGTTTGTCCAGTACAATCCCAATTAATACCTCTCAATGTGGTGAATATTCCATGTCTACCTTCCCATAGCAGATACAAAATCACACAGACCGCACTAATAAAAATCCAAATCATCAACACTATTACCCAACCTGTAAAGAATCTCTTACTGAAAATGTAATGTGCACCATACATGGGCAACGGCTAAACAACAAGAAATGTAAAGGCAAAGAAAACACGTAAGAAATATGCAATCTTTAAACCACGAGTTAGTTGATTTTGTTCTATAATCAGCTATTCATCTAATTTTTCTTGTGATACATCTTGAATGATACTTAATATAGTGTTACATGGGTGTATAACAGTACTCTTAACTGTAATAATATTATTCTTCTCATTGTTATGAGCCTTAGAGACATTTGAGCAAGATACAAATGATATAGTAGATTTCTCATCAGTAACATTATTATCAGTAATTACTTCTACAATAATATGAGATTCATCAGACCTACTTATATTCTTCAATAGCTCCCAATCGAAATTTTGTGGCTTAAATACATATGATAGTACTGGAACAAAAATTAGAAGTGACAATAATGCTACAACATTACCAGTTAACATTGGGTAGTCCATAAAAGTGCTACTAATGGCTAAATTTTTATAAAGTGATTTGGTACAAACTAACCACGACATAATTGCCAAACAAGTACCAAGAATAGGTGATGCTACTGCCGCCACAATATTTTGGTTTTTCCAACATAAGGTGACAATAACCGGCACAACAGCACTTGAAATAATGATACCCACAATCTCATAAATATAACCCAATGGCAAACCTACTTATAGTAAGTCCAAATACCATACACGCACAGTGTGAAAAATATATTAATTATTTCCCTGATGCCACTTGATTGATATACGTTCTGTAAATATCATATGTGAAAATAGAAGAAACAGCAATAACTTCAGCAGCAAAACCAGAGGTCACTGCTAAAAACACCATTAGTAATGTAGCAACTGCACCACCTTACCCATCATGGAAATCGCTGCGGCAGGAACAACCAAACCTGTACTAATGTCATAAGAGCTTAATTTATCAGGGAATGTTGGGAAATTTGGTAAATTTTCTATAGCTAATGCGGCAAATCCCATGGTCAATGAAATTAAAAATGGAACTGGCATCCAGGCTAACCCACCCATAACATAGCTAGACAATACTACCACTGGTGATGCAGAAATAGCTTTATTCCAATACCCGTTATCTAGAAAATCTATACCAAAATTACCAACTAGATTAATAACAAAAAAAATATCTGCACCATTAGAAAGTATCGTCATATATTCACCTTTATAATTATTTTCTACTGGGTGATTCTTTCCAGCTGCACGAATTGAATCGTAAACTTTCCCTGGTGAACCAGGAATATCACTGGTAGCATAAATTTTAAAGGCAAAGTACATTACAATAATGATAATAACACATGTATGAAGATAATCTGTCAAAAAGGTAGCTTTAATACTACCAATAATTGTATATATAACAACTCCAAGGGGTAATAAGAAAGATGTTGCAATGTGATGCATTCCTGTAATCTTTGAAAATACTTCAGAACGTGAGGTAATTAACATAGCAGTAACTAAGATATTTGTAGCTTGAGCATAAAAAAGATACACAAAATGACCAATGATACCATATCTAACCTTCACTATTTCTAAATAAGTGTGTGCGTTGGGAACCTTTTTTTTGCTTTAATAGCCAGAATAGAAAATGCAATGATTTGAAACGAAGCACCTGCTGAATATGTATATCCACTAAAAACATCATAATTATATTGCATTGCAGTTGAAGCTAACAAAGTTAAGGCTTAGATCCAAGATGATACGACTGTTGAAGCAACTAGACCTGTTTTAACTGTTCTACCCGCTGTAGCAAATTCTTCTGCTGTCATAATTTCTCTTTAGTACTTTTTTAACATATGCGTTGTAGCAATCATACCGCCAGTAAAAACTGCACCCAATCCACATACAATGGCATAACCAGCACCTTGTGGTAGAACTTGCTTAAACTCTACCATGGTTCAACTTATTTTTTTTTACCTAATTTATACTTATCCGTAATGAATGCTTTCAATTATCTTGTAGCTACTACATGATTTGACAACAGATGGTTCAAAATAAAACTACAACTTTTATTTAAGATATATCAATACATTTTTTTCATATATATATACGTATTTTCTAATTTTATTTTAAAAAAATCAATAATATTTATCCTATATATCAATTTATGATATATTACAGTAAAATTACGAATAATTAAAGTTTTAACTAATAATATTAGGAGGTTGGAAATGTTACAATTTTTAATTATTGATCTATCAAGTATATAATAAATTATATCTGATTTACAAGTAAACAATAAAAATTTCTTATCAAAAAGTGACTATTTCTATTTTTTATTTTTCTTAAAAATGACTTTACATTGTTCTCTGTAGATGGTAGAAGATAAGATAAGTAAAAATTACAGTTATTTGAAGTTATGAGTCCGTAACAGATATATGATAGTCACTTATTTTTTTTTCTTTTCTACTTCAAGCATAAAGATAAATGTGCATTTATCCAAATATATGCTAATAAATAGGTCCGCTCGTGATCAAATAACACAAAACTCAAGATATGATTCAAAAAAAAAAGAATAAAACAAATGGAACTACTGAAAGAAAAGCACGAACAATCATTTAGATAACAAAAATGGAATCTAAAAAAGGGTTCCTAAAATGGAAAAAATAAGATATGATATGATAAGATAAGATATGATAAAATACGATAAAAATTTCTTTAGTATCTGTAGACCGTTTTTATACATCCGTACACCCTCCGCATTAAACATACTTATTTCTTATTTAGGACATAAAATGAATTAATTTCTCCACATCCTGTTTTATTTTATTTTCCATTTTTTTTTTTTGACAATATTAGAGTCTGACGTCCATGAGTTGGAAAATTTACATTTACAATGAAATTACCATCTGGCTCTCTATTGATTGTAAAATTCATTAACCTAATCATAAAGATATTATATATGGATACGTATTAAGCATATTTTTACTATATTATGTGTGATTCATCTTTATTTATCACCATTTGCTCCCAGAAGAAAGATCGTCAAGAAATATAAAAAGGTATATTATTAACAATGTCTGACATCAAGAACGAAAAGGTCGAAGAACAAGAATTACCACAAATCATTAAGATTAGAATTACTTTAACTTCTACCAAGGTTAAACAATTGGAAACTGTTTCTAACAACATTATCAGAAATGCTGAACAATTCCAATTAGTCAAGAAGGGTCCAGTCAGATTACCAACCAAGGTTTTAAAGATCTCCACCAGAAAGACTCCAAATGGTGAAGGTTCCAAGACTTGGGAAACCTATGAAATGAGAATCCACAAGAGATACATCGACTTACAAGCCCCAGTTCACATTGTTAAGAGAATCACTCAAATCACTATTGAACCAGGTGTCGATGTTGAAGTTGTTGTTGCTTCTGACTAAACTATTTAGGTTATTTACTAATACAACTTTTTTTCGATCTCATCTCTACAATAAACTCCAAAAAATATTAGTAGATATCTACATTATGTTCTATTGACCCACTCTAGGTAAACACAGTTCCTTAATATACCTCTGTCTTACTATCAGTGGTAAAACCAGTAGATTTATAGTAAAATCAAAATAAATATATATAGTTAGTATGTATTTTTTTTGTCAATTGAATATATATGAATATATCTATGCAAATTTATCTTTAATCTCCACTAAATGCGGACTATCTGTGTCTAAAATATCAGAAATACGAACCCTAACAGAGCTATTGCATAAATCTTTTTAGACAATTTTTCAAAATACCCTCAATTTATGAGAATTTGTAAATGGACAAAATTTCTTTTATTAATGCGAATTTATAGGGATTTAATTTTTATGGATATAGGTAAGTATAAAAAGAGAGAAAGAATTTAAGAACCTTTTTGTTACAATGTTTTACAGATTTTTCAGTCAAAATAAAAAAGAATAAATCACAGTCAGCAGGATATTCTGAGCAAATTCACACTCCATATGAATGTTGTTCAAGACAAACTACCTTTTGCTATGTGAGTTATGGACACAATTATTTCTTTTAATATGTTTCTGATGAGAACATGTCCTAAGGACAACAGCTATAAACCCAGCTCTTCGATCTAATTTCACTGGATATGAGATGAATTCTTTTGTCAAACGCTCTGAGATATAAATTATTGAAATAACTGTCCATTTTCAGTTTTAGTTTTTCCCTTTAGTAGCCTTAAAATATACGATATCATCACCTTGCATTATATAGTCTTTCCCCACTTTCTGCGTGTGAAGTTTATTCTTCCCTGTAGATCCTACAAGGTCATCATATTTAATAATCTCTGCATGTAGAAAACTTTTTTGCAGATCAGTATGAATCACACCCGCTGCATCCTTAGCTGTAATACCTTTACGAATATTCCACTCTCTGACTTCTTGAGGTCCAACAGTATAAAAACTAAGTAGGTGTAACATTTGCTTCGTCTCTTGAATAATACGAGGAAGAACTGATTTTGTCTCATCTTTATTATTACATTCAAACTCGTTACTTATAATTATTATTTTATCATATGGAGCAAATTCATCTCTCCAGTGTCTAACACCCTCCATTTCTGCACATTTACCACCTACATAATCTTCAGCGTCAACATTCAGTAAAATTAAACTTGGCTTACTAGTTAAAAAATTATATTTGTTTAAAATGTTGATTTCACCTTGTGTCCAATTGTTAGACTTAAAATTCGAAATTTTTTGACCAGTATATAAGTGATCTTGTAGATGCTCAAAAAGATGCAACTCATTTTCTAACTCACCCCTAAGATTATAACCACCGTGGTTTCTACTCACACTATTCAGCTTCTTATTATTCGCTGATATTATTGATTCAATCATATCTAAGTCTTTTAAAATCAATTCATCCTGAACTAACCCTAAATCTCTAACAGGATCAACATTTTGCTCTAAATGTGTAATTTCATCATTTTTAAATGCACGTACTAAATGAAATAAACCATCGACAAGCTTGATGTCATTAAGAAACTTGTTTCCCAAGCCTTTACCTTCGGCTGCACCCTTAGTTAATCCTGCAATGTCAATAACTGATAAGGTCGAATATGTAACTTTTTTGGCAGAATATAATTTTTGCAAATGATCCAATTTTTTATTTGGAATTTGAGTGATTGCATGTGACGGTTCTATCGTTGCAAAGGGGTAGTTTGCCGGGTTTCCTAATTTTGAATGTGTTATATTTTGGAAAAAGGTGGATTTTCCAATATTGGCCAACCCAACGATTCCTACAGATAAATTATTAGATTGTCTTCCTAAAAAATGCATATCTATTCTTATTCAAGCCAAGATATTTTTTATCATTATATTATATAATTATTAGGATTTGTCTTTATACTTACCATTATATAGCTTAATATTATTATAATAGACTCGAGAGAGAACTGACTTTTTGTTTTTTTATTTTTTAAGAAAAGCAGAATCTCATATTAAACTTTCCTAAGTAATGCATATGATAAAATCACTATTCTAGGTCATGTAACGAATTATAATGCTCACCTAAAGAATAACCGTGTTTGTAGTACACCAATTTTAACTCTGGATTTGTTCCACTTTCATTGACTTTATGTGTGGCTTGACCACTGATTAAAATGCTAATAGGACAATCAAATATATTTGCAAGTGCAATTATTTCAATTTCACCACCCCATTTTGCAGTAGATTCCATTTCTCTGATATATTCGTCAACATCCTGCAACTGCATCGTAGTTTCGTCAAATAAATATGGAATAAAATCATCTCTATTATTACTAATGTATTCACATGCTAAATGTCTTAATTTATAAACATCATAATCATCTGAGATATGTTTATGACGATATTTCAACTGATCCAAGATCGACGCAAACAAACAGTGTCCATCAGGTCGGATATCAACCTGTTTCAAATTCAATGTATTACACAATAAATCAAGTGATTCTTGTTCTAATTTTTGTAAATCTGGTTGAATGGCAGCTTCCTTAGCAGCCTCTTCCTTCATACGCGCTATTTCTTGTTCTCTTTTTGCTAATCTTTCTTTTTGTCTATTTCTACGTTTTTTTGGTTGCTGTTGCTGCTGCTGCTGTAGTTGTTTCTGATTCTGTTCTGTATTATTTAATTCTTTATTTTCTAATTCAAGTTGAGCTAACAACATTTCTGGTGTGATTTCAGCATTGTCTTCATCATTTTCTTGTTTATTTTCAGTTTTTATGCCTGACTCTTTTACTTCTCCCAAATCAGTATTTTGTTGGTTTAAATTATTATTTTGCCACTCAGATATTTCTTTGTCATGTTTTGACTGTAAATCAGCTTGTAATAACTCGCATTTAGCATTGACCTCCTTTCGTTGGGACTTAGAAGCTTGCTTTTTCATCCCAGTAATTTTATTTTGTAAATCTTTTTTTTCTTTTCTATGTCTCTTCAGTATGTCCTTCATTATTTGATGCAGTTGTACCTTGACTTTCTCTCGTGATAACACGTGTCCTTTTACTCACTTCTGAGTTGCTCTTGTGCCTCTCTTTACCTCTTTTTTTAATAATTAATAGAGTGTTTTTAGCTGCAATCGATTTCTTGAAGAAGCTCATCTCCGTATGAATTGATAAAAAAATTCTTTAAGCAAATTCAATAAAATAAAAATATATACTGAATGATTATCTTTGGCATACAAAATAGACTCTATGTGACCAGTATCAAAACAAGAAGAAAGCAAAAAAAAATAAATTTATTTTTAGTAAGATAATAAGTAGTGTCCGACAGAGAACATCGTTTTTTCGATCTTTTATAACTGCAATATTTTATTGTACATTTATCTAGATGGATATTTGGTTTAAATTGATTCCTTTTTTCCACTTTATATAGTAATCCTGGTTTATTACTATAATAGATACCGTTCTAATATTCGACTAAAAATATTCATTGCTTTCTTGCTTTCCTCTTCTGACTTCATAGCATTAGGAAGAACACCTGTGTATAGTTTTTGCTAAAGTTATATTATTATCAACTTTTTTACCCTTCTCAAACAAAGTAATTAATAATATTATACACAGTCAAATGTCGAGTTTCTTTTTTGTATTACATAAAGTTGAATATTATAGACATATTCCTCTCTTTTTTTTTCATATGCAACTTTTATGATATATCAAACTATATTCAACGATCAAGCCAACTCACTAATATTTAGTAACTTATTGTAATCCTTTTGTAAATATGTTTGAGTCATCTAATTAATTTCTAGATTTTGTCAATAATGTTATTTAAACCACATAACTGTGTATTATTTTCACAAAATTATAAAGAGTAATTGTTTTGTTAAACTTCTCTTTCTTTGAAAATAGAAATCTCTATGATAAAAAGAGTTTAATAATTTAAAAATATGTCTAAAGAAAATCAATATAATATATTCAAGTTGTATTTATGAAATAATCAATCTGAAATCCTTGAATTATGCAATTTCCTGCAAATATTAATATTGTAGTTAGTAGGTAATGTAGTTATTGATAGAGTAAACATTTATATGCGAAGTTTTTCAGAATTTATGCAACTTTTTATTAGTTTCTCTAAAAATGGATTTTTATTTTCTTGTACAATTTCTCTTAAGTTACGTCTTGGAGATAATATTTTAAAAATTAAGAACTTTTGTAATGTCACCAGCTGCTTAGAAATCAATTTTTTGTTTTTTTATGAATACAGTTTTTTCCTAATTGGAAGATCAACAAGATATATCCATCTTTTAATCCATAGAAATTAATATATAAATTAAATGTAATATGGGGCTTATTATTCTTTCTGGCTTTCATTATTTCAATATATCAATTTTTTAAATAAATTTCGTTTATACCTTAAATTATTATATCTTAATATTTGTTATTACAAATTTATATATTCTCACGAGATACGTAAAATACATTTATTTGATTTAAACAATTTTAATAATAAGTAAATACTACTTAATTTTTTTATTCTATTTATTGCCTCTTTGTTGGTTTAATAAAGACTTTTTATTATTTACTCTATATTATGTAGGACTTTTAAACATTTTTCTCTAAACTATTGTAATTGGTGTTAGTTAGAAAAAAATAATTCATATGTTGGAAAATCGAAACATTTTAAATAAAAAAAAATTCTCGAAAAATATAAATTTTTAGTCATGAATACTCTTTATTATAAAATGAAAAAAAGGAATTTACTTTTTAAATATATAAACTCAATAATATCAAAATTTCCCCAAACTTTACAGTTAAATTATTCTTTTTTGGGTATTTATATAAACAAAAAAACCTTCAACTTCCATCATTTATTTCTTTTTTTCCATATTGATATAAGATTTTACGTAATTTGTAAACCACAATCAAATACCACATCTAGTTATTAGCAATTTTTATCAAAAACAACGACAAAAATTTCTATCATCATTATATCACATAAGTTATTTTATTATAAACAATTTTAACTTTTTTTAATTTCCTAACTGTAAAACTTAAAAGGAATTTTAATTTACCATGTATCACATTAGAATCTTGTCATATTCTAAAATATTAATATTCTAAATGACTAACCTTTAAATTTTCTCTTACATTCGTTTAAAATTATTGATAAAAAATGACCAGGACGAATAAAATAGCATATTATATCTTTTTTTTTTTTAAAAAAAACTAAACCCTTGCGTGTTAAATAATTGAGAGGATATACTTATCCAAAAATAACTGAATAGGAGTATAAATCACTCACGCATTTAAAGAGAAGAAACAGTACTTCGCTCAGAGAAATACATCTCTTAATTTCTAAGTATTCTACTATATTTTTAAAATACCATTCAAAAAAGCGTTTGCTTTTCACATAAAACGTTTCCTAAACACGCAAACAGTTGAGGAAAATCCAAATTTAACCCCAAACTCATATTGATAGCATCTGGTATGGTTTTTCTTTTTCTCTTCTCCTTCTTTGTCATTTTTTTTGGCCTTCAGTATTAAAAACAGACGATTTTATCCTTTTTTCGTTGAAGGAAATACTTTGGACAAAGTGGGGCAGATCTTGCATGTCCTATTGATTTTTCTCCTTTTTTGGTTATATATTCTTCGACACCGCATAACAATATATACACAAGAATATACTGTTAGTACAAACAAATATCTCCATATAAGTACTTTACACTACTCCATTAAAACCAGTGTAATTCTGTTTTTTTGCTTCCTCAACAACCTTCCACATTGAATACTATATAAAAAAAAATGTGAAGGAGTGTGATAATGTCATAAAACGATTTCTGAAAGCATGATGTCAGACAATACTAGCTGTCATAGTAAAACAGACTCCCTGATCCTTAAAAAGTCGTCCCGGGCATGTGACCGTTGTCATAAAAGGCGGATTAAGTGCCAATTTGATTCTTCTATAGGCAAATGTTTAAATTGTCATAAATTTTTACACAATTGTACTTTTCATCGTGTACCTCAAAAGAGAGGGCCTCATCGTAAAAAATGGAACATCGCTACATCAACTAATTTCAAAAGTCCATCGTTTTCTATTATCGTGAATAAAAATGCATTAAATTTATCTACTATAAACATGCCTGGCTATCATATTGACAAAGAAAATGGTGAAGTATGTATGCCAAAAGATACAATTATCTTAAATCCAGGAAATGTAGAAAAAATTATATCTATTATTGATGAACAATTACCAATTAAAATTAGCAATAGAATGTCCCATTCACTATCAAGTATTTTAGAAACTTATTATCAAAATTTTCATGATAATTTAGGTATATTTCCTTTAGATTCAATTTCACAATTCCAAAATACTATATTAGATATTGTTAAAGAAAAAAAATTGATCATGGTTTTTCATTCTATTTTGGAGACCCTGTTCCATGGGGATGAACTGGAGAAAAAGAAAAAATGGAAACTCTTATGGAACCAATTAGTTGCAATAGATTATATAGAAGCAGTGACAGATTACATATTATATTTAATTTGTCATCTTTTGATTTGTATTATGGTTCCAATAAACCCTAAAGTTTTAGGATATTGTGTTGGTACATATTATGAAATTTGCAAGAAAATGCCTACAGATATTAATCTGAGAATAAGGAGAGTGATTCAATTGTTAAATTTATTGAATCAAAGATTCAATAACATGGATTCTATGTTCACAATAGCTACCAATAATCATGATGATACGTTTTTTATTAAAGATAATATAAGTGAGATTATCACAATCTTAAATAATGACAATGATTTGAAGCCTTTAAAACTAATATCTTTTAAAAATGTAAACCATATATGGTTAGACAACTGTGAAATTGAACAAAGAAAGAAACTGTTTATTAAAGCCCTACAAAATAAAAACATCGATTTTAAAAATGTTGTAAATACACTATGCTCACTAATTATTTCAATGTTGGGTTTATTGAGGCATGTAGATAGTGACAACTATACGAATTCGATATTGCAAATATTAAAGAATAGAAATAAAACCAAATATAAATACGAATTTGGTCTAAAATTGATAATCAATAAGCTAAAACGATTGTATGATATCATTAAAGACACACCATCGTTTCTAATCAATATGGTAATGTACTCTAATCTTAATAATACAGATTTAGTAATGAACCAATTATCTACTTCATTGAATGAGTTAGTTCAAATCACAACATTAATAAATAAATTAAGCAGGAATGACTACAAGAGTAATTGTTATTCTAATAATAGTAGCAATAACAACAATCATAATAATTGTTCTGCTAATATATCTTATATATTATGCGAAGGCCAGGAACAACACAATAATATTTATAATAGTAGTGAACGATGTAAAGTTAAACCAAATTCACCATCTTTGGAGAACTTAATAAACAACAGTAACAAGAGTCAAAATGAAAATTTATTATTTGAATCGTCTTTAAGAAATCCTAGTACGAATATCAGCATAGCCAATCAGAATACTTTATCACAAAAATTGAATCAACTATCAAAAAAATTACAAGCTATCGGTTAGCACGAATACAAACACATATATTCTCTTACATAAGTGCATATATTCCAATACGACAAAAAAGGTGCAAAAATAGACAAGAGAGTAATAATAGACCAAAACAAGCAAAAACTATCTAATTTCCTTGTAGCCTTAGAAATGTATGTATTGTTCTTTACTACCAAATTTTTTTGATTCAATACGGATGAGTATAGGTAAAATTTGTTATATTTCCTTTGATATATAGCCTAAAAAGGAGTTTTAAAATAACATTACCATCGGCAGAGTCCCATTAAAATATTTCATGCACAGGATTTTGTAAAAAAGAAAAAGTTATCAATATATATATATATATCTAGAGTATTTTTATGAACTTACTGTCTCATGAGACGTGTATAATCTTTTTTTATCCTATTTTTTCACTTTTTAAACCTTTTTAACTTTTAGGTTCTAATCTCTAAACTTTTAGGTTCTAACCTCTAAACTTTTGTAATGATGTTGCTACTTTTGCAACCTTACCCTAAACCTAACCGTATTATTTAGTCAGAAGATATCTGCAAGTCATTAATTTCTTTCTTCTTTACAAGTTTTATCACTTTTTGTTAGTGAATTATATGAGTCTGTTGAACGGATCAGCTGATATTTACTCAAAATCTATGAAATTATCACCCCTCAATATCCTAAAAAGGAAGGAAACTACCCCTTGAAAACGTAAATAAAGAAGTAGAAAGGAGAATGAAGAACAAAAAAAAAAGATAATAAAATATAACAAAAGAACCTTCAAAAAGAAGATAAACAACTTTATTTGACTCTTATTAATAATAACAATATTATCATTAAGTATTATTATTGATAATTACTTAGATCAGTCAACAGAAAGACAAAACTCTCTGATATTCGATCTAACCCAATCTCTTTTTCTTGTCTGTCTCCAATTCCCCTATTTTCGCCTGGTCCTGTACGCTCGACTCTCTTTCCCTTGTGCCAACAAAATCAAGATCCTTCTGCTTTATTCACTGTTTATCCGAACATAAAAAAAAATTTACTTTTCCGGCCTCAGAGTAATAGACAAGCGGCATTAACAAAATTTATTTGACGTGGGGGGAGGGGAGGAGAAGGAAGGGAAAAAATGAAAAATAGGAGAGACTGGTTAGATTTTCGCTTTTACAAGAAATAAAAATGAAAATGAACAAAAAAAAAAAAGAATTTCATCCTTTTTCACCAACTCTATTGTTTTCTATTATTAAACCAGAAACTGAACTCAAGAAATTACGACCTTCCCCAAAAAATCAAATCAGAAAATTTCACGTGTCGTGTTGTTGTTTTTTTTTCAACATGTTTTCAGTTTATCTATATCCAAACGTTTTAGGGTTGAAGAATCTTGATTTCTTTTTTTCTTTTTTTTTATCGAATTAAGATAATATAGTATATATGCTAACTAAGTTCAGAAGCACTTTAAAACGTAAGCAAACAAGTGGTAAATGAAAAGGAAAAAAAACACAATTTTCAACCAGGGAACCCAATATAACTTTTTACTCTTTTTTCTTTCTTTTTTTTAAAAGAAAAAAAATACATAGAAACAATACACAATACAATATACAACACTGGCATAACTTTTTTTTTGTTTGTAGTTTGATTTAGTCTTATTATCCTATCTTAATTAAGCTTAATTAAGGTATTTAAAATGTTGTCTTGCATGAAATGTCCAGAAGAAAAGAAAAACAACAAAATACAATCAACTTTCACGGTATAACCTATACTTTCCTAAATAGGAAGTTGCTGTCACTAATTTTAAGGAGACTTTGGAAAATCTATTATTGAAATTTTATTTGTTTATTTTTTCTTTTTTTGAAGTTCTTCTTCTTTTTTTTTTTTTACTTAGTTTATTTATTTTTGCATGGAAAGTTCAGATTTCGTGTATTCTCAGTTGTTTCCAATTCTCGAGAAAATTAAATTACAGTAATTGTACAGCCCTGAAACAAACCATTGTTTTCGGTTTTGGATTCGAGTTTGTTTACTGTTTATGTTTTCCCTGGTCCCACTCTCGACTGAATGGACAAGGGGGAGAGCTGAAATTGTAAGGGGAAGCTAGTAACATACAGTCTAAATCGTATATAAATAATTAAGTAAATGCATAAACACACACACACACGTATATATATATATTTCTGTTTTTTAACTGTTTGGTCTATCTACACCATTGTATTCCCTCGACCCTTCGAAATTTTACTATCGCCTCCATTTTCTTTTTCCTTTGTCTTACTGTTCTCTTTTGTTTCTAAATCCCTTCTCTTAACTTTCCTCCTTTATTCACTTTAGCACACATCTATAACAAGCAACTTCTGTATCACTATCGCCAAACAGGTGCAAATTATTATATTCGATTTGTCTACCTTTGCCACATCGCATAAAAGAGTAAAATAAAAAAATACAATCTTTAAATTATGTCCACATCCAAGAGACACGTCAAAACTCATTCTACTTATGCCTTCGAAAGCAACACCAGTAACGTCGCTGCTTCTCAGATGAGAAACGTTTTGAATAGACTAGTCGACTCTGTTGAAGATGATGACAAACGTCAAAAATTTGAAAATGAAATGGATTCCTTCTTCACTCTTTTCAGAAGATATTTAATTGAAAAATCTCAATCTAATAACATCTTGGATTGGGATAAGATCAAATCTCCAAACCCAGAAGAAGTCGTAAGTTATGCTAAGATTGACCCGGAATTAGCTGGCAACACTGAAAATCTATCTAAACTGGCCGTTTTGAAACTTAATGGTGGTTTAGGTACTTCCATGGGTTGTGTGGGACCTAAATCTGTCATTGAGGTTAGAGACGGTAACACTTTCTTGGATCTTTCTGTGCGTCAAATTGAATATTTAAACAGAACTTATGACTCGGATGTCCCATTGCTACTAATGAACTCTTTTAACACTGATAAAGATACTGCACATCTAATCAAAAAGTATTCTGGCAACAGAATCAGAATCAGATCCTTTAACCAATCCAGATTCCCAAGAGTCTACAAAGACTCTTTATTACCTGTCCCAACTGAATACGATGATGCCTTAGATGCTTGGTACCCACCTGGCCATGGTGACTTGTTCGAAGCTCTTCATGCTTCTGGTGAGTTAGATGCATTAATTGCTCAAGGTAGAGAGATTCTTTTCGTCTCTAATGGTGACAATCTAGGTGCCACTGTCGACTTAAAGATCTTAAACCACATGATTGAGACTGGTGCAGAATATATCATGGAATTGACTGATAAGACTAGAGCTGATGTGAAAGGTGGTACTTTAATCAACTATGATGGTCAAGTCAGATTATTAGAAGTTGCTCAAGTACCTAAGGAACACATTGACGAATTTAAGAATATCAGAAAATTCAAAAATTTCAACACTAATAACTTATGGATCAATTTAAGAGCTATTAAGAGACTAGTGGAATCCTCATCCCTAGAAATGGAAATCATTCCAAATCAAAAAACAATCATGAGAGGTGGCCATGAAATTAACGTCCTTCAATTAGAAACTGCATGTGGTGCTGCTATTAGACATTTTGAAGGTGCTCATGGTGTTGTTGTCCCAAGATCCAGATTCTTACCAGTCAAGACTTGTTCAGATCTTTTATTAGTCAAGTCAGATCTTTTCCACTTACAACATGGTGCTCTTGTATTGGATGAACAAAGATTTGGTCCAAACCCACTTATTAAGCTAGGCTCTCATTTCAAAAAGGTTTCTGATTTCAGTTCAAGAATTCCACATATCCCAAAGATTGTTGAATTGGATCATTTAACCATCACTGGTAATGTTTTCTTAGGTAAAAATGTCACGTTAAGAGGTACTGTCATTATTGTTTGCTCTGATGGGCAAAAGATTGATATTCCAAATGGTTCTGTCTTAGAAAATGTGGTTATTACTGGTAACTTACAAATCTTAGAACATTAAGAATTCTATACAAAAACAAAACACCAATTGTCATCAGCCTCCTTCATAAAATTATTATCACCACTTCGTTCCTTTTTATCATGTATACATATAATGTGCCCATATTATCATATATATACATCTTATATAATATAACAATGTTGCTATTAATAAGCGTGTACAAATAAATTTCTCTGTGTTCGTATTATTTTCTTTTATTTTCCCTTTTCAAAAAAAAAATTTATAGATGAGAATTAAAAAGTATTTATTAAAATTTCTTAAGAATATATACATAGACATATATATAAACACTAGCATTACAAAGATGATATGGATATACACAACTCCTAATGATTCTTAAATAAATAAGACACACTCTCACCGTTATGTAACCTACGTATAGCTTCTGCTAATACCCCACTAACGTCAATAATATCAATTTTAGGGTGAGCCTCCAATTCATGATCAAATTGAACTGTATTAGTACAGACTAATTTGTTCATAAAGGAACTACAAATATCTTTAAGTGCGTTACCGGATAGAATTCCATGTGTCACTATGGCAATAACTTGATTGGCACCATTTTCTAATAAGACCTCAGTAGCTTTTATTAGAGTCCCACAAGTATCTGCCATATCATCAACAATTATGCATGCTTTATTCTTCACATTGCCAACTAGAACCATTTTTGAATTTCTCTTACCGCTAATTTGTTCTTTGTGAATTAGAGCAAATACTACATTCAAATCTTCTGCTAAAGATGCTGCTCTCTTCGCCCCTCCTGCATCCGGCGAAACAATAATACAGTTATCACACTCCACATGCTCTTTAATATATCTCACTATATTAGGTTCTGCATAAAGATTATCTAATGGTATATCAAAAAACCCTTGAATCTGTGATGCATGTAAATCCATAGTCACAATATGATCCGATCCAGCTGTTAGTAACATATCTGCAATTAATCTGGCTGTAATGGGAACTCTACCTTTATCTCTCTTATCTTGTCTGGCATAAGGGAAATTAGGTATAACTGCCGTAATTTTTCTTGCAGAAGCAGTTTTTGCCGCATTAATCATAATTAATAATTCTAGCACCCTATCGTTAACTTCTCTAGACCCAATTTGTGCAACAACATAGACATCCTGATCTCTAACAGACTCACATATACTAAATGTTATTTCTCTATCAAAATCTTTAATTAATACACATTCTGTTACTGGAATAAAGAGCCTCTCTGCAATAGTCTTAACAATACTCAAATGACAATCAGAAGCAATCAACTTTATGGAATTAGTAGGCATGTTATTAGTTTATAATCAACGTATTTATCAATACCTTATGCATAAGCAAACTTAGAAGAAATACAAAAGAAAAACAAAAATTAAGAACGATCAAATGAAATGTTAAGTGAAAAAAGGTGAATTAGGAACGGTGTAAATTTGAAGATGTTAGACAAACAATAATGATAACTTTTGGACCCTTTTAGCCAACAAGCTTTGGTAAAATAAAAAGAAAGACTCTGAAACAAAATAGACATAATTATTGAAACCATGCTTAAACAAGGAATGTACTTAATGTTTAATATATATCTTGTTTCTTCAGCATTGAAGAAAAGAAACTGAATAATTTGGGTGACTGGATGGACTAGATCAATATCAATGACTTAGACATTATCGTTTATGGAAAAGGAAATTTTTGGAAGATTTACTAAATTGGAAAATCGGACATCTTCTAAAAAGTTTCAAAATTTTTGCGCTTCCCCTTCCCCTTTTTTTCTCAATTTTTCATATGAAGAAACGAACCAATAAAATAATTAATTTGATATTAATTCTGAGTTTAGAAGATCAAAATCTAATCCTGTATCAAACACCTAGAGCTATCAACATCAGAAGGTAAAGTTAATTCTGCTTTAGTAATCGAATTATTCTTGTTCTTCCTTTTCTTCTTTTTATTTTTCTTTTTATTTTTGGAGGAGGATATATTCGCTATTTCCTTAGCATCAGTATTAAAGTCCTTTGTTGAGTGCTGTACCATAACAGTACCATTTATTTCTTCTTCTGTCGCACCTTCGAATTTATCTCTAGCATTTATATAAAACATTAAGTCTTTAACTTCCTCTTCTAAATTTTTATTTTTATCTAAAAGCTCATTATTTAATTCCTTCAACCTGTCATACTTCTTGATTTGATCATCTAGGTTTCTCGACATTCCTTTTATAATTTGATCTTTCTCTGAGGATTCTTTTTGATAATTGTTTAATTTTGTTTCATTAATCGTTTTTAATTTTTTGTTCTCTAGCTCAATCTTTCTAAACTCTGCTTGCAGTTCCAGAAAATTACTTTCAAGTTTTTCGTAACGTTCCTCAAGATGCTTTTGTTCGTTCCAAATATGAGAATCCTGTAGTGATTTTTCTTGTAATCTCTCAATCTTTTCTTCATAATACTCTCTCTGTGATTCTAACTGAGATATTAGTACCTGAACATATTCTAGATGATACTCTTTATTTCTTAAGAAGTTTTCTGCCAAATCTAAACATTTTCCAGAGGTATTAGCATTTTCATTTTGTTGACCATTTCCTAAATTACTATTAGCAACAATTCCACCATCATCACCACTAGACTCACCAGCCATATTATTGTTTTCGAATATTACATTTGGAAGATTCCCACTTACTTCTACTAGTTTACCATCTACTTCATTTTGAACAATTCTATGTACATAATTATCTCCTGCATAATCCCATACTCTTTGTGTTTTCATATCCATTGCAAAACAGTGTGAAGTGGATTCAAAATGTTGAATAGCATGTTTTGAATTATATCTCCCACAACCAATGTTACCACAAATCAAACATATCCATAAGTTTGATTTATCACCACATATTGTACATTTTGGTGAATCCCCAGCTTTTTGAATTAAGGAATCACGAGTTAATCTAAAACTTGAATACCTACAAACAGGACACTTAGAATTCTTCCATGCATCCAAACAATGACAATGGAATGTGTGCTGACATGGAATTGTAATCAATCCTGTTGTCTCTGCATCCATTCTCTCCAAACAAACCGGACACATAGGTAATTCTACAGATTGCCCTTTATCCATATTATCTTCATTTAACCGTGTAAAAGGGTCTGTCAAAAGATATGGAACCAATTCCTCATTATTGTCAAAAAGATTGGCTTTGAATGTCACCTCTTTAATAAATACAACATGACATCTCTCTGGATCAATTTTACTAAATTTTTTACCATTGAAAGTTTCTTTGAATCTTCTAGCGCCGACTGGGTCTTTAAACTTCATTAATACAGTAAAATTAAAACCCACTCCTGCATCATGGTTTTGTAGAATGCGAAAATTTGATATTTGATTATGAACAATATCATCCCCAATATAGAAATGCAAAAGATCATGTACAGTGAAATACGTTGGTACAAAAAGAATACATAACATGGTATCATCTCCTGGGACAGTCAATGTGGCAGTTGAATTTCCCTGCATATCTTCATTGTTATCTGCTGAAATTTGTGAGGTATCACTTTCTTTAAACAATCGTATGATACCATGTCCCATATACTGTGATATGACTTTATCTTTTTTATCCAGCATTCTATCTTTCTCTTGAATCAAGTCTGTGATAATTGAATATCTATGGATACGTATTTCTTCCTGGTCCTCCTTCAGTAAAGCTTCACTTTCTTTTTTCTCGGTACTAATTTCGGGTGTTAAATCAGTATTGTCACAGATAAAAGCGTTAAAAACTTCCTTTGCCCTACTCTCTGATTCTAAATGTATAACCAATCTATACATAGATTTCATTTATTGATATTTTTCCCATATCGTAGTCTCTCAAATCAAACAACCAGAGAAGGCTTAAGAAACATTAAAAAAAAAAAATGATTCCAAAATCAAAAAAAAATAACAGTTATTATTTACTATGTGTTGTAATAATGATGATAGTATGGATTTGATTTCTTATTGTATATATTAATATAAAACAAGAGACAGTATTCTAATACATTAAAACAATAACATGAGAAAAAAAAAGTATGAGGTGTTATATTTGATAAATGATAAATATTTCCTTATATTCTTTCTGAACATTTTCAAAGCAATTAAAGATCATTTTTTACGTAACTATTTTCTTACAACACATATATGCTCCCCCTTTCCTTCTTTCCCCCCTTTTAGATACACAACACAAGAAATATGATGAAATGGTCTGAAGACGTGGCACAGATTTGTTATAAGATGAAACTAACCAAAACAAATTATATATTATTATATCATTGAAATATTCTTTGTCACACATCTAATAATTTTTTTGTTATATATACATATAATATATATATATACATATGTAACTTTCTAATGCTAGCAATTTTACTAACAACCAGCAACCAATAAACAAAAAATTATTAAAAAAAACATAAACGTGTTATTTAAGAAGGCAGAGGTAGAATTGTAGTATTGAGTATATGTATATTGATATATCCTATAGAGTTAATATCCTTCTACTTTTTATTATAAACACGAAACTCAACTAAACTTTTTTCTTTTTCTTTTTCCTTTTCTTTTTCTTTTTCTTTTTCTTTTTCTTTTTCTTTTTCTTTTTCTTTGCTCTTTGCTCTTTTTTTGTATTGTATTGTAGTTAAATATTCGCGATGCCCAACATTACAGTGCTAACTTTGCTTAACCCCTTATCGTATCGTATATATGTATATAATAATAGCCAAGAAAAAAAAAAAAATAAAAAAAGGGCAAAATTTAACTTCCTGCAGAATGTAACAAAGTATCAACCGTAAGCACTCTCAAACATCAGCCCACGTCAGACATACACGTAGGTATATAAACACAAACACATTGGCCGCGTCAAATATCAATAGGTATTACTTAGCAACATCAAATAAACACGTAAAATGTATATCATCTAATACAATATACCTTCGAGAAATGTGTCAAAATTCTTTTTCTTTTTCTGTAATGAAATATCTGATGGAAATTACTGTTTTTAGAAAATTTCCACGAAAAACCGTAACCAGTAGCAACCACCGGTTATTTCCCATATTGGAATATTCCGGTACGAACCTGGCGAATTTTTTTCCCCGTTTTTCTTTTTTTTTGTTTTTTCTTTTTTCATTAGTAAAACAATAACAATAAAATTAATAATGTAGGAATTAGGGAACAAAAAAAAGCTAAAAATTTGATAATCCAATAACTTGCTATTAATAATGATTCTCAACACTAGTGGCTTTTTTCAAGTGAATATTCTGCGATATCAATCTGTATCCTACAAAATACATAATATTAACCTATCCAAGACTCAAGTGAACAGTAACCACAAGGCTAAGTCTTAATAAATCTTACCTTTACCATGTTTCTTACAACCATAGTTTTTAGTTTTTAGTCCTTTTTTTTTAGCCTTTGACGCTCATCTCTTTTTACTAAGATATGGATCAGCCTGATAACCAATATTTATAAATAGAACCGCTTACCAATACAATAATTGAATATTCTAGAAGACCTTATTCTATTTGTTTATTTCCTTTATTAATAATAATATAGGAGCATCATATATCTCTAGCTCATTGTGTACATATTCCTTTTTTTATTTGTCTGGGTAACGTTCAACTTTCATTTTCTATTTGCATACAAACACACACACACACACACACACATATATATATATATAAATATAAGAAACTATGGTGGATGATACAAATTACATAACACCCCATGAGGCAGCTTTGGCTGTCGTAGCTACAGCTATGAAAAAGGCAAGACTACATATCACTACGTTAATTTTAAATGCTCTGATGGGTGGGTTTTTATTCTCTTCAGGCTCTATGCTTTACATTATGATCCATGCAAACAGTCCGAGTGCAGAAACTAATAATCCTGGTCTTTTAGATATTCTTGGAGGTATAGGATTTGGTATCGGCCTTTTCTATGTTGTAATCATGGGTGTTGATTTATACAACTCAAATATCCTATTTTTTTCCGTAGGTCTTCTACGAGGGGCCATCTCCATTTGGGATCTGTTAATATCCTGGTTTGTTAGTATTTTCGGTAATATTGGTGGTTCTTTATTTATGTCTTACATTCTAGTTCATTTATCTACCATATCAAGGAGTGCTGATGCTATAAGTGCATCAATAGGAATAGCCGAAGAAAAAGTTCATCCAAATTTCATTGAAGTTTTTCTAAAGGGCTGTGGCGGTAATTTTTTCGTCTGTTTAGCAATATATTTACAACTCATGGCCAAACCTTTACACGTCAAATGCCTAATGTTGGTTTTGCCTGTATTGACATTTGTCACAATTGGATTCTCTCACACAATTGCAGATATGGGTCTCATGTTCACAGCAATGTTAAATGGTGCTAACGTAACCGTGGGTGAATATATTTGGAGAATATTGATCCCAACTGCTTTAGGCAATGCACTAGGTGGGTTTATGTTTAGCTTAATTCTACCATTCTATCTACATTTGGTAGTTGTTGAAAGAGATAGAAAGAGACTTTCATTACCTACATATGAGGCAAGAGATGAACAACCGGAACTTAATATGGATTCCCGTGTCGTTAGAATAACATCCAAGGAACGTAAAGAGTTTGACGATGTCGATGAAACAGATTCATCAAATACTAGCAATGCCGCTATGTCTGAATTTGATAATAATTATAATGAAAAATATGACCTTCAAATGCATGATCAAAGTGCTCTTTCCCGTAGAAGTACCACGCATTTAAGATATCCGACTAAGAGTATTTCCCACACCACGACGGCTACAACAGAAATAAATAATGATTCACATTCAAATACTAATTTGAATGCAAAAAATAACAACACTGATAGTCATGAATGGTCCTCCAGTGATTTGGATTCGTCCATGTATAATCCATCCTTTTCCTTATATTCAGCTAATGGTGATGTAGCATCAGTACCAGAGCCATACTATGCTAATGTGTCACAGAAATTCGATAAAGACAATCGTGACGTTTTAAACAAAGCATCGGAGTCCTATACGCTAGGATTAAAGGATGTAAAACGCCATATTAGATCACCACCAGGTGTTTTCCCAGTAAGAGGAATGGGTACACCATTAATCAGAGAAAAACACATTGAAGATCCTACTCACATTGATGAAGATTTAAAACCACTTAGTGAGGGACAACGTTCTAACGATCGTAATGAAAGTATATTATCAAGGATTCAAACCGCCTCTTCATATAGACAGAATGTTATTGAAAGAATCAAAACTATTGAAAAGGAAGAAAAAGAGGATTACAAACTTTCAGGTGGGTATGATGTTGAACAATCAAAACCTAGTGCACAATTGAAGAGGGTACTTACAAGAATAGTATCTTCAAAACATAGTACTACAGATCATGACGATATTGAAAGTGGCACATCTAGAACAACACAGAGTCCCTTCCCATTTAATCGTCCAGATAATGTTCGTTCTTATGATACTGTATCAGTATCTGAATCCATGGGCAGCGGTTTTAAGAGTTTTTATTCACAAAGAAGGAAAAGCTTCCGTGAAGTAGGTATCACTGGTAGAGCAGCAATGATGGCAAACAATACTGCTGGTGTGGATAATTATAGCCTTTCTGATATCAATCAACATAACAAAACACCACAAATGTCACGGTTCCCAAGTAATGCAACTAAAAAATGCGGTGAGTTGTCAAGGAAATCTTCATTGATACCACGTAAAACTCAATCTTTCCATGAAACTGTGAGTTATTTGAAGGAGAAAAATGAAACAAAAGACGATACTAACCAGTTAAAAAAAGTAAAGAAAGTCACCACATATAATATTGGAGAACATGATGAAGGAAATTCGTCTGATGAATCTAAGAGTGATTCAACATTAGACAATGAACACTGAATAGACATTGAAATTTTTTTTATATTATTATTTCTTTTTAGATTTGTATTTGCATTTATTTCACATTTTTAGTTTTTTTAATCCATCTTGATAATCAAATATTGTAACGATTTACGTAAGCATAATCAATAATATCGATAGTACATTCGATATTGTGTACTTGTATAGACTACATAGTTAATAATTAATTTTAAGGATAACTTTATCATAGCAAAAACTATAACAAAATATATTATATACATATTAAAATCTATTCTCTATTCGAATTTTTTTCTATTATGAGTTTTAATCCTATAATTTTATTTAGAAAAAGAAAGTTAATTATTAATCATCAACTGAAATCTTGATTCATAATAATAATTGCCATGCATGTAAAATATATTGATGAACATACAGAAAACTGTCCAATCCTTACAAAAAAAACAAAAATCAAATGCTAGAAATAAAAAAAATAAACAATATACTCTGATAATATTAATCCCTCAGTGTGCTCAAGTCCATACACTGAAACATGCAGTCGAATAAAATTTGCTTGTATATTATTCAGTGGTGATAAGTGCTACTACTACTTCAACCACTACTATTACTAATAATAACGCTACTTTTCTGACGCTTTTGCAACAAGCTCATCTATTAGTACCTTTGGATAAGATGGACCATGTTCATCACAAACCTCATTACCTCTCAAACTTTGCATTACAAAATACATGTCGAAATCTTCTGTTTTAGATACTTTAGATAAATAATTCCACGTTGCCGGCACTGTTAAGAATTGTTGACCTATTTCGTTTGTAAATTGTGTATTTTGTTTAATCAAAGATTGCTCATTAAAGGTACCATCTATATGCTTAAAAGTTTTATTGACTTTATTATTTTTAATTGTATCAATAACCATTGTTTCATAAAATTCTTCCTTTGTTGGGAAAGTAAAATTAGAATTACTATTCATATTACTATCATCTAAAGATAATTCGTCTGGTGAATTTAATGGATTTTTAAATTTTTTTGTATTCTGTAATAATATTCTATTCTCTACATTAATTTCCATATTTAATTTTTTCAAATCATCAATTTCTTTCAATAACATTTGCCTACTTCTTTCACTTTCCATCAATTTTTCTTCCAATTCTTTCATTCTATTTGCCTTTCTTTCTCTGAATGCCTTCTGAGCTGCTCGATTTTGAGCTCTCTTCCTCATTCTTCGTTCATCTTCCGTTAGTTGTGATTCATCTATATTTAAATTAATATTAACATTTGTATTTGGATCGATAGATATATAATCCATATTATTGATACTGCTGTTGTTATAATTATTTGAACTACCGTTCGTATCAAAATTGGATTGACTCAAATGAGATAAATGGTCATTTGGATAATCAATTTTATCTAAATTAGTTAATAAACCTGGACATGTATTATCAGCTGATTCATGATCCAATGATGTATTGAATTGTGACACTAAATTCGAAGATGATAAAGGGTCATGGTCATGATTTATTGGAATCTTAGCGAAGGATGAAAAATCATTTGAATTCTCTGCTGAAGTATTATCTGGATTTAAATTATTTTTATGTATTGAACTAAATACTATATGTTCCATAGATGTATTCCCAATACTGGAGTATCTTACTAATATAACTTAGTTATTTTTAAGATCATCTATACTTGAAACCTCTTTATGAAGAAGTATAGAACAAAATAAGAAGAAGAAAAAAAGATGTACAAAGTGACGTAGGGATTAAAAAAAGAGTCAATTGCATCAAGCTAAGTTAATCATCTTAAATCAATATTATCCTTTTCGTCACTCTGCTTTTCCATTATGACTAAACATTTCTTCTGGTTCTCTTGCTTACTCATCAAACGAAATCTTTAGTAGAAAAGCAATGAAATAATAAAAGAAAAATTGAAAAGATCCCAAAACAGGAATATAGAAAAAAAATACAGACATCCACAATACAATAACAATAAAATTTAGAATAGTTCGAGAGTCTATTGTCTAAAATTAAATTAACCCCGCTGTTCCAACACACCCACACACCCTCATATTTTTCCAAAATTCATATAAAGAATTAAAAAACAGTAAAAAGGAAAAAAAAACAGAAGAAATATAAATACCCTAATGATGTTTACAAAAAGTTTCCAAAAAGAATTACATTTTGTTCATGACACCTAAATTGAAATTTATGTTCTTTAAAAAAATATAATTTTCTTTTTTCTTAGTTTCGTTTAAAACGAGAAAAGTTGTTCGAGAAGGAAGAAAAAAAATTTTTTTTGTGTGAAGTTTTTGTATCATCTATTTCCTTTCACTGGAAACAATGGTGGTGAACATCAAATCTTTCTTCTAAGAGTTCTTACATCTTTTGCTTGTCATTTTGTTTTTTATTTTTTTTTTCCAGTTTGACTCATCTCATCATTTTCAATAGAAATATTTAACATACAGACGTATCTCTAATAGACAAACAGTTTACTTGCATTCCAATTGCATGCATCTCTATGTTCATTTATATCTTTACATAGAGCTTCTCTGACAGTAAAACAATAAAATATATTCATTTTTCTTTATTAGCCTTTATTTCTGCATTTTATCTAATTTAGAAATTAGCAACCAGAAAAATAAAGCAAGATGGCTGTTGCAACTGAAAATATTGCTAGTCAATTAGCAAAATTACATATTGAAGAGCCTGAAAAGTTAGAAGGTTCCTTCCCAGAAGTTAATGTGGTCGATTTAATGAGAAACTACATTGCTGTGGAACTGTCTAAGATCTCCGGTGTTGACAAGTCCTTAATCTACCCAGCTTTGGAATGGACCAACACAATGGAAAGAGGTGACTTGCTGATCCCTGTGCCAAGATTAAGAATCAAAGGTGCAAACCCAAAAGACCTAGCTTCTGAATGGGCTGAAAAATTCCCATTAGGTGAATTTTTAGACAAAGTCGAGGCCAATGGTCCATTTTTACAATTCTTTTTCAATCCAACCTTCTTAAACAAAGTAGTTATCCCAGACATTTTAACAAGAAAAGATGACTACGGTTCTTGTAAATTAGTGGAGAACAAAAGAGTTATTGTAGAATTCTCCTCTCCAAATATTGCTAAACCTTTCCATGCTGGCCATTTGAGATCCACTATTATTGGTGGGTTTATTTCCAACTTATATGAAAAATTGGGGTGGGATGTTATTAGAATGAATTATTTAGGTGATTGGGGTAAACAATTTGGTCTTTTGGCTGTCGGTTTTGAAAGATACGGTGATGAAGAAAAATTGGCTACTGATCCAATTCATCATTTATTCGAAGTCTATGTCAAGATCAACAAAGATATTGAAGATGAAGGCGATTCCTTACCATTAGAAGACTCTACAAATGGTAAAGCCCGTGAATATTTCAAGAAAATGGAAGATGGGGATCCAGAAGCTTTAAAGATTTGGAAAAGATTCCGTGAATTATCTATTGAAAAATACATTGACACTTATGCTAGATTGAACATTATATATGATGTCTATTCTGGTGAATCTCAAGTCTCTAAAGAATCTATGGAGAAAGCCCTACAAATTTTCAAGGAAAAGAACTTAACTCATGAAGATAAGGGTGCTGTTTTAATTGATTTGACCAAATTCAATAAGAAATTAGGTAAAACAATTGTCCAAAAATCTGACGGTACTACTTTATATTTAACTAGAGATGTCGGAGCCGCCATGGATCGTTATGAAAAGTATCATTTTGACAAGATGATCTATGTTATTGCTACACAACAAGATTTACATACTGCTCAATTTTTTGAAATCTTGAAACAAATGGGTTTTGAATGGGCTAACACATTACAACACATTAATTTCGGTATGGTCCAAGGTATGTCCACCAGAAAGGGTACTGTTGTCTTTTTAGATAACATCTTAGAAGAAACAAAAGAAAAGATGCACGAAGTTATGAAAAAGAATGAAACTAAATATGCACAAATCGAAAACCCAGAAGAAGTTGCTGATTTGATTGGTATTTCCGCTGTTATGATCCAAGATATGCAATCCAAACGTATCAACAACTATGAATTCAAATGGGAAAGAATGTTATCTTTTGAAGGTGACACTGGCCCATATTTGCAATATGCTCATTCTAGATTAAGATCTGTGGAAAGAAATGCTAAAGATATCACTCCTGATAAGTGGTTAAAGGCTGATTTCTCTTTACTAACCGAACCAGCTGCTGTTTTATTAATCAGAATATTATCTCAATATCCAGATGTTTTGAGAAATGCTATGAGAACCAGTGAACCAGCCACCGTGGTCACTTATCTATTCAAATTAACTCACCAAGTATCTTCTTGTTACGATGTCTTATGGGTTGCTGGTCAAACTGAAGAATTAGCTACAGCTCGTCTTGCCTTATACGCTGCCGCTAGACAAGTATTATACAATGGTATGCGTTTGTTAGGTTTAACTCCAGTTGACAGAATGTAAAATAATATAACTACAAATCAATTATATATAAAGCATGAATAGGCGTTTGTTTCATTCATTTTAAAGATATAGTAATGTTCATATATAAACACAATCAAATGTAAATGTTGTATTTCAAAAATTCTATATAACGTTGTTAATAAAAGGATATAGAGAGTTGTGTAGCGATGCGTTAGATGTAGATAAGCATTTTACAATATGTTCGTTCGTTCATATATCTTTTTAAGTAACAATAAGAAAAAGTCTAATCACAAGAAAAGAAATTCAGATAAAAAAAAATATTTCAAAAAAAAAAGAAAAAAAATTTGATAAAGTGAAGAAGTGAAGTAAAAGCTCATCGCAAAAGTAAAGGAGAAGCAAATAAAAACAAAGGCCGTTATGAAGGTATCTTACGATATTTTGGGACATTAGACATATAATACTAGTCACTGCAGTGCTTGAATAAACGTATAAAATAAAATAAAATAAAAAAAGATATCATAGATTTTTATATAAAACATGGGTAAAGCTAAAAAAACAAGAAAGTTTGCTCTAGTTAAGCGTACATTAAATACAAAGAAGGACCCAAGATTAAAAGCTAATCAAGAAAAACAAGCAAAGAAGGATGATCCAGAATTAACAAGGAATATTCCACAGGTTTCAAGTGCACTTTTCTTTCAATATAATGAAGCTATTAAACCACCATATCAAGTTCTTATAGATACAAACTTTATCAATTTTTCTATTCAAAAGAAGATAGATTTAGTGAAAGGCATGATGGATTGTCTTTTAGCTAAATGTAATCCATTGATTACAGATTGCGTTATGGCCGAATTAGAAAAGTTAGGTCCCAAATATCGTATTGCATTGAAATTAGCTAGAGATCCAAGGATAAAAAGATTAACATGCACACATAAAGGTACATATGCCGATGATTGTATAGTGAATAGAGTTTTACAGCATAAATGTTATATTGTGGCTACAAATGATGCCGGTTTAAAGCAAAGAGTAAGAAAGATACCAGGAATCCCACTAATGAGTGTAGGTGGTCACTCTTATGTAATTGAAAAATTACCAGATGTATTTTAGAATATCTTCACATATATATATATATATATATGTGTGTGTGTATCAGAGCATAATAATCTTTTTTTTACAAAATATACACTTTCAATCAAATTATGATCAAATAAAGAGTAAATAATACATACATATTGTGTCACATCTTTGTTAAGAGAAAACCTGTAACTATATTGTTTAGCAATAATTCATATGTCACCATCATCTGTTACAATTGCCATATCTTTTTCTCTCCCTTGCGTTTTGTATATATAAATAGGCTAAAATCTTCACTAGATGTTTCAAGCTTTCTTACTTCTTAGATATTTCTCACATATTAAAATGTGCTTTTATTATGTGAGAAAAAAATAACTAAAGTAATTACGTCGTTTGAACAATTTCGCATTAAATGTGTCAGTTTAAGGGGCGTGGGGGCAAGACAACATACTTCAAAGATTAGATCTACTAAAACACATACAAAGCACTAATAGTTAATGTGTATAACAAGCAACATAGTTATAATATCACAAACTAATAATTAGATAAAAAAAGAGTAGAAAAGTGAAATTAAAACGAAAAAGAAAGAGAGATTCGAATTAGACAAAGCATATCCAAATGTCAGGAATTATTTCCAAAACTTTGTCAGAAGTCCACCCTGCTTTACGAACTGCGGGGATGGGTATTAGTAACACTCATCGACGTATTAGTTTAACATGGTTACCATCCAATAAACAAAATCCCCTAGTTAGAAAATATAGGAAAAAAGGTAGACGTATCAGACATAATAATAGAAGAAGAAAAAGAAGAGGTAGTAATACTACAGATCAAAGAAGTTTTCATTCTTTAGCCGAGGATTTTGGATCAAGTGTACATGATCCACTCCCTGATATTGATGAAATCTTAGAAGAAGAAGGAAATGAGGAAGGATTGGGTACTATTGATAATGAATATAGTCACCTCTATCACGGTCCAAATTACGTAGTAGATGATTACGAAGAAGATGTCAGCCTTAGTAGAACTATTTCCCTTCCGTCTAGAGTATCAGAAGATCCTGAAGTTTCTCCTCCTGATGTCGATTGGATTTTACATGAACATGAGAGAAGATATTCATCCACTCATGGATCCGAATATGGCGATGAAAGTGCCGATGAGCCTGATAATTTCCCAACTAGAGCAATGAGATATAATGATTTTATTAACAAAGTCCAAGCTCAAAAACAGTTATATAAAAATGCTGCACAGAATAATTTACAACATGCTCCTAGAAGAGCTTCATTGATTTCAGTAACTAGTCAAGGATCAGTACCGAACATTTTTCAAGAAGGCTTGGATGAAGAGTCTCTTATAGAGTTAGCCCATTCAAATGTTACTTTTAAGTCGGAGGCTAAAGTGTTGGCCTCGTATTCGTTCCCATTAATGTTTACTTTTCTTTTAGAAGATATTTTCCCATTAGTTTGTTCTTTAACTGTGGCTCATTTAGGTAAAAATGAATTAGCAGCTGTTTCCTTAGCGTCTATGACCTCCAATATCACATTAGGTTTCTTTGAAGGTATTGCCACCAGTTTGGATACTTTATGTCCTCAGGCATATGGTGCAGGGAGATATCATAGCGTAGGTATTCATTTACAGCGGTGTATTGCTTTTTCCCTAATCATTTACATTCCATTTGCCATGTTTTGGTATTTCTCAGAGCCAATTTTGTATTATTTGATCCCTGAAAAGGAATTAATAAAATTAACATCTGCTTTCTTGAAAGTGTTAATCTTTGGTGCACCACCTTATATTTTCTTTGAAAATTTGAAGAGATTTTTACAAGCACAAGGTATTTTTGATGCTGGTATTTATATTTTAACAATATGTGCACCAATTAATATTATTATGAGTTATACACTAGTTTGGAATAAATATATCGGGCTAGGATTTATCGGTTCTGCGGTAGCCGTGGTCTTGAATTTCTGGTTAATGTTCATTTTGATGTTGTTGTACATTATATTTGTTAATGGATTAAAATGTTGGGGTGGATTTTCAAAAAGAGCATTTACACATTGGAAAGATTTGGGCCAGTTAGCATTCTCCGGTATTGTTATGTTAGAAACTGAAGAACTGTCATATGAATTATTAACATTATTCAGTGCTTATTTTGGTACAGAATATTTAGCTGCCCAATCTGCAGTATCATCAGTGGCTGCTCTTATATATATGATTCCCTTTGCTATTGGGATATCTGCTTCAACAAGAATTGCAAATTTTATTGGTGCAAGAAGAACAGATTATGCACATTTAGCATCTAAAGTAGGCATCACATTTTCTTTTGCAGCCGGGTTAACTAATTGTTCTATGCTAATCTTTGGTAGGAATTTTATTGCTGGTATATTTTCAAAAGATGAAAGCGTAAGAAGCTTGATTAGAAATATTTTACCAGTAGTTGGACTTGTACAAAATTTCGACTCCTTAAATGCAGTGGCTGGTTCATGTTTAAGAGGTCAGGGTATGCAGTCCATTGGAAGTATTGCTAATTTCTTAGGTTATTATGCATTTGGTATACCTGTTGCTCTTTGTTTAAGTTGGTTTCTTGATTGGAAATTATATGGATTGTGGATTGGTATTGGTTGTGGTATGTTGACTATTGGTACCATTGAAGCTTATTTTGTTTTATTTCCAAATTGGGAACGTATTATATCTCGTGCAGAGAAATTAAAAGAAGCAGATGAAGAGACTGATAAGGATGATGATGATGATTCATCCTCGTCTTCAGAAAGTGAGGTTGAAGAAGAAGAGGAACCTAATGAATTTACAAGACTATTATCAAAGTAAAAGAAATGTCAACAACACCAATTGAATTAAATTAAAATTAAAAATAACATGAAATAAATTACACATATAAATTCTTACATTAATAGACGTTCCTTGAAATCTTTTCAGAGAATTATACAATAGTTGATTTAAATTTACATACACCAATACATACAATTTGTACGAAATTATTTTTATAACATCTTAATCCTTCTTTGTTGACTTTTATTAGCATTTTTTTTTTTGCTTTATAGTTTTCATTTGAATATACATTTTACATACGTTACATATTTACAGGTCTTTACAATGAGTGAAAAGATATAATTATAAGGAAGGAAAGAAAAAAAGCCTGAAATAAAAAAAAAAAATAGAAAGGTAATTATATTATTCTATTTTCCGATTTTATGATAACTATTTAGTGGTGGTATAATATCTAGGCATTAGTAAATCTAGTAAGTGACTTTTGATATCTCTTACATCCTATTCCTAAACCTTTTTGGAATTCTTGTCTAGTGTTTTATCTCCAAAAAACTTATATTCTTGCATATATTTTCTATCCATACTAAATTCATTTATCACAGCTGCATCATCGAGACCTAACTTCTCAATAGCCCAATAATATCTTTGTGGATTGTCTCTTTTCAAATATTTCAAAATACTTTGTCTCTGCTGCACCAACATTCTTAATTTCCTTGTATTAGCGTAATCTTTCTTATGATCTTGTACATGATGCGCAATATTTAAAATACGAACAGTTAAGCAAGCAGCTTGAACTTCACTAGAACCGGTGTCCCCTGGAAATCTTTGGAACTCCTCACGTGCTAATTTTGTAGCCATTTTGACTCTTTCTTTATTATCTGCATTTTTCATACTTAATATTCTCAGTATGACTTCTCTTCTATTTTCAATAGTTTGTAAATCCTCTCTTGGAAATGTTTCCTCATTAAAACCTGATAATTCAATTTGACTTCTTTCCGTTGGCTCAACTGCAGCAATCAATTTTTCAATTTCTTTAGAATCATAACCATGCGATAAGACTTCTGGCTCATTGATTTCTGCCATAATACGAGTAATAAATGGTGTTTCTTTACGGCCAAAGACTGGATCTACTTTATCTAAAATTGCACCGAGCTTAGCTTGAATAGCTTCGTTTTTTTGTCTTCTTTTTTGTGCAATCATGTACCTTTCAGCTTTTGATTTTTGTGATTGTAAAGTGGAAGCATTTCTTATTACTGTAACACATTTGGTTATAGATATGAAAGGTTTTTTAGATATATATTTCAATACTAACCACATTCTGATTGTTCACAAACTCCTCTACTCTTCTTTTTCTCCCGTTTCTTTTTTTTTATTTTCCTCTTCCTTTTTTTCTATTATGCAAAGATGTTTAGTATATAGTATTATAACGCTGGACATTAATTGAATGTCTAGAAGCTTACCTATCGTATGTAGCTCTAGAAAATATTTACCAACATCTCTCTGAGTTCTTCCTCCTTATCCTGTTTACGAAAAAAGTTCCTTTTACAATGTTTATTCTGTTGAGAAATCTCAAACCTAACAGGCCCTTTTTTTGTTTTTCGTTTTTTTTTTATTATTATGTTTTTCACCATTTTCCGTCCTTTCCGGAAAATATAAATATAAAATTTTCCGCCATACGAAAAAACCACGGAATACAAAAAGCCTTGCCAGAAAGCAATTCTGGAAGAATATATTGACAAGGGAGATACAAAGACTTGCCAGATGACAGACACTCACGAGTTCAAGTCGATTGAGCTGCAGTATGCAATCACCACGTTATGCTACATTCACACATCAGTTAAATGTTTAATTTTGATTTACATACGATATTTAAAAGTTTCCACTGTCAAAGGACAAATAATAAAATATAAACATAGCACTATACTAATCCACATGATTCAAAAATACTATATCTTAAATAATCCATCCCATACCTCTTTGGACATCTCTTAGATGAAACAGAGTTAGTAAAAATAAGTTTTGGTAAAGTAGACAAATCTTGAATCCCACTCTGTACAATCATGTCTTCAAATTGTGATAAATCCTTAATCTTATCCATCTTCGTGAAAACTATCTCAAATGGTCTACCTAATACTATTAAATTTTCAATCATACTTAAATCCAATTCTGTGATCCCATGATTAGCGGAGAGAAGAAGATAACATCTTCGCAATTCTTTTCTTTTTTCCAAATATTCCATTGCAACAGTTCCTTGTTCTATATTACTACCATAGCCGTACCCTGGAGTATCAATCAGTCTAAACTTGTTACCAATATTAAAGCAATTTAAAGTTCTCGTAAAACCTGCCCTTTTAGACATTTTTGCCACTTCAATAATCTTATTTCTCTTGAATTCAGTGACTAAATTATTTAATATACTAGATTTGCCCGCATTGGATCTTCCCAAAAACACAATTTCTGGCAATCCATTTATCAGTTGAAATGGCATTTTTCTTTTCCCTTGATCTATCTTACTGTTCTTACAATCATTGTTATTCTGTACACTATTTTCACTACTGCAAGCCGTTTCACCAGGAATTATGGAAAAATCACCAACACTCCATTCATAAGCTACCTCACTCGAATTAAAAAATCTATTAATTCTATTTTTTTCTTGAATTGTAGGTTGTTTATAAAATTTGTTATTATAACTCTCATTCAAATTAACCCATTCCGGTCGTACCTTTAAATTAGGCCCTCCTTCTATCTTCTCTAGTCTGTCATTTCTCTTTGCTTTAACTTTTTTAGCAACACATTTTTTGATAATCTTATCATCATCTTCATTTAATATTAAATTCCGGTTTGATTGCGATTCAACTTCTTTCAATACATTATCTTTCTCAAACTTGGTGGTATTTATTATATTTTTAATAAGGTCCAATCTTTTCCCTAAAATTATGCCACCAGTGGTTAAATATTTTCGATTGATCATTATTATTACTAAAATTAACTCTGATTCAACATCAGCATTAAGTAAATTTTATTCAGTATTTGCAATATTTTTTTCTATATTCTTATTTTGTTTTACTTCTTCACATCTTTTTTTTTGTCCCTTCTTTCTTCCCATTGTAGTTTCAACCTGTCTTCATTTTGTATGAATAAATAGCGTCATATGTTGAAAATATTCAAAAACTCACGAAAGAATCAGATATATCTCCTCGATATAAATCAATCCTCTTCTCTATAATCCGTTTAAAATGTATTTCTTGCTATATAAAGGAATATTACTAAACTTATATAATTCCTAAAACTTATAATAACATGAAAATATACATTCCTTCTATTAATATGTAACTTTTTTACTATTGTTTTTCATACTGTCCATGTTCAGTCCTTTCCCCTCAAATACCTGTGTATATTATGAATAGAACCCATTTGCAATAAATCTTAACATGTATTCCTCTATATGGTTGGTACCCTCGTATTCATCTATGTCCTTTGTAGTGCCGTTTGCAGAATCAAGTTCTGATGTTTCCTCAAAATCTTCGTTGTCAATATCAACTTCTTTCATAGCAAGATTAGCAGCTTTAACATCGTCTTCATCCTCAGCTTGAGCCAACAATTTTTCCAAATTCTTGGGATCTCTATTGACTTCTGGTGTCTCCAAAAGTAAAGGTTTATCAGTATTATCAATATCTTCGGTCAATTCTGATCCAAATAAGTCACGCACTGATAATTTACTGAAATAATCTGTAGTAAAATCACCTTTTTGGATAACAACATTATCCAGTTGCCTTTTTTGATTAGCTTTTTTAAGGATATTGCTTTCAATAGTATGCTCGCTAACAAATCTATATATATGAACATCTCGTGTCTGGCCTATTCTATGACAACGATCTTGGCACTGTTTATCCATAGCAGGATTCCAATCAGAATCATAAAATATTACGGTATCTGCACCGGTCAAATTAATACCAAGACCACCCGATCTACTAGAAAGAATGAAAACTGTAATTCTGGGATCCGTATTAAATCTTTCGGTCAAAATTTGACGATCTTCAATTTTTGTAGCACCATCTAATCTCATATACAAATAACCATGATAATTTAAAAACTGTTCCAAAATATCCAAAACTTTAGTCATTTGAGTAAATATTAAAGCTCTATGTCCATTGTCCTTCAATTCCTGTAATAAAGTGGCCAATTTTTGAAGTTTACCACAATCATACTGTAACAACATTTTATCTGGAAATGCAATAGTTAATTTTGTCTGTAAATGGTGAAATGGGTTATCCATTCTAGATAATTCTGTAATCAATTTTTTCTTCTGATTTGTAGGTCTTAAACTTGAATCATCAATACCTAAAGTCATTTTACGTATGTCTAATGAAACTGCATTGGGTGTTAAAATCGCATAATTATCAATTGTTTGTTTCTCTGTTAAAAATCTTGTTTGTAAAGGTGTAATCAACGGATATGATATATTTTCTAAATCTGAAACTGTTTGGTTAATGGTTAATAATTTAAGGAGACTATTACCATAAATAGGTTTTCGATTACATCTTAAAATGTTGATATATTTTTGGAATTCAATTCTTTGAATCATGTCACTAGTCTTATTTCGGGTAAAAAGTTCATAAAAGTTTTTGGGGTTTTGTAAAACAATAGATACACTTAAATTCGTCTCAATATTTTGCATGTGTTCTTTTTTTCTAAGTAGGTTAACTTCTTTTACAAAATCTTCGACACATGCTAATTTTGATATGGTTTTTGCATGGTGGCCAGTAATATTGAGCTCATTTTGTGTAAAGATTAGGTTTAAATTATGTAGGTTTACTCGATTTTCACAGATATTCGGTAACATTTTTGGTATAAGAGAACCGTCTCTCCAACCATTATTATAATCGAATGTAACAGATGGTTTTGTAGCAAATGATGTGACGATTGGTCTTACTTCAAATAAATCAGGGTGATTACACACCTTTCTTAATTGCATCAAACAGTTCACAATTGACATAAAATTGCCACTGGCTAAAGTTTCCTTTGTTTGAGATCTTGACATGAATTCATCATATAAATATCTTTGTCTTTTCGATAATCTACAGTAAACAATATGTTCGTATTTTGCCGGCATTTGCTTTTCAACATCCTTTTTCAATCTTCTTAATAAGTAAGGTCTTAAGATTTGATGTAATTTATCAACTGTTTGTTTTGTCTCTAGATCATGTTCATAACCACCACTTGTTTCAATAATCTTATTCACTGGCCGTCCAAACCATTGTTGAAATGCATCTAAATCTGCAAACCCTGAAACCCTCTTACCATCAACAATTGTTTGAGGCATTAAAAAATAAAGTAATGACCACAATTCAGCTAAATTATTTTGGAGCGGTGTACCTGTTAATAGCAACCTTCTCTCTGTATTAAAATTAAGTAAGGCTTGCCACCTATTGGATCTAAAATTTTTTATATTATGGGCTTCGTCTAAAACCATATAATGCCATTTTTTACGTTTAAATGAGTTTTGATCTTGTACTACTAGTTGATATGAGACGATACACACGTGAAATGCATCTGGTTTATTCCAACCCTTTCTCTTCTCTTTACGTTGTTGAGGAGAACCATAGTAAGTCAGAACTTTCAACCCAGGTGCAAATCTTTTAAATTCCATTTCCCAATTTAATAAGACAGATGTTGGAACAACGATTAAATGTGGACCCCAAATGTGTTTTTCACATGCTAAATATGCTAACAATGAAATAGTTTGGATAGTTTTACCAAGACCCATTTCATCTGCTAGAATACCATTTGTGTGATTATTATATAACGATGCTAACCAATTCAGCCCTTGTTTCTGATATGTTCTTAGTGTACCTCGCAATAATGATGGAACAGGTACATCAACGACACTAAGTTGTTCATCTTCTAATTGTAATTCTTTATTGTAATTATCTAGAGGTTTAGTAACTTCAAAGTGTTCATCTTTTGTACAATTATCTAATTTAAGATTTAGTTCATTTTTAATTGTATGCTGGTTGTTAAAATCACTATCATCTGTCTCTGACATCACGAAATCATCAGAATCATCCAAATCACTGCCATCCATATTATTATCAAAAAGGCTACTTAATCCTGTAGAACAATTTGGTTTGAATTTACTATTTTCCTCAGTGCTATCTTCATTGTCTGAAGCTGAAGAAACATTGGAATCTTCATTCTCATCAGTTAACATCGACGAGCTATCATCACTTTCACTTAAATTTATTTCATTATTCTCTTTCATTTTATTATATTTTTCTTGAAGTTCCTTAGTGGATAATTGCCTATCACTTTTTTCTTGTTTTTTATTATTTTCATCATTTGTTCTTGATTCAACTCCTATAACATCATTATCTTCTTCCTCTATTGAAGAACTAGATAAAAAGTCATCATCATATGTGTCTGAATTTAATTCATTATTTTCACTGTTATTATACAAACGTATAGAACCCCTATCACTAAGCTCTTCATCAGATACTTTATCTTGCTTATTCAATTGCGCACCTAGTAATTGAGTACTCTTTTCAAGCATTTTCGAAAGATGTTTCTTACCTTGAATAGTTTTCAGTTTATCATCTTCTTCTCTTTTTAATACACGATATGCCTTTTCAGCAAGATTCCACCTTTTCTTAACTGCTTGGGTGATTGTCCTACCAATAGATTTTCTCTGTTTTTCCTCCTCTCTACGTTTTCTTTCATCAGCGCTAGCAATATGTTTAAAATGTTGTTCGATCATTTGTGATACTTTTTTAGCACGAGCAATCCTTGCCTTCTTTGAATTTTGGAAAAGTTTACTCATGTAGATACCTTGATTCACCAAGAATTCATCAAAAGTGTGTTTATTTTGTTCTTTATAAAAATAAGAGATTGGATCTGGTTTATTAAATTGCGATGTTTTTGTTTCTTTAGTAGTAACAGGCTGAAAGGAATTGCTGTCTAAATCATATTTCAAAATGTTTTTTTCTAATCCTTCTCTAATTAACGTAACTTGTGTTCGTAAATCTTGGATAAATGAATTATATTCCTCTAATGTCATGTCTTCTTCCAATGATTTGAAAGTATTCAAATATTCTCGAACATTTTTATATTTTCTAATTACAATATTTTCTGGATTAACAACAGTCTGTTTTGGTGGGTTAACATATAAATGGATTCGAGGTAGAGTACTAGATGTCTTTTTGATCTTTGCAATTTTCTTTTTTGGTAATTCATCGTCAGAAGAGGCTGTAAAATAATAATATTCGTCATCAACAGTAGAATCATCATAGAGCTTTGATATCTTAACGATTTGACCATTCTTTTCATTTCCAATTCTATCAACTGAAACATTAGATTTGCTTTTTATTCCATGATTAATAGTTTCAGACTGTTTTGTAACAACGTCATATTTTCTCTTCTTACATTTTCCTGGAGATAATAAAAGTTTTTGATTATCTAATTCCTTTTTTATGTTATTATTATTATTATCAGTAATAGTAGTAGTAGTATAAGTAATATCATTGATCTTTCTATTATCATATTTTTTAATACTGCTAATATTATTATTTTCACTTGTTTTATTTTTCGGTATTAATATAAATTTGTTATCCTTGGAAAACACAATATCATTTAATCGTTGAGAAACGAGCGGTTGAATCTTTTCTAATTTATATGCTAGATCTTTGATATGTTTGTTGTTATTGTTATTATTACTAATGTCATTTTCATTATTTGTGGGTGATAGACTGGAAGATCTTAGACTTCTTATTCTTCGTATTCTCACATTTTCATTTGTATTATTAATATTGTTATTCTTATTTGGGATTGTATTAGGATCATCATTCATGTGCCGTTGACTATTAGAAGATTCATCCCCTTGAACTATATATTTTATTTCATCTAAAGAAAACCCTTCAGCCTTAAGGAACTTTTGAAATGTCATATTATTGTCATTCGAATGCAATGGATCGAATCCAACTAAAGAGACATATTCTTTTAAATGAAACAACTCATTGGTTAGAAGATCATATCTTATTTTACTATCTATCAAAAGATCAGTTTTTGGATCGCAAACTTGTTCCACAAGGTCATTTGAAGTTTCCTTTTTAGCAAAAATTGGGTTTTTTACAGATTTTTTGCTAGTTTTCTTTCCAGAGATCTTATCCACTTTTGTTCCTTTAGAATATCTTGCCATTAGAGTATAAAAGTGATGCTTATTGAAGTTGAATAAAGAAGAAGAAGAAGAAAAAAGGTATAGATTAAATAGTAATAGTATACCACACTGGTAACAAGTGTGACTTATTAATTGAGAGTTTTAGTATCCACCGATATCAGATATAAAGAGAAAAAAATAAAAATAAAAATCCACAATTTCTAGGATATTACTACCATGCACCAATAGTTAAAAATTACTTTGTTATATAGCTCTTGATCTAGAGAGTGCAATGTCGTTGGTTTCATTAACGTAGCATTTCGTAAAGGATTTATTTCATCGGTAAATACCCGTTAAACGTCTTGAGGGCCCATCAAAACGTTTGTTATGTTTTCCAGTCAATTTCTCACTTTTATTTTTTTTGGTTTTTTCTTTTTTTTCCTTAGTTCTTCTGTCTTTCATTTCTCCACCATGGCACAAAGAAAAATACAACAAAAAAAATTATAAAAAAAAGAATAATATAATATATAATATATCACTCCATACGAGTAATAAGTTTTTTCCTATATTATTGCGTCATTTCAAACGATAAAAAGGTATTTGTTAGTGCCATTTATATCCACTGCATTGTTTGATAGATACATCATACAGATATTTCCTTTGCATGAGAATGAATACACTGACAGAGGCAACAGAGTGCTCAATATTAAATAGTATATATATATATATATATACTATTTATATTAGTGGAATCAGCTAGATATCTGTGAAATCAAATTTTGAAGATTATTTGCAGCTTTACCACATTCTCCACCTTCTTTAATAAGTAATTGGCATTGTTTTGAAATGGTTTCTTGGAAGTTCGATTGGAATATAGATTGACGGCTCTCCAAATCTTGATTTGCCAAGGAATTTGTAGTCACAGTAAACAGACCTGTGCCCATTTTATTACTATTGGTGCTAGTGGTATTAGTATTATTACTAGTACCAGCAATTGTTATTCTAGATTTGTTCGCGGTAGATCCATTATTACTACTTTCAAAAGTTACATTGCCATATTGCTTTAATTGTCTTTCAAACAATTTGAGATGTTCAAAAGGTTGGGGGAAATTTGGAATTAAATATTTATTTTTTTCTATCAAATTATTATCGTCTGATGATGTTTCTTTGTCTCTTATGTTGGACTGATCCGTACACCCTAATTCAACTAAATGAAATAACGTCTCCAAATGAGCCTTCGTAAACTTTAAATCTTTCTTTCTGGTTTGAAGTACACCAGATGCTTGATTTGTACCTACTTTTGTATTCCACCCTAAAAGATTCAACAGCCCTTGCATCAATTTCAACCAAGCCCTTCTAACAATCTCATCACCACAATATTTCAATAAGCACATCAAAAATCTGCTTGAATCAGCCTGGACACGTGGAATAATATGGGTCATTGACATATTAATATATAAAACAAACACATTGCAGTGCAATATAAGAACATGTGGATCTAAATCACCGATACCTTCCAGTAATTCGATTAATGCATCTCGTACATCTTTGCTATCATCGCAGATTAGTGGTATCGCTTGTGTCAATAAAGGAACCATTAATCTAGTCTTTATAATCTCTGGAAGAGCTTTAAAATATATATTCAATGTTTCTTTTCTTACCGTCGAATTGTGATGTTTTAATAAGGGGAACCTTTTACTTAAGTCATTATGGTGATCGTCATCCAAATGTTGGTTTTTAACTGAAATTGTCTTTGCCACAAAGGATGTGTCAGTTAAATTACTTGGTTTGGCAGTTTTCTTACCAACTTTCAATTTCTTTTTCAAAAAATCTTGTTTCTTTAACTTTTGCTTCCTCGACTTAGTCATCTATGTATCTTTCTCTCTTGGTTTTGTATTTTGTTTTATCTCCTATTTCTTTGAAATAATATCAATTTTACTATATATTAGTGATTGCTTTAACAGTCTATCAATGTACGTTTATGAATTATTACTTAAAACCTAATAATTAATATATTATTACGATTTTTTTTTTTTAAGCTCATCGATTTTTTATAATCTTCTGAAATTTTTTTTTTTTTGCATTTAAATATTTTTGAATATTTAGTAATAAATTTAAACCATAAGAAAAATAATTGAAAAGAATAATTATTTTGACATTTTTTCCCATTAAAAAGAGTAGACATACATAAAACAGTCTAAGAGAAATTTCAAAAACCATTTTGTAGTTCTCTATCGATATAAAGGAAGGAGTGGCATCCATTTTATTTTTTAGATTTACTTTTCTTTTTCTATTTTCATTTTTATCTTTTTTTATATTGCTAAGCGATGAGTTCAAGAGCATTAAGGAAATTACAAAACGATGAGGAATTATTAGCTTCAATTCTCTCCAAATCTACATCTCCTGCACTTTCTAATGACGTAACAGACGATGAAACTGTTTCATTATCTAAACCAGCGCAACCACAAAATATATTTGCATTAATGAATCAAGATGATGAGGATGACGAGAAGGATTTGGGGACTGGTGATCACGATATTTTTAATACTAAAAGTGAAGTTAATCACAGAGAAAACCCTCAGGTGGATAACAAAAAAATCAATGTACCAGTTAAAATATACTTGCCAAGTAAATCTCAAAAATCTAAAAGAAGATCTAAAAATAAGAAAAAACATGAGAATAAAAATAAAAAACAATCCAAGAATGGTATTAGCAATAGCATAAAGGATGATGAAGAGTTTGATAAATTATTATTGCAGTACCAAAAGAAAGATATTCAAAACCTTAAAAATTTAAATGGCACTGGAAATATAAATCCTAACAATAATGAAGACGAATTTTTTACCGCGTCGGAGTCGGAAACAGACATTAATAAGTTCAATTCTACAAAGAAAGAATGGTTTGATAACTATAAAACCCCTAATGTTATTGTTAATGAGTTGAAATATGATGTAGGTTTTACAAAATTTCCAATATCTTCTCTTAAAGATACTAAATTTAATACAGATTTTAAAAAATTGGATCCACATACTGAATTCAAGTTGCTATTTGATGATATTTCCGTGAAATCCTTAGATGATATTGATTCTTTATCATCAACATCGATCTCTCCACAACAGTTGAAACAAATTCAGAGACTCAGAAGATTGGTTAGAAATTGGGGTGGGAAAGATCATCGGTCTGTTCCTAATGGACCTGGTGGTAATGTACATCGTTTACAATTTACAAAAGTAAGGAATGATTGGTTGCCAACTCCAAGAGGGGAATTAGCCATGAAGTTACTAACTGATTCTGAACTATTAGATTGGCAATTATGGCAAAGACCAATAGACTGGAAAGACACTATTCAAGAAGATATAAATCGATGGAAGAAAAATATTAATTTTTATAAATTTGAACCTTTGAATGATGAACTAAATAGAAAAGCAATGATAGAATTCTACTTAAATGTTATTACACACCCGGATCATGAAGCATTAATTAATTTAATTGCTTCACAAGCCCCATATCATGTACCAGGTTTATTACAAGTAGCATTGATTGCAGTGAGACAAGGCGACAAATCTAATACAAATGGTTTATTACAAAGAGCTCTATTCGTATTTGATAGAGCTTTAAAACATAATATACTTTTCAACTCTACATCATGTCAATTACCTTATATTTATTTCTTTAATAGACAATTTTATTTAACTATTTTCCGCTACATATTAGTGTTGGCTCAAAGAGGTGCAGTAGCCACTGCTAGTGAATGGACCAAAGTGTTGCTTTCTTTAAATCCGATGGAGGATCCATTAGGTTGCCGATATTTCATGGATCATTACTTACTTTTATCCAATGATTATCAGTATATTATTGAACTTTCCAAATTACCTATTATGAACTGTTACAAAGAATGGTATACATGGGGGTTTTCTATGGGTGTAGTATTAAGTTATTTAAAACTTGGAGAGATTGAATGTGCAGAAAATGAATTGTTAAAATGTTTTAAACAACATGCACCATTGTTAGGTCAATTATACATAGAAAAATTGGCAGGGGATGTTACTCTATTAAATGGATTAACGATTGGAGATAATGCATCGAATTTAATCGAATACAAGGTATATTTAGCTAGATTTTCACTTTTATGGAAGTCCAGTAAAGAATTAACCTTTTTACATAATAATTTGACTAAGTTATTCACACACTATAAAGATGATAAGATTAAGTTAGCAGCTAGTAATCTATTCAGTGGTAATAAAATAGAAATTGATAATGTATTTTATATTAAAAATATTCCAATTAATTTATTAAGGTTTGCGATACTATCAGAAGAATCTTCAGTTATGGCAAGTATTCCTTCTTTTGTTTGGTCTGATTATGAAGTTTACGAATTTGATGTTTTACCTCCGCGGCCAAATTCAAAAGAAGATATATATGTAATTGAAACAGTAAAAAGTTTTATTGATGAAAAAGATTTGTTAAATGCGCAAGCTATGAGAGCACAGGACGAAGAGTTGATGAACCAAATTAGGCAGTTGTCCTTAAATCAATATATTGAAGCTAATGAAATGAATCAATTTTCAAATGAATAAATATGTCTGAATATATGTATGTATAAGAATATTTGTACAAATGACGTTTTATAAAAGATCTTATTATATCTTATGTTACTTTTTTAAAAAAAATTTAGTACTTGCAGAGTGTCCTTATGATTACATGAATATATAGCTCTATAGAATGTTATATCTATAAATGTGTAAATATATTTAAATGTCTTTTCATGTATGGTTGTTCAATATTTATTGAAATTGCAATAACATAAAACTTTAAATATCTGAAAATCAATTTCCTGTTAATGAATGTGTTCCTATAAACAGCAAAAAAGTCACAAAAAAGCTTATAACACATTATATGGTATGCTGTCTATCTGAATATTTTACTTCTTCTTTGAAACTGTTGATTGTTTTTCTTTTGATAGATGCTTATTTTTATCATAAACAGGTTTAGTTACCTTGTTACTTTTATTAATTTTTGAATATTTGTTCATACTAGTTGCTGGTGTCAAGTTACGAAATTGTCTTCTTCTCGTTGTCATTAAGGGAGTTCTTGTTTGGTGGTATTGGTTCTGCCCACTAGTTGTATATGGAGATTGAATCCATACTGTTTGAGGCATAGTGGCTCTATATCCTGGAGTATAGGCAGTCAAACTGTGAGCGGTAGACAAATGAGGTAGATTTGAGGTTGGTTGCAATAGTACATTCCAATCAAAAAATTCTATCTGTTGTTGTGATAATGGAGCCGGCGGTTTATTTTGTGATCGTGACATATTGATATAATCCTTGTATACACTTTGAGGTGTAAAGATATTATCAAATCGAGTGAAAGGCTGTTGATCGATAGTTTGTGGTCGAATTTCAGTCTGATATGTGGGGAGTGTCGCTATCTGTGGAATGTTTAAATTCATATAGGAACTATATGGATATTGTGTATTATAATGGTTTATTCTCGGTTGGAATATATCTTTGTTAAATTCTTCAAATGCATCATTAACATTCTTGAAGTTATCATGTATTCGATCAGCATCTCCACTAATATTTATGAAATCTTTTGCATTTGAGGAGAAATCAAAGTCATCATTATAGTTTAATAAAAGCGGATCAATCATATTTCCCTGATATGCAATAGAATTAGTGTGTTTCTTAACTTTGATATTCTTTTTCTTTACAGAAACAGCTGATGTTGTACTGGTGGGTTTTTCAACATCGTTCATTTCATAATCCATCAGTGTCATATAGTTTTGAAATGAAGGAGATTCCATAACTTCATCTCTCTTCGAATATTCAATATTTATTGGGAAGTAATCAAATGGTATATCTTCAAAGTTGTTTGTGGTTGACTTGGCATCAATTGTCTGTTTTACAGTTGCCGATGATCTATTATTATCATCACCATTTTCATCTATACTATATTTATTGATACCTTCTAATGGGTTGGATGAATATGTTTCGTAATTATCTTCGTCCTCATTGTTCAATACAGGTGAATCTATATCAGCTATTTCTTTGTTATCCAATTCAATTTCATTATCAGCACTGGCGGGAGCATTTGATTGAACTGATTGTGAATTATTCGAAAATCCTTCATTAGTTAAATCATCCATATTATTTTCTATATCTTTTATCTCATTATATGATAGTTCTTGTGTGTTTGGTGGTGAATTATCATTGATTATAATTGGGGATAAACTAAGGACCGTCTCATGGGAGTTATCTTTACTATTAGTTTCTGGATTAACAAATGGCTCAAGTCGGTTCTCATTAATAATTAGCCTTTTATTTTGCGTATGAGATAACAGTTGGTGATAAAGACGAATACCACATTTAGAATCAAAATGAAACGAAATTGCAGGTTCAAAAATAGCTTTTGTTGTTGTTTGTTGACTAGAGGTTTCCTCTCTTTTTAGATCTCTTTCAAGGGCATCAGCAAATAACTTATCATGTGGGACACTGAACCAGAAGAATACTTTTTGTTTTTTTTGTGTCTTTAAACATGAATTTCTGTATAAGAACTGTAAGAATTCAGATTTAGGTTGTTCTAAAGTGGCATCTATCCCACATTTTAAATTCCTTAAATCAGAGAATATTCCTTCTTCGAATTTCTTCTTCTGCACAATTGTCCTACCGAATTTTTGCATTCGATACAGACAACATTTAACTATATCTGTTCCAGTGATATAATAGACATTGTTCCAAAGCACACAAGAGACAAAACCATGTTCACTGTTGAGATAATATCTTCTAATAATTTGGTTTTCTTGCCAATTGGCAGGAGCTGTTGCTAAAAAATATTTTAAATCATCAATTAACCTCAACGATTCCTCAACATCATGCGGTTTACTAGCATTAACCATAGTTTCAGTGGACTCCAATTCACTTTTGAGAATTGTTTCTGTCCTGTTTTCCATATGATTCATAACTATATCAACTTATTCTCAGTGTATGTATATGTATGTGCACTCTTCTTTTTGCTTTTACTTTAAAATTATTTTTTTTATTTTATTTTAATATTAATTATACTAGCAATGGCAAATATATCTTTGGTTTCTTATGAGACAAGTTAATAATCCTTTGTTTTGAAATAAGAAAAACGATTTCATGTAAATCAGCATTAATTTGTCAAGCTTTACGAATGCAAAACATTAGACAGTGGAATAGATATAGATGAGCTATAGAGACGTTATGACAGCAATGACTTAAGCAAAAATTACACTGGCAAAAAAACAAACGTTTACTCATTCACCATCAAGAAATCCATCTGTAAAATAACGGAACAAATCTGATGAGACAAGTTGAGATTTCTTTGTTGTTGTTTTATAAATTTTATCTTTGATTTTTTCTTCGTTGTCTGTGTCTTTGATTACTTTTATATACTCTGACACATCATTGTTTTAAAATAGTTGTGTTTCAGATCTGTTTCAGATCTAGTTTTTTTTGTTGTGGTTCTTTTTTTTTTTCTTCTATACGTTAACTTTTCTTCCGATTCGAAGATCTCGAGCATAAACCCCACTTGTTCCGAAACCAGATCTGATGCGGATATGTGTTTCAGATTGAAGGAAACAAAAAACCAAATTAAATGAGAAAAAAGAGGGGTTTTGTTTTAGGTTCTCCATGATTGTTTGATTTATACGTGTGTTAGAATGCAATGGGATAATTTGATTGTATAAATGTAAGTACATAAAAAATACAAGTAGTAATGAATAGAGAAAGGGAGAAATAATTAATTATTTATATACACATGCTGTTGATAAGACTAAGTAAATTGGTCTGTTTTCATGGTAGTACCAAAATTTATCAATTTTAATAACGATTTTACTGGGTATATAGGAGCAATAGTTGTAGCAAAGGTAAGATCAGCTGCAGCTCCTCTTAATAGCTTCTTTAGGTATGAGTCTATCAAAGATTGATCTAATTGAGGAAACTCAGATTTGTGTTTTCTGTAAACTTCATTAAACTTTTTCCTAAGATATGTGAGTTGTTTTGAGGTCGCTGGCTGTCTTCTCCATCTAGAATTTTTGGAATAGTCGATGTATGGAATTCTTCTTTTAAATCTTGTGTCAAATCTACTATGTTGTCTCTGCACACTCGTAACAATTTCCTCAACTTCTTTTAAAATAGTAGGTAAATTACTTATGAATGGTTTACCTTTACTAAACCATTTACTTATGTCATTATTGACGCCAGAAGGTATCTTAGTGTATATTTTCAAAATATAATGCTGTGGATTTTTGGTTCTATCTATCCGTAAATATCTATGTTGTAAAGGCAAAGCCCAACTATCTGAATTAATTTGAGTCCATTGATACTTACATTTCTCGAAAAACTGTGATTCTTGTTCAAAATTAAACCCAGATTTATGATTTTTTCTTAAAATTTTGTCAAAAATATTTTTATGTTTTCCAAGATAATAATCTTTAAAAGAATCATAAGATAATAAAGTCACATTAGCAGATTTAATGTATTTTTGATATTCTTTTAATAGAGTTATTTGTTTGAGATCTTCCTTTTTCATTTCCTCCAATTGCTTAGCTGCTTGTTCAGCTTCTTGACATCTTTTTGCTTCTATTTTTCTCGCCTCGATAGATTTCTTCAAACTTTCCATCTGACTGATAGTCATATCATTGATTGGAACATTTGCTTCAGTTATTCCAAATAAAGTTGGAATAGATATTACTCCGACATTGGATGCATTAACAAAGTCTACTATATGACAGTGTTTTTTTCCCTTATGTAACCTTAGCCCTCTTCCAATCATCTGAATTAATAATGGTCGAGAACAAGTGGGACGGCACAATAGAATACAATCAATATTCGGAATATCAGTCCCCTCTGTGAGGATACCACAATTTATTAGTACTTCACATTCACCATTTTTAAAAGCTTTCATAATATTATCTCGGTCTAGCGATTTGGTATCAGATGTAATATAATCAGATTTTACTCCCCTTTGTAAAAAAACTTTATTTAATGTCTTAACATGATTTTTATCTACACCAAATACCAATGTTGATTTAATATTATGTTGTAATCTCATACGTAGATAGGTCTCGATAATTATGTCGTTTGTCTCAGGCGTGTTAACTACAGAAGAAAGACTTTTTAGAACAAAATCAGAGTTGTTTTTTTTAACATTATCTAGGTTAATAGATATTTTGACATTAGTGAATCTTCCTTCACAAAGCCATTTTTCGTCAATCATTTCCATAACACCTTTATGATAAACAATTTCGTCTAATGCTTGAGAGAGTGCTTTTTTATCTGCTCTTTCAAAAGTAGCACTAAATCCAATAACTGGAATCCTTGATTTTTCATTAGCTGCATGGAAATGTTTAAGAATCTTCATATATGTGTCTGCCACAATATGATGTGCTTCATCTACAATAATTAAATCAATATTATTTGGATCATATTTGTCTAACCTTTGTACGAGAGATAGTACAGATGCAATAATTGTATCTGCCTCTCCTACGTTAGCATGATGTTGGGACATTTCTAACTGAACATTAGTTGTTGGATTAAAATGTCTAATTGTATTCAGAGCTTGAAATGCTAGTTCCCTTCTATGTACAAGTATTAAGGTCTTGAAACGTCTAAAAGTTTGGTCATTTGATTTTTGTTTCAACTTCATTTGATTCAATTTGTCAATTAGATGAGAGAATATAACAGTTTTTCCACCACCTGTAGCTAATGAGACACCAATTCGTTTTACATGTCCTGACGTTACATATTTTACACACGTATTAACTGCTTCTCTTTGATAATCTCTTAATCGGAAATTCAAAGTATTTCTATTTGATTCATTGTAGCATTTTACTTTATTTAAACTTAGGTGTTGAAATGTTTTACACTGAATGAACCATTTAATATCTAAAAAGCTTGGTTTTTTAAATAAAGATCCAAATCTTTGAAGCATAGAAACATGGAACTTGTTTGAATGAGTAAACACACACAAACTATGATAATGTTAAAATTATGGATATTGATTCTTTTTAATAACTAATTGAAATATTTTTCTCAACTGGGGTAAGCTAGAAGCTGTAAGTTAATTCAGGTATTATTGAATAATCCAGTTAAAAACACTTTCTAATCGTGTTTAAACTTATTATTTTTTTTTTACTTTTTTGATCTTTTCTTAACCTTCTTTTTGATTAACTGTTTTAGGTTAGGCTGAAAAGCCTTACAAACTATTATAAGATTAAAGATGTAATAACTATTATGTTATGCCCATATGTATATGTATATACGTATATATATGTGTCTTTACTGGTATGTAGGTATATAAGAATAGAAATAGATGTAAGGTTTCTCTTTGTAATTATCTTCAAATTTTCTTTCCTAAAGAATTTGACACTATTAAAATAATAATACCAACAATAATAGGAAGAAGATGAATTTTAGCAAAACCTGTTTTATTACTAATATGTGTATTCGAGAACTGATTATTATCTTTGCTAATATTTTTTAATTTGTACTTTTTAACTTGTTGTTTATTATTATCTGACTTCATGTCATTTGTATGATTATTTTCTATAGATTTAGATATGTGGTTTCTTCTAAATTTAGCATCCATAGCTAGTTGTACTAAAGCTTTGATATCACTATTTAATTTCTCGTCACTGATACTATCTTGGTATGATGTTGAGAGTTTATCTTCGGGTATAATATTTTGAACGTTACCGAAGAAATCTGTTATTAAGACATCCTTGATATCTCTTTGAAACAAATCTGTTCTGACACCAGTATGAGAATGAACTTTTTCAAATGTATATGAATCAAACAAATCTTTCAAAGTCAAAGTAGAATTCTTTTCTATTTGTTCTAAATATTCCAGAGTATAATATGTGAATCTATCAATAACAGCTACACCGATTTCTACATCTGAATGATGTGAATATGAACTCTCCTCGATTTCACTTGATCCAACAGCTATGATGTTTGGTGAATAAAACTTTGAAAACATTGTGTTTGCTTGACAGGTATCAATCATGAACAATATTTCATTGTATCTTTTCTTTTCATACATTTGTGCAAAGGCGTCAGCTATATCTTCAGAAGCGATCTCTTCTGCATCCTGGAATTTAAGGAAATCATTCCCACCATGTCCAGTCATGTAAATAAAAATATTAGAATTTTCATCAGTTAGCAGTCTCTTCGATTTGGGTTGGTTTTCTGACCATCTATCGGTCAGTAATCTGATAAAATTTTCCACTGTGACTTCATAACCTCTATAATCTACTTCCACTGATTCACCATATAGGTCAATAGCGTGGTCCTTGTTATTAAACACACTGCCTGGATAGAGATTTCTTGAATTACATGCAACATCATCACTTAACATCAAAATAATTTGGGAATCTGGGATTCCTAATCTTTTCACGGTCCTATACATACTTAAAACATTGGCCATGTGTCTATAGTTGAACCAAAATCTAGATGTAGAGACTAACACTGCCCAATTATTTGTATGAGAAGAGTTTGTAGCCAATACTGTTGTGAGATTAGTTACTAACAGAAATAGAAGTAAAAAGGTATTTATGCATTTGTATCTTCTATTCAAACTAAACCACATTCTTACTATTTTTTAATAATTATTTGCAGTTAAATAATCTTCGGAAACACGGTTTGTGTTTATTGCTATCTTACTGTACACTCTATGAATATATATTTATGTGTATATAGTAACACCGATCTTTCTAACTTATGAAATAGAATAAGAGTAAGCAGGCAGTTCTTTCTTTTACATTTGCATTTTTGTTTAAAGGTTTGTGTGGTTTTGAGTACAATTTAAGCAGTTTCTTTATTAAAATATTAGGTTTTTTTTTTTCTTGCAACTCGAACAGTTCAAAGTTGATTGAATTGAAATAAAGTATTATTATTAAAAGACAAAGAAAATTGCCTGTGATTGAATGCAAGAATCTTTATCTCTTTTATAAAAGAGCTCATGTCTGAGGGATAATGATGTGAAGAAGAGAAAACAATATTGGAATGATTACCGAAACCAAGATGATAGGTATATTTATATAGTGTTGTTTAGAAGTATTTATTCATTTGAATAAACATTATGCATAAACATTATATATATATATCTGTGTGTGTGTATCTATCTATGTGTATCTGTATATTAGTTAGTTAAGGAAGAGAAAACAGGCATGTAGTATTGATATCAATAAGAGTAAAAAAAGTTAGTATAAATATAAAAATAAACAAGGGCAAAAGGAAAAGCACTCCAGATTAGTTTATCACTCGTCATCATTAGTAGCGGTTTCTAATAATAAGGAACTATTTTTTAATCCAGCATCTTCAATGGATTGATCCAACTTTTCTATTAAATTGTTTCTTTGATGATCACTTAAGATGAAATGACAGGATTCATAGCCTGGCATCTCAGATTTAATCACCTCGTATATAGTTCTAACAGTATCTGTTTTAATGTTGAATCTTCTAATAAATCTTTTACCATCACCAGTACGTATTTGTAATCTTGTTGTTATACCAGGTTGGTTTTCTGGTTCCTTGTGTTCTGTTGCTTTTATAGAATCAAACAGATCAGCATTGTGTGCTATACCTATTGTAGAATCTTCATCTGCATCTTTATGTCTATTTTCGTCAGTATCTATATCTTTTATTGACAATTTTCTATTAGAATTGTTATCAATATTCAAGGATTGTCTAATGGCCATATCCATTTGTTGTTCTTCAGTTAATGTAGTTGGATCTAATTCTGGTGTAGGTTCTTTCATTATTGGATTGGATGCTGTTGGGTCTAAGGAATATTCATTCAAGAACTTATTTATTTCATTTAGAAACTGGTCTTCTGTTGGAAGATAAGTATTCCATTGTTTCAATCTTTCACCAGTCATGGGATCCAAAATAGCGATATGGGGCAGTAGGTCCTTATCACGTAAATTATAATAATTTAGATATTGTTGGGCCATCCTCGACTCGAACTGATATTGTAAGAAAATGAATTTTTTTTTAATGATCTTTCTGATCCGTTTTGAAGACCAGACATCTCTATTCAATGCTTGACATTGAAAGATGCCATTATCCTGAATATTGATCATAATCCATTTCATCTTTCCTGGACGTCTACCTTTAGCTCTTGCACCATCTAAGGTCAGTTTAGCCATGATTTCAAAGGGTGGTCTAAATAAACGTGCTAATCGTTCTTCTTTGGAGTAAGTCTTCAATTTTTTGACCAAACGCAGGGATTCTTGAATGTTCCCATCCTCGTCTATTTCCATTACAGGTTCTTCCACATATTCATATTCATCGCTATCATTAGAACTATTCAAGTCACTATCACTATTTGAATTAGAATCAGAGTCAGATTGGTTTGTAATATTATCATTATCATCAGCGCTATTATAATAATCATGATTTTCTAATCTTTGATTGAACACACCAACGGGACGAGACGTATCAAACATATCCCGCACATTGGTTAGCGGTTGGAAAGACCCACCAATACCACCATAGATTAATCCTGTGCTGGGACTTGACTCAGTTAACACTTCTTGGCGAAATTGCATTGGTTCTCTAACGTTCTCCTCATTTTGAAAAGATTCAGCCATAGCGGCATCATTGCTGGTATCTAGTGCCGTTGTTGTTATTGGATTAGTGTTATGAGATGTACCATGTTCAAAATATAGAGATATGGCGGTATTTAAATCGCCATTCCCCATTTCGATAAAACTTTGTGCCAACTGTGAATCCTGGCAATCTGTAATAGCCATAAAATTATCTAGATCTTGTGACATTATCCTTTTAAGGTATGTGTGTGTGTGTTAGAAGTTAGTATAGTGATGCCTTACCAAGATATGAGGATCATCGATTACACTAATAGTAATAACAAATTGCTCTTGCTCTTTAACCTTTTCATACGACTGTCTTAATCATTTGATTAATAAACTTCTTTTCTGCTCTTTCCTCATGTTGTCTTCCTTTTTTATTTTTGTTCTTATGTTTCCTTTTTCTTAGTGACAAGAAAGAAAAAGGAAACGTATCAAACAATCTGTGGAGTATTAAGAAGATTTTGTGTGAATAAATAATAGTTGTATATGTGTATTTGTGTGAGGATGAGTGTATATGTTTGTATAGAAAGAAAGAAGGATGGATAGACAGCAGATAGTAATTGGTGATTGTCTGTATGATGTCAGTTGAGGAAAAAACAATGGGAACATCAACGAATGGTAACTTAAGTGGCAAACGATTCACCAGAAATCAGATATTGAGACTACTAGGGAAGCTTTTCCTTGGGATGGGTTTAATGATGACCACAGGGACGGTTGTTGGCTATTGGATGTTGAAGAGATGGATCATTAAACAAAGAGACCAAATTATTAAGTTGCAAAAAATGCAGAACCAGATTGCTGGCAGGTTTGAACAAACTAAAGAGGATATCTCACATACTGTTAATGAATTGATACCTGTTATGCAATTAGTTTTAGATAAGAATGGAATGAATTTAGATATTTTGTTACAGACTTTAAGAAATAATAATAATAATAATAATAATAATAATAATAATAATAGTAATAGTAATAATAATAGTAATAATAATAGTAATAATAATAGTAATAATAATAATAAGGATACTAATGAGGATAATGATAAGGATAAGAAAAATGGGGATAGTGATGATGGTGTTTTGAATAATAAAAAGAAACTATGGGATGATTTGAAATATAAAAGTTTAATTAAATTGGTCACCATAATTTACATGATTACCAACCTTCAAATTTTGATAACTATTCAATTAAACGTGTTGGCTCGTAGGGATTATTTAGAGAGAGCTATAAATGAGACTATAAGGAATCAGAATGAATCGAGCCTAATATACTTGACACTGAACAATGCATACTCTTGGGTTAAACAGAGAATATGGTACGGATCTAATAATATGGATTCGGGTACAAATACACAGTTGGGTAGGGACAAAATCACATATATTAATGAACAAGGGTATTTATCCATTTCATGGTGGTTAATCAATCGTGGATGGGAAGAATATTATAAATTGATTGAAAATGTTGTAACTATTGAGTTGAATGGATTAGATGTCAAAGACCGGATAACAAAATTAGAGTTTAACTCTATATTAGAAAGAATAAGAGAAAATATAAATTTAAAGATTGGTCCCTTAACCAGAACAACAACTACCACTAATACTAATACTACTATTACTGCTGATAAGAGAAGTAATAATAATGATGTTGCTACTGCTGCTGTTACTACTACTTGTATTGTATTGGAAGATGTCATGTTACCAGATGAATCAATGGAAGCGTATACTTTACAACAACTTTTAGACGATGAGTCCATGGCATTATTATATTCTGAGGACAATGGTGATGATAGTAAGAATAACCGAAAGTTAATAAGTGAATTGTTGAGTGAGACTCGAGGGTATCTAAAGATGAGAGGGGTTCATAAAGTGGTGGAATCAATCACTGAGAGTTTATTCAATATAGTCAAAGAATCCATCGACAAGAAAATAGACAATAAATCTAAGATGACAAAGAAGAAGGGCCAGAATAAGAAGTCAGAACAAGACGGTGTTGATCAATTTACTGAAAGTATGAGCAAATACCCTGTGGCTATGTTTGCATTAGCTGCCAAGGAATGTTGTATGGAACTATTATCGTTACCCAATGACTATCATATTATAATTGATACAATATCACAAACAGGAGATTTGAAGACGTTTGCCAGTTGTGTATATAGTAATTATGAAATATAACATTCCGTATTGTAACATCTTAGTCTCACCCTTTCCCCTCTTCCCTCTTCTCTCTTATCTCCTGTGTATCCTTTTATTCTCCAATTCTAATATCCTAGTACATACATATACGTATATATATATATATACAAACGTATGGTTGTGTATGTGTGTGTATAAGTATATATATTTGTCAATTTGATGTGCATTTGGGGTCTTTTCCTTTATTTTCTTTCTATTTGCTTGTTTCTTTTGTTTTTGTTTTCTAAACAGCTGCTTTTGCAAGAGAAAAAAAGAATGAAAGAAAGGAAAGGAAAGGAAAGGAAAGGAAAATGGGGCAAAGACAATTTTCTGCGTTTCAAAGACAAAGAAACAAGGAACTAGAGACATGTATAGAGTGAGGAAGAGGAAGAGAAAGAGATGTCTTGGTATATTCCCTATGTTTTTTAACTCTTATTATCATTTTTGTATTATTTTCTCTAGAAGAGGAGAGGAAGCGATCTAGTGAAAGATAGAGAAGGAGAGGGATTGTGATTAGGTAAGCTAGATACAAAGATATATCAATAAAGTTTTTTATTTTTATTTTTTTTTTTTTTTACAAATAATCATGAGTGGGATTAAAAATAACCAAACAGTTGTATTAGTAAGTGGTGAAGGTGAAAGGTTTACAGTGGATAGAAAGATTGCAGAAAGATCCATATTATTAAAGAATTATTTGAATGATATGCATGATTCGAATTTTCATAATGATAGTGATGAGGATGAGGATGATGATGATGATGATGATGATGATGATGATGAAATCGTCATGCCTGTACCTAATGTAAGATCATCTGTATTACAAAAGATAATTGAATGGGCAGAGCATCACAAGGAGTCTAATTTTCCAGACGAAGATGATGATGATTCACGTAAATCAGCACCTGTGGATTCCTGGGACAGAGAGTTTTTGAAAGTTGACCAGGAGATGTTATATGAAATCATTCTTGCTGCCAACTATTTGAATATCAAACCACTGTTGGATGCTGGTTGCAAAGTTGTTGCTGAGATGATTAGAGGCAGATCGCCTGAGGAGATCAGACGTACTTTTAATATTGTTAATGATTTTACACCGGAAGAAGAAGCAGCTATTAGACGTGAAAATGAATGGGCAGAAGATCGTTAAACATATATATATATATTTATAAGTTTTATTTTGTTTTTATTTTATTATTATATAATTGGTAAGTATATTATTGTTATGATATTGTACTGTTATTAATACTGTATTTATTGTCAATATATATATATGTGTGTGTACATCGGATATGGTTATGCATCTTAGTAGAGAGTGTGACTGTGTCTAATTGACCTGTTGTTTTTATATCTTCATGTAAAAATATATGTATATACTTTTGTTAAAAATAAGAGTAGCAGAGAAGAGAAAGAAAGAGAAAGATTTCTTTTTATCGGTTTTTTTTTTTTTTTTCTTACAAATTACAAAAATTTCGACAAAAATATTAAAATAAAATTCACAAAAAACCATGCAATACAAGGCAGAGCAAAGCAAAGCAAACTATACAGAACAACAGAAAGACTAGTGTGCTCAAAGACACCAGAACCCATCTGTAAGGAACCTAACTGGAAATCCAGTAGATACGCAATTCCGAGGGTAACACCTGAGTGTCTGGGTGGAGAATTGGTACAGCCATGTGCGCAGTGGCTTGTATAAGGTATTGAATCTGCTTGGAGGATTTCCAGGGAGCGATAATTATATCAGATCTTGTCAAGAGGCCTTTGATTATCGAGAGAGATACCAGGGGTAATCATCTTATTTAAATACATCTTAGTAATGATATTAAGAAATAACTCTTAATATCATACAAGAAAAAGAAAAACAAGAAGAAGAAGTAATAATACAACATCAGGGTTATTAAATAGTAATATATAGAGCTTACGTAAGGGTGTTTATACTTATACTAATTGATATGATTCATCCATCTATATACAACAACTCTTACACCATCTGTCTTTTCATTTTGTTTTGCTTTGTTCTGCCAATGAGATTCGTGCGGAATTGCAGAAGCCGCCAGATATCCGTGACTTAACAGCAATGCCGGTTTGTCGGGTGTCTGGGTGGACAGATTCTGCTATTTTTTGCTTTTTTGTTTTATTAAACAACCGGAGAACCCGAAAAAAGAAAACAGCGACGTCGAAAATAACGGAGATTGTCTTGCAGTGACAGCGTCGGGGAAAGAAGGAAAAAAAAAAATAAAAAAAAAAAAAAAGAAGAGGAGGCTGTTGAGAAATTTGAATAAACAAAACAAAATGGTCCTTTTTTCCAAAAACATTTTGTGTTTGTTTTATTGCTCTTGAAAGTAAATGGACAAGAACTTGCCTTTATTTATTTATTTATTTTTGTGTATGTTCCACCCAGCGCTACTGTATACTAGGTTAGTTACACTAAATTTACCACTAAGTCTCTATCTAAAACATCTATACCTGTCAGTATTTCTTTGACTCTTCGAAAGTAACGATTTATAAAGTTTCCAAGACAAAATAGAACAAAACAAGCAAAAATAACATAACATAACATAACATATCTTTTTTTTTCTTTTCTACTTTCTGATTTATTTAATGGGGTCACATTCATCCAAGGACGATAGCCATAAGACTACTTCTTTAACTAGATCATTAAGTGATGGAGGTATATTAGCAAGGTTTAAATATAAAAGAAATAAAAATAAATATAACAACAACAACAATAAATCAAACTCTATAGATATTAGACAAAAGAGTAAATCATTACAACTCAGCAATTCTACAAATAATCACAATGCCAACAATAAACCACTAGTGTCATCAACTACATCCTCTTCCTCACAACAACCACAAAGTAACTCCAAAACAACAACTTTACCTACTATCAAATTAACTTCACCTTACCAATTGCCTGATATTGAATCTATCAAATCAAGTAGAAGTAGGGATCTCAATGAGCCAAGAAGATCTTTGCAGAATTCAATAGCTGGTATCAAACAACTAAGTCATCACAGTCACAATAACAATAACAATAATAATAACAATCATAGTCATAACCATATATCTCTTTCCCATAGTCACTCACTTAGCACCTCTTCAAATACTCATCTACGTGGCTTCTTCAATATCCCTGTACCAATCGATAATAACAACAATTCAAACAATAATAATAGTAATAATAACAACAATATTAATTATGATGACGATGACGATGATGATCATGACAAGATACCAGTTACTGAAAATATAGATAGCAACACAATAATCACAAATAATACTACTTCAACAAATAATATCCACCCGAATAAATCACCAAATAATCTGACCAATACACCAATCAATAACTCAGACACAGAAGATACAAATAATTCCACCTCTATCATTGGTACCATTCTCTCCTTTGCTCATACTGCTATGGGTCATCACACAAATAATAAAATTAACAACTCAACAAATTCTATTGTACCGTCCATCTCAACTTTAAATCAGTCGATTAATAGTAATCATGTCCATGAAGATATTGATTCTATTCAAAGAGATTCAATTAATAATAACGGTTATGTTCACGATACCTCCACAATCAACAACGTTAACAACTCTGTAATTCATACCCATAAATCAATTTTAAATAATATTTCAAATCCAAAATTAGCCAACCAAGCAGATACCATCAATACCGACAGAACAAAAATTTCAACTACTGCCACAGCCAATAACACTACAAAATCATTACCAAATAGAAGTACTTCATTTTTACGTCATTTAGACTCTTTGTTATCTCCAGGCAATCCATTATTAACAACTAATACAAGCGCATCTTCCTTATCAACTAGAGATATAATTAATAACAATAACAATAACAGTAACAGTAACAAGGCTCATAACACTACCAATAAAAATAACGACAACAGCAATAATAGTGATGCTACTTCTGTTACCAATGAACAAAGCGAATTAACAAGTTTAACAAAAGTTAAATTCGAACCAGTCAATTCTTTGAATAATATCTCTCCAGACCCACCCACAATCACCACTTTAGGTCATGGGAATTTAACATTAGATTTATTTGAAGATAATTCGTCAAATACAAAATTTAATAATTCAGTACATCCTATATTAGGAGATAGTCTAATGATGGAAAATAATCATATTAATACTAATAACAATAATAATATCAACATAGTTAATAATATCAATGGGCAAGGAACAAATAGTAACAATGAGGAAAATAGTTCCTTGACTTTCAAGAATGACACAACAAATCCTTCAAATAAACAATTTTCAGCTGCTAACAGAAACAGTAGTTATGTTGAAGTATCTAAACATAACCCATTGTCAGAATACAATAGAAAAAGATCAAAGACCCTTCCTGCAAAAGATGTACCTAACGTTGAACATATTAAAAGAAATTCAAGGTATTCTACTTTATCTAACGACGAACATTTAGATATCAACAGCAATAACCTTACACCATCAAGTAATATACCTTCTGAAAGAAAATCAAGGAGTATGTCAAGAAATTTCTTGGGCAGAAGATCATTTTCTCCGAATATCGCAAAGGTTATACCAAATATAAACTTAAGGCCATCTATGAATAGAGCAAGAAATAGCACTGAAGTTACAGAGACCAGAAATCTTTCTGCTAGTTTCGATAACATGATAGACCCTGTTGTCAATTTTGATTATAGTAAACCAGCAGAATTGGTCGGTATCGAATACAGTTCAGAAAAGAAGAATGCAGAGTTCCATCATCTATTCAAGGATTCAGGTATATCACCAGATGAAAAATTGATTGTTGATCACAGTTGTGCACTTTCTAGAGACATTTTGTTACAAGGTAGAATATATATCTCAAATCAACATCTTTGTTTCTATTCTAATATTTTAGGTTGGGTCAGTTCAGTAATAATCCCATTCAAGGAAATAGTTCAAATTGAAAAGAAAACTACAGCAGGTATCTTTCCTAACGGGATTGTTATTGATACCTTGCATTCTAAATATATATTTGCGTCTTTTATCTCTAGGGATTCAACTTTTGATTTGATTACTGATGTTTGGAATCAAATCATTTTAGGCAGAAGATACATTAAAATGGCCGAGAGTGACGAAAATTTGAGTAATGTACACAGTGACATAAGTTTAAGTAATTCAAGCGGCAACTCATCATTTGGTGATGTGATGGAGGAGGATAATGACATGGGTGACTACGAAGATGATGATATCAATGATACAGACATGACTTCTAGTGATGAGTTAGATGATGAATCACTATTAGCGGTATCTAAAAGAAATAAGAGCAATACTCTAGTCACAAATGCAACAAATAATTTCCCTGGACCCGCTACTCATGCAGTTACTAAAGCTGATTACAAACCTGTCTCCAATGAAAGATTAGTTAGTGAAGTAGTGATCAATGCTCCTTTGGGTCAAGTAGCACAAATCTTGTATGGTGATGACACCAGTAGACTAGCAGCTATATTAAAGACTCAAGCTAATTTTGATCTCTCTCCAATTCCACCTTTATTGAAAAATAAATCTCGTGAATATTTTTACTATAAACCGTTGCATTTTGGATTTGGCCCAAACAAAACAAAATGTTTAATTGTGGATAAAATCATTAAATATGATCTTGAAGATTATGTTCAAGTGATCCAGGAATCTAAGACACCAGATGTCCCATCTGGAAATTCTTTTACAATTAAAACAAATACAATTTTAACTTGGGATACTAATAATACAACTAAGGTTACTACCTACTTCTTGGCTGAATGGTCTTCAAAGAGTTGGTTGAAAAGTGCCATTGAAAAGGGTGCATATGATGGTGTTTGTAACACTACAAAGATTCAAAATAATGAAATTTCTAAATATGTTAAAGAGGATATGACAAAATCTTCAACCAAAAGAGCATTATCCCAGTCTAAAAAAAGTAAAGAATCTATAGATGAAAATGAGGAATCTGATAATAAGTTAGGCGCATTACCAACGTTAGGACCTCTTACACATGAACCAACTGAACCTGAATATTTGAAAAGTAAAAATGATGTGATCATCAGTGACGATATAATCTTTAATGCCCCTCTAGGTACTATTTTTCAATTATTGTACGGTGACAACACCTCCTATTTAAAACAAATTTTAGAGAAACAAAACGCTTGCGATATCTCTGATATTCCTTCATTTACCAATAAAGAAAGAGAATACAAATATATTAAAAAACTAAATAATGCCATGGGTCCTAAACAAACTAAATGTACAATTACAGAAAAAATTGAGCATATGGATATCAACCATTACATTTGTGTCAGGCAAATAGTTGTTTCTCATGATGTTCCTTCAGGTAATGCATTCAATGTACAGACTCGATTTTTCTTTTATTGGGGTCCTAACAATACAACTAAAATGCTGGTAGTTCTAAATGTTGTATGGACGGGAAAATCCTTTATTAAAAGTGCAATCGAAAAAGGTTCTATAGAAGGTCAAAAATCTAGTACAACTATCATTAAAGAACAGTTGAATTCTATCATATCAAATCTTTCTGAAAAGAAAACTAAAAAGAGATCAAAGACTATCAGAAGTAGAAGTGCTACAACAGTAGAAAAAGGCGAAGAGAACGCCAATCTTGGAGCGATAACAAATTCTACTCAAGAAGAGTTTTCGACAGGAATCGTTAATTATCTTTTCTCTTTATGGAAGAGTTTCGATATTTTTTCTATTAAAGGGATTATTAGTTTGTTATTTGGAATCTTTGTATTTATCATGTTGTTTAGATCAATGTTCTGCTCTAACACTGTACAACATGACTTAAGATTAGTTGGTAAAGGAAGAATACTAATCGATGGCTATGAATATACCTATACTCCGAATTTCAAAACACTGTATCAAGTTTACGAAGATGAAATCAGGAATACTGCTGGATCGAATATGAAAAGCTCAGATAAGAGTACTAGCAATATAATAGTTTCTTCCCAAAAAAGTATATCTAAGTGGTTAGAAGAAAGAGGTTATGGCCCAGAAAAGACACAGTTATCAAGCAAATTAGAAGAAATAGATGATAATCACGACAATGATCATACTAATACCAAAAATAAAAAAGATTACGAGATAAAAAAATTACTAGAATCCATTAAAATCACTGAACTACAATTAAATGAAATGAAAGATACACTAGCCAGCCTCCAGTCATGATTTAGCATAACTACAATAACATATATTAGCTTCATAAATTATTATATAAATATAACACGCTAGAACTATACTGCTAATCTTTTTGATTTATCTTACAGTCAAATTTTTACAAAACATAATCAACCCATAGTAAAAAGCACCAAATATATACATTATGTGATTTTCAGATTATTACTGAAAGGCATAGTTAATATATCTATCATACATAAATATAGATAGTAATACTATTTTTATCTTAGCAACAAACAGACATAAACTTATCTTAATTAAATTTGACATTAACGAACAAAAATACTTGCAGGTTTATAACATTATAATCTATTATTTACCAATCATTTTTTTATAATTCATTTAGGTAAAATAAATTTTTTAGTTAGATGCATCTTCCATTTTTATTGTATAAACAAAGAATTCTATATTAATTCACAATCTTGATTTATATACAATTGAACGTTAATTTATTTCTCAAATATATAATGCAGTTAACTAAATAAAATCATTCAGTTTTATATAGTTCAAATCCCATTCCATATTAATACAACAGTACATACATCTATTTATTAAATCACTTTATAAAAGAATGATTCCAAATACAATACCCTGAAAATGTATATAGATATGAAGTTATTTATTCGCTCATTTCAACATCCAAGTCTTCTTGAGTTCTAGTAAATGCAGATGAACTAGCAGGTGTTACAAAATTAACACTTTTTGAAGGAATAGTTTGCAAAGATTCATTTGATTCAATATTTGAATTCTCCATTTCAGTTCTATTTCTTTTTCTAACATTACTGTCTATATTGGACATATCAGCAGGAAGAGCACCATTATTATCGTTCATAATGTGATCATTGATCTCTTTATCACTGGAATTTTTATTTTCTATTGTCATAGACTCGTCCAATATCTGAGATAATTCTTGATCTGTATATCCAAGTCTATCTTCTTCTTTACTTTCATTGAATTGTAACATTGCCGCTTCTACCTGTGCACTTAAATTACTATTAAATTTAGTAAGACTATTTTTACAAAGATTATCTAAAGTTTCATTCTGTAAAAAATCATTGATTAAACTTTGTACTTGTTTCAATTTTTCAATTGGCTGCTGAGATGTAACATAAAAATTGTTAATATTAGTTAAGATCATTCTCTTTATGTCTTTTTTATCAATTTGCGAAAAGATATGTAGCAGATCTAACAAAAAATCAAGTTGAACTGAACTTTTTGCTGCATCTTCCTCTTTTCTGTTAACCACCTTCCTTGGATCAGTCCAGTGTATTAATTGTTGAATAATAACATTTGGTTTCAACATTACAGTACCCTTAATATTTCTATCAGGCGAAGATTGTAAATCCCCCCACAATATACATAACCTTAATAGAACATCTGCTGCAACTTTTGACATCTTCACTTGATGAATGGGATGAGACAAACAATATACTGGAAGGGAAAATGCAAACACTTGTATTAGTGGTTCATTGGTTGTATTGGCTGGAGAAAAATATGAAAGTACTAATGTTTCAAACAAATCATCATCTGTAAATATATCAGCTAAAAACAATTTACAAAGTCCTTCTGCAGCAACAACTTGGCATTCTGGTAGATCACTGTTTTTCAATACTTTATAGAACATCTTGTGTAAAGAAATGGAGTCTACTTTCCCTTCTCCATTTACAACTTCATTCCCGTAAATTGAAAAAATATCTACAATAGCCTGAAGCGCAATTTTCTTCAACAACTCATCACCTTTAGAAACACACATACCTAAGATATATATATTTTCAATTGCTAATTGAATATCCAATAGACAACATAACCCCAAATTCCTAACACCTAATTCTCGAACTTTTGGTTCACTATTTCTAACAGCCGGTGTGATTAATGTCTCAATCAAAGACATAATCAAAATATTTTGTTCTAATGGTTCATTTGCCAACTCCAACATACATGAAGATCTTGTTAAACATATTACAATTGTTTCTGCACTGGGTTCTCTTTCTTTAACAATACTATTAATGATGGATTTATCGATATCATTTTCTTTGCCATTAACTAAATTGTCAACAGCAGAATGGAATGAATTTAAATCATCTTCATCTTCCTCTTCCTCTTCCTCTTCCTCATTCTCCTCAATAACTTCAGACGACGGTTTTTCAATATTATCACTATAAGATTTCCTTTTTTTGTTCTGCTTATTTTTTTTTTTTTGCAGTTTATTCTTTTCTCTTTCTACTTGCTCTTGTAATTCAATATCTTCGTCTCTTAAATCATTAATTATTTCAATAGCCATAGTAACAAAATCTTTTTCGTTAATAGATAGTTTCTTTAAGACCTTATGACCAATTCTGATAAGGGGCTCTGATAAAGCCTTATATGACAATAAATTTCTAATTACTGATAACATGGAACGCCTACCAATTTCATCACTGAAATCATATTTATCTGCTGTAAATAATAGCTGTTCTATAATGAAATCCAAATGTTTTCTGTCGGCTCGAGATAAAGGAATGGAGGAACTTTCTTGTTGAGCAGGTAGAAATCGTTTATCTGAGTAAAATCGAACGTATTCTGCTAAAACAGCAGCCTCTGGAAAATGCTCATCAATAACTTCAAAATACTCATTCTCCACACAGACTGTGAATAAGCATCGGAAAAGAAACGCAATTTCTACAGTAAATTCTTTCCAAATACCTTCTGGGAATTTTAACCGATTAATAATATCATCTCTTATATTTAGCAGTCTCATAACAGCTGGATATATACTGATTGATTTTATGATATTGAAATGTTCAAGTAATTCAATCAAATCACCATTAAACAAGTTAATCCAATGATACGATATAAGTTTTTCACAAGCATTTCGTACGGAATCATCTCTATCTTCCAGCCCCCACTTAATCAATTGATCTAAAATTTTAAAATCAATTTTTTCGAAACATTGTAAACCCATTGACTTAAGCACTCGAGAATAAACCAATCTTCTATTAACTGAGTTAATATCTCTTGCTCGTTCTAGAATATATGAAAGCGTGTTAGGAGTTTTAATTAAATTTAACATTGCAGCGCGTCTAACATCGGGAGATGGATCATTCTGAATTATATGCATTAGTGAAATAGCTGCAGGTACTTCCTCATCTCCTCCAAAATCTTTGTTTAGATCTTCTGAGATAGTCGTTTCATCTTGGAATTTTGTAAGACAAAACACAGCCTGTGTCCGAATGTGCCCTTCCTTATCATATATTCTTTTATTTAAAGACCAAATAAGCAGATTATAAAGTTCCTCATCAATTTCCCCCAAATTATCCATAATCATGACTAATAATTGCAAAACCCTATATCTGACATTCTTATCTTTACTGTCAATACCTCGTAATATATACCTTATGAAGCCATCTACAAATCTATTAAAAATTTGTTCTCTTTCTGTAAAAGTTTCATGCTGTTTCTCTTTTAAAATAGCTAACTCTTTATCTAAAGATGCAATAAATGCAGCAATCAATTTGACAATTCTATCTCCAACAATTTCATTTTTCTTTAAAGGCAAAATTTTTAGTACAAATTTATTAAACCAGTAATTAAATGATTCTTCAAATCCATTCTGTATAGCTTTATCCTGTATTTTTTTTAAAATTGCAATGTGTTTTCTATGTCCTGCATATGATAATTGAGCTTGTTGAAATACATCTGCTATTGAACGAAATATTTTTTGATTTATGTCATTAGTGTCTGCTATGCTCATTGAGTTCAATAGTAATAATGATTAAAAGAACTTAGCTTTAATGGAACAAAATCAAAAAAAAATAAATAAATAAATAAAAAAAGAACAAAAATTCTGAAACGTTTTATATATTTACAAATAATTATTCTTGTTTTCTTTGAGTTATAATTTATGAAAACTTTGTGCTATACATCTTTGAAATACGACGAGTAAAAGGATTGTTTAAATGTAAACTCTTCAGCATAAGCCATCTTTTGATTGTTTCGATATTTTTTTTAGTGTTTATCTTTTATTTTTTTTTTTTTGATTTTAAGATTTCAGATAGTAAAATAGAAAAAGGGAAAAAAAATTCCTAAAAGAGTAATAAGATAACAACAACAAATGGATATTAGACGGAGATCATTTCTCGATAATATATACACTGATTTATTTTATTATTAGGAATATTGGTAAAGTATCATAAAATCACTTATTAATATCTTTGGTTTATTCATCAAGAAATATGTATGTATATGTGTTTATTATATTTAACTCATCAAACAAATTATAATTAATTATATACTTTATTTACCTGCAAAAGAATAAAACAACAGCGCAGGTTCTTATTATTTGTAACAGTAAAAAATATTTTGTTTTAGAATAATTTTAAAACTCAGACTTTAATACATGATTACGATATTACAAAATGTTTTATGTATATTTATATTTGGTAAAGTTTTTCATTTTCCTTTTCCTTATTTATGAGGCGAAGAAGAATGGGGAGGACTGAGAGGAAGGGAGTTAATAGACGAGGATAATTATATCTTCTTTATTAAACATGCTTTGTACATTTATTTCCCATAACTGAAGAATTAAAATATAAAGTTTGTAATCCTGGATAGAAAAAAAGCAGAATGCATAAATATCCAGTACAAAAAAAGTCACAAGTTAGTTGAAATCTACACTCAACAAGATAAAAAAAAATTTATTATAATTTCTTTATTCTACAATACATAGGTTTCTCCTTGAAAAAAAAAATAATAATTGAAAAAGTTAGTCTTATTATTATCCATTTGATGTACAAAAGATTATTGGCTGAAGATGCTAATTCTTCTTCTTCTTCCACATTAGTTCATATCAGAATACTACAAAAACGCAAATGATTCCCTCTAATGACATCGAAGATAAAAGTTCAAACAAACATGCTTAATAGATGCCACACAATTATTGAAACAAAGAGCTCTTAAACAATATCCTGGATTCGACCTAAGAAATTCAATTTACAGTAATAAATGCAGTAAATATTGAAATATTATTATATAAAATTAACTTCTTAGGTATTTTTTTTTTCTTTTTCTTATTTTTTTTTTTTAATTTTACGTTTCCTTACTGTTCGAGGGAAAATGAAAAAAAAAATTTTCAATGCAATCAAAAAAAAAAAAATAAAAGAGATGAGCTGAGATGCCTAAATAAAGAGAAAAATAAGCAGGAGTTGTACGATTTGTAGAAGAATGTATATACATATATATATACATATATTATACTTACTAGAATAATCCGATAAAATTATATTAAAATTGGTGCAGCTGGATTAATGATATTGTGTGAAAAGGAAAACAAAATAGATAAGATGCCTTCTCAACAGTTAGCTGTTCATAGGGCTAGATTTGTGGATTATACGCCAGGAAATATCACTGCCCTTGCATTTTCTCATCAATCTTCATTGAAGAATAGACTTACTCCCTCTGATTTAAGATTGGCTATTGGTAGATCCAATGGTGATATTGAAATTTGGAATCCAAGAAATAATTGGGTTCAGGAATTCCTTATTCATGGTGGGAAAGGTAGATCTATTGAAGGCCTGTGCTGGAGTAACATCCCTGGCGAACCTTTAAGATTATTCTCTATTGGTGGATCTACAGTGATTACTGAATGGAATTTGGCTACTGGATTACCCCTTAGAAATTATGATTGTAATGCAGGTGTCATATGGTCTATTGCAATTAATAAATCCCAAGATAAACTTGCTGTTGGATGTGATAACGGCACTGTCGTAATTATTGATATCTCTGGTGGGCCAGGTGTCCTCGAACATGACATTATTTTGACTAGACAGGAATCCCGTATCTTAAGTATCACATGGAATGATGACAATTATGTTATTGGTGGTTGTTCTGATGGTAGAATTAGAATCTGGAATGCTTTGAAAAGCAGAAGTAATGATAGCAATAACTATGAAAGAGGCAAACTTTTACACACTATGAAAGTAGATAAAGCTAAACATGAATCTACATTGGTTTGGTCAGTTTTATATTTGCCTTTGAAAAATCAAATTGTATCTGGTGATTCTACTGGTTCAGTCAAATTTTGGGATTTCCAATATGCAACATTATTGCAAAGTTTCAACCCACATAATGCAGATGTTCTATGCTTAACTACAGATGCTACCAATACTAGCTTGTTTAGTGCCGGTGTTGATAGAAAAATTTTCCAATTCTCTTATCATGATTCAAAAAAATGGATCAACAGTTCAAATAGATTATTACATGGGAACGACATTAGATGTATTGCTTCCTATCAGTCCAATGGTGCAGATTTCTTAGTGTCTGGTGGTCTAGAAAAATCATTCGTAATTACCTCTCTATCATCTTTTGCTCATGGAAACTATAGAAAGATGCCATTGATCAATCCATACAATAATAATGTTTTAATTAATCAGTCTCAAAGGTATGTAGTTATGTGGGGGGAGAGTCAAATAATCAAGATCTGGAAAGTAGGTGAAATGAATGATGACACAAATATTGAAAATAATTACAAATTAGTTTGTAAAATGGTACTTAAAGATGAAGAAAACATCACTACGTGTGCTATATCGCCAGATGGTCAAGTACTTGTTGTGGGAAGATATTCAAATACAAAAGTGTTTTTTTTGCAACCAGTTAATGATGGAAGAAAATTGAAAGTAACTAAACTAGATAACGATTTACTGTTAAAAACAGGATCTAAATTAGTTCAGTTTGTTGATAACTCCAAGGTTGTCATTTGTACACCAGATAATACGTTATTTAAATTAGATCTAGAATCAGATAATGATGAAGAAATGGTTGATTTGGAGATATCTGAATTACCAAACACAAAGAGTTCTTTTAAAATACCATATTTGAATAAAATTAATCATCTAGATGTTTGTCAAGATTATGCTATAGTGTCTCGTGGATGTGGTGCTGTAGATGTGATTAGTTTGACTACTGGGCATTATAAATCCTTGATTCGTTTGATGAATTCCATTACAGTTATCAAAATAAATGAAAAGAAGAAAACAGTGATCATAATGACAGCTGATAACCAGATTTACGAATTAAATGTTGATATTGACTCTTTAAATAACAAAACTGATAAGAGATTGGAAGATGAGCTAAGTGATGATGATGGTAATAAAAAGGGTAATTATACCAATGATGACAGTACCAAGAAAGAAGAAGAAGAAGATAATGCAGATAATGATGTAGAAATGGAAGATATAACTGAACAGAGAGGAAGTGTGTTCACACAATGGACTAAAAACAACATCGATAATTTACCAAAGAGAATCCAAATGTTAAAAGAAAAATGTAATGGTATATTTATAGATGAGGAAAATTCAAACTTAGTATGGTTCTGGGGTTCAACGTGGGTTGCAAGATTAGATTTTAGTATTGACTTACCATTGATAAACAAAAAGAAATCGAAGAAACGTAGTCACGAAGGTTTAACCATTACAGATGGAGGCAATTTTATGGACAGTAAACAAACAAATGAAGAGGAAGAGGATGAAGAAGAAGAAGATATAGACATAGAAAATGGACATGATCATTACTCGCATGGCTCTAACAATATATTCCCCTCTTCTATGAGAACTGGTAAAACTGACCAAAATCGTGCTAAATCTGAATCCCAAGTATTTTACTTTAATGATAAATATAAGCCAAATCTTTGTGTTAATTTTATTGGCAAGAATGAACTCATAACCGTAGAAAGACCAATGGTCCTGATTAAAGCCTCCAAAGCATTCGATTTACCAAAGATAGTCTTTTAGATATGGAAATTTCAATTGATGAAGAATGTATATCCAACTAAAACATAAAGTTGGAATAATCTATGGTATATATTTTACATCAAGGAAATGAACTACACACCCATCCTATATATTTATATAGAATTTAACAGTGGCATTATAATATATCATCTGTAACATATTCGGAAGAACATAAGTAACTGATTGTTTAATGATACGTGTAACAGTATACTGTATTTATTAAACTTAAATTGAAAATAATTTTGCCAAGAAGGAATTTTATATATTGAGTTTGCTTTCATTTTCAGCTTTATAATAAGACTTGCTTAATTTCTTTTAGATATACTTTATATATTTTAAAAAAAAAAGGAACTTCAAAATAGAAATTGATAGCGCAATTCAATTTTTTTGATATGATTTAAATAAAATGACAGTTTATTTATAAGCATAATATTACGTTAGAATACTAAGATGGAATCTAAACAAAACGTAATTAGCCCCTCAGAGTAAAGGAGGAGCAGCAAGGAGTGGGTACTTGAATAAAGCGATGGTTGGCAGTGAAACTTCAAGTATATCTGGTGAATTATTAGATTTAGAAGATATAGCATGTCCAATATGTTTAAAGAATTTCACCAATTTGCAAAGTTTGAATACACATCTAGATAACGACCATGGGTTTTCTAATGATTCACTGAAAGAGGAAAGTATATCATTAGTCCCTCCAAAGTCTCAAAGAATCTATTTATCGCCTGTGAAGGATTTGCGATCAACACACTCTAGATCTAATTCTTTCTTATCTAGCATTGATATTAAACAGAGTACTGAAACAAAGCATGTGGAAGCGAATTTAAATAAAACAAGAGATACACAAAAGGTAAAAATTGATAAAAGTCATTGGTCTCCATTCATTAAGGGAGAAAGTCGTTGTAATTATTGTCACAAAAAATTGAGCCCTTCTAGGGGAATTAGTAATTGTAATAAATGTGGGAGATTGTACTGTAAACGACACTGTACAAATAGGATAAAATTAAACCCAGATGCATGTTTTGATCCTGTAAGTGTAAATTCACGTTGGTATATTTGTTGTTATGATTGTTTTACTGCTCGTCCTGGTTATAATGATTATGGAAGTTATATAGATTTAACTGAAAAATTTGTTCAAATACGAACTAAGAGATCTGAAGACTTAAAATTGATAAAATTACAGTTAGAAAATAGGTTAGTTAGATTATTGGATGGACTATTTCTCTTATTTAAGAAACATAAGGTTAATGGGAATTTCATGTCATTAGTAAAATTTAATATAGAAAAAAATAAGTTGGAGCAAAGTATAGTACCATGGCAGACAGACCACTCAGTTCAAAGTTGCTATATTTGTAAAAGGAAATTTAATCTTATAATAAGAAAGCATCACTGTCGTCTATGTGGACACATCGTATGTGATTCTGTAGAAACCAGTTGTTCATACGAACTACCAATTGTCAAACTAAGGAAAAATGCATCTGATTTACCTCTCCATGAATCAATTGATCCATTATTAAACCAACTAGTTGATATTGCAATCAGATTATGTTCTAAATGTTTAAAATTAGTCTATGCTCCACGAAAATTCAAAAGGGATATATCAGAGACTTACAATTCACCAATAATGTCCAAGTATTGTAGTATTGTCAATGTAGCCAATATGATTGAACGTTTACTGCCACAACTTCAAAACTATATTGAGATAAATACACTGAAGAGGACACCAACAGAGTCAATCTCTCCTAATGTGACTGATTTACAAGAAATCACTAAGTTAAGAGACAAATTATTAAAATCATTTAATATGTACAATATTTTGACTAGACAACTAATTCTTTTGCAACCAAGAAATGAAGCCGAGAAACAAATACAAAAATCTATACAGATTAGATCCGCACAATTTGTAAACGAAAAGATGTTGCCACTAAAAAATTTAGAGAATCTAATAAGTCCTAACAATGCATCTATTGATAGAAATTCTAAAAATGTTTCTACATCGAAATTGGAACAGCGTGATATTTTATATGAAATGAAAAAACCATCAAATATCCCAATGATAAAATTGACTCATATGATGAATCAACTGACAGCACAGGAAATAAAGCAGTACCGCGAAGAATTAATGGTTGTAAAAGAACAAATTTTTTTGATCAACTCAATGATTGAGAATAATAAAAAACAGAGAAAGTTTGATGAAATTAAGACGTTAACATATAATTTGAAAGAGTTAGAAGGACGTGTGATTGAATTGGAACAGTTTTTAGGGGACCAAGGATTCAAATGACAAGGTAGTGTAAAATATACTTAAAGTGAGTATTCTAACTGGAAGAGCAGTCAATGTTTATTTAAAGAGAGAGAGCATGAGATGGGTATAGAAAAGGTATTCCTAGCAGTTAAGAGACTTACCTTGTCGGAATTCTTCTCAGTAATAATGATAATAGTATCTAATCTATAACAGATAAAATTTCTCATTCTATTCTCTGATTGGAAGAGGCTCAAAGTGGTAAATCCGTATCTTTCCGTTGCGCTTTAAGATTTAAGTGGAATTTTTCCTTTTCGGCTTATGACATTTTTTTCTACGGATTATTACTTTCTGTAGTAAGATTTAGGCGGAAATGAGTCTACCTATAAGGTGCTTTAGAAAAAAAGGCAAGAAAAGAAAAAAAAATAACAGAATAATTGTGAAATACCGAGAGAAAGATTACAGAGAGATAGAGAAGGGGAAAAACATGGATTCCTATCCATGAATTGGCAGCAAAAGACACCTGTTCGTACGCTAGATTGACTTTTTATTCTCACTATTATTTCCTTTTTTCTTGTATTGAACAAGATTTTTGTATATTCGAGAATAATTGTCCGGATTCCTAATTGTAGAGTGCACAACGAGGTTAGAGCTCTGAAGTTAATGACAAAGATTATCTTTATTTTATTTGTAAATTGAAAAGTTAACGTTACATATAGTAATTTGTAAAAATTGAAATTAACTTTGGAAATACTACAAATACACATAAAGCATAGAATTTTTTTTAGATTTATTTGTTTATTTGTTTATTTTTAAATCTTATAAATATCAAATACACACAATCCGGATATAAAATAATGTCAACAGCTAATGTTTTGAGATATACTGCCCTTGGTTTGGGTTTTCTAGTTGGGTTCAAGACTGACTGGTCTTTGAAATCAGAAGCTAGAGAAAGAGAAGAAGAAGATAAGTATCAAGCTCAACTTAAATTAGTTGAGGAAGCTAGAAAAGAATATAGAAAGTTACACCCAGTAGCTTCACTGGAATCTGATAAAGTCGAGGTCAATCTAGATGATCCAAATTTTGATTTTGGTAAATTCATTGAAGAAACTGTAGGATCTTTAAAGGCTTAAAAATAATGACATTCAAACATTTATTGAATAAAATATGTTTTTATTTATACTTTTAGCTATCCTTTATTATTGCTTTTATATTTTTTTTTAATTTTTTGACTATCTTCTTCTGATTTCATATGTATATATATATGCATATACATATAAACAATGTACATACACCAATTTATATTCAACTATTAATAATAATATATCATATATATTCACTGTACCATTGAGTTTCCTATGATTTTACTTTTGTGTATGTCTTTCTATAGATTTTTGTTTGAGAACTGCAATTAATTGTTACTTTTATTTACAAGATATTTTATTTTTTGTTTGTGTTTTAAATACTATGTAGTGTATACATGCATATGCTCGTTTGTTTAATAACGTCATATTAGTTTATTTTCTTACTTTAGAGAATACTCTTCCCTTTGGTAACCCATACTTCTTTCTAACATTTGCTACATTAGTATCCCATTCACTTCTCCAAATATGTGAACCAATTGGGTCTAATTGATTTAATTCAACAAATTTTCTTATATTAAATGAATCTCTTTGTATAACAGATGTATCAGTTAATGTTGGGTTTGGTTGTCTAAACACCCATACTACAAATCTTTGTTGCCCTGCATTCTTTTCTGGTACAGGTGGTAAATAATCGATAAGTACATTATCTTTCACGTTAAATTTTCTTGCATCAATAACATTATCGTTATAATCCAGTGTCAAGTTTTGTAAACCATAGCATAAGGTTGTTTTGAATGAATCATTGATCAAGTCTGGTTCATCAGGATTAACTATTAAAATTGTATACTTTTGTGTTGCTAAATCTAACTTTTCAAATTCTTGAATTTTAAATATTGGTTCAAACTGTGTTACATTGGATGATAAAAATTCACCTGGAGCGATCCACTTATTTACACCAGTGGAATATGGGAATTTGATCATAACATTAGCACGTGGTACCAAAGTTGGTAAAGTATCTGGGATAGCGTGTAAAGTTTCTAATCTTTGCATTAGTAGCATTTGAGCATAAGATTCCCAATGTTTCAAACCCAGATGTCTATAGACAGGGAGGTTATAATCTATCAATCTTGGATTATTGTCGATTTTATCACTAAATTGGAAATTGTATTGAACTTCAGGGTTATTTATCTCAGCTTTAACTAACAGTTTATTCTTTAATGTGGGATCGTTTGTTTGGTCAATCTTAGAATATATTTTATCAGCTCTATCTTGTAGGAATGAGTAGGCTATCTTGAAAGTGGCATCAATTTCTTCTGGAGATTTGTACCTAGCTCTAGATGCCTTTCTTCTTAAAGTATAAGGACCTTTTTTGGATTGATTATTATTTGCTTCTATATTAACAAATAAAGACTGTTTTAGTTTTGAGGAACGTAAGGATAGAGCGACAGATCTTTTTGTAAAGTCTTTCCATATTTCATTTTGTTGAAATTTGATTACAGAAGAATGTAGCGATCTACGTAACATTATCAACTGAAGTATTTAATTATACGGAACACAAAGTATAGTTTTTTCTCCTATACTTTTCTATATTATTGTGTTGTATGCTTTATTTTTTTATATTTGATAAACTAGGATTAATGGGTTTTTATTATTAGCCATTTCCCTCTCTTTTGTCTTGCCTTTTTCTCTTACTACACTAGTAGTTATTATTTGTTTCTCCCTTGGAAGACGTAAAGTTACTTTGAAGTGAAATTTTCCAATGATTCTATTCCATGTGTTTTTTTTTTTTGATTTTTATTTTTAGTTAAACTCACAAGCGTCGTGGTGTGTGGATGTGGATACACAAAAGTAGATTAGTCGTTTCAAGAATGTCACAAATTGATTTTAGAAAGGGTATATTTTGTGGCAGGTTATGCATATTCTGAACAAATAAGAGTGTGATATGATATTGGTGTATATTATTTGCTTTGAATGGGCAGTAATAGAGTAATGGTGCAAGAGAGAAAATGTCAGTAGAAGGGAAATAACTTAAATAAGAAGAAGTCAAAAAAAAAAAAATGGCAGGTATTAATTATATATATATATATATAGAGAGAGAGAGAGAATCCACACATTTGTACACTACATTTACATTTTTCTTATAATTAAATATTAACAACTTGGCAAATATAATTGTGTAACAAAACTGTTTTTATTGAAAAAAATTATTATATGCAGAACAATCCAAGAAGAAATAAAACTTATCAACAAAGTGTAACAGATATTGAACTATATATATGCGCGTATGTACGTATGTATTTATGTCTTTATGTAAATTTTTAACCACCATAAACGCCATTGAATACACATTTAATTTCATCAAGTGAATAATTGGACAAAAGACATAGTTGCAATAAGATTCTTGATTTTTCTGGATTTAAATACCCAGAAGCAATTACATTATTGCCATTTTTTGGTAAATTAGCAATAGGAATCATCCCATCCATCGATCTTTTAGAGTAAACAATTGGTTTATTAAATAAAGAAACACACTTGTCATTGACTTCATCAGGTAATGAGCCTGCACCCATAGTAGCAATAACGATCCCATCATAATGATCTTTGACCAAATCAATAATTCCAGGGTCCATAGTTTGGTGTCCATATAAGATACATACAAGAGGTAATTTGTTACCATTATACTTATCCTTGTTGTCATGATTCAGTTTCAATTTAAATTTGTGTACTCCCTGTGGCTTAACAGGAGGATAATAATAATGGATTTCGTTATTAACAAAGTTCCCCAAATAACCCTGTCTAACGTTGAAGGAATCAAGAGAGTTGGCGTTAGTCTTTGTGATATAGTAACCCGCAGAGATCTGATCATTCAAGGAGACCAAGACACCACGACCTTTAGATTTCCAACTGGAAGCGATACAGATAGCTTGATAGAGATTCATTGGGCCGTCAGCAGAGACACTTGTGGAGGGTCTCATGGAACCAACAAAAACAATGGGGACATCGCCTGAGTCTATAGTGGATTCAATAAAGAATGCAGTCTCCGACAACGTATCTGTACCATGAGTGATGACTATACCATCGAATTTTTGCAAGGCAGATGATATACCATTATAGATTGAGAGAAGTTGGGACTCAGAGATGTCCTTTGAATCAACATTGCATAGTTGTTCGTATTCAATTTCGCAAATCTGGGAGATATCGGGGATAGCATCCAACATGTCTTGAATAGTCAGATCTACGTGATAGCCGGCGGTGGCCGAGGAAGAGCCACCTTTGGATGCAATAGTACCACCTGTCCCTAAGATTTTGATTCTAGGCAATTGGTGATAATTATGAATATAACGAGAACGAATATTATTTGAGATGGTGTCACTGTGTTGTGAAGTGGGGATATTGCTAGTGTTATTATTTGTGATCGTAGAGGTGGAAGTGGAGGAAAGAGTTGAATCAGACGATATGGTTGAATTAATTGGATTGTTTATTCTTGTACGCGTCTTGCTGTTAATGTTATCATCAGAATTATTTTCTTCTTCATTATTTACGGTCAGAGTGAATTGGGAATTCTCTACATCTGAACAGATAGTTTTAATTTCAATCGAATCGTTTGGCATGTTCTATAGTAATATATGTATGTGTATATGAATGTTTAAGTATATGTCGAGAGAAAGAAAGACAAAATGAAGAGGGGGCAGGGGGGATGCAGGAGTGACAGTGGAATTATAACAGATACAAATGCATTCAGATGTTCTCGAGGGCTTGCGGGTAAGTATGGCATAAGCTGGGCTAAGATGAGATGACCATGCATATATATTCATGGGTTATATACAATATTTTGAGCACAATGTGAAATTTTTTTGCACAACAATAACAATATCAATAATAAAAACAAAAAAAACAAAAAAATAAAAAAAAAAGACTAAGAAAAAAAGAAACGGCAGGAAAGGTCATCGAAGTCCAGGAGGTGTGGGTTTCCCCACAGCGGTACCGCTACCAACTGTGTACATCCGAACACCACATACTGTAGAGCTTCTTAGTAAACCAAAAGATACTTCTTGTAGAGAGAAAGAAGCCCTTGTAGGTGTATCTGAATTATTTAGCGTTGTGCAACTGCTGTGTATTATACTACTACTACCGCCAAGCGTGTATACAGCAGACCTACAAACACACACGAATGTCTACACATCTACCTATCTACTTGCCTCCGGATACAGATACATATACATATACATATACATATACATATACATATACATATATATATAAAAAGAGTGATATTATAAAATTCTAGATGCAAAATCCGTTTGAACAAACACAAAGGAGTTTACTATCGCGTATAATAAGCAATGTGGAGAGACTTAACCAAAGTGTAGTAACATTGAACCAAGAGTTGTCGATATTGAATTCGAAGAATCAACAACTATGTAATATTGCTACTATCTGTGATCACTATCAGGAATCTTTGCAGTTTAACATATCTACTACTGGACAGTTAAAACCTCCATCAGAAGGTTAAACAAAATATGATAAACGAAAAAAATAAATATTGAATTCTATTACATATATATACATATATGTGTGTATGTGTGTATGTATGTATGTATATATATGTAGAGTAATATACAACTATGTATTAGAAACATATAAAATATTAATTAATATTCAGTCCATATGCTTATATTATTATATGAAAATCATTAGTTAGATCCATTTGGTAATAAACCGAATCTTTTCTTTAAAGTGACTCTTTGTCTAGAATACTTGTCATCTGGTGAAAAACGTGCTGGGTGGGCAGACTTGGTAATTTCACCTTGTTCTGTAATCTTCTTCAATGTGTAAACTCTTTTACCTTCTTGGTCTAATGTATACATAAGATGCATCTTTAACAAATATAAAACAATACAATATAAAACAATACAATATAAAATAATATGAAATAGCCTGCTGAATGGGGAGGGTTTCTTTTATTTATTTCTCTATGTGTTTATATTAGTACCTTTTTACTTCACCCAGAACAAAAACACACGTTTTATCACTTAACCAACACCACTTGATATCCACTTGTATATCTTTCTTGTATTTCTTTCCTTCTCTTGACGGAATCAACCAACTCTTATTGTTTTTTTTTTTTTGCTTTTACAATTTTTGTGTGTTCGGGAAAAAAATTTTTTTTATCTTTTTTTGGCACGTGAATGTCATGTGATCGTTTATCCATCCCCTTTTTCTTTGTTAATGATTCCTCAAACAAAAAAAAATAAAATAAACTATGCATTTAACATATTGTATATATACATGCAAATGCACAATATGGCACAGATCATACTTCTACCATATTTTAATATTTATGAATAAGAACGATATAGATGTATTATATCAATTGGTACAAGCAAAAGATAGAATAGGATAAATAATCATAAAAAAAAAAAGAAAACATATAACAAAGCACAAAACAACTGATCTAGAATCTTACAACGATGGTCGATCCTTTTGCGCATTTATTAGATTCTTTCAAGAAAAATGAGACTTCAACTAATAATAATAAATTAAAAGAAGAAAATAAACTGAACAATAGCAATAACAATAGCAATAACAATAGCAACAATGCTAATACTAAACAAGATGTGTCTAGTGTCAATATATTATCTCCTAATAAAATTATGGAACCCTTGATACCATCTAATTCTTTGTTTGTTCCAAATTCAATTAATCCGATAGAAAGTAACAATATCAATAGCAATATCAATAGCAGTAGTAATAATAATAGTAATAGTAATAAAGATGATGATTGGGATAAAGTATATTCTATATTTAATAACGTCAGTGATACAAATACAATAAATACAACAATACTACCAGGACCATCTAATAATAATACTAGTACTAATATTAGTACTAATACAGAAACTAAAGATGAAAATCTTGTATTCTCTAGTTCTCAATCTTCTTCAATTGTTGATGAGGTTAAGGATATGGAAATTGCTAGAATTATGTCTTTAGGTTATTCCTTTAATAAATCATTACAATTTTATGAAAACGGTTTGGATTATGACACAATTTCACTAAAGCAAAAATACCATAAAATTAATAAAAATAACAACTACAATAATAATGATAATACTAATAATAATAATAGAATCACAAATATTGATCCTTTTTCAAACGAGCAAAATGAATCTTTTACCAATACTTTGACAAACATGTTTAATAAAAGCAAGCAATTTGTACAATCTTTGAATTTAACTGATTTTAATAAAGGGTTCGATGTAGATAGATATAAAGGAGGTTTCAATGCATTAAATAGTTATTCTGATACCAATAGTATTAATATCAATGATTATGATTATAGCCCTAGTATTGGTCACAATTACAGTCTCATAAAAGAAGATGATGAAAAAATATCATTAACAAACAATAAAACGATTTCTCTTTCTGTCTCTCCCCCACCTCCGGTGCTTATAGAAGATCAAAATGATAATCAAATTTCAGAGAATGATAATCAAGTTCTGTTAGATTGGGATACTCCTGTAAATAACCAGACACCAAATACTACAACTTCAACCATTCATTCGTCTATGCAACTACAAATAACTGACATTGAATTGATAAGTTATGAAGAATTTAAAAACAATGCAACCAATCTTTTCAAAAATGGACATTATGCAGATGCTTTAGAACAATATACAAAATCTTTAAATACATTACCAAAGGATCACCCTTTGAGACTTATTGCAATCTCAAATATTATGATTTCCCAGCTAAAAATTGGTGAATATAACAACATAATTAAACTATTGGATACATGTAAAAAGTTATGGCCAAATAATATAGATGAGAATAATACTACAAAATTGAATTGGGAACAGATTATACCTAACAGCAAACCACAAAGAACATTTAAAGATATTTGGATCAAAATAATGTTAAGATGTGCAGAGAGTTATAGACATTTAGAAGATTTCAATAATGAGTTAAACATCTATAAACAGTTATTAGATAAAAATGTCATTACTAACAAAGTGTTAGATGGGAAAAGACGTTGTGAAAAGATTCTTTATCCGGAAAAATTCAAGTTGACTTCTAAGAAAACAAACTTAGACACGTCGCCTTTATCTGTTACAATTATTGCTAACACCAAATCTGCACTTAATGCTAAAACTTCCTCTCCATCAATTCCTAAAAACACAGAAAATGTAGACAAAATAAAAAAGCAGAATGCTAAACTGGAAGAAGAAAGTATTTTAAAAGAAAAACTATATGATCAAGTAACATTGAAGATTGATCAATGGAAATCTAATAAACCAACAGATATTCGTCATCTATTATCTAATTTACAACAGGTGGTAACTTGGACTTCATGGACACCTGTTTCTTTAACAGATTTGGTTATGCCAAAAAAAGTTAAAGTAACTTATTTAAAAGCAGCTTCTAAGACACATCCAGATAAGGTTCCTAATTCATTAGACCTAGAAAACAAAATGATTGCAGAAAACGTTTTTAGTATATTGAGTAAAGCTTGGGAATTATTCAAAGAGGAAAATAATGTTTAGATAAGAAGTTTCTTTCTCTCTCTCTCTCTCTATATATATATATATATAGTTGAACAGAAAAGTTATAGATGTTAATTCTTTTATTATTTTATTGCGTACAAAAGATATAATTCTTTTTTATTTCTCTAATTGATATTTTCTACAGTTAGAAGTATGTATTTGTGTTTTTTTTTTTTTTGACGTTTGCTATACTTGCAAACTTTTTTTAAATAGTTAAATTTATTGAGAAAGATTAACAAATTCTTTTTGAAAATATTGGTTAAAATGAAGGTCATTTATATATATATATATATAATCTATTAAGGAAGAAAGAAGATGTACAGATGAGAAAAAAGGTGTATGGGATTTAATATAATAATAGTAATTATGCAATTATTTAAATGGCCACATGTATTTTATATCTATTTATTTATTTTAGTAGCAGGTGTAATATTGGACCTAATTATTCCTCAAAATTTAAAGAATTGGATTATTTTAAATGTTTATCCATTTAAAAGAGGTAATTTAATAAATGAAATTTTTGCATACCATGGTAATACAATTTGGAATTGTTTATTTGCTTCACTTTTATTTACGAATATATATATACGAACCAAGGAATGGGATCCGTTAATTTCTGATAATAATAATACTAAAGTGAGGTGTAAATATTTCCCTATCTTTAAATCATTTACAATAAAATTTGTCATGAAAAATGTTATATTATATATTATCTTTCTATTTATCGATAGATTATTTATTTTTACAGGTGGATCATGTAAATTGAACTCTGTGATAAATCCAAAAATAAAAAATTCAGAAGAATGTAGGTCATTGAATGGTAAATGGGCAGGTGGATTTGATATAAGTGGACATTTCTGTTTCTTAATTAATATTAGTCTTATCTTATGGATTGAGTTGGACAGATTGGATATTTGGTTAATTTATCGTTCATTAGACTGGAAAAGGATTTATACAAAGAATCGATTGGTACAAATATGTCACTATATGGTTTATTTCGTTTTATATATTTGGATCTTTCTTTTATTTACAACTTCAACGTTTTACCATACATGGTGGGAAAAATTTGATGGATATATACTAGGACATGTATGTCCATTAATTATGTACTTTTTGATACCAACATCGACCATGTAATAAGTAAAACAGAGGGCTTAGAGTAGAAGTTGATAGTAATACAAAAAAAAGTGAATAAGATTCAATTAAATAAATTGAAAAGTAACAAAAAAAATAAAGAAAAAAAAAGACAAGCTAGTTATTACTTGATCTAATCATATTCAATTTATATTTTAAGTCATAAATGGACCCTATGAGAACTATTGATATAGTAGATTGTAATTCAGTATCGTTATCTAAACCTTCTAGTACTCGGACAGATTTAATTTGATCTTCTTTAATCTGTAGTTCTAGCTTAATTGGTGTATCCGATATTTCAAACTGAACTCTAGTTGATCTCATATCATTATATATAATAGATATGATTCCTTCTTGTAACAAATCATTGAATATTTGACTTCTAATTGAATTTTTCCATAATTGTAGATAAATTTCTTTAGCAAATATGTAGATATCTTCAAATCCGTTTTTAGAAGTCCCATTGATTGTAATATTAACAAACAATAACTCAATGTCTATATAATTTGGAATGGTGTGTTTAAAAATTGACCATGATTGAGATTTTAATTTTCTCTTTAACAAGATATAAAAAGGTGTTTCGAATTGTTTATCCATTTGATTAAATATATCAAATCTGATCCCCAACATTTCTCTTGTAATATCCAATTCTTGCGTCTCTACGTTTAATTGTAAATCTGTCGGATCAATAACAGGAAAAAAGGTTACACCAAACAATCTAAACATATTTTCTAATAAAATTTGATTTTTTAAGTGATTGGATTTTGTATATTGTTCTGAATCAATACCCATTTGTGGTCTGTTTTTCCTTTTTGAAGGTGAAGACAAGATTGTGGTATCCAATAAATCACCCACACTTGTATCAAACATTTTATGCTCAATAATAGGTTGGTTTTTTAGTACCCATTCATGTTCAGGCAAATTATCATCTTCATTTAATTGTGAATCATTTGTATTTTTCTTTTGTTTTTTGTTTGGTGTCATAAAATTTCTGTTATTAACCATTGCAGAAGAAGTAGCTTTAAAAGAATTAGGTTCAGACTCAGAAAAAGACAAAAAATTAGCTTCCACATCAGAACCTATGTGGCCATTGTTATCATGTTCAGTGTCAAAATTGCCATCTTTGAGTCTGTAATCTTTGAATAAAATATCATGTAATTGTGGATATTTTTCAAATATAAATCCGAATTCTTTCATCACATTATTTATCATAGGATTATTTACTTTGGTTGCATTTGTTATACTTTCTGTGGCTAAAACATTAGAAGTTTTGTTTATTTTATTTCGGTTGTCATCATTCTCTGCCCGCCTGGTAGTTTTTTGTTTCTGTATCCTTGCCTTTTTCTTTCTCACACTTCTTTTATATGGATCAAATTTTTTCAATTCACTGATTCTATCCTTTAGATTGGTGGATTTTAAACGTAGAGATTCTAATTCATTTTGTAGTGAAAGGACATCTTGTTCCAAATCTGCAAGATCGTCAGCCATATTACTCTATTTTCTCCCTTAAGTTGTATTTTGAGACCTATATAAATATTTCTTGAAAAACTCTTCTTGCTGCCAATGAAATGTTCCTAGAATTAATGTCTAGATAAACTGGCATACGTCTGATAATAGTCGTAGTTTCACACTTCAGCAAACCTGCTAGATCAGCGGAACTATTCAATATTCAATTAAAATCTTTCATCTTTTCCAAATATTCAAACAAAATGTGAGATGAGCAAGAAGAAAAAAAGTTTACGCGTGTTGGTGACGCGTAAATAGATCTCCAAAGCATTAAAGATTAGGATTGTCGTAAAAAATAAAAAGTAAAAAATAAAAAACGAAAAATAACAAAGCTGAATATTTCATCATATGGAGAAATATAGGTATACATAATTTGAGAACTGGTTTGTCTATTTCCAATTCCTTGTAGTTGAACTGTTACGTTGAGGTGGGTAACATATACTTTAAAGCTAAAACGTCTAACTTCATTAGAGAGAAGGAAGGAGCCTAAATAAAAAAGGAGGAATATGTATATCAAGCGAGTGGTAATAAAAGGTTTTAAAACCTATAGAAATGAAACGGTTATTGACGATTTTTCCCCACATCATAACATTATAATTGGTTCCAATGGTTCTGGAAAATCAAATTTGTTTGCTGCTATTCGATTTGTATTGAGTGAAGAATATTCTGTTTTAAAAAGGGAAGATAGGCAAGGGCTGATTCATCAAGGTGCAGGGTCAGTTATGTCTGCCTCCGTGGAATTAGTGTTTCATGATCCAGATCATCGAATGATATTATCTTCTGGGATTATTCAAAGACCTAATGATGAAGTGTTTATTAGAAGAACAGTAGGGTTGAAAAAGGATGATTATCAAATTAATGACAGGAATGTCACAAAAAATGATATTGTAAGAATATTAGAAACAGCAGGGTTTTCAATGTCAAGTCCCTACAATATTGTTCCACAGGGTAAAATTGTGGCTTTAACTAATGCTAAGGATAAAACGCGGCTACAATTATTAGAAGATGTAGTAGGTGCGAAATCCTTTGAAATTAAGTTGAATGCCTCATTAAAGAACATGAGAGAGACTGAATTTAAAAGGAAACAGATAATGAAAGAATTGAAAGAATTAAATGATAAATTAAAAGAAATGGAAATTGAAAAGGATGAGTTAGAAAAATATAATGATTTAGAGAGTAAACGTAAAGTTTTCTTATTTACACTATATGATAGGGAGCTGAATGACATTTTGAATCGAATTGAAAACATCGATGATGATTATAATAATACACTAAATAACTCTGAGCAATATATCGAAGAATTGGATAAAAGGGAAGAATTAATAGCCAATGTTACTAACTTGTTACATGAAATTGAGAATGATTTGAAATTAAAAAAAAGTACAGACTTACATCAAGCAAAGAATAAATGTAATGATATTGTTGATAAATTGACTTCATTAAACCTTAAAATTGCTGATACTCAAGATCAAATAAAGTCAGAAGAGAAACAGAGTGCTATAGATAATAAAAACTTGGATCTTATTAATAAAGAAATTGATGATCGTTATCTCAAATTGAATAAAATCAGACCTAGGTTTGAAGAATTGACTAAAGAAGAAATAAACTTAAGATTAAAATTAACTCAATTACAACAAGTTGAAAGGGACTTATTGTTAAAAAAAAGTAAGTACAGTAGGTTTAACACAATAGACGAAAGAAACAATTGGATTCAAAATGAGATTGATGAGCAATCTTTTATTTTAAAAGACTTAAACCAAAAGCTGGATGAACTGCAAAAAGAAAAAGCTAGGACAGAATCTGACTTGTCTAATTTAAATAAAGAAATTGAAGAATTAAACGATTCTATTGAAGGTCCGGGTGTAACGTCAGAATTGGAAGATATTAATTCAAAATTGTCTGATTTAAAAACTGCATATGCTGAAAATATTGATATTCGTAAAGAATATTGGAGAAAAGAGCAAAAACTTCAGGGAATATTAGATACTTTAATTGCTGATTTAAAAGATTCTGAAAGAACAGTTAATGAAACTATGAGTAAATCAGTAGCTAACGGAATCACAAATTGTAGAGAAATTACTGAAAAATTGAAACTTTCACCAGATTCAGTGTTTGGAACGCTTGGTGAATTAATCAAAGTTAATGATAAATATAAAACATGTGTAGAAGTTGTTGGTGGAAATTCTTTGTTTCACATTATAGTAGATACAGATGAAACTGCATCCATTCTGATGAGAGAATTGCATAATATGAAGGGTGGGAGAGTTACTTTTGTTCCATTGAACAGAATTCAAGAAGATAAATCAGTCACATTTCCTCCATATGATCAATCATCATTTTTTACACCGTTAATCAAAAAAATTAAATACGATCCTAAATTCGAAAAAGCAGTTAAACATGTATTTGGTAAAAGTATTGTTGTGAAGGATTTATCAACTGGTTTAAACTTAGCTAAAAAATATAGATTAAATGCAATTACATTAGATGGTGATACAGCCAATCAAAGAGGTGTTTTGACCGGTGGTTACCGTGATAAGTATAAAAAAACAAGAATAGATGCATTAAAATATTTGTCAAAATCAAGAGATGAACATGAAAAGATAAGAAAAGAATTAGAAGATATGAAAAGCCATTTACATGATATCGATTCATTGATTGATAAAATGAATGGAGAAATGAGAATACTTTCTAATAGGCGCGAGACTATATTAACCAATATTGAGAGTTTTAGAACCAAATTGAATGGTAAAAAAGGTCAATATAGAATCATGGAAGAATCACTTGATGCATTAGTAATAAAAAAGGAAAAAATAAATACTAATATGAAGATTATTAATGTTAAGATAGAAACTCTTACTAAGGATCTTGACAAGGATTTTAGTAATGATTTATCTGAAAAAGAAAAACAACAGTTAGAGAATATAGGTGCTGATATTCAAAATACTAATAATAGTATTAATTTAACTGTAGATTCTTTGGAAAGTATAACATCTACTATTAATAAATTAAATGCAGAATTGGATTTGAACTTTCTTCCACAACAAGAAGAATTAAAAAAGAAAATTTCTAAATCCGGTGATTCTCTTGTTACGTCTCTTGAAAGTGACTTACAACTACTAAAGGGAGAAAAGGAAAGACTTTCAGAGCAAGAAAAAAACGCTATTGAAGAAGTTAGTGAAGTTGAAAAGGAAATAAATCGTTTGATAAGTGAAAAGAACAATAATTCTAAATTATTAGAAAAGACTAATTCTCAGCAGCACTTATTAGTTAAAAAGATAGAGAAATTTCAAAAGAATACTGAAAAGAATATGATACTGAAAACAATGTTGTTGTCCAGACGTGATGAGTTACAACAAAAAATTAGGGAAATAGGTTTCTTAGCAGAAGATCTTTTAGCTAAATATTCTAATTTATCCAGTGAGGATCTTCTTCTAGAATTAAATCAAGTAAACCAAAGTATTTCAAGTATGACCAATATCAACAAAAGAGCACTAGAAAACTTTAATAAATTCGATGAGAAGCGAAATGAACTTACAGAAAGAGCTCATGAATTAGATGAATCAAAATTTTCTATTCAGGAACTAATTGAAAAACTAAAAGCTCAAAAATTGGATGCTGTGGAAAAAACTTTTCAAAAGGTTTCTGAAAATTTTGTCGCTGTATTTGAAAAGTTGGTCCCAAGAGGTACAGCAAAATTAATAATACATAGGAATAAGAATTTATCTCAAATCAATGAAACAGACGATATTGAATCTGTTTATTCAGGTGTTTCTATTCAAGTTTCTTTCAATTCAAAAAATGATGAACAAGTTCATGTTAGTCAATTATCTGGTGGTCAAAAGACAGTTTGTGCAATTGCTTTGATTCTTGCCATTCAAATGGTGGATCCGGCACCTTTTTATTTGTTTGATGAAATTGATGCAGCTCTAGACAAACAATTTAGAACTGCAGTAGCAAATACGATCAAAGAATTGTCTAAAAATGTTCAATTCATTTGTACAACTTTTAGAACAGAAATGTTGCAGGTAGCAGATCGTTTCTATAAAGTTAAATACGAAAATAAGATTTCAACAGTTGTTGAAATCGATAAACAAGATGCCATAAACTTTGTAAAGGGGAATAATAAATTGGCTGAAATATGAGTTAGATATGATATTTTAAATAATTGATGCAAATATATATATAATATGCGAAAAAATCGTATAAATTGGCTATACAAATATTCAAAAAGAAGTATTTTTTTTTTGTAAGAGTCCATAGAAGAATCTACATTTTTTAATTTAGCATTTATTCTTCGTATAAATCAGCATCACTTGTTTCATATTCAGAAGAGGTTTCTGCTAACCTTTCTTCCGTTAAACGATCTTGCGATCTGTTTACTGAAGAAAAAACTTTTACTGGACTAGTTTTCCTTGTAACTTCTAAGTTGATATTGTTTAGCCTTTGTAATCTATTGGAGATTTTTGTTGAAGTGTTGGTCACGAATTCAAGACTACTTCGATTATCAATAGAAGTTGACTTCGAATTAATTGAATGTAATATAGAAGTGCTTCTTGATGTATTTTGTGGTGTGGACGAATTATGCACAGTTTCGTCCAAATATGGTATATTGTTGGAAGTTTTGACAGTGAACTGAACTTGTTCCATCTCTTTTATTGACATATCACTAGAACTATATGATATATTCGATATATTATCATCATCACCATCATTTGATTCTGATGAATCAAGATCAAGTAATAAATCCTCTCCCACTTCTGGATGTTTTAAATAATTCATAAATGAAGATGCTTCAATATCATCATCCTTTTTGTTTGATATAGATTTACCTGCTTTTTGGTTATTAAAACTAGAAATGTGTGTATTTAGAATATTTTTACTAAACCTTTTAGAACTTCCTAGTTCATTCAAATCATCTGATTCATCGGATAGAATAATTGTCTCCGGTACAATAGTTACAGCAGACTGTGAAAGTTTAGGAAGAACAAATGGTTGATATAAAGTATTACTTATATTATTGATTGGTGTGTTATTTTCCCTCTGTGAAGAAAAATTTTTGATCTCATTTGACATTGTTTTATTATGAGAAGCATTATTTATTAATTTATCATATTTGCTTTGCCTATTATTGATATTATGAGCAGAAATATCTGATATATTATGGTTTTCGTTTGATTGTGCTTGAGCTTGCTTAGATTTAGCAGTTGTTTTGATATTTGTATTGGTAATGCCATCATTAACGATACTTTCTTTTAGATCATGTCTCAATACAGTGGAGTCTGGTGTGGTTTTTGCTAAATTAGCAATGATTTCTTCATCAGAGGATGTATCTGTCATAATTCCTGAAGAGCTTGTTGATTCATATTCTACTTCGCTCTCTGAATAACTTCCAAATTCTTCAGTTGGATTGAAGTTATTGTCACTATCATATTTTTCTAAAGCAGCAGCTTGTCCCGACAACTTTAATGAAGCTTTACGAGCAGCATTTCTTTGTGTTCTTGAAGGTAGAATATTCCTAGGGTCTGGTTTGGAGTTGTCAATATCCTTATTTAAAACAGTTAAATATGGTTTCTTTCTGGATTTACCAATAGTTCTTTCATTGGTAAAATTTTGATGTTCTGACAGCCAAGGTGGAATTTTAAGATTATTATTTTTAAATATTTGCAATAACTCAATCTTTTGAAAACTTGGGTTATTTGGTAAGATATTGTGATAAATATTATGATTTAAAGGTTTATTTCCAGCTGCTATTTGAGGATCTAAAGTTCTACTTGAGCTTGTTGTTATTTTTTGATTATGTGTTAATGTGGATAATGCATCATGTGGACTACTTACTAACATATTGGGAGATGGTAGAGATACTTTCGATATTAGTTTAGTATTTGTTGGTGCCAAATTATTAGAAATAGTTGTGATTTCAGAAATTTGAGTGGATGGTTTAGTCATTTGATCATAGGTTAATTCTTTATCTACAATTTGATTAGGTTTAGATATTTTAGGATTTTGAGAAGTTTGTTTAGATTTTATAACTGATGATAATGATGGTGAAATATTATGCTGTATGCTAAAAGATTTTCTTGATAATGAATCATAATTTGGATGTTCCAAATCATTACTAGGTTTCTCGAATTTTTTATCTTTTTTTTGTTGTAGAGATAATTTAGAAGAATTTGTATCGATGTTGCTTTTAGAGTATGTTTCGACCTTTTTGTTTATGTTTGCGTCCAAAAGATTATTTTCAATAGTATGTGTATGTTTGACTATTGAATTTTCTGGTAAAATATCCAATTTTCTGATTAAAGACTTATTCTTGTCTTCATTTTTTTTGGATAGATGGTTCTTCACACTCAAGGAACTTACTTGATCATTGTTTTGTTGATGATTACTTTGGTCTTTATTATTGTTCAATAAAGACTTATTTCGTTCTTGATTCTGATCATTGGAGTTAGGATCATGACTTTTTACCACATTACTTGGATTATAGCTATTATTATTAATGATCTGTGTTGTTTTTTGTCCTTCTGAGTTGTTTTCCTCTTGGAATTTACTTGTAATAATATTAGGATTATTCTTATTAGAACTTGAATTTTTTTGATGTTCCATAATTTTTTCAAATATACTTTTTGATTTATTATTATTTTCCAAAAATTTGTTTTTTGACTCTAATATGTTACTTGTTTTAGTAGGTAATTCGGCCAAATGTACATTTTCTGACAATTTTTTGGACGATTGATCATCTTTCATAGGTGAGCCTCTAGCATTTGCTAGGGTACTCTGCTGTCTTTGTAAACTAGCTCTCTTAGCCATAGACAGTGCACTTGGTCTTTCAAATTTTAATTCTTTGTTTATTAAAATGTTTTTTGTTTTTTGCTTATTTATGCTAGAATTGCTAATTTCAACAGATGTTCGATTTTTATTATTAGAGGACACATTTATATTCACTGATAAATTTGAGGGTGACAGAATAGCTTTAGAAGTATCATGGATTGTGGAGGATATTCCATTAATTGGTAAACTTAAAAAGTTACCTTTTGTCGTAGGAGTTTTCATTGGGGAAATGTTATTTGATATATTTTGAGTAGCAGTTTTAAATGAATCAGAATGTCTAACTGTTTCTGTAAGATAATTATTAGTTGAATATAAGTTCTGTTGTGAATCGGTCAATTTATTTGGTGTGATAATTGACATGACTGGTGTACCCAATAAAGTTTCCTTTGGAGATGATTGATCATAAAATTCGTCATGTTCTTCAACTTTCTCTATACTTCTATTATCTATATTTCTTGTTTTTGATGGGGATACCTTTGGAGTCGATATAATATCTGAGGGTTGGAAGTTTGCGGGAGGTTTTGAAATACTTTGATCTATTGTATTGTCCATAATGACTGAATCTATATCTCTATAAACTTCTGGTGTTCTTGATGCATATATTCTTATATTAGGAATATTCTTGTTATTATTATTGTAATTGTGGTTGATTTTGTTACTAGAATATTTTTTAGGATTTACTTTTCTTCTTTTATTGTATCTTGTGTACTTTGTTTCCAAGTATTTAGGATTATTCCAATCGATATCTTTGTCGATAAACACTTTAACAATATTGTTTGTATTAAATATATCTTTAACAATGTAATCAGGATCTAGATCATTCCCATTATTATCTTGAATACTAAGAATATTTAAATCATCTGTAAAATTTGGATACATGTCCTTAAATTTTAATGAAATTTCATTGGCCAATTGATTTAAATCACTTTGTAAATTAATAAATAATAAAAATTTTTTACAATGTTTTTGAAATAATTGGTTTCGATAAGCAATTATTTGGTTCAATTTAAGTCTCCATTGTTTTAAACTGTGGTGGTTAGCTGCAATTGCCATATTATAGTTTGAAGTTGTGGAGGTACTACAGTTCAGTATTGAGGTACTATTATGGTTAATGGCGCTAGCGTTAGTGTTAACAGTAAAATGTGGATTAGTAATGTTGGTAATAGAGATTAACTTGTTGTGTTTAGAATTGTATATAGGAAATCGTATTTTTCCATTTGAATTGATTGGATTACCAATTATTGCACAGTTTGGAACCTGTAAATCTGAAGCCCTCGGTGGGATTAAAATGATCTGTAATTTAAACATAGATCAAACAAAGGCAAAATAAAGCAATTGTGTTAGAGAGGTATTAAATAAAAATGAGCAGAATGTTGGAAAACTTAGCAAACAGAGTTTATAAATAGAGAAATAGCAAAATGAATAGATATTTGCAATAAATGAAAAGAAGAGAAAAAAAAAAGAAGTTAAGAGACTTAAATGATAGTAGTACTAATAATAGAGACAGATGTCAGCGTAGGTGAGTATCCTTCAACTTTGAAATTCTTATTTTTTTTAAAAAAAAAAGAGAATTAGAGCAACGTAAGTACCTTCTCGATTGATAACTGTGTACAAAGCTGCATCTATTATTGAATGAAGGATCTTGAAGATTAGAATTGTGGCATATTTTTAATTATAAAATTGTATATTATTTGACTATTACTTTTATGTTAGTACTGGGCGCACGTAGCAAGTAAGCAATATTGCGTATAAAATAGCACTATACAACAGAGAGAAAAACAGAAAAATTATGAAGTAAAAAATGCAAAAATGTTTAAAAAAAATCTGAAAAAATTTTTTTATTAAAATTTTTAACAAAGTCGATGTAAAATTTACATACAAATTCTCAGTAAAACTAGACTAGCGCCAGTCTCGTTGACGATTTCTATGCAAATTAGGTGGAGACCTATGGAATATTTGTTAAACAACAAATTGAAGTAAGGAAGGATTTTTACTCGAGAGGCTGTAGGTGCATTTTTGAAAAAAAGTTGTATTGTAATACGGTATTCCAGGATTTACTGTGTTAGATAAAGATCTAAAAAATTGTTAACTGGATTAAGAAACAATTTGTTACAAGATTTGCAATTCCTACTGGTTTTCCAGTATTTTGTAATCTTCAAGGCGATGGACAGGTGAAGTATTTGAATAAGTCAACGGGAAAACCTATTAAAACATATGGTACTCTTAACTATATAAATTGCGTGCTGTTAGCCACGTTTTTATATAATATAAAGTATCAGATTTTAGTTGCTGTATCTCCTTTTGTAGCATTGCCTGGCTATGAAGAAAAGTTTAGCAGTTTGTTCAATTGCAAGTAGGATTAACCAAAGCATGTAATTCTGAAGGATATATAATTGGACTAATAACCCTATTTTTATCGTCCACTAATTTAAGTGCTGTTTCCCTTGCTTCTTTACTAGCATATGTTGTAATTCTGACAATATCTGTACCCGAAAATGGCTTTAGCACTGGTGCAGTCACTAATCCCTTTTTTTAATTCTTCAAATGTCTTCTTGTGATCTGAGCTCTACTTTGCTTTATTAGCGGCAAACTTGTGCAGTGGTTTGGTAATCTCACTAAAATTTTGAACAACTTTTTGGTAATACGAACATAAACCTAAGAATTGTTTCAGTTCTTTAGCTGTCTGGGGAGTGAGCCAATTTATTATTGCGAAAGCCTTTTCTGGGTCAACTTGGATACCTGTTGCATTAATCCAATGGCCTAGCCATTTAATGTTTGTCTGAAATAAGCTTGTTTTAGATTCTTTAACAAATAACCTTACCTCTCGAAATTTGTCAAACACTGGCTGGAGATACTGCGTATGAGATCGCTGATCTTTGGAACATACTAAAACGCCATCTAAATATACAACAATAGATTGGCATTTTATGATCAATTTTATTTGGCAAGTTTGAACGAATTATAATTTCGTTCTAATGGCTAATTTCCTTAATCAACCTTTAAATATCTAGATACTAATACTCCTTTGGCGATTGTATTCTAGCTTGTCTGATTGGTACTATAGATATTTCATCTTTTGCATTTTTATTACGCAATAACTTACCCATTTTTTTAATGCCTTCGATAGGAAGACAAAATGTATATAAGGCGATGATCGATTATATGCATAATATGGAAGCTATGCTTTTAATGTCTAGAGATTCAATAGTCGAAGCATAATATTGATAATCATTGTATTATAGCAAGAGGCATAGAAATTCAGAATTGTTTGAATTCAAAGATAAGGTGCCAATACGTAAAGGTGTTTATGTGGGAAATAGTACAGGCTGAAAATTTCATTGTGTATGAGTGAAGTTCATTTCTTATATCTATCCAAATGAAATATTATTGAGATTTCAACAAGATTAACTGTTATCAGAAACACATAACCGTAGGAGATATCTGCGTCTATAATATCCTAATAGTTATATGTTTCTGATAACAGTTAATCTTGTTGAAATCTCAATAATATTTCACTTGGATAGATATAAGATATAGACTCTTTCTATATCTTTAGATGTAATATTCCTATATGTCTATATATCTCTATCCCTAATCTTCTAGAACTAAATAGTATACACTTATATACTAAATATCTATTCTTATTCAATCCTTTTTCTCTCTTCGTTTGTTGTTCGTCTCTTCGTTGATAGTATCTATTTTTATGTGTGTTTGTAAAATTTTATGATATCCCTGATATTACAAATTTTGCAAAAAAAGAAACTTTAACAATACCAACTCGACAACGCGACCTAGCATGCCTAGCTTCGCCAAGTGGACGAGTCCGGAATCGAACCGAAGACCTCTCCCATGCTAAGGGAGCGCGCTACCAACTACGCCACACGCCCAGAGACTATCGGGGTGTTGTTGTGGAATAGAATAGTTATAACCATCAAGATTACATAAGATCCTGAATGAATCTAGAACTATTTATTGTCTTAATAAGCCATACACATGTTACAACATTAGATGCTGCATAATAAAGAGATTAGATTACATAAAATTTTGGCAAAATCTAGAATTTACTTATTGTTTTAATAAGTCCCACGTGTATTACTAATCATAATGATTAGAGAATTGGGGTGCAGTTCTAATCCACTAGTGCACCTAAATTAATGTAATAAATTTTAGGGTTTGAATCAGTCAGATCATTAATGTACTAATCTGAATAATCGATCGAACTCCAGAAAACATATAAAAGGACAACGTTTTCAGGAGATAAGAGATTATCTTCCATAACTTTTCTTGTAAATAATTTATATATTATAGATGAACAAAAAATAGAATAACAAGCAAGTAACAAGTTAAGTAACTCTGAATAAATATATTAGCTCGATATAAGTCGCTCAATATATAAGACTGTTTTAGTAATTATATTATCAACTATAGTTGATTATTGTCTCGATTATTTGAATAACTGTTAATATTATTTGCGCTTCCCCGAAATATACAAATAATTTCACCACTTCATATTACAACAGAGGCGCCTGTGGTATGAGGTAATTTAGATTTTTGTAATTAGTCTAAATTACTTAAGATTTTGTCTAGGACTACAGTCATTTATTGTTACTGTGTCACATTAAATGGTACATTTTGTTGCAATGAGATTAGAGAAATATTTAATAATCCAAATTTTGCATACCAAATGACAAAGAATTTTATAACAGCATATAAAAGAAAAGTTAAAATAAAATTCGTTATAATGTACACTAGTTATCTATGAATATTAAGTATGTAGTGCAAAAGAAAGTAAGTAAAATAATATAAATTTCATGCAAAGTAGTGGTATTTGTATTTAATACTGTCATGAATTAACTTATTGGTAAATTGGATCTCTAGCTTATCGAATATTTATAAAGATACTACTAAACTCCTACAGTCACAATCGGTGAGCATATTAAATATTTTTAGTTTATATGTTTTTCTTGTTATTTTCTTATGTTTGTACATACCATATAAATATATACATAGGAGTTATATAAAAATAAATAAAGTATCTTTTTATATCTTATCCTTTTCTTTTATATATCCAGAAACCATATAAAACTGTTGGAATTTGGAGCCTTCTGCGTCCATGGTAATGATAGACATCATTAAGTTATAGATACTTGTTATGTTTTTGTATTAAATACCTGTACATATTTATTATATAGTGTATTCAGTATACATTCTTTTATTTACTTTAAGTTTTCTTTTAAAGTTTTTCATTTCTTTTCAAATCTTCGAAAGACATATTTGGTGACAATTAAAATGTTTTCCTGATATTATGTACATCCGTACACCACATAATATATAGAAAAACTAATTAAAAATAATTCTTATGAAAATGACAGTAATAAACTCTCATTTTCCAACATGCCCCTTTAATTGGTTTTTCTTATAACTTCCTCCTGTTCACTATAACTTAATGATTTCCATTACCAGCATTCCAGAGGACAGTGATTGGAAGCAACTCTTTGGGTGTTAATTCATGTTGTACAATCATTCTTAATTTATTTATATCTTTATTAGTAGTGGATTTTGTTAATGGATCTGCAGGATTTTCTTTTCCACTGATTTTTCTTAGACTTAAGTCTGAATCTAATATTCTTTCTTTTAATCTTTCAATTCTAAGTCCCAAAAATTTGGTTCTTGCTTTAAAATAATCTTGTTTCAACCAGTCCAATGCTGGTTTGGAATCAGTAATTACACATATTCTTATGTTTTTAAAATCCATCATCTTTTCTAATTTCAATTTTAATAGCAATGCAATTTTCTCAGCCTGATTTATGGCATCTAATTCAGCTTCTGCTGATGATGTACATAAAATTGATGATTTTTTTGAAAATCCATGGAAAAAATTGTTTCCTAACCATATTAATGCACCACATCTTGATTTAAGATCAAATTCAGATGCTAGCGAAGCATCTGAAATCACCGTGATGTTTGATATATTTTCTACTTCTTCTCTTTTAAAAACAGTCTTTGTATCTTGTGTTTTATAAACATATTTTAGTATTTGTTCGGTTAACTCAATTACCTTTTTATGAGGATATAAAACTAATCGAGCCATTTTACTTACTGCACATTCTATATCAATTCTTCCTCTAGACCTAATATAATTTAATTTACCGATTAACTCTTGTAAATATCTTACTTTCTTCTTGTATTCCTCTTTAGTCATAATTAATTTATCTTGTTTTGGATTTATTTTAAACTTATCAATATCTGGAATCATTTCTTCTTTTAATTTATCATTTAATATCATTGGATGTTCCTTTTCTAATCTCTTTATATAGCTAGTCATGCTTAATGCTATCTCCCCTTTTTCATAATCATAATTCAAATCCATTCCCAAAATATCTGTATTAAGCATATTATTTTTCATTCCACCAACTATTTTTATTGAGAATTGTTTTTCCAATGTATTTATAAATTCATCTAATTCTTGATCTGTTCTAGCAGCAATTATACAATCATCAACATATGCTGCTATCATTAAATTACCATCCTTTGAAACGAATAATCCAGGTGAGTAAATATTATCATATAGACCCATACCATTCATAGACTCTTTTAAGGTTTCATTCCATCTTTTAGGGCTTTGTTTTAGTCCATACAATGCCTTTCTTAATGGAGTAACCTTTCTTGCATTTTTGGATGTTGTATATACAACTCTTCATTTAAGGTTGCATATAAAAATGCATGGTTGATATCTAAAGTCTTTAATTTCATCTTCTTATTGTTAGCAATAATCAATAGAATTCGCAATGAATCAAGACTTAAAATGGATGTTTCAATATCATTATAACTACTGCTTGTTTGTTGATCGCCTCTACAAACAATTCTGGCTTTATAAGTTCCATCTCTCTTAATCGTAAAAATAGAATTTGTTCCTACGATTTTATCCTTTTGTATTTTACTTTTGTCTATGGCAATATTCAAATCAATTACTTTCATATTAACTAGATTTTGTAATTCTTTATTATACGCTTCTATGAATTTAATCTTTTCTTCTAAATTTTGATTCTCAGTTATAGCTTGTTTATAAAATAATGCTCTAATCTTTCTTTCTGGAACACTTTCCCCCCGTGATTCAGGTGTGAATTCTTCCCATTTTTCTGTAGGAGTAATATAACGAATTATCTTTTTCTTCTTAAAAATCTTCTTAGGGTGTAAGTCTTTATTTTTTTATCAATATTAGTTAAATTAATCTTGGGGATATTATCAAGATTGGTTTCTTCGAAGTTGTTTTCTAATAATCTTTTCTTTAATTCTTTAATTTTAGGTTTCCTTAAGGAAGTAAAGTTTTTTTTGTCCAGTCTGTAGTATTGGTTGATTTAGTTAAATTATCTTCCTCTTTTGGTAATGTAGATACTAGTGAAACAGATTCTTTAGCATCATAATACTTTTCTTGTTCTTCGTCAATCTTAGCAACACTAATATCATTACTTTCCAGTGCCTTTTCTCTTTCTAGAACTTGTTGTAAACTGTTATTTTCATTGTTCTTTTCCTTTTCCTTTTTGTGTTCAGTTTCTATCTTCCGTTTTATAAAATTTTTAACATTGTCATTAATTTCTTGATGTAATTTATTATTAGTTGATCTCAATGATTTTGATGATTTCTTTAAATTATGTCCTATCTGACCTGTTATGTTTGTATCCATTGTTGTTATTTCTTCATGTTTCAAAATATTTTCTGCGCCTTCATTATTGCTTAATTCTATTTCTGATACTTTCCGTTGTTCAACATTATCTTTTTCTTTTTGTGTGTCTTCTTGTTCTATATTAAGAGTATCAGGTTCCTGTAGTGTTATATTGAGGTCATTCTCTAAGACTAGTTGTTTATCAGTTTCTAATTTCTTTTCTGTTGTATGTGTTTCGTTAAGTTTCTCCAAGGCATATGCTTTACTATGTTTAAATGAGTCTTCAATAATGTTTGTTTTAATTTCTTCCTGTTCAATCTTATTTTTCAATATATCCTTCCATTTACTTACCAATGAGTCTTGCATGAAACTAGCTTGATCATTTTCTTGAGATTTATATGTGCTGTTTAATTCCGGATATTGTTCGACACCAGTATTTTTATTATTATCATTATAATTAGTTTCTGGTTCATATTTGTTCACATTCAGTTCATCTTGTTCATCCTGTTCTGTGTCTACAGTATTTTGAGAAGTAATCAGCTCTTCTCCTAATGACTCTCTTGATTCCGTTTCCTCGCTGATATGTTCTTCTTCAACTTCAAAATCGTCAAACAATTCATCTAATTTAATATTTTCTATGCTTCTAGGTTCAATAATTGGCGTTACATCGTTAATTTCTTCTTGGATGTCATTTAGTAAATGTTCTTTAACTCTTATTTCATCTTCGTGTAAAACATCTACCAGATTATCATGTTCATTTTCAAAATCTGATGGTAACAATGTTACTATTTCATTCTCGTCATAATCAATGTCATTTATATCTCCAATTTTGTTTTTGACCTCATGTAAAAATGTACCAATAATATCATATCCTTTCTTCTCATTTAAACTGTGATTTATTGTATAATCTGGTAATATATAATTTGTGGTACTTATCACTCTTTTTTCTTTTGGTACATAAAAATAATATCCAAAACCTTTTGGATCCTTGGATAGTGTTATAGCCCTTTTTCCTGGTGCTTCTGTTTTTCTGCTTCTGTAATCCCATATCATAGCTGGGGCACCAAATGGTATGAATGATCTTAATTTAATTTTCACTTTATGTTTTGATATTTTCATTAATGGTGATTCTCCAACATTTTTGTTATATACGCAGTTTCTCACATTCACTGAAGCTTTAGCTGCATATGTCCAAAACCTTAAGGGAAGTCTTGATTGTAGCAATAATGTTCTTGTGTCCTCAATAATTGTTCTTATACCTCTTTCAGCTCTTCCATTAGCTTGGTGATCTTCAGTAGAAGTATATATAATATTAATACCGTTTTCGTGAGCTAATTCTTCAACTACGTGATTGTCAAACTCTTTACCCCTATCCATGATTAACTCTTTAACTTTTACATCGAATTGTTTTTCAATCCAATTTATATTGTATCCAATTTGTTCTCCTATTTCATTTTTATTTTTCTTGATATGGGTTGTTGCAATAATAAATCTCGATACACTATCCACCATTATGAGTAAATATCTTTCTTTAACATGCTCAACAGGACCAAATATATCCAAGCTCCAAGAAGCACCTGGTTCCTTTTGTGAAGTGTAGTGATTCATAGAACCAGTATAATGAAAGTGTCGATGTAATTTACCTGAAGCGCATATCTCACACCATATATTTTTAGAATTTTTTTTATCATTTATCATTTTCACATCATCAAAATTGTTCATTTCTATTGATTTTATTATTCCACTGGCTGGAAAATGATTTAAACGTAAGTGAGCTTCTAAAAGTGTGATATTAGGTTTTATCGCTAATGGATTAATAGGTTTAACTGCTCTAATTATCTTATCAGTCATCTTGACAGCTATAATTTTATCTGTATCGACCCATATGGTGTTTCCTAATTTTAAGGTTTTCGTATCAAACTCATTTTCTTTGTTCACTAGCGATTCATACCCTTTGTCTAAGGTAATGCCAGTTTCTTGATATAGTTTGTCTGCAGACAAAATTGTTGCATCTTGTTTTGGAGAATAGTATGCTGTAACACCAATTATTTTATTTCTACCTCCTTTAATTGGTAGTATCCCTTCTCCAAGTATTTCTATTGGGTTTCTATCATCCCCTACACCCCAATATTCTGGTCCTTTTATCAATGATGAAAAGTTTAATAACCAGTCTTTATTGTGTACCAAATGTATACCAGCAGCTGTATCAATAACTACTTTGTCATTAGTTTTATTTTTTGAGTATGTTTTTTTTATCTTTATATTGTACTTATTATGTATATCTTTAATGTTTGATTCTTTTCGAGTCTGTTGTTTTTTGTTCTTTTCGATTTTCATATTCTTTTCTCTGGAATCTATGTTAGTATTCATGTTCTTCATTTCTTTCTTGATGGTATTCAGTTCATTTACCTTTTCTTTTATTGATCTAGTGTTCTGATTCATTGATTTCACCAGGCCTAAGTAACTTCTTCTCTTCCTTGTCTTCTTTCTTATTATAATTTATTCCTTTCAAGTAAGTATTGTTATTATTGATTTTTCTACAATTTTTGGCATAATGTAAACACGAATTACAGTTAATACATCTTCTTTTTTCAATACGGGTTAAATTTTTTGATTCACAGTATTCTATATTCATCAATCTAATTGAATCCCGAATTGCTTTTATATATTGTTCAACATTCAATTGCCTTAAGTCACCTTTTAATTTACCGGTTAAAAAATTGTTAATCATTTCTTGTTTTACGTTTTTTGTTAATGATTCTTCAATTTTTGTTTTTAAAAAGTTATCATTTATTCTATAGAAATCATCTTTTACATGGCTCCATTTCTCTAAGTTCACCATGTACATAAATTCCTTGGTAATCCTTTCTGGTTCAGTACAGAACTCATCAACAATCAGTTCTTTCCACATTCTGTCCTTAACTCTTCTAGGGAATTCTTCACCTAGTAGCTGTTTAATAAACAAAATAGCTTCAATACCTGATTTTTCATCCAAGTCAAAATTTTCCATATCATCAGTCATAGAATTAATAACAATGTTTCTAATTATTTCCTCTTCATTTTTATCTATTTCTATTTTACCTGTCAATTGTGTAACATCATCAAAGTTCCATGATTTTAGATATCTGGATAATGATCTGAACCAGATTGGAATTTCCTCAATTTTAGATAATTTCTTGTTAAATTTATAGTTATCATTTTCATAGTAATATTTAATAATATTGCCATCTAAATTTTTAAAAGTATAATAAAAACCATATTCATCTTTCTTTGATAAAAGTATGTAACCTTTATAATTATTTATTTCTTGATTCTTTGGAATAAGATCTATCTTTTGTTCAACATCTATATTTTTTTCTATGTGAACATTGTCCATGTCTTTTCCAATTTTTAAAATCTTTTGTAGGGCCTCAATCAATTCCCCTAACTCTTTAGTTTTCTTTGTCTTTTCACTTACAGTCAAATCTGTATTAGATATGACTTGTACAATTTCTTTTTTCAAGTCATTGATTTGATCATTGATGATTTTATCGTTCCCAGTATCGTTATCATCAACAACGGCGACGCTACCATGTTGGAATTTGGAGCCTTCTGCGTCCATGGTAATGATAGACATCATTAAGTTATAGATACTTGTTATGTTTTTGTATTAAATACCTGTACATATTTATTATATAGTGTATTCAGTATACATTCTTTTATTTACTTTAAGTTTTCTTTTAAAGTTTTTCATTTCTTTTCAAATCTTCGAAAGACATATTTGGTGACAATTAAAATGTTTTCCTGATATTATGTACATCCGTACACCACATAATATATAGAAAAACTAATTAAAAATAATTCTTATGAAAATGACAGTAATAAACTCTCATTTTCCAACAAAAACATTGTTGTTCCTCTGTATGAATAATATTAGTATATATGTCTTTAGCGTTGGTGATCATATTATATGTTATTATTATGTATTATTATTATTTTAATGTGTAGAGTAATTTCCCCTCGATCTCTTAATTGGGAATTAATAATTATATGAATATAAAAGAAACATATGATAAAATGTATATAAATTATTCATCCAGATTGGAAAACTACTAAGTAAAGTCGTCTACTTATATATGTTTACCTTTTGGCAATTTTTCATTATATATTAGTTTATTTTGATTCTGTTTGATCTTATCTCCGTAATATTGAATGTGCAAAACAAACATTTTTCCTCTCTGATATATTTACATATTACCCAAACCGGTAATATATCATTCCAGCAGTTGCCACACTAAAATCTTTAAATAATAAAAAACTTCTTTAATAAACAATACTCATGATAATAATTTTGGCATATATTGTACATAATTATATAGTATGTTTATATATAAACACAAATTGATCCTTCTTCTTTTTAATTTTTTTTTCTTATTGATTATTCGTAAGAGGCCCAAATTAGAAATCCTGAAATACGTAGCCTGTGAGTAACGTCTAATATTGAGATAAAGAACTTGAAACAACCGAAACTCTGGACCCAAGGTTGTGAGTGTATTCGAATAAACAAATGATCGTCGGATAAACATTGGTGGCAGAATACTAAGAAGCTTACTTAAGATACCCTTGATTATTGAGAGATAGTGCCAGAGGTAATTATAATTATTAACATTATCAACATAATCAATAATAAGAACAAGATCAAGAGTATTGATAACAACTAGGACAAATCTATTTAATAGTTAGAATCAATCAATTATATAATTTGTAAGTGTTTATATATAATTAATACCCATATTTTAGTATGCAACTTGAGATAATCCCTTAGAGTATAATAGTTATTCAAATTTCCAATTAAATCAAAAAGGCATCACCTACAACAAGATAATTTATCTTTCACAATTCTTCTTGTTTATATTGTTAGAAAATAAATAATTTGCTCACCATTTTATCTTCTTGAAAATTGTTGAGAATTAGCGCCTTTAGTTATTGGATAAATAGTATACATTCTTGATGCTATGTTTATATATATATATATATAGTGTACAAAATTATGATTAAGTTCATCAGTTCTTTTTATTTATATATAATATAATAAGATGATTATAAAGGATGAACAAGGGAAGAAACATAATATGAAAAAAATGTTAGCTTTATATATTTTTTCATATTTGGAATATTTCGTCTACATACGGTATCAAATTGTTAATAAGGTTTGTTTACATCTACTGATAAATAAACAATTTTACTTAGAATTTATATAAAAATTAAAAAATATTTTTAATTTATTATTACTATTTTACTTTTGTTATTTTTAATCATATAAAGCGTTAATTTTTAATATCAATAAAACAATATGGTTAAATATAATGATTTTCTTTGGTGTATTTTTGTATAATAAAAAATCTCTTGAACAAGGTTTAATATAGTTGGAAGTTTTTTAAATAAATTCACTGCCTCATACTAATCATTGTGCACATAATTGTACCAATGTTCAACTCAAACAATTAGATGTTACTATTAGATTTGTGGTTTTGTCCAAAATCTGGTTTAATTCTTTAAATATCATTTTTGTTAGGGTATTTTATGCAGAAACCCAGAAAAAATGTGAATGATATGATTATCATAAGTTATACACATTTGAAAAATAATATTACAAAATATGATCAATATCTAGTATTATTAGTGACAGTCTAAAGTCATTGTTTTATAGATTTGCATTTAAGAAGAAGTCATAATACTCCTACAACCCTTTATGTTTTACTATGACTCCTTAGTATGTTCTTTTATATTTAATATATAGAGATAGTAAGCTAATTATAAGCATTTAAAGTAGATAACTTGTTAATGTATTTTTTGTACCTCCTATATAGATATAATCTTTTCTAAGATTTAATATTGTCATTTTTTCTTCGTTACATTATATTGTTGCTAGGATACTTTTGTTCTCTAAGATTTTAATAATGATTGTTCTCATTAACACGGTTCCGATCCTATTATATAAGGAAACAATATTGATAAAATACTGACTATCTCATATTAAAAGAAAAAATTTTCAAGTTTTAAGACGCCTATATACTTAGAAGCAATAAAAGATGGAACTAGATAATGGAAAGATAAATAGGTTCTTACTTATAATACTCTATTTATGGTTCGAATAATACTATATCGTTTGTTATATGTATTTTTCATTTCAGGATTCTAGATAGTATATCTTACAAGAAATGACCAAAATATATGAGACTAAATAGTTAACTTTCCAATAAATATATATGCACACTTCATTTATTCATACCATAATAATCCTGGGATAATCCCTTAACTTTTCTTCCCTGATATAAGTTAATAAAAGTAAGAATTACCAAATAATTTTAAAATTAATGTACAAGATCAACATGAAGTAGTGTGTTCTATATACATACAAATATATATGAGTGTGTCTGTGTGTCTGTGTATGTGTTTTTCTTTAATAGTATAGAGAGCTAATAACTTTTAATTCCTGAAAGAATTGTGAAAATTAAAAAAAAAAAAAAAGAACATAGTTAAAATAAGGGATCCCAGTAAAATAAGAGACGAGTTGTTATTCTTGAAAGAACTATGGATACATACAAAGAGTTGATATATTGTATGGGAATTAACAAAATATTCAAACATAAGGTTAATTTTATATTTATCTAAAATATTCATTTACTGGAATTTGTCTTTTTAACCATAAGATAAAACGAAGTCTTATATTAACAAACCATTAAGTTGTTTCTTTATAGTATTATTGTGAGATTACAATTATCTAGTTAATGTATTAATAATTACCGGTTAATAATACCATAAAAAGATATATACGATAAACAGAGATATTACCAAAACGTTTTTATATGAATTTAAATTAGTAGCAATATGACTACTGGACAAATGCAGAAAAGATCAACAATGTTCTTTGAACATTGTGATTCACCAATCAATATCTATAGAAATTTTAACAAGAATCTGCCAACATTGAAGAATGAGGCAACTAGAAAACTAAATAAAAAAAACATATTAAGTATAGATGACATGGATATGATTTCATTAAAAACTGACTTTGATAAACAAATGGTTTTGGGATCCCCTATGTACTTGGAATCAGATGAAGAAATTGAAATAACCAAGGAATATAATAATAACCTTGCCTTTGATTTACAATTTTGTAATGATAATAATACAAATATTGATAATTGTTGTCAGAAGGTAGTCCCAACTAATTCAAAGCATTTTTGTTTTAAGGGGATTAAAAATTGTAAAAACCCCGTCTTACAATTAACATCAATAAGAAGAAAATATATTACATCTTCTTTTCAAGATAATAAATTGAATGCAAAATATAATATAGATACTTGGTTACTCTATCCTAAACCATTACCGAAATTTTGGAAGTTTGAAAAGGACGATAGATTTAAAAGGCAGAATTCGGAATTAGACTTTCTTAATACTTCAGAATATCTTATTCATAAAAAACCAGGAATAAGAGACATATCTTATACAGGTAAATATTTTGATATCAATCAATATCAAGAGGAATTTTCTAAATTTAGAGAATTAAGGGAAAAAGATTGTACTTTTATCAAAAATGATTGCAGAAAGATTCCAAATTTTACAGAATTCAGGAAGGATTTCGAATATGTTATTGGAATAATTCAGAATCATAATATTAATTCAATGTCAGAAAAAAGATTATCATATTTACTTAATAAATTTGATTTATTTCAACATTTAAAATCCAATTCTGAAGTTCTGGAGAATAAACAAGTCCCATATAGAGATTTTTATAATTCAAGGAAAGTAGATCAAGATCTATTACTAAGTGGAATCATATCTCAAAGACAGCTTAGTGAGTTTATATGGAATAAAATCAATTATGAAGCAGATAAAATAGTATATTGTACTTCAAACAATGAAAAACTAACTGTCAAAGATTTCTTCCAATTTGGTAAAGAAAATGGTGAAAAAACATTAGATATTGGATTAAAACTAATTGATGATGAGTTTTTAGATTGGTATAAAAACATTTACCTAGTAACATATCACATAATACAACTGCCCCTCAAACAAATCGAAAACATTTTAACTGGGAAACAATTTAGATACTTTTTGATAGCTAATACTTTTTTGGAATTTGATAACTATATCGAAGGTCAATACTTAGCAGAAATTTTAATTAAATATTCCATTCACCCATTAGAAAAGTCTAAATATCAATTAGTTCAAATCTCTATTGATTATCAATTTATGAACAAAAATGATAACTGTAATAGTAATTGGTGGGTTAAATTTGCTAAATGGGTTGTTAAATGGAAATTAATTTCGCATAATATTCGTTGGAATATACGTATTTCAAGAGTATTCTCAAATTTATTTAAATATAAAATGGTACGTAACTTTGAAGAATACTTTGATTTGTTTTTTGAACCTCTTATTAGTGAACAAAATAACATTAATTTGCAATACTGTTTAAGCACTGTATGTTCGTTCGATATTGTAATTAGCCAATCCGATGAATATTTATGGAATGAGTTCCCTGATATCAATTTATCACCTAAGGAATGGATTGCCAATGGTGATAACCCTACTATATCACATTATATGTACTATTTCTATGTCAGATTAAGTGCATTCAATCAAATGAGGTATGAAAAGAACCTGAATACCATTACATTGAGAAGCTACTGTTCTCCAACTGCATCTACAAGAAGTTCACAATTTAGTATTCATGATAACTTTTTTACTGAAAGTATTGAGTCATTAGTGTGTAATCTTTTGTTGTGTAATGGTGGACTTTTAAGAGGAGAAGGTCTTTGGCTAGCACCTGCAACATTAGAATATTTATTTTATTTGTTTCAGATTCCAATTATAGCAGCACCACTGTCATCCATTTCTTTGCACTCCTCATTGATTCAACATCCAATATCAGAAACATTTTATTATTCTAATGTGAATAATAGTAGAAATAAAAATAACATTAACCACTCTAGAGATGTAACAGTTGAAGAACAGACATCTTACAGAAATAATCCATTTATGAATTTAGTCAAAATTGGGTTTAAAGTATCAATATCTTCAAAATCAATTTTATTTAATTCTTCCTATACACTCGAACCATTAATTGAAGAGTATAGTGTTGCTGCTAGTATATATTTATTAAATGCAGCAGATCTTTGTGAATTAGCTAGAAATTCAGTTTTATGCTCTGGTTATGAAGGATTTTACAAGGCACATTGGACTGGAGTTCTTAGTATGGCGCTTGATAATTCGCCAATATCTGAAATGATTGGTTTAACAGATATTTGGTATGATAAAAGAGAAGACACAAGAATCAAACATAATGTGCCAAATATAAGACGCAAATATAGAATTGATACTCTTAATCAGGAATGGGACTTTATTGATTCTCGTTTTGTTTAAAAGGAAAAAGGAAGGTTTAAGTCTACATATAGCTAATCTCTGGGACCTTTTTAGGTTATTGATGATTTAAACGTATGTATTTGTACAAACTTAAAATGTAACTTCATTCATTTATATTAAAGAAACTAAGTTGTTTTTCCCAACTTGGTTTAATATCTCTTACATATCTTGCAAATTCCTGTAACCTGCTGAAGTTGTTAATGTTTTCCTCTACACGTTTAGGGTCACCATAATAGAACAATTTAAAAATACTATCGCTTTGATCGTTGTTTCCAATATCAATTGACAAATCTATTACTGCAACGCTCCTTTGAAAATACCATTTGTTAACAATATTATCTCTTCTGCTTCGCCAGACGACTTCGTTTGGGAATTTTTTAAACATTAAATTAAAGATAATATCAGATATTCCTAATGATCCCTTTAAATGTGGCAGAACTGCAAACTTGTCTAAGTATACAAATCTACTATGCTCTGGTCCTTCATACGTTAATATTGCAATACCTTCATAGTCACCAATAACAATAATGGATGCAATATTCCCGTTTATTCTCTGCATGTAATGTTCTAGATCTAACGATCTATGAAAAGATTGGTCTAAGATAGATTTCATTTTTATTAAGTCTACTTTATCATTGGTTATTTTCATAGCTTTTCGTGTATTTTCATCCAACATTTTATGGTTACCTTTTGATGGTAAACCAATAGAATTAGTATCATTTAATGTTTTAAAATCAAATATTTTGATATTAATGCCTTTCTTTAAAACAGTAGTAGATAAAATTGCATTATTGTAATTTTGTTTCTCGATATTTGATAATTTCTTGGCATCTAACTCTTCTTCTTCATTATTAAAGATTTCTTCAAAACTGATTTCCTTGTGTCTTTTAAACCTAGGTAAGGAAGATGATATTAAGGAACGATCAGTCAATAAGTTATAAATTAACGGATTATTAGTATCTGATGACAGTGCAGCAGACTCTATTGTTGTTATTAATCCAGTGGCTGTATTAGATAAATTTGATAACACCGCGTTCATTATCTGTAAGTCTTGTAAATGTTCCTTAGTTTCCTTTTCTAATTGACGAATTTGTTTCTCTTTCAAATAAAGTTCCATTCTATCAATTAAGTTCTCAGAATCCGGTTCTCGTTTTGCTAGACAAGAAATCTTTTGAGACAATGCACCAGTCAGTGATGAATATTCTTGTGAAAGATTTATAAAAACATGTGAATTATCATTTCTTTCACCTGAAGGAATGCCACCAATACCATTTAGTATGAAAACTTTATCTATTTTTATCCTAGCATTTTTGGAAAGATATCGCATAAAATGAACGATATCTCTTGAAATATCCTCGGTAACATCTGATTCATAGAAGATGTAAGGTTTAATAATTGGCACTAAATTTGGAATATAATTATCAAATAAATTTAAATCTTCGGAAGCTAAAATGGATTTGTAGTGCCCTGTAGTAGTTTTTACTAAGGATTCCTTTAAATGTAATGGTCTCAATTTAGCATATGTGATCAATTTATCCAAAGTTTCTGCTTCCTTTTCAATGTTTTCAGAGGGCGGAATAACACATATTGGTCTTAATCCAAGAATTCTCAATCGTCTTATAGTAGCAGATAATTGTTTCAAAAGATTAAAATTACATCGATGCAGATCGCGGACAATTAACAGAGAATGGTTAATTAATTTCGTTTCATCAGCATATTTAGTTAAATAATCTTTTGCTTCACGTTTTGTGGCAGTAGAATTTAAGACGGACAATATGATATTTCTAGAGGACATGTATCGTTTAAAGTTGGCAATGTTAGCATTTGAATTTACAAAATACCATGGTCGGGCAAACTTTGAAAGTGAACTAATTGAAAACATTATAGAATACCAAGGAGAAAAAGAGTGAGGTTCTATATGTTTGATATTTTCATCAGAAGGAAAGAATAATATGTTCCTTTTTTGTTTTGCAGTAAGTAGTATATTTTTGTCTTACGAACTTTTTCAATCATTAAGTAGTGGGTTACAAACCAATTAACAATTATTCAATATAGTTTGCAATTTCCATTAAACATTATAGGTATATATATATGTATGGATGTATGGACATTGACGTAAAAGCCTTTACTTTTCTGTCTTTGAAAGGTCTCGAGGTATGACTCTTTGGGTTTATTTACATTTTTTCCATCTCTAATTTTGATATTGCATCGAGAAATCTATCTTTTTTCATTTTTATTCAAATTCTCGAAAACGTTTTTTCTTTTCTTTTTTTTTCTTTTTGTTTTTTTCTCTATTTATAGATGAAAAGAAAAGTGATATTCACAAGAAATCGCAATAATAAAAAATATGATTATGATATCAAAAAAGAACAATAGACACATGTTTATCAACATTGTTATTTAGTTGAAGGGAACTGTGAAGGTAATACTGAAAACACTACGATAGTTATAGTACTTCTTTTATTATAATACGTTTTTATCCAATCTTTGAATGTCTCTTCCCAAAAAATTACAGGATACTTTTTCACCTAAAGAATTACAATTTATGGTTGAAAATGAACCAATAAAGATATTTCCACGTTTCACCACCAGACAAAGAATAAATAAACATAGTGATGATATATTAGATCTATGTTCTAATCGTTGGAAAATGATAACGATGCCCGATGCTGCATTAAATAACATGGTGGCTATGCAGTCTACTACTGTGACGTTGTGGATTGCACTACTATTGAAACAGCAAAACAAATGTAATATTATTGCACCTGAATGGCTCACATGCAAAGCTTTGGATAGAGCTATACAATTTGAACAAAATAACACTAGGAGATTTAGTCCCTTACCATGGGATTGGCTTATACTCTCCGAGATATTATTCAAAAAGGCTCCGGACGATTTCCATGATCCTATTCATGAATTACGAAGTAGAATTCAAGATTTGCGAGAAATTAGGCAATTGAAAGTGGCCAAAGGTATCAAATATATGAATGAGTCTCATTTACAGTTAGATAATTTGAGTATTTTGGAAATCAATGAATTGAGACCATTTATCAGTGGGATTATGGATAAACTTAAAGAAATTCATCTTGCTGCAGTAGGACCGGAAATAGAAGGAGACAAAGAAGAGAACGATGGAGAAGAAATATTTAATGGGACACTAAGAAATGATAGTAGTAGACAATCCTTATGAATTTTAGATATGTGAGTGTTATAACTCAATAATATTGCGTTCAATTTTCTATTTTTACCGTAAAAAAAAAAGGAAAGAATAAAGACATACTAAGGAAGGTAATTGATATATTATTTAGGTGATCAAATCAGAAGAAGAAGAAAAAAAAAGGAAGAAGGATAAGACGAAGAGAAGCCCACTTTTCGTTCAGAAAATGAGGAGGACAGTTTTGTTATTGCTGATGATATTGAAATCAATTTTTATATAGAACCTTCTGTCATGACTCTTTGATAAGCAAGATATGTGAAGTCAAGCATTTTTAATATTATTCCTATCTTCATTATTACTTTTGTCTTTATAAAATATTCATAAAGAATAAGACAGTATACCTTTTGTTACATATCTATCATGAATAAACACAGTTATTTGTTTAAATAGTATATAGAGAAATATCATAAAAAAGTTATTTACATACCAAAAGGAAATTTGTGACCACCACCTGGGTTTTGTTGAAACATAAAGTTCATAGGTCCATTTCCAAAAGGTGATCTTTGTTGAAATTGTCGTCTGCCTCCCGTTGATCTTACTGAATCATACTCTTTTCTTTTATTTTCATCACTTAAAGTTTCATAGGCTTCATTAATCTCGGACATCTTTTCATGAACTTGCTTTTTTTCCTCCTCTGATAATGCACCTTGTTTATCTGGATGGTATTTTTTGGTCAAGTTTAAATAGGCTCTTCTAATTTCTTTTGATGATGCTTCTTTACTAATACCCAGAATCTTATAATAATCTTTATCATTGGTAATTGGTGGAGGAGCTGGAGGAGCTTGGTGATGGTTTCCTTGTGGACCAAAATTAAAAAAAAACTGTTGTTGTTGATTTTGTTGCCGTTGTTGTTGTCTGCTTTTTCTAATTTTTTCCATATACTTTTTTACATAACTTATTTGTTTTTGTATACTTTTAATTTCTGATGATTCCAACTTTTCTTCTTTAAAAAAATTCCAGATTTGCTCTATTAATTGTTTACTTGGTTGTTTTTTGTTACTACGAAGAATAATATCAATAGTATGAACTGCCAGTGTAGGATATGTATTCCATAAGTCCTTCAGGAAATTATTTGGAAGTTGGGATGACTCATTGATAGCGTTTTTTAGTTGAGCCCATTGTTCATCATTCAACATTTCTTTCAAAGCTTTTTTGCAATATTGATTAGCGTTTAAGAATTTAGTAAATTTTGAGGAGACATGTGTTGAAGCTTCACATAAAACTATGTCGATGTACTTTTTAAAATAACCTTGTTGTCCACACTTATCATTGGTATATTTAATATTAAATATCCTTGGGTATCCTAATGGCAATACGTTTTCAAACACATTTTTTAGTGATTCTGGGACATAATAATTGGCAATAGAGCTATAATTGTCAGTAAATTTATTATCTGTCTTTTTCGCAATTTTATTATAAGGCATTTTTAAACAAGGTTTTGTTTTGCCACTTTTATCAAGATAAAAATTTAATAATTTCTCCCAATGAGTAGTATCTAATTTATTAAAGGTATCTGTATCTTTAAAGGCATATTTTTGAGAATCTAGTAAATTTGACTTAGGTGGGTTAATCTTATTCAATCTTGAATTTAATAATGTGAGCTGCTTACATGGATAATAATCCATATCAATTGCTAAACACTTCTGTAATTGACGAGTTGGATCAGTGTTCAGAATAAGCATTTGAATGATTGCACAGATGTAATGAATTTCTAATCTTTGATTAATATTTAATTTAGTTTTAAATTGGTCCAGAACAAGTTCATAATTTTTTAAAAGTTCGTTTGCAATTGACGAATCGCAGCTCTCTGACAATAATCTAGTCAAATACTGGACATTAACTGAAAGTAAATCAATATTATAAGGTGATATCTGTAACATGGGAGTTAATTCGTCTTTTAATGTAGTATCAATGCCTAAATTTATGTTTTTTCCATCAATATATGGTTGTATCTTGTTATATAAAGTCGAATTCAAAGATAGAAACATTGAATGTAAACCATCTTCATCTATCTTTACTTTATTCCAATAGCCAAATGCAATATATAGTTCATTTAATCTTTTTAAGGCAAGTTCAGTATAAGAATCATCATATTTGTCCTGATCAATTATGATAGATTCGAAGAGCTCTAAAGCTTTCAGATTTTGATTTAGAGATAAGTGTAGTAATCCTAATTTATATATAACTTGATTACGTAGTTGAAAAAATGGTATATTGTGCTTATTTGGGGTGATATGACTAATCTTATCATCATCGAAATGATCATTATCAAATTTCTTAATACAACTATTAGTTTGTTTGATTAATTGTTCATATTTATTAATATTATTGCTATCAAAGGTTAATTGGGACTCTAGGTGATGTAACTTTTCAATATTACATTTAGAAGATAATGAGTCGGTTAATTGGGCATAGACAAAACAATTGCATAAAAGTGTCAATAGAACAATTAGTTCATAAAATTTCAATCGAACCAACATTGATAATTTTGTCTTTCTAATTTATATATTATTATTGTTTGATAGCCTCACTTTTACTCTACTGTATGAGTTCCTGTTGGAATTTACCTTAATAATTAACCTTGATAATACTGTATAGTATTAAAATGAATGTCAAGGTATTTTGATCTTTTGAAAATATGCAAAAAAAAAAAGGAAGTCAACTAAAACAATTACGACTACTATTAACTCAACTTATTTGAATTTAGAACTTCAAAATAAACTTTAGACATAAAAGGAACATTTATTACCATCTTCTCTTATCAATCAACCTAGGTGATAAATTGTAATACTACTGTGTAAAGCATTTTTTTTTTTCAGGATTGGATATTTAAATACTATTTAAATGAAAATATTTAGTTCAAAACCTATTATAATTCCGATAATTTTTCAGAAAAAACAATATTTTGTTTAGGTTAAAAGATATGTTTAAGATATTTTTTTTAATAGAAAATAGGGTTTTGTGTGGAATTTTCTGCATTTTTTTGTCATTCAAATAAAACTAAATTTGTGTTCTTTATTTCGGTATTTAAAAGGTTTTGAATAAATCTTATTATTGTCACACAAACTATTCCTACACACAAACTGTGCCTCAAATATTTAACAATGCAAAAAATATGTAATTATATATGACTATTTTAAGATTATCTATGAAATTTTTGCATTATCGGTTTATCCAAGTTTATGAATTTGATTGTTAATCATTTATAACTGATGCAAGAACTATTCATCAACAACAAAATCATATTTTCTCATTGGAAGACATTTCATACCAAAAAGTATGTGTATGTGAAAATGAAAGAGTTAAAAAAAAAACAAGAAAAAATTGTTCACGAAACTACAATTAGATTATCTATAAAACATGTATAAATAATACATATTTACAGAATGATTATTTACTTCCTTAATTATGATGGTTGTTTATTGTTTATATTTGCTATTACACAAGTTATTATAATGATTCTTTTGAATTAAAAGAATTAACAAGCATTATACAATAACTATTAACAAATAGTAGTATGATATTTTCTGTAAATGAATTAATTCAATTCCAGCTCCCATAAAAATTTTTCATTTTTGAGAATTAGTATTTGCATGTAATAAATGTAAACGATGAGTATCCAACATTTTAATTTATTTTTTTCATTCTAGAACATCTTTTTTTCGGTATATTCTATTTAATTTCCATTGGTATGTGTATGAAAGGATTGGGCCATCAAAAAAGACAGAAGAAGCTTTGTATATCTCAGTATATATTATAAATAACCTCAAGAGATTTAAAATGTGTGCTTTTTGTGGTTTTGGTGTTAAGTAAATCAGATTTCTAGCTTATTAACTTTGAAAGATTGTTAACTACTTACTAAAAATAATCTTCAATAAGAAAAAATGGTGGACACATTATTTTTTCTCTAACAATATAGACAAGAAGAATTATGAAAGATAAATGATCTTGTGTAAGAAGCCCTACTTGGAAATCCTGGAATAGCTAATCCGTGGGTAACGTCGAATGTCGAGGCAAAGGACTTGGAACAGCCAAAACTCTGGGTCCAAGGTTGCAAGTGTATTCAAACAAACGAATACTCCTCAGATGGACATTGGTGGAAGATTACTGAGAAGCTTATTTAAGAGACTTTTGTGTTGATGCAAGGCTTCGGAATCAAAAATTCTGTTAGAATTCATTTTAACTTAGAATAATAAGATAATACAACTTACAATAGGATATTGACGGTATTATAAGTTTTTTTTTTGGTTATTTATAGTAGGAAGTTAGTGGTACTATAAATTGTTATTTTATCGCTTGGTCCTCTTCTTTCTATATAACAAATATACAAGATACAATATTATGCAGTTTACTAATTTTATCTTCAAGTCTTCTTTAATATAAATTTTCATAACTTTTTAATAACTTAGTATGGTGAATTTAAGTTGTCAAATATAACTCTAGCCATCTTTCAACATTTTGAATACTGAGAGATGGTACCAAAGGTGATTATCAGCATTAACATTCGTATTCTATCTACTAGGTTCAATCTAGAGGAGGAATGCTGATAATATCGATAATAACTAGGATTAATAGTGAGAATCAACTAATTATTATGAAATGTAAATGTTTTTATATATAATTAATAACCATATTTAAACATACTATTTGAAATAACTCTTCTAACATCATTGGCGAGATGATGTCTTTTTAAATTAATCTAAAATTTATATAATTCTCATACGTGATTTAATGGTGAATTGTCAAATCCATAAAATAAACATTAATTGCACAACTAAATAAAACGGCATATAACATTTTGTATTATATATAAGGGTAACAAACAACAAGTGAGTCATTTTGTGTAACCTTGTAACAGTGGATAACTATAAATTTAGATAGAACCTTGAGTAATTTCAATTTTATATTTTATTGTTTTTACATAAGTCCTGTTGTAGAATAAAAAGCCACTGCTATTGAGAATACGTAAGATTCTAGTCAAATCTAGAATTACTTATTATAGTCATATACACAGTGTTCATTATAGTTTCTACTACGCCACCATAACCTATTGTCCTAAATGCTCTATGATCTTCGATTATATTATTGTAACTAATAATAAAGATATGGATTACTAATCCATTAATATATCAAGTTGAATAGTTGATCAAGCTCCAGAAAACATATAAAAGGACAACGTTTTCTGTAGATGAATACTATCTTCCGTCACTCCTCTCTTATATATAATTTATATATATTATATATAGAGAACAAGGCAAGATCCAACACAAATATGACAAGTAAGTCATCGATAAGTATAATTATATAAGCTCGATATAGCCATTAATATATAAGACCGTATTAATAATTGCATAATCGATTGTATCGATTATTAGTAGATTATCTGTTTGATATTTCTAGTGCTTCCCCGAATAATACAAAACTCTGACCACATCATATTACAACGAACCTGTTGTATAATAGAATAGCTATTACCATCAAGATTACATAAGATCCTGAATGAATCTAGAACTATTTATTGTTTTAATAAGTCATACACGTGCTACAAAATTAGATGCTGCATAATAAAAAGATTGGATTACATAAGATCTTGGCAAATCTAGAATTTACCTATTGTTTTAATAAGTCCCACGTGTATTACTAATCATCATGATTAGAGAATTGGGGTGCAGTTTCTAATTCACTAGTGTACCCGAATTAATGTAATAAATTTTAGGGTTTGAATCAGTCAGATCATTAATGTACTAATCTGAATAATCGATCGAACTCCAGAAAACATATAAAAGGACAACGTTTTCAGGAGATAAGAGATCATCTTCCATAACTTTTCTTGTAAATAATTTATATATTATATATAAACATAAATAGAACAACAAGCAAGTAACAAAATAAGTAACTTCGAACAAGTATATTAGCTCGATATAAGTCGCTCAATATATAAGACTGTTTTGAGCATGTTGTAATATGAAGTGGTGAAATTATTTGTATATTTCGGGGAAGCGCAAATAATATTAACAGTTATTCAAATAATCGAGACAATAATCAACTATAGTTGATAATATAATTACTAAAACAGTCTTATATATTGAGCGACTTATATCGAGCTAATATATTTATTCAGAGTTACTTAACTTGTTACTTGCTTGTTATTCTATTTTATGTTCATCTATAATATATAAATTATTTACAAGAAAAGTTATGGAAGATAATCTCTTATCTCCAGAAAACGTTGTCCTTTTATATGTTTTCTGGAGCTCGATCGATTATTCAGATTAGTACATTAATGATCTGACTGATTCAAACCCTAAAATTTATTACATTAATTTAGGTGCACTAGTGGATTAGAACTGCACCCCAATTCTCTAATCATGATGATTAGTAATACACGTGGGACTTATTAAAACAATAGGTAAATTCTAGATTTGCCAAAATCTTATGTAATCTAATCTTTTTATTATGCAGCATCTAATTTTGTAGCACGTGTATGACTTATTAAAACAATAAATAGTTCTAGATTCATTCAGGATCTTATGTAATCTTGATGATTATAATTATCCTATTCCACGGCAGAGCACAACGGTTGAGGCGCAAGTGGTTTAGTGGTAAAATCCAACGTTGCCATCGTTGGGCCCCCGGTTCGATTCCGGGCTTGCGCAGTTTTTTGGTTTCTGTGTAATGTCCCTGATATTACTGTTTAGGGTTTTGTTTAGAGAAATGAGGGTTGACGATATTTTTTTAAACTTTCCTTTTTGCAAAATTTTACAAACACACATAAGAACAGGAGTAACCAACATAAAGTACAAAAGAGCAACCAAGAAGAACAACAACCAAGCAACGAATAAAAATAAGGAACAAGGAACCACGGATTACATAGGTTTAGATATATAGTATATAAGTGTATACTATTTAGTTCTAGCAGATTAGGGATAGAGATATATAGACATATAGGAATATTACATCTAGAGATATAGAACGAGTCTATATCTTATATCTATCCAAGTGAAATATTATTGAGATTTCAACAAGATTAACTGTTATCAGAAACACATAACCTTAGGGTTATTATATTTTGTAAATTACGTGACTCCGGTATAAGATTATTATGAAATGAAAAATGGAGCTTATACTAATAGGGGTAAGCAACAGATATCATATACTGAAATATTTCTTTTTAACCACTTCTTGTCTTCTGTTTATTATCCATGCCTTGTGTATTTGTATATATTCTTTACAACTTCTTAATATTTCAGCATTGATGGTTTGCTTGAAAAATTCTTCAAAAAGAAGAGCATTTAGAAAAATATTGATATCTCTTACTTTCTTAAACAAATAGTTCGAATTCTAACACATCTATAACTGAAATATTGCAAAATGTTAGTTTTCTGAATAAAAATTTTTTTCTTCTGGAATGTCTGTGAAGGAAATTTGATGATGATGAAGGAAAAAACTCATTTAAACAAAAATATTCTTATTAATTTTCCCTTTATGGTATCAAGGTACAGCCTGTTTAGTATTTTCTAGTATATATTTAAAACTATTATTAATTAAAAAAATTTAGATACATAAAAATATGAGAAATATTTATTTAGTAAGTGAATTTAATCTAATAGGGTATAGAATCACCATGCTAAATAGGTCATAATTGGCTATTTATATTATTTATGTTTCTTTTTACCTTTTAGATTCCGATATGTAGATAAATGTTATATTTACCTTTACAAATATATATATATATATATATATTATGCAAGTGCTATTAAAACTATGATTTTATCCTATCAGTGAATATTTGTACTAGATAAGAGAGACTTTTATAATAACTCTATCTTTTCATCTAATAAAAGATTTTTGATCAAGCTGTATCTTACAATATATATACTACCAATAATTAAATCGATATCTTCTTTGGTTTCAGGTATAGTAATTGAGTAATAATAGATATCTGGATGGGTTCTTTTCTTTAATAGGGGGTCTGTGTCATATAAATTATTTGGAGGACCTTTAACTTTAATGAATACAAATTTATTGTAATCAGGTTCATCTATCATGTTTATACTTGCTTCAGTGTCATTAACGGCTTGCAGTTCATCGGGCATATATTTTAACACACTTTCATTCAATAAATTTAATAACAAACTGAAGTGACTTTGATGGTATCTAATTTCTTCTGGAGAGAGTAATTTTTCAAGAGGAGAAATTCTTAGTGAAGAAGGATTTTCTTTATCATCATCATCAGCATCATCATCATTTTCTTCATTTATTTCCTCATTTAGATATTGTTCATTAATTTGTCTCAAATATATTGAATATTTATCTATTTTAGCTAATCTACATCGAAGGTAACTTCTGATAACAAATTTTACTCTCTCCAATTCGGCTTCCATGCAAAGTAATGGTAGCATTTTATTATTATTAACAGGCGCATTACTCATATTTCTTCGATTATCAGAGCTATTGTTACCTTGTGCTTCAAAAAAATTCATTGATAAAATTTCTAAATGTTCCATTTGTTCTTGAATACGGATTAGCATTCTTTTCATTAAAAGATGTGGATATGGTAATAAATCAGGTGAGCATCGTTCATTTTTCCATAATGTCATTAATTTACTAAAATCTTCAATTGATGAAATAACTTTTTTCTTCCCACTACTAGAATTGTTATGTTGTGGAACGGTAGTTGTATCTAATGAAGAGTTTGGGGACAAACTATAATCCTTTGTCAGCTTATGTCTATTATTATTGGCATTGGGAAAATTGTCACTAGAAATATTGTCTACAACAGTTGTGTCTCTATCTAACTCGGCTAAGATATCATCAATATCCAACGACATGATCTGCTTATATATATATATATATGTGTGTGTGTGTGTATGAGTAGGTATTTCTATTTCAACTTCTTATTAGCAACGTAACAATTATGTATTCCAGAATAAGAGTATGCATCTTGTTAGGAAACAGTTAGTACGATTTAAAATATGCCTATTTTCTTTTATTCATCCATATATTTACAGATCGTGATCTGTGTCTTCTCAATATCAACCTTCATAGTAAATTAAAAGAGAATATTCATTTTTTGTCAATAATATGTGGAATCTTTTCCACTTCGAAGAAAAAAAAATAAAGTGCTGCGAAAAAATTGAATACATCTTAGAGAAGCAATATTGCATGCTAGCCATTAGAATTCTCAAGCTGAAGGGTTACGTGAATAATGAATAAAAAAAGGGAATCAAGAATAAGAGCAGATAAGGAAATTAATGAGCACTGAAAAGTTGTGCCTGTATGTTTATTTATGTGGAGATGGGAGGAAGCATTTTCATTGAAAAATAAGGATGGATCTACTGAAAGAATTAGAAGCTAAGAAGGAGAAGTTACGATTACTAAAAGAGAGAAGACTGTTGATTAATGAAGGTAATTATCATGCCAACAATATTGTGAATGATCGGGATGCTGATTTTATTGATGCTAAACCCCATGATATGGGGGAAAATGGGAAAAACCATTCAAAAAAAACTATGACAGATGCTGCTGTCCAAACAGATGATTTCTCAACTGAATCAACTTTACCTGCGTTATTAACTTCTATGAATGATGCTTCTGAATATATTACCGAAACAAGGACTAAAGTCAAAACTTTTGATCATGGTGTTCAAACAGATGGTAATGATAGTATCAATAATAATACCACTGGTGGTAATAATAATAGTAATAATAATAGTAATAATAACAGTGATTCTACGTATAATATAATAAAAGAGGGTTCTTTTGCTTCAAATAATTCTGATATAATTTCATCAGAGACAAAAAACAAATCATCACGAATATTTGAAGAGGACAAAATGCTGAAAAAGAACACATCCAAGTTGTTTGAATTGAAACCTTTAATAATAGATAATGGATTTTTAATAGAGCATGGGACTAATAAAATCAGTAATAACCGTACCAATAGTAATACTAATACGTATGAAAGCTTTGCATCTTATTGGTATTCAAGAGGGGAAAATGTCATAGAAAGAACTAACATAGATATACAACAGGAGAGTGGAAAAACTCAAAATGATAAAGTCCTAAAAAGTATTAATAACATCTATTATCTTCATACATGTGAGGTTAAGGACAATCAGCATAGAGATGTTGAAGTAGTTTGTAAATCAATTGATTTCGATATCAATCGACATGTCACACTTGTCACTTTCAGTACCATACATACATTTTCAAATAAACCAAAAATCGATATGGAAACTGTTGTGCCGAAAAGTTTTATTTATGTTATTGATACATTTACAGATAGAATTATAGATAAGCTTGAATTTTTAGGTCAAATAATAACAAAAAATAAGATTTTGCGTAACGATATGGAAATGCATGACATAATATCTATGATATTGTTAACTGAGAGGGGTAAAATAATCTTATATGAATTAAAGAAAAATGTCCAACAAGGTGATATTAGTTGGGATAGAAATATACTTATTAAAAATTATCATTTAAGTTGTGATTATTTGAATGCGATATGGGAAACAAAATTCAAGTTGGTTGTTGGTGATTCAAGAGGCTATATGTCTATTTTAAATTCATTAGATTTATCTTATGATATCACAATGTTTGTAAAATATGAAAAAGATAATAATAGCGATAATAATAACAATAAATTTAGAAATAAAACTGATTTGTTACTGCCATCCAGGATTAAAGTGGTACCACCATCAAACAGTATTCTATATAGCACAATTTCTGAAAAAGTGTCAAGTGAAATTCAATTATTTATTGACAAATACTTATCCAAATTAGTGATATTTAATGAGCTTAACATTACCAGTATAGTTGGTTCACCATTTAACAGTGAGTGCGTATTTCTAGGTACAGAAGATGGAGGTATATATAAGATATTTTTAGATGTTTCCAGTGAGAATGGGGTATTAAAGAAAGATAAAAATGATAGTAAAGATGATAATAAAATAATGATAAATACCGAAAATCACGGGTTTTTACCAAAGATGCCTAATGAATGGTTATCATCAATGGAAACGAATTTACATGAAAAGATATTATTTCATAATAGCTATGTGACAAATTTATCAATGGATACCCAGGGGTTATTATTATCGAGTTCTATTGATTGGACGATTAAATTATGGGATACTAAAGATAATCAAATATTAGATTCGATAAACCTACAAAAACCTGTACTCTCTGTGGAATGGATTGCTATAAGTAAGAATAAGAATAAAGAAATGAAGTGTAACTTATTAAATGGAAAATATTTATGTTATGCGATGACATGGGACACAATATATATAATACAGTGGTTTATTGTGAAAGAGGTAGACCCAGACAAGGAAAAAAGAGAGAGACAGTATTTCAAAAGGAGTCGACCGTGTAAAATACTAAGTAAAGTTCATATCGACCAAAAATATTTAAGTTATAATCAATTTACATCGAGTAAATTGGTTGTAGACACAATTGATGGTGATAAGAATTTGATCAATACATTATTGATATTAGGAGGTAATATGTCAAGAATAGATTACATCCAGATGGTTATAAGTCCATATTAGTAATACTAAACAACAGAACAGGAATGTGAACATACACACATACACAAATGCAAGGACCCTTCTCTTCTATCATTATTGCTATGGATTCTCAGTTTCTTCAAAACAGTGGATTGGAATTTCCCATTTGTCCTTTTCCGTTGTTCCGCGGAAGAGAAATCGAGGCAATGGTCTCTTTTTTTTTTTACTTTTTTTTTTAAAGAAAAGAAAAGAAAAGAAAAACAAAATAGAAAAAAGAAACGACATGAAAAAATGAGAATGGGAAATTTACTCAAATTCTCAAACACAACTTTAGTTGATGATTAAACAAAAAAAAAATGAAAGAGAGGGAAGATAGTGAAGTAGCTAAAGTCATTCTGCTCGTTTTGTCTTGTACAGATCCCTTTCTTGCGTTGTGAATGAAGCTTGATTACACTTTGGTTGGTAAAACAGACAACCGAAAAAAAAAAAAAAAAAAACAGAAAAAAAAATTTTTTTACATATAATTAATTGTTGACGGTGATATTCCAGCAAATTATCTTCAAGAGACGAAAAGAAAAAAGGAAAGATCAATGTCTAATTTTATTTCAATTGAAGAAGCTGTTAACCATTTCAAGAAGAATGGATTCATTATTGTGATGGATGATGAAAGTCGGGAAAATGAGGGTGATTTAATATGTGCAGCCCACAATGTGACCACAGAACAGATGGCGTTCCTCATACGCCATTCTTCAGGTTATGTATGTGCACCAATGACAAATGAATTGGCTGACAAATTGGACTTACCATTGATTAGAGGTAATTTGAAATGTGCATCTTTCGCAGATGATAGGCATGGGACTGCGTACACAATCACTGTAGACGTCGCTAAGGGAACTACTACTGGTATCTCTGCGTATGATAGAGCGTTGACATGCAAAAGCCTAGCATCCCCTAACGCTAAACCAACTGATTTTTTGAAACCAGGTCATGTATGTCCATTGAGAGCTGTCGAGGGAGGTGTTTTGAAAAGAAGAGGACACACAGAAGCGGCTGTGGATCTATGTAGATTAAGTGGATTGCCACCAGTTGGTGTCATCTGTGAATTGGTCAATAATGACGACCCAAAGGGTTCTATGATGAGACTCGATGATTGTATTAAATTTGGTAAAGAACATAATATCCCTCTTGTTACTATTGACGCTTTAGTCGAATATATAAAATCAAAAAATTTGTAAATTAACAAGCAAGAGAAAAAGTATATGCATGACTTCTTCACATCTATATCTATACATCTGTATACATATATATATATATACCCTCATGTATACATTACTTTATTAATGTATAACTATGTTCAATGTTTATTGAGGATGTTTCAGGATTGCACTGCAGATTTTTTTTTACTATATATATATATATATATCTTTTCTTGTCTATATATTCTATACTCTGTTATGTATTCTTGTTTTCTTTTATTATTTTATTTTTCTTTTATTTTAACGAGCTAGAAGCCACTATTGGGAAAAGAAGAAGGAAAGAAAACCCACGATAAAACAGATCAACTTCTTGTAAAGGATACACCTGCGGGAATAAGTGTAAGCATTTGAGCATACTATACATAAATATATGTCTACGCATAGACATTGTATTGATAAATACTACATTTGTAAATAATACAACAACTAAGGAAAAAAAATACACACACACACAAATTGGTTTATTGAAGAATAGATAAAAATGAATAGAATATTTGGGTACGGGAAGAATAGAAAGACATCTGAACAGATATTGAAAGAATCAAATCATGCCATGACTCAGGCTCAACAATCGCTGCAAACAAGGATATCGAAACTAGACACAGATATAAGTCAACTGAATATGCAGTTGACTAATATACAAAAACGTCTCTCCACAATAAAGAGTCCACAGGGACAAAAGCCTTTAAGATCACAAGCATTGAAACTTCTAAATAAGAGAAAGAAATTGGAACAAATGAGGGATTCTTTAGACAATCAGGAGTGGTCAATGATTCAAGCACAAATGATGACCGACACTTTACAGAATACAATGATTAGTGTCAATGCCTTAAAACAACATAATTCGATTTTGAAACAACAATACGGTAAAATAGATATTGACAACTTAGAGGATATGAAAGATGAAATGGTTGATTTGATTGAAAAGGGGGAGGAATTACAAAATGCTTTAAATCTAAATATGAACGGCAACTTGATGGAGGACGATATCGATGAGGATGAGTTGGATGCTGAATTGGATGCACTTGCCGAAGAAGAGCCAGAATGGGGTGAGGATTTATTAAATAGTAATATAAACCTTAATGAAGAGTATATGAACAATAATAACAACAATAATAATTTAGAGGTTGTTAATAATGATAAAATACCATCATATTTGTGTGGAACAATCCCAGAATTTATAGATGAAGATAATGAAACACAACAAGAGAATACGAAGAATAATACTACCAAAACAGCAGAAGGGGTTACAATAACATCAACACAATAAATAATGTGGTTTTTGAAACAGGGTGTGAGTTATGTTGTATATGTATAGTCATGATAAGAATAAAAAGAAACTGTATTAACTTGTTGTTATTCAATTTTTTTTTTGTCACAAAAAAATAAATTAAAAACATATACAACGACAAGTGTTGGATAAAGTACCAATAGTTAAAGGATGAAATACAACAACTTTATGGACTGAGAAGGCTGAATCACATTTGTAAAAAAACGATTGTCTAGCAGAAGATAAACAGTTTTTACAGAAAAAAATAGCTAATGCAAAGCAAAATTTTTCTTTATTTAACTATATATGTGATTTATTTATATTTTTAGTGTTAAATCGAACGATTAATTCATTATATAGATAGTAAGTTGACAATGGTTCCACAATATATCTTTGAATTAATTAGTTATCACTCAAATATATACTGATTTACTCTGTGTATACTATAACATCCTAACACCACATATGTTGTGTCGATTTTATTTTCTGCTGAAATTTGTAGTATGGTGAAAAATAATTAACATTGACAACAACAACAATAATAATAATGAAAATGGTGGTAGTGATGATATAGCTGGAACCTGGTGATTATCTTATTCACATTGGTGTACACAGAACAGAAACATAAAACTACATAAACAAGTTTAATTTGGTTATCTTATTTTACCTCAGTTATTTTTTTTCCTTTTATTAAAGCATACATTAGTATACATGTATAAAGGGAATGTCAGGTTGTTATTGTTGTTGATTATTAAGTAATACCAATCACAATATATTAGCCAATATTAATAAAATGAGTGAAAATGAAAATGAGCCTGTTGAGTATCTGATAACTACAAGAAAACGTCGTACTAATGCAGGTAATAGATTACAAAAATTATTGGAACAAGAAATTAAAGATGCTCAACTTCAAATAGGAAATTTTAAGAATAGTAAAAATTTTGTAAATGAGGACGATGATGATATCAATTTACTGTTTCAAGAAGATGAGGATGATCAAGAATTTCAAGTAGAATCAGATAGCATTAGTGATAATGGTTCTAATGTATCATCAAAAAAGAGAAACAGCGGTATTGTTTTTCAAGATCTAATATCTGATGCAGATGATAATACTATGACTTTTCAGAGTAATAACGAAAGCTTTCTAAATGAAAATAATGTAGATATGATGTTGAGCAGCGATTCTGATGTTGAATCAAGTAATGAGAGTGATGCAGAAGCAGGTGAGAAGGAACTACAAAAAGAGGAAAAGCTTAAAAAGAGAAAGAAACGAAAAGTTTTGCCTACTATAATTAAGAAAACAGCAAAAGCAGATAAGTCAATAAGTTTGAGTGCACAGAAAGAAGAGCATACAAGAACTTCTAAATTAGGATCTTTGGAAACAATTAAAGTAGAAAGTCTACTGGCCACAGCAAGAAGAACTTCAAATAGATCATCAACAATTGCAAATAAGATCAAAGTTTATGAAAAATTGGTCAAAGCTGAAGAGAAACGTAAAAAAATTCAATTAAAATTAAAAAAGAGAAGGGATGAGAATACTTTAAAATTGCATAAGTTGACTCAGGACGATAGATTAAGGATTGCTGAGGAGACAGAGCGGTTAAATTTACAAAGTCTCAACAGATTTAAAGAGCAAGAAATTTTTAAAAAACAAACAAGATTAGCTTTGCAACAGAGAAAAAAACTAAAGTTTAATAACGACGAAACAGTTATACAATATCTTTCCACTACATGGCAGGTGAAACCGATATCCGAACTAGAAGACTATAAGTACTGGAATGAACAATTACAAAAGAGGGAAAAGAAGAAGAAGAAAAGATATGGAAGAAAACCAAAGAAACAACTAGAAGATGAAAATAATCAAAAAAATTTACAATCTATACTATCTAAAGAGAAAGAAGAAGAAAATATAATAGAAACCAACGACCCCTCCGTGGGACAAGAAAATGATGCTATTTCAGGAGACGTAAAAACTAACATTAAACTTCAAATAGAACGTTCTACCATTATGCAACAGGAAACTAGCAATTCTAAAGCACTTGATACTCTGCTACTTGAAAAGGAATTACAAACTAGTGCTACTGCTCTAAACTCTTCAACAAATATGGAAATTGAAGATTCGACTTCAACACTTTCTAGTAATGTACCAATAGAAAAGGATGGCGCTATTACCGAATACAATTCGGCGAGCCAGTTATTAAGTAAGGAAGGACAATCCTTTCCTGAGATAACTCATGCCAATATTAAAGATGAACCTCTAGTAATTTCAGATTCAACTACTAAAACAGCAACATCTAATAAAGACTTTTCTGAACATATATCCATAGACTCTATAGAGAAAAGGGATTTGAAAGTTAAAGAGAGAGAAGAAAAGCAAAATAAAATAACTAAAAACTATAAAAACACTCAAGAAGAAAGAGAAATAACAGAAGAAGTAGAAGAAAAACAGGACGGAACTAAAGAGGAAGAATTTTTACAATATGAAGGTCCAAACCAACAGGTATCCAAAAATTTTATCACTGTGTATAAAATTTCAACCCAGGCTTATAATCATATATCTGAGGATATACCAAATTATGATTTTTTGCCAAAACCATCAATTCAAACTGGTAAAAATAAGAATCAAACAGAATTGGGTACAATGAAAACCATACTTTTATCAAGATTGGAGGTAGAAAACAATGGACAAGAAATAGCAACTGATGTCGCAAAGCTATCTGTTCCAAGTATTAATCATAATGTGTTTCCCAGTTTGACTTTTTTGGATGAGTTTCCACAATTTGGAGAGTTTGATAAAAAAATTATGAATCAAACAGATGTAATGAATATCAAGGTAAAATCTTTCAAGATCACTACAGAAGCACCAATGGGTATTTATATCAATAATATTAAAAAACATTGTTTTATTAATAATAATGATTGTCAATACTTTGATCCTAAACTTGGAATTCCTTACTCTGATCTTACCAGCTATAAAGTAATTCAAGACATTCAAAAACCTGATGGTAATTATAAATGGTTTGGTTTCGAAAATGGAGGAATCTATTTAAATGTTAATCAAAGACCAGCTAAAGGTGTTCCTGAAGGTTTTTGACAACAAGTAATGAGAATCGCAAAAAGACATATTTTGGTATTAAGTATTCTACATCAATAAAAAATACTTATAGACTTTTATATAAATACGTATATAAAATGCTGTGGAGTTTATTAACACGATCATGAATTCTTGGTGTATGCTTTTACTAATGTTTCAAAATGTAATTCTATTTCTTGTAGTACACTCAATTTATTTACATTTTTGCTTTTATTGTACAATATTTCGTTATCAATAGTATGTGCTGATAAATTGTTTTGTTGCTGTAATGAATTGTATAAATATAAATAGTTTATAGATAAAAATTTCTCTGCAGATTTTGTTATTTTGCTGAATTTTGTCATAACAGTTTCATAATCATTCCGAATTCTTATAATAGATTGATATAATGGTTCTGCTTTAGGGTCAAATCTTGAATTATTATTAGTATTTTTTTCTGGATCAGTACAATTGTCTTTATAATCAATGTCAGCATCTTCCTTATTACTAAAATAATAGTTTATTGCACATGAATCATCTATCGATAGAGTCAATAAACTTTCTAAGAAAAGTGTAAATGAAATAGTCAATTCATGAGGTTGAGATAATAAATCTGTATCCTCCAAATTCAGAGTTGTTACAGAAAGGTTATTCAGCGATTCAGATTGCCAATCAATTAGTTGCTGAAATTTTGGCCATAACATCATTAGTTGATCATTTAGATAATCAACAAAACTTGGAATAGATCTTTTTAAGGATTCCAGTTGTAATTTTTGACCAATTCTAATTGAAATCAACACGCCAAAGATGTCAAAGATATTTGGGTTAATTAAAATTTGTTCGATATAAGTTAATGCCTGTTCAAATGTAGGATGAAATATTTGTTCTAGGATACCATTTATTTCTTCTACATTATCCGAAATTTGAAAGAAGTCTTTAAGGAAATTAAATTCCACTGTGCAATTATCCAATATCGCTAAGTTCAAGTTTTTAAAACCTATCTCAATAAAATTATTTTTAGTATTCTTGTTATTTTCAGCAATTTGTGAAACCATGACTGTATTATCTTCTTGTGTAAGTATTGATAATCTTTTGTTGATCTGGAAATACTCTTTGATAGCATCGTTACTAACTGCCGATGAATAACCATATGAGTTTGATAAGTAGGTTGAAAATAGAGAAGTTGATATATTACTATTATTAACTATATGGCCTAACGAGTATTGATTATCTATTGGGGTAAATTGTAATATAGTTAGTGATCTAATGTAACGGGAAAAATATTCTTTGTAATACCATCTCATTGTATATGCATAAGCTTGTCTAATTTCCAAAGCTAATGACATATTATTTTCGATAATAAATTTAAACATATTTTTCAATCTTAATAATTGATTTTGAACACGTTGAGAAGGAATAGGATTACAGCTTCTTAGTATTCTAATTCTAGAAATCAGAAATTTTTTGGATCTTTCCAAAATAACAGTCTTCAAAATTTTCAGCACTTCACAGAGCTTCTTGAAATCAGTAGGTAATATTACAGGTGTGGTATTATTAGACTCTTTTATATTATTGTGCATATATTTGGAATACATTGCTTGTTTGTCTTTTATAAATGCTATATGATCAATCCAACTAGAATTAACTTTACCTAAAATGATTTCACGAGCTACTTGTGGAGGAATTAACAGATCATTAACAACGGGGCTAATGTTAGCTAATTTTCTAGAGTTGTAATTGTATATAGTTTTCAATTCATCTGATTTATCTTTAATTAGGTTTAATTCTGTTGTGTATTCAGATAGTTTGGTATTAAGGTTGGTCATGTATTGAGTTAGAGGTGGTATTATATTTTGTATTGTATCTTCATATTTGCAATACTTCTTCTCTAGTAATTGCAGATATTCATTCAATTGATTTAAATCAGATATATCTAACTGTTCTTTAGCAAAATCAGAATAGTCGGTAAGAAATTTAGTGAAAAAATCAGTAGTCTCATTTTCTATTATTACATCGTGTTCTATATTAAAGGAATGTTCATCAATATCCAGGATTTTGTTTATTGTTTCCATTGTCAACTGTTTTCCTTTTGCTTTAATTTTTTAAATATATATCGATTTCTTTTTTACTCAATGGCTATTACACGTATTACATAAAGTTTGTATCAACTTGCAGCAATTATGTTCAGATAACTTTATATCTTTATCTGTAAACCATTCTCACAATACCCTTTGGTTTTAAATTTTGTAATTCTTATTCTCCAAATAAGAAGTAAAAAAGAAAGGTCCTACCCGGATTCGAACCGGGGTTGTTCGGATCAAAACCGAAAGTGATGACCACTACACTATAGAACCTTCAAATCCGAGTTTTTGTTGTGGAATAGAATAGTTATAACCATCAAGATTACATAAGATCCTGAATGAATCTAGAACCAATTAGTGTATTAATAAGCCATACATGTGCTACAACATTAGATGCTGCATAATAAAAAGATTGGATTACATAAGATCTTGGCAAATCTAGAATTTACCTATTGTTTTATTAAGTCCCACGTGTATTACTAATCACCATGATTAGAGAATTGGGATGCAGTTCTAATCCAGTAGTGCACCTAAATTAATATAATAAATTTTAGGGTTGAATCAGTCAAGTCATTAATGTAGTAACCTGAATAATCGATCGAGCTCCAGAAAACATATAAAAGGACAACGTTTTCTGGAGATAAAAGATCATCTTCCATAACCGTTTCTTGTAAATAATTTATATATTATATGTGAAAAAAAACAAGCAAGTAACAAGTCAAGTAACTTCGAATAAGTACATTAGCTCGATATAAGTCGCTTAATATATAAGACCGTTTAGTAATTATACTATCGACTATAGTTGATTATTGTCTCGATTATTTGAATAACTGTTAATATTATTTGCGCTTCCCCGAAATATACAAATAATTTCACCACTTCATATTACAACATGCTCAAAACAGTCTTATATATTGAGCGACTTATATCGAGCTAATATACTTATTCGAAGTTACTTATTTTGTTACTTGCTTGTTGTTCTATTTATGTTTATATATAATATATAAATTATTTACAAGAAAAGTTATGGAAGATGATCTTTTATCATCAGAAAACGTTGTCCTTTTATATGTTTTCTGGAACTCGATCGATTATTCAGATTAGTACATTAATGATCTGACTGATTCAAACCCTAAAATTTATTACATTAATTTAGGTGCACTAGTGGATTAGAAACTGCACCCCAATTCTCTAATCATTATGATTAGTAATACACGTGGGACTTATTAAAACAATAAGTAAATTCTAGATTTTGCCAAAATTTTATGTAATCCAATCTCTTTATTATGCAGCATCTAATGTTGTAGCACGTGTATGGCTTATTAAGACAATAAATAGTTCTAGATTCATTCAGGATCTTATGTAATCTTGATGATTATAACTATTCTATTCCACAACACCTGTTGTAGATCAACCTTGATATTATGATTATAAAAATATTGTTAGGGTTTTGTGATGATTGTCAAGAAAAGTTCTAGTTTGGATTTATAGGACTTAGGGTTTGTTGATAAATCCCACATGATTGTTGAATACTATGTAACAAAATGAAACATTCATGAAACATTAAATAGCTAATTAAGGAGAAATGTATCTACGGTGACAGTCGTTACAGAACCTCAAATAAGAAACTATCAACCCATAGTTCATATATAAAGGACCAGTATCTTGGTATCTAAATTTATATGTTTGGTTGATTTATAAATATGTAGCACATTGTATAATACAAAAAAGAACAAGCAATAATCGTTTAATTCTCCTAGATATATATAACGTTCTTATATATTTGTTATTGCCCTTACTATTCGTTCAATAGTACTGTTAAAAAAATTGGTCCTAAGTCCAAACTATAACAAAAGGTACAGATCTGAGCTCGCGTGGCGTAATGGCAACGCGTCTGACTTCTAATCAGAAGATTCTGGGTTCGACCCCCAGCGTGAGTGCTCTTATCTTTTTGTTTTTGTGTGTGATAACCTTAGGGTTATCACAGTGATATACCTTACTCTTATATCACTATAGAGGATTATGTAAACTTTTTAATCTATGGAGACAATCTTAACTTATTAGCTTAGAAACGTTATGTTTAGCTGTTTATATATATATATATATATATAAACAGACTATCACCTGTATACAGTATAGTTTTTATATCTGATATTGAACAATAACAACCAAGGATCAAGGACCATTAATTTTTTTTATTTTTTGAAGAACTTATGTTATATCTATTTATTTTTTTTTTGATAGGAGGAGTGTAGTGATGTCATATTTCTTTTTATTTTATTTTATTATAAAAAATATTTTTTTGGTCACAAACTTGTTGTGAGGTCTTCCAAAGTAACTGATAGAACGTAATAGAACTGTGGCCTGAACAAAGAGTACTTGCTAACTTGTGGAATATTAAGTACCTTCCCTTAATGGATTTCAGTTATAGAACAATTCTTTGACTGTTATGATAATAAAAAAAAAGTCATAAAAAGCTAAGTTGTGCTTTTATTAGCCTTACTAATATTTTTAAATAATAGTGCTATTACAAGAGAAGTTTCATTAGCCTTGATATAATTTTATGTCCATGTAGTGAGAATATTGAAAAAAATTGCACTTTAAGTAAAATTATTTCTATTTATTTCTACTTATTTGATCGATCTATATTTTCTTCTATTCTCTGAATGTATTTTCTTTTAGAATACTATATATATAAATGCTTGAAAGAAAACGGAATGCCATCATTTTTTTTTTAATATTTCATGATTTATTAAATGAAATATAGTATATCTTCTGCCCTAATAGAAGTACATTCTCAAAATATCAAGAAAACGTTTCTATCTACGACAATATACTATTGACTTTGTTATATGTATTCCTCTTTACATAAATGCATAGTGTTCATAGGTTATTTTAAAAACAGCTTTCGATAAGGTCTTTGTATTCTAATTTACATCAAAAAATCATACTGTCCCGTTTTGTTTATATAGTTTCCTAATATGGAAACAAATAAACAGGAATACAATCGAACAGAACAATATATACGTGATCAATTTTCTGTTTTACGAAATCCTTGTAGTGTGTATGTAGGGCTTTTTTTTATGTTGCCAGGAACATAAAACATTGTAATTGTAAATGTTTTGATAAAATAGGGTTGGGTACTTCTTAAGTCACTTTTGTCTTTTTGAATGTACTCTTTTAACATTACCAATTTGGTATTTTCTTCAATAAATGATTTATTGCAAGGTGTATAGTGCAAATGTACCGCAGTAGTAAAAAATATTGAGAGCAAAATTACATTGAATTACAATAGAGTTTTACAAAAAAACTGTTACATAACATGCTATACAACTGCTATTCCTACAAAAAGGTAATTCATGTAATAATTTTGTACCAAAACTAGGGTATTTCGGCGTACCAGTACTTTTTATAAAGCTTTACTTAGGTTATCATTTTATTTTTTTATTATGCAAGGAAATTTTGCAAATGCCCGGTGTTCAAAAAAGGAAAACCAGTATTTTGTAAAAACAAAAAGAAAAAAATAAATAAAAACAAAAAAATAAAAAAACAAATAAGAAGAACACTAACTGTGATACTGACTGTAATAATAAAAAATCATCTTAAATTAGTGCTGAGCTTGTTCAAAGAGTCTTGAACCATAATTGTAAAACACAAAGAAGCATTAAGAACGATCAAATACATAGTTATATCCTATCTTTTTATTTTGTTGTCTTTAACAAATTACTTTGGAAATCCAATTGCAGGTACAACCTTATAGTTACAGATAATAAAGAGATTGATCTAGTTTTTTCTTTATCTCTTTTTTTTTTTAATGGAACAATGTCTTTAGTTCCAACATCCCCCATTTTAATTAATGGTGCAATCGATGAAATCCCCCCTGAACTGTCTTCAACAACATTTGTGTCCAAAAGTTTAAATGATTCAATCTCAACTAGTGTATTAAATGAACATGCAAGTATTAATAATGAATATCAAACACTACAACCTAGCCCCTCGAAGGAATATATGACGTTAACGCCTGTTAAATTAAAAAGTTTAGATTCTCCATTAAAGAATAGTCAAAGCACACAAAAAGTTGATTCTCATTTTTCACAGAGCCCGTTAAGGGTCATATCTCCAACAAGCAAGGTATATAAAGATAAATTTGATACAATTTCAAGAGAATTAGAAAAACTGTTGGAAGATTTATCTGTAATATACAAAAAAATAGGTTATTCTCCCTCTGGAACAAAGACAAATGAAAGATTAATTTTCACAACTTTATCTAATCAAATTAAGAAGTTTTATACAAAGGCGGAAGAAGAGATGAATAATCTAACACTAAGTAACGAAATTGAACAACAAGTTTTAAATGCAATGTTAAATAAACTTAATGATCCTAAAGGTTTAAGTATAATTCCAGATTTATACACCAGAAATACAATTCTTTTACCCCAGAATAGAACGGTACCTGATTCTCCAAAGAAACCATTATCCTTATTAGAAATACAAAAGTTTTTAAATGATGCAAAACAGTATGTTGTCAAGGCTTATGTACCTGAGCTAACAAAATTTTTAGATGCAACGATTGAATTCCAAAAACATTATAAAATGATTAATGAAATCCTTAATGATTTGGATGATAATGAACGAAATACATTAAAATCTTTGCCAAGTTTGGAGTTATCAAAGAAATTAGCCAATTTATTTCGTCTCACAGATGATAAAAACACTAAGCTAGAAAACGAAAAATTTTGTGATTTATTTGATAAAATTAAAGAGAATAGAAAAATACTCTTAGTTAGTGATAATTTTCACTCAATAGACGACAAGATGGTATTGAGTATTAATAAAATTACAAAAATTTACAAACAGGAATATAATTTTCGTGCCAATAATTTAATACAAAAAATAAAACAGATAAAAGATATATTGAATGAATTAGATATAGATAGGAACTCAGAATTCAGCCCGCCAATGAATGATATCTTTCATAATTATTTAAATCTAAATCAAAATAATGAAATTTCTTTACCTATCACAACATCGGTATTAACTATGGTTGCTGCAGAATTAGAAAGGGTAGAGACGTTAAAAGATGAAAGAATAAAACAAAAGAATGAATTATTAAACCAATGCCACTTATTATGGAATAAGTTTAATTTATCCAGATCACATATTGATTCTGTGTTAATGGAAAATAAAGGTTTATCATTGCATGTTATAAATAATTTGAAAAATGAATTGAAGAAACTTGAAATTTTGAAGAAAAAAATGATTAAACAATTAATCAGTGACTCACGGAATAAGATAAATGAATATTGGGTAACGTTACAAATATCAGAGGATGAAAGGAAAGAATTTATAGAAAATTATGAAAAGATGAATAAGGATTCTAACTCAATACAAGATGATGAAAAATTGTTGGATTACTGTGAATCAGAGATAAAAAGATTAGAACAGAAGTTAGCTATCTATGCTCCAGTACTCAGATTAATAAATGAATTTCAGTTTCTTATTAAGGATAAAGAATTTTTGGAAAAAAGTTCAAAGGATTCATCCAGATTATTATCTAGGGATTCTCATAAGATTTTGTTGAAGGAAGAGAAGGCCCGTAAAAGAATAACAAGGCATTTTCCAAAAGTACTATGTGAGTTAAAGGAAAGATTAGAAAATGCTCAAGATTTATTTCAAAAGCCTTTTATACTGAATGGTAAGAACTTGCATGATTTAATTGAAGAGGAAGAAGTTGAATTTAGAAATAAATATCCAAGGAGTATTTTATCTATGAAAATGGGTAAAAAAAATATAAAAACATTACCAAAGAAAAATTTACAGAAGGATGTAGAACGTTTAAATTCACCTTCAAAGAATAGTAAGAATGTATTTGGAGAAACTACTAAAAGGGTTAAAGATAATAAATATAGAATTCATAAACCCAAGACGCCAACTGATAAATCCCAGAAAAATATTAGTGAGAAATCAATCATAACTGACAATAATATTCTAAGAAATATAAATAGTACAAAAGGGAATCCTAATTCTAATAATTTAGCGAAGAGTAAATTCAATAGCAGAAATTCAAATAGCAAGGGTTCTATAGAATCTATTATAAATTTGTCACATTCTATGGTAAAAACAGCTTCCTATAATAATAATGCTGAATTAAAAAGCATAAAAAGCAAACTATTATCACCGACAGTCATTATTCCACATAAACAGAAATTAGCGAATGAATCACTTTTTAGTTGTAACCAATCAAGGAGGGTGCCTACTATTTTAGGTAGACAGCCATACTTATTGAGAAGTAATACTGTTGATTCATTTTCACTTAGAGATTACTATAAAGAGAATAATCCTATGGATAGTAAATATGATAACAATAAAAATAATAGTAAATATACACGTCCCTTATATGGTATACGACCTACGAGATTATTTCCATTGGATTCTAATAAACTGAATAAGTTGCGTAAAAGTAATATTCCAGTGTTACATGAATCCAAACCTACAATGGCAAAGGAAAAGGGTCATAAAACAAAACAAGTTTCTAATTTAAGACATCAGAGTGAAAAAATTTTGTCGTCATCCTATCAAGAACATAGTCAAGAGCAGAAGCAGCGGTCTTTATCATTTCCAATTAAGAATCAAGAATCTGTGCTATTGGCAAGTCCTTATAGGGAATCCATTCATAGTATTTATCAAGTGTCGATGTCACCAGAAGGTAAATTTCAATTAAATATTCGACAAAAGGACAGAGAGGATAAAGGTGAGAAAAATTTTGATGATATAATAAGTCCATATATCAGCGCAAATAATGATATACTCGACGATACGAGTATTTTAGATGATGATGAAACAGATAGTAATTTTGTTGAGTGGAAAAGGGAACAGTTAATGAAATTGGACAATCTGAAACAAAAGCAGCAAGAGCAGCGTGTAGTTAGTGATAATATTTCTACTGCATGATCATAACGTATATATTTACATATAATCAATTTAATAATGCCCAAATATAAGAAAGCACCCGCCAACTCGAAATTAAGTAGAACGTGTCAAGACACCATTGTGTTGTAATATTTTGTGCTTATGCACAGTCACCGACATTAAGAAAAAATGTACAATTTAACCTTTACGGACACATATACTGCTGATAGAGTGATATGTCTTTATGTAATGAGACAAGAGGAAAAAATATCAAGATGCATAAACCCATAAGCCTTTTGTCTGGGTAACAAGTTGTTTTGAAAGGTTTTTTTTATCGTTTGAAAAGGGGAAAAACTAAGAAATAACACAAAGCCGAGTAGGATTAATGCAGAGAATCAAATTCCGTATTGCAAAATTTTCAATTCCGTAATAAAATAAAAATTAAAAAAAAAAAATTTTATTTTTTGTGTGCAAATGTATTTTGTGGATTACAAAGAAGGAAAGGAAATTTTGCTTGATTAATTCTATCGAGGTAAACAAACGGTGGCCAATTTGACTTATTGATAGGGAAAGACAAAGAAGTTGACGAATTATACAATAAAACCGGGACAGCTGTTTTGAAGGTAGTGAGGACTATTGACGGTGCTTACTTCACGTAGATTAAGTCGATTTATTTTTTTTTCAGCTAAATCTTTCTGAAGACTATAGTGTTTTTTTCTTTCTTTTTTATTTAATTTATAATACAGAGTTTCATACCTTGTATATTACACACTCAGAGTGATAGCAATAACAGTAGAAGAAACCTATCAATAAAGAAAAAAAATTCTCAAAAGAGATATTAGGTCTGCATAAAAAGCAGGGTGGAAGAGAGAAAGAAAGAAAGAAAGAAGAAATTGTAATAAGTGTTATTTATTAGTTAGTTTATTTGCTTTGTATCATTATGGGCCTACAAGAAAAAGAATCTAATGAAGGGGTTAAGCAAACCTTGATAGAAAACAAAGATTTAGATGCAAGTCAACCTCAGATAAAAAATCAAGGAGAAAGTCAGTCATTAACATCTATAAAACCAGAAATGTCCAGAAATTCCATTAGCAGCATTAAAAATAGTAATCCACCACAGACTAAATCTATAATGAATGCTAGTGGTACTTCTGGTGCTGTTGTAAGTAATACGCCTGAACCAGGTTTAAAAAGAATACCTACAGTTACATTTAGTGAACCAAAGTCGGGTATTGCTTTGAAAATTTCTACTTCATCTCAAACAAACCTTTCTAAAATACTATCACCTTCGCAGCAGTCTATTACACCCCCTACAAATAAAAATATATCTACTACAATTTCACAGCAGCAGCAACAACAACAAAAATTAATCATAACATCTATAGATCCGTTACAGAAAGAAAATTTTACATCAGAAAGTATAAATAGTCAAGTGACTCCTAATTCCAGTACTAAAGACTCTGTACATAATGAAACAACTCTTCATTCAGAAAGTTCACAGATTTCAAATTCAACTATTAAATTATCTATAAATGAAATTTTAAAGGAAACAAACGATAGTAAAAACCCTAAGATTCAAGATGAACATTTACATTTCCTCGTTGATGATTCTTTGCATACACCAGCCTCTTTAAAATCGCCTGGAAGTAGTAATAGCAACAGTCCAAGAAATTCTATATCTAACAGCACAAAACCTTTGGAATCTGTATTAGAAGAAGAAGATTCCTTCTCTTATAATATCAAGAGTAAAGATGATGAAAATAAAGACGCATCTATTAATAAACCATTAGTAACCTCACAAAATAACCAGTCAGTGGATGTAAATAATGGAGCTACGGTCCTTGTTAAAAATGATGGAAATCCAATAATTAATGCTAGTAATTTAAGTGAAAATGATCTTGCAACAAGACAAAGGTCACCATCCTTCGTAGAACCCAAACAATTTATTGCACCGAACATACCAAAAAGAGACAGTGGTAAGAATATTGATCCGCGACTACCACAAGATGATGGTAAATTACATGTTTTATTTGGTGGTACAGGTTCTTTGTCAATATTCAAGATCAAACCCATGATAAAGAAATTAGAAGAAATATATGGTCGGGATAGGATTTCAATTCAAGTTGTATTAACTGAATCTGCATCAAGTTTTTTAACTAAACGATACATGAAAAAAATCAATAGTAGAACTCCACAAACAAGTATTAACACTAATACTTCCACACCAAAGACACCTACTGTGGGTGATGAACTTTCTACTCCAACTAATAGTTTTGTTCAAAAGATAGGTTCAGATGTATCATTAATTACAAATTTAGTCACATCAGCACAACAAAGGATTGCTAGTACGACAAGTATTTCTCGTGGTGACGGTAGTACAAACATGACAGAAATGGTGGGCACCTCTAATGTTGATACTGGTGCCACCACGAGTATCTCTAGTACGTTTACTTCTGCTACTGTGGCTTCTTCTACTAATTCAGCTTCTACCACCACTGCTATACCTAGCGTGACAAACAATACAAGTGGAACTAACAGTCCTGTTGTATCTACACAAGCACAACCACAATTGAATAGTATTTCTCCTCAATTTGAATTGCCACCACATATACAAGTCTGGAGAGATCAAGATGAATGGGATGCATGGAAACAAAGAACTGATCCAGTATTACATATTGAATTACGTCGTTGGGCTGATATTCTTGTAGTTGCACCATTAACAGCCAACACGTTATCGAAGATTGCATTAGGCCTATGTGATAATTTACTGACTAGTATAATAAGGGCCTGGAATCCAATGTTTCCGATTTTCTTGGCACCATCTATGGTTAGTTCTACGTTTAATTCAGTGATGACCAAGAAACAGTTGAATATTATTAAGGATGAGATGCCATGGATTACTGTATTTAAACCAAGTGAGAAAGTTATGAGTATTAATGGTGATATTGGGCTTGGTGGCATGATGGATCCAAACGAGATTGTGGATAAGATTGTTATGAAACTTGGTGGTTATCCTAAAGAAGATGAAAATGAAGAAGATGAAAATGAAGAAGATGAGGATGAAGAGGATGAAGATGAAGAAGATGACATAGAAGAAGAGGATGATGATGTTAATAATGACAAAAAGGCAGCAGATGATGACGATGATGATGACGATGATGATGACGATGATGATGACGATGACGATGACGATGACGATGACGATGACGATGATGACGATGACGATGGTGGTGATAAAAACGAACAAGAAATCCAAGAAAGCACCAGTAATAATAATAATAATAATAATAAATGTTATGTTTCTATGGGTTCTACAAATGAAAATCAAGCTAGTAGGATGTTGTAATGTTAGATTCCTTTAATTTTCGTTCTTAAATAGAACATAAGTTACTTTACCATATTTTGGAGAATATAGAATATATAAGTGTATGTGTGTATGTGTACATTCCTGCATTAGTGTATCTAATAAAAAGTTCTGCTAGTATGAAAATTGGAAAAACAGAATATGTAAGGACACGATTATAAAAATAAAATAAAAATAAAAAGGAAAAAAAAAAAAGGGAGAGACGAAATTTACACTTTCACTTCCATGTGCAGTAAGTAATATTATTATTTAGTAAATATTCAAGTTTCTCTATTTCTTGTTCTCTCTCTCTTTTTTTTTTGTTCCTGTTTTCTTTGTGTACAATTTACAAAATACTGTCATCCAAGATTGTGTTGTAACCGAGTCAAATAATGTGAATGTATGAATATATTTTGTTGGGGTGCTTTGTATATTTTGTCGTTAGCCTATGTCTCTCGGCTTTCTTATCTCCCTCTTCCCCCTTCCCCTGCCCTCATTCTTTTTTTTTATTTCATTTCCGGAAAAATCTCAAAGACTTTACTGCAGGCACTTCCTAAAAAGCGAAAACAAGACAAATCAAGGCAAATCAAGGCAAAAAGAAAAGAAAAAGACAAAAGAACAAAGGCACTTTTGAGAGAATAGGGGGGGAGAGGAAAAAGACATAAAATCCACACTCAAAAAAGAAAAAAAAAAAAGACAAAGACAAAGACAAAAGAAAAAAAAAGAATAACTTGTTCTTTGGGCTTATTCTATTTGGCTGTTCTTTTTTTTTTTTTATCTTTTGTTTTTCTTTAGAGTTCAGTTTATAAATTAGGGGACCAGATGGAAAGACAGAGTATCTAGAACTTATTTTTATTTTTCCCCTTTTTTTCACTTATGTGAGGAAGCGTAAAGTAGGGTTTTTGCGCTTTTTAGAAGGAAGAGAAAAGAAGAGAAAAGAAACTGTGGAGGGGGCAGGGAGGTAGAGAAAAGCGAAAAACTAGGTGCAGAAAACTTTTATTTTTTTTAGAAATTTCTGTCGGGACACATTTTCCGAGTATTTCCGTTTCAATTTCCGTTTCCATCTCCATTTCTTTTCTGTTTTGTTCTGTTTTGTTCTGTTTTTTTGGGTCCCCCAATTTTCTCACTCCCTGCGATAAACAGAGTGGTAGAGAAAAAGCAAAAGGAAACAAACGGAAAGCATGAAATAGAAAACCCTAAAATCAAATCAAATCAAATCAGTAAACACAGCAAGCAACCACAACCATTGCCACAAACTCAAGCTCAAACTCAAACTCAAACACTGTGACGGAGAGGAGAGAAGAAAGAGGAGAGAGGAGAGAGGAGAGAGGAGAGAAACTTATACAACGGATGACACTTGCTCTCATTCATTTATCAGACGTACTCATAACCATTATGTAAAGAGTAAATTTTGAAAAAAAAATGACGGAAAGAATAAAAAAGAAAAGAAAAGAAAGAAAAGTAAAAAACAAAGGTAAGGGAAGGCAAAGAGGGAGTATAAACACATGAAAACTACATTCTGATCCATTCTATCTTGTCAGTAAATAGCTCCTTAAACCTTGTTTTACATGCGTTTCAAGTATGTATATATACGTATATGTTTGCATATGTGTACGTGATATTTAGTTTGAATCCAGGTCGTTTTCGACTGTCACAGAAGGTAAACTATAACATACTCAAAAGTTATACCTAACGTTATACATTATTTATACCATATATTACATTATTACAATAGATAAGGAGGAAAAAAAATTCTATATATCCATAACAATATGTCAAACACAATTCAAAATCCAGTATCTGATTCTTCGAATAAATTTTTAGAAAGTAAAAGTAATGGCAATAACAAGAATAATAGCAAGAATAATAACCAGATAGATGCTGAATCGCTCCTTTCCAACCAACATAGCCAAATATCTATAACCCCAACATCTTCCTCGTCATCCAGAGATATCTCATTAACTAAAAATAGTACTAACAATAATAATGCAAAGAAAATTGAAAAGAAAGGCTCTTCTTCAAATATAACTAAAGTAAAAGACATTAAACAGGCTAAAATATCATCTTCTAAAAGAAAATCAAAGAAAAATATGTGTTTCCATCCAGATTGTACTAAATCTATAGCCAAATTCATAGGTGACTGTAATTTCTGTAATGGTCATTTTTGCTCAAGTCATCGATTAATGGAATCTCATAACTGTAAGGGTTTGGCAACTTGTAAAGAACAATTACATAAAAGAAATGCCGATAAATTAACCAAAGAACAAACTATTGTGTCAAAGATTCAAATATAATTCTCTGAATATCTTTGTTTTGTCTCATTATTTTAAAGGGGTGGGAAGTGACATGGGGGTGTGGATTAATAATGTATGGACACGTTCATGATATAAGTTATTTATTCACTTATTGGCATTAAGTTCTAATAGCATTCAATCCTTTTCTATTTTGTTTTTTTTTTCTTACTTACAACATACCTTCACATATCAATATGCATGCACACTGTTTCTATAAATAATATGTATATGTATATACATATATAGGTAAATAAAATCAATTTACAAAAGAAAAAAACAAAAAAAATGCCCTAAATGAGCCGAATAGGCTTTTACTAGTGTTCCTCGTGTATGTCTTCTTGTTATCAACGGTTTATCTATTCTATGTAGGATACTTCCTTCATTCGTCTATTGCAATGAACTATCTTCTCTTCTTCTTCATAGTTCCTTTCTCCTTCACCCCGCATTACCATTTTTAATCATGTTCTAAAAAAGTAAAGTTTTTCTTTTTTCCTTTCTTTTTTTTTTGATGACTTAGAAAATAGAATAAAACTAATAAAAAATTTTTTCTATACATTTTTTTAATAAAAAAAAAAAAACATTGATATTAATAATAACACAAAGGGACTAAAAAGAGGATATTCCATCACTAAAAAAATTTTATAATTCTTTTTTAAAGTTGAGTATATACACATTTTGTTCTTGTATATTACAAATACTAGATAAGATCAGTTAAAAAGATGGCTAAGAGATCCAGACCATTAGGTCTTTCCAGGAGTAGAAAACAACAAAAAGTAGATCATTCACAGGATTCTAAAGTTCAAGACAATGAAAAATCCACTACCCCACAATTAAGTATTGAATTGGAAGAGAATGAAAATGCAGACAACGTCACTGTCCAATTGATTGGTCTTTGGAACACATACCTTGAGTCTACAAGAGACTCTGACGCATTATTGAATGGGATTGTCAATGAGTGTGATACGTTGTTAAGCAACGGAGACAACAAAACCAGTTTAGTAGAAGATGACCAATTCTTGGCTGTTTTCGCTTTAGCATTATCTGAACTGACTATTTTTAATTCTAATAAGATTAAAGAATATTTTGATGATTCCGTTGATATCATTAATTTGTTTTCCGGTGGGAAGCAGACTGATTTATTAAATTTAGTTGAATCAAAGATCATCTTCCAAAGGATTCCATTGGAATATATCTCTAAATTAGAACAAAATCCAAATTTGATTGAAGTGGATGCAAATTTAAAGGAATTATTGGATTCAGGGAAACAAAAATTCGAGTCGATGCAAAAATTGATAGCTAATGATAAATATAGAAATAAGAGATTCATAAATGGCTTGATTATTGAGACTATTTCAATCTTTGATGATTTGTTGGATATTGTAGAAAATTATGGTACAAAGAAAAATTTGGATGAAGGTATGGACAGTGAGGAAGAAGATGATGATAACGATGAAAGTAATGGTACGACTGCTGCAATATCGGATATTAAGTCTAATCATCCATTGTATGACATTAGACAACAATTAGATGCCTGTGCTAGGTGGTTGAGAGATGAAATGATTGTATTTTTGGAAAAATTGGTGTCAGATACAAAGGAATATTATAACATTTCTAAATTGATTGGTGAATCTTTCTTGAAGGAATCTGAATTCTTCTCTGAAACTTACCTTTCGATGCAATATGGTGATGATAATGAAAAGATGGAGGATAGCACAGTTGAAGAAACTATTAAGGCTGCACAAGACGAAGGTATAACTTTTGTGAAAAAGGCAATTGAATACTTGGATAAAGCTCAAGACCCAGAAGATCCAGATACATGGGCTCAGCTTGCTGAAGCTTATATTGACTTAGGTAATTTACAGGATAATGAATCAGTTGAACAGGAAGAATCTTATAATAAGGCAGAGGAGATATTGAAAAGAGCCAATATTGCCTCTCATAATAAGTATCAGCATATATTGGATAATTTGAATAGTGATGAATTGTCTAAAGACGTAGAAAATACAAATCTATAAGTGTTTACATTTGTTTCGTTAATTTAGAGGTTATCAAATGATATAGACTTGTGTACTTCAATAACATAAAGATATAAATGACATTAATACATGTCCTTACAAGAACGTACACGCACATCTGTACATGTATATACATATATATACGTGTATGTGTGCGAAGGTATATACGTAAGACAAAAGAAGAAAAACAGAGAGAGAGGGAGAGTCGATAGGATAGTCACAACAGCTAAGAGTGCTGCTGATAATGTTTACAACATAAAACGATGTTTTCTCACTGAGTCTATCATTTATAGTAACCATAGATTTGTTTATTCAGGCTTTCACTGATTGGTCATTATTTAGCAATTTTTCTCCGCGGAGCAGATCCGTCTCTCATTGCTGTTTTGTTGGGTTTTTCCGCAATTCTTCCGGAGAAATAACGGATAATAACAACAATAGACGGCTGAAGGCATCGTCAAAACAAAGAAATGTCCATAATTAATTTGTTTTTTTATCTATTGTTGCATACATAATATAAATGAAAACAAAAGAAACTCTAAAAAAATCACTCGAAAATAAGTGGTCCCTTACAAAAAAGTGAACCAGATCGGGAAAGTGAACAATAGTATCTCCAAGCATGTATAATTGTTTTTTTTTTTAAATTGGGAAGAGTAAAAAAACAATTCAATTGTGTGATATTTTCCTTGCCTATTTACATAATATTGACATAAAAAAAACCAGAAAGTGTAATTAAACAAAAATACACAAATATCTATATATATATATATATATATATATATAGATTTGGATTGGTAAAACATATGTTGGTTTGTAATTTTGTTGACTTGTTATAATCGTCGCAAGATTGTAAGTTTACTTTAAGAGTTAAGGCGTGGAACTGACAGATTTGTTTTGAACTTTGACTGGGTTGTTGTTTTTATTTCTCTTTTTTTTTTTTCTTTCGATATCTTGATATTTACTTTTATTGATAGTTTACTTTTGTCTGCTATTTTATTCTCCGAAGCTAGCTATTATTAAGTTATCATATCCAAGGCTTCAGATTTATATATTATATAATAAATTTTAGATAGGTGTGGAGGATTTCTTCTGTCTTTTTGTCCTTTAATAGGGTTGTAGAGAAAGGTCGTGGGTACATACATACATATACACATACACACACACATATATATATATATATATATATATATATCTGATTATATTTCAACATGTCTTCTTACTACTTCAACTCAACTAATATCACAACAGCTTTAATAAACCAAACAGTAGATGGTGCCTCATTATCCCTTTATGCTGGGATGACCCCAAATTTTAGATTTAATACATGTATGGTCGTTATTTGGGGGATCCTTTTGGCAGCACATATAATTCAGCTCATTTATAAGCAATATTGGTTTTCTATTGCATTTATATGTACAGGAATTTTAGAAATTCTAGGATATATTGGGAGAACCTGGTCTCATCATGATACAACATTAATGGATCCATTCCTTTTAAATATGATCTGTCTTACTATTGCACCTGTTTTCACTATGGGTGGGTTATATTACCAAATGGCAAAACTGGTGGAAATTTACGGTCATAAATTTTCAATAATCAAATCTCCTATGCTTTATTCATATATTTTTATAGCTTCAGATATTATATCTCTGGCCATCCAGGCTGCTGGTGGTGGTACTGCTGGTATGGCAGTGACTGATGGGACTTCTACACATCAGGGTGATAGTATTTTTGTGGCGGGGTTAGCTGTTCAAGTGGCCTCCATGGTAATATTTCTTATATTATGGTTTTATTTTTTACACGCTGCATTTATAGGAACAAGATTAAAACATTTGAATCAAAATCCAAGAAAACTTTACTCAAGGAGTATTTGGACCTTGACTCAACAAGATATTGATTATATGTATGTGAAAAGATATCACAATTTAAGATTGGAACCAGATAGATGGCAATTCCGTTACTTCACACTTGCAATGAGTTTCGCAGTCTTAACTATCTTTACACGTTGTGTTTATCGTCTTTGTGAATTGGCGGAAGGCTGGTCAGGGTACTTGATCACACATGAATGGTATTTCATTATTTTAGATGCATTAATGATTGCACTTGCTACTGTGACAATGACTATTTTCCATCCTGGGTATGCGTTTTTAGGAAGAACTACATCCATTCCAATCGGAACGGAAAAAGGAAGAGCAAGTAGAAAGAGAAATTCTAAGTGGTTCAATTTTAAGAGAAATAAAAAGAGTAATAATAGCGATGTTGTAGACGGCTATGACTTAGAGATTGGCGATTTTGAATCTAGCAGTGGGACTGATGAAGACAATACTATTGAAGATGAGAAACGTTACAGTGTCCCAAAGGTGAATGATGAGTCAAATAGAAAGTCTAGAAAAAATAAATGGGTATTTTGGTAAATTTTAATAATAAGATATGCTAAATCACCAGTTTGATTTTTTTGATGATAGTCATTATCAAAATGCAATTTTAATTCTATTATTGTAAGTTATTTCTAGTTCGTTAAAAGCATTAATAATAATGCAACATTTTAAATTTAGTCATTGTTACTTTGACCACATATTAATGATACCCCTGCTAATGCCTCCAAAAATCAATATTATTTATTCCTTTTACGCAGTCATTTAAAAAACATTGCATGTGCATATATATATAGATTCGTGGATAGGTAGATAAGTAGATATATATGTATGTATAGATAACAGTAGCTATCTTATTTTACACAATGTATTTAAACAATAAAAATAGAAAAATAGAAAAATAGAAAAATAGAAAAATAGAAAAATAGAAAAATAGAAAAATAAAGAAAAAAGAAAAAAGGCTAATACAAAACTCAGGGACTTTGTATGCATTTCATGTAAGTCAATTGCACATTTAGTTTCTTTCCCAAGTGTGCCTTTGATTACTTGATTTACTCGTCGACTCAAGTAGATTTTATATATAATCTTTGTTAATTCTTGTATCTCCTTCTGCTTAATCGACATAGTAAAGACAATAAAATGAAAAAAATTTTTTTTTGTTTTTTCAAAAGGATAAGAGAATAGGAAAAGAAAAAGAAAAAGAAAAAGAAAAAGAAAAAGAAAAAGAAAAGAAAGAGAGGCAATCATTTTCAATGTTTGTAAATAGCAAGAAAAAGCTGAGCTTTTATTATGTAAGTAATACAATGAAGCCACTTATCTTAACCTATGTGGTGATATAACTTGCGGTTATTACTTCGTGTATACGTGTATATATACCTCAGTTTTAGCATTTACCACTTTAAAAAAGACAAAAGAACAGGTAAACAATAGATTGGAGTAGTGTTGGTATTTAAACATGGGTGTGCCATCATTTTTCAGATGGTTATCAAGAAAATATCCTAAGATTATCTCTCCAGTGATTGAGGAACCTGCTCCAGTAGTGGATGGGGTGGAATTACCTTTAGACTATGCTGCACCTAATCCAAATGGTGAATTGGACAATCTTTACTTGGATATGAACGGTATTGTTCATCCATGTTCTCATCCAGAAAATAGACCACCACCAGAGACTGAAGATGAAATGCTACTTGCAGTATTTGAATATACCAATCGTGTATTGAATATGGCAAGGCCAAGAAAAGTTCTTTTTATGGCAGTAGATGGTGTTGCTCCAAGGGCTAAGATGAACCAACAAAGGTCCCGTAGATTTAGAAGTGCAAGAGATGCCCAATTGGCTAACGAGGCAAAAGAAGAGGAATTGAGGGAAAGAGAGATGCATGGTGAGGTTATTGATGAAGCTGTGAAGAATAAAAAAACTTGGGATTCTAATGCAATTACTCCAGGAACACCATTTATGGACAAACTAGCTGCTGCATTAAGGTACTGGACTGCTTTTAAATTATCAACTGATCCTGGTTGGAAAAATTTGCAAGTTATTATAAGTGATGCAACTGTCCCAGGTGAAGGTGAACATAAAATTATGAACTTTATAAGATCTCAAAGAGCTGATCCAGAATATAGTCCAAACACTATTCATTGTATCTATGGGTTAGATGCAGATTTAATTTTCTTGGGTTTAGCTACACATGAACCACATTTTAGAATACTAAGAGAAGATGTTTTTGCACAAGAAAGTAAGAAAAGAAATGTTGATTTGAGTCGTCTAAGTGAGGAGGAAAGACAAATTTTAATAAAAAAGGATTCTCAGAAACCCTTTATCTGGTTACATATTCCTGTATTAAGAGAGTATCTAGCTGCTGAACTATTTGTTCCAAGGTTACCATTTCCCTTTGATTTAGAAAGGGCTATAGACGACTGGGTTTTCATGTGTTTTTTCTGTGGTAATGATTTCTTGCCACATTTACCATGTTTAGATGTTAGAGAAAATAGTATCGATATTTTGTTAGATATTTGGAAGGTAGTTCTACCTACATTAAAGACTTACATGACTTGTGATGGTGCATTGAATTTGGAATCTGTAGAGCTTCTTCTAAAAAAATTGGGGAGTCGTGAACCAGATATATTTAAAGTCAGGCATATACAAGAAGTAAGAAAAAAAGAGGCTATGGCTAGAAGAAATCAAATTAAATCAAAAAACCTATCAACAGGTGAAGATCATCATCCATTAATTCCTGATGAACAGTTACCTATGTATGATCAAAATGGTACTTTGGCTCCTGGTGCTTGGAACTTAACTACATCAGATATGGTGAGATTGAAGAAGGAGATAATGCTTGCTAATGAGGGTGATGAAAAAGCATTGGCTATAGTAAGAGCACAAAGTGAAAAGAACAATAAATTGCTGGAAGAAGTAACAAAGGAAGAAATGGAGAAAGCAGTTGAGATTGCTAATAAATCAAACTTTTCAACTGCAGAAATATTAAAGAAGAAGCTCGCTCAAAAGAAACATCAACTTGAAGAGAAGGAAACTGAGGAGGAACATACTGATGAAAAGGTGGTTAAAAAACAAAAGACTGATGCAGATGATTTAGTAGATAAAATCACAGCAGATGTTGAGGCAGAAGATGAAGATGAAGACGAAAATGAAGACGAAAATGATCAAGATGAAACTGAAGACGTATCAAGTAATACTGCTTTAGAGATGAAACCAACATTAGTTATGTATAATTCAGAAATTACATCAGGAGTTATTGATACAGATGAATTAGTTAAGTTGTATGAGCCAGGTTATCATGAAAGATACTACACTGCGAAGTTCCACATACCAGTAGATGAGGTTGAATCTGTTAGAAAAGATATGGTTAAGTGTTACATAGAAGGGGTTTCATGGGTATTATTATATTATTATCAAGGGTGTCCTTCATGGAACTGGTATTATCCATACCATTATGCCCCATTCGCAGCAGACTTTTTCGGTTTTACAGACCAGAAAGTTACTTTTGAACTGGGGGAACCATTTTTACCGTATGAACAGTTAATGAGTGTTTTACCTGCGGCTTCAGGTCATACTCTTCCACCAATCTTTAGATCGTTGATGAGCTCTCCTGATTCTCCAATTATTGACTTTTATCCAGAGAATTTTGCTATAGATATGAATGGTAAAAAAATGCCATGGCAAGGTATTGCATTATTACCTTTTATAGATGAGAAGAGATTATTAAATGCTGTTAAAGCCCAATATCCAAAGTTAACAGAAGCAGAAAGATCAAGAAATGTTAGAAAGGAATCAATTTTATTAATAAGTAATAAAAATGTCTACTATGAAAAGTTTTCTAAAAAATTATATACTGAAGTTGGAGATAATACAGAATTAGTCTTCAGACATTTTAAGAGCGGTCTAAGTGGGATAATAGCTAAAGATGTTGAAGGTTTCTGTGTTAATAGCAAAACGCCATGTCCAGTTGAAAGTGGATCATTGCCTGAATTATCTACTAATTTGTTTCTAAAGGTCCTATATAAGTTGCCTCCCTTGCCATCACCAAATAAGTCTCTGCTGTTAAATGGATATATTCCACCCAAGCCACTGCTTGATCAATATGAACTTAGTAAAATTAAACACAGTGGTAATCGTGGTCCTAACAGATGGCGTTTTAATAATGATATGAAGAATAATTTTGTTCCTGTTGGACCAGAAGGTACAACTCAGTATAGTCCTAGAATAGGAGGTTACAAATCATTTTTTTATTTTTCCAATGCTAACAATAATAACAGTAATGCAGTACAAAATGATAATTATGGATATGGGGGGAACATTCCTAGAATACAGGATACGAGATATGGTAACAATTATAATAGTAGTTATAATAATAATCGAAATTTGTATTCACAACACCTACCTAACAATTACAAAAACAACAATAGAAACTATAATTATGGTTATAATCGTTTTACTGGGAATAGATATAACAATCAATATCAAGGAAGGTATAATAGCCAATACCAAGGAAGGTATAATAATGGTAATGTTAATAATTCGGGCTTTAGTAGATACAATAATGGTGGATATTATCAAAATAATGATCGTAGATAAAGCTAAAATGTAATGGTAGATGTAGATATGTTTTGGATATTTCATAATAGGTTTGTATATTTTTTTTAGTATTCTAAATAACTTTAGAATAGGTATTTTGAACCACGTTGCTTTTTTATTAGTATTTTGTAAGAATCGGTGGTATCAATACTTCTATATGAATAAAACTTTATGGTTAATTGAAAATAATAATCGCATTTAGTGTTTTGTATGTTAGTAGTATTTTGTTTACATTGATGCTAGTCTTCCCGTATAGGACTCAAACATATTTGTAATACCTTCTGAATATAATAAAATGGTTGATTTCAACAATGTAATAGTAGAATTTTATCTTAAAATATTATTAATTGCTGAGGAAATTCATAAATATTTTTATTTATATATATATATATCTATACACTTATATTAATTATTTAATATAAAAAATCTGTTTTATAATTTACAAAAATATGGTATATTGTATATTGTAAATGCATAATAGATAGATAGAATTCAGCATGAATTTTTAATGTTTTACATGCTTATATAAACATCAATCTGTTTGCAAGTCCTTTTAGTAATCTAAGAAGTTGCTAAGTTTTTTCTCAATAATATTACAAATCTTTTTTTTTGATTATTAAATTTGCTTTGCTCAATATTTTCTATACCTAAAAATAGTGGTGGTTTGAATCCTATGGGATTTTTAATAATGTATTTTTAAAAGTTGAAAATTTAATTTTTATCAGCTTCTTAGAGAAAGTAAGTTTTATTTATAACAGGTTATTTCTGGTTCAGATCAAAATAATATTAAAAATTTTCTGTTGTATTATATTTTTCCTCTGGATGAATAATATTAGTATACATGTTCTTAGCGTCGGTGATCATACAATATGTTATTATTGTGTATTATTATTATATTGATATGTAGTGTAATTTTCCCTCGATGTTTTGATTCGGAATTAATAATTATATAAATACAAAAGAAACATATGATAAAGCGTATATAACTTATTCATCCAGATTGAAAAATTAATAAGTAAAGTCGTCTACTTATATATGTTTACCTTTTGGCAATTTTTCATAATATATTAATTTATTTTGATTCTGTTTGATCTTATCTCCATAACGTTGAATGTGCAAAACAAATATTTTTCCTCTTTGATATATTTACATGTTACTCAAACCGGTAATATATCAATCCAGCAATTTTTTATATGTTCTTCATTTTTTTTTTGGTTCTTTGTTTCATTAATATATTTAGCTGAAACAACTAAAATCGTTTAGATTTCAAGTTAAATTAAATAATTTTATTTTATTTTCTTTTATCTTTGTATTTTGATTAATATATATATATATATATATATGTTTGATGTAAAGCATTTCTTATTAATGAATAATAATTTTGTTACTGATCATTATTTTCAGTATGATTAGTAAATTAGCAACAACTTATTTTTCAAAATTGGATGAATTAATATGTATATATATATATTTCATAAAAAGAATTATCTAATTTGGTACTGCTAAAAACTGGCAGTTACATAAATATAAGCTAAATAATTTGTACCTATTTCATTTATTAATAACCATGTAATTTTTTTGTCTCATTAATTTGTTATTTGGTAATATTGGAGGGTTTGTTTTCAATGATATTTCAAATGTTTCATTTATTTTTATGTAGGGACCTTCTCTGGATGAATATTATTATTATACATGTATTTAGCCTCTGTGATCATATTATAAGTAATATTATGTGTTATTATTTGTGTTAATATATAGAGTAATTTTTTCTCGATCTCTTATTTGAGAATTAACAACTATACAAATATAAAAAAAACATAATGATATGGTGTATATATATTATTCATTCAGATTGGGAAATTAATAAGTAAAGTTGTCTACTTACATATTCTTTACTTTTTGACAAATTTTCATAGTATGTTGGTTTATTTTTGTTAAAATATGGCTAGAGTTATGTTTGACAACCTAAATTCACTATACTAAGTTATTAAAAGTTATGAAAATTTATATTAAAGAAGATTCGAAGATAAAATGAGTATACTGTATAATATTGTATTTTGTATATTGCTTATGTAGAAAGAAAAGGACCAAGCAATACAATAATAATTTATAGTACCACTAATTTCCTACTATAAATAACAATAAAATTTGTAATACCACCAATATCCTATTGTAAGTTACATTATCTTATTATATTGATCTAAAATGAACTCTACTAGAATTTTTGATTCCGAAGCCTTGCGTCAACAATTTTAATTCTGTTTGATCTTATCTCAGTAATACTGGATGTGTTTGACAAACATTTTTCTTCTTTGATATTTTTATTTATTTCTTAAACAGGTAATATATCATTCCAGTAGGAACAATATCTGTTTGTTATTTATTAGAAGTCGTCTTGGTCTGTGTTGACGCAAGGCTTTGGAATCAAAAATTCTAGTAGAGTTCATTTTAGACTAATATAATAAGATAAGGTAACTTACAATAGGATATTGGTGGTATTATAAGTTATTCCTTGGTCCTTTTCTTTCTATATAAGTAATATACAAGATACAATATTATACAGTATACTCATTTTATCTTTGAATCTTCTTTACTATAAATTTTCATAACTTTTAATCACTTAGTACGATGAATTTAGATTATCAAACATAACTCTAATAATTATATTTCAACAGTCTGGCTTTTTTTAGATTTGTTTAATTTTGACATGTTGTTTTTAAATTATTTTTTCACATAAGTAATATTTTTACCTTCTTTTTTTTTTTCAATAATAATTTTAAAAACATTAAAAATCGCCAAAATATTAAAACTTTATGAATTTTAAAAATATTAAAATTCCAAGAAAATTGAGGATATAAATGTTAAAATAGAATGTTCTATAATGAAATAGATAGAACAATAAGATTTTAGCAGACACTAAACGATAAATTGTTGAGTAATAATTGTTGAGAGGTCACCAAATGTTGTTGAGTTTGTTTAATAAATATCTTACTGCTCGTAGAGGAAAATAGCTTAATGTTAACATATATAAAGCTAAGGATTTCATCATACATTATTTTTATCTTATTTACAATCTTTGTATATTATTATTTCTATGTTGTATATAGAGAAAGTGAAGAACTTTATTATAATTTTGTATACTAAATCTGTTTAATATAATATTGAGAATGTTTACTATATATTCAATGACTACAGACGCTCACTCTCAACACTTATTTTATTTTGTATTAAGTACATGTATATACTTATTATATTGTGTATACAGTATAAATTCTTTTATTTACTTTGACTTTTCTTTTAAGTTTTTCATTTCTCTTCAAATCGCTGAAAAACATATTTGGTGAAAAATAAAATGGTTTCTCATATATTATTATATATCTGTCCACCACATAATAAGCAGAAAAACTAATTAAAATTAATCCTTATGGAAATGACAATAATAAACTCTCATTTTCCAACAAGAACAATTGACAATCGTTACAAAATACATTTAAAAATTATCCTATAAATATATGTATATTTATTAATATAAAGTACTATGTCAAAGGTGTAAATTGGTATTCCGATGTAGTGTAACGGCTATCACATCACGTTCTCACCGTGGAGACCCGGGTTCAACTCCCGGCTTCGGAGTTTTTTTACTAGGACGATATCCCTCCTAACAGTAATAAATGGAGACCTATTACGAGGAGATGTACTCTTCTAGAATAGTAAAATAGGTGGATGACACTTTTTTATTTCTGTATATATGATACATAAACTATCGTCTACACAGGGTGTAATAGATGAAAACCCTATTACAAGGAGATACGCTCTTCTAGACACTAAAATAGATATATATAGCTTGATTTGTTGTCTATATATGATATATGAACTATACTCCACACAAGGAATAAACTAACATACACAGATATTCAGATAAATAAAGTTATATAAACAAGATAAAAAGGAAAAACAAGAATGTCATCGCCTACTAAAGAGTTCACGAGATCGGTTATAGTGACATCAGGATTTCATATATCACAGGTTAGTACATTTTGTCTAAACGCTTATTATAGATAAAAATTCATTACAAGGACTATAATCTTCTAGAATGTAAAATTAGATAAATGATTCTTGGTTGTTTTCTATATATGATCCAATTGTGTATATAGAATGAGAAGACAAGAATTTCATTATCAAATGAAGAATTGGCAAAACAATTTGCCGTGATGTCAGAACAAAATATATCGCATTATAGATGTAAATTCAAAGATTTGAAAATAAAATAGATATATCAAGCTATAGACTTCAAAACACCCATATGATGGTCACTAGAGTAAATAGATAGAATGGTATTTTAAGAAACTACTGTAAGAAGGACTGGGCAACGTGACAAATAGAAGCAAGAAATAGAAACTATATCTTTTTGTTTTTCATTAGTCATCAACAGATATCTAAATCATAATAAAGCTACATTCACTCAGTATGAAATGATCACCAAGACTATAAAAATGTTGTTTGAGAAACTATAGATTTTGACATGTCAAAAAAAGTTATTAAGTGACTTTTATAAATCTTAATGAAATATTCAATCAACAAGGGAAAACATATATGTGTGCTCTCTAATTGAACATGCTCATCAATTTCTATAACAAAACCGTTCTCAAATTCCGAATGAAAATTAGATAAAGATATCAAAACATTTTTAGTGATCAAAATATAAATTTATTCATTAATTTAACATATATGTATACACAAATAATATAAAAAAATTAGCAGATTTATGAATAAGGAAACTGTTTACCTTCATTTATATCTGTAAAACCATAACAAATGAGAAATAATGCTTCTTAGGGAAAGTGGAAAAGAATTCTGTGAATAGTAAAATGCAATCAAAAAGACAGATATAACACCGATGAACATAAAAAAAAAGCAAATAGATAAAAAAAAACTATTCAATTATTTTTCTTATTTAATTCAATATAACAATCTGATAGAAATCTTTGCTTCAGTGTTGTTTAATTGCTCATAGATATCCTTAATATCACTTTGATTAACTGAAGAGATATCAGCCATCAAATAAGCAATATCGCCTCTAGAATCTGAATATTGTTTTTCAATATTGTGATCCGATAAGATATTGTTGACAGTCTTTAGCACACCAGGAACGTTCTTGTGAATGTACAGAACACGGACAGTATTTTCTTGATCGTAATCCAATGCTTTCAAACTAACTTCTGGGAAGTTAACAGCGCCAACACTAGCACCTTCATTAATATATTTGGACAATGCATGAGAAACCTCAACACCAATTGCAGACTGGGCTTCTTCTGTAGATCCGCCGATATGTGGGGTTAAAATAACATTTGGTAAAGAAACTAAATCAGAAGTCCATGAATTTAAGGAATCAACGAATAGACCAGCACCATTCTTACCTGGTTCACTTGGATACACATCTAATGCAGCACCAGCAATCTTTTTAGCCTTCATCGCCATAATTAAAGATGGAATATCAACAACTGTACCTCTTGAAGCATTAATCAAATAAGCGCCATCTTTCATTGAGGCAAACTGTGGAGCAGAGATCATATTTTTAGTTTCTGGAGTTTCAGGGACATGTAAAGACACAAAATCTGATCTACTTAACAATTCATCCAAAGTTGGAACTTGTTTAGCTGTACCTAACGCCATGATAGTGACAATATCATAGTAGATAACATGAAGACCCATGGCCTCAGCTAAAACAGATAATTGAGAACCAATATGACCGTATCCAATAATACCTAAGGTCTTACCTCTGACTTCCCAGCATCTGTTGGAAACTTTATTCCAGGTACCAGTATGCAATTCGATAGATCTATCACCTACTTGTCTTGCTAAACTGATGATTTCAGCTATAACCAATTCTGCTACAGATCTAGAATTAGAGAATGGAGAGTTGAAGACAGCGATACCTCTTTTAGCAGCGTATTCTAAGTCGACTTGGTTAGTACCGATACAGAAACAACCAATAACAACTAAATTTTTTGCATGTTTTAAGACCTTTTCAGTTAATTTAGTCTTTGATCTGATACCAATTGCATGGACGTCTTTAATCTTTTCAATCAACTCATCCTCTGGTAAGGAACCCTTATGGAAATCAACTTGATAACCTTGTTCTTTAAAATTAGCGATAGCAGTCTGGTTAACATTTTCTAATAAAAGAATCTTGATATCACCCGTAGAGAATGGTTTAAGAACTTTCTGTTGCTTAGATAAACTCAAACGACGTGGCAAAGTGTTCATAAATGACTGAGTTGGGGAGGTTGAGACAGCATTTGGCGAAGAGCCCAAATTAACATTATATTGGAAAGCATTTTGTAAGTTATTAATATCTTGGGAATTCATGGTTGATAATAAAGATGTATACTAAGGGCTATAAATAATTCTTAGACTGTAAGAACAACTCGGACAATATATTGGCCAATGGTGTTATGATTGTTTGTAGCTTTATTATGCAATAGGTCTAAAAACGGAAATAAGCAATGAGAAGAAATGCAATTACTTTTGAAGATTCGAAACCAGAGGGAAAAGACATCAAATCATGACGATCTTGTCCTTTATATACATGTTGATTACTCCAAAAAAAAATACTAAAATACATAACGTGAAATTAATCATATTATAAACCCAATGACACCATCTCTCCTCATAACTTTTATCATCTCACAGACCACCAAGAAGAATAACCTCCTTTGACAATAAAGAATGAGGGAGCAAATTGTGTCATAACGTTTGTAAAAATAAATAGAACAAGTAAACATCTGAGAAAAAGAAAAGCAGAATCATAACGCCGTCCTCCTGCTATACAACCGCTTGAACTACCTTGACTCTGGCAAAATGAGTCAATCTACCACACAAATTCTCGTATACGTATATATGTGTGGATATATCCGTATACGTGTATCAGCTAATAATAGTAATAACAACAAGATCTCCTTCCATCTAGAGCCAATTTACACAACTCGAAGGAGGGGGAGGGGCTAAAATCTTTCACAAGGAGACCAAAAAAACTACAAAAACAAAAACAAAAAAAAGAAACGAGCAAAAAATAGAGGTCTCCCCAAACCCCCTCGACAAAATCAACACACTCATAATAAGATTGATGAGGAAACAGGTCAGCACTTATTAACACCCACTCTTGTTGTTGTTGTTGTTGTCGTCTTTGCATTCCTCATTAAGACACAACACCATATGAGATGAGTGGATGTTCTATGGGACTCCACATTATTGTAATTGTAGAATAAACTGCGGTGTTTAAAACTGTGATGGGACTTTGTCTAAGACCAAAGTATTAATAACAATAGAAAAAGACAATAGAGAAAAATTTTTTCTCTATTGTTCTTCTGTGTATCAGCGTAGACGAAAGAACTTAAGAAGAGAAAGTGAAGAAAAAAAAAGAGATGAAAGCAAGAAAGGCATCTGACCGTAGTTAAGAAGAAATGAAGAGCTTACAACTTCTCAACCTTTTATACCTTTGAAATAAGAATCATCTTTGATCGTGGCTATTTTTTAGGATCTGTTTCCAATTTGAACGGTGTCTGTAGCATTTCTACAGCAAAAGTTAGCATTTTCACATACTTTTCACCGGAGTTGCATTTCCTACAGTCAGTTTTTTGCCTCGATGATTACCGTATTAGGAAATTCCTTTCACGGAAATTGGTCATGAGAGAGGAATTACAACTCCGTATTCCTTCCCCTTCTTCGTCTTCTTCTTTTTTTTTTTTTTCATATTTCCTTCGCTTCATAAATTTTAGTGTTGTAACTGCAGTTAGCCATGATTTAACTAAAACATATGATTCTATTAAAAAAAAAAAGATAGATAATGAATGATACATGACAAAAGTAAAGTGATAATTGTTTTGTCATATTCTATTTTTGGTTTATAATCCATTTACGATAAATAACACAAAAGATCTACGAAGGGAGCAAAAAAGAGTAAAGATAATAAATTCTAGAATAATTAAGGAACTATGCAATATTATTAATATTATTATTAAATAACAACTATTCTTCGCAATGAAATTACATAAAAAAAACTAAAATTTTTATATTTGTAAAAAATAATACATCGAATGAACCAACAATGTACATAAAATTTTATATACATCCTCAGAATATCTTATCAATTTTGATTTTTAGAAGAAGAAGAAGAAGAAGAAGCCGGTGCTGTTGGCTTTTGATGTGACTTGATAACATAATTACCATTTTCATCTGGAACAATTACTCCATTATTTAATAACGTGTCGAACATATCTTGTGGCACCCAACCTTTTGTGGCTGCAAATGGTGTGGAGATCAATTTTTGATGCAATTTATTAATATCATTTATATGTTTTTCAATTTGTTCTTTAGTAAACTCCAATGGGAAATCTTTCCTCGAAACAATCTTATTTTCAAATAAATCACTCCAAATCGTTTTCAATTGTAATAAATTCTCATCAATAATCAAATATCCATCGTCTGTTTTACATTCTGACATAGCGACATATGGACTTCTTAATCTTTTAATCGGTGGTGCCATTGAAGTAATCAATTTTGGTTGTCTTTTATTTAACGCATCCTCCCATAAATACTGATTTCTTGTTCTTTTATAAATAAACTGACACTGTGCCTTCTCTGTATCTGGTAATTTCTCATACTCTGGAATTTCACTCTTAATATTGTAAATCTTAGGACCATCATATTCGACAAATTTTGGTGAGTTTTGAATTATAAAAGGTTTAACGCTTGTATTTTCAAAATCAATCAGATATGGTTTATTACCGTCTTTAGAATTAATAATGATATTCATTGGATCTAAATCCGGCAAAAATAATCTCGGCTTTAACAAATCTACAAAATTTGGAATCTTTTGACTCACTTCGGAGTTCAAAGCGCTAGTGAATAGGTATGGCGATACATTGATCATATTTTCAAATGTTCTCTTTTGCTCTTTCAATAATTCAATTTTATCAATTTCAGGGGATGAACCAGCTTCAATTAATGCTAGTCTTTGTTTAACATTCTCTAATTCTACTGATGCCAAATTTTTGATTATCAAAGTAACATCCTTTTTATCCCATGGACCTAACTGTTCTTTTGAAGGTGATTGTTTTTTATCCTTCCAGAAATTTCTTTCTACAATTGGACCAATACACCACCTATCATCAATAATTTCACTAATTTTATCTGAATAATCGGTATTCATAACATCCTTTTTGAAGTAGATAGAACCAATGCTTCGAAATTCAAATGAAAGTAACTTACAATAAATGTCACTTATGCAGTCAATTACATCCATCAATTGTTGTTTTGGTTTCCCATTTGGTTCATCATCTAATAAAGGATCCCATCTTTTCATCAAAAGATCCCCGCTGATATATTCTTGAATAACAAATGGGATACCTACTGGATTAGAACTATCTAAACCATATGCGAAAATTTTTGGGGTATCAATCTTCAATTTAATATTTATAAAATCTTGAGTAGCAATTTCACTTTGCATTCTTCTAAAAATATTCTCTGGAGAATCAACCAAATATGGAATGCGTAAAATTAAATCTTTGTTTGGAATATTGGTTGTTAATTTATATACACGATGATGTTTACCTTCATGGATACTAGATACGGTTTTAATAAAAACTTGTTTTTCATCCGGATTCAAAATGTTTAGATTAGACACAGTAGTATTATTAGGTAAAATATTGATATTTTGATTATCCAATTTTATTGGACCAATTATATTTTTTGTGTTTGGATTAGTCTTACTGAATTGATATATATTGTTAATTACTTTTGTCAACCCTTCGATAGAAAATTTAGTTACCCTTTTTTCTTTTTCTAATTTATCATTAGTCAACCATGTACCCCAAGTATATTGAAAAATCGTATCTCTATTTTTATCATCGGTATCGGATAGCTTTGTATAAAGTTGTTTGGGTTCATCTGAAATTGATCTTTTGATAGTAACAATAGCCTGAAAGAATGGACTTTTCCTTGGGCCAACAATCTTATAATTACTGTTTGCAACAACTATGGATCTTATATTATTCGAAGAGAAAGATATAATATTTCTAACCCCTCTTTTTAATAAAGGGTTAAAAATTTTAACAGAACTTCTAAGCATATGTAGACAAGGGTACTTTATCTTTAGAAGACTCTTTAGACGCACCTATAAGACAGATATAGTAACCAGATGATACTACTATATATATAGAATAATATACACTTAATAAGTCACTGAAGATGGAATTAACAATTATTAATAGAAGTAATAATAATCATGTTTGCTAAATTCCCTTTCATAGTTTTAAATTTATTTCTCATGCATTTCTCTCTGTTTGCTATTTTTCTTCTTGTCTGTTTTTCAATCATCTTGTAAAGAAAAAAAGTTAGGGTGTTAATAGTTTTACTTCATTTGTTTTCCTTGTGCTCCCACAAAAAATTAGGGTTTTTGATAATTATGATGCTCCGTAGTTTGTGTTTTTCCACTCATTTCTGGATAAAAAAATGACTCAGTAAGGGTCGTGAATCAACCTCAATCCTCTGTTCTCCACCTTCGCAGTTATCAATGGAATATTAAGCATAAAACTATATTAGCTATATTATATGCAAACTTGTATCTATAAACCTATCAACTCTGATAATTGCTCGGTGGCTTTTATCATTGTTTAAACCTACCAAAGATAGATATATAGCAATGTCCACTTATACATATCTTCGAAGCTTAAGCAATCGTCTTTTTAATCATAATAAGTATTTACTTAATAATAATAAAAGATTGTTCTCTACTACGAAATCCCAATTATCAAGACCAGTATATTTTAATAGACAGAGAATACCAATCGAAACAGGTCAACCAATCCACGAGACTCGTCCCGATTTAATTAAATGTGGTGATCTGACTCCGGGCATCTCCGCTAAAGAATATCACCTAAGAAGGTCTAAATTAATGTCACAGGTTCCTGATAATTCATGCATAATTATACCAGGAAGTGATATTAAATTTGCTACTGGTTCTGTTTTTTATAAATTTCAGCAAGATAATGATTTTTTTTATTTAAGTGGCTGGAATGAACCAAATTCCGTTCTAGTCTTAGAAAAAAGCAGTAATAATAGCAATAATAGTAATAACAATGACTTTAATTTTTATCTATTTGTTCAGCCAAAGGATGAATTTGCTGAAAAATGGGAAGGCTATAGAACTGGTATTGATGGTGCTGTCGAAATTTTTAATGCAGATGAGGCTTTTAATATCAATTTTTTAGACCTTATACTCCCAAAAATCTTGAAAAGAAATAACTTAATATGGTTTGATCCAAAAAACCCAAATTTAAATTCTACTATTAAGAAAATAATAGATGATAATGCAAATTCATTAAAAATCATAAGAAATTATAAAAATTTAGTGTCTCAATTAAGGAAGATTAAATCCACAGCCGAAATTAACGTCATGAGGAAAGCTGGTCAAATCTCAGGTAAAAGTTACAATCAAGCCTTTGCCAACAGATTTAGAAATGAAAGAACTCTGGCTTCTTTCTTAGAATATCATTTTGTATCAGGTGGATGTAATGGGAATGCATATATTCCTGTTATAGCCACTGGTGGAAATGCACTTTGTATTCACTATACAAGAAACGATGACGTAATGTATGACGATGAACTAGTCCTTGTAGATGCCGCTGGTTCTTTAGGTGGATACTGTTCAGATATATCACGTACGTGGCCAGTTAATGGCCAGTTCTCTGATGCTCAAAAAGATTTATATCAAGCTATTTTGAACGTCCAAAAACAATGTATTGAATTATGCAAGGAATCAAACCAATTAAGCCTGAATGATATCCATGAAAAAAGTATAAAATTTATGAAACAAGAGATTAAAAATTTAGGTCTTTCTAACATCACAAATTGGGATGTGGAAAGACTTTATCCACATTACATTGGCCATAACCTTGGGTTAGACGTCCACGATATACCTGAAGTGTCTAGAAGAGAATTATTAAAGGAAGGTCAAGTCATTACTATTGAACCAGGTATTTATATACCAGATGATATACAATTCCCAGAATATTTCAGAAACGTTGGTATTCGAATCGAAGACGACATTGTTGTTGGAAAGGATACATACATAAACTTAACAGTTGAGGCTGTTAAAGAAATAGTTGATTTAGAAGCTATAATGCAACGTGGTGAGACATTATCAAAATTTGAACATGATGTTGTAAATCCTCTGAACGATCTTTAATATTGAAACTTCTATTCCTCTCTAATAAATATGCATCTAAAAATACAAGTAAAAACAACTATACAAACATGTATATATATAAATATATTTCAAGTAATTACATAAAATTTACTTCTTGTATCAGCTCTTAAAAAAGAGTACAGTAAATATAGGAATAATTTTTTTTTTATAGAAGAGACATTTAATGAAATTGGAAAAAAAAAGGAAACTTATAACCAAATACTGTACTGCAAGAAAGAGCTAAATATAAAGTTTAAAGCACTACATAACAATATGATGACTTAAGATAATTGGACAGGTAAACAATTATATTTACATATAAACATAAATACGCTTTCTCCATAATTAATCAAAATCGATGCTATTGTCATCATATATATCTACATTTTTAGGGTTGAGATATTTCCATGTGTATTCAAGAATTCAAGGCTCACAGATTAAGGAAAAATTATCATATTTGGAAAAGTATAATGGCATTTTAAACAAATCTTCTAATGAATTAAAAAGATTAAATGTCAAAAAGCAAATTAAATTAAAAAGATTGCATAAAAGGGCCTATCCTAAATATCAAGCATTAGATGTAATTAGGAAGAAATACCCAGAATTTCAAGATTCATCTCATAACAATAAGATAAATATTGGCCCTACTACAAATAATGATCTTCAAATATTGTCTCGTACTAAAGACAAAAGATTAATATACTCGATCTTAGGTATAACAGGTGAACAATTAAGAGATTCCAAATTAATTGTTATAGATGTAAATAAATTTCTTGAAAGGGGTCAACTAGAAAAAGCTTTATATTTAGTCAAACTAGCAAAGGGGAAAAGTGGGAGTGGAATGGATTCTATAATAAAATATTATTTGTACAAATTACAATCACCTAAACAAGCTCTTTCCTTATACCTTTGGAGAAAAAAAAATAAAATACCTTCCACGAAGTATTCTTACACAATATTTTTTGATGGTATGGCCAAACAACCCAATTTATTAAGCAAGTCATTAGGGGCATCATTGTTTAATATTGTAGAAAATGTTATTAAAGAAAGACAGCAGCAAAAAGAGGAACAAATTGATAATGATGATATTAATATATCTATAATCGAATTTAATGCAATGTTAAACGGGTTAGCCAATTGTGAGGATCCAATATATGCATTAAAATTGTTTAATAAATTGAATGAGTATACACCGATCTTAAAAGATTGTAGATCCGCCAAGTATGATCCTATGTCACTTACCTATTTATTTAAAGCCATTGAGAATATAAAGGATCAAACTATGTTCATAGAAACCTTCAATAGTGCAATTAATTCTATCAATGGAATAAAAATAGATAAACCATTATGTTTCCAAATTGCTAAAACTTTAGGATCTTATACAAAAAACAAATCTATTTCCCAGCAATCTCTTGTAGCTATTGAAAAGTACTTTGATGTTTATAAAGAAAATGATTCACGTATAGCATCTTTGAACCATAGTTTAATCAAATTACCAAATTTATCTAAAATTACCAAAAAAATCGACCCATTTCAAGTTAATCTTCCCGTTGCAGGCTATTACCTTAAAAAATGCTATGATTTAAAATATTATTCTAGAGGACTTAAGTTTATTGAAACCTTTTTGTTAGAAAAACATCCCGATTTAATAGATGTCACAAATGCTTATCATTATATGAAACTTACTATTATGCAATATCCAACTTCATGTGTCTCACGTTGTATTTCTATATATGAGAAATATCTATCAAAGAAGGAAATTCCAAACAAATATGGGTTGATAACCATCTATGAGGCATTTTTAAAAGAATCAAAAAAACATTTTGTTATTAGAGATCCAAAGCAATTAAATAAATTCTTATCACAATTACATGATTTTATCACAAAATGGGATAGTAAATATTATAAAGTTAAAAATAAAAATAAATCCGTAACTTTATATAATAAGGATTCTTGGAAATTTATTATAAAAATTTTATCAAATATAAAAAAATATGGTGGTAAAATACCTTTAATAGAACAAAACAAAATTATTATTGAATATTTAAAATGTCTACTATATGATACACAATTTCAATTGGCGAATCTTAGTATGAAAGAGTATGAGGTAGAAAAATTTCTTGAATTGGGTATGGTTAAGATTATTAATGACGTTATTGAAAAAAATAAAATACCTGATTTCAAAGACAATATGGGTACGGAAAACCAATCACAATTTCATCTAAGAAGACATTTACTTAGGTTAAAAAATAAATTATTAATAAGAGTTAGCTATTTTGAAAATAGATTAAAAATCGATAAGAATGGAGATAAATTTAAAAATGACGTTAATTCACTATGTAAGGAAATTGGACCTTTAATAAAATTATCAATTCATGATCTTGAAAATGATATTAAACAGAAGCATAATGAAATATCTACCAAGAACATATAAAGACTTGTAAATATAGTAAGATAAACAAAACAAGAATAAAATCATATTAGAATATTATTTAATATATTTTAGACAAAATACTATCAGTAATCAACAATACATGTACATATTAACGCCCAATACATATGCATATATACATATATGCACATAAACGCAAATTTTTAGGGGTGCATTAATATACTTTCATATTAATAGGTAAGTTTTAAATACAGTAATGCGTCAATTTTATTTTTAGAATTTCTTATGCATGTGTGATTCACTCATGGGTATACTGTATATATATAGATTTAATAAAAAAGCTATGCTATATTGATATGTTTTATTTTTTGAATTGTAAATGAAAAATAACTTTCTATAAAACAAGAAAACAACTGTAGAAATAACAAAATTATCACTATTAATAATCACAATATTACTAGGAAGAATGTATAGCTAAGTGTACACTTGATTTCGATTGAATTATCTACAAATAACAACCATGAAGGTATTTCTTGGAAAAATATTTCTTCTATTATTCAAACCCTCTTTGAAAAAGAAAATGAATGAGGAAAAAAACAAAAACTTTAAAAATACCTTATAATTGTTATCTTTAAATACTAAATGGCATAATTCAAAAGTAATAACCTGTTAATCCAAAAATCCCAAGAGAAACAGAGAAAAAAATAAACATTGGATGAAGAAAAATGTTATTCCAGTAAAAAATAAAACTCTAATTTTGTGGATATTTTTTTTTTCCAATTCTAGTATTTACAGAATTTCACAAATCTCACAATAGAGTAAAACATTCTAACTTAAAATTGAAAGATGACATAACTTTATTAAGAGCGATCCCAATACACTAATAATATTATTGCCGTTGGTGATACTTCCAAAGAAAAAAATTTTTTTTAAAACTCTATTTCAACCCTAGTATGGATTAACTCATGCATAACATTTTATTGTTCCATTAAGCCAAACCAATATTAAATATACAAAGATAAACAATGAAACAAATTTACTGCCAACTATATTTTTGTGGTTTACATACAAATCTTTACCATCCTTTTTTATTTTTTTGTTTCTTTTCCACTTACTTGCTAAATATTCAATCGTAATCAACTTCACAAAAAAAAAAAAGAACATATAAAAAAGACAAATTATTATTATTTTATGTTAGTATCATTTATTCATTCTGGATTATATATAAATTCTACTACAAACCCTAACTTTAAACAACTTTGGTTTTTTGCAAAAACACGAAACAATACTTTAGATTTGATCTTGTTCGTATCGGCATTATACATGCGTTCCTCTTTTTTTTATCTGTCCTTTTTTAACCCTAACTTTTCTTTTCGAAAGACCTACCATTTTTCCAATCTAACTTCTTATTTCTGCATGTGTTTACACAAAAAAAAGGTTTCAAAACAAACACTATATTAAAGAAAAGCGTCATGTTAGAAAATGATTTAACTTTATTCTGAGTTTTCCATAATTATAATAAATATTTGTCTTCAATTCGAAAACTTCCACCCACTAAAGTCTTTTTATGCAAAAAATAAGTACAAATAATTTGGGATCTTTATTAACTGGAAACTGAAAAAAATGTTATCTTGATAAATTTCCAACCCTAAATATATTTGAAAAAATTTTTCTCAACCAAAATAGACATAATTTTTAACCCTTTAAAAGTTTAATAACAAAATAAAACGAAAGTTCAATTTCTTGTTTTTTTCTTTTCTTTTTCTTTTTATTTTTATGCCATCGAAAAAGTTTCTAAACTGCTTTTCATCTTTTTTTCCATTACGTTTCAGTTCTTCATTGCATCTCCTTTTATTCATTCGTCTTATTTTACGTAACCGATGCTTGCTTGTTTGTACGAAGCTTTTTTTTTTAAAGTTCTTAATCAAGCACATACAAAGTGAAATTACTTTAAAATATTTTTTAGTTCAGTTCTTGCAACCTCGTTTAGTATCACTAGCATCAAATAAGTGCAGACTATTTGTATTTTATTCACTACATATTTTGGATATAAAAGAATCTTTTTTTTTTGTTTTGTTTTGTTTTGTTTTGTTTTGTTTATTTTGTACTCTAACATTGATTACCACTTGGAATTCTTTCCAACTTCCTAAATAAATTTTACACAACAAACTAATGAATAATATTTCCCCCTTCAAGTTAAACTAAATCAAAATGACTTTAGATTTTGGTTTATATGCTAATTCTTCTAACTCGTCCTATAATAGTACAAAAAATAATATGAATCTTTATAGACCTCCACAAACGCATTTAGACAATGAAAAACCTCTCCATATTAATCATCATATTCATATCAACAATAATAATCCCAATATAAACAACATGGACAATATGACAACTCCAGTTAGATCCTCTTTCTCAAGTTATCAAGACAATAAAAATTTTACAACACTGTCCCCAACTAATATTTTATCAACAAATTTGAATAACAGTAACATGACTTCACCTAAGTTACAATCCCCAACTTTACAAACGAATCAACATCAGTATTCGAATTTATTGAAATCGATATGTAATCCCTGTGTAACCACGTCATTTAAACCAAGAGAAAACCAATTTACTAAACCTAAAGGTTGTCATTTAATCTCTTCAATGGAATTGGGTAAGATCCTTTCTAATAAAAATGACAAAGATTTATTAATATTTGATACAAGACCATACAGTGATCGATCTAAATCATATATTGGAAACTCTTTACATATAAGTTTACCTTCCACTTTACTAAGAAGAAAAAATTTCACTTTGGAGAAATTGATTGAAAGTTTACCTCTTATAGAACAAAATATCATATTCGATAAATTAGAGAGTCCAAACTTGGAAATTGTATTATATAATAATACTTCAAATCAGACTGATTCTAATATATCATTTGCATTAGCATGTATCGCAATTAAAATCTTAAATTATCATAAATTTTTAAACTGTGATCGAAATATGGTATTGATTCTGGAATCTGGGTTTCCTCATTTCGAAAAATTATTCCCTGAATTTATTGTCACAGAAGTACACAAACCTTCAGACCTAACCCTTTCTACTAATAATTTTTCTACCAACAATGATCCCTCAACCTCTTTTAATTCTTCTTCTAATAAGATTTCTCCATTTAGTGAATCCTTCCACCAAGTTAATAGTTCAAACTTTGATTTTGATAAATGTTTGACACCTCCTCTTCCCTCATTAATAAGCTCTAATGAAAATACTATGAGTGAATCGCCAGTATCATCTTCATCTCCAATATCTGCATTATTTAAATTTCAACTTCCTACTTCCCAAACTATACAAAAACCACTATTTAAATTTGCTCAAAATGAAGAAATAATGAATCTAGAATCTTATTTAAGTGCTGTGAATATTAATGAAGAGAACCAGAGATTAAATAGTGATATCTTGAACGCTGCCAATTTACAAGAATTTCAATTTCCAAAAAGATTATCACCTGAATCTGGCACTTTTAATAAAGCTTCCAATAAAGATTCTACTAATTCCATGTCACAAGCACAAGATAAATTGAATGTCCAATTAAAATATGAAAAATTATTGCAAGTTTATCCACTACATATAATTGATTACTATATCCCGAAATGGTTCCAAAAATTAATGATTAGACCTAAAATACAATTTATTTTACAATATCAAAAGCTTGATATTTTAGAAAAAAAAAGATTGAACAGTTCTATATCTAAAAACACTCCCGTTTCTACCAAATGTTGTACAAGTACCTATTATAAAGACTTACATAAGACGTCTGGATCAGATGCAGGATTTACTTCACCATCGAATAACAAACTAAAAGGGTATAGAACAAGATCCCTGTCACAGCCTAATATTTATTCTGCCATAAGAAAGCATTCATGGTTAAAAGATCTGGACTCAGATGATGAAGATGAAAAGGATCGTATAATTATTTCATCAGGGGTTGAATTAGGAAATAAAAATCGATATAAGGACATTTTCCCATATGAACATACAAGGGTCCACTTGAAGAAAGCATCGTTTGATAATAATATCTTAAATAATTCAAATACAATATCTGAGGCGAAAGGATGGAAAGTTGATGATGCTAATAACAGCATAGAAGAAGAAGAGGAAGAAAAAGAAGAAGATTTAGCCAATACATATATTAATGCAAATTATCTGCATGTTCCTGATTTAGATTTAACAGATACACCACCAACTACATCAATTAATAATAGCTCATTTAAGGTTCGTTATATTGCTACACAAGCTCCCATGTATTCTACAGTTCATGATTTTTATACATGTATTTTAAATGATAATATTCCATTAATTTTAGCATTAACCAATAATATTGAAAATGGTATAGAAAAATGTTTCAAATATTGGAAAGAAGAGAACTATGACGGCATTAAAGTTAAATTATTAGAAGAAACCAATTTATCTAATTCTATGATAATAAGACGAATAAAATTAACTTATGACCTTGATGCAAAATCATATCAATTGTTACAAGTTCAGTTAACAAATTGGCCAGATTTAGGTATCGTAAAAACTTCCAAAGATGTAATACAATTAATCAATTTGAAAAATGTAGTAATTTCCAAATTACGTGAATCAAAACATTGGTCGTACATGTCCACCCCAACTATTTTGGTCCATTGCTCTGCTGGATGTGGTAGAACAGGTACATGGTGTACCATTGATTCAATACTATCCAATTTATCCACTTTTAATTTTCTCCAGAATTTTTATACCTCTTCAATATCTGTTTATGACCCAATTTCATGGATAATTAACATTTTCAGAAAACAAAGAATTTCTATGGTTCAAAATATTAACCAATTTTTATTCATTTATGATTGCTTATTGTATTATTTTACATTGCAAATAAATGATGATTCTGTGGTGAAAAGAATGGAAGATAACATTGATGATAAAAAATTATTTGTACGTACATCATTGAATGAATTACTTAAAGATATTGAAAATTTGCCAATTTTACATAATTTTATAGATGCGAAAATATCTACATTATAAGAGATATGAGTCTGTAAAGCAACAATTGAAGTTTATTCCTACAAAGAAAAAAAAACACTATCTGCATTGTTTCGATATTAATAGTTTTGTTATATCAGTTATCATACAATATCATATATAATAATTGAAATGGACAAATTGGTATGTATTATATATATATATAGATTCGTTAAATAAATGAAAGGTGGACACAATATATATACATGGACTTTTTAAGCTTAGTTCTTTATTATATGGTTTTGATCTGTTAAAAAAATAGAGTAGTTATGCATTTACATTTTATACACCATAATATTGAATGGCCTTTTTTTAAAAAAAATATAACCCAACTAGTTCAACCCAATAATAATTCATATATTATAACCAGTATATTGATACCAATCAATGGAACTATATAGATAAGAAGACAAAATAACAAAAAAAAAAAGAAGAGTCCAAATCTTGGACACATCAATTTCAAAATGATTGTTAGTATAACGAAAAAATAGAATAAACGAATAAAAAAATGTGTCAAACGATCCAATAACATTACTACATACTTCTTAATAAAGTTTGCACTGCACCGATTAACTGAATAACCTTCGACTTAGTTGTATTTTCTTGTTGTCCGTAAAAGCCATTGTTGGCATCATTTGAACTTTTCCCTAGACCAACTATAAATAAAAAAAAAAGTAATTGACAAAAGTGTATTTCAAGTTGCTGTCAAATGTGATGAGTTCTCAATGAAATAAAAAAAATCACAAAGCTATCACAATATGTTTTGCTTATGTTAGTAACGACTTATTTGTTTTTGATTACTGAAGGTACCTGTCATTATCTAGACCAATTATATGTAAACATACTTCTACTTAAAAAACGTTCTTCACTTAAGACTGCAACTGCATTAATTAATAGCAAAATGACATAGAATAACTTGCCTAGGCCAAATAACATTTTATTGCTACTTTTGGTTAACGAGTTTTGAAGTTATATTGTAGATATCTATATTAATTTATAGTATGGTCCTCAAGACTTTTTTAAGATACTTGTGACTCATATTTAGTCTAACTGCTGTTCTATATTTTACAAAGACTTTTATTTTTGCTTCATTTAAAATTCATTCCTTCAAAAGGAAAGTAAAGCCTTTTTTGTGATTCAAAACCCGTCACAAAAAATAAGCTAGTTTTTTCGGGTTAAAGATCGGAATTATCTTGGAAAAATAATATAAACATACTCTATTATTGGCAAACACTATACGTTGCACAATTGTCAGTAAGAAGTGTAAGATTAAATATTAAACTTATTACTTTTAAGAACCCTTTGAGAAGTAATTACTAGATTAACAAATACAAAAACTAAGGCTGATAGATTTTGCCTACACCAGTAGCAACAGACATACCTGTAGTGTAAATACATATTGTTGTGTTTAAGACAAAATAGATTTTTGATGTACCAAAACCTCACACGATTCCTCTTTCAATACTTCGGCACGACGTTTTCCTATAAACTACAGCAAAATAACTGAATACATAAATATATGTAAAAATTTAAAATCAAGGAAATCGTGTATAGAACAATGCAAGTAGGAAAAATATAAGAAACAACAAAAAAAAGACAACATAATGAAATGTGACAATGATAATTAATAAAAGTGTGCTTTAAAAAAAGTAAATAGATTTACAAATGAGATTAAAAAAGAAAGTATACGATAATATAATATATCATGAATATTCTTTTCTTAATCAGCGTTACGACGGGCAACCTTCTTAGCTCTTCTCTTACCAGTACCAAAGACTTTCTTGTCTCTGTTCTTCTTTTGCTTTCTTTGTTGTCTAGAAGCCTTTTCAACCTTTTCAGCTAAACCGTATCTGACTAATCTGTAGGTTGGTTCGAACTTCTTGGCGTCAGCAACGGAGTTGTAAACTAAACCGAAACCAGTAGATTTGGAACCACCGAATTGGGTTCTGAAACCAAAGACGGAGACAGCGTCCTTTTCAGCCTTGTAAACTTCAGCTAACTTTTCACGTATTTCATCCTTAGAGACATTAGCTCTGTTTGGATGTAAAACGTCAACAACGAATTGCTTTCTAGCTAATAATGGGTTGTTGATAACCTTTCTAGTACGAATAGTAACAGCGTCGGACTATATATTATCAGAATAGGTAATTCAAGCATCATTGCAAAATATTTGAATAGAAAAATGTTCACACAGTTTTCATGACAAAATACTTGTATTCACTGTTAGTAAAATATATTACTTTTGGAACTAAAAAGAACAAAGAATATGGTATCTCTTTTTAGTACACAGATCCACGATTAAACCATAGATTTTACATTAATATTATCATATATTTTCTTTTAAATAGATAGATTCTAGTTTTCATATTTATAGCCATCATGTTTTTATTAAATATGTCGGATATGTTCCTTCTTCCCTCCGAATATTAAAATCTCTCGTAAAATAGCTCCCACTTTCATCTTCTTTAGTTAATGTTTATCAATATATCCTCACTATACATTATTTCTAATAGTTGGTTGTAATCTTTCCATATCGATGTCGTTCTTTTCTTTCTCTTTGTAATCTCCAAACCACTTTCTATCTGCTTATCTAATACTCCATATTCCTTCTACTTGGTTCAAATATTGACATACCATTTTAACGTTGGTTCCTTTATTGTCTCAGTTATCTCAGTGGAAAAACCTTATTCGATAATATACCTTCTTTTATCACTATTATCAGCACATTATTTCTTAATATCAAGCTTCTTACTATTATTTCTCATTAGTTCGGGCTCTGTGTATAGGGGGGGGATATGAAACCATGGGTCCTACCTGCCTCCCCCATCGTTGGAAATTCACAACGGGTTGAGAGGGCTTCCCTCTGTAACATTAAAGCGACGTAGGAACATTGGCGCACGGAACAATTCAAGAAACAATTTAAGAAACTGGCAGTTAGGCTGAAACCAAAATGAGTGAATAATTGTGTTTGAAGCAAAGCAGCACATTTTCCTCACACATCCTCCCTGTTTCTCTTTCCTCCATTCTCCTCGCAAAAATGGAAGAAAAGCAGAAACTCCAAAAAATTAAGTAACATTTTCAAGTCACGCATGCTAAGAAAAATAAAACAAAACAGGTAATTTTATCCTCGCATTTGGAAATATAACTTTTTTCTCTTTGACTTTAAATTTTTCCAAAAGAAAAAAAACCTGAAGATGTATGGATGTTGTAAAAGTCCTAAGAGTTTTTTTTTTAGATTGAAAAGAACTGATAAGGATAAAACAAAAGGCACACTTCATCATATTTACTTTATTGATAACATCGCTTAACACCTTAATAGCAACTTTGTATTATTATCTCTAATTTGTTTAAAGTAAACTATTTACAAATAGACAAGTAATAGATAAATACAAAAAAAATAAATTATTAATAATCTATAGATATATGTAGCCTATGTAATGTTTGTTATGCAAAATTTGATTGTAAATACATTATTCAATAATGTCATTTACAATTTTGATATAATTTCCTGACTTTACTTCGTAAATATTCAGGTTAAATAGTTGTGAAACGATTACTTTCCATCCTTCGGAATAGTAGCATGCAAATAAAATGATGTGCTTGTATAAAAATACAGTAGCAGCTTAATAGGGAAACGAATAAAAATATCAAATAAAAATGCCATACAAATCTTGAAAGACTTAATAATTCTTTCCCATTATAAATTGTTTGTGAGACAATGACTAGTGCTTAATACATTGGTTTGTCAATAGACATTCTTACAGATTTAACTTGTGTGTAATTATCTAAAGCAGCTTCGCCCATTTCACGACCAATACCAGATTGACCAAATCCACCAAATGGAACGCTTTGGTGAAAATCATTATATGTATTAATCCACACAGTACCAGCTTTAACACGCTTTGATACTTCAATTGCTTTGTTCAAATCTTTAGTATGAATACCAGCTGCAAGACCGTATTGAGAATCATTTGCTAGTTTAATGACTTCATCTACTGTAGAAAATTTAGAAATGGTAACAATTGGACCAAATATTTCATCTTTGACAATAGCCATATCTTCTTTGACATCAGCAAAGATAGTTGGCTTAACGAAATAACCCTTGTTTCCTAATCTTTCACCACCAGTTATAATACGAGCACCTTCTTTAACACCAATATCAACATATTCTAAAATTTTCTCCAACTGTCTTTTAGATGTCTGGGCACCTTGGAATGTATTCACATCAAATGGATCACCCACTTTCAAACTTTCTGCATAAGTTTTGAATTTTTCAAGGACCTCGTCGTAAACAGTATCTTGAACGTAAATTCTCGAACCTGCACAACACACTTCACCAGAATTATAAAAGATACCAAATGCAATATTCTTGACAGCCTTTTCTAGATCAGCATCGGCAAAGACAATGTTTGGAGATTTACCACCTAATTCTAAAGTAACCTTCTTAATAGTGTCTGCTGAGGCTTTCATAATGTGACGACCAGTAGCAGTAGAACCAGTAAATGCAATTTTTTTTACATCTGGATGTTTACAAAGATAGTCACCAATGACTTTTCCTGAGCCAGGAACAATATTAACAACACCATCTGGGATACCCGCTTCTTTACATAACTGAGAAGCGAATAACGCAGATAGTGGTGTAGTCTCAGCTGGCTTTAACACAACTGTGTTACCTGTAGCTAATGCAGGACCAATCTTCCATGACCACATTAGTAATGGAAAGTTCCAAGGAATAATTTGACCACATACACCCAAAGGCTCTCTCATACTGTATGTAAAATAGTCTTTACCTGTATCGATAACTTTACCATATATTTTATCAGCCCAGCCCCCACAAGAACGTAGGTACTTAGCCACTAAATTAACATCACCACGAGAACAAAGCAAAGATTTACCATTATCCATTGACTCTATATAAGCTAAAGTATCTGCATGTTGTTCAACAAGATCCGCTAATTTGAACAAAACTTTCCCACGAAACTCAGGTTCAGCCACTGACCAAACATTTTCAAAGGCATTTTTAGCACTTTTGATAGCAAAATCCACATCCTCTTCAGTAGCTTTATATATTTCAGTGATTGTCTCTTCAGTGGATGGATTGACAACTGCAACTTTACGACCTTGTTTAGAAGGAACAAAATCACCATTTATGAAAAGACCGGTTGGTTGTTGATATATTTTATTATTAGGTAAAGTTATTGGGACACTAAATTTACTTGTGGTGTAAGAGCGCAAAGCTCTTTTTGAGATAATTCTTGATGTTATAGCTGTTGTACGTGCTAACATTTTCCCTTAATTGTCTGAATGTGTTTGTATAGACAATATTAATTTATTAAGTTACAGTTATTTGAATTGCATTTCTGAGTAATAATAAAAAAGTGATAAGGACTGTAAAGAATAACTACGTATATTTTAAAGCTATTAAGACTTGAATTACTGGTCTTATATAATATAAGGGAAGAAGATCTACCAAAAAAAAGGTACTTAATCAAGACCGGTAATTGACGTAAAAAATACAATAAAAGGTAGAAGCGGTTAACTCATCTGATTAAAAATGAGTCAATGGATAATCGGAAAGGTAATCTCAAAAAAAGAAAATTACTAATAGTAAAAAGGTGTAGTTTGTATTTTTTCTTTATATTTGTAAAATATCTTGAAATTCCTCGAAGACCCAGAAATTCTAAAAATTTTGATTTTTACTAAATAATTTTTTTTAAAGTATTTATTTTTTTTTTTTCATAGGGTTAAACAACATATAATTAGGTCTTCAAATTATTTGATAACAAAAAAACTTGGATTTAAAACAAACCTATATTCTTTTTTACATTGAATAATCCAATATAAACTGGAAATTTCAATTTTTTTATACTTCTCAATTAATTTAGTTAATTTAATACATATTGGATAATATACCTATATAAAAGTTTCATTAAATTATTGTACCAAACCATCTCTTCGGTCCAACATATAAGGTATGTGTTAGGGTTGTTAGTTTTATTGAGATAAACTGAAAAACATAAACTAAATACATTTTTAGGGTAAATGTCTAAATAAAAAAAATAGAAATTAGAAGCCAAGACAGTGTTTAAGACTGATAATCAAGGTTTTAGATTACTGAAAGAGCCACAGAAGCGGAGTAATTAAAAAGTTTTCAATACAGAAAAGTTGCTTAATAATAAAGATTGTAATCTTGTCTCAAAATTATTCTCTTGCTCATTAATTATGGACCAACTTTTTTTTCTTCGAGTAAATTATTTTTTTTTATCAAACAGAAAAAGATCCTTAGTTAGGGTTTCGTACAATTACGCTACTTGTCACGTGGGTGTATATCTAGGGCTCACTTATATTATACGGTGTATATAGGAATATTCAAAGGCAATAGCTTTAGTAACACCTCTTTAAATAAAAGATTATAAATGACTATTTAATTAAAAAAAGTAAGAGAAATGAAGAGAACAGAACACATTTTAATCGATAGGAAATTTTGTTGAATAGAGAAGAAGTAATCATTTCACTAACACTTTTGGTAAGCCATAGTAACTTTAATTTTTAAGTGAACTAAATAACAATATTTAGTAGTAACAATTTAGGTAGGGTTAATTTTGCGTTGAAGATGATAGTACTATAATTTTCCCATTTCTTCCCAATATTAATATAGGTTAACTTATCTGAAAAATCAAATTCAAAATTTTGAAAAGAGTTCTAACAGATACGTCTCAATAAGGAAATCAAAGTACAATTGTTTTTGGAGAGATTGTAATCTCCACTTGATAACATTTTGTTTGTTTGTCTCACAATAGGACACATTTTTTCCTTTCTTTTTTTTTGTTCCTTTATTAAAAAAATATCGCCGTTTAAACTCAACAACTTTTTTTCTTTTTATGTAACTTCATTTTATAAACACTTCGTAGCAAAAGAGGAAAAAACCGGAGCCGTTAACGCAAAAGTGCCCGGAATGAAAACGTCTTTTCTTTATTGCCTAACAAAGATTAATGGGATTACTTTCAGGCTGTGAAGTGAAATGGCCTTACTACCATAAATATTTAAAAACATATAATAACAACGGTACTAATATCAATGAACGCTATTATTTCTACCCGGAGTGTCGCTTTGGAATATAAAATAATTGTTTCTTTAGAACAGGGAAAGATGTGGTAAATATAAGAGAACTATAATAGCTTAAGTTAAAATAGGATGTATCAGACCACAATTTAAGGGTAAACTACATATTTTTATTGTCGTAGACTATGTATTTAATATTCAACAAAATAAATGGTTGTTTTATTCTTTAATCTTTATTATAAAGCATAGTATTAAAGTAATTGGATCTAAAAAATTCTATTTTTTTTTTGATATTCTAATCACAATAAATTATTTAAACTTTTTATAAGATCAATACTAAACTAAACTTGTCTGGGTATATATATATCAAGGGGGAAGTACACACTGCCCTAGATTGATTTTTTTTCCCTCGAAGTAAAATACACTTTATTTCAAATATATTTCAAAAATAATATAATATATATGTATATTTTGACAAAAGGTCAAAATTATATGAATACAACTTGTTTACTTTCAAAATTGACACAATATAAAGAGTAATTGATGATGCCATTATATATATATATATATATATATATGTAGTTAGATAAATGTGTAGATTCATTCAGAATATTTCAATCTAAGAATAAAATTAATTATAACAGCCAATAGCAAAAAGAAACAAAGGACAGTGGGGCCTAATCTATCATCATATGGACCAGATCCACGACGCCTAATTGCAGAAGCTCTCCAATGATATGTTATAAGGGCATATACCATGGTTCCCATAGCAACTAAAGTGAATAAAGTGGCACTGATTCTACCTACTTTATCCCCAAAATTTAATAAACCCACACCTAACCCACCAAGCATTACTGTGAAATTTAACCACGATAGAAAAGTACGTTCATTTGCAAAAAAAACTTTTGGTTCTACTCTGGTAGGTAAAGCAATTTTTTTTCCGGGGGTCTTTTGTAATAAAGGAGCTGATGACATTCCAGATAGGATATATATATATTTGTTATGTTGTGATGTAGAGGGTGTTCTAACTCAATGTTTATTAGTTGTTTATATATAGAAGTATGTGCTCATTTGTGTATTCATTCGTGAGAAAAGAATTGTGAAGATTTAACAGTCATATATATATATAAATGTGTGTATTATAATTACAATGATAAAACTACCTCCTAATGATTAATTACTTTTCCTTTGAATAAAATACAATACTATATATATTTTGATTTAACCTCCTTTGATTTATTCCCCCGCATGAACAGAATCAAAAAAAATTAAAAGTATGATATTTCAAAGTTGTCTTTTTAAGGAACAGATAGGAAATATTACGGAATTGCACAGTATTTTTTTCGGTGTTGGTCAACTTTCAGAAAAAATGGTAGAAAAAGCTAATTATCAAGAAAATTTTCTCTTTACGGAAAACCAATCCTCATTATTCCGTCAATTAAATTCCTTATAGAAGTGTCCGAAAATATTTCATTAAGACTATCTGCATCAAAAAAAAAACCAAAAAAAAAGTGGGGACAAAATGACAAGATCTCTTCAACAATGGTAACAATAAAGCTTTATATTTCATGTGTGTTTTGCTAGAGTAATAATAATAATAGTAATAATAAATGAAGAAACACAAATAATGATTTAATAAAGAAATAATGCAGTGATAACAAAAATTTGAAAATTTAAATTACTATCAGTAGTGTCCTCCTAAATTTATTTTTATAAAAAAAGTCCTATAAAAAATATACTCCTAAAGAAAACTCTTGTAAAAAAAATTATTACTATCTTACTGTAAATTAATGTACGTCTAATTTTTTTTAACAGAATTGTAATGACATTTATTAAAAAAATTGTAATCCATAAATAGTTGTAACATAAAAAGTATTGAATATAAAAATATATATACGACGAAGCAAATTCATCATCAACTGTCTTTTTGTGATTTACATACAAATCTTTATCATCATTTAACTAAAAACATGAATAAGTGCAACTTTTTTATATTCATATATTGTTAAAATATTGTTTCTTTTTGCATACTTGCTAAAGACTCAATGCTACTTAATCTTAAAAAAAGAAAGAAAAAAGGTATAAAATAGCCAGTTATAAAATAAGTATCCTAAATAATGTTGTAATGAAATTATAACGAAAAAAGAGTATATAAAAAAGACAAATTATTATTATTTTATGCTAGTACCATTTATTTATTCTGGATTATATATGAATTCTACCACAAACCCTAACTTTAAACAACTTTGGTTTTTTGAAAAATCACAAAACAGTATTCTTCGCCTAATTTTTTTACGTTGATATTATATCTGTGTTATTTTTCTATTTTTTGGTTTTTTTTTTTTCAGGAACTGTCAGTTTTCTAACCTTTTAAGGTGAGATCTGATATCTAGGAAATGATCTTATTTATGATTCTTTAAAAGTCAGAATTGTTTGAATAAATCCAGCCAATAGATTGTCAGTTAAGTTTTGTTTTAATTGATATCTCTGATTTTTGGTATGTCAGAACGTAAAAGAGAAAAGATTCATTAATATTTATTGGAATGTATATTGTTTAATAATGGCTGGGATGGATTTTCAATTTACAATTTTGGATCAAACAAAGAAGGAAAAGATTTCTAAGGAATATGATGTATTGGTGGATAGATTATACAATAAATACAAAGATCTGGAAGTAGAAGACACACAGAAATTTATTGACTCTCTTACACAAGCAATAACGCAATCGTTTGATACACCAAATCAAAATTACAAATATATAGTAACTTTGACTGCTACTCAAAGTGACGTCAATAGTCCGCAAGTAGATTTTACTATGGCAACTTTATGGAATAATGAAAAAGATGATGTTTACACAAAAGCCTTACCAAGTATCAATTATGAAAATAAATTCTATATAATCAATATATTTTCAATATCCAAATGTGAATGATTTTTCAATATATATGTAATTTGTATTCTCATCAGTTTTTCTTTTAATTCGTTATATCACGACTGTTTTGTTCTATATTATTACTATCCCTACTAATTATTACTATCATTGTATATATCATTAGGTGTTTGGTTGAAATTTAAATTTACTCACAAACAAAGGTTCGATACCCATGTCTATCATTTCTCTTAGATTTTGTTTGATTTCTGGATAATCTTGATATGTTAGACCTTCTTGTACTAGTTTTTTCCTTTCTGAGCTGCTAACATCTTTTCTACATGTTAATACAGCTTCTAAGAAATCGATTGGAGTTTCGGGATATTCTATCAACATTGTTTTCCAGTATTCAAGTGCTAGATCTATCGGTTCACAACTTATATCCATGAAAATCTCAATAAATCTAAAACGACGATCAATAATCTCTGCTTTTTGATCTTCACTAATTACGCTGGCAAATAATTCAAATAAAATTTCAAAATCTCTTTTTATTGCATCAGAAAATTTATTATTTTTCATTTTGAAGGAATGTTTCTCATTTAATGCATTGATGTAATTCAAAAAACATTCGTCTATAATAAACCCTATAAACGAATTAAATGCAATTGAACTCATATGAGGTTTGATTTCTATAATATATTCATTAATAGTTACAGAAATTTGTTTGATTTGATTCCCACCATACCATGCTTTACTGAATATCTCTGTATATGGTTTCTTCAAATCATCGAATATTATAGAAGTCATGCCATGGCATCCAACTTTAACCAAATCTGCACAACCATCTAATGCTTTATCAGAATACTCAGTGACTTCTTTGATCCATGCCTTATTTAATAATGAGGAACATTTTCTTGTGATTGCCACAATATAATCGGCTGCTTTCATTTGATCATTTGTAACAGCAGTCAAATACTCTATCAACCCACCAGGAACATCATATTCTTCAGGAATATTTTGTGGATCTAAATCATATAATTCATTATATTTCAAAATCTTATTAACTTCTTCATTTATCTTATTGGTCCAATCTTGTTGACGTTTTGATAATAACCCGGTAAATTTTTCGACTACACCAACAAGAATCTTGGCTTGACCTGCTCCTGAGGCAACTTCGACTTGTTGAGTAAACATTTGGAAACATGTCCTTGTACCATCAAGAAAGTAGAGTCCATTGGAGTCTACATGTGGAGGAGTTGATCTTTCAGTAAAAATTTCAAATTCAGCTTTTTCCAAATTTGCAATCCATTCTGTCATCTTAGTCACTAATAAGTTTAAGTAATCTTTAAATAACTTTTCTTTTTGTTCCTCTCCGATAACACTTTTAACATTTTTCTTAGTAAAGCAAAAATCAGCAATTAAATTCGCTTGAAATTCTTTGTCATAATCTAGAATATCCAGAATAATTAAAGTTTCTGGTTCAGATTCGACTAATTCATTTATCAATAGGTTTAACTCGTGGTAATAGATATCAAAATATTGTTGGAAAATATTCCAACGATTTGGTGTATACTTTGTTAAATAATCTTTAACAATCATTAATTCATTGAATACCCAATCTAAATTATTTAATACTTCAAATTTCTTTTCACCTGAGTAGGTTTCTCTTACTGAAATAAACATTTCACTGATTGTATCTTTTAAATTATTATGAAAAAAATTTATGTAACCCCTTGGTTGTGTTCTACCAGATATAGTGCCATTAAGAATTTCCTGGTAAATTCCTTTATTTGTTGGATATTCGATGGAATCTTTAACAATAAAGTTGTTTACACTATTGTTCGGTAACTTTTTGATATATGTTTTATCTGCTTCGATTTCCTTCTTTTTAATAATATTTCGTATAATAACAATTTTAATGTCTTCTCTTTCTTCAAGATCAAAGATTTTAAACAATCTAATAACTAAAGAAATTTGTTCACTTCTAATCATTTCCACTATATCATTAATTAAGCCAGTTAATAATTGATCAAATTTTGTTACTAGTCCAGATATATGAGAAAATAATTTTCTTGTTGTTCTTTGTACATCCTCAGTAGATATTGAGGCCATAACCGTCATTTGATCTTGAAAGTCTCTTGCTTTAGTCAATAAATAATGGATTTCTAACAATGTAGGGCAGCCTGTATCTAAAGGATCACTATTTAATTCCTTGTCTAATAAACTATCTAATTTGTTTAGAAGGGAGTCGAAGCTCAAAATTTTATCATATATAGATGATGTATTTCTAATGGTATCAAACAGATCAGTGGCATCTGAGATGACATTATATCGGTTTATGGCCATTTCATTCTCTAAACTTAATTGATTAACTTTGTTGATGTCGCCCTTAATAGATTGCACAGAATTTTTAAAAACGTTTAGCATTTTTAAACTTTCTTGAATATGACCATAGTATTTGGATGATTCTTTATTTAATTGATATTCAATGGTAGATCTTTGTTTCAATATATTTTCTTTCAGCTCATTAATTCTTTCTAACGATAAATCATCTTTTAGAATTTCTGATAGGTTCAAACTAGGTAATGAAGTCATTGTTTTATATGTTGTTTATGTTCTCTAATTTCTGTTTTCTTCCTTTATTTTTTTATTTCTAGGGTGTTTAGTACCGATATTATCGATAATATATCACACACTGCATATAACTTAATTCCTTCACTAATAAACAATGCTTGTTAGGAATAGTTTTTACACAAATATATATCAATAGCTATATTTGAAAGAATAAAAAGAGAAGAGCTGGGAGTGTAATCTTGTATATATATATCTGTATCTGTGTACATTCAACAATCGTTTCTTTTGAACTTTATTAGAATTCAAATAGTATTTATTTACTTTTCTTTTACCTGTTTTATTATAGAAAAAGATAAAAAAAAATATATAGGAAAAAAAAGGCAGTCAAGGTGTATATTCATCGAAATGTTGTGGTGTGATATAGAAATATATATATGTAGAAAGTTAGTTATATCAAATCTATTGGCAATTACTTCTCGATATACATATGCATATACATGTGGTAGTGCAGGTTTGTTTCTAGATTATATAACAAGAGTATAGGAAGATATGTCGGATCATTCAAATCCAACCCCAAATACTGATAATAACGCAAATAATAGGAGTGGGAGTTGTAACGATAATGTTTCGATAAATACAGCAAATACAGCAGTAAGTGAGACAGATAAGGGGGAAATAAATTTGGTGGATACTTTATTGGCGGCAAATTCAAGTTCCAATGATTCACCAGTTACGTTAAAGGGACAATTGAAGGAACTGATTCGTCAATCGATGGTGGACAATCCATATTTTGCAGCAGGTGGTGGTTTGATGATTCTCGGTTCTGGTCTGGCTCTAGCACGTACCGGGATGATTCGATTAAGTAGACTCCTTTATAAACAGATGATTGTGGATCTAGAGGTTCAATCTAAGGACAAATCATACTCCTGGTTTCTAACATGGATGGGTAGATATCCGTACCGTGTCTCCAAACATCTATCAGTTAGAACAAATTATATTCAGCATGATAACGGTTCGATAAGTACCAAATTTTCACTTGTGCCTGGTATAGGGAACCATTGGCTATTTTATAAAGGGGCGATTATATCTATAAAAAGGGAGAGATCTGGTAGGATGCTCGACATAGTAAATAGTAGTCCTTATGAGACAGTTAAATTAACTACACTGTATAAGGACAGGTATATCTTCAATGAGATATTGGAGGAAGCGAAGACCATAGCCATGAAAAGCAATGAGGGGAAGACAGTCATATATACATCATTTGGGCCGGAATGGAGGAAGTTTGGACAACCTAAGGCCAAGAGAGCGTTGCCTTCGGTGGTTCTCGATCAGGGGATCAAAGAGATGATACTTGAGGATGTGAAGGATTTTATGCGAAATGGTGGATGGTATTCAGACCGTGGGATACCGTATCGCCGCGGTTATTTGTTGTACGGACCTCCAGGTTCCGGTAAAACAAGTTTTATTCAGGCACTTGCCGGTGAATTGGACTATAATATTTGTATACTGAATCTTTCTGAACAAAACTTGACAGATGACAGATTGAATCATTTGATGAATAATATGCCGGAGAGAAGTATTTTACTGCTAGAAGATATAGATGCTGCATTCAACAGTAGAAAGACTACGATAGGACAGAACCAAGCAAAAAATGGGATACTGAATACTACGTCTGGATTCCCAACACGATCTATATATAATACGAGCGTGACATTTAGTGGATTATTGAATGCGCTTGACGGTGTGACGTCAAGTGAGGAAACTATCACATTTATGACCACAAACCACCCAGAGAAGTTGGACCCGGCTATAATGAGACCAGGTCGTGTGGATTTCAAAGTTTTTATTGGAAATGCTACGCCGTATCAAGCAGAGAAAATGTTCATGAAATTTTATCCGGGTGAAACAGATACATGTAAGAAATTTGTCGATAGATTCCGTTCTTTGGTTGTGCCAGTTAGCACTGCACAATTGCAAGGTCTATTCATTATGAATAAAGACAAACCATTGGATGCCTTAGAAAATATTACGACATTGATAGAAACACAACAATACGACTACAATGGTTCGACTTGATGCAAGTGAAGCAATGTAATTGTATGTGACTGTATATAATTGTATATAGAGAGATATACTACACACTGTATGTAAATAATATCATTTTGGGTTTGGTGTTTTATGGATTTACAAATAAACAGAACCAATAAAATGCAGCAAATAAAAACAAAAAAGAGCAGGATGCGGAATGCGGAATGCGGAATGCGGAAACATAAGACGGAATCAACTTCCTGTTATTTTTCTTTTTTATTTTTTTTTATTTTTTTGGTCAAGGAGTCCGAACAATTGAGGCATTGCAGGTAATACACACAGTAATAATATATAGGTGCACATTATATATGTATTTATATATATATAAATACATATACAATTATTTATTTATTCCTAATGGTGTAGATTGCTCGCGTGCATACTGTAAGGTAGGAAGGAGGTGGGGAATATCTACTGTATATTTGTCGGTAGAATTGTAGAATGTGTATATAATAACATTGACATTCTGTTGAGTCTTTATTGCTATTACTATTATTATTATTTTTTAAGGGGTTTCTTAGATATTGTGCACATTGTAGGGTATATTTCTGGTTGGGAGTATAAACTATCAGAACCATGTTAAAAACTAATCCATTATATATTCAAACAAATAATACTAGATTTTTCTCTGTACTCTCTAAACTGAAAACCACAAAGTCTACAATTGAGCTAAACACTAATATCACTAATTCTAATGTAAATGCAAGCACAAGCACAAGCACAACCGCAAAGGTAATTAAACCATTATCTGCTGCACAACGGGCCTACTTAGATAGAGTCATCAGAGTAGATCAGGCAGGTGAATTAGGTGCAGATTACATCTATAGAGGCCAGATATTTGTATTGTCTAGGAAATATCCTCATCTAAGGTCGACTTTGGATCATATGTGGGAACAAGAAGTCTATCATAGAGACACATTCAATCAACTACAGTTGAAACATCGTGTGAGGCCAAGTTTGATTACTCCCATTTGGAAAGTCGGGGCTATCGTTATGGGTGCTGGGACAGCTTTGATCTCTAAAGAAGCTGCCATGGCTTGTACTGAAGCCGTTGAAACTGTTATTGGTGGTCATTATAATGAACAACTACGTGTTTTAAATAATAAGTATGAACAACCTGTAATTGAAAGTAGCAATAATAGTAATAATAGTGGTGGTGGTGGTGAGACCGTTAAGGTGCCAGACGAAGTTCAACATTTGATATCTAAGATTAAAGAATTTAGAGATCAAGAATTGGAACATTTGGATACAGCTATTGAGCATGATTCAAGAATGGCCGTTCCCTACACGATAATAACTGAAACTATAAAAAACGTTTGTAGAGTAGCCATTTGGTGTGCTGAGAGAATTTAATAGGTATATGTATATATACTGTGTATATAGATATTTATGTTTGTTTTGTTTTGTTTAATCGTTGTCATAAGTCTTCCATGCAATATTCTATAAATATTCTCCTTATTTCTTATCTAAATAATATAGTTGATTATACTTTCAAAACGTTAAAAAACCAAATAAGTTTTTTTTCTTATTTTTATGAAAAATAAAGAGGAGAAAAGAAAATAATAAAAAAAGGACCTTCTTTTATATTATATAATCAAGTCCTTGAAGCTTAGAAAAGGAGTAGGTAGGTGTAAAATAAAAACATCTCTTTTATTTTAACAAGAAGTTTTATTTATTTTTATACAAATATATGTATATATAGATATATAAATATATATATGTATATTTTAAAAAAATGTTACACAATGAATCAATTGGTAATGAAACTCCATTAACTAACAATATTGAAGCCACTAAAACAACAAACGTTCAAGATGACAACTCTATTGATGATGGGAAGCAGTTATTATACGTTGATTTAACGTCTAAATCTATATTTAAGACGACTGATAGGTTGATTGATGATGTTTTATGTGATTTAGTAATCAGTCTACCTAAGTTAAACACTGATGATGATGATAATAATAATAATAGTGATATTACAGTCTTAAATTCATCACCTTTAAGATATTCAAAATTGAGACAGTTTCATAAACCATTAGATTTTGGTACTATAATGGATCAAATTACTTTGCAAACTAAATTCGAGTATTCTTCCTTGACATGTCCTCAATACAATAAGATACAAGTCTTAATGGGGGTCCTGTTTGACTCGAATATAAATAATGATCATGTCTTCAATACAGATGGTATTATTAAATTACCAATCTATCAATTGAAAATAACAGTAAAGACAAGGTCACATCTAGAACTGTATAAAAGACATGTTGGAATCAGTCAGTACTTTAGAATCCATGACTTACATCCCTTTGACAGGAAAGATCTTTTAATTTTCGACCCCAAAGATCCAAATTTAATCGATCATGCAATCTACGTATCATCAGATACAAACAGACTGATATTGATTGAGATATTCAAACCGGAATTGAATTCACAGGAAGAAATGGAAAGTTTATTAACCGAAAATATTAAAAAGACTTATCATTTAGCATGTGAGAGTTTTAAAAGTTTAGATCCATCCAATGTTCCCACACAATTGGATTGTATTAACACATTACTCAAATTATTTAAAGGACCACTCATTCGAAAAAGTGCATCTGATCCATTGAGAGTTATATCTGCTGATAATGTGGCATTGAACTCACATTTAAATCCAAATTGGTTGGTAGAAAAATATGGATTTCATATATCGAATAAAAATAATGATAATGTTAATAATAATGATGGTAATAACGGGATTGGTGATTCAAAAGAAAGGGAGATAAATGAAATGGAGTATATTCCACCTGATTTCACAGATTCTGATAGAGATTGGAGAGTCAGAAAACAAAAGGAATCCTTTATTAGAAAATGTTTACATTTAGTATTTCTTGGTAAGAGATTAATAACTTTTATGAGTTCACAAAACAATCCTGATCTACTTAATAAAGATTCAAAATCATATAAAGCGTTAAATCTGTATACTGTTCAAATATCTACAAAACCTCTATTCCAATTATTAGGTGAAGTAAGATCAAATTTCGCTTTAACTTCAGATCAAACCTCACTATTGGATGTCAACTATCATTTCATTAATCTCTCTTCTTCCTATTATTACACAGATAGAGATATAATTCTAAATTACGAGACTTCCAAAAAAGTGGATGAACAAAATACAGGAATATATTTTGATGCTTTGACTTTTATTGCTAACCGCAAGGGATCTTATCAGTTGCTGGGGTATTGTGGGAAACAAGACTTGGTTGGTCAAGAGATGTTGGAGAGTGCTTTAAGGGTATTTAAGATAGATCCAACACAAATTGATTCGCCTAATAAGTTAGATGAGAACTTGATTTTATCCATGTACCAACATGAACAAATGACACATATAGATTCAAATAGTTTGACAGACTTGAAAAATGCGTTGCGCGTCCTAGCTAAGTATAAGAAGTCTGATTTTCTTCAATTCTATGTGACTTATGAGCCATATAAATCATTATCACAGGCTTATTCTGAATTAGAAATTGATGAATCTGTAGATGATGATATTGTGCAAACTGCATATACTATTAAAGTCAATGACTCGCCTGGATTAAAGTTGGAATGTACAAGGGCTCTATACACTATTGCTCTTCATAAGAGAAGTATGGCTCTTTTCAACTTTTTGATGGATCAATGTTCTTTATTTTCAAAGTATTATGGACCAGAGAAATATTCATATCGTGAGGCATTAAATATGATTCAAGTCAACGAGAATGCTAATGATGAAGTCATCTTAAAAATTTTCCAACAGAAATGGGAACATGAAAGTTTATTGTCCGTCGATCAGTTATTAAATTTAAAAGCAGCGTTAAGTAAAATCTGTTTTGAGACAAATTCTAAGTTGATTTCCAATTTTATTGAAACTGGTTTAATTGATCCAAATTGTCTGCCTCCAGAGAATTGGCCAACTGGGTTAAATAATATTGGGAATACTTGTTATCTGAATTCTTTGTTACAATATTATTTTGCTATAGCCCCTTTAAGGGAATATATTTGTCAATATCATAATACGCTTAAAGATTTTATAGATATGAATAATAATTCTAATATAATAAAAAAAAGAAGGATTGGAGGGAGAGAAGTTAGTGATTCAGAAGTGGAAAGATCGATTCAGTTTACATATCAATTACGTGATTTGTTCCAAAAGATGATATATTCTCGTAACAGATGCGTAACTCCAACACAAGAATTGGCATATTTAGCATTTGCACCAAGTAATGTAGAAGTTGAATTTGAGATGTCTTCACCTGATACCATAGTACAAGAAGATGATGGAGTTCAAGTTGATTATGTAGAAACTACAGATATGGAGGTGGACCAGTTTAATCCTATAGACTTACAAAACAATGATATTATGAAAGTTCCTATTAAGAATGATGATGGAAACATGAATATTGATACATCATTAGTTGATGAAGACAGAAAGTCTGTCAATGATCATAATTTTAAAGGTTATAAAAATAATGAAAAGAACAATCGGGACAAAGATCCTCTGATTTCTACCAAAGTTGCTAAGATCAGCATTGATCAGTTAGAAAATACATTGGAGATTGGTAGGCAGCAGGACGTTACTGAATGTATTGGTAATGTTCTTTATCAGTTAGAAAGTGCATCAGAACCTGTTAGTCTTGATGAATTCCATGAACAAGACGATTTAATCAAACAACTGTTTTATGGTAAGACTAAGCAAGACATTATACCAATTAAGGATTCTCATGGTGTTCGTGTCAAATATGAAAGATTTTTGTCTTTAATGGTCACTATTAGTGATCATCCTAGAAATATTTATGATGCATTAGATGCTTATTTTATGGATGAGTATTTGAATTTAGAGGAATATGGTGATGTGAAAAGAACTTTATCAATTACTGAATTCCCTACAATACTACAGATTCAAATACAAAGAGTTTATTATGATCGTGAGAGATTTATTCCATTCAAGTCAATTGATCCATTACCTTACCCACAAACAATTTATATGGATAGGTATGCTGAAACACAAGACATTAAATTGGTTAACAGGAGAAAAGAGGCAAATGAAATGAAACAAAGATTGAAAGAATTGCAATTTAGACAAAAAGAGTTATTGTCACGTAATGAAGTTGGGTTATCACGTAAAGATGCATATTCTGAAACAGTTAAATTTTTGAAATCAGATGTATTAGAAAATTGTGATATTGATATCCCTGAACTATCAGTATGTACAGAAGCATTGGTTACTGAACTTGAAAATGTTTCGAATGATATTAATAAAGAATTAAGTGAGTTATATGAAAGCATTACACAACTACAAGATAAAATTGATCATCAATTTGATGAATTCCAGTCTATAGCATATACCCTGTTTGCTGTGTTTATTCATCGCGGCGAGGCCAGTTACGGCCATTATTGGGTATATATTAAAGATTTGCAAAATAACGGTACTTGGAGAAAATACAATGATGAAACTGTTTCTGAAATACATGAAGATGAGGTCTTTAACTTTTTAGAAGGTAATACTGCTACACCATATTTCCTTGTCCTGGTTAAAAAAGATCGTGAGAATGATATTGAACCATTAAAAAGAATTATTGAGGATGAAATGTTAGATTAGGATGAGGGAGTGTCTAACGCCTGTTAATGTGTTAAATATAATATGAATATAAACGTGCGAGTAGTATTAAAAGAAGAAGAAGAAAAATATAAAGATTCACTACTTGTGTATTTATCTCCGGTTGGTTGTTAGTTGGAAGGATATTCAAGTCGTTGTGTGTAGAAAATCGTTCAGACAAGCAAATCATCTTTCAAATTTTAATGAAAGAATAAAATATATTTAATTTGTGGAATTAATGACCAGTAAGTGTCACAGTATCAGTGATAATGGTAAATATTGTTATTTTTTTTTGTCTCCAAAATAATATTAATCAAACCCTTACATGTCTTTGGCAGTGTGCACAAAATAAGTTTGGATAAAATTTTTATGCCCTAATTGGCTTTTTTGAGCCCGCTAAATGCCGTCAGCGGAATCAGGGACCCGAAAGAAAAAGACCATCATTTGCATCATTGGGCACGAACAGCGGACGGAAGAACTGCAAAAAAAGCTTTGGTTGAAACAAAAAGGAACATAAAAAATTTAAAGAGAGAATCCCATTTTGTTGAAAAATAATTAAGCATACAATCTGAACGACTATATGTGTCAATCTTGGTGCGTTAAATGAGGTGATTAGAAGGTTTCAGTGTAATTGGCAACTAGACAATCAAGAATATAATAAAACTTTTTTTTTTGAAGTGGGGTTATCTCGTATTCCTGGTTTTCCCTTTTTTTTTTATTTTTTATTTTTTATTCTGTTTGTTTTTAACTTCCAATAAGCCTCGTAATAATAAAAGTTGAAAAGGATATGTCTACATTACAACGTCGTAGAGTCAATAAAAGTTCCTCTAATGCAAACCCACAGGATGTCCAGTCGATATCATCCAAAAATAATGGTGACGAGAACAGTTATCGTGATGATTTAGAAAATGAGACTACAACCACCACTACCTCCACAAGAAAGGTGGTCTATGATCCTGAGGAGGCTAAGTTAAGAGAAAATGTTAGTATACCTAAATTGACTCTTATGGAGGAAGTCTTATTAATAGGGTTAAGAGATAGAGAAGGTTATCTATCGTTTTGGAATGATAATATTTCTTATGCGTTACGTGGTTGTATATTAATTGAATTAGCGTTAAGAAACAAGATCAGAATAATCGATGATTCAGCAAGAAAGAGATTTGATATCTCTGAAAGGTTGATAGAAGTTATTGATCCTTCTAAGACCGGAGAAGTGTTACTTGACGAGACTTTACAATTGATGAAAAATGATGAACCATTGACAATTGCTAACTGGATAGATTTATTAAGTGGGGAGACATGGAATTTATTGAAGATTAATTACCAATTGAAACAAGTAAGAGAAAGATTAGCTAAAGGTTTAGTAGATAAAGGTGTACTTAGAACCGAAATGAAGAATTTCTTTCTTTTTGATATGGCAACACATCCAGTAACAGACACAGCATGTAAAGAGGCTATTAAAAGAAGAATATTGACAACTCTAGTGTCAAGGAATATGGAACTAAATTTTAATGAATTTTTCCCAGAAACTACTTTATTCAAATATGTTAGGATTGTAGCTTTAATATGTGGTGCATATGGTGCTAACGTTTTAGAGAATGTTTTATCATCATTAGATTACGAACAAAGAGATAATGCTATATCAAGAGCTGAAGAATTATTAGAACAATTTTCACAGTACCCCTTTGATTTGGAAAAATCAAGTGAAACTGGTATCTCACAAAATTTGAACAAAGAAATAAACGAGGAGATAATAAATACTCCTGGGTATTCACTACAACTAGAAGTCGTTGCTGGTGTAATTGAAGTGTTTTCCAGAATGGATATGTTACTATAATCGCAGAGGAAAACATATCATTCCATTTTGGATAAGTCTTGCCTTTTCCTCCACCCTCCATTCCTTCATTCTTTTTATTAATAAGTCCTATTTGTTGGTATTGTAATTCATGATGGTTTCTTGTCCATACTAATCAAGAATTAATAACTTGTGTACATACACATGGACGTCCATATATACATACATTTATATATAATTTCATAGATGCTATGTTAATTAATACAACTGATTCCACTAGATGACGGGGTGAGGACACACTCCTCTTGTGAATACAACTCAACACAACTACTTTCATTTATTATTAATAATGGAAGTCTTATGTCCTATCAATATATGTTTGTGTGTATGCGTGTGAATATAGTGGTCTCTCTTCTATTTCCTTCTTCTTCTTCTTTTTTCTTATTGTTTGATGATCGAAGAGAAAGTAGCACTGTTTGTTTTATTTAGCCTTTGCAGGAAAAGAAGACACTGGAGGAAAAAAAATTGAAAAGTCGGAAAAGATTTAATTGATTTTTTAATAGAAGATAAAAGTAAGAAAGATCTGCCATCACCTTTTTAAATTAGATATTACCTCGATTGCATAGAGGTGGATATTAAAGACTTGCATCTTGTTAAGTTTAGGTATTAGGGCTATTCGAAATAGGAAAAGGGACTATAATTAGAAAGAACTCAAAATAAACAGGAGAAATGTCTGACATAAATGATAAAAATTTAGAGATGGTTACGGATGATAGTAAAAGTAGTGCCAGTAACACTTTTGTAAGTGAACCAAAAGAGTCAAATTCTATAGAGGATGTTCGAAAGATTGAGGATAATAAAGAAGAATCAAAAAGTACAGAAGAGAATAGAATAAGTAAGGAAAAGGGAGGTAATCAACATGATAATGATGATGATGATAATGATGGTGATGGTGACGGTGATGACATTGATGATTTATTTGGCGACGAAGAAGAGGAAGAGGATGACGAAGGTGATTTTGTTACTGGGAGAAGAAGAAACTTGGATGTGGACGATGAGGAAGAAATGTATACTAGAAAATTTTATGGTGAAGATATTAGCAACCTCTCTGGTCAAGAAGATGAAGATGATAAAGCTCACTTCAAAGAACAAGATGTGGAATTAGTAAGACATATGGTTCCTTACAAAGTTACTCCAGATAATGATTCCGATAAAATCATATATTATGCTAAAGTGCCTGCATTTTTGATGATTGATCCAATTGCATTTGATCCACCTACTTTTGAAGAGAAAGTTAAGGAAAGATTATCAAATTTCAGTTCTAGAGAGGATCAATTGGGAGATTTATTAATAGATGAAAATACAGTGAGATGGAGATATTCTCGTGATTCTAATCAAAAAGTCTTTAGAGAATCAAACACACAAATCGTTCAATGGTCCGATGGTTCGTATTCTTTAAAGATCGGTGATGAATATAGCGATATTCTTGTCAATGATACAGATAATACATTTTTAGCAGTGTCCCATGATGAACAAGAATTGATGCAATGTGTTGATGGTGGTGAAGTTAAAAAAACACTTATGTTTATCCCAACATCCACCAATTCTAAAGTACATCAAAGATTAAGTAGTGCAGTGGCAAGGAGAGTGCAAAGAGCAACTGCAGGACCAGGAACATATCTAATAAATGTTGACCCTGAGTTAGAAAAGAATGAATTGGAAAGGAAACAGCAACAAATTATCAGAGAAAGAAGAAGAAGGCAAAATAAGGAAAAGGAATTACTTGATTCACCTGATAATACATTTGGATCAAACAGAAATTTATTCAATAAACGTGATGATAGTACATCAGCGTCATTATATGGATCCAAATCAAGGAGATCTAGGGGTGATGAATATGAAGAAGATGATTTTCTAGTGGACGATGACGAAGACGAAGAATTTGATAGTAATCAAGATGAAGAGGAGGAGGAGGAGGAAGAGGAAGAGGATTATGATAATGATGATGATGCAGCTGAAGAGGAAGAAGAGAAAGCTAGGGCTGCAAGATTAAAGGAATCCAAGAGGAGTGAGTCCATGATATATGCAGACTCTCAGTCGGAAGAAGAGTCTCAAAAAAGACGTAAAGTTGCAGTTATTAGTGATGATGATGATGAATAAATATAAGTAAGGTATTATTTACATAAATTGTTGGTGTAGTGTAGATATAAGTGTGAAAATAAATACCTATAGAGAACAACTAAGAAAGTAGTTTCTTGACGTGTTTTTATTTCACCTAATTTGGAGTTTTCAACTCTTTTGTTAAAAAAAAAATTGAGTGCCTCGAAATGCAAAATAATTAAATTGCTTTAGATAAGTGTACACTTCAAGGGCTAAATAGATTTGGATTATCCAATGTCAGCGAGTAAGCAACATGATTGGCTCTTCAATCATGTTGTTATGGTTCAAAAAAAACAGGAAATAAACTAAAGAAGCTGATATAAAGATGGATTGAAGTGACAAACTTTTTGTATTAGGTTGATTGGACATTGATTTTCTGCCTTCATTCTTATTTGTGATCGAAAATATATAATAGCTTATTTATTAGGTGATGGTACATGTATTCGTGTAGAATTTTGGTATATGCTTCTGTTGACGCTATCAACTAAATAGTGTTACCCGGCTACATTATGCAAATCATATTATACGAATATTATTTCCATTTTAGGATAAATGTTCTTTTTTTAGTTAAGCTGCACAAAATATAAGAAGATTACTTTAAAGAAGAACGATCTCACGAGTTTATTACATGCCACATAAGAAATCCCTGAATATTTCTTTCTGGTTTGGAGAGTATCCGATCAAAGTTGCAACGTTAATAAAACATTGTGAATAAATAAGATAAACAAATATGTCCTGGCAAGGTATGTAAATAAATAATATGTTAGGTTTTTCCGGGTGTTTTGGATAAATGTGCAAGAAAAACAGGGGATTTCAAGATTGACAATTTTGTTGATCCATGTCTCTGACAATGGTAGGAGAGTTTAAGACGATAACTTTTGATGATATTTGATAAACTTTATTGTCAGCTGGTCTATCAGTGTTGAGTATCGTAATGAATTTTTTGTTTTCTCTCGAAATGAATAAAATTTAGCCATTACCATCAAGTTATTTAATTTTTGAATGTATTTTACTAACATTAACTAAATACTGGGGTATTATTAATTAATATTTACAATCTAAACATTCATGAAAAGAATTAGTATATCATGGACTTAATTATAAGGGCCTAAGTTCTTGATTAATGCTTTTTTTTTAATTTATACTGTTTTCTTCATGTTTGATTGTTATGATTTTTTCCCCATTGTATTTCAAAATGACTGTCTTATTTTTAATACAGCTTATACGGATAATCTATTGGCTACTGCTAAATTAGACAAAGCTGTTATTTACTCTAGAGCAGGTGATTCTGTTTGGGCTACATCTGGAGGATTAACTTTACAACCAAATGAAATCCAAGAAATTGTAACTGGATTTGACAATCCAGCTGGTTTACAAAGTAACGGTTTACATATTCAAGGACAAAAATATATGCTGTTAAGAGCCAGTGATAGAAGTATATATGGTAGACACGATGCTGAAGGTGTTATTTGTGTTAGAACTAAGCAAACTATTTTAATTGCACATTATCCAGGCACTGTCCAAGCTGGTGAAGCTACTAAGATTGTTGAACAATTAGCTGATTACTTAATTAGTGTTCAATATTGAAGTGAATTTTTGTGTTATATTTTGATATATTTTTATATCCTTGATCTATATAGCCTCTTGATAAAAATGAAATATTTGTTTGATATTAATTTTCTTTTAAAATTTGTTTTTACTTTCTATTGGTATATATATACATATAGCTATGTACTCAACGGGATTCATGATCAGATAACTAAAAGATATTGATCGGTAAAAGTGATGGTAGATACTATTAAATGGATTGACAGAAAGGTGTCATAAGGTTTCGAGACGTCTAGAAATCTTCTTGGTAGCATAGTAACATATATAAAAACGGTGTGTTTGTGATATGACTTTGAGTTTTCAAAAACTAGATAAGATGTGAATACAAGTTAAGTAAATTAAATGCTACTAGATACACACTTATATAAGAATATGTATAAAAATATATGTACTTGTCAACAATGGCAATGATCATATATTAATATTTATATTGAACCGCCACTCCGGTGTTGTCCGATAAGTCCTGCCATTTCTAAAAGAGCACGATCTTCTCCAAGACTCTTCAAATTAATCTGTTGTCTTCTTTTAGCCTCTGCCTCTTCCCATTCTAAACTTTTGATTTGTTCAGCTAATTCTTTTTCACCACCACACCCCCATACTTCCACCTGCTTTATTAAAAATTTTATCTCAAAGATATTTGCGTGATTTGAATGAACTTCATCGATACAGCTTAATAATCCAGGACTGATAGCACCTCCATATCCAATATGCCTGAAGACACCAAATTCTAGAGAATTATCTAATGTTAAAGAAACATTACCAGGAACATACTTCTTGTGGGTTGGTTTGATTATAGGTTGTTCATTTCCAATTCCAATACCTCCACCATTTGTGTTAAAATATACAATGTCCGACTTTGTAGCTTTATATATATCAATCCATGGTGATAATTGGTATATGGTGGTTCCTTTACCTCCAAATTGGCCTTTATTGGTAATTTTCCATGGTTCTTTAATTATAACAGCAAATATTACTTTACGTTTCTTTAATAATGATTTTTCAATGAATTGTCTATCATTTTTTAAAATTTCGTATTCTTCTAAAAACTTGTTGTAACGAGGATTTTTTTGTTTTGCATATTCAGTACCATCTAAAATTCTCAAACCACTAATTAATAAAATAGTTGGCGCTAACCATTTAAACACTTTACTTTGAAACGATCTCATTGAAAATCCATATTCTCCGCCAATGTATAATTTTTGAATATTATTAATGATAAACTGGTCTTGTGGTATCATTAAGGTAAGCAAAGATGCTAAACTCTTTGTCATTAAGTCTGTTTCTTGAAAAGTTATTCTTAAGGAGGAAGAGATTTCTAATTCGTCGGTTTTGTATAACAAATGTTTAAAAAGAATTGACAGAGGCTTCCATAGATTAGGTAAATACATTGAAATTGCATTTACAAATTGGTTTTTTGTAATATTATTGCTATTTTTAGAATTTATTGTTCTTAGAATATTTAAACATATCGGTTTATAACTCTCCATGTTTCGGTTTATTTCAATAACATCAATGATGGAGTTATCGTTGGGTACCAAATCCCAGATAATTAGTAACCATTGAAGGAATGGTAAAAGATTTTCATTGGATATTGATAATTGGTTCAATTGAACATTGTCATAATTTTGTATAATTTCTTTAAAATTTATTGAACTGTTTTCCAGATTTTCATTATTACTCAAAATATTTCTCGAAGATTTGTTTAATTTGCTAGGTGTAATTTCAGTCGCTAATGAAATGAATAATAGAGTTGAATAATTATAGTTTCCATAACCTACAAACTTGGTAAACTTATCTTTGTCTAATAACAAAATTGTTTTTAATAAACCAATACCTGTAATTTCTTTAAATGGTGAATTAATGAAAGGGAAATTACTATAAACTCTTACCATTTTCAAAGTAGTTATTATTAAACCCGCATTGTCCTTAGGAATATTCAACCAGCTGATAACATCTTCATCTGATAATGGTTCTGAAAGGCTCACCTTACCAATTTTTTCTTTAAATGATGACAATTCAAGTTTCCTAAATTCTTTGACAGCTTTGTTGTCATAATATAACAAAATAGATTCTTTGGTGTTTAAAGTATTGGCAACATTATTTTTAAGACTGTCTGTCTCAATTGAAGTACTTTGTCCCATTTTTTATGGCACTTCCCTGTGATTGTATTTAAAATTCTGTTTTACTAATAGAATGCAACTTTCACAGTAAAACTTGTTTAAAAAAATCCTTTGATATAGAAGTAACTGATTAGTCCAAAGTTTTTATTATTTTATTAATTGATAACAATAGATCTCTTCATCCATATATGATTTTTAAAGGATCTTTAGTGAAGATTAAAATGGAATTCCTTAACATAGAGTAACATCTATTATTTCTTGATATAATCATATTTATATTTAAATAATGTTAGAAGTGATTATTTAACAGGCGCTATCATTATTCCATTATATGTTCCCTAAACTTTTTGCTATCATTTTTAACGAATTTTCGCATTTTTGGGGAATTCTGATCTCATCGCGAAGTTTTTGGAATTTTATAATTAAAAAAAATTAAAAGTCTCGAAAGAATTACAGAAGAGGTGATGAAGTAAAGGTTGGCATTGATCCACAAGAGAAGTAAGAACGTTGAAGGAGATTGGGAAGCTGAATCACAGCTTTCAGTGTACTAAGACATATACATATATATATATATATATATCCAGGCGTTTGTGGGTTGTTTCTTTGCTAGATTGGTCATTTCTTGGGGGCATCTTTTTGTTATTACTGGTGTGATCAATACCGATTTTGTGGCTTTAAAACTTCAAGAGGAGTCTTCGGCGAAAATTATACAGAACAGAAAGAAACTTTCAATTATATACAAGTTAATATAAGATTAACAACTGAATAAATCTAACAACAAAAAGTTAAGGAACATATATAAAAAATAATTGAAATTTGGGATTAAAATATTTTAACAACAAAAGAATAATTAATTAATTTATCGACATAAAGTGCAATGAAGGAAGTTGTCACAGGGGAGGTTCCTAAAAAGATTAGTGGTATTCAGTTCAGTGCTCTTAGTGCTGCAGATATTGTTGCACAATCTGAGGTGGAGATCTCTACACGTGATTTGTTTGATTTAGAAAAGAACCGTGAACCAAAAGTAGGTGGTGCTTTAGATCGTAGAATGGGTGTATCTTCCTCTTCTGCTGAGTGTGCCACTTGTCATGGTAATTTAGCATCCTGTCATGGTCATTTCGGTCATATTAAATTGGCTTTACCAGTGTTCCATGTCGGTTATTTCAAGGCTACTATTCAAATTTTACAATGTATCTGTAAAGATTGTTCTGCACTTTTATTATCTGATAAAGATAAAAAACAATTTTTGAGTGAAATTCGTAGACCAGGTATTGATAATCTAAGACGTATGGCTATTTTGAAAAAGGTTAATGATCAATGTAAAAAACAAAGAAGATGTTTAAGATGTGGTGCGTTAAATGGTGTTGTTAAAAAGGGTGCAGCCGGTGGTGGTACAGCCTCATTAAAGATTCTTCATGATACTTTCCGTTGGGTAGGTAAGAAATCAGCTCCAGAGAAGGATAAATGGGTTGGTGAATGGAAAGAAATCTTGTCTCATCATCCAGAATTACAAAAATTTGTTAAACGTTGTACTGATGATTTGAATCCTTTGAAGACTTTGAACTTATTTAAACAAGTTAGCTCCGAGGATTGTGAACTATTAGGTATTGATGCCACAATAAGTTCAGGTAGACCAGAAACATATATTTGGAGATATTTGCCAGCACCACCAGTTTGTATTAGGCCATCAGTTGTCATGCAAGATTCTCCATCATCCAATGAAGATGATTTAACTGTCAAATTGACCGAAATTGTGTGGACATCATCATTAATTAAAGCAGGTCTAGAAAAGGGTATATCTATCAATAACATGATGGAACATTGGGATTATCTACAATTGACTGTTGCTATGTATATTAACTCAGATTCTGTCAACCCTGCATTGCTTCCAGGTGCATCTCCTGGTTCAGGTAAATCTAAACCTATTAGAGGTTTTTGTCAACGTCTAAAGGGTAAGCAAGGTAGATTTAGAGGTAATCTTTCTGGTAAGCGTGTTGATTTTTCCGGGAGAACAGTTATTTCACCAGATCCAAATTTATCCATTGATGAAGTTGCAGTACCAGATCGTGTCGCTAAAGTCCTTACATTTCCTGAAAAAGTCACTCGCTATAATAGACGTAAATTACAACAATTGATTATTAATGGTCCACAAGTACATCCAGGTGCAAATTATATCCTTAAAAAAAATGAAGAAGCAAGAAGAAATTTACGTTATGGTGATCGTATGAAATTGGCTAAGAATTTACAAATTGGTGATATTGTTGAAAGACATTTAGAAGATGGTGATGTTGTCTTATTTAATCGTCAACCATCGTTACACAGATTATCTATTCTATCCCATTATGCAAAGATTCGTCCATGGAGAACATTTAGGTTAAACGAGTGTGTTTGTACTCCATATAATGCAGATTTTGACGGTGATGAAATGAACTTGCATGTTCCACAAACAGAAGAAGCAAGAGCAGAAGCAATAAATTTAATGGGAGTGAAGAATAATTTATTAACTCCAAAATCTGGTGAACCTATTATTGCCGCTACACAAGATTTCATTACTGGCTCCTATTTGATTTCACATAAAGATTCCTTTTTTGATAGAGGGACTTTTACGCAACTTCTATCCATGATGTCTGATGGTTCTTTGCAATTTGATATACCCCCACCAGCTATTATGAAACCTCAATATTTATGGACTGGTAAGCAATTATTTTCTCTTTTAATAAAGCCAAATAAAGATTCACCCGTTGTTATCAACCTTGATGCTAAAAATAAGGTTTATGTTCCACCAAAAAGCAAATTATTACCCAATGAAATGTCTAGAAATGATGGTTTTGTTGTTATTAGAGGTTCCAAGATTTTAAGTGGTGTTATGGATAAATCCGTTCTTGGTGATGGTAAAAAACATTCCGTATTTTATACTATTTTAAGAGATTATGGACCTCAAGAAGCAGCAAATGCCATGAATCGTATGGCTAAGTTATGTGCAAGATATTTGGGTAATAGAGGGTTCTCGATTGGTATCAGTGATGTTACGCCAGCAGATGATTTAAAAGCTAAGAAAGAGGAGTTGGTAGAAATTGCATATGCCAAGTGTGATGAATTAATTGATTTATATAACAGAGGTAAGTTGGAGACACAGCCAGGTTGTAATGAAGAACAGACTTTAGAAGCAAAGATTGGTGGTTTATTATCGAAAGTTAGAGAAGAAGTCGGTGAAGTTTGTATTAATGAATTAGATAACTTGAATGCACCATTGATCATGGCTACTTGTGGTTCTAAAGGTTCTACATTAAATGTCTCTCAAATGGTTGCTGTTGTTGGTCAGCAAATTATTTCTGGTAATCGTGTTCCTGATGGTTTCCAGGATCGTTCCTTACCACATTTTCAAAAAAATTCCAAAACACCACAATCAAAGGGTTTCGTCAGAAATTCTTTCTTTTCTGGTTTATCCCCACCAGAATTCTTATTTCATGCTATCTCTGGTCGTGAAGGTTTGGTTGATACTGCTGTTAAGACAGCCGAAACTGGTTATATGTCTCGTAGATTGATGAAGTCTTTAGAAGATTTATCATGTCAATACGATAATACTGTAAGAACGTCATCTAATGGTATTGTTCAATTTACATATGGTGGTGATGGTTTAGATCCTCTAGAAATGGAAGGTAATGCTAAACCGGTTAACTTTAATAGATCGTGGGATCATGCTTCCAACATTACATTTAATCAAAAAGAAAAAGGTTTGTTACCTTACGTCATTCTACAAAAAACAGATGAGGTTTTAAAACCACTCGAAGAAAGATTAGTTAGATATGATAATTTAGGTAATGTACTTCCTGATGAATTGGAGGATATGGAGGAATATGCAGATCAACAAGATGCTGAAAGAGACTTCTACAAGTCATTAAGAGAATATATTAAAGTCAAGGCAGCTCGTTTAGCGGCAATTAGAAAATCTAGGGGTTTGCATGAATTATTAGATGAGCCAGCCAAAGAATTGCAGAGTATAGATATGGACGAAAACGCCTCTGAACAAGCTATAGAATCTGTTGATCAATTATGCAAGATAACAGAAAGAACCGTTCTTGAATTTTTGAATATTGCTCTTTCAAAATATCGTAAGGCAAGAGTGGAACCTGGTACTGCAGTTGGTGCCATTGGTGCACAATCTATTGGTGAACCAGGTACTCAAATGACTCTGAAAACTTTCCACTTTGCTGGTGTTGCTTCTATGAATGTTACATTAGGTGTTCCTCGTATTAAGGAAATTATCAATGCTTCTAAAGTTATTTCAACTCCAATTATCAATGCTGCTCTAGTTAATGAAAATGATGAAAGAGCAGCCAGAGTGGTCAAAGGTAGAATTGAAAAGACTTTATTATCTGATATTGCATATTATATTCAAGATGTTTATAGGGACAATTTGTCATTTTTGGAAATACGTATTGATCTTGGTACTATTGAGAAATTACAACTAGAATTAACAATGGAAGATATTGCAGTTGCTATTACAAAGGCTCCAAAATTAAAGATCCAGGCAGCAGATGTCAGTATTGTAAGTAAAGACAAGATTACTGTTAGTGTATTTCCAGCAGATTATAATGCCAAATCGATTTCTACCTCAGCAAGTGTTAAAGATTCAGGTGAATTAGATGTTTTCTATAAGATGCAATTGTTACGTCGTGCGTTACCAAACATTGTTGTAAAGGGTTTACCTGATATATCTAGAGCAGTTATTAATATTCGTGATGATGGTAAAAGAGAATTGTTGGTTGAAGGTTATGGTTTAAGGGAGGTTATGTGTACAGATGGTGTTATTGGTAAGAAAACTACTACTAATCATATTCTTGAAGTTAATGCAGTTCTTGGTATTGAAGCAGCACGTTCTAGTATTATCGGTGAAATTGATTACACCATGAGTAACCACGGTATGAGTGTCGATCCTCGTCATATTCAATTATTAGGTGATGTGATGACATATAAAGGTGAGATTTTAGGTATTACAAGATTTGGTTTAAGTAAAATGAGAGATTCTGTTTTACAATTAGCTTCCTTTGAAAAAACAACAGATCATTTGTTTGATGCAGCTTTCTACATGAAGAAGGATGCAGTAGAAGGTGTGTCTGAATGTATTATCTTAGGGCAAACTATGTCGATTGGTACAGGTTCATTCAAGGTGGTTAAACCAACTTATGTAACACAAGAAAAATTAAAGCCAAAACCTACATTGTTTGAATCATTGGCCTCTGGTCCATTATTGAAAACTAATTGAAAAGATAAAATACAATATTTTTTATTCCTTACATTATATGAAAAAAATTATAAAATTAAATAATTGGTTATGAAGTTTACATAGATAATAAATAAGCATTAATTTTGTACAATAAAAGTTTTAGTTATATAAAAGTGTGAACGGTACATGTTTTGTCGTTTATTGTGGTCATTTATGGTTATTTTAAGATGTAAAAAAAGAATGATACAATGTAAAAAAATAAAGGTTATAAATGACTCAATTTCTATATACTACCTTTAGGTATTGTAAAATCATTCAGGATAAGCTGAAAAGAATTGTCCCAAAGTTAAATTTTTATATTAGGACAAGGAAAAGAAGATAAAAAATCAAATTGTACAATTTCTTTTTAAACATTTCAAATAAAACTTTTTTTGTAGCAAATACATTAATAGCAATATCACTTAATCCCGACTACTAGTATCAATGATATTTTTCGTATATTTTAGAATAATTTTTTAAAAAGATTGAAAAGGTTATGGAAATTTTGTTTATCTTTTTAAAGTTTTTCATCTCTTTTAATACCATGTGTAATTCCACAAAAATAAACTAGAGGTTAAAAATCAAAAACTAAAAATTTGACTTAGATCCAAATAAATATGTAATAAAATTAGCAGCATCAAACTAAACTATTTCAAAAACACAAACGGAAACTAATAAAATTTTATCCAAAATTTAATTATTATTATTATCTATTGTTATGTATATCTAAACTCATAATCGTAATATGATGAACATAATAAATAAGAAGAATCAATCTATTGATCACCACACATAAATCAAGAATATTTATAAAAAAATGTATCAAAGTTTTCTGGTTAATGAGTTATTATATATTATTTTACTCACATTTTTTTCTCATAATAATAGGAACTATATTAGCATCTCCAATAATAGTTATTTTAAAATTGCTCTTCTGACATATAATGATAAAAATTTTTCTCCCCTTAATATTCTTCTATAGAACAGACAGAATATAAAAATTTATTTGAAATACATAGAATGCTTCATTACAACTTCCTTATGTAAATTAATATATATATGAATAGAATTGCTTATTTATATATTCTTTTATTCTTAATAATTGTTATCTTGTAAAAAACTTGTTTACTATGGAATGTGTATTACACACATTTCTAATTAAAGTAGTATCTTGTTTTTTACACAATTATTGACTCATTCTAATATGACATTCGTTCAAATAACCAGTTTCTTATTTTTTAATTAAGTCTCACAGAATATTTGAGTAATAATCAATGATAATAAACTACCAAAATATTCAATTCAAGGTTGGATTAAACAATACACTTCCAGAGTATTTTACAAAACACAAAATAAGTGAATACACTGATAAAAATATAAATATTATATTTTTTTTGTTATATACATCTGTTTATTGTAGATTGTTAAATTAGATTATGTTAAACTAACTATTATCAAATTAAGATATGATTATTTTTATTATATGCGAGTAGAAATATAGGCTCTATAGAATTTAACTGGTACAATGTATCTTTCAAGATTATTATAATATAAATACTTGTATTATATTACTCTTAATGAGTGTTAATTTTTATTTTCATAAAAGTTCAAAGCTATCTTTACTAATAGGAATAGTATCTCCAAAAAAACAACAAAACCACAAATACTTGCAACAATGATTTGTTATAATATTGGTATTTGAAGGTGGTAAAAAATATTTAATATACATTAACATCAAACATGAATCTTATGAAAGTTCAAATAATTAAAATTTTCAGTCATTTTATCCATCGTATTTAATATACTTAGTACTATTTACAGGATGTTTTAATACGTAACTTATCCATCATAAATAATTTATTTAAAGGATCTAATTTTTTTTCTTTGTTCTATCATTTATCATTTATGTTTTTTTTTTAATTTAAAATTGTTCTATAATTAATTGAATGACTAGAATATTTCAAAAAAATAAAGAGAGAAATCTTTCAAATATTATTAAAGGATTATTTGATTTCTTGACTCCATATTTCAACCATATCCCATATGAGCCCATCAAGTTAGACATCATGATGTCCGTAAACAATCTGTCTCCAATTACAGCAACTTCATCAGGTTTTTCCACTATTTTATTTTCAACAAAGTAGTCGTATATTTCTTGATGACAGCCCGGTTTTTTTACAAAATGTCTGAATACAGTAACACCGGTTTTTTCTTCGAGAAGTTTGGCTTCTTTTAAACTATGATCACTCTTAGAGCCTGCTGTATTACTTACGATCAGTATTGCTTTACCAGGATAATACTTTTTTAATTTTGCCCATTGATCGTTATATGGTCCCCATATATGATTTTGATGAGGATATGAAATACAATTATCTTTATCCACTACAATTGCCTTAATTTTATCATTTAATGGTATTGGTATGCCATTGAATGTATTATAAATTGAGCTAGGTTTAATTAAGGATGGCTTGTATAATGCTTTAAATGCATTAAATGCCCCACTCAAATTACTCATTTGATATACTTGAAATTTAGAACAAATATGATTTATAATATACTATTTAAATCTTCGTTCTACAATAATACCTATAGTTGGAGTGATGATAGGTCAAATTTAGTACTGTATTAAAAGATAGATCAAAACATGACGCCTGACTGTTTACGAGTGAAATATGTAGGTAGACCTTTCCTTAAGTAAAGCAAGTTTTTTTGTAAAAAAAATATACAACAGCAATTGAAAGACCAGAACTAGAAAAAAGAAAAAAGAAAAACGACACAAAACTATGAGAATCGAGATCTATATGCTTTATCATGAAAAGTAGTAGTGCTATCTACTTATTTTTTCCCATAAACAGATTAAGAGAGTACAGACATTACTATATAATATTATTTATGTACTCCTCTGTCTTCTTTACAAAAGAAGAAAAAAAAAGTTATTCTAAAAAAGAGAGGTCAGATATAAAAAAGTACGAGGCAAAATTCAACGCTATCATTATTTCTTTTAATTACTATTGATAAAATTCTCACTCCAACTTTGATTTTTCTTTCACATTATTTGTTTCTTGTCCTTTTGTTTCTTGTTTTCGCCGTTCCTCTCTATTTATCTTGTCTGAATCGTTCTCTTTCTTTCCATCTTTCGATAAAGAAGATAACGATGGTTTTTGTGGCCTATTTCGTCCATTGGTGAAAATGTTCCGATTAAATACCAAACAATACATTATAAAAATAATTGTTGTGGTAACAATTAACTTCAATAAAGGATAGTTGTTTTGAATAAAATCACTATCAAAGATAGAAACATAATGGTTATGCAACTCTTGATGTAATGGTTTATGCTTATTTCTAATAATTGGTACATCTAATATTCTATTATTCTTTTCAAGATCTCGTTTTCGTGATATAATATCATTGAAAAACCCATCATAGTGATCCAATAACGACAATCCTGAAGATAGATCTGCTTGTAAGTCAGGTTCTAATGAAGTGAGAATAACAGTTTGATATGGAGACGGAATTTGACCAAGAACATATTTCAAATAGTTATCGAAATGATTTATCGTCTCACTTCTAACTTGATCATCGATCGAATCCAGGGCAGGAAAGTCAATCCCAATTATTCTTTTATCTGTATCTAAATATGGTTCATATTGTGTTGTATCATTACCAATCAATCTTAATATTTTACTAACTTGACATTTTTGTTTTGTAAAAGCTATTAAATAGTCAAATGTAGATTGATCAATTTTAACTTTTTCGAATTTCAAACCGGTGGAACTTAATTCAAAGGAACTCTCCAGAAATCTGAATCCATCTCTATATTTAACAAAATCAAGTTCATTTAGCCCAGGGATATTAATGAAGATATAAGCATCAGAGTTACAATTACCCAATAATTCTTCACTAATAATTTTGAATGACTCAATAGGAACTGTTTGTTTATAATTATAATTCTTCTGATATTTGATTAAACCAGGGGCTAGCGAATATGAATACATTATAGCTGGGACTGTATTAGTGGCAAATGTGCCCAATACATATTTAAATAAAAGGATGGTCATCCATAGTTCCAATAAAAATTTAGATAGCATGGTTTAATAATATAGGGAAGAAAAGTTAAAAATAAAATAAAATCAAAATTCCATTTGTTTCTGTTGTTATTTTATTTGGTTTTGTATATCTATCTGCAGGAACAGAAGTGAAGAGAAGATATGATAAAGTATGTTCTTCTTTTAACAACTCGGTTATTTGACAATACAAAACGTAATACCAACCAAATATGTTCAGTAGTTATTATATTATTAAACTATTCAGTTGTCAATGTTTAATCTAGAAAGACAACATAAGCAATAAAAAACGAGAAGAATATAGAGGTCAAAAAAAAAAAGATTACCTTCTATCTTTTCAATTCTTGTTTCCTCTGTTGCGCTACGTTAGTTTGGTTATATTTGCTTTGTATTTTCTGGTAAAACAGATACCTTCTCTCCCAATATTAGGGCTTTATTAGGGGCGTTTCTGTTCTTACTTTCTCAAATGGGTTTCCAAACGGTGAAAGAAAAAGAATAAGACACACAATGTACAAAGACAAAACCAAATAACCAGCGTTCGACGGAGCTTATATCTATATATACCCAAGTAATCAACAATCGTTGTTAAAAGAAGTGACGATACACTGTCCAAAGAAATTTCTTATTTGTTGCAATGCACCCATTATTGACTGTTTTAACTGTTTGACGAAACAATCAACAAAGCCGACAAAACCAATTAGAATTGTCTGAACAAAAATGAAATCTAATGATGCATATTATCCAGTTATTTTGAACCTGTTCATATTTAAATTTATTTTTATGCCAATAAACAAAAAAAAAGAAAATAGTGTGTAATATAATATATACATATACATAGTATTTAGAATACACCATATAAATATTCTGTCTCTCTTTGTGCTTATCACTGCCCGGGGTTCATATATTTCTAGATATGTTAGGGTTAGAGATACGTTTTTGATTGTTTTTCCTTTTCTAGCATTATCATTTTTAGGGTTGATAGATGATGAATTTTTCCTTCCAAAAACTAAAAATAAATAGCAAGAAAACAAAAAAAAAAAGAGAAGGTCAATAATGATCTTACAGAAATAAATAATTGGTGACTTAAAAATAATACGATGGGCTAATGTGCAACACTTTTAGACTGGCTGTACCAAAAACGACATTAATAAGAACAACGAGCGCTAGACAGTTTATTAATGATTGTTCTAAGACTTTTTTTTTGATTCAATAAGGATATCTATAAATATAAATAGAAATACAATAACTAGGCTCTCAATCTAGGTTTTGAAATAAATAAACATCATTCTCTTTACTAGATTGTTGTTTAGCCGAAAAATATTTCAATTTGGTTTGCTTTATATTGTTTTTCCTAATTGATAGACTCTTATTAATCATATTTAATAATAGTGAAAAATATTTGCGGTAATATACATATACACTATATAAAACAATTGATTGTTATCCACTTAATAGACTTTAAATGAAAAAATCATCAAGAAGTGGTAGTCTTAGTACAGGTGTTCCTGTTTCCAGTAATACAGCTACTGTAAATAGTAGTAACAGCAATAACAATAACAACAGCAACAGTAGCAACAACAATAACAGCAGTATTAATGGCAGTGATGGTGGTAAAGGTAATAGAACTAATATTCATAATAATCATAATGATAACAGTAATAGTAAGAAAAATGAAAAAAAGATGGATAATAATGACCAAGACGTTAATTCTATGTTTAGGAGAACAGAAATTATTGGGAGAGGTAAATTTGGTATTGTTTATAAAGGTTATCATATAAAAACAAAACATGTTTACGCTATTAAAGTATTGAATCTAGATTCAGACGAAGATGAAGTGGAAGATGTACAAAGAGAAGTCCAATTCTTATCCTCCTTGAAACAAATCCCTAATATTACAAGGTATTATGGTTCATATCTGAAAAATACAAGTCTTTGGATCATTATGGAATATTGTGCTGGTGGTTCACTACGTTCTCTACTTCGACCTGGAAAAGTGGATGAAAAATATATTGGTGTCATAATGAAAGAAGTGTTAATTGCATTAAAATATATTCATAGAGAAAATATCATCCATAGAGACATTAAAGCCGCTAATATTTTGATCACAAACTCTGGGTCAGTCAAGTTATGTGATTTTGGTGTAGCTGCCCAACTGAATCAAGCCACCTTAAGAAGACAAACCATGGCAGGTACTCCATATTGGATGGCTCCCGAAGTTATCATGGAAGGTGTATATTATGATACTAAAGTAGATATCTGGTCCTTAGGAATTACTGCATATGAGATTGCCACAGGAAACCCACCTTATTGTGATGTAGAAGCAATAAGAGCAATGCAATTAATTACCAAATCTAAACCACCAAGATTAGAAGGAAGGGATTACAGTGCTCCATTGAAAAAATTTATTGCATTATGTCTAGATGAGGATCCAAATGAAAGATTAGAGGCCGACGAATTATTGAATTGTAAATTTATTAAATTACATAAAAATACTCCCACATCAATACTAAAAGAATTAGTGACAAGATACCTTTTATTTAGAGACAAACATAAAAATGATAACCAATCTGTAACACATGCAGATGATATAAAACACGGTGATGTCAATATGAATAATAATGATAATAATAAGAAGAATAAAATTGATAAAGGAGATAATATAGCTAAAGATATAAAACATAACAACACCAATATTTGTGAATATATAGATGAGGCATCTCAGAGTATCGATAATATCAGTGTTAGATGGGACTTCGATTCTTTAAGTTCAACAGATTACATCATTGAAAATAATATTAATATCGAAGCTATATCAGAGGAAACTCCTGATTGGCAACATGAACAAGTTAATTATGCTTATCCCGAAGAAGACCATTATTCATACTATCCAACGTCCAATAACACCAATAACCTTACCAACATGGTGACCAATAGTCATAAATATGCTTATCAAGGTACCACCATTGGAAAATATAATCCAAATACAACCTACCAAAATTCTACTTTTGATGTTCCAATAACACATATGAATACTACTGGAAATTATCCTTCAAAAATGATATTAGGAACAGGTACACAAGTTATATCAAATAAAAAGGAAACAATTGGAACATATAATACTACCCTAGGTAGTAATAGAAAACTAGAAACTAAAGCTCCTAAACAACTTTTAGAATTATTTGAAGACACTGAGGTTATTCCAGAGATAGACTCCACTCATGAAGAAAATAGAAGAACTAATAAGAATAAATCTGTTCCTTATTTAGATACATTAAACGAGGATGTCGACCTGCAAATAGCCAATGATAGTAACAACATTGGTAACAAAAGTGTAAATAATAATAATATATCAACAACAACCTCTTTTAACATTAATAACCCACATAATAACTTAGTTAATGCAAAGTCCTATTTTACTCAAAGTGCTCCACAGCTTCCTCACTTACAAACAACCTTTACTACGCCGTCAAATGAATTATCCACTACACTAATGACTGCACCCACATCAGTTGAAATCGAGATTCCTGAAGAGTTACCTGTTAGTGCTTTGCCGACACCAGTACCAATTGAAAATCCATCACATCTGCAAACAAAACCACGGTCTTCAACTGTATCTATCTCCCCTCTAGCTTATCAACAACAACAACATATAACATCATCTTCCCAGGCCCCACACCAACTACAACAATCACATGGTTTGACAAGACGATTAACACTGGGAGGAATTAATAATGCCAGATCTAATGACAATGAAACCAATGATAAATCCAAAGTTGTTGGCAAAACTATTGCTGAAGAAATATCTAGATCGGCATCTTTTGCAAATGTTTCAAATATATCAACTTCTTTATCAAATAGAGTTATTGTGAATGACATTCCGAAGACACATAGAAAAACACCATCTCCAGCTAAAATAGCAGCTTTGGCAGGTGTTTCTCCTACAAAAAAACCAGGTGTATCACCGACGGGAATCAAAAATATTAGTAATACCGAAAATATTAGTGACCCATCTAATAGTGTATCCATCACGGCAAATGTAACTAATGTACCTGCCATGAGACCTATAGCAAGTGTAAATGAGAGTAAAGATGCATTATTACATCCGGTAAACGTAAATAATATAACATCCAGTCATTTTAATACTACATATACCGATAATAAATCTATGCCAATGACTTCACAAAGTCCTAATATTGAAAAAGAAACAAGTAGAATAAATGCAGATTTCAAAAGAAATAATCCCAATTTGAAATTGCAGATGCCATTACCAAAACCTATAAATAAGCATAATTTGCTAGATTCCAGTAATATACCTTCAACTGAAAGTATTAATCAATTTGGTTTTAATACAAGTGTTACTCAAAATGCTCCTGTATCCATGACACCAATTAATGAAAAATACATGGATTTCAACAATAAACTGAAAAGAAGTCAAAGCGTCAGCAATAGAAAAAATTCTGCAACTAATGATAGTTCGTCACAATTCTCCAGTACAAGTAATTCAGCTTTAAATCAGTCAGTATCAACAAATATCGTCAATAATCATAATATATCCTCTTTTGGTAATTCTACAATATCCGATGTCGATAATTACCAAACTATTAATGGAACGAATGAAGTTCTGGAGAATTCAACGGCAATAAATGTCAAGACAGGAAATACGATTGATGTAAATGAAAATAATATAGCAAGCCAGACAACTGCCATACATACTGATAATACTACCTCATCTGCGACAGTTACAACGACGAATTCTAAAAATAGTAATATCAATAATGCAGTTGTGATGGCCCCACCATCTAGTATGTTAAGAATGAGTCTATTCCAGGATTTAGAACAAAATAGTTCATTTCGTAGAGTGGATCGTAAACCTGAGATGTTAAAGGAACTAGATAAATTATTACATTTATTTGAAGAGAATTTACCTGCTATGGAAAATGCATTAAAACGACAACTAGTTCCCAGTACTAACACAATAAATCCAATTTCTACTACTACTACTACTGCTACTACTATTCCTAATACGATAAGTATCACAAAAAGTAATAGTGTAATAACCCCTGAACTACAATCAACAACTATGCCTACTGTCACAGAATCTATATCTAATAGTGTAACTTCATCTGTAGCTTTGACGGAAGACATGATAGGACGAAGTTAGAGACAATACATACATACATACACATACACACACATTCACACACACACACATATATATATATATATGTATATGTATATATGTATACATATGTAAACGGACTTTTATTCTTTACCAAGTAATTTTAGTTTACTTTTTCTTTAATTCAATATTTTACTATTTATTTTTATTGTACCCCAATCTAAGAAGAATAGATATTTTTGTCTAGTTAACAAAACCCTATCTAGTAGTACGATAGGTTACAACACACAACAGAAACACATTTAAAAAATAAAGTATATATATATATATATATATTAAGAACATTCAAAGCAAAGATTGTTTCAAGGGTATTATTTGGTGACCCTCCTAGTCGATTTTATATTTGTGTTTTTTTTTTTTTGTTTTTTTCATACAGTGCAAGAAAATTATATTTAAAAGTCAACTTCTGAAGTACGAGGTATTTGCCTGTGTAAACACTTGTGTAAAATACTTCCGTATACATTTATTTTATGACATGTGGTTGTGACAGTTAGACAATGACACAACGCAATTACTAGTTTTATTTGGTTTGCATATTTTTGTTACTCCTCATGTGAATTTTCCTTTAATCTGCCAGAAACCGACAAAACACGAAAAACTTGAAAAAGAAAAGCAAAAAAAAAAAATAGAAAGGCACGTGCCTTTCACTGGACCTGAAAAAAAACTTTTTTTTCTTTAGTTTTTTCTTTTTTTTTTCCTCGAGAGAAAAGTGTGGAAAACTTCAAAAAAATTGTTGACAACGTTGACTAGGACATCCCCAAATTTCTCTTGCTCTTTTTTCTTTGTTTTTGTTTCCTCCTCTTTGTTTGTGGTTCACATGCCAACCTGCAGGGGCTTTTTGGTTAATGAACAAAGTCTGGTGTAACAGCGTCGTAGTGCAAGTCATGTTTTGATTTACTGTTAACAGATCTTCTTTTGGTATAGCCTCTATTTTCTTAAGTCGGTCAATTAGCCGAAAAAGAAAAAGAAAATCGGAATTATTATTATTATTATTATTATTATTATTATTATTATTATTCGTATTATTATTATTATTCGTATTATACTTGCAACGCTCAAATGGATGCACTTTCATTAAAACAGTTTCACTTAGTTTTCAAATCTTTATGCTTTGTTTTTTTTTTTTTTTATCTATAGAATCGTTTTTTTCTTGTCCCGATTGTTTGTTCTTAAAACTGTGCCTTCTTCTTCCTACAGGAGACATTCTCGACTTGAAACCATTGATGTTATTTTGAATCCACTCATCATTATCCATAAACATTCTTAAAACCTTGTTGCATTTAGTGTATTCTTTACTTACAACCTCTAATACCTAGTCTAGGAAAACAACAACAACAACAAGAAGGGGTAAAAAGACTATTTGTAAGTTTCATTGATCAATAATTCTAATAACTCTACATATACGCATACATATTCCTCCCCTACTGTTTTTACTTACTTTAATTATCCGGTGTTCTTCCGTTTTTTTTTTTCCTTTCTTATTACTTTTTTCCTTTTTTTTTTTTTTTTTTTTTTAAATTTTTATTTTTGACATCTCTTTAAAGGAGTATTACAACTCAAAACTACTTTCAGCATCTTTTTTTTTTTTATTGTTTTTATCTTCAGACGTTATTCTTAATAATTGATCAAATCAACTCAAATCAACTCAAATCAAACTAAAACACTTTCTAAATCTTTGTTCTTCGTTGCAGTATCCTTGATTTAGCATTAGAAACAAAAATGAGCTCGATCCACTCAGATAATGATCCAGGTGATATCATGGTTATGAAAAATTTTAATTTAAAAAAACGTGAGGAAAGACAAGCAATGAAACAGAAGGAGACAATGAGAAAATTGACAGCCTCCAATTTAGATACATCTAACGACTCTAATATACTCGGTCTCGGGATAGCTAGAAGACCAAGTGACAATCTTCTGTTGAAGTTTAATCAAGCATTAACCACACGTAGTAGAAGTAATGGCACTCACAGTACTAATATAGAAAACACAGAGGTAGTCTATGAAGATGGACCTTTGAATCCAGTTGACTTGTCGGATTTACCTCCTCCTAATAAAAATTTTGTCACTAAAAATCAACGACCAATATCTAATGATTCTATCAGTACAAAGACATCTGAATTGTTTTCTTCACCGTCATTTGATTTGCATTCAAGAGATTCATCGATTGGTAATGATAGTGAAGACAATGAAACTAGTATGGTAGATAAGAGTAGTATCCTATCTGAAGAAAATACAACATTAATAATACACCAAGAAGAAAATACTCAACAAAACACAAATGACGACTTTTCCACTAATGACTCACCCATACCTATGCCAAACCATATATTGGAACCAATATTAACAAAACCAACTCCTAAACCTACTTATTTTCCTAATAGTACTAATGGAACAAATACTGATGCATCGACTACTTCTGTTGTCTCTACAGATATCAGCAGTAATACTAAGCCTTCATACCTTCATTCAAACAGAAGTGTCCCTCTTTTAAAATCTACCAGGAATCAACCTCCAAATCATGTTAATAGCTATCCGTATTCAAATACATATAATAAGGCAATACAAAAAGATTTCTTTCCTGATAAAATTGGTGGTACCAATAGTGATAACAATAATTACAGAAGCAAAAGATTTCCATTATACAGTCACTCTAACAGTACAACAGCAATTCCATTTAATAAGGTTCCATTAACCGCTTCACAAAGGTATAGATTAAGAAAAGAGCAAAATGAAACTTCTTTAAGAAAATCGATTAAGAAGAAGGAAAGATTCTATGAAGATCAAGAACAGGTCATGGAATTACAAGAAGGAGATATTGATGACACTTTAATTTGGAATATTCCTACGGCATCCTTTTCCACAAGTTCATTTTTAAATTCAACAAAACCCAGTGGGCTTAAATTAGGACAAAGTACAAAAGCGATATTACAACAACACAAAAATCCTATCATACCCAAAAATGGACCATTTGTTCCAGGCTTAGATTTTTTTGATATGCCAACATCACCTATACCAGGCATCTCGAAAGTCACAGATTTTCAGTATATTCAAGATACCACCAAAAAGTTATCTAATATCTATATAAACAGCTCTGAAAAATTATCAAAATCTAAATTGTCTGAACGTGCTAATTCTGCTTGTTACTTACCATTAGATCTAAAGGAGGCAAGTGAAAAGGGTATGGAGGACTTACTCTTAATCTCAGAGAATAAATTGGAATTAATGTCAAATTCAAGACCAAGTTGGTTACCACCAAAGGATCCTGAAGAAAAAAAGGCACATGAAGAACAAATATCTAAATCTATCAGTATGGCATCTATTGAACAGTTAGATAGAAATAAAGATCGTGAACAAAGATTGATTAGGAATGAAACTAATAGACAGAAATTTGTACTTCTATTGGATAGGGATGTGACTAGAAAATCTTCTATAAAAACCCTACAAAAAATCATCTGGGAAACGTCATTCTCTGATGATGTTAGATTACAGATGTACAACACTATTTTACAAAGTGATGTAAAGTTAATTACTAAAAAGTACATCGATCCGTTTGCTAATCTTTTAGAAATAGTTAATGGAATGGATTTCCCTAAGGGAAAAGAAGTGGAATTAGAACAATTAATTAACAAGAGTATTACTTCAAAGAGGAATAATTCAGAAATGATATCGAAAGATTTAATATTAATGCTGAAAATTAAATCTATCTCTACACAAGGTTTGTTAGTGGGTGATGAATTATTGTTCTATCATTTCTTACAGAATAAATCATTTAAAACTTTATCTGAAGTTTGGGAAACAGTAAATTTAATACAAATGACTTGCTTTAACGATTTATGTCAAGAGAAATATGATTCTAAGATAATCTCCAAGAAGGGGATAGTTGCCAATTATTTACTTCGAAATGATGACTTCAAAGATGAATTTAATTCTACTTGTTTGAATTTTAATACGTGGTGGAATATTTTAGAAAGAGTTGATCATGCTTTGTTTATGTGGATAATGGATATTATTGTGGTTCATAATGCTCAATGTTTCAAAAATGATCCTGTTAAAGGAACTCTTTTCCACAATCAAGATTGGGATTTTTATAAATCAAAGAAAGTGTTTATAAACTATAAAATTTTGCTTTCATTCGTTTTAAATATTCTTCTAAATTATCATTTTGGGTTTATTGATTTGAAAGTTTTAGCAGACCTTGACAATAAGGACTTTTGTATACCGATACCCATGGATGATTTGATTGATAAAGAATCAGTTGATGGTCTTTTTATTAGAAAATGGTTGCATTATTACAAAAAGTTTTAATCTTATACCGCCTTGCCATAAATAATTAACAATTTTCTAATGTCTGATGCGGTTATTTTTTTATACGTATATCCATTGAGTTCTCAATTAAATATGTATAGAGTTTTTGTATGCTTACTATAAATATATATTTATAATTCAATTTAAACAACAAAATTTAAACTCTAATTCATCATGTAAAAATGGTTATCTTAAAATTTCCATGTTTCTTGGATATAAAACAAATGTATAGTGGGTTATATCCACTAAATTACGTCAAAATTTTATAAATGATATATAGAACAAACACCTGAAAAATATGTCAAAAAAAAGAGAAAAAAAAAGCTGATATAACTAATTAAAGGAAATTAATTTCACCTTCAAATACAGACAGTGTAGTTCACTTACTCATATTATTATTGTAAGCTCATGACCAAAAAGCAATATTTAAGTTAGTATATATTAGAAATTAGATCTATTAACACTTATTTAATTACATTTTTGCATTGTGCATGTATGTATATAGTATGAGAGGCAAATATGAAAAAGTATATAAAGGTTAAGGAGGTAATTAATCCGTGTGCTTGAAATATCGTTATATTTTTATATATCGTATAACATCTCTTTATTTGTTGTTATATATATGTATATATCCTGATTGTAAAGATAAAGGTAATCATGTCCAAAAAATTAAATTTGTTACCACCAGAACCAATACAGTTATTAGATGATGAAACAATTGAAGATGATATCGGACTAAACAACAATAAAGTTCTCAATCCGAATAAAATAGTGAATTATGAAACGTATAATTGTAAAATAAATTCGAATTATGTATTTTCAAAAGTCTTTGTGGGAAATTCTACTTTAGTACGTGGGGATAGAAATGGAACTGAATATATAGTCTGGAGAATTACTTTAATATTAAAACCTCAAAGGGAACTTTCTAATAAAAGAGATAATATTGTTATAGCTTCACCTCGGTTTGATATATATAAAAGATATTCAGAATTTGAGAAATTTAGAAATGATTTAATTAGTCATCTGAACTTATTAAAGAAACAAGATCTTCCAGAGAATGTGAAAAGGAAATTAAATGATGTAATAATTCCTAAATTACCTCCTAAAGTTCCTTGGTATAATTTATGGGAATATTATGAAATAAATTTAGACCCCAAGTGGTTACTGAAAAGACGTAAAGGGTTGGAATTTTTTTTAAATTCTATCTTCCTGAATAAAGTTATAGTTAAATTATGTAGAGATATTATTAAATCATTTATTCAAACTATATAATGGATATGTCATTAAAATAATATAAATGAGTAATGTGTTATACAAATACTCTAGTTTTTCTCCACAAATATCACCTTCGTCTCCATGAGGGGTAAAAAAAGAGACAACATCCAAAGTGATTGCAATAATTTCAAGCAATGAACAGGATTCTTATAAGAAACAAGTTACGATTCCATCATATTTAATCAAATACCATATTCTAGTAACTAATTCATGATATGTTAAAGTTATACAAATATTATATAGATAGTCATATAAATCGAATTGTAATCCTTATTCATATTACTAAATAATGATAATTGTGAGATGATAAGGATGTTATCATTTTATTTATTTATTTGTTTTTTGTTTTTTGTTTCTTGTTTTTGTCTTATCTTGCCTCAACTTGCCCTACATTTCAATCAGGTCTTAACGTTTTTTCAATTGCAAAGCTCTAACTTGTTCTTCCAACTTTTTAACTTTATTTTGAATATCTTCTAAATCACCGTTTAATCTTACCCTTTCATTCACAATATTTTGTTCCCATTGCCTAAATCTTTGCTCTTCTGCTTTAACTTGATCAGTGAAATATTTCTTTAATGCGTTTTCTTCTTCTTTAAATTTGGGATTATGAAACAACTTTCTTGCTGGCGGTTTAACAGGCATGGCCGATGATGATCCATCGTCTTCACCATTTGCATTATTGTCACCACTACTGCTGCTTCCCTCTAACCTTAATCTTCTATAAGTTTCGTAATGTATTTCTTCCGTTGTTAAGATCAGATCTAAAAGATATGTTCTTAATAAAAGACTTCTCAATTTACGGAAATCACAATGAGTATCATTTTCTACTTCTACTAAACCCCATGGATATTTTCTACCAGAGACTAAATTACCATTACCATCATCATATTTGTTTTCAGATCCAATGATAGCAAATGGCATGGATTCAATCAACTGTCTTGCATGTTCAATAGCCGCAGCATCCTGATTTAATATTTGAGATATACCATTATTGTCATTATTATCTGATTCCGTAGAATCTTTATTAGGGTCATTTGAAACAAAGGATGTTGAATCAATAGGTGGTGTAAAGATTCTAATCTCTTGAGCTTCAATGACTTGTCTGATTCTAGATTTAAAGATCTGTAATTCATGCTGTGTCAAAGTATCAGCTTTAGCTATAACTGGAATCAAATTAGCTCTTGTTGAAATTCTTTTCATCGTTTCAATATCTAAAGGTTTCAAACCATGGCCAGTAGGTTTAATAAAATATAAAACAGCGTGGACCCTTAGGTCGAATTTCACATCACGATAAGGTTGTTGTTCTTGACGCATAAAGGAATCGTGTTGATCATCAATAAAATCGATTAATGGTTGCCATGCACGCTTGTTGTTCACATTATCTCCAAACCCTGGCGTGTCAATGATGTTAACACGTAGCTGAAAATTTTTTTCTTCTAAGATAGCCCTGGTGATATCAATTTCAACGGTTCTTTTAATTGGTAACTGACGACGTTTCTGTTGTTGAAGATCAACCGGCTTTAAAGTGGTTTGAAACAAGGTGTTGATAAAAGTAGTTTTACCCAACCCACTTTCACCACATACCATCAAAGTAAAGGTACCACCTTTTTCGCTTATCACTTTAAATCTTTGGTTAGGTAAATTAGAGATACCAATTGAGCTTACCATTCTTCCAGCGATCACCTATTTTAAAAGGAAAAGAAAAAAAAAAAAATAAAAAATCAGGATATAAAGAAAGTATACTAATTAGAGTATTAGATTATATAAGATATATGAATGTCTGTCAATATTCTGCACCTAGTTGAAACTGAAATCTAACACAAACTATGAAGACTATATATCTGTCTCTCTTTACAAGTGTGTTTTTGTAATGATGCTTCTGTTCATTCTGCATTTTTTCAAGTTTTTTTTTTTCAATTTTATTTTTCTGAACTTTGGCTCGAAAATATCATTCAAGGAAGAACGTGAGAAAAGCATCAAAGGTGTTTTTTAATTTTTCAATTTTTCTTTTTATTTTTGACTTCCTCAATTTTGAAAAAAAAAAAAAAAGAAAAGCAATAAAAAATAAACATACGCTCTTTTTTCGACCAATTTGTAATGAATTCTTTTGTTTTCTATTGTTTGAGGGCTGTGAAAAAGGATGCGAAAAAATAAACAGATGATCCTCAAAACCATGGAACTGTAAAAAAAAAAAGACAAAAACTTTTTTTTCTATTGGAGCCCTGTCTTACACCTAATGTATATATATAAACATTGTAAAATATTTTTAATAACCCTATATTTACTAAAGTAAAAACAAAAAAGAAGAAGTAATCTCTTGCCGATACTTTTCACGTGATCCAACGACTTTAGAAAGGAAGAAAGGACTTTGCAGTTCTCGAGCTTTAATTAATGACTAAATAGAAATAATGAAACAGCCATACTATAATTGTTCTATCCTGAGATGTTTTAATTATGTATATGCGCTGTCTTGTTCAATAAGTTCATATGTAGAAAACATGTTGACAAATTGTTGGTAGGAATTATGGTGGATACAGTGGAGATATGTGATCGTGTTAAGAATGCGTGCTTTAATAACTACTATAATCTAAATGACAAAAAGGATGTAAACGATGAAAACCGTAGATTAGTTTTGTTTCTGAATATTGCTGATTATATTAATATGCAGAAGGGTGAAGGTAACTCTGCTAGAAACGTGGTTTTTACCATTGCTAAATTGATTTCTTCATCTAATGTAGATCAGACGGTCAAATTGAATGCTATAAAATTATTAGATTTGCTGGTGAAAAATTGTGGGTATCCCGTTCATCTTCATATATCTAGAAAAGGGTTTTTACAAGTAATTAACAATCAATTTCCCCCTATTAGACAGACTGCCATCACTGAAGACAGCAATAATAGTCATAATGATCTTGGAAAGGGTATGACGATTTCTAATAATTATTCTATTGTGCAATCAGAATTATTAAAGGAATTAAATATATGGTATCACACAATTTGTCAATGGACCTCCTATAAAACCGATCTAGTCTATATTAAACATCTTTATAATATGATTTTGGATAAAGGTTATTTATATCCACCCTTAAATGATAAAGAATTGGCAATTTTAAAACCATATTCATATATGGATGAGGATAATGATGATAATAAAAATAATACAGCCAATAATAACAATAATATGGTTATGAATATAAGGTCATTTGAAGAGTTTAATAACGAACAAATAATTATACTTAATTCACAAATTACTGAATTACGAAGACGTGGTAAAGAAAAAGATATTAAAGCATCCGATATCTTAGCTAAAAAACTGAAGAAATTTAAATCAAATAAGATTACTAATGAGGCCAAGAATGAAATATTGAATAGAGTCAAAGATTGGAACCATATTCTTCTTAAATGGAATCAAAAACTGGATAAATTACTTTTCAAAGATGATGATCAACTTAATTACCAATTAACTGGTATAGAGAATAATAAACTACAACATTTTATAGATTATTTGAAACAAGTACAAGATAAGATACAGGATATGTTAATGGAAGACATTAATGATGAGACATTTATTAATAAATTATTTATGTTCAATGACACTATATTACGTTTTTTCCAAAGAGTCCAATCGAATCATGAAAAGTTGTTGAAGAAGATAACTAGAAAGAAAAACAATGAGATTGAAAGAAATTTCGAGCCGAATCCAATCCAAAGTTCATTAGATGATGATTTGATCAGTAGTACTAAGGATAATAATAACGATACTAAACAAAAATTGAATGATAGAGTTGCAAATACTGACAAGTTAAAAATGACCAATGTAAAGATATCAACGAAAAAAGAATCAAAATTCATAGACATGGAGAAAAGTTCTTGTCTAAATAATAACGAAAAAAATACCAATAGCGATAATGCCAAAGATGATGAAAAGAAAGAAAAATTCAACAATTCATATAATGGTGGTGTTTGTTCTCCAATAGGAAACAGAATTACAAGTGATAAAGATGACAAAGCTTTAAGTACAAAAATGATTGATAAAGAAGAGAATAAAGGCATTGTAGAACCGGTTAATAATGATTTTAATACACAAAAAGAATTAAACCTTAACACAAAACCCAAATTAGATGTTCAAAAGACACCTCTTGGATTAATGTTTAAGACAAAACTATCAAATAACACACCAATGATAACATATGCCGTTAGCAAAGCCGAGACTAATGGACAATTCAAGTTTGATGGCAATGCAAACGAAATCACTACACATTTTAAACCATTTTTGGATAATCCATAGGACATACGTATTTTAATTTTATTATTTTTACAATAATAAATATTTATAAATCAGAATAATATATAAATATACATAAGTTCTTTGATTGGATAGTAATATATTTGAATTTTTTGTTTCATTTATGAAATCATTCATTAGGTAAGACTTATCTCTCTCTGTTATTTTTTTTTTGTTTTTTTAAAGGACAAAATCAAAAATATCGTCACATCAAAAATGGAATTTAGAAAAAAAAAAGAATGATTTTGATACCGCCAGTAGATTTGTGAATAAAAAAAAAAGAACAAATAGAATCATCTCTATGATAGATAACTTTGTTTTGAAAGGTTTATGTAAAATATAATAAATTATAATAAATCTATAATTGATTGTACAGCTCTTTAATTCTGACACATCTCGAATGTATGTACGGCTGATTAGAAAAAGGAATTTGAAGAATTACTTCATCATACCATATAACTAAGAAAACTACATATATATCCATATATATTTAACAGATACCTACCAAAAAAAACCTCTTTTGACTTTGATAATGCCATCACATCTAGTAGAAGAAATAGATAAGAAAACCTATAATCCCAATATCTATTATACTAGTTTAGATCCACAATCAAGATCATATCGCTCTAAAAATAAAGTGTCTAAAAATGTAACTTCTTCACAGTTTCGTTCTGTAAAAAGAGTTAACTATTCATTAGCTGATATGGAGGCCAAATTATATCAACAACATAAACAGCAACAGCTTTCTCAAGACGGAAACCCTAAAGATGCAAACAGCCCTATGTCAATGGAAAATTCGGTTCTTAAGACTTCTACTAAAGAAGCATTACAAAAATTTACTCCAGAACAGATATTACAGTCTAAAAGAAGGTTCATGGAATTGGATACAGAAAATGTACAAGATTTTACAGAGATTCCTGCTTTATTAAGTGCTATTACAGGAGTTAATAAAGATAAAGTTGATTCTAATACTACTACCATATCACATTTGAAGGGTAATACAAATGTTAGATCAAATAAATATAAGATTGATATCCCTAAAAGCATTCATGTTTCTTATAAATCTACAAAACCACCAAAGACTAGAAAAAAAACTACAAATAGACAAGCAGCTTTGAAAAAGATATTAACCATAAAAAGGCCTTTACATTTTTATATTGAGTCAATGAATCAATCTGATAAAAGTGTAATTTTACATAATGTTTATAATAAAAAATACTTCAAGGTTTTACCATTGATGATCATATGTTCCATATGTGGCGGATTTGATAGTATATCTGGTTGTGTAAAATGTGGTGATAAAATATGCTCATTGAATTGTTTTAATATTCATAAAGAAACAAGATGTATTCATCGTTAAGATGATAAGATGAAATCATTCAGTTATGCATTGATATAAAATTAGATAAAAAGATACATAAATAAATAAGCATAAGAGATATCTATATTTATATATTTATTCAAACTATAATCTTATCTTCTAAAGACGAGTAAGATTGGAAAAACTCTTCAAATATTTTAATTTGATATTCAATATCTGTTGAACCACCAGTTTCTCTAATTGAATGCATACTTAAAATTGGATTACCAATGTCAATAGTTCTGATACCTGTCTTGGAGGCGACAATTGGACCAATAGTAGACCCACAAGAAGAGTCATTAGCAACAACAAACAATTGTAATGGGACCTTACACTTATCAGCTAATTGTTTTAATAGCACAATACCGGGAGAGTTGGTCATATAGCGCTGATTGGCATTAATTTTAATTACTGGACCCTTACCAATCAAAGGTTTATGTTTAGATTCATATTTTGTAACATAATTGGGATGAATTGCATGTGCTACATCAGATGACAAGAAGAAAGATTTAGCTGAGGTCTCTAAGATGAAAGATTTAGCCAAAGGATTAGAAATATCAGAATCATCACCTTTTAAAGATGTTAATCTTTCCAAGATATTTGGAAGGAAGTTTGAATCAGCACCTTGAGCAGAAGAAGATCCAATCTCTTCATGGTCAAAGCATGCCATAAGTCTAATACCCTTCTCAGTTTCAATATCTGTATCAGAAGATAAAGTGATCCCGTGCATTGAAGTAAAACATGATGTCAAATTATCTAATCTGCCAGAAAAGACAAACTCATCATTGATACCCCCTAAGCATGCATCTTTATTATCATAAAGGATCAATTCAAAATCTTCAATATCTAGCACAGATTTTAACTCCAATTCTTTAACAATCAGATCTAATAATTCCTTGTTATGCCTTTCAACAATGGAGATCAAAGAAGTAAATTCGGTTGTTGAATCTCCAGATTCCTTAGTGCTTCCATTATTGTTGTTACTATTATTCCCATTTGTGCATATACCTGCAATTGGTAACAATTGTGTCTCTTTATTGAATTCAAATTTAATATTAACATTTCTATCGAGATGAATAGCTAAAGTTGGAATTTTCAATATTGGTTTGTTAATATCAACTAATTTTGAAACAATTTGATGACTAGTACTGTCTTTAACCATAACTCTACCAGCCAATGATAGATCTGAATCAAACCAAGTATGCCAGGAACCACCACCATAACATTCTACACCAATTTGAATGTACCCCTCGTTGGATCTTTTCGAGACGGGTTTGATCCTTAAAGAAGGAGAGTCGGTATGTGCTCCAGTGATAGCAATTGGGTTACCAGGTTTCCATTGACCACCAATAACAAATCCAATTATCGATGAATTATTTCTAGTAACAAAATATTTCCCACACTTTTGAACTCTGCCGTTCCACTGATCTTTTTCAGTTAATTCTTTGAAACCATTGCTTTTCAAATGTTCCTTAATATAATTAACTGCATGATATGGGGAATGTGCCTTGTTTAAAAAATTAACAAATTCTTTTGGATAATCAATAGTAGTAGACATTTTTCTTACCAGATGTAACCTGAGCATATATATAGAAGGGTCAAAACAGTAATGGATTAAAACTAACTAAAAAATTATTTTTATATATCAATATATGTAACTATCTATACTAATAACTGTATATTTGTATACATAGAATTATTCAAGATTAATTGTTGCCAAACAATCAAAATTAATCAACAAAATCCTTATCATTTCGATTAGCTATTTTTACCATCTTTTATTTTTTTTCTATTTTTCTTATTTCTTTCCGCATAACGAATAGACAAAATAAACAAAAAACGAGTAATAGCAAGTAAAAAATAGACAAACTCCTAAATATTGAAGGAAGATCAGATAGTCAAAGCAATCAGTCAGTTAATTATTTGATCAATCCATTAGTATATGTTGAAGGATGATATTAAATTGTGAGACATTTCTATAAAATTTTTTGTTTAACAAAAAAATTCTTTAAATAACGTAATTGAAACCAACAAACAACAATTAAAACGAGTATTTGGATTATAGACCAACTAGCAATTTTACTATTTGCAGCTTCGCTTTCGTCTCTGAATGTGGCTTCATTCTCCCTGATTGTATTTTGTTGACTACGTACTGTGTGCAACCTTTGACTCAACTGTTGTATTCTATTTTTCAATGATTCTGCAGCATCTCTTTGCTTAGAATCCAAAATATTTTTATTCTTTATCTCAAAATTAATTAATACTCTAATTCTTGCTTTAGTATTTATTGTATATTCAGGTTCAATACATATTCTATGCTCACCTTCTTCTAATGCAGCAAACATGAAATCTCCACTGTAAGAATTCTTTTGATTCAAAACACGTTCATCATTGTCAAAAGTTTCATCTATAGTGATATGTACTTGTACTTGAGAATCTTCTACAAAATGGCCATCTTTGTCTACACTTGTATCAATATCACCTATCAATAGTTCACCAGTCGTTAAACGTTTATAAAAACATCTAGTTTCACCAGAATTCATATAAACATGTGTACTCTTCACCAAATGGGACAGTATTAATATAGAAAATACAATATAAATTAAACGTGCTCTTATTACAGACAACATTACTCTTTTAAGAGAAATTAAAGACGGGGCTAATTAATTTTTATCTCTCTATTTTGTTCTTTTGTTGCTTCTTTTAATTATAGGACAATTATATCTGAGATTCAATTTTAAAAACTTTATAAATGATATATTGCACTTTAAAAGTTAGATGGCTATCTGCCTCCTTTTTCTTTAACTTGAATATTATACTATCTAATTACAGTTAATAAACCCGTGTGCCTATATTTTGTCATTTTGCTGTGATTTTTTCTTTTCAAGCTTTTTCTTTACCAAAAAGAAAAGGTTAACTTGAAGAAGTAAAGTGCCATCAAAAATAAAAATATACTATAAAATGACAGAATATATCCACTATGTAAAAAAAAAATTGGAATATACAAAAGTAAACAGATTACACTATGCAGATAGTTTGAAGGTGAAATTTTACAATGTAAATATTAAATAAATAAAAAAGCAAGAAAAAAAAAAAGACAAACCAATTTAATCTGCCAAAATCTGACAAAAATAAGTGAATCAATTACACCAGTTAGTAATCATACAAATACTTCTGCTTAAATTAAATAAATTTAAATAATAACTTTGAAGTTTTGTTATTAACTTATTATAGTACTGGAATATATTACAACAATGTTAATATTGTATAAAAATAAGACCTATCTCTTACTAACAGCACTACGATACATAGAATTAAAGTGATTCAGTCTGATATATTTTCCAATAATTAAAGAACGCTTAAAAAAAATTGAGTACATTCACAACTCATTTAAAAAGTTCCATTCAGATAATATTAATAATACATTTTGAAGCTATTAGTATCTATAGCAATGACTGGGATCATCAAGTTAAAAATACTAACTTTATTTTTTTACTTTAAAAACAGATACACTTATTATATATTATAGCTCACTTATAGTCTTCAAATTTTCTTTTGAAAAATTTTAATTTCTCAAAATATCTTGAAACCATTTTTACTTAAAAAATAAAATAGTTTCTACATATGATTGTATATTCATACACCATATAAGACAAAGGAAAACTAAATTAAAAAAAAATTCCTATATAGAGATGTCAGTAACAGACTTTCATTTTCTAAAGGGTGTTGTTGGCCAGTTTCTCATTATATATACATTTATCTTTATATCTATCCATTAAATCGTAAAGTTATATAACCTATTGTATAAAACCTATGTAAACCTAAGAAATATTGTAAAATAAGAAGTCATCACTACTAACATTACATAATATTCTAATTGATTCTAGATTTACCTATTGTGTTACTACACACCCCTAATCTATTGTCCTAAACGTTCTATGATCTTCGATTATATTATGGTAACTAATAATAAAGATATGGATTACTGATTCATTGATATATCAAGTTGAATAGTTGATTGAGTTTCAGAAAACATATAAAAGGACAACGTTTTCTGAAGATGAAAACTTTCTTCCGTCACTCCTCTCTTATACATAATTTATATATATTATATATAGAAGCAACACGCAAAATACAATAAGCTAAATAGTAAGTAACAAGCAAACAGAATAATTATATAAACTCGATATAGCAGTTAATATATAAAGACCGTATTAATAATTGCATTACCGGTTATATCAATTATTGTCTTGATTAGTAACAAATTATCTGTTTGATATTTCTGGTACTTCCCCTAATAATATTAAAAATCCTAACCACTTTATATCCCAGTACGGGTGTTATAGTTTGGACTTAGGACCAATTCCTATAATAGGACTATTGGACGAATAGTTAAGGCAATAACAAATATATAAGGACGTTATATATATAAGAGAATTAAAGGATTATTGCTTGTTCTTTTTCGTATTATACAATATGTTACATATAATTATAAATCAACCAAACATACAAATTTATATGTCAAGATGATGATCCTTTATATATGAATCATGGGTTGATAGTTTCTTATTTGGGGTTCTGTAACGATTGTCACCGTAAACACATCTCTCATTAATTAACTCATTAATATTTCATTTTGTTACTTAGTATTCAACAATCATATGGGATTTATCAACAAACCCCAAGTCCTAAAAATTCAAACTAGAACTTATTCTTGACAACCATTACAAAGACCCTAACGATATTTTTCAACCCTAATCCTTTTTTCCATTTAATTATAATATCAAGGTTGGTCTACAACGACGGGAGTGCTTTTCAATGCTTTGGTAGCTCAGTAGGAAGAGCGTCAGTCTCATAATCTGAAGGTCGAGAGTTCGAACCTCCCCCAGAGCATTCATTTTTTGCCGCTACAAAATATGTGGTTATGTAATAAGTGCCACATTTTGTTTTATTCCCTCCGCATGAAACGAAGCCCACCTTGTCTTTATTAAGCTTTATTACATCTGACATAATTTATTTCTACTTTTATTTTTATATAACAGACAAGTAGTTATCAAATCAAAATAGACATCACGACTGGAACAGAAAATTACTTTTTATAGTAAGGGAAACCAGTGAGTTCATGTCAAACAAAGGTGACAAAAGAAAAGAAGTTAATTATCACATATATATATATATATATGTGTATATATATATATATATGCCACGTCTTCCCCTCTCTCTATATATGCTTATATTATAAAAAACCTGAATATTCTAAATTTGATAGTACCACATCTTAATCTTCATTTATTCTCAAAATAATTTTACCTCTAGCTTTATTACTATTCAATTTATCTAAAGCTTCTTGGAAATCTTCAAAGTTATATAATGAATCTAAAGGCGGTAAAAACTCTTTCTTAGAAATCATTTTTGAGGCTAGTTCCATGTAATTCGCCTTTGGTTCTAACATGATTACATCATAATTGAACTTTCTCCATGGATTAAAAGATTTGATATAATCGAATACAGGGATCTTACACATATAATCCAATAGACTAGAGTTGTATTTTAGTTTCTCTTTCCCTACAATAGTGAGATAATAAGAGTTTTCGCTTTTTGGTTTCAAAATAGTTTCAATAATAGGGAAAAATTGTGAAGTACCGACTGAGTCAAAAATTAAGTCAAATTTTCCACCATTGAAAGTTTCATTTACCAAGCTTTGAACTTTACCCAATATGTTTAGTTCATCATATGCAATCAAGTGATCAAACCCAGCCTTTTTATTATATTCAAAGGATTTAGAATTACAAATACCGACCACGGTACCAATATTCAAATATTTCTTTGCAATTTGGATAAGACAATGAGACACGGCAGTAGATGCACCATTAACCAAAATTTTTGAATCAGAGGTCCATTTCTGTCCCTTATTAAACAATACAAAATAAGCAGTACCGAAGACTAATGGATAGGAAGCGTTGATATCAAATTCATTGAATTTAGAGTTAATATAATTATCTAGATAGTCAAAGTTATTCATATGACCAATCGATGCTTGTTTAGACGGATCTAAGACCAAGTAATCTGAAAAGGAGCCCTGTGTTCCAAAAAGACTGACTATCAAACCATTAACTTTATCACCGACTTTAAATTTTGGATCCACCTTATCACCTCTTTTCACGATGACTCCTGCATAATCTTTACCATAAGTCTTCAAAGAACTTGAAGTAATCCATTTGTTTGCAGAATAATGCATAATAGAGTCCACTGGATTCAGAGCAGCAGAATAAACTTTGATAACGATCTCATTCTCATTATAACATGAATCTAAATCCAAATCTTTAGTTGTCAATTTAGGAAGACTACCACTATTAATAAAAGTTACTGATCTTTGCTTAACTACAGATGACATTTAGATTGTAAAAAGTGTTATTCTACTAAAGATTAAAAAAAAAAAGAAAAAAGAAAAAAGAAAAACAATAAGAAGATAGTCTTTTGACTCTTTCTCTATATTAGCCATTAAACAAAATGGTCGAATTGTTAAAAATATCAATCTAACCAGATGCAAACCAAACTTTTATCTACATATATATATTTATAATCATTTTGAACACTCAATGATACTTAAGGGGAAAGAATATTATGCAAACACCCGTACAAAAAAACTAACAGAAAAGGAAAATGGACAAGGATAAGGGAAGGGGAGGAAAGTAAAAAATGGAAACGCAGACGAAAAAAACAAGACGGCAAAACAACTTTGGAAACTAAGTGAAGAACAATCCGTGGAATCCCCGAATTGAATAAATATTGCGCCAAGGAAAATAAAAAAAAAAAAAAAAAAAAAAAAAACAAAACGAAACGAAACAAACCAAATTAAAGACAATAAAACGAAAAAAGGAAAATTAAAAAAAAAAAAAACTCTCTTGATAAAAACGTGATAATACACAGCGATTTTCTAGCTATTTACAAATGCCAAAGATTATAATCACTATTACATCCTGAGAAAAGGATAGGCATTGAAGAAGTGTAGCTGAATATATATCACAGCATATATACGACATTATTAAAACTGTATAGTTCCTTTAGAAGCTATGTAATATCTGGGTTTTACTCATTTATTCATTTATTTATTTGTTTATTGTTTTTTTTAGAGATTTCTAATGTTCGAATTAAATAAAGAATCTTTATGGAACAATGTGTCTATTGTTTTATGTTTCTTGAAAGTCAGTAGTTGACACCCACAAGAAGATCCTTTGATATTTTGGTTCCTCCCACATACTATAAAGAAAGAACGATATTTATTAATTTCAGCTAAGAGAAAAAAATTGGTTATAAAGAAAAAAATATTGGTTACAAGGCGGAAGGTAAGGAGATTATAATCCCATTGATGTGGTTGTCTTCTTACAAATTTGCATCTAAAAAAATCTACTAAAAAAAAACAAGAATAAGAATAAAAAAACTAATCCCTAAAGAAATACTTTTAGAAATGTTTGACAAAATCCTTACTTGTAGACTAGTATATATCATATATAAATAGTTGCATAAGTGGTAGTGTATATGTGCAATGATGGACAGCGGTGAAAATTCCTGCGAAGCTTTCTTGTGCGATCACATACAAGTCTTTACTACAAATGTAGCATTTTCGTTTGGTTATTGTTAGGATGTTTCTCCTTCCTTCTCATTTGCTAAACGTTTAACTACCACTAAACCTCAAAACAATATATATATATATATATAATATAAAATTACCTGTTACAAACAGACATTCTAAATGAATATCACCTAGAATCACGAATTTACAAAGAGACGGAGCACATACAGAAAACATATCATTATCTGAATTATTTTGATACAACCTTTTCTAGCAGAATATCACATCATACACACACACATAAATACATACAAACATACATACATACAAACATACATACATACGTACATACATATATATATATAAACTCTATCAAATGAAAAGGGTCCCACTTTTTACCGACCCTATTTGAAGCCCTATAGTAGGTTAAATCTTTTACCAAAAACCAAATGTTACTTATTTAACTTAATGTAGGCTTTATAAAATAAACGTTCTAAAATTGTGAATTTGTATATATTTATAACGGCTCTCTTTAGGACACGTCATATATTCCATTTGTCTTTCCTCTTCTTTGTTTTTTTTCTTTTTTTTTTTTTTGTTTTTTTTTGTTTGTTTTTTATTTTTTGATGTTTATTTTTATTTTTACGGATTTTGTTTTATTTTCCTCCTTCCCTCCCCCCCCGCATAGACAATCTCTTTCGTTCCTAAAATTTCAAAACCAAAACAGACAAAAATAAAAAAAATAAAAAAAATAAAAAAAACAAAAAAAAACAAAAAAAAACAAATAATAAAAATATCGAGAATAACTCAGTTTGACAAAACTCGAAATATAAACAAAGGAAAAAAGGCTTACAAGAAATTGCAAAACTTACTAAAAAAAAAAAAAAAGATCTTGGTATATCTACCCAACCTTTTGTTCCTTGTTTAATAAAAATGTATCTTTTATTTTAGTTTAATTTTTCTTTGCATACACTCTCCAACATCGTATATGTTTATTAAGTATAATTGAGCATATCTTGAAAAGCCAACTCCTTATTAATAACATATTCTCCTAATAGCATTAACCAACTGATCCATCAACTAAAAAGACATACAGGAAAATGTCTCAAGACCCATTGGCTAATGATATGGCCAATTTAAATTTGGAACAGAATGCTCCACGACTAGCCCAAACTCCACTTGTAACAAAGAAACACAGAAGACCAAACAGGGCATTTCATAAGATTGGTAGTACCGTGGGCGCCGCCGCTGGAAATTTCAGTGCACCCAGTACCCCAAAAATGAATAACTTTGGCGCTTTTAATAACGATATGTCCACCGATGCTGTTAATAGCCGGAGTTTTACACCTATAACTCAATCCCCTTATTCCAATATTTCTGTTATTGAAACCCCATTAGTAGGGTCTACTAATAGTCAATTATATCAACAACCCTCACGAGTATCTTCTTCTGCTCCCATGCAAACATACGACAATTATCAAACTACTTCACATATTATTGCCACACAAAGATGGGAAGACCAACTTCAATACTTACAAACCACTTTCGAAACCGCAAACCAATCCATTATCCCTCTACCTTCAACTTCATTTTACTGTGTAGATCAGGGCTCATCAGACCCACGTTTGATGCGTTTAAGCATGTACAACATACCTGAAGATGAACATCTAAGAAGTGCTACAAAATTGCCTCTGGGTATTACCATCCAGCCTTTTGCTTCAGTTTTACCATCTGAAGATATTCCTGTGGTTAAGTATGTTGACAACATTGTCTTAGATGATGGGACACAAAACATTAAAGAACCTTTGCGTTGTAAAAGATGTCGTGCTTACATTAACCCAGGTTTCAAATTTAGCTATGACTCTAGCGTTATCTGTAACATATGTAATGTGAAAATAAAGATCCCAATAGACGATTTCAATGCAGTAAATCCAGCTGGTTTGAATGGTAATCAAGTAAACAACACTGAGTTGAGTAAAGGTACTGTCGATTTCCTAGTCCCTAAAATTTACAATGTTATCAAGAATGCTGACCCTCTTCCATTACATTATATTTTCGTTATCGATGTCACGTTGTTAGCTAATGAAAATGGTAATTCAGTAGCCATGATAGAAGCTGTTAAGAATTCTATTGAATATATAAAAGAGAATCAAGAAAACTGTAAAATTGCCATTATGGCCTTTGACAACAAATTAAGATTTTATAATCTAAGACCAGACTTGGAAGCCGCACAAGAATATATCATCAATGAGATTAATGATATATTTTTACCTATTTATAATGGGCTTTTTGTCAATCCACTAGAATCTGAAAACATCATTAATGATACTTTGAAAAAAATATATAATTTTGTGGTTGGTGATAAATATTGGCATGTGGCTCAAAGTTGTTATGGATCCGCATTGGAAGCCGCAAAAATGGCTATTGATACTGTGACTGGTAAACAAGGTGGGAAAATCATTTGTTCATTGAACTCTTTACCCACAATTGGCAAAGGAAACTTATCCTTGAAGAAGGATGATGCAATTAAAAAACATTTGAATTGTGACAATGAATTTTATCACCATTTGGCTGAAGACATGTTAAGATCATATATATCATTAGATTTGTATATCACTACAAGTGGGTTTATTGATATGGTTACAGTCACACATCCAGCTACCTTAACTAGTGGTGTAGTTAAATATTATCCACACATTGTTTCACATGAAGAAGATTACTTATTAAGTAAAGATATGATAGACGAAATCTCAAAGATTGAAGGTTATCAAGCGTTATTAAAAACTCGTTCATCAACTGGGTTATCTATAGAATCATATTATATGGAAGCTGTAGAATATAGTAGCCGTGATCCAATCATTCCAGTGGTCACTAAAGATACCACTATTGATGTTTTATTAAAATACGATAATAAATTGAAAGTTGGTACGGATGTTCATTTCCAGACTGCTCTATTATATACTGATATCCATGGTGTTAGAAAAGTCCGTTCTATTAATTGTAATGGTGGTGTATCCAATAACATTATTGATATTTTCAAATTTATCAATCAAGATGCTGTTATGAGAATAATCATTAAAGACATTATTAGAACCTTAGGATCTTGCGATTTTATCAACATCAGAAAGATTATTGATGAAAAAATTATAGATGTTTTGACCCAATATAGAGCATTGGTAAGTGGTTCGTCATCAACTCAATTAATTCTTCCTGATGCTCTAAAGACATTACCAATGTATTTATTAGCATTTGAAAAGAGTAATTTAATGAAACCAAATCATCAAAGCACCAGAGGTAATGAAAGAATCATTGATTTGTTAAGATATAGTATGTTCAATCCAGCCAAATTAAATTATAAATTATATCCACAAATAATCCCATTTCATGTATTACTAGAACAAGAAGATTTAACATTCTACGATGTCAACGAAACAATGCTTCAATTGAGAATGGATACCGTTACAAATATTTCTACAAGAAACAGCCATTCATCTTTAGAGAACGGCGGCTGCTATTTCATTTTCAATGGGGAAACAGTGTATCTATGGTTTAACGAGAACACAAATAGAATGTTATTACATGATTTATTAGGAGTTGATCCATCCCTTCCAATCAATCAAATATCTCTATACTTCGGTTCATTACCAGAAACTGGTTCTGATATTAACATTAAGGCGGCTAATGTCATAAAATATTGGTGCACGGTGACAGGACAGACCTCTTTACCTTTGTTATTACTAAGACCTAATATTGATCAAAGCTATAGTAGTGTGTCCTCAGAAATATTCTGTGAGGATAAGACTATTAACTTGATAGAAAGTTATGACAGTTACTTGATGCATTTACATCGCAGGATACAAGAAAAAATTACCAAGGAAGATTATATCAAGGTGTCCACAAATTCCAAGAGTCATGAACATATCCATCAAAAATTTGTGCAATTTTAGAAAATAAAAAAAATACCCATATATATGTATATATAAATATCTCCAAACATTATGTACATTACAATCATAATCTTTCCTAAGTATGGTAAAATGAAAAAAAAAGGAAATTTTGTTATTCAAATTGAAATTATTTCATATTTACAGTAAAGTTTACATCTTATACAAGGGGTGTAATAGTAATTAAGGTTTTGATAGCCCTAAGGTATGTGTTGTGGCACAAGATTAAAAACAACATATAATTCTAACGTTTCTTTTATATAATCAATTCACAAAGACAAAAGAAAGAAAGGTAGAAAATATATCTTCTATTACTTCTGAATTTGCAAACGCAGAGGTTCATCTACATTCGAAGAAAACAGTTAACAAAAAAGGGAAATAAATAGACAATGAACAGAAGCCAACTGTTCATGATAGTTAAAATATCTTCTTCTCTGTCTGAGTATTTTATTGCAAACACACTTCATACACACTTTGTATGTACACACAAAAATATCGATATTCGTAGGTTACATATTTCCATGTATCTTACATATTACATGTATCTTGTTGTTTCTTCTTATGAAAGAATGTATAGCAAAATAAAGAAGAACTCCACATGAAAACATCGAAAACCCCTTTTTTATGCATCTACTGATTTCTCCATTTGGAGATGGCGGAGAAAACAGAAAAATGGGGAAAGCGATGAACAAGAAAGCAAAAGAAGCAAATAACTAAATATCAAAATAATCGAAAAATAAAAAGAAAAAAAAAAAGAAAAAAATATTAAAAAAAAAAGAGAGAGAAATAGACAACAAGTATTTTATATACATAGACATTTTAATAAAACAATTAAAAGATATGACAGTTACTGGAACTTCTTCACGTGCCCTCCCTACTCCCATAATTATTAAAGAGGAGTTAATTCTTGAATGTGTTCTACTATTTGGTTGTCTTGATATTTAATATACGTCTATAAATATATATAATTTTAACTCATCTATATTACTCTATACTATTTCAGGTCATTAGATTTCCATTCTTTGTTCAAGGGGTCGCTGGGAGTACAACTAAACTGTCAACTATTTTAATCTATAAAGAAACAATTCAATACACACACATCAGAGAGAGTATAACATAGACGGAAAGTAACACGCATACAAACATAAAATAATAATTTAAGATGTCAACAACAATGAACACGAATCCGTTTAGGGGTGAATTAGATCCAGAAGAAACATTATACTATGAGGACAAGAGGAAAAATAAGAATAACCCATTTTACAACGACTATCATTTTCAATTACAAGACGATAGGACTACTATAAATCAAAGTAAAATTAAAGATCGGTTGAACAAAGAACCTTCAAACGAAAGAAAAGAGAACCCAGAGACAAAATACAATGAACATAAGTATCATAGACATTCGGTAGCAGACATACAATGGAGTACACAAAAAGCAAAAATACCCCCCAACACACATCATCACCAACGTCATCATCATTCAGGCACTCAGTCAAGCCGTAGAAAAAAAGATAGTTCACATCGTAAATCAAAAGTATCTGATGGGCTTGAACTAGATTCAATAGATAAATTAGATGTGACTGGTATTTTTTTCAGAGGTGGATTTCATCACGATGGGCCATACGATGCAGCAAGACCACAAAGAAATAATATTTACAACAGAAATGCACCTATTATGGCATTTCCCAAACACAGTAGTAACAATGTGCTTACTAGATCTCATACGATATCTAATTCATCTAGTCAAACATCATTCCTTGATCCAATAAATAGAAAAGGAACAATATCAGGTCAGTTTGATAGCAATGTTAAAAACAAGATTATTCATGGACATTCAAGTATTGGACTTGGTTCTACCACATTTTTGGAAGGAACTCCTGCTTCGAAAGAGGCCATAGAAGAAGATATTAAAAACCACATCCGTAGAAGTAAAACTTTAAAAGATAATAGAAGAAAATCAATTGGTGATTTTCTAAGAGGTGAATTAGAATCCTCTAATATAACATCAAATACAAAACAAGGAGAGGATCTGAAAGGTGAGAATAAAAGAGCGAATAAATTTTTGAAAAGAGTAAGGAGTTTAAGAGTTTCTCATAGATCTTAATACCTAATTATTATCGCGATACCTGAATTATTTATTTGTTTTTGTTCCTTTGATTTTAAGATAAAGCTTAATTTATAATTATTAATAAAGTAAATATCCTATTTCATGGATTTTAATTTGCTATTTCCCATGGGCTTTCCACATACTTTCTTCAAATATCACATTATATTTAGCTACTTAATCATAACTACATTCTTATTTTTTTAATTTATCTTTTCTACATATTTTTATTTATCAAAAAATGGAAATGCATTCTAAAAGGACTATTGGTTAGTTTTATTTTATATTGGCTTTTTGATTTATTTTTTTGTCAGTCATTGAAAAGTTACAAATTTAGTCAAAATAATGTATGTATATAAACAAACAATAGAACAACACACACTTTGGATCCTATCAAAAAACTTATGATTCAAAAGAAATACAGTTCATGTAGAAGGCCAAATTGCTCGATTAAGGGCGAAAAGAAAAAAAGTAATGTACAAGTTATACCGACAAAAATGAAATTACTGCCCTTTTACAAGAACCACGTCAAAAAATTAAGTCAAACAATCTCTATCAAATATGCATGCATATGTGATATACCCATTAAGAGTTCAATATGACTTGACTGTAGAACCGCAAAACTATTTCAACCATCTATTAAGTTTTTGGAATGCTCTTCCCTAAAAGATTTTTGTTTTCATAGTATATTTCTGTTTATATTTTTTCGAAAAAGAAAAAAAAAATTAAACTATCAGACATTCATCCGGTTATATATACGAATAAAAAACATAATTAGGTGTAAATACTTTATGTCTGAATAAAAAGAAAAGAGCTGAGAACATTCTCTCATAATGTCAATTTCCAACAATATTATGTATAAGTTTTTACGATCTTACATACATCGTTTACAAGAGCAAAATACATTACCACATATACAAGAAAAATGAAATGTTGTTTTTTTCTTATGTACCCAGTTTATTGAAAACACACACATAGTGGAATAAGCTAAATTTAATAATATCAGATGAAATTCAACTTCTTTTAATCACATCATTTGCTACAAGTGAAAATACTAACAAAAATATGGATAGTCTCTTTCAAAAAAATCCAAAGAATCGATTCTTATACATAATGTAATATTCTACTTGTCAAGTATACACATTTTATCAATTAAATCTAAAGAGTACCTTCTTCTATGTATACATTTTATGTACTGAAAAAGTCATTTTCTCACCTAATAAGTGCCACCGTTCAAAAACTGCAAACCCTTGATTAATAATATTTACCTGAATTTTGATCTTGTTGAAACTTTCTTTTTCCTACAACTATTTGGCTGTTCTTTTTTTTTTTTTTTTTTTTTTTCAAGTTTACGCGATCCGTAGAAAAACCACTCAAAACAAATAAAGCAGACGCGACTTTGATGATTTATATTGAATTAGTTCCTAATTTGTTTATTTTTAAAGCAATCCCAGGTTTTAATGATACTGTAAGATCGACAAAATCGGTCTATAATCTTTTATTTAAGGTATACCGTCTTCACTAATTATTATAGTAATAAAGAACTACAACATTTCGTGGTTTCCTGCATTGTTTTACCAAAGCAGCAAAAGAAAAAAGAAATTGCAGGTATTAAATTATAGAGAAAAATACGCTAAAGATAATGTTGACTATATCGTAAAAAACGGTTGTTAAGATATAGAACCTCTTACATAAAAAATGGTAACAAAAAGAAAGAATAGAGAGAAAAGAAAGAATAGTCTAATACCCCATCTCCATATATAAAATTGTTGTGGGTTATATGGGGGAATACACATCCCCGGATTAATTTTCCTTTACCTTTCAAAATATATCCATTATTTTCTTTTTTTTTTCTTCATACATAGTTGAAAATAACACCAAAGTATGCTGATTTTAAGTTAGAGATGTAGACAAAAAAAAAATCAAAAAAAGAGATTCTTTTCTTGTATGAGGAACGTTACTCAATCGAAAATATCTCTATACAATTACCCTTTTCTCTTTGAATATCCTATTCTCCCACCTTTGACATGATCATCACCTGCCGATATTTTTGAAAAATTCTATTGTTTCTGAAATAGGAAAATGCTTTTTATTTTTTTAAAAAAACTTCCGCAACTTAGTGTCTGTTTTACAATTTCTTTTTCTATTGTTTGTTTATAATAACTATTATTCGGTTAGGAAAAATATTTTCTTCAGTGCTATTATTTCCGGAAAAATTATGACGTTCACGGAAAAATTCTCTAATCCAAGTTTTTCCGAGCCGTCTTTTACTAAGAACATCACCAATTTTTACAAGATAAATTCCTAAGCGGTTAGTAACTATCTAAAAGGTATTTGAGTTGTTTACACTACCATTGAAAAAAAGTATTATCTATAATCTATCACCAACCATAGTTCTTTTGTTTACAAACAGGTAAGTATTGTACACGTCCAAACATTCAATTAAACCGGGGGAACCAATATTTCATCCCGTTTCTTCGATAATAGCTAATGCCAATTTTTCAAATGATATATAAACTCATCAACCCAATTACTTCTACCCCAGATTAATTTCGAAAGTTCAATATTTTTGCTCGAACTTTCCAAAATTTTCTTCTTTTATTGTTAAAATAGCCCAAAATAATAAGCACCAAATTATAACGCTATATTCCAAAACTTGGAGTATTTTTTTTAGAAAAAAAAGAACAAAATTGAACTTTCAACAATGAGTTCCTCACATAATTCAATTAATCGCTCGCCTTCAAATACTTCTAATGAAGTTAGTGAAAATAAATTCCTAAAGGGACAAGATGGTCTCCCAGAAGCTGTGGAGTCTGCTCCAGTCTTAGCACCAGCATCTAGTAAGGGTGCCTTATTATCCATATCTATTTCTTGTGCTATGGTTGCTTTTGGTGGTTTCATTTTTGGTTGGGATACTGGTACGATTTCAGGTTTCGTTGCTCAAACTGATTTCTTAAGAAGATTTGGTCAAAAGACTCACGACGGCAGTCACTACTTATCCAAGGTTAGAACTGGTTTAATTGTCTCCATCTTTAATATCGGTTGTGCTATCGGTGGTATTGTCTTATCTAAATTAGGTGATACTCATGGTCGTAAGAAGGGTTTAATCGTCGTCGTCATTATATATATTATTGGTATTATTATTCAAATTGCTTCTATTAATAAATGGTACCAATATTTTATCGGTAGAATTATTTCTGGTTTGGGTGTTGGTGGTATCTCTGTCCTTTCCCCAATGTTAATCTCTGAAGTGGCTCCCAAACAACTAAGAGGTACTTTAGTTTCCTGTTATCAATTGATGATTACTCTAGGTATTTTCCTTGGTTACTGTACTAACTATGGTACTAAGACATACACAAACTCTGTTCAATGGAGAGTCCCATTGGGTTTATGTTTTGCATGGGCCTTATTCATGATTGGTGGTATGACATTTGTTCCAGAATCTCCACGTTTCTTAGTTGAAAAAGGTCTTATTGAAGAAGCTAGAGCATCTCTTTCTACTGCTAACAGATGTTCTCCAGATGATCCATTCATTCAACAAGAATTAGATTTAATTGAAGCCTCTGTTGAAGAAGCCAGAGCTGCTGGTGAAGCATCATGGGCAGAATTATTCAGCGCCAATATGTTTAAACGTACTTCTATGGGTGTTATGATTCAATCTTTACAACAGTTGACTGGTGATAACTATTTCTTCTACTATGGTACTATTGTTTTCAATGCTGTTGGTATGGATGACTCTTTTGAAACTTCTATTGTGTTTGGTGTGGTCAATTTGGCCTCAACCTGTTTTTCTCTATATACTGTCGATAAATTCGGTCGTCGTAACTGTTTGTTATGGGGTTCTATTGGTATGGTTTGTTGTTACGTTGTGTACGCTTCTGTTGGTGTAACAAGGTTATGGGCTAATGGTAGAGACCATCCATCTAAAGGTGCTGGTAACTGTATGATTTGTTTCGCTTGTTTCTATATTTTCTGTTTTGCTACCACATGGGCTCCAATCGCATATGTTATTATTTCAGAAACTTTCCCATTAAGAATTAAGGCTAAGGCTATGTCTATTGCTACTGCTGCCAACTGGATCTGGGGTTTCTTAATCGGTTTCTTTACACCATTTATTACTGGTGCAATCAACTTCTCTTACGGTTATGTCTTTATGGGATGTATGGTGTTTGCTTACTTCTACGTCTTCTTCTTTGTATCTGAAACAAAAGGTTTGACTTTAGAAGAAGTTGAAACCATGTACGCTGAAGGTGTTCTACCATGGAAATCTGCATCCTGGGTCCCACCATCAAAAAGAGGTACTGATTATGACGCTACTGCTTTAATGAATGATGACAAACCATTCTACAAGAGAATGTTTGGTAGATCTTAAGTGATCTAAGATATGTTAGATAGTCGATCTAATAAGTTGTAATATAATAAAAAGAAACAGTCAGAATCATTAATGAACAATTAAATATAATGAAATTCAAACTTACATTGTAAACACACAGATAGACCTAATTTTTTTTATTCCGTTTTAATATAAATATTATAGACATCAACTGAATCTTCTAATTATGCTCACGTTATATATTAAATTATGACTTTTTTACTACATACTTTTACATAAATTAAAGTAATTTGGAAATAGGTATTGAATCGTTACGACAAAAACAGTATATACCTTGAAACAAATCATAAGTGTTTTATACTGCCTTTATTATACTATAATGCTATATGAGCAGTCAGTAAGGACTGGAAAACAGATTCGTTCAACAAGGAGCTTCGTTTTACTACTTTTTGTTTTCTTCTTAAATATTTACCATTGTTTATAATTTTTCTAAAGATATTTTACTAAAAGCGTTATTCTAATTTCGAAGATCGAAAAAAAGTAATTAATTGAAATAGGCATTTATATTGTCACATTAACGATATACCAAACAGCGAGAGACACGAGAATAAACTTAATTTTATAAATAAGTACAACCAGTCTTCCAAATAGCTACAGATCTATTTGATCTATTTTCTTTTTATATTTCATTATCATCGAGTTATATGTTCTATTTTCGAATAACAAGCAACAAAAATATCTCTAGATTAATACCAAAATCAAACTTTTTCCAGTATAGTTTGAGTATTGCTAACAACAAGGAATCTTTCGGACAATCTATCCGTCTGCTAAACTGTCATAGAATATGTAAGAACAATTTTAATCAACTATTTCTCCCGAAAAACTACAATATACTGAATTCTTACAAAACCCATATATCAGAAAAATTACATCGCATACTAAATGTTGATAAAAATGTTATATATTCAGCCTTACAAAAACCAAATAAATTAAATGATGGTGATTTAATTCTTCCCTTACCAAAGATAGCTTTGAATATTAAGGATTTCCCAGATTTACAACAGAGAATTGAGTCTATTTTACATGAACAAGATTTATTTGATAAAGTGGTATTCAAAGACAGCTTTATTCAATTTTTTTTTAATACAAATATAATGATGAATAAAATAATCCCTGAGATATTAATATTTGGCTCGCAATATGGAAAAGTAAAATGTTTTCCATCTAAGAAAATCATAGTTGAATTTTCTTCCCCCAATATCGCAAAACCATTCCATGCAGGCCATCTTCGATCTACAATTATTGGTGAATTTATTTCTAACATATTTGAGAATTTTGGTTGGAGTGTTATTAGAATGAATTATTTAGGTGATTGGGGGAAACAGTTTGGGATTTTAGCTGTTGGATATGAAAAGTTTGGTGATCCTTTAAAATTAAAAGCGGATCCGATTACTCATTTATTTGAAGTGTACGTTAAAACAAACAAATTAATTGAAATTGAGAAGAGCAATAATGAAACTGATGAATCATCTTTATCGAAACAGGCACAATCCTTTTTCAGGAGAATGGAAAATGGAGATCTGAATGCTTTGTCACTGTGGAATCAATTTCGTAATCTATCAGTAGAAAAATACACTCAAATATACTCAAAGTTGGGGATATCATTTAACATATATTCTGGAGAATCACAAATAAAACAACAATCAATTGTTGATATTTTAAAACAGTTGAAAGATATGGGATTAACCAGAGAAAATAATGGTGCTACAATTATGGATCTGACACCATTCAATAAAAACTTAGGTAAAATAATTATATCTAAATCAGACAACACATCACTATATGTTACTAGAGATATTTGTACGTGTATTGATCGTTATAACCAATATGGATTCGACAAAATGATATATGTGATTGCTTCCCAACAAGACCTTTATATGCAACAACTTTTTGAAATTATGCGTCAATTAAAAGTTTCCTGGATTGACAAATTAGAGCACATAAACTTTGGCATGGTTAAAGGTATGTCTACTCGGAGAGGAAATGTTGTATTTCTAGATACAATAATTAAAGAAGCTACCAATCAGATGTTGAATGTAATGAAATCTAAGAAACAATTGGAAGTGGAAAAATCGAAAATATTGAATATTGCGGAGAAACTTGGGTTATCTGCAATTCTTATTCAAGATATGAAAAGTAAAAGGATCAATAGTTATGAATTTGATTGGAAAAGAATGTTATCCTTTGAAGGAAACACGGGTCCTTATTTGCAATACACTCACTCAAGATTGTGTGCTATTGAAAGCAGAATTAAAGATATAGTAACTGTTGAAGACTGTAAAACTGCAAACCTTTCGATTCTCAATGATAAACCTGAAGCAATAAAATTAGTAAGACTACTTAGTCAGTATCATTACATACTAGATAAAACGCTTGAGTCTTTAGAACCTTCTACACTTGTCACTTATTTGTTTGCAATTTCTCATCAAATTTCCATATGTTATAATTCACTGTGGGTTCTTGGTCAACCCATAGAAATAGCAACATCCCATTTAGCATTATATCTTGCCTCAAAACAAATTTTGGCTAATGGGTTAAGAATTCTAGGAATAAAACCAATAGAAAGAATGTAACAAAATTCTTCGTTTCAGCTTAAATATAATATAACAAGAAGTTAATAACAAAAGGATTATTGACTCCTGTTCTCTACAAGACTATGCATGTATATATCTATCAAAGTGAACTAGTTATTTATGAATATATATCTTGTATATAAATGCGTGTGCATTAGGTTAACCATTGCATCACTGTCCATCAAACTCTATTTTTATAATGGATTTTACATTAATTGTTATTTATGAAAAACAAAATTCATCAAAAAGAAATGCAAGTTAATAAATAAAATGATTGCCACGCATACATTACGCACACACATACAAACATACAAACAGGAAAAGTCAGACAAATAGACATGTGATTATGGTATCAAGAGAAGCATATAGTACAAATTATCAAGTAATATAAATATGGACCCAAGTTCAGCATTAGACGAAGCAGTTCAGGATATATCAAATTTAGAGGCTGAATTTGCTTACATTTTAGAAGAGATACGGATTCATGATTTAGAGATATATGAAATCAAGGAGAAATATAAACAGAAAGAAAGTATCTTACAGAAACATTTGAAACAAAATGGGTCCTTAACTACTTATGTAAAAGAGGATTCGATAAATAAAGAACTCAAAGATAGTATTGAAGAAGCAAAGAAAATACAATATGAAAAGTGTATTTTAGCCAATACAGCCTTATTTATGGTATCAAGACATTTAAATAAACTGGAAAATAATATTAATATACTAGAAGAAGATGGATTATTGGCTCCATTAGAAGATGAGGTCGAAAGTGGAGCTGAGTTATCAAGAGAAAATTCTGTATTAAGTATAGGAACTGAGAAGAAGAAAAGAGCTATCCCATCTAGCACTTCTACTAGTGGATCAACAATGAAAAGGAAGAAACACAAGAGATCAACATCTGTAAACAAAAGTAGTGACTTACAAAAACAAAATATACGGAAAGGTACGGTATCTCCAACTCCTTTGGGCAGTACAGAGTTGGATGCTGAAACTCAAAAATATAACGACGAATTATTCTCTGGTGCTGCTGATAATGAAGAAGAAGATAAAACATTGTATTGTTTTTGTCAAAGTGTTTCATATGGTGAAATGGTTGCATGTGATGGTCCACATTGCAAATATGAATGGTTTCATTACCCATGTGTCAACTTAAAGGAACCACCTACTGGTAAATGGTATTGTCCTGATTGCAAACAAGAAATGTTGAAGAACAAAACATTGAAAAAAAGAAAAAGTTGATTCAATAAAAAAAAAGTACCCCATTAAATACAAGACTTTTCAAAATGTTGTTTTTATTTTCAAAACAACAAGTATTATCATTTTGAAAAAAATTACAGGATACTAGGTCTTAAATAATTGATGCATGCTCTATTAATACCAAAAAACAGAATCTACTCAATTACTATTTCTGAAATATTGTTTCAATATTCTTAAACAGATAGAATCCACCGTATAAAGTAGTAATAAAAGTAAATTAAATGAACGTTCAATCTATTTATAAGCATTGGAAAAACTTATTTACTAATATCGCATTAATTTTCTTGTTCACGTTTATTTATTTATTTTATATATATAAAATCTAATTCAGTTTATGTAAAAAGCCTTAAAAAGTCACGTGGCTACTTGACTTTATTTTGATGAAAAATTAAGAAAGTAGGAAAACAAAAAAAAATTTTTTTTCATTTCTCTCGAGATGAAAACAAAGCTTTAATACAAAGGATATATTTGGCTCCATCAATCTACCATTTGATCACTGTGTGGACTTTGTTCGGATCATTATACCTCAAGTTAGCTTATCTCAATTATTCTACCATCAATAATTTATATTGGTAATTTTGAAAAGGAAGTAAAATACATAACCATAAAAGTGTTATAAAGAAAGATGAGTTTTAGAGGAGGTTCTAGAGGAGGTCGTGGTGGTGCCAGAGGAGGCCGTGGAGGCCGTGGTGGAAGCCGTGGAGGATTTGGTGGAAGACCAATTCAGCAAGGTCCACCAGATACGGTCTTAGAGATGGGTGCCTTCATGCATCCTTGTGAAAATGATATTGTTTGTCGTTCTATTAACACTAAAATCCCATATTTCAATGCTCCAATATATTTAGAGAATAAAACTCAAGTCGGTAAAGTTGACGAAATTTTAGGTCCATTAAACGAAGTTTATTTCACTATCAAGTGTGCTGAAGGTGTACAAGCTACTAGTTTTAAGGAAGGTGATAAATTTTATATTGCTCCAGACAAACTACTTCCAATTGAAAGATTCATTCCAAAACCAAAGGTTGTTGGTCCACCAAAGCCAAAATCCAAAAAAAAGAAGAAAGCTGCCGGTGCTCCAGCTGGCCGTGGTGGTCGTGGTGCTGCTAGAGGTGGTCGTGGAGGCCGTGGGGGCGCCAGAGGTGGGTTTGGTAGCCGTGGAGGCCGTGGAGGAGCCAGAGGTGGTCGTGGCGGCCGTGGCGGATTTAGAAGGTAATATATCACAACTTTCTCTTGTCCTAACAAGATACAGTAACATTTATAACGAATTATTTGCCTATGTATATTATATAAGAATCATGCAACAAATTCTTTTATCAAATATAATTTAAACAACGTTTCACTATTAGACTTTTAATAATGTGTGTAATGATAACAATACGGAAAAATAAGTACTAGATACATAATACTTATGGTATATAAAGTGTTGGTAATAATAATTATTCTAATGTTTCAAACAGTCTTCTTGATTTTCAATAATATATCATATTTTCCTGTATTTGACAAACTTTTTATATGATTGTGCTTGTAACATTTTTAGTAAATAGTCTTATATATAAATATCTTTATAGATATTAATTCTAATATATAATAAATACTTCTAATTAAAAAATTACTTATAATCAAAACAGATTGTGTTGATAGTTCATTACACCTTTTTAATAACTGTTCTAGCATATGATACTAATGATCAATTTGCACCAAACAAGTTAGCAAATGCCCCATTTTCTGTAGATGGATCATCTAAAAGATCACTGGGATCTTTATGTTTTTGAACTAACTTTTCATTTACTCTCTTTAAATTAGCCTCTCTCCTTTCTTGTCTTCTACGTTCGACAGCCCCATGGGTATCTGCAATATCATCAGAGGCACCACCGGCACTCTTAACATGATCAAAATATTCTATCATTAATTGCCTTTGGTTTTTGAAATTTTCGACTTTTCTAACTTTCTCGTATAATTCATCAATATCATAGCCGTAAGAGATGTTTTTTAAATATTCCCTCGTAGATTCATATTCCCTACATAATGTTAAAAATAACACCGTAAAGACATACAATCCCTCATAGAAAGAGTCACGGTTAGCATTTTGTGATAATAAAGTGGTAAGCAATGTTCTCATAACTTCTACGGTGAAAAATTGATCAACAGATTCGTCTTTAATCAAAATGTCAGCCAAGCAGGATTTCATAAGTAGGATTGCATTGAAAGAACATTTACTATCTTTAAAAGATATAAGGTGATTTAATAGTTTTAAGAAAGATGCTAACATAGTAATATCATTAAAAACAATCTTTCTCATCTTTGCTTGTAAATTATTCAATTTTTGTTTTGAGTTAGAACCAACTTGACCAATAATATCTATTAATATAAGGACAGTTACTGTAGTTAATTGTCTCGTTAAATTTTCTTCTAAGATCTTTTCTGTCATTTCATCATCATCTGTTGGCCCAGTAGCATTGTAATTCTCTGTAATAATATGTGACCATTTTTCACACAATAAAATATCCAGGGTGTCAAATAAAGAGGGTAGAAAAGCAGGCATAAACTTATTAGCACATTCCATAGGGCAGTTTTTCAAAATTGGTCTAATTGCTACATTTAATATATGTTTCCAGCCATGTGTTGAAACACCAGGACTGATAATATTACTATTAGGTTTGTAAATTGCAATGGAATCTAACAGTAATCTAGGAACATCGTCCAATTCATAAAATACAGATCCTAGAGAAGAGATGGCACTAATTACTAACAATGTGTATTCTCTTGTATATCTAACAATATGACCTACAGAGTCAGCAAAATCTCTCAAAGTTTGCATTGCTTTCATATGTTCATCAATAAATTCATCTTTAGACTTATTTGATGCACCAGCTTCCCAAAACCTTTCTACTGTGGAATATTTTACAAATGATTGAACAATAACGGGGAGTTCCTTCCAATTATCAGGGTCATGATATGCTTGTAGTTGATATAATAGTCTCATAATATATGGTAAAATTGGAACAATTCTAGGTCTCCAAAGTGCCTGTAACATTTTAAACTCTTCATCATTTTTGATACTCTGAATTGAATAATGAATAAACATTCTTGTAGCTCTTACTGGAAATAAGGATTGCCAACGTTTGCTTAATTCATTTTTTAATTTCTTACCTTCTTCATCTATTGGTATAGCTAATAAGTCACTATCAGGTTTAATACCTCTCTTTTGGAAATATTCCGCAATTTGCACAATGCCGAGTCTTTCCATAAACCATGGTAAATCTGATAAGCCCACTACAGTAGACTTTTCAGACCATGCAATTAATTCTGGATCCACAATTTCTGCAAATCTTTCTTGTTTTCTATCAAGAGAAGATTTTAATGTAATTGTTAATAAAAATGATTTAAAGGAGATTTTTTCATGATAAGAAAGATTTGGCATAATTTTAACAACAACATTTTCCAAATCTGAATATATTGCCCTTAAAGATTCTGGCATCAATAAAGCCATTCTATTTAATTCGATACCGCATGCATATCTTAATTCTCTAACAGCCTCAGATTCTTCACTACGTTCTTCTAAATCGATGCCAGGATAATCCATGGTTGCAGTAGTTATAATCTTTTCTAACAATGTGAAAAGAACATTATCCTTCAACATTGTTAAGAAAAGAGCAAAATTTTGAATTTCTTTCTTGAGTAAAGATGGTTCTTTAATATTTAATGCAATTAATTGGTTTGATAAAATTTCTAACTTACCTAAAATATTATCCAATTTTTTATTGTAATCGCTTTTATCACTTGGGTACCATATCTTCCATCGTATACACCCATTAATAAAACATTCTATAATCATAAATTGAGATAAAGCTCCCAAATAAGGCTCTGTTTTATTGTCTAAAAATGTAGAATTTAGGACCTGCTGTCCATATGGAGTGGAAAAATAATTGTTTAATCTTAGATTCAACCAATCATAAGTGTAATCCAATTTTACACAAGATATCAATCTAATAATATCTCTAATCTTCTTTCTATAACCCGAACAAAAAGCTTGATATTCTGATTTTGACTGGAAATCTATTTCAGAGAAAAATTTTGAAACATGGTCATCAATTTGTTCATAGTATACTAATGCATCTGCAGAGAATTGTAATAGTTCAGGTATCACAAATTTATCCAAAAGAGGCAAAAACTCATCATTTCTTAAACACGAACACCATAAGTCAAGTGTTAAACCGCTAACAATTAAACTTGGATTGAAAGTTGCTTTTAAAACTAATCTTAGATATTTTTCAATTTGATTATTATTATCATCAACCTTAAAAACACAAACATAAAGACAACTGATCATATCAACAAATTTCTTAATAATTGGGTAATTAATCTCGTTGACACCCATTTTTGGGTTAAATTGCAATTCATCATAAACTTGACCCAAAATATCCATACTATCAAAGACTTTATTAATAACCAACTGGTAATGTTTTTCATTATTATATGGACGTGTCAAAAGAATATGCATCGAATCTAAAGCCATTGATTGAGCTTTTGGGATACCACTTACAAAACATTGCAATAGAGTAGATAAAACATCATTTTCAATAATGACATTACTTAATGGCCAATTTAAACAAGTTTTTAAAGTCTCTAGTAATCTTATAACATACTCTGATTTTTTGGCAATCAAAGCGTTATTTAATTCTGATATCCATATAGAGAACCAACCATTTGGAGTTGCTTTGAAAAGGGTCCATTTTTCAGTAAATTTGTATTTTGCAGCAAACATATCCATTGAAGACACTAGCATGACACATAGAGGTTGAATAATGGTCATTCTTTTCAAAACAATCATATCGTCTAACAGAAAAATGTCTTCGAATAATATTCGAAAGATGATTAGAGTCAATTCCCTAGATGCAGTATTAATTTCCCATAGTTCAGTGAGGTTGGTATCCATATCCACCCATGATTCCAATAATAACTGTGGAGATTGGTCGGTTCCCTTTAGTGCTTCTCCCCATGATCTTTTGGCTACTTCAACCCAGAGATAAGCCAGTTTTTCTTTAATGTAACGTGGATCTTGATCTTGAACTCTATAATTTAATTCCATTATATATTTTCTTATGGTGATTCTTTTTTCGGAATCATATTTGTTCCATTTGGTTTTTATTGAATCGGCTAGAAGACCTAAACCGAAGTGCTTAACAATAAAATTAGTTGGGTTATTAAGAGCAATTTGATAGCCCCAATATGGCGATTCGTCTTGTAATTTAACAGAATCCAAAAACTGCTGACTTTTCAATCTTTCTTCATTACTTGAGGTTGGAGTATATATAACTTCCAAGGCAGATATGATTTGAGATGCACCTTCTGAATCCATATTTCATAGAAAAAAGAAATACAAAAAAAAAAAAGAAAAAATATAAGAATAAATAAAAAACAACGATGAAAATATAATCGATAATGAACTTATTTTCTTATTCTTTTAGTAATTATCTGAATATTCTCCGATATCATAAAAGTGGTCCCTAAAATAGAAAATAAGGACTATGCAATGATAAATAATGACTTCTATTTTTTTCTTAGTTTGTTTTTTTGTCTGTTTAATTTGATCTGGACTATATTAATTGATCTTCCAATATTCTTTAATCCGTTTAATGTTTTTATTTATTTATTCACTTATTTTTTTTTCTTTCTGTCAAGGCGTTGATTTCTCCTGCATTGTGGGATATGTTTTGTTAATTGCATTTTTACGATCTCAACTTCTATAGAAGTCAAAGCAAAAACAAAGATAAAAACAAAAGGGATAAGAGCACCAGTCAATACACCCATACATCTGCCACCAGTATCATCATCGCCACAGACGATGAAAAGAAAGAAAAAGAAATTAAAAAAAAAAGTGAACAGAGTGTGTGTTTTTTTTTTTAATTTTTTTTACCAAGAAGAGAAATTTTGTATGCAACGTACCCTACCTTTCCTAAAAAGAAATAACCTAAAAGATTGATAATTTCCCACGACAAAGAAAAATAAACAGATCCTACATATTATGATATATAATTATATGTACATAAGATAAATGAGTAAGATTAGATGATGACACAATATTCAACCCTGTACAAATGTGTCATACGTAGTTGATTATAGAAATGTATTACAAGTGGGAAATTTTCCAAAGTAAAAGTATATATATTCAGCTCTCGAACACTAATTTTTTTTTAGTTTGTTATTACTACGTTCATATATGTAAACCTGGATACACTTAAAAGGGATCTTTTTATGGTAATTCTTTTGAGGTATAAGTAAGAGAGAGAAAAAAACATAGATTAACAAGAATCTTGGCTAAGTTTTTTCTTTTTTACCTGTTTATCTATCACTTGAAAAGCATTTATTTACAGTTTACATTACCAATTTGGAAAAAGGAATAAGTAAAAAACTCCGAATAATTAAAATAGAATAGTGATACTGACAATAAAAAAGACAATAATAATAAACAAATATAGTCTAACAATAAATTTTCTCGTTGTTATTTCGATAAGAATTAGAGTGTCAAAATCTGTTCGGTTACAAAATTCATACTAACAGCATATAAGAATACATCCTTTTTATTATTGTTTGTTTTGGGACTTGACTATTGCAGTGAAAAATTTTACTTCGTAATAAGGATTGTATATATTGACTTATCTTCATTATTATACCCAAAATCTTTATAGTTAAAAACAAAAAAAAAAAAAAATAAGATATGTGATTCATATAATTTTTACTGTATCCAATACATATATATCCTAATCTTATTCAAATAACTACCTTAAACGAGTACCAAATGCAAATAGAATTAGCAGATTTGGCGATGTCGTTTTTTCTCAACTTCAGCAAAGATTTGAAATGATAAAGTACTTTAAACTGGTTCTGTTTTTTTTTTTGTAAGAAGAAGAGACCGTCCTAAAATTTATTACTGATTATATATCATTCAAGAACATTTTAATAACATAAACCTCTGATTTTCTTTTTATCACTCTGTGTCTTAGTGCAAAGATAACTTGAATTTTAGAGATATTTTTATGTCCTTACCTGTTATAAATAAATACAAATATGTCAAACTAATTTTTTTTCTTTCTATTCAGAAAAAAACAGGAAAAAGAATAGTGGCATTTTTTTTCACTGAAATAATTTTGTATCGCGTTTTTCTTCTTCTTTTTTTTTTTTTTTTTTTTAGCGAGAAAACAAAAAAATTTTACCAAGAAAAAAGAAATAGACAAAAGTAAATATATATATATGTATATAACCTGCATAAAAAGGTGTTCACTTCTTGAAATCTGCAAGTTTGCTTTGGGTAGTCCTTTCTGGCATTTTTCTGGGAAAGCAGTTATATCATTTCTTTTTCGTTTTATATTTATCTTTCCCTCAAAGAAAATCATTACATGTACATTTTCAGAATGGGTATTATTGTAGTAGAATTGTGACGTTGTTATCGAGAATTTTTTTTTTGATTTCAACACTTTCAACCCCCAGACAATCTCTTCTCTACAACCCGATTCGAGAATAATCTTATATATATGACTCTTTAAGCATGAAATAAGTGTAGGTGAAACTTACGTAACTTTTTTTGTGCTCCAGACGGGTCATACATTCCCTCTTGTGGAAGAAAATTTGCATACTGTCTTGCTAATAAGATATATTAACGAACCACCATATGTTCTAGGTATATGTGGTAATTCTTGGACAATCTATATAGTTGGATAAGCGTCAGTCAGGTATTACTGTATTATGGAGGAAGGGGCCCATATTCAACACCCATACCTTTTTAAATACTATGCAAAAAAAAAGCTAGGACTGTTATAGTGAACAAACTATTTACTTTTGGCAAGTGTCCTTTCCATTTTCAGTAATAATTAGTTTTTTTTCTTTTTAAAAAAAATTCAGAAAAAAAAAACACGCAGATAACTTTTTTGTCCGTGTTTTAATTTTTCCTTTGGGCATAATTGATTATCCTGACGTGCGAAAAAACTTGGAGGAAATTTCTAGAATTTACTCTTTTATAAAAGAGCATAGATGAAATTATTCTAGCACACAGTTGCTTCTCTTACATCGAATATTGGGTTCCCATACGAAGAGACCGTGACAAACTAAATATTGCAGAATGGCTAGCGGTATGTTTAGGGGGTGATATCCTGTTGAAAACCATTTAGTTATTCTTTAAGCAATTGAGTTAAGGTAGAGTGTGCTTATTCATGTTCGTGTGTTGTTTTATTGGCAAACGTGTTTAAGTGATTCCCTTATCTCAAGTATGAGTACTTATAGTGACAAGTTGGAAGCAGTGATTTGACTGTACTGAATTGCGTTTATGAATATACCTCAACAACCCTGTTGTTGTGGATTATGGAGTGCAGCTTAGATATTTATATACATATATTTTGTTTATTCCATTGCTTTTGGGGATAATGTTGTAACTACGTACGCTAAAAGAGAAACTAAAGTTCGGTTTTGCAGCATCAGTTTATCTTTATGATATTATTTTTTTTCAACTTTTACGATACTAACAACTATTTTTCACGAAAAAAATTGCAATACGTAATTTTTCAAGTTGTTTTTATTTTGTTGAATTTTTTTTTATATTACGATTAGTTGCTCAAACTCACGATAACTCCCAAGTTTTTGGTGTTGCTAGAATCTTTGCTTCTTTCAACGATACTTTCGTCCATGTTACCGATTTATCCGGTAAGGAAACCATCGCTAGAGTTACTGGTGGTATGAAGGTTAAGGCTGACAGAGATGAATCTTCTCCATACGCTGCCATGTTAGCTGCCCAAGATGTTGCTGCCAAGTGTAAGGAAGTTGGTATCACTGCTGTCCACGTTAAGATTAGAGCTACTGGTGGTACAAGAACCAAGACCCCAGGTCCAGGTGGTCAAGCTGCTTTAAGAGCTTTAGCCAGATCTGGTTTAAGAATTGGAAGAATTGAAGATGTTACTCCAATTCCATCTGACTCTACCAGAAAGAAGGGTGGTAGAAGAGGTAGAAGATTATGATTTTTTTGTTTATATACAAACATATATTTATTTGTTAATCCGTTTGTTTTGTATTTTAGATGAAATGATCTCGCAATTGTCATAAGTATCTTCTACTTTTTTCTTTTACGTAGAATGTAATTGTAGAATTTTAGATACGTAATATATATATCTAATTTTTGGCATATTATCTTAATCTGTTTGTCTCTTCTGTCTTGTATTATTTTTATCTCTTACGTTGCTATGCGGATGTGAGGTGTCTTGTTATTTGGTAGGGTTTTCAATTGGTTCAAGAAAAACTAAAAATATTTAAAGCTATAACACACATATATAACAAAGTAAAAGTTACTAGCCCTGGTAACCCTTAAAAAAAAATGAATCACAATTGAAATATAACGATCCAATCGATATTCTTTAATTTATTAGTTTTTTTTTATTTATCAATACAAAAATTCTAAAATTATATGTCATATGTATACTAATATTTATAATACGATTAATTTTAAAATTAATGTAACTTAGTAAACGAAACCCAAGATCTTACCAGAGACGTGCTTTCTTCTAGCTTCTTCGTGGTCCATAATACCAGCGGAAGTGGTTAAGATGACGTAACCAAATTGTCTAGCTGGTAATAAGTTGTCAGTCCACTTTTCAATGTCACCGATCTTAACGTTAAATCTTGGAGAGATAACACCACACTTGTTTAATCTACCAGTTAATTGAATGACAATCTTACCAGATCTGTGGTCATCGATGTATTCGAATTCACCAACGTAACCATGCTTTTGCATAACTTGTAAAAACTTAATGATGACCTTGGAGGATGGTCTAATTAAAACTTGACGCTTACCGGCTTTTTCAGCGTTGTTAATGGCGTTTAAGGCATCAGCTAAGACAGAAGTTCTGGTCATTTTGGCTCTGATTCGTTTGCTATAAGGTCTCTCACTCGTCTCTCAAGACATAACGAATTTAACGCCTATAAGCAATATGACGTTAGTTATATTGCATTCAATTAGCATAACCCTTTAACCAAGTATACACTATATTTTTTCACTGCGTAACCGTGGCACGGTTGCTATGTAAACTCGAAAAATGCCGCCTAACTACTGTTCATCAACTTCCATACTCACATTACAATTGACTGCACAAGAAACTACACTGCCCTTTACTATGTTCCAGAATACACATGTAAGTTTGCCCTAAGAGAGTTGTCTAAGTGTAACAAAGGTATATGCTGAAACAATTTAGGAAGGAAAGTCTTTGATAGGCAGTACCACTAAACCATTCCAGTAACTTTAGGGTAATAATGGAAAGAGGACAGAGCTTCTACTTTGGGAGTAACCTCCCTAGAGATGTCTCTGTGTTCCACAGTTTACTTTCCACTATTTTTTTTTCTGTTTGAATGCTTGTTTTTTTCTGAATTGTGTAAAAAGCCCGGTTTGATCCAAAATAGGTAAAAACATTTTTTAATATTTGGAATGTATGGGTTTTCTAATTGTAACAGTCATATTTTCAGTAAATATTTACCAGTCTACTTTCGAAACAGGTGAAGTAATTTAACACAGCCCTTGATGTATTTTATGAAAACTAAGCTACTAGTTTATTGATAATCCATACACAGGGTACACAAGCGCGAGATAAAATAGCTATACGTGTTTTAATCGTTTAGTATGTATTTCTCGTGTCTTGAGTGCCCTTTGGTGTCATCATTAGTGTTTGTATACAATGGATCCAAGCTGCTAGATGTTACTGGGAATATACCAGCAGCGTCTGTAAAGTCCTTTGTCCTTTCAGTAATAAGAATATGGGATTGAGTATATATTAAATTATGTATAAGTATGTATGTGTATATAAGTGTCTCTTAGAGGATTTTTTTAGCATAACCATATAAGTAATAGATCTAATAATTGGGTGTTTCATTGACCAAAGAAGTCAGGCTTAGGGCCGAAATCATCTTCTTGAATAATAGCACCTGCCCTTCTAGTCGCTTCAACATATTGGCATTCCTCTGTTTCTAATATTTGACTTGCTGTAGGTCTCTTTCTATAATCTGGTTCAATCATCCATTTAACCATCTTTTCCAAGGATTTACCGTCTATTAAAAATTTAGGAACCCATGCAGGAATTTTAGAAATTGGGGACGGTACTCTTAATGGTACATCACTTTTATTTTTAGCAAATTTATCTATATCAATGTTATTAGTAATTGTAGTACTATTAGCATCATTAACTTGAGTAGCATTTTCATTTAAATATTGTGTGTAATCACTGAATTTATTATCCACTTTGGTGCTGGCTGTTGAAAATAAAGATTCGGAGTGGATCTCATTCGAACTCAATCTGCCTGCATCCGACAGATCACCAGATCTCAATTTGTGCCATGCATTTCCATTATCAGGTAGTACGACGTTTGCTGCAATTTCCACAATCATTAATCCTAGTGAGAAAATATCAGCTCTAAAATCATAGATGCAGTCAGAAATGATTTCTGGGGCAATGTATTCTCTATCACCTTCATTTTCAAAACCTAAATCCTCCAAAGGAAGGCGGGTAGCCATCCCAAAATCAGCTAACTTTAAATTACCTTCAAAAGTGATCATAATATTAGCTGGTTTAATATCTAGATGAACAATGTGACAGGAATCGTGTATAAAGCGCAGCGCTAATGATAACTCTACGATAATTTTCCAAATTCTCCAATCTTCTAGACGTTTCTTTTTTGAAATAATATGTTCTTCAAGAAAATTGTCAAGGTTGCCATTTTCATAGTAATCAGTCATAATATAGAAAGCATCCATTTCTATCCAGGAACTTATAAAATTAATAACATATTCTTTGCCTTCCCGATCTTCAGATGTAGTTGAACTAATTTCAGCTAACAAGGATATTTCTTGAATGATTCTAGCCTTTGGGTTATGTTTGTTTGGAATCACAGATTTTACAGCATATTTCCGACCTGTATCTGGTAATGTTACTTGATATACTTTAGAGAATTGTCCCTCACCGATTACATGAACATTATTAAATTGTTCATATAAATGACTATCTGGATTGATCGGTGCAGATAATAATACTGCTCGATTTTTAATACAAGCATTTATGTGCCGTTGTTTGTTCAACGACATATTGGTGGCATTTCTATGAAGATCATTATTAGAAGTTTCTGCAGAATCAATTTCTATTCGAGGTGGACTAAGCTGAGAATGAGATGCTTGTAAATTGTTTGTCTCATTTGATGATTGTTTATTATGCAAGAAGTTTTTACGTGTAGGAGTAGATAAATATTGATCTTCTGGACTGTTCGTATTTGAATCAATTGTTCTAACTGGAGAAATAGTATTTTTGACTCTTGTTGGTAATTTTACAGGAGGTGGAAATTTATGAAAAAACGATAACATATTTTCAGGTAAAACAGCAATTTCTTTATCTTTTGATGGAGAATATTTACCATTATTCTTCATTAAATCTATATTGTCTTCCGTACCATATAAATCATCAGTAAATTGTTGCAAACTGTTGGTTAATTCAACATTTTTGAAAATGACAGACTCTCTTGATTTTTTAAATTTTTTTAATCTCTTATTGTTATTGTGGTGATACTGGGTTGCGTTGACATTATGGTCTTGTAAACTATTAAAGAATAACATGTCACTATTTCTAAATGGGGATATGCTTCTAGGTGATTCACTCAATGATGGTAGTTTCAGTTGAGGTGTGAGTATTGATGGAGACCTAGTAAATGTCAGATTGTTATTAATACCATTTATGTCATCATTATACAGAGTCATGTTATTAGAACCACGTCTATTTTTGAAATTTGGGGATACATTATTTTCATCAAAATTTGGTGAAAAAATACTTTTTACATCTTTCAATGGATTTTTTTTAATGGGTGTATTTGGAATCATTGACTTCTTATTTCTGTTAGTCCTAATTGTGTCTTTATTTGATAATTTTGATTGAAGTCCAGTATTATGGTCGAATACCGATAAACTATTTTTCATTTCTGTGGAAGGAACGTTTTTTTTGTAAGGGAATATATCATTTGCAGGTAATAGATGAGACGTTAACGGTTTCTTCAACAAACCTTCTATTTTTTTGTTTTTAGTGTCTTTAATTTGGGAATTGGAGTTGGATTTCGAGTATTTCCAATTAGTTAAAGCATGTTGTGGATCATTTATAATGGGTGACAAATGTAAGTTAGATGCAGTTCTTTTCAATTTTGGTGTTATTGGATGTTGATCAGATGTAATTGGCCATTGAATATATGGTGCATAATCCCGTTGTCCATGTTGATCAATATTACTTTGTGAGTCATGTTTACATCCATTATTATTATTATTACTATTATTACTATTATTACTATTATTATTATTATTATTATTATTATTATTACTATTATTATTATTATTATTATTACTATTATTATTATTATTATTATGGGTTCTTTCATGAAAGTTCATCATACTTAAGGATAGATCTAATGTGCCTGTACTTCTAATCATTTTATTATTTGAATACGGGAAAAATTTAAAATTACTATTGTTAGGATGATGGATATTTTCAATATGTGATTCATCATTTGTGATATTGGTGGAATTGATATCATTTAGTTGGTTAATTGAATTGATATCACTACTCCCATAGCTGTTATTAATATCTGAATCCAATAGTGAATTATCAGCATCTTCATTGTTATTGTTGTTAGCGTTGTTATATAATGGATATAAATGAAATTTCTGTGACATAAAATGAATATGATAGTTGGTGCAGGAGAAGATGAGTGTGAAAGAATGAGTTTTAACTTGCTTCTAGTTTACAATACAATTGTGTAATATAATTATATTATGATGTTTAGTGAATACTTATGAATCGTTCCAAAAAAGAAATATATATATATATATAATGCAATGTTGATAGTGTAATTACTAGTTATTGAATATTTCCTCCTTCTATCAATAGAAAGTATGTTTATGAGGATAGTATTAGAGAATTGAATATTGGGATTGAGAAAAGAATTGAATATATTTTGCTTATCAGGTATAAATGAATGAGTGATGACCAGAAGAATATATGGGTGGAGCTGTACAAGAAACAATAAAAAACAAGGGTTAAACAGGATAAATATTAGATGATGGATCAATTGCAATTTTTAACATGATTCTTTAAAACTATTAAACGTATCAATGGACAGGCATGGGATCCTTATTTGTTTGTTTGTTTGTTTGTTTACTGGTTTTTCTTGTTTGTTTATTTGTTTATTTTTTTTTGTTTTTCTTCTTGGAAAAATAAAAATTCCAGACGCGAAAAATAAATGAGACTTCGAGGAAAGTCGCGTCACACAGGGAAAAAAAAAAACCAAAAAAAAAAAGAAATAAAGAAAGAAAATAGGTTCATAGCATCAAATAAAGGGAAAAGGGAAATCGTAGATCATAAATCGAAAATATTAGATGAGATGAGATGAAGTGAGATAAGATAACACAAAGTGTTTTTTTTTTAAAAAAATAAAAATAAAAAGCAAAAATGCAAAATAAAATATTGAGGTTGTAGTACACTCTATCGAAAATTTATCTCTTTAAATAATTATACAATTACGTTAGTCTAATAAAATATATTATCGTTTCTAATAAATAATTAGACGATGGAACTATTTGGTATTCATAATTAATTAATATATTAGAATCCTCTAATGTCATAAGTCTTTAGGATGCTATTTTCAAACACATAATATAGTTCTTGTCATGTCATCTTAATCTTTTTTTTTCTTTTTATCCCTGATATAATGTATGATTCTAGTTGGTTCTTGAAGGATATTGAACATTGAAGTAATTAATAGCTAACAAAGATATTTTATGGTTTTCAAAAACGTTATTCATCTGTATTTCACTGTTATGTTGTTATTTTCTTGTACATTGTAGAAAAGAGTAATACAATTAATAGATAGTTGTCTGCATATGTTGAATCGAGTAGTTAAGCCAACGGGTGCGTTTACTCTATACAAAAGAGATGATTTAAAGTTACAATGAAATAAAAATAAAAGTGTAAGACAATGCGTTCTATTTTTCTTCTTTTTCCTTAGTAGATCATATCGTGTATAATGATAACAATCTGATTTCTAATTGGATTTGCAATTGCTTGAAGAATATACGGAATTTCTTTTTTCTTTTTCTTTTTTTTTTTTCTTTGAGGATTAATGAAAAATAGAGAAACCAAAGCATGTCAAGTATGCTAAGAGTCATGATTATATTTTTTACCTAGCTCATACTTTATAGTTTTTTCCCTCATATCTATTTACAAAAATACACCTGTTCTCGTTTGCATTTTCTTTTTATTTCTGTTTGGCTTGTGTTTACTGCAATAATTGCACTTATTATCATTACTTGGCTTAAGCGTCAACAATAAGATATTCTATTCCTATCTATATATATAGTCACTTTATTGAGTTCCCTTGATTGCATTATTTTACCCTCGGAGGATGAGCCAAGAAAGAACGGAATATTTCAGTATTCTTACTGCAAAGCAGCCTTATGAAGCTACAGAGGCTATTAGAATAAGATTGTCCCAAGCTAAATTAATAAATAAAGATTTCTACACTCTCTTCAAAGATATTGCAGATTTGAAAAAGAATTATGTACAACAATTGAGAAAAATTGTTACAGAAAATGAAGATTTAAATAAGCTATTAGTAAATCAGATGTTAGAAAATCAAGTTTTGACGCCTGAAGAAATGTCAAATTTCAAATTTGATTCATTAGGTGAATTAAATCAATTGTGGAGCGTGCTCATTAATAGCTTAAAGACAGATTTAAATTCCTCTACTGAATTGTATGCTGTTTTAAATAATCAAGTGGTTCAAAGTTTGAAAACTTCTACAGAAAATGATCGTCATTGGTCCGAAAGTAAACAATTACATTCTAAATTAAGTAAGGTCGCTGCCAGTATCGATTATTATCAAAAAGAAGGTGACCAATCAGAGAAGCTAGATGCAGCAAATACACAATGGGCTTCCGAGGTTCCATATTTGGTGGAAGTGTTTGAGACACTTGACTATAATAGATTACAAACAATTAAGGATTGTTTATTGTCTTATCAAAGTGGTCATAGTGATTATTTGTCAACCATTACAAATGATTCTGAGAAGTGTATGGCCAAATTTTTGGAATTCGAACCTAAAAACGAAATTGATCGGTTTGCTGCAGCTGCTAACGAATATAACTTTATATTAAGTAATAGGCGTCAAGATAATTCAAGTAAACAACATCAGCAACAAGAAAAACAGTCTCAGAAAGATGATATAAGACAGCACAGTTCGATTAATAGTCCCCGAAAAAACAAAAATAGAAGAAGTACATTGGGTGAGATCGGACACCGTTTCACCTCTTCTTCTACTGTTCTACATCATGATTTAATGAATAGTGAATTTTCTAGTTCAGATAATAACAAAAGTTTAAATGGTAAAAAATCGTCTCATAAGTTAAGATCAAGAGTTGGATCAATATTTGGTAAGAAATTCTTGAATAACAGGAAATCTCAAATGTTTAGCTCAAATCCTGTTAAAAATACTATTGCTGAATCACGAAACTCAAGTATAACTGATCTGAGATCTACTTATAGTAACAAGTCACGACCTTCAATGCCACAACAACAATATCGTAACTCTTCTAATAATATTTCTTCAAAACATACATCAGTTCCTAAACCAATTGTATCAGCTGAAACTGAAACTTCCGAGAATGTTCAAATATCACCTGTTCCAGAAACCCCATCACAGAATCAACAACAAGACAGCTCTACTGAACATGAGTCTCCATATATAAGCAACTCTACTGAAATTACTAGTATTGAAAATAATAGATTATCAACTCAAAATATTCAAGAGAAAATACCTGAATCTAAGCCCATTAATAGTTTGTCAATGGCACAGACACCTTTACAACCACAACAGAAGAACAAACCATTACCATTAGAGCCACAGCAACAGTCAACACCATCTGCAGAGCTACCTTATAATGGACTAGAAAACATTAGAAATCATACTCAGGCTCCAGCAGTTCCTCCTTCTAGAAAACAAACCATCAGTAATCATCAATTACCTTTGACACCTGTATCTGTCAAAAAGGAAAGTGCCTTGCAGAAACAAGAACAAGAACAAGAACAAGTTGGAACAACTTCAGATCAACAAAATACATCTGTATTAACTTCACAGATAACTGGTGAATTGGCCCAATTGAATCCACAGACAACTGGATCTTCTACCACTTTGAGCGGCCAGTCTGTCTTCCAACATGATACAAAGGATATTGAGTCTTTTGGTTTGAACGCAAGTATCGCCGAAGTCATCAGTGCTACTTTCAAAGAAGGTATTTTGCAAGATTCTCAATTAATTGGTGAAATTGCCTTAAATTATGTTTTGAATCCAAATGGTAATGGGGAGTTACCTGTGGGAGTTAATTTAAAGATAAATAACGCTGCTAAATTTGATAAGGTAATTATAAACCAAGCCTTTGTTGAGCAAGTAGAGCAAGAGCATTTCAAGATTAATCCACAATTTATTGATTCAAGGGTTTTGGGTGCCATTAAATATTCAATAAAAGATCCTTTAGCACCTATTGTGGTTCATCCAATCTGGAAATTTGAACCACATCAGGCCAGTGTTGTCTTAAATATTAAGATAGCACCATTTGTTCCAGAGAGAATCAGAAGGTTGGTTTTAGATGATTTCGTTGTATTTGCATCAATTGAAGGTGCAGAAGCTACCAATGCTTTATCTAAGCCTCAAGGTTCATTCAGTAAAGAAAAGAAAAGAATTACTTGGAGATTTAAAGAACCTTTAGTATTGGATAGAGATTCTAGTGAAACAAGATTAATAGCTCGTTTCATTACCAACGGATTGGCACATGAGTCCGATAAAGGTATTTCTATTAAGTTTATTCTTCATGAACAAGCTGGTGAAACTATCGCAGTTGGAAGTAGTATATCATTAGAAAACCAAGAATTAGATGTAGAGAATCCATTTGGGGGTGAATGGAACGCGGTTTCAAGTAAGACCACATTAGTTGCAGGTAATTATATCGGATTAGCTTAATGATAGTTATGGTTGAAAAATAAAACAAAAAGAAAAGTACATCCAAGGCTTGTATGGATATGATGATTGTATTTATATACTATTATTTTTATTATTATTTTTTTTTTTCTCATATATATATCACAAGTTCTGTAAAAATTATTTTTATTTTTATTTTTTTTTTTTGATTTTGTTATAGGATGTTTACGGTATCTACAGATCTTAGAACGTTCATTGAAAGATGAAATGACAGGATATTACTAAATTTGAATTAAAAAAAATGTTAATGGATGATATTAGCAAGATATATTTTTATTTGTAAAACAATATATTTATATTATACAGTAGAAAAAAAAAATGAAATAATATGGAATATTTCATTGATTTGTATATGTATAGATGTATATATCTATTTAACCTTATTTAGATAATGCAATAATAGATCTCTTTGCAGTGGAAGTAGCAGATGCTGGGTTTACACCAGTGACAATTCTACCATCAGTTAAAGAGAAATCATCCCATGGACCAATTGGAGCCAAATATTTGATGCCACACTTGTTGAAAACATCAACAACCGTTGGAACATTCTTTTCTCTCATTAAGTCAAGAACATTCAAAACGACTTCACCTTCATCAGTGAAACCGGTTAATGATTTACCTTCAGCAATGTTCTTACCAGTTTTTTTGTCATTCAAACCAGCAAAGATGACTGGGCCATGGCAGACGGCAGCAACGATACCACCTTTAGCGTAAATTCTTAAAGCTAAGTCTTGCAAACCTTTAGCGGTTGGAAAATCAAAACAAGAACCGTGACCAGCAGCAGCAAAGAAGATATCGTAGTTATCCGGATTAACTTCACTTGGCTTTTTAACTTTCTTTAGGGCAAGTTGGAATTCAGAATTGTCATTGTCGAAATCTTCTTTATCTTGACCATTTAAGAAAGTTTCAGTTAAAGAGTGTTCATCCCAACCAAAAGTACCAGTTTCAGAAACAAATTGGACGTTGAAACCTTGAGATCTGTATTCTCTAAATGGATGTAAAGCTTCAACTACGAAGACACCAGTCTTGGTGCCATCCTGGTAGAAAACTTCATTGTATGATGTTAAAGCAATGATTACGTTCTTGGAAGCCATTTTTTATGTCACTATTGTTTACTTGTGTCTTGAGATGTGTTGGTTTTTATTAGCTTTGAAATGAGTAGATAGAGTCGTTGAATTATTGAGATTTTTTTTCTACTGCAAGATCAAGAGGACAATTTATAATAAAATTTGATAGGAACTGAAGGGACTAAAAATAACGGGGGGGCGGAGGGGGTAAGTCTGTAAGGGGTAAGTCCGTTAGTGGGTGAAAGATTTGTATATGTGTACAAAAAAAGAAAAAATTTTAAAAAGAAAAATCTTCACAAAAAAAAAGAAAATAAAAATCGGTCGGAGCCGATTCCGATTAATTGATAGTACGGATCCGATCTTGATTACGTAATTTATATCTTTGTAATAAAATTACTAAGCAGAAGAAACAATTACACATTTAAAGCGATATTAATTAGAGGAAAATAGTTCAAGAAGAAACTTGCAATATGTATATATAAGGAGATGGTATAAAGATTCCAGATGTCAGGAATTGTTGTCAAAATGTTTTCTTTATATAATATAAAAACTCATACATAACAAAAACCAAATTCTAAAAAGGTTTAATCCTAGTTATATCTAACAATATTGATAACATTAAGAATAATCGCTTAGTTTTTTCAGTTTTTTCCTGTAATTAATTACGATTCAGTAAACAATGAAGGTATTTATCGTTTTTGCTCACCCAGAATTAAAATCTTTCAACGGTTCTTTTATGAAAGCAACAGTTGAACATTTAGAGAAGAAAGGGCATGAAGTTAGGGTTTCAGATTTGTATAGAGAACATTTTAAATGTGTTGTTGATGAAAAGGATTTCCTAAACTTTAAAGATGGTGATAGATTAAAAGTTGCTTTCCAATCATATTTAGCTAACTCAGAAGGTAAATTAACGGAGGATGTATATAGAACTCAAGCTAATTTAGCGTGGGCAGATTTAGTGATTTTTCAATTTCCACTTTGGTGGTATACTATGCCTGCTATTTTGAAAGGTTGGTTTGAAAGAGTTTACACTTGCGGGTATGCTTATGGGGTTGGTGTACATGATGAAACTCACTATGGTGACAGATTCGGTGAGGGAGTAATGGAAGGTAAAAAAGCTATTCTTGCTGTCACTGTTGGTGGTTCCAAAACCCACTATAGTCCTAGAGGTATTAATGGTCCAATCGATCATATTTTATTCCCAATTACTCATAATATTTTATATTATCCAGGTTTCACCGTCTTACCATCTCATATCACTTATGAAACAGATAAAGCAGGCGACAAGGAATTTAATGATTCTTTAAATGCCTTTTTAAACACCTTAGATAACATTGACACAGTCGTGCCAATTGCCTTCCGTAGACAAAACTTTGGTGATTATGAAATGCCTTCATTACAATTAAAGGAAGGTTTAGAACAACCAAATGAAACTGGGTTTGATATTCATATTAAGAAATAAAATAGATTGAATGGTGATATTTAAATTTTTTTTTTGATAAATATGGATTTCTTAATTAATTAATATATCTATGTATTTATGTATGTATATATATTAGTATGAAAATAAAACATAATAAATATGGTTGTTGGCAATACTTGAAATTTAACAGATTAAATCAACTCTAGAATAAGTTTTTGAAAAGTGTATTATATAAAAATAATGATATTGTATATTTAGTTCTTACCTTTAACTTGTGTTGGTGATTTGGTTTTTCATTTTTTTTCGAAATTTTTGATGTTTCAACAAAATATTTAAAAGTTTTTTCCAAACTCCCTCTTCCCCCTCCAAAAAAAAAAAAACTAACGTCATAATATCTTTTTCTATATCAATTTTTTGCATCTTACTTCAATTTAATACATATAAGATTATTCAAACTTAAAGATTCATTTAAAAGTTATTCCCGTTAACAAATTAATGTCATTGCATAGTTAACATATTGAAAATCTCTTCTTACTTAGAAAAAGGGATTCATTCAATCAATTATTATTTATTGCCTATTCAACAATAACCATATGATTTTGGAAGTAAAAAAAAGTTTACTCAAAAATACCGTTATTATGCAACAAAATATCCCTACTAGAAGGAATGGACTAATAATATTTTTCTTTTACTATTTAATATAATACAAAGTAATTTGTTCAAAATAAAATAAATAATTCTTTTAACATAGAAGTATATCATTTTTTTTATTTCTAGAGCATACATCACATAGTTACATATATAGTATATATATACTTTCATTCCACAGAGTAATATTAATATGCAAAATACTGACTGTGAGTTGATTAACTTTGTTAAAACATTACGTAGAAATATTTTATTTTTTAAATAGAAATACAGGAGACTAATTAACATGTGTTGTTGAAGAAATATCTTGAATATAAATATGCTTTGCTTCCTCAAAACACTTAATGAATAGTATATAAAGGCAGGTCAAGAACAGAAAGGCTCAATAGGATATTATGTCTATATCATTTTGAACGACAAAAAGATAAAAGTAAATAGTAAGCAAGAGACTAGAGACAAGAAGAGAAGACAAACCGTTATTTGGCAAACAACGATGATAACAATTCATAAAATATAGAAAAGATATTATTCGTAAAACAATATATAGTTATTGAAAAGAAATAATTCTAATTATTATTTTTAATAAGAATTTACACAAATATTTAATAAGAAAGGAACTAGGAAGAAGAAATATAGACACTGTGCAAAATAAGACAAGATGCAAATGCCTTCTGCTGTATATACATCGCCTTCATATCCACTTAAGAAATTTGAAGTTGACCCTAATGATCCACATTATCAAACTACCAATGGTAGAACTACAGGACCTAGTGATTATGTTTTAAACGCAGGGCAAGTTGATAGAGACAAACCTTCAGGTCCAAAAATGGACCCAGTAAACCCTGATATTCCAACTTATTTAAGTCAGTTGAGGATGCAGTTAACAGGATTACAAGATGATATTAACGAATTTTTAACTAAACAGATGGAAATAGCTAAGAATAAAAGAGTCAAAGTTGAATCTGACGAAAAGGAAAAAAGCAGTCAAAAGAAAAATAATAATAATGGTACAAATAAAGAAGAGGATGACGATATTTATTGAATAACTATGACTATATTCATTGTTAATTGTTAATAATATACTAGAATAGTGAGTTTGGTGCATTTTGCTCACTTTTCATTATTAAATGTATTTACTTGCTGCCACTCAAAAGGATCAAAGAAAGTTAACAAGTGTTGACACAATGTGCTCATATTACATGTATTCGTAACATTTTATGTATTAGGAGAAGCGGAGAAATACACTTTCACATAATGGAAAGAATTCTACAAAATTTCAAATGCTCAGTTATTGCAATAACATTTTTATATACTGGTTAAATAATTTATTAAAATACATAACTATATAAATGTTATTGTGTTATCAAGTATGTCATTTAGATTCGGTACAAAACTATCAAACTATTGATAGATACCTTATATGTATTCGTCTTCCATGATAAAATATACAACATATATCAATTGTTATCATTTATTACGGTAGATCAAAAATCAGCAAATAAATTATGATGTCAAATAATACGATTGTTATATTCTTCAATAAATATTCAAATGGTTGAAGGTAAAATTAAGTATATAATAACAGTGAGAGGGAAAAACTATTCCAGGTAACATCAATCAATAAATCTGCTTGTGCAAGAAGAATATCTTCTCAATTAGTCTTTGCATTTCCCTTAAATCTTTAAGAAAAGAGAGAAAAAAAAAAAGCATCCAATTATAACAGAAAAAAAAGTGATAAAAGGTTGAACTAGTGCAATTATATCTTCCATTTTATTATTATCATTATCTTTTTGGTTAACAACAACTAAATCCACATATTAAGGTAATTTAATAATTAATTACTTCTTTTATTAAAATTTGTACAAATTCATACCTTTCATATATTTATTAGCGTCTTTGTTTTCTTATTTGTTTATACATATCTATATTATTTTTATTAAAGAAATAGTATCCGTTTTATATATTATAACTTCATATGACAGCTACTCTGAAACCAAAATCTAATGATAGATCACGTCGTTTATCGGCTTCATGGCCATTAGGTCTTCCACCTTTAACTGATGTTAAAAAATCATGGAAAAAGAGAAATTCTAAGAAATTTACTATATCAATTATCACTTTATCTCTTCTGTTATTGTACATGCTATTTTCTGGTACTTTTCAAAAAACAAGTGTTGCAAAGAAATCATATCCTCCAGTTCATGGTATATATCAAAATGAAATTCCTGCATTAAATAGTCTTATTTTCCCTCAAGTGGAGCATGCACCCCTCTTAAAAGAAATAGGTGTCAGAGGTTTATATATTTTAAGGTTAGAAGCAAATGGTGAAAAAAGATATATTATAAAATCTGAAGATAAACCATTACCTGATGATGAAAAGAGAAAAATTACAAGTCAGACAATGTTAGTGAAGAAATCTTTTTTGGATCATGGTAAACTAGTTTATCGTAAAAATAATGGTCCAGAGACTGTAATTGTTACATTGATTGACTTTGAAAATTATGAATTGGACACGATCGTTAGTATTGTACAAAATAGGGTAGATTATGCCCAAAAACATAATTATGGTGTTTATGTGAGATGGATTCAAGAATTTATTCCTCTTTTAGCTAATCAAAACTTGGAAAATGGTGATACTTTTTCTAAAACTTTAGTTATGAGAGCCGCATTACACGCCTTCCCTAATGCTAAAAGATTTGTGTTTATCGAAGATACATCTTTAATTACAGACTTTAAATTATCTGTTGAAGATAATATTTTAAATCCAAAGATTTTAGATGTGGCTCTTCTAAGAGATACTCCAATATCACTAGATTCTGTAATTAAAACTTACAAGCATCTGGATTTATCAGATGTTAGCATTGTCATACCACATACCACAGAAAACAAGATATCAACATCTACTTTTATTATATCCAATGATATTTATGGTAAAGCTTTTATTGAGTACATCAATGACCCATTAATTAAAGATTTTGAATGGGAAAACCTTAATCACTGTATTAGTCACATACTTCAATGGCATCCGTCACTTTTAGTCAAGACTGCTATTGTCCATCAAAAACTTTTATCAAGTGAATATGATGAAGTTTATTTGAAGAGCGAAGAAATTGATACTGCACATTATACTAAAGGCGACTTTATTGCAAATTTTCCAAATTGTAAAAGAGATAAAACTTGTAACAAGGATATTACATCTCTTTATAACTCATTAAAAAAGTAATAAATATGACAACATGGAAAATTGCATTTACACAAGACTCTTTCTTCTTTTAATTTTGAAAAGAAAAGTTAGTAGTGATATAAGAAAAGAGTATTGCTATTTTGGTATCGTTCAGTATTATTATCTTTTTTTTTTAATATTTATATCACTTCACAGCATATATTATTTACATGTATTTTATTTCACTGAATATATAGAGATAGTTCAGTATGCAATGCATATATATATATATATTACTTTTCCTTAATTTTTAAAAGCTAGTATATATGCAGCAGATATGTTTCTTAATAGGTCAGCTTTGTTTACATCATGTGTGTCTTCCACTTCTCCCCACTTGTCTGTTTGGTGGATAGTTTCTAAAGAGGCTAATCTTTCGATCTTTTCAATACCACATTTTAATGACGGAATTATCTTTGTCTTAATGGCATTTTCACATAATAATATTCCACAAATAAAGGATTTAGTCATCATAACGGTCTTTTCAAATACTGCAAGGTTCCAATATGATAGTGTCTTTACATAGTTTATAGCAGCTTCCTTAACACAATCAGACTGCATATTGCTTCTTAAACCATCAATATCTGAATCTAATTTTCTCAATTTGAAGTATTCTCTCTTTATTTCAGATTCTTTTGGAAGATGAGTGTATAATAAATCTTCAATTCCATCAATAATTGGAAGATATAAGCAATTTTGTTCTTTTCTTAAACTACCTTCTAATTCTGCCTTTGGTGCAAATACTAATAGTGTATCGGTATCCAGATATCTTAATAAATCTTTAATTATAAGATCTCTATCACCGTTACATTTAGATATGGGGTCTAAATTCACCTCCTCTCTGTGAGCAGTTTCCAAATCAATGCATCTTGAAGTTAAAGAGGTTAATGGCAATGAATATGATTTTGAGGACAAAGTTTCTAAATTATTCCATTCATTTTTTAATAGATATGCTAACAACAACTGATCCTTTTTCACTTTCAATTGATTCCCCATAGGTGTTCTAATAGTTTTAGTATCCATTTGAATATGTATAAAACCAGGTTCAATTGCATTATTCAGGTCAATATTTTGCCAAAATTTCTTCCTTATTCTATCTAATTTGTTTGTCTCAGTTACGAAATTATTTTCAATTGATCTATCAACTCCATATGGAGCAGACACACTGTTGGTTTCCCTTGACTGATGAGATTTTCGTAGTGGCACCGTAGCTGTTCCTATCTTATAATACCTTGTAAATAATTGAATATTCTTAAATGATACAGTTTTTAGATTTTGTCTCAACATATTTTGCTCTTCAAAATAAAAGAGTCTGTTTCTATTTAATCTAGTGCCCTTTCTTTCCTCTGTTTCTTTCTCTGCGTTAATTTTTTTATATTCCTTCTTCGTTCTTCCAAGGATTGAAAGATAAGCATTGAATGAATACTCGTTTCGTTTTTTTATTTCTTTTAATGTTTGGCTATTGATAATTAACTATCTCTTTAAATCCTCTTTTATTCACAGATTACCTTTAAATCAATTCGGGAGACCTTTCAAATTCTTTCTGCAAGAAAAATTTAAAATAAAGAAAATAAAGAAAACATGAAAAAGAAAGAATGGGCTATATGACCCAGCTGAAGAAACAAAGAGACACAATATTGTAATTGAATTAATGTAAATAAGACTCTTGTTGTGTTAATGTTTGCATATTTTGATATTTATTGAATCAAATAACTACATTCTAAGCTATACTTATACTCATAGTTTACTTTTTATTTCTGTCATTTCCTTCACTTGTGTGAACCGCATAGAGACTCATAGAAAACAAAAAAGAAACAACAGGCACAACAGTAATAGTAATAATAATATACTCAAGTAAAGTTACACAATTATTAATCCTACATAATGTCTACTCCTGATCTTTTTAATGAAATGTCTAATAATCTAAGGGATTCCAAGACCCAGTTAGAAGCTGTGAATCAACAATTATTACACCTTGAAAGACAGGATAAAATTACCCAAGTAACAGAAAAAGAGCTAGAATCGTATCCTGTGGATATTGTATGGAGGTCTTGTGGTAAGGCATTCATATTACAAAAGAAAAGTCTATATATAAAAGACTTACGTGAAGATGAAAATGTATTAAGGGAACAAATGAAAAATCTAAAGATTAAACAAAATTATTTGGAGACAAGCGTAGAAAAGACCGTAGCTAATATGAAAAAGGTTTTGGAAAAAACAAATGTTAAACAAGCACAATAAGAATAGTATTTATGTAAATACAAGTATATAACAGCTGTTGTCTATTAAAAAAATTGTTATTATTGTTATTATCATTATACTGCACTGTAACCACCTCTTTCAGATGTTGTTGACCTTGAACCGACAATTTTACTGATTACTTCTTTGCAGAAACTTGGCAGTGAGACTAATAACTGTGTAGAGCGATCAATAAATTCTTGGCGGAAGTCTTCTAGGTTACCACCTCTACTATTCATATATGATGTTATAAGCAAATAGAAAAGGGTAAATAATAATGCATAAAGGAATAACCAAGTAAACCATGATAAACCACTTCCATTCTTCTTGTTTTCAGTACCTTCATTGTTACTATTATTTCTGTTATTGTTATTGTTATTGTTATTGTTATTATTGTTATTATTATCACCATTCTTATTTTTATCTTTTAGACATGCAGAAGGACCTCTTATAGATAAATTGATTTCTTCATCAAGCCAAACGGAATCGGTAATTTCATCTGTTTTCAAATTATCATTACACTGCCAGTCAATATTAGCATCTAAATTATAAGACCCCCATTTTTTAGATTTAAGTGTGATATATAAGGTTTGTTCGCTTTCATCAGTATCAATATCAAACGCCAATCTGTTATTAAATTCGATGATTTTTGTTGTCAACAAATTTTCTTGATTTTGTAGAAAAACTTTTGTAATACCACACAAAAGGTCATTCTTTTCGCAGTTATTATCAGGCTGGAAATTATCTATATTCTCTTCACAAATGTTCAACCACCATGACTCGATAGTCTGACTTGGTGGGGTATTCTTTTTAATCTCTCCTGTAGCGAAATGATCTAGTAACTTATAATTTTGTAAAATTTCATGATTTGAACATTTGATAGCATTAGTGATAATAAAAAGACTGATTAGATATATTATTTTGGATAAATTCATTTCTCTACTATGATTGTGAATTATTTTTTTTTATGTTCTTTTGTAGTAGAGTTTTCCAGATTAGTTCTATATAAGTCAATTAGCTGTCCAATTGAGTATTTTCAGTATCGATCTACGCAAGAAGTAAGAGCAAAAAACAAAAAAAAGATAAAAGAAAAAAAAAGAAAGAAAGAGTTTAAAAAAATCCAGTTTACTAATTCAACTCCTTAGTTATATATTTTACTTTTGTTCAAGTTTATACAGGAGAATGTGCTTCCTTCTCCCTATAAAAGAATAAAAGGCTCTTGTGTGTCAATCTTTAATTTCTTTCTTCATTCACAACAGTTATTCCCTTGCTGCCGACTGTCGCTATTTTGACATCCGTACATTTCCAGAGATACTACATATTCTTTTCAAATATGTTTCAAGAAAATACCGACATCCATAAAAGGAAAATTAATTCGGCTCTCTTTTCAGAAAAGCAGCAGCAAAAGAAAAAGAGAAAGAGAAAGAGAGAAGGTAAAGAGGGAGGGAAAAAAGAAGACAGAAAGGAAGGAAGAAAAGAAGGAAACGAAAAAAAAAAATAGGCGGGGACGATAGACGCGAGAGATGGTGGTGATATGGAAAGAGAGAACAGCAGGGAAAGAGAAGGAGAGGGGCGGCGAGGGGAGTGGACAGAGTGAGTCTCCTTCTTAAATACCGACGCAAACCGGTTTTCGAAAAAGTAGTAGTGGGCACTACAATCTGCCTCTGTTGGTAACGGAGCCAACTTCCAAAATAGAAGTATCAACGTCAGGCGAGGCAGTAACAAGGCTTCATTGAGACAGAAGGAAGAGGATTAACCTCTTTGATGGCTGATTTCCCTCTTGCACCCTTCCCATTCTAAACTTTACTCTGCTGTCTGCGCACACAATATCCGGGTTTCTCTCTCTAATTGTACTTGCTTCCTCCCTCCCCCTCCCCCACCTTCCCTTTCAACGTTTACTAGGTAGAGGGAGATTATTGTTTTTTTGACCCAAAGTCAGTATTATGCGATGCTAATGGATTGTTTCAATATGGTTAAAAGAAGGGTCATGTTCGATACATACAAATATTGTCCTAAACCTTAGAGAAGAGACAGCTTGAAAACACCCCATATTGATCAAGATGGCTAGATACGGTGCTACCTCCACTAACCCAGCTAAATCCGCTTCTGCTCGTGGTTCTTATTTACGTGTTTCCTTCAAGAACACCAGAGAAACTGCTCAAGCCATTTCTGGTTGGGAATTAACCAAGGCTCAACAATACTTAGAACAAGTTTTAGATCACAAAAGAGCTATTCCTTTCAGAAGATACAACTCCTCCATTGGTAGAACTGCCCAAGGTAAGGAATTTGGTGTCACCAAGGCTAGATGGCCAGCCAAGTCCGTTAAATTTGTTCAAGGTCTATTACAAAATGCTGCCGCTAACGCTGAAGCTAAAGGTTTAGACGCCACCAAATTATACGTCTCCCACATTCAAGTTAACCAAGCTCCAAAGCAAAGAAGAAGAACTTACAGAGCTCACGGTAGAATCAACAAGTACGAATCTTCTCCATGCCACATTGAATTAGTTTTATCTGAAAAGGAAGAAACTGTTAAGAAGGCTGTTGAAAAGAAATTAGTTAGATACACTTCCAGACAAAGAGGTAGAATTGCCGCCCAAAAGCGTATCACTGCTTAAATAGTTTAATAGATATATTACTATTATCATATTAATTAAATAAAAATTTAAGTTATAAGTCAATATCATTTGTTTTTTCACGATAGATTCATTTTTTTTATGTAATACCGAGTACTATTTGTCAAAATCCAGGTTTATACTTTCTTTGATTAGTAGATAACATTTGTAAGTTGGATCTTGACACATATGTTTTTAAGAAGGATAATCTGTGTATTAATGATAGATTGTATTTTTATTTTCAAGCATATCTAGATTTCAAGAGAAATAAGCAAAAAGAAAAAAAAAAGAGAGAGAGAGACAGAAAAAGAGAAAAGGTTATGCATCACTTGTGTAAAAGCTATTAAATATTAGTGTACGTTCAAGAGATAGTGCTTTATACATGATTCATCACACCATCATATATTACTCTTATGATCTTTATTTTTCTCTTATTTTTATTTGTATATTGATAGGAGATATGAGGCGAGGATATACATGAGTATTATTTTTCCTGTAATTTCTTATTTACCTATAACATATACTATGTTATATTTTAGTACTGATATTGTTGAGAAACATTATAATATATAATTGAGTGGATCTACTAAAACATACTTTTTATTATATAATAAAAGAGAGAAACGTTTTGATAATGTTAATCGCGTTTGTAGGTTTGTATTTTATTATATAGTATTCTATGATATATTCATTAATATATCCTAAAATATACAGGTAGAAGAGGAAGGTACAATATAATATAAAATATACCTACCTTAAAAAAAAAATAAAAAAAAAAAAGTAAATTACAGTGATTATTAAACTGTTAATCTTGAAACATATAATCTTGTTTTTGATATAACCATCATTATGACCCAATCAATAGATATTTATTTCAACATGTTTTTCCTGTCCCATATATCATTACCAGAGTTTATTTGGAATGTAGTAATAAGCATTTGTGTTATTGTATCTTCTTTTTTTTTATGAAAAATCGACATAAAAGAAAAAATTCACGATTTTTCCAAATCGACGAACCTTTATTTATACTGTAATAATTTTTTAAAATTGTAAAAATTCATTTCGGACTTTTTAATTATACTATTTTTGCAAGGTACACATATAACACATCCTGTCATTGTGAATTGATATTTTTATTTCAAACAGCACCACAGTCAATGAGTAAGAAATTCACCAATCTTATATAATTTGTATGATAGTCTATTAGAGATAAATAATATAGTAAATGGAAAAAAAATAGCAATATTTATTTTTCCTTATAAAAAAAATTATTCTTGATGATGAGTAGTATTATGAGAATTTTGTATCTTATAGGAAGGAATATTCTTTCAATTTTTAATAAAATACACAATACCCTACATCGTTACTTTAATTTGAATTGATTTGATTTAATATCTAACTTTCATACACTACAATAACAATCCGATTTAATAATACATATTTTATTAGAATTCCTATATATATGCTATATTTCTATTTAGATATATATATTTACATATGTTTGGATTCCTATAGGTGGTGTTGATTTATTAGTTGTTTACATGTTGGTTGGTATTTTTCTTTTTTTTTTATTATTATTTTTTGATTTAAATTTTGAATATTATTCGCTATGAAACTTTCAAGATACTTATATGTAGAAACATGTTTATACAATTAACCCGACCAATACCTATATATTTGTGGAGTATCTAATGAAATAGGTTTAACTTTATTATTGATTTCTGCTGATTTATCATTATCTTTATTGATACTTTTATTAGCATCAGAACTAATTAATTTGCCCTCTTTTGAAGAACAAAAACTAATACTTAGTGGATTTTTGATTATTTCTTTTAATTTATCTATATCATCTTGTAGATCCATATTTCCCATTGTATTCAATTTTTTAGCTGTGGATTCTAATTTGTTTAGTAGTAAAAATGCGTTTTTAGTGAACGATAGTTTCTCCATGAGAAATTCTTCTTGCCTTTTTTGCAGCATTTTTTTCTCAATCTCTAAGGTTTTTTCAAGTTTATTGAACTTTTCTAACTTTATATTAATTTTAGATGATTGCACTTCTAGTAGCTTATTAGTAATTTGATTTAGTTTCCTTTCTTCATTACTTGCAAATATACGAGAACGTAATCCAAAGGCAGCCAAGGCCAACTCAGAACCTTCTTTCAGATTATCTTTTAAATGAACATCTTTATTATGTATATTGGTTTCATTACTCTTGGGGGAGTTTATAAAAGTTGAATTTTCAGTTTTAGGTATTTGTGAATGATTTGTTTCTACTTCTTTATTATTTTTCTCTTCTGCTAGCTTGTAGGATTCTGTCAATGCTCTGTCTGTTAACTTTCTTACAATAGTCGGGTCTACCAAACCAACAAGATATGCAATTGTAGATAGTACTGGGTTATCATTTTTACTAAATGGTAAATGTGGTGAGTATTTAAGTGGTCCAATTCCAATCCCATTTTCTCTGGCTTGTTGATATAGATATTTGTCTTCAATAGGCAGTTGTAAAAATTGTAATATACAATGTTCTGGAGTTTTTGTGCCTACAAATTTGGATACTGCATACCAGTCTGTGTTGAATTTTTGTAAACCTTCTACCAATCTCATTATTTCGTCTTCTTCCCATTTAACCTTAGATTCTACTTCAGTTTCATCTAGAGCATCAAGGATCTTAGGTCTTTTAGCTGGGTGTAATTCAATATTATCAGCCTTAGACTCTGTTTTGGAAATACTCTTTATTTCCTCAGAAGTATAATTAGTTGATAAATTCCCAGTTTCTTTGGTTTCTTCTTCCTTTTTCACAACATTATGTAACGATCTTTTTTTCTGTTCAGCTAAATAGTTAGATAGGGTGCTCTTTGGATCACTTACATCCATCATTTTTTTCAACTTAGACATATCAGGTAATTGTACAGACGGTTTATAACTCTCAAATGGGAAATAACCTCTTGGTGCATCATGTTTTGCGGAATTTTGGTCAGTCAATGGTGGTTCTATAGTCTTTGGTAATAATTCAGGGTTTACTTGATAATTGATCAACCCCCATTTCATTAAAAATTTATGTAATCTAAATAGTGCAGCAGCATCACCTGAAAGATTTCTCCTTGCTGCAGTGACAGAGAAATATTCATTTGGGTTTAATCTATATGAGTTTATCATGAAATTTCTACATTTGACATAAATTTCAGGGGTTTTAGATGGTATTCTATTTGTGAACCATTCAGGTAAAGACTTTATCTCAATTTTATGAATTTTTTTTAAATTTAGCCATGAGGCATAATTTGGAATAATGATTTCATGAACCTGTGGAAATGCCAATTTAGGTTTTTGTTTTGCTACTGTGTTATTATTGGATGATGATGGCGACGATGAAGATGATGTTGATGATGTTGATGTTACATTAGAATTATTTGTTGTGTATTTTGAAATTGTATGTACATGGTTATTGCCATTTGCTTTATCCTGGTTATGTTGTGCTTCTATTCCCAGATTCTTTTCAGTACTGTAATTTCCGTTATTTAAATTGTTTTCATGACTGTTCGTTATATTATTTTTGTCGTCCTCCTCGAGAATTGGTGTACCAACATACTTGTTAGTAGCATTTTCATTATCGTCGTTATCTTCTTCTTCTTCTTCATTGCTATTGTTATTGTTATTAAGATTTTGTGGCTGTTCTACTTTTTCAAAAACTTTTTCTTTTTCATCAACCCCATTTTGATTGTCTTTATTAGTCATTTCTACTATAGTAGTATTGGTATCATTATTATTGTCACCTGATATAGTTATCTCTTGTTTAATTTTAATATCAGAATCAATATCCATTTTATCACTATTATTTTTACTGTCAGTATTATTATTATTATTATCGTTAGAGATATTTTTTTCTTCTTTTAATTGAGAATTTAAATCATCAGTACCATTATTTTTAGAGTGTTCTTCTTTAGATGTTGTATTTGTATGGTTCATAGTCATATTTTGTATAATTGAAACATTATCTGTTGTAGATGGTTCTTTTTGTACATTATTGTTCATGCTATTAGTTGAAGTGTCAGTTTGTTTGTTTAATTCAGTATTTGAAAGTACGTTTTTATTTTCCACCTGAATTCCATTACCTTGTTCTATACTCTCGTTGTTTATATTATTTGAGTCCATAGAAGTTTTGGAAACGGATAATGAAGATTCGTCGATGGAAGTGTTGTTTAATGGAATAGAAGAATGTGTAGTATAGTCTTTTATTGAATTAGTTTGTAGTTTATTAGATGAATCGGATACAGCATCTATATTCATATTTATATTTCCAAGTTCATCATTATCCTTTCGCGTATCATCTACAGTAGGCATATTGTCAGTGTCAACAGTAGTAACAGTATTTCGATCAATTAGTTGAGTATTTTGTAAATCTAATTTGTCTGTTACAGGAGCAGTATTTGAAAGACCAGGATTGTAAGCATCATAAACATCATAAACACTATACGTAGTATCAACGTTATTGTTGTCGTTATTATTATTAGGGTTATTATTATTATTATCTATGAAAAGTTCATTATTGTTCATAATTGTATCATTGTCAATGATATTGGAAGGATCATAATCATCCATTGTAGAAAAAACGTTTGTTTCTTGAAAACTCATTTGCTTCGTTCAATTGACCAGGTGATGACCCCAAGAGACATAAACGTTTGTGTAGTATTGTCTCTTACTACAATAGTCTACAGGAAAATGCGACTACTATGCAAAATCTAGCTGTATCTTTTCTTTATTTCTTCACTTTTTTGTCAAAAACGACAGCAAGAATAAAAAAAGAAAAAAAAAAAAAAGAAATAAAGAAAACAAAAAAAATAAAAAATCACTGCAGAAAAACCCAAACTCCGTGAGGGTAACCTTCATATGTGTCACATATATATTGCTACCAAAAATAATTCTACTTAGTATTATAAAGGTGTGGTTGTGTCTCTTGTGACTTCACCAGTCACTAGACCTGTATCTTCATCTCTCTCTCTCTCTCTCTGCTTCTCTCTTTGTTTCTATACAGGTATGTGTGTATGTGTTATCAATTTGTTGACATGTCTTTTGTTACTTGGATATCGTAGTAGGTGCTATTGAACGGCCTGTAGCACACAAAAAACAAGCGTGGAAATGTGAGCTGCCAGAACGTCATGCGATAAATAAAATATCATGTATATTATATGTCGTAATGCTATAGCTGTAACGTTTGAGGTGAGAGAGAACTGAAGGATTGGCGACACTGAGGAAAGTGGCAGTCACGTGCTTTGATACAGCAGAATATCGTTTTGGACGAGAAATTTTAATTTTTTCTTGCGATTTTTTTCTTTTTTTTTTTGTTTCTTTTTCTGTTTCTTTTTTTAGTTTTAGTTGAAGTGGAAATTGCAAAATAAAATAATCAATTTGTATATGATCATGGTGTGGAACAAGTAGTGGAAGGATATTTTAATAAGGTGTACGATGGAACAAGGTTGCTACTCTGTTCTTTCGATACCTTGCTTGTTTGTTCTTTTTTTTCACTTTTTTCATTACTCTTTGTGGACTTTGAAGTACTCAAGTGATCAAGTCTGTTACTGTTATTATATTGGTGCATCGACTATACCTTGCATTTGAGTTATTGGTGTAACGCTGGTTAGATATATTCTAAAGAGACAAAAGGAGAAGGGACTGGTAACAAAATAAATAGAATAAATAAATATAAAATAAACATAATATAATATAATATAGTAGAGTAGAGTAGAGTAGAGCAGAGTAGAGTAAAGATCGAAACAAAATGATAAATTTGCTGTTGTATGTGGCAATAACTGTTCTATTATTTATGAGTCATTTCCATGGAGTCCATGCAGATGTGACAGTTTCCTCGCCTACAAAGGGAAAGATATATACTGCTACTGGTGGATCAGTGACTGTTCCATTACAGTGGATAGACGATTCGAACTATCCTCCATTAGACAAAATAAAATATTATACATTTTCTTTATGTTACGGTCCAAACAGTGATATCAGCAATGTATACACTATTGGTAAACAAGTCCTGTCGAGCGATATCACGGTGACTACGAGTGATGGTGGTAAAGTGTACAGCTACGACTCGGTTATTCCAGCATCTATTGTAGGTAATGGCCAATTCTATATCCAGGTGTATGCTGTGGTTGAAGGCGAGGGGGACACGATCCATTATTCTCCAAGATTCACTTTGGCCGGGATGAGTGGAGTTAACACATACACTTATACGTATTCCGTCCAACCACCAGCTATAACTGAGATCAACACTGGAGGTGCGGGCAATGCAGACACTTCAATAAATTCAGCATCCTTTTCTATTCCATACACTTTACAAACCGGTAAGACGAGGTATGCACCAATGCAAATGCAGCCTGGCTCCACGGTGACCGCGACAACATGGACAAGAAGGTTTCCTACGAGTAAAGTGACATTTTATTCGACTTTCAGAAAATCTTTGGATCAAGTGTCTACAATTACACCAGGTAGATCATATGTGATGACATCGGATATCAACGCTGCACCTCCTGCACTAATGCCATCTGAGAATGGTGGTTGGTACAATCCATCTAAAAGGTTGACTTTGACTGCCAAAAAAATCTATAGTTGGTAAATTTATTCTTATGTTATATTATATTATTATTATATTTTTATTATATAACATTACATATATATATATATAGAGAGAGAGAGAGAGAAGAATTTCTCTCGATGGGTTATTTTCAATATATTTCAGGAAATTTCTTAGTTAATTGTTGTAATGCAACAATCCCATCTATACTAATATCTTCATCATCTTGTAGTTTACACGACACAGCATCGAGTATTAAAAAACCGATTTCACCCGAATCACTAGCTCTGCAGACGAATTCATACCACGAACCAATTTGGAACTGTTTGTTCATTGATACTCTAACATCATTCAAAGTGATCATTTCATTGCCTATTGTGGGACTAGACAGTATTAGCGTGGATTCTGTTGGTTGTTGTTTGACTTGTGCTATTAAACGGAACACAGGGTAGATACTGCTTGCCACTTCACTTGGATCTATTCTTGGAGTTTCACTAGACATATTTTATCGAGTAACTTAAATTATTATTTAATCTTCTATGTATGTATGTATGTATGTATGTGTGTGTGTGTGTGTGGTTTTTGTACACTTGATATTATAATGTGTACGTTGCGGATACGGTTTTTCTTGTTACAAAACAATAAGCAATGGTATAATATGCTTACTTACTTCTATCCATCTATCAGTTCATCAAGCCAAAGATGGGATTCTGTTTCTGGGATATCCTCCCTCCTCTCTCCTCCTCTTCCTTCTCTTCCTGTCTATTGTACACAAGAGATCAATCTATTCTCTTTTCTCACAAAGCAAGAGGTAAGAAAAAAAAAATTAAGAAAAATGCGACGCGTCGCGACACGTTAACTAATTTTGTTTCTATATGAAAGAAAGTGTGTGTATGTGTATGTGGAGGGGCTTGATTGGATGATAAAAGATTTGGTTGGTAAGACAAGAGAATGTGGTTCTTATGAGAGATGGGCTATGGGAACTAGGCAAGGGGGTGGAGAAGGAGACGATGTTTGATTTACTTATTTACTGTTCAGTTATGATGTATAATACACAGTACAATACGACACAAGATAAGGTAAGACAAGACACAAGACGACACTATACGATATTACAGGTGAAGACTATATACCACAACATAAGCCACACAAGATTCCTCTTTCTTTTTTTTTCTTTCTTTCTTTCTGTGTGTCTCGAGAAATGATTGAATGACTAAAAAACAAAGGAAAAGAAAAAGAAGAAAAGGAAAAGAAAAGGGGTATGATGTCGTCACAGTCAGGGAAGCAATTGAAAAAAAAAAAAAAAAAAAGGAATTATATATATGTACTGGTGTGCATATGCATATATACACATATACATGTTTGTATGTATACAACGTTTAAAAGAAGAGACACCCAAATAAATGAAGTATACCAATGATTAAACTGGACTCCAATGAAAAATTGGGTTCGTCCCAATTCCTAAAAAGAAAACAACTCTGGTCTAAATATCGTTATTACAGTTTATTATTGATTCTATTTTTAGTAACTGGTTCTTTATTATTAGATCCAGGTTCCACTGACATCAGTAATAAGAATGATGTTTCTATTTTCTCTACTGACTCAACTGTCGAACTATGTCCAAAAGTTCATCCATTAACTCCAAAATTCAATAAGTCCATCGACTATATCTTAAACGACCCCCTATATAAAAAACAATCTATTGAAAGATTGTCCAAAGCCGTTCAGATCCCAACTGAAGTACAAGACGTTAATCCAGACCCAAAATTAAATCCTGGCTTTTATTCTCAGTTCATTACACTTCATCGTTTCATAGATAACACTTTCCCTCTTATCAAAACTCGTTTGCAAAAGGAAGTAATAAATGAATTCGGGCTTCTATACACATGGAAGGGCACTAACGAAACTTTGAAACCCATCCTTCTGATGGCTCATCAAGATGTGGTGCCTGTCAATAAGGATTCTGTCGATCAATGGACTTTCCCACCGTTCTCAGGTCATTATGATCCAAACACTGATCTCCTATGGGGTCGTGGGGCTAATGACTGTAAAAACTTATTGATTGCCGAGTTGGAGGCCGTGGAGAAATTGTTGGAAGATGGGTTTATCCCAGAACGTACCATTATATTATCCCTGGGTTTCGATGAAGAATCCAGTGGCGTCTGGGGGGCCTCTCATTTGGCCTCATTTATCCATGAAAGGTACGGTGACGACAGTATTTTGCTTGTCGTCGATGAAGGTGCGGGTATTGTAGAAGTAGAGAATGGCTTATATATCGCTCCTGTAGTCAACAGCGAAAAGGGGTACGTTGATGTCACCATCGAGATCCTAGGCCACGGGGGCCACTCCTCTGTTCCACCAGATCATACCACCATTGGAGTCGCTGCAGATTTGATTACTCTTATTGAATCATCTCCATTCCCATCTGATTTCCAATTGGATAACCCTCTCTACGGTGCTTTGACTTGTACAGCAGAGCATTCTACCTCTTTGCCATCGGATATCAAAAATATCATCTTGAATGCCGGCGTAGATGATAAACACAGAAATCAGCTGACTCAATATGTGTCAAATAATAAACAGCTACGTGATTTGATTAGAACTACTCAGTCTGTAGATATTATCTCCGGTGGTGTGAAAGCAAATGCATTGCCCGAATCAACAAAGTTCCTAATAAACCATAGAGTAGATTTCCATTCTAGTGTAAGGGAAACCGTTTTAGAAGACGTTGAAAGAGCCCGTGTTGTGGCTAACAGATACGGTTACGGTCTCTTATTTGAAGGTGAATACTTGATTGAACCAACCGAGTTAGGTTTCATCGAAGTCACTTACAGTAAACCTTTAGAACCTGCACCAACTTCACCAAGCTCCGGTCCGGTTTGGGATATATTGGCCGGTACCATCCAAGATCTATTTAATAATGCGTTTATTGTAGAAAAAGCTAACGATAATAGTAACGACAGAAACAACAGTAGTAATAGTAGTAGCAACAACGGGTTATACGTTACTACTGGTGTGTTTTCTGGTAACACAGATACTAAGTATTATTGGTCCTTAACTAATCATATTTACAGATTTATTGGTGCTTTATTCGATGAAAGTTCTTTGAAGACTGTACATTCTGTTAATGAAAATATTGAAATGAAAAATCATTTATCTGCAATCACTTTTGTATATGAATTAATCGTCAATGTTAATGAATCTGATTTAGCATATTAAGAAAAATAATAGCATTAATATTAATAGTAGTATGCTTATATGTATTAGTTACATATTAAAATAATGATGATAATAATAATAGCAGATATATAGGTTTATGTAAGGAACAAATTTTTTTTTTGATTTTTTCTTTTTTAAAATAAAACATGTGTCTACATAAGATAATATCGTCAGAACATATAGTGTGCCATTGCGGTAAAGAGTGTTATTATATAATACCAAATACCATTGGAGATTCTTAGTATAGATACTGCGTTTGATTTCGACGTACTGGTTGGTGCAGTGACATCAACACTCAACAGTTGGCTAGAGTAAGTTTCGTTAACAGGGATAGAAGATAACACACGGTTAATATCAGCAACTGCATAGGTACTATTAAAAGTGATATCATCAGACATGAAGGATATTGTATTGCCTGCAGAATCAAACAAAACACCGCCCTTCATAGTATTTTTAGTATCTCTTGGAATGTAACCATATGATTGAATACCGATGGCTAAATCTTCAATTCCTTGATAAGTATGGAAAGTCGAATATAAGTGGTTCTTTTCGGTACCGTTCATGATTTCAAAGATATCAAATTCACCACAACCACTTGCCCAACAAGAACAATTTTCATTAGTTGGGTATTGAGAGGTTCTAGCAATATGGTCGTTTAATAGCCAAATTGCTGGCATATCATAGTATTCAAAGCTACTGCTGTTTTTAGCTGTTTCGGTTGGCATAGTAAATTCAAAAAGGAACATTTTCGTAACACCACCAAAACCATAGTATGCTGGGATACCATTTCTATAAACTCCACATCCCTTGTCTAAACCGGATTTAGGACAAGAAACGTTGGAATAAATAACATATTCTTGATCGGAACTCAATTTATTGTCACTGCTTAAAATAGTTGATTTGGAAGCTGCAGATCTACCATCAGAAGCAGCATATACTAAAGCCTTACCTAAACATGGAGAATCGTTACCAGCCTTGGCTAAAAATGTAATGTTTTCGCTAGTCTGGGAGTTAGCATCATAATAGGCTTGACGAGTCCAATCTTGAGAAGATCTGTCGTTATTCACAATGAAGGAAGGGCTACTATAAAATGCAAACTTGAATAAAGATAAAGGTCCACGCATGTGAACAGAAAGATAATCAGATAATGGTGCATTAACACCAGAAAACCACACTTTATCTGCAACTTCACAAGTACATTTTGTTTCACTGTCGATGTTAGAAAGTTTTTTCACCGGAAAGTATGTACCATCAAATCCAACATTTGTAAAAGCAATTTTTTCATAAGGTTTAACTTCAGCTGTTGCGATTGAGAAAATAATGGCATTTGCGGCCAACAGAGTAGATAGTATATTGAATATCATAAGTAGGAATATAGAATTTTGTTTGTGTCGTTTTTATTCTTCTTTGGAAAAAAAAAAGAGATAGAGGGATATATTGTTATTCAGTAAGCTCAAAGAATTTAAAAAAATAGATATAATACTTTATAGGTGATGAGATCAGTAGTTGTATCCTGCAAGGTTTTCTAAATATTGTCGAACTACAAGGGTTCGGAAACAAAAACAGAAAAAAAAATAGAAAAACAGTCTTTTTATAGAATGTAGGAAAAGGGTGTTACAACTAACAAAAATACCAAGAAACTGTCAAAAGGTTAAACAATGTGCCTACTGTAAGTTTATATTTACAAAGGAACAGAACGTGGAAGGAGGCTTTTGGAGGATGTAGATATTGTTTGTTTGTTTATTTATTTATTTTTTTTTTGCGTTTTTGTGTTTATTTTTGGTTTGTTTTTTTTTTTCCAGATTTGCCTCGAGAATAAAAAACAATACCAGAATTGCTAATGAAAAATTTCCGATTGAAATTTTCTGCTAGATCTATATTTCAGGAGATAAAAATATCCTACAGCTAACAAGCAACACTACGTCATAATTTTACACTATCTCTTGAATAAGAATATGTTAGAGAAAATACAGAGATACATTAGTGTCTATAAGAGAATATAGATTATCAGCTAGTTCTTCTGAAATGAATATTTAATGCTTGCCTGTAAGTTTTTTCACTTGACAGGGTAGTAAAAAGAATTTAAGCTTTCGTCTTTAAATTGCTAAATGGTGTACAAATTTAGATGTAAATTATCAACCGGAATAGAAAAAAGCTGAGTTAAAAATACATTTTTAAGCTTTGAAATAGTACATGTGATTATTTTGGGAGCCTAGACTTACTTAGATGACTAAATATGAGGGGTTTCTGTATTGATTAAAAATAGTATAATTTACTATTAATGATTGTTGAAGAGAAAGTGTATGTATATATAGAAAAAGAGAGAGATGACAGTTGTGGTGCCTCCTCTGTAAGATATACTTCTCATTTCAACATTAGCACCAGATCATAGGAAATTGGTGGTTTTTGTAAAATATCAAACTGGAAATAATCATTTAGATATTTATGTTGCGATTAAGAAAAACAGTGTATTTATTGAACCATATTAATCAAATTTTATTCTAATCTAAAATATATACTATGGTTGATATCAAGACTTTATGGTATGAACACTATTAATTCAATGAAGATATTTTTCAAGTATTCGACGCGGCTACAATCGGTCAAGAAAGTACATATAAAAAATAATGTCAAAAGTTGTAAAGTTAATTATAAGAACTCTGGAAGATTCACCATTATTTCATCTTACAAGAGCTTCTCCAAAGAATTCAAAGAATATTAATATAAGAACAACCGTAATAGTTGATACATAGGATGGAAATTGCTTTTGAGATCTATTTAACTATTTATTGGTAGAAAACAAAAAAAAGAAGATTAGATTTTTCAAATCTCTAATTAAATGTTGTCAAACTTTTGGTGAATTTTAAAAACTATACTTCTCGCATGGTCAATATGACGACTAAGTTATATTTTAAATTAGTAAAGCATGGTCTGTTTGAAAAATATGTGTCTATGAGATCAGATCACACTCTTTTTCTGATGAATAAAAAAAATGATTCAAATTTATAGGTCAAAATTAAGAAATCGCATAAATGCATTTGGTACTACAAGAAAGCTAAGCAATCATAAAGATTTTTTGAAGAAAATAATGTTAAAAGTAGCTAATAAGTTTTATGATGAATGAATAAGGGTACAAAAAATTTTTTGAGTCTAAAGTGTGCTTAGAGCCATGCTTTCTTAATTAAAAAAAAAAGACAAAAATTTAATTTATTATTTCTTTATAACCTAAATGAAGTAAGATATTATCTCCTCAAACACTTGTATGGGAAAAAAAGACCAAATTTCTGTTTCTTACTTGGGGCCTAACTGTGAAGCTGGATTAGCCTTTATTTCATCTTCCTTCTGTAAATAATCTACTTTTAATTCATTCGTTAAACCTTTTCATTTCCTTCTAACATTATAATTTTCCAAGTAGGTTTGTTAATATTAAGATTACTGAAGGTGATAATGGGAATTAGTTGATTGTAAAGTCTGGATGTGTTAGAATGAACTAAATTCCCATTTACTATATATAAATGGTGATCTAGCTTTATATATATTAATGTTTAAGTTATCTATATGTTAACGGTTTAAAGTATGATTCAATTAACGTACTGATTATTCAGGGAATATTCACTTTGTCTGCTTTGAATTGTAAGGAAAATTTGTATGGAGTTGAGTATTTTTTAATAAAATATTGAAAAAATTTGATTTTTTATTATCGATCAGTATATATTTGAATAATAGTTCTTTATTACCTGTTCCCTTAGATTTTCTGCATTTTATTTCTATTTAGTGGAAATTATATCGTGAACAAGTTCCAGAAGATTGGAAATAAATTAATAAAAGATGTATAATAACTTAATGAATTAACATATGACGTTGTGAATATACTTCGTTCAAAAAATTATATTTTACTTAAATAATGTACTAAGGAAATATTAATTGTAAGTTAGGTATGGTGTAATGTCCCTATATTCTGTGTTTATCTAATAAATATAATATTGTTAAACAGTCCCTTTTTAAATATCTAAAATTTAATGGATTCAAAAGGAAAGTTAGACTGTAATTTAAGTTTGAAGTTACAGAATCTCTAAAATAAAATCTATGTATTAATTTTTTGATTCACATAAATAAAGTTGTTTGTATCACCTTAACCAATCTTGGTTTTAAGAAAGATGTCTGAACTGGCGATATTGTTTCTGAAAAAATTAACATTTCTAAGAAATTGATCATCGGTTGGTAGATACCGTTGTACAGTATACTTCAAAAACTTTTGAAATGTTAGATGTAAGTTATGTTCTTGTTAGTCAAAACATATAACTATAAGTAGCAATGTAATAATACATTGAGCTACTAAAACGCCTATACATCTTAATGTCCACTTCAAAAAATGACTACGGTAATAATCGTGAGAGTTAACTATGTCTGTGGCTATCTGCTTCAAAACTTTATACCTATATTCCTGTTGAAAAGATAGACTTGTGTTTCTAATTTCTTTTGGTATGGAAATTTTAGGTTTATCCAGATTTAAAAGTGTTTGATCTTTGAGCTCCCTCTCTGTTTCAGTTTGTATTTTCACTAAATGTCTTTCTGCAAATACTTTCCTTTCAAACTTAGTAGGGTAATCTATATCAGTAAATTCTGGAAAAACTACTCTGTGATTCAGGTATATATTGACATACAGATATAATCCAATTTCATAAAAAATAGTAAATGGGAAAAATACTCCAACGTATAATAACCATTTCACTAAATTATGGTATTTAACACTAGCTTTGCATGAGACACATTCACATCGATACACCTTTCTTGACTCAATAAATGGAGCTACTAGATATTGTTCTTTCTCATTATCGTACGTTTCATCCATCCTTTTTAGGTCTCTACTGATTTCAAATTGTTTTCTTTCTTTAATCAATTCTTCTTCATAGTTATTATCATGTTATATGGGTTCAATTATATTGAATATATTAGTATTACTCGATTAGAGTATCTTATTTATATTTGATGGATTGTATTTCATCCATTATAAGATTGTGTATTACTTTTTGTTTTGTTTTTATTAATATGTTGAGCAGCATGTAAATTACTCAATTAGGAAATTACATGATCTCAGACAAATATAAATCAAATTACAAAACATGTTTTTACAACCTCAAATAATGAAATTAAATCTATAGAAAGCCATTAAGGAGAACAAAAACTCAAAATTTAAGGAATATGTTACTATTATCTTATAAATATAACTATTTTAAAACAGTTTTATTTCATCCATTAGAAAAAATGCAATACAAATATTACCGATATTTGTTAACAAAAAAATATTTACGTCGGTTAGAGGTTCTATACATATTTTGAGTTCATTTTATTTTTTTTTATAGAGCTTATGAAAATGCAGAAGGTGTAACTGATTTATCATGACCTTTGTTTTGTTTGTATTTATGAATAAATTTTTCCATGTATATATTAACAAAATTTTGGACTTTTGTATACTTTTCTTTAGAAGGTTTGCTTGGTGGTATTGATTTAGAGTTTTTTTTCATTTCTTTAGATGATAAGATTTTTGTTATTTCACGGGCACATTCTTTTATGTTTTCATGACTTAAAGGGATTTCTGTTTTATATTTTCTTAACATATTAGGAACAAATGACGCAAAGAATTTATTCCATTTATGTTCAATGTGTGAAGCATTAGAAAGTTTTTTTTGTAACATATGTTTTTCTTTCAATGATTTTTGAAGTCTTTCTTTTTCTTTTCTTTCTATTTCCTTTTGTCTGTTAGCTTCTTGAATAATCTTATCTAATTCAAGTCTTTTAGCTGTCTCTGCTTCTAACTTGGCTTTTAACATTTTCACTTCTTCATCCTTTCGTTTCTCTACAATATCTGGTTCTTCGGATGAATATCTGGATTTTTTATTGAAACCATATTTATCACGATCTTGATGTGGATTGTGTCTTTTCATGCTTTTCCTATTTGACATAAATAATTTATCCAAACCTGGATTCAGATGATTTTTGTTCTTGTGTTGAAACTGATTATTGTCAAAATTCTCTCCAGATCTTTGGTTAACATTATTTCTATTATTATTAAATTGCAAAATATTGGGTGGCTTGTCCAGTTTAATATTATTTTGGGCGTTGTAATAGAAAGGACGTCCATTCACTTGTATTATTTCCCATTCTGGTGGTAATCTAACTTTTCGTAAATCATTTAATGTAGAGAGACTTCTCGACATATCAGACAGCTCATTAATATTTCTTTTGGTGATTCTTGTATACTCTTCATACGATTCCCATTTTTCTAAAAGTTGATCACATTGATGTTTTAAATTGGGGAACACATGTATTATTTGTTTAAGTTTTGTGTCCAATTGTGATACTACAATCCCATTTTTAGTAGTTTTTGGTAATTTAGATAGAAAATTTAGAATATCACTGATAACTGATTCCTCATCTTTGAAAATATTTAATAAGTTGTTAAAGCATTTATATCCATGAAACTTAATTACTTGATACAATAAAGATTCATCTATGATAGGAAACAGACGTTGAAATATTTTTAATGCAATCATTTTATTTTCGATCTGTAATAATACACTCATAACTTTAGTTATATCCGATGAATTCTTACATGGTATGATCTCTAAAGAATTAACAAATTCTTCATTTATATTTTCTTCATTATTTTTTGTTATTATTTCACCATTCGCCCTTTTCATCTTTAGCCATTTCTTCTCTATTGAAGGAGATATGCCAAGTGCATCTGAGAAACTTTGAGGTAATAACGATGCGGCATCAGTTTGGGTCTTACCACCAAGAAATCCAATACAGTTTGGTTCTCCACAATAACATTTTTGAGCTGCAGCTCCATACCTATCGACATTATAATCAAAAGTAATTTCTTCATCTTTGAAGATTTTCCTTTTGGCAAAGATACCCATTTTTAACTTCCCATTAACTACCCATTTATTTACATAGGCGTTAGGATTACATGAATGATTACAAAATCTTGCTAGACAACCTTTTTTAGTAGCATCTATAAATTGTCCATTTTGTAACATCATAAAATAAAAATGTTTTATTCTCTGTTTATCATAGAGTATCATTCTGTCTCTAAACTCTTCCTCATTGATCACTTCCCCGATATATTCGTAAATAAATTGGTTTGGGTCAATATCTTCCTGAGCCAAAACACCATAACCTTTTTTTTCAGTTTGAAATACCATAATATTTGCATACTGTCTTCTTTGGAATCTTTGGTTTTGACATTCTTTTCCACAAGTAGAGTCGCATAAACCATCTACACACTCAATTAATGTCAGTCTATTGATACAATCAGAATCTTCGTCACATGCACCATTTATAATATTTCCATCTTTGTCAATAGTCAAATTTTCAAAACAGTCACATTCCATGAATTCATTATGTGAATTACCTAGTGATTTGTCCTGGTACGTGCATTTTGTTAATTCAACAAAAGTTCCTAATGCTTCTTGTGTTTTGTCTTCTACTCCAGGAAACAGCTGTGGATTGTTCGGTATTTTGGATGCCTTACTCATTAATCAATCTTTGTTTTTTATTTCAAAAATGTGGATTGTTAGATTTTAAATAAATACAATGCAATTGCACCGGCTAAGTATAGATGAAGTGATGAGATAATGAGAAGAGCGAACAAAATGAAATAAAATAAAATAAATTTTAGTGTTTATAGATTTTATGTTAATTGTAGTTCCTTGCTTCCTGAATTTTTGTAGAGTAATACAAACATTTCATAAGTCGAAAAGTATTGACTTTTAAAGTTTAGAAGATGTAAGTCGACATTTAATGTCATTGAAGATCAACAGTTCTTACTGTGTATTATTTCGATTTTTTTTTTTTTGTTTTTCTTGAAAACCTCTTTTCTTTTTATTAAATTTTCTAAATTTTATTTTTTTGTTTATTTTGATCCCATCGCATATCACTTGCAAAAATAAAATGATTTAAAAGAAAACTCACGCAAACATAAAAAAAAGTGACATAACATAAAAAAAAAGCTACAGAACCAATAAATTTATGTATTTTTTTTAAATAAAGTATATACAAATAAGAATTAAGAAAAGAATTAGAAGTAAACAAATCCAAATTACTATCTATTAGTATTAACTTTTTAAAATACCCAATTTTAATATGTCTACTAATTATTTAGTGCTTTTATTTTACTTTAAAAGTTTTTTTAAGAACTAAATCCAAACAAGTCCAATCTAAATACAGCTTATTTATTTTAAAGTTAATTAACTCCAAATAATATACAACTTTTATGGAATTGTTACATCTGTCCATACCATGAATATATATATTTATATATATATATATGTGTGTGTGTGTGTAATATGCAAGAAATTTATTCTATATGTAAATGAGCATATATATATATTTGAACAGAATTTTTACAATACATCATTCTTATGGCTTTTTCAATTGTAATTTTAAATAAAATTACAGTTCTAGTAAAGATATGACATAAAATACGTATACATAATATATACATACATATATATTTACACTCTCTATTGTCATAGTCAAACCCTAAACAAACTAATAAAAAAATAGACTAAGTCCATTCAATTATCCCAACTAAACCTGTTGGTACTTTTCTTTTACTCACCCATTCTTTATGGCTTTCGAATTCCCAACTGTACATTCACTACTTACGCAGTTTAATTCTAATACGTATAGACTAACCAACTGTAACAACGACACCAAGAAGAAAAAGGAAAAAACTAAGAGGAAAAAACGAAGATGGCAACACAAAACCCTACTTTTCCTCTTTCTCTGTTTCTTTAACAAAAACAGAAAAAAGGCCTTTTCGCCTATCCTCGCCCTCTCCACAGCAAAAAGGGAAAGGGGAAAAACTGAAAAATATAACACGGACGAATTGAAAGAAGAAGAAAAAACAAAATTATTGCCGGATGTATGGGTCTACACTGCTTTTGTCCAATCACAAATATTATTTCAAACTGAAAACTCTTTCGGAGTTAAAGCCGTAGAGACAAAGAGATGAAAAAAAAATCAAAACCATATTATACAGAAAATCAACCAGAGATATCTGACGATGAGAAAAGCAAGCAGAAATAGAGGGAAACAAACAATGTCAGGCCTAACAAAAGAAAAGAGAGAAAGAAAGATTATATGATATAGGGAGAAAAAAAAGGCACAGTTAATCCAGATATATATCAAAAGTAAGACAAAAAATTACTAGAAAGGCTTTGGATAAGTAGTAAATACATTTTCAAATAATTATTATATTCCTTTTCCTGCCATAAAAGCTCCCTTTGATTTAATCTAGACTTATTCGCAGGCATACTTTACTTATTTCTAATCGAAAAGCTACTTCAGGATAATCAGTTAACTCTAATCTGAAACTTTGAAGACTTACTTACATACACATATATCAAATAAATTTAAATACATACATACATCATAATGGGTGGTCCACAAGCAAAAGCATACATGGGATGGTGGGGTCATTTAGGTAGCCCAAAGCAAAAGGGTATTACCTCTTATGCTATATCGCCGTATGCCCAAAAACCACTGGCACATTCTTTTAAGAATGCCTACTCTAATTCATTTAGAAGATTCAAATCCCAATTCTTATTTGTTCTTATACCTGCTGGTATCTACTATTATTGGTGGAAGAATGGTGAAGCTTACAACGCTTATCTTTACTCTAAAGCTGGTAGAGAAGAATTAGAAAGAGTTAATAACTAAACTTCTATGAATCTCTTTTATGTATCTTTTAACTTCAACATATGTTTTACAGCTCTATGAAAGGTCAAAAGTTGAAAATTACATCTGAATTAATTATTTTTTTAACATTTCATATAGTTCATATGTTATCTTTACCTAGCTATCTTTCTATCTATCTACTTATTTCTCTCTCTTTCTTTCTGTATACATCTACTTATTTATATATTATTTAATATTTTATATTCATTTCTATACCTACTTATTCAGTTTTTTATTTTATTTTATTTTATTCTCTATATTATTCCTTGGCTTTTCAGTATTCAACGACCACGTTTATAACGTTTAAGTCTTTTCTCATCGTGAAACTGATACAGCACTCCATCCACCATCTCATTTATGTCCTTACCTAGTAATACTAGGTAATGCTTAGTCCATTTTATATATCCTTCACCATGTTATTACAATATTTTTAAATTGAAGATAAGTTTAGATACACACTACGCTATCAAAACAAAAAGGATACCATAATAAAGAATATAACAAAATGCATACTTTACAAATATATAGTCATAATCATTATATTTAAATTTTGTATGGGATACAACATCTGGTTCTCTTCATCCAAGATGACTGTAATATTTGATTGATAGATATACGCTTCTCTGGATTCCACTGGAATATCTTATACAATACCACCCTTCTCATTCTATTGATATCATGATTAATATGCCTTAACTCTTCAAATACATAGAACTCATTATCTTCAGTCATTTCTTCCATAAACGATTTGTAAAATGAATCCTTTTCTGGTAAGGCAATCTTCCATAGATATCGTCCTAATATCATAGTACAATAAACAACACCTATACTCCAACAGTCTGCCAATCTTGGATCATATTCCCTCCCTGATATAAACTCTTCTGGTGCTACATATGGTTCTGATCCCATGGCACCCTTTTGAAAATGTACATGTTTTTCCCATGCTGTTTGGAAAACACAACTTGTACCAAAATCTGCTATTTTTAGTAGTCCATTAGGGTGAAATAAAATATTTTCTGGTTTTAAATCACAATGTGCTATCCCTCTATCATGCATATATTTTATGCCGTGCAACAATTGTTTTAGAAAACAGTCAGCTTCCAATGGATGTAATGCTGTACCATTTTTATACTTCCTTGTTAACAAACTATATAGGTCACCTGAGGGACAAAATTCCATAACTTCAACAAATTTCTCATTAATCTCTAGTAAATCAATCACTTTGGATATGTTAGGTGAAATTCTATCACCTCTTTTATGTTGTCTACTTAAAGAATGACCAATAATAAATTCTGAGGTAATTTTAGTACTAAATTTTTCTATACTCTCATTAGGTCTTGGTTTTAAATGTTTTATTGCAAAATATAATTTCTCATCTTTGCTGAATGTTGGTAATGGACGTGGATCACTATCCTTTACTGGACGACAACAAACACTCACCACACCATACGAGCCGTGCCCAATTGTACCAATTAACTTACCGTATTCCTCTACAAATGGGATTTTAGTCACATCAGAATTAGACCTTGTACTACTAGGAGATAGTTCTCTTGCCTGTAAACTGGAATTTGACCTTTTATGTCTTATCTTGTCGCTACCATTATTGTTTTCATTACTACTTTTATATGCTTTGTTTAATCCTTCATGAATTTTTTCCGATAATGTGTTAATTAATTTCAATTCTTCGCAGCTAACAGCAGCTTTAGGATTAATGACATCAGGAATCCCACTATTTGAATCTCTTTTATTTTTTTCTGATGATTCCATACTATCATCTTCATCCTCATCTTCTAAACTACCTGAACTTGTATTTATTCGAGTATACATATTTTTTTTATGGCATGGGATCAATGAAATGGCACCCTCTAAATTTACACTGTCAGTAGATTCAGTAGCATCGGATAGTTCCAACTTAGAGTCCAAATTTTTATTTGATGCACCAACTTTAAAGAACCCAGAAAAAGAAAACATACCCTTAACCTTGTTAGTAGTACCACCATTATTTTCACATGACCCATTAACCAAACTAATAGTTTTCAAATTATGTTCATGTGTACCATTAGAGTAAACTTTGAAGTTGTCTGTTTGTAAAATGCAAGTAATATCTGATGTCGGGAGCGATTGATGATTAGATGATTGTGGGCTTGAGCTACGATGGTAACGAGATAAGCCTGATGCACTGATGGTTCCTGCGTGTGTTCTACCTCTTAACAACTTTGAATCATTAGTTGTTTGATAAGCACTAGTTGAAGAACTGCCAATGGAGGAAGACGCCGAATTAATTTTCTTTAACGATCTGGATCTTAAAGGTTTCCCTGTTTTATCCATATTGTCTAATAGACCATCTATAGTAAATCTTGCCTGTTGAGATGAGGATACTGGTGCTAAATCTATAGACGAGGAATTGTCAGATTTCGGTTCATTACTATTTGAGTCGGTAATAATATCATCCATGTCCTCTTCACTTAAGATACTATCATGTGAATAAAGAAGATGTGAAGGGATCTGGGACAATGATAATTTTTCAATATTAGGTAGATGGATGGGGCTCAACGGAGAATTTACAACTGAAATGCTTGGATTGCCTGAACTACTGTTATGTCTACCACGTTGAACGACATTAACTTTAGATAGTTTTGGTGTCTGCAATGGTGAAATCTCACTATCAATTGACACAGGACTTGCAATGCTACAATGTGAGTTGACAAAGCCACCTGATAGCTTTGCCATTGCACTCTGTGGTAACGGAGAATGGATGTTTGCGGTGCTTGAATTATTGTTTCTGGAATTTTGTAATTCGATTGCTTTAGCTTGTGAAATTCTACTTAACTTTGATTCGTTTAATGACTTCCTTCGCCCTGAGTTATCTGTGGTTTTTATCGGGGCCAACACAGGTGATGTAGTTTTTGATTTGACATTCTTCCTTTCACCATCATTATTATTACTATTATTATTACTATAACCATCACCATAATAAGTATTCTTAATATTATGATTTGTGTATATGTTTTTAGTGTGATCCGCTTTGGTATGGTTTATCTGACTTGCATTTGAACTTCCCGACTTGAAAAGACTTTTCAAGGACAACGAAATGGACCTTGCTCTTTTAAGAGATGAGTGACGAGATGTATGGTTCTCATCAGAAATAGACATCGCTATATTAGTTGGTTAATTGTTATCAATATTATTACTATTATGCTAATATGCAAAGAATTGTATGAAACGGCAAAAATAAATAGAGAAATAAATAAATATTACAGGATGACAAAATATTTATGTCAGTATTTGGATCAATATACTACTATTTGAGGTCTCCAACAATATATTTAATGGTAGAATGAAATGATCTAAAAAAAAAAGAAGAAAAGAAAAAAGATAATAGTGTCCTTGTCTCTTTCTTAATTTTTCAATTAGTGAAAGAAAATACTTTGAAGCTCTATTAACTGTAATTTGATTTTATTATTCGTATGGAATAATTTTATATTTATCACTAGATACTTTCTATCTTAGTAAAAAAAAGTTAGAGGATAAAATAGGTCAAAAATTCTACTCAAGAATAACTCAGTATGAATAAAAGTAGCTACTTCAACGATATACTCTCCTCCCAGATCGAAATCCTTAAAAATAAAAAGATCAGTTATTATGTAATTTTCTTATTTCTACGTTTTGTTTTTTCTTTTTTTTTTTTTTTTGATCGAATTTGAATTTCTTTTATTTCTCCTTTGCAAAAGGGCAAAAGAGAAAAAAAGTTAAAAGTTTACCAAAACGGATAAAAAACAAGGCTGAAAAAAAAAGAAATACACAAAGCAATCTATTTTTTTTTTCAGTAAGATTATTGAAAAATAAGTCCTCCTTTTTGAAAGCTCTATTTTTTCACAGACATCAATCTTTGAACACAGAAACAGAAATAGACATACGAAAATATCCTTTTCTTTCTACTCACCTGCTAAATGTTCAAAATATTACTAGACTTCAAGAAAAAAGACATAGGGACACTAATTATAAGTACGCTTTCTGCATGAATTTCCCATAAATTCGCAAAAAAATGAACATACAAAAAAACATGTTACTGTTATCTTAGTAGCATTTATTGAGTTTCAGTTGTCTATAGAATCCATGTAAATGGACGGTTCCAGGCTGCCTTTCAAAAACCCTAACTATAAATGAATACAGCAGTTGGGAAAAGGCCAAAACATTGTTTACTGCCTGACCTTTTTTAACCTGCTGCTCTTTGTCCTTAGATATTTTTTGTTAGAAACTGTCATTTTCCTAACCTTGCCGTGAGCGTTTAGATATTTATTTTGAAAGACTTAGTACAGTTTGACAATATCTTCTCAAAAACTTGTTAATGAACCAGTCTTGTCTATAATTCATATTTATAAACTTAAATGTGTAACAATATAATGCCAATAGATTTTATAAGTAAGCCACAAAAAAAAAACCCTGAAAAGCAACAAATAATATTACTTAAACCTTTCTTGATATCATAATTAAATATCAAATAACAAGGCGGAAGGTTTCATTACTTCCTTGTTATATAATTACTAACATAAATTGTACATACATTTTAATTCGTAAATCATAATCTTGGTGTTTCTACTCTCTTACCTCTCAACACAATGATTACTGGCAATTTTCAATAATTATTTTAACTGCGTGCAACAAATTCTTTATTAATAAAACAAATACCTCCTTTCCTTCTTTTTTTTTTTTTTAATTTCTTTTTTTCTTCAATAAATTTTACTTCAATGATTGTCCATCAAATATGTATAAATTTATATATGGTAAATATAAACTTCCACTATATTTTGGTTGTAACACTCTGTCCTTAACAGTTCCCCATAAAGCGTCAGCAAGTCTATCTCAATTTAAATGAAGTTAACAAATAGTTAAGGAAGGAAAATCTTTTTCACGTTTCATTTAAGTATGTCGTTGACATGTAAAAAATAAGACAACACAATTTGGTAAGTCTACAGGGTATTTAATATAATGTTTGTAACGAATATACCTCTACTGTGTCATCTTACAAATGATAGGCTGTTATTATGGAACACTTAAACCTTGTTTCTATGTTATCTTAACATTTTGTCTTTTGTTTTTAAGAATTCTCTTGAATTTATCTATAGTTATTTGAGTTCATGAGTCATCATTAAACAATGATTCTTTTTATATATTTTTCTATCACTCTAAATTCTCATTTTAAACTAAATAGCCTTATATGATATAGGATGCTCCCCCCCTATTTCTTTCTTTCCTTCTTTCTTTCTTTCGTTCATTCTTTTCATAAATCGTTGATTTAAAATCCCACAAATAAGGAAGCATATGGATCCTCACCTTGTATACCATAGTCAACTTCTTCTTCTGGGTATCTGTCAAACTGAGAAGTATCACCACGACCTTGTTGAATCGGAGGTTCATATGGTGTCTCAATATTTCTTGTTAACAGTTTTTCCCAGACTACTTCACTAAACCATCGATGGTTTTTCACATCCTCAGTTCCATTTTGCAAATTACCCAATCTTTGACTCAAATCCCTATTGATTAACCCCATCAATAAGTCCTTTACATCCTCATTAAAGAATGGTGGAAATCTTAATTTAGCATTAAGAATATTTTCATATGTTTTCATTGCATTTGAATCATAAAATGGTGTATGGCCTGCTAACATTTCATATATTAGAATACCAAAAGACCACCAGTCCACAGACTTATTATATGGCTTTGTTCCAACCACCTCTGGTGCAATGTAGTCAGGAGTACCACAAAGTGTATACGTCACATCGGGAACATATTTTGCAAATCCAAAATCTGTCATTTTAATATGTCCATTCTTGTCCAATAAAATATTTTCTGGTTTTAAATCTCTATATATTATATCTTTACTATGCAAATATTCCAATGCTAAACAAACTTCTGCAGCATAAAATTTAGCCACTGGGTTTGGAAACCTTTGAGACTTTCTTAATAACGAGAACAATTCACCACCTTCTATAAAATCCATTACCATGAATACCTGTCTTGAATCTTGAAAGGTCCCCCACATTCTAATTAAAAAGGGATGTGATATTACTGAAAGCATCAATCTTTCATCATTTGTATGTTCCACCTGTTTCAATTTAACAATTATTCTTTTTTTTAGTGCTTTTAATGCGTAGAACCTACCGTTATGATTTGATCTAACCAAATGAACACGACCAAAGGAGCCTGTTCCTAGAGTTTGCATGATTTTAAAATCATCCAATGTATATTTCCCAGCAGTGGGTCTACCAACTAAATTTGGTTGGTACCGTCTTTGTCGTTGTAATGCGTTCATTTGCTCCACAGTTAGTTGCTCATGCTGTACAGGCAGCTTGCTATGTGTGTAATCCTGTATATTGCTAGACATATGTGACGTATCGTGATCAGTTGTGTTACATTGGGTCTCCATTTCTGCGTTTTGAACTGTATTTATCATATTATTATTTTCATTCTTTTCATATATACTTGTATCTTTTTGCTCATTTAGCTGTTCTGCTTGTATTAACATCCCTTCCAGGCTTCCTCTTTTATTGTGATCTATTTCAAGTAACAAATAGTGAAAACAACAACAACAATAAAGAAATAATTCCCAGCTGTCTTTATACGTTTAAGTCGATAAATAGATACGTTTTTCTCTTTTTTTTTTTTTTTTTTTTTTTTTTTTTTTTAACTCAATGAAGGTGTAGATCAGATCTCTATATCACAGACAAACTTGTTAACGAGTCTTGTCACAATAAATGTTGTATCACAGATTTAAAACCTTAAAAAAGCAAAAAAAAAAAACAAATAAAAACAAGGATAACGAAAAACTGAAGTATCTCCTTCAAACTAATAAGTCTATAGCAGTTTGCGTTTTAAGCTCCTAAATGAGAAACAAACAAATAGAGATGGAGAGAGAGGGAGAGAAAAAAAAAACAACAACAACAAAAACCGATGTGTTAAAAAAAAATCCCTTTTACTGAATCTCAAATAGGTGAACAAACTTAGCTATCATCTATTAAGACAGAACAAAAACCGAATATAATTTCAGTACTAAGGGTTTCAACGAAAAAGTAATATAAAAACACAAAATAAGACAATGCTGCTATGGTATACAAGACATTTTTGTTTATAAAAAATAAAATATGAAATAAAATAAAATAAAACAAAACAAAAAACGGGAAAACCTCTTGCAGGAAATATAATTTCATCGAATCATCATTGTACCTCATTGCTGATGAAAGGAAATATATAAGAATAGAAAGCATCAATAAATAATAGACCCACAAAAGATTTTTTTTGTAGTTGGCACTGATGATGTCACCATGGCATGCAGAGAGAGAAATAAAGTCGCATGACGAAATTTTTTGTTTTTATTTTTTTTTTTTTTGTTGTTTATTTTTTTTTTTTTATAGTGTCGGTCCGGATTCGTCTCACTCTAGAGAAATGTGGGGTAGTAAAGAAAGACTTTCAGTATGATAAATTGTGGATAATTATTTAACAGGAGCCAGAATGTTGTGCCGATTTTGTGTAATTTACCTTTTTTCTTTATTTTTTGCAAGAGGTGTGGTTTGATGGAAAAAAACAATAGTCTGTTGTCACAACACGATAGCCTTCAATAACAAAAAAAAAAGTACTTTTTCCCTAAAATGGCCACTTGGTGGTCTGCATGAAAAATTTTATCAAATTTAAAATTGGTAAATAAATAAATAAATAGATAAACAAACAAATTACCAAGGACTTTTTACCAGGATAATAAATCCAAAAAAAAACTTGTAATTGTTAGGCTATATGAAGAGATAGTTACGTTGGAAATATCTGTTACATACATTCCATAAGATTTAGCATCTACTTACAGTCCTTTTATCCCTTTAAATAATTGCTTGAATGAGTTAAATTTCCTTATCTTTGGAAAACATTCCTCTGTATATGCTGCTATATTTATTAAGTCATTAGAATAAAAACATGTATTTATCTGAAACTGTAATAGCTTCATTTATTTCTTGACCATTGTTAACATCATGATTTGAATCAGATGAATTATCATTACCCCCACGCCTCCACGTTTCCAATGAAATGATAGAGATTTATCTTCATGTACTTTTTTGTGTTTTGTGTTTTGCGCTTTTTTTTTTTTGGTTAATTTTTATTCTACTTTGCAATGTTTTAAACTGATTCAAAATATGACAAGACTCTCACTATTTCTTTATTATGATACCTGTTTTTCAATGTCCTCGTAGTTTATTATCTTACTGAGCAGTAATAGGATACATACTCTTCTCTCCAATATATAAATGGATTCATTTTTATTATTTCTATTTATCCTAATGCAGTCATGTCTCAATCAATCATTTACCGATAAAGAAAAAAAATCAATATCACAATTTTGTTGTAATTTAACTTTCTCAGATTACATACTCCTTGTAAATACTTTGTTTGTTCACAAATAGAAGCAACTTACTCGCCCATACATGTAAAATGGATTACAACTTTTCATAACTATTTGACATGATATTTTAAGAATACACACCATATAACAACCAGTAATACTTTTTAAAATAAGGTGGTCAAATAAATTGGTTTAGGTTAATATTATTCATCAAATGTTTATGGTTTAATATCTTTGCTTCTAAAAGAATATGGTCTTTTCTTGTTTAGAAAACAATCAAATCTATAAAAATAAACTTAAACTATAACCAACCACTGCTGAAATCCAAATATCTTTGGGTTCTTAATTAGAATATATATTATTAAACACTGTTGGTATTCATTCTTGATAGTGATATAAGTACTTGTGGACGTGACCCAATATATTAACACATATATTCAGAAAAATATTCTTTAAACTTAACAGTAAAAAGCTTGCAGGACAATACAATACAAGAGTATGCAATCGAAAGTAAAAAACAATACACATTTTCTATCATTAAATACGGTTTTTCGATTTGATAAAAAACCCTAACAATTCTTGAATTGTTCAGTATAGCAAAAAAAAGCCCTCTCAGCTGAATGATAATGAAAACCCTAATACAACCTACTGCATCGAAAAACCCTCATAAATAAATTATATAAATGTATTTAATTACGTATCAATGTTAATTATTAATAATATTCTGTATTTATACATACATTTTGCAAGAACATTTAAGTTAATAGGTAACGCTCCATATTTTAAAATATATATTTCGGATAAATTTAATAAAAATACCAAGATAATATCTCGAGAAACTCTTCAGTTTCATACAATACAAACCAGTCATATATAGAATCTTTGTATTAAACAAAGCCAGATATTCAAAGCTACTGTATATAAATATAATAAAACTATGAGTTTCTTTATGATGGAGTCACCATTTTTTTTATGATAGATTAAAACACCTATATAGGAAACATAAAGTAGTAAACCGCTACATGAATAAGTACGTACCATTCGGCTTAAAATGTAAAATAATGCTATCTGGATTTAGAAAATATCTTTTTTTTTTCTTCAAGTATAACCATGTACAGGGCTGCTGTGCTTCCCTTTGAAGAATCACCTTGGGGACGTTAAAAAATATCTAAAAGAAAAATTGTATGGTAGACATCAATATGAGAGCATAAATAGAAAAATTAGTTCAGACTATTCTACGTAATTTTTTTTTTGTTTTTCTGACGAAAAATTTATTAACTATTATGCTTTTCTCACTTGTTTTTGCCAGCTCAGAAGAATAGCGTTGCCTACAGATAAGAAACTCCAACTTGGGTATTCATTTCGTATTCTAGTAAATATCGATCAAATTCTTGCTGGTGTAAGCGGTGTAGAAAAAAAAGAAACTACACTGTAAACAAATTCCGTTGATTAAAACTACTGAAACCAGAACAGGTAAGCAAATGGCCCGCCTTGCTGAACTCCTTTAGGAAATACCTTTTTTTGTTTTTTTTTTTTTTTAAAAAAGGCTTAGGAAAAAGAAATATTTTCCTATATTCCCAAAAAAAACACATGCTGCCATATGCCTTCCTAAAACGGTTAAACAATATGGCCAAAAATAAATCTTATTCCCCCGTTTTGTCTGAAAGGGGAAATCATATTCAGATCTTAAACCTTTCGTTTCTTTATATTTCTTTAGAGCTGGGTCCAATTTAGGAAGCATAGTAAACATGTTTATTTAGAGATATGGGGTTTTACTTTTGAAAAACGGAGATTGAAACTTGCTGGTATTAAGCTTGGTTGCTTGACAGTATTCAGTTCAAAAAAATATTCACAATTTTCCTTTTACTCCATCAAGTTTGAAAATGTAACTATATATATAGCTATGGATTCATTTTCGATCAAGTGTAAAGCCGTTTCTTAGCAGTTATGTTTTTCCACATATTCTCTAATCAAGTCCAAAAGAAACCATCCATTTGACTAAATTCGTAACTGAAGCCTATATAGCGCAAAAGCATTCACATTAATATTATATTAAAAAAAAATGCAATTCAAGAAATTTTCCTTAACTGTCTTAGCCACTTTAACTGTTGCCAATTCTGCTGCTGTCACTACTACTAAATCTACTTCTTCTGTTTCCGGTTATGTAGCTGGTGAACCATATTCTACTTTAACTCCATCTGGTACCTGGTCATGTGGTATAACTAACTTTACTTCTACCTTTGGTATTGCTGTTCAAGCCATTACTGATAGCGCTATATTATCATCTGTTTCCGCTAAACCTGTCCAAACTGGCCAACCAACCACTACATCTTCTGCCTCTACCACCACTTTATCCCCATCATCTTCCACATCTTCTATTTGTACAGCTACTTCTACATTTGCCCCAAGTGCAGTCTCCTGTTCCAATGATGGGACTTTACAATTAACTTTGCATAAAGGTATTCTAACCGATGAAAAGGGAAGAATTGGCTCCATTGTTTCTAACAGACAATTCCAATTTGATGGTCCAACCCCACAAGCTGGTGCCATTTATGCTGCAGGTTGGTCTATTACTGAAGACGGTTACTTGGCTTTAGGTGACAGTGATATCTTCTACCAATGTCTTTCTGGTAACTTCTACAACTTATATGATGAAAAGATTGCAGAACAATGTTCTCCAATTCACTTAGAAATTGTTAGTTTAGTTAAATGTTAAGCCAATGAGTTTTTGTGTTCGTTTGTTTAATTAAGCTAAATTGTATTATGTATTCTTATATATGTATTTGATAAAGTAATTCCGATAATTTAATGATAAAGTAATTAAAGTTTTTGCACTTTCTGTCCCATTTTGACTGTATGTATTATCTTTAACAAGAAATTGTGGCAAGTGGGGAATATAGTTCTTGTATTTTCTACCATTCTGAGCGGTAATTAATGGGTAATGCTGTTTTAATTACGTTTAATTTTTCGAAAAGAAAAGGATAAAATTGAAATTAATCACATATTATATTTCATTATGCTACCTCGAGCTCCGAAGGAAACTAACTTTTTTAATACTTAAAGAATTACTAAAAATATATATATCTATATATTGAAAAAATCTGGTTTGTACACTTGGTAAATTACTGGCACATAATAACTAATCACAATTATTTTCTAGAAATAACATATATATAATACTCCTGGTCAACCCAAACAAATATGAAGATATATGTCTACAATAATTTTTCTTCTTCATTAATAGATATCTTGACTAAAGAAGTCACAATCTCAAGAATAACCCTATTTAAATAAACCACTTAAAAGTAAAAAAGGTTTCAGATGAAAGTAATTCATCTAAAACACTAAAAATATTTAACAAAGAAAATAAGCACATGTTAATATATATGCTGAAACACAGGCAGAAGAATGATCTTTTTTAAATTTTTTTGATTATATTAATTTCACCTTTACTTCCCATGCTCCTTTGGAAAAAAGGCTCATTCTAATGTTAAATCTAATTTTAATACCTTGGAGAAAACATAAATTAAAATTTAAAGAAGATAATATTATTAAACTTTATCTAAGTCATAACGACATATTCAAAAAACATAATAGCGAAGGAAACCTTTTACACTACCACAAAACTAAAGCTTAAAACGACCTTCCTACAAAAAAAAGTTTCGGCAAATTTCATGAATAGATGTGCATTGTAATAGACCAGGATTACCAAAAAAAGGATACTTATTTTCTTTTTTTGATTATTCCTTTTTACTGGAATAATTCTTCATTAACAAAGAAACGTTCATGTATTGTCATTAGTAAACTGTATAAAACCTATAAAATGTATATCTGATAAAATGTATGTTTATGTAATGTACAGAAATAAATGTAATGATGTCTTTTAAAACTGAAAGAAAAAAAACTTATAATTACTTTACCTCTTTTATTTTTATTCTCAAAACATCAATAGAATATATCAAAAGATTAACCAATAGTTAAATGCAATCCCAATAAATAAACAAATAATGCAAATATGGATCAATTAAACCTAACAAGAAACTAAATCGACGACTTCCAACCGGATTTGGCCACATTGGCCTCCAATACTTTCATCATATAAGTTGTAGAAGTTACCAGAAAGACATTGGTAGAAGATATCACTGTCACCTAAAGCCAAGTAACCGTCTTCAGTAATAGACCAACCTGCAGCATAAATGGCACCAGCTTGTGGTGGAGGTCCATCAAATTGGAATTGTCTGTTAGAAACAATGGAGCCAATTCTTCCCTTTTCATCGGTTAGAATGCCTTTATGCAAAGTTAATTGTAAAGTACCATCTGTCTTACATGAAACTCTATCGACTGGATCGTTAGAAGCTGTGGAAGTAGAAATAGAGGATGCAGAGGCAGTTGTAGTAGTAGTAGCTTGAACTTGACCGTCACCAATTTGGGACACAGCAGTAACAGTGAATTCGGATTTTGAAGAGGTAGTAGTAGTAGCTTGGATTTGGCCATCACCGATTTGGGAAACAACAGCTGCAGTAGTAGTTTTGGATGCAGTCTTCACCTTGGACGAAATAGAGCTTACGGTACTAGTAGTTGCTTGAATTTGACCGTCACCAATTTGAGAAATAACATCTCTTTTAGCCTTTGAGGAAGATAGTGGCATAACAGCAATGCCAAAAGTTGTGTGATAATCAGTGACGGCATCCTTATAAGTAGCAGTTGGAGTCAAAGTAGTCCATGGCTCAGAAGGAGCATAAGCAGCGAGAGCAACGGAACCCAAAGTTAAAGCATAGACTTTATTTTTGATCTGCATAGTTCTGTGTATATTTTCTTTTTAATGTCTTAGAGTTGTAAATTCCAACGAAATAAAAACTGGTCAACTGTTCGGTTGTTTAGCTAACTATTCTATTAACAAGAGGCAAACAATGTGAACTGCAAAATGGCTTGCGTAAAAGTCTCTAATGAAATCCTTGTTTATATATAATCAAAAGGAATAAGTTATTTCAGGAATTAATTATATCTTCTAGCCCCAATAATTAGGCACAAAATGACAGTAAATGACACTATATAGCATAAACAGATGCGAAATTACTTTTTTCATTGGATTTGACTATATTAAAACTATAGGTTTAGTGAAAATTCATTATTAATGTGTGTGCCTATCGAGAAGAATAGTTTCAATTTTCGCATCATTCTGTAAATACACTTTCTCATTACGTAAATCGTTTTGGTAGAGAACACATTATCTATTGTATTACAACTTCGAAGTTTAATCAGCCACGAAATTTTGAATCGAAAAAGAAACAAAAGAAGGCTTTTCGCGAGCCAAAATTGCCTAAACAGGAAACGTTATTGATGTTTATTTCTTGCGGGCCAGATTTCCTAACAAAAGTAATAAAGTAAATAAAGTTCTTAAAAGAAAAATAAAAGCTCTGCTTAACGCGTTAGACTATTTTTTTTATTTTATTTTTTTTTAAGCTATACAAAGCAGATACATTATTAATTGATGCTTTGCAATATTAATAAAAAATACGCACTCAGCGAATATGTTCATTATCAAGCAGTAAAGTCTTGCAAGCACAAGAATTGCTCTTTAGGATAAGTATTAGGTTAATAATACTAAAAGTTTGATGTTCTCTAAAAGTATTGATATGATAGCCTCAGTAAAAAAGTTGATGCACAGTATTAATTCTTTTAAGTATATATTTTTTTTCGCGTTTTCATAAACTCTAGCTTAGACGAAATATAAATTTCTTTGAGGTTTCCATAATTTTAATACCTCGTCTTATTTTACTCTATTCTATAAGGAAATTACTCTCGATGGGATTTTCTTGATTTCATCCATCATATCCATCATTTATTTTTTTTTTTTTCAGACATTTCTTTTCTTTTTTTGGTTTCAATTATTAATTAAATCATTAAGTCCAGACCTAGGCTATCTTGAGTAACTAGGCCTTATCAGTTACTTTCTTTTGTATTATTACATAGATAGTAATAAGCCCCACTAAACATTTGTTATTAAGCAAATGTTTATTGTGACATAATATATTGAATTAAGTAAAATAATATACTGTTTTAATAGATTCATATGATAGATTGTATATATCTATGCTTATTCAAGATTTCTCAATACACAAATTGTAGTATAATTTTAAATTGTTTTTAAGTTTATAGAGTTTTAAAAGAATAATTGCTTTATTACCCTGTATATATCTTGTAAAAAAAAAGTCATTTATTTTATTTCACCACATACTTTTATGTCCAAGAACATAGATAATAATTATTATTATTTGATTCATTTTTATTAATCATGACATTTCTTTATCTCTCTAAAGAAACAAGAGAAAAACATTTATTAGAAAAAATGCATACAAAAACCTGTAATTTGAACAAGTTTGCTTAGTAAAATAATCTACAAGATTGCTAGTTGTATTTTATTCATATATTAAAAGTTGCATCTACGGATTTTTAGAGTACAGAGTATTTTTATTTACTTTAGTAATAATTTCTTGTCCTGTAATTTTTGTCATTTTTTTCATATTTTTTTGTCATCTTTTATCATGGTGACACAAATATTTTTTTTGTTAAATCATTCATTTAGTAGTTTTAACTTTAATTGGGTTACAAAATAGACTATATATATTAACTTAAAAATAATTGTAGTAACAATATTACAAAAAAGATAAAACTATCTCACAAAAAGCTCAATTTAGTAATGTACTCACAATTTATTTTCCATTTAATAGCAACTATATTTTTGGTAAAGGCCATATATTTACCATCAGAACCTTGGGTCACTTTAACACCAACAAAAACTTGTCAAAATGGATTAAAGGATTATGCAACAGATTTTGGAATTATCATTAATTCGTTTGTACAAAATTCAGAATCAACTCTTCCCTGCAACTCCGTTGCAACACAAACCTTTCATTATGTCACTCTAGTGAACCAAATTCCAGATGGACAAATTCATTGTACCAAAGATATAACCACACCGGTATTACAAATAAAAGATGGACAAATTCAAGCATTTACTGCAATACAAAATTCCAACGTAGAGACATCAACTGAAAATAAGGGTAGAAAATCTTTTTATATGAAAACTATGGACAAGACCTGTAAAACAGATAGTATATTAACATTAAAACTAGATAATGGTGTTTTAACTGATCATATAGGGAGAATCGGTTCCATTGTCTCTAATAGACAATTCCAATTTGATGGACCTCCACCACAAGCTGGTGCCATTTATGCTGCAGGTTGGTCTATTACTAAAGATGGTTACTTGGCTTTAGGTGACAGTGATATCTTCTACCAATGCCTTTCCGGTAATTTCTATAACTTATATGATGAAAGTATTGGAGGTCAATGCTCCCAAATACATCTCCAAATTACTAATCTTATTACTTGTTAAATTTTCAGAATGATCTCTTATTTCAAGCTTTTCTCTACTAGTCTTGATATGCTAAGGATTGCTATTTTTGTATAATTTTATATATAATTTTCACTGAAAAAATAAAATTTATATCTTAAAGTCTATCAAAGGATCGTTTAGATTTTTTATTACCAGATTTCTTTAATGACCCAATGGTATATATTTTCTCAGTAGAGATTAAAAAACGTATGATTATAGATGATTTCACTGAACTTTTTTTCTTTATTTTGGATCACATTTACAGCTACCAAAAATGGTAAAATATGAAATATCTGAAAAAAAATAACATAAAATGATATAAAAGTGATCCTTGAGTTACACTATATATTATAGAGAAAATCCCATTACAGTTTTTAGAGATGCAGTACAATATCAGTTACCCTGAAGGGATAAATAGAGGATATTTCATTTTGTTAGATTGAACATGTTATAAGAGATGGAATTAGATCAAACGACGTTTTATTCTATTTTAGGTCTATCGTCCAATGCCACTGCAACTGAAATTTCAAAGTCATATAAAAAACTTGCAAGAAAGTTCCATCCAGATAAATCAAAATTGAATAATACAGAAACAATATTTAAAATTATCGTAGAAGCATATGCTATTCTATCTAATGAAGAATTGAAATCAAAATACGATAAGGAATTAATGCTTAGTGGACTATATGAATACAGTCCAAAAGATAAAGTTCCTTTGAATAACCCATTTAATGCTCCTGTTTATCATAGAAGAGGCATGCCATATGAACAACAACCCTATGGATTTGGATTTGAAACCAAGAAATATGATGATATGGAGAGAACAAGGACTGATAAAACAGCCTTTAAGCAACCATCTTCTAATAAACTTAAATCATTTAATATTAAGACGTATCAAAGAAGTCAAAAACGATATTCGAATGATATGAATTTAAATACTAAAATTAATGAAAAAAATAATTTTGGTATCAGTAAAAATGAAAAACAAAATAACACTTTTATTAACAGTGGACATGACGATGTTAATATAGATATTCAACCAAATTTTCCATCAAATGCTAATATAAATAAAGACTTCAATCATGCAGAGTCAGATTATAATTTGAACTATAAAGATTCAGGGAAAAAACATATTGAAACAAATTTCGAAACAACCGATAACCTTAGGGGTGAAAAACAAGCTACTTTTGATAACAAATCCTTTTCTAAAAAACAGGAGCGTAGTTTCAGTGTTAGTAATGAAGAAGGAAATATCAAGGACATTAAAGAATCACGTTCAAAACTTCATAAACTTGAGCATCCTAACAGAGAATCCACCCATTCAGAACAACCATTACCAAATTGGGATTATGCTCAACGTCAACGTTTTCGAACAAAACAAAAGAATAAGGAATCACTGAGAAGATCTACATCACCAATAAAGATGGCTTTTACAAATGATAATATTAGTATCAATGATGAGTGGAACAACAACATTCGTGAAATTATTGAAAAGATGAAAAATATAGATCAGACAACGGCAAAAGCTACAGATGCCACTAACATTAATACAAAAAGAAGAGAGGATTTTGCATTTGATTTGGGCAAAATTGATGAATCTCTGGAATCTATCCCAATACCCTCACCAAAAAGATCTAAAACGATGGGGAATAATTCATTCCTACATAAACCAGTTAATATCACATTACCCCGAATATATAAAAAAGAAATAATTCAAGAAGAAGAGACTTTTATAAATTTAGAAATCTTGAAAAGAGAATCACCAAAATTACCCAATTTTCAAATCGACTTATCTAATCCATTGGAATTAGAGAATTGTAAAGAAGATATTAGTAGGTTTATCACAGATTGTAACATTTTGAAAAGAGATATAATGTCAATATATATGAATAGACTAATGTTTGATATGGAAAATAAAGAAAGGTTACTCAGAATTGAAAATATTGGCACATGGTTAAAATGTCGTCAATATGATTCAGAGTTGGCAAATAAGATACAAGAACTGGAATATAAGCAAAGCATGATAATACATGCATTTAATAATATGATTTCAGGCATATATTCATCAAAACCTACATGGTATTCATAAACCAAAATTATTCTTTTTAGAGTGAAAGAAATAGAAAAATAAAATTAAAAAATAAAGATAAAATTAAACAAGCGTGATTTAATGATACATACTAATGTGTGTCAAAGGTATTTGATAGTCACAGTATTTGTTCTTCATGTATTGATAAAATATACTCTAAGATTTTTAATGTGGAATTAGAATAGTCTTAAAGATCTGTTAATAATTCGTATATGCATTAATATTAATGGCACAATATTAATTTTCAGAACAAAACACTCTTACGGATACAAACATTACGTCGAATAAAGACCTGTATATATAACTGCTAAATTATTGGTGGAATTGCACTACAATAATACTTTAATGTTATCTTGTTCAGACATTTTACCTACTCTCCAGAAATAGAAAGTCCTAGATAGTTAGTCCTATGAACTAGAAAGCAGCTTCACTTGATAACAAACATGAATATCATAGGTAAATAATGATAACTTTAATAAAAACTAGAGGTATATTAAAACAAAACTTTTATGTTTCGAACACTAATTTTCTTTCTTATTGGTTCATTAATGTTACTAAAGTTCTTTTCTTAATAAAGGAACTGTTCTTGCAAAATTATTACCTTTATCCTTTTCTTCCCAAGTAACTTCACATCTTGATGCTGTTGTTAAAATATCCAACATTTCACAATTGTTAAGAACAACTTCCTTAACATCATTTATATGCCCAACATAAATATCTTCTTCTTTAATATTTACTCTAATATTATAATATTTTAAATGATGCAAGTCATCTACTACTTTTTTTACAGGATTTTGACAGTCATACAAATAATATTCACTTATAGAAAAGCGGTACTTGTTAAATATAGTATCTTGAAGTTTGCTATTGAGCATCAATTTACTTAAATCAGTTTCCATATCTTCAAGTTGACTTAAATAAAGAATATGATTTTGGAAAGTCATAGATTCATTTTCCGGAAGTGTGCTAATTAACTTAAAACACGTTTGTAAAATGATCTCTAATTCCCTGTTTTCTCCGTAATAAATCTCTTCTTGATAATCACTAACTTTCAAATCATCAATAATAGATGTCCATCCATCCCATGATTTATTTATCATCCCCACATAAGTACTAGAAAAAGGAGTTCCACCGCTTTCATCATTGGGACTAATTGTAACTAAACCAAGCATATCAATTTCTGATAAGCTATTAACAATTTTATGTATTATTGTCACCAACCTATCCCTATATAAATGAGGATCTTTAGTTGAGATTGTACACAAATTTAAACAAAGTATTAATCTTATAGGAGAATCTTTCTTTAATAACCACGGAACATTTACATTATTTTGTAGATCTGCATATCCTTGTATTTTATATTTTAATAAATCAGGTAATATAAATAATGCCGTAGTTGTGAGATGATTCAAAGAATTAGTAAATGGATTTTCCTGGTTCTGCAAATAATACTTCCATTTCTTCGTTAGATAACCTGAATTAAATTTAAGAAAAATTTCAGGCATTTTTCTTGATTTTGTAACAATAATTAGAACAGAATCATTTAATATATGAACACGTGTAATATCAATACAAGAGACCTCACCAACAACCTTATTCATAACAATATTAAATAATATTATAACATCATCAACATAAAATAATAAAATATTCTCATGCCAAATATTATTATCTGTAGAGTAAGTGACCGTATCAAATAGTTTTAATTCATTTAGTGTTTTGCTTCCAATTAATGACTCTAGTAAAATCTCCTCTCTAATAAACTGTATTATTTCAGAATAAATTACATTTATTTCCCTTTCTTTTAACTTATTTGTTGAAACCTCAGATGCAGCACATGTATCAATCTCATTACATTCAAATTTAACTTCAATCACAACTCTATCATTTCTTTCACACCATGTTACAACCGGTGATATTTTTTCTAAGCAACTTGATTCAGAAGTTGTAGAAGGAGACATAGAATGAAATAATGACAACGTTTCACTACCTGAGGATAAACATACTAATGATTCATTGCTATCTGATGTTTTATTACCTAACTCATTTTGAAATCCATTGGAAGAAATGTCTGCACTTTTAATCAACTGATCAAGAGGTGTATAACTTTTAAAACTAGAATCTACAATTTTTGCTGATTTTAATTCAAAATATTGTGGATAAGGCCTTGCAAATACCTCACTTTGATCTGAAACTGAAATTTTAGTCGAAGGTGCAGCTTTAGAAGATGGTATCAGAGTTCTTTTCTTTGTCTGAGTTAACAATGTAGAAGCCAATAAATTCATTAATTCAGAATCCTTAGGCGATATTTCCACATTACAAACTCCACATATTGGCAACATATTATAATTTAAACCAGAATCATAAAGGGTCAAATAACAATTAAAATGTGTCAAATGAGAACATGATAACTCGACAATTTTTTCACCCATGAAATTATGTGCTATAGCTTCCTTACAAATACAACACTCTTCTCTACTATATTTCTTAAAATATTTACCAGTGTTAATATTTGATAAAGGGGTCTTTTTCGAATGATGTGATAAAATATCGTTATATTCAATATAATTAGTCTTTAAAGATTGTTGATTTTCTATCGTAGGCGAATCAAATGCGTCATATAGTAAATTTGTTAAATTTTTAGGTTTATTATAATTAGTACCTTGTAATATCACGGGCGAAGACAAATGTATATTTTCTAATGATTGAAAAGAACCTTGAATAGATGCATTAATGGTTAACTCCTCTTGCTTTGTTATTGTTTTAGGTGGTGAAATGGGTTTACTAAGGTCCAATGGCTTGGGTGTTTTAAAACGCCTTGCCATTCTAGGAGTCTGAGAAAAGTGGATATTTTTAACATTGGAACCAAAATTATGTGGGTACTGTTCTTTTGAATCAAAATTCCTTTTGAAAATGTTATCTGACACAGTTTTTAAAAATTTTGTAGGAGTTGTTCGACCCTTCGTTCTCTCAATTATTGGAGGGGTATGCAATCTTTTTTCAAAGCCAGTTTGTTGAGTTTTAGGTGTTGTGATATTCATAACAGTGATATTAGTACACAATAATAAATTTACTTGCCCAAGCAATATAATATAAGAATTTATTGCAACTACCACAAAGACGATGGTAATCTTAATTAGTAAAATACTATATTAATTTTGACATAATTATTTGAAAAAATCCTCAGAAAAGCTTAATAGAAAATGTGCAAATATATGAAGATAGAGTTATATTAAATATATATAATTAGGAGAAATAAAGATGAGAAAGTAAAACATATTATTAAATTTTACCGCAACATATATTAATACATCTCTTACCAAACCAGCCAACATAGCCTAATGAAACAACGGAATTCAATACACAAAGATCCACAATAGCACTAGTAGATAACAGTCCACCTACCTTTGAAACAACTCATGAAACAAATCCAAAAAAAATAGTAATAAATGGGGAAAAAACAGTGTTTCTTTACATTCTCTGTCACATTTTGAGGTGAATTACCTAAAACAGAAAAGTTATGAAAATAAAAAATTATCTAAAAAATTTCCCAGTTCATTATAGCTAATATACTTATGAATCAATGTCCCACTGTACTCCAGTCACATCGTGTAATCTTTCTAGAATGTCTATAATAGGCGTGAACAAACCGAATTGTTGTTGACTACCATCATAAGAATGTAACATGCCGACCACAGACAGTCCCAAGTAATCCTCGGATTTGGTCAAAATCCATGCACCAGAATCTCCGGCTGTTGCAAATAGAGGTAAAGGGGATGCAACAACGAATTCACTAGTTTGCAATTTACCATCTGCCCAATATACTAATTTTGTTCCATTGATCTGCCCAGAAGTATAACTACTTGAAGCACCTATTTTGAAGACATTCAGTCCTGCATCTAGTTTCATGCATTTTTTTTTAACATAAGCATTTTGAAATTTTAAAGTTGGATCCTTTACAAATTTCAAATCACTACTTAAACAATTGCTTACATTATATTTAGGATTTACTTTAATAATAGCAAAATCTGAGAGTTTCTGGTTTACAATAGATCGTTCTCCCCACACAACTTGACCAAATATATTCTCTTCTTGCCATTTAATATCATTATTCACTTTTATGGCTTCTTTTTGAAATGCTAATCTCTCAGTTGAATCCTTTGGATATCTCATAGCTTCTGCAGCTAATGTTTTGGAATATGTTTTTTGAAGAACTTTAGAAGGTACAGTAACATACGGATAATCTTGATTTTCACTTAACACAACATGTGCACTAGTAATAGCAAAAGCAGAACCAGCAAACCGAGAAAATTTAGGATTCGTATTATCAATTTGAGGAAACAAGTAGCCACCTAGAGTACCAGTCATTTTTGAATCCCCCGTAGTTGAAATGGACATAGATATTGGTGGTTGGAATAAAGAGTCTGTTACCATATAGGGCGGTGAAAACTGAAAGCAATTTTTTTCTTCATTTGATGTCCTCAATTTAGGAAATAATTCAGAAAGATTACTGCCCACTTTTGCAGCACATGATTGAATAGAATCTCTAATAAGATACAAATGAATATCAGGAAATAGAGAATATAATACCTTAATCATCTCATAATGTTCCTGCTTTAAGTTAGGAACACCAAAAACTATACTCAAAATTGATCCATAGGAACAAAGTCCTCTTCGTACTGGGGCAATAAAGGAACCCTCCTGATCTGATATAAAACTATCATCTGATTCTAACAATTGTTGAATAATTTTTTCTATTTTATCGATATTTGGTAGTTTATATTTTAAATCAATACAAAAATTCTTAACATACGGTAAAGTTTTAGTCATGGACATTGAATAATCATTTATTTGAATTTTTAATATCTCTAAAAACTGTATATATCTTTTCAATAATACAGATCTCGAATTAGCAAACCCTTCAGATATTAGCAAATTATCTAAAAAATGTAATATTACTTTTGTAATATGTCTTAAACTTGAGCAGTTCTCTGTAGAAATAATGGATGGGGAATGTAATATTAAAGTTTTATCAATCATAGAAAAATCCTTGAAATATTCGACTGCCTGTATTACAGCTTTAGAGACACTGATAACATTTTGATGAATGTCATCCACTAATTCAACTAAATTCATTTCTAGATTATAAAGATGTCGTTGAAGGGATGATGACATAGTATTAACTGCATCTGGTAAACTTGCTGTATCTTTATAACATGATTTTGTCAAACTGTTGACCTGTGAAGCCTCTTTTATGTTAAACTTACAATTATTTTGGTTCGAGAATGTGCTATTCTTAAGATTATTACTTTTCTCACAGTTATTACTAGAGGATACAATATCTACAACATGCTGAGATATAACCTCTGGATCTTTGGAATCTATTATTTGTCCTTCCTCTTTTACAGCACCTAATGAAAACTTATTTGAGTTATTCAAAACACGAAGAGGCTTACCTAAATTGTTATATGTATTACCACCTACTGATGATATAGATTGTTTTTCATGTTGACGTATCGAACCGGATACATTAGACGATATTTTACTTGAAGTGTATGTAATTTTTCCTCTAGAAAATATAGATGATGATTTATCTGAAATTAATGTATTACTAGATACAATGGATTTAGTAATAATAGATTTATTATCATTTATGTTATAATTTTCCTTCTTATTGCCTTTATTATCATCACTAGCACTAGATATATTCTTTGATCCACTCTTGAATGATTTCTTATTAAAATTAAATAGTTTTCCAGACATTACGGAGAAAATTTTAACCTAAAAACCTCTATACCAATCCTGAAAAAGAATAAATTAATTATTGCTGATCTGCTCTATAAGTAATAACTGGTAAGTTTTTGTAACTTACTATTTACGGACATCTTGTTTTGGAAACTCTTTCGTGGTGTAAAGAAGTGTCTTCTACAATGACATCATATATCTAAAATCATCTCTTAAAATTAAATAAAAAAATTACAAATGTCAAAAACAGAAATCAGAAAAAATTCCTGAACTTAAAATGGAAACAGATCAATTTTTACAAGAACCAAACAAAATCATAATGATCGAGAACAACAATAAACAGGTTAAAGTTGTCAAAAATATCTGTTCAATCGCAAGCCAGATTTCTAGCGAAAAAATAATATAATCTGTCATATTGTAATGTTTATATATGTCATTTATAACGCTACAAGTATACGAGAAAGACGAGATTGTAATTTTCATATGTGTATAGATTATTATGAATTTTTTTTTTTCTTTTTCTAATCTTTATTCATATACAAAATAATACAAAAATCTTTATAAAAACAAAAGGATAGAGAAACAGCAATTTTTTTCTCTATTTACATTAATCTTTCTTCAAATCTGAGTTCGTTATTTGCTGGTAAACCGATTAATAATCTTAGAAAATTTTCCAAAGCTAATCTTTGTCTATTCAAGGAATTGATTGGTTTAAATCCAGTTCTAGTAAGTGGTGCTTTCAACCAGTAGGATAGGAAGGTTAATATTGGATAAAAATCATTAAATTCAACAGGTCCATCGATAGCATCTGGTGTATCTTTCGTTAATTTTCTATATTTAATACGAGAAAAAAACTCTGTCATTACCAACAAATCAATAATAATTGGTGTGGCTAATAAGGAATCTTCACACACATTATGGATAGAAATTCTATTGTGACCGCCTAACATCAACTCACTGTAATATTCATCCATAGCGACTTTAGAGTCCCCAACAGCGGGTAGATATTTAATGACAATACAATGATCCACATGATTGTCTCTGCCTGTCTTTAATTCTTCAGGTGGGTACAATATTTTATTTGCTTCAATACAATCATCAATAACAGAGGATTTAGAGATTTCTTTAGATCTGAACTGTGCTTGGCTTGACAAATTTTTACCGTCATTATTACCTAGATGATTATATGAAGCAATGGAGACAGGCTTAATACCAGCATCAACCAAAAATTGCATCATCACAGATTTTAGTTTAGTTTGACCTGTCTTAAAATCGTCACCTGCAATGAGACAATTTTTCTTTTCAGCTAATTCGATGATCCCAGGTACAAAAGTATTCTGTGGAGAACCGTTAATGTATGGGACGTTTTCTAATATCGAGGCAACTGCAAAAATATTTGAGGGTGAAATCTCTGGATGATTAGACTTAATTGAATTAATAATATTTTCAGCAGTATCATTTACACCTGGGATAATATCAACACATCTTTCAGTGTTTGCAGTCCATAGGACAATACATTGATCCAATTGATTATTAGTTTTAAATTTTTTAATATCATTTCTGATCTTTTGTAAGTCCTGCCATTTTTCTGGTTCGTTTAATAGATTACAGATATTATTAGCTCTATCCTTTTGATTCAAAGCGATGAAATCAGGATAATAAAGGGAAGTCATTGGTGTAGTATCTTCCAAGAAAGGTTTTAATTTTTGAATTAAATCATATTGGAGAACTTGAGATCTTTCGATTGCTTCAAACATATTTGCATTATTAATATCCCAGCCATGAACCACAAAACTTTCCGGGTCCACCATTGGCAAAATATCTTTGAAGGGAACAAAAATATCGTTTCCCTTTGCATCAATACCTAATTTAATCGTGGAACATTGAGTCATTGAACCATATAAAGGAACTTTTTTAGCGTTGAAAGTACCGTTGTTGAAAACAATATTATTTTGTAAACATTTAATTGTAGAATATAAAGTAGACCCATTATTACCACCTAAACCAACTAACAGAATACCCAACTTATTTGGTTTGTTTAGATTAACTTTGAACTGATAGTTTACATCATTACAATTGATTTGATTATTTTCATCAATTTCAACAGTCTCATATGTATAATTTGTGATCAATTCATTTTTATCCTGATTCAAAACACATTTTTTAGCGTTGAATTTGATTACATTTGGTTGTTCTGAGTATGCTTGGTCAGTAGCAGTCATTGTAGTTTAATATATGTAATTGGGTATACAATTGAATTAAATAGTAATAACAAAAAAATCGAAGAGTTATAATATATATATATATATATATATATATATATATGTATGTATGTATTTTTATGGTTGATTTTATTTTTCTGGCGGATATAAGAAATAGAACACACTATTTTCAGAAATTTCAATAAGTTATACCTAAGTTTATATATAACATATTTTTTCTTTTTTCATTCTTGATATTTTGTGAAATACAAACATTTGTATTCTTTGAAAGAAGAAAAGTTCTAACTGAACCGCCATGTGAAAATTTTGAATCAAACATATTGCATATTTGTTAGTCATTAACAGTCCAGCAAAAGTGAGTTAAACGACAGATACCCACACAGCATACATGGGAAAGCATAAACAAGTTGTAAACTGATTTTAGCATTATAGTTTGAAACGAAACGTCATGTCAAATTGGTTTAGAATGTTCGTGACCTCCATAAGAAAATCCAGGAACCTCGGAGTTGAAAACAATTAACACCGTAGGTGGAGCTGATTATATCATGACGCAATAGAAAAAACCCACTTACAACACGAAAATGAATATACATAAAAAAGAAAACGGTACGTATATCTGAGAAAAATAATAAATGATAATAATAATAAAAAAAAGGGGTTATAGTTTATAGAAATAACAAGAAAGAATATCATGAAATTTATGATTTCACAAAATAAAAGAACGCAAGTAAATATTCACATGTTGTTGATAAGTATTTGAACTAGAAAAGATATTTCGACTATTGATAAGAATTAGGGAATATGGTTTAATGGTAGCAGATGAACAATATTGTTGACAGATCCAAATTTTGAATTTTCACATGGAACTGACCTTCTCTTTATGCGTCTTTATATCTTTTATTCTTTTTCTTTTTCTTTTTCTTTTTTTTCATTCTTTACCTTCCCTTTTTTTTTTTTTCCCTCCCGGCTTTTTGTTTGTTTGACATCATTATCATCATCAAATCGGAGTTACACTTACACTGCAGGAGAAGTCAACCTGTGAGGGGAAGAGGAACCAGAGGAGGGGTCGTGCAAACTGAACATGAAAAAAACAAAAATAACAGGTAAATATTAATAAACCACATGAGCAAAAGAGTTACAAATGAGTGGAAAGAAAGGGTATTTTCATCCCATTGAAAGTAAAAAGTTCGCATGTCAATCACAAAAAAGATAGTTGGTGGCAGATCTGTTGCATTGTCTCTATCTTTGTGTATTCAATGTTGTTTATGCAACAACTTGTTATGGATTGCATTGCTGTTTAAATTAAAATCATTAGGGTTCAGTCCAAAAAAAGATAGATATAGCTTAATTTATAATAGGGTTGTAATAAATTTTTAAAAGTTTTTCTTTTGAGGTACTTTTTTTCCCCTCTTTTTTATTTTTTTTTTATTCTTTTTCCCTTTTGTTTTTAACAAGACTTTTCATGTCAGTAATTTTGAGGGAACAACATAAATTGGTGATGATGTGATTTTCTCAACCCTCCCCCTCGTAGTGTTTGGTTGTAATAAAAACAGAATATTATTAGAAACACATATAACTAATCTTGAGAATACGGGAAACTTTATAAACAACTTATTAGACTGGTTCCATGAAAACTGAAATAGAGAGTCCATAAATAATATTGCAATCTTTGATCTCCGTTTCCTTGTTGCTTGTTGAAAATTGCTTCTTTGTCATGTATTATCTTTGTTGTTACTCTTCAAAGGTTAACTGATAAGCACGTCTGGAGGAAGGTACAGGGAAAGAAAGGGTGATAAAGCTTTCATTTCATTTTTTTTTTTTCTGCTTCTTCTTTCCTATTTTTGCATTTTTAAAGAACAAAAAATAAGAAAAACTAAAAAAAAACAAAACAAAACAAAACAAGACAAAGATAAGAATAAAAAAGGAACATAGCCTAAACGAAACACCTATTTCTAATAAAATCAATATATAATCTATAAAATACCGTATACAGATATTGTGTTGCATCCTCTAGGTATGCATGAATCATTAATTACTAACCAATAACAGTATAGATATATAAATAACTTTTCAATCATTATTTCTTTGTTTTTTTAGGTAATATTATATTCTTTTTCTTTTTTTAATAATAATAATAATAATAGTAATAATGGTTGTCTCTATAGATTTGATAAATATAGATAAACTTCAAAATATAAATAATAATCGCTTTATTAATGAAGAAATAAGTTTATTCCCAATTGAAAGTCTGCCAGATGATATATTATTTGAAATCATATCTCATTTACCACAAAAAGATAGATTAAAATGTTTACAAGTTAATCGAAGGTGGTATCATATTTCAATTAAATTATTATATAGAAGAATATATTTGAATGATTCTAATGTAGTTCGAAGTGATTTCATTCATATTGCAATAAATTGGACATTAATATATATTCCATCATTCTTAAACGAAGATGAATCAAGAGATATCGCAAATATAAAATTAAATAAACTCATAACAACACTAGAAAATAATTCAGAGATCTTAAATTCAATTGAGTGGATCAGAATAAATTGGGATTTGGATCCAAACTTGCAAAAACACATTTTGAAAATTCTATGCTCAAAGGGGAAATCTTTAAGACGATTGGAAAATGTTACTGACCCTAGCTGTAATGATATCATAGCTAATGGTTACTATTCGTCTAAAAATCTAGTAAGTTTTGATATGGCACCACCAAATTCTTTACCTGAATTGACTATTCCTGATGACTATATTCCAAATTTAATAAAGTATTTGAACCAAAGAATATCCACTAACCTATCCTATATGACACTATTCATCGATCCATTCAAATTATTTAACTATCTTTATCCCTTGAAAGAAAAACTGACCATAGTCGATTTGAAATTACACTGGAGACGTGAATTTTATTCTCCAAAATATTTTACCTCAAATGATACCAATAAAACTTATCCAAAATTCAATTCTTTAACAGATATATTTGATATAAGGACTTTGAAAACATTGACTATAATATCATGGAATGAATCATTAATGTCTCATGAGATTGAAATGATAAAAGAATTTAAAAAATTCATCTATTTGGAAGATTTATCGTTAATTTCCATCAAACAAGACAAAAATGTTTTAATGGACCTTTTCAATAACTTACCAAATCTGAAAAGACTGAAAATGGATTTCTTAGAGGATTATATACCTGAGACAACTAATCCCCAAATTTTTTTATCCATTTTGATAACTTGTAAAAAATTACAATTTATTGATATCAGGTTCGAAGGTATTGATTCTCCAATAATTGATATCGACGGTAATAGATTTGTAATCAATCAGAAATGTTATTGCAATAAATGTAATTATACATTCAGCGAAATCCTAAAGAAGAAAATTTTTGTTTTCCCAATTGATTATTATCTGACTGAGGTACAAGATATTGCTGCCAAAGACATATTTAAAATGATGAGATATTTATCACTCTTACCTTATTCAAAAGCATGTGATTCATACCCAAGTGTCAGGACTCAACCAATGAATTTAGATGAGTTTGTTAAGAAGATGAATAATAATCTAGCTACTTATAGACAAAACAAAAATCAATTATTAGATTCTCCAAAAGGTGGCAATCATAATAATAGTGAAAACGATAATGATAATAGCATACTGCTGAATGGAAATATGGATAATGATAGAAACAACGATACCAATAATGTCCAAGTAATAACGCTAGATGCGTCCTCTATACTTCCCGTAACAAATAACGAATCTCTTACGACTAATAGGAATACTGATGCTGAACCATTAGACGCAGTATTGTCTTCTAGAATATTAGACCAACGACAAGAAAATAAAATTAATAGATTACCTCATGAACCCTTGACTCAAATGGATGTCATACATCTATATCATTCGATGATCCACCATTTTAAACAAACATACTTTACATTTTTAAAGGGATTCCCTGAATTGCGATTTTTAATGTTAAATGATATTCCAACAATAGCTATCGAAGAGGATGGTGAAAGAATCTTTCATCCAATTTTCTATCATTATGATTATACCTCTAATTTGGTTGGGTGGACTAAGAACTCATATTCATTTAAAACGTTTAAAGGTGATATTGATCCAAGTAATACTGATGATACTGTTACAAGAAGAGCTACATTCATGTGAATTTTTTATGACAACCAGAGAATAAGTAAATTGTAGGATTATATCTTTTTTATTCGTATGTATATGTACACTCAAGCGAATATTATATACTCGGTAATAACTAAAAAATAAATAATACGTTTACATAGTTCTCAAACCAACATTTAATTCTTAGGGTGCATAAAATTATGCTCAAAAAGCAAACGATAAGTCATATGAAACAACAATTAGCTATTCTTTTAACTTTTCAAACACCAACCATTCCTTGCTCCTTTCAATAAATGTGTGTAGAAAATACTTGAGTCACTTTTAAAACCCTAATAAAAAAAAGTTGTAATCAAAAAAAGAAAAAAATTGAAGAACAAAACGGAAAAATAGATGTTATGAAAAAAACAAAAAAATAATTCTCCAAAATTAAATTGTATATATGAAGAATGTTTTCTCCTTCCAAGGTAGACTCTTAACGATTCGCAACATTCCTCTCACTCTACTCCTCTTCAGTTTACAAAAGGTTTTTCATCTCCAGAATGCTTCAAAGAATGATGAGGATTATCCTTTGGAAAAAATGGGTAATTTGCTAGTAGATGCACATTATGATAGTAACAATCGAACTAGTGACTCTGTGGTGAAGTGAATTTTTTTTTTTCTATATAATAAGTTTAGATTACGGTTAACTTCATTTGTAATATTTTATTTGGAGTCTTATGAGCCAATAGATTATTTGAGATTTACTTGTCTTATTATTGTCTAAGGTTTTATAGAAAAAGTGAAATAAGGGAATAGGTAATGTGAAAGAAGAATTATGACAAGTAGTACGTTAGAGATCAAGAAAAAAGAGGATGTGCTTATATGAATATATATCAAGGGCAGTGATAAACTATGGTGAAGATTCTCCTTAACTTTTTTTTTAATTTGATATTATTTAGAGATTAATTATAGCGCGTTAGACGATTTTACCTCCATATCCTCTAACTATTTCAAATGTGTAATTAATCCTTTTTTGATAGACACCGTGTCTGTTGCGTTATCGACCTTTTGATTACTATTTTCATTAGCTTTTCTTTCTTTTTTTTTGAAACATTCTTCGATATTATGGATCAATAATTTTTCTTTCTCTTCCTATTTTGTTTTCTTTCATATTTTTCTAAAAAGTTTTGGGTAGGATGAGACACTGTTAATCTTAACAATATTTATTAAAGTTTGTGAGATTCAATTTAAAAATAATGTATTTCTGTTGTTTATCGCTGGTTTATACTTTATTGTGTTGTTCAATTAATTCTTTTTGCGATGGAGAAGCAATTAGATTGTTACTCTTGTAGTGCGTTCTCTATTTTTAAATTTTTAACCTATTTATTCCATGCTATCTATCAACTATTCACTATAAATAATATCAAAGAATAAACTAATATTATTGAATATCTAATGAGAGGTATTTGATAATCTCCAGCTTTAAAACCATCGCCGTTAGAGGTCGCTTCCTTTCCCTGGATTGGTTAAGCGATCCATGAAATGGTGATGACCTATGGCTTGGTACATATTAAATTTCAATTGCTATTTCTTTTTGTTTTCCGCTTATCTTATCTATGTCAAATTATATGAACTTTAAAGATATTTTTTTTTTAAGATCGTTTTCTTGTTCGTCTATCATATTGAATATAGTCTCTAATTCTTGTTTTAGTCGTTCAATGCTGCTGACATTTTGGCTGCTGTCAAGTTTGTCATAAAATTTTCTTAAAATGAGACTCAAGGATGTCATAAACATTAATTGATTTCCAACTTTTTCATGGTCACTTTCTTGTGGTAACTCATTTAAATGAATCTGTATACTTAGTTTAACTATTTCAATCATTGTTCCATGATAAAGTGATTTGTATGGTGACAATAAATTTATCACTTTTATAAATAATTCTTGATTTTTGAAATTGTTATTTATCGAGAAATCATTTGGTATAATACTGGGAAGATTCAATTTATATACATGTTGAAATAAGGATTGATATAATACAACTAAATTATTCATATCCCATTGTTTCAAGTTCAATTGGACAATGATGTTAATTAATGATGGATCTGTCATATATACACATCTCCAAAATACTCGTTTTATGGAATGGTGCAGATTGCCAAAATCTTTGATCCAGAGTGGACTATATTGGTCCCATATTTTGTGATTCAATGTATTTTTATCACTATTCAAATCAGATGTACTTAGATGCTTAGAATATTGTAACTTATAATATAATAGAACGGCTATATTTAGTTGATCTATCTTGGAAAAGATAGATAAATTCTGAAAAGTTTTTGTGTAAAGAGTAAAATTTTTAGATAATATAATTTGTGATATTTCTCTTAAAGTTAACCTACCAATCAATCGTAACAATATTAGTCTATTGAATAAATCATTAGAATTCATGATTTTGTAATCTACATTCTCTTGGAAAGACATAGGAAGATGAGGGTTTGCGTTACTGTTTTTATATTTACCTCTTGCTTTACCATTGTAATTGTCGAACTGATTTAGGACGTTCTTTAATTGACTAAAGAATATTTGATAGTGTGTATCTACTCTTTGTATATGAGTTTCTTTGGATGGCAATGTTGAATTAAGTATTTTCAAAATTGTATCAATATATTCTTGTTCTTGAGGGGTTGGCTTTACCTTCAATGAGGATGATTTATTATCACTGAAAAAATTCCTTGTATTATGAGAACCGCTTTCATTATCAGTATTAACTGAACTGGTTACACCATTTTGAATCATTTTACTTAATGTATTAGATGAATTATCTCCCTTTGTCAAAAATTTAATTGTAGATTTCAATTTCTTAATATCATTTTTATTTGAGAAATGTAACAATGAACTAGCATGAATAAATGATTTCTTAATCATTATTATTCATATAGTTAACTGTGAATTTAATATGACCTGCTATCAAATCTAGGTCCATAAGGGGGAAAAATAAGACAAATTGTACTTAACACACTTGTTAAATGTCAGGAAAAAATATGCTAAAAGAATATATACACTTGGTTTTTAAAAAAAATAGTAGATTAATTTCTTAGAAATTGTCCTTACGGATATTGGCGACACTTTATTTTTGTAAGCTAATGTCTGTGGCTCTTCATGTAAGTAACCTTAACGTTATCATTTTATTAACTCTTTAATAATCATGAGAGTATGAATCAAATAGAATATCAAAAAAAAAAAAAATAAAACCAAGTAAAATAAAATTCCGTATCTAAGAAAATTGCTGCATAGAAGAAAGCAGGGAAAGATGGTAGAAGGTTAAGAAGAACAAACGTAAAGGAACCCTTCCTTCAACATAATAGTAGTAATAAGTGAAATATACTGATCTAAGTTAGTTCATATAACAAAGCAAGTAGAAAGAAAAGAACAAAATTGATAATAATAGTCATTAGAAAAGCATTGTATCTGACATAAGCAAAACATTTTAGGGGTTATTATGAATACTTTCAATTTTGATTTTGGTGAAGACTTACCTGCAGATTTAGCAAATGCAGTTAGAAAATCTTTCTCTGAACCACAAGATACATTATTATCACGAAGTCATAGTAGTGCATCTCTTTCACAGACAGGTGATAATCACTCCCCTATTGCAAGCAACATTAATTTAACAAGTATGACTAACCCTAATGAGATATTACCACTTTCAAATTATAAGTGTAATAATAGTCATAATAATGATCAACATTCGAATGGACAAGCTAGCAGTACCGGTGCTGTCAATAAAGCTGACACATTGTCTGAGTTGTCTGAAGATCCGAACACACAAGAAGTATCACTGCAACAACAGTCTGATTATCAACTTTTTAAACATCACTATAGTGTAGCAAAAAACACACGAGAGTCTATCACAGACATACTACATGAATTGGATATTAAGTCTGGTGATTCTACATCACCACAACCACTTTCTATACCTTCAACTAATATAGTCTCAGAAAATGCAAATGTGTTTAGTCAAGCACTACAACAACAACAAAATAAATATCCAGAAGAAGTAATATCACAACAAGAAATTTTTCAACAGCAATTAAGGAATCCATTTATTGACCAGGCGGACACTAACAATCGAAGTAATATGAACATAACAAAAAATAAATTTGATAATGATACTCATATAAACCCTAAAACAACATTAGATACGAACATTGGTCCCAACATAGTTATTGACAATAATGCCAATATTATAAATCAAATGACCACAAGAAGAAGTTCTATTAAAAATGTCCAGTGGATAAGGCAATTACTAAATCCAAGAAGTTCTTTCTCCGGACCATCACAAACTGCGATGTCAGTTAATAATTCATTTTTACAAAAGTATAATATAAGTACAGAAATTTCGCAAAATGATGCATTCTCAAAGAAAGCACTAACCACAAAATGTTGGGTTACCATACTTAAAGATAGTTCTATTGAGTCTATTAAGTCTATGATTGTTCTTTATCATTCTTTATTATTAACAGAGTCAAAATATCCAATGTACATTCTACATGACTCTAGTTTAGATGTATCTGAACTGGGAAAATATAATATTCATACTGTTTCTATTCCAAGAGAATACTTCCAAGATGACCCGAATTCTATGAATCCAATACTATTAACAAATTCAAAGTACCAATCTTTACTAGAGAAGAAATGGTACATTTTAGCATTATTTGTTTCGTTTATCAATACACATTATGAATTGATATGTTACATTACACCAACATCCATGATAATAGATAACATTGATGAATTATTAGACGATCGCAGCATTAACAATGAAATTGATAATGAAACATGTGTATTGTTGAGTAATGTTACTCTGAATGATTCAGAGGAACCCCAATTGATTATCTTTAAACCAAGTAATGAGGTGTCGATGTGTATTAAAGAATATTTCACTTTATATGGAGATAACAAAGAAAAACTACACAAGATTGATAAGCTGTTACAAATAACAGATTCGCAAGTGTTGAAAGAATTATTTGGTGAGACTTGGGGTAACATTTCATCTGATGGGTATATTACTGTTTTTGAGTTAGATGATGAATCATTAAACATAAGTAATTTTGTTCAGAAGGATAGTGAACCAACAACTAGAAGCAATGCAAAAATATTAGATTTCAAGAACATTGAACCATGGAAGATGGAAATTTCCCATTCCAATACCAATTACAATGAGAGTGATAGGGATGAAAATAATGCTATAAAGAAATGGTATCAAATCTGGCAAGAATTTTGGAACATATATAGTAACGGATAATTATATCTACATTTATGGATATATATATAATATTAAGGGAGAGAGCTGGTTTATATATTTATCTGTCAATTTTCTTCAGCAGATATTTTTCTTTTTCTTTTTTTTTTTTTCTTGTAATTTCTCCTCTCTTTCTCTCTCACCTCCTCTCTAGTCTATAATCTGGCTGTTATGTAAGTGTTTATATTCAATATATTTTTCTACTAAATATTCACAAAACATGTATGTAGACACGTTTGTTTTCCTGTGTCGAGCAACTTTGACCAATTTGAATTTTTTATTTTCAACAAAGGTAACATAAATAAATAACTAAAAAAACGAGAAGTTCGAAAGAAGAAAGAATAAAGCCGTTCGATATGGAGAAATCTCAAAAAAAAAAAAAAAAGAAAAAAAGATAAAACATCATGAACTATCTTTGAATGTGTTTTCTTCTGTATATATAATCGAAGTTATTGGAAAGAAACAAAACGTATAGATTGTGCAAAAAAAAAAAAAGAAATAAAAAAACAAAATGCTTGTATTCAAAGATGATAATGAAAAGAAGGTATTTAATGATATCAAGACCCAATTACCGGATATAATTAAAACAAAATGTCAAAATTACGATGAATTTTACGGACATAAACTGATCCGTGGTGGTAATGGATCAGAATATTATAACGAAGATATTGCCAACAAGTTAATTCACAAATTATGTAAAGCATATCAGTTCAATGAAACCGAAATTAGACAAAAAATTATCAAGATTTTGAATTGGAGGAAAGATTTCAATCCATTGAGTGCAGGTTTTTTGGAGCAACATGGTGAAGAATTTGAAAAAATTGGTATTTTGACAAAGAATGAAGCCAATGAAGCCAATAAGAAAACTATTACATGGAATCTGTATGGGCAGATTAAGGACAAGTCCAAGATATTTGGTAATGGAAAAGCAGAGAAATTTATTCGTTATAGGATTGGTCTGATGGAAAGAGGTATAAACTTATTAGATTTTGATAACGATGACGATGATAATTGTTATATGACACAGATCCATGATTACAAGGGGGTTTCGTTGATATTTGGTATGAATTCAGAAATGAAAAGTTCTATAAAAGAGATTGTAAGTATATTCCAAGAATATTATCCAGAGTCCTTATATGCTAAATATTTTGTCAATGTACCAAACATATTAGGATGGATATATGATATTATAATCAAATTTATTGATAAGAAAACTAGTGAAAAGTTCGTTGTTTTAAGTAATGGTAATAAATTGGGGAATTATATTAAGAATTGTCCTCAAAAGGACTATGGTGGCACTGATAAAAAGACATTAAAAGAGCAAGCCTTACAAAAAGTGAGACCTACAGACTATGGCTTATTTTTATTACAACAACAATCAACCCAAGAAATAGATTAAATAAAAGAGATAGAAAAAAAAAAGAAAGAAAATATTTTGTATATGTATGTATGTGTTGGTGTTGTATAGATAGATAGATAGATAGATAGATTGCAGAATTAAATATAAATTTTGTCTTCTTTTTTTTCTTGTTATTTATTCTAACATATTCATACATCTCATAAACTTCGATGTTTTACATCTTATTGTTTCTAGCTCATCAACTACGTATTCCAAAGAAAACACAAAGAAAGATAAAAAGGGGTGAGAAGGAAGGCAAGAGAAAAAACAATACAAAACAAAACAAAGAAGGAAAAAAAACAATGCACGTGATCCACTGAAAATAGTACATAAAAAAAAAGAAAAGGCGTGGCGTTGCTGTGTGAACTTCAGAAGAGAAAGAAAGAAAGACAGAGAGAGGGATTTTCTTTCTTACTCTCCTTCCCCCTTCTCCTCGTGATTTATAACCAACCAATCCACATAGCAGTCTACTTACTTATCCATGATGGGATTTGGCTATGTGTTGAATTTTGTACAAGTGTGGGAGGAAGAAGAGTGTGAGTAACTCGTTTACAGTTAGGAATGTTAGCCTTTATTTTATTTTTAGCTTACTAAGTAAATTCTTGATGAAGTCAATTGTCTCTATCTTATAGCAGTGCAATGTCCAGAATAGGTAAATTTATCTCATATTTCCAAAATTGTACCCTCTCTCTCTCTCTCTATCTGCATATGTACCCCTTTTAATCTTTGATCTTCTCTTTCTTTCTCCCTCTCCCTACATATATATATATACATAATTATGACATTCATAAATGTGTAAATCTTGTCCAAATCGTCTACGTAACGTTGGTTTATTTAAGAATTGAGTACACTATTCAATAAAAATAGCAATAACCATAACAATATTAAATATCATCAAAACAAAAACTCCTTTTCCCCTACGACATACACACAAACACACACATACACACACATATATATACATATATCAATATAAATAAAGTAACTTTTTTCTTTTCTTTTTTTCTTACCATATATTCTGTTTGAACAGGATATAAGAACTATAATGTTAAGGACTACAACTTCTCAAGCATATCAAAAAAGGAAAACAAATCAAACAATTTTGCGTAGTAGGCGTAAAATACCACAATATTCCGACACTCTTAATAATTCATTGTATGGGTATACTGATGACAACAATAATAATAGCAATAATAGATATGGTAATTTCAATGTATTAAATGAAACTAATCATCCTGGAATAGTATATTATTTTATTGAAATAAGAAATTCTGCCGTAAATAATAATAGAAATGATCACGAACGAAATAATGGTAACAACAACAACAATAATGGTAATAGTAGTGGTAGTAATAGTTTGTACACATAAGAAAAAGCTAGGAATATATATATATAGTTACATGCATGTTATAGATTTCTCAAGTTTTTTTTTTTTATTTAAAAACTTTTCATCGTAATAATATTCAAAAAAATAAAGTAAAGCTATTCAATAGCTATGCATGCTTGTTGTTGTTGTTTTTTTTCCTTCTATAATATTCCATTTTGTGGTATAATCTCATGCTGTTTTATTTTATTATATTTACGAAATAACAATTATACATATAATAGCTATGATATTTTCAATAATAAATCAACATATGCATGTTTGAAATAATGTTCACGTTGAGATATTTTTCCTTTTTTTTTCTTCTTTATAACATATTCATAGATTTTATCCCAGATTTATAGCATTCATATGCATATCCGTCGCATACATATATTGTTCATATTCTTTTTCAGTCTTATACTTGTTAACAGTATATATAACAATCTGCAAAACACATCATCCAGATTTACCTACCCCTGACTAATAATCGCTATGTGAAAACATAGAGCGCTTGCAACACATATTGGTTATACTTTAATATATATTACACAAGTTGGTCCCGTCAAGATTGGGGTGTTGTCTTATTCCTGCAGTTCTATTAATGATAGCCATTGCGTTCCCTCCTTCACCTTATTTTCTTCATTTTTAATTTTTTAGTCACACACCACTGCTGCCGTCTATAATGATAGAACATGGTTCTTTTTTTTTTTTTTTTTTTTGTTTGTTGGTAGAAATTTTAGTAAGATTGTGAACTAAACGTTGTGTTTATACCCATAGAAATGTTAACAGATATTATTCAAAAATATTGGACGTTGCAAGAGTAGGTTCTTAAGGTTATTGATTGATAGAGTCTGACCTTCTAAAATAAGGGTTTATAAAAAAAATCAGTCTGAGTAAAGGAAAATTCAAGAAAAAGTGTAGTATCTTCACGTCCAGAGCACACTCGATAATATAAGTTACAAGTATACTCAAATATAAATATAAATATAAATAAATATGTCCGCTGATCATTCTAGAGATCCATGTCCAATTGTTATTTTAAATGATTTTGGTGGTGCCTTCGCTATGGGTGCTATCGGTGGTGTCGTATGGCACGGTATCAAAGGTTTCAGAAACTCACCTATTGGTGAAAGAGGTCAAGGTTCATTGAATGCAATTAAAGCTCGTGCTCCTGTACTTGGTGGTAATTTTGGTGTCTGGGGTGGCCTTTTTTCTACTTTTGACTGTGGTGTTAAAGCTATTAGGAAAAGAGAAGATCCATGGAATGCAATTATTGCTGGGTTTTTTACTGGTGGTGCCCTTGCTATTAGAGGTGGTTGGAGACATACAAGAAATAGTGCTATCACATGCGCTTGTTTGCTAGGTGTTATTGAAGGTGTTGGTTTGATGTTCCAAAGATATGCAGCTTGGCAAGCTAAACCAATGGCTCCTCCCTTACCGGAATCTACATCAAGCCAACCTCTACAAGCTTGATTTCTCACCCTTCTTTTTTGTTAATGTTATGTTTGTTATCATCCCTTCTTATTTATTTCCAATGTTATGACTTAGCCTATTCATAGTGGTATTATTAATTGATCTTAGAAGACAGTGATAACCCCTCTTTCCTTTCCATTTATTCACTCTTATTTTTTTCTTCCCTGTCATAAAAAAAAAGAGACATAAACATGAAATTACAACAGTGATATAAATTCCTGCTGTAGGATAAGAAAAAAAAAAGAATGAAAACGTATAAATTAATTTTAACTAATTTCTCCTTGAAGAATTAGCTATATTACGTTATTTTTAAGGAAAAAAGTTTTTGCCACTAATAATAATCTATTAAATAATATTATGATCCTCTTGTACATATTTATGAATGGATTTTGCTGAATTGTAGGGAGGAAAAAAAATAAGCAAATATTGTATCTATTCTTACTCATCATCATTGATATTTCTTTTGTGTTAACCATTAATTTTGTAATGTATACAGTATTTAAATATTAGGCATTTTATTTATTTATTTTTTTTTTTTTTCATTTGTATATTAATTCTTTACGGACCATAAACTAATTGCTAATTAAACAAACTAAAAAAATATGTAAATACTGCTGTAAGAGTAAAAGGATATGTCATAAAAGTATATAAGAATAGTGAAAATATTTGAGTATATTTGAACTATGGAATTAAGTGATTCTATGCTAAGTATTATATAATACGAAAAGTAAAAATATGAAGATATTTTCTTCAATCTAAACCATCGTTAATCCTCTTTTATCGTTAAATCATTAAATTTTTTAGTGGCTCCCTTAGGTGCAGTCAATGAAGTATCGGCAGTGTGACCTTCTAATTTACATGTTGTAACATTTACATTATGTGAATTTGTGACTACATCTACTTTTGTATTATTGACAACGTCATTTCTTGAATCAGACATTTCAATGTCTAAAAAATCATCTGGAATTTGTGATTTTGATATAATTTGATCCTGTGTTAATGGATCTACAATATTGTTGCTTGCACCGTTAGAATTGTGGCCATTCCCTTGAAAACTTTTAGGTATGGATGGTAAGTAGCCAGGTGGATACCAATCACCGTTAAATGGCTGTTCTGTGAGAAAGGGGTGTAACGACGCTTGTTGTGGCGTCCATCTTTCTAGTGGATTTATATTTAATAAACCGTTTAGGAAGTGAATCAAACATTCACGTTGTTTCAATTCCTGTCTAATCAATTCGTTCGAATGTTGGATATGCTTAGGAATCCTGTAATTCATTACTATGTCATTTAACTTCAACCATTTAAAATATTGTTTCCCAGGTTTTTCATTTGCATTCTTAAAATCAGTATTGAATTCTTCAACAGACTTCAGTCTATATTTATGTCTAACACAATGTAGTTCTTCTTGGTTCAATTTTACCATAAATTTACTTGTATTTTTGCCCATCTCTAACATCCAATTTGGTGGATATGATAAAGTTTCTACAATTCTAGTTATTTGATTAAATTCAGAAGAACCTGGAAAAATTGGAATTCCCAGAAATAATTCAGCTACAATACAACCTAAAGACCACATATCTATACTAGTCGAATAGGGTATTCCTAATATAATTTCTGGTGCACGATAAAATCTTGATTGGATATAAGTGTACACAGTCCTAGTTTCTTCACAAGAAGATCCAAAATCGATAACTTTAATATCTGGCTTATCTGGAGAACATAATAGAACATTCTCAGGTTTCAAATCACAATGTATTAGTTTACTATCTTTTAAAACACAAAGGGAGTCTAACATTTGTTTGGTGAATATCTTAATAAGTTGCATTGATAAGCCATGGTATTGATTTTGTTTTAATAGTTCATATAAGTTGTTACTTAATAATTCAAATACGAGACATAAATGGCCTTTATGAACAAATGAATCATGCATTCTTAAAAAATGATGTTTATTATTAGGGTCTATCTTTTTATTCAATAATTCCAAAATTTTAGCTTCTGTAATACTTTGATTTAAGTATTCAGATCTTGATTTGATAACTTTAACCGCCAATATTTCCTTCGTTAGTAAGTTTTGGCATTTAACAACTTGACCAAATGTACCTTGTCCCAATATATCAAGTACTAAATATTTTCTATTCTGTTCTGTTCCTAAAACATCGTTTACATACAAAATATAATCACTATTCACATTATCATATCCACCATTATATTTTGGTTCACTGGGTTTTGTTAATACTCTTTTTGGATTTTTTGACGTTTGATACACAAAATCAGGAGAACATAATTGATAAGTCGTTATTAAGTTTTTAGTTAATCCTCTTAAAGGAGATATGGCTTCGGAATGCACAGACGCTCTTCTATACAAGGGTTTGTCATTGACAATTGGTTTCAAATCGTGTTTTGTAACACATTTTTTCATTTGTGGTATTGTTAATTGTTGTTTTTGGAATAAATCCTCCTTTCGTATTTGTTTTAAAGGTGGTTGCAACGTTACTAAACCAGCACTAGTTGGGTATGCACTTGAACGTCTAAATGGTGAGATAGACGGCGTATATGTAAAACCAGTATAATTTATTGGCGTGTTATGGATTGATGTATGAGAAATATTATTGTTATATACTGATGGATTTAAATTTGATATTCCATTTGAATTAGCATACATTACACTATTATTATTATTACTCCTAGTTGTAGAAATATTAGGGTGGCTGTCTGAATAAGTGTTAGTGGCTAAACTTTGTCTTCTTTGATATTCTTGAGAATTATATAAAGATGGAACAAATCGATTATTTAACTGTTGCTGCTGTTGCTGTTGTTTAAAAAATAATGCTTGTCTTTGTTGTTGTTGACTCATGTTTGATGAATTAGCATTCACCGAAGTAGATCCAGTGTAGTTCGAAAATGTTGTAGCGACACTATTACGACGAAAATTCGGATCATTATTAATGTTTAAATTGAAGTGATTACTGGTTATTAGATCAGGTTTATTATATTCAAATAAATTTGGAGCAGCTGCTCTAGTAGGTGGAATAATGAGACTCGACTTTCTTCTCTTATAACCTTCTATTTGGTCTTCGCTAGGGTCTCCTGTTGTTTCATAATTTTGTGATTCAAAAACTTGTGGTGGCTGTAATACTTGTTTTACAGTGCTATCTATATCTTCAGTTCTCCACGGATTATTAAAGTGTGGCTGATTATTTTGGTTCTGTAATGGTTGTTGTTGTGAGTGCACATGAGCAGAGGGTTGATCAGGTGGTATTTGAACAGTATTTTTTGATAGACTTGGATTGTGATTTTTAACATAGTTTGGATTCCAAAAACTTGCATGTTGATATTCCTTGTGTTCATTGGTATACGCCGTCATATTCTTTAAAGTATCATTGGATTGTAATGGATCATTTGAGTGCAACATTATTATTTTTTAACTATAATAATATGTTTTGGTAAGTAATATTTCACTAAAGCAAGCTCTATCGGAGAGAGCTCTAATATATATAAATTAAATATTATAATGTGGGGGGAAAGAAAAGAAAAAAAGAAGTACCCTGTAATTTTAAGTACAGTATCAGGAATAATAAACCTAAAAAAAAGGAAAGTCAATACTATACTTCTTTTTTTTACTACTTATGAGTTTTTATACAGTTTTTCAATGAAAAGGGATCAAAAAAAATAGATTGTAGTATATTATAAGATGTGTTGTTTAACTTGAAATGTAATATCATTCAAACTGGTTCACCATTTAATTCTATGTGTCAATTATATAAAAGTTGCTCTTTGTCTCCTTTTAACGTCAGTTGTAAGGAAAACCCAGGACTAAGAAAATACATGAAAAAGGCAGGTTTATATTCAATTAAACATTCCTCCCAGTTTTTTTTATTTAGGTGAGTTGCATAAGGAAAAAAGGAATAACAATAGAAATTTTTCTAAAAGGGGCAACCTATCTCCCGTGTTTGATAATTCTAAACAATAAAATTGCTAATTAACAAAAAAACGAAAAACCAAAAAAACTAAAACGGAAGATGAAAAAAGAAAGGACTTGCTGCTAAAATCAAAAATGGTACCATTTTTACACTGAATGTCGAATATGGATGCATTTACTGAAGAGCTCCAAGTTAAGTTGAATTAAATAAGCACTGCTGTTTATCTCTTTTTTTAATCTTATTGTAGTGGTTCCTCAAAAATTTTTTTTTGAATAAAAACTTCCAATGTATGTGGAAATGCACTGTCAAATATAGGGACGAAAGTAAATGTATCGCATTTTTTTTTTTGTTTGTTCTGTACAAAAATTTGTCTTTTCCCAATTTTTTAGAATAAATCTTCATGTAATAACAAAAGTCATATTTATGGTAAAAAAAGAATATCAAAAAATTTTTTGGATTAGATCTCAGTAATTTCACAATGAAACAATAGTGTTAATCTACCATGAATCTTTTTAATTCCTTGCTTGATGTCATTATGTGGGATATACTGTAGAACATCTCCAAAGTATAGAAAAAATGAAATAGTTGAAAACGTAAACTTCAAAAACTCGAGAGAGAGACTTGTTTTATTGTCATGTAGTAAATTTGGTATTTTTTCTCTTCTATCTAGTGTAACTTTTTTGAGTTGAGGTAAACTTGTTTCAAGTTCCAAGAAACTACTACACTTTAACAAATATACAGAATTCAAACCTCAGAGTTTCCTTAAAGTACAAGAGGTTTTCGTCGTAATTTGGCTTATGGAATGAAGAAACTTGTAGTATATATATATTCAATGGGAATGGTTTCAGTCAATAATTGTAGACATAAGCGCTTATCATTATTTTAGAGTGAAAATAATTTAATGGTTTATTAAATTTTCTCTGTTTTAATAGTTCAGTTGAACTAATCTAGAGTAGTTGATAATTTTATCGTTACTCTATTTACCTGCATATACTGTAGTAGCAAAATAATTTAGCCGCTGAGCCTCTAGTGCTAGCAATTTTTTTATTTTTTTGCAAAAAATACAAAACCAAAGAAATATTATAGAAATAACTAGTTGCATCGTCCACAGTGACATATTATTGATTAGAAGGAAAAAAATAAGAATTGAATGGAATAAACAGAATATAATTGTAAAATAGATAAAAAGCAATAAAAGATGAGCACTAAGAACTCAATCAGCAGCTCACTAGTGTGGAGTTACAGTACACACCTTTCTATTTGAAAATCTCATAACTTGAAGGATAGAACATTTATAAGTTTGTTATTCGGTCAGGCATAGCATACTATATTCCATTATACAGTACAATAGAGATAAACATGAATATTTCAACATCTACATTTCAAACATCTAGAAGAAGATTAAAGAAAGTGGAAGAAGAGGAGAATGCCACAACATTGCAATTAGGGCATGAGTTTCAATTAAAACAAATTAATCACCAGGGTGAAGAGGAAGAATTAATTGCTTTAAATTTAAGTGAAACTAGATTATTAATTAAAGAAGCCTTAATTAGCCGTAGAAGAGCATTCAGAAAGGCACAACGTTCACAAATAAAAAAGAAAGCAAATCTGAGTAATTCTACAACAGAAAACGGTGGTGATACTACAGCTGTAGAAGATGAAGATGAAGATGAGGAGGACGATGAAGATGAATTTATGAGAAATGAGACTAGAGAAAAGGAACTAGAATCTTTGGACACATTATTAGAACAAACAACAACGGGAAACAATAAAGATTTGAAAAATACTATGGAATATTTAACCAATTTTTCAAGATTTAGGGATCAGGAAACTGTAAGTGCAGTTATACAACTATTAAAAAGTACAGGTTTACATCCCTTTGAAATTGCTCAATTAGGTTCACTTGCATGTGATACTGCAGATGAGGCGAAAACATTAATTCCAAGTTTAAATAACAAAATATCAGATGACGAGCTAGAAAGAATATTAAAAGAATTATCAAATTTGGAAACATTGTATTGATATTAACAGTTAGAAATTTTGGGGCCTAAAATAGTTTCAAATCGATTATTTAAAGTTCATTTTACAAGAAAAACACAAACAAACTTACAATAAATTTATGGCATATATAATGTATTGTTTTATAATATTTGTAATCTTTCCTGACTCTAAATAATCAAATAAATGATAATATTAACAAACAATATGAAATTAACGCTTCTTGTATCTAATTCCCCTTTTATAGAAGTATTTGTATTTGCTTTGTGATTGATAGGTGTTGTTAACATCATGGAACATTATGAAGGCACCTTATAGTAATCACCAATCTTCAAAAAAAATATTTTATTCACAAAAATGTAATTTATTTTCTTCTCTTGTTTACACAGTTTAGTATAAGTTATGATTATGTTGTATAAAATAAGGAAAGAACTTAATAGTTTATTCTTCCATATAATTGTCCTCTTTCATAAAATATTTCCCACTTCCGTTTTTCCACCATCTCATCAAACAACTATGAGGTGTTATAGCAATATTATCATTTGGATTTTGACATCGGCATCTTTGATACAATAAACCGGAATCTGATATAGGACAGGTATTAAAAGGAGCATGTGCATATGCAATTTCATCAAAATGAATTATTTCGTCTTTGTTTAAAAGTAAGGACACTGCAATGGAGTGAATAGGTGCATCCCCCCATCTTTCATAATAAAATCCGCCTTTCTGGTCTAAGTGATTAAAAAATTTCAAATATTTATCACTTCTGAAAAAATTTAGATCACCAATTTCGAAATTAGACCAAAAGTGGCATAAATTGTAATCACTATGAGAGTCGATAATAGGTTTATAAGCTCCAATTTTAGTTTTATCAGTAATAAATTTATAAGCATTAGATGACATATCAATATGTTGTTCTGAAGGACTTAAATGTTGATCTAATTCTATATATTCCTCTATTGCATCCCATAAGGTTTCGATGGTATTTTCGTATTCGTAAATTCCAATAACAAATCCATATTTTAAATGTTTTTGTCTCATTATTTTAAAAGGATCATATGGAAAATCACAAAAATAATTCACATGTGGTTCAACTCTAAAATAATAATCATATTCACCCAATATACTTTGTCTAAAAAAAAAGCCCGAGTTAAATCTGCACATGTTCCTGTACGATTTAGAACCTCCATAAAGAACACCATCATGCTCCATCTTTGCTAAATTTATTTCGTATTCAGTTTGATTAATCCAAGTAGGGCAATTCCAATGCGCTGATGGGATTAGACCATACTTAGTAATTCCACTAGCCATAAATGTTGTAGCTTCTATAAACTCTTCTGTGAAAGGAACATCATTTAAAAACACCCAATCATAGTGGTATTTTCTATTAAATCTATCTTCTAATGACCTCATAGAATCCAATGCTCCCTCCAATTCCTGATTTCTTACCAACATTAATAAAGTAGCATTTTCTTTTTGATAGTTTGGAATAAAATCATTATCTGATTTAAGTCTATGGACATTATTATCAAATGTATTTGATGATAATTTCAGGTGATTTTCAAATTCAAATACAAATTTCCTTCTTTGAATATTATTGTACTTTAAGTCTACCTCATTAGACTTGGCTTGATAAATACTAGACAACTTATTGCTACATATTAAACTTGTGTAAAACAGGTGTGAAGTGATTATTATTGATAAAATACCAGGTGCTAATATGATTCTATTAATTGTCAACATATCATGATAATCAATAGTGGTAACTTCAGCTTTATACTGAGGTGTATATGCAAAAGTAATATAGTAATTAATAGCCTTGTATATATATAGTGTTTCAATTCAGCCGTTGTTCATATAGTCAAAACTGTTTTTTTTTCTGTTTTGTACATACTCATTTGCAAAATACATACCTATCTTTTGAATAAAATTAGTCTATTTGACATAGTTCTTCAGTACATGGTTACGCAGTAACTGAAATAAAACGAGCAACCATACACAGACACTTTATTTGCCAAACAATTTAACTTATTGATATATTTTATTGAGGAAAGAAGATACAAAATGAACTTATTTAAATACAATATGAGATAAAATAATATGTATACAGATATAAACTGACTATAATAATCTCCCTAGAAAATTGTAAAAAAAATATTTGACGACATTTTTGGATACTTCTTTCTTTAACGAGAGTAAGACCAGACATTCTTTAATAAACCATCGTTTTGAGCTAATCTGTTTAAAGAATCATCAGATTCACCTCTAGCTCTAACGGAACCAGATAAGGCGTAAGTGATGTATTCACCTGGGATGGCACGACCGTCGGCATCAACCTTGGCAATGTTGATTTGGACAGAAGCGTGATCATCGGCCTTGATAATTCTGTTGGTAGCAGAACACTTTCTTGGAACATAAAGTTCGACCTGTATAAAACAATAATTGCAACATAACATGCAAATATAGTGTTAGTAAACTACAGTTATCCACTACAAATAAAATAGAAGAGAAAAACAGGGCAATAGTTATATTCCTGTCGTCAGATAACGTTCAAAGGATAAAGGTGTGGATTTGTTCCTCTTATACTCAGAATAGATTTAAGTAGAAATATTGTTTTCCAATATGTATTTTATATCAAATATAGATGTTCACTTTACCTCATGTATACTATAATATTATAAAAATCCCCTATGCAAAATGTCACTATGCAGTCCTTTATGTAATTATAATAAAATATATCAATTAACGATTTGAAAGACTTGTGATTTGTCCAATTTAGTTACAATCTTTGTACATTTCTTTGCTCCCATATTCTCTGTATCTTCTTTCTTTCAAAGAAATTTAACATACTAATTGACCCTTATCGTTTTCCATCTTGGCTTATTGATATATGCGTGTGGTTGGTATACTGAGGTGGATTAATAGTATCTTAACGTCTTAAGTAGGCAACGTTGGTGCATGCATTACCAACTTGTACGCTAGGGTTCCTCTTTTTTTTTGCTATAGTCAAATAGTACTACTAACTGCATCTTTCCCCCTATACATCGGAGGTGTGACAAGCAGTCGATCGGCCTTCGTTTCTCTGCCATTGCAAGATTACTCCACTGAGAATGGCCCTTATTCATGAAGCTACACTTGGAATCAATAATCGCATTCAGGCCAGGCCAGGCCAGGAACCAAGTCGCCTGTATAAGACCTGGGCCTAGATAGTGATGCTGTGCTGCATTGGGATTTAGAAGGCAGAGTAAATGGACCGTCTCCAGGAAAGTTAAAGAAAAGTTTAGAATTAGAACGTTAATAACAAGGTATTAATTCCTTCAAGACTCGTTCGTTGTTCCGCATTAATTTCTCATTAACAAAACAAGAACTTTCTTATTTTCCCAATCTTGGCCGAAAATAAAATCGAAAGTTAAACTACAAAAATAAAGGACACAAAACACTAAAAAGAATGTATTTCCAAGTTAGGAAATAGTAAAAAATTTAATGTCTGGGTGTTGTATAGCAGTCTTAAAAACGATTAATGGCTTGTTGGAAAATTGTTTCTTATCTAAATGGTAAATTTAATATTACAGGTAAGATCATTTGGGAAATGTTAAAGATGTGTAATTGTCTGAAATAAAACAAAAGGAAAGCAACCTTGTGAGTACAGACCATTGTTCTATGTTCCTATGTTGGAAGGTGATTGTCTCCAATCAGTTAATTAATACTTAAATATTTCTTTTGAACTCTTTTTTAAACTCGGTAGTTGCATATTTTCTCTAATGGCTCCTTCCATTAGTGCTTGCATTTATTAAATAAAGGTTTGTTAAAGTAGATAAGAAAAAAAAACAGTCTGTTCTTTTTTTTTTCATTGTATTCTAAATTTTGTTTTTTCATTCATTTTATCAAGAAATGGCCAATAGTAATATCTCTAATAATGATACCAAGTTGCATAATGGAAATAGTATACATGTTAGTGGAAATAAGTTATTATTAGATCCTGGGAACCATGGACCTGACCATTTTAAATCAAAGATGTCACCTTTAAGATTTCGTTTAAGACAATATTTAGCAAAATATGTTTCTTCACAATCTATATACCTTTCCCAATGGCAGAAAAACTATAGGACACCGTTTAGAGATCTAATTTTTTTATATTCATCTTCATTAGGTTCCCACACTTTCTACGTGTTGTGTTTACCTTTACCAGCCTGGTTAGGTTATTATACTGATACTAAAGATTTAGTTTATATCATTGGACTCTCAATCTATATTTCGGGATATTTTAAAGATTATTTTTGCTTGCCTCGGCCACATGCACCACCACTTAAAAGAATAACTTTGAGCAAAAGTACGACAAAGGAATATGGGGCGCCAAGTTCACATACAGCCAATGCTACTGGGGTCTCATTATATTTGTTATGGACACTCTACAATATTACTAATATATCTCTTACCTCTAGAATTGTATTTGCTGTCTTGATTGTACTATACTGTTTAATCTTAACATTAGGTCGGATATATTGTGGTATGCATGGGCTATTAGATATTTTTAGTGGTGCAATAATTGGTGCACTTTGTATGATTGGAAGAATTCTTTGCAAAGATTATTTTTTTGCAAATTATAATTTAGGAGATAATTGGTGGACACCAATATTTTCCTTGACATTATATTTATGGTTATTATTATATCACATTAGACCTATTGATGAATGTCCATGTTTTGATGATTCAGTGGCGTTTATTGGTGTGATATTTGGATTAGAAGTGTCTGATTGGTATATCCAATATTTTGGATTGGGTTTAGTATACAATTTTACGAAGAGTACACTTAAGATTTTGTTAGTTAGATTAATGATAGGTTTCCCATGCTTAGTTATTTGGAAATATGTTTTAAGTAAAAAAATTGTGTATTTTCTGATTGGGAAGGTTATTGGTATTCGAAATGATTTAGAAGAGAGAGAGCATCTGATACAAAAGCATTTAAAGTCAGGAAAGATGGAATGTTTACCATTCTGTGGAGTGTCTAGATTTGACGTTATAACGAGGTTTGTTATATATGCTGGTATTCCATTTACAGTAATGTTGTTTACTCCAATACCAATATCATACATTGAGAGTATTTTCAGATGAGATGGTGTAAATTTTGAGATAATAAGCATAAATATATGTATGTATCACATTAAAAAGTACATAAATCTATAAAGGTCATCAAAAAAAGTGAATATGTGTCTAATAGAATATCTAATTCGAAAGCATCAACTGATCATTTTAGTTATTTTATCACCAGGGCTTAGCACTTGTGTAAGTCAGTTAAATGCCGTTTGTATGCAAGGCTAGCACTCAATGGACCATAGGTTTTTGCATTTTCTCTATATTCTTTAAATGATTTGAATGAATTACCTGATATTGCTTTGGTAGAAGTGTTTTCGATTATATTTGAAGTAATAACTTTGCCTATTTTTTGAGCAGTAGTGGTGGATGATGCAATCTTAGTTATTTGTTGTAACATAGCTTAAAGATATATATAAGGTACGAGAAAAACTAAAAATAATGTATGTTTGTTCAGTTAAGTTTGTTTTTTATTTTTATTTCTTTTTTATTTTAAACCAGTGATCAGGCCGACCTGTTGGCATTTACAATAGAAACTAATGGAGATTGGTCAAGAATTAAAAGCAGGAGTAATACAAGATTGGTTGTTTATATATATTGAAGATTCGAAGAGTCTAAGGAAAGCAGATATTATTTTATCTACAGAGATATTTAGGTGTAAATGTGCTGCAACAATAGCAACAGGAACTATGTGGTAAGAAATTATCACGTTACCTCATAGATTTAAAAGGATATATCGAAAGAGGATTGTTAATTATACATAATATTGAAATCTGTTAGGTCTTCCAGAACGCTCATTCTCTTGACGTCATAATAAACAAAAAGGAAAGAATCTAAAGAAAGTCACGCAGTTAAACAAGATAAGCAAAGCATAATAAAAATCGGAGTTTTCCGGATTTTTTCAAATTTACAAACCTTAAATATCCAATCTTAAAAAAGCGCCTTAGCACTGCATGACCCCCTTTCAGAGAGATAAGCCAAAATTAAAAAAAAATAAAAATAAAAATAAAAAATAAGAGAAACAGAAAAGAATTTTATTGGAAAGGAATGTTAAAATTTGAAAGATTTGATTAGAATTTCCTATTTAGGAAAATCTTTTATGTCTTCCCATTGTTGTCTGAACATTACAATATAAGGAAAGGTGACTTTGAAAAAACAAAGAAGCGCTTTGCAATTTATTGTTTGATTTTCAAAATACAATATTGTATTAATAGTCTAAGGTAATTCTTTCAATGGTGTAAAATGTACTACGAGAATATATTCTCAAAGCATAAATAGGTGCCACCTACTTGCTAATTGCTCTAATTTCTTCTTAGCATGTATATATGCTTAGAACGAAAAGATAAATTGGGATGAAACGAGGTCTAAAGAAATAATTGGTGTTTACAATAATAATTACAGAAATATGTCATTAAATGTGTATAATACTATTTATATGGAATACAACATGGCTGTGATATATTTTTGAGTGCTACAATATTGAGATGGTATAATATTTTAAAAGATAGTTTTATGTTCTTGTACCCTTTTTTTTCATTTAGTTGAATTGGAAGATAGTTTGATGTGTTTGTTTCAATATTTAATGTTGCTTATTCCTATTTTTGTTTCATTATTAGTAAGTATTGTAAGTGATTATCCAAGAGAGAAACAAATAGGAAATAAAAAATATTATTTTTTAAGATTATTATGTGGAGGATGAGTATTATATAGGAAAAAATGTTTCGCACATTCGTATGTAGTCCATGAAATAGCAGTGGATGGTAGAGCAGCAACAATTCTTGGCTTCAAACCTTTTAGAAACCCCTTCCAACCATGAGTTTGAAAAATAGCCTTAGTTGCTTTAGCAAACGTATTTGCTCTTCTAAAGGCTTCAACAGAGACGGTTTCACTGCCTCGTATCTGTAAGGTAGTCTTGACAACATCTAATGGTGTGGTTATTGCAGCAGATACTGCACCACTTAAACCACCACATATACAGTGAATGAATGGATTGTATGTTCCTTCAGGGTTCAGTACTTTAATAGAGGACTCATATATAACAAAATTTAATGCTGTAAATGGAATATTCATAGAAAGTGTAGTCGGGTATGAATAATAAAACGCTGAAAAACCTTCATTCTTATATATATCCTTCGCAGTTGACCAAAATTTTGATTGTGTATTCAACTGTATTCTTTGTTTGATTGTATCAAATGGATTCATTAATGCATCAGATATTACGGTGGCCATAGCACCACTTATTGCAGTTTTCAGTGGTTGGTGAGTATTTATCTTGGCTTCACCAATTAAATGGGATTTACAAAATTCATAAGTACCAAAATATAATGCGTGTGCCGGACCTGCGCCCAATATAACAGATTGAACACCTTTCCAAAGTGCTAAGGTGCCTTCAGCATATGAAATTCTTGTAATCTGTGTCACTAATTTATCTGAGATTGATTTGGTGTGAGCAGATTGAATTCTTGTTTTTAATGCATCTATAGGGAACATTACAGAATGTTCCATGATTCCTGCTAATGCACCAGCAATTAACTGATGCCATAACGGTGATGAAGACGGTAGTGCTTCGTAGTCGATTTCTTCAGGCTTATTTTGAATGGATGATTTCTTCATCTATATATATATATATATATATTAGTAATTATCTTTCTTATTAATTTTTTAAATTAAGCTTTATTAGATATGCAATTTCTCCAATTTCACAAATACAAATACTTATGCTTATGCTTATGGGTCAAGTGATTGTAGATGATTTTGTAAGTAGTATTACAACTATGCACACTTAGAAATATTGAAAGATATTTAGTAATGGTATTGTGCAATAGAAAAAAGAAAAGATCAACTACAACCGACTGTTTCTGTGTATGAATAAATTTCAAATATATATGATAAATTCAATTAGCCTCTCCTACCATATTAAAGGTTGTATACTAAGTTTAAAACAGAAAATTAAAATCACATCGTTTAATTCTTTTTTTTTTATTTTTCGTATGTTTCTTTTAGTCGATCTTTATTCTCCTAATTCGTATTTTTCTTTCTGACTTGGATATGCTCTGAATGCACCATAAGAAGGAATCTGTCAAAACTGCTTTATTGATGATATATAAATAGTTGTGAATTTAATAGATAAAATAGAGTATCTTATAATATACCGAAAGAGTCAAGCACTCTTTAAAATAGAGTACACTAGTGTTTCTGTATGAAAGTTTATCACCTCCTATTTTTGTTCATAAAAGGTCCGTTTCTAGTATAATAGCGCATATAAAATGCATTTTTCTTACTTATAGATGGCTTACAGATAAAATGGGACTTGTCTATAAATTAATTTGTTAATTAATACTTATTTAGAAAAAGAAGAAGGCAGATTTTTTTTTTTATAATTTGCTAGTATGTAAGATAAAATCATTTCTTTCGGTCTATGGTTATTACATTTATTTTGTTCTTAGAAGTAAAGATGTTAATTTTTATTGAACAATTTTTAAAGAGTCTTCATTTTATTTTAAGTATATATATCATAATATATTAGATAACATTTTCCAAGTTGCTTAAATGTATAATTTAGATAAATAATAATGTCAATATCCATTTTATGATATAAGATAATTGTTTTCTTGCAGATGTCTTAGTAAAATTTATTACCTCTAACTGAGCTTATGTGTTGTTCTTGTTTAAATATTTGTATAATAATCATTTTGTCCATTTCATTTTGCAAAAAATATTGTTAGTGGACAACCATGGAAAAAACTAAAAGAATACTTCTAGAAATTCTTTATTCTACAAATGTATTTTATAATAGGAGTTAGTATTAATTTGTACTAATACGTTAAAACTTCTAGATAGTGAGCTTTCAAGACCAATTTCAAGAACTCCTTAATAGAAATCTGGACACCTTAATAAAATAAGATAGTATTTTATGAAAAGAAGAAATTTGGTCATAATAACTAAAAGATTTGCTATTTTATGTAGAAGTATCCATTTTTCGAAGTAAAACAATGTATATACAAAATTATTTACACATCTATAACTTTAAAAGTGGAACAATACAATGCAGAATTACTTTAGTAAATTATATAAGGCTATATAAAGAAAAATAAAGTAAAATAAAGTACATATAGATCTGAATACTGGTAATATTTACAAGACTTTTACCAATGTAATTTTGTTTTCATATTAATTCATATTCTTTTAATTTTTTCTTTTCAATTCTTTTTTGAAGTTTTAACTGACGTTGTTTTTTTCGTTCATCTCTAAGAGCTTTTTTATCTATGATAGCTTTAACTTCTGGTTTAGGAACTAATTTCATAATCATTTTGTTATAAATACTTCCTACTATTACTGGGGTAATGGAATACGGTTCGACAATATCTTTTAGAATACTTAGTACTTCGTTGTATTCTCCAATTTTCTTTTTGGATAAACTGTGTTTGATTGTACTATTTTCTAATTCTTCGAAATTCTCTAACCAGTTCTTTGAAAGATTATTCGACCGTGGTTCTATGTACAAATTTACTTTATGACCTTTTTTTAATAATGAGATGATTTCATTGGCTTTTTGATTATTCAAATCCTCTTTACTGATTTGCCAAGTAATTCTAATATGTTTTATTGTACTACTCCTCTTGGAAGAGACAATTTTTTTCTTTAAAACACCTAGTTCTGCTAATTCTTTCTCCTTTTCTTTTGCCAATTGGTTAGTATATTTTTTCAAGGCCGTCTTTACATCCACTATTTTAAGAAGAGGGATCTGAATCATTGTATTATGGTTATTTTGTATCTTCTCAATATCAACAATACTTAAGCCTTGTTCGTCTAAATTCAACCCCTTTATGAAATGGCGAATATTTGAATTTTGTATTTCATTTGTTTCTATATTAACTGTTCTTATATGTCCTTCCTTATTTAATTCATAAACTTTTCTAATAATCTGATTAGCAGCTAATTGAGCTCTTTCTGAACCTGTTTTCCAATTTATAATATATTTTTTTGGTCTTGTCTTGTTAGTTAATTTTTTAGGCTCAATACGTCCATTAAATTTACCTTGTTTCCTATTATTAGAACTTTCTTGAACTGGTGTTAGCTTTGGATTCGCTTTATAAAAGTCTGATCTAACTGTTTGTAAGATATCGTAATTATTTAGTTGAGAAAAATAAATGTGGAAATTTCTTATCGCGTAGCTACCTTTAATTATATTTTTTATTAAAACTATAGACATTTCATAACTTAAGTGTATATGATTTAAATGTTTTTACTGTGTTAAAAAATATATCTTTTGTTGATGGTATAGGTTATAAAAACGTCAATTGCTTTATAGTATATTGTTTAAATATAGTGAAGTATTTTTTAAAGTTTCTACAAGTATTTTTTTTCTTCATTTAATAATATTTTTCTCTCCGTTTCATAGGCAACCTTTAATTATTTTTTTGTACTTAAAGTAAAATAAATTATCATATTAAACGTCAATAGACAGAAAGACTATTTCTAGTTTTGTAGATTGTTTACAGAACAGTTTAGAACCATATAGATTTAAGAGCTCTAACTTTTAATATCATGCGAGTAATTGTACAAAATGAATTCTTATTTTACTAGTAAAAATGTATATTGAAATAATATATGTAAAAAAACTACAAATACAATGAAATAAAATTAATTACGTAATCTTATTGCTTATGCAGGACATTCAAACACCTAATAATTTTATTCAACACCTAAAACCATAGCAAGAAGAGCCATTCTGACATATAAACCGTACTTCATTTGCCTAAAGTAAGCAGCACGGTGGTCATAATCAACTTCTTCCTTAATTTCATTAACACGTGGTAATGGGTGTAAAACAGCCATATGTTCCTTAGCATGTGCCATGATCTTGTTATCAACAACATATACATCTCTTAAACGTTCATACTCTTTTCTATCAGTGAATCTTTCTTCTTGGACTCTAGTACAGTACAAGACATCAGATTTAGAAATAATCTCTGGAGTTAATTCAACACTTTCTGCACCTAACATACCCTTAACATCAAGTTCACTTCTTAAACTTTCTGGTAACCTTAATTCTGGTGGGGAAACTAAGTTAACCCTAACTTGGTAGTGCATTAATAAACGGCATAAGGAGTGGACAGTTCTGCCATGCTTCAAATCACCCATAAAAGTGACAGTAATCCCATTAACGGTACCAATTTCTTCACGAATAGTAAACAAATCTAAGAAAGCTTGGGTTGGGTGTTCACGAGAACCATTACCACCATTGATAATTGGGATTGGAGAGTATTTAGCAGCGATGTGTACAGACATTTCATCTGGATGACGCATAACGATGGCATCGGTATAGGATGCTAATGTTCTTATAGTATCTTGTAATGTTTCACCTTTCTTAACTGAGGAAACATTTGGATTAATGTTGATAACTCTACCACCTAAACGTTCCATAGCTGTAATAAATGAAGAACAAGTACGAGTAGATGGTTCGTAGAAGATTGTGGTGATGATATGACCTTTCATTAAATCTAAAACACCATATCTAGCAACAGCTGCTTTTAATTCTTGGGCAACTGCGAATAAGGCGTGTAATTCAGTACGGCCAAACTGTTTGATGGATAAAATATGTCTACCTTTAAATGGGTTGTTTTCACGGATCAAACTTTGTAGAGCAGAAGGAGCTGTTAACTCTCTTGGAGGTCTAGAAGACATCAATCTTTGTTCTAATGGTGGTTCAATAATGGCATCCTCCGCACTTTCAACACTGTCAAAGATCTTTGGTCTTTCTCCAGTTACTGAAAATCTCTTAGTAACAGATGCAACTGGTGTAACATCAACTGGTGTAGGTTCAATCTTTTCTTTGATAACAGAAATACCATTGGCTGAAGTGCTTATTAATTCACCACTTAGAACTACAGTTTCGTTATTGATAATAACACGTTCAATACCACCAGATAGAGTGTTATTTGCATGTGGTGTCCATCTTTTAGTATGGTTAAAAGTATAATCTAAATCAACTTCTATCACAGTATTTTGTTCAGGAATATTGAAAATTCTAGCAGGGTTGTGGTGTAAACGGAGGACAATGTCTTCAATGGTTAACTTACCTGCTTCAACAGCAGATAATAATAATGGTAATGCATCCTTGATTCCAAGACCAATGTCAACCTTGTTACCCGTTATAGTAGCCAAAGAAGTTGGTAACATACCAACAGAGAAAGCATCTATAGAATCTAGATTTTGCCAGAAAAATTCTTGATCTTTTTCAGTTGGTAAGAAGACACCTTCTGGATATTGCTCTTGTGTAATAAACATAGAATAAACATTAACATCACAGGTGACTCTTGGATCTTTCTCCTTAACTGTCATAATTAATGATAGATCTTCCTTGTTAGAAACACCAGTTATATGAATAGATCTATTTTGTAATGAGGCTAATAATAGAACAGAAGCTAAGTCAGAAGTCTTGGCTTCTGCAATAACTTGCTTATTATTAGGCCATCTCTTTAATAAATTTGCAATATCAGTAATTCTGTTCTTTAATTCCTTGGATGGAAGGAACAATGCACTAACTTGGTCAGCAGTTTGACTAACTAAATCAACATTGTTAGGAGTGCCTGCAACAGTAAAACAATAATTATTGTAACTGGAATTTGTAGCAACAGAATTGGCCGCTTTTAGAGATATTAAATCTCTAATAGTTGGGCCAACAATAGATCTTGGAAGGATTTGGTTGAAGGTAAAACCAGATTCTAAGTATAAACGGGTAGTTTCTAATAATTCTGCTGGGCCCTTTGTAACGTTAGAAGAGTTTGGAACATATGTAGCAATATCAATTAAACCAGGGATGGTAATAGTTCTGTGAGAGGTTTGAGCATCACGTTCAGAAACATCTAAGGTTAAGTGTCTGGAAAGAGCTTCAATTAACAATTTAGCACATTTGACATTAGTAACTAATGGAATAGAATAATCAACAGCCATACGACGTGTCTTGTAACCTTTAGAAACGTAGGAAGCTGGTCTACGGAATCTATTGGCAGATGGCAAGTTGATGTATAAATCAATATCGTTGTTGGCCAAATGTTGTGTCAAAGAGTATTCTGACTTTTCGTCGTCTTCCTTGTTCAGAACCTCTAAGTACTGAACTGGCATACCATGTTCAGTTATAAAGTCTGCAGTACCAGCAGTAGCAAATAATTTGAAACCCATGTCGTGTAATTTTCGAATAGATGGTAACAATTCTTGTTTTTCCTTGTAAGAACCAATAGATAACAAAATATTTTTCTTTGGTAATTTGAAACCAGTAGCAATTAACGATTTCAAGTAAGCCTCATATTTAGAATGGCCAAAAGTAGCAACTTCACCAGTTGAAGCCATTTCTACACCAAGAACAGGATCAGCACCAGCTAAACGTGGGAATGAGAACTGTGGAACCTTAACTGCAACGTAATCATCTGGTAATTTTTCCACTGGATATGGTTCAAATGGAATACCCATGATAGCCTTAGTAGCAAGTTCAATTAAATTAACACCAACAACTTTAGAAATAAATGGGAAAGAACGAGAAGCACGAACATTACATTCAATGACCTTAATTTCATTATCTTTTGCGATAAATTGAATATTGTATGGGCCTGTGATCTTCAAAGCTTTACCAATCTTGGCAGTTGCAACAACAATTCTGTTAACAGTTTCAGCAGCTAAATCCTGTGGAGGAACAATTAATGTAGCATCACCTGAGTGGACACCTGCATTTTCAACATGTTCAGAAACAACATGCATGACTAATTCACCATTCCTAGCAACAGCATCCATTTCGATTTCCTTTGCATTCTCGATATATTTAGTAATAACAACAGGGTAATCTCTTGAGACTTCAACGGCCTGCTTCAAGTAGGATTCCAAATCGTTCTTAGAATATACAGTGTTCATAGCAGCACCTGATAAAACGTAAGATGGACGAACTAAAACTGGATAACCGACTTTTTCGGCGAAAACATGAGCTTCTTCAATAGATGTTAATTCTTTCCAAGCTGGTTGATCAACGCCAATTTGGTCTAACATACGGGAAAATTTGTAACGGTTTTCGGCAGAATCGATCATATCTGGAGAAGTACCAAGAATTTTAACATTCTCACGGTGTAGCGACATAGCAATATTATTTGAAGTTTGGCCACCCATTGAGACAACAACACCTTCAGAGTTTTCAACTTCATAGATATCCAAGATTCTTTCCATGTTGATAGTTTCAAAGTACAATCTATCAGCTTCATCGTAATCAGTGGACACGGTTTCAGGGTTGTAGTTGACCATGATTGTTTTGTAATTATTAGAACGAAGTGTTCTAACAGCGGTGACAGCACACCAGTCGAATTCAACGGATGAACCAATACGGTAAACACCAGAACCCAGAACCATAATACCATGATCGTCAAAAGTTAAATCGTGTGCAGAAGCATTGTATGTCATATATAAATAGTTGGTGTAAGCAGGAAATTCAGCAGCAACAGTATCAATTTGCTTGACAAATGGTGTAATGTTCATTTCCTTTCTTAAACGACGGACAGCAACTTCATTAGATTTTAAGAATTTAGCAATTTGTCTATCATCAAAGCCACGTTGCTTAGCTTCCAATAAAACATTATATGGTAGTTCATCAATAGAACCAATTGCAGAGATTTTCTTGCCAAACTGAATTAGGGAATATAATTTATTTAAAAACCATTTATCAATTCTGGTCATTTCCCAGATCTTGTGTACGGAATAGCCTAATTTACCAAAGGCATTAGCAATAGCAAAAATTCTTAAGTCAGTTGGGTTGCTTAATTCTCGGTCAATATCAATGTTCAAGTCAGTTTCATTAAAACCCAAGTTAACATAATCTGTTGATCTAATAGCCTTTTGCATGGCTTCTTCAAATGTTCTACCAATACTCATAACTTCACCAACAGACTTCATAGAGGAGGATAACAATGTGGAGACTCTGTTAAATTTCTTTAAATCCCATCTTGGCATTTTCACAACACAGTAATCTAAAGATGGTTCAAAACAAGCACAAGTTGATTTAGTAATGGAATTCTTAACCTTATCTAAAGGAATGTTTAAACCTAACTTAGCAGCAGTGTAAGCCAATGGATAACCAGTGGCCTTGGAAGCTAAAGCAGAGGAACGAGATAAACGAGCATTCACTTCAATAATACAATATTCCTTAGAAAATGGATTCAAGGCATATTGGATGTTACATTCACCGACAACACCTAAATGTCTGATAACATTAACTGCAGTAGTTCTTAGCATGTTATAATCTTCATCAGATAGGGTTTGAGATGGTGCTACGACAATGGAATCACCAGTGTGGATACCTAATGGGTCAAAGTTTTCCATGTTACAAACGGTAACACAGTTGTCAAAAGCATCACGAACAACTTCATATTCAACCTCCTTCCAACCTTTCATTGATCTTTCAACTAGAACCTGTGGAGATGAGGCAAAAGCAACGTTACATAAATCAATCAACTCTTTTTCGTCATTAGCAAAACCAGAACCTAAACCACCTAAAGCATAAGCAGCACGGACAATGACTGGGAAACCAATATCCTTAACAGCAGCAAGTGCTTCTTCAACAGAGTTAGCGGCTTGAGATTTGGCACATTTTTCATTGATTTCATCGATGGCAGCAGCAAATAATTCACGATCCTCAGTGGTAATAATAGTGTCAATAGGAGTACCAAGAACTTTAACACCTAAAGCTTCAAATTCATCCTTTAAGGCAATACCTACAGATAAAGCGGTTTGACCACCAAAAGTAACGTAAATGGCATCAGGGCGTTCATGCAAGATAACTTTTCTAACGAATTCCGGAGTGACTGGTAAGAAATAAACTTTGTCAGCCAAACCTTTAGAGGTTTGAATAGTAGCAATATTTGGATTAATTAAAATAGTGTAAATACCTTCTTCTTTTAATGCTTTGATAGCTTGGGAACCAGAATAGTCAAATTCGCCCGCTTGGCCAATAGAAAGACCACCAGAACCAAGAACCAGAACCTTCTTAACATCAACTCTTGGATTAGCCTTCAAGTTATCCTCAATTTTACCACCTGGGAATTCAACTGATTTCAAGATACCTGTTTCCTTGAATTCTTTTACAGCTTGGATAAATACGTCAAATAAAAATTCAGTATCTCTTGGACCTGGAGTAGATTCAGGATGAAATTGGACAGAGAAGTATGGTAGTTCAGTATTGTAAATACCTTCATTAGTGTAATCATTGGCATTAGAAAATAGTGGTTTCCAGTTGCCAGACAAGGTTTCTTCATTAACGGCAAAACCATGGTTTTGAGAGGTGATATAACAACGACCACTTATGGTGGAGGTACATGGAATATTATGGCCACGATTACCAAATTGTAACTTTAATGTTTCTGCACCAGAGGCTCTAGCTAATAATTGATGACCTAAACAAATACCAAAAATTGGAGTTTTCTTTGATTCAATGGCATGAGATAGTCTTTCTGCTAAATTAGATAATATAGATGGATCACCTGGACCGTTAGAGATGAATAAACCATCATATTGTTCTTTTGTGAAATCATAGTCCCATGGGACAACTAAAAGTTCAACACCTCTTTTAACGAAACAACGAATCTGGTTGTATTTCATACCAACATCAACAGCCAATATTCTTAAAGTCTTACCATCTGGACCACATTGTAAAGTAACTTGGTCATTATCAGTTGGAGGCAAGTACAATCTGGGTTCTTTAGTTGAAACTCTAGCTACTAAGTTTTGAATATTTGGATCAACCCATTCAGGAATATCGAAATGGTGAGCCCATTCAGCAGTAGTAGCATTGAATGAATCAGAATCCTGCTTTTGTAAGGCCATTCTACCAAGCATAGAACCAGAAGTTCTTAAATGTTTTGTTAAGTTTCTAGTATCAACACCGAACATAGCAGGAACACCCTCTCTTTTCAACCATTGTCCCAAAGAGGATTCTGCTAAATAATGAGAATATTCTTCTGTATAGTGTGCAATGACCAACCCTGCAACATGAATTCTATTACTTTCAAAGTATCTTGGTAACCCTTGAACAATTTCATCTTCTAATTTGAAATCTGGAACACCATAGTTACCTACTAATGGGTAGGTGATGACTAAAATTTGGCCTTCATAGGAAGGATCAGTTAGTGATTCTGGATAGCCAACCATACCAGTTTGGAAAACCAGTTCACCTGCTGCAGGTTTTTCGGCACCAAAAGAATAACCTTGTAATAAAGTACCATCTTGTAATTCTAAAGTAATTAGTCTGTTACCAGTGGTTTCTAGAGGAGGACAAATAGGAGCAGTTGGAGTAATAATAGACATGATAATAACAATTTAGTGTGATATTAGTAGTAATAAACAAATTTTAATAATATTAATAATAATAGTAACTAATAGGGTATGATTTGGAAATTGTTTAATGTAAAATAAAAATGAATAGATTTATTTTTCTGAGGAGGAAGAAGGGAGATGAGGATAGAGAGGATTGATTTTAATACGTTAAATGAAATATGCAAACTATTTAAGATCTGTTAGTAAGATCTGTTCAAATAATATTTTCTTTTCAAAGAGGTAAAGTATTAAAAAGAAACTTCTGTGTGATGATGCTATTTTGTTTCTTTGACCTTTAGTCAATTAGAAATGAAATAGTATGTCTCGAGATATTTCTTTTTATTCTCTTTATCCTTTTACTTGCATCTATTAATTCCAGCATGGCTTCGATATATAAGCTTGAGAAGATAACTGTACGAGATGAAGCGGAATTAAAAGAATAATTGTTTATAACAAAAGATAACTAACTCTATTATTAATTTAATTCAAAATTCACATCCTTATTATTTTTCCCCCCTTTTCAAGTTCTCGCAGAACTGGATAATAGAGGAAAAAAAGAAAAGAGAAAAAGAGAAAAGAGAAAAAAAAAATAAGAAAAGAGATAATAACTATAAAGCTCGTCCGTTATGAGTGTAACGAGAAACAAAAAGTCGAAATTTGATATTGATTAAGTAGGAGAAGGTATGAAATAAATGGATTCTTCAAATAATCCATATTTCTAATTTCTTTTTAAAGAGCATGGAATTTGAATTTAACTAAATAATTGAGTATTAATCATCTAGACTGGTGTTTCTGATGGGAAGAAAACAACGCAATAGATCATCATAGAGAGTTCTTAGTTGAAAAAAAAATGTGGGGTTTAGTTAATAATAATACATACTGAATAATAATATCGATATAGCAATAATCAATAGTGAAAGTTTTTGGGGGCTTGAAGAATTAGAGAAGAGTTAGAAAATATCGCAGAAGAAATGTAAAGCTGTTAATTGTTACTGCAGATACTTGGCCTCTAACACAGACAAAATACGGTAATTTTCTAGTGAGGGAAAGCTGGGGATAGCGTGTCTTAAATTCGTAAAAGTAGGGATCGGATCACTCCTGTCTGGGCTGAAACACTACACAACAAGAAACGTCATTTACAAAGGATAAAGAATGGTGATGTAAAAGTTACTGGTAAGCAAAATGAAGAGTTAAAAATTGGTGTTCCTTCAACAGTTGAAGAACCATAAAACGGTTTTTTTTCCTTTTGAATTCAGAGATAAGGGAATACTAAATGGTTCCCGAATATATTCCGGCAATCCCATCGTGTATTTATATAAAAGAAAATTTTTTTTTTATTTTTCTTTCAATAGATATGGATTTTTCCTAAATTATTGAAATGACTCGGTTATTCAATAAACCACGGTCGACCTGCTATTGTTCTCAAAAGTTTCTTTTCAGCGAAGAAAAATTTTCATCAGTGGGAATTATGAAAAATTATATGATCTATTGTTCTTTCTTTTCTCATCGCTGTATTTTGTCTCGAGAATTTCCTATTTAGATATTATTGAGGAATACTTGTTTTTTCCTTTTTTTTTTTCCTCCTGTTTAATGGGACTTTTCGCATAAGCTATTCTTGAGAAACATGGAAATAAAGAATTTGCCAAAAGAAAATATTCTGGTAATGTTTTAATTTTATTTTCAAACCCTATTTTGTTTATACGCTGTCTGATATGTTTTCTACACCAAAGTGTTTTTTCTAACATATAAATATACTTGAAAACCCTAATTATGTATTTGTTTATTATATAATCTGTATTTCATCATTGACCTTATAATTATAAGCTTTTACATAACTGGTAATCTTTAACAGGGTGTAGGTCTCTACATAAAATTTTAAAAGATATTATATATGTCACAAATTTCAAAATAAGCTATCACTCAACTTCAATTTTTAGTTTAAAAAGATGTATTAAAGGGATTAGGAAGTATCCTTACCATTTACTGAAGTCATAAATATAATATTATACTCTTTTGAATTTAAAATAAATTCTATTAAGAAATATTATTAAAATTAAGCTTGTAATCCGTTAATATATTTATCTTAATTTTTTTTTTCATTATATTAATATAATATTTCTGAACTAGTATATTTCTTATGTTGATGTTATATTTATATTAAAATGCCTATCTCACTATAAATTGAATATATAATACCTGGGTTTGTCACTATACAAATTTTTGAATTTTTTTTCTATTGTAGAATATTGTAATAGTGTCCGTTGTAAGATTATTGCATATTCTATACATTTAAATCTTCTGTAATATTTGCAGAGAATTCCAAAAAATTTCTTTGATTTAATAATGATGTACTCCCTATTAGTTGCTATTTCCATCTAGCAATTTGCTAATATATATATATATATTTATATATATATATATATTATAAATACATGTATTTTAAACATTTAAAAAGACTTGTTTTTAGATCTTCCTATGGAATATTATCGTAAAATTTTTGAAAATAAACTTTTTTTCCCTATGTTCTATATATCTTTACTCTTTTTTAGAAATGATATGAGTATTTTTGGAAAATTTTTTTGTCTCCTTGTGTGGTTTTGTCTCTTTTTCTTGGTTCTTTATTCAAAATGTCAAGCATTAAGCTTTGGCAGGTGATACTCTAATCGTTTGGTAGCTTTCCTTGTTTGTAAAATATTTTATTTAAACCCTAAAGTGTACATGTAAAACAAGACATAGCAAATATATAGCCCTAATTTTTCTTTTTTTGAAAGTTCCTATCTAATTGAGATGATATTTTTGATTTTGGATCCCCAATGAAGTTTCGGAAGGTGCCGAATAGTTTTTTGTTATAAAGTTTCTATTCTTGAAAAATTACACTATATACTAGTTTCTTTTTTTTTTTTCTAAAGTGGGGTTGGAAATTTTACAAAACGCATTAATGAAATCATTATTTACGAAAAGTGTTAGAGATTTTTTTGATATCTTTTGATAATCTTATTTTTTTTTTCTAAAAGAGAATATATAGGATGAAGACATTCAAGCTTTTGTAAACTTGTTAATTTGAAAGAAAAAAAAGTAGTAACAAAGGGATTTGGGTGATTACCTTTATTGTTTAGATTAGTGCCCCATCAATTCTTTTTTATGTAACGTGGGATTTATTTAACAAAGTAGTCATATCTATGTTTCTGAAGTGTTGTTCTTTAAATAGAAAGAAAAATGAGAAGTTTTGAAATTGGTAATGGCAAAAGAAGATAAGCATTATCAGGAACAAGATAAAGTATCATCTGGACGATATTCCAATCTTATTCTTTGTCAGAAAATATATTTGCTTTTATTAAATGGGTATCAATTTATTTATTGGTGTATATATTATAAATAAAATTCTATTGTTTCCTTTCTATAAGATGTAAAAATAATTATTTGTGATAGTTAGAGAGAAATTGTAATAATAGTTTCTCAGTTCTAATGTATATTTCTTATTTGTTGTTATGAATAATTTCTTTTGAATATTTATTTATTGACATATGTTTTATCAGCGTTATTTGCATTATGTGTGAGAGTACATCTTAGTTTATTCATAATTATCATATGATTGATTCTTGTGTATTCATTTAATATTTTTAACAAGTGTAATTCATTATTACTGACTTGGAAGCCGGTTTGATTGAAAACTGGTTTACTAACAGTAATAACAACAAGATGATATTTTCTGTTGAATCAAATTATTTATTTATTTTTTTGTTTACATGTTATTTTGTAAAATTGCTTGTTTATCTAAGATTTTAAAATATATATATATATATATATAGAATATTACTGGTCCAATTATAATTAATTTTGGGTTTCCAAGTTCTTTACTAGCCTAATTTTTTAAAATTAGAAGAAGGTGAGTTTGATAGTTTACAAAAAGGATTCAAAAAAGAAATCTATAACTAAAATGTTCAAAGGTTTGTAATGAAAAATCATATATTTCTTCGTATTCTACAACATTGTAATTTGCATAGTGATGAGAATGTGTATAGCATACTACTATTACTTTTTTTTTGTTTACTTGGGAATAGCAAATTTTTACTACTCTGGTTCTTTCTAGGTATTACCTAAAGAAAAATAGCTTTTTGTATCAACTGCAATTTTTATCTACCAAATATTTAAATTTGGCAAAAAAAAAACAGTTTTTAAAGGGACTAGAATATACATATATTAAACGTTTAAAATTACAACTCTATAAATACTATATATCATTATTACAATGTTTTTATTCTATCATCTGAAATCGGATGATTATCTTTTTTCTGGTGATCATGGTTTTCTCCCATTTCATATTCTTCCAATATTGGACTTGTTTCTGATCTATGTCCTTTCATTGTAGGCGAAATACCAAATTTCCCTAAATTAGCACGTATCCAACCAGTTTTATTCATCACATAACCTGTCATTGGATCCGTATTATTTAACGATGTTGTGTTACGCCTTCTCAATTTCATGTCTTCAATATGATCGATATGCTCTAATCTTTCACTTGGAAGTAAAATAGCTCTGTCCAAAGAGTATGGTAAACCTCTACACCGGCCTCTTATTAACATACTAATAATAACCAACTTAGATAATACAGTAAATTGGGCAGAAAATGACTGGTTTGTATTTGGATATCCCAAAGATAAGCCAACAGTACCATAAGCACTAACTATTTCAAATAATATTGCAAAAATATTGAAACTTGGCATAGCCTCATCTTTAATCTTATCATTTTCACAAATACAAATAATAAACAATCCAAGAAATAAGAACCACAAATCAAACGATAATTGCTTTCTTAAATGTGCTCCAATAAAGGATTTTGTAGATATCTCATCTAAGTCTTCTGATGATAATGTATCTGTAGACATATTATTATGTCTAAATTTCTTTTTATTTTTCTGTTTTTTTCTCTTCTTTGTACTATCATCACTTCCTTCCTCCGAGTTACTACTAGTATCACTCAACCCCTCTAATTCCTCCTCCTCTTCTTCTAACTCTCTTTCATTCATCTTGCCATATAATCCAAGTGATTGTTCTTCATAAACATTAGTTCTTCTTATTGATATAGCTAGTGGTAAAACGGAAACATACATCATCAACATATAAGAAACTTGAATAGCTGCATGTAGTTGACTCAAATCTGTTACACTAAAACCCGATGTTCTAGTACTTACTGCTTGAAATGCACCCATCAATACCCTGATTCCTTTTGTATATGGTTTTAATACTTCTGCACCCAGATCCAAAATGATAAATAAAATCAAATCTGTAATATTTAAGAATAGTAAAGTTAATAATAACCACCATGTAGCCGAACTTGGAAATAATAAAGTGAAACAACGACGTGGATGATCCAATAAAAAACCTAAGCTCTCCTTTGTTTGGGAAAGATCTGGGGCAAGATGGAACATTATCCAAATAATTAATCTCAACAGAATTGGAAATCCTGTATTACCAATAATCATAAACCATATCATAACAACTTGTACATAAATAGAAGTTGCAAATGAAGCCATAGAGTTAGGTGTCAATGTAATACCCAAATCATTAAATGAACTCATGGCGGTAAAGAATCCCCACCAAGCAGGTGATATACCATCCTGTCTAACAACATAAATATAGTCTTTCATTTCACAAATCCAGGGAAGTAACATTGTAAACGCCATGACATGAAACCCAACATAATAAAAAACCACAATACGACACAAGAGTTTGATGGCTCTATATTCTACACCACCTAATTCATCCCTTTGATCTTTTGTAAGCCCGACAAACGTTGAATTACGACCAATAGTTGGCTGCCACGAAAGATAATTAGTACTCATAGTTCTACTCAAAGGTAAATTCATATTATTAGGAATATTGTAATCAAAATGCAATCCATAATTAGCAGGATCTTCTTCATCATAATCATAATTCTCCAAACTTCCATTTTGTGTACTGCTGCTAGTAACATTGCTAGCCGAATCCATGCTGCTAGATAATAAGTCATTCGGAGGTGCTTCTTTTTTATCTTTCTTCATTTTATCTGAAGTAGACATGCTTGACATATTAAACTTTCCAACATTTTCGTGATCACCTTTATAATAATTATCAAATATCCAACTTTTCCTCCTCTTATTTTCAGGCCTCTTATTATGTTTATGGCTTGCCTTCCAATTTTCATAAACCATATCCTGAAAATCAGGAGCTTGAGAGAGTTCATTCAATTTTTTGGGAGATACGTCAAAGAGAATGTCATCAACGGTTTCATTGTCAGCAAAGTAATCCTCCCCGTCATAGTTGCCTATTTGTTCCTCAGGATATTTCATATCTTGTTTATTACCAATTGAGCTAAGTTCATTTAATGGTTTTGCAACATTATTATTTGATAATCTACGTTGAATATTTCTGCGTAGTTTTCCACCTTTCTTTAATTGTTGTAAAATCGAGCGACTTGATATCTGTCTTCTTTTACCATAACTTGGTCTAACCACCTTAGAATATTGTGAATTATAGCTTTTCCTTTTGATCATCTTTCTTGGTGGAGCCGTAATGTTAAACTGAATTGATTGACCTTCTTTGTTCTTACCACCTGAAGGAATATTCAGATCACCACCATGCTGCCTCAAAGTATCGGTATCCATGTTATTGACAAACTTAATATGTTGATTTGACAGTCTTCCTTCTCTCTGTGTATTAGATGAACCTTGGTGTGAGCTGATGGATTCTGGTAATGAATCTGTCACTACTACACTAGCAGAATTTTCAGAATCAGAACTTAATTCAATATTTGTGCCACTATGTTGACTATCTATGTGCTCATTTTCAGTGTCGTGATCATTAGTATTCACAACACTAGATTCTGATACATAATTTGAATTTCTCAAATTATTGATAGAATGTGAATTGCTACTCTCATAATCTTCTTTCGAACAGTTTTCAACATCTGATTTTATCTTGAAATTAGCAACTTGTTGAGATTCTATACTATTTCTAGACAAGTTTGGGTCTGATTGAGTCTTCTTTGTCGATCTTTTAACAGAAGAAGTATTGATATTTCTACCTTTAATAAATAACACAGGCTCCGCATCATCTGACGTATCTTCTTCTTTTTGTTGTTGTAGTTGCTCTTGCTGTTGTTTTTCACGTAACATCATAATTGATCTATACATATCCTCTGGTCTTACATCACCAGATTTTCGCCTCTTAGCAAAACTTTCTCCAGGTTGAGGTAATGGCATCCTTTTTTTATGTGTGTTAATGATACTATCATCACTATCCGAATTAAAACCACCACTAACACTACTGTTAATACTGTTTTTTCTAACGCGAGTAATATTGCCATTACTATTACTAATGGCGTTACTACCAGTACCATTACCATTGTTACTATTTTTAGAAACACCCAAATATTCATGTATATTCGATTGACTACCACTCATTTGACTATTAGCAGTATTAGAACTTCTCCATGTAGTATTTGAAGCTTGATTAGAACTAGTTGATTCTTCATCTCTATTAACTTTAAGACCACTGAACAATTTTTCTTGAAAATTAGTTTCTGCTGTATTAGCTCTATGGATAGTATGACCAAATTTCAAGTTAGACATAGGAGCATTATTTGCAGATGCTTGAAATGAATGTGTTCTACTGGTCAATGTCCTTCTTCTTGTCATTTCTCTTTGCAAGATTGTTCTGGTTCTTCTCATCTTAAAATTTCTCTTTGATGAATTCTTTATATCATCGAAATATCTTTCAAACCAATACAATCTAACAAATGCTAAACAACCATGAATAGCTATCGGTGTGCAAAGACAACAAATTATATAAAGTATCATTTGTTGATAAAGTCTTAAGTCATTGATATTAATAGTATTTAAACCACCTTGTGTAACAGCCCCGCAGGATATGAAAAGAATATCAATATAACGTGCATTATGACATGGATACATTAAAACAGAGCATAAAATTGTCATAAAAATGATATATACGTAATGAACGGCAACAAAATTGGGAAATATATATTTTTTAACTGGATTTAAATAGTGTCCGCATGTTGCTATAATATCTCTGAGTTTATGACCTACAGTTTTCTTGTATGAAATATTAAAATTTGTTAAAGCGGATACTGAAGTCAATGTTCGACTGGTTTGCATATGCTTATCGAATTATTATTGTGGATGATAACAAATTCTGAATAACTTTAATTGCTTTTATCTTTTAGTTTGGAGTGATGTATTTACACTTATATGTATATAAATAAGTATATCTTTTAGAATAATTTATCTCCCAATAAATGTACAATTCTTGCTTTTATTAATATCACTTAAATGAATAGAGCTCCAAACGGATAAAATATTACTTTAATAATTTATCTAGATGCCTTAACTGACCTAGAAAGACAGCGAACAAAAAAAAAAGAAAAAGAACACTTTGGAATTAGCAATATTCTAAGGTTATTGCCTGAATATATTTAAGTATTAGTTTACTTATTTTTCAATAAACTCACCTCTATGCAATTCTTATTCTTATTTATTTTATTCTTGACTTTGATCCTTTGCGATGCCAATTTGTATTGTTCCTCAAAAGTTGGTATAATTGAATTAAATAATATATAGAATATTAACTTTCTTAACTTTAGTGTACGTGCAAATATATAAACCTGAATAACAAGCAAATGCCTAGCATCCATTGAGTATAAAAATAGTTACACAAAACATGCCAAGATTCTGTGTAAAAATAAATTCTGAACCCATCTATTGAATTTCAACAATAATAGAAACAGTCTCCACTTCACATTTGCTGAAATTTTATTATTTACCAAAAATATTTTTCTCGACTGTTTTTTATGTCTGTTTTCGGACTAGAGTTTGGGAAAATTACATCATCATCATTTGTGGTGTCCCCTTAACTTTTTTTCTAATACTTTTTACAACCCTACTATAAAATAACATAGATTCAATTTTTTTCACAAAAACCCTAAAGTTTATTACTTTAATAAAAGTACATTGTAATCTGTAAAAAGTTGTCACATAAATAAATAATGACTGTGCAAAAACAAACAGTGATAATAAATTGACCATTACTTATCATTATGTGATCACATGCAATTCTCTATTATCATTTTATTACAATTGTGAAAGAAAAGTAATATTAACATTTAACCCTTATTAAAATATCTATTTCTTTAGACTCACTTGCTAGATATCCAATATTACCGGGTTTCAAGAAAAAGATATAAAGTAACCAATTAAAAACTGATATTCTACATAGAATTTTCATAGTTTTACAATGAAATTGGGTATACTAAAATAAAATAACTTATTATTCCTTATCTTATCTTAGTACTATTTATTAAGTCCCAGCTGTAAATGAAAGCCAGCCCTAACTCCTAATGACTACAAGAACTGGGAAACCCCCAAAATATTATTTCCTGACCGTTCTTTCTTACCGCGGCGTTATGTCCATATCTTTTTCTTTTTAAAATTAAAATTTTTTGTCCTTAAATATTTTTGGTGGGTCACTACTTTTTCATCTTTAGTACGAGGATTAAATTGATAAAAACAAATGTTCTCTCAAACGACAAACGAAGGCTTAGTTAGAAAGAATGACGTAACCATCAACAATCAGGGTTATATTCTTTTCCTACCTGGACAAATACGTAAGCGAATAGGCAAAATCTTTAATATTTGACAATAATCTTAACTAAAATAGACTCAGTCCTACATGGTCGGAATTTTGGTTTTCCTGTAATTTTTTACAGCATATAGATCTGTATATGAATAAAACTAAAGATACAGCTATGCACATAAGTTCATATATTTAGATGTATATATTTATACGGACGTCAATTTCGTGAAAAATATTTTTTTTTTTCGTATATTCGTACTTTTATATATCTCTATCTATTGCTAATCTGATCAGGGCAATCCACCCATATGTAAAGCAGGAACAATTTTTGGCAATGCATTTTCACCACTTGCATCTAATATTCTTTTCTTAATTTCTAACCTTTCTTTAATGTATCGACTCATACCAACATCGACCTTTCTGTATTTAACTAACCATGGATGTTCTAAAAGTTTGGAATATGTAGGCCTTCTCTCTGGTATCTTTTGTAGACATAGCGCAACAAACTCTTGTGCCTCTATACTAAATTTATCTGCAGGTAGTTTTGGTGGTGGACCATCTACAATAGCACTTAGTTGAGAAAAGATGTTGTTAAAAGTTTCTGGTGGATATGGATATCTACCTAAAGCCATCTCCAATATACTCAGTCCTAACGACCAAATGTCTGATTGCACTGTATACGTAGCAATATCAGGATTTAAAGATTTTATTCTTTCTGGGGCCATATATGATTGACAACCAATATTTGTTTTTGCCATTGATGCTACTAAATTCCCAGAGACACCAAAATCACATAATTTTATCGTACCTTGTTGTGCGGAACATAATATATTTGTTGGTTTAACATCACGGTGTATAATATTATGAACTTCCTTCAACTCTTTTAACCCTCTTATCACTGCGTCTGTAATATATGCCAATTGTGGCTCATCAATACCCCCAATTTTGGGGTTTTGATCATATATCTTGTCTAAAGATCCACCATCCATATATTCAATACACATATATACAGCACCTTCAATGAAAAATGCACCATAAAAATCCACAATGTAAGGCGACCTACATTTGTGTAACACCTCCAATTCCATTAAGATTTGTCTAAATTTAGCTTCATCTAACTCTAACCTTACCTCTTTCATAGCCATAATAACATTAGTTGGTTTATGTAACACTTTTGAAACGTTACCATAATTACCATGTCCTAATTCTTCCAAGAATTCTAGTTCATCTAAGGTGATCCTAGAACTTGAACCATTACTAAAATCAATACCTTTGGATGAAAGAGACAATTTACCAGCGAAATTTAATGAACCAGATTTGATATCAACATATTTAGAGAAATTTGAAAATAGTCCACCTGGTCCACCTGAACCTAAACTGCTACTATTACTACTACTATTATCAGGCATGGTTCCCTCTGTATCACAGTTGTCATCATATGATGATGAAGTTGAGGTAGTCTGTATACCATTAATCAAAGAACCTGGATTCAACCTTCTTCCAGACGAATGATTTAGAATATGATTATTTTTATTAACTGGAGACACTGCAAATTCTTGAGAATCTGCATGAACTGATGAAGTAGTCGTTGAAGGGAATGATTTAGTTAACATTTTTAGATTCATCCCACCTAGAGGTAACTTTAAACCACGACGTGCACTTAAACTTTGTTTTGGGGAACGATTTTGTACGGTACTATTTGTTTGAGATGTTTGAATTGCAGCTTTCATATTTGTAAAAACAGGTCTCTTTGGTGCTCTTCTATTTGGATTTAGTTGCTGTGGTATTTGAGATACAAAATTCGACGTATTTTGGACATTACTGATAGTAGCCGTCGTACTAACAATATTAGAATTAGTTATAGAAGAGTCCGTACTATCTGTTGTAACAACTTGTTCATGAACTACTTCTTTATCTGATTGATCCTTAGTATTTGATATACTTTCGACTATATTTGTTATCATGTTCATGTTTTTCTTATTATCATTGCTCAGTATTGTGGCTTCTTCAGATGATTCCAAATTAAAATCTTTTGCTGATATTATTCTTGAATGTTTTTTAGTTATACTTGCTATCTTATCATCATAACTATCATTGTTTGTATTAGGTTTTAAAACATCATTTGACTGCAAATTTTCTGGAGTTGCAGCATCTTCAAAATTTACGTTATTATTATTATTATTATTATTCCGATGAAGATTCTTTGTAGAAATATTTTGTATGAAATCATTATATGATGGACCAGTTGGATGCATTAGAGATCGTATAGAATTATTGACATTAGTAGTGGAAATATCCCTATTTTCTAAGTTTTTAGAATTACATGAGTCTTTGGAAGATACAGAAGAAATTGAAGTAGATCTTGATATATTATGCGAATCACTGTGGGATAAATTTGGTAAAGGAGGCAAAGGTTTATTAACAATTTTATTCAATGTTTTTGAAACTAAAGATGCCGAAGATGTACTAGTTGTATAGGAAGATATATCTAAAGATAACTCATTTCTATCAATATCATCATCACTAATATAATTATTGGTATTATTATTATTGTTAGATGATGCTACTAATCTTTCTTGAGGGGTTTTCCTATTAGCACCAGAACTTGTTGATCTTTTTAAAGCCCGCTGTTCTTGGAATGCTTTAACTCTGGCATGCAAGTTAGCATTAATTTTATCATAATTTGATGAAGTAGACCCATTTCGTTTAATATTAGTATTCGTTACAGGACTTGTATTTGTATTTGTATTTGTATTTGTAGTGGCAGTAGTAATATTATCATTCGTTATACCAGAGGAAGAAACAAATGGAGAATTTCTTTTTATATCATCATCATCATTATCATTATTACTATCATTATCACTTGTATGAATGCAATTATAATCATGAATTATATCATCATAGTCTGATAAAGATGATTTAATAGGATTAGTACCATCCAATGATAATTTAGAAAATCTTTCAGTCATATTATTCAATCACAATATAAAAAGGAAAACAAAATGAAATAGCACGAGTGAAAAAAAAAATAAATAACTTAATTAGAAACAGCACAAAGTTTATTTCTAACGTTATGTGTTAGAAGAGCGTAAAAAAAGAACAATTCTTATTGAACTTTTCTATCAATGACTATATTATGAAGATGTTTTTGCTACGGGTATATGTACGTGTATATAAACAAATCACTAAAACCCAAAAATAAAGGACAAAGACTAAAAAATTTAATGACTTAGACGTACCTCTATAAGTAATAATAAATAGTACTCTAGGCTCCTATGTTGACCGCTCAACTTTGTTGCCTTTAAAGTAATGATATATGTGTGTGCTTTTTTTTTTTGCTTCCGCCTCTAAAAACTAGAAAATATTGAATTTTCCCTCCTTCTAGCAAATAAGCAAACAAAGAAACACACACACAAAAAGACAGGGAGAAAGAAGGAATAAAACAAAAAATCGAAAATTTACTTTCTTTTCGGATTTTGTCAAAGTAACTAGAAATATGAAGCAGTGAAAAGGAGAGACAGATACTCTATTCCGTCTTCAATGTTTAAACCGTTACTTTTTCCTGTGTGATTTTGTTCGTCTTAGTACCCTTGAGTATATATGCCTATAAGAACAAGAATAAAGTAATGCAAAATAAATTGAATTAGAAAAACTGTTACTCTGGCTACTCCTCCAATACATTTCCATCTTATATAAATATATCTTTGTCTACTATCAAGAACAAAAATATCATCGTTCAGGCTTTCCACACACGCATATGTATATATATGAGTATGAATATGAATATATATATATATATATATATATATCCATGTTCCTGTAATGATATTTTCTCTCGACCTTATTATCTTTTGGAACAAACAAATAAACAAGAAGAAAAATATGACATAATAAGATAAATATAAAGCAAAAGAGGTTAAACACAAAAATTAAAAATATCTATAAATTATTATTGTTCTTTATGCACATGCCTTAGTAAACCTACTAAATAAGTAATTGATTATTTTTCTAGTTGAATTGAATGCTTTGTAATACTGTTACTAAATTTAGTAATAATAGTAAAATATTCTTCAAATAAAACAAGACGGCAATTGTAAACCAACCAGCCAGCTTATTGATGATATCCACTGTCTGTTTATTAGACTTGACTATATTAAGAATTAACTAACAGTGATTGTTAAGTGGGAAAAAAATAATATCTTCATATTAGGAAATCATCGTCACCCTTTTTAGATCTTCTTTCTTCTTTTTTTTTCCTATTTCGTCACATAGTGCTTAGTTTTTCTTTTGTTTTTACTTTCTTTGTCTTTCTTTTTTTTGTCAAAATTTCTAAAAATAGATTTTTTATCTAGATTGTTATTACCAAAACCATACGCCTATTTATTATAGTAAAACTGCGATATGATCATTTATGTCACAGTATTTTACACACTTATATACATTATTAAATAAACTGTGTATATACATGCATTGTACTAACTGATATATAACGACTGAGACACACAAACTAGTAAATATCTTCTGATTAAAGTTCAATCTTTCGGTCTAACCATTTCCTTTCCTATCTTTCCTCCAATCTTCCTTTTATCAATATATTTAGTTCTATTCAAAGCGCCTAGATTGTGCTACAAGAGATATTACAACACAACTGCCTAGATATCCTAATAACTGGAAGAAGGCTTTACGTGATAAATATATTTGATAAGTTTTGGAATATGACCTATTAAAAATATCTCTTATTTGATGGAAAAATATAATCATCTTGTAGAAAACATATATACAAACATATATATATATATGTATGTATGTATGTATGTATGTGTGTGTGTGTGTATTAGTCTATATTCGTCTAGCAAAGCACTGTTATATTACTTATTTCAACCCCCTCTTATATTTCAGATACATTTGTTTCTCTTATCCCTCCCACTTCTATGCTTCCTTCATCATCAATTCTTATTATATAATTCTGTGTTATTTTCCAGATTCCTTCACTCTTACTTTTTTTTTTCTCCTGTTTTTTTCAAATATAACAAAAGGCATGCAAAAGCCTTGAAGCGGCAATATAAAAATGTATGGCAGAAAACATCGTCTTCTACGATTCGCTATATACCGTTAGACAAGGACTTGGGAAAAGTATAAAAATATGAAAAAGAAAAATTCTCAGTAGCATTCTCATATCTATTTTAAACCCTCTGTTTACACATTGATCCTTACACCATTTTCAGACAAAATATCATCTCTACGTTAAATTTCTATGTAGACCCTAACCATTAGTTCTTCATAGAAACTTCGTCTTTCATCTTTAATATCACCATAAACTTGATAGAATTTTTGAGAACATTAAACACTTTATGCACGAATACAAGTTTATATTAACAATTTGCTTCCAAATAAAAGTTATACTCCCCCATACCTGCAACATAATATCATACTATCCTATAACTTTTTTTCCTTCCGAGATTAGGAAACACTCTAATGAAAGAATAAATTTAGTTTATTCTACCTTTTAATGGTGATTTCATCAATTTTATCCATTATATTAATTTTTTTTTTGAATCAAGTATACAAAGAATCACTCATTATTCCTTTATCTTACCTTAGAACACTCGATAATGCAAGAAAGTGCATTATGATGGCTTCACTACCACATATTCTTGTATGTGTTTTTTTAAAAAAAAACCGTCCCATAATAATCCTTCGAAAAATTTCCATGTTTGTAAAATACCTTTTCCTAAACCTTAAATAACTAAATAACAAAATGAATTATATTTTAAGATGCAATATATTTAATCTTAAATATCAAATAGTGCTATTCAAGTGATATTCAAAAACAGCATCTCTAGAAATGTGTTAATAGTTGGAAAGGTATTGTACTCTCACCTTTCATTAAACTTAATATGCATATAACTATATTTACACTTACTTCTTTATCCATATTCGTATTTATAAATAATCTACCTATTAACGCCGTATATTAGAATGAAAATTTAAGTCTTCATCACCAAGATTTTGCAAACTTTGTAATTCGTGCTCAATGGACAATTCTTCAAACTGATCAGCAAAATTTTCTCCATTTTCCCCTCTTTCTTCATATTCATATTCATCATCATCGTCATCATCGTCTTCTCTTCCTGTAGCACTTGTTGCATCTGGTTCTTCATAATCTTCATCCTCTTCTTCTAAATAGTCATCTCCAAAATCAAATATTAATGGAATGTTTGTAACATTATTATAACCATCACTTCCACTATGATTATCACTATTATAGTTAGTATTATCATTATGTCGGGATTTTGATACCAAATTTAAAGCTTCTATCACATTTGGATCTAAATGTAGAATATTATTGTTATGATTACTATGATTGTGATTGTGACTGTGACTGTTATTATTACCTTTTTCATAATGAGTATACTGATCATTCTTATTATTATTATTGCTGTTGTTATCGATAGTTGATGTTAAAGATATCTCCTTAAATTCATACATTGTGTTTGGTGCATGGTTATAATTTGAATCTTTACTTATTGTCCTCCTTCTTTTCTTCATTTCCTCTTCCTCCACTATCTTATTTAACTGTCTCATATTCATATTAATGGTGTCTTCAATACTAAAGTTAGCATTTTCACCATTGTTATTGCCTCCATTGCTACTGTGACTGTTAGAGCTATTATTTTGTATTGAAAATCCTAAACTACCAGCACCTTGTTTAGCCAGTAAGCCATGTTGAACAGCAGATTCATAAGTTCTCTTTCTATTGACATTACTGTTATGATTAATACTATTAGTATCAATAGAAGTAGTACCAGGAATAAAACCAGACAAGTGGTCTGGTGGGGTTGCTGTGTTTGCTGCTGTCAATGAAACATTAAGGTCATTCTTAGTATTTCTGTTAACATCATCCTCTTGTTTATCTTTTGGTGTGGGCCCATCATAATTACCTTGTGGTTGTGCACTATTGACATTTTGCACAATTTCTATTAAATTGATTAATTTATCATCTGCATCTCGCTGGCCTTCTTGTGATATATAATTACTTATTTTATTTATATGAACCAAATCTTGTGCCTTAATACTGTGATAAGGTAACATATGTGCCTGTTTAACATTATCATTTGATGTTACAATAACCCCCGTATCATCTGAAAATCTAGATTTACATCTATCACATTGTGATGTGGCTTCCAACACTGTATTTTTAATACCATTCCAATGATAGCGTTTAGAAATTTTAGCAGTTACTTTATTCACTCCTGCATGTTCTAAACAATGTTCCTCAATAGCAATTCGTCTCTGTTTAACTGGATCATACACAACCTCTTTCCCCTTAAACATTATCTTACCATTCTCCAAAGTATGTTTTTTACTATGCATACGGATTCGGGCCTTCTCAGTCTTGTCACAATTCTTTGGATATTTCTTATGTTCCATATAATATAACATTCTTTCATACTTAGCAATAACATTATTCTTGTCATGTCCCTTAAACATTTCTATACTCTTTGTGATACTGGTTAGTTCCTTCTCATATATAAATGAATCAATAGGTATGTCATACCCCTTTAAAATACCTGATGACGGTAACATCCCAACTCTTTTGAAATTTAACTCCTCCAATATACATCGCATTCCAACATTAGTACCATACACCAAAGGAAAATATGCTGAAGTGAAACCCAGATGAGTGGCCCATTCTAAAAAAGTTTCCACCAGAGTTTTACCAATACCTTTCCCTCTGATCCCTGCATTAACCAAAAAATATCCAGTAGATATATGTGATGAACGTCCGGGATAGGCAGGTTGCAATGAAAATACTCCTAAACATTGTTTCTCCCACTGAATATTCAAATTTAAATTCCTATTATTTTTACGTGATATGTATTGACCCGTATGTTTCATTGTTTCTACTTTGGTTCCATAGTTATTATCAATATCACTTTGATCGTTCGGTACACTGTAATCCAATTCAGGTATTTCACCAAGAACCATAATACAAAGGTGACCATCTTTGTGAAACCAAATATCTTTGAATTCTCTTTCATTTAACGTCTCATAATATGGAAAACTAACACCTTTTACTATCTCCATATTAAATTCATCTAGTATAAATGATAATAATCCTTTGGGAAATAAGGCAGGATCACTCGGTATAGGGTACATTGTGGCAATAGTTTCATCGTCTTTTAATAATATTGTATGAGGTTGCAAGGGTGTATATAATCCGTCCATATCTTCAACATTACTATTAGAAACCATCTTAAGTTATAATATATCAGACAGTATGAATGCCTGTAAACTTCTTTATAAATTTTGTCTTTCCTTTTATTAAATTTGTATGTAATATAAATACCTATAGGGAAAAAACCGTGAAATGAGTATATGTGTTGATTCTTTCTCTTAATGATGAACTTTCACACTTTAATAAAAACGCCCTTGAATATTCTGTATCCAATACAAAAAGCTAAATATATGATTCCCCAAAGATCGGAATTTTCCAACTCCAAATACTGTTAGTTGAAGCAAGGTGAAATCGATTAATTGTATATCTTTTCAACTTTCCCCAATATTCAAATGACAGATTTTTATCAATAGTTATATTCTTACGTAAGCTGTTCGGACTGTTTTTTTTAAGTATTTTCATATTGCCGATGATGCTTAAAATCTTATTATACACTTTCAGACACCTTATATTCTATAATAATAGCTTACGTTAAACTAATAAAAAAGATAAGAACTTGATAGCTCTTATACTGTAGAGAACTGCAACAACGATGATACAAATATACCTTACAAGCTAATAACTATTCATTGTACAGAGATAGAAATACCGAAAGTCAAAAAAGAAAACACACACACAAACACACAAAGATAAACAGATCGTAAAGTGACTTCAATGAATAAAATAGCAATCGGGCAATTATGCTCTTCCGCTAATTTGAAGGCTAATTTAGATACTGTAATAAGACTAATAAGTGAAGCAATTGATAATGATGTTAAAGTAATTTTTTTTCCTGAAGCAAGCGATTATATTGCCCAAAATTCTCTTCATTCCAAATATTTAGTTCAAAAGAGTCCTGAATTTGTAACGAAATTACAGAAAAGTATCAGGAACTTAGTTCTACAAAAAGGGAAACCAATTGATGTGTCAATTGGTGTCCATTTACCAATATCTACGAACGAATCTTCTATTTATGATAAGAACCACATCAAAAACGATGATAGAGTACGTAATATGTTATTATACATCAATCATAAAGGTGAAATAATCGACCGATATCAAAAATTACATCTTTTTGATGTAGATATACCCAATGGTCCCATATTAAAAGAATCAGAATCTGTCCAACCTGGTAAACATTTACCAAATATCATTGATACACCCGTTGGGAAATTGGGGAGTGCAATATGTTACGATATAAGGTTCCCTGAATTATCTTTGAAGTTAAGATCCACAGGAAGCGAGATAATTTGTTTCCCAAGTGCATTTACTATGAAGACAGGTAAAGCACATTGGGAACTATTAGCACGTGCTAGAGCCATTGATACACAATGTTATATAGTAATGCCTGGTCAAGATGGAATTCACAATACCAATGATCCAAAATGGTCCAACTTAAATAAGAATATGACAACTTCAACAATAGCAGAAAATATAATACAACGGCAATCATGGGGCCACTCAATGATAGTAGATCCATGGGGCACTGTTATAGCCAAAGCAGACCCAGATATTCAAGGTCCACAGCTGATCTTTGCTGATGTAGATCACCAAGTATTGAGGGAAATTAGAATGAAAATGCCTCTTTGGCAGCAACGTAGAAAAGATATATTTATGTGAAGTGACAGGCTAGTGAGATTTTACTCACCCTAATAAGGACACATAAAAAAACAATGATTTCATTTTTTCTTCTTTTTCCACTTTCCATTATATAACGACATAAATATATAAGTACATCTGGAGTATATGCCTATATTATCGATACAATTGTCTTCTGGTAGTTTATTACCAGATAAAATATTAAAATAGGGCAAATATAAAGATAAAGATGATGCAAAACATAAAAAAAATAAAAGAAGAAACCAACATATCAGCCAGTCATGATATAATATATTCAATTTTTTCCCTCTTTAACACTATTGTTTCGAATAGTTTGCAGCATTTCTTGAACGTATTTTTCATCTCTAGTATTAGTAATAATTTTAGATGCAAACGTCAAATACGATGTATGCGATTTGATTTCATTTTCTACTTTAGTGACTTGTTTCCACTTATAATTCTCGTCACCTTCTTTAACTCTTGATCCTTTACCAAATGGATTAAATTTTGCCTTTTCGGTCAACGGTCTGTGAATCTTCATTTCATTTTCTTTTTCATCTGGGCTCATATCATCAATTATTTGAGAACGTCTTTTGACACCTTCCAGTTTACGTTTTTTTATATCTTTTAACCTACCAAGAGCATCATCTAGAGTCCTTACCATTTGCCTTCTACTTTCATATCTCTTCCCCTGAATTTCCACCATTTGAATATTATTCCATCCATATCTATTCATTGCTTCAATAGTTTTATCAACTTGTTCAATACAAGGTGAAAAACAACAAAGTTCAACCTTTTCATCCCTTGATATAACTCCATCTAAATGTGGTATAACCTCCCATGGCGCAGGCAAATCCAAGAAGATTGCATTTGCATCCAATATAATCTTATCTTGCGGTGATTTAAAATTATATGACGTTTCGTCTCCTAATTTAATTTGGAACCCGTCTTTACCTACATCTCTGTGGGTAATTATGACATTTTCATCCAATAACCCATGTCTCTTAAATTCATCCATTGCTTGTTGATATCTAACTTCATGGAATTCAAAAGTGTATAACTGCTTAACAGACCTTGCAAAAGCGTGTGAAAAGGAACCTGACCCAGTACCAGCCTCAATAACTTTACTCTTAAATGGATTGCAATTCATCCTCTGCATGATATAAGAAGAATCTGGAGTGTAAACAATCTGTGTTCTGTGTGGTAATGAATTTGTCCATAATTCAGGAGTTGGTTGTAAAACATGAATAAATGCAAATCTTTTCGACCCTTTAGTCTGAATACCTATTTGAGATCCATAAGGTTTCCCAATCATATCCTTATGCGGGAAAGAACCATACCTTGTATTTAATACAGCTTTTGAATCAAGAGTTATTGGTTTGATCAGGTCTCTTGTAATCCAAACCAAAGCAAAATCACCTTCTTGTATTATATCTTTATATTCTGTAAAATCGGACATGTTCTTCCTCTATTGAATGACCAATTAGCTTAAACTGTATTAAATGAAAAACAAAGAGGAAAGAAACTAATCATAATAGTGAATTAAACTCTATAAAAGTATATATGCTTGGATAATACGCTTATTTACACAGATTTAATGCGATGAGATGACATCTTCAATGAAAAAAATTGGAGAGTCTTATATTTTTTTTTTTTTAAATACCCAGAATTGAAGTTTTTTTTTTCTTTTGCTTATCCTAAAGACATATGTCTAAAGAAGCAAGCAGAGTAAAAATGTATATATACAATAAATACGTTAATGATAAAGATCCTATTCGGTCATTTAAGTAGATCATGTAATCAACATAACACCACTCCCCACTAAAAACAAAGTTATAAGCCTCTCGTATAGATCTTAATCGTTACTAGCACTAATCTTACTAAGTCGTAAACATGATTCTATTAAATTTTTATTTTTAACAAATACCAATTATACATATATACATACATACATATATATACATATATGAGTTTCAATTTATACATTAATACATGTCTGATTTGTAAAAATCATGTGTTAGACCGTAACGAGCATATTCCTTTGTCTTTTGTGTTTCTCTTTTAAATCTATTATTATCGTTAATCTTTTTAATGGTCTCACCGTCCTTAAAAGGTATACGTTCCATAGATTCTAATGGTTGATCTTCTTTGTCAATATCTATTTCTCCTAACATAACAACATTTTCTCCTCTAATCATAAATATACCACGATCTTCTTCGCAATACTGATTCTTTTCTGTTATATATATTCTTTCTACACAATGTTGCAGGATTAAATTCGCGTACTGATCAAATGTTCTAAGTACACCAAACAATAATCTACCATCTCTCAGTAACACAAAGATCTTTCTATCCACAGAACTAACAATTGCTGCTGTAGTAGTAAAATTATATTGATCTAAATATAAATCTGCTTCACCTTCAGTAATTTTTTTAGATTGTTGTTTTTCTTTCTTAACTTGAGATTGAAAATGCTCTTGTTGTTGTTGTTGCTGTTGCTGTGGCTCGATTGTTGTAGACATATTTTATTTTTCACTTAATCTAAATCACACTTTTGATATCAATCCGACTTCAATTAAAACATAAGAAATAATACAGCAATATAACTATTAATTTGGTGTCTTTAGAATAATATTAACACCACTATAGACAAAATGTTGATCACATATATAGACAGGATATACAGATATTGTCTCAATTTTATATATATTGTAACAGTGGACACATTCAATCTCTATTCCATTATATGTAGATTTTTTTCAAAAGTCTCAATTCCAATTTTTCTTTTTCTTTTTCTTTTTCTTTATTCAAATTCCTTTCATAGAGTTCATTTATGAGAAACTAAAACTTGAAGAACAGGAAGATACTGCCATACATACATAGTTCATGTATATGTATGTATTCTAACTCCATGTGCATATACATTTAGATAAGAACTCGTAAATAAATAGAAAAAAAAGGTTATAATAAAAAGAAAGGAAAAAGCTTTTTATAATTAATATATATCTATGTATATATCTTGACTCTACTATATATTTCAGAATCCCATTCTTTCAATAACATAATTTTGAGCTACAACACCAATTACCAATGCTATACCATCTTCAATCCATTGTTGGACCCATTCACTTGGATCTACTATTATTTCCTCATCACCATCGTCACCATTGTATTTAGAATCATCATCATCATCATCACTCTTATTCTTTTTATTATCTTCTGAATTACCCTTCTCAACAGCGACAGTTTGAATCTTTGAACCTTGTAACCAATGTAACCATTTTAATGGGAAACTTTGTGATCTTGCAATACATGTAATATCATTGGAAATATCCTTTAGTACCACAGTGAAATGAAAATTATTTGGACTTGTAGTGTCAATTGTCTTAATAATTTCATCATTACTATCATCATTAGCATTAGAATCAGCATTGTTACTATGACTGGTTGATGGTATAGAAATAGGTAAAATTGAAATAAAGATATCACTAATATTATCGTTAATGTTGTTGTTATTGTTATTACTTACTTTTTGATCCTCTTGTTGTTGCTGAAGTATAGCTTCATGGGCTTTATTAAACAATTCGATTGAATTATCTAAGTTAGCAAAAGCTAACTTGTCACCATCATTAATTTTACCTTGAAACAGATTCAAATCAATTTTTTGTCTAAATTCATTAATACTATTACTAGAACTACTATTACTATTATTCTCATTTGCATGGCCATTAGAATCTACATTATTATTATAGTTTTTATTAACTGTGTTATTATTCGGTTTCCCCCATTCATCAACAAAAATTCTAATACCACCTTCAACTTGAGAGCTCATAACTTGATCGAATTTTTCCTCCACATAGTATTGCAAATAAGACAAATTAATTAAATCATGGACTAAATGGATACGAAGGACTTCTTCAGTATCACCAACTACGATTTTAGTCAAATTCTTAGTAATCTGATCAGTCAAACTTAACAAATTATTTGTATTCAGATTGTCTTTCAAGTTTGACAAGTTGACGACTGGTAACACAGCGTCATTTTCAATCAGTTTATCTCTGAATTGCGATGCTTGTTCTTGTGTCTTATTCCAGATCTTAGAAACTTTATCAGAGCCTGATTTTGACCACCAATTTGCGAATGATGTAATTGGATCATTAAGTGGGCTATCTTCTCTATCTTCCATGCCAGCATCATTTGATCTTTTATCCTTTAAAGAAGCGATACTGGCTGTATCATTAGCATTAGCTGTGTCATCAGCATCATGCTTTATTGGTTCTTTAACTGATGGACCTGCATTAGCATCAGTATCTGCTTTTTTCTTCTCCTTTTGAGTTATTTTATTTTTAGTATCAGAGCCATTATTATTTGTGCTCTTCTCTAATTCTTCTAAAAATTCCAAAATATCTTCTTTATTTTCATTTCCATTTGGACCCTCACCTGTTACCAAAGACCCATCTTGTTTATTAGCATCTTTTTGCTCAGAGCCACCAGCAGGGCTAGAAGTGTTAGTGAAACTGTTACTTTGTGGCAACGAGTCCAAAAACTCAAACACATCGTCTGCTTCAGTAGAAATTTTCTTCTTAGAATCTGACATCTATACAAGATAAACAAAATTAAACAAAGGAAAGAAAGGAAAAGGAAAAAGAAGAGAGAGAGAGAGAAAAAAAAAAAGGGGAACAGTTGTGAATGTTGCACTATTGCTTATAAAATTATTTTGTGGACTCGATTGTTGTTAATAGATATTATTAATATCTGTCAATCCAACTTTGCCCTCATATAGACTATACACACACAATTATAGATATTTTTGACTCTAAATTTTACTCTTTAATTCCTTAACTCTTAAACTCTTTTTGTATTCGATTACATTTCATTTCATTTGATTCTGTTTCTTCTTTCCTTATTTTCTATTTTTCTTTCTCCCTGTTTTCCCCTCCTTCGAGGCCAACGGAAAAGAAACAAAATAAAACAAAACAAAACAAAAATAAAGAGGACGAAAATTTTTCTGTCTGTTTCTTTCTTTTTTTTTTTTTGTTTTATAGAGAGAGATGCGATGAGCTTTTATATAATGGAGAGCATAACAACTGATAGATGTCCAAGTACATACAGAAGAGAGCAGCAGCAAGTTATCGTTTGATATAAGTGCATTAAGAAGAAGAAGAAGAACAGAAAAAGAGGGAACTATAAACTATAAACTAGAAGCAAAACGAAAATAAGATATGCCATCTAAGAATAGTATTAACAGACCGAAATTGACTACTAATTTGAAGAGCAAGGCTCAGAAAGCAGGGTTGAAAAGATCTCAAAGAGAACAAAGGGGTGATTTCAAACCAGCTAGATCAAGTGAACAATCTAAATCCGGTGAAATCAAATCCGTTGCATTGGATCTATATTTCCAAAATGAAAAAGGTAAAAACGATAGTGATGTTGTCGTAAAAAACGGCCCAATAACGAGAAAGACGTTATCTAAGAAACGTGCAAAGAAAATTGAAAGAAATTTGAAATATGCTCAACAGAGAAAGAAAGAGTTACAAATATTGACCGATTTACAAGCTAAAAAAGATAATGAAATGGATTTAGATCTTGATTCAATACGTAATAATAATAGTAATCGTAATAAGAACAAAATATTAAAAAAGAGTAAATTATCATTAATTAAAGATGCCATGTGGAATGTTCTAGAAGACACCCAATCTATAGGAAACTTATCATTATCTACTTCAGGCCAAGGTACAACACTTGGTGGTGCATGGTTCCCATGAAAGAACAGATCAATAAACAAACAAACAAGCGTAAGATTGCCAATCGTTTCTTAATTTCATACTATTATACATATATATGTGTATGTATGCATGTATAAAAGACCTCGATAGAAACTATTATTATTATTATTATTATTTTCTTCAGTCCAGTAAACCTTTATTTTCTAATTCCTTTCTAACTTCTTCCTTCATAAAAGAAATGACATCTGCAGGATCCTTTGCAGTGAAGACACTGGTACCAGCGACAATAACATTAGCACCTGCTTTGGCGGCATAAGGGATAGTTTCTTTTCCCAAACCACCATCGACTTGGATATTCAAATTTGGATACATGCGTCTTAGAGTCTCCACTTTGCTCATCATATCAGGCATGAATTTCTGTCCACCAAAACCAGGTTCCACGGTCATAACCAAAGCCATATCCAGAAATGGTGCTAGTTCGAATAGCACGTCCACTGGGGTGCCTGGTTTGATAGCGCAGGCGGCCTTGATACCAAAGGACTTGATCAGCTTAATCAGTTCCAATGGGTTCTTTGTTGTTTCGTAATGGAAAGTAAATTGATCGGCACCAGCTTTAACGAAGTCAGATACCCAGTTCTCTGGATTTTCCACCATCATGTGACAGTCAAAGAATGCTTTATGTTTTGCTGTTTGGTCGTTTGGACGACCCACTGATTTTCTCAAAGAGGTGATGATAGGCTGACCCAATGTGATATTTGGCACAAAGTGTCCGTCCATGACGTCGATATGCAACCAGTCGGCACCTGCATCGATGACCCTATGACAATCGCAACCTAAGTTGGCGAAATCTGATGCTAAGATAGATGGAGCAATAAGTGGTTTTACCATTTCTTTATTATTCTATTCTAATATTTTTCCTTTTCTTTCTTTTTTTATTTAAGTTCTTTCAACATACACACACACACATGCGCGCGCGTTCACGTATACACAAATGTTTTGTGTTTATCTATCTATCTACCTATATATATATATATATATAAGATTTATTGATTTTGTTGTTATGTATTACCTTCTCCTTCTTCCTTATCACAAAAGAAAGCAAACAAAAAAAGAAAAAAAAATTATAAGAATATGAATGCCATGACATATCTCTGAGCGCAAGAAGCAAGGCTGTGAAACAGTAAATGTGATCATTGTATAGTTCAAAGACTTTTATTCCGTCCACCTGTGCTATCTTTTATCAAATCGCCTTCTGCAAATTTCTCGAATCTTCAGCAACGGCCCTCGAGGAACGAAAAAAAGAAAAAAGAAAGAAAAAAAAAAACTGGAAAAGATAGCTAAAAACGGAAAAGAAATTTTCTCACGATCACCGAACAAAAAAAAAAAGAAAAAATAATCATTTAAAAATATATCTACCTTGGTTAAATTGAACAAGACCACTCCAAGTTTCCTTCTCTGTATATCCCACACGGATGAACAGGCAGTTGGATGGATGAGTGAATGAATAAATGGATGGATGGATGGATGGATGGGTACGTGATTTGATTAATTAATTATTAACGTCTTATTATCTATGCTTGCATTCGATTTATCACTAGTCTTAAATGATAACACCCACTTCTTTTCTTCACTTGCATTATCATTATTATTGTCATCTGCTCGTTGTCCTTCTTCCTTTCTTTGTTATGTTCAATATTGAAAGATTGAAATAATTTTGTAAAGATTCTGGTGCTATTTACCTTATTTATTTATTTATTTATTTATTTATTTTTTGATTTTATTATTATCTTTTATACTCATCAATAAACTCGTCTTCCATTATTCACTAGATATTATGAAAAGAGAGAGATCTGATTCCCTAAATAATAACTACATGGAAAATGATATAATACGACAATCATATTATAATCATAAGAATTTTTCTCCAATAACAACAAATGAAAAAGTTGATAATAGTAATGATATAGCAGTACGAGATGGTATAATATGTAATGAACCCCCATGTGAAAATAACTTCATCTTACTGGAATTTTATCCAAGTCACGTCGAAAATTATCATAATAATAGATGTAGCAAATGTAAACAAAATTTCATATCTAATCATATTCTGAATTTACATATTGATGAATGTCATAATCCATTTCTTAACGAATTCGATAATTTAAAATGTTTCGAAGTACACTGTAATGAAACTTTCGAAAATCATAATGAAAGAATTAAACATCTTATAAAAAAACACGATTATCCCTCATTTTTCGATTTTGATATGATTTTTAGTGGTTATTAATTAAAACAAGATAAAAGACTCGAAAGATAAAAAAAAAAAATTAGAAATAGATAAATTATATATATACTTTTATGTTTATTTTTACGTTTACGTTTATGTTTATGTTATTATATAGATAATATTATGCCCGGTTTATTTGAATATGATATAGCTATTTTTGAATCATCTTCACTCCATGATATATCAAATACCATACTATCCCCATCATCATTACTTCCATTAGCATTATTACTATTACCATCATTAATATTAGCATTTAAGTTGCTACTTGCATATTCACCACATAGTGGGATAGACAAGGGCTGTCTCAAAATATCGTCTTTCTCACTAATCTCATACCCACTCAATACATACGCTATATCAAATAATTTAACTTTACCATCCAATAAACCAATCACATATCTTTTTTTATCGTTAGATAATTTACCACATATTATTGGCACACCCTCACACAACTTAATGGCGACCAGACTTTGTTCCTGTATGGACCATACCCTAATAGTCCCATCCAACGAACATGATATTATCAATTCATCATTGATCCATTCAATAGATATAATGTTCTGCGAATGTCCATAAAATATATAGTTCGAATTACTACTTGACCCATGCCATACTCTTATTGACAAATCATCAGCACTTGTAGCCAACAGTTTGTTCGACTCGTTGAATTTAATGTCACTAATAGTTTGCTCGTGTCCAATTAACTTACCTATCGGTTTCTTGGATTGTATCGAATAAACATTTAATTTGCCATTGTTTGCAGGTAATACAAACTTATCTTTATCCACCCATGCAACTTCAGTACCATTGACATTTACATTCATTACCTTATTATCTCTTGTCATAGTAAGATTATTATTATTAGTAGTACTAGTATTGTTATTATTATCATTATTGCTATTGCTTTTATTCTCGTTACTTATATCATTATTATTATTATTAGTATTATTGTTATTATTATTGCCACTATTAATAGCACTTGAATTATTATATGATGTTTCAATATTGCCACTGTGTGATTTCATTAATTCAAAATGTTGAACAACAGTGCCATTTATTGCGTTCCAAAGAATCACCACGTTTTCAATATCCATTGAAAGAAACAGTGTGTTATCATAATTCCATTTAATCGATATTATTGGAACACGATGGAAATTAAAAACATTTTTTAAAAGACCATCGTATGACCATAACCTAATCTCCCCATTTTCCACCGCCGTCAACATATACTTACCATCATTCGACCATTCCAAACACGTAATCTCATTAGTTGTGTTTCCTAACGTATAACTTAAGGCAAATGGATGTCTTAATTCATGGATCTCGTTATCAGCCCCATTAGAGTCCCCTTTAAACTGAATAATTTTGGCTACTGCCTCATTTTGAATACCCAATGCAATAACATTCGGTCTTTGTGGATTCCACTGCAAGTAATTCACTTTCTCTTTGGTCAAATATGATTGTGTCCAATTAGGTACAAATAATTTCAATTCTTTAATAAGATGCTTGGCAGAATTCATAGAAGAATCCATGACGTTAGGAACCATAGAAGTAGCAGTTCCTGAAACACTGTATTGCTCATTATTTGTATTGAGTGGGGAAGTGACTGTATCATTCTTACTATCAATTTGATCCTTTTCCTCTTTTCCCAAATCTCTTTCAATATCATCGTTAACTAGTGCAAATCTTCCTGTTGCTTCTAATTCAGGTATAGAACTAGTGTCCACCCTGAGAGCATTTGCTAAATTAAAAATATTGTTTCCACTGCTGCCACTATCAGTGCCATCGTTATTCTTTTTATTATTTCTATTATGAATATATTCTTCTAATTTATTATTGGTATGACCATTTGAATGCTTAAATAAATCAATCAATTCATCTTTATCCAATCGTTCAACAAATAATTCACTTTCACTAAAAAGTATCCCCTTTTGTACCAAATTAACTAAGGTACCTAATGGAACATGCTGTTTATACAACTTATCAAACTCTTTAACTCTTGTCTCTTCTTGTAATGCTAAGGCGCTCAATTCATTCCCTGTCTCTTGGAGATATCTCCAGATCAAGTAGTTCAATTCTTCACTAGTAATACTCATTTGTTAATTTAATCCTTCTTCTTCTTCTTCTTCCTCTTCTTTTTATTTGTTTTTTTCGAGAGGGGGAAGGTTTAGTGGTCTTTTAACAACAAACACAAAACCAACTACAATCAAAGTTCAACAACTATTAACGACTAATATTTCTACCTTGCTGTCCCTCCATACTGTATAATGTATAAAATACTGTAATTTTGGAGTAATGTATTTTTTCTATATTTATATTTTATAGATTGAAAGAAAAGTTTTCAATTAAATTTTTCAAGTTTTATTCCAATTTATTGATATCAACTTTGCGTGAATAAATAAGAGAGGAAAGAGAAAGAAAGGTAGCCCCAGATTTGTCCACACACATACACATTCATGTGTTAAAAGTTCACACCACAAAGGACAGTTAAGCATCAGTTGGGTGTAGATTGTTGTGATTTGCCTAAGTAAGTAGTGTATAAAAAAAAAACAAATATATATATATATATAAATAAAAACACAGCAACAAGCTGGTTTTCACGATATAGGAGATGGTGGATTTCTCTTTGAAAAAGGCTAGAAATAATTGGAAAAGTCATATAAAAACAGCAAATAGTAGTAATAATAATACTAGTATCAAAAATTATGGTAGTGCTGGGTCTATTATTAGCTCTTCTTCTAAAAATTCAAAACAATCTAGCAATGTATCATCCAATGTAAAAGTAAAAGACACCAATAAAATGACTAAAAAGAGTAACAACACTGAGAAGGATGCTCTCAATTTATCTACACCATACAGTAAGTTGCCTGAAGTTAATGCTCATGAGAAGAATAAAGCAGCCTCCTCTATGCATAGGAGATTATCAATGTACAGTTCCAAACATGTACCACCAATTGCACTTCAACAACAGCAATATTCCATCCCATTGCCTTCTTTACCAATAAACAATCTAAGCCAATTATCATTTGCGCAGTCGGACCAAATTGCAATTGATCTTAATCATAAAGATGGAGAAGTCATTAATGATACATTAAATGAAAATTATTTAAGAGAAGTTATTCAAACCAAAAATTTACGATTATTACTCTCTAATGAAAATTTTAATGCAAAAGAATTTATTCACAATAATCTAACTAACGCGTCTGCCACAGATATTGACCAATTTACTACTGCGTTGAATGAATTATCTGAAAGTATTCAGGTTGAAGTTAAAGATAATATAAATAAATCTTACAAAGAAATTTTACAAGTTAATCGTGATTTGAATCTATCTACTAAAGAATTAAATCAATTACGAGATAATATTCAGAATTTAAATGAAGTTATGAATAAATTTGTTAATATTGCTGACAGACGAATTAACTGGGAAAATCAAAGAAACGATGAAAGATCAATCAGCAATAACAGTAATAACAGTAGTATAGGTGATGATAAGTCTACATCTATGTTATTGCCTCCAATAAATAACAATAGTAATGTATTTGATGACAAGAATAGCACCAACATGAATAGGGATATGACTAATATTAATACTGTGAAAAAGATATGGAATGAGGAATTAATCAATTTGGAAAAAGAGATTGAAGGTGCTACAAATTTTCTGGTCTCAAAGGATAGACATTTAATTGTTAAAAGTGATGAGTTACTTGAATTAAATGTTACTACATTAAGGTATTTACAAACTGTCAGATTATATATTTTTAATGATATAATCCTTGTTGCTGGAAAGAACAATAACAACAATAAGAATAACTATATATTGAAACAAACTTTTGATTTAAAGGATTATTCTATCAGACAAGATATTAGAAACAATAACAGATTAATTTTTAAATCACACCGTCCTAGCAATATGGTATCATCTTCCACTACCACTGAAACAAGCAATAATACTGAAATTAATGACATTAATGGTAGCAATAATAGTAAAATTAATGAGAACGAAAATTTCTTTAATAATATGAATAATAGTCCCAATTTTAATGACGATATTGTTTCAATGTATGAGAGTCGTAATAAAAATGAAGTTGATAAAATCATTGAAGCCATAAGAAGTGCAAAAGATGATTTATGTGATATTTTCCAAAATGAATTACAGTACGAAGAAAAATTAAAGGAATCTTTCAGACACTTACAATTCACTCAACAGACTCCAGCTAAGGATACTAATTTAAGTAAGAGTCCAATAAAAAATGCAAGATACAGTTTAAATAGTAATAATACTATCAATGATAATAATACTAATAATAAGAATAGTGATGTGAGCCGTTTTTACAGAATTAGTAGTAGTAGTAATAATATGATTAACTATAATGATTTAATTACAGATCATCAACTTTTACAATCTTTAACTATAGCAATGAGAGCTAACATGAGAGATTCAAGGGTTGGAACCTCTTCTTCATTATCTACTTCTTTAGCCTCTGCGTCATACTCTTCTTTCACCAATCAATTATTGACATACGATGACAATATTGAAGAAGTGGATATTATGATTGCAAGAAACAAATATTTTGTTGCTATATCAACCCTAATGAAAATTAAGAGACAGTTAATTCAATTGTATCCACAGTTGACGGAAATTGAGACCAATTTCTTAGAATTATTAATGATAAAAATTAATTTAAGATGTGATTCAATATATCACAAGGCAGTCAACAAACTAACTATTAATAGCACAACCAACACGACCACTTCGAATAATAATAATGAAATAGCACAGTTATTAAGTATTGTCGAAACAATGATTGAATTGGGTAAAGCTGAAGAAGGTTTAGAATTATTTTTACAAAATCGTAGTAATTTAATTCAAGATTTAATCTTAAAAATAGGTTCAATTGATAATCTAACTAATTATTTAACTCAATTATCAATTATTCGATTTCAAATCATTAAGCAAACAGTATTAAATTACAAAACCTTATTTGATTCCAATAATTATGATAATAACCACAGCAGTGACCATACTCCAAAGTCTTATCAATATTTAAATGGGTATAATAATACTAACAGTAGTGAAAGCAAGAACAAATTACAAAAGGAATTGTCATCTATTTTAGTGAACTGGTGCAGCACAGAGATAGATAAACATTTCCAGTTAATTAATAAACAATTATTGAATAATGAAATGATCTCACCTATGTCAATCAAATCGTCAAGAAAACAGATAGATGAGCTAAAGAGTGTAGGATTAGATTTTGTCTACAAATTAGATGAATTTATCAGGCTGAACAGTCAAAGAATCGGTTAAACTGAGTCTTTTTGACATTGATACAAGCCATAAGTCACATACACACAGACATATACGCATGATAGCCATCATCATTTATTTCTCTATTAACATTTTCAGTATTCCACCAGTTCTTCTCGAATTTTTGGTTTAAGAACCTTCTGGAAACAAAAAGAAAAACAGAAAAAAAATATTTCCTTTTTTTTTTCTATTTTTTTTTTAAATCCAAATTTTATAATGAAAAACCTTCCCATATAAAAAAAAAAAACGTTGGATCTGCTAAGAAAGATTATGACTAATCGATACTTGATAGGAGCTTATTGTAGTTTACTTCTACCAGTTTAATAACCATTTTATTCGGTTTCTGACTACATTTAGAAAAGAAAAATAAAAAATAACTGAAAGAATTTAAACTGTTATTTATCACTACAATAAAATTATAGTATAAAAAAGACATGGAGAAATTATTACATTGGTCCATTGCAAACTCTCAGGGGGATAAAGAAGCCATCGCCAGGGCAGGTCAGCCTGATCCTAGATTATTAGAACAGTTATTTGGTGGTGGTGTTGCTGATGATCCAACTTTAATGAAAGAAGCAATGCAAGTTATAATATCAGATGAAGCTGATTTAGAGACTAAACTAGTTGCATTAGATAACTTTGAAATGTTGATTGAAAATTTAGATAATGCTAATAACATTGAAAATTTGAAATTATGGGATCCATTGTTAAAAATATTAGAGGATGAAGCGGATGAAATTGTATCTGGTGCATTATCCATTATTGGTACTGCTGTACAAAATAACAAACCTTCACAAGAAAACTTTTTAAAATATGATGGTGGGCTCCGAAAAATTATTGAGCTAGTAGCAAATCCGGAACAAGCATTTGATGTAAGAGTAAAAGGATTATATGCTTTATCCAACTTAATTAGAAATAATGCTGAAATGGCTAAAGTTTTTGCTGATAATAATGGTCTTGATGTTATTCCAGGCATATTAAATGATACCAATGCAAAAAGTAAATTGAAGATGAGAGCTATTGCTGTATTAAGTTCATTTCTGGGTGTTACTGAAATCAATGATGTTATGATTGCCTCATTAAGAAAAGATAATATTATTGAATCGGTTATTGATTGTCTACAACATGAAACTGATCTAAATCTTCTTGATAGAGTTTTATCATTTTTATCGCTATTATTGGCCTCAGGTATTAAGTTTAGTGAAACTGAATTAGAATCCTTAAAAATTGGATTCGAAAAGATTCAACCATTAAAAGATAGATTACATGAAGATGATTATCAAACTGTCAAGTATGTATTAAAAGAAAGTTGAAAATAAAAAAAAAGAAGTAAATATATATACATAAAATAAAATAAAATAATTAAACAGAAAGTCTTTTATTTTTCAAATCTGATCTACTTTGTTTTTGTTTTATTTTATGATGATATATTTATTAAGTGTTTCAAGTAATTAGATTCTTGAGAATATTATTTATTAACTGTTCTTACATTTATGTGTTTTTATTTTTATTAATAATAATAATATTATTATTATAGTACTTATTGCAAAATGAACTTCGTTAAACGTCATAGAACTAAGTAAATCCATATACAGGTATAAGGATGGTATACTTTGATTAACTATCTAAGGACTATTCCTTCATTATTGACTTATATCTTTATTTGATTCAACCAATAATACACACATCCATATCTTTATAAATCATATATTATAAATATACTCGACTATTAATTTATATAAAAGTTATTTATTTAAAATTTTTCACGTTTTAATATATATATATTATGGAACACCCTACTGCTTCAATGCGCATGTGATTAATCAATTACTTCATCTGGGTTTCTACATGTAAATAATTTACATAATCTTGCTTCCATTTTTTCCGTCATCAAATATCTGCCATCTAATCCGGATTGTAATTGTCCAATAGAAAAATCTTGAAATAATTCTTGCAAATTTGGATATTGTTTAGTGATACTCCTTGTTTTCATATCTGGAATTCTACCAATTTCATGCAATGTCTTTTTCAATATATCCGTCTTATCAGAACCTGATCTAACATTTATATGTGCATATTTCATGAACCGTAATGCAGGATCCATTCTTTTTTTAGCTATAATAGTAATTAAGTTAGATAAAGATTGTAAAAAATCTTGATGTGAATTAACCGTATGGATCTTGATACCCCAATGTCTATCAATAAATCTTATTCTTTGTTCAATGTCAAATACTTGCATTCCTAAATTATCAATCTCATTCATAATGTCATTTTTGAGTCTGGTGTTATTCTTTTGATTAAAATTATTGTTTATTGTAGTGGTAGATAATCTTTGATTAACTCTTTCCTTGTATCGATAATCTTCAATTAATTCAATAGCTTTTTTCAATTTATTCAAATCATATAGTATCAATATAACATATTTGTTCCTCTTAACCAATTTCCTTATATACTTATATAAAATTCTTTTATCTCTAGAATATTGTTGGAAAAATGTCTTTGCATCATAATACAATAGAACTTCACTTTCCTCCATTATTTGTGTTTCACATGGATAATAATAGTCGTGATTAAAATCATATACACTGTCTACTCTTCTTAAAAATCTTATTAAGGGAAGTTCATCATCGTATGATTTCTGTAATGTGGCTGGTTGAACTAGTTCAATTAAATGAGGCTCTTCTTTCTTGAAAATTGTGAATAATGAGTTAGAAATTTCAACAATAATTTGCTCTCTTATCTTTTGATTATCTTTGCAAAGTTGATTAACCTTCTTAAATGAATCTTTGTTATCTCTAAAACTCTTTTGAATCATCTCTTTTGATTCTATATCGGTAAATTTTTTACCATTAAGAATATATTGAGACAATTTTTCAAATTCTGTTTTTAAATTATTATAGAAATTATCTATACCATCATGGTTGAAGCTAGATAATAAACGACTATCCATAGTTTTAGCTCTCGATAACGGTAATATAATGTTGTCAAGATCAGTGTTGGTAGTTAAATTTTGTATAGATCTTCTTCTCTTTAATTTTTTCTTGGGAGGACTACTTAAATTATAATTAGAAGAATCACTATCAGAATCATTTAAAAACATTGGAATATCTAATGCAACATCTTCAGTCAATGGCTTTCCTTTACTAAGGATCTTTCTGATACGAACACTATTACCAGTAATGTTTTTAGTAACAGTTGAAGTCTTACTAATAGGTAAACAATTAATAATTGTATTGTTAGTGTTTTGAGAGTCATTCAATTTTTTAGAATCGCTTCTATTACTATTAACATTCATGGTATCATCAATTGGTTTACTTATTACATTGTCATAAATTGTTATAGTTTTAGACTGTATCTTTTCATTACGGATTATTTGTTCTTGACTTTTACAATTTGAAATTGTGTCAGGTAAAGTAGATTTAGAATTATTTGTAGGCTGTCTTTCAATATTTGTTTGTTCTTCCTGCAATACAATATGTGCATTCATTTTATCTATTCCAGTAGGTAATAAATGAAAGCTTTCCTCTATTTTTTGTGACCCACTCTCAATGTCAATAGGCCTGAAATTATTATCTTTTAGCGTACCTGTACTTTCATTATACGACCTATTTTTCAATGGTTTATTAAAGGATAAATCGCTATCACTTATGCTATCATTATTATTATCATTAACTATATTGTCTAAAAATATTTTGTTTGGTTCTATATCTTTATTGGATGAATCTTCTGGAATATTATCAAATGTGGCGTTTAATTCGATCAGAGATCGCTTAATATTCTGACACTCTGAGTTATCAGTTATTTCTTCATTCACATCATATATTAGAGGTGCAGATAGTTCTATAGAATTATTGTCATTAATATTATGATTTTTATTTATGTTATTACTATTAAAATAATAATAGGAACTTTCATCTATTGATGTACTAGCGTTACCAACTAAATTCACATGACATGTGGTAGGTGACGATGGTAACGGATCACCAAATTCTACTGTACTAGATATACTCTTAGCTTTGGGAGTAACATAGTCAGTTATTGAAAGATCAATAATTTCAATATGATCATCCTGTTTTCGATCTATTTGGTCTTCATTATTATTCAAAATTCCACTGTTGGTAATACTATCTGATAATTCAATTACTTCTTGCATATCACCATAGCACTATTCATTAAAATGAGATATTTGAAGTCGACTCAGGTTCTTTGTTTAATGCTACTTAGCAAAGGTGTGTCTTTGTTTAAAGTTACTATTTCTGTGCAGATAAAGCAGTATTCAACAGCTCAAAGGTGAACTTATAAATATCATCACTGAAAAAAAAAATAGGAGTAAATTATATATTCTAAAAAAAGTGCTAGACATTAAACAAAAAAATACCTAATACATTAGTAGTGAGCACATCATCAATATTCCAATAATTACTATTAATCAATACCTACATGGTAAGTATATAGGACTATATATTGATATCCTTATATATATCAAGATAAAGTAGTTAATAAAAACGTCAAAATTTGTTCTGATTTCTCTATATAACACGATTGTACAACCATTTCATTTATAGACACTGACAATATTTTGTGTATTAACTGTAAATAAAATGCTTTCATTGTTTATTTTCCCCAATTCAATATGATTGACCGTCTCCTTTGGCACGTGCATACTAGGTTCTAGTGATTTAACAATTGACGGTTTTACTAATAGAACAGTTAAATTCGCAGTCAGTTGGACCGGAGCAAACTCGTAGTCTTTAAAAGTATTCTTGAACAAAACTTTACACTTAGAAAAGTTTAATAAATTAAACAACAGCAGATCTTGTATATTGTGTTGTGCTATGATAACAGATGCACCACTCACTTTTATAGCTGAAATAGAACCTTTATTAATGTCGATGTTGTATTTGCGTTGATCCAAGTTTTTGGATATTGCCATGAATGCTTGAAGAGGGGGTACTTCATCAGATATCACAGCAGCTAACTTACATGCTATTTTAGAGTAATCCCATATCGAAAATAATGGATTAGATGACCCTTTAGTTACACAAATATGATTAGCACCAAAATGTGGTAGTAATTTAATATCTGTAACAGATGAGTTATCTCCAAAAGTGAAACTGTTTAGTAAAATATTAAACCTTAAATCCCATACATTTATTATACCTCTCATTGTCCCAATGATTAATGTCATATCATTTGGATTTACTTCAAAACAGGAAATTGCACCATACTTTTTTGGAATCTGAATACTGTTTAGGAAAGTCATGTCTCTAATATCAATCAAAAGAATTTTATGTCTGTTAGTAAGTGCAATAATTATAGATGTTTCTTCAGTTGGACAAATAATAAATTTTTTGATATAATTATCACTAGAAGTTAAACCCTTTTTGTTTGACAGAGTATTTATATTCAATTGTCTGACTCTTGTTAACTTAGAAAACTTTTTTACACCTTCTTCAATGGTGGATACTATCCTTAGACAAAGCATCACCCCATTGTTCAAGGAAATTATAATAGTGTCAAAACCGGGGAGGAGGTTCATATCGGTTATTGAGGCACCACAAGTGTACTTTACTGTAGCATATACTTTGTTGCCATTTGTGATTGATAGCATATCCCATATATTTACAATTCCATGTAATGATCCAGTAAATAAAAAAGAGCATTTATCATGTGATGCAATTATGGTAATAATGGAATCACCAACATTTTCAGATAAATTTGCAACAAACATATCATTTAGATCCCCAAACTCTAAATGATCTTGCTCGATATTAAATTGTAAGCCAAATTCTTTAAATTCTTTTAATGATGGAACAATATTGCAACTTTTAATAAATCTCTTTATAGTGTTACTAGTTCCTTCATAGCTATTTTCTACAATATATCTTTTCGTGGATCCATAATACTCTAAGTTTTCTTCTGATAATAATTTACCATTTAACCCCAATTTTGTGTCACATTCGACATAAATATTATTTAAATTAGATGCTGTAGTACCCAATAACTGAGACTGAAATAATAAGGATCCATTTACATTTATTAAAGTTAATAACTTAGTTTTATCATTGTGCAATTGTACCGTTTCATTCTTATCGGAAATAGTTTTTTCTTGTTTAATCTGCAATGCACATGGAATATCGTTGTCTTGATATGTATACAATACATTATTCGGTGCAATAAATTTTATATCAAAAAAGACATTTCTTGGTATCACATTAAATGATTTATTATTATTAATTTCCTGATTACCATATAAATTATTTTGTTCATTCAACTTATTTGGAGATTTATTCCATGTCTTTGTATATCGTATTACATAACTTCTTAATATTTCCAACTTCCATAAGTCTTTTCTCTTTGTACCAATAGCAATAAACTTTTCAATCCATAATTTATCTTCAGTGGTTAATGGCACTTCTACATTCCCTAAGTTTAACATTAAATCAGTTTGAAGATTCGTTTCAAATGCTTTCCTTTTCTGACTAACTATATTCATTGTAGAAGTTTCGTTCATAATATTTTTATTATTTGAATTAACATGATAATTGTTTGAGACATAAATTTTATCTATGAAAGTAATAATCCTATTACCAAAAATATCTATGTCACTATTATCAGTCTGTTTCCAAAATAGTGATTTGGATGCATGTAAAGACCAGCTACAGAGCAGATTAAAGACTATCCTCGATACAGGCTGTTTACAGCTGTCAATGAGTAACTCTAGAGAGAATTCCACATCAAAACCAAAATACGGCCTTATTATAGGATATAACTTACAATAGATTTCGGCTTTTGATAATTGCTGAGATATTTGATATATGATATGTATTGTCACATTTCTTATTGAGTAATTTGGATGAAACACTAAAGGAATTATTGTAGCAGCTAAATCATAGAAAACAGGCTTGGATATAAGGCCAACTTTGCAAAGATCTTTTATTCCATAAAGGACAGCTATTATGATACATTCTTCAGAATCTACTAATGATTGAATCAGAAGTGGGAGAATATATCGTTCTAATGTGATTGGTCCTAGTAAAATTGCAATAGAAGGAATAGTTTCGATTAGTGTCATTCTTAACAAATAATTTCTATCATTTAAATAAGTGATTAAATGACTTAATATAATATCATTAGTCTTTTCCTTACCAAAAAATTTGCATAAAGGTAAAATATTTCTTAACAGTGAAATTTTAACAGGAGCAGAATTATCAGTCAATAATGAAATTGTCAAATCACTGACAAGTTGAATTAATTTTCTTGATGATTTATCTTGAATATGTAAATCTGTAAAACTTGACAATATGTAGTTATCATTCCTCTTTGTATGATTCAAATAATTCAATCCTTCGAATCGTTCAGCAATGGTAACTAAATCCCCTAGACAATTTGCCAATATAATTTTAACATATTGGGTATTATTGTTTGCTATCGTGATATTATTGGTACTATTGCATTGTTGTAACAACTTTTTCGTCTTTGGAAACAAGTAATCCACAAATATGTTAGCATTTAATGCAGTTAGTTCTTCGACATTAGATAATATTTGACATACATTTTGCAATGCTAGAGATTGTACATTAGTTGATTTAGTGCTCAAAAAACAGTTGACCAAGTAAGGAATGACTCTATCTAATTTATTCTCATCTGATATAAATTGTGATAATGCAGTAATTAACTCTAGACATTTAATTTGACTTGATTCAAAACGACAACATCTAAGAGAATGAAGTAAAAATGAAAGATATAATAACGAACATTCCTCTTGTATAGTTTTTATATTAGTACTATAATTTTTAAAAGAGTTCAGTTCTATGCATAAATCCTTGTTGAATCTAATAAATTCGCTAGGAAATTTAAACATTGATTTATTATTCTGTAATTTATCGTTACAAGTAGAAATGGGAAACTTCAATTTATTACATATCTTCTCAAAATCTGCATAAATCTTTTGAACACAATCTTCTATGACAGTACTTAAATTATCCTTCAGAGTGTAAATAGTCACTAATTTATCATTTGTTGGAATATTTGTCGATAATATGGCGAGAGTTTTTAAATAATCATATGTAAAAGTATAAAAATAATCAGGAAAAAATATATCTCTGTATTTAATCAAAATGTCTTTACATGATAATCTTTTTTGTGGGTCAATATGAATCATATCCATTATTAGGTTGCATATCTGTTTTCTATCATCATTAGAAATCATATTTGTATTAGTGTCATTCAAAAGCACATCAATCGTATCTTTATCTTTACCAATTTCACCTTTTGTTGAAATATCAAGTCTAGGTATATTATCTATCAGAAATTGATATGGATCGTATTCATTATTCTTATACTTGAACAGCTGTGATAGATTAAATAATGGAACACCTTCTAAAAACAATTCTGCTATACAACAGCCTACACTAAAAGTATCCATTTCTTTTGTTACATGGAAATTTTTGCTATCTGAAATCGATGATGTTATATCACTATTTATTTCAGAATATAATTTAGAATTAAATCTTTCTGGGGCTAAATAGCATGATCTTCTCTTTGAAGTATCAAAATAAAATGTAAATTCACTTGGATTATCTTCCGGTAAATAAACAGGTTTAATCAAGGACGCAAAATCTGTTATTACTATCCAATTCCAACTATTAATTAATATATTTTCAGTCTTTAGATCACCATGAACAATATCTAAATCATGAATCTCACTAATAGCTTTTAATATTTGAAAAGTGATAAACTTTAATTCAATTGGATGTAAATATGGTCTTAAGCTTAACCTATCATAAAGATTACCCTTCAAATGTTGTCTAATTAAATATATTGCTCTTTTAGAATCAATAATTTTACTGTAATTCAATACAGAACACGATTTAGCTAATTTAATTTGCTGTTCCTGTATTCTTTTAATAATTAAACTAAATTGTTCAGTGAATTCTTCGTTTGGTTTGATAAATACTTTAACAATAATTTCACCATTTGGATCAAGGGCTTTACAAGTCTTTAAAAATTTTGAAGAATTTAATTGTGATATATAGTGAACTTCTTGTAAAATGTCAATATAAGAGAAAATACCTATTGATGGAGATGTTTGTGCTAATAATGATAGTTTGGCACCCATTTTTTAACAGAAATAACCAGGGGCGTAGAAGAATAAAAGGAATCTTATTCAAAAAGAAAAAAGAGTGTAATAAAATATTGAAATTATTGTCTGTATTCCGTTTTATATATTATGAACCAGTAACAATATATTTACATGTAATAGATTTGGGTTCAAGTGTATCTACTTAATTATCAATATGTTGTTTTTATGTTTCTTTTGTTGACCTTTAATGCCAGACTTAAGTTAATTTAGATTGTCTTCAGTTATTTGTTAATAATTCAATGTTTTTCCTTTTTGGGTAAGAACACTTATATACATATATAGAAAACTACAGTACAGTATATTATATTGTGTGTATAAGAAATATATATATATATATATGTGTGTGTGTGTGTGTGTGTAGGTATATAAAAGTAGGAGTCGTTTATATGATTAAGAATTTAGAGAAATCCATCTCTTCTAATGGTGTAGTTTCATGAAACCCACACTTTTCAGTTAAAATTTTATAATTTTTAGAAGATAATTTTTCAACTTCTTGATTCCATAACCCACATTCCATCAATGCCATTTTAGGTTGAATAGTCTTTCTTCTTTCTTTCAATACATATTTAGTTAGGGATAAAGAACATAGTACTTTATCGTTTTGTTTAGTGAACCTACTTAAGACATAGATCCATTTATTGTCCCAACAAATGATTGAGGAATAAACGTTATAAGATTCAAATGGTCTCAATTCTTTTAAATAATTAGTGAAAACATTAGCCACAGGGATATAGGGCCATTGTTTCCCCCAATTGGTAAACAAACCTTGGAAGATTTTAGTCATAAGATCGCATCTACTAACGTCCAATTCTTCGAAATAAGTAGCATTATTTTTATGGAAATAAAAATCACACTCCATAGGAGAAACATAAGTAGATAGTTTAGTTTGAGCCATTGCACCATATTTATCATTTCTTAATTTTGATTGGATTTTTTGCATTTCACCAGAATCACCCTTTTCACCAAACAAAAGTGGAATAAAAATATTTTTAAATACATGACGGTAGAATCTCACGAAATACGCGCCAGGAACACTCTTGAATGATGACAAGAGATATAAATAAAACCCATATTTTAATAATTTAGTCACAAACCCCATATTCTATTTAGTATTATACTGTATTTTTTGGATTGCCTTGTTCTATTTGCCTATTAATAAAGATAAAGCTAGCTTTTAACTGTATTAATCTAACTATCTCTTTATTTTTGCTGGTTTTTTTTCGTTTTTTCAATGCTATGAGTTGAAGTCACGACAAGTAATCTTTTGGAACAGTAAAGCTACAGGTTGTTTGTTATACATGAATATTTCACAGTTGACGTGTGTCTTCAGTAGAAGTTTTAAAGGATTTCTACCAAGATGTGTATTCTAATAGTGTGGGGTCTGGATGTTGCTGTCATGCTGTTGTTAAAATTTCTCGAGGTAGAAAACAACAATATCACCGGAAAATACATAAACCCCGTTATCAACCGTTGTTGAAAAAGATCGAATTTCCTATTTAGGAGAATATGGACTAATTGGGTAATACACAACTAATTAGGCAATATATTCTTTTTTTATTTTTTATTTATTTTATTTTATTTTATTTTTTTTTTTAGACAGGTTGAAAAATTCCAGATAAGTATGAGGTAATTCAAAAATGTTATTATGGTGTATTATTACAGTATATGAATATATCTGGAACGCTATTAAGACATGCAGATAAGATGCATAATACGTTATTATTTTTATTTGTTGAGTGATAACAATCAAGTAGTTACTTTACGAAGTATACACATACATATATATATATAGATAGATAAATAGATTACTTATACTGATTGTTTTTGTTACTGAAATTACAAATGACGGTGAGTGCATATGATAATAATAATAATAGTAATAATATCAAAAATAAGAAAATAGTTAAGAATTTAAAGAAAGATGAAGGCAATGATAGTAATGAAGAATTTAATGAACAGTTATTCATTAAAGCATTTTCTCAAAGAATAATAAGAGATAGAACAGGTAATTTTCCACATTATAAAAGGCCATTGAATGAGAATCTTAATAAAGATAGTACTAGGACCACTAGTAACATATTTGATTCTGTTGATTCTAAAATTTTTACTAATCGTGGTAACAAATTGTTACAAAATTCAGAATATGTTACAAAGAGAAAGTTGTTTAATCCAATGGCATTAAACGAGGATGTTATCTATTATAATGGTTCTGAGCATAAATTGTTACATAGAAAAAAAGTGAAATTTTCAAACAATGAAATACAAAATGATAATAATATTCTCGAGGATGATATGAATGATCAGGATATTGATTTACATAAATTGGTTAATGTCAGAGATATTCTAACTCCTATTTCATCTTTATCTGATATTGTCAATAAACCAAGTACATTACGGATATTTCAAAATAAAATTATGTATGATTTATCATTAAAAATTGTTTTAATGATTGAAAGGGAACAATCTTTTGTCAATAGATATTCAAATTTGTTAGATATTTTCCTTGGTGATTATCCAAACCCTTTGTATGAATCAATATTAAAATTGAAAGATTATGATCACAACTTAATATTACCAGATAAAGAAGATGACGAGGAGGAGAATAAAGAAATGGTGGAGGAAATGGGAACAAAAAATAAGAACATTGAGAAACAAAAAGATATTAATGGGAATGAAAGAAATAACACTGATAATACTGTTGAAGATCCATTTTTTGCTTTGCCAGAGATTTCAAATAAAGACGGTTTGAAATTACTTATAGGTGACAATAATGATATTAGTGATCTTAATAAAATCAGTAATATTAATGACCAGTTTGAGTTAACAAGACAAATGACACAGATTGCATTGCAAAGAAATGAAGAATTCATAAGAAATCTGTTAAAGATAAGAAATTTCTTAGATAAATCGAATAGAATACGGGAAAGGATTTTATCATGGAGTAAAGAATCTGTAGGGATCCAGGACGATGATGTTACGGTTCCTAGTGTTTTGCGTGTAGTGAAACGTGGTTTGATTAGCGCCACAACAAATCAAACAGTTAGGGAAACAGATGAAAACGTAGATGAGAACACTAATAATGATAAAGAAAACAGTAATAATAACAATAATAATAATAATAATAATAATAATAATAATAATAATAATAATAATAATAATAATAATAATAATAATAATAATAATAATAATAATAATAATAATAATAATAATAATAATAATAATAATAATGACGATAAAGAAAGAGGAAATTAAAAGGGATAGAGCAGAATAATTAACTAGTAGTAGTATATGTATATATATCATATTATATTCAGTAATTATAAAGGAGAAGATTCTCTTCAGTTGTATTTATCTTTTTTTCGTTTTCTTTCTTCTTTTGTTTTCACCACTCGTTAGAGGTATATGTTAACACTTTTTTGAATGAACTAGTATGTTTACTAGCATAGTCAGGTGTGGAAGTAGTTTTTCCATCAACCTGGTTAACAGTACCATTCAGTAATGGTTTGATACCGTATTGAACTACATTTAAAAACAGTTCATCTATTAAATTCTTCAAATCATCACCAGTCTGTTTAAAATCAGGGTAGGCATTGACTTCCAGTATTTTGACTTTGTAATTATCATCGACAAGGAAATCAACGCCAAAGGTTTCTAATGCATTAGGTAAAGATTGGAAATTTAATGGGTTGACAGTCTTTGCAGCTAAGAAGAGATCATGTGCAATCTCATATATTTGTTTTTTAATATTCAATTTTTCATCATCTGGAATATCTTTCAATTTATCAAATTCCATTACTGACAATTGTTTTGCTTCATTGTTGGTTTGTAGACATGTGTTAGTTAGATGTGCTTGTAGGATTGATAAGTCTGTTGGATTGAAATCAATTGGATCATCAGACACGTTGAATTGTTTTAATGAGATAAATGGGACAGGCGCAAATAAGGCTAACATTCTATCATATACGTAAACGTTCAAGTCACCAACACAGGTAATATAACAACGGATATGGAATTTTCTATTTGACATGGATGGTAGCAACAATGGATTTGTCAAATATTCTTGAACGATAAAATGACGCAACTGCGATATGATAATCTTGTTGTTATCAATCATTGAATCATGAACTGACGAAGGTAATGGAGCTTCACCGTCAACCTCGTCATCGAAGGAATCAAAGATGGCTTGTAATTGGTCAATTGTTTGGAAGACACGGATACCTTGTCCCTTGTCTGACATACTGGGTTTGACTATCCACCATTTGCCTGTGTTTGGAGAATCCTCCAATTCTTTCCTTAATTCCCAATTTTCATCTAACGAATCATCTAGAAATTCTGCATAATCTAAGTCTATAGTGTAAGTGTCCAAAGTTGCATTAATTAAGATAGATTCGGGATGTTTAACAATATAATTGTGAATGGTATTAGCCAAATAATGTTTGCGGATCAAAGCCTTTCTATAGATGTAGCAATTAGCAAAATAGCAATTTGGATCAGTGGATAACCTATCCATATTTAATTGTTCATAATCAGCAAAATGAAAGATCCTAGAACCATTTAGACTCGAGTCATTTAGATTGGATAAAATAGATACATTTGACATGAATCTAACTAGTGCAGTTCTTAATGGTTTGTAGATGTAATCTGTGGAGTTGATGGATAACACAATACTATATTTTGATTCCTGAGTGTGTGGATGGTCGATAATTAGTTGACCTTGAGTCAAGACATTTGAACTCATTTGAAACACAGCACGTAAGGGGGTCACTGCAATGTCACCATCCTCAAGGACCTGCATATCATGTCTGTGTTTTGATACATGTTTGGAGTCATAGTGCGACTGGAATTTAGGGTTCCACTTGAATACGATGGATTGCTCCTTATACTCTGACCCGTCCTCGATATCTGATGTTTGTATAGTGGAATGGGATTCCAAAGAGAGTTTTGATTTGGCTGGTGAATCAAACATACAGTCCCATCTATTTTCCCAGATGGGAGCCATGAAAACTTTAGTGTCCATAGACAAACTAGGTAGCAAGGGGACGTTAATGGAGTAAAGATCTGTGTTTAAAGTATCCCAATTATGGTAGAGATGCGTGATTATGTCTAAGGATTGTCTAGCTGCGATATCAAGAATACCATTTTCGTTATGAATGAATTTTTGGCCGTTGAAATATGCCCACGATAAGGCAATAGACTTGACGTTTGCAGTTATAACTGATTCCATGGCGGCACCTACGGTAGCACTAGAGGTGATATAAGCAGCAGAAGTGTTTCTACCGACATTTGGACCGGATATGACTAGATCAAAATTATTCGACGTGTGGGTACTATTATTATTATATTCGGAGGGTTTTAGATGATGCAATGCGATATTAACACAAGAAGCAGGGGTACCGTCAATTAAACACCATTCGATACAATTATTAGGCAAATTATGGTTTGATAATTGGTCTTTAATAGAATATAGGAATGGACCGAAATAATTGTTACTCTCTGTATTAGTTGGATCAGTATAGATATAAGTTAAACTCAAATCTTTACCAGCCAAATGGGCTTTAGAATTCCATGATCTCTGAACATTAGGCACTACTATAGTAATATTCCAATCAGGACGGAATTTTAAAATATTATATATAAAATGCTTGATATAGGGAGAAAATTCATCATTTAAAGGACCGTCATCATTAGTAATTAAAACGTTCATCTTGTGTATGTATATATGTATTTTATGTATATAAGAAAAATACACCAAATTGGGTTTTTGTATACGTATATATATACATACATATATATATATATATATATGTATGTATGTATGTATGTATACGTATAAATATTTTTTATTTGTAGTAATCGGTCAAAAGAATTTCTATATAAAAAGAAAAACAGAACAACAGAAACAGAAAAAGTACAAGTAAAAATTTCAATAAAGTAAACTGAATTAGAGAAAGCGTTTACGATCTATATATAGGTAGGTTGTTTTAGTAGATTAAGGTTTTATTAGATATAAGAAAGAAAGATAATGATAATTATTGAATATATTTTGGACATAGTTTGAATATTAAGATCATTAAGATCGATTTTAAGCAGACAGGAAAGACAAGACGCAGAGAAGAATGTCATTGTTTTTAAGTAGTTATAATAATTTAACACAGGGGACCATTGATGAAGAGAAAATAAATTTGGCAGAAATACAATTTGATGCGATGTGTAAGACGTTCAATAATATTCTGAAGTCGTGTCTAGAGAAGTGCGTGTCACATGACCAATACAGTGAAGGCGATCTGAGTAAAGGGGAGATGTGTTGCATTGACCGTTGTGTGAAAAAGATTCATTACAGTAACAGATTGATTGGCGGGTTCTTGCAGACCAAAGGGGTGACCCCTGAGAGCATTCTACCACAGATAAGTGCCGACGTGCCGAACAATATCAGGATTCCAGATTCCCTGCCAAAGACCTTCGATTATCAAGAATCCACAACAAACCATTGTCAATGAAAGAATACTGGATGCATATAATAAGAATAAAAATAAAAATAAGAATAAGAATAAGAATAAGATGATGATGATGATGATGATTAAAGGGACAAGTCATTACAAAAGACAAAAGACAAAAAAAGAGAGAAAAGGGGAAAGGGAAAAAAGAGGAGGGGATAAGGGGAAGCGTAAAAAACTGAAAAGTATGTTATTGTATTACATTAGATTAGATGATATTGTGATTGTAAATCTCTAATGTTAGTAATAATATATCCTGTACAACAAACCTTTCTCCTCCTCCCTCTCTCCCCCTCTTTTTCTTTTTTTTTTTTTTACATTTATACGTTAAGAAGATAACACAGAATTATATTTGTAGCAAATGCATATATTGTTCTCTCCTATATATAATGTACTTCATATATTTTACATTCACATTTATATTCATAGTATGTGTGTATCTCTCTGATTTATATATTACCCATTAACTATCCTTGTCATAGTTATTTTGATCTGACATAGAATTACTTACTTATTTTGTACTCCAGTCCACAAGTCTATATATATACTTATATATATTTTTATTATTCTATTTGTACTATTTTTCTCCATTCATCTTTTTCTTTTTATTATTTGATAAATACTATCAAAAGAATCAAAGAAAGAAGAAATGGAAACAAATACAGGAAGTACGAAAAGTACAAGAAGTACAAGAACCAGAAAAACAAGAAAGTCTAAGGATCCTAATGCACCAAAGAGAGCATTGTCTGCTTACATGTATTTTGCTAACGAAAATAGAGACATCGTGAGATCTGAGAATCCTGAAATCTCCTTTGGTCAGATGGGTAAGTTATTAGGTGAAAGGTGGAAATCTTTAAACAATCAGGACAAATTGCCTTATGAAAATAAAGCAAAGATTGATAAAGAAAGATATTACAATGAAAAGGAACTATATAATAATACTATGTCAAAAATTTAACTAATACATATATACATATATATATATATATATATATGTGTGTGTGTGTGTGTGTGTGTATAATACATTTCTGTTTGCTACTTAAAAACCAAAAAAAATACAGAATAACTATGCTTAATGGTGTATATGATATGTATTAAAATAGTGTAATTTTCTTTTTATTTTGTTCTTTAGGTTGTTTTATTTTATTTTATTTCTTTATTGGTTTACCCTCCTCCCCTTTTTTTTATTCTTTGGTTTGGTGCCCAGCAGAAGAACGCGTAAATAATAGAATGAATCTATTTCTTTCTTTTTCTTTTTCTTGTTCTTGTTCTTATTTTTTTTTTTTTTTGGACTGACGCGTCGCGTAAAATGAATCAATAAAAAGGAGTTCTTTTTTTTTCTTTTAGCTTTACGTGTTTTATCTATACACACATCCATATATATACGTATTAATATATAGATATATAGGTATTTAAACCAATTTGGTTCTTGTTTTTTTTTTTTTTACAATGAGGTTTACTTGATAGCTTTCCATTGAATTCTTACTCTCCCTGCAATTGTTTTTTGAGATCACTGAACAGGTTCATATCTATATATATATATGTATATATATTCTTACACAAACTATTCCAGATATTTCGCATAGATATACATACACACACACATATACATACATATTTGTTTAAATAATGTTAGAAGCCAAATTTGCCGAAGCATCCCTTTTTAAAAGAATTATTGATGGTTTTAAAGACTGTGTCCAACTGGTTAACTTCCAATGTAAAGAAGACGGTATCATAGCACAAGCAGTCGACGATTCTCGTGTTCTTCTAGTCTCCTTAGAAATCGGTATTGAAGCATTCCAAGAATACAGATGCGATCACCCTGTCACACTGGGTATAGATCTAAATTCACTATCCAAGATTTTACGTTGTGGGAACAACTCAGACACTCTAACTTTGATAGCAGATGATACACCAGACCAAATTATCTTGTTATTTGAAGACACTTCAAGGGAAAGAATAGCCGAATACTCTTTGAAATTGATGGAAATCGATGCAGATTTCCTAAAGATTGAAGAACTACAATACGATACAACTTTGATGATGCCTTCTAATGAGTTTTCTAAGATTGTACGTGATCTATCCCAATTAACAGATTCTTTGAACATTGTAGTCACTAAAGATACAATTAAATTCGCAGCAGAAGGTGAAATGGGTTCAGGGTCCGTCATCTTGAAACCTTTTGTTAATATGGATAAACCTAATGAATCAATTAAGTTAGAAATGGACCAGGCCGTTGATTTGACTTTTGGTGCTAAATACCTTTTGGATGTAGTGAAAGGTTCTTCTCTATCCGATAGAGTAGGTATTAGATTGTCTAGTGAGGCCCCTGCCTTATTCCAATTCGATTTATCTTCTGGTTTCTTACAATTCTTTTTGGCTCCCAAGTTTAATGAAGAAGAATGAACATATATAATCCTTTACTGACATATATATATATATATATATATATATAATTCTCATCTGTAAATGTGTATATTAGCATAAAAATATATATTAAAAAAGTCATATTCCTCTATAAATTATCTTAATCTAAGTATGTAGTCAATTGTAGTAGGACCAAATAATATATATATATATATATCTGTCTGTGTGTGTATACATCACCATGTCTCTTGGATATATCTACCATTCTTTTCCATATCTTTTAAAAATTGTTTAGCAGAACTATCATCAACAAATCCACTCCATTTTTTTAACATTTCAACTATGGTGATTCTAACTTGTAACGGCATACGACCAGAACTACCACATAAGAAAAATAATGCGTTTTTTTTAACTAATAATTCTGTCATCTGTGGCCCATGCTTCCATAACATATCTTGAACATATTTAGTATCAGGTGAATTCTCACGATCACGAGAAAATACAGGATACAATCGAATCTTGCCCTTTTGGTCCCATTCTTCCAAAAGATCCTCATATAAGTAATCTTTATCCTTAAATCTACAGCCATATAATAGGCTGATTTTCCCCTGTTCATTCGCATTAGACATCTTTATCACTGATAGCAATGGCGCTAAACCAACACCAGGTCCTACTAATATCATTGGATCATCAAACTTCTCTTTCTTGATTAAAGAATTATTTCGTATCTTATACCTCAAAGTTTTGTCTCCAATAGGTAATTGACTCATATATGTGGTGCAGACTCCCTTTCTAATTGTCCTTAAAATGGTTTTGTATTTCACTATAGCTACTGTCAATTCAATATTAGGATCACATGGACCGCTTGAAATAGAATATGAACGAGGTTGAATTAGTGGTAAATAATCAAGACAAAACTGCCATGGTAATCTAAGTGATAGGAAATCCTCTAGTACTTCCAAAATGGATCTTCTTGGTCTATTGCAATAATCAAATAGTTCTTGCATATCTTCATCGTACGCAAATTCTTTTAATTTATTTCTCTGATCATTTAATTGTTCTTCTCCTCTCTCCATCCTTGTCACATCGGTGGCAAATTGCCATATCTTTATGAAAAAACTCGTCCTTGGTATGCTTTTGATATCAATGTGATATTTTAATAAGTTTCTTAATGTCAATGGTTGAACTATTCCACCTCCGATACATCTTAATGAATCAGGGACACCATTCGTAAATTCTAATAGTTTATCTGCAATGGGTAACCATTGATCTTGATTTTGTAGAAAGGCATCTACGTCATTATCTGAATTACAAGGATATATCACAACGGTATCCCCTGGGTAATATTCGGGTTTGCTTCCTGAATTGTCGCAATCTGTGAAGATAAATTGTCTGACATCTTGAAAATGATCCTTTGAAGTTAATCTTTTATTTACTAAAACTTCACCATACTTTACCGAATCATCACCGGTAAATATAACAGAGGACTGGCTTTTTCCGTTAACACTATCAATAGTGGTGGTAGTGGTGTTATTATTGATTAATTTCAGATATGAATTAGGTTCAAGGTATATAGAAGGATCGATCTCTGTTCTTTCCACTCTATTACCTTGAGAATCTTTCATCTTTGGATATTTCGATCTTAAGAGGGAAAGAATCTTTCTTTCATATTCAAAATAGACAGCTTCGACTCCAGATCCAGTATTTTTATTACTACCAGCCATACCTTGTTCATCAGCCTCCAAACGATCAAATAATTCATTAGCACCTAATTGATTAACCATACGATTGTGAAGTTTCCTAACAGCATAATTAAACTGAGGGTATGAAGAATCACCAAGTCCAAAGAATGCAACATTGATATGGTTTAAAAATGTTTCTGGTAAGTTCCTTTTTTTTAATAGACTCCAAAATGTTCTCTTGGATCCGTCTGAATTTTCATGCACATTTCTTGGTAATGCACCTTGGCCTGTGGTAGAGACTAATATGAAAAGATACTTTATTTTCAGTAAATCATTTGGTTCAAAATCACCAAAGGGTAAAAGTGTATTAGCAAAATGTAGTCTTTTTAATTTTTGAGATAGGACAGTAGCAAAATCTTGTGAGTTACCAGTTTCTGAACCATAGAGAATGACAATTTTATTAATTGGGCTCATTAGCTCGTTGATAAGAGTGTTGTAAGTATTTATGGTTGTTATTAGTTCTTTTTTGTTCTTCTCTTAGATTTACAGTATACAATTTCTTTTTTTAATTAAATATTGTTCTTTAAATCAATTTGGTAGATACTGGACGACGGTAAACATCAAGTATAAAGTCAAAGTTATATTTATACTCGACGTAGTTGTTTCGAAGTAGAAGATTTTACGCTACCATCAATTTTTATAATTTATCATTATTTACGCTCTAATTTTCGTTGTTGTTGTTTTTTTTTGAATTAAAATGAATTGAATTGAATCATTTCTAACTGTGGCTGACTAATCAAGTAATTAAGAGATGTGTTTTGGTTAATGTGCATGATAAAATCAATAAATAATAAAATATCTTTATGACAAGTGTATGAACTGAAAGTAATGATGATACTAATAAAATTTATGATAACTTTAGAAGATATAAAATCTATATATTATTATATATGAGTGCATGTAGTTCTTTTTTTTTCTCTTCATGTATAAATTAAATAATTCTAGCCTCGTTTTTTGGAGGTCTAGTACCAAAGATATCTGTTCCAATTCTTACCTCAGATGAACCTTGTTTGATAGCTTGCTTGTAGTCTGCACTCATCCCCATAGATAGTTTAAGATTTATAGCAAACTTAGACTCAATCTTTTGTTTCCAATTAGCTAAAGTAGCAAAGTCTTTATTTTCACCTGCATTTTCTTCATGAGATGTGTTCCACGACCCAATTGTCATTAGTCCATTTAATTTGATGTGTTTGACTTCGTCAGATAAGAAATATTTAACAACTTCAAAAATTTCATCTTCATTTAACAATCCAGACTTTTGTCCTTCATGAGACGTATTAATTTGAATATTACAAAGGATTACAGGTGCATCTGGTTGGAATTTGGCTCTTGCTTCATTCAATTTTTGTGCTTTTTTCAAGGAATCAATAGTTTCTACACAATATATGTTAGGAATCTTGGCCAGATCTTTACATTTGTTAGTTTGTAAACCACCAATGAAATGCCATTTGATGTCCTTTGGTAAAAGTTCGGATTTCTCTAGTAATTCTTGAACATAGTTTTCACCAAATTGTCTTACCCCATGATCATAAAGAATTTTGATGTCACTTGCAGGTTTTAATTTTGAGACTGCTAATAATAGCACATCCCTAACAGAACATTCATTATCGATCATGGCTTTGATTTCATTATATTGGTTAACTAATTGAGATTCTCTTCCCTTAGTATATATGATTTCAGACATTTCTGGCACAATAATAGCAGTTTAGTATACTTTTAATTTATTTATTATTACCCTTTTTTTTTAGATACTTTTTGTTCTTGAGTCTTAATGTTGAAAGTTTCCCAATTTTGTACTGTTGTCTCTGATTGCTAAGATTAGATGTATAAGTTAATGGCCCTTTCATACTTCCCTTTTGTTAGTTATGTTTTTTTTCTTTATTTTTTGCAAAAAGATCTATCTAAGGGAATCAACTCTAAAAAAAAAGAAAAAGAAAAACAAACGAAATATAATGAATGAATGTACAGAGGAGGGATGGAAGATTAAATATGTAATTTAAGATTAAAGGGAATGGGTTAAAAAGAGTTTCCAATTGTGATACCATCTATCATACAGTCAGTTAATTGAGGTGTATGACTGTGATGTTGCATAATATATCAGCAGTATATCATTAAAAACCTAATAACGTAGATAAATCTCATTCTTTTCATAAATCATAACCCAATAACAAGACATAGCTTAAAACTTGTGCAACATTTACTAGCTCCAATGATTTTTTTGTTGTTCTTTTTGGTTTTTCTTTAACTTTATATGGATCAAGAATAATATTGGATTTCCTGGTAAAAAAACAAGTCACTATACTAACGTTTTTTTAAATGTGGTTCTGCAGGGAGTGTTATATATATACGAATATATCAAAAGGATTATAGGAATCTCTTTGATACAATTACCCTGCTTCGTTTTTAAATAGTATTGAGCAATGGAATTAGTCAATCAAAATATTCAACTATTTAGGTCATTAAATATGAGCCAGCGGTGTAAATTGGCGTATCTGTCATGTTTCTATGATTTTATAGGCTTGCCGTATTTCCACAATACCTGTTTCACTGAACTACGTATTGTTGTTCTTGTTGTTGTGGTTGTTGTTTTTTTTTAGGATGCAGTTACTAAAATTAAACTCAAATACTCGAGAAATCCGGAAAAATCCGGTGAAATCCAACCATGAAAAGAGGAGTAAGAAAAATTTTTCCTTGCCTTTGGAATTTTGAGATTGATAATAATAAGTAAATAAGCAAATATTAAACACCTTAAAAACATATAAACATAACAATAAAGGATCCATTTTTCTCTCTACATGCGCATAGTCTTGTATATATAAAAAAACCTTTCTTTGACTATTTACTAGTTTATTAGTTTGTTACAGGGTGTGGAAAAAAAAAAAGGATTACACTAAAGTAGATTGTGTACCAGTATCACTATTGAACTTATACCAGGTCGATCTGAACTTTTTAATGATTTACAACTAAACATTAGAAGAAACATCAAAAATGGGTGATATGGAAAGACTGAACCCTAACTATGTTATCGTGTTGTCTAATGAGGATAAAAGCAAAGACGATATAAAGTTGCTACTTAAACCCTATGGATTGGTCACAATTAATACACCAGGTAACGATAAGGATACTTGCTATGTGTTTACAAGAATTGATACTGTCGAAGCATATATTGAAGTTGAAAGTACCTTACAAAACCTGAAATGTATTATCGATCATTTTCCATTATTTGATAATGAACATTCAAAATCTTGGGATTCCTTATATGCGCAATTGAACCCAAATAAATTTGCCTTCCCAACGCCAAATCCATATCAATTAAAATTGATAGCGGAAATTTCTAAGAATCCAAAATTATCATGTTATTTTGAATTCTTTAGCTACTACAATAATAATTATTTGAAGAAATTGTCCATTATTGGGTCCTTTTTTTGGTTAATCAGTTCTAAAAGTTCTCCTTATGAATTTAATAGATACTACACCTTTATATCAATTGGTTATTCGTTATTTTTCCTTTCATCGTGGCTATATGCAGAAAGAGACCTGTTGCTCTCTTCTTTAACACAGTATTCTATTTCATCTTCGAACATAGCTTCACGTAGCAAAGATTCAACAACTGTTTTTGTTAAAAAATTGTTGTCTGTTCCCATTATAATCTTCTTTGCATTAGCTTTAATTATTTTTCAATTGCTCTGTTTTACCATAGAAATCTATATTACTCAAATTTATCCTGGAAGATACCAGTCAATCTTATCATTATTTCCTACTGTGTTACTTTCGGTTTATGTTCCTATCTTTACATTAATCTATGATAAGTTTTTTGTTCGGTTCTTTGTTAATTTCGAAAATAGTTCAAATCCCCAAAAGTCAACTTTACAAAAAAAATTTGTCTTATTATTCCTCACTAATTATATGCCACTTTTAATTACTTTATTTCTATATTTGCCATTTGGACACCTTTTCACTGAAGAAAGAATTATCGCACTATCAACTCTAGGTTTGCCTATAAATACGAATGCTTTATATCTTTCTGTTAACACTAGGCGTCATCAAAAACAATTTTTCTATTTTATTTTTACTAACCAGATTATATGCTATGTTATTACTTATGTGGTTCCTGTAATGCTAAATAAATTAGTTAACAAGAAAAATAAATCTAATAGTGCCGATAATGTTACAGAATTGACTATTAAAAATGAATACCCAACAGATTATAGATATTGGAAAAGAGCTAATACATTCCATGTCAAAACAACTGGTCCTTTCAATGTAGCTGAAGGTTTCCAAAAATTAATACTTCAATTTGGTTTTATAGCCATGTTTTCTACAATTTGGCCTTTAGCTCCATTGCTTGTGTTTTGTATTAATCAAATTGTTTTCAAGACAGATCTTTGGAAGTGTTTCAAAAACTCAAGACCAGCTGTATTACCTATCAACGTAGAAACTACCATTAATAAGGTAGCTCTGGATATGAGTCCCTGGGATGATATTTTGAAATTTGTTACTTGGATATCTGTCATTGTCTGTGGTACTATAACATTTATGTATGAATATAGCCACTTACCTGGCATTGGTCATGTTACTCAATTAGAGAAAAGAGATCATTGGTATAATTACAATCCATTATCGAAATCTTGGTCCTCCATTTTATTATTTGCTGTTGTTTTGGAACATGCTTGTATTTTTGTCTTTTTTATGTCGAAGAAATATTTCCAGGAATACCAAGATACTCCAATGAAACAATCTGAGTTTTTCTATGGTTTAGTTCCTGAAGTAAGTTTAGATTCTAAGAAGTCAAATGATGAATACAAACATAACTCTAATGAGATAAATGAAAAGAGAACAGATACAGAAATTGAAAAAATCAATAGCATGCAACCTGAACAAGGTGTTGAACAGTTATCTAAGGAAAATGTTGAGTATAGACAAAGAAATAATGCTTCACAAATTGAAAATCAAGATGATGTTGCTCGCTCCTCGCTAGAAGAACATAGTTCTAATATTGTAGATACAAAGGATGATGATAAAATAAGCAAAACAGAAGCTAGCAATTATGATGATGGGTCATTTCCATCAGAAAATGGTACGATTATAGATCCATCTGTTGTATATTGTAATAATTTCGCATTATCTGATTCTATTGTAGCAGGTGCTACATTGCCACCAATTATTCCAACTTCTAAGAATTACCATTTAAGGTTTGATGAAAATGGTAATCAGATATCACCTAACCCCTCAATGGATTCTGGAATGGTTCATAATACACCAACAATAACATCTATTGATAAGGGGACAATAGTAGACGTGGCTCCAATTGAAAAGGTTAAGAAATCTACTGATGAGAAAACAGCTGTTGTTGCCGTCTCAGAAATAACATCACCTATGGTTCCACCAGTGATATCCGTGGAGGATAAAACTGAATCAGCTACTGTTCCGGCAAAGAAAAAGGCAATTAATGATTCTACAGGTATTATTGTTTCAAAGGAGAAGCCTTCTAATAATGCTTTAAAACTGTCTCCAAAGAAAAATGATATAGAAAAAGACGTTGCAGTAGATCAAAAATCATCAGCAGCATCAACACATTCTAAACATAAGTCTTTAATGTCAGCAGCATCTCATAAATTAAATAAAACTAGAAAGAGTATTAGTACTAGTGCCACCCATCATCATGACCATCCAAGCGCTAATAATAATATTAGTGTTAATAAATTAAAACAAAATAATGAATCGGATGATAAGACAAAAAAGAAGAAGAAGAAAAAGGGACTGTTTGGTAAATTAAAAGTATAGTCAATAAGATATTATCTTTTAATACTAAAATTATACTATAAAAAAAATTATTCTCGTGAAACTAAAATTATAATATAAGTATCTTTGTTTTATACATGTATTCGTATTTATATAACCCATTATGTAACAGGATGACTACATTCGTTGAGAATTTTGAGTTATGTATTATGTATCCCAGTTTTTCTTCTTCTTGTTGTAGAGACTGAACGACTTTCCACAGAGTAAACATAATTATTGTGTCCTGAGAGATATTTCAACTAAATAAAATATTTGTTCCTTTTGATGACGTTATCAAATATTCGAAAAGATAAATTAATAAAAGTTTTAAGGGTACTCATACCGAAAGAAAAAAAATACATAAAAATTTAAGAACTATCACAAAGTAGAAGAATCATCTGTATGTCGTCAAGGTTTATTTGCATTAATTCTATTGTATATAAATATGCAGACACATTTTAAATCATAAAATATTGGAAACGGTGGTTATTAACATTTATTGCTTCTTTAAAGTCTCTTGAGTAATTCGTTGAAACTTAATTAGAGTGGTATAAATTTATAGGGTCACGATAAGATTTTTTTTGTACACACAGTAACTAGTAATAAGTGTCTATTGACTCTACAAATAATTTAAAAAGTATAAAGAATAAATAAATAGTTAACACGTATAATCATTTATATCATCAAGATTATTTTCTGTTAAATAAAAAGGAGAATGAATGACAAAGATATTGGAAAGAGTGACAATAATGGTTGTTCATTCATAGAATTACCAATTTCAAAAATATATGTAAATAACTCTCAATCAAGTTCGGTGTTTTTTCATAGTGCACCAATTGAATTGACAACTGTTGAAGGGTATAATCAATTTATAAAAAAATTAGAGAAGAAAAATAACAGAACTCATGTTACAGTATTGAAAGAAGATTTATCACAAGGTTATATTTTAGAAGATGGAGATGTTATTGCTAATATTTATGGTGAAGCAAAGAATTACTTAGTAAGTCTAGCCTGTAATGAATGGGCTGAGTAATACATATTTATATATTCATTTTGCTATGAACATTTAAAAAAGAAAGAGGGAATCGTATTTTGATCGAAAATATATGTACAATATCTTTGTTTCCTGTTTATCAGTTCCTTTATTTTTTTTTCATAAAGTTACAGAAAAATAGTAGGTATGTAGAAGATTGAAGCACTATTAGCATTACAAGATCTCAATATTCAAATAATTACATAATTAATTATTGTAACATATATATATATATCATATGTATATTGTTAAATAATAATTGATCCCATAAAAAAACAATTTTTGATAATAATATTCCAATTGCATAATCATAAAGGGTACATCTGAATTAAATATTGGCTTGACTAATAATGTTTAATATTTATAACCCAAATTTTAATATGGATATGGCTAGAATCAAAAAAAAAAAGATGATAAGTTAGTTCAAGTGCCCTGTATGTTAATATTTTTAATAAGTAAAAAACACTTTAGAGACAAGAGACGTAAATAAAATATCTATGGGTATCATGGATAAGTTTTTAAGTTAGTTTGACTATAAAGCAAAAAAAAAAAGCTTTTGTAAAAATTGATTTTAATCTTATCCCTTATTTATATTATCATAACAAATAATATGACCACAAGTTTTGTATATACTACATACATGGGTTAAATTACTTACTTTATTTCACTTTAAAGAGAATAAAAAAGAGTATGTCTCTAAGTAGAACTGATTGTGTAATGATTGATCCTAGTTGTAGTTGTAATGCCTAAAGTAACGAATTCGCTTGATCTTTAATTTATAAAAGGTAGTTATGTTATATGGATTGTGATATCAAAGGTAGAAAGTATATAATCTAGTAAATAATATTGAAAAATATTACCTTTGTACGAAAAACAGATGGTATTTAATACTTTAAAGAAACTATTAGTACAGTTTTAAAGATGGTTGCTAAATAGAATATCTCCGTTTAACTTTTTCATATTTTATTGAGATATAATGTTAATGTAATTGTTTGTTTACATTTGGCCCGAAAGTAAATTCAGACTAAATGTACAAATTTATTGTAGAGTATTACTGGAAAAATTTATATTATCTTTGAAAGGTTGTTTAAAAAGAGCTCGTTATGTTTCAGATGTCTTTTTGTTTTCTTTTTTTATATTTTTTTCGTCGTTGAATGCTTATGTTAAGACATTTCACCTTTTTTATGAGCGTTGTTTTGAGCAAATAGATAAATTGTATCAATTAGTATAAATATAAATATTCTTACTGAAACTCTACTTTAATTTACTACTATAGACATGTTATTATTAATAGTTATTGTTTCTGCATGATTTTTTAAGAATTTGAACTAGCTGTTATTAGGTATATGTGTTGAGAATGAGCACCTGTAGTCATTGGATATATAGTAAACATTCTCAATATTATATTAAACAGATTTAGTATACAAAATTATAATAAAGTTCTTCAATTTCCTTCTCTATATACAACATAGAAATAATAATATACAAAGATTGTAAATAAGATAAAAATAATGTATGATGAAATCTTTGACTTTATATATGTTAATATTAAGTCATTTTCCTCTACGAACAGTAAGATATTTAATAAACAAACTCAACAACTTTTAGTGATCTCTCAACGATTATTACTCAACGATTTATCGTTTAGTGTCCGATAAAATTTTATTGTTCTATCTATTTCATTATAGAACATTCTATTTCAACAATATGGCAAATATTTTCAATGATATAACTATATATATAAAAGCAGATATTAAGAAATAACTTTTGGAAGAAGTATTAAGTTTTATTAAAATAAAGCGATTACTCTTGACATATTTCTTGGTAATTAAAGATATTTTGAGCAAGGTCTAATAAAACAGTTACTTTCTAAAAATTTATTGATTCAAAGTAATATCATATGCTTACCATTGTGTGCGTGATTATATAAATCCTCTTTCTAAATATTCAGATGCTATCTGCAAGATTACTTATCTTTTTGATTACATATTAGATTCCTTACATGTTGCTTTTGACAAACCTCAGAAATAAGAAATTTACCCATTCTCTAATACATTTGCTATTAATTTATCAGAAGTGTATTAAAAAAATTGATGTTAGAAAGGTGTTCCAGGAAACTTTTATAACTCTATAGCTTGACAGAATAATTATCGATCATAAGGAGTTACAAGGACATATAACACAAGTAGGAGAGATGTATCCTGCCAAAATAAACTATTTTAAAAATATATAGATAAATTAGCAAGAATACATGCGAACTGTGTTACCATGATTGATTATAACATACTAAACCTTATTGTGTTATGCAATGGATTGAATAAACAATAGTGGCTGATTAACGGATTAATACACATAGCTTAGGAAAACTATAAAAAATATATATTTTATTAACAACCAGTTTAGTATGGAAGTTATACAAATAACTTTTACTTTATACCCAAGAGATCTTATCATTTGAACATATATTCTAAATCAGATTCCAGAAGAAACTAGAATATAAAAGAAATTAAACTTTGGCGATATTAAGGACAATATCTAGTGAACCTCTTGAGAAATGTATAATAATTCATACATTTGAGATTAATTTTTATATATATATAAGGTAAAGTTAAAATGAAACTTCGCCAATTTCATATTCCCCCATTTAGTTGAATATTTAATTTTTTGCATACAGGTTTTTTCTATACATAATAAGTGGTGCATATTTGTATTGGAGGTCTGTAACAATACATAAAATATCTTTTTGCTTAATAGTTCTTTTAGTTTATAAAAAAGTTTTTAAAAATATTGTAATTATAATAATACTTTCTGTAGGAAGAAACATTAAGTGAAAAAAAGAAAATTACATAATAAAGTAATGAATAAATATTGTATTCAAATATATAGAGTAAAAAAAAATAAACAAAACTTTACAACTTAACTTAATGGTAGGCTTCATAACCCTACATTCTAATAACTTCAAATTTCGTTGTTATTATTCTTTTAAACATGAGTTATTATAAACTTTTTTAATAAAAGTTAATGCTATAGAATGCAGTAAAAAATATCTATTTGGCGAGGGAGTGTTCTCGAATCTTACTAAATTTTGATAGTGTTATTTCTTTATTCTACAAGCCAGGACTGTTGTAATATGAGATGGTGAGATTCTTTGTGTATTCCAGGGAAGCGCAAATACTATTAATAGTTATTTAAATAATCGAGACAGTAATCAACCATAATCGATAATATAATTACTAAAACGGTCTTATATATTGAGCGGCTTTTAACGAGCTAATATACTTATTCGAAGTTACTTATCTTGTTACTTGTGTGTTCTATTTTGTTTATATATAATATACAAATTATTTACAAGAAAAGGTTATGGAAGATGATCTTTTATCTCCAGAAAACGTTGTCTTTTTATATGTTTTCTGGAGCTCAATGAATTATTCAGATTGGTACATTAATGACCTGACTGATTCAAACCCTAAAATTTATTACATTAAGTTAGGTACACTAGTGAATTAGAGACTGCACCCCAATTCTCTAATCATGATAATTAATAATACACGTGAGACTTATTAAAACAATAGGTAAATTCTAGATTTGCCAAACTCTTATGTAATCTAGTCCTTTTTATGCAGTATTTAATGTTGTAGCACGTGTATGGCTTATTAAGACAATAAATAGTTCTAGATTCATTCAGAATCTCATGTAATCTTGATGGCTATAACTATTCTAATCTACAGCGGGAGCAAGAGATCTGTGGAGGGTTGGCCGAGTGGTCTAAGGCGGCAGACTTAAGATCTGTTGGACGGTGTCCGCGCGAGTTCGAACCTCGCATCCTTCATTTTTGTTTTCTGTGAGAATTTTTATTTTTGATTACAGACATAAAGGTAAACATACTAAAATCAAATAGTTAATTCTAGTCATAAAGTTTAAGCCCCAAGAAAGTATGTATCACGCTGTATAATGTTTTTTGAAATAGTCTCTAAAAATACCGCTATATTCTGCAATTCCATGCGCTATAAATAAACTTTCTTTACACAATAATACGTTGCAAAAAATTTAACAAAAAGAATCAGAAAAAACTACCTTAAGCTTACACCTGATATCACAAAATATTATGTATTCCGTTTAATAATCATATGTTATGAAAGTAATGACAATTAAAAAATACTGATTCCATTGTGAAGAATTTCATACACATTAAATTAATGTTTTCTGGAATAGAGACTTCCTTAACTGTTTACTTTTTTTTTTTTTAGATTTAATTCATTGAGGGCAATATTAATTATGTAAAGATCGGGTGTTTAGAAAAATAATTAATAATTCATCACCGGTATTCATATACTGTAAATCTAACTCAACACTACTTAACGCAATAAACAATTGGAAACCAAAATAACACACTGACACAAATGAAAAACAATGCTCTTTAAAAATATAAAGAATGTATTCACTTAATTTTAATATATACTAGAAATTATTAGAGAACAATATAAACAGTATCAATAGCTTCTAAAGTTTTCATGCATCTCGTACATATACATCTATTTCTTTATATACGTCTATTCTTAATGCCCTAATGTTGCAATATGTTTATAGATAGAATAAAAATAACCACAAATCATATGCTAGAGCAAAATGTTTAAAGAACGATAATACACTATCGGGAAAACTTCAGATACTGATTTTATCTTCTTATTATAATTATGGTTAAAATTATAATGATTTTTATTTTTATATTTGAATTATTGATAAACTTTTGATCTTACTCCAAAAGAGGTCTCGAGTAAAATGTTGGTATATTGAAATCATATAATACATGGAGGTCAAATATTTATTACCACGAGAGAATTTCAATTAAATTATTGGGAAGGATGTAGCAGGGAATATATATATATTTTTGACAGAAATTAAAAAGTACAGAAAAAAAAAGAGATAGAGAGAAAAAGAGAAAAAAAAAAGTAAGAAAAATATAACAACTATAATAATAGTAATCTAATTCACATTATTATTATTACTATGACAATTATACCAACTCTAAGCCACTCTATATTTATTTAAATTTCTTACCGAACAATAACATTTGTAATTGATCATACATGGAAATAACACCAGCACCAGCAACACCTCTTAAGATGTTAGCACCACAACCCTTGAACAAGGAGGAAACACCTTCAGCAGCAACAATCTTTTTTAGACAGTCAAAAGCACCATTATACTTAACAGCTTGACCAGAAGTCATCATCATTCTTCTTCTAACGGTATCTAATGGATAAGAGCAAGTAGAAGCACCAGTAGTAACAACCCAACCTAATAAGAAGGAGGCAAGGAAGGAACCATCTAAGGAACCGGTTAAGACCAATGGTTTCAAGGAGTCGTACATACCGAAGTATAAACCTCTGTAAACAATGATACCAGCGACAGATGGCATAAAACCTCTGTATAAACCAGAAATACCATCAGACTTCAAAGTTTTTCTGTAAACATCAACTAAACCATTAAATTGTCTTTCACCACCCTTCTTGGAAGATTTAGCATCGGCAGCCAATCTAGTTCTAGCATAATCTAGGGAGTAGACGAACAGCAAAGACAAAGCACCAGCGGCACCACCAGAAGCCAGGTTACCAGCGAACCATTTTGCATAACCCTCTTCCTTCTTGAACCCGAACATGGCCTTGATTTTGTCCTTGAAGGCGAAGTTCAAGGCTTGAGTTGGGAAGTATCTGATAACGTTGGCGGTGTTACCTCTCCAAAAGGAAATAATACCTTCTTGTTGAGCAGTTCTCTTAAAACAGTCGACGATACCCTTGTATCTTGTATCTAAAGAACCTTGTTTGATCATTTCATCTTGGTTTTGGATTAATAGCTTAACTCTTTCAATTGGAGAGGCAGCAGTCTTAGCAACGGCAGCGGAAACACCACCCATTAAGAAATCGACAGCGAAGTTAGATTGAGACTTGTCAGACATTTTGTTTGTGTATATGTTTGTATCTGTTGTTGAGTCTTTTTTGGTCTGTTTGCCAGTTAGTATAGTAGGTACAAGTGAAAAGTATGGACTGGTTTACCTATAGCGTTAAAGAAATGGATGTTAGTATCTAAGAACAAACCAGAAGGTTTACTGTGAAGTTGACTTGATATAGGTCCTACAATTTGCCTCAAAGATTGAATTCAAGAGAGGCGGACGGGATTAGGTGAAATATACTTTATATATACCTTAGAGAGCTGAATACTACTTGAAACTGCATTATCACTTTTATCAAATAAGAAGGGAGGTAAATAATGCAAGAAGAAAAAAGAGACAGAAAAAGAAAGTAGAAGGGTAAGAAAGCAAGAAAATACCAAAGTATGGGTGTATGAAAGTAAGAAAATAAGCAAAAAGACCACAAACAACAACTGTAATTCCACAAGGATTTATCAATCGAATAATAATAATAATAATAATAAATCAATGTGTGTGTGTATTTTGTTTTTTTCTTTTGTCTCTTATTTTTTCTCATCTTTTTCTGTTTGAGCCTTATTTAATTTTTAATGTCGAGGAAATTTTAGTCTCTCGTTGTTTTATTATAACGGACATGAGAAAAAAAAAAGAGGATTTCATAGTAATATTGTACTGTGTAAATTTTATGGACCAATGGCAAGAAAGAAAAAACAAAATAGAAGAGTAATAATAATAATAATAGTAAGATGAAGAAGAACAATATAGACAGAACAAAGGAGTAGAGAGAAGTTTTAAACTCCATTATGATACAAGGTAAACGTTGTAATAGCATGCTAAACAAAAAGTAATACATTCTCGCTTTGTGGCTGAAATAGGGAAAATCATAGTTTTGTAAAACATCAAATAAGACACTGTGAGAAAGGGAAGGAACAAAGAGAAAGATGTGAGAAGAGAACTTAAAATTCATGTATAATGACAAAAATGAATTACGGACAGAAAAAGAGACGACGAGAAAAGGTTGGAAAATTTTGAAACAAGAGCAGTAGTACAAAATAAATAAATACATGGATACTTGTTACTGTAGGTTGTTGTTAACTTTATTAGAAACAGCAAAGATGAGAGTAATCTAACAAAATTGTTGCCTAATTTTCGTTCTCAATCCAATAGTAAATGATTATTTTAGTACATTTAAGAGAAATTTAAAAAAGTATGGTTAGTGATTTTGTCGTGTACTATATTTTCAGTTATCCTCCTCTACCCTTTAACTATAGATGATTTAAAATAGCACTTTTCTAGAGTATCTTCTTAATGATAGTGAACTTGAAGAACATGGCAATATCATTATTATTATTGTATATAGGAAATATAGAATAGTTTAAAAAGTAAAAAAAACTCTTGATAATAACAGGAAAAATATATTCAACTGTATTGAGATCATTTGAGTCAAAAAGGTTTAAGACAAAACACTGTATCCTGGGATGATACTTAATAAAATAACTTAGCAAATCGGTGATGGTCGATTTGATTTTATTACTTAGATAGTAGCAAAAACCAATGAATACCGCACGTTAAACTTTCAAGGCAGTTTATATTGTATCTGCAAAACTCTTGGTTTATCAAAAAATGAACAATTAGCTTTTTTTTTTTTTTGAAAAGTTGATGTACCTTCAACGATAGAACTTTAATATGACTGTTTTCCAATATTTTACACCTGTACATTTTCTAGTGTTTTCTTTTTTTATTAACTTTCTTTTTTTGATAAAATATACAATTTCCTATTTGAGAGATTTTACGGTTCGCGTTTTTAGTTTTTTTTATTGCATTGTCACTTACCCAAAATTATCTTTGTTTTTGGATCGAGGGACTGAATTAGATAATCAATTTTCTACAATATTGGATGTCGGCTTTCACGGACGATAACAGGGTTAGAACAGAACCAACATGCTCCACCAGAGAATGAATGGAACCATCACTAGGACCTTTTTGGTAAAGCTCAAAGGGAATGGAAAGGGTAGCAATACCGTGTCTTTTGCTGCCTAAACCTCTCTCTATCTTCCCTCTGCCTAGCTCACCTTATCCTAGGCTTCTTACACAAACGAACCTCTGTCTGTGGGTAGGAAAGGAAATTCTAGTTTACGCTGTGGTTGTTGGGGTGGGTCGGGTAGAAGGACAATATCCAAGTGTTTGTGTCCGTCTTCTCTTTAACTCTCTCTATCTTTCCCATTCCATGTGTGGTAGAGTGTTATCCGACTCTGCTTCCAGTAGTATCTGTGTAAACCTGACAATTAGCTACCTTCATCGAAGCATTGTAGTAGAGTAACGATTTTGTATCGTTATCCCCCCCATCGAATAACACAATATTATGTTTTAGAGTATACATCAGTATAACAAATATACCTCTAATTGGTCCAAGATTATCTGACATTTATCTTTAAATTTCTAAGGTATCTTGGTGTATTGTTTGTTGCTTGATATAAGTCTTGCTAAAGTTTCCACTAATATAGTCGATCTCTAAGGAAACCAAAAACAAAAATGTATGTTAAAAACGAACCTACGCTAAAAAAAATGGAGAAGAGGCATTAACATTAGAGAAATAATGTAGGATTAAATTATTTCAAAATGAGATGAGCTAGTAAATATAAAATAGAAATGTATTGTGGTAATGTATCATGGCAATGTCAAAGTTGAATAGGTTCTGTTTGAGGATCTTTGTTGATATGTGTTACTTTGTTTGTCTCTGTAACTTGCATTGGAGCTTCTTCAGACTCCCAACGTTTAGGATATAATGATCAAATATTACGAAACCATACAAAAATTGGTGAAGTTTAATTGTTTTATCAGATTGTTTACTATTACCATTAATATTGATGTCTTTTTTTCAAAGTATGCTTATGTCTATGAGTGTGATACCAATGTCAATTAATCATTGTATTGTCTTTTTCTTCATTTTTTACTTGTTTATGTGTGATTATTTGGATTTTTTCAATATTTTGATACTAACAATTATATTGTAATTATAAATTGTCATAGTTTGGCATTATATTATCTGTGCATATGTCACTGCTGTTTTATATCTTTTTTATTACAGGGCTAACTTACGTACTCAAAAGAGACTTGCCGCTTCTGTCATCGGTGTTGGTAAGAGAAAGGTTTGGTTAGACCCAAATGAAACCACCGAAATTGCTCAAGCTAACTCTAGAAATGCTATCAGAAGATTAGTTAAGAATGGTACCATTGTCAAGAAGGCTGTTACTGTTCACTCTAGATCCAGAACTAGAGCTTACCTTTTGTCCAAGAGATCTGGTCGTCACACTGGTTACGGTAAGAGAAAGGGTACCAAGGAAGCCAGATTACCATCTCAAGTTGTTTGGATTAGAAGATTAAGAGTCTTAAGAAGATTATTAGCTAAATACAGAGATGCTGGTAAGATCGACAAGCACTTATACCATGTCTTATACAAGGAAGCCAAGGGTAACGCTTTCAAGCACAAGAGAGCTTTAGTTGAACACATCATCCAAGCCAAGGCTGATGCTCAACGTGAAAAGGCCTTAGCTGAAGAAGCCGAAGCTAGAAGAGTCAAGAACAGAGCTGCTCGTGAAAGAAGAGCTCAAAGAATTGCTGAAAAGAGAGAAGCTTTATTAAAGGAAGATGCTTAAATAAAATTATCTCTTACTAAATAAATAATATCTCTATTTACACATAAAATTCTTTTTATATAATCAACTTCTTTTCTAAACACTTGAATTATTATCGTTAGTATATCAAAGAGAGAAAGAAAGAGCAAAAGGTAGTTGTAAGAGTTTGTTCTCAGGTGTTGTGGATGTTGTGGCCCACATCAACTTGTCTTTTCTTTTCCTTTTTTCTCTAATGCAGCTTCATTCACGATGTTGTATTATTTTAAATATGTAGTAGAAACATTCAATTATTAATAATATATATTTTTATCTTTCAATTTTACATATGTTGAGCTTCTACAAAAAAAATATTAAATATGTCTGAGCGGCTATAGAGATACACAGATGTGTACATATATATATAAAGATGGAATATACTCTGAACAGTCCACCTAATTATTTCTATTAAAATAGGCCTTCAATATCACCATTTTCAGTAATTTCAACGTTCATATACTCAGCATACGTAGACAACCCCGGAATAGTTTGGATTTCATTAGCTAACACTTGGAAGTAACCTGCACCAGCAGAGATTCTTACATCACGGATTGGGAAAGTAAAACCAGATGGAACGCCCTTTAAGCTAGCATCATGGGATAATGAATACTGAGTCTTGGCAATACATATTGGTAAGTTACCAAACCCTTGTTTTTCATATACATCGATCTTTCTTTGTGCTTCTGGAGAAATTTTGATGGTTGCACCACCATACATCTTCTTGACAATAGTTTCAATCTTTTCCTCAATACTTTGTTCGCTATTATATAAGTAATTGAAGGATTTTGATTGTTCAGCAGCTTTGATAACAGCATAAGCTAGATCTATGGATCCTTTACCACCATCTGTGAAATGAGTAGATGTAACAGCATCGATGGCGCCAGCTTCAATAGCAGCCTTTCTAATTATTTCAATTTCTTTTTCAGTGTCACTTTCAAATTTATTAATTGCGACAACGACTGGAATGCCATATTGCTTTACGTTTTTAATTTGTTTAATCAAATTAGAGACACCAGCAGCAACGTAATCAGTATGTTCTGTAACGTATTCTTGAGGTAATTGTTGACCTGGTTTGACATTACTAGCACCACCATGAGATTTTATTGCTCTAACAGTAGCTACTAGGACAACAGCATCAGGAGATAACCCAGATGAACGACACTTAATATTTAAGAAACGTTCACCACCCATAGTGAAATCAAAACCAGCTTCTGTGACAACATAACCTTGGTTAGTAATACTGTTTTTATCCTTACCAACAAGCTTTAAAGCGATACGGTCAGCGATAACGGAGGATGCACCAATCGAAATATTGGCAAATGGACCAGCATGGACCAAGACAGGAGTACCTTCCAAAGTTTGCATCAGGTTTGGTTTAATAGTATCCTTTAATAAGGCAGTTAATGCGCCAGCACATTCAATATCATCAGCTGTAATTGGGTTGCCTTCTCTGTTGAAAGCAACGACAATTTTGCCGATTCTTTCTCTCATATCTACTAGATCTCTAGATAAAGCTAAAATAGCCATTAATTCCGATGCAACAGTAATATCAAATCCAGTAGAACGAGTAATACCCCTTTCAGTTGGTGCCTCACCAATAGTGATTTGACGCAACATACGGTCGTTAACATCAACTACTCTTTTTACAACTATTTGCTCAGGATCAATGTTTAATCTAGCAAATTTATTGATTTCTTCTGGTGTCAAAGAATCTGGATTTGTCTTATTGATACCCAATTTTTGTAACCTTTTCAACATTGAGGGAGTAAATTTCCTTGAACCATTCTTGGTAGGTACCAATCTCTTATAAAAGGTGACATTATTCTTCTGGGTTATTTCATGGAACATTCTTGTATCAACAGCGGCGGCCAGTAAATTGTTTGCGGCACCAATAGCATGAATATCACCAGTCAAATGTAAATTGAATTCATCCATTGGGATTACCTGTGAATAACCACCACCTGCAGCACCTCCTTTAACACCAAAAGTTGGACCCATGGAAGGTTGACGCAATGTGGCAATAGTAGGTCTATTTAAATGGGCAGTCAAAGCTTGAACTAGCCCGACTGTAGTGGTAGATTTACCTTCACCAAGTGGAGTTGGTGTAATACCAGCGACAAGTATGTATTTACCATTTTGTCTATCCTTTAATCTATCTAATATGGATGGAGAAATCTTAGCTTTATACTCACCATACAAGTCCACTTCCTTTGGTTTGATTTGTAGTTCATTGACCAATTTTTGAATTGGTTTTGGTTGTTGATCTTTTGAAATTTCAAAATCAGATGGGACTGGGGATTTTGTAATTAATGGCAAAGGTTCAATTTTGACAGTTGATCCTTCAGTAAAACTTTTTTTAGCAGCATTATAAACGTTATTCATTAGCATAGTGACTGTCATTGGACCCACACCACCTGGTACCGGAGTAATATAGGATGCTTTATTCTTAGCAGACTCAAACTCGACATCACCAACCAAACGTTGACCAGATTTTTTGGTTGGATCTTTAATATAATTAATCCCGACATCAATGACTATAGACCCTTCTTTTAACCATTCACCTTTTACAAAATTTGGTATACCGCAAGCAGCAATTATAATGTCAGCTAATCCAAGAAGCTCTTTCAAGTTAGTAGTGGCACTATGACAGTTTATAACGGTGGCATTTTCATTTCTTAGAAGAGTAGCAATTGGAACACCAACAATATCAGAACGACCTAAGACAACTGCCAATTTGCCCTTAATTTGAATATTTTCAGATTTTAACAATTTTATGATTCCATGTGGTGTGCAAGGTAAGAAGTATGGGTTTCCGTTTTTCTTAGTCAATTGGCCAACATTATATGTGGTTAACCCATCGACATCCTTCGTTGGGTTGATAGCATCAGTGATCCTTTCTTCATTCAAATGAGCAGGCAAAGGCAACTGTATCATTAACCCATGAATAGACGGATCAGAATTGATTTCTTTTATGCGGTTAAGCAAAGCTTCTTCAGTGATGTCATTAGGTAGATGGTCGGTAGTTGAATTCATAAAACATTTCTTAGCAGCTATTTCTTTGGACCTAACATAAGTAGATGAATCTGGTCTATTTCCGACCTGAATTATTCTCAAGTTCGGAACGAACAATGGGTTCTTCCTTCTCAAATTGATTATGTTTTGTTTAATCTGTTCCCTGATAGACTCGGCTACTTTTTTACCGGAGATTGTATGGTAAAGAAGCCTTAAATTTGTCTGAAATGACAAACTTTTGGAAGAGATAGAAGTAGGGCTCAGCATATCTAATATATACTTGAATATTTATAGATATCTATGCTTCAAATTGTTAATTCAACTGATAAGATAGACTGTTGTCATTCAGCGAATCCAATTCTGCAACAACAATATATATACATAACAGTAAAACTAGTAATAAATAATAACAATATTTTTGAATGAAAAAAAATTAAAAACAAGCCATATGAGAAGTTCAAGTAATTGCGATACACACATAATCTATTGCCAGTTACTGCAAGTTCTTTAGCTTTATACTTGTTCTCTGCTCGACTGTGTGCCTCTCTGCTTAGCTTTCTTAATTTGTACAAGCTCATCGATACGTATTCTTTATATTGATTTAAATTCGATATGAGTCGGAGATGTAACTCCTATGATGGGTAAAAAAATTTTTGTCCGAAGTTGTTTCAGTCGTTTTTCGTGATAAATGTACTAAAGGGGAAATTGTAGTATACAAAAAGAATTTGCATCTTTACTTCTTTTCTTTTTCTTTGACTCTTGCCTGTCTGCTTTTAGAATCTTTGGATTTAAAAAAAAAAGGCCTGAGTCATCCCCCCATTAGAATACAATAAGGATGTAAAGCAGAAAAATGAGTTTGGCTCTGGCAAAATCCTGGATAGAGTTAAATGATGCGTATTCAAAATGCTGTTTGACACAAAAAACAAAAAATTATTTATCATTGGGTAACTCGCCTAATGATAGATGTGCCCCGCTATTGACAATCTGCAAAAAGCTTCTTAATACCTTTTATTACAAGTAAATCCGTAAACTATAATATGTTATTAATATATAGTTGTTGAATACGAATATATATAAAGATATACATCAATGTTTGATTACAAATGTTTATATTATATTATATTATATTGGGGTTTATTCGAGAAAAAAAATGAGAGGAAAAGAAATGATATGATGTTATTACTATTATTGTTGTCATTAGGGAAATGAACAAAATGCAGTGTCAATATAAATAATGAAAAAAAAAATGTATTAGAGAGATTAATGACAATAATCGTTGTTTGGATGACCAGTAAATCATAGAAAATAGATCTTGGTATGAATATCGATGTTATTTGTTGTTCTTGTTCCATTTAATGAAACGGCTTGTTCACGTTTTGAGAATTGAATGTGGGATATGTTGGGGAACTGTTTGGTGGGCCACCAGACATGAAGTATGGTAATTGATATTGGGAATACGGTTGTTGATTATCTGAAGGTTGTCCCATGACAGATTGATTAGTTGACTTATAATCAACAAAATCTGAATTTTGTGTGTATTGTGGTGGACTAAAATTGTATTGAGACATTGTCCAATGATTATTGGGTGAAAACCATTGTAGTGGTGGATAGTTACTTAGAAAATGACTATCTACTGGTGTAATATTTGGATATAACCTGTTTTTTTGAACCATGGAATATAATTGTGATTGATTTGGTAATAATTCTGAATCTGCCTGAGTTAACAGTTGTGATTGTTCTGATAAATCATCAATATTAGCTTTTACTTTGTTGTTTTGCGGATTTGCCGGAGCTGTCAAAGGTTGGGTTACTGTATTCCATTGTACTTGTGAATTTGAGTAATAAGATGGGTAATTCGATGATATCCCAAAGACATTTACGTTGTTATTTCCAGAAACTAGATCATTATTGTAAGAATTATTACAATTAGTAGTGGTGGTAGTGTTGATAGTTTTTTGAGAAATGGAATTTTTTCTGCTATTTTTAGAATTATTATTAAAACTGTTTATATTGGGTTCCATTACAGTATCATTTTCTTCAATATTTTGTTTGGTTTGTAAAGATTTAGATACCATATTTATTAACCTTCTTTGTTTCTTTTCAACTTTTAACGCTTCTTTTAAAGCAGCATCTCTAGTCATTGACTTTTTACCAAATGTATTATCCTCTAAGATAATATTTGCATTTTTTTCATTATTATTATTATTTGTCGGATAAGGGCAATACACATTATCATCTTCAATATTAATAGGTAAGCATTTATACTCGGAAAGATTTCCATACATATTTCTTGCATATTTTGCAGGATACATTAACTTTTGGTTATTTTCAAGTAATTCTTGACCTCCGTCAAAATTAAAAGTTGGATTTATATTATTTCTAGTACTACATGGAGTAATCATACGATTTTGTTTATCATATTTCCCATTCAGTAGATCTCTCTTTTTTTTATTAAAGGGGTTTAGCATAGGAAAATTCTCGCATAATAGATGTTTGGGATCCCTTAAGACTTCTTCCTCTAGTTCTTCCACAATTACAGTAAACTGTTTCTCAAAATTCTCTTTTGTCTTTCCATTCTTCGGAGCACCATTTTCAATTAGGTTATATAGTTCTAATTCCGAATCTGTTATACTCAGATTATTGTCTTTCTTGCTGGTAATTGCTTTTTTCAATACTTGAATATGGGATGATATTTGTTTTTTAGACCTGAAACTTCTAGTATAATAATAAATATATAACGAGATTAATTCATTTCTACCGTAATTTTTGTGTAACACTTTAATTTTGGAAGTACCTTTTTTAGGAATTAGTTTTAGAGAGGCTATAAATGCATCTTCCACTTCACTTGGCCATTTATCAGTTGAATCCTTTGTAATGTATGAGTCTGCAGTCGTGTATTTCATTACATTGGTAGAAGATATATCCAGGTCCTTGGTGTCAGCTGCCGGATAAATAGAACTTAAAGAAGAAGAAGGTTGGCTGTCTATAGATAGAGATTTTTTTCCTTCATTTTGCAAAGATTCATTAGTCATCGGTACAGATATTATTTCATCGTTATCTGATCTGGAAGGTATCTCAATCGTTACTTTGTTTAAAGGCACTGTATCACTATTAGCAGATTTTGGTGTAGTATAATCTGGTTCAAAATTCAATAGATTATGTTCTTTATCAATAAGCTCTTGTTTAATTGGTTCCTTTGGATGGAATTCTTTTGCAAAAATATCTAAATATGGCATATTATCCTTTGAAAAATCCTTGGTTGAATAAACATCAAATACTCTAGTAGGTATGTACGACCGATCATTATTTGATAATATATATTTGTCATCTATTAGATCATTATAAAGACAATTGTTATTGTCATTATCTGGCTTCGGTATGGTATTTGAGTCTTCCTCCATATTAATTTATTTACTCTATTGCATTGGATTAATATTAGATAATAGATTCTGTTGGTTTTTCTGTCTTCTGTACTTGATTAAGTGTTATTGGATGAGCTTATGATCTATCTTTATGCGGTTTATTATTCCAATTTGATCTCTCTCCAAAGATAAGAATGACTATGATACTTTTTACCCCCAAGTTTTTTTTTCTTCTAGTTTTTCTTGTTTGACATGTCTTACGAATAAAAAAAAAAATAAAAAAAAAGAAGCGTCTAAAAAACATCACTAAAAAATAAAAACAAAAAGGCCGATGCAACTTTTTTTTTTTACTTCGAAGTTTTTTCGGTGTTTCTGCAAAAAGAAATTGATAATTTGTCACGAAATCTTCTTTTTTTTGCAATGAACAACATCGTATATTGATTTAAAATAAAAACAAAAATAAGATTAAATAATGCATTTATGGTTAATAGTACTATTCAATATATGTATCAGACCTAACCCAGATCTGTTTAGAGTAACCTTGTTCTATTATCAAACTATGATATGGCATTAACACAAAGTTCTATCTAAGTGTACTTAGTCATAACAATCCGATTAATGGTATTTGTTTTTGTCTGATAGAGTGTTATCAAATATATAACCAAATAACTTTCTTTTGAGTTTGTTAAGATAAATTTGTTCTAGATTTTTTCTTTTTTTTCATTCAAACTATAAATGTCCAATATTTCTTCTTTGGTTTTAAAGAAGACTGATTAATATATCGGATGAATCTACCATGGTTTTATCTAAACTTATATATATTAGAAGATTTGTTACCAGTCTACCGTTTTGTTAGATTCTTTTAAACCACCTAGAAAGGTAAACTATTCATTTTTTTAAGCTTTTTTACATAAAAGAAGTTCCAACAGAAACATATTGTTGTTTTCTAACTTCCAAAATCTTGGTATTGACTCTCTCTTGCGGTATTGTTAAAGTTAGAAGATGAAAAATGTGTAGATAACTCAAACTTATTGTAAGGAATAAAAATAGCAATATAATATGTTAAATTATCATTTTCTTTTGTTAGGCTTCCAGTGGGGTAATTAGAGCTTGCAAAGAATGATTTTAAATGTTTTGGGTAAATTGTGTTCTATTCTTTTAAGTTACAGAGGCTATAAAAAATATAAAGCAAATCAATATATGTATTATATGTTAAGATTTTCGACCTTAACTTGTAAAGACTTTTCATCTTTAAAAATTCATCCTTGGTATATGTTGATCAACTATAATGATTTCTCTTTTTTCATGTCTATCTTTTTTGTTTGTATACTTTTTTTTGGAAAAAACAAGAGGAGTTGTTCGGTTTGAAATTTTGTCTTATTTTACCTAAAAGGGAAAAAGTAATTAGATTGAACTCCATATAGAAATACAAAGTGGTGCTCTAAAATTGTGTTGTGAAGTTTGTCTATTCTGAAACAAACACTCAAGAATACGTTTTTGATCCCATTTTGAGGTTAAAATTTACATGTTATTTTGGTTAGCCACCATCATTTGAAATTTTGATTCCTTTTTTTAAGCCTATCCTCTCAACTCTATAAGATTTGTTTTATTATATAAAGACAGATTATACTTGATTTGATTGACGTTAAGTGGAATAGAGAAATTTATTGATATTACTAATCTACAAAATATTATATATATATACCAAAAACAATGTATACTTACTCAGAATCACTTTTTAAATATTCTGAATAATCATCTGCAGAAGCAAATACTGGTAAGGCTTTCTTCTTTTGTTTCTTGGATTTTTTATGTGATTCAGAATCGCTATCATCATGATGTCTCTTGTTGTTAGATATTTCATTTTCACTAGAGGAATCATCAGTATCTTCCTTTATGCCATCAACTCCATCCAAAGCGCTAAATTCGATATCATCTTCTTCATTAGTTTCATCATCACTTCCCGCAATATCTGACCCTTCATCTTCGTTTTCTGAACTTTCATCTGAACTGAAATCTTCAGTACTAAATTCAATTCCATCATCTGAGTCATCTTCTACATCTGGTTTAGATTTCACTAAAGCATCCCAGATTTCATCTTCATCCATTTCATCGTCACTATCAAAGCTTCTTGCCTTCTTTTCTTTTTGAATTCTGACTGCACTCTTCTTACTAGAGAAATATTGATGGAAGAATTTGTCTTCCGGGTTAATATCTTCTACTTTTTTGTTCAGCCAATTTTCTGTATTTACTGGAACACTGTTATGTTTTAAATCAGATGCTTTAACCAAGATATTGTTATTTAATTCAGAACCACCAAATAAAGGTTGCATAATAGATGAACCTCTAGAAACGGGTTTTTGTTTAGCATTTCTATAAACAAATCTGTCTAGGAAATGTGCCAAAGTAAATAGGCCTAAGTCTGGTTTACTCATTTCCTCGCCTTTATCATCTACAAAGGCAGTTGCATATGCTTGGACAGTTGGATGGAAATGATGTAGGAAGTGAGTAATTTCCCATAATGATGACTTGTCTGCATTTGCAAACTTAGGGTCACGTTTACGGCTATCGTAGACCCTTTTTGTAGTAGAATCATCTTCCTTCTTTCCAGAATCATTATCTTCATCGTTGTCCGATTGATATTTGTCATCTGATGGAGAGTTTATTAATAAGTTTTTAATTTGTGGAATGGATTTGACTAATTGTAATAATAGGAAGAAGAACCCAGTAATTGTACCAATGTTAATCCAATGAACAGCTACTTGTAAAATTCTCTTAACGAAAGCTTCTACACGTTCCGCATTTTTGGCATCATTCTTTAAAGATTTATATAATAAATTCAAATAAATACCTTGTTTGGATGAATTTACTAATCTTGGATCTAATAAGGATTCATACAATGTTTTATAATATCTATCATTATTCAAACCAGCTTTGACAGTAACTTGATTGATTAGTACTAATGCTTGAACAGAAGTGTTAAAATTGGAGGAATGTGTAATTTTGTATAATGTTTCCATATGTAATTCATAAACAGATGCAGGAATTTGTGCAAATGGGAATGCACGGTTAATACCTGTCAACAAGGAACTGAACAATTTTGAATTCTTTTCATTTATCTTTTCAGCTTCAGTTTTTTCTTCTTTAATAGATCTACCACCATTCTTACCTCTTTTAAAATTTTTCTTCCTCTTATTTTCATAGCCCTTTGCATTACTTTTAATTGCATCAGCTGAATCTTTCTGGTTATCTTTATCAGTGGATATTAAGAACTTTTCAAATAAAGTAAAATATGTTTTCACCAATTTATTTGCAATGTCATCTTCTGTTCTCTTTAGAATAGTTTGATTTAATGTAATTACAGAATAATATGTAGTATGATAATCAGCACCAGATCTTAAAGCTACATCCACAATGGCATCGATAATAATGCTTTTCATATTTGGATGATTTTGTTGTAGGTTTAACAATAAATAAGAAGCCTTTGAAGAGACCTTAGAATCGATATCACCTAGTTTATTAACACCTAATCTCAATAAGTTGAATTCCTGTTCAGGTTTGTTAATTAGAAAATCGAATACATGAGTTAAAGTGGACATTCTAACGTGGATAATTGGATCATGAGACAGTTTCTCCAAAATTTCCAATATTTTGAAAAAGAATCTTTTCAAATAATCTTCAAAATAAAAGAGAGCCAAAGTTCTTTTATTTAACATCATTGATAAACCAGGTTGATTTTTAAAATATCTTAATTTTCTGTCTGGTAATAATCCATTAAGGAATAAATCTTTCAAGGCATTTAAACTTTGTAATTGAGAATTTCTAGATTTTTTATTACAAAACGTTAATAAAGTTTCTAAAGATTTCATATTATGAATTGGAGAATCTTGGATCAATAAAGTTAATGCAGAGATCTTATCATTAAGTGTACCACTTGTCAAGATTTGAGACATGAATTTTTTTTGAGATGAGTCCTTAGAAAATTCTTCATAGTAAAGGGTGTTGTCAGCTTCTAAAGCACTTTTCCCTCTTTCATACAAAGTGGCTATCTGATCTTTATTCAGTTCGATGTCATCAGATTTTATATTTTCCATAACTTGTGGATCTATCGGTACGTTATACCATTGAGTTGTGTTGGGGATAAGTAATTTATTAGAGGATAATATGTTGGTATCAGTAATTAATCCATCATCTTTCTTTTCTTGTTTTGTTTTTTGATTTTCATTTTTTGTTTCTTTCTTTTGCTTTGATGTAGAACTAAGTTTTGCACCTTTTTTGTCATCTGATTCATTTGTATTGTTTGAAAAATCAATAGATTCGGAATTATTTTGTGTTTCACCATCATTATCATCATCATCATCTTCTTCTTCTTCTTCTTCTTCTTCTTTGACAAGTTCTGGTACTTCTTCCTCTTTTTCAAGTTCCTCTTGAATATCCTCATCAGCCACATTTGTAGCTTGATCAGTAGTGTTTTTGTCGAAACCTATTTGTTTCATAAAGGATTGTAGATCGTCATTTAATTTATTATCGACAGAACCACTTTTTGCATCATCGTTGTCACCATGATCACTGTCACCGAATTCTTGTTCACTTAAATCGTCATCTTCAGGTTTCAAATCTTTAATCAATTCGAGATCTTTTTCATCAGCACCCAACTCAAATGCTTCTTTACGTAATATCTCATCAATTGCTTCACTGTTATCCATTGAACTTTTACTCATGGCTTTATTCTTTTGTTTATTCTTATTTTTATTTTTATTCTTTTTATCTTGTTTTTGTAAGTTTGAAGAGAATTTCTCTTTAACAGAAGATAGTAAACTCATCGTCATGCACACTTTACTAGTCTGTTACAGTGATTTGCAATGATTAAAGAAGGTAAATCAGAATTATGTGGATAAAATGATATAGTTAATAGTGAATTCTGTATAAATGTTGTTATTTTTTTTTATTTTACTTCATAAAATTTTTTTTTCTTTGTATTTTTTTTTTCGTATTTTATTAATTATTTAAAGCTCATCGCAAAAATAAAAAAAAAATTAAAAAATTAAAAAAAGAAAAGAAAAATATACCAAACACCCATACATCAGTTCTATTTAGATTTCAGTAGGAAATAAGATATCTTTCTAAATAAATATATCATATTATATAATAGTACCGCATTGGAATATAAGCGTCATTATTACGATTCAACAGCACTTTTTGAATTTTAAAAGAATGCCTACTCTTATTTTACTTTTGATGCCCCTCTTTCTGTTAGTTATACCTTGATATCAAACAAGCCAAAAACAAACCAAAAAAGAAAAAAAGGGAAAGAAAGGATAAGATAATTTATATTTGCTTACTATACAATTTTGCTAATGAGTTATTTCATGTTTTACTATTGTTGTGTAGAAGATACTAAAGATGTACTGTAAGCTAACGTATTACAAATTTTAAGCTTTTGTTCAGCGTTCAATTACTTACGCCAATTTATTGTATACCACACCTACATGTTTAAAAGTTTGAAAATATTAGTATTACTGGAGAGGATATTGCAGGTTTAAAAAACTTAGGTTGCGGTCACAAAGGGTTACTGTTGCTATGAGTTGTTTATTAAGTCAAAATTTCAAAATTACTTGTTTAACACATATATGTACTTAGATAAGAGATAATGTGTGTAGTGGCTATGTTTCCTCATAGATTAGATAGAAAGAAAGAAGAAGTCTTTATAATTCCGAAGATCACAGTAAACGAATCTAATAATGTGTTTGTGAAGTTGAACAAGAAAAAAAAATTAAAAAAATAAAAAGAAAATATGCGGGATATTTTTTCTTTTTACTTGTTTTTGGTTTTGATCTTTGTTCTCTTCCACTATCTTTCGACTGTCGGCGTCTTCGTGGGCCAGAAAATTCCGAAGTTGATTTACTCTACGGAATCAATAGCGGACAGTGTGTTTTGTCATGAAGGCTTTTTGGGGAATTTTGACTGGACAATATCAAGTGCATGAGCAATTCCTTTATCCGAGCGGGAACAACACACACCATCAAAAACAAAACAAGGGAAAAAAAAAAGGCGTGGCATCTCTTTCTTGTCTTCTCTTTCTTTGTCTTCTCTTCCTTTCCCTTTTCCTCCCCTTCTCTTTTTTTTTCCTTGCTATTCATTCACATTCACACTCATTTTCATTTTCGACCAGGTTCTAGATTGAATAAAACATTTCTATTCGGTGAAGAAACAAAAAGAACAAAAAAAGAAAGAAAAAAAAATATTTCGACAATTTGAATTTTTCTTTTCTTTTCCTTTCTTTTCTTTTCTTTCTTTTTTTGTTCCTCTTGATCTAAACAATGTTCGGTACTAAAAAAAAAACTATAAATGAATAAATAAATAAATAAAAAAACTTTCGTCGACTAATCTCTCTTTGTATTTTTTATTTTTTTGTAATTTATATTTAACATTATAATTTGACATTTTTTTTGTCCCACACCTTTGTTCTTTTTTTTATTTTGGTTAAGTTACAAACATTAATATAATAATTATCACTAGTGTTTGATTAACACTTATAGCTGTTCTACTACCCTTACAACCCCTTGTCAAGAAGCTGATATAATTAACTGATCAAGTTAACAAACTACGTATTATAAACAAATAATGTCTACGAAACGTATCTCCAAGGAATTAAACGATTTAGCTAAGTATGTTTTATTTTATAAATTAGTGTTTGCCACACACACATATATATATATAATAGAATCTTTATCTCTTAGGCTTTTTTTGTTTATTTAATTCTATGAAACTGTGACAAAAATAATAGTTAATTGGTGGTGCCCACTTTATCTCTTTTTGTTTCTATCTTTCTTACTCTTTTTTTTTTCAAGTCAATATAGATAATGTTTCACTGAATGATTTATTTTCAATGAGGAAATAGGTAGATATTAAGATTTCAACCTTTTTTTTTTAAGTTTGTGTCCGTGTGTGTGTGTGTGTGTGTTTGTTTGTCTGCATGTGTCTTTTGTTCTCATCATGCAGATGCATAGTATATAAAACATTGTTTTACTAACAAGCTCTATTATTACTTGGTTATTCATTTTACTTTACTTTATTTTATTTATAGAGATCCAATCACATCCTTCTCTGCTGGTCCAGTGGGTGATGATCTTTTCCACTGGCAAGCCTCTATTATGGGTCCAGCAGATTCTCCATATGCTGGTGGTGTTTTCTTTTTATCAATTCATTTCCCAACTGACTATCCATTTAAACCTCCAAAGATTTCCTTCACTACAAAAATATATCATCCAAATATTAATGCAAACGGTAACATCTGTTTGGATATCTTGAAAGATCAATGGTCTCCAGCTTTGACACTATCTAAGGTTTTACTGTCTATTTGCTCTTTACTAACAGATGCAAACCCTGATGATCCTTTAGTCCCAGAAATCGCTCATATTTATAAGACTGATAGAGCTAAGTATGAAGCAACTGCCAGAGAATGGACTAAGAAATATGCTGTGTGAGAGAAGAAAAGGAAGGCGAGAACGAAAAAAAAAAAATATTATAAATAAAAAAGGCAAAAAAGAAAGGAATAGAACGTATAAATAGAAATAATATAGAGTATATTTTGTTGATGTTTCTTTTATTATGATTACCGTAGTTATATCTTATTAATATAATTATTACTCTTTTAATTATATATATTTAAGATAGAATTTTAATGATGATTAATAATAGTATTAATAATAATAATAATATGTAACTTATTTAAATACACAAATTGTATATCTATCATATTATTTTTGCAAGTTTAATTAACACATATTTTGAACCACATATATAAGGATCGTTATGTACTATTTTGTCTTTTTTTTTCTTTTTCACACGGATTTTTTATTTTCAAATACTTGTTCACTTATTTACATAGGCGCAAACTCTTCTCCATGAAAATACATTCGTTATTATCAAAAGAGATCATATAAGTGCTCCTTTTGCATATATAAGATTATTTTTTTTTAACTCGACGAACAATCCTTTCTTCTCCTAATTCTATAATAGAGAATGGTCTACTACAAGAAATTGACTTTTCCAGAAATAAAAAATATATGATAAACAATTCTTTTTTGTTGATTTCCAATATGTGATATATATATATATATAAAAGAGAATACTGTTATCAACTGAAGATTATGCAAGAACCTCCGCATTAGTGACTTGATCATAGAATATATGGGGTGGTCCGTCACGTTAACATTTGCTACCAGGGGTGACACCACACATCAGCAAAAACTTTTCCAACTGTCAAAAAACTCCGCGACGGGGAATTGAACCCCGATCTGACACGCGACAAGCGTCCATTCTAACCATTAAACTATCACGGATGGAAGGCAGGGAAGAGAGCACTCACGCTGGGGGTCGAACCCAGAATCTTCTGATTAGAAGTCAGACGCGTTGCCATTACGCCACGCGAGCTCAAATTCCTGAGTACTGTTGTAGTATGGTGTGGTGAAGTTCTTTGTGTATTCCAGGGAAGCGCAAATAATATTAATAGTAATTCAAATAATCGAGACAGTAATCAACTATAGTCGATAGTATAATTACTAAAACGGTCTTATATATTAAGCGGCTTATATCGAGTTAATGTACTTATTCGAAGTTACTTGACTTGTTACTTGCTTGTTCTATTTTGTTTATACATAATATATAAATTATTTACAAGAAACGATTATGGAAGATGATCTTTTATCTCCTGAAAACGTTGTCCTTTTATATGTTTTCTGGAGCTCGATCGATTATTCAGATTACTACATTAATGATCTGACTGATTCAAACCCTAAAATTTATTACATTAATTTAGGTGCACTAGTAGATTAGAACTGCACCCCAATTCCCTAATCATGGTAATTAGTAATACACGTGGGGCTTATTAAAACAATAGGTAAATTCTAGATTTGTTAAAATCTTATGTAATCTAATCTTTTTATTATGCAGCATCTAATGTTGTAGCACGTGTATGGCTTATTAAGACAATAAATAGTTCTAGATTCATTCAGGATCTTATGTAATCTTGATGGTGATAACTATTCTATTCCACAACAAGTGCTCCAGGATTGTAATATGATTAAATATATGCTTTATTGTATTAATGAAGGATTTTATACCCAATTAGAACCTTATATAATCTCGGTGGTGATATCACTTATTGTATAACAGGTATTGTTTTTACAATAGGGTGAGAAAAATATTCAAATACAAAAATAGTAATCTCAAAATAGTCTGAGAATTACCCTTTAGATTATTAAAATCACTTGATATAAAACAATAGCAGATATAGTGATATATGATTACTTAATATCTATGATGATATAAATCAGCACAGTAATTTTGATGCAACTAATAAATATATCCCCGTTATCATTACCTCATTTTGTTCTTGGCTTATATGAATTTGAAAGTATATAAGATAAAAACAGAATCAGGGATTAATATTTTCTAATGTTAGTTCTTTATATTATTACTATGCCAATTTGATCATTCATTAAGAAGTAAAATGATAATATATTATAGTATATGTTTCTAATATAGTACAGATTGCACTAATTTTATACCATTAACATTAATTGCACAAATTATGATCTGTTTAATTTATAATAATGCTATTGTAGTCTGGATCTTGGAAAACACATTAGACAATTATACTATCAAAAGGATAGATAGGGCAATTAATAAGTAGATTATAAAAATTGTTGGTAACTATCACAGAATTCAGTTGAGGGAATTAACAACTCATGATTTTATATAAAAAAAACAATAGTCTTAATAACCAAAATTCGATAACATTCTCTTGTTGTTATTTTTTCTATGTTTCTTTTGCTACATGGTACACTACTTTTTTTAATAAAAGTTCCTAATTTTTTTAAATCTGTCTGATTATTAAAAGGTATTTAAACTCTGTTATATAGCAACAGGTGTTTTGATTCCATTTTATACAATTTTTTTGATTTGTAATTTTTACATTTTCTGCCTCATCCAGGAAGTATGATAGGAAATAGAAGAACGATCAATTGAGGACATCAAATAAACAAATTATGCATTCTCCAAAATATATAGTATTATATGTATAAATACATAGTAACTAACTCTCAAAAATCAAAAATAAAGAGTAATAGGTTAAAATGAAATATTTTAAAACCCTTTTGTTTCATATTACTATAAGATATATTTACTCTTTACATCACTTTGAACCACTAATTTTTAGATTTAGAGTATAATGATGTGACAGCTAATGATTATTAATATAAAAATATTATCAAACAATTACATTTCCATAAAAAAATTCCTTTTTTTACCACAACAATCTTATTTTACAAAGTCAACCTATATTAGAATTTTCTTTAATAACTTACAAAAGTACTATCCTTTTTACTACATAAGCTGTTTTACAAAAAAAAAATCATCTTTCAGGCTTTATTAATAAATTAAAACCACCAAACAAGATGTTCTTTTGTTCTATGAGCATACTGTTTTTGGCTATGAAATTATCTATTCTATTATCTGTGTACTTCTCTATTATGATCTTTATTTTAATACTGAAAAATTTTGAACTTATTAAAAATTAAAATTCTTGAAAAATAAAAATAATAGTGTTCAAAGAAATAGTAAACATAGATATAATAAATTTAAACGTGAGTAGTGAAGGAAAACTTATTATTACTAAACTTTCCGAACGTTCTACATTGGTATTACATAATTGATTTTTACAAGAAAGCACAGAGATAATTAATGACTAACACTTATCTAGAATTATGTTTCATTGCATTCCTATTATAAATTATCAAACAACTCATCTGAAAAGTCTACTTAATATAACTGAAAAACTACATTCAAACCATATCTTTGAATCATATTTAACTCCTCAACAATTAATACTGTTAGAATACATTTTATCTATTAAAGATCCCGACATTAAAGAAAAAATATGGAATGAGTTGATGAATGCTAACTTAGTCCTTGATGTCATCACTACTACGAACCCCTCAACGAATAATTACTCTAACATTACACAAGACAGAGAAATAAACACTAATGTATCCAATAATGAAAAAAAATTAGATAATACAAAAGACACTTCCAACTCTGGAAATGAAAAATTAACAATAGATGAAGTTAATGCAGACATCAATCAACTTGATCTCACAGAATTATCTCAACACATTACAACTCCTGGATTTATTGGAAATTTATCTATGAAAATTAGATATGTTCTTTGGCAATGTGCTATTGATACAGCTTTTAAAGTTCCCAGTAAAATTGAAGTATTAGCTGAGGACAATCAACAACATAATGTATTTGATTATGTACTATTAGATGAAATAAGTGACAAAAACGATGGAAGTTCTACTAAACCCTTCCTATCTACTACAGAAATGTTAAGTACAAAATCTAAATTAACCGATAATTATTCTGATGACAATTATGATGAAGATGATGATGACTACGATTGTGAGCCGGCTGAACGCCAGGAATATAAGGACCAAAAAACTTTCTTCAATGACCAAGGTGTCATATTAAAAACAGATGAGCAAAACAGACTTGTTTTAACAATTGAAATATCAACTACTACGTTATCCAAATTGCAAACCAATAATTACGATGCAATTATGGAGAATTGGACTAAAATATACCACAGTTTTGAATATGACAAGGAAACAGTAATGAAAAGATTAAAACTAGAGGCTAATAATGAATTATTAGAGAAAGAAAAGGATAGGAAGAGACCACTGGAAACAGAAAATAGTGAAAAGAAAAATATGTCTGATAACACACCTGAAGATAATAATTCTGATTATGAAGAGGAACAGAATACTAGTAAAAGACCGAAACATGAGAGTATCAGTTTGTCAACAAACCTAGGGATTGCAAACCTATCATTAAAGCATTTGTTAAATGCCATTCAAACAGATAAAACAAAAGTTAATTTATCTGACTATGAATTAAAAACATTAATAACTGATGTTAAAAAAAACAGATCGAAGTGGTCATCTGATGACAGGATAGGTCAAGAAGAATTATATGAAGCATGTGAAAAAGTAGTTTTGGAACTTAGAAATTATACGGAACATTCAACACCATTCCTTAACAAAGTAAGTAAAAGAGAAGCTCCAAATTACCACTTAGTCATAAAAAAATCCATGGACCTTAATACAGTATTAAAGAAACTAAAGACATTTCAGTACGATTCTAAACAAGATTTTGTTGATGATATTATGCTGATTTGGAAAAATTGTTTAACGTATAATTCAGATCCATCCCATTTTTTAAGGGCACATGCCATTGCCATGCAAAAAAAGTCCCTACAACTAATACCAATGATTCCCAATATAACAGTTCGAAGTCGTGCTGAAGTTGAAAGAGAATTGGCTGAAATGGAAAAAGATAAAGATTATGAAGAAGATGGTGAAGATGAGGAAGAAGAGGAAGTAGCTGGTTCTGGAAGAAAAGGGTTAAATATGGGTGCTCATAAACCTGCTTGTGACGATTTCGATAATGACAAGGTGAATATGCAAAAATCTGATGATGCAATTAAAGATCATGTGTCTGGAAATAATGCCTCCATTACGACAGTAGATAATATTGATAAATTAAAGAGTGATCAAACCATATCAATGAATAACTCGGAAGGTACGGATACCAAGAAAAACGATGTTACAACTGGCTTACATGTACAAGATACTTCAAATGAGAATTCTGAAATAAAATCGGAACTATATAGTGAAAAGTTAAATAACATTCCTGATTCTTTATCACACACATCTAAAGATACCACTAATACAGTACATGAATCTAATTCTAAAACAGATGATGAAAAAAACAAAAGTATTTCAGCAAATACTTCTGAACAAACACATATGATCGATACAAAAAATGTCAAAAGAGAGGTTAAGGAAGAAGATGTTAAAGCGACAGATGAGGACAATGAAGAAGAAAGAGAAGAAATTGATGAAACGCAAAATTTTATAAATGAAATTGATGATGATAGAGATGATATTGAAATATCAGTCTGGAAATCTGCAACTGCTAAATGCAGAGCTGAAATTTGCTTGAAAAGAAGTGAACATTTTACAAACGGTAGAATTAATACAATGTCTAAAGCCTTACTAAAAGATCCTAACAAAATGAAGAGTCATTCACTACTATGGCAGGAATATAAACAACAAAAGGAAATAGAATTGCTGCAACAAAAGTTAGAACAAGAATCTATTATGAAAAATGGGTTTGGTACATCTTTCAAAGAAGAAGAATCTGAACAAAATATTTATGATGAATCTACAAAAGTACTTTTTGGAGACAATGCTGTTACTGATATAGATTATGAAAACTCGTCTTTACTTCAAGAATATAATGTTGTTAACACTCTACCTAATCTTGAATACAATGGCATACCTAGCGAAGTTTTGGATAAACAAGAAACTTCATACATTAATCAGTTGCTAGAAACTGGGGTAGCTCATCATAGTATTTACCAAAAAAATGTAAGGAAGGGTATGTCTGTACAAATGAATGCAAATATTTCATTGATCCAACAAATCAGGCATATATGTCATAAAATATCAATTATAAGAATGCTTCAAAATCCTCAATACCTACAGAATACTAAAAATTCACAGAGTAGTTTTAACATTTCAAAACATAAATTTTCATATAGTGATATTGATGATACAGTTGATATTGATCCAATATCCCAAATGAATACACACGACTATAGAAACAATAAAGAACTTATTTGGAGAATTATGCATAAAAATGTATCCAAAATATCCATGGCTAATGGTTTTGAAACTACCCAACCCTCCGCAATTAATATTTTAACTGAGATTGCTAGTGATTACTTATCTAACCTTATCAAAACTATGAAATTACATCATGAATCTAATAGTCTAAATACGAAAAATACAGAAGAAATCCTGCATCTAACATTATTAGAAAATGGTATTCCCCGTCCAGACTCACTATATTCTTACATTGAAAACGAATTCAAAAAAAAAACCAAAAAACTTAAAGATATTAAAACTAAACTAGAATCTTTTTTAAAAGACTTGCTAAGACCCACCTTACAAGAACTCTCAGAAAGAAACTTTGAAGATGAGAGTGAAAATTTCCTTACTGGAAATTTTGCAAGTGAATTGACAGGGGAAGACTTCTTTGGTTTTCAAGAACTTGGTCTGGATAAAGAATTTGGTATTCTAAGTTCATCTGTACCTCTACAATTATTAACTACACAATTCCAAGCTATTGATAGTGAGAAGAAAGTTCAGCATAACAAGGTGCAACCGGAAGAAATTGATTCGGTCAATTACTATAAAATTACTAAGAAAGATATCCAAACAAACAATCGTTATCACATTCTTAAACCTTTACTAAAAAAAGCATATGAAAAATCAAAACTTTATTCACTCAGACCTGTTAAGAATGGTCCTGTACTTAAATCTCCAAGTCATGATCCAGAAAATGATATGTATATCATACTTGAAGATGAAGAAATTCCTCAAAAAAAAGGATCTTCGAAATTAAGATTGCCACCAACTGGTAAGATTAGTACGGTCTATAAAAGAAAAGTAATTGCTAATGCTTTTTTCATACCTGAATTACCTTCCACCAATTTAGAAACGCCTCAAATAAATTATGTTAAGTCTGGCGATGAAGATGATGAGGGACAACTGTTGAACTCCAACGAGAGTTTTCAATTTGAAAATTCTTCATCCATTTTAAGCCCAATTCAAAAAATAACTGAAACTAGCAATGTCACAGTCGATTCACCTACTCAAAATACTAATACACCAACAAATGAGTCATTTTCCCTTGAGTTACCTAAGATAGAATAAATGTATATATATATTTGTATATGCGTTACTCATATAACAAAGTAATTATTGGTACATTTATTTTTATTATAGCATGTATAATTATTATATATATTTGTAAAAATAATTGCTATACATTCCATGGAGTTTCATCAAAAGTTCTTTTTTTAACTAATACTTACATGAACTAGAACAATAGCTACCAAAAGTAACTTGGGAAGAATTGCTATAAAATTGGCAAAATACAGATTCTATAAGTTCATAGTGTTTGCATATAAAGTTTTCTCTTTCTCCAAACAACAACCTCGAATGTTTTTGAAAAATATTCTCGGCATAAAAATAACATAATATATTACTAAAAAAAAACGATTTAAGACTAAATAAATGATTTTAAGAAACCTAATGAATATGTTATATGTAGCTCAAACTAATCGTCATTATAAACCTTCTATACTTGATAAACAAGCCCAAAAGATCATTCATAATTTTCTAATTACTTATGGATATGTTTAAATTACCTACATTTGGAAAAAATGGCGGAGGGCGAGCACCAATACCGGATATGTCTAATGTAGACCAAAGACCTCATCATTTACTTGTTGCAAACTGTCCTAATAACAAATATGCATTAGCGAATGTCGCTGCTGTATCACCTGGAGACTTTCCAGATAATATTTACATTATCATTGACAATTTATTTGTTTTCACTACAAAACATTCCAATGATGTGGCACCGGGTACCATTGGTTTGAACGGTAACCAACGTACATGGGGTGGTTGGTCATTAAACCAAGAAACACAAGTCCGTGCATTTGATTTATTTAAGTACTCTGGGAAACATTCTTACTTGGGTTCTTTAGACATTGAAATATCCTTTAGAAGCAGAGGTAAAGCTGTTAGTACCCCCTTTGACCAAGATGAATTAGCCCATGTTTTCATACAAAATTTTGAATCCCAAATCCTTTCCCCAACTCAATATTTAATTATGGATTTCAAAGGACATTATTTTGATCTTACTATAAGAAATATTCAGGCTATTGATTTAGCTGATGTTGAGATGAGTGGCCAAGTTTTAACTAGCATTGAAGCAAAGGGTATCTTGACTAAACAAACCCAAATCAATTTCTTTAAAGGTAGAGATGGTTTAGTCAATTTGAAATCAAGTAACTCTTTAAGACCAAGATCAGATGCCGTCATTAGAGCTGATTTTAAATTTGAAGATTTAGGTGTTGGTGGTTTAGACAGAGAATTTACTAAAATCTTTAGAAGGGCCTTTGCTAGCAGAATTTTTCCTCCATCTGTAATTGAAAAATTGGGTATTACACATGTTAAAGGTTTACTTTTATATGGTCCACCTGGTACTGGTAAAACCTTAATTGCAAGAAAAATTGGGAAAATGTTAAATGCTCGAGAACCTAAAATTGTTAATGGCCCTGAAATCTTAAGTAAGTATGTGGGCTCATCAGAAGAAAATATTCGTAATTTATTCAAAGATGCAGAAGCAGAATACAAGGCTAAAGGTGAGGAATCATCTTTACATATAATTATTTTTGATGAATTAGATTCTGTTTTCAAACAAAGAGGTTCCAGAGGCGATGGTACTGGGGTAGGAGACAATGTTGTCAACCAGTTATTGGCAAAAATGGATGGGGTAGATCAATTAAATAATATTTTAGTTATCGGTATGACTAATCGTAAAGATTTGATCGATAGTGCTTTATTACGTCCTGGTAGATTCGAAGTTCAGGTGGAAATTCATTTACCTGATGAAGCTGGTAGGCTACAAATTTTTGAAATTCAAACCAAAAAAATGAGAGAAAATAACATGATGGATTCCGATGTTAGTCTTGCAGAATTGGCAGCCTTAACAAAGAATTTCTCCGGTGCTGAAATTGAAGGTTTAGTTAAAAGTGCAAGTTCATTTGCTATTAATAAAAATATCAATATCGGTAAAGGTGCCACCAAATTGAATCCTAAAGATATTGCAAAATTAAAAGTTAAAAGAGAAGATTTTATGAACGCACTTAAAGAAGTCATACCAGCATTTGGCATTAGTGAAGAAGATTTAAAGACTTGTGTAGAAGGGGGTATGATTACATATTCTGATAGAGTAAATTCCATATTAAGAAATGGTGCTCGTTACGTACGTCAAGTACGCCAAAGTGAAAAATCCAGATTAGTATCATTATTAATTCATGGTCCACCAGGTTCTGGTAAGACTGCTCTTGCGGCAGCAATTGCATTAAAATCTGAATTTCCATTTATTAGATTAATTTCACCTACAGAAATCTCTGGTATGTCAGAAAGTGCCAAGATCGCATATATTGATAACACTTTTAGAGATGCTTACAAGTCGCCATTGAACATTTTAGTGATTGATTCTATTGAAACACTAGTAGATTGGGTTCCGATTGGACCTAGATTTTCCAATAATATTTTACAAGTATTAAAAGTTGCTTTGAAACATAAGCCACCTGAAGGTCGTCGTTTATTGATTATGACTACCACATCTACGTATTCTGTCTTGCAACAAATGGATATATTGAGCTGTTTTGATAATGAAATTGCAGTACCAAATATGACAACATTGGAGGAATTTGATAACGTCATGATTGAGACTAGCTTCTTAGACGATACAAAACGTGCTAGAGTATTAGAAGCACTGAGTCAAGTAAACCCACGTTTGAATATTGGTATTAAGAAGGCTTTAACTAACATTGAAACTGCAAGACATGATTCTGATCCTGTCAATGAGATAGTAGAATTGATGAGTCAAGCAATTTAACATAAAATTTGTGATGATATATCTATAAGGTGGTTATATACAAGAACTGGCCCTGTTTTATAGATAATAGGTAATTTATTGAATATAAGATATAATGCTGAGGAATATGTAGATGCTTATATATTCACAGGTATATATGCACAAAAACTAAAAAAGAACGTAGTACTATTATGTCCACAAAATATACACATTATATGGTTTACTGTTCTAATTATGATATAACAGAGTTTCCGAATAGAAATTTTGTTGGATTTGAGAACGCATAGATTTAGACCTTATTTTAGTCAATTGAGTATCTTTACCATTTTCTGCATTGCAAGATTTAAGTTGAATAGACTCTTTCTCTAAAGCGTTTTTATTTTAGGAAAAAATAATTAAAATATCCATTTGAAATAAAATAAAAAAAAAATAGGGTAAATTGAAATGTTTAAAGTCATATCAAGAAATCACCCTCATAAAAGCTTATACTGGTAAGGAACATCTCCAGTTAAATAAAATCCTTTAAAAAACTAAAGATGATTACTAATTCAATATACAACTAACTAGTAACCATGACGTAGTAGAACATAGCATGTATTCAAGCAAGTCCACAAAAAGAATATGAAAGTATCTTTGATACAAATCAAGTTTAACGGGATTTACCAATTATTAAGAGCAAACAAACAAAATAAGAATTTTTAAATATGAGAAAGTATGATCATGTCTTAAGACCCTCAATGGAGAAGAAACTATCTTTTTATAAAATTTGATGCAATTGGAATTTGTTTATTACAAGCCTTTCTAAATATGTTAAAAGCGCCAAAATTAATAATAACCTCGAATACAATATTTTTGGCTAGTCTTTATATTCCTTTAATATAAAGTTTAGGGACGTCATAACTATGATTATTGACATGACTTTGGATATTGCTAGTTAGTGATATGTCTTTAATTATCCCGTTTACAGTCAAACTATTATGAAATTAATAAGTGCCACTATATACATGCAATCAGGATAAAACTACACATTGCGATGTCAGTTGTTCAGTTAAACCTTCATGTATAGAAACTTCTCCATGCAACTCTTAATTCGAATTCTAATTTACCAAAGATTCTAATTTTATTAAAGCTGTGTCAATTCATAGTATGGACCATATGAGGCCAACAGTTATTTCAGTGCTTGAATATTTAAAAAAAATGAATTAAAACCAGACAGGGTATAATTGTTCTAATATTTATAAGGTAATTAATAATTGTGAGATTTTGTTAAATAAATTAGTCAAAGTTCAACAAAACTCAAGAGAGAGATACCCAAAAATAATGGTTTGAATATTTTGTCAAAATACATAAAAAAGAAGTTAATGTAAAGGAGTTAATGTTGGATAAGAATTTTAGTACGATCCCTAAAAATCAACTATGTTGTTGTTTAGTATAATTATGATTCAACTAATGGGACAATAGATAGTACATTGGGACAGTGTTATAGTATTATAAGTGGTTATTAAAGTGAGGGATACCTGTTAGTAACTCTCTTTGTTCTTCAAAATACTGTGTCAGAATAGTTACTAAAAGAATTTTTTTTTAAAAAAGACTATTGATTTAGAGTACAATTGCTAATTTATAGCAACTGATATGGAACAGAAGAAATATTGTTATTATTACAAAAACTACAAAAATAGAATCACAACGTATCCTGTTATATTTACGACATTTGAAGAAAGTCATAAAGGAAAAAAAAGGTAAATAAAACAATATTCAAAGATTATAAATTCATATGCGATTTTTCATTTGTTTATGAATGGTTTAATAAGAAATGCACCAACCAACTCAATACTGATTTAACAGAGGAGAAAAAAGTCTCCAAAGAAATTACAATCAAAGTAAGTAACATTATAATCAGGGCGATTCTAAAATTTCCATTTTTCTTTCCTTAGTATAATCTCTAAATTTATTAAGTTAATTTATCAATAATATAAGTTTAGAAAATTGGGAAATATGTTCATTGGCTAACAAATCCTTCTAGTTCTTTCTAGTATGGGTATGTCTCTAAGATTTGCATAGTTAGGATGATAATTTAAAGCAATTTTAGTACAATTATAATTGCTTATTTATTTTAAAGATTAAAGAAAAGTCGCTCCTTAAAATCTTTTGAATATGATTTTTTTTTTGTGAATGGGACAAAGTACAACTCATCACAAAAGTTTACCAATATCACTAGAGGTGATACCAAGAATATTTTTGATTATGTTAGTAAATTGTTCATTTGTTGAATTGAAAGAGATAACAAGTAACTTATAAAAGATAGTATTCAAAAATTTATAAACTAATTTATTTGTACTCTTTATATTAATAAAGGTGGTTTAAAAATCCACACGTGTATGAACAATTCCTTTTTCATAAACCATGCGACACATGTATTCTACAAATCTAGATACCTGGCTTGAAGAACCTACTATGACAACATATTGATTATATTTTTTTCTCTCTAGATTAGAAGGGTCTAAAAAAATGACAGTTTTCAAGATTTTTATTTTACATAGTAAGTTTTAATAGAATACATTTATAAAAGCTGTAAATCTATTAATAAAATATACCGGTATGATTTAGAGAAAGAAAATGTAGGATAATCTATAGAACTATAATGAAATACCTTTAAGTGTACATAAAGTGAACAATAGAAGAAATCATTTTAAGATCTGTATCTGGATTATATAAATTTTTTGAAGACCAAATTTTATGATTTTTTTTTTCGACTAAGTAATTTTACTAAATTTGAACACTATTTTAACTTTTAATATGCTCTAAAATATCGTGTATCACCTTTAAAGGTCTTCATTTCAAGCTTTTACTCAATATATATATATATATATTTTTTACAAGTTTTTTTGTCTATGTTTTTTTGCTTTAAAATGTTCTCGTGAATTTAAAGAACATATATTTGTATATTTGTTCCAAGTAGAAATCACTCACTAAATGCATTATCGATTATTGACGACCTTACCTCATCCTAACTTGAAAATCTTGACATATTTACTTATACTACACACACTAATATATTTTGCATATGTAGGATAATCGCTCTGAATATGCATTATTTTCTAAGTAAGAACCACAACCACTGGTCTTCGTGATAAATGACATTTCTGAAAACTGTTGTCACGTGCTAAAAACGATCTTTTCTGAAAAGGCGGGTAACGCTCCATTATTTTGGGAATGAGGAAAATCTTTTTTTTTTCTTTCTTTTTTTTTTTTTTTTTTTTGGAAAAATTTCAAGAAAAATACAATAAAAAGCTGCACAGATTTAATATATTCATACCAACGAACTATATAGCATCCATAACATAAACTTATATATAGTTATATTCTTCGTCTATTTATTGATATCCATTCGAAAATAAACAAATAAAGGAACCCACCCCAAGTAATAAAAGCTTAAAAGATGGCTCCTCCAACATTTCGTCCAGAAAATGCCATTAAGAGAGCAGAGGAATTGATTTCTGTTGGCAACAGTCAAGCTGCCTTACAATCTCTTTATGATTTTGTCACAGCTAAGAGAGTTCGTTGGACTCAACCAGCTACTTTAGAACCAATTGTTTTTAAGTTTTTAGAACTTGGTGTTGAATTGAAGAAGGGTAAGATGATCAGAGATTGTTTGCATCAATATAAGAAGTTGATTCAAGGTACTCCAGAAGGTTTAATTTCTGTTGGTGTCGTAGCTCGTAAGTTTATTGACATTGTGGAAAAAAGAATTGTTAATGAACAAGCCAAAGAAGAAGAAAGACATGTCGATCTGGATGATTTAGAAGGTGGTATTACACCAGAAAACTTACTAATTTCTATTTATGAAGAAGATCAATCTGTTGGTGGTTTCAATGATGAGACATTCACATCTTGGGTCAGATTTACTTGGGAATCCTATCGTTCTGTTTTGGAACTTGTTAGAAATAACTCTCAATTAGAAATCACTTATTCTGGTGTTGTTAGCAGAACCATGCAATTCTGTTTAAAACATAATCGTAAAAATGAATTCAAGAGACTTGCTGATATGTTACGTCAACATTTAGATGCTGCTAATTACCAACAGAACAAGAATGGTACTAATATTGTGGATTTAAGCGATAATGACACTTTACAACGTTATTTAGACCAACGTTTCCAATTGGTTCAGTGTTCTGTTAAGCTAGAATTATGGCATGAGGCCTTTAGAGCTGTTGAAGATGTATATCATCTAATTAAAATGTCTAAGCGTGCACCAAAGATGTCTACTTTAGCTGCATACTACAAAAACATTGCAAAGATTTTCTATGTTTCTAGTGATTCACTATTACATACCACAGCCTGGAATAAATTTTATGAACTTTACTCCTCTAATCCAAATGCTACTGAAGAAGAATTTAAAGAATATGCTTCCATTATTTTGTTATCAGCTTTAGCAATTAAGTTAGACATTTTGCCTTCAGTTGGATTTGATTCTCAGTTACGTCTATACCGTTTGGTTGGTCTAGAAAACAAACCATCTAGAAAGGAAATATTTGATAATATCTTAAACAGTGACATCGCTTCAAAAGTCGATAAGAATGTTATGGAATTATACACTTTGATTGAAAAGGACTTTTCTATTGAAAACATCCAATCTAAGTTGGCAACTTTATTGCCTAAGTTAGTAACTTTGCCATATTTCGCTCAATACTCCACCCAAATAAGAGATGTTATTTTAAGAAAACTTTTTGTTGAAATATCAACGAAATATGAAACTATTACTATTGATGAATTATTTAAACTAGCTACTTTACCAGAACCAATGAATCTAGGTGCTTGGGAAGTTGAAAAGACTTTATTACAAGCTGCTATGGATGACTATGTCTCCTTCACCATTGATCAAGCTAAGAACACTGTTAAATTTGTCAAGGATCCATTTGAACAATTCCTTGTTGCTTCTGCTACTGCTTCTACAGAAGAACCCGAGCAAGATGAAACAAAAGAAGATGAAGTTGAATCAGTTGAAGGAGATGAAAAGGAACCAAAGACTGTTGAAAACGAAGAAGGAGAAACCATTGTCGAGCCAGAAGTCATTGTCACTCGTAACAGCTATATTAGAAATAAATTATTTCAATTATCGGCCACTTTACATGAAAATGAAAACTACAGTGAAATTTCTTATTTAGAAAGGGTTAGATTAGCTCGTGAAAGTCTGATCACTCAGACTAAAGCATCTATTGAAAGGGCCAAAGAAGCCGCCGAAGAACGTGCCAAGAGATCTCAAGAACAAAGACAAAGACGTTTACAAGAATCTGAAGCTCGTTTTGAACAGGATGCTGAATTAAGACAAAGACGTATGCTTGAAGAAAAGGCTGCCATGGAAGTTAAATTAGCGGAAGAAGCTCATCGTCGTTTAATTGAAAAGAAGAAGCGTGAACTAGCTGCCTTAAAAGAAGCTGAAGCTTTAAAAGCTATTGAAGAAATTAACGCTAATGGCAATGTCTACATTGATCCTGCTGAAGCTAAAAACTTAGATTTGAAAGAATTGAGAAGTATTCTTGTTAATCAGTTATCTAAAGATAAAGCAGAATTAGAAGAACGTGTCAACTATTCAGTTAAAAAATTAGATCACACTGAAAGAGCTTTGAGAAAGACGGAATTACCTATCTTACAAAGGGAAGCTGACACATTGAAAGAAGCAGATATGGTTAAGTATAAGGCCATGACAGAAAAGATTGTTGAAGCTGCAAAGTCGGAACATGAAGCTAGGTTGGCAGATTACGAGCGTGTTAGCCATGTTTGTGATGAAGTTAAACAATTGAGAGAAAAATTATTCCAGGCTAGGGCAGAAGAATATCAAGCAATTCAAGGTGCTAAGAGGGAAGCTTTTGAAAAGGCTAAACAAGAGAGAATTGACAAAGTTAGAAAGGAACGTTATGAAGCTGCTGTTGCTAAACGTAAACAAGAAATTGCAGAAGCCAGTAGATTGAAACGTTTACAAGAACAAGAAGCTATTGCTCGTAGACAAAGAGAAGTTGAAGAAGCTTTAGAACAAAAAGCTGCTGCTTCTAAAGCTGCATCCAGAATCCCAGCTGCTGCTCCTGTTGTTGCCAAAAATAGAGCCGATCTTGATGCTATTGCCCGTAGACAAAGAGAAATCGAGGAAGCTGTTGAGAGAAGAGCCGCTGCAGCTTCTAACAATAAGTCATCTGGTGGATCTAAATATGTTCCACCATCTGCACGTGCTGCACCAGTTGCTAAGAAGACAGCTAGTGAATTAGATGAGATTGCTCGTAAGCAAAGAGAAATGGAAGAAGCTATTGAAAGGAAACTTTCTGCTAAATCAGCTTCTCCATCTCCAGCTGCTGTCGGTTCTACAAATGGTTCTTCTCAAAATTCTGATAAACCATTGAGTTTTGCCGAAAAGATGAAATTAAGAAGACAACAACAACAAAATAAATAAATGTAAGTAATAAGTATATAATATTGTAGATTTAAATTAAGATTTCATAGAAATGTTCTAATAATAATAATAATAGTAATAATAAATAATGTATTCCTTGGAATACAAATATGTGTACTTGGTTTATTTATTTCTTTACTGACATAAGTTATTTATTTTTGCAAATTCAGGGTATATAAATTTGTGTATCCTATATATAGGTGTTATTAGAAAATAGTTATTTTTTATTATTGTAATTAAAAATTTTAGTAGATTAAAAATTAAACGGTTTATACTACAAAGAAAGAAGATTTATCCTTTTATTGTGACATCTATAAAAGTACAGCAGCGATTATAGTGCTAAAGATACCAAAAAAGGAGTTAAAAGCGACAATATTTTGAGCAGCAGCACCCTTTGACTTCGAACTAGATGAGGAGGATTTGGTGCTAGAAGTAGATTTAGAAGAGGAACTGGTAGAGGTTGTTGATATAGTTGAAGATTTCTTGCCACTGGAAGTGACGGAAGATACTACTGAAGAAGATGATTTAGCACCGTTCTTACAAACAAAAGAATCACCCTGAATGGCACCCTTCTTTTGCAAATTTTTGAATGGGCTACATGAGAAATTACCAGAAGTTGTCTCAAAAGTTGCGTCACCCCTGACAGACTTTAATTTAGGTAAATCTAATTCAGTGAAATTACCAGTAATCACGACTGCGCCACCTACTGTAGCTACATTCTTGAAACCATCTATGACTCTTAATTTAGTGTTATTAGCAACAACAAAACCACCACCAATAGTGGTCAAATTAGAACAATGTAAAGAAGTTAAATCTTCATTGGAGCTGATCGAAAAAGTTTGACCAACAGTAGCTAATTTAGATAAAGTTAAATTGGATATAGAATTATTGATAAAGGCCAAAGAGGCATTAACAGATTGTAAGGATTTGAAGGAAGCAGCTTGAACATCTCTTAAAGTGATATTTTTGGCCCAGACTAGATTATCGAAGGATACAGCGGCTTGGTTACCATTGAAGGAAAAATCTAAAGCATCAGAGACGAATTTCAAATCAGAATTGAAGGAAGTTAAGTATCTGTTATTGTTAATATTTAAGACACTAACTTTTTTCAAAGTAGAAAACCCATCTACAGTTTCTAATGTAGTGTCGGAGACTAAAATGTTATTTGCATTTTGTAAATTTGTGGCAAAATCAGAGATAGCAGGTAAAGTGATCATATTAATGGTGTCAACTTCTTCTAAAGAACCAAAGGAGGCAGTTGTCAAAATGGTTAGATCCCTCATGGTCAAAGAACCTGTGATGGTTTTTAAATTATCCGCAGAAAAACTGACCAAATTGGTAGCATTATTTAGAGTTAAAGAACCCTTTAATTGTTCTACATTAGCCAGGGCAGCAGAACCCAGATCACCTGTAACGGTCAAATTACCTACCAATGTCTTACAGCTGGAGTATTTATCTAAGTCAGCTTGTGAAGTTGCAGTGGCTTTGGGACCAATGCTACAAGAGGATGGAACCGTATTGTTAGTAGATGTAGAGTTTGAAGCAGCAAAAGCAATTGAACCACTTAAAAGAGCAGTTATTAATGTAGATTTAAAATTCATTGAGTATTAAATCTTGTATCTATATATATATATATGTAAGTATGTTTATATTCTATCCAATAATCTCTTGGAATCCAAAAATCGTAAGTAATTAAATTATGAAACAAAATTAAAAATAAGTTGAAGGATAAACTAATGCAGTTTGCTCGAGACACTCTGTCTTTATGATCACAAAAGTAAAATATATGGAGACACTTATTTACTTTTATATTAAAAATAGACAAGAAGTTACGAGACACGAAGGCCCTCTGAATAACAAGTGAATCCCACCCCAAAGCTGAGTCTAAGGGTAAGTAATTGTCTAACTTTCCCTTTGGCTATTGCTTTTCTATATATATATATGTGTGTGTGTGTGTGTGTATAAACAAACTTTGAAAATACATAATGTTTAAAGAAACAAGTATAATAGTTGTTAATGATCTAACATGATCTGAACTTATTGAATAACGAAACAAAACAAAACATAAAGATTCGTGTATTGTTTTTTTCTATTTGTTAATAATTTGCTTGTATTGTTCAAACTTCAGGAGTCGGGACATTACGTCGCCACTGGTGGTGTGTCTCTTTTAAAAAAAAATTTTTTTCGCATAGAAAGTTTTGTGAAAAAAAATGCGTTCCTAAAGCAATGTTTTTCTTTTTGTCGTTTTTTTTTTTTGAAAACTCTATTACCCCCGAATTATTTTTTTGTATGGTTTAATGCATTCTGAATTTTATATATGAAAGTGTTCTGTAAAGGAGTGTTTAAAAGGTTTTTTTTGAATAAGCCCTAATTCTAAGTGACCGTGGTTCTTTGGGAAAACATATATTATTGTTTCCCGCCCTCCAACTTTTCTTGTGTTTCTGTTGTATATAATGCATTGTTTTTTTTTTGTTTTTTTTTTTTTCAAATAATCACCATTTTTAATTTGAACCTCGAAAATTCTTTAAAAGTCACCGAAAAAAGATATTAGAAGACAATATATGTTTTTTCTTTTGTTTTTTTTATATTGTTTAAAACAACGCGAAATACTTTTGGATTCCATTGTGTATTTATATTTTTCAATATTGTTTTTTTTTCGTGAATTATTTGTTACAATAATGTTTTGGCGTTTTGTTTATTTATTTTTTTCTTCTTTTGTAATAGACAATTCTTATGTAAACAATAATGTGTTATGTTGTTTATATTTTATTGTTTCTAGAAAAGAGACCTAATGAAGTATTGTTTAATTCTACAAATAAGGTAAGGTCTTTAAACATTTTTTCCAAAGTTATCAGAATATATGAGTTAGGGTATATAATTTTTTTTATAATTTTCTCTTTTTTTTCTTTTTTTTATTTTTTTTTTGTGTCTAATTTCTCTTTTGTTTCCTTTTTCTTCTAATTCTTTAATCTTTACTTGTTGTTTAAATTGATAATAAAAGAATAATAATAATAGTAACTATGATAATTATAATTATAATAATATTGATATAGAATTATTCTATTTCCGTATACATAAACACACGCACACGCACATATATATATATATATATATATATATATATATATTCATATCTATTAACAAACCCTTTAAATCAGTAATTGTTATACATTGAAGAAAGGGAGAGAAAAAAAAAGATCCATAATTAGTATACCTTTTAACAAATAGTCCAATTCTTATTTGGTTTTTTTTTTTCTACATAGGAAGATCCCATTATCATGCTAAATTCCCAAAAAATTCAAGCATTATTGCAACATTTTTTAGGGCCTGTATCTATAGAAGATCCAATATCCTTTAAAACATCTTCATTACAATCTGTTGTCCTTATCTCATCTTTGAATGGTGCTATCATATCCTATGCAAACAGTGATGAAAGTAATACATCCATAAGCAACCTTAAAATGGTATGTCTTTTATGCAAAGATAGATGGTCTGAAGATGAATCAGATCCTGAAGAACAATCCACAAAATGTTGTTATCATTATCAATGGCAAATGAATAATGGTAGAACTTACAAGACAAGAATATACACTTACGAGATTGAAGATATGCATGTGGTTATGGCACATATACCCGAATCTGATTTGATTGTACTTTTTACTGCTAATAAGGACGATTTCCCATATGGTTTAATGGTGCTAAAAATGAAACAGTCCTTACAATCAATTAGCAATTTATACGGTTATAAATTAAGTTAGGTGAGAACAAATTGAGAATAGTGATAAAAACAGAGAGACCATGCATGTGTCAGTGCTAGAATAATGTCATCTACAATTCTTTTTTTTTTTTTTTTTTTTTTTTTTTTTTTGAATAATCAAACGTTTCTTTATTTTTAAAATATTGTCACTACAATGTTGATGAAAAAGTGAAGTGATTAAATGGAGCTACAAAAAAAAATAATAAGGAGAGGAGAAAAATGGAAGATTAAGAGAAAATAGACATATTATATATATTTTTATTACGCCATGCATACACACACACACACACATATATATATATATATATATATATATATTCTTCATTGTATGTGCATTTAAGTACCTGTGTTGGTCAATGTAGATGGATATATATATCAGCTCAAGTAAAATATGTCAGAAGGTGAATTAAAATCAGACATTGATGAACAGATCGAAACTTTTATTAAATCCAATAGTTCTTCACAATTAACTGTAAGAGGACCAGTCTTAAAGGGTGCTATTTATAATGATTCAAGTAGACCAAAGACCAAATGGGATGATATAATTGCTTTCCAAGCTGAATGGAAATCAAAACTAAGATCGAATATTGTGATATATTTTAATGAATTACCTATGAATGTTTCATTAGGTACTAAGAAAATTTTTAATAGGAATAAACTTATATTTAAGAAAAAATTTCAATTATATAATACTACAATTTCACCTATATTTAATGAAAGAGTCAATCTAGTTATCGTGGATTCATATCAGAACGTAAAACCTATGATTCTTCCATACAAGAAGAATTTGAAAATATGGGACTTTAATAAGACTACCCAGTTCTTCAATAGAATGGATATTAAAGTTCCGCAGTTAATTGATTTAGAGAAAGATCAACTCGAAACACGGTATGACGATATACAATATTATGATAACGATCCATACGTGTATCTTTTTGATAAATTACAATTGTATAAGCCAATAATATGTAAACATTGGGATCAAACAAAGTTTAAAGATGTATCATATCCAAAATTATATATAAATTCTTATGGAAGATGTCCCTTCCAAAAAGAAGATATTGATGAAAATCATAGGATTATAAATAATGATACGTATTTAAACAGAATTAGAAAAAGATACTGCCGTGATGAATTAAATAAAAGATATGCATTAAAATTGAAAAGACTTTATCGATTTCATGCAAGCATTAGAAAGACTTTAACAGATCAAACAAGCAATTACATCTCGATCAGTACTAATCACGATTGTTTGGATTCTAAGAAATTATTTGATGTGATTAACAAAGTCAGATTGAAAAGGACAAAGACAAATTTCAAATTTATGAGTTTTAATGAGTATGATTCAAGGGAGAATTTGTATAATGGATTTTCTAGAAATCCAGAGAACGACCTAATTAGTTTACCAGAATATTATAACAAAAATAGCAATAGTGATAATTATAATAATGATAGCGACAATTCATCACAAGATACATTAGAGACAGTACTGAGCAGTGATGCAAAGTTATCATCCTTAGATGTTTTTGAGGCAAGAACAGATTTGCAAAAGTGTATAGATGCTAGTGGATTTTACTCTATTAATGAATCATCAAAATATTTCTATTGTGAGAATTGTAAAACTAAATTTAGTTCATTAAAAGCACATAGGGATAGTAATAGCCATGCATCATTTGCTGATAATGATTTAAACTTTTATAAAATAGATGAATTCATAAAGCGGTTGCATGGATTAATACAATAGTTTATATCAAGATAACGCGTATATCGATACACAACGCACAATAAAGACTAATTATTTAGTAATTAATATTTATAATTACTTATATAGGTCGATGTTTGAACATATTATATGTATGTAAGCTTTTAAACTGATCCTACACTTCACTATGTTTGTATTGTACCATAATAGAACAAGAAGAAGAAAGGACTTATTTTTTAAAAAGTTTTGTAGGTTTTTAATGAACCATTATATCAGAAAGTTGTTATAAATTAATAATAATTTCATTTAATAATGGAGTTGTTGATATACTTAAATGGAATGACTATGACTGGAGATAATATAAGGCAGGAATCAAGGATCTGTTAGGAGGAGAAACTACCACCCAAGATAAAGCATATTTATTGAAGGACGATTATGGAACTATTGAATTTTTGTTGCAAGTATTCAAAAAGTTGCCAATTAAACCAAAAACCTACAAAAAACCATATCATATTACTTTATGTTTTCGCGAGAAGGATTAAGCTGGACAACATATAGATTCATTGTCAATTCTTAATAGATTACACTTGATATCGTTAATTAAATATTATGATAACTTAATGGTGTAAGAGAGTTCACGAAAACATATGTATGTTACAAGAAGTATAAGCTTATTTCTGTGGTTTATAGTTTTTATAATCCACACTCTTTTATGGCTTGACTTAGTAAATATATTTACTTGACTTTAGAAGTGCAGCGGTAAAGACAATTTTAATTCTAATTTTTGACTAAGGTATGATATATTGTTCATTCGTTATCACCATGGCAACTCACTGTCTTTTCACTTAAATATAAGACGTTTACCTAATCAAATTTCTCCCCTTATTATACATTTTTGGTAACGTAATTTGCGTCACTCTTAATTATTGTTTTTCCTTATCTTATTATCCAGACATTTTCCATTTCTAAATATTTCTCCAGTAATATGTTTCAACTACTATTTGTTTATATGTGTTATCGCTTATACATTACCCAAATACTTTTCTAAGCATTAAAAAATTTCTCTATAAAGGCAACCTTTCTTGTTGCAAAAATTAATTTTTTTTTTTTTTGCAATACTATATAATGGGCATCTAACTAAAGAAAAACAATCTGGCAAAACAACTTTAGGGAACAAGAAAAATGGTTGAGTAGAAAGGGAGGAAGATGATTGACTAATTTTAATGCAGCTTCATTTATTATTCCCCCTATTTCAATACTGTTGGAAATACATAATCTATTAATCAAATTACAGTAGAAAATTAAAGTGAGGGCTACTGCTCCCAGAAATTATGATACTAATTAATCTTCATCACCGGATGGTTATTTTCCTTTGAAGTAATGGACAAAGACCATAACCATTGAAGTAAGGTAAATAACCTCTAGATATGCTCTCCAGACATAAACATGGAGTGGTAACAAGAAGTAGAAGTGGAACAAGAACACAACTGAATATACATATGTGTATGTATATAATTACAGTGTAATAAAGAGGAAGCAAAAAGTAATTAAAAATTATGAAAATAATGAACTAAATTAGGATAGCTATATTTGATATAAAAAAGAGAAAACATAGTAAAGAAAAAGAAAGAAGGTTTTTTTTTGTTTTTTTGTTTTTATTGTTTTTTATTTTTATTGTTTTTTGTTTTTTTTGTTTTTTTTTGTTGTTTTTTTGTAGAAAACACCTTACAAATTGTCAATCTAGTAATACAATCAATTTGTGCTCGGAGGCAATCCAATATAAACTGGTACAACTAAGTTGTGGATAACTATCAGTCTAAAAAAAATAATCCTGTCAGACATTCGGTGGTTACTGTCTTAGTACAGGGTATGATTTGATATATTAAATTTTTTATGATTTATTTAACTTGTATGTCTTTGTGAAACCAGGTTTTTTGTAAATATTAGAGGACTGCTTATTTTAAATTGGGAAACAGCATTTAATGTCGCATCCTGTTAACACCAATACTATGAATGAAGCTATTAAATAATATTTTTTTATGACGTAGAGTAGAACGAAATGTAGTAATTTATTTTTTGATAAGGCACAAATTTCTTCCGAAAATTGGAAGAAGAAGAGAGCACGAACATTACTTGGTTGATGTATTGTTCGATAAATATATCTTTCTATATGAGCCTTGAGTTGAGAACAGCGCATAAAAGACTACTAAAGATGTTGGTTAGGAATCTTTAGTGTCTTTTTTCCAAAGTTTGGATATGGCTGAACCGACATAATTACTACCATTTCGTATCCCATTTAGGACAGTGCTGTCTAAGACAATGCAATCTGTCGCAAATGACATATATTCACACGATGACTTAAAATTCTCCATTCTACCTTTCCATCCATCCCGTTTTACCATTTTGGCAAGGACGGTTTCGAGGATGTACTCGGTATCATCAAACAATGATGAATCATACATAGAATCATCGATTGGGACGTAGTAAGGGTCAAAGATTTCGACTTTATTAGTCCCCCTATCTAAATATCGATAGGGTTCATTAGTAATTTTGCTGTCGATTAATTCTCTGAGCCCCGGTGCTAATGGTTTATCAGGATAATGCTGCCTTGTCTCCGACGGATCTTTTTGGCTTGGATAGACCTCATAGAACTTTTTCCTGACATCATCTACCATGTCAGGACATAGTTCTGGTATTTTCTGTGATTTTTGCACTTCTTTTGGTGCTTTTTGTTCCTTTACTATACAGCTATGTGGTTGTGAACTTGATAATTCTGATGGATCTTTCTTATGAAATTTAAAGAAAGATGTAAATTTTTGTAAACCACTTTGATTATTTGGTTTAGGAACATTTTTTGTTTCATTAAAGGAAACAGATTCTGTCTTAGTGGTAACAGTAGGGGGTATTATATTCACAGGAGTTATGGTCTTAAAATTAGAAACAATTTCTTTTGCTGGTATTGATGATTTCTTTGTGGTATCTTCTTCTTTTTTTGCGAATAGTAATTTAATTTTTTCTATACCACTCTTGGGTTTCTGTGTAACAATATTATTTTGTTTAGCAGAGGAAGCAGGTCCTGTTTTAGTGACAACAACAGTAGGTATTGAGTCCATTGGAGTTATATTTTTGGAATGAGACACGATTTCTTGTGTTGGAACTGATGATTTTTTTGTGGTATCCTCCTTTTCAGTAGAAGAGACTGCTTCTGTCTTAGTGATAACAGTAGGGGGTATTATATTTACAGGGTTTATGATTTTAAAATTAGAAATTATTTCCTTTGTTGGTATTGCAGATTGATTTGTAACATCTTCTTCTTTTTTTGAGAAGAGTAATTTATTTTTTTCTACATCACTTTTGTGTTTTTGTGTACGGATATTTTTTTGTTTAGCAGAAGAAGCAGGCTCTGTCTTGGTGACAACAACAGCAGGTGTTGAATTTACTGAAGTTGTATTTTTGAAATTAGATACAATTTCTTGTGTTGGAACTGATGATTTTTTTGTGGTATCTTCCTTTTCAGTAGGGGAGATTGGTTCTGTCTTAGTGATAACAACAGGGGGTATTATGTTCACTGGAGCAATGATTTTAAAATTAGAAATGATTTCTTTTGTTGGTACGGAGGATTTCTTTGTAATATCTTCCTTTTCAGTAGAAGTGGCTGGTTTTGTATTAGCGATAACAACAGCAGGTGTTGAGTCCACTGGAGTTATATTTTTGGAATGAGACACAATTTTTTTTGCTGGTACAGGAGATTTTTGTCTGATGTCTACTTTTTGTTTTTCTTCTGTGTCTATGGTCTTATGTTTCTCTTCAATGTGTTTATCTCTTGATATGATGATGTCCCGTTTTTTCTCATCAAATAATTCCTTCTTGTACTCACCAATGATTATCAAAGACTTTGAGGCTTCGGGGGAGATAGGCTTAAAGGTAACTTTCTTCTTTATTTGTTGTTTTTTAGTAGTTTGTTTTTGCTTAAGAATATAATCTTCCTTTAACAGTGATTCTTCTTTTACAATTGTTTTTTTTTTTGATACATAATCTTTTCCTGTACTACATCCTAGCTTTGGACCTTGTTCACCTTTCTGTTTCTTTCTAGATGATTTAAGAATTATTGTGTTATTATTGGTTTGTAGCATTGTGGAACATTCTTTTTTGACACAGGAAACTTCCTGCTTCTTAGGTACAGAAAGTTGATATCTTTCTTTCATGAGATCCATTGCATTAGCAAAATGTTCTTTTGCATTTCTAATATTTTGTTCTGGAATTTTGTCTAATTCGACATGTGTGCTTTCCTCTTTCTTGGGTATAGAAAGTTGATATCTTTGTGTCATGAGATTCATTGCCTGAGTAAAATGTTCATTTGCATTTCTAATATTTTGTTCTGGAATTTGTTCCTTCTTGGCATGTGTAACTTCCTTTTTCTTGGGTACAGAAAGTTGATATCTTTCTTTCATGAGATCCATTGCCTTAGCAAAATGTTCTTTTGCATTTCTAATATTTTGTTCTGGAATTTTGTCTAATTCAACATGTGCGCTTTCTTCTTTCTCGGGTACAGGAAGTTGATATCTTTGTATCATGAGATTCATTGCCTGAGTAAAATGTTCTCTTGCATTTCTAATATTTTGTCTTGAGATTTGTTTTTGTTTACTGTGTGTAGCTTCCTTTTTCTTGTTTTGTTTTGGGATATGTTTCTTTTTAACATTTGAAACATCTTCTTTCTCGGTTTGTTTTGAGATGTGTTCTTTCTTGACAGGTGAAACATCTTCCTTCTTGTTTTTTTTTTGGATATGTTCCTGTCTACTGTGTGTAACTTCCTTTTTCCTGTCTTGTTTTGAGATTTGTTCGTTCTTAGTATGTGCAACTTCCTCCTTCTTATTTTGTTTTGGGATTTGTTCCTTCTTGGCATGTATGACTTCCTCCTTTTTGGGTATAAAAAGTTGATATTCCTCTAGCATAGGAGCCCTCACCTTAGCAAAACACTCTTCTTTATTTCTAATATTTTGTTCTGGAATTTTGTCCAACTTATCATGTGTGACTTCTTCTTTCTTCGGTATAGAAAGTTGGTATCCGTCTATCAAATGAGTTCTTGTCTTACTAATATTTTCTTCTACGCTTCTAATATTTTGTTTTGGGATTGTTCTTGGTCTAATATATGTAACACTCCCTTTGTTGGGCACAACTCCTTGGGATCTGTTCAACTCCCATGATTCCATCATGCATATAGCTTTTTTATAACCTAACCTGGCAGCACATGAAACCGTATATCTCTTCCGTGAATCAGCTGTAGCAGTACCCAGTCCAAACTGATCTATTTCATAAAAGATTTGTTCTAATAGTGAGTGTTCTTTATCTTTAGTTTGTTTGTGATTCAAATAAGAATCTGCATCTTTTTCAGGCATATTCTCTTGAAATTCGTCCAACATTATTTGAGACTTGTCCAACCCCCATGATTCCATCATGCGTATAGCTTTTTTGTAACCTAGCCTTGCAGCACATGAAACCGTATATCTCTTCCATGAATCAGCTGTAGCAGCATCTAGTCCGAACTGATCTATTTCATGAAAGATTTGTTCTAATAGTGAGTGTTCTTTAGCTTTAGTTTGTTTGTGGTTCAAATAAGAATATGTATCTTTTTCAGACACATTCCTTTGAAATTTGTCAAACACCGTTACTTGTTTCTTAGTTAAAGTATCTTCAGGTGTTGCATGTTTTTCCTTTACAGCACACTCTTTTTTAGTACATGAAATTCTATAACGCTTAGGAATATCTACTAAGCCATATGAAATAACCAGAGTTCTTAGCCCAGAAGTGATTCCTCCTACTTGTGAGGATGGATTTGTTGATCTAAATTTCCTAAGATTTGGATACGTATTTAATGAAACCTTTTTAAAATTACTTGTATCAGTGTGTTCATAAACAACTTGTCTGTTATTCATTGATGAAGGTTTATATTTTAATTGAGTTTCTAAACTCCAAGTATCATAAACCATTTTTGACTAGAATAACTTGCAAAATAAAACAACAAACTGACTTTTCCTAAAAACTTTTTTGTACTTAATGAAACACTAATATGTATATATATAATGTCTCTTATGTAAAAAAGCTTGTGGTTTGTTAAAACAAAGTGAGAAAGATAATAATTAATACTTAACAAAACTAAGAAAGATACAAATCAAAATATAGACACAAACTAAGAAATGTTTTATAAACTAGAAGAAACAGGAAGTCTTTATCTATCTTTTTTTAACACTTATTTGTAATTGATTTTGTGACACATAAACTTCAATTAATAACGAAAATAGCAAAGAAAAAATATTAATTAATAAAAAAATAGCAAAGAAAAAAGATTAATCGGTTGATTAAATAACGAGTAAATCTCTGCATTTTTGAGTGTGTTTATTTTTTATCCATTATATGTTGAGACGATAGAAGAAGGAGTAGATAAACAAGAACCTGTTTACTTAGGAGCTTCTTTTTTAGTTACCTATCTATTAGTTTGTCTTTTTGTTTCCTTTCTAATGGATGTAATGCAAATATAACCTTGTAATTGTTCCTAGCTTATATACACTTAGGGTCAAAAAGTACAAGGTAAAAGTTGCTTGTTTGATACAACAATATCATATATCATTTATTATGTACATGTTAATGTAATAAATATCGTCGATGCTTGGGTAAGATTCTAATATTTTATCGTTTCTAGTCTGGTTATTATAATCAAAAGTTCAAAGCTCATTCACTACGCTGTTTGATTCCTGTTCATAGAAAGCAAGAACTCATAGAATTGTATCCGATCTCTAGACAAAAAAAAATACGTAGAGTTTTTCACAAGTAAATATGATTATCACCAATCTTTGTATTTTCTACCCAACATTTATATTCTTAAATCACTATATCAAATAACAACCAAATGGATTTTCCTGAAAGGTTATTCTGTTAAAATATTCTTTTTATTTTTCAAATAACATAATTTTTTTCGAGCTATCAACTACTTATAGATTATGAAAATGGGTAACATTTCATAATCCTTTCAGATAATTTTTTATCGTATTTTTAGTACATTCTTCCTCTTGAGTTGCACAAGTAAAATTAACATATGACTTCTAGACTATGTTGATGGGGAAAACAACTCTTTCTATATTGTTGTTGAATATGAAAAGTCCAATGAGAGTTCTATTTCGAAAGTAGTCGATTTTCCTCTAATGCTAATGTAGAATATTAAACACTGATTATACCCATATTTGTTCTGATTATTTGTTGCACTGTTAGCTTTTGATGTTAATTGGTTTTAAAAATGGTTCAGAAATCTACTGGCATTAATATTCTTCGAATTTGATAAATTTATGTAATAAAAGGTTATTTCTGTTATTTTTAAAACTCACACATACTTGATTAGTGTAACTTCTTCTCAAGATGAACCTTTGATAAGCAAAGACAGTGAAGGTGGATCTATATAACTTTTTTATTGTTGATCATTCCTTATATTCCAATTGCCAAACAATTAACTTTTTCTGATTCAAAAATATACTTCTTTCGGTTATACTTTGTTAGATAATAAAGGCATATTTACAGTTTGATGTTATTCTTTTGTATTAATCTCTCTAAAACAATATTTAACTAAAAAAAAATCTTTTTCAGACAAAGAAAATATACATATACATATATGAGTACAATTCAGTGATAACATTTTTTTTTATTAAATATCTTGAGAGGTGTTGCACTTATAGTTCGTGATAAAATCTATCTTTTTTGTTTTTTCATATATAAGTATATCAAGAAAAAATAAAAAATAAAAAAACAGAAGGAAATAGAGACAAGAAACAAGAAATAATAACGATAAGGAGAAAATATGGGGTCACTTCAACGATAAACAATTATAAATAAGATATTAAAGTTTTTTTTTCAAAGAGTTCAAAATATCTTTATTTTAAATGTTATATCATTCAATGTGATTTTCTTGCTGTATAAATAGATATATAATTATATATGTATAAAAATGTTAAATTGTATGCCTTTGCATTTTATATTTAAAAAAAAGAAGAAAATATCTCTTTGGATAAAGGTAGTTGGTAGTCTTTTTCTTTTAACAAATTTGTTGTAAATGTGTTTTTTTTTTTATTTTCTTGAAACTAAGAATACATGTCCCAATCATAAACATATTGGAAATCAAAAAGTTTATTTGCAAAATAAACAACAGAAAAAAAAGACATATGCTGACCTAATATTATAACAGCTCATAAAAAATAATTCCCCCCTCCCTCACCAGAAAAAAAAAAAAAATGAAATTTCTCTCAAAATAAGAATTACAATCTTCATAATATTTACTTTACCCCAAAAAAAGTGTAATGTTCAAGAGAAAAAACAATAATACCTCAATAAGAACTCCACAAGAAATCACAAAATTTTTAAAGACAAACCCAAAATAGTTGATAATGATTCCAAAAGATAAATATAAATTACCAAAACACTTCTCTATGAATAGTTATGTAATATTCACAATAATTTGTAATTTGAAACAAAACTGAATTGTGACTTCGACTCATTTGCGTACTAATGGTGCTAAAAATTAACACAAAGAGAGTGTAAATAATGTTATTAAAGAATACAAAATTAGATTTACAATTAGATCATTGCAAACTAATCATAATTCTGTTCGCCTTGACTCTATAAATTTTTTAGAAAATGATACAAGCGTTTTCGGTCATGCTATAAAAGATATTGCACATTAAATAAATGGATATGCACAATGAATTTCAGATACCTAAACTTTTGAACAGGCCATTATCGCCTAAAGGAAATATATAATCCTAAAGAAATAAATAGCACTAAAGAGACAATTGTGAAACCATTTCTTTTAAGCGTCTAACCTAAGTATTGAGTTACTTACTTCTGAATAAGTTTTACTACCTGAAAATCAAAAAAAAAATTCATAATGGGTTTGTACTGAGAGATTCTTATTCTCTCCTTTGTTAGAGAATCTCTTTGTTCACATGATCTATAGAAAAAAAATCAGCCTAATTTGAAAAAATGCCCTCCGCTATTCCGACAAAACTCAAAATTTGTTGGCGGGTTCCAAAGTAAGAAAAATGACAACTTTCCAAAAAAAAAAAACAAAAAAAAAACAATGCATTATATACAACAGAAACACAAGAAAAGTTGGAGGGCGGGAAACAATAATATATGTTTTCCCAAAGAACCACGGTCACTTAGAATTAGGGCTTATTCAAAAAAAACCTTTTAAACACTCCTTTACAGAACACTTTCATATATAAAATTCAGAATGCATTAAACCATACAAAAAAATAATTCGGGGGTAATAGAGTTTTCAAAAAAAAAAAACGACAAAAAGAAAAACATTGCTTTAGGAACACATTTTTTTCATATGAAGAGGAAACCCGTTTTATGTTTTTTTTTTTCTTTTTTATTTTTATTTTTTTGAAAAGGTAGTGGTATACTAGCTTTTCGATTTATAACGGCAAAGGTCTCTTTCTGAATTTTTAGTAATGGTGATAATCTTAAACATCTTTTTTGACTCGCAATGTTTCCCAAAAGGTGTATGGGTGTACATTGAAAACCAGAGTCAAAAAATAAACAAAAGAAAACAAAGCATAAAAAAAAAGTGTTGATTGCTTATCAAAAGGACAAAAGTTTGTTACTTTTGTTTTGCAATACACAAAGAAAAAGAGACTCTGCGTGAAAAATAAAAAAGGATCAAACAAACAAAAAAAAAAAAAGAGTCCAACTCGAGGATTACAAGGGACCTTTAAAAATTCAAATATTGATCTGTTGTTAATTGAACTAACAAACCTTCCATTCGCTCTCTCTAATCTTTGTCCTCTCAAAAAATATATAGATAAATAAATGAATCTTCATTATTTGTGGTTTTGTGTTCACCTTAATATCTAATTTACTCCCAAAAGCTGCTTACAGCCTCTTGATGCATACAAATATTATTAGTAAAAGTTATTACTAATTGACATTAATTAAACAGATAAAAACAAAATAAAGGCCATAAGAAAAGATAAAATAGAAAGAACAGGGACACTGCTTAGTTTTACGCATAGTTATTGTAAAGAAAAAAGAAGAAATAAATACAGAAGCACTATGTTATCACCACCAAATCAAATCTCTTTCATGATACTTAAAAATTCCAAATTGTCCTCCTTATCAAAAAAATTACCTTTAAGTAAGTTTTCATACAGATATATTTCCAGTTCCAATAAAAATGAATTTGAAGAACAGGGTAAGAGAAGTAAAAGAAGAATCACTAATTTTAGAGATTCCTTAAATTTAGGTCCAAGTTTTCAGGATTTTCTTAATGGCAATGCTACTAATTTCACATTCGATCCTTTAGAAAGAGCAAGACAAAATAATGAAATTGATAAATTACCACCATGGTTAAAAGTTCCTATTCCAAAGGGTAGAAATTACACAAAATTACATGATGATATTAAGGATCTCAAATTGAGTACTGTTTGTCAGGAAGCCAAATGTCCTAACATCAGTGATTGCTGGAGTGGAAAAGATAAATCAAAAGCCACGGCTACTATTATGTTACTGGGTGATACTTGTACTAGAGGCTGCAGATTTTGTTCTGTAAAAACAAATAGAAATCCAAAAAAACCTGACCTCATGGAACCAGAAAATACAGCAGAGGCCGTTGCAAGATGGGGGTTAGGTTATGTAGTACTTACCACTGTGGATAGAGACGATCTAATTGATAGTGGTGCACACCATTTAGCTGAGACAGTTCAAAAGATTAAACAAAAGTCAAATGGAAAAATACTTGTAGAAGTTCTTTCAGGTGATTTTAAAGGTGATATGGATATGGTTGACATTATGGCCAAGTCAGGGTTAGATGTATATGCACATAATATGGAAACAGTAGAAGAATTGACTCCACACGTAAGGGACAGAAGAGCTTCATATAGACAGTCCTTAGCTGTGTTGAAAAGGGCAAAGGAGACTGTACCATCATTAATTACAAAAACATCTCTCATGTTGGGCTTTGGCGAGAGTGATGAACAAATATTGCAAACTTTAAAAGATCTAAGAGCAATTGATTGTGATGTCGTAACATTTGGACAATATATGAGACCTACGAAGAAACATATGAAAGTTGTAGAATATATTCACCCCGATAAATTTGACTATTGGAAAGATATAGCTATGAGTATGGGTTTCAAATATTGTGCATCTGGTCCTTTAGTTAGATCATCTTATAAAGCTGGTGAATCATTTATAGAAAATATCTTGAGAAAGAGGAACGTATAATATATTCCCTAGTAAATATTTATTTATTTATTTATTCATTATTAACAATATTATTATTATTGGTTTATAACCATAATTTAGTAGCTTTAAATTGCATAGGAGCAACTAACGATTATATATCAAATGAAGAGTGAAAAAAAAAAGAAAACAGAGGAAGGAACAACATATTAATTCTTGTGCAATATTAAAATAAATTCTTCTTTTTTTCTTCCTATTTGTCTTCTAATGCTTTAAGAAGTTCTTGCTTTTCTCTACGTCCAATAGACAACTTTTCATTTAGTTGTTCTACTTCCTGTTGCAATGCAATATTTTCTTGTGTTAATCTCTCAATTTCACCTTTAAATTTGGTTTCATAATTCTTTTTCAATAATTTCACCTTTTGCTCATGTTTAGAGGAATATTGAACATATAGGTCCTCTGATAATTTTCGTAACCTCTTTGTAGTATCAGCCTCTCTCTGCTCCAACTTGCGTTTGAGATTCTCAATTTGTTGCTTATACATTTCTAATGCAGAATCATCTATAGAAGGTGGTAATGCTGATATATTATTTTCTTGAGCTCTTTTTAACTTCTCATTCTCCTCTTTCAGTTTTTGATATTCAGCAGAATTGATAATATTAGTATTACTGGCTTCAACTATTGCTTCTTTAGTAATTTTTTCTTGTAAACTTTCTAGTTCAATATGTAACTGCTGCTTTATTTCAACCTCTTCTTTATATTTGTTTTCCCATTCTTGTATTTGTTCCTCTAGTTTGGATAAGTTTACTTCTGATTGTAATTTATCTTCTTTAAGTTTTTCAATCTCTTTATTAAGCTCACTAACTTCTGCTGTTTTAATTGTGGCATTATCATTCGTCTCCTCAAAATTTCTCTTCATGACATCCAACTCATTATTTTTCTCTTTTAAAGATTTTTCCAACTCAACTTTGTTCTCTTTAGTCTTATTTATTTGTTCTTTAAGATCAGCAAGCTGTTGTTCCTTCTCATCAATAGTATCTTTTAAATATTGTGTCTCAGTTTTATAACTATTTTCACTTTTTTTAATTCTTTCCTCTAAACTCATCTTATCCTTACTTAAATTTGCAATTTGGTCAATTAAGTCTTTAGAATGATTCTTTTCGTGTTCAATCAACTCTCTGACTTTCCCTTCCAAGGTGGCAATTTCATTATCTTTGCCATCTAGTTGAGTAATAATACGTCTTAATTCTTTATTAAACTCATTTCTTTCATTTTCAATAGATAATTTTGCGTTGGTAAGTTGGTTTAATTTATCCTCTAAATCTTTATTATGCGCTGTTAAATCTTCCAAAATATCGGCACTATCTGAAAGACTCTTTTGCAAAGTATCTATTTCATTACTTAACATATCCTTAGCATTTTGCAATTTAATATTTTCATTATAAATTTGATCATACTTCCCTTGTAACAATGTCTGGTTCGACTGTAAACTTGAAAGTTCAGATCTTAAATTATTTAATTCATAATTCATATTTTCGTTTTTCTTTTGTAATTCATCGTGATGATTTTGAACTTGCTCTTGCAATTTCTGTTTCTCTTCGTTAATCATATCATTGGTAAATTTCAACTGTTTCAACTCTACTTTTAGCTTCTCATGTAAAACATGCATTAAATTTATTCTTTGATTTAAAGAAAAAATTTGATCATTCAACTCATCATTCCTCTTGCCTATGGAATCAATATCAATATCACCATCAATGATATCATAATTAGAAACAGCTTGATGTGCAATTGGAGTCAACTTGTGAGAGGCATCAAATGGTTCGTCAAGAAGTTCGTGATCTTTCTCTGAACTATCTGCATTTTTTCTATAATCCTCAGGTTTTATATCTTCTGTCTTTGTTTCAACTAGTTCTATTTGAATAGGTGAAGTAATCTGTGGATTTGTGTGTGTTGAATTATCTTGGAATGGATTTTCAATATGCTGATCAACATTATTTGCCTTATATTCAAAAGTATCTAATATAGTATTCTTAATATCATTATTAGTCACGATACTGTTATCTTTTTTTTGATCATTTTTGTGTAAGTCAAGTGCATTATCCAATTTTACTTTTTTATTAGAATGTTCACCATCATTTTCAAAAAGTTCTTCTCCGTCTCTTTTATATTGCATACCATTTGATGTAGTCACTGTATCTTGCAGTTCTTTTCCAGTTTTTTTTATTTCTATAGAAGAATTTGTTAGGTCATTGTTATTGGAATCAATTGATTTATTTTGTGTATTTGGGTTTGAATTATAATCAGAGGAAGAATTTTGTTCTGAATCACTCTTTATATCTGAATTATTTCGTCCTAATTCAATTGACATATCACAATCATTATCACCAAACCTATCTTTACCCTCAAGAGAAAAATATACTCTGGTTATTTTTTTTTTGGCAGATAACCCATGAGGATAACCTTCTACATGAGATAGATGATCTTGATCTTCGTTTATTTTCCCATCCACTTCACTAGTATCAGAACTATTAGTATTTTTGTCATTATGTTCACTTTCGTTAATGTTTATTTGTTCTTCATCACTTTTCAAAATTGGTGGTGAATCTATAACAGACAGTTGATGTGGTTCATTCTGTACGTGATTCTTAATCGGAGTAGCCAAGAAATCCATACTTTTGTCTTGTTTGGCTATATATATATATAAATATATTGTGAGAAATTTTATTTAATTATCTTACTTTTAGTATGAATTCTGTGTAATCACCTCTATAAATCTGAGTGTACTAGTAGCGACAATAATGTGTTTTCCCCTGGTGTTATTATTATAAATGACAACTTCTTGCTCTTTTTTTATTCTACTTTGTTTTATGTCACTTACAAGTAGACAGGATAAAAAAAAAAGTAATGCTATTTGTTGTAAACTTTGTCTAGTTCTGGGTAAAAAATATTGCAGTTTATCAAAGCTTTTCAAGAACATACTTCTTAAAAAATCAAACCAATAGAATATCCTTTTCTATATTTAAGTGTTTCAGATACATATTTGCATATATAAATAAACAAAGCACATATATTTTAAGGAACAGAGAAATATATATATATATTTATTTAACGCGTACTGTGAAATTAACGTGTAACTTTATTTCTTCAAGACTCATAGAAAAAAAACTTTTCTTTTTTACATAAATTGCAAAAACCCTGATTGTCCTATTCTTCACATTGGAAAAGTTAGAGATTATTTTGTTTAAACCTATCTTTATTGAAAAAAACTAAGGGGTACAAAGAGAATTTTGAATTTATGTACAAAAAACGGCAAGGGCAATTATACAAATAATCAAATATTGATAAATTAAGTACAACAAGACTGAAAAATTAAAATATTATTATTTCATGACAAACTTATCTATAAAGGTGTTTTAGATATTTTCTGTTTTGCTTCTATCCACAATTTTATCAAACTAATAATACTTGAACATAATGATAAACCACTATAAGTTCCTAAGGACACCCTTAGTTTAAACAAATCTGTTGAATTAGCTAATGCATCGAATAATAATCTTAATATATTTAATTTTAATATACGCTGCTTCTTTAAATTAACAATCAAATTTTTATCTAAAACATCTAAACATGAGTGATAAAGAGTCATATCTCCGTCTGGACTAAACTGATTGGGATATAAATTATTATTAACCTCCCTAATATTTTTTTCTATACGATACTCTAACGACTGTCTTCTAAGTCTTTGCAATTCAGTTATGTTATCTTTTAAATTCAAAAATATATCCAGTTGCCATGAATATATTTCTTGTCTTGATATAATTTTTTCCAATTTTGCATGTTTCCAGATCCGAAGTCTGTTTAATAACATAACTTCATCGCATACGCTGAAATAAATATTAAACAATTCCTTAAATAATGATTCTTTAAAGATCAGTATCAACAAATTGAACGGTTTCCTTTTCCAATTATCACTGTCATTACTAAAATTTTTATCACTATATAGTAAAGACCTCCATTTTTGAATAAATTTAATTATTAAAAATGGACTATTACCAAATCTCAGAATGTATCGGTATGTAGTTAGTTGAATACTTACGAACATTAATCTATTAACTAAATTCTTGACCATTACAGATGTTATTTGATGAATCCATTTATTCTTTACAATTATACTGGACTTAGTAGACAATAGATACCGTAATAAATCTAAAAAATATTTTAAAGTTTTAGCTAGTTTATCTTTACCATTTAATGTATTGATTAAATGTTGTAACACATCAATTTTATCAATTCTGGATATTTTATTCATAGCACTTCCGTCTTGATTTGTTATAGTAGAATCTGAATTGTTGTTTTGATCAACTGTATCATCATTGTTATTGATATCGTTATTATACCCGGTAATATTCGATCGACCGTGACTAAAGCTATTGAAATTTGAATCAATACGTGTTCCATTTGGTATAAAGGTACTTACACCATTGAAAAATGTGGATCCAAAATCATCATTACCGGTGTAATTCATACCATACTACAGCAAAAATAACAACGATTATATATGAAGGCGAAGATGTGAAAACTTATATAATCTTAGTAATCTCTTTCCCTTTTTTTTTTGTTTTTTTGTATCGACCTTACTTATATTAAAGGAAAATCGTCACCACAGGTATTAATAACATATTAGTAACGGTATTATTCGTTACTTCAATAGAAAGTATATAGTATAGTAGTAAACATTTTAGTCTTTTTATAACTTCCTTTTTTTCCAAAAAGAAAAAAGTAAAAAAAAAATACAGAAATGCTGAAAGAATAAAACTATCCAAAGAATTCAGTAAAAATCTGAGTTAACAAATATTTGCCAAGGAACAAGAATAAGAGATATTATATCGAGGGAATACGCCAATTTTATTACATTTTTGACATAATGATTGTTGGACAACAAAAAAATGAAAAAAGTAGCTAGAATCATAAAACAATTTGTCTACAGTTATTATGATATATAACCTTATATATTTTAGTTTCTACAGTTAGAAGAGAACAAAAGTCCATTGTCTATTTCCATAAACCAAGTATACCAGCCAAATTAAAGCAACAACCAATACTAAGACTTATGTATGCTAACACATTTATTAAATAGGAAAGTGGAGTAATATTTTAAGGACAACATAATTAATATATTGAAATAAAAAGCATATTTATAGTATTGTAATACTGATATTACGTTGTTTGGAATCACTTCCTAGTATGATGGTAAAATTCGCAAGAAGAAAATTTTTATTAAAGTAGAAATTAAAACAATTCATTTGTAGAAGAATATGTCTATAATTTCTTTATGATCATACATAATATTTCTTGATTAAAAACATCGAAGAAAATCATTAATATACATTCTATGACAATCAAAATTGACAAATATTCAACACAACTAAAGGGTTTGATAGCTCTTAAATAAGAAGTACTAATTCTCCGTTCAAGTACTTATATTGTACTTGCAAAAGTAAGTAGTTTCTAGTTTCTAGTTAAATTCTTTACAAGTTCCAGTTAAGCACCAAAATAGAGATAATAATTATATATAAACTCTCACAAATTATACAATCATTGTTTCTAACTAGTAAATAAAATATATAATTTTTAACATATTCTTATTACTATGGATATTTGACTACGTATTTTAGTAAATTACTAAATTTTACTAAAATTGATAATTCTGTCAGTTGACTTCCGCTTTATAAAATTATTTTTTCTATGAGATCTATAAGTTATAGAGAGAATGATCTGAGAACCTTTTTAAGCTGGATATATATAAAAATCTCAGTTGAATTCTAGAGGACCCTTCTGTGGAATGTTACTGAGGTTTTTTTAGAATCTTAATACTATTTCTCAACCTTTAATTGTCTAATATTTTCCACAAAAATATTATCAACAATTTTGAAAAGATGATTACTGAATAGAGTAGTACCAAATAAGTAAATATAACCGTACTCGGATGTAATTCAATTAGTATGTTTAGTTAGATATTTCTAACAATCAAAAAATAACAAATACTTCACTAAAGCGTGCTCTCAAAACAATAATACGTTTTACTTTTGGAATTGTCAAAATACAAATATCCAAAGACAAAGGGCATTACATTTAATCTAATTCTTTGTATTTGGTCTTAATTATATTTTTTTTACATCTATCTTAAATAATTATAATAAAAAGGTTTTCATATAGAAACCCTTCATTGAAAAAGGATTTGTTTGGCTTTCTAGTCTTAACTTAGACCTGAGGTTCATATCACAGAATGAAACAAACTCCGTATAATTTCAATATACTAACTAGATCCAAAAATACTGAAAAAGAGTAAAAAAAATCAGTGGTATGATTAAAAATCACCAACTTAATAATTAGAGTAGATAGCCAATAGATAAATAATGCTATATTCCATTTTTTATTTGTTTATCTATAATATTGTCTCTTAATTTCCACAGTTATAACTCAAGATACCATTATAAGTTGCAATATGCCACACAGAACTTTTCCCTTAACAATAATATGTTATAAAAAATATAATTAACTATTTTTTTATATATTTACGAACTTTATGTAGTTCTGTGTTTCTATTTAACTATACTTCTTATAATCAATACCGTACGTATCTTACAAAAAAGGGTAACAAAAAATACATTTATTGTATTTTATATTCCAAAAGACTATATGTCTCGAAGTGAATCCTCCTAGTAGACTACATATAATAGATGAAAACCCTATTACGAAAGATACAGAGAGAATTTCTACTTTATATCTATCCAAATGAAGTATTATTGTGATTTCAATAAGATTAACTGTTATCAGAAACACATAACCTCAGGGTTATTACACAATAAAATTCTAATAACAAAAAGAATCAAAAATAGCGTCGCCTGGTTTCGATCCAGGGACATCAGGGTTATGAGCCCTGCGCGCTTCCACTGCGCCACGACGCTGAAAACAACGCCCTCTGTTATAGTTTGGACTTAGGACCAATTTTTTTTAACAGTACTATTGAACGAATAGTAAGGGCAATAACAAATATATAAGAACGTTATATATATCTAGGAGAATTAAACGATTATTGCTTCTTTTTTGTATTATACAATGTGCTACATATTTTTATAAATCAACCAAACATATAAATTTAGATACCAAGATACTGGTCCTTTATATATGAACTATGGGTTGATAGTTTCTTATTTGAGGTTCCGTAACGACTGTCACCGTAGATACATTTCTCCTTAATTAGCTATTTAATGTTTCATGAATGTTTCATTTTGTTACATAGTATTCAACAATCACATGGGATTTATCAACAAACCCTAAGTCCTATAAATCCAAACTAGAACTTTTCTTGACAATCATCACAAAACCCTAACAATATTTTTATAATCATAATATCAAGGTTGATCTACAACACCCTCCTGCTGTAGAATAGAATAATAACAATTACCATGATTAAAGAATTGGGGTGTAGTTACTAATTCACTAATGTACCTGAATTAGTTTAATAAATTTTAGGGTTTGAATCAGTCAAGTCATTAATGTAGTAATCTGAATAATCGATCGAGCTCCAGAAAACATATAAAAGGACAACGTTTTCTGGAGATAAAAGATCATCTTCCATAACCGTTTCTTGTAAATAATTTATATATTATATATGAACAAAATGAGAACAACAAGCAAGTAACAAGTTAAGTAACTTTGAATAAATATATTAGCTCGATATAAGTCGCTCAATATATAAGACCGTTTTAGTAATTATATTATCGCCTATAATTGATTACTGTCTCGATTATTTGAATGACTATTAATATTATTTGCGCTTCCCTGGAATACACAAAGAATTTTATCATACCATACTACAGCAGAAACTGTTGTGGAATAGAATAGTTATAACCATCAAGATTACATAAGATCCTGAATGAATCTAGAACCAATTAGTGTATTAATAAGCCATACATGTGCTACAACATTAGATGCTGCATAATAAAAAGATTGGATTACATAAGATCTTGGCAAATCTAGAATTTACCTATTGTTTTATTAAGTCCCACGTGTATTACTAATCACCATGATTAGAGAATTGGGATGCAGTTCTAATCCAGTAGTGCACCTAAATTAATATGATAAATTTTAGGGTTTGAATCAGTCAAGTCATTAATGTAGTAATCTGAATAATCGATCGAGCTCCAGAAAACATATAAAAGGACAACGTTTTCAGGAGATAAAAGATCATCTTCCATAATCGTTTCTTGTAAATAATTTATATATTATGTATAAACAAAATAGAACGAAGCAAGTAACAAGTTAAGTAACTTCGAATAAGTACATTAGCTCGATATAAGCCGCTTAATATATAAGACCGTTTTAGTAATTATACTATCGACTATAGTTGATTACTGTCTCAATTATTTGAATTACTATTAATATTATTTGCGCTTCCCTGGAATACACAAAGAACTTCACCATACCATACTACAACAGAAACAGCGATTGGGAGCTTTTATGGCCAAGTTGGTAAGGCGCCACACTAGTAATGTGGAGATCATCGGTTCGAATCCGATTGGAAGCATTGCAATCTTTTTTGATTGTAATAACCCTATGGTTATGTGTGTCCGATAACAATTAAACTTGTTGGAATAACAACAATATTTCACTTGGATAGATATAAGATATAGACTCTTTCTATATCTCTCGATGTAGTATTCCTATATATCTATATATCTATATCCCTAATCTAAGATAACCTAATAGTATACACTTATATACTATATATCTAAACTTACGTAATCCTTAGTTCCTTGACCTTATTCTCGTTCATTGTTGTTCGTTCTTGGTTGCTCTCTTGTACTTATGTTGGTTACTCCTGCTTTTATCTATGTTTGTAAAATTTTGCAAAAAGGAAAATTTAGAAAAATATTGTCAACCCTCATTTTTCTGAACAAAACCCTAAACAGTAATATCAGGGATATTACAGGTAATAGATGAAAGCCTATTATGAGAAATATACTCTTCTAAACATTAAAAGTAGATAAATATTGCTTGATTAGCTCTCTATATATGATATATAAATTATACTCAACACAAGGAGTAAACTAATATACACAGATATACAGATAAACAAGAAAAACAAAAACGTCATCGTCCATTAAAGAGTACACAAAATCGTTTATAGTGACATCAGGATTTTATATGTCACAAAAACTTAAACAAACCCTAATTGTTGAAAATTTGAAGAAACTATGAAAATTATATATAGACAGAAGAGAAGGAGAGAAGCACCCAAGAGGAGTAAGCAGGATAGTTAAGAGTATAATATATGTTATATGAATAAGATCAGTTTCGTTATAATTGAACATTATATCTTGTAACGCTCAAAAATATAATTTCTAGAAATGCTATATCACACAAAAATAAAATTCTGTTGCTTTTCTTTAAAAAATGTAAACATCCACTTTTATTGTTTATCAACACCACCTTCAAGTGTTTGCTATAACCACGCTACTAAATTCCTATGGCCTTGTGATCTAGACTTGTTGATGATATTTGTGGATATAAACTTGTCAGTAAACAAAAATCATAGTAGAGATGACTTAATAATTCTTTTCTATTTTAAGATATAAACTATAGATAAGCTACCTGTTATTAAGAAAAGTTGCAAATAAAATTAGACCTTGTAAACTGAGTCAAGTTCTCAAGTAGCGATCTAGTGAAAGATTAGAAGCAGAACGATTGTTTCGCCAGGATATAAGGACAAATTTGGCGGGAACTTCTTTTCCAATTTATGTTAAATTTAATTTGTACCACGTGATCAAATTTCCGGGTAAATTTCACCATTCGTTTTTTTTTTTTTACTAATCACCAAAATGTAGCCAGGACGTAGTTATAAACTATTCGATACTCGAAATAATGTTAACATAAAACTTGTAGTTGCATTCAGAAACAAAATAAAGTAAAATAGAACAATACAACGCAAACAAACAAACAAACTACTAATTGGTAGCTTAGCCTCAAAATACTGAATCAATCTTCATCAAATTTGGTTCAATGATTATTAACAGACTTCTTTTTATTCTAAGTATTCTTTGTGCCTGTTTTAGAAGAATTAATGCCCTTAGCTTGACGGGTAACAAAACATTGATTATCTATGATAGTGACTCTATTGAAAAACTATATGGTACTGATAATTCAAGTGTCCATATGAATAAAGGAGTAACTTCAATGAATGACGATGAAAATGAATTATTTAAAAATAACTTTAAGAAATTTATGTTACTTCTAGAATCGAACGGATACAATTATACATTATATGATATTCAAAGCTCAAATAATAGGAATAGTAACGATATTCAATTGACTAAAGTGGACAATTCATTATATGATAACGTTATCATTTTTCCTATTTTGAAAGCATCTTTGAAGAAAGGTTCTTCTGCATCCGAAAATAAATCCATATTATCCTCAAAGAATTTATTATCCTTTTTCAATAATTATAATGGAAATTTGATGATTATTACATCTCCTCATATAAACAATGCAGATTCCCTTATAAATTTATTAAATGAATTTGGTATATTTCCTTCACCAAAGAATCAAATCGTAAAAGATTTATTCCAGAACAAAGATACATTATTGGTTTCATCATCAAACCTATTAAACAAATATGTTTATAGCGTAGATAATGATACGGTATACTTCAATCTAGGAGAATCATCTGTAGCCAGATTAGACAACCGAGAACAACTAGTTCCTATTCTTAAATCTTCAAAGACATCATTTATAGACACAACCCAAGACAAAAACTTTGAACCTTGGGTTACTGGTTCTCAAGGCTACCTAATAACCGGTTTCCAAGGTGTTAATAACAATGCTAGGCTAGTTTGGGTTGGATCAACTAATTTAATAGATGAATCTGCCCATGACATTAACAAGAATTTGGTTGAAAATTTAGTAAATTGGAATTTTAATGCTAAGTCAGTTATTAAAACTTTAAAATCAAGACATTATCATGCTAACACAAAATTAACTTATGATGAATTAAACTACAAAATCAACGATGTAATTAGATACGAAATTGATATCACTGAATGGGATGGTTCTCAATGGATCCCATTCACTGCTGAAGATATTCAATTTGAATTGAGACAAGTGGATCCTTATTATCGTATCAATCTAACTCGTATCTTAGATAATGAAACTAATAATAACACGTTTGCTAGATATACTACAAATAATTTTAAATTACCAAACCGTCATGGGATGTTTAAATTTCTCACTGAATATAAAAGAAACGGATTATCTACCATTAAAGACGAGGATATCAAAGCTATTAGACATCTTGCATATGATGAATATCCAAGATCTTGGGAAATTACCAATTCTTGGGTTTACTTAACCGCAAATATTGTTGTTATTTCTTTATTTATCACATTTGTCATCTTATTTTTGACCAATACAAATGTCACCACAGTGAAAAAGAACAACTAATATCCTGTGTATTAAAAATGCGTTAATAGATTTAAAATAAAAAAGTAGAGGATCTTCAGGCATTTATTGATTACATACACACACACAAATATATACATATATATAATGTAGATTTAAACATGCATATATTTTGATATATACGTAGGACCAAAAAAAGCAACTACACTTATTGTTTAACAACTTGAATTTTATTATCCTTCTTCCACTTTTCGAATTCACTAGCCACTCTCACCAGCTCTTCCTTCATTTTATTAATTGTGTCTTCTAAATTCTTTCTTTTGGTTTCTAAAATTGGTCTTGTTGTTTCAACATCACTCTCTACTAGAGCACCACCAACCATTCTATAACATTTTCTTTTGTCATCAGTAGCTTCTAAAGTCTTAAGTACAATATCATGTTCATCTTTATCGTGTCCAAGTTGGATAATTTTAGTTTGAAGTGTTTCTAATGTTTGTTTATACTCATCATATTGTAATTGAAAACCTATACTATATATTCACACACCACACATATCACTAAATTTGGTATAATTAAACTAATAGGAATGTAACAGTTTATGATAAGAATTCAACGTCGTTAGTAACATAGTCTCAACCAAAAAATAAAACAAACAATATATTTATATCAATGTATAAATATATGAAAAAGAATTACTTAATCCACATAAAAGTAACATACTGTTATTAACGTTAACATTAATAGGTCTATCAGTTTGGGACATTTTTCAATAAACTCTTTCTCTTTGTATATATTTTATTGATATATATCTTGATCTTAAAAGTTCTTGCTGGTTTATTCTTTACTCATAATGAATATCTTTTGTTTTTATTATTAGTTTACCAATAAATCCATCCTTTCTTAGCTCGTGTTATGATATTTTTTTAGATGTTTTTATTCTATAATGGCAATATTGATAAAAAAAAAAAAGAAGGACCATGCCAAACATGAACATGAAACTTATTAAATGGTTAAAATTGCTTAGGTGTTATTAGATAACATCGCAAACTAAATATATAATAAGAACAAAAATAAGTTCATAATTCTTATACATCTAATTAAATGTACAAATAGATAATTATTTTGCTTTGTTTGCATCTTTTTTACTAAAGTTTTCTTGCTTATTCTTTACTTTTCTATCACCAAGAGAATAAAGAAATGCCCCAAAGAATACAATAATAATTCCAGTATATGAGGTCTTGGATAATCTATTATTAAAGAATATCACACTTAATAACAAACTCACAAATTTTCGCACCAACAACATAACTGACAACGTTAAAGCACTTGTATGGCTAGCAAGGATGTTAACTCCAGTAATACATATACTCTGTGTAACTAAATTAGTAATTAGAACAAGCACATTATATGGAATATAAAAGTGTTTATTCCATATAGGAATTGTAAATAAATTATATCTTGGTGCTGAAGATATGATCAAAGCCTTTGCAGTATTTAGCAATTTGCTGTAATTCGATATAATAAATAGTGGAAGTGATAACAAATGACAGTAAAACATGTTTTCTTCCCAGTGTTTACCATATTTCATATATATTCTTTCGTCATATGCAGAGAGTAAAGAAGACATCATTGAAGATATGAATAGAATCATCATTCCCTTAAGAAATAGTGTATCTTTTACGACTATCATATTTGTTGGATTCAATTGGTATAGATCTTCCAATTTAAAGTCATGGTTTCTATATAAAGATGCAAGAAAGGCCCCAAAAGTTAAAAAAATTGTTGACCCAACTTGTATCTTAGAATATCTCCTTCCATTGAGCAGATAACATGTTAGCATAGTTAAAACTGTACTGAAACAACGAAAAGTTATATGAATCGGTACTGTAATGCCATAATTGAATACCATGTTGTTGCCTACAGAACTGAAAAAAAATAGTAATACAGATACAAAGTAAATTCTTAAAGGTACGTGTAATGGTTTAAATTTTGGTACAAATAGCCTACTTCCGTTATTCTTTTTTTTAAACGAAACAAAATGTGGTAATCTAAGTACTGCTATGAAAGAAAATTGACAAAATGTTACGAAATTTCCAATATTAAGGTCGACTTCATTCACATTTATTAGTTTATGATTGGTTAATGTCTCTAATGTTGCCACATTACTACAGCAACCTCCAAAAATTGTTAATACAGCAGTTGTTATAGAGGTGGATGCCATTGTGTCGTCATTAACTGTCAAACCACTATGTTATATATTTATATACGTATGATATAACTTCCTCTATGTTTTTACGTGGTCCTATATTTTTCCTTGGGAGTAGTTGCTACTGATTAGTCAAATGTTGTTTTTTAATATCTCTAAAGTTTCTAAAAGACTAGGTCATATTATGATAAATTGATAAAATTTTGTTTTCTTTAATTAGTTTAAAAATCAAAGTGAAATAGAACAACATCATTCAGAATGAGAGGTAAATAATGTTAGGGATTATTTTGAAAGGTAATATACAAACAGAAGCTATCATAGGCCAAAGAGTCATGACTGATAGTGATTTCAAACCTATTCAGGGTAGTAATGCACTTTATTCTTTAAAAAAGGAAATTATAATACCGAAATATACCACAACAACCTATAACTCTATCTTTCAGCAGGTAAAGAATGAATTGAAACAAGTTGAAACTGATATAGTACATATCTTTAATACTATTTCAACTGATATACATTGTGAAATGAAACAAGAGGAATTATTAGATTTGAAGTTAAAAAGTACATTGAAGCATTTAAAACATTCATATAAAAGGATATCGAAATTAAGGATCAAAAGTTCAAAATACCATTTACAAAATGATACCTGTATATTTTCTAAGCATTTATACCATATGGAAAGTAGTATTTCTAAATTAGAAAAAGAGTTAAAAAACCTACAAGAAGTATCTAACAGCATTATAAACAACATCATAATCATCAACGATAATTTCATTAAACAAAACAATATGCCAATGGTAACTTTAAAAAATTATACAGAATCCCAATACCCAATACTATTTAAATTAATCAAGCAAAAAAACCCTAAGATAATAACACAACAGACAAAAACTCAGTTTCATAATTATAATTATATGAATTTTGAATTAGGCAGTGAAGAGAATTCTTTACATGGTCAAACTGAAAGCGCCAATGCTGAAATATCTTCTTCAAATAATCCAAAAGGATATGTAAATCTACACAAGAATAACACAACAAATACTCCAAAGTTTGTTACTGATAAAGGTAGTATATCTAATCCTTATTTTAATGCAACAAACTCTAAACTTATACCGCCTTTTTTAAAGATAAGGCCACATCCATCGACCTATACAACGTTGCAAAATATACATGGCGATTATAGCGATAAGAGTAACAAATATTGTGAAAATTCATCTGATATTTGATAAAGGGCTAGTCATGTTTGTTACTTGCATACAAATATTTAAATCAGAAAAATAGCAACTGAAAATCATATATTAACCTATTAAACCTTAGTTTAAATGAGAAGATTATGGTGACCGCTTATTATAAAATATATCTATAATTCATATTTTTATATAGCCTATGACATACTGATTATTTCTTCTTTCTTTTGTTAATTTTTAGCGCTATAATGTTGAATAGTATCAAGATAACTTCGAAAATTAAATATAAAAACATATTAGTTATTTTCAGTGAGATTATCAAGTGAAGGACTATTTTGCATGATTAACTTAGTGTTATTAAGCTTATCTATTATTTCGTTAGTTTCAACCAAACGAGATGGACAGTTTTGTTGCAAAATTTTTGCTATGATTTTTTTATATATTGTATAAAGAGAAGAATTTGCATATAATTCCACTAGGCTTAGTTCTTGTTCATTTTGGTTCTCAATCATTTCTACAAAATTTGGATCAATAGGAATATTACCTAAGTATGGTACATTAAATTGTTCGGCCAATATCTTACCACCTCCACTAGAAAAAATGTTTGTACATTCTTCACAGTATGGGCACAAAAATCCAGACATGTTTTCAATAATACCTAAAATGAAAAGATTAACTTTTTTACAAAAATTTAATTCCTTTTTTACATCAGCAGTAGCTACACTCTGTGGAGTTGTCACAATTATTGCTCCGTCTGGTTCACAGAATCTTAGCTGTTCAGCGATAGAAATGTGTTCATCAGACGTTCCAGGTGGTGTATCTATTAATAAATAATCCAAATCCCCCCATACTACATCTCTAATGAATTGTTTAATCATGGCAGTCTTTTTAGGACCTCTCCAGACTACACTGTTTCCTCTATCGCCAATTAAAAAACCTAAAGATACCACACTTAAGGATCCATTTCCATTAGTCTTTACCTTGACAGGCATCCATCCTTCTGATGTCTGATATATTGATTTATCTTCTAATCCGAACATACGTGGTATTGAAGGTCCTGTTAAATCGATATCTAATACGCCAACTTTATAGCCCATTTGACAGAGTGTTAGAGCAGTTTGTGTTGTGATTGAACTTTTTCCAACACCTCCTTTTCCAGAAAGAATTAAAATAATATGTTCGACATTTGCCAATGATGGTGCTGGACCTAGGTCCTCTTGAGATGACATTTGTAGTGTAATGTTGTGATTGATTCAGCAGCAATAGTGCTTATAGAATGTTAGGAAGATGTTCCTCTTTGTATAAGCTCTAAAGAAGAAAAGTAATGAATAAACTAATTTGTACAAATGCATTTAATTGAAAGATTTCGATTACTGATACAATTAAGAAATATGAATATAAAGCTATTTTGATTCTTGTCTTTTTCACCTTTTTTTAATACCACGTTAAAATTTCACAGATTTGAAAATAAAAAAAACTAGAGCCATTAAAGAAAAAATAGGAAATCTAATGATCTCTTTACAAAGAAACATTGATATATTAAAATATTAGAAAGTGTAAGTAGTTCCAAACAACGGTATATATATAATGCCTCTATATGGTGAAATGGTACTATAAACAAAGTTTTTATATAAACGAAATTTCACAACTAATCTGACCTATTTTCTTTTTGTTTTTTTACCTTTTTCATCTTAGAAAAATGGTATAAAGCCAGCTACTTGTAATATAATCACATCTCAATTTCACATTATCTTTTTTTTACTTTTAATAGATTTTTATGTGTTTGTTGTAACAAAATATATCAAGCAAAGTGATGTTATTTATTTATAGTAGCATTATTTTTTATATGTGAAAGTAGGGAAAAAGTATGACTTGCGAACACTATTATCAGCTATATTGTTTGTATAACCGCAAAGATAAGCAATGTTATATTACAGATAATTTGGTCAATATTCGCAAAGCATTTTTTTTTTTCATACTTCAGTTTGGATTATTGGAATATATTTTTTGTAATAGATCCAAGTTAAATGTAAAAAATTACAAAGAACTGCTGTGTTTTTGCCTTAACATAGACTTAAAAACAGGTATTCTTGTCTTACCTGTCCATTTTTTTTTGTTTTTTGGTTAGACTTGTGTCTATTTTTTTTGAATATGGAATAATCATTGTTATTTATATATTATGCCTCATGAACTTTCTTATATGTTAATTTTATATTTTATATTTTAGATATTTTTAATGAGACTTTCACTTCTACCTAATTAAAAATATAGAGTTAAGTAAAAAATTTTTCTACATTGGCTCTTCTTATACCACAATAGAATCACATTTTAGTTACACTCAACAAAAATATTTTAAAATTGCTAGAAAAAATACTAAATAGAATACATTTCTATGCGACAATCACTATTTAATTCAAGAATATAAATATTTTACATAGAATAAGTATATATTTGTACAAATTTGTAGAAAAAATTTTTGTAAAAGAAAATAATAAATATACAATCATATTCTATATGACATTGAATTAATACCCATTAATGATGATGTAAGTAAAATGATAAAGACAGTTTTATATGAAGATTTTATGATGACAATATTTCTTGGTATTTAGTGACACGAAAAATGAATATAATAATAATACAAACATTCTAATGAAAAAATTGTGTAGAGTAAGGATGATTCAGTATATTTTCTAAAAAAAAAAAAAACAAGGTGTAGTAGTGAATTTTAATTCATTCTTACATTTTTGAGTGTGGAAATGCATAGTCAAAAAACCATTTTTTTTTAAACAGTATAATATGAGTATTGCCTACTCTAGCTTTTTTGTAGAAAATATAATATGCATGGAAAGTTGGTAACATGATATAGTCTGACATAAATTAAGATAATACATTTTATCTCTTCATTTGACACCGATGATATTGCTAAAGTTTTCTTAATTATTATTGATTAGAATGTTATTTAATTGGTAGAATTTTGTGTGCCAGGATATGTATATGTGTTGGATGTATATTTTGTTGGACTATCGAAACTATTATTATTAGTGTCTTCGGTTTTGATACTATTCAAGTCAGATGAGATATTCATTTGTTGGTTGGCCAATGAGGGCCCAATTTGGATATTGCCTCTGGGTATTTCAAAATAGTTTGTTGTACTTCCATTGTTATATTGCCCAAAATACGATAGAGTATTTGGATTATTTGAAATATTCTTGTTTTGAATACTGACAGGTGTTGGAACCATATTTCCCAAAGAACACTCAACTACTCTAGTAGTATTATTTGATGTGATAAATGAATGGGTTGCGGATTGTATTGGGTATGAAACAGAATTATTCAAATAATTTATATTATGATTCCCTGTATTATTACTTGTCACAGCTGCATTATTATTTGCAATGCTGGATATTTGATTATTTGTACCTGGCGAAATAGTTACTGGATATAAGGTATATGTTGCATTGGTACGAATAGTCGGAATAATATTATTTACATTGTTGGAAGAAGTACTGTTACCCTGAAAAGTATTCATATTTAGGTAACCAGTATCAGAAGAAGAAATCAAACCAGGAGCAATCGGATGTATTATCTGATTTTGTGAAGCTATTCCGTTATTTATATTAGAATCACCAATGGAATAACCGTTTCCATTTGTTGCACCTTGATAATAATAATATCCATAAGGATTATTATGATTTTGATGCGGGTTTAAGTGGGACACAGAGGCTCCAGGAAAACCAGTGTTCACATCTACACTATTAAACATACCGTTTTGAATGTTACCATTTTCAGCATTCATATAAAACATGTTGTTTGAGATAGATTGAGATTGATTAATATAATAAGGACCATGTTTTACTGCGTATCCATTTGGAGGCATAGTATTAGGAAATCCCGTTGCATCATTATTGAGATTCATATTGTTTTTAGGATTAAATTTATCATTACTATTGTCTCCAAAAGAAGAACTTATAACAGGTATCATATTATTGAAGGTGGATGAATTTTGTGAATTAGGGGTGCCGTCTCCGATATTATTTCCAAAATTTACATCTATACTATCATTATGCTTGTCCATATTTGTTGAGGAAGAACTTGGTTGAATGATGCTAGTTGTTCCTGTTGTAAGAATGTTAGAATAATGTGATGATTGATGAGTACCAATGTTTGATGTACTTTCTAAATCTTCACTAGAGACATCTTCTGGAGATGTAGAAACATTTTTTTCTTTAGTTATGACCTTTGGGTTTCCCAACTTTATATTTTCCATTGCTTGGATCAATTCCCTACTTAACTTGATATTTCTAAAAACTAATGAATCCTTTGGAGTTATTAATCTATTCTTTTTAACATCGTCAATGGTATAATATGAGACAACATGAAAGGTCTCTTGCTGTTTTAAATTTTCCCTTCTTAGACTAACAGATATTGTCTTTTTAATTAATCCTGTATATTTTGTTGAATGTAAGGATTTAAAAGGTACTTTTTTAGAAAGTTCAAAGTATTGATTATTATTTTTAGGATAGTCGATAATATTTTCACCATTAGAATCATCATTTGAATCAGAACTATTTTGATTACCAAGAGGCTCCAGGTAATTTAATTTCCTACGCATTACATTAACGTTAGTAGTCCTATAGAATATATTATTTCTGTCTTTATTTTCATTACCACCATTTCTATTATTTAACAAAGGCAGGAGTTTAATCCTTGATTTTGCTGGTATTTCCTTATTGTTTACGTCACTTACCTGTATGAAACTTTTCTTATTCTTAGGAGTCATACTCTTGTTATTAATATACTCGGATTTCTTTGGTAGATGTTTAAATTTATTTTTATTGAAAATAATGGCTTTGTTGATTTCTTTATAAACAAGGAATTTCCCAGCAATTCTTGAAGGAGACCAAGTAACGCCATCTGTCCATCTTTTGATACCAGATATTTCTTCTATAAATACAAAAATATTTCCAGATGTAATAAGATATGATCTTTCAATTTCATATGGTCTCCTAGGAATATGTCTTAACTTTCCATCCATAGTAGCCTGAATAATCAATAACGCATCCTTTTCATCTTCAATGTACCCTTTAAATGTGGGTTCGATATCCATTTGAAAGAAGGATAAATAATAACAAGTATGATAAGAATTTCAAAGATTAAGGTTTTATTATACCTTACAATTTATATGTTTTCACCACGTATTTCCCCTTTCCTTTTAACAGATGTTAAAACAAAGAGCACAAGTTTCAGATAAAAATAAACTTGCCTAAGAATAAGTAAGTGCAATAGCTATTTTTATTATTATTTTTATTATTTTTTATTATTGAAATACTAACTTAACAGAGACTAAATTAAGTAATAGATATAATAGGGGAGGTTCTTCTTTCTTCGTCTATTTTTCGTTTTTATTTCATAAATAACAGTATATGTCAACAATCTTCCTTTTATTTTCTTTATTTCTTTTGTAATATTAGTTTTGGTTTATCGATATGAAAGGAGTTCTGGATTACCTTAGATACAACAATATTATTTGTTGATCCCTTTTTGTGTTTTGATAATTTTCTTTTGTGGGAGTTTTTTTTTATATTTAAAGGATGTCAACAATGTAACAAAGACGAATGAAAATGATGTATATATTTATGGAGATATAAAATGACAATATTAAAGTTTCCAGTAGATTGAACTTATCAAGATAAGATCGAGATATAAAAACAAGAGCAACAAGGAAAGCTCCTTAATAACGGAAAAAGACTTGGAACCTATGTTTAACCTTCCTTCAAGTAATACAGACACTAAAAACCTTATTTGGAAAAGGTAAAAAGAAAAAAAAAAAATAAGGAAGGAGAAAAAGAAAAAGAAAAAGAAAGAAAGAAAGAAAAAAGAAAGCAAGTGTTAAATATAAGATATTGTGAATGTGCAACCTGAAAATAATAGGACACATTAGACAGATACCCTTTGTAAGAAGTTGTTTATATTTATTTAATTAACATACCCGTCTTCAATTATTTCTGTCTCTCTGTCTATCTTTTTTTTCTTTATTTTTTTTTCTTTATTTTTTTTTCTTTATTTTTTTTTCTTTCTTTTTTCTGTCTTTTTTGTTTGTTTGTTTGTTCGTTTGTTTATTATTTTTTTTCACTTTAATAGGAAAAAAAAAGAGCTAATAAAAGCACAAGATAAAAGAAAAATACAATAGAAATAGACAATACAAGTCAAGAAATACAATATGAAAGATAAAAGAAGTTCTATTTTATATCGAGTGTAATAATTGTACTAAATGGACAAATAATTGAAATAAAACTGATTGCAGAATGATAAATGGATGCAAAAAAAAATAAAAAAATAAAAAAAGATACACGGAAGAGATAGAAGGGGTGGAGAGAGAATTAAAAGGATATTATTATTTATGCTAAATTAATATTTCACTCATATATTTGTTCTATAGGAGAAGATGATGTATCTATTCAATTGTTGTATTTTTCCTATGCATTACGTGTGGAGCATATTGTACAAATAATAGTACGAACGTAGTAAAAAAGTCATGTATTTCTAAATTATAATAACTAATTAATGACTAAGGGTGTAAGGAATTTATGTATTCTTTCATTTTTTTTTCTTCTTCCTGGATGTATCTATTGTGATAATAAGGGGAACTGACGTTGTCACATAGTAAATTTACAATGCTAATACTCACTAACTCATAAACGTATCAGTTAAAAAGGGTTTACAATAATTTCTAAGGAGTGGTAAGTAAGTGACAGACAATAGGAAAAAACGTGCTGTGGTTGCTGTTATTTTTTTTTAAGGTTATCGTGTTATTAAAAAGAATCCTAAATCTTTAATGTCATTAAGTATATTACAGTAAAATACTCTTTTTTTAAAAGAAAAAAAAAAAATAACATATACTTAAGCTTAAAGTAGATTACTACTTCTGTTTTTCTTCTTCTTTTAGAAAAATTTAGGTGAATTTAATACCTTAGTTGTAATATTGAGGTGATATTGAGGTCTTCGAAGTGAGATAATTCCTGGCAAAATTCGTAGAAATGATATTTTTTCAGATATTTGTATTTTAATAATGATAAAATAATAGCAGCCAGGTGGTAAAAAAGTATCCTAGGTTCAAGCTTTATGTATTTCTTAATACGTACAATTATTATATAGAACTATGATCTACATCTAAATTTCTTAAATCATTTAACGAAAGATATATTAAAGAGAACACAATGCCGTAAATTTAAATATACAAAAAACATTATTTGAATCAATATAATGTTAGTAATCTGCATATATATGATTTAATACTAAACAAGGCAAAAAGAGTCTTATCGTTTCCATACACATCGTTGGATAATTGTTTGCTGATATGTTACAGAACAACTGTATAAGTAGTCTTTACTAAAAAATAATAATAATAATAACAAAATAAAAATTTAGAGACTTTCAGAAGAAAACTTTAATAGGTTCCAGAAACCATTGTTTATTGTTTTATAGGTTTTCTTACTAATTGATTAAATATATTTTTTCTGGCTACTGAATTTTTATGGGTGCATCCTTCGACCTGAGGAGCATTCTTTATTGTGAAAATTTCAGAAAAACTGATTCTTTTTACTCATTACTAATAAGTAAATTTTTATTATTGAAAAAAATATAAAAGACAAGTGCTACATAAAAAAATATTAAAAAAGAAAGAGTATCAAGAGAAAATAGATAATGAGGACTTTTTTCCCCAACAAATAAATATTTGATTCAATAATAGTCAAAGAAATCATTACCAAACAATTATATTCAAACTGGACAGTATTCTATCGAAAACAAATACATTATCTTAATGAAGTTACTTAACAAATCTTCAAGTCTAAAATTCAAAGATGGAGTTTCGCTCCAATTGCAACCAGAAGATAAAGAAGATTTATTTACACTTTATCAGTTGATAGATCAAGATGATGAACTGATATTCAAAAAACGATTTACTACAACGGTTGATGTTGATAAAAAGAAAAAGACAACTGATATGGTAAAGTTAAGAATCCAAGTAGTTTCTAGGGAATTTGACATGAAAGATGAGTTTTTAAGATATAAAGGGAGTACAGTAGAAGATGACACTGGTAAGACTAATTGCAATATTGCTGCTGGTAAATTTATTAGCTACACTATTACATATGCTTATCCTTTCACTCTTCTTAAAAAAAACTTTGATAGTTATGCTAAAAAACTATTGGACGAAGCCTGTAATCTAGAAGCAAAGGCAGATACAGCTGCAATTGTTCTGCAAGAAGGTGTTGCTCATGTTTGCATATTAACTGCATCTTCAACAATCCTTAAACAGAAAATTGAGTATAGTTTACCAAAGAAAAAAACGACAACAGATATTGTAAAATTTGATGAAAAGACTGAAAAATTTTATAAAGCTATCTATGCGTCTATTGTAAAAAATTATGATTTTAACAAACTAAAAATGATAATATTATGTTCACCCGGGTTCTATGCGAAGACATTGCATGAGAAAATCATGCAATATGCTATACAAGAACAAAATAGAAATATTTTAGATAATGAATCAATGTTTTTAGTCGCACATTCGTCAACAGGGTACATGCAAGGCATCACAGAAGTTTTGAAAAATCCAATATATGCCAATAAATTGCAGGATACCAAATATTCCCATGAAGCTAATGTTATGGATTCTTTTATGAAACATCTCAATGAAGACGACTATAAAGCGTGGTATGGTGAGCAAGAAGTCTTCAAAGCTGCTGAATTAGGGGCAATTGATGAGTTACTGATTACTGATCTTCTTGCCCGTTCTCCAGATTTATGTCAAAGAAAAAAATATATGGATCTTATGAAGTCAATAGAGAGTTTAGGTGGTAAGGTGATTATTTTCAGTACTTTGCATATTTCAGGGGAAGAACTTGATAGATTGACTGGTATTGCTTGTATTTTAAAATATCCAATACCTGAATTAGATGAAGATCTTGATTATGAAGAGGAGAATGAGTAGTGTTGTCATCAAAAAACGTTATTATTAAATTCTCCTAACGTACATATGTGTATGCATGTGGGTGTGAAGATATGTTTTGGATATACTTTATAACAAAAATTGTATCTATTAGATTCATTTTCTGTTATTTTTTTAATATCGTTTGATTAATAAGAACTAAATAACGTATATAAATATACCTATAATATTTTTAATGATTGCAATCATATTATTACACAGCATTCATTTTTGTTAGATGATTTTTGGTTTTGTGTTATTTTTTGTTCGGGAACATTAGGAGGTTTCTTTTTTGCAGATAGCATGGGTTCATTATTTAACATGTTATCGTATGAGTTATTTTCTTTTAAGGCATTATCATATAGTCTTTTCACAATATTGAAAAATTTGTGACCTTGAATAGACGCTATCCGCAATTCTAAATCAGAAGCAGTTCTTGTGCCATCAGGTCCTGCAAGTGTTCCAGCTCCCCATGGCCCAGCCCCATGTATTTCGTCAATGCAGGATAATTCGGCAAAACAGGATTTATATCCAAGTGGTATTATAATCATTCCATGATGTGAAAGATAATCAAGAGAATTTTTAATTGTACTGTCTTGACCACCACCAAAAGATGCAGTACTTGTGAAAAAACCTGCAGCTTTACCTTCAAGATTACCTTTTACCCAAATACCTCCGGTTTGATCCCAAAAATTAGCCCATTGTGCAGGTACATTACCATATCTGGTCGGAATTCCAAAAAGAAATGCATCATATTTCTTTAATATATCTTTTCCAGCTACAGGAATGTCCTTCGGCTTTGGTGGAGCAAGTAGTTTCTTTAATGCTTTTGGTGGTAATGTTTCTTCGACTCGATAAATATCTGCAGTTCCACCTGCTTCTGTTATCCCTTCTTGGACAGCCTTTGCCAAAATGTCTATATGGCCATAGAGTGAATAAGTTATTATTGCTATTTTCACCATTGTGGCTAGTTTTTTATGAATGACTTTCACTTATTTTTGGATAAAAAGGATAAGTTCTTCAAAATATATATATATAAATAAAGAGTAAATTTATTGAGGTAGTGCTTGGTCTAATAATGTGATATAATATATATTTCAATCATTAACTGCTAAAAAGGGAGCTGAGATATTAAAATGATAAATTGTATACTTTCAACAAGCTGAGACCTAATATTAGTCAAATCAGTTAATATTAGTTGATATGAGAGAAGGGTTATCATACCCTATTCTACATCCCTTTTATTTCTTTCCTTTTTCTACCACAACCTTTTTATAAAAATAAAGAAGTATCAATTAAAATTTGTTATTATAGAATTGGTGAAGAATAAAGGGAAGTTGAAATATATTGGTTATTTAGACTATAAAAAAGATATTGTATGAAATTTGGTTCTTTTTTATTTGGTAATCAGTTAAATATTGTGCTAGTAAATTTATTTCATTCTTTTCGTCTACTATTATACAGAGAACTGAAAATGTTGGTTAGTTGTTTTCAAAATTAATTCTATATCACTAATACAAATCCTGTTTATTTCATCAATAGATGACTTTGTATATAAGTTAATTTGCAAAATTAGGTCATTTGTTTCTTCCCCTTTTTGTAGTTCTTTGTGTAGACCTTCAATTGAATAAATACGGCTTCTAAGATATCAAAGGTAATGATTCTTTTTGTTACCATATGATAATCTAATAGTTGTACATAATATGGAAATAAACTCTTTGTATTTAGAAAGTGTTGGTTTTCTAATACTTTCAGAAATGAAATATTTTCTTAAGTGTGTTGTTGTAGTTACTACGAAATTTTTTATAAGAATTTTTACTATTTTTTTATTTGTAAAATTTTTTTGATATTAATTAAGCTAAACACAAAAACAAGCTTAATTAGTTTTGTGCTTTTATTTAAAAAACTAATAAAACAAAGCTTATTTTCCATTATTTCATTCTAAATCTTTTACATAAATAATAAAAAATCACAAAGTAGGATATATTTTCTGATAAAAAATATATTTTTCATTATATATCATGATTAAAATAAATATCATATACAACGGAAATTGAAACTATATCATATTAAACGTTATAAAAATATCATATGACTATTTTTTATTTTTTAATCTTTAATTTTAATAATTTGTATAAATATATTATTTTTATTTTCCGTATTTATTATTCTATATAAATGATCGTAATAAAGTGATTTTTTAAATATTTTTTCGTCAAAAAGTATTTTTAGTTTTTGGTGTTATAAATTGTATTTATTATAATAATATGTGTATTTATCATTTAATACGAAATTATGACAACTCAATAAGGCTTTTTTAACTTATACAATACAATATTTAAAGAAAATTCTAAAAAGGAGAAATGAGATTTTGTTTATATTGTATTTTATCAAACAGTATTTTCTTTAAAAAAAGTGTTTATGTAAATAAATATATTTTAAGTAATGCATTTTTAAATTATAAGACTAAATAATAAATCTCTTTCCAATGTTCGTAGAGTTCAAAAATTATGTAACAGTAAATAAGTTAAATATGATTAAACCTTAAACTCTTTCGAACAATTATTTTTTGTTGGAAAAGGATCCGTTGTCTTATTTATGAAAAGAATCAATTATATTCAAAATAAGAATTAAATAGTTAATCAAAGGGAATAGGTTAATAAAATAATTTGGTCTCTAATCTAAACCAAAAATTATTATTGACACATTATGGAGTTCTATGATTTGTTATCAATTTTAAAAAAATAAGTATTATACTAGAGTGTGAAGATTAATAATAGAAATATCACAAAAAATTAATAAAAATTAGCAACTCTATTGCAAAATATTCTTTTTATTTTCATGCAAAAAGATGTGAAGAAACAGAACAAAGTTTGATTTCAGCATATTGCAAAATTGAACAAGACATATATAAATAACTACTTAAAAATGTCAATCACTTTTAATTGAAATGTATGATTTTTATAGTTGATATATTAGATTTTATATTACTAGAAAATAAAACAAAGCATAACTCTTACCTTGTTAAAATTAAGCTGCAGTTATACCGACATAGAGAACCAAAATATAATCCTTTTTTATATAGACATTAAGTTAAAGTTGTTATGGGTTAGTTGGAAATCAATAAGAAATCACAATTATCATGTAATTCGGAAATTTGGAGGAATATCCCATTGTTTCCTAATAGATATATATATTAAAACACAACACTTAGTGTATTATACAACAATGGTACTTTTTTGGTTTATGTGATGCCAAAGAAGAAGAAAAGTTACTAAACGGTGGTGAAGGATTTAAAGATAATGGTTTATCGATGTAAAATAAATGAATGGAGAATGTGCCATATTTGAACTAATATATCCAATGGATAAAAAATGAAGAGAAAAAGAAAGAGTTACTCAACGGTTGTTATTTAGAAAAAATACTATTGGAGTTAATATATATCTCTAACTTAATTGACTCCTATTTTGATACTTTTTGAGGAATGTGTGGAAAAAATACGATTGTCTTCTTGAGAAATCATCCTCAAACAGCTTAGGAAAGTTATTAAAGTTCATTAGGAAAGAAAATGGATCAGGTTGTCATTAACAGATCATAATATTAGTTAAAACGCAAGAATCAATACAATATTAATAAAGATATTTTGAAGTATTTACCTTTTAATTGCAATTAATTTTTTCTAGGTGGGTTTTATGTAAAAATAAAAATAAGAGGTTCATGGAAAATGTTAGTAAACTAACATAGTATTAATCATTTATAGATAAAACAAAAAAAACTCTTTGTCAATCTTTCTATATTATTATCATATATTGTATATATTGTGTATAGTGTACAACATAAAGGAAATTAGTTGTTTGATATCATTTACACATATTGAAAAATTATTTTATTATATCAGATAATAATACTTATGTTTGTAAACATGCATGATATCAATCATTAGTTGCCAGTGATATTGAATCTGTTTGAATATATATTATTAGCATATATATATATATATATATATGTTATAGAAAAGAGTTTTATTATTGTAATTTTTATAAGAAATATTGTAGAGAATTAACGCCTGTGATCATTGGGTAAATAGTAAACATTTCCAATATTGTAATTATATGATTATAGTGTATAAAATTATGTTAAAGTCTTTAAATTTTCTTCTCTATGTATAATACAGAGATGATAATATATAAAAGAAATAGAAGGAAAGAAACATGATGGGAAAAATTGTTGGCTTTATATCTGAAATATCTCTTCTACAAACGGCACCAATTCATCAATTGATTTTGGTCATATTTGCTGAAATCTGATTGGTCTGTCTATTTATTCTAGAACACTTGAATTTAGCAATTATTTTTAATTTAGTTTTTTTATATACAGTGTTTCTTATAATTGTACTAAAGCTCATGAAAAACATTTTATTTTTTTCATGTTCAATATTTTTTTAAGGTTTAAGGAAAACGAAAATGTTTGAAAGAAATATTAAAAGTAAATAATATATTTATGCTAAATGCAGTGTAAAATAAGTGTATATGTATTTAAAACAGATAGTAAAACAATCTTCTATAACTTAATAATATCTATCATTAATTTAAATATCAAACCCCCCAAATTTCACTAACACTGGATTTTAATAACATTTTTAGTCATTTAATGAGATTAATATACATTATCAAAAAATACTTCTAATCGTATATCAACATCTACGTGAACCCTTCACAATAGTTTAGAGTTAAATAAATGTTGATTGTCCAAACAATTATTATTTAATGAAGCCTGCCCCATATATTACACAATATGTTATTATTTGAATTATAAAAAATACGCCAGATAATCACACCATAAATTAGATAAATAGGACAATAATAAATACATATAGCCACATTATATATAGAAAATCAAAAAGATTGCAACTTGTTCTTTTTATTTTGCACAATACAAAAAATATACAAGAATAAATTAAGAGAAACTACAACTATAGACACTAAAATAGTTGTTCTTTATATATAAAATTATGAGTTGATAATTTTCTTATTTGGATCCTGTATAATTTGTCCATTATTTTTAAAATTTCTTTTTTCATCAACTCAAATATATATTTGTACATTTTGAGAAAAATTTTTATATACATGGATGTTTTAGTATTGTTTCATTTAACAGACTTCACCTTTCGTTTACTTAAATATAATAACACATAATTTTAAGATAAACACTAAATTCCAAAATTTAAACCAAAACAATCTAGTGACACATATTCAAACATCCATAAAACTAGAGGTTGTTAAAAACAGAAAATATTATAATCTAAGAAGAGTTTAAAGTAAAAGGCTGATTAGACTTAATCAATGATAATTAGAGTTCAAAAAAATTAAATCAGGGAGCAGGAAAATACAATTAGAATTTGCAAAATTTTTATGTTAGTAAAGTTACATGAACTAAACAAATAATATGTCTATTGTTTATCACCATTACCTATTGCTTGAGAAGTTCCATAAGAGTTTAGCAAATTATATAATTAACAATTATAGTGTGAATTAATAATTCACTACTACATCAAATTAAATAATTGATAAAGTTTCAAAATCATATAAAAGAACAACACTTTTAGAAGAAGATCTATTTTCTATAACTTTTATATCTAATTTATATAACATATATAAAAGAGACACGCATAAAAAAGCACCAGAACAATATATTTAAATACAATAGCCGTTTAACATATTAGTTGTTAAGAACATATACTAATTTCTTTATTATTTGTAACAATTACTATTTTCAAACTATTATATAACTTTATGTTGAAATAGAACGTTCTATAATGAAATAGATAGAACAATAAAATTTTAGCAAACACTAAACGATAAATTGTTGAGTAATAGTTGTTGAGAGGTCACCAAAAGTTGTTGAGTTTGTTTATTAAATATCTTACTGTTCGTAGAGGAAAATGGCTTAATGTCAACATATATAAAGCCAAGGATTTCATCATACATTATTTTTATCTTATTTACAATCTTTGTATATTATTATTTCTATGTTGTATATAGAGAAGGAAATTGAAGAACTTTATTATAATTTTGTATACTAAGTCTGTTTAATATAATATTGAGAATGTTTACTATATATCCAATGAATACAGGCACTCATTCTCATCACTTTAATATTAGTAAAATAAAATATAATGTATTCCCTAGAGAAGATGTTGTAATATAATGTGGTCAGAGTTTTGTATTATTCGAGGAAGCGCTAGAAATATCAAACGGATAATCTATTAATAATCGAGACAATAGTTGATACAATTGGTAATGCAATTATTGATACGGTCTTATATATTAACGGCTATATCGAGCTTATATATTTATTCTTGTCGATGATTTGCTTGCTACTTCTATATCTACAATATATTATTATGTATAAGAAAGGAGTGACGGAAAATAATTGTCATCTTCAGAAATCATTGTTCTTTTATATGTTTTCTGGAACTTAATCAACTATTCAACCTGATATATTAATGAATTAGTAATCCATATCTTTATTATTAGTTACAATAATATAATCGAAGCTCATAGAACATTGAGGACAATAGGTTATGGTGGTGCACTAGAAACTATAATGAACACGGTGTACATAAACATAATATGCTATGGTGGCGTAGCAACAGAGGTACGTCAACGAATAGTACGTCAACGAATAGATACGCCGTACATTAGGTGGCAAATGAACACGTTATACTTAAAACACAATAGATCACTTTAGATTCAAATAGAATCTTACGTAATCTCGGTGGAGTTATATCTTTATCCTACCACGAAATGTTGTAGTTGTGCGGCAACTTGGCCGAGTGGTTAAGGCGTAAGATTAGAAATCTTTTGGGCTTTGCCCGCGCAGGTTCGAATCCTGCAGTTGTCGATTCCTTTTTGTAACTTATTGTAAAATAACCCTGAGGTTATATGTTTCTCATAATAGTAATTCTTGTTGGAATCTCAATAATATTTCACTTAGATAGATATAAGATATAGACTCTTTCTATATCTCTCGATGTAGTATTCCTATATATCTATATATCTATATCCCTAATCTAAGATAACCTAATAGTATACACTTATATACTATATATCTAAACTTACGTAATCCTTAGTTCCTTGACCTTATTCTCGTTCATTGTTGTTCGTTCTTGGTTGCTCTCTTGTACTTATGTTGGTTACTCCTGCTTTTATCTATGTTTGTAAAATTTTGCAAAAAGGAAAATTTAGAAAAATATTGTCAACCCTCATTTTTTTAAACTAAATGTCAAATGCCCCATATAGTAGTATTAGAGATATTATACTTATTGTAATAGCATAAGTTTTTGTTACAAAGTCAGTCTGATTATTTTAGAATAAAACGAATGAATCTAATCATAGGATTAAAATCTACAAATAATCATAACCTAGCTTAAAAGTTATTCTACTTAATATATATATTTATATATATATATTTTATTTTTTGGTCATCTATCCTACTTATTGTCTAGTCTTTCTTACAGTAACCTCTCGAGACACCATTATATCTTGCAAGTTTACACACTACAAAAAAGCTCTCCTTAGACAATATGTTATAAAAAAATTATGATATAAATTGGAAAAATACACCAAACACATGATTTGTATCACGAAATATTACACTTATATTTTGTCATAAGACATTGGTTATGAGATTCTGATAACAATCAATTCAAAATAATATTAATATTAATTCACCCAGATATAAAAGATAGATTTCTTGTATATTTTTAAATGTAATAGTAGTATTTTATAACTAAAACTAATATTAATAACATTAACTAAGCATTAGAGGTTTGTATCTAATTATATCTTTTTCTTCTCTTTAGTTCGTTACCAGTAATCTATATATTAGCATCATTTCTAGTAAAACAATTATTGCTGATACGACACTTAACCAATCACCAAAAATCTTTCCTCAATAATACAAATAGAGACGTATATATGTTTGAGAATGTTAATCTTATTAGACATGGAGTTCTCTTTACTTTTACATGACAGCTATTATAAATAAAGGGACTGAATTAAAATTTCTACCCTAAGCTGGCTTTAAAAAAACCCTAATAATATTCCTTCCGTAGTCGTTCCTTTTATATCTTTTTCCTTTGTGTAAAAAAAAAAACACGAAAAAAATTTGAAACAAAACAAAACAAACAAAAAACATAACAAGCAATGTAAAACAAAAAAGTCAACAAATAAAACTATAAAACCTTTTCAGAGTGATATTGTCTAAAAGTCATATAATTTGGACCAGCGTGTGATATCCTCCCCTCCCCAAATCCTGTTAACTCATTTCATACTGTGTGGATGAGAATAAAAACGTACGGATATATACACATAGATATTACAAAATAGAATCAATAAATAAATAAATATTAACACAATTTCCATGAGTGGCACGGGTGAATCAAGATCTGAATTATTAGCATGGTTAAATAACCTATTACAATTAAATATCCAAAGAATAGAAGAATGTGGCACAGGTGCTGCCTATTGTCAGATTATGGATTCCATATACTTAGATATTCCAATGCATAGAGTTAGATTTGATGTCTCACAAGAGTATGATTATTATCCAAATTATAAAATTCTACAAAGTTGTTTTGCGAGACATAAAATTGAAAAAATAGTGTACGTGGAAAAATTAGTCAAATGTAGATTTCAAGATAATTTAGAATTTTTGCAATGGATCAAAAAATATTGGATGCAACATAAAGATTCTAACCCATATGATCCATTACAAAGAAGAAGATCAACTAGACAAGTTAGCAATGGAAATGTGAATAGTAGAGAACAAACTCCAAATGTTGGAAATTCACTAAACATTGCCAAGAGAAGACCTCAAATGGGACAAATTAATTCAAATAATGTGACTACCATGGGTAGTTACAACAATTATAGTAATAATAATAACTTATCATCAACAACAAGCAAAACTACAAGTAGAGCAAGTATGATATCTACATTTCCAAATAAAAGGGTGTCTAGCGAAAAATTAGTTAGTTTACAAAATGATTTAAATTATGCAAAAGAAAAAATTACAAACTTAAACAATGAAATTGATCAATATAAAGAGACTACCAATATTTTGGAGAGAGAACGTGAATTTTATTTTGGAAAGTTAAGAGATATTGAAATACTAGTGCAATCTACACAGGATCTAATCAATGAGGGGTTATATAAAAATAGTGGTACAGACGAATTAACAAAATTTTTAAATAGGGTTCAACAGATACTCTATGCCACCGAAGAAGCTGAAACAGAGTATGACAATGATCCTAATACCATGAATCCGAATAATGATATTGTCAATAACCACTTGAATGATACGAATAAAAATACAGTATCAAATCATAATCTTAACATCAATAGTATAACACATAATAATGACGATGAAAATATTATTAATCACCAAATAATCCATAATGAGACCCAATTTCAAGATGGTAGAAATATCAATCACGAGGCATCGCCAATTGCAGGAACCTCACAAACTACTGTTAACAACCTCAATGGTAATTCAATAGATAACATTAATAATAATTTGATCATCGATGAAGAAACATTTTAAATGCATGATTTAATCAATAAACAAATGAAAAAAAAAATAAAACAATAAACAAACCATAAAATAGACATCAATCCCTATACACATATATGCATATTCTTCCATATAGATATAAATAACAAAGATCGACCATCTCATCACATCACATTTAGTAAAAATAAAAGAAAGACCCACAATAGCAAAATCATAAATGTAATAAAAATTCAGAATATGTGTTCTATATATAAATAAATAAACATATATATATGTATCTATATATCTACAGGATAATTTAATTAATAATCTACAATCTTTTAGTAAAAAGTAACATGTTGAAGGAGGTTAAAATAAACAATGAAAACAAAAAAAAACCAAAAAAATCAAATCATTCAATATCTGTTTACAGTTTATTTTATTCTAGAATAAAATTATCGAATTTTTTTCTTTCTTCTTTTCTTAAATCTCATATTACTTCATAAACATTTAAAAATCTTTTTTAGGATCTAAATATTTTTCAAAAGCCTCATTTCTTTCTGGGAATGGTCTTGGGCCTAATAAGCGTATCATATCTTCCCTAGTAATCACTTCCTTTGATAGCAATTCTTTAGCAACCAGATCCACTTTATCCAAATTATCATGCAATAATTGTGTACATTTTGCATGTGCCTCATCTACGATTCTTTTAATTTCTGAATCAATCATTTTAGAAGTTTTACTACTAAAAGGCTTATTAATTTGTAAACCGATTGAGTCTGATTGATCATATGAGAGACATCCAACTTTTGGGGACATACCCAGGCTGGTCACCATGGCATGAGCCATTTGAGTCACTTTCTTAAAATCATCATGGGCACCACTTGTCACGGATGGAAAATGTAACTCTTCGGATACACGACCACCAAGAGCCATAATCATTCTATGGTTGAATTGTTCATTCGATATTAGATATTGGTCAGGTGGTAAATACTGGGCATAGCCTAAGGCACCTTGTCCACGTGGAATAATACTAACTTTTAATAAAGGATCTGCATATTGTAGCAACCAACCACATACAGCATGGCCTGCTTCATGGTAAGCCACTGTTTTCTTCTCCTCAAGTGATAAGACTTTAGATTTTTTCTCTAAGCCTGCAATGACTCTTTCAATGGCTGTCTCAAAATGGGTCAAAGTAATAAATGGGGCATTATGCCTGGCAGCAATCAATGCGGATTCATTACAAGCATTAGCAATATCTGCACCAGTGAAACCTGGAGTCAAAGTAGCCAATTTCCCTGCCAAATTATCCAAATCGTTTTTCAAGTCCGAATCCAAATTTAATCTTTGTAGATGGACCAAATATATTTGTTTTCTTCCATTGATATCAGGGGCATCGATTTGAATGTGTCTGTCAAATCTACCTGGTCTTAAAAGGGCCTTGTCCAGAACATCTAGTCTATTGGTGCCTGCCAAAACCACAACTTGATCACTTGTGGTGAACCCATCCATTTCAACTAACAACTGATTCAAAGTAGCTTCTCTTTCATCGTTGGCACCACCCAAGGCACCGCCTTTACCTCTTTCTTTACCGATGGCATCAATTTCATCAATAAAGATGATGGAAGGTGACATTTTCCTTGCTTGTTCAAACAGGTCACGCACACGAGAAGCACCGACACCTACAAACATTTCCACGAATTCAGACCCAGAGACAGACAAGAAGGGAACACCAGCTTCTCCGGCAGTGGCCTTAGCTAAAAGAGTCTTCCCTGTACCTGGTGGACCGGATAAGATTGCACCTCTTGGGATCTTTGCACCCAATTGGGTGTACTTGTTTGGATTTTTTAAGAAATGAACGAATTCCATAATTTCTTGTTTAGCTTCATTGCAACCAGCTACATCATTGAATGAGATTTTAATGTCAGTTTCTTTATTAAATAATTTTGCTCTTGATTTACCGACACCGAAAAGGTTAGAGAAATTATTTTTATTTGAAGACGAGGAGGAAGAAGAAGAAGAAGAAGAAGATGTTAATTTTTTAGTAATAAAGAATAATCCACCGAGTAATAGGACAGTTGGTATGAAGGGATAAATATATTGCCAGATAGAAGTTTTGCTGACGTAGAATATAGGGATTCTATCTCTTTGATCTATATTTAAGGAATCTTGTAGAAGATCCATTTGTTCTTCAAAGACATCCACGGAACCAATAGTGAAACTAATGAAATCATTTGATATTAATTCAGCTTGAACCAAGAACTTATTAATGATGTAAATTTTTTTAACTAAACCTTTCTCTACATATTTAGTTTTAAAATCTTGGAAACTCAAAATATTATTATTATTATTATTAGTGTTATTAGTGTTATGAGTGTTATTAATATTTGAATCTGACTTATTTAAAAGAGTAAATAATAAGAAAAAACCGGTTGTCAAATAGACAGTGTTAATGAATTCTTTTGATTTAAGATAGTCACCAATAGTTTTATATTCTTGGTTATCTTTATCCTTATTCTGTTCCTTATTCTGTTCCTTATTCTTCTTCTTATTATTATTATCTTTATTGTTACCACCACCACTACTATTACTATTACTATTACTATTACTATTACTATTACTATTATTACTAATATTATTTCTCTGTTGTTGCTGTTGATGTTCTAAAGAGGATAAATGGAAAGACCTTATACGGTTAAAAAGTATCAACCCATTAGATAATTTATTATATTTATTATATTTAATATGTTTATTGTTTTGATAGTTAATATAGGAAAAGTTTCTACAAGGCGGTAATAATGACAGTGACAATGGAAATGATGATGAGGAAGAAGATAAAGATTTCTTTATATTGGATGATATCAGTAGAGAATTAGATGGATCACCACCTATTCTTCTTCCCAATATTGACGAGTTCGAAGATGCTCGGAGCCAACAGGGCATAATTTTTAGTTATCTATTATTATCTATTATTATCTATTATTATCTATTGCTAGTTGTTTTTTGATATTTTTAGTTTTTTGTTTTTTTTTTTTTTGATACTCTCTTATCTTAGCAGCTAGGAGAACATAACATAAAGTGATTTAAGATGATGTACTGAGGCATGTATAAATATAAGCTATACAAACTAGATAAGTAGATGTGAGTATGTTTGGTAATAAACAATATGGTAAGAAATAAGAAAAGAAAAGAAAAGAAAAGAAAAGAAAAACCCACCAACTTTTCATAACAAACGTTCCCTTTTTGCCAGAAGTGTTTTTCCCTTTGCTCCATTTTCCCCCAGATCAACAGAGAACAAAACAGGTTCTAGGCCTCCGGCCCCTTAATATATTCTGGAACGACAGGAACAAAAAAACAAGGTGCTGGTGTGTGGTGTGTGGGTGTGTGGTATGGCAACGGATGGACGGAGAAGAAAGAAAAACAAAAAAAAGATCGAGAACCATAGAAAAATTATGTTAGAATGTTTTAGTGTGCAAATAAAGATTGGGATTGAAATAAAGATAGAAAAATACACACATAAACACAGATAAACACTCACGGATATATACATATACACACATAGATATACGCACATAGATATAGATATAGATATACATATATCTCTTTCGTTGTTGTTTGCATTTTGTGTTTCTGTTTTTGTTATTTTGTTTCTTTTTTTTTTTTTTTTTTTTTTATTTTTTATTTTTTGTTCGCCAAGACCAAGATTGTTAAAAAAGACAATTCATAACAAACTACCCTGTAATACCAAAAATGTTTAGAAGATCTTTCTATAGTTCAATACGACAATTACAAGAACAAGCAATTTCAAAGATTTCCACTGTCGACTCCACTATTGCCCCTCAAGTAAATTTGTTAAAGAAATATTATGGATCTCCTCAAATTTTAGAATCTATCAAATTGGCACAAACCGTCCTACCACCAGAATGGGAAACCATCAAATTACAAAAAAGCAACAATAAGAATACTAATATGATTCATGATGACTTACTTAAGTTAAATCCCTTATATGATACCATCATATATAACAATAACAACAACAATAGCGATAACAACACCACGGCCACCACAGCTGGCATCTTGGATCTAGACACTAGATCACAGGTTGCTAAATCCTATTACCCTGATTCCTTCCATTCGAGTGCTCTACACAGTAGAATCTCTAAAACAGTCACAATGGCCAATAACATCTATATGCAGACTCAAATTGACCCCAGGTACATCACTCAAAAGTTGGACATGAGACCCCTGGTGTTGAAACGAGTATCAAATCAAACTGCAAAAGGTAAGATCCGTTCCCATTATGCTCTCTGTATTGTCGGGGACCGCAATGGTATGGTCGGTCTTGGCGAGGGAAAATCAAGAGATGACATGGGTAAAGCCATTTCAAAGGCCCACTGGGATGCCATAAGAAACTTGGTACATGTCAATAGATTCGAAGATAGAACCATCTATGGTGATATCCAGCATAGATATCACGGTGTGAAACTGTTTATTAGACAAAAGGAGGCAGGTGCAGGGCTACGCGTCCATCACACAATCTTCGAAATTTGCCAATTGGCTGGTATCAAGGATTTAACTGTAAAGATTTATAAATCAAGAAATGATATGAATGTAGCAAAGGGCTTCTTAGAAGCTATCACTGAGGGACAAACCCCATTAAGACAACTGGCTTTGGGTCGTGGTAAAAAAATCGTTGACGTTAGAAAAGTTTATTATTCAGAGTAAATAAAATTTCTCATATTATTATCATATCTAAATTTTTATCTTGTAAATACACACACACACACATATATATATATATATATATGTATATTTACATGCATATGTATACGAAACTTTCCCATATTTCTTTATATACACATTTCCTTACTTTTTTCCTTATTTCATCTCATTTCCTCTCATTTCTTTTGATTTTAGTTATTTTTGTTTTGTTCTTTTTTTTTTTTTTCATTTATAAAATAGATTAGGATTTATTTACAAGGAATCTATATTATATTACTACGTGTAGAATAAGACAAGAAGAGATAGATAGATAGATAAGTAATTAGGAGAACGGTCCCCAAAAACAACAAAACAATCCTCGCTCCTTTTTAAATGAGTTTTCAAGCGTTATCTGAAAGACTAGACCAATCTCTAGAAATTTTATCAGTAAAATTGGCTGAATTAATCAAACTAACAGCAATTCAAGAAATAGATGTGGATATTCAAAACTATAATAATAAGAAAAACAATAATAACAATATATCCAATAATTCAAGTACAAATTCCGATAACACTATTTCATCTGATTTGACTGTGGCCACAGATGGTGTATCCATGGTAAATAACCATACACGGCAACTTATCAAAAGTGTACAAGATTTATTGGTCTTAACTAGAACCATTAGGGAAACATGGTTATTAAATCAAATCCCAAGTAATAGTAGAGACAGCGTCGATCATAACAATACTACTAGTATAACTAGCAATGAACAGCTTATCAAACAACAAGAAATTGATTATAAACATGTAGAAAGTTTAATTGATAAAGCTATAAATACAATAGTAAATTGATTCAATAACACACACACACACACACCTATATATAATTATATATAGTTATAATTCTGTATTTACGTTTGAAGATACTTTTGGGCAATCGAATGGACTCTAATATTAAATTCAGGGTCATTAATTGGCTGACCTAATTTATAAAATGGATTTAGTAACGTTTTTACGTATAATTCATGGATTTCCTGATAAAATTTTTTACATTTATTATCATCAATAATAACCAACCCATTCCCCATAAAAATAAAATCATCTTTATTAATATTATCTGTATTTGTACCGTCATTTCCCTTCTCTATACTACTAGTATTATCTTTTATCATTCCATCCGTGTTACAATGCACCATGACAAATTTTAATCCACTATATGTTATATAGGCAGTAACGACATGTCCATAAAAATGATCCACTCTACTTAAATAACAATTATCGTTTTTCAATATTTGTTGAATATTTGAATTAGATGATGATGATATTATATTATTCATGGCACCAGTACTATTCTTATCATTATTATTGTAACTATTGGTTGAACTAGATCGCAGAAAGCCGGCAGTTAAAGATGACATACCGTTAGAATCCGATCCTGCTCCCAAAGAATTTTTAAATATTGACATACCAACACCAACACCATCATTATTATAGGAATCATCCTGTCCGAAAAACATGGATCTATCATTTGGTTGTATTTGCCATTGTAGATCTTCAATAATGTCTAATGATGCATGCAAAATAAAGGGATTCAATTCTTTTAAACTTTGTGGGATATCCTTATTATCTTTATGAAACTCAGTCTCATATAATGGGCGATCATTGGATCCAATTATAGCAAAATATTGAGGCATTTTAAGCTGACTTTGTATATTTTTTTTACTCGAATAATTTTATATCTTTATTGGATAAACTTCTGATCAATAACTCAATCTTAGAGGTAGCAAAAAGATATGTATATCCTTTTATAATATTCAAACTGTCATATTTCTTTTAAATATTCACTTTTTCACTTTTCGTTTTTATTTTTGAAAATTGTAATATCATAATGTCAAAAATAGGTGATTGCATAGAAAAGAGTGATATACAACTATACAGATACACAGCTACACACGACTATACGTAATCATGTATATGTTCATACGAGACAAAAATTCTACAAGGTGAAAGGCAGAATAAAACACGTTTATCTTAATTCTATTCTTCTTTTTCCCATCATAGCTTCTCCCACCTCCACTGCCCTTATATTTTAGTCTAACCATGACTGACACAACTGGTAAACCAATATTGGATAATGAAAATAATTCATTAAGTAAAGGTAGATTAAAACTGGTCACAAAATTACTTATGGATAATAAATATGAATTAATGGATGATTTAAATTATAGCAGAACTACAACGCAAAACAACTCAATAGAAAACTATTTCATGAATGATACTTATATGAATCAAAATGGGCTAGATAATAGTAACAAATTAAGTCTTAATGGATTATCTGGGACCCAACAAGCTTCGTTATCATTTTTACCCGCGACATCATCATCATACTTATCATTACTTCCCTTTATGACACAACAAGAAGAAGATAAAACATCTCTCAATAAGAATAACAGTAGAAGCAGTGGTTATAGTAATAGTGAAATGAATAAATTACTTGATTCTAATATACTAGATACGATTCCAAGTCAACTATCAACAAACAAATCTAAGAATATTGATAATTTTAATTTCAATAAACCTTTATTTATACCCAAATCAACAAGATTAAAAGCAGAAAGAGTTAAAATTTATTTACACTATTTTTATAACGTCTTGGAAAGGTGTATATCGTTAGATAATAACAGTACTACTCAACACTATCATAATCCTAATTCTCCCGTTAAAGATATATCTTATGTTCATCGACATCATTACCATGAAGGTGTAGAAGGTGTCTACAATCCATTACAGGTAATACGAAATAGAAAATTAAGAAAAAAATATCATTCTGAATTAAAACCACTAAGAGAGTTGGCCTTCACAAAAGTACCTTTGATTGCAGTAGTACAATTTTCAAATAAGCCAAATAGAAAATTGAAATGGTTTGTTGAATTATCTGAAAAATATAGTGATTTGACATGGAGAACATCTCACTGGAATGAATTAAGAAGACCTGACGGTAGACGATGGAGTGAAAATCCAAAATATAACAATTTATTTAATGGTTCTACTGATACATCTTTTAATGATAGCAGCAATTATGAAAAGATACACGGTCATAAACATCTAAAAAATTGTGGTGATGAAGCAGATTCAAATTATAATAGTGGTAGTAGCACTAGTTTTAATTATGAATCCAATAATAATGAAATACCATCCGGAAGTTCTCATAAAAAGAGAAGTAAAATTAAAAAAAAGATAAAAAAACTTGGAAATATTGATGACAACCATTCACTTAACAGAAAGGATAAAGAGACAAAAAACCAAGATTTGTATGATAATGAAATTAATCATAATGATTTATTACTAAATAATACTAGAAAACATTCTTCAAATTCAGTTTCTTATCAAAAAAATTTCTCTTCTTCCACAAGTTCTGTCAATATTATTAATGAATTAGATTCATATAATAATGCATCAAATATGGAAAAATTTAAACATCATAAAGATAAAGATAATTTTTCATCCGCAATCACTAAAATGGAAAAAATACTAAGTAAAACAAAGCCAAAAAACTTACACAAATCTCCAAAGAAACTGCATAAAGAGACCAACACCTCTTCAGATTTGACTAATGAGGCAATAAAACCTAATATTATTACCACACCTCCCACTTTTATAATTAATTCAGATTGTAATTCAACGCACCTTACTAATAACAATACTAATGATGATGGTGGTTATTCCAGCTCGTCTAATTATTTAAAATTACCAAATAAAAAAGACAAAATTATATATAATAGTTCTCCAAATTCGAATGAGTCTAAATATTTATCATCTAATAGCAAAGAGAACGAATCGTCTATATCTTTATCATCTTTGTCATCATATTCATCACGGATTTCCTTAAAATTACATAAAAACCAAGCAAATACTGATTCAAATTCTACAAACAAAGACAAATCTGATAAGTCAAGTGATATTTCACATAACAGCACCAACCGTCCATCGAATCTCATGCCTACAATTAACACATCTTCAAGTAGCCCATCAACATCATTATCATCAGATTCTTCTTCAGACTCTTCGTCAAGCTCCTCAGAATCGTCTTTAATTTTAAATGTTAATGGCAATAATCGCAGAAACCAAAGAAGAAAACCAATGGCTCCAATCGCATTACATGAAGATGGTGATATGAGTCTGAATAAACCTACTTCTCCCTTAATAAACAGTAATAAACTAAACAGTAATAGTATACTAAAAACTACAAAGGTCAATTTTCAAAATATTAACTATGACAGAAGAAACTTTATAAATAATCCAAATACATTTATTGATGACCAATTGGATCCAGATAATTCATCCTCTTTAGAAAATAGTACAGAAGAAAACCAGAATAGCAGTAATAGCGTTATTATCGATGAACAATTATTGCAATATTGGCAAGACACAAGATACATATTAAGTACTATTGCCATTATGAAACATCGTAGAAAGACACATGATATAGTAAAAAAAAGAGCTATTCAAAAACGTAATGAAACTGTTAAATTCGAGAAGGATGCAGATTACCATATTTCCAAGACAAAAGAAATCATCAACAAATATAGTTCAGAATTAGATAAAGCTATTGTAGTGGGGAATAAGTGGACGTCACGGTTACTAAATGATTATTCCATTCGTGTAGAGACATTAATCTCATCAAGCGATAGAATATTATCTGATATCAATACTACTTTAACTTTAAAATTAAAATTATTTCAAGAAAATACCGAAAGATTCGATAATTTTAAAATAGTTTATTCACAAAGATCAACAAGATTGGTTTATAAGTTGTTGGAACTATTTATTATTGGAATATTATGGACAATTTGGTTATTAGTAATAACTGCGAAAAAAATCAAGTTCACTATCATCCTAGCTTTAAAAATTTTAAAATGGATGGTCTGGTAACATCAGGAAAACTGCATACCATTATCATCATTGCTTATAATAATCATATATCAAAGAATATATACAAGTATATAGAAAAACAAAATTATGTCTATTGACACAATATTTACTACAAATAAACGACTGGGAGGAAAGTCGAAAAAATAAAAACAAAAGAGCATAGCTCCCAAAAAAAAAGAATAGTAACTAATTAAACATTTTATTTAGCCACACGTCCTTGATCAGCACTAATGACGCTCTTCGAAATATAGTTTTCATCTAAAAATACGCCATTATCTGCAGCCTCATCAAGGAGTTTCTGTCTCTTTTGTAATTCATTTTGATAATATTGGCTTTGAAATTTATTCACTTGAGCTTCACCAGATAAGATAATACCACTACTAATTATCGCACAATGATAAAATATCTTTAGTGGTAATCTCAAAGTTCTAAATATTCTAGAAGTTTTAGTCAAAATCAATGCTGAGGTGACACTAAACAATGCACCCTTAGCACCACCAATAATCGATGCATAAGCTATCTACACAAAAAAAAAAGAAAGAAAATCAGATAAGTAAACGAATGGAAAGGCAAAAGAAAGAATTATACACTGTATCAACCTGGCATTAGGCATTAATATAGTTCTTAACAAACAAATTCAAAAAAAAGAGGCCAGAAGAAGGGAAAGTTGTTGATAACAGTATAGTCTTTTATTCGTTGCACATTTGTTAGTATATAAATCCAACAGAAGATCTCATCATAATCCACCAAATAATCATTTAGAACACATAATCAGCTCTTGTTGTACATACCTGCTTTGTTAATTCTTTCAAAGTTTCTTTGTCATAATGGACTGGTTGAAGTCTTCCATTTGACATGTTCGAACTGAATATATTATACGATTTGTTAATAAAATTGGGTAGGTACAATTAATTTTAATACTTTATATAGGCAAAACAACCCACTTCATTAGCTAAAACTCCACAATATTTTAAAATCTATATTGATAGTACTAGTCCTTCTCTATGCCCTTTACTACAACTATTATAATAAAACAAAACTGAATCAAGCGAAAGTATAATAAGAAATAAAAAAAATAAAAAATAAAAGAGAAACCCTTCTTAGACAAAATAAAAAATCCAATTAACTTTCCATTTCTGTCAACTTTATATTTATCTCCGAATAAAAAACGAGTTGATTCTGAGATAATTTTCTTATGTGGTACTAACCCATGTTAAATTAACATGTATACATACGTACATACATACATACATATATATATATATATATACAAAATATTTCTATATAACATGTATATATTGTTTGTAAATTATATGGATGATAAAATGATCTAAAATAAATATGTCCTTGGTATGTTGTATAGTATATTAAAATGAATGAATAATAACAAAAACAAAAAGAAAAAATGAAGAGAATAAAAAAAAACTAAATGAATACAGTATTAGTAGATTCTTAAATTTATATGTTAGAATTTTCTAGAGTAGAATTGAAATGAATGTAGTTATTGTTTTTATTATTGTCTCCATTAAGGGTATTCTTAGTGGTATGTGATTCGTTGATAGTGGTGAAATTATGGATTGGCGTAAATATTTGATGGTTATTGTTTGTAATAAATGCAGATGACAAAAATGATTTGTTAGTTCCTTGTTGCTGCTGTTGTTGCTCTTGCTGCTGCTGTAAAAGTGATGATAACAAATTATAATCATTGGTGTTCCTATTATGCAATAATACGTCCCTAATTAACTGCAAAGGTCTGCTCAACATGCCATTAGTTAATTGATTATAATCATTCAATTTATTGAACCAATTCAATAGTATAGAGTTATTATTATCATTTATGTTTAATAATATAGAATTATTGGAAAGCTGGTTAATAAAGGAACACCATATAAAAGAAATTTGTTCCCAGCATTTATCATAATAATAGTTATTGCTTGGTAGTTTAAATCTAGGTAAATTCAAACACATTAATGTGATTGAGTCCAATAATTCAACTGATCCAATGAAGTTTTTAATTATCGGTGGTAAATTGAATAAAATGTAATCTATCAAACAATTTAAAAAATCTAAAATGCACGGTTTCAATCTAGTAAAAGAATAATCATCTAGATCCATGATTCGATATTCACAATTAATATTAAAAGGCTGTAATTTATCTATATCGTAATATTTCTTATGGTATGGTATAGATTTAATTATTTTATTAAATTTAGTTTCTAAATCATTAATAAAATCTTGTATTGTAACGGTACTAACCAATTTTTGGTTGATATTATTTTGTAATGGAATAGTTAATTCTGGTTGTTCTTGTATCATGTTTTGAATCAATTCACATAATTGTTCTTTTGATAATAAATTTAATGATCTAGGTAAGGGTAAATTCTGACTAATAAGCAACGAACATTTACTACTACTATTACCACTGCCATTACTATTATTATTATTATTATAATTACCATTACAATTGCTATTATTATTCATGATTTGGTGTGTAGAGTTATATGTATATTTTCTCTTAGTAGCAGTAGTGGTAGTAATAGTCGAGGTAGTGGTGACGGCAGCAGGCATTTTCAATGAATGTATATTGGATCTAGTAATATAATTTACAGTACTATTATTGTCATGGCTGTAACTTTCATCATCGGCATCACTTTGGAAACTTCTTTTATTAGGTTTAATATTTGAAGTAGATATAGAACTTGTTGTCATGAAAGGTTTTGTTATGTTAGTAGTAGTAGTAGTTATTGCCGTTGTTGTAGAACCTTTATTTGCATTTAAAAGCGATGTTCCCCACGAAAAACCCATTCCACTTGCCATATTTGTACACTTTGTCTCTTTATATTTTATGTCTGTTCGATAATTCTCGATTTCAGTGTATTTATATATTTATTAAAAGAAAAATAATTATAATTATAATAATAGTTAACTGATTGTTAACTGATTCTTTCTAATATTGGTAACTAAAGTATTCTGATGTTCTCTTCTTTTTTGTACGCCACTACTACTGTAAAGTAGGCAATGTACATATCATCACTATTGCAACTATTTTATAAAATTTAAGAAAAAAAAAAAAAAAACAAAAAAATAAAAAATAAAAAAAAAGTAACAAAAAAGAAAAAGAAAAAGAAACAAAAAGGCAAAAAGTTTTCGAAGATTTAAAAACTAGAAAGACCTAACAAAAATAAACTTGCAGGAACAAACATATCACAAACCCTAATGCAACCAATAATCTATATATACATATATTATAAAATGATTTATTTTTGTTTCAATTTTTTATCAATCAACATATTTACTAGGTTTACCAGTGGAGAGTCTACATTATTGATTTGATCATTCAAAGCTGAAATGATTTGTTTTTCGATGATCTTGCCAGTCAGATCCACTTCAATGTTGACTCTATCTTTTCCTACTTGTTTCAACGGCAAAGTAACGTTTTCTTGAGTATGTTTGATCATTGCGATAGAGAATGAATTATCTTCATCGTTCACCTGTGTCACTGTCAAAGAAATACCATCTATACAAATAAAACCTTTCTCTACTATATATTTCATGTATTGAGAATCTCTATGATCAAATTGGAATGTGAAAATTATAGAGTTACCATCGGGAAAGGCTGATTTAATCAAAGCTATTGTGTCCACATGACCTTGGACATAGTGTCCACCAAATCTAACATCATTAGAGACAGCTCTTTCCAAATTAACTTTGGCGTTGATGGACCATTCTGCTACATTGGTTCTTCTAAGAGTCTCTGGAGAGATGCCTACTTTAAATGAGTTGTTGGAGAATTCAGTGACAGTCAAACATATGCCGTTGATTGCTATAGAATCACCAATATGACAATCTGTCAGGATATTTGAACAATCTTTTATCACGATAGATAAGCCTTGGCCACCAGATTTAGTCATGTCCATTTCTTGTATACTCTCAATGGTACCAATACATTCCACTATACCTGTAAACATATTTTTTTTATTTTTTGATTCTATTTTATTATATCTTATTCTATTTTGTGGTATTTTCTTTATGATATTCTTCCCTTTTCTCTGCTTGTTTTCTATTTTGATAACACTATCTATAAATCTATTTCCTTCAAGTAAATGAACAAACAAACAGTTTAATTTTCTTCAAAACAAGTAAATTGAAAACGTAACTTCTTTATATCTGTATGTATATTTTTAATATTTAATATAACCTTTTCCTCCTTCCTTGGCCATCACTAATAAAAGTTCACAGATTACTTAAACAATTCGAAATAGATGCAAATACACTTTTATTTATTTCTCTTACGTAATCATCACTACACTCACTTCTTCGAGACGGAAAAACAAGTAAGTGACTCCTGCCCCACCCCTCTTCCCTCCCCTTTTTCTTCTTTGGAAAGGTATTGAGCGGCATAATTATATCTGCTATAATTGACAGAACAAAGACATTTAGGGTTTCTATGTAAAACATTTAAGCAATTCTATTTTGTTTCCTTGAGAGAAGTAGGGTTGGTTGATGGGAGGGGCAGAGAAGTGAGAAAATGAGAGAAAATGAAAATACTTTGAGGAAGGGAGGGGGAGGTAACATTTTTATTTTTTTTTTTACACACTTTTTCTTTTTTTCCTTCCCCCCCTTTTTACAAAACTTAAATTTTGTGTCTCTTATAGTCTTTACCGTTCTGTATGATGTGTGGTGTCTGGATTGATTCACCACAATATGTCAAAATAAAAAAAAAAAGAAAAGAAAAGAAAGACAGGAAAAAGCGGAGGAAACTGGGGCGATCAAAATTTTGCAAAAAGTGTGAAAACACCACTTGCAGAAATCTGCTGACTACAAAAATATTCTTACTACCATTACTGCTACTACTGCTGGTCATATCATATATGTGTATATGATATGTGTGTGTGTATATTGTAAAGTATGAATAAAATACAGAAACATATAAACACCACGTATACACAATATATACGTCGAATGAATTTGTCTCTTATTTTTATTTTTACTTTTCCTCTTTTTTTTTTTTCTTTATCAACTCTTCTTTTTCCTCATACTTGTCATCTTCGAGACATTCTGAGGAGTTTGCAATTTAAATGTGTACAGAGTGATTGTTACTCTAAATTGTGTACAAAAGAAAGAGAAAGAGAAAGAGAGAGACTGTGTGTTTACTTCTTTTCTTTTCTTTCACCCGATTTATCTTATTTCATCCTTCTTCTAACAATGTGTATAATTGTAACTATTGTGTAATCGTTAAATGAAATAGTCACTACGTCTAATCTTGAAATCTTTCACACTCACACATATATGATACTTGAATGATCTGTTCTTTCTTTAATAAATATATATATATATATCTACTTATATTTAATATTAAGTGATAAAAAGAAATAGTTATAAAGCGTATATATCGCTCTCCTTTATATATATGTGAACCTCAACACTAATCAACGCAAAGAAAAAAAAGTAGAGAAAAAAAAAATCATCAACATATACATATATACATACATATATATATATATATATGATGGCTGCTCCAATTAACCTTATTAATAAGGTTTTGTCTCAAAGTGTCGATAATATCTTTGCTTATAAGTCTTTCAACCAAGACGATATTTTCTATTCAAACATTAAAAGTTTTATTAATGAAGAAAAGAGTCAACAATACTTTAGTGAATTAGATATAAGATCTGGTGCTGGTTTGATTCCTTCTGCTTTCATCTCTGGTTCTTTATCTACTATCATTACCCCAAGTTACTCTCTACCCTACTTCTTTAATACTTTGAATACTATCGCTACTAAATATAACAATAACAATAACAATATCTCTCAAAAGTTTCATTTTAATGTCCCTGCGTTAAATTACACTAATAACAAGATTGTTAATGACTATTCTATCGCCCTATCCTTTGCCCAATCCTTAAATCAAATTGTAATCACTCCAATCAATTCACAAGAAATCCTTCAAACTACTTTACTCTCCTTGGCTCTACATAAATATGTCAAGTCTCAAAGTGTCTTACATCTTTTCGATTCAATTAACTATGTTCAAACCATCTTAAACGACACCACAAGTATCGTTGACTCATCAGTTGATTCATTTAGTGAAATAGACCATTTCTTATCTAAACACTTGACCCCAAATCAATCTTCTATCGACCAAGTCATTGCTAGATTTAATGAATTCACTGGTACACATCTACATAACTTCCACTACTCTTCAAACTCTACAGACTCCACAGAGGAAATAGTCTTTTTGACTTATGGTTCTGTGGAATCCGAGCTGTTTAATAAGTCGTTGAACTATTTTAAGGATTCAGATTATGGTGTATTGAATGTCAGAATCCCAATCCCCTTCAATCAAGAACAATTCATCGCTAATCTACCATCATCTGTCAAAAAAATTATCATTGTCACTCCAAATATTCCTGCTACTACTACTGCTACTACCACCACTACCGCCATATGTAACGAGGATAGTATTAATCTTGGAACTAACTTCCTTTTACAACAAATTAACGCTACCTTGTTTTATCACGGCAAGCTAGGACAAATAACTGTGTCTCAATTCAATTATGATACAGATTTCATTTGGTCTCAAACAGCTGCCAATAAAGTTATCTCATCCTTTATTACATATAACCCAATTTTGACTTCTCAAAAAAATTTCATCTATTGGGGGGATGATACCAGTTTGCAATTGATCAAAGATTTAACTTTAGTGTTACCTGATATCGTCTCCCAACGTAACAAATTTGACAATTTGACTAATGGTGGTATCATCCAATCTCAATTCCAATTTAATCAAGATATTGCCGTCGGTGATAACATAGATCTAAATGAGGGTCAGTTAGCCTTTGTCCAAGATCCTTCTATCATTAATAAAATTAATGTCGTGGCCACTTTGCAAGAAGGTTCTATCTTGGTTATTAACCAGGACTTCAAGGATCACGATCTATCAAAGATTGACACTTTTATTAAAGATTTTCAATTCCCTGTTGATTTTGTCCATGATGTTAGAGCCAAAAATATTAAACTATATTTTATCTATGGTATAAATGACGATAAGGAAATCTTACAAAGTTTGATCAAATCTTTACACCAAGGTCAAACAGCTTTTGAACATGACAAAGTTGTTGCAATCGATTGTTTACCTGAAATCCAATTACCGAATGATAATGATGACAATAAAATGGAAGTCGAAGAAGAAGAAAAAGAAAAAGAATCTATCATTTTGCCTGTATTTCCAAGCGAATCTGCCTTTAAACCATCTACAATCAAAACCAAAATATTGGAAGCGACCAAACCAACCAGTGAAACAGTGGAAGATTTGGCAAAGAAGTTATCTTTCAAAGAAGCTTATGGTATTAAACAAGAGTTGAGACCTGACTTACCAACTAAAAATTACGTTATTAAAGTTAAATCCAATCAACGTGTTACGCCTGTCGATTATGACAGATACATTTTTAACATAGAATTCGATATTACTAGTACAGGTTTGAAATATGATATTGGGGAGGCTTTAGGTATTCATGCTAAAAATAACGAAAAGGAGGTGGATCAATTTATCAAAGATTTCAACTTGAATCCTAATGAAATCATATTAGTTCCAAATAAGGATGATAACAAAATTTTGGAGTCAAGAACTCTATTCCAATCTTTAGTAGAAAATCTCGATTTATTCGGTAAACCACCAAAAAGATTCTATGAAGCTTTAATTCAGTTTGTTACTGACAAAGAGGAGAAGGAACAATTAGAAAAATTGATCTCTTCAGAGGGCGCCTTAGAATTAAAACGTTATCAAGAAGTTGAATATTTCACCTATGTCGATATCTTCAAATTATACAAATCTGCTAAATGGACTTCCACTGACTTAGTTCAACTAATTGCTCCATTAAAGAGAAGAGAATATTCTATAGCCTCATCTCAGAAGGTTCATCCAAACGAAATCCACTTACTGATTGTGGTTGTAGATTGGGTTGACAAACAAGGAAGAAAGAGATTTGGTCAAGCTTCCAAATATATTTCTGAATTAAGACCAGGCCAAGAATTAGTAGTTTCTGTTAAACCATCAGTAATGAAATTACCTCCAAGACCAGAACAACCTGTTATTATGAGTGGGTTAGGTACAGGATTAGCCCCATTTAAAGCTATTGTTGAAGAAAAGATGTGGCAGATGCAACAAGGTATGAAAATTGGTAAGGTCTTCCTATTCTTAGGTTCTCGTCACAGACGTGAAGAATACTTATTCGGTGAATTATGGGAAGCTTATAAAGATGCCGGTATTATCACACATATTGGTGCTGCATTCTCTAGAGATCAACCACAAAAGATCTACATTCAAGATCGTATTAGAGAATGTTTAGGTGAATTAAAAAAGGCCTTTATTGATGAAGAAGGTTCCTTTTACTTATGTGGTCCAACTTGGCCAGTCCCTGATATTACCAAAGCTCTCCAAGACATTCTAGCCGCTGATGCTGAAGAAAAGAACATAAAGATAGATTTGAACAACGCTATTGAAGAATTGAAAGAGTCTTCTAGATATATTTTAGAAGTTTACTAGATAATTTGGCTATTTATTATACATATACATAAATATGTACATATATAATTGTGTTTTAACGTATATTTAATAAAATCTTTCAACAATTATAATATTCCGCCTATTATAATGTTAGAATAGTTAACTGTTCAATATATTTACCTTAATTATCCCACTATATGTAAATATAGCATATTTCTTATTGTAGGTATCTCATAATATAATAGATATTGAATTCAATTGTCCATGATACTAGAACAAGTATTTTCATAAATATCCAAATATCATACGATTTTTTCTATTCATAAATAACTGCTCCAATCTACATTACTCCTACGACAGACGTACCGTTTTGAAATCTTGTTCTAAATACACGATTGGCATTAGAAAACATACCTTCTTTTAAGGAAACAATAATAAACTGAGACCCTTTAAACCTTGTTTTAATCAAGTGACCAATATTTTGGGTGTGGCTTAAATCTAATGCTGCATCAACCTCATCCAAAATGTACATAGGCGCAGGTCTAAATTGTAATAACGCCATAATCAAAGATAACGCTATCAAAGATCTTTGCCCACCAGACAACTCAACAAGACTCTCTTTCCAAATATTTCCTAATTTAACTTTAATTTCAAGACCTTCACTAATCTCTTTACCTTCACATAAAACTAATTTTGCAAATGAATTAGGTAACAAATCACTAAAAATATTACCAAAATCTTTATCAACCTTCTTCCAAGTTGTCACTAAAGCCTCTTTCTTATATTCGTTAAGTTTGGTGATTGTCTCCTGAATTTTGATCTTGTCCTTTTCGATAGTCTTGATCATAGTCTTAAGAGAAATTTCTTTCTTTTCGACATTCTCTATCATTGCCATAATATTTGGATTGACTTTCCTTTTCATTTCATCAAACATTTCTTGTAATTGGTGTTCACGTTCTCTGTATTCGTCAACATTTATTCCCTTATGTTGTTCAATGATATAATTTACTTGACTTTCATCTTTTAACCAGTCATTATCTTTAAGAAGTGTCTCTAATTTTTCCCTAACATTAGCATTCATACCTTTTAATTTAGAAAGATTATGGTCATTCTTTTGAAAATCCAACTCACATTGAACTTTATAATCATGTGTCTTCTTAATTTCTAACTCCATCTCCTTTAACTTTTCATCAATACTTAATAATTTATCCCTTTCATTGTTAAGTTTGTTTTGAACATCAGCTAATTTTTCTTGCTGTTCATTAAGTTGTTGAATTAAAACATCCTTTTCGCGACCTAATTTACCTAAGGACTGTTTGTTTTCCTCAATATCTTCTTTAGTTTGTTTTTCATCACTCTTCAATTGTTCTAGTTGGAATTCTAAAGTTTGATAATTTTCTGCTAAAATCTCATATGCTTGTTCTTCGTTTAGTAACTGTTCTTTGGTCTGGAGTATTTCATCTTCTAATTCTTTTAATTTTGCACTCTTATCATTAGCAAACTCTTTTGCATCCTTCTGTATTTTTTGAATCTCATTTTCAAGAGTATACATTTGAATTTCAGCGTCACTCTTATTTTTTATGCATTCTTTAATTTCTGCCTTTAATTGTTCATTTTCTTTTATTAACTGGGCTGATGAATTAGTTTCTAGTGAATTTCGAACTAATTTTAAACGATGTAACTCCATTTCTAATTCTGTTTGAAGAACTTTGGTATTTCTTGATAATTGTTCTTCCTGCTTTATTTGGTATAAAGTTTCATTTAATTCATCTTCTAATCTTCTAATATTTCTAGTGGATTTATTATATTCCTGAATATCAAGCAATAAAGAACTTGAATTACTTTTGCTACCACCAGATAAGGTGCCTGCTGGGTCATATATATCACCTGATAATGTAATACTTTTAGTTCTAACTTTTGGGTTGAATGTAACTTTTTTGGCAGTATCAGCATCTTTACAAATAAGACTAGTCCCAAAAATATACTCCATAGCTTTAGTTACTTCTTCTTCATATCCGATTAAATCCAAGGCTAGTTCGACCTTACCAGGTGCTAACTCCTTTGCAAACTTTAATACTTCAGAATTTAATCTTTTAGAAGCAATTTTATTTAAAGGAATAATGGTAACTCTTTTTTTCAACCTACCATGCTCTAATAATTGGGATGCAGTCTTTTCATTGTCTACAACTATATTGTAAAGTCTTCCTCCAGCACATACTTGTAATGCAGTAGCACTATCAAAATTGTGCTCCTTTAGAGTAAATAATTTAGCAGCAACACCTTTCACAGAAGAAGGGTCAAAGTTAGCACTAGGACTAGTGTACTGAAATTCTAAATTTGATACTTTTCTTTTCAAATATTCTGTACTTTTATATAATATCTGTAAATCTTGTTTTAATTTTACCTCTCTTTGTTTCATATTCTTTATATTGTTGGGATTAAAACCAAGATTATCTAATTCTTTCTTTATTTTATTACACTTAGTTTCATGGGATTTCATTTTTATTAAATCCTTTTCATTATCCTTTTGTGCTTGAATCAATTTGGGATCATTACTAGAAAGGTTTTTTGAAAGTCCTTGTATTTTCTTTTCTAATGTTTGAATAGTAATTTTCAATTCATTGTATTCCTCCTGTGCATGGTGTAATTGTGCAGAATACCCTTGTTCTGCCTCACCTGTAGATGTAATACCAGTAGATAATGTTGATAAAAGTTCTGATTTGTTTTTATGAATCTTTTTTAAATGCTCCATATTATTAGTTGCAGCATGATATGAACTATTAATTTCTTCAAATTTTTTTAATTTGTCATCAATATCTTTTATTAACTTAGTATGATTTAGTTGCAGTCTTTTCAAGGTATTATTTACTTCCCTCACATTTTGACTGACTATAGCCTCTGAAGCCTTTATCCTAGAAATGCCATTAATTAAATCAGTTTCAGCCTTTTCATATTTAGACAATGTGCCATCTTTTTCTAATTCTTCTTTCTTCTGTCTTTTGATCTTTTCAACTTCTTCTTTTAAACTTTCTAATCTCTTCATTGCCACATGAATGTCATCTTCCAGTCTTTTTTTCTTTTCTGAATAAATAGATATATTATCAGAGTTTTTATCAGATGTATCCTTAAAGAATTTGTAATTATATGCAGCAACGACTTTTGTTATCTTCTCTAAATCAGTTTGTATAGTTTGAAAATCTAAAAAAGCTCTCTTTTCTGTCTTTAATTTATCTAACTTGGGCTGAATTTCCTCTTGCAATAAAGTAGTATTCTCTTGTAATTTAACTTCCTTTCTAGCCATAGTTCTTTCAGCCTTCTCTTTTCTATCTTCGAACATTTTGGTTCCCGCTGCTTCTTCGATTAGTGATAAAATTTCTTTAGGTTTCATATTTAACACTTTTGTAATTTTACCTTGCATAATTAAAAAATTAGGATTATTAATGTTTAATTGAACAGATTGGAATAATTGTAAAACACTTTGTTGTGGAGCCCTATGACCATTAATTAAATACTTTGAAGTGCCACCAAGCACAATTTGTCTAGTCACTGAAATTTTGTGCGACTCGGTAAACCCAATGGGAGACTTAGATTTATCTGAATTATCGAATACAATCGTGACACTTGCCTTAGTGACACCTGCCTGACCTCTTTTATAAATTAAATCTTGGATGTTGGATGCTCTCACAGTGCTCATGCTTGAAATACCAAGTACAAAGCAGATCGCATCCAAAATGTTCGATTTACCAGAACCATTCAGCCCTGTAATAGCATTAAACTGTGGGTCCCAATCTGAAATAACAGTTCTTGTTGCATATGATTTAAAACCATCAATAATTAGTTCCTCGACTCTCATTATGAAAGATTAACATTCATGAGGTGGTGATGGGGGGATGTATCCAAAATTCAATCAAATTAAAATTGTTTTAATTTTTTTTATATTTTGATGATCAATAATACTGTTACAAATATAACCAGGAGTAGTCTATGCTCTTAGCAGATTGTGGTGACAATATTTGTAAATTATTCCTTTTTTTTTTTACTTTTCACTTACATTTGAGACTCGATCAGATCTTTACATAAAAATATCGATTTTTTTGCAGATCAAAAAAATCAAGCAAGCGAAAAGCAAGAAAGAAGGAAAAATTGCATCACATAATTGTGTATTATGTCTCAAAAATTAAGAAGAAACATATAGTAACAGTAAAAATAAGTATTGAATGACATAGATATCAATTTACCATGCTAAATATAGTTTGAACAAATTCATCAGAATTTTCTCGACTATGCATATATCTATATATAATTGAAAGGTTATTTATTACCTTAAAACCACAAGTAGCAAATATCACCTCTTAGATATTACAAATGTACCTCTTATTTATAACGAAACCATACACTTCGATCAAAGTTAAAGTAATCACTCACCTTTAGTCACATATCCTAATTAGTGATTATTTTCATGTCACATAATCTAAGAAAGAATCATTAGATACAATTAGATATTAAACACAACATAAGGGTGCCTTTATAAAAATGTCATTATAAAGACGCAATGCACTTAAAATAGATTATATTTATAAATCAACTTTTTTTATTATGGATGTTATGAGGGACAAAAAAGATAAACAGTAAATATATATATATGTTGGTATATAATAAAGTGTAAAAAGTTTAAGATCTCGATTGCGATGCTTAATCTTGAGTTTTTTGAGAACCACGTAACAAACCAGTTCTTCTGGCGGCAATTAAACCAGCCTTTTGACCAGAAACAGCCCCTCTGGAAATAGTAGAAGCCTTACCAATGTGTTGATGGTTACCACCACCGTGTGGGTGATCAACTGGGTTCATGGCAACACCACGAGTCTTTGGCCAAGAGTTTCTCTTAACTCTGAACTTGTGGTAAGCACGACCAGCCTTTAATAATGGCTTGTCAACTCTACCACCACCGGCAACAACACCGATAACACCACGGGCATCAGAAGAGATGACCTTCTTAGCACCAGATGGTAATCTAACTCTAGTCTTGTTTTCATCTGGGTTGTGACCAATAACGATAACGTAGTTACCAGAAGCTCTAGCTAAAGCACCTCTGTCACCTGGTCTTTCTTCGACGTTAGAAACAATAGTACCTTCTGGAACAGAACCTAATGGTAAAATGTTACCAACAGCTAAAGAGGCCTTCTTACCAGCGTAGATGAATTGACCTGTGTGAACACCTTCGTTGGCAATAAAAGTTTCTTCACGTAACTTATACTTGTATGGATCACGGAAGACAACCTTGGCTAATGGAGCACCTCTACCGGCATCGTGAATGATGGACTTAACAACACCACGAATGTAACCGTGACGTTCAGCGTAATCCAAAGTTCTTAATTTGGCAGCGCCTTGTCTTAATCTGGTGTGAGAGGTGAAGACGGAACCAGCACCTTTTCTTTGGTTACGAATAACTCTACCTGTTAAAAAAATCAAAACAAAATGGAGACACACAAGTTAATAGAATATCACATAACAAAACAATATGACAAAACCAAAAATTTGTATATCATTAGATTGGGTCCCAATTATTATAGTTGTTAGTAAATATTCATCCTACTTAAGAGTCGTTTCCTTAACATTTTGAATAAGAGTCATCCCAGCTATGCATATTAATTATATATTCTATTATTATTTTATATCATTCCTGTTCCTAGCATAAAATATTCCTAGTCCCTAATTTGTATTTTATATCATTGCTTCAGATGGTTAACTTCATAACTACACTGATTAGAATATCATAATTATGGATTTTCCCCTTACGTGTTCTTCAATTATCATTATACATCTTATACTTAAAAAAATCTCTAAATCAACTATAGTTCGCCATGCAACTTTTAAACGATCTGACTCCGATACTTTACTCAACCAGGCCTCAACATACCCATTGTGTATCGATTTTACGGTTCTCTCTAGTATGAAATAGATCAAGATGTCATACAAAAACAAGATTATGCCCTCCTATATACTCCTCCTACGTACTTAGCTTTTACTAAGGATAGTATTTTTTTTTTTTAGTATTATGGCTACTTCTACCTTACTACCAAACCTTTCAGAATAACAGGCTTCAATTGGAGACTTCGATGGAAGGAATGGTAAATATTCTACACTCACAGGGGGGGGATGAATAGTACCTACTGCTACACGTACAATTGAGCTATCAGAATAAGTTTGTATTTGGCTGGAATCATCGAACAGTAGTACTCACCACTGTGGAAGGTTCTACTGGGACAAAAGTGAGACAACGGCAAACAGAAGATACTACTACACTACTCCATTGGCATATTGTGAAACAGACATCTGCTGAAAGGTGTTTGGAAAGAAGAAATGGTTTCTCTGTAGGACTGTCATATCAAATCTCATGGTTATGGAGAAATGAATTTCCCTCATATTAAATTTAGACTTTTCTTTTTTCTCACCAATTTTTCTGAAAACTGAAAGAGAAACCAGAAAAGGAAAGAAGAGAAAATGACAAAAAGTGGAAAAAAAATATTCAACTACTTTGATAAAGAAAATTTGGAAAGTAATTGGTTTTTCTTACGAAGGTACTGATGTACAGTCCGCGTTGCAGAATGAAATATTCGTTACAAAAAAAAAAGAGTTGGGTTAACAGAAAAGCATCAGCGGCTAAATTGACGTTGAAACTGATCACTCTTTATAAATCTAGTTGCAAATAGACGTGCTGCTGAAATAGAACATTCTAGAATAAATAAATAGACCAATCAAATTTTCGTAAATATTAATTGATGGCAGAATGTAGAGGATACATTGTTTACTTAGTAGTAGATATAAACAAACCTTATCAACAATTTAGTGCTGTTCATAGACGAGATGTGCCAGATATGAAAATAGATAAAGCCAACATTTTTTTATATCATGCTTCGTCCTTTGTTCATCTTTTATACATTATCACCTAGATATTATATATAAATAAAAAAATCGAAGAACTTAACCATAATTTTGTACACTATATATATATAAATATAATATTGAGAATGTATTCTATTTATCCAAAAACTAAAGACGCTAATTCTCAACAGTACTACACTGTAGTAAATGCATATTTAGCTATAATACACAATTTATTGTTAATATTTTACTGTTCTGAATAGTATTACGTAATTTCTTAAGATGGTAGGTGTTATTCTTGAAATTAAAGTATTTCTTTAATTAGATTGTGAATTTTTCAAGTTTATTCAATCATACTGACAGTTGACATATTATGCATTTAAAAATAAAAAAATATTTGCTACAGAATATAAATACTTTACTGTAAATACAATGAAATGTTAAATAAAAAAAAAAGAATATATTAAATGACATATTATATAAAAATAGCAAATATTTAATGTTTTCTACCTTATGGCTTATTATTTAAACTTAAATCTGCAATTGGAGTAGAACTATTTTCTGGATGGGAAGTTATCTTGGGCACTATTATATTTTCGTCCATTAGAGCTTCCTGTCGCTCTTCTTGAGTAATATATATATTATTTGCTTCAACAAAAGTATCATTTAAGGTAGCTTTTTTAACTTCTTTGATAGTATGTTTCAAAGCTGGAATAAATTTAACTTTCTTATTACACAGTTTTCCTTTATTTAAAGCCACACAAACATCATCTATATTAGTGCCATCTCCAAGTTTAACTAAAGCTGATAATATAAAACCTTTTTTTTTATAATGGGGCAAACAACAATGGGTGAATAATGAATTTGTTGGAGACTTGTATATCCAAAATTCAACTGGATCATAGAGTTCAACAAAGTTTCTCAGATCTGCATCTGTGCACTCTGCAGGTAGTATACGACAATAAATTGTGTCTTTGGATAGTTCATCATCATCTGGTAAGTTTTCACTTTCATATTCTTGTGGTGCCATCAAATTTTTTCTTTTCAAGCTTTCATAAGGGATGTGATAATTTAAACGGAGACTTTTACCCTTATAGTAAAGAAATTGCAAATCATTAATTAAAGTAGTGGCTGCTTCAACAGTGTCAAAACAAACAAAAGCAATCCCGTAGGGGCGTGGATGATAATATCGTAAGCCTACCATTGTTTGGTATGGAATAAGTACTCTTGTTGGATTCCATTTTTTCAAGAATTTGGTTAATTCAGCTTCACTTGTTTTAAAATCAAGGTTTTGAATAATTACTTCTTTAGTTGCCATTGATTCCATTTCTGGAGCGTCATTTTTCAAACGAAACATTGTAACTTGTAATTAGATACTTTTTAATCTTGATTTGTGTATAATACGATTAATGTTATATATGGTGTATGGAATATTCCTGTGTTTTAAGAATTTATTTCTTATTCTTTCTTTTGTGTCACATTAAAATCAAGGTTGATTAAAAGAGTTTATCTATTTTATCCTAAAAGGGAAATGACGGTGATAAGAAAAACTATCGAGATAAAAAAAAGAATAAAGCACCTTTGGACAAAAGTGCATACACGTAATCTATGTTAAGATATATAATGAAATTTATTATTGTTACTATAGACTTGAAAAGTATGTAGAGTCGTAAATAATATTAAAACTTAACAAAACCAAAAAAAATTAGTATATAGGTATATGATTCTAAAATTAATTACAACACATTTAGTTCTTAGCAGCAGCTCTCTTGGCAGCTAAAGCTTTAGCAGTACCGTGTAAAGCGTGCTTGTGGTTTCTCTTGAACTTTGGATCAACACCCTTTAAAGATGGGTATTTGTAAGTCTTTGGCTTCTTGATACCGTTTCTGTGAGCCTTTCTAGATTGGTTATGAGCGGTATGGTTCTTAGATTTAGCCATTTTCTATTAGATATAAAAAAGCAATAATAATTGTTATAATACGGAAACTCCAAGAAATATAGAACATTTCCAGGTGGCAAATATGTTGTTAGTAAAATAATTCATATGTTAATATTCAGCTTTTTATTACTTATTGTTTTCCCATATAAAAATGATCAAATAAAAGTTTTTAACGCTTATATGTGGAAATATATCAAATAATATAGTAAGTTTAGTTTTTTATACTTTTCTTAAAAAAATCCTAGATACAAAGGTTTATAATCATAGCACAACTGAAAACAAAGTAATAAAATCCACAATATTGATATTTATTATTAATGCACTGTGCCTTTCTATTTGTAATTTCCTAAATTATTTTATTAATGAAACATTTTTTACCGGATTGTTGTCTCTACTTTTTGCCTTTCTTGGTATTAGAATGAATTTGATGCATCTTTTATTAATCAAAAGGGAAATTGGACTACATCTTTTATACGTACTTTTTACCTTATATGTGTTGCAGGGTTCTTGAAAGAACTATTTTTAATGCCAAGCAGTGCGCCAAACCACGTGCATAGAAATATATACTACAACTATTCCCAAAAAAACTTACTATTCCCAAACTCTTGTAGTGGATTAGTTCATTTGATAGATCTTATTCAGAATATGGTGCTGAGAATCCACCACCTACACTACGCCTCCATTCGCAGAAGCAAGAAGATACAACATCTGTTGGTTGTTACAATAGTAACAAGTGCATACACTAACTCTAGGCAGTTTTTCCTTTGCTCCTAGCATGATTGATCTTTGATAATACGTGCCAGTACGTACCCATCCACGCTGGATGGTAGGTTAAATTGTCCTCATTTACTATGTGGTTCCCCACTGCTTTACCCCCGGGTTTAGAGCAGACTCCAATGTACTGCAAGAACATAGGAAAAGGATGTACTATTAAGGTTTCCAAATGAAATCCAGGACTTAGTAAAAAAGTTCTCTATGTCCAACAGCACTGTTTTATTACTTGTACTGTTTTCCCAGCTAAAATTATTACCTCTGAAATTGATTTTTAAGAATGTAAAAAATAGATATTGAGACAGTTATTTTTTTGGAAAATGTAAAAAAATAGTCAAAATGTTTTACAAAATGTACAGGTTTATAAAAGCAGTCATAAAGAAGGAAGTAAATCAACTCCGGTAGTATACAACAAACGATCTGTGCCCATTTCACTGGTATAGAAAAATATGTAACAGAATGAAAAAATTAATTATTTTAACTCAATAACAAGAATAAATAATATTATTAAAAATAAATAGAGAAATAAATAAATGGGTGATAATGAATAGATGATATTAGTTAAACATTACCACCACTCTCATATATAATGGAATATACAGGGATTTGAAGGAGTTTGTATAGTATTATGATGTAATGGACTGAGCATGAAAATAAGAGAGACTTATAAGCTGAAAAATTACTCAACATTTATTTTAATTGACTAAATAACCTTGGTGCAGCACATTCGTCTAGATAATGTTGTAAATGGAAAAATTCTTCTACACAGTCTTCTTTATTTTCTAAGTCTTCATAGTTTGGATCTTCTTTCGCCTTCTGAACTCTTTCCACACATTCCAAATAATGGTGCTTTAATTCTTGGCCCCTTTCTGTATTTTCACATTGTCTTCTTAACTTGTCGAGTTGGTCACCTTCTTCCTCTTCCTCCTCTTCATCTTCATCTTCATCATTATCTTCTTCTTCCTCTTCTTCTTCTATCTAGTTTTAAAATAAAAAAAAAATTAATTAATTAATTACATATACCATTAATAATATAATTTGTTAGTATACAAATCAATATACTCAAGAAGAGTAATGATCAAGAAAGTTTAGTCTTTTCTTCGCTTTTTTAATCATCTTTTTTTATCTTTTTTTATTATAATTTAACATACCGTTGGATCTTCATCTTCTGCTCTGGAGTAGATTGGACTGAATTCCTCTTTGACATCCCTTAAATAATCTATAATAGAACTTAACATACTGGAGTTTGATAATGTGGTTGTAATAACACTATAATTTGACTTGGTTTGGATTCTAAACTATCTATCGGTCTCTCTGTGTTGACTTTCTTAAATGGCTTGTCGGTTTAGATATGTTATACGCTTATTTCTGTCCCTACGGTATTTTTGATTATATATAGCCTTAGTATAATTTGAGTTTGTGAGTTTTTGTTTTTTTCTTTTGTCTTTATGGATTACGTCCGGTAAATTTATGTAAGTTTCCCTATGATTCTCAAATTTTCTTTTTTTTTTTTGTATTGTCAAAAAAGCCGAAAGAGATATGATTGGCTGTTCCCCGGAGATGAAAAAAAAAAATAAAGAAGAGAAAATAGCTATTATTAGGCAAAAGAAAGTTGAAAGGGTTTCTACTTCTATGATTAGTTAACGTCGGGTACTAATTACATCTTCAAAACAAAAAATACTTAGTGGGTCAATTTTATAAAATATATCACTGTATATATGTATAGGAGGGTTTTGTCAAGGTTGTTATAGTCGTTTACACTACGAATCCCTTTTAGCCAATTGATCCTTTAATTGTCGAATATAAACACAAGCCAGCTCTGCAGTTGTAGCTTTAGACGGGATACTAACAGTTTTTTTCAGTTCTTCCGGAACCAGTGATGCCAATTCGGATAAAGCGTTGTTTAGTCGATTGCGACGTTCTTGTTCTGCTACTTTGTGTATTTCTCTTTTTGACTCATCTTTAATACGTCCTACCCGAGATTTTGATCTAGGGCGTTTTTCAATAGATGATATGTTACTATTGTTTTCTTTTACATTTTCTGTAGAGATTCTATTCTTATTCGTATTATCACTGATTGTATTGCTACTCTCGCTGTCATTAGTTGAGTTGGTGATAGTAGTGTTGGAGGGATTGCTATTGTTGGTATATGGCGGCAATGCAGCACCGTAATCAATGTTTGGATTTAAGGATATAGGAGATTTATTTAATATTACACTACTTTCTGGTAGTTGAAATGCCACATCATCTATGTTACCTGGTATATTTCCTTGTACTTTGTTGCTATTGTTGTTGTTACTGTTGCTACTGTTGAGTATTGGTGTTGTGATTGTAGTTATATTTGTAGATGGTAAAATTGGTGTGTTTTCTAGAGATGTCTTACTTTTACTGAATCTTCTTAATGATCTATTTGGTTTCATGTATGGACTATTTTTGACTACCTTAGTGCTTTGATCCGATCTTGGTGTTGCAGACTGACCTGACATTGAATGACTTTTCTTTGGGACTGAAATTTTATTCTTCATATTTGAATTTTCATTTTTAGATATACTTCTTGTTAATGGTACTATTTTGGACCCATAATCATCAGTGACTGTTATATCATTAATATTGTTATTTAAAGTAGATAAGGGATCTAGCATTGAAACAGAGTCGCTCACAATAGAGTGCCTATTATCAATGTTGGAAGTAAAAGTATTTTTATTATCACATCCGAAATCAGTCTTTAATGTTAGTGGATGCATAAATGGAGTTACTTGAATCCCATTCATTGACGCTTGATTCGGGGCAATAAGAGGTGAAACAGTTGGTGAAAGTGATGATGCAACGGGGATGTTTAACATGCTATTGATTTCTTTATGGATATGTAATGGGTGATTTGTACTTGTAAATGTATGGGTTGAATTATAATAAGTATCAGGGATATTACTAAAGTTTGGAATATTATTAGAATTATGAAAAGAATTTTCTTGGAAAATTGAGTGGCTTAATTTATCTAAATCTAACTGTATATTGTGTGGTATCCATCCATCGTTCTTGTCGTTATAGTTAACGTTACTGTTATTATTAATATTACTTATTGAATAATGTTCGTGTGACTTACTCAATTCTCTTTCTAATAAATGAATATCATTATGTATTGGAATATTAATATTGTTACTTTTGTTGTTATTAATATGGTCATTATTACTTTTATCCGTGAAATTGTGATTTTCATGCAAATATTCATCTACCTGATCCAATATACTTTTAGAAGGGTTGATTTCCATCATTCTTCTATGATTTTTTTGTGTTTGAATGATATATCGATTTCTTTTTTGTTTTAGCTTAATGTATTTTTTCTCCTTTATTGATGAGAATGTGTATTTATATCAGACAAGTATAGATATATATCTATATATCTGTGTGTCTGTGTGTACTTGTAAAAGTATATTTCAAAAACAGTTATTTGTGGCGTAATGCAACGAATATAAAATTCTTCTCCTCCTTGACCAGCAAGTATATATTCAAATAAGAGCAAAAAAAAATGGATAAAGAAAAAGAAAAAAAAAAAAAGAAAACTTAGGCAAATTGTGTGAAATTTCACTTGTAGTTATTTATTTGAATATACGTTGATGTTATACAGTTCTAATCTTCAACAGTGGTTTGATTTATGAATACTTAGTTCATCTTAACACTGAAACTATTTCGCAGAGATTACGTCTGTGTTATATTTAATTTCCATTTACAAATAGTTTTTGTGCTTCTGTAATTATTTCTAAGGAAAGAAGAAAAAAAGAAAAAAGAAAAGAAGAAAGAAAAGGCAAAAACAAAAGGAATGTATTCAAAAAATCTGCATAATTAAGACTTATATTACCCAATTAGGAAATACCGGGAAAAACTCCACTCCTTTCTCACAAAATTTTGACCCAACAAAGTGCGTCGTGCAAGATGACTGAGTTAAACACTCAAAAAAAAAAATCCTCAAGTTTTTTTTTTTTGCTTAAGTGGTAATCAAAATAAAGCAGGCATTGATTATTAAATTATCAAGAAAATACGAACAAGGAAACTGTTCGACAAAAGGTGCAATGTTTATTATTAAAAATGGTGGGAAGAAAACTTATAGTAAACTGGGTGTTTAAGAGACAAAAATAAACCTTTTTGCATGTAATTGTAGGCATATATGATTTCAGTTTTTGTTTCTCGGCTGATTAACCTTCAAGATGTATTTGAACTTGGTACATAGTGTATGTTACTCAAATAAAATAGACTAAAAAGGATATAAACCCCAATGATGACGACTCTTGAGAGTTTAGAAATGCGCTAAAAATTAGATAAAACAAGAAAACTTTTGGACTTAGCTTTTAAAAGCATTGGTAGCCTCCAATTTCTAATAAGGGAAGTGAATAGCGTCAATTGTGATATCGAGACAATGCTTTACAGCTAATAGGGATTTTTTATTATGGAAAAAATTGTCTCGTTTTGTTTCGCTTATCTTTTATATATAAAATTATCCGAGTATCATCGTACCCATATATAAATCACAATGTCGCAGTATTGACATCTGGCACGTGGGCTAGCAGTACGTAAAAAAAAAATAAAGAAAAAAAAAAGACTCTGATTAGGAGTTCTATTAGCATGCTTGGTTTTGATTATAATTATGTATGAGGGATTTGTACGATGCTTCTATATGAACAAGAATTCATATGCATTATGTATGTATGCTTATAGCCATATATTTAACGTTTTGCGCCGTGTCTTTTAAAACTTTTAGATTTTTTGGACTTTCTATTAATATCGTTAGTTCCATTAACACGAGCAATGTCTGCTTTAGACACTACAAGACCGTTTTTTGTTGAACGACCAATAGTATTAATTTTGAGACCACGTTCTCTTTTTGATGTTCTTTCCATATCTTTGCTCCTAATACTAGTACCAATACGTCTTTCAATATCTTTCTTATATGTAGCTTCAATCTTTCTGAACTGTCCTTTTTTAACTTTTGAAAGAACAATACCACCCTCTTTAGCTTCTTGTTCATATTTGGCGATTCTTTCCAAATGTTTATTAATCATACCCTTCCGTATTGCCATTGGAACTTTTTCCAATTTGTTGATTTTCTTACTATGGCCATTAATTTTTGAAAGATTATGTAGTCTTTGTTCTAACGTTTTCATACGTGCTTTCCCAATGATTTCACTATCTTGAAACAATAACTGATTGCTATTATTTTGAATATGATCATTTTCATTACCAATTGTCTCTAACGTTAATGAGACACCACTGAAATCTGAATTGGTTTTATCATTCTCACTGAATGCACTTAACAGATGTGATTCTTTTAAAAATTGTTGTAGAGCCACATCATTATGTAAATTCTCTGCTTCTATATTTGCCTCCTCTTCATTATCTTCATCATCTAATGTATTATGCTTACTGGTCCTTAATTGTTGCAATTTAGCAATTTTTCTTGCATTTTCAGCTAAGGTCCTACCACTTCTAAGTAATTTTTGTTCCTGTTTACTTGGTGCAATATACGTATCACTCGGGCCACTAAATTTGATGATTTTAGGCTTTTTAATGTTTTTTTCTTGATTGTTATCAGCAGCTTTAATCGGAATAATACAATTAAGTTTATTGTCCTCCTCAACATCCTCATTATTATCCTCTGTATTAGTATCATATGCACTGTCTTCTGATTCATTATTTTCCAACTCACTATTACTAATGTCACTTTCACTATTAGATTTTTCATCTGAGCTAGAATTAGAATCAGGTCTAGCATGTTGTATATGTTTTGTCTTATCTTCAAAACCTAAGGATTCCAAAGAGCCAAACTGAGCTTCAAAAGCTTTTCTCTGTTCCTCCAATTGTTTCATATACTTATCTTGCTCGGTATCAGACATTATAAATGGCAAATTACTCACTAATTCTTGTATTTTTTTGATAGAATTTATTATTATGTCTATCTGACTTTCTACTTGGAAGTGGAGTGGGGCAATTTTTTAAGGAATAGTCCTTCTCTTTTCGATAAATTATGCCTTTTTTCTGTACATTAGGAATCAAGCTTGTTGTTAGCTCATCGTAAATTTTTCTTTTTTATTCTTTTTTTTTTATTTTAAAAATTGGTTCAATCTTGAAAAATAAATCTCCACTGAATTATAACATAAAAATATACATAAATAAAGGTAAGGTGAATTAATACTTAATAACCAACTCACGCTGTCTGTTTTTATGAAAAATGACACTGATTTTTACTTTCTAGAACTAAATAATACATATTTGGGAATAAAGAGTAAGACGAATAAAATAACTCTTTGTCAGTATTTTTTTTCTGGTTAGGTCATAAAATGAATAGAGAAGCATTGAAATTAAAAATTCCTGATATGAGATTCAATCATATCTTTAGTATGTCATTACAAAAAGAAATGAAAAAACAAAATAAAGAGAGAGTTAACACTTACGTGTTAGGTAAAGTTATTTTTAAGGATATTATAATTATTCCATTTCTACAAAGCTTCTTATGGACAAGTACTTTAATAATACTCAGGGGTCCATTGAAAAATTTTTTTAGAAATGTCAGAGTACTATTTTTTCCATCTAGAAGAAGGTCTGTATTATAATAAAGTACACTGATTTTGAGAAAATCATTTAAATAAAAATTAGGTTATCAATCTGGTTTATGATGTATAATATTTGATTAATGATTGTAATAATGATGATTTTTTATTCCTTATTGTAGTTTTTTGCTTGATTTTTTTATTTTAAATGTATACTTGATGTATATTCAAATATATGATAGAAATATATGATATGATTTTATCTATGTTTGTTTTGTTAGATGTTAACGTTGAAATAATGTTATGGTATTTTTGTTATTACTTAACAGAGAATATTAAGGAATTTAGTATGTTAGAAAGAAGGATTAATTTATAAGATCACTATTTCAATTACACCCGAAGCAACTAGTCCTTAATTTATCTATGGTAAAAATAACAGGCTACATAAAAGATAATGATTTAGATGAATAGATATATATTTAAAACTCATATCTTTGTAAGAAGTGTTATAGACTAACTAAATTCATGAGGTTAAATTAACTATGAATATATCATAATAATTAGTGTTCTTTTTTGATTATCATAAGAATATATTTTCCATTTGAGAGCTTTATATTTTGGATGTAATAGTATTGCATATACAAGATTAACAAAAAATATAAGACAAATATCCCTGAGAGGATATGGGTGTACTGTCTTTATTCAGTGTGCAAAGTTTTGAATTTTAATGCAATTTGTAGTACTGCATACAAAGCTGAAAATGTTTTAGTTTAGTGATATAAAGAAAAACTAGGCAATATTAACCGGATTTTATTATCGTTTGTATGAAATTTGTTGGAGAGTATAAGAGGAGAAAAATTTGTGAGTAATTAGCTCAGATAGTCTATAGCATTTGTTCGTTATAGGAAGTATGTAAGATATTAATTTTTAGAAGATATATGCAAGGAGTGTACCGAGTATATGTTAGATAGACAAGTTACATTTATTAAGTGAATTTCAGTGGTTCTTCAATTATACTCTACAATTAAGTGAACTAAGCTATCAGCGATTGAGTTAGCAAAAGATTTTATATCCAATAAAAAATTTTGATTTACTCTCACCATAGGAGTACTTGCTTTGCAATATTCTTTGATGCAAAGACTAGACCTGATATATGATTATTCAATCTGTCAGTGAAATGCTTCAGTGACAAATTACTGAATGATTTTCTCATTCTTAATATATTAAAGTAATATGAATTTTTTTAAATAAAATATTTATCTCTAACTACATGAATAAAAAATAAAAAGAATAGTTGGTCTTGTTGGATATTAGCCAGAACACATCTATAGTGCATCTCTTATGCTTAATGAGTCCACCAACTAGTCCGGTTTCTCAATCATTTTATAACATATGAAATCCGGATGGTCACTATAAACAATCTTGTGAATTCTTTAGTTGACAATGATGTTCTTGTTTTTCTTGTTTCTCTTGCTTATATAAGTGTGTTCATCTGTGCATCTGTGTATATTAGTTTACTTCTTGCGTAGAGTGTAGTCTATATGTCATATATAGGCAACAAAACAAGCTATATCTATCTACTTTAGCGTCTAGAAGAATATATTTCTCATAATAGGATTTTCATCTATTATACATTCGTATAACAAGATATTCCAATATTACTATTTGTAATATCCCTGATATTACTATTTAGGGCTTGTTTAGAAAAATGAGGGTTGACGATATTTTTCTAAACTTTCCTTTTTGCAAAATTTTACAAACACACATAAAAACAGGAGTAACCAACATAAGTACAAGAGAGCAACCAAGAAGAAGAAGAAGGAACCAAGGATTACATAAGTTTAGATATATAGCATATAAGTGTATGCTATTAGGTTATCTTAGATTAGGGATATAGATATACTGATGTATAGGAATACTACATCTAGAGATACAGAAAGAGTCTATATCTTATATCTATCCAAGTGAAATATTGTTGTCATTCCAACAAGATTAATTGTTATCCGACACACATAACCTCAGGGTTATTACACTATTGGTAAAAATAGTAGTTAGCCCTGTAGGGGGCTCGAACCCCTAACCTTATGATTAAGAGTCATACGCGCTACCGATTGCGCCAACAAGGCCTAACTTGTTACTTTTTTTTAAAGATAAGACTTTTTTGTTATTAAGAATATAGTTTTAATTAAAACTTCTTATTTTTACTATACTGTGCAATATTGTTGGAAAATGAGAGTTTATTACTGTCATTTTCATAAGAATTATTTTTTAATTAGTTTTTTCTGTATATTACGTGGTGTACGAATGTACTATAATATCAGGAAGACATTTTATTTTTTTACCAAATATGTTTATCACAGATTTGAAGAGAAATCAAAAACTTAAAAGAAGAATCAAAGTAAATAAAAGAATTTATACTCTATACACTTTATAATAAGTATATATATGTATTTAGTATACAATACAACAAACATCTATAACTTAATGATGTCTACCATTACCATGGACGCTAAGGGCTCCAAATTCCAACAAATATAATATACTGGTAGGTTGTCATCACTATCTACTGCTTAAAATATCCTATAAAGTTTTGTCTAATTACAGAACTAATAATTATTGTGTGATTTAAATCATTAACTAATATATTAAATTGGATAATTGATTCTTCAATTTTTTTTTTAATTTCACAAATATTTTACAATGTTGTTGGGGTTATATTGTTGTCATCTGAAGATTTTTTTTAAACCAATAGTTAGCATATTATTGTTGTATTTAGATAGAGCATAAGAAGTCTTTAGAGAGATTAAACAATTTCAGTATAAAAAGAATTATTAAGGTAATAAGCGGGTGTAAGAAGCCTTAATTGGAAATTCTAAAATACATAGTCTGTAGGTAATGCTAACTGTTAAGACGAAGGATTTGGAACAGCCGAAACTCTGGGCTCAAGGTTGTGAGTGTATATGGACGAACATATGGTCGTCGGATGGACATTGGTGGTAAATTACTAAGAAGCTTATTTAAGAGACCCTAGATTATTGAGAGATAGTGCAAGAGGTAATTATCAGCATTAATATTCGTAATCTATCTAATAGGTTAACCAAAAGAATAATAAGACGAATAACTAAGACTAATCTATTTAACAGTTAGAATCAACCAATTATATAATTTGTGAGTGTTTATATATATAATTAATATCCATATTTTAGTATATTACTTGGTATAACCCTTACACAGCCTTGTTAATATTATTTTTTAAAAGGTTGTAAAACTTATAAGCTTAATTTTGTTTAATAAGATTGTTTGTGTATATGAAATCTTGAATTTCACTTTTGGTAGGGTTTGTATGTTGATTAGAATGAAAATTCTTAAATAAGAAAAGCATGTGCCAATTAATTGTGGTGCTTCATGTATTTGTAACACAATCTACTTCCAGAGTAGATTTTAAAAATAAGTTATAGACAAAAAGACTTTTTATTAATTTTCAATTTTAAGAAAATTTGGTTTTTGGTATATAAATTTATTATTTAATTTTTTTTTTTTTTTCAGTTTGTCTTGGATATAGAAATAGCCGCCTAACAATAGAAGATTAAGAAGATGAAGAGTGGGAGCAACTAAGTAGTAATATTTAAATTGCCAATTCCTTAATAAGTAAGGATTATAGAAGATAGAGTGAGCTAGAGTTAATTAAATGTTTTCAAGAAAATCTTCCAAAATAACTTTGACTGATTGGGATGTTGACACATTATTGAGTATATCAAAAGAGACAGTTATAATTAAAGAGAATAATGCCTTAAATATCGAAGAAAGAGATGTCATTAGGACTTCTACGAAATTACCTTGTTCTAAGATTGAAAATGTTTTTTTGGAAGAACCGCCCTGTTTTCAAAATAATGGGATAAAGTTGGTGCCAGAAAAAAATAGAGATACCTGCAACAGGTCTTTGAAAAATCATGGTGTCCCATAGCCTTTATAAAGACAACTTTAATGTAAGAAAATAACATTTCTTTAATTGTAATTATTGTGACCTATTAAATTATTATTACTGATTTTTCCCACATATCATAATATTATGTATATATTTATGTATGTATACTTATGTTAATTTAGCAATGCTTGCGCATGAGTGCTATTATTTGCCTTTATTTCCTAATAAATATGATTATAATGAATGATTAGTTTTCGGTGTCAGAATTACCCTCAATTGGATCTTCCTGACTTTCTTCTATTTCCTTTCTGGCTGATTCTTCACGGGACTGTTCATGGATGGTATCTAATTCTTGTCTGCTTTCAATAGTATTATGATTTTTAGAGTTTTCCTGTGTTGAAGATACACTACTTTCTTCGAGTGGGTCTAACTCTGTTGTTGTTGCCCTGGAATCAGAATGTAACGGAATTTCATTTATAGAATCATCCTCATGAACTGAGGTTATGTGAGATGTACCAGTCTTCACGTTGTTAGATAAAACATCTTCGAATATTTCATCATTTAATATGCTTTGGTATAAAGAATTAAATTTGTTTTCATTTAATTTTAATCTTGTTATTATTGAATCACTTATCAAGCCTAATCTTAACAACCCTTTTAACTTTATTAAATAAACTAGTAATTCTTTTTCCGTCTCTTTGAAATATGGACTATTATGTATGTCATTTAAAATGACATTCTCATCATTAATTTTTTCTAATTGGATTTCATTTTCATTGGCATGTAAACTTTCCAAATAAAGAAATGTTTCCATCAATTGTTCCTGGATATCCTTAGGTAAATAAGTAGGAAATTTCTCGGCAATAAGAGTCTTCCAATCTCTATTGGCTTCAGGTAATTGTAATTCAAAACATATTATTGCCACAAAAATATCAATAATTGCGTTACTTAATTCCCATTTGATTTTAAATAAATCATGTACATTTGTTGAATTATTAAGTCTTAAAGTAATCAATATGCTATAAAACTGATCCAGGATAGCACTGATAGTATTTAATGTTTTAATTATACTGCCATGTGAAGTATTATTATAGCTATTATTAGACTCTTTGTCGTCAGTGGTATTGCCTCTAATATTATCAATATCGTTATTGTTTAAGTTTTCATTGGTGAATTCCTTGTTAGACAAAAGCAAGGATTTTTTGGAAATTTCGGCCCATTTATGTATTTGCCAAGATACCAAAATAACAGGTAATTTAAAGGAAATTTGTGGTATAATTTCAGTATCAAATTGTTTATAATACTCAGGGAATCGTGAAAAAATTCTGTCAAATAATTGGACAAGCAAATTATGGTCAAATTCAACTGGGTACACTTTTCCAATTAAAACAAGTTTGTTTATATAGGTGCAATACACTGTGGATATAAAATCATTGAATTGTTTTGCATCTGTTAGATTTTCAGCATTTTCAGAAAAGAATTTCATTAAGTGGAGTTTAATATGAGATATTTCATTTAACCATACTTCATCTAATTCACGTTTCTTGAAATTTTCTATATGTGCTAGAGTGTTAGATAATGCATTGTAGTAGATATTTGATTGAGCACATGAAGGAAGAACACATTCGTCAATTGTCTTTGTTATTATATGTGTGATTTCTAAAATAGCTTTTTCATTCTCAGACTGAATCCAATCTTCAAAGGTAAAAAGATTAAAAATATTTAACAATGGTGGTAAAATATCTGGAGAATGTATAGGTAAATTTTTGAACAACCCTAATAAATGTGGTAATACCGATTTTACTACATTAGCTTTTTGTTGATTTTTGATGGAGGAAGCACCATGACAAAGACCGTCAAGTACTATAAGATAAAGAATAACGTTATTATTATTGGTTGGTAGTAATGGTGTTGTATTAAACATAGTAATACTGGTATCATTACTCGCCTCTAATTCAGATTGTGTGCTTTTATTATCCTTTGAGACTTGTTCGATAGTATTGAATATTGTTTCGTATGTGTTGTCATCACTTAACAGTTTACATATTGTCATAATTTCATTGTTAAAATAGGGGGATAAAAATTCTGAGGCCTGATACAGTAAATGATGTTTTTCTAATTTACTTGAATCATGGTTATCCTGGGCATAAAATAAGAAAGAATTACTAATAAATCTCATAAAGATTCCTACTTTGACTAAAGCGGATAATTTAATTGGTGCCATATTTTCATCTAAGGATTCATTATTTTTGAGAAAATCTGTACATGCTTCATTTATTATTTTAGTCATAAATTTAGAGACAGAATTTAAAAATCTTGAATTTTTATTATGAGCCGAAACTTTAACATCATTATCATCGAATATTAAACTCGAAATTGCAAGTATTTCATCATCTTCTAAATAACCAAGACTTACAATTTCAGTCAATATATTTGTTGCATACAGTCTTACTTCTAAGTCAACGTCTTTTAGTGCAATATCTAAAATTCTTTGTCTGAATCTTTCAAAAAATTGTCTAATAGCTGAATTATCTGTTTTCTTAGAATGGTTGAAAGTTATTATATTAGGTAAGACTTTTAATACTTGTGATCTAACAATGTTGGAAGTATCACTTAGTAACCAACCGAAGTATTTCAAATAAGTTACTTTCATGAAATATTCTGGATAATTCTTGATCCATGTAGATAAATGCAAAACAGATTCGGAGCGAATAATCTCATCAACATCTTTAAATCTGTGTACAAAACAGATTTTAATGATATTTTCAATGATATTCTCCGTAATAATTTTACTATTTTGAATTTCCTCTATATTATTTTCTAATTTAAAGATAACAGTCTGGTTTTTTCTTTTCTTTCTCTTTTCTAAGGATAATTGTTTGGTAAATTTGGCAAGATAATTTTTTTCCAAATCAACTATGTGGTCAGTAAGAAAATCTTGATATAAATATAATGATAACGTGGCAATATATCTAAAACATCTGACATTTGTTGTTGAAAAAGCAGAAAGCCAAGTCAGGATATCTATTACTAGTGGACCCATTATTAATTCGTCATTATCTTCTTGTGATTCAACGTATAACAACTGCATATCATTGGCGATATCTAAAAATCCAGACATAAATTCAACAAAATTCTTGTATAGATTAGGATAAGAACTGGTCTTACTGTTTATTCTACTTGTCATTAAGTGGAACTCATGAACTTTTTGCTTTTCAAATAATAATTGAATTTCAGTTATTGTATCTGTAGCAGACTCGTTATTGTGAATATCGTGCTGTTCTACATGTACTAATGCACCACAACAATCTAGTAGAAAGTTAACAAAATCTTGTAATAAAAGATCTCTATTAGTGGTATAATTTTCTAGCCAACCTCTTAAGTATTCATCGATAGAGATATCATCAGATTCAGATAAAGCTTCAAATAATTCACTATGTTCCATAGCTTTTACATTTTCTAGATAATCATTTTGCTCTTCTTCTGTTAATGGGAGGTTATAATTACTTGTGGTTGTTTTCTTTATATTAGTTTTTTTCTTTTTGACAGGTGGCTGTTGTGAGGAACTCTTTTTGTTTTTTGGTTTATCCCCATTTGTACTTCTGGAACTGCTTCTTGTGGATCTTTTTCTTTTTCTTGCAGCAGAGGGCTCTAAATAATCAGAATCATTAGGATCTTCTTCTTCCTCAGATGAAGATGATGATAATTCGGGTAAGGAATCATCTGTTGATTCTTCTTGATCTTCATTTTCACCCTTACTATTCTCTGTATTATAATTTTGACTGATGGCGGTGGTAACCTTGTCAGATTCGATTGCGGAAATGTTTGAATCGCTATCAGAATCACTATCTACTGTTAATTGTTTCCGTTTGCTTCTAGTTCTTATAGATCTTCGTAATTGTGCCATTCCAATAAACTCTACTTAAATTGAATTTATTTAAGAGAAATATTCGTAATAAGACGTCAGAAAGGGAGTAATAACCAACAATCTATTTGTTTTTCGTATATACTTTTTGTATATGAAATATTGAAACAATTATATGTTAAGGCTGATCAAATATTTTACTTTCCAGCGCCACAGGTATTCTTTTTTTAATAGATTATACATCACTGATATCTATGTTTATTTACTTTTTCCATTACGCGTTTTAAAATTCTCTTTTTCTCCTACTTTTTTTGTTGATATTTTGCTGTTATATTTTAATACAGGCAGGAAATGAAAAAAAAAGACGTGTCACCAACAATTTCACGATTATGTTGGTATTGTTTAATTGATCAGAACATCAGTGTGGGTTGTACCATGGCATAATATATACCGTAGAATGGTGGTTATTTATTTATAAATATACATGTATAGAATATACGATGATCTGTGATAAATACAGACGGTTAACTGACAAGTAAATCGACCCTTATTGAATCTTTGCTGCTACAGCACGCCAGGTAAGAAGGAAATATATAGAAACAGTAAGCTGTTCAGATGTCTGTATATATGTATGTTTTATAAAGGGAGAAGGTGGTTCCGTTTTTTTGCCGTTGTTATTGTTGTTGTTGTTGTTGTTGCTTCTTTATCTGACACCTATCCCATTTAAATTAATAATACTCTTACTAAATTTTTACAAGGACCATGGTTTATAAACTTGAGGTTCCCTCATAGAAATAGCTTCTATCTCTTTGTTTATTTTCTTTTGTAGGTCAGTATTATCTTTATCTTCATTATCTTCATCGTTTTTATCGTTTTCAACCAATTCAATACCGGAATCTACTTGATCAGAAGTTAAAATTAATTTTTTGGAGACGTTTAATGATGCTAATTCAGAGTTTAATTCATTAATTTGTTTACTTAATGAAATTCTATCATTTATTAATTTTTCTGTCTCTTTAACATATTTTTTTTTGGCTTGCTCAAGAGCACCTTCTATTATATCAAGTTTATTCATCTTTGTTTCCAATTTATTGATCATTAATCCCACAATCTCCTGTATAACGCCTTGTGTTTCTTTCAAATATTTCTCTGATAACTCTTTTGATTGTTCTGGAATTGTCTCATTAATGACATCTTTATGTAATCCAGCTAATAAGTTTTTGATTGTTAATTCTACAGCTTCAGCTTGATTAATTGTATTCAGTCTTTTAAGGGAGTTATTACCACAGTCATTTTCAACATTTGAGGTATCGATATTATTGTGGCGCTTTTGTTTGATGGCATTTATAACATCATTGATGTAATTATCTTCTATTGGTAGAGTCAAAAATTTTTCAACACAATCTTCCAGATTTTTATTACCCCCGACATGGTTGACTATTTTGTCCCATTGATCTTCATACATTTCAATACCTTCTAATAATAGTAACAATTCTTGATCTGACCAATTTTTATGGTTAATGTAATTATTTGAAAGACGAATGAAATCAGATGCTTGGAAATTGGCACCAAAATGGCCTTCTTGGAAACATCTAGGACATAAATTAGAATCCTTAGAACGCAAATTATGATAACGGACCGTCATCGTATCATTCCCACAGGTATGACAAACATAAGTCTTTTGAAATTGTCTTGATGATTTCTTTTGTATTTGTAATACATTAAAATCCTGTGTGGAATCATAGATATTTTTTCTTATCGATAAATTTACTGGGAATGGTGGAACATCTTTTAATTTCACTTGTTTATTCTTAAATTCCTCTATTAAATTTGGTTCTGTTATATTTGTATTAGCAGTATCTTGGATATTTGTAGTAAGGCCGGTAGTTGTTTCAGCTGCTTTATTTTCTTCTTCTTTTTCCTTTTCCTCTTCCTTTTCCTGGTCTTTCATTTTTTCCTTCTCATTCATCAAATCACTTATGATTGTTTGTGGTACAACAGGTTTTAAACCTTGTGGAGTATCTAAAATAATTTGAAAATGACCGGTGAAACTTGGGCCAATTAAGGAAGGTTTGGATCTAGGATCGATTTGATAATTGATTAACCCCCATGTCTCTAGAAAAGAATGGATTTTCACGATGGAGGCAACATCCAAAGCGACATTTCTTCTAACAGCAGTGATGGTCAAGTACTCATAAGGTGATAATCTATAAGTGTTTATCATGAAATTTCTAGCATCTTTATAAGCTTTTGGAGATTTGTATATCGATGAAGAATTGAAAAAGTCTGGTAATGACCTCTTCTCAATATCATGTATTTCTGATATATTAAACCATGCAGCAAACGAGGGCACAACTACTGGATGTGTTTGTTTCGCTAAGAATCTTAAAGCTCTATCTTCCAAAGTTTGGGCTTCTTTTTCATAATCTATTTTGCTATCCTTTTCTACATTATCCTTTTGTTGTTGTTGTTGTTGTTGCTGTTGTTGTTGCTGTTGTTTTTGTTGTATTTCAAGTTGTAGATGTGGTAATGAGGGGGTGGCACCTTCTGTTTTTGAGACATCTTTCATTGGCACGTTTTCACTCTTCGAATTATCGTTTTCTTCTGTTTTATCACTGTTATTTATAGTAGCAGTAGTAGTGTTGTTGTTAGTGTCTGTTGAAATGTCTTTGTTGTCATTCATATCATTAATATTAGTAGAGATAGTAGTGGTGGTGGCAGTTTCAGTAGTAGCATCAGTAGTATCGGTATTAGTAGCAATCTCAGTAGCAGTAGAAACTGGTGTATCCGTAGTAGTAGTTGTAGTAGTAGTAGTAGTAGTAGTAGTATTTTCTTCTGTGCTCATGGTACTCTAAATTTGGCAAATTTCAATGCTGGTTTCCAAATATTGATATTATAGTTTTTGCAATCCAATACTTTAAAAGTTTTTGTCCTTTCTTGTTCTGTATTACACACTTTTTCTTTCTCTCTTTTTCCTTCACTCGCTCTTTTTCTTTTGTATAAAACTGTCTGGACTAAAAGACAAACACGAGTCCTTATGAACTTAGAGTTATCCAACCATCAAACTGACTCAATGCCAATAGGTGTTCCTGAAAATATGTCACATTAGGTTATGTTGGCACTGTGTGTATTAGAATTATGATTTTGATGATTTGTCCTGAATAAATTTTCAGCAGATTCCAAAAAAGAAAAAAAAATAAAAATAAAAATAAAAATAAAAAAAAAAATAAAAAAAAGACCAGAGGGTTGTCAGAGTCACGTGACTGTCCGGGTGATACTAGACGCGTAAAGTTTGTAATATAAATAGACAACTCAAATATAAAAGCAGAGAAGAGATCAGATAAGATTAAGAATGAGTTATGGGTAGATGCTATCGAACCTAATTGAGCACGAATGACATATTTTCATATATGTAGAACCAACTTGTAATGGGTTTATAGCTGGGATTGTAATAATTAGAGGCCAAACAGCAAAATATATTCAATTCATTTAAACAATGGTGGTCACAAGGTCATTGAGAAGTCAAAGTCCGCAATATTTACAAAAGAATAAAAATAAAGCTGTACGTTATACCGAGAAGGAAGAGAATGATTTTACTCCCGATATCTTGGTTGATTCTTCAGACAATGAAGATTCCAATCTGAGTGGAGATGATGAGGATCAGGAGCATACTCCTATTTGGTTGACTGACGGGATAAGTGAAGATAGTGATATTGCTTTAGAATCTGATGTAGAGGATCAAGATGATTTGATATTGAAAGGTTTATTAAATGATAAAAATGGTGGCTCTGCCTCTACGCTAAATAGTACTGATAAAAACAAAGGTAATGGCGATGGGGATGATAATGATGGTGATGGTGGAACAGATAATAATGATGATGATGAAACAGATGAAATGACTATATCATTGAAATTGAAAAAATTGGATGAATTTGTGAAACAGAGTCAGGTATATTCAAGTATTATTGCAGATACCTTGTTAAAACGTACTGAGGAATTGCAGGAGGAAAGAAACGAAGAACTTTTGAGAGAAAAAGATAAACAGACTACTGTCACTGAAAATGGATCAACTGATACAGCTGACATTAAACAACCCCCAAAGAAGAAACAAAAAAAATCGATTACAGATTATTTTAAATCGATTACAGATTATTTTACATCAACCAACAAGAGTAAAGAAGATGGGAAATTATCTGGCTCTAATAGTAGGACTAGTAAAGAAGATAAAGACGATCTTTTAAATTCTATTGAATCAATTAGAAGCCAACAACCTGGTCTCTTGGAAAATTGTATTTTAAAACCGTATCAATTGGAAGGTTTAAATTGGTTGGTAACACTATATGAAAATGGATTAAACGGGATTTTAGCTGATGAAATGGGGTTAGGTAAAACTATTCAAAGTATTGCATTATTGGCATTTATATATGAAATGGACACAAAGGGGCCTTTTTTAATTGCAGCCCCGCTAAGTACCTTGGATAATTGGATGAATGAATTGGCTAAATTTGCACCAAGTATACCTGTATGTAAATATTATAGTACAAAGGGTAAAAAAAGTAGAATGCAGATTTTAAAAAACTTTTTTAAAAAAAATAAATATACTGGGATAGTGGTGACATCATATGAAATTATAATGAGAGATTCAAATTATATTATGTCAAAGGAATGGAAGTTTTTGATTGTTGATGAAGGTCATCGTTTGAAAAATATTAATAGTAAATTGATAAAAGAATTGAAAAGAATAAATACGTCAAATAGATTATTATTAACTGGAACACCATTACAAAATAATTTGGCGGAATTGTGGTCTTTGTTGAATTTTATTATGCCCGATATTTTTGCAGATTTTGAAATATTCAATAAATGGTTTGATTTTAAAGATTTTGATCTCCAGAGTAATTCTAAAAAGTTGAACAAAGTTATCAATGATGAATTAGAGAAAAATTTGATTACCAACTTACATACAATTTTGAAACCGTTCTTATTAAGAAGATTGAAAAGGACGGTATTGGCCAACATATTACCACCAAAGAGAGAATATATTGTAAATTGTCCATTAACTCCTATTCAAAAGAAATTTTATCAAAATACTTTAAAGAGTAATTTAAGAGTTACAATATTTAAGGAATTAGTAAAACATTTTTTCACTTTAAACAAGGATCGGATTGGGTATGTGTCTAATAAATCAATAAGACAATTCATTAACTTTAAATTAAGACAACAATCTGATGCAGTGACACCATTATTGGAAGTTGACGGTGATGATCCATCAAATACGATTTTTGAAATGGACAAGTTATATCAGAAGTATTTACATCAAGAGATATTGAATAAAAGAACACAAAGTGTGATGATGCAACTACGTCAAATCGTGGATTCTACATTCTTATTTTATTTCCCTTATTTAGAACCTGAAGAAATGACATTGGAGGTACTTTTACAAACATCAGGTAAACTACAAATCCTACAACAATTGGTGATTCCATTAGTCAAATCTGGACACAAAGTCTTGATCTTTTCTCAATTTTATAATATGTTGGATCTGCTTGAGGATTGGTGTGAACTAAACTCGTTGAAATCTTTAAGAATTGATGGTTCTGTTGATAATGAAACAAGAAAGGAAGAGATCTCAAAATTCAATTCAACAAAGGATAAGCATAATGTTTTTTTACTGTCTACAAGGGCAGCTGGTCTGGGTATAAATTTAGTAGCAGCAGATTCTGTAATTTTGTTTGACAGTGATTGGAATCCACAAGTTGATTTACAAGCTATGGATCGTTGTCATAGGATTGGACAAGATAAACCTGTGATTGTATATAGACTTTGTTGTGATAACACAATTGAACATTTAATTTTGACAAGAGCTGCTAACAAAAGGAAGTTAGAAAGGTTAGTGATTCAAATGGGTCGTTTTAATACTTTAAAAAAGTTGGCATTAAATGAAGGCTCCTTTTTAACTCAAAGTGCAGGGATAAAACCAAAGAGCACAAATAAAGAGTTAGTTACTGAATTATCTGAATTATTAATGAGTGGTTCTTCGAGTATAGGCTTCAGAAAAGAGACTGATGAAGAAAGTGAAAGACAAGATTTATTGACAGAAGAAGAATTAAAAGAACTGATGGACAGATCATCATATGCATATAAGGTGGACAGGACAATAAATATGCCGCACATCACCTTATTTGAGACCACGTCTCAATATTAGAAGGGTTAGGATTAAGATGATGCAGATATAACAATTAAATAGAGATTTTTTTTCATTACAGATACATATTCTATAAATACGTAAGTATGTACATTATGGCATAATAACATAGATAATAGCAATAAGAAAGTGGAAAGTTCTAAATTAAAGGAAATGAGGAAAGAAAGATGGATGTCATGAAAAGAATTTCTTTTTTTTGCTATTATTTTAAATAATTTAGAAGCTCCAGGATAAACCAGTGTAGTATTCAACTTGGTTGTACATCCAAATTAAGGAAGTACTAGCTACAATTAATGGACTAATAAAACCTGCATCAAATCTACAGGTTCCATATACTAGTAATTCAGAAGCAAAATGGAATAAGGCGACAGCATAAGAGATCATAGTTAGTTGATAAATATGAGGCTCGTTTAAATACAATGCACCGTATAATCTGATAACACAGGAGATGAAGGTCCATGTACCAAAAGTTCTAGCACTCAATTTAGTGATTTCTTGTGGCTTTTTAGAATAAACTTTACGGGTCAATTTTAAACCAGAGATGTATGTTTGAATTGAGTTAAATATAGACACTACAGAGATGAACAATAACCATTTAGGTAAATAACCAGCCGGTAAAGCTTCGAATCTATTTTGAATAAATGGAACAACTTGATTGATGGACAACATTAGAAATATTTATAAGATTCAACCTATTTTTTTTTTGGAAAATTGGGGAGTCAGATTGTAATTTAAGTAGTCGATAGCGAGAATATCTGTTGATCACAAATGCTGATAAAAACCAAAAGAAGCATGTTTTTGCCACAAACGTATCAGTTTTGTTTTTATGGTTATTTATATATTTTTTCATTTTTTTTTGTTATTTTTCATCTCCTCCCCTTTTTAAGTAAGCTGTCGTATAAAGTGTAAAAACAGAATAATCCAAAGAAAAATTAGAATAAACGAAAGTTAAATAAATAGTATGGCATTCTAACGATAAAAAGAGAAATCAATTGAAAAGAAAAACGGTAACAAATATAAACAGGATCTCTGAGTAATTGTGAATATGTGTAAATAGGAAAGAGAGGTTAACTTTCAAGGTAGAAAAAAAAAAACTAAAAATTTGATATATTTTGTGTTAATGAGGAATAATGAGAAAAGTATTTAGCTATATGTCGTCTTCAATCATTTTTTTGTTAAAAACAACCATATGTATTAATTAATCTGAAATAAGCTAATATGTTTCGATCTTGTAATAAAATTAGTTCACTTAGTATATACTGTTTTCTTTTTCTTAATTTAATTAAAAATAACTCATTCTTGTTCATTATCTTAAATATTTCAAACCAATTTAATTTTTTTAAAATTTTCATATAACATTGAATGTGCAATTTTAAAATTTTTATATGTTCTGGTATGTTCTTTATGAGTATCTGTAGTTTTTTAAATAAAGTTTTAGGAATGCTTGATTTTCTATCAGAATATATTTTGTAATACAGATGTTTTTTATTGGGAACAACTTCTGACTGAGTATTTTCAACAGTTGTATTAAAATTTTTTTGGAGAAGAATAAATATTAGAGTCTCTAATAAGAGTAATAGGCTATCAATTACTTCAAGCAACATTTGAGAATTAAGGTTACTGCTAATTTTCAAATTAATAATATTTATTATTAATTTCTGTTCAAAAATTAATGTTTTTAATAAATTTTTAGCTTTAGAACTTAATTTAAAACTTTCAAATAAGGGTCTCAAAATAAACTTTTTTGTAACCAAGTTGTTAAATTCTTTTGTATCATCTATAATTCGAAATGTAGAATAACTTATTATAAGCTTCTGAAAAGTTACTAATAGCCAATATAAATTTGTCATTTCCTTATCTGAAAATAAATATTCTGTATGTGATAGTTTTTTATTTGTAAAAATAGAAAGAAGAAATTCATAGAACGTCAAAATGTTTCTTTGAAATATTGTCTTCCCCAAATCATTACTAAAACTTTTCCAAATTTGCAAATTTAAACTTGAGCACTTTTTTGTTTTGTCCTTTATTCCATATACTGTTTTATTGTCATTTCTATCTAAAATATCCTTATAAATTAGCTCTAATTTACTTGACAGTTTCTGAGGAAACCTATCTTCCAATATTTTTGGAATCAATTCATTAAATGTTGTTGGCATATTTTTTTTAAACCCAACATCCAAAATATATGGAAACCTATATTTAATATATGCTAAACACTTTAATACCAATAGTCATTATAACTGTGCTTTCCAAAATGAAATCATATTCAAAAGTTTAATAATAATGGTTAGTATAAGATTAGTACAATTATTTGCTTAATAAAGGTAAGTAAAGTTTCCATTAATAATAAAACAAAAACATACTATGATTAAGTCTTCTGAAAAACCCATCTTTTATCTTCAAAGATATACTTGAAAAAAGAATTAAATTAAAAACAATTCACTGGAAGTTCGATCCCATTCAGTTAAGAACTTTGCAAGACAAATCACTTATATTCCCTAATTTTTAATCAAAGCCTCTGTTCTCATAGTTGTACACTTTTCTTCTTCTTTATTTCCACTTGTTTTTTTTTTGAAATCTTAACTAAATTATGAAACTCAGTTTTTAAATCTTAAAAAAAAGGGTCGAAAGATAATAATTCAAATCATGATGAAACCAAGGAAGACAGACACCAAATAACAGTTTATCCAAAAAATAAAAACATTTATCAACAAATCTTTTACCCTTGCAACAATGTATTGATTTTCTTGTTTAATTTTGTGTTCAATATCTTATAAAAATGAAACGATTTTTTTTGAAAACAAACAGGTTGTAAATAATTTATTACCATCAAAGTGTCACAAATATTTTTCTCAACATACAATGTTTTATTATGTAGATTAAACTATAGAACCAAAAGTAAAAAAAAATAAAACTCTCAAGTATAAAACTAATTCTATAATAATTTTTCTTGTAATTTTTTCTAGTGAACAAGCAAATTTCCATTATCAAAGATTAAGTAATTCATATTCAGATTGTTCCCATATTCTCTTTATAAAATGAACAAAGCCAAAAAGATAGAAAGTCACAGTAAACTTTTGCTCGCATTGGATGAGACTAATGATATAATTGTAGAAAATCAAAGAGGAATAAAATTATTAGGTATACCTTTCTTTTCCTCTAGTCTTTTATTACCTGGTGTAGATCCACCAAACTATCAATTGATAATTTCAGTTGAGAATAAAAAAAATAGAGTTACTACAAAATATAAACAAATTATTGCAATGCCTTATCATGGACCACATAATTCAAAGAATATTACAAATATATTTGATGAAATATATCCATTACCATGGATACCAAAGGAAAAATATATATTTGTGGAAAATAATGACCAACCTACCTACGTTTTTATGCCTGAAGAAAACCAAAAACAAGGAAAATGGTATGTTAGATTGAACCATAACCCAACTGAAAAAGATTCGTTATTAAATTTTTGTGATGGGCAAGGTTGGATTTACAGTTGGAGATTTAGAAATAAGCACTGGAAAGACTGTAATGGTTTCGTTAGAAGACGTATTTGGGTGTATATCAAAGACACAGATACAAGCACAAAAAAATAACATAAAAAGGCCAAACATTCATAAACTACAATAGCATTATATGTGATAATAATAATTTCTTAAAAATACAAAAAATAAATAAAAAAAATGGATATTCACCAATGAATAAACAAAGGTATGATAATTACATATATATAAGCTTAGACAATATAGTTTAATGTACCAGTTTAAAATTGACAATACCAATATATACATATACATATAGGCATATATCTTTCAAGTACCGGAAGAACCAAACTGTAATGCCCATTCTTCGTACTTTTCCAACCCCTCCTTTGATACTGATGGCTTAATATATTCTAAACTGTTCTTAAAATCTTTTAATTCAATGGGTCTAATACTTTCTCTTTCTGTATGCAACAATTGATCACCCAACTCTCTTAGTGGTCCCATTGCAGCGTCTTTTGCTAAGGATGTAATATCACTACCAGAGTAACCCCGTGTCAATTCAATCAATAAAACAAAGTCTTCATCCGTTAATGTATGATTTTGTTGAGCTAACAATTTTTTAATTTGAACCAATCTGGTTTCATCCTCAGGTAATGGAATATACTGTCTTCTAACAAAACGTCTTCGAGCTGCCTCATCAATTGACCATGGAAGATTCGTAGCTGCAAGAACCAACACTCTTTTATCATCAATAAACTTTGAATCTTTCTTATTATTCTTTCCAGCTGCTGCATTGGATAAAGCAGACCATTGCACCAAAAATTCATTTTTAATTCTTCTGGAACTTTCATTTTCTCCATCTTGATTTCGACTACCCAAAATAGAATCAATTTCATCAACAAATATAATTGATGGTGACAATTTCCTAGCTATCGTAAATAATGTTCTTACCAATTTTTCACTTTCACCCAAATATTTGGAAGTTAAACTAGATGCACTAATTGAAAAAAATGTAGATTTGGATTCACATGCCACAGCTCTAGCCAACATTGTCTTACCTGTACCTGGTGGTCCAAATAATAACATACCCGTAACTGGTTGTCTTAAGCCCATAAACAAATCAGGTCTTAAAAATGGATACACAACAGCCTCTTTTAAGGAATTTTTAGCACTGTTTAATCCTGCGATATCATCCCAATGAACTTCATCACCATGAACCACAATATCTTGTAGAATCTGTTTACCTAAAATTTTATCAATATTTGGAATGGTTTTCAAGATTTTATCATATTCATCTTCACTTTTACTTGCTCCATCGACCTGTGATGCATCTAATTTTGAATCCTTAATAATTCTCTCATCACCATCATCATAATTTTTATGCAACTCTTTACCATGAGTAGATCCACGAGAAAGATTTGTACTTTTGGAAGACTGACCTGCAGTTCTAGTAACAACAGGAGATACTGTCCGGCTCTTAGATAATACTGATGAAGAAGATTTATTTTTAGTTTCACTAGTAGATACCACATATTTTATGTTCATGTGGTCATGAAGTTTAGAGCTAGCACTAGACCCCAGTTTAGTTTTTTTTGTACCAGCAGCAACCTTCTTATGCTTTGATGGATCAATTTTCCTAGCTGTAGGTACTTTCTTACTAGCTTCTGTTTTTTTATTCAAAATCATTTTCTTCTTGCCATCTTCTATTAAATTCTTATTCACACTACTTGTTGAATTTGGTTTACATGAAGAAATACTACCATCACTTTTAGTTGATGTCTTATACACTAACTTTGCAACTTGAGAGGCTGAAACATTACTCTTAGTTCTATCTGATTCCACATTTGGTTTTGAATGACTCACTAATTTTTTTTTCATTGGTGGTTTTGAAGAACTTAATAATGATTTTGAATGCGAGCCTTTATTTGATTTTACTATTAGCTTGTGAGTTGTGCCCTTCTTGGTTATTACACTGGAAGGGTGTGACGGACTAGTTATTGGCATTACAGGTGTTGACTTATTTGATTGCAAAATTGGCCTTTTACTTATACTCGAATCTGTATTGATATGGCTTGATGACTTCTGTTGGGTATTAATAGCTGTACTAATTGAAGGAGCACTGCTGTTTTTAACCATATTCTTATTCAATAAGTTATGTTTTTGAGGTTTCATTTCCGGCATAATTTGTTTAGGAATTATCACTGGAACTCTAGGTATTTGAGGTAATGGAGGTGGTAGTTTTTCTGGGAGAGGAGGGATAAACTGATCTAATTTTGTATTTATTTCTTTATTGTCTTTATTATGTCCTAATGATTTTGATAGGGAGATGCATAAATGTGATAAATCTTGGATTAATTGACCATTATTTATATCTACAGGTTTATCTGATGCTCCATTCAACTTTTCTAATGCTTGCAGTCTTACTTTATCCTCTTCATCTAAATAAAGATATTCATCTTGAGAATCAATTAACGAAGAAGCAGAAGCAAAAGCTAAATCTTGATTATCCAACGTTTTTTCACTCTGATTCTCCATAGGTTCGTAGTCATCTTCATAGTACTCAGACACATCAAAATCCAAATCTTCAGAATCTGAGTATATACTGTAATTTGTTGCATCACCATTATCATCTGTTTGATTATTCAGTATATTATTATTATTATTATTATTATTATTATTATTATTATTATTATTATTTTCTTCTACTATAGATATGTGTGATAAATCATCATTACCAAAACTGTTTTCAGGACTGTCATCACTATCAATCACTATTAATTCGGGAGAGGCATTATTTCGGTCTTCCACATCATAATCGTTATAATTTTTATCATTAATGCCAACACCTTCAAAATTTTCAAATGGGTTGGTCTCATTGGAATGTGTAGACATAGAACTTTGATTGTCATTACCAATAGTATTAAATGTATTACTTTGAATAAAATGATTTTCTAGTGGTTTTGAATTTGTAAAGTTAACTTTGATATCATGATTCCGCTGTGAAGTATTAAAATAATCATTAAAAGAATGTGTATGCTGTCCCCTATCCAATCCTCTACCATTGTTTCGAAGTGTAGTCCTAGAGAATCCATGTGAAGAATTTATTGAGGAAGAGGAAGAAGGAGAAGACATAGTAGTCTGTAACCTATTCAAAGAATTGTTATACAATTTGCTGTAATAAGAAACTTTGGTTTTGTAATGTTTCTTTTTGACATCTGCTCTGGAAGACAATTCAGGATTGTCCTTTAACATTTTTTGTAAGTCATCTAAATGGATTTGTGCTTTATGATATAATTCTCTTACCCCACTCAATATGCTTAATTCGTCTGCAGTATAGTTCTCAGTATTTGGATATGTGTGATTTATAGTGGTTAAACAAAATAAAGCATCTGTAGTTAGGGCCTTCCAACCTTGCAAAGCACCATTATAATTTTTAGAATTTTCTAGTTTTTTATAATAGATAGTCTCATTAGCTATCTTTGAATATAATTCAGTCAAATCAGTCAAGGGTTGTTGGTGTTTTTTTTTTAATTTAGTAAATTTGCCAAATATACCATTTGAACTATCCATTCTTATATTTAATACGGGATATAGAAACGGATCAAAACAGAATAAAAAATAAGGAAAGAAAGAAAGAAAGAATTAAAAAAAAAGGTCTACAAATAAAATAAAATTGTATAATTACTAATAAAGTTTGTTATAATATGTGTTTTTATTATTTTTTTGATTATCTGTTTATACTTCTTTTCTGTTCCCCTCAACTCGAACTTTCCAGCAGCTATTCCTTAATTAGGTTAATTATTATTACTATTTTTTTTTTTTTTACACTTTTAACTACTTTTAATATCTTTAACACATTTTCGACAGATCAAAAATTTATAAGAAAAGGCAAGAAAAGTAAAAAAAAAAAACTGGAGAATCAGAGACGAAAAGAAGAGAATTGCATTATAAAAATTGACAGCAATGTAATACGGAGCTCTTTAAATATACAAGAATACAAAGACATAGAAGTCTCTTTAAATAATAATGATATTAGTGATATATATATATATATATGTATGTATAGAGTTATTTGTCTATCTAGTAGAATATTTTTTTTGATTCTTTTCTTGTTCACCTAAAATCAATTCTTCAAATACACGAGCTTCTTCAGCTTCTTCAGGAGTTCTTCTTGCCTTAGCGAATTTATCAGCAAAATATAGTAATGCCTTCGCTCTTTCTTTACGTTCTCTTGAAGACACAGACTTATCCTGTAATAATTTATTACAAACTTCTTTCAATTTTCTTTCTAACTCAAATTTCGACATTGCCCACATGACACCTAATGCCTTACCTGCCATTTGTGATTCAAATTTGACTCTTTCAGCTGGATCCAAGTCATCAGGGTTAATCTTTTGCATTTCTTCCATAGATTTTTGCGCCTCCAAACCTGTTGATAATAGATTATATGCAGATTTCACAGTACGTGCATTTTCACGTGTCCCAGTAATAATCTTTGAGAAACCAAATGTTTTTTTTGCCATTAAATAGTCGTTAGCTTTAGTTTTATAAACTCTTGATAAAAGATGCAATAGTTCCATACCGAAACTTTCCAATTTCAATTCTTCGATCTCTTGATTCAATTTATTGCCAAACTCATCTAAACGATGGTCTCTTTGTGAAATCAAATACTCCTCTATCCTATCTTTCAACTTGGTCGATAGCTCATCGACTTGCTTCTGTATATCTTCACGTCTTGCCTTTTCAAGTTCCAATAATTTTTCTCTTTGTTCTTTAGTCATTTTATTTTTATTTTTATTTGAATTGTTTGATAATGAATCATTAGCCATTAAATCTACATCTCCAGTTACAGACGAATGAGAACCGTTTGGATTTAAATTTGCATTTGGATTGGAATTAGTTGCTGACATATTACCATTCAAATTGATATCATCTTCAGTCATCGAATTCAATTCTTTGAATAAGGAAAATTCACCGATCCAATCTTTGAAACCGTCACCGCCGAAGATCATAGTGAAATATTCATTAGCGTCCTCAAACCCAGATTGTGGTATAGCATTGTCTTTACCGAACTTATCATATTGATCACGTAAAGTAGGGTCACTCAATACTTGATAGGCTTCACCTACAGCTTGAAATTTAGATTGTGCAGTTGGATCATTTGGATGTTTGTCTGGATGAGTTTCCATAGCTTTTCTACGATAAGCCTTTTTGATTTCTGCTGATGTAGCAGTCGGTTGGATACCTAAGATATCATAATATTCTGTTTCTTTGACCATTGTATAGTATTAACTGTTACAGATTCTGATACTATTATTATAAATGGTTATTATCAGTGATGTTTCTTTTCACTACTTACAATATAGTTGCAAATCTACACAAACCCACACACACACATACACACGCACACACGTAGAAAGAAAGAAAAAGAAAGAAAAAGATAAAGATAAAAAAAAAAGATTGACAAGTGTATCAAAGTATTAAATATTAAAGCCAGTAATGTTAGCAAGAGAACCTTCCGAATGTTATATATACATGCACAGACCGATTAATACATAAGCAATCGAGAGAAAAACCGGAACTAGTCACAAAGATCAATGTGTGTTTATAAATGAACAAACGTCTGCGCCCACAAATCTCCACGAAAACCATTCATTTCCTCACAGTGAAGAAAGAAGAAAAAGTAAAAGAAAAAAGAAAAAAAAAGAGGGTTAGGGGGGGGGCAAGGAGGAAATAGGCGGTTGTTTTGTAAATTTTTTTTTTCCTTTTGTAATTCCAAAAACAAAAAAACCAAATTCATTGCGGATTTACATAGGCTTACATACGGGATTACGGGATTACGACTAAATGCGGAATTTAAAAGATATGGGGTGCGGGGTGTGTGGGTGTCTCACGGCCCACAGTTTCCGTTGAATCGAAAACAAAGAAAAAAGAAAGAAATTACCTCGTTTCTCTCTCTCTTTCTCTTGTCTCACTTCCCTTGAGATATATAATACATTAATATATATATGATTATATATCATGTTGGAGAAAACAACATGATAAAGAGAATAAAATAAATTAAACAACAGAAAGAACAGTGCATGTATATGTACACATATATCAAATATAACAAGTGATTGTATCCTTTCTCCTCTCCATTTTATATAACATTAACACAACGATGACATCTGCTGTAACATCATTGACAAGACCTGAGATTTTATCCTTATATAGACAGATAATAAAGAATAGTAGGAAATTTACAAATTACAATTTCAGAGAATATTTCTTACGAAGATCACGTTCAGAATTCAAAAGGAACATGCACTTAAATGATCCTTCTCAGATATCTGATCTATTCACTAAAGCTAAGAATGAATTGGCTGTACTGAAAAGACAGGCAATCATATCTCAATTATATACTTTCGATAAGACCGTTATTGAACCTTTAAACAAGAAATAAATAGATAAATAGGTAAATAAGTTCATACATATACATACATATATATATATCCACGCACACACACATACTTGAGCTATTGATATTCTAATATATATTATTTTTGAAAAAATAATAACTAGTATGTTTTCATTCACAACCTATCTCTGTATATCTCTATTTGTAATTACTGTTTGGATACCTGTGTATTAAATTGATACGAATGATACAAAACATAGGGCTAATAAATTATGTATAAAATATTATTTTATTATTCTTTTCTTTTTGTATATCCATTAGGGTGGATAGATATTTTTCCTATTTTTCTTTTCCACTTTTCCTTTTAAAATTTTTTTCTTCTTTCCTCTCACCTACTCTATTGGATTCAAATTATTAAACATATTAAATATATTAGTTATGATGAGCTAAATCAATATTGAATGACTACTCTGTCATTCAATTATTCAATCACATACCTTTCTAATACCATATCTACCTTCAAAATAAAAAAAAAAAAAACAACATATACTACAACTTAAAATGTCTAAAAGAAGTATTCCTATAAACCAAACTGAAGATGGTTCAAACCTAAAACAGCAAGTCTCAGAAGATGAAAAAGCTACTCTTTTATTTAATCCAAAACTATGGACTCAAGATTTTAAAAATCAAATGAAGGATACAATCCTAAATAACAAACCTTTCCAATGGGGCTGTATTGACGATTTAGTAGACGACCAATTACTAAGAGATGTAAGAAATGAAATTGAAACACAGATCCAATTCACTGAAAAGGAAACCGATATTTATAAAGTTAATCAATCGGGTGATTTGGCAAATCTATCTAAATTAGATTCAGAAACTTTACAAAAATTACCTAATCTATTTAAATTACAACAAATTCTATATTCGAAAAAATTTAGAGATTTTATGTCCTACATCACCCAGTCTGGTCCATTGTCTCATTCTAAAGTTGATCTAAGTGTTAATATCTACAAAAAGGGGTGTCATCTACTAGTACACGACGACGTTATCGGATCTAGACGTATCTCCTTCATCATCTATTTACCTGATCCAAGTAGAAAATGGAAAGATCATTATGGTGGTGGGTTAAGATTGTTCCCAACTGTCGATTATAATATTCCACACTCTGACCATATAGCCAAATTGGTACCACAATTTAACCAATTTGCATTCTTCAAGATTCAACCCGGTTATTCATGGCATGATGTAGAAGAAGTTAAAGTGGATAAATACAGATTATCTATCCAAGGTTGGTATCATATTCCTCAAGAAAATGACTCAGATGGATTTATACCAGGTGAAGAAGCTAACTGGATTAAACAAAATGAATCTTTGGCTTACACAGATTTGACTCCATTCACTTTCCCCAAACCAGAATGTCCGTTAATTGATTCTAATGTTCTCGCTGATGCCATCGGCACTTATAACAACAACAATAACACTAAAACTTTCCTAACTTCTAATGATATCGAGTTCTTGTCAAACTATTTATCTCCACATTATCTTAACCCTGATACTATTGAAAAATTAAAAGATAATTTCTTTAATAGTTCATTTATCTCATTAGACAATTTCTTAAACAAGGAGAAATCTGATCTTTTACAGAAAATGATCAAATTTAATGAACTGAATAAACAGACTCCAATCTCTATGGAACAAGTCTCTCCACCATGGGAGTTGGCAAGACCACCACATAAATGGCAGTTCTTATATCTAGAAGATATGGATAAGGACCAAACAAACGGTGCTACCGCTATTACTGAAGACGATGAAATGACCACTGAGTTAGATAAATTAAGACATTTCTTTAAATCTGACACATTCAAAAAATATATCTTGGAGATTACTAACCTAGTAGTTGTCACAGAACAAGTTTTAGTAAGAAGATTTAGACCTGGTTTTGATTACACCTTAGCTGAAACTTTAGATATTAATAAAATAGTCGACGACTTACTAGATTGTGTATTAGAGGGGACTTTATCGTTAACACCATTCGATGGTTGGGATGATGGAAATAACGGCGGCTATCAATTATATATGCTCAATGAAGCTGACTTAAGAGAGGATCAGGTTTCAGGCAATGATGCCATTTTGATTAATAAACCAGCGTCATGGAATTCATTTCTTCTAGTCATGAGAGATGTTGATGTCCTTGAATTTATTAAATTTGTTGGATTCAATTCTAAAGGCTCCAGATGGGACATTAAAATGTCTTGGAATGTTAAAGATCTAGAAGGTGAAGAAGATGAAGAAGAGACGAATGAACAAAAGTAACTGCCGCTCAAAGACATACTGTTTTTCTTTTTCTTCATTCCTTTTCTTTTCTATTTTACCTGTTCTGTAATCATTTCAATAACAAAGCACTACTTTTTCTTTATTTATCTTTTTGAAGTTTCATTAATTGATAGATTAAATTTCATGATTTGCCTTTTATCTAAGAAGAATATGTATTATAAGTATAATAGCAACAATTATAATAAATTTATTACAAATATCTTTCTTTGAGATATATGGATAAGTATTTATTATATATACACACAAATGTACATACATATATATTATTTACACGTTAAAAAATATTTCATTCGAAGATGTTCAAAATCTATCGAAAACACTATCCTCATCTATTATAATTATTTGACGTTTTAGACATTAACCCAATAGCTTGACAACGTCTAATAGCCTTGGATATTAATCTTTGGTCCTTTGGAGATAAACCTGTCACATCCCTATGTAAAATTCTGCCTGTAGATGAAACATATTTGGACAATATTTCAGGGTATAAATATAAATCCAATGGATTGATCTTATTCAGCGGCTTTTTATTCTCACCAAACTTTCTATCTAAATTGATTCTTGCTAAAGAAAAATCAAATGGATCATATATAGATTCTGTACTGAATTGTTTCAAAAATCTTGGTTCGACCACTTTTATGTTATCACTACTAGTGCTACTATTACCCTTCATATCTTTCCCCAGACGTTCAACAGAATCCTTACGAGTAACTGGCTCTGTTAAATCTAATGATAAAAACATTCCATTACCACTCCTGCTACCCTTCTTAGCATTAGTGCTACGGTTTGGAGGGAAACTAAAGTTTTGAAGTTTTCCACTTGAATAGAAATATCTTACATTAAAGCGTATAGTCGTTTTAGTGATATTACGGACAATCAACATTTGTTATTTTTATTTGTGTATATTAGATAATAAAAAATCAAATACTTACTTTCGTTTAAACTTGTGAGTACTTCTCAGATATTTATCCTTTATGCATGTGAGGTGTTCTAATCTTCCAAAAACTTAATATTCTTATATATTTCGAATGTTTCCTCTTAGTCTGCTTTATTATATACTTTCTCTACCCCTTCACTCAAATCAGTTTAAAAGATTGAAAAAAAAAATAAAAAGAAATTTTACTACATAAAAATTGGTTCCTCGAAAAAGTAAAATACAGATACTGTGACGCTTAGCGTATATACATATGAAACTAAACATTATTGATATTAAAGAAGAACTATATTATTTAACATATCCATATTAACACCAGTTTTACAGGTATTCCTATGCAATTCAAAATAAAATAGAAATTATTATATTAAAATACACAGCAAATAATCACAAAAAAATCATTATATTATTATTTTTATCATTTACATATCTATAATACACAAATCTGAATGTACACATTACTAATGGATCATCCAAAAATTTCAAATCAAAGACTTAACTTCTTTAATTGTTCTAATCGTTCATCAATAGCATGTTCAAACGCTGAAGGTCTTTTTTCATCTAGTAATTTGCCGTGGATAGATTGCAAAGCCTTAATGGTATCTTCTGCATCAATAACACAAGAAATAGTAATTTCATTAGACCCTTGACTTATCATTTCAATATTAATGCCTTGTTCAGCTAAAGTCGAAAACATTGTCCCTGCAATACCAATAAATTGTTTCATTTGCTTACCGACTAAAGAAATAATAGCCATTTTCTTAATGACATCTACTGTACCCAAATTCTTCAATTGTTCTATAGCCTTTTTCAAAGATTTCAATGAATCTGAATCTGGAATAGGTAAGGCCATCGAAACGTGGACTTCAGATGTGGAAATCAAATCAACAACTAACTTGAATTTATCCAAAATAGTAAATATTTGGGCTAAGAAACCATGGGATAATGTCTTCTTATTAGAATGAATATTTAACACTACAATATCATTCTTTGCAGTAATGGCAGTAGCACCACGTTTCCTTTTTTCAAAGAAAGATGATGACAATGCTTCAGGTGGATGCGGCGGGGTGGATTCACCTTTCTTAGCAATATTGTCTGGATAAATCATAGTACCATTACCTCTTGGATTTTGAACATTCTTAATTCTAATAGGAATCTTTGCTCTAATAACTTGTTCCATAGTAAAAGGGTGAATGACTTCTGAACCATAATAAGTCAATTCTGATGCTTCTTCTGGTGTAACAGAATCCAATAAACGAGCTTCTGGGACCTTTCTTGGATCAGCAGTAAAGATACCATCAACTTCTTTCCAAATTTGCAATTCATCTGCATTTAATGCAACGGCAATCAAAGCAGCACAAAGATCTGTATAACCACGACCAACACCATTCAGTAAACCCATTGGAACTAACCCAAAGAACCCTGTAAACACAGGAACGATTCTTTCTTTAGATTCAACAAATGGTTGTAATTTAGCCTTTAATGCTTGAACCAACATCACATAGAAACTAGAATCCAAAGTAGTAGCAGTGTAATCTTGAGGAATAATATGAGACAAATCAACATATTCAGCTTTTACACCACGGTCATTACACAAAGCAGTGATGAATAAACATGACAATTTTTCACCTGCAGACATCACCAAATCAACAGTACGTGGTGAAACTTCACCTAAAATTTTGGAAGCATCTAAATAAGTTTGAACAAGATCCAATTCCTTCTTCGTATCTGATATTAAATTGATTTGTAACACGTCATTTTCAATATACTTTTCAGCATTGTTGATATGATCCTGCCTTATAATATCAATAATATGTTTATAGTCCAATTCCTGGGAAGCTAACTCACAACAATTAAGTAATCTAGAAGTAGTACCTTCAGCTTTGGTATAAGAAGAACGAGCAGAACACACAACTGCAACGTTATTATTTAAACTTGGTTCTTGTGAATAAAATTTAATAATTTCATCAACAATTTGAACAGCAAATTTACCAACAGAAGTACCACCGAACTTTTGAACAATCCAATTACTGTTTGTTTCAAGCATTTTAATTTAATTTCTTATTTTAGATGACCTATTAGTAGTTATATGTTTGGTACTTTGTATTCTATACAAAAGTTCAAAGTTACTAATAAAATGAAGAGGATCTCAATAAGCGAATGAAGAAAATATAGCACACTTAATTATCTTTTGTATGTATGAATTAAAAGAAAAATGACCAGCAATCAAGTAAACATCAGAGTTAGCAAACATCAATAAACCAATTTGATTCCTGCTCAGCGACATTTCAATCGTTTTATTAAACACCCAATATTATATAGATCTGAACTACGTTCTACAATCTCTATTATTCGATACACCGAGAGCATTACTGCTCGGGCAAAAAAAAAAATAAGAAGAAATTTCAAAAGTGAGTCATTGTTAATTTCCAAAAAAAGAAAATCTCAGCTCAGTTAAATATTTTCATATATTTTTTATTCATGTTAAAACCCTAAAATGTTTTAAAGACTAAACAAGAAAAATTTATAAATTACTAGTCTAGCCCTGATGTTATTTTTATGACACACTCTTTTTCTTCCCTTTATACCTCCGCTTTTATGCTTTTGTTACAGTGCAGAAGAGTCTCGAACGTAAAAGACATAAACGAATATTAAAGTATATATCATACAAAGTTTCAGAGTTGATCTACCACCCAATAGCTCTCTCAAGAAAGGTCCTTGTCATATAAAGATAATAAGATTTGCTGTTATTAATACAGAGTGGAAGTTACACTAATCAATATAAGTTAGACATATTTTTAAAATTAAAATAAGCAAATCAAAAAAAATAAACAAGCAACATGGGTTCCCCTCAAACTCAGCTCCAATAATTATTAAAATATCAAGGTAATCTGAGATGTGCAGACTGTAAACTGCAGCAACATCCTAGATGGGCCTCTTGGTCCCTGGGTGTCTTTATCTGTATTCGATGTGCAGGAATTCATAGGTCATTAGGTACGCATATTTCCAAAGTCAAATCGGTTGATTTAGATTCTTGGGTAACTGAAAATTTATCTCAATTTTTTATTAATGGCAGCAATGAAAGGGTTAACTCTTTGTATTTTGAAAATAAACTAACAGATGAAGAAAGAGCCACTTTAGATCTAAGTGATAGTGATATTTTGGTCCAATTTATTCGAAATAAATATCAGGCAAAGAAATGGGTTAGTGATATTTTGTTAGCCCCTGCACAAACAACTGAATCTATTTTACCAATACCTGAAAAATCGATCTATTCCCAGCATGAACAACAAGTGACATCAGAAAAACAACCTACATTAGCCACAGATACCACTGTTTCGCCAAAACTGCCTGTTTTACATGATAATTTAACTGATATGATTCGTATGAATCCACTTAAACCAATATCGAATTTAAACTCGAAGGTTAAAATTAATAGCACTAATAACAAGTATTTATTAAACAATAGGAGTCAAGATGGTTTTGTAAAACGGTCTATCTATAAACTATATGCATCTTCCGAATAATAAACATAATTAATTATATACAAATCACCGGATAAATCTGTAATATATGCACTATTCAAAAGATACAATCAAGCAAATTTCAATATTAGTCATAACTGTGGAATATTTCAAAAGCTCTCAATAGTACACTTAGAAATAAATTTACAAAACAGCCTTAATATACATCAATGATTTTACCTTCTATTTTATTTATGTTACTTCTTCTTTCAGATATTTTGTTGTTTTTCTTATAAAACAAAACAGAAGAAGAAATAAACTCTTCCATAGATTATAATTATTGTAAATGACAGAAGATCAATATAGTAAAAATCATGTTTTCTCTTTGAAGTGATAGAAAATATTTGTTAATAATTCTTATTTCATAATTAGTTTTTTATTCTAATGGAGAGAGAGAGAGTATATTTTATTAATGACATTAGCAAAAATTTTGAAACAGCTTAAACGGCCAAATAATTTGACATAAAAGCATTAATCATCATTACATAAAATTCATATACAGTATAAATAGAGAATAAAATGTATAAGACTTTCCCTATATATAAAAGCAATCGATACATAGAGACCAAGTTGAAAAGAATATAAAACTGTTAAAAATCATAAATCAAAAACCAAAATTATATGATAATTATAAGACGGTATCATTATTTTACAAAGTAAAAGGATTGTTAAATCCATTCATAACAACCTCAACTTTATAATTTTTTCCATCATTGTTATCCCAAAATTCTAATCTTTCTCTATCATTTCTTGTCACATAACATATACAAAATTCCAATTTCCCTACTGTATCTATTTTATTTGTATCCGCAATAAGGAAATGAAATACATCCATATTCGTTCCAGGCAGTACGCTGTCACCATTACTCAACCATAGACATTCTACTTCATTGATAGTATTCCAATTATTCCACGTGTATCTTACAGTGACTCTTTTATCATAATAAATGTTTTTAACCATGACTTTCCCAATGATATATCTAGTAGTATTTGTGGCAGATCCGATTGTTTTAAAATTTGGTGACATGAAATTTCTTTGATGAATATGCAAAGATATTTCTTGCAAAAAAACTTTCTTATCTTGGGATAGACTAACAAAAATATTCAATTTCAACGATTTCGGATTCTTATTACTTAATATTGGGAAATTTTGATTATATAATCCAACAACTTTATTAGTTCTCATCTTATTTAATACTTTTTTTTTAGATTTTACCTTTATTATCTCTCTAATACTATTATTAGTATTAGACAAATCATCATTATTTAACATAAGGGAATCAATCGTAATTTTGGTCTCCGATGGAATCTTACTAATCCTTGATTGAAGTACTCTATCAATATCAATCTGTCTTGAACTATTACCATTATCATTATCATTATCATCATGATCATTATTATTATTATTATTCACAGTGTTGTTGTCATCTAATTGATTTGGATTTTTTTGTTTTGAGGCAATACCTTGAAACCTCTTGCTTTTTCGTAACGGTTTTTCTTTGTCATTTGAATTCTTTGTCATAGAGGTTTCTTCTTCACTCACCGATTCTTTATCTACAGGCTGATCCCTTTGTAACAAGTGTCGTTTTTCTTCCAACAATAATTTTTTAAATTTAATCAACAAATCTTCCTCTGCACTTTCATCTACATTTTCATTATTATCATCTGAATTATTATTATTCAATTTTGCTACCTGTCCTAATTTTTTGGCTTTATTTAAAAGATTGAACTTCAACATATCTTCAAATTCATCTTTAGAATAAACATTCATTGGACTTTCATCGCTAATGAAATACTTGACTGGAGCTCTTTGATCGAAATGCACACTTTTACTTCTTAAAAGCACAGGCTGTTTGCCACTGTTTGAGTTAAATCCATTAGCGGCACCTGCAGCAGCAGCAGCAGGAGTCGACGGCAAAGATTTAGACCTTCTTTTCAGAGAACTTTTAACTAATTCACCGGATTTTTTATAGACTGGAGTATTCAAATTCAAAAAGCTATCAGATGAGTCATTATTTAGATAATTGAAAGCGTCATTCTCATAATTTTCATAGCTGTTTATAGTATAATTTATATTGTTTAGAGGATCAACTTGATCAGTGGGCAAAGCAGATTTGGGGGACAACGGGGGTAAATCTAGAGTGATTTGTTTATTAAGATCTGTATTTCTTTGCAAAATTTCCTCGGGAAACCTAGCACTATTGAATTGTTTTACTCTTTGTGGTTTATGTAAAAATTTCAAAGAATATATTTCTTTTGTGTTATTATTATCATTATCATTATCGTTATTATTGTAGGAGAAAGTGGAAGAGGAGGAAGAAGGTGGTGTTAGATTAGAATTTGATGGAGATATGAAAGGACTAATAAAATTTGAACGTGAATTTGAAACAGAACTAAAATGATGGTTGCTGATAATACCAGGTTGAAGACTATTATTGTTATCACCTTTTGATTTGTTTGCTTTTAACGGTAGTTTTGATTCGGAGGATATTTTTCTTAGAAACTTATGAGCATCGGCTTTACTGTGATTACTACTTCCTATGACATGTGAGAACGTACTATGTGAAGGAGTTTGATTATGACTTCTATTAGCGCTCCTGTTGAAAGAATCACAGTTTTCTATACTTTTATCTTTATTAATGTTTCTATTCTCTACTTTGATATACATTTATACCAACTGAACCAAAAAAAAAAAATAAAAAATTTAAAAATTAAAATATAGAGAATAAATTAAATAAATAAGGGAATGGTATTGAAATAATATTGGAATAGTAATTAAATAGTGCAAAAGAGAAAAAAATAGTAATATAATCTATAATATGATACAACTGATGTACTAACTGGTTGTTTATTATTAATCCTAAACTTTATTTAGAAAATATATTTATCCTTGAAAATAACCTATATCACTATCCAAATCAAACACTTTATAGTGATTAATAGATAAATAGATAGATAAACAAATGAATAAATCTGAACTAAATCTCGAAAATTAATTTCTAATGTCTACTATTTTCTCTTATTTAAAAGGATAGAAGGAAGAAAATAGAAAAAATAGGAAAAAAACAAAAACAAAAACAAAAGAAATTAATAGTTATATTATATAACACACCTTAGTAAATTTTGTGTCACGAACTAGGGAGTGTGAGGTAAATTGTTAGAGAGAGACAGATAGAGAAGGTAGAGAAGGGAGAAATGGATGAAGGTAAATATGTATAACTGTACACCAGTTACTTACCGTGTTCTATTACTACCATATAGTGTAGTAATGTTTGAGGACAAAAGCAAGACACAAGGAAACTACTTGCAGGAGCTGCAGAGTAGATAGAGATAGAAATAAAAGATAAAGAAACATAACAAACCAAGAAAAAGGGGGGGGGGGGGAGAAGGCAGGCGGGAAGGAAAAAGAAGAAGAAGAAGAAGAAGAAGAAGGAGAAGAGGAGGGGGAAGACTTGGGAGGAGGATAAGATAAGAGACGAGAAGAAAACAGAAAGGATCTTTATATCTTTAAATCATAAAACTTCCCCAGCAAAAGGAATCTGCGCCAAAATGACTATCCTTTACGTTCTTTCCCTCTCCTTTCTTTTAACGCAATAGAAGCTCTAAAAAAAAACCTACACACTTTCCTCCCTTTCCAACTCCCTCTTTCTTTTTTTCTTTACTCACATTCCCGAACCCTCGTTCTCAATATTTATAGTTTTTGTGTCTGATCTTTTGCCCTGAAGTTGGAGTAATGACCGATCCTCTCCTGAAAATAGGTTAGGGGCCAGAAAACTTGAAAATTGGGGGAAAAAAAGAAAAGAAAAAGGAAACGCATGTATAACGCCGACACCACAAATAGAAAAAAAAAAAGGTCTAGCAAGAAAAACAACACGTTAACTCTAGATTTTTGCATTAATGGCATGAAGATGACTCATCAATAATCTTTTTCTTATTCTTTTTTTTCCCACATTTATAATAGAATGTGATGAGATCAGACCAAAATCCCGTTAGGGTTTAGTTTAAATAAATTTGAACGTATGTTGCAAGACGATAGGGTTAGAATAAAAAAATTATAAATATATTTCTTTAGAGATACGCTTTTTTTTTTTTTTTTTGTTCTATTTTCCACATGACTTTCTGTGTGTAGAAAATTTTAAGGGGCAGACTACGAATAGTGATATATAATTTTCAAAACTCTAATTTTTCCCCTGTTGAGAAGAAAACAAATGACGGAGATTACTGATTTGGAACAAATCATAGTGGGAACGAGAAACGGTAAAGTAAGGTGACTTTATAAAAGTAAAAAATTAAAATTAAGAGAGTATTAATAATAGCTTTTTTAAATTTGTATGGCATTTTTTCTTGCTATTACTACTACTATATTATTAGTATTATTTATGGTGTAATCTAAATCACTGAATAAAGTTAACAATTACTAAAAATGTAACAAGGGATAAACAACTTTTTCGTCCATACATTTATCATACCTTCTTTATTTACGTATACTAACCTAATTTTTTTGTTTTCTTTTTGCATAAAAAATATATATATTTCTTGTCAACAAGCATTGATGAATTAATTAATTAATCGATTGATCACTTGTCTGTACTTGTTACATCCTCCCCCATGTTTTAGATCTTATATTAATATAAATAGACCTGAATTTATGGTCCATATAAAGATGTATCAAAAAAGACCCTGCTTAGAATAAAATGTCTAGTTTGTACCTTTCTAGCAGTACTGTACAAATCCTACAACTATAAAAATAACCTTTTTAGTTTGAAATTCTCTCTCTCTCTGCCTCTCGCTACTCTCTCTACTGTATATATATACACCTTGCATAGTTTTTTGTTTTTTCTTATTTTATTTTATTATTGATGTTATCACAGCAATTTTTTCATAAAGTGTCTTTGCCTTCTTTTTTCTGTTTTTCATTAGTTCGTCTCATTCTAAATCCTTTAAGAAAACTTATATAGTCTTATATACTAAATCTTTAACATAAGTTTTAAACCTTTTATATATATACATACATATATATATATTAGGTTGGCATAAATACATAAAAAAATATTTGTCAGAAAAAAAAAAAAGAAAAAAAGAATAAACATTGTGCTTGTGTCTTCTATAATATTTACACATACACATATGCATATTTTACCAATATCGATGTTCCTCTATTCTTTTATTTTTATTTATTTATTTATTTTTTTTTCTAGCAGTTTGTTACTTCTTAAACACGACAATTTGAAACTTCAAAGACAAGAATATCTGTAGCACCCTCTTTTTTCAACTCATCTAATATAACACCTTTTTGCTTCCTTTCAATCATCGAAGAAACAGCAACCCATCCCTCATCATCAATATTCTGAATGGTTGGTGCTTTTCTACCCGGTGTGACTTTCAACAAGTTCTTTAGATTAGATTTTGGCGCATTATAGGTACAATAAACATATTTTTGTGCTGCCATAACACCTTCTATTCTTGACTTAATTGTCTCAATCAAATCTTTGTCACTCTTTGGGTTCTTAGATTGAATCAAGTGTGCACTTGTGTCCAAGACCGTAGCAATATCAGTTAACCCTGCTGCACGCATAGTCTCACCGCTTTCCACCAAATCTACAATAGCATCTGCCACGCCAAGGGCACAACTAGCTTCCACAGACCCACCAACATATTTAATCTTGGTAGTCATTTTATCTACTGGAACGCCTTCCAAATCAGCGAAATATTTACTTGCCAAGTTTGTGAAACTAGATACAATAGTTTTACCAATCAATTCACTTGGATCCTTGTATGGTCCATTTGCAGGAACTTGAACTTGTAGTTTACACTTACCAAACTCCAAATCAATAGGCAATTCGACGTCAATGTCCGCTTCTCTCACTTGGTCATAACCAGTGATACCTAAATCACACTTACCTTCCCCAACAAACATTGGGATATCTGCAGCTGGTAAGAAAATTAACGCAATTGGTAATGATGTAGATAGTGCAATATCCAATCTTTGAGATCTGTGGAATTTGATATCAGACCCATTCAAGATTTCCACACACTTATTATATAACCTACCTTTTTTTGGAATGGCAAATAATAATCTGTCCTCTAAGTGATTAACTAAATCCATGTTGATGCTGTTTGTTTTCTAACTTCTGCACTTTCCTTTATCTTTGTTTATTCTCCTTCCTCCTCTATAGAAAATATAATGTTCGTATTTAATCAAGACACGCATTGAATATGAAAGTTTAAAACAACGCAGATCCAGTTAAAAAATACTAAAATACAGGGCCTGTTAAGAGAAGACCAAGATATAATAGATAATGGGCTTCAAAACGGTATTAAACAGCGACAGCCAAGAGAAAAACACAAAAGAAGAGGTGTTAGCACCAAATGACAAAAATCACAGGTCATTTTATAACAAATATATAAAACAGATCTTTTATAAATGAATAGTAAAAAATGAAAAATCTTAAGTGACAAAATGACACATACAAAATTCACATACCTGACTCATTCTATTGAAACTAAATTACTATGAAGATTTTGTGGCCTTTTGTTTTTCCTTTGGAAATCCACATAAAGCCAAGTAATTTTCTTTTTCGTTAATAATGACAATCATTCATCAGTAAATTTTATATAATAGTTAATCACTGATATGGCATAGCCACTAATACAACATGTTTCCTTTGGTAATTTCTCTTTACTAGTTGAAGTATATATTAACTATTATCGTTAATCTATTTTCGGTATTACGTGAGTAACGAAAAATGAGTTGAATGAGATAATACTCTATAGGATGATGACATTGTGAATCTTCCTATATAGTATAGGAATATCTATGTTTAATATATTTTCTAAAATCTCTTGTAAAAGATTACACTTATTTGAATAATGATATGTTGTAATAGAAACAGTTTTATTATCTTAAAATTGTTTAGAACCCAGGGTAGACATACATTACTTTAGATTTTTTTACTTCTTACTTGTGAGAAATTCTAAGTACAGATTTGTACTTTGAGACGTGAGTATTTTGGTCTAGTTTGGTCATTACACTATCGCCCAACATTAACCTATTAACGAGAGTAGAAAATAGAAACAACTCATAATAAAAGCGTAGTTTTAAAAGAGTTCTATGTAACAATACAAAATTTAATATAAAAATATACAACCCAAATAACCAAATGACACTGACATTCTTGTACAGGAAAAAATTACTACATGTATATATTAAGATCTGAATATATTACTAATAATGACGATGAATTTTGATTCTATTTTATACTGCGATGTTTTTTTATGTTTCTCCTTGATCAACTCTTCTTAACGACCAAGATACTTAATTTCAAGTGGTCTTAGAATAATATACACAAGGAACGCCCAAGAGGCACCTAACTCGAACCCTATATCACCACCATATTCACCAATTCTACGAGAAATTTCACCTACCCAATATGTTTGATCCATACCTAAAGCAACACCAAATGCACCGACAATTAAACCACTTGTACCAGCAATACCGATTGGTAATCTTCTCCAATTATTCCAATCTTCTACAATGTAAGCATTAAAACTCTTTCTAAATACAAAATGTTCAGTGAGTGCCATACCTGAATAAATAGCTAAATAGTAACCAATGGAATTCATGAAATTTTCCATAAAAGCGTCAAAGTAGTAACATGCAGGAATACAAATGGCCAAAGTGGCAGCATTACCACACATAGTCCAAACAACTCTTGGAACTTTAGCAAATGGTTCATACATGGCTTGCATCGACAAAGCAATGGTATACATATTTGGAATGTTATTAGCCACAGTAGACATAGCCAATAAGACACAACAGAATTCACCAAATCCGTGAACTGAGTTTGGAACTAAGATAGCATAAGTCAAACCACCCATTGCATTTTTCTCATAATATTCAGCCCATGTTGGATCATGAACAGCACCCATAGCAGATGCAGCACCCAAAATCATGCAAAAGAATAATGGGAATGCTAAACCAGCCACAACGGAGAAGAACACTTTAAATTTGTTCACATTTTTTGGCATGTAGACAGTGTAGTCAGATGCGTACGTAGTCCAACCAGTGGCGAAACCAAAGACAGCAGAACCAAATGAAAGAACATGGCCCGCAGTGGTTGGACCTGATGTCCATTCCCCTAAAACAAAGTTTCCTGATCTCTTCAAACGTCCAATGATAACTAAAAACACAAAGAAGTTTGGAATCCATGAGAACTTTTCATAAGCGTGAATAATCTTATAACCGAAGAAAGTAACTAAAACAGTACATCCAACGATAACTAAACAACCAGCCCATAAAGGCATATTATCTCCATATTGATTAACCATGTTTAATAGTTGTGCAGATACAACAGTATTAACGACCCCCCAACCAACACATGCAATAACATTGATAAGTGCAAAGATTCTTGCAGTTACATTACCTATTAAATATCTTGAAAGAATCATCTGTCTTAAACCTAGTTGTGAGCCAAAGATAGAAAAAAAAGCTACAGGTAAAAGACCTAAAATACTGAAGAAGATGATAACTAGGACAGAAGTACCAAAATTCAATTTGTAAACCATTGGACCCAACCCACCTAAGGCATAAGCTGCAATAACCATATTAGCTGAGAACCACATAGAAGCCGCATTGAGCACACTTTCGTCTTGCTCTTTTTCATCTTCAGTAACAGGTTCTACACCTTTAGTCTCTGCATTTAATCGCGATGCTAATCTATTAAAGAAACCTAATTTTGTCTCTTCACTAGTTTCAACAACGTAATCATTCTGTGAAGATAGAGAATATGTATCAGTAGATGCTACCTTTTTATCATAGGAAATATCTGCTTCTAAATCTCTACGTGAAGTACTTGTCATCTCATAGAGATTATTATTGTCCGAATTATATTGTTCATATGACATCTTTCAATTAGCTATAGAAAGTGTATGCCAGATATAATTATCAAGGTAAAAATATGTAAGTAAAAAATAAATACAAAATCGAAAGCTTCAAGGACGTCTCCCTTTAGTGTGCTTATATTATAAGGCGTGAGAAATTAAAAAAACCAGATAAAACTGTTTACCTAAAGAAAAACCCAGTAGTCAAATATAATGTAGTATTTATAATATACTCCTTTTTACACAAAAAAATCAATAAGAAAGAGATAAATCAAAGAGATAAGACATAAGTCATCCTCATCACAAAAATATTAGATGCCTATAAATTTTTTTTTGACTCTGCGTCTACACACACATTCAAAACAGAAAAAAAGACAGAGAAAGAATCGATGAGCTTTCGTTAATTTTTTTCCTTATATTAATCAATCTTTATCTTTACAGGAACGCCAAAAAATAAAATGAGAAAAGAAAGGGCACGGCAGAACAAAGAAAAAAAATTTTTTTTCCACGTTTATCACACCTTGATAATAAGAATAATAAATGATTGAGAACAAACAAAAAACAAAATAAAAGAAAGGAAGTAAAAAGAGGGAGGAGTCTCAATCATCAAGATCATCAATGAAGAGGAGAAATATTCTGATCTTAATACAGTAGAACCGTAATCTCGGAAATGAAATAATTGGTTGTAATAATAATGGTGAAGAGAAAGAGTCTAATACTGTACTATTCGAATTATATTTCTGTGTTTTTGCTTGCTTTTTTTGTATAATTTTCTATTGTTAGAAAAATTTTATCTTTTCTAAAAAAAAAAAAAAGAAATATTTGACTCCTTTTGTTTTTTGAATCCTAATATCCACATTATTAAATGATTTCTTCGTGAAGGCTGGTTACGCGAATTTTCCAGTTTTTATATTTCGGATACTACATTTCCGTCAAATAAATAAAAAAATCCTCATAACGGAATTGTCATTTATCCCTTCGGTTTTGATTTTTTTTGTGTGGAATATATTACTTAGAAGTATATAGATCTGTATTCAATTGTCTATCTTATTATATCAAAATTTCAAAACACATTATCTATCTTAAATTGTTTTGCTTATCCTTATTCTATTTTAAAATGAAAAAAAAACTTTTTAATCCTTATTTTGGGTAGTACAATCTACCAACTAAAATTATCCAATATTTCTTTTTTGACAATTTTAAGTGAATAAATCTAATGCGACATTTGATGATGAAAAAACGGAGATTATTAATGCATATATTTTGATCATCTATATACGTGCTCGCTAAATGTCTAATTTCTTAAAGATTTCTTCTTTTTATATATTTTCCTTTCCTAAGATACTTCTATATCGTTTTCTTTTTAGTCATACCATACGATATTAAATTTTCATGAAATATTTTATTTATCTTTGTTTACATAAACAAACTAATCATATGTATGTTTGTTTACAGTAATTTTTTTTCTGAGTACTTTATGAAACCGTTTATATTTACTAATATTTAATGACAGTAATTTTCAATTTTTTAAATGTCTTTTATGCTAAATGTTTTCGATTGACGTTATTGAATATATATAAAGAAAAAGCAAAGAAAACTCCAATCAGTACATTACATAATACTATTAGATTCTTGAAAGACACATATAATACATAGTATATTCCTTTTTATTTTGTGTTCTCTGTATCTTTTTACGCAGTCATTATAGTAAATTATTTTGTGACATTTAAAAAAGCACTACGACAGTTGATGTACTATAATATCTAAAAACATTCATTCTTAGTTATGTTTTATTTTAATTGCGATTTAACCTCTACTTTCTTACCTTTCAAATAACTTTGGGATGATAAATATTCACAAAAACCCAAATATCTTTTATTTAGTAAGACAAGATTTAAACCTATTCTTAGTCAGATTACCGTATCAAATATTTTTTTTATTTACCTTTCTTGACTCTTTATGACTCCTTTATTTTTTCTCGGTATGTTCACTCAGTCTGTTTTAAACAGAGTCAAAATACTTGTTTTATTCTTAGAAAATAATTGTATTATTATAAAAAATAGAATTTTCAACACGTCAAATTGAAAAAACTCTCTATTTCTGTACATTTTTACTGTTGACCTAGTCTTTGTTGAAAAAAAACTTTATTTCTTCATAAAGAAAATATCTTTTAACCTATTTTTATTATACTAAATTCACGGTAATTTTTTTATATTTTTTATACAAGAACATAATAATTAATACTGTAAGAATCAAGAATATTCGCATGCACATTTCTTTCCGTTTATCTGAGTTAGAGCAATCGCAATTATTCCTATATATATATTATAGTTTACTCTATACTCTTATTTAATTACATTGTAAATATACGGTTACTATATTAGATTACTGACATTAATATAAGACACCTTGGTTAAACACAAAATTACATCTGTAACATGTTTTACTAACATTTTGGAATTGTATATCCGAAGATGTTAACTACCGCTATACAAGATACCAGCATCACTAGCTTATTAAAACATGCTACAGGATAATTTAAAAGTTTATATGAATGTGACTATTTAGAATAAAGAAAAAGATATAGAAATAATAATATATGGTAATTAAATATTTTTTAGTTATTTATTTACTTCCGTAAGTTGTTTATTTCTTACCCTTCTTCTTCTTGTCAGCCTTCTTTTCGGCCTTCTTGGCGATTTCAGCTTGTTCCTTGATAACCTTCTTGACAATCTTTTGTTCTTCAATTAAGAAAGCTCTGACAATTCTTTCCTTAACACAGTTAGCACATCTGGAACCACCGTAAGCTCTGGAAACAGTCTTTTGTGTCTTAGAAACAGAAGCGTATTCTCTTGGTCTCAAGGCAGAAACACCTGCTAAAGCAACACCACAGTCACCACATTTTGGTCTGGAGGCTAACTTCTTAACATGTTGAGCACGTAAGACACCACCTGGGGTCTTAACAACCTTGATCTTGTTGGAACGGGTGTTGTCTAATCAAAAATGAAACAATGTAAAATATACTTGTGATTGGAAGCCATAACATCTCATAGCATTGAAAGAGGAATATATATATCCAACCGTATAAAAACTAATTTGTTAGTATTAATATCCCACAGATTATAGAAGGTAATTTAATAATATTGAAAACGAATAATCAATTGAGAGACTTCAATTTAATTATCTTTGCCTCTTCATAGTTACATCTAAAAACTCCATCAATATGCGTATATTGTTAAAGTCATGATATATGAAGTCTCACAAATTAACCCCTACCACTCTTCTATTCTCATTTTTCTAATCGTTCTTATTTCGCTCTATCACATCATTACATTCGTCCAACATTAAAACCTCAATAATTTATTATTTTTGCGTTCTTGTACATACATGGATTTCTTCTTCTGAAGGTAACACGTTGAGCCATTGTTTACGGTTGATTTTCTTATGGTTGTCGAACCTACTTCAAGAAATAAAAGAAACACTTTTGTATGGCATCACTTACATACTAATTTCCTATATACAGCATCACTACGCTACATAAAATTGATAATATTTCAATACCACTTTAGGAGCTTGAAGTTACTATGCTGCTTCCTCATTCCAATACACAAGAACAAAGTCGTAGGGGGACTGCCACATACAATTCCTTGGATTTCGATCACGTCTAGACAAGGAAACACTGCACCTTCCGTAATGCAGTGCTGATTGTTGGGCTGAGCAAACACCGACTATCATCTTACAGTAACGTCTACAACCTGTTTGCTGTTCCCATGGTCCTCCAAGAATGGGCAAAATTACTGACTCTCTCTATCGGTAGCCTACTCGAAGATGTGAAATGATGGTGGTGATGGGTGGTCTCTGTGTTTGTCCATTTGAAAGGAAAATGCTACTAAAGTGAACCGATTCTTCCAAATTCATTTCCACTTGTTTCTTTGGATCCCCCCCTCCACATTACAAAGAAAAACAAAAATGAAACTGCGTCGCTAAGATTAAAAGAAAACAGCAAACATTGTTTGGTAATGTTTTTCCAAAGTAGAATTTACCTATTTAGGAAATAATATAAAAAATTCTATATATATGAAGTCAATACTTATGATGCATGGGTGTATATCATAAAACAGTCAGACTTTAGTGTTTTATAAAAAGTTATGATTGAGAAAATCGATTTCTATATATTTAATTCTCTTGCTTTTGCAAGATCATCCGGCGCTAAGGTATTCTTATTTAATTTCTTACACACCGATGCTGGCTTCATGAAATCTTATCACCCATAGATTTTATGAATCTATAATGCTATGCATCTAGAAATTAACTTTCATACAGAACATATGACTTAACCATACTTACTATGAAAACCACTGGGAATAGTCTATCTTGTAAATATATGCTTTTATATAAGAGAGTAGAAAACTTCGTATTGAGAACTATCTAACAATATACCCATGTATTTGTCTCTACATATATATATATTATATAAAAGAATGTAAAAACAACTGTTAAACTAGTTTCTTATTCATTTTCTACGGCAACAACTTCAATTTCTAAATCAGCACCTAGTGGTAAGGCAGCAACAGCAACACAAGATCTAGCTGGTTTATGCTCGCTGAAGTATTTAGCATAAACTTTATTGAATTCTGCAAAATTGTTAATGTCAGCCAAGAAAATGTTAACTTTTACAATTCTTTCTAAAGACGAATTGCTTGCTGCCAGAACTGTTTTAATATTTTGAATCACTTGTTCTGCTTGTTCTGCAATAGAACCCTTTAACAATTTATTGTCTGGGGTTAAAGCAATTTGGCCAGATAGATAAATAAAATTACCAGCTTTCATAGCATGAGAATAGGAAGCAGCTGGAGAAGGTGCGCCTGGTGCATTGATTGGAGTTAATGTAACCATAATCTCTGATTGGCTTATATCTAGGAGTAATTAGTTAAGATCTTTTTAGTATGTTCTGCTTGTCATTCTAATTTAAAAAGACCCTTACGTTTGTACATAATTCTGTCATGATAATGTTCTTTTTTTTAAAACACCTTCTGTCTTGCCCTTAAAATAGTTTGTTTTTTAACATATTCCTCATATACAGAAGATCTTGAGTAAATTTAAAAATAAATAAAAGCGAAAATAAGGAAGACTGAAAAAGTTCTAGTATTGATAAGAGGATACAATAGTAACCTTCGAGATAATACAAGTAACTTCTAGAATAAATATTCAAAAATAGAGGAATTACGTATCTTAGGCAGACAAGGATATAAAGAAAGAAAGGGCCAAATCTTCCTTAGCATATCATCAAGCTCATTATAGCAGGCAAAAACTAATAAGATTAAAGAAACAACTTATCTTCTTTTATATATATATATAGGGATTATCATCATAAAATAAACTTGAAACAATGAGCAGAGCAAGCAAGATTACGTTTGGTTTAACTTGCCTTTTTACATTAACTTCAATCATTGGGGTTCATTATGTTCAAGAATTGGAAAGAGACACACTACATCAGGGACCTATTAAAGATGCCAAACGTATAGCAGAAAAGAAGAAAAAAGAAACTGAGGAAAAAGCTAGGCAATCAACGGAAAATACGAGTGCAATGAAACCACCTACTAATGGATTATCACCTGAAGAAAAGGAAAAGAAGAGAAATTTTAATAGAAGTGATCATGAATTACAACAACAATTAAGACAGAAATATGAAAAAATGCAACCACTAACAGGTGAAATTGTAACAAAAGATGGTGAACTTGTTCAAAGTAATGGTAAAACCAGCTAAGATGTTATTTAAACTGGTTATTACTTTTTGTCTTTATTCATTCTGGAACATCCTCAAACATATTGCATGTATATAGAAATTTCATTAATATCTTTACCTATTTCTTTTTTTTTTTTAGGCTGGTTAGAAAACAAGGATTTTGAATAAAATAAAAATTTATATTGATTATATATATTATGTAACAATAAATAATAATTCACAATGATAACCAGAGCTCATCTGACCTATGTAAATATTCATTGTATTGTCTTTGATCATTAATTAGTTCTAAAAATTGATATCTGAAACTATCACATCGTTAAAGATCATACAACCGAAATACAAAGAACTTTTCTCACGATATATAAGTTGTTTACTTTGTAGTTCTCATTTAAGAAATGTGACAAAATAGCGTTAGCATTAAGTTTTATTCAATTGTTTTTTCCAGTCCTTTTTTCATCTTTACTAAATCTGTCGAGAATTCATAAATAAACTACTTTTTCTAAAAAAAAAATAATAATAAGTAATAAATAATAAATAATAAGAAATATCAAACTATGCAAAATAAAAGAAGGAAGTAGAAGACATGTTATAATGCCTAAACAAACTAGAGACAGTCATATAGAAAAAAACTATCCTAAACTTGTGTATACTATAATATACCTGCAGGGACAAATAATAAACGAAAGAAGTAAGAAAGAAGAGACGGCATTAAGAAAAGATATAAAAAAAATTCATTAGTATGGTAGAAGCAGAATCTGATAGCTTTACAGATTTAACGGGCAAAAATGGCATATATCTAGATAATAATAATACCAACAGTATTGGATCAAGTGAAAGCAATTCTTTTAGTCAGGAAGATCTTCAAAATGAAGCAGAGCTGTCAAAGACGGCAGATACAGTTGTGAGGCAAGTAGATGCAGATTTAGAACAATACACTAATTGTATTTCACTCGGAAGAGAAGCTTTAGAGGGGGATACCTCTATTATCATTACCAAACAAGCTACAGAGGATACTATGAGTAGTTCTCCATCTTCGTATGCCTCAAGCAGGAATATATCTATCAGTCATGGTATACAGGGAAACACTATATCAATTGAAAGACGTCAATCTCCATTAGCCCATAGACAATGCGGTATTAAAAATGATGAAGAAAAAAGTACAATAAAGCAGGATTATGATTATAATGATGAGATTAATGAAAATGAACAAGCTGCAACAGTTTCCATGTCACAAATAAATAATATTATTAATTTACCGACAGAGGTATTAATTCAAATGGTCACAGCATTACTAGAAAAAATTATTCAATCGAATGACAATCTAGCTGGATTACACCATAGCTATGAACCCTTAAAGAGATCACCTGACGATACACCTTTAGATGACTATTATCGTAGTTGTTATAATGCAGCATTAAGTTTCAGAGGTAAACATATACCACAAATCAGCTTAGAACAATATTTCCATAGAATACAAAAATATTGTCCCATAACAAATGATGTATATCTATCTTTATTAATATATTTCGATAGAATATCAAAAAAATGTAACAACCTGTCTAAACCTTCATATCATCGAAATGACACAGATAGTGCAAATAACGGAAAAGAGGGATCAATGACAGACAAAATGAATAAAACTGAAAGTAATAATTCACAAGTATTTGTAATGCACTCATTTAATATTCATAGACTAATTATAACCGCAGTAACAGTGAGTACTAAATTTTCAAGTGATTTTTTCTATAGCAACTCAAGATATTCAAAAGTTGGTGGTATATCGTTAAAAGAAATGAATTATTTAGAGGTCCAGTTCTTAATTTTGTGTGACTTTAACCTACTAATATCCATAGAAGAGTTTGAAAGATATGCTACATTACTGTATAGATTCTGGAATAGTTTAGTTGGTGTATAAATATTCAATTGTAAAAATATATGCATACGCACTAATATGCACACTGCTTATTGCCATAATAAAAGACACAAAGTGCATTGCAAAAGCCAAACTTAAAGAGGATGTTATCAGGAGTAGCATATGGTATAGTGTACAGTTTTCTTTTTAATAGAATTAACCACTTTTAAGGATGCTATACCAAGTTATACCAAAAAATAACATAATCTTACTGGAAGAGTCAAACAGAGTCAAGCAGCAAATAATATGTTTATAATGAATTTTCTATTGTTTTTTCGACTGATTTATTATATTTAAAAAAATCTTCTGTTAACTACTCAAAAACTATATTTATGAAAATGAATTAGTTAGTCATATCAGATAAGCAAAACTTCTGTTCTTTAAATACGATCTATATATACATGCACATGTACAAAACTTGTCTAACTTAATAATTTATTACTTGTAAGTATTTCATGATTTCATGAACGGTTTCTTTTCATCGGTTGATTATTTGAAACCTAACAAGACTGATCAACTTAGCATATATAATTACTAGACATTTAATAGACAAGTGTTTACCTGACATACATTTAAGAAGGGTGATGACCTTTATTCAAACATAACGGGTCTTTTTGAATGCACAATCACTGCATATAGTGACAATCTTTTTTACCAATTAGTGGAAAAATTGGTCGTTCTTTTTACTAGGCATCACTTATAACAAAATAAAGTGTGGTCTATTCTCCTTCTTCTCTACTGATGGAAGGAAGATGTTTTTTAATTTAATTGTCAAAACACTCCACCTCACCTTCATAGTAAGCTATTTTGATATGGGTATATTCTAAAATATTGTCACGTCAGTACAGTTCTATAATTCCCTCTATAACTATTTTTCGTTATTCATTTTGTTAGTAATTTTCCCTTGTTCCCCAAAGGGCACAATTTCTCCAACAATTTAGGCTCGAGGCTTTTTTTTTTCCACTTTTTACTTTCCGATTAAATTTTGTTCCGTACAGAAAATTGATGATTACGTAGGAAAAAAAAGAGAAAAAAAAAAGAAAAGAAAAGAAAATAGATTACCATAAATAATATTGATATTGCGGGTTTTTGGTATCGAAATTAATTTTAAATTAGATGGAAGATTTATATTACACCATAATATATTTTGTGAAATTTGATACGCTGCACGATGGAAGGAGATGGACTCTGGTTAACACGACATTTTAATTAGTGTGTTTAACCATATTTCTTTTTAATTTTTCCCTTCTTTTTTATTTATTTTTCGATACTACTTAATAAAATTTCAAGTTCAGTTATTTTGGTTACTAGATTTTTGACAGAGTCACTTTGAACAATAGAAATTTCTCCCCACGTAGGTGAGTTCTGGTGTATTTGAGTAAAGCAAGAAAAAAAAATTAAATAAGATTAGATGACATGAAATAAATATTGACAATTTCATGGTGATTGTATGTAGAGATCTTGTCTCTTTGTATCTTGATTAGAGATACTTCTACATCTTAACTAATAACAATAATAATAGTACTAAGAATATTTGCAGGGTCAACAGTTAGTTTTTTTTACGCTAGATAAAATATTTGCCTTTTTTTTTCTTTGCTGATATATGATTCTTTAGTTCGATAGTTTTATGAAAAGTGTGAATTAGTATTTAATAGAATGTACGCAGAAGAACAGTCTAGTAAAATTGATAATAATATTTACGAACTGGAGTCTTTAAATGGGTGGAAAGAAAGGAAAAATATAGAGAATGATGCTGTCTATGTGGAAACAGACTCTCATATATCAGATGAAGTTGTAGAGACCAAACTGTCGTGGTTTAATACTATTTTCATCAACTCTGGTGCTGAGACTAAAGGTATTGAGCCAATCACTGAAGAAGAGCAGACAGATGATTCTTTATTAACTGCTGCTTTAATGTGGTTTTCTGCGAATATGGTTTTACCTGCATACGCAATCGGTGGACTAGGTCCTTTAGTGTTTCATCTGAATTTTGGCACTTCTGTATTAGTTATCATCTTCTTCAGTATCTTAGGCCTTCTACCTGTTGCATTTTTTTCTCTGTTTGGTGTCCAGTTAGGGTTGAGACAAATGACTTTATCAAGATATCTAATAGGTAATATTACCGCAAGAATATTTGCTTTGATTAATACTATAGCTTGTGTTGGGTGGGGGATCGTTAATACTGTAGCATCTTCACAATTACTAAATATGGTCAATCAAAATGGTAACAATTTGCCTTTGTGGGCTGGTTGTTTAGTCATTATTGGTGCTACATTATTGGTAACTTTTTTTGGTATTAATGTTATTCATTCATATAATAGATATTCGTGGATTCCAAACTTTGTAGTTTTTTTGGTTGTAATTGCTAGATTGAAAAAATCTGGTAATTTTACAAACGGGGATTGGGGATCTGGTCCCACTACAGCAGGCAATGTGTTATCATTTGGGTCCACAGTTTTTGGGTTTGCTGCAGGCTGGACTACATATGCATCAGATTATACAGTCTATATGCCAAAATCTACAAACAGATTTAAAATTTTCTTTTCCTTAATAGGCGGCCTATCTTTTCCATTATTCTTTTGTATGATTTTAGGTGCTGCATCGGCTATGGGTGCAGTGAATGATCCTGAGTGGGCTCAATATTACAATTCTAATGGCATGGGTGGATTAACATATGCAATTTTAGTTCCAAAATCATTACATGGGTTTGGTCAATTTTGTTGTGTGATTCTTGCCATGTCTACTGTGTCAAACAATGTTCCAAATATGTATACTGTAGCCATGTCTGCACAATCCATATGGAGTCCATTAGCCAAAATTCCAAGAATCATATGGACAATTGCTGGTAATGCAGCAGCATTAGGAATATCCATACCTGCATGTTACTATTTCGCTACATTTATGGAATATTTCATGGACTCTATAAGTTACTATCTGTCTATTTATATTTCAATTGCGTTGACTGAACATTTTGTCTTTAAAAAAAGTTTTAGCGCTTACGTTGTGGAAGATTGGGATAATTGGGATCGATTACCAATTGGTATTGCGGGAACTAGTGCATTAATAGTTGGTGCAGTTGGTGTTGCTCTGGGTATGGATCAAACCTATTGGGTTGGTGAAATTGGTAGGTCGATTGGGGAATATGGTGGTGATATTGGGTTCGAGTTGGGCGCTTCATGGTCATTCATTGTATATATATTATTAAGACCACTGGAAATAAAGTATTTTGGCCGTTAAGCAAAAACCTACAAAAAAAACTAACATTAAAAAAAGAAAATGCTAGTAGGATACATGCACTATATTTATTTTCATGGTTCATGTCCAGTTTGCAATTTTAATCTCTTCATATTCGTTACATTTATTATTTCAATTTATAATAGAGGGCCTCATTGATTTTTGCAAAATATTATTCGAATCTAAATAGTTTGTCTTTACAATATCAAACATAAGTATATAATACTATTTTATTCTGCATATTATAGTTGTCCCATGATAACTTTCTGTTGCATTGAACACAGATAGATAGAGTATATATATAATCCATGGACAGAATGTATATAACATATTAATTTTAACAGGAGTTGTAAATGAGAAGAAAAGAAGGCTTGCCCGTATACTACTAGTTTAAAAAAAAAATCCTATATATATACATATAAATAAGTATATGTACATATTTTGTTATCCATTGCTTTATATATTACTATATAATATCGATGTATTAATACCGCCAAATCCAAAACTATTACAAAGCCCATACTTTAAAGATGGTAGATGTATTGGCTCATCTTTAACCAATTGTATGTTATTGTTATGTATCTCATCATTGGCACTATAGGGTATTGGTTCAACCAAATTTAAAGTGTGAGGTATAACTCGCTCCCTTAGCGACAATATAGTGAAGATTGATTCAACTAACCCTGCTGCGCCTAATAGATGACCCATAGCACCTTTATTACTTGTTATATATAGGGGATGTTCACGATCTATTTTATTCAGTTCTAATAATTTATTGATTCCATTTAATTCTGCCTGGTCACCAACAAGTGTGGACGTGGCATGTGCATTAATAAAATCTAATTCATGAATCTTCACATTTGATCTTTGTAAACAAGAATACATTGCTTTTAACACTCCCTGTGAATCCTGTCTTGGCATGGTCATATGTAGTGCATCACTAGCAATGCCAAAATTCTCTACCGTAGCCCAAATATTAGCATTTCTTCTCATTGCATGTTCATAATCTTCCAAAATTATGGTACCATAACCTTCACTCATAATAAATCCATCTCTTTTAGTATCAAATGGTCTTGAAACACCATCAATAGACAAAGATTTTAGTTTGTTGAATCCGGCCAACGTTAATGGATGCAAGGAGGCCTCAGAAGCTCCTACGATTGCAATATCTACAAGATCATTTTGAATCATATTTAAACCATCTATAATAGCATTATTCCCAGTAGAACAAGCAGAGGACAGAACTTGTGTAGGACCCCTAATTCCGTATTTGATGGAGATGGCACTTGCTATCATGCTGGGAAGTATCTGTGGGATAATCATTGGAGATATTTTTTTACCCTTATTATAAAAAGATAGTGTTTCCTGGACAATCTCGTTTACTGGCGGAAGTCCCATCCCTATAGTGATAGAGATTCTATCTAAATCATTCTTGGTTTGGTCAACATTCATGTTTGATAATAGATTAGCAGATTGCAACGCCATATGTGTGGATAAAATTGAGTTTTTAATTAGGGGGGTCATTCTTCTATTATCTTGTGGTGAAAATAAGTTCTTTGATAGATATGTGAAATCAGTTGATTTGTTGATATCTATAGCACCAACATGCAGTTGTGGAGGAATAGAATTTTGAAATGGTTGATAGGAAGTTTTATAATTCGGTAATGAGGCTATGGGTACAAGTCCAGACACAGAGTTTAACAGATTTGACCACGATTCTTTTACAGAGTTCCCTAATGGGGTGATACATGATAAACCAGTGACAACAACTTTTCTAGACATGGGCTGGAAAATGATAAAAATAATATATATGTATGTGTAGTTGTATATGTAATTAATTGGGGACTAGAAAAACAAAATATGAAGTAAGGAAAGGAAAGCAAAGAGAAGTAGACGATACTAAAGTAAGGAATTCTTTGTCACTTTATTGTCTATTTCTTTTTTTTTTTTTCTTTCAACTAACCTATATTTTAACGACATAAGTGATAATTCGGTGATATTGATGATTTAATTAGTCTCAGATTCCGTCATTTACGTCAAAAATGAAAAGTTGAAGAAAAAAAATAAATTACTGACAGTAATACATGCACGTATATAAATATATATATATACATATATATACATATATGTATATACATATTATGACGACTCGAAGCTCCAAGGTCGTTACAATAGTTTTACAAAATGCAGAACATAACTAGGACCTGTCACATAACATATCTCTATAAAAAATTATAAGTACATTTGCATATAATTGTGAGTATACAGTTATCTATCTAACATAATAATCATAATCGTAGTAGTAATAAAAATATGAAGTCATGGCATCTATTTTATTTGTTTAGTTATTATAATATCATAAAGTATCTTGATTTTTTTTTTCTTATTATTATCATTTACCATTCTAATAAGTCACCCTTGGCATATAAGTAATCATCAAAAATTAATTCAACTTCATCTTTTTCAGCATCGTAACCGCCTACTCTTATAGATCTGTGATCCTTAACAATTATATCACAGCCCTTCTCTTTCAAAAATTCTAAATCAAAGGTCGTAGCAATACCAATGATTTTGCAGCCAGCGGCCTTACCTGCCTCGATACCGGCTGGGGCATCTTCGAAGACAACAACTTTAGACTTAGATGGATCCTTTTCGTTGATTGGGAAACCAAGACCGTTTCTGCCCTTTAAATATGGTTCTGGATGAGGTTTACCATTTTTAACATCAGAAGCAGTTATGAAATATGTTGGTCTTTTGATACCCAAGAAATCGAACCATTTGGTAGCCATGGTACGGGTACCTGAAGTGGCAACAGCCCATTTTTCCTTTGGTAATTTGTTTAAATCGTTACAAAGTTTGACTGCACCTGGGACTTCAATAGAGTATTGGCCATATTTTTCTGGGATTTCACCTTCTAATTTTTCTACGTATTCTTCATTAGCGAAATCAGGAGCAAACTTGGCGATAGCATCGTAGGTTCTCCAACCGTGAGAAATCTGAATGACGTGTTCAGCATCGAAGTATGGTTTATCTTTACCGAAGTCTCTCCACATAGCAGCAATGGCTGGTTGAGAGATGATTATAGTACCATCGACATCAAACAAACAGGCATTGACTTTTAAAGATAATGGCTTAGTTGTTAAAGGCATTTCATTGGCTCTGGTCATGGTACTTATTTATATTTATGTGTTGTATACGAATAGTTGTGTTACTGAGAATTACACTTTACACTCAAAAAGAGAGTTGATCACACTTGCTAAAGAACGCAGTAGAATCACGGGGCATTAACAAGATGTCGGGAACAAATATGTAAATATACAGACGTATTCATATATCTGTTTATATATAATGATAATTTCGCCTATCATGCCTATGAACTGTCAATTTAGTCATTGAGAATATAATGACAATCACTGGTAATAGAGTGTAGTACAAGATTCACGATATCTAAGGTTCTTGGGCTCGAGGGATTTAAAATTTCATAGTTTTGTTTCTTTTTTGTGAAAGCAGGAAAGTAAATGTGGTCAGAAAAACAATGGGAGGCAAATAAATAAGAAATGAAAACAAAAAAGTAAACAATCTAAAAAGAAAAAAACAAAAAAAAAATTCCTTGACTGACACAAATGTTCCAAAGGGGAAACTCCGGTGGAGGAGCAACCGTCTGTCCCAAAAGGGAAATGTGAAAAATCCAAAAATATAAACAAATAAAAAAAGCTAAATAATATGTTACCCTCCTCTCATTGAAAAACACCACGTGTATACCACGTGCTCTTTTTTGTTTTTTTTCTTTTCTTTTCTTGTGAAATTGCCAAGAACCATCGCTACATACGAAACTTTTGGTGTCGTTGTTTTTTGTTTATTTCTCTAATATCAGGATCCTTCTGCAGGGAGCAGTAGATATGGAAATGTTTAACAAGGCTGATAGCAGATGGTTAAAGATTAGTATAGAGATTGATAGGTGTCCTTTGGAATGAAAAGTATAACTAAAAAAAAAATAAAAGAATAAATAAATAATAACAAAAAAGAATTCTTAATAGAACTGTTTCAATACGAAATTTTAACCTCTTTACATTTTGTCATTGGTAATTTAGAAAGGAGGGCAAAATAAAGACAAGAAAAAAAAATATAAAAAATTTGAAATATAACTAACTAAAATAATAATAATAATATAAAATATATAATGACAGATTATAAGAATTTAGCCGATTCAGAATTGAAGCAACTTTTAGTGGAAAGAAATTTACCAAGTGATGGAGTAAAAGAGGATTTGATTAATAGACTCATAAATAACGACAAAGAGGTCAAAGAGCAACTAAAAACATCCTCTGAACAACCTGTTATTGAAACAAGTAATGCAGAAGGAACTGAAACAGCAGCAATCAACTCTGCAGATACTGAAATGACAACAAGACTAACTACAACCGAGACCTCATCCACCAACATCTCAGGTGCTGTGACCGAAAAGAACATAGATAGAGATAATGGTGAAGCAACAACTAGTGAAGAAACAAAGAAGGATGAGCCTAAGTCATTACCAAGTCCAGAAGAAATGAAAAAGCTGGCATTAGACCACCTAAATAAGAAACTGCATCGTGCTAGTAAATTTGGCGCTGAACAATCAGTTATTGATGAAATAAATAAATCAATTAATCGTATTGAAAAATTCGGTTTGGATTTACAAAATCCATTAGCCGTTGAATTGGGTCTAGTAAAACCACAACCTAAACCAAAGAATAGACAACCACCTTTGAACAAAAGAAAGAATAGAACTCATAATAGTACTAACAGTAATAATAGAATGGGTAGATACAGAGTAAGAAAGGGCGGATCTGTAAATAACAATAATAGAAGACGTGGTGGTAGTGGGAATGGTAGAAGATTCTAAATAATAAAATATATATTATAATATTCACTCTTATATATATATTTGTGTATATGTATATACGATTTTTCCTTTGTCTAATATTAACTATACTGAATAATATTACTAGGATATTAGATATTCATTGCATCTAAGTACCATAGAAACAACAAAAAGATGCACAAAGGAAGTATAAAACACACATTGGATAACGATATTGACGAATATAATATTTAATGTTTATTATATATATAATAAATTAGCGGATAAATATGTAAGCCACGTATATATAGTGGGTAGGTGGCAAAAGAAAATTAATGCAAGATGCCTATGCAATTTGATAAATGGATGAAAGGAGATAAATAAAGTGAAAGAAACCAGAAAAAAAGACAAAAATTATAATATCTGCTTAATAGGTTGGGGCAATGTGCCATTTGCAAAAGATTCCTTTACAATTAATTGAGGCAAAGGACCATGGCTAGAAGTATGTAATACTGTCTCCAAATTGGCACTATTAATAGTAGTAGCAGTAGTTGTTTTACTGGTAGATTTATTGGAAGAAGGTGTTGGAGAAGGTAGATTATTGTGGCTGTTCTGAACGAACGTACTTACACTTGGTAAAGTTTCCCTGTATGTATATTCAGGAGAAAGATGAGATGAACTGCTGACTTGTGAAGACACAACACTTAAGATATTCAAACCATTATTTAATGGTGGTAATAAAGGTTGTGCCTTAGTAGACACAGAACTGTCAACATTTAATCTATTCTGAATTAAATGATGAATTATTTCATTCAACGGATATAGGATCGAGTCAAACCCATAATCTTTCACAATGGTACCAATAATGAGATATAAAAATTTGATTTGAGTAAACATATCTATATTATGATGTTTAAAGACTTCATTAAATAAGGTAGAAGACAATTGCCTTAGGAAGTCCATTGAGAATTTGTCATCCTGACTAATTGTATTTTGGTCGATAAAATATCTCTCAATAACAAAAGAAATTGAGGCTTTCGTACACATTTCACCTAAGACTTTCAAATTTTGCCATTTATCACTTTGGAAACCAGTGTTCTGATTCTGATTTGTAAAATCCATGAAAGTTTTTGAATTTTGTATTTTATTTATCAGTTTATCTAATAAAAAGTTGGGGACATGAATATTATTTGAGTTGCTCCTATGTTTGACCAATGAGTCAAAGTTGGTGTTGAGCAGTTCAAAACACAAAGATCTAATAGTCAACATGTACTGATTTTCTACAGTGGACAAGGATGTATTCGACTGTAATCTCTTCAAAGACAAAGGAGAGCTTACTGAATTAGATATAGAACATGATGGAGATGATCTATAATTAGTGACAGGCAAACTTATAATTCGCGAACCATCAGTCTTACCCTGTACAGATGGCGGTGGGGATAATAGCGGAGATTTTAATCCTGTGTTACCATGGTTGGTGGTGTTTGTAGTGTTTGTAGAAGATGAAAGTTGGTTTGAATAGATAACCTTGTCATTGTTATTAATAGATGGAAAATCTGCTGAAGATATACTGATATTACCTGAATCACTCGTATTAATGTTATTATTATTACTAGTGCTAATAGTAGTAGTAAATAATTCTTGTTTGTGTTCTATTGGGGAACAAATCGAAGAATTTGAAGAAGATGTAGATGTAGATGTAGACGTAGCATGTGAGTGTGAGTGTGAGTTTGAGTTTGAAACAAAATTTTCAAATTTCTTTTTGGATCTTTTCCTATTGCGTCTAACCGATTGTACAGCAGCAGTAACCAACTTTTCGAATTCATTAATTGAATCCATTGGATATTCAAATTCTTCTCTTAACATGTTAGCTATCTGTTTAATATTATCATCTTGCTCAGATGCTTTCCTTTCACTTAACCCAAATTTATCAATTAATTCTAGTCTACGAGAAGAAAATTGCTTCCATCTTTTTTCATCAGTAAAATTTAAAATTTGTCTTATTTTATGCGTTGTCCCTTTACCAGTCAGGTTGTTTGTGGTTTTTGTAATTTTATAATTAGTGCTTGTTGCGTATGAACCAACGTTATTAGTGTTATAATGTGTGTTTATCATATTTTACCAGACATAAAAAAAATTTAAAAAAATCTTCAAAAGAATAGGACAATAAATGGGATATTAATGTTATGGTATAAGTATGTAAATATGAGGAGTGTACGATGATCATAAAATGAGTACAGATTGAGATAATGTCTATGAACAGTACAGATAAAAAAATACACTTGTGTACACTTACACTATGAATCACACAAATAAAGTTCAATATCTATAGATCTATCTATATATATATATATTACAAGAAAATAATCATCCATTGAACCAAAAACAAAAAGAAAGAAAGAAAGAAAGAAAGGAAGATTATAAAAATGTTAAAAACAAAAACAAAAAAAATAGCTGACTAAGGCTCTCTTAAGAGAGAGAAATTTGCTTGATGAATCAATAGATCAAGTTACTGATCTATTGATTCATCAATTTAGTGGGGCAACAAAAATAAGCGTACAAAATACGTCAGAATATTTTTGTCTATTCTTCAAGAGAGGAAAGAGAAAGATGAAGAAGAGTAGAGACATTTTTTTCTACTTGGTAGACTTAGAAAATTGACCAAGATTTTGCCGTAAAATAATTTGTAGCCTTAAAAAAAATTGCTATTTTTGTTTTTCTGAGTTCCTTTTAATTTTGTAATGTGTCGAAAATTTGAATAGCCACACTATTTTTTTTTTTTTTGCGACAAATCCTTGTTAATTTCTATTCTTTGGCAATGATTACTAAGATGTCTAAAAAAAAAAAAAAGACAAGCAAAAAATGGATAAATGAATCAAGGAAAACAATAGCGGGTGAGTTCCGCGGAAACGTCCAAAACCAGGAATCCGAGAATTCAATTCAGGAAACATCCTTTTCTATTGTTATTATTAAATCTACGTTATTTTTTTTGTTTTTATTTTCTATTTTTTTTATTCGAGAAATACCCTCAGGTGGAGTTTGGAAAATTACGTCACTATCAGCGGTGTTTTCTTAATACCTTTCATACAAAAAGTTTTGTAAAAAATATATCCTCCCAAAGAAAAGTATTTAAAATTTTATTATAACCCTACTGTAAATTAATATCTGAATAATATTTTTTACCTTAACCCTATCAATACGTAGTTAAATTGAAAAAACATACTTGACTTCTAGACAGTTGCAAAAAAACCATTAGGGTACACAAAGATAGGCAAATGATAAATTGACCACAAGTATCTTTTATTACAATTACGAAAAAAAGGGGATAATTTAACTAACAGTAAAACTAAGTCCATAAAAAAAAGACAAGTCATTATTAAGTCACCTTAAGATAATTTACTACGGTTGAGTAAAAAAAAAGTTATCGAGATATTTTTCCGCAAGCCCTAACACGAAATAAATATGACAGTTACAGAAATCTGGAATATTATTTTTTGCACGATTTTTAGTGTGTCGGTGTTATATACTTTTTTTCTTTCTGATTTGTAATATTTTGTCCCTATATTTTTAAGAGAGTCGCCACGTTTGCAATCTTATTCCAAGGTCTGCAAATACAATTATTCTTTTGCCACCTTCCTTAATTGTTTATCCCCTGCGGATTTAATTTTTTTGTCTTTTGTTTTTTTCTTTTGTCCCAACTTTGACTAAAAACAAGAAAAAAAAACAAAAGACGTGGCACAAAAATAAACAAAAGAAAACACAATAAGTCAAGTAAAAATTTTGATGAATAGAAGATGAACAAAATTTCAAAAATAGGAAAAAATAATAAGAAGAAAAGAAACTGCCATGACTTATAAATTCTAATTTCTAGAATGTTTTAGACATTACCCTATGACTACTCTTTTATGAAAAAAAAGTAAAAACAAAAAAAAAAAAGAAAAGAAGGTTGTTTCTGTTTTAATTGTTGTATAATTTAAGATTATCCCATTTTTTCTTCATCTTTAGATCTGAGCAAGACAATGTACAACTTATAGTGATATTACAAAGAGTTTAATAGTTAGCATACTACTTTGTAAAAGAATGATAAGTAAGAAATATTTTGAAACAACTATTATCGGTTAAGTGTAATGGTTACTTGATTATCTAGTAAGATAAGATTTTTTGATATTTCCTATGTTCATTCTTTTTTCTAAAAAATTCTTTATTGCATATTATATGCTCTAAAAATTAAAATACTCAATTATTCTTAAGGTTTACTATAAGCACTTCTATGATTTTTTCAATATCATACTATCACTTTTTTTTCATAGTAAAAGCAAAACCATTGTAATTAAGTGAAGAAGGAAAAAAAAATTGCCTTTAAAGACACAAAAAAAAAACGTCAATTGTTTTTTTTTTTCTTTTTTGTTTTTTTCTTTTTTATTTTTTAGAAGTGATTGGTCTTTGACCCGTGGCATGCGGAATATACTATGGTCCGCGGATATAAGATATTAGTAATATGCATAACTTTTTCATATTATTTCATCTTCTTGCTTTGTTTACAAGTCATATCTCCATTATCTGTGAAACTACAAAGTGATTCTCTCTGCTAATGAAATAACCCTTATACTTTATTATTCTAAGCAACGTTAAGAAGTATCAAGAGTTACTAACAAAGATTATAAAATTGGTTTTTCCTCCAATAAAAACATTCTATCCATATTACCAATGTTCTAGAAAAATTATGACGATCATTATAGAAATAAATTTTTTTTTTTACTTTTTTTTTGAATCATCTCTCTCGTTACTTTATGTTAAAAATATAATTTTAATTACATATATTTTTTGATTGATTTTTTCTTGTCTTTTGTGTTGCGTTTATCTTTATAAACCGTGCTAATAATAAATAAATAATAGTAACAATAATAATAACAATAATAATAATAGACACAAACAAAAGGTAGAAAAAACCAAGCCACTTGAATCATCCATCAGTATTTTGCCTTATTCTTTTTTTTTTTAGTGAAACTCTTTCGGCCATTTCATTACATGCGGAATTATATCTCCACTGTTTTCTTTTTTTAGTTTAACAAAAAAAATCAATTGATTTGATTTTCATAACGGAGCTTTCTTGATTTGGTGTTAGATGGTAAAAAAAAGAAAGAAAAGAAGAATAAAAAAGCAATTGGTAAGTGAATAGCATAAATCAAAGTGAATCATGGAGATTTCAAACTCTCTTAAAAATTGGATCTGACGACTATCTCTTACGTGTAGCGGCTACTCTCTTGGAAGAAAGGTTATTCCTATGTGTGTGTTTTTTCTTTATTCAAAACTAAAGGTGTCAGTTCGATACACAAATTCCTACAAGTTTATTAAACCGCTTCTTATTTTCTCTTTTTGTTATGTTTAATTTATTCTAGCTTTTACCATACCATTTGGATAGATACTCTAGAACAAGCTCTTCTGAATAAATTATTCAAAAGAAAATTAAAAAAAATTAGCATATAATTGTCTTTCATTACTAGAAATTGGGATTTTGTAAACAGAAATCCCTTAACTCTATGTTTTTAGAGGACTGTAGAAATTCTAATCAATTACAAATTAAAGAGGATATATTATACTGTAAATGATACGGAATATATGATAATAGTATATTATTTAAATATAGTATATACAATCAAAAAATAAAAAAAAAGAAAGGTGAAAGCTCAAATTTAAAAATAAATCATCTGTGGTTTATTCACAGAAGAAGACATATATGTCCTATGGAGTGTAATGTATACTCGATTATTTGTTACTTTATAAGGGATTATGATTATAATTTGCTTTTAAACTGGTCTTCGGTAACACCTTCACCCATGGCAGCAGTAGCAGAAACACCACCTTGAGCTAGTTTTAGAATACCATCTATGTACTCTGCACCTGACCATTTTTGGTGTTTTAATACATCAACACCACAATCCATTTCACGTTGTTGAACGTTTTGAGCATATGCTTTCATACCGTCCCTAGCAAAATCTTTAGCGAAGTTATTGATTGCTAAGGCGGTAGTATGTAGACCTGCCAAGGTAATGAACTGCCAGATATAACCCAATCGACCCAATCTATCAATAAATGTGTATTGTTCTTCAGGAGACATGGCAGCTTGCCAGTTGAAAGATGGAGATAAGTTGTAAGCCAACCACTGGTGTGGATACTTAGCTTTGATACCTTCGGCAAATTCAACAGCTTGTTCATAATCTGGGTAGTTTGATTCCATCCATACTAGATCAGCGTATGGAGCAAATGCGCGAGCTCTCATCACTGCACATTGGGTACCACCACGATATCTGTATAAACCTTCTCTTACTCTTGGTAGGTCCCAATTGAAGTAAATTTCACGCCCAATCAAACGCTGAGCAAGTTTGGATGCGTCATGGTGAGAGATTTCACTTAATGGGCCAACTTTAGAATTAAATTGATCGATTAAAGATTTCTTTTCAACAGCAGATAACGTGGAATCGCTGTTGACTTCGTCAGCAAAGGCTTCGTGGAATAGTTTTAGGCCGGCCTTTTCGTTCCATTTCTTTTCAATAAATTGTAATTGTTCAGCAGTAGCACCATTGATGATAGCTTTATCCAATGTTTCAGCCAAGGACTCTTCTACTTTTGGATTAGTAGCACCAATAATGAAGTAATGGTCACGAGTGTCAATTGTAGAAGAAATTAAGGTGGCCGCTTCCGAATCAGTTCTTGCGACAACAATCAATTCAGAATTCATGACATCAGCACACATTCTAATAGTAATCAATCTGTTAATATGTTCTTGGACAGGAATCACACATCTACCAGCCATGTGACCACATTTCTTATTAGTGGAAGTTTGGTCTTCCATGTGGATACCAGCAGCGCCACGTTCAATAAACATTTTTGTCAATTTGTAAACTGCAGTTAAACCACCATGGCCGGCATCTGCATCTGCAATAATTGGAGTCAAGTAATCAATAGCCGGACCCTTTGCAGCCAGGTTTTCAGCACTATTAGCTGTAACTCGTTCTTCCCATTGTTTACGGTCATGGAATTGCTGAGCTTTGAACAGATGTTCTACTTTGTTTGGAACAGTATCCATTGGATAATCAGCCAAATCTGGACCTGGTTCATTAGATGTGGAGGCAGTAGAGGAACATTGCCAACCAGAAACATAGATAGTATCCAGGTATTTGGACATTTGTGTGATTTGGACTGGATCCAGGGCACCAAAAGTTTGAGAAACAGTCTTGTTGGCATGGTGTTTTGATAAGATGTTAAAAAGTTTCTTTGACATTACAGTGGATGGATATTCATGCGGTGGGAGTGTTCCACGTCTAAGCGCAATATCTTTAGCAGTGTATGTTCTCTTGGTGTTGGCCCAACGTGGCTGGGACCACCATTCCTCGATTTCTTTGCTATCTTTTTGCAATTTGGCTTGGTTCGCCTCAAATTCAGCTTGGACAGACATTATATGACAATTATTATTATATTATATTGGTTAGTAAGGTTGCTAATGTTAATTAATTTGTCTTGAGTTTTGTTTCAAAAAAAAAATTGGGAACTATGCAAGTAATGAGCAATACCAAAACTACCATATCAAATATATAGTATCAAATTGAATAACTTCTATTTATATATTCAAGAATATACAATGTCTGTTGACTGAAATTGGAACAGCAATTTGTATGATTAGGTCACTGTTCCATTACACCGAAACGATCCTGTCATTGTTAGAGCTCAATTAAAGATATTATTGAGTGATTAAGCTGTCACTTATTTAGTGCTCCAGAAAGATAAAAGAGGAAAAAAGAAAAAAGAAAAAAAAAAAAAAAAAAGAACTAGAAAGTGAAATTGAAATAAAAAAAGATTTAGTGCTTTTATTTGTGTTGCATGTTTCCATTGCTCCTTTACAATAGTTAAATTAGTTATGCTTTGTTTTTAATAGAAGAGATGCATCATTATTTATTATTTTGATCCGCAATCTAATTTGCAATAGTAAATCTTGTCGGATAAATGGAATCCTTTTTTTTTTCCAAATGAACAAGAAAATTTAATGACAGAAATGTCTGGGTGTTTACAGGCGACAGGAGCTTTGTAGAAAAAAAAAGGTAATAATAAAACAAGAATCAAATAAAATTAACGGAAGAGATGAAATTTGAAGAATTTGTTAGTAAATACAGGCAAAAAGGCTTAACAAAATTTCAAATCTATCTATATATATATATATATTATCAAGATTCATTTTATTTCAAAGTGTTATTTACAAGGATGTGGGGGGAGGAGAATTTCATTTTTAGATAATTATGAATTGTGGTGTCAAAAATCGAAAAATAAACAAACTTCCTTTTTAATAACAATAGCATATATAGAGGGTTTAATAAAGAAAGAAAACAAGTAAAATTAATTAATATATACTTATAGTCAATAATACCTTCAATTGTAGGTATTTAATTTTTTATAAATTTTACTTAAATGGGTTTTAAATGAAATATATTGTAACCTTATAATTTCAGAAATTATTGGCCATTACTTTTTTTTTCTGTAAAATTTTTAAATTTAGGACTTGAGAAAGATGTGTTTACATTAAGCTGAATGAGAAACATAGAAATATTAAATATTACATCTTAAATTATTATTTTCTTTATGTAATTTTTTAACGAAAGAATCAAGCACTTACAAATAAAATAGATTTAAATATTTCCTATATATATATATATATAAACTTTTTAGGAAAAAAAAACAAAAGAAGAGAAATTCTTCAGTTTAAACTCCGCTCTCGTATTGCCGAAAAGGGTAAAAGAAGATATTATATAGAATTGTATATAATTGTAAAAATTTTATTCTAAAACTGCATCTTAACATCAGTTTAATGAAAAAATCTGGAGAAGACGGAAGTTTTATATGCTAATAGGGTATAATTAGGTCAGTTCTTGATTGATAGTTCTAGAAAAGAAGAAGAGAAAAGCGAAGTGAAATAAAAAAAAAATAGAGTTAGTTTAAAATATCTATTCAATCGTTTTTCTTTCATACAAAAACACTCTAAGATCATTGGATTGAACAAAAGTATTCTATGAGGTTCAACCAATAACATTATGTTTTTACTTTTTTCAAAAAAAAAAACAGTATTTATCAAGATTGTAATATATTCCGGACAATGAATACCTGTGAGTTAATAATAAGAGAGAATAGGGGAAAATCCCTAAGGAAGTTTAGAGGTTATTATTATCAAATACTTATTTATAAATTTACGCTTAATAAACTTATTCTACGATAACTCATATTTTCTTTTTTTTTGTTTTTTGCTTTTTATCACAAAACCAACCAGTACTATTAAATATTATTAAATAACCTTTTCAAAAAGAGCACCGTGGCTTTAATAAATTGTACTACTATGAGGTATGTAAAATGTACATGTTTTTGGAATGAAATAAATGCCGTTAAATAGAAAAAAAAGGAAATATTATCATTGTTATGGTGTGCCAGTTTTTCTAGATCATTTATTGTTTCCTGAAAACAAATATGATACCACTTAAAAAATCGACATACTTTTTATCTGAACCTCTTATTTACCTAAGTTAGGTCTTGTGTTGCCGTATTAAAAGTAGTCCAAAGGATAGAAGGAATGATGGAATGAAATCATATACAAACTTCTATATTTGTTGCAGGAAGAAAAACCCACTACGAATAGTGCAGTGTACCTCTCCCTCAAAATAAGAAAATGTCTATTATTTTTCTATTTTCGTGGGGTTTTTAATTCATTTGCTTTCTTTATCCTTCTGAACAGTAGTGTCTAGATGTAAAAGCTACTACCATGTGTATTGTATTCGGATTAGGTTTGTTTAGTTTTTCTGTCTAAATAATCTGAAATCTAGCAAATGGGAAAAAGGGAAGGTCAACTGAAAAATAAGGGGGGAAGGGATGAAGGTAAAATTAAAAAAAAAAGTGACGACCCTCTCAAAAAAAAAAATAAAAAAATAAATAAAAGTAGAGACAAATTATTAAAAATTAGAAAAAATGACGCATACATAAACACTAATAGGAGAAGGCCGGGTAGAAAATAATATTCCAGATTTCTGTAACTGTCATATTTATTTCGTGTTAGGGCTTGCGGAAAAATATCTCGATAACTTTTTTTTTACTCAACCGTAGTAAATTATCTTAAGGTGACTTAATAATGACTTGTCTTTTTTTTATGGACTTAGTTTTACTGTTAGTTAAATTATCCCCTTTTTTTCGTAATTGTAATAAAAGATACTTGTGGTCAATTTATCATTTGCCTATCTTTGTGTACCCTAATGGTTTTTTTGCAACTGTCTAGAAGTCAAGCATGTTTTTTCAATTTAACTACGTATTGATAGGGTTAAGGTAAAAAAATATTATTCAGATATTAATTTACAGTAGGGTTATAATAAATTTTTCAAAAAATTTTGAAGGGTTTTTTTTAACCAATTTTTTTGTGGGAAAAAATTTAAGCGGATACTGTCATTGGTAATATAGTATTGTCTCGAAATCAAAAAGGAGTACCTATTACATTCTTTCTCGACCTTCTCCCCCCCCTCCCCTTTTTTTTTTCTGCCTATCTGTTTGGGCTCTCTCTTTAACATCTATAGTAAAAGTTTGATTTGCCTTTGAAGAGTGGTGTGATTTATTGTTTATAACAAATTTAACATTTCTTGTGTCCTTGCAAAAGAAGAAGCTTCGAGGGGTAAAGAAAAAAAAACTGTTATTGATTTAGCTTCCTTCAAGGGCATTACAAGGTATCGTAAGGGGAAGTGGGCTGATCTCTTAAAGATTTGTTTAGATTTCATAAATTTTTTTTTTCTTTTGTTTTTTGAAGATTGGTCCATCTTGATTCAAATCATATATAAGATGACTAGATTTAGTTTTTTGCGTGCTGTGCCCGAGACGCTGTTTCTCCTCTGTTGAGTTCTAGTTGCAATTGTAAAGAACATCACCGAACATTTTATAAATTAACATTCAATTGTGCTATTAGATTTCAACGGTAGAAATTGTATATATTCTTCAATTCACTGTTCACTGTTTATATTTTTATTCATACTTAGAAAAGAAAAACTTTAGATACTCACTCAACACACCATGACTAAAGCTTCCAAGAAAGATAAGAAGCCATCCTACACCACCACTACAACTAAGACAGGTGAACAAATAAGAGTCTTTGAAGATTTAGAGACCTTTGAAACTTTCATTAAGAATGAGACTGAAGATGATGAATTTGAAAACTTGCATTGTGTTTGTAATTATTATCCACCATTTGTTTTGCACGAGTCTCATGATGATCCAGAAAAGGTAAAAGATAGTGAGAATTCTCATAATAAGAAGTTCGTTAGACATCTACATCAACACGTTGAAAGACATCTTTTGAAAGATATCACCAAGAGTATCGGTTTGCCTGATATGAAATTCCATGACAAGACGAAGGATGAAAACTTTGATCATATAACGTGGCACTATGCTGAAGACACAAAATACAACAATAAACCTTTTAAAGTTATTGTTGAGGTTACTTGTCATCACGATAATGCCATGGTTTCTGTTGATTATAAGACTATGCCATTGTAATAATATTACGAATTTTATGTTTCATTTGTGTAATATCTATAAGCTATATGTTCTCTGTAAGTTTATATATGTGTCACAATTATGTATTTAGTTTTATTCTAATCTAATCTAATTAATGATTTATGATGTGATTTTTTATCTTCTATTGTTAAAGAAAGAGTGAAAAAAGTGACTTTTGTTAACATACTTTTGGTGTTTCTGTTAAGCTTTATTGGGTAGTTAGGTAAATGCCTAATTGGATTGTATAACCAAGGGAAATGGTCTGATAAAGGACGGTTTTTGTTAATGGAAATTTGTATTATCTTTATTGAAATTATGTTTGAATAATAACAGTGTGAGGTTTTTACTGCAGTTTTTAAAAATAGATATGGATCAAATAATACCTCTTTTAGAGTGATCCTGTAAGGTGCCCAAACTGGAAATCCTGAAATACGTGGGCTGCAGGTAACGCCTAATGTCGAGGCGAAGGATTTGGAACAACCGAAACTCTGGGCCTAAGGTTGTGAGTGTATTCGAACGAACATATGATCGTCGGATGGACATTGGTGGCAAATTATTAGGAAGCTTACTTAAGAGATCCTTGATTATTGAGAGATAGTGCCAGAGGTAATTATCAGCATTAATATTCATAATTTATCTAATAGGTTAAGAAGAACAAGACGAATATCCAAGATTAATCTATTTAATAGTTGGAATCAGCCAATTATATAATTTGTAAGTGTTTATATATATAATTAATATCCATATTTTAGTATATCACTTGAGATAACCCTCACAGATCCATGTCTTCTCTCATTTGGTATCTCCCCCTTTGGAATTTTGTTTTGTTTCATAATTTCATTCTCGTGATTGTTCAAAATATCCAATGGTAAACAAATCGTAAAAAAAAACTTAACTAAATACTTAAGATTATTACTAATATATTTATCAATGGAAAATAGAGTCAAAGGATAATAGTAAAAATTTTTTTAGCCACATACTAAATTACGTGAATTAATTATATGTAAATATCTACAAATTATACAGTTATTGATTCTGAACAAATACACCAGTTATATAATTCTCGTTATGTTCTTATTACTACTTCAAATACATTTTCAACTACTAGATATTTCTTAAATAAATTTTTAGCACTTTATCATCAATATTAATTTAACAATTATTCGAGTATATTTGTGGCCTGAGCCTACTTTTTCATCTGTTCAAATCCTTCAGTTCAAATATAGGCGTCAAAGTTTACAGCATGAATATACTAACCTTTTACTTTTTTTTTTATATCAATGTACAAACATAAAACTGTTTACCAAAAAGGGAAAATACGCGTTTAAAATTCGGGTAATACGTAATTTTCTTTTTTCTTTCTTTTTTGAATTTCAAAAAATTTTTGAATGTTATTTTCTTTTTCGATTCCAACCTTTTTGAAATTCTTAAGTATAACCAAATGGCCACCGACCAACTTATGATCAGCTAAACACATCGTATAGGCAACTATTTCTCTACCTTGTTACTCCCAGCAAGACCACTGTTTATATCAACGACTATAAAAAGTAATATTATATACTTCTCGACGTTTTAACCCTGCATCTTTATATATATATCCACACATATATACTTATAAAATAAACGACCCTATTAGCAATTAATAGTCTATCATAACAAATAAAAGAGATTCTCCTATATTATAATCCAACTTTTAATACCTACATAACAATATATAACAAAAATGGCCTCTGTTATTCATAATAATCTAAATACCTATCAACCAAATTATGATCCTAACTTCCTTTCTGAAGATGAGGATGAGTATTGTCCGTTATGTATTGAACCACTGGATATCACAGATAAAAACTTTTTCCCTTGTCCCTGTGGTTACCAGATTTGTCAATTCTGTTACAATAATATTAGACAGAATCCAGAATTAAATGGTAGATGTCCAGCATGTCGTCGTAAATATGATGATGAATCTGTCAGATATAAAGTACTTTCCCCAGAAGAATTGAAGTTAGAGACAGCAAAATTAGCAAGACGTGAAAAGGAGAGGAAGCAAAGAGAGAAGGAGAAAAAAGATATAGAATATAATAATAGGAAACATTTGGCTGGCATGAGAGTCATCCAGAAAAACCTAGTCTACGTTATTGGTGTTAATCCACCTGTTCCATTTGAAGAAGTCGGAAACACTCTGAAATCTGAAAAATATTTCGGTCAATATGGTAAGATTAATAAAATCGTTGTAAATAAAAAAAATTCACATGGTGGCAATGATAACTATCACGGTCATCATTCACCAGGATACGGTGTCTATATTACATTTGCATCCAAAGATGATGCAGCAAAATGTATTGCACAAGTAGATGGAACTTATATGGATGGTAAATTGATTAAAGCAGCTTATGGTACCACCAAATATTGTTCCTCCTATCTACGTGGTCTACCATGTCCAAATCCAAATTGTATGTTCTTACATGAACCAGGTGAAGAGGCAGATTCCTTTAATAGAAGGGAGTTACATAATAAACAACAACAATCGCATCCACAAAACACTCTAAATAACATGTCTGGCTCAACACCCTCTTCTTCATCCTCTAATGCAGCAACCCACAATGTATTTAAATCCACTGCAACAACGAATGGAACCCATGCTTCTACTAATAACAACAATAATAGCTCCTTTAGCCCATCTTCCACAAATTCCCCATTATCCATTAAGACTCATTTACATGGACACGATGCTGGTAACAGTACATCAACTTCTACTCCCGTGTTGACACCTGCACCTATCCCCACCGGCGCAAATCCATGGGGTATTAGCCAATCTTCTACTCCAATAACAACTTTAAATCTTTCTAAAAACACGAGTTCTACTAATATACCTACATTAAGTGAACTAAATCACGATACATTACATAATAGCAATCATAGTAATATTGCTGCAACATTTGGCTTATCCAACCTGAATAAAAGTATAAATAATAACAGTATGGCCACGGCCAATGGCAATAATGGTTCTACAAAAGAAAGTAATAAGAAAAAGAATAATAATAATGCACCTGAAAAGAAATATGTTGATCCATACGATTCTTCTAGAACTGCAGTGAACTTCTTAGATTCAAGAATTCAATTTCTATCAAATTATGAAAATCATGAAATTAAGTTAAAAGAAAATTTACTAGACGACGAAGAATATTCCAAATACCCGTCATTATTTTCATGGAACAACATCAAAACTAGCGAAAAATCAGAATATATATTACGTGATAAATTAATAAGTATTCTTGCTGCAAAACCAATTGACTATTCTGCATCCGTGATCCAGTTTTTGCAAAGTGTTGGTGCAAGTGGTGTAGTTCCAATAACCACTTTACCAAACTCTGTTAGTAACAACCCAAATACAACTTCTCCATCCTTCCAAAATAACGAAAATCTATTAAATGAACAAGGTTCAACCAACAAAAATGTTCTTCTACAATTACAACAACAGCAAGGATTGAATACTGCCACCCCTCCACCTCCACCAGGTATCTACCCAATGAACCAAATGCAACAAACACAATCACAAAAAGGACATGTACAGGATTCCAATCAACTTCCACATATGCATGAAACTGGGATTACCAATTCCACTGACCTATTAAATCAATTAATTAAAGGAAGAAAAGTTGCTACTAGCAATTAAGAACCTATTTCCAGCATCAGTACCACCACCAATCGTCATCAATGTCATTAAAATTAGCTCATCACATAATGTTTCTAATTAATTTCTTGCACTTACAAGTATATATTACCGTATACAAATGCCAACATACATAGAAATATATATATTTTTATCAATAAAGTATAAATCATCTAATGTGATCAGTTCTGGCACTATTGTTATTATTTCTTACTTGAATTTTTTGGTAATTTATCTCAAAAAAAATAAAATAAAATAAAATAAAATAAATAAACTAGTATATAAAAAAATAAATCAAAACAAGCATACAACACAGATAAGAAGGAGAAGCAACCGTAAAACACAATGTTTATATACATATAAAAAAGGCTAATAAACAAAAGTGAAAAAGACAATAATTAGTATACCAATCCAAAAAAAAAAAAAAAAAAAAAAGAGAATAATGTCAAAATTCCCACCAGATGTCACCGCCCTATTTAAACCAGCTCCACCATTAAAATATCTCAAGTCAACAGATCATCCAGTTCATAAACGTCAAACTTACCCAAAGATTGCAGAGTTATCATCATATCTAACATATTTATCAGATTACCAATTGAAATACCCTAATGGTAGTAGAAACAAATATCTAGAATATCTAACACGTCAATCAGAGAGACAGAAGAAGCATCAAGAAAGACTCGATGAAAAATATAAAGAATGGGATCCTCACAATGATCCACATATGAAAAACACAGATCCATATTGCACTATATTTGTTGGTAGATTGCCGTACGATATTAACGAGTTAGAATTACAAAAAATTTTTAGTAAATACGGTAGTATTGATAGAATACGAATAGTTAGAGAGAAAGAAGCTAAAATACAGAATAATTGTGGTGGTAATGATAAGAGTAGGAAAAAGAAAAAATTGTCAAAAAATGAAGATACTAATACGAATAATAAATCCAGAGGATACGGATTTATTGTATTTAGCAATCCAATGAGTTCCAAGAAATGCATACGAGAGACGGGTGTCCGTAGAGGTATTGTGATTCATGGGAGAAGATGCATAGTGGATTATGAAAGAGGAAGAACTAACAAATATTTTGTTCCTAGTAGATTTGGTGGAGGTTTAGGAAACAGAGGATATAGTTTAGCAACACACACAGATAAACAGTTAATATCCAATGATCATAGATACAGAGGTACTAACAAATTCCAATCTTCTCATCCTAAAAGAAGTGGTTATTACGAACAGATACATCATACTTCTTCAGCTACTCATCCTAGGACATCTTTGTTCTCACAATCTCAAAACTATCAAAATTCTACATTACTATCACAAACACAAACAATCCCATCTCATTTAATGGATATAAATGACACATCTGAACAACAGGTATTGTCGTATCGTTCTCGTGTAACAAGAACACAAAAGGAAACATCAAATAAAACTCAAGCATCATTAGATTACTAAAAGCAAAACAAAAGACAAGAAACAGAAAACAGAAAACAAACAAACAAACAAGTATATATATATGTATCGACTGCATTTCTTAAGTCAAAAATGGTGGACTCAGTGCGATGTACAATAGTAAAATATTTATCCTCCTATCTAGTACTGTTATTATGCTGAGAATTTTTTCTGTATCAGACGCAATATATAGTTACAAATATGATATGTTCAATTGGTAACGTTTTTGTCCTGTGGTCAAGTGAGTCACTGAATGAACCAATTTACCGTTCAAAATAATAAACCATCTAAAAACAAAGACAGATCGAAAAAGAAAACAGTTTGTGTCTGGCAAAAAAGAAACCAAAAAAACAAATAAAACTTTTTATTTTTTAAAAAATTCATCTCCACAATACACCCATACACCCAACATATCCAAAGTTTCGCTATGTTTTTCACTTAAAGGTTATTGTCTTTGACCGTTATTGGCAACTGTGACCGGTTCTTATTTTATTATCTTTTTTTTGTTTTATTTTTATTTTATTTTTTTTTGTATGTGTGGGAGAAAGAAATATTTCACTCAAAAAGTATTTTTCCTTTTTTTCATTGTGTCACCCACTCTGCTTCCAGAAATTCCATTGTGTTTTCTGTTCAAAAAAACATGACCGTTAAGTGAATGAGTCAGCGATGGTCACGGTTTTGCCTGTATATATAAACGGCCTCTTTGCTTCGCTCTCTGCTTCCTTTAGGGCAATTTTTTTCTCTCTCTTTCTTTACTTCTTTCTCTCGATGCCCCAGAATCTTTTCCCGAGAACTCTTTTTTCATGCTTTGAAAAGTTGTACCGACTGTTTTAGTCTCAATTAAGATCTACAGACATTTTTAAGGGATTCACCTATTTGTTTTTATTTTTATTTTTTTTTTAGATACATACATTTCATCGAAAAGTGTTAGCTAACTACTAATACACATACCCACACAGATTAATTCATTTGCTGGTTTTCTTCACAGGTCTAAGTATAATAATAATAATATACATACATATACCTCCATTTATATCTACTTATACACATGCCCTGTATTAGCATTTTAGTATCCGCTAGAAGGTTTCAAACCTCATCTATAAGCCAGTCTGTAAAAGCTTTACATCGTTTATCAACAGTTTTGAATAATAATTATGTCACTCATAAGACTACTCATCGTTTAACTGTTCCTTCTGGAAATGTGTTAGCTAACAAAAAAGTAGGCTATTCGAAAAGATTTGTAACTACTGCATCCGTAAATGGTGTTGGTTCCTCTGGAACCAGATCCACTGTTATCCAATTATTAAACAACATTTCTACAAAAAGAGAAGTTGAGCAATACCTGAAATATTTCACTTCTGTCTCACAACAACAGTTCGCTGTCATTAAGGTCGGTGGTGCCATCATTAGTGATAACCTACATGAATTGGCTTCGTGTCTGGCCTTCTTATATCATGTCGGCTTATATCCAATTGTTTTACATGGCACAGGTCCACAAGTTAATGGAAGATTGGAGGCCCAAGGTGTAGAACCTGATTACGTCGATGGGATCAGAATAACAGATGAAAAAACAATGGCTGTGGTCAGAAAATGTTTCCTCGAGCAAAATTTGAAATTGGTTACTGCTTTAGAAAAGCTAGGTGTTAGAGCAAGACCAATCACTTCCGGTGTCTTCACTGCTGAATACCTGGATAAGGACAAGTACAAACTGGTAGGTAATATTACTGGTGTGTCTAAGGAACCTATCGAAGCCTCTATTAAGGCAGGTGCTTTGCCAATCTTAACTTCACTTGCAGAGACAACCTCTGGCCAAATGCTTAATGTAAATGCAGATGTTGCTGCTGGAGAATTAGCTCGTGTCTTTGAACCCTTAAAGATTGTCTATCTAAATGAAAAAGGTGGTATTATTAATGGAGAAACCAAAGAAAAAATCTCCATTATTAACTTAGACGAAGAATACGATGATTTAATGAAACAAAGCTGGGTTAAGTATGGTACAAAGTTGAAAATTAAAGAAATCAAAGAATTGCTAGACTACTTACCACGTTCTTCGTCTGTAGCAATCATCAACGTTCAAGACTTACAAAAAGAATTATTTACTGACTCTGGTGCAGGTACCATGATTAGAAGAGGTTACAAGTTATTAAAAAGAAGCTCTTTATCGGAATTCCCATCAGCCGATGCATTAAGACAAGTCCTGGAAAGAGACAGAGATTTTGTATCAGGTAAAGAATCTGTAGCTGGCTATCTAAGAGAGTTAGAAAGAAACGATTTCGTTACTTATACTGATGAACCAATGAATGTCTTCGCCGTAGTATTAAAGAATAAGGGTTTAGTGCCTCAACTAAACAAATTGATTTGTACAGATCAGGCCTGGTTAAATAACGTTACAGATAACGTTTTTAATGCCTTACGTCGTGATTTCACATCTTTGCAATGGATTGTTGATGAAAGCGATCCAAACATCTCATGGCATTTCGCTAGATCTCAAGGTTCTTACTTGAAAAATGGCAAAATATTGTTCTGGTATGGTGTCAATGACTTGGAAACAACCTCCAAACTAATCACTGAATTTGTCAGAAGTATAGGCCCAGATAATTCTTCTTTTCAAAGTAAATCTTCTGGTGTTTTTGATTCCGGTATAGCAAAGAGAAATTATTCAGTTAGATCCACTCCAAAACCAGAAGGTGTCAACAAAAACATTGGCCGTATAGCCTTAATCGGTGCAAGAGGTTTCACTGGTAGAAACATTGCTGCATTAATCAATAACCATCCATATTTCGAAATTACGCATGTTTCCTCTCGTGCTTTAAAGGGCACCAAATTTGAAGGATATACCAAGAAAGAGATCTTCTACGAAACTTTACAAGCTGATGATATCAAAAAATTAGAAGCTGCAAATGAAGTCGATTTCTGGATCTTAGCTCTACCAAACAATATCTCCGAACCAATTGTGGAAGCTATTACTAGTGTTGAAGGCGGTAAGTCCAAGATTTTGGATCTCTCTGCTGACCACAGATTTGTACCAGAGACTGAATGGGTCTACGGGTTACCAGAATTGAATAATAGAGATAGAATCGCATCTGCAAGAATGATCTCTAATCCAGGTTGCTATGCTACTGGCTCCCAGTTAGCTATTGCTCCATTAACTGAGTACATTGATGGTTTACCAACCATCTTTGGTGTTTCCGGTTATTCTGGCGCTGGTACCAAACCATCTCCAAAGAATGATCCAAAATTCTTGGCTAATAATTTAATCCCATACACTTTAACTAACCACATCCATGAACGTGAAATATCTACTAGATTAGGTCATGAAGTTGCATTCATGCCACACGTGGGCCAATGGTTCCAAGGTATTTCTTTAACTGTCTCCATCCCAATCAAGAAAGGTTCTTTAACATCCTTTGACCAAATTAAGAAGATCTATGAAGATTTTTACAAAGGTGAAGCTTTAGTTAAAATCATCAATGATATTCCATTAGTTAAGGATATCAAGGAAACACATAGTGTAGTCATTGGTGGTTTCAAATTGAACGATGCTGGTGACCGTATTGTTGTCTGTGCCACAATTGATAATCTATTAAAAGGTGCAGCTACTCAAGCTGTCCAAAATATGAATTTGGCAATGGGCTATGGTGAATACGATGGTATTCCAAAGGATAAAATTTTATAAACAAAAAGAAGAAAGAGGAAAACGGATGTTGTAAATAGTCCTTTTTCTATTTTTCAATCGTTTAAGTTTTCTTTAGGACACAAAAGAAATATTAAAAAAATAACATTTCTAATGACCATAAGTATGTATAATTATTTAGTCTTACCTGTGTAATTTTTAATTAATGTTTGAATAAGAAGTTTACCTTCATGTGAGTCATTATCTGTACATAATTATACCTTGTGCAAGGAAAAGTATAAATTAATGTTACAAAGCCATTGCTTACAAAAACTATTATGTCTTCTTCAGGGAAATTTATTCTCATAATTAACGAAACGAAAAAAAAAACAAAAAAAAATATTATTTAATTAAACCCTCTTAAGAAAAAAGGAGATACAAATTTCTGGGTTAAAGAGAGAGAAAAGAAGAGAGAGAGAGAAAGTGAGAAGGTAGAACAAATTAGAATTTGTGAATTCCTCTAGGATAACATTTATATCAGACAACGAAAACAACAACAAAGAACAGTATGAGCGATTGGAGAAGAATTGATATTGATGCTTTTGACCCAGATTCTAGATTAACAGCAGAGGACTTAATCCCCTCATATGACAGACAGATCACCCTTGAAGAATTACAACCCAAGATGCAACAATTGCGTACACTATCTAGTGGTGGTGACACAAGAAATGCTATTCACTTAATAACGCAAGACCCACCATATAGTGCAGACGACAATACCAAAGATCTATATTTCCAAGTTGTATTAGAGACTCTATGTCAAGTAAGACAGGTGGACATAGCCAATATTGTGAAGGAACTAAACACAGAGCAACAAGTTGTCTTAGTCAAATATTTATACAAAGGTATGTCATTACCTGAGGGACAAAAACAAGGGGGGGATCCTACTCGCATGGTTTGAGAAATTAACTCAGTCAAACGGTATCACACCAATTGTGCATTATTTATCAGATAGAAGAAATGTTTAGATCTTAATATTTATTCTTATTTTTTTTTTTTTTAAAAAGAAAAGGAAAACGCTTACCCAATATTACTATTATATATCTATATAATGTCAAAATTACGTAAAGAATAGAATAACCAAACATGAATAATAAAATTATATGAAATAAACCAGAAAAAAATAGTTCTGCATAGCCTGAAAATAAACAAATCAATAATACAAGAATTAATGAAAATATACGTCTAACTTTTATTTTAGATTCCTTTAGAGAAATAGGATCATTTAAACCTCTTTTACACACACACACACACATATATATATATATATATATGTATATGTATGTATAATTCCTTTTTATTTATCACATGTATGATAGTAATGTAGTGAAACAATGTTACAATATTAAAATATACCTTATTACATATAGATATACTATCTCGTATATTTGATTGAAAACAACATAAAACAGTAAAATAGGAAAGCAAGAAAGAAAGAAAAACATAAGATCCATTTAAAAATTAACCCATCAGAGAAAGTGAGTTTTTTTTAATAGCAATATTCAATTAACATTAAATCATTTTTAATCAGCTTTTGATACAAGACTCAGGTGTGATTGTACGATACATAACAAAATTACTCTTACAAGAAATGTTCATATCTTTTCAAGACAATATTCTATTTAATTGCAAAATTGCAATAAGCTTATATATATATATTACTATACGTATAATTAATAGAAGGACTAATGAGATAATTGGAGCAAAAAAACAAAACCAAAAGATAATTAATATTTTACTGACGTCTTAAGAGTTAATTGAATAACAATTGCCGTCAATTCTTATCAGTTTATAACCAGCAGAGAAACTAATTAAACTTATTTCTATAAAATAGTACTCTATTATCTCTTCACTTATCTGTTTCTTTTTTATTCTATGTTATCTTAATTTTTTTTGTATTCTTGGTTTTCTCTCTCAATTTATGCGACATCCAAAATCGATAAGCTTTAATTAATCTATGTTATTATTATCATTATTATTGTCGCAATATATCCCACTTAAAAAACAAAAGAATAGTGTAAGAGTGAAAAAAAAAGAAAAGAAAAGATCAAAACAACAGCAACATTTATATATTGTTGTTCCTCTTCTTCTTCCTTACCATTCATTGTTGATGATAGCAATGCCGTATTAAACAAAATAGATCATATTTCTTATGCCTTTCAGTTTTTACTGGTTTCTGCGGTAACCAAATGAAATTGTCGTCGTGGCAACGAATAATGGTTACTATTGTTAACAAACAAGGAAACAATACTCATTTTTTTCTTTCTTTTTGTTAATCAAAATATAACTCTGACCATAAAAAGAAATTTCTGTTACCTCCTTTTGAAAATTACTATGGAGGTGTCAGGTTGTTTGGTAGCATAGGAAAAAAAAGCTATTTTTTTTTAACAAATAAGAAAAAGAGTCGCGTCACGTAAACCAAATCAATCCGACCATTTTCTTCTTTTTTTTTTTTTGCTTGCTTGCTTCTTTTTTCTTTTTACCCTGCCTATTAGTAAGATCTCAAGACAGTGGGAAAACCACAAAATACAGAACAAAAAGAACAAAAAAAAAAGCTATTGATTTATTTACGCGTTACCCTTTTCTTTTTTTATTTTGTTTTATTATTAGATATACTTTTAGCTTTTCCCTTGAAGAGTGGTTCACCTAGTTACTATTGTCTTCCAGCTGTTGTTAACGAGATTAGGGGAAACGCTTGTTGTTTTCTTGTTTTCTTGTTTTCCTTTTCTTTTTTCTTGGTAGTTGTAGTGTTTGAACATAATAAAAAAAGAAAAAGAAAAAGAAAAACATGAAAAGCTTTTCCAACTTTGAAGAAAACTGTTCAGATTTTTTTTATTATTCGCTGATTTTCTTCCACCTATTCATTCTCTCCAAACAATGCCGACACAAAATCACACAATCTTTTTTTTCTTTAGTGTTCTTTTTTTTTTTTTTTTTTTTTTTGATGGTTGTTATTGTTCCATTTCAAATTTATTAATAAAACAAGTGTTTCGCGTTTTACGCGTTTTACGCGTCTCAGTCTATTAACAAAAAAAAAAACTATTATTCTTACTAAGCTTTGTCCCACATATACGTAGAAGAATACATATGCAAATATAAACCCACTATTTGTGTCTATATTCATGTAACATCTATAGTCACGTCTATCATATATATATACAAGTGATATCTTATTCCAAATCAATTCAACTTATTTACTCTCCTGTTATTTTCCTTTAAACAACGGTTCTTTTTTTTCCTCCTCCGCTGAGCTATCTATCGTACTGACTTGGATCAAAGAAAAAAACAATCCACAGTGACATCCACCCTTGCATTAATACATAATTCTATATCTCGGTAACCGATGTACGTTATTAAGAGAGACGGCCGTAAAGAACCGGTTAAATTTGATAAAATTACATCCAGAATCACCCGTCTTTGCTATGGGCTAGACACAAAGCACATTGATGCCGTTAAAGTTACTCAAAGAATTATTTCTGGTATCTATGAAGGTGTCACCACTGCAGAACTAGACAATTTAGCTGCTGAAACTGCTGCTTATATGACCACAATCCACCCTGATTACGGTACTCTAGCTGCTAGATTGGCTGTCTCTAATTTACACAAACAAACTACCAAACAATTCTCTCAGGTTGTTTCTGATTTATACCATTATATTAATCCTGCCACTGGTAAGCGTGCTCCAATGATTTCCGATGATGTTTACGATATCGTTATGAGACATAAAGACGAAATCAACTCTGCTATCGTTTATGATAGAGATTATCAATACAACTATTTCGGCTTTAAGACTTTGGAACGTTCTTATCTACTTAGGTTGAACGGTAAAGTTGCTGAACGTCCACAACATTTGATAATGAGAGTTGCCCTTGGTATCCACGGTGAAGATATCGAAGCTGCTTTGGAAACATATAATCTAATGTCTTTAAGATATTTCACTCATGCATCTCCAACACTTTTCAATGCTGGTACCCCTAAATCGCAAATGTCCTCATGTTTCTTGGTTGCAATGAAAGATGACTCTATTGAAGGTATCTATGATACTTTGAAAGAATGTGCTTTGATTTCCAAAACTGCAGGTGGTATTGGTCTACATATCTCTAATATTCGTTCTACAGGTTCCTACATTGCCGGTACAAACGGTACTTCTAACGGTTTAATCCCAATGGTTCGTGTTTTCAATAACACTGCTCGTTATGTGGACCAAGGTGGTAATAAAAGACCGGGTGCCTTTGCTTTATACCTTGAACCATGGCATGCCGATATTTTTGATTTTATTGATATTAGAAAGAATCATGGTAAAGAAGAAATCAGAGCTAGAGACTTGTTCCCTGCCTTATGGATTCCAGATTTGTTCATGAAACGTGTTGAGGAGAACGGTCCATGGACTTTATTCTCACCAAGTGCGGCACCTGGTTTAGAGGATGTTTATGGTGAAGAATTTGAAAAATTGTACGAACGTTATGAAAGAGAAGGTCGTGGTAAGACCATCAAGGCCCAAAAATTATGGTATTCTATTTTGGAAGCTCAAACCGAAACTGGCACTCCATTCGTTGTGTACAAGGATTCCTGTAACAGAAAATCTAACCAAAAGAACTTAGGTACCATCAAATCTTCTAACTTATGTTGTGAAATTGTTGAGTATTCCGATCCAAACGAAACTGCTGTTTGTAACTTAGCTTCCATCGCTCTACCTGCTTTTATTGAAACCTCTGAAGATGGCAAGACATCCACATATAACTTTCAAAAGCTACATGACATCGCCAAAGTTGTTACACGTAACTTAAACAAGGTGATTGACCGTAACTACTATCCTGTCCCAGAAGCTAGAAGATCCAACATGAGACATAGACCAATTGCTCTTGGTGTTCAAGGTTTGGCTGACACTTTCATGTTATTACGTCTACCATTCGATTCTGATGCTGCTAAGGAATTGAACAAACAAATTTTTGAAACTTTATACCACGCTTCTTTAGAAGCTTCTTGTGAACTTGCCCAAAAGGAAGGACCATATGAAACCTTTAGTACTTCTCCTATTGCACAGGGTATTCTCCAGATGGATATGTGGGGTGCTAAGCCTTATGGTATGTGGGATTGGGATACCTTAAGAAAAGATATCAAGAAACACGGTGTCAGAAACTCTTTGACTATGGCCCCAATGCCAACTGCTTCTACTTCCCAAATTTTAGGTTATAATGAATGTTTCGAACCAGTTACTTCCAACATGTACCAACGTCGTGTTCTTTCTGGTGAATTCCAGATTGTTAATCCATACTTATTACGTGACTTGGTTGATTTGGGTATTTGGGACGAGTCTATGAAACAACATTTAATTACTGCTAACGGTTCCATTCAAGATTTACCAAGTATTCCACAAGACTTAAAGGACTTATATAAAACAGTTTGGGAAATCTCTCAAAGACATATTATCGACATGGCTGCTGATCGTTCCATCTACATTGACCAATCTCATTCTTTAAATCTATTCTTGCGTGCACCAACAATGGGTAAGATTACCAGTATGCATTTCTATGGTTGGAAGAAAGGTTTGAAGACCGGTATGTACTACTTAAGAACTCAAGCTGCTTCCGCTGCTATTCAATTCACCATTGATCAAAAAGTAGCTGCTCAAGCTATGAACAAAGTTGCTGATCTCACACAATTAAACCGTCCAACATACGTTCCATCTCCTGCCATTTACGAAAATCCAGAATCTCCTACTCCAGATGATTGGGTCAAGCCAGATCACGCACCCGTTCCATTAGCATCAACCGAATACGAAAAAAAAGTTAAAGAACCAAAAGAAACTGTTTCTAAAGCTAGAAGTATATCTCCAGCTCCATCAGACGAGTCAGCTAAAGTTGAAGAAAAGATAGCATCAACTCCTGTTTCTGTTATTCCAGAAACCAAAGCAAGCGAAAAGATTGCTTCTAATATACCTGCTGATGCTGGTGTTGATACAGAGGAAACAGAATATGATATTTACAATTCTAAAGTTATTGCATGTGCAATTGATAAGCCAGAAGCTTGTGAGATGTGTTCTGGTTGATCAATTTCAATTCTTACATTTTTATTAATTATTCAGTCATTCATATTATCATTTAATTTCTTTTATTGGGTCTTTTTATTGGTGTATTTTAGTATAAAGTTTTTTTTTATTTTTAATGAATATATGCAGTATATAAATATATAAACTTCTAATATTGATAATAGTAATTGCTTTAACAATTTGTTTAATTAAAAGTCGAAATTATATACAAATATATGGCTTTATCTATTAAAATTCTTGAACATCTTGCGCTTGAAAAGTACTCTTTGGAGAGGAAAGAACCTTGATTTATAACTTTTATAAAATTCCAGAGATTTTCCAGCCACAACCAAAATTTTCGAGGAGAAAACTTCGTTCCAAACTAATTTTAAGTTCTAACTTTAACCTTAAACATTAAATATATACATACATACATACATATAAGTTATATGCATAATATTTCATGCCTCGCTAAATAAAATATATAAGCACCTCATTATTTTTTTACCTTAAGCTCATCTCCAGGTTTTATAGGGAAATATTTGAGCCATCTGCCTCGATATCCCTCCAGTTGGGTAAACTTGTCTTCATATTATCTGGTGAATATTCTGGGTAATATAGATCTATTATCTTCATTAATTTCCTAAAAAATATCCGATAACCATCACCAGAAAAATGTAACCCATCTATTAGATACTTCTGCCACTTTTCATTCTTAGTCTCTGATGTTTCTAAAAAACTTTGTCGAAGGTTAACAAAAGGCACATTCTCATCTTTAGTCAAATCTATAAGGACATTAACATATTCTTCAAAAAGTTGATTACTTCTAATCCAACCCTTTTCAATGTCTTGAGTCTTTAAGACATCCCAAACATTCCTGTCGATTAAACCAGGTCCAACTACAATTGGCTTGATATTAGCTTGTTTCATCATTTTTATCATTTTTCTTATATTATCCACAAATTCAGGTAATGATACTCTTTGTGGACCCTTTTGCACAGAATCATTAGATCCAAAAAATATTGTACCTATAACAATGTCTTTACCAGAATTTTCAATTATCTTCTCCAAAATAGGAATAGCCCAACGACTGTTATAACCTGCGTAGCCTCTTTGAACAATATCCAATTTTCTTGTGTAAGCATTTGCTAATGCAGCTCCAATGGTGAAATGTTCTGGATCAAAGGCAAATTCTGTAATTGAATCTCCAAATAATAAAAATTTTTTATAGTCCATATTATTTCAATAAAACTGTGCCCTTCTTCCAATATTATCAATAGACGTATATTTATTGTGATTATTAGTTCTAAATAATGGAATGATTATTAGTTAACTAGAAGAGTAAATTATATTCATCCTTTTCCATCCCCTCCATACTATTCATAAAAATATCACTATCTCCAGAATTATCGGCTCATCTTCTTCATTTATTTCTTAATGTCTGTTTTGTTTGATAAACCTTGCATTAAACAAATTTTACAGAACAACCTTAATTGTTACTTTTTTTGTTTCTTTTTTTTTTTTTTCTTTTGTTTCTCTCGAGAAAAAGTTTTCTTGTTTTCTCTCGAAAGACACTCGACACAATACCTCTATCTTTTGATCTGACACCAAACGAAAAAAAAGACAAACGAGATCAAATAAGTTGTGTCAGAGGGAAGAAGACAGAATTTATCACAAATAAATAAATGAATTAAAAGATTACGTGTATCAAAATCAAAAAAAGAAAACACAGAATAAAGTATTCAGCCCGCTAATAATTTATCTATTTTGATTTATTGAACTTACAATCTTTAGGGAAAAAAGCAACAAGTAATACCTTTTCTATTAGTTTTTGATAAAATTTTTTAAAAATAGTTTTTTAAATAAAGCATTATTAGACTATTAAGTCCCATTATAATTATAATACTTGAAAAGCCAGACATATGTCATTACAAAGCCCTAAAACCGTTCCAACTTCTTTACCCCATAATAGTTTCCAAGATAGGCTTAACTTAAAAGAATCTGATCTACCTAATTGTGTCCGTTGCAAAGAATCCATTGTCTCTGGAAATGCTTATGAATTAGGTGATGACAGATGGCATACTGATTGTTTTACCTGTTATCGTTGCGGAAGGTTCTTAAATTGTGACTCCGATTTCTTAGTTTTAGGTACTGGAGCTCTAATATGTTTTGATTGTTCAGATTCATGTAAGAGATGTGGTAAAAAAATTGATGATCTAGCAATAATCCTATCTTCCTCAAATGAAGCATACTGTTCTGAATGTTTTGTTTGTTGTAAATGCGGTGAAAATATCAAAGACTTAAGGTATGCCAGGACCAGAAAGGGCTTATTCTGTTTGAAATGTCATAAAAAGTTGTTGGCTAAAAGAAAGCTTTATGAAGAAAAGAAACGAAGAGAGATGAAAAATCTACCTATATTGCCAGAACCTTTAGAGGATAATCCTCTTTCTACTACAACACATAAATCCAATGTGACTTCACCATCCGAAAATAAAACTTCGTCTGTGCAGGACATCAATATACACGGTTCATTGAGTGAAGAAAATAACTGTAACAATTCTGTTCCTAAACAAAAGGTTTTATTAAACAAAACACCTTTAAAAAATTATGAAAAAAGACCTGAACTAATAATTAATGATGAAGATGAAGGATTTTATTCAAAAGTTGACAAAAAACATAAAAAAGAGTTAAGTTTACCTCTTTTGGATGCAGACCAAAAATTAAATCTAACACCAGTAAAGCAAATTACACAGGCCAATGACTCATCAAAGAAACATCTAAAATCATATTCTGATATAACTGAATTTATAAATAAATCCCCTCTTTCAAAAAACAACAATAATACTTATGATGAAAATACCTTTACCAAAACACCATTAAATCTTTTAAGTCTTCCAACAGAAACACCTACAACAAACACATTTAAGTATGGTGTAGAACAACAACCATTGACACCTAAGAGATTAAGCGCGAATAGTGAAGTTATACATGAACAGGATCTGGAAGACAAACCGAAATGTTTAACAAGAAATGACACATATACTTACAATACAACAACGAGCGAAACTAATGATATATTAAATAATTACATAGATAGAAGTTCATTACTTAGTGAAAGAAAGTCTTTTAATCTATCTGGACTATTAGATAATAACAATGATAATAATGAGATCAAGAAAAAATTTATAATATTACAACAATTGGAAGATGATATTATTGAACTCCAAGCAACAAAGGCTAAATTATTGCAGCAAGTCGAAGATATGATAATAATAAAAAAAGATTTAGAGAACAAACTGGACATTATGAAAGAGGAAATAAATTCTGCTCAGCATATACTAAACGAATATAGTCAACAGCCACAATTACCTACAAGCTCGTCAGAGTCATTCCCTAATGATAATGTACCTATTAAAAATGAATCTACGGTCAGTGTATCTAGACCTACAACCAAACCCAAGTTTTGGAAAATATTTTCTTCAAAAACACAAAGTTCACCGTCTATAATTTCCTCCCCTTTGCCTTATTCTCACTCTAACCAAAGTATTTCACACTTGAGAAATTTACCAAGTCCTCAAATGTTTAACAATTCTAATTTAAAATCAAGTCCAAGTCATAATACGATAGATAAAACAAGACAAAAAATCGAAATATCCCCACCCATGTTACAACACCCAGAAGACCTTCAAAATATCAATTTGATACCAATTTCAAATAACAATAATAAAGTTCTTCCCGTTATATTAACAAAATGTATTCAGTACATTGAATCTAACGAAGAAAACCTCAAAAGTGAAGGTTTATATAGAAAATCTGGTTCCAAAAGGGTTATTGAAGAGATTGAAGCTCAGTTCAAGAGTGGTGAAAAAAATATCGATTTATCACTCTATGATATTAATGCTATAACGAGTGTGTTAAAGAAATATTTAAGAGATTTACCAAACCCAATAATTACCTACGAAATTTACGAACCTGTAATAGACTATGTGAGAGAGAATGATATGAATCTGCAAGATATGGCCACTAAACAGGGTTTTAGACAGATCTTGAAATCACTACCAAAAGACCATATTGAAATTTTAAAGTTGCTTAGTAAACATATTAATTTAGTACAACACTATAGTGAATTCAACCTGATGACGGCCAAAAATTTGCATTTAGTATTTACACCCAGTTTAATAAGGGACTATTCTGGTGAAAAGGAAATCATTGATTTAAAGGAAAGAAATTTCATCATTGGTTATATATTTGAACATTGTCAAGAACTTTTTGACTAGAATAGCTTTGGATTGTTATAGTTGCAAATTTTCCATGTTGTACAATTATTCAGATACCAGCTCATGTATTTCATTAAATTTGATAGAATAATGCTTTGTTTCTTTTTTAATATTCAAATAACTGTATATATTTACTTATCTCAATAAGTTCATTAAAAATATTGTTACATAGAAGATAAATAATCCTTATAACCAATCGTTTCTAATTTGTCAGCCTTTTCAAGAACTTCTTCTTCTTGCTTTAATAAGAATTTCTGCATCTTATAAAAATATTGATTATCGAAAGCACCTAATATTCTCACTGCCAAAAGAGCAGCATTAGTACTATTATTAATTGCAACTGTAGCAACTGGCACACCTCTAGGCATTTGAACAATAGAATGCAAGGAATCAACACCACCTAAATTAGAGCCCTTCACTGGCACACCAATGACAGGTAGTGGAGTCATAGCAGCAACCATGCCTGGTAAATGTGCGGCTCCACCAGCACCAGCAATAATGACTTTAATACCACGTTCTGACGCTTCCGTTGCATATTGTGACATTCTATGTGGTGTTCTATGAGCTGATACAATAGTGACTTCAAATGGTACACCAAAATCCTCAAGGACTTTACATGCAGCAGACATTACAGGTAAATCAGAGTCAGAGCCCATGATTATACCAACCAAAGGATTAACGGTTTCTCTACTTTTTAACTGGTCAACAGCTGTCATAACGACTGGTTTATTGGATTTTCCAGTGATATAATCTAATCTTCTTTGACATTCTTGCATAGATGAGGAGACAATGTTGATATGACCTACCTTACGGCCGGGTCTAGACTCCTTACCATATAAATATACAAAAGCACCGGGAGTCTGTAAAGCACGTTCACAAATCTTTAATTCACCATTTGGTACATCTTTATCACCCAACAGATTAAGCATTATAGTAGTATTATTTGTTGGTAACTTGGAAAATGATCTTGGAATTGGTAAATTTAAGATAGCTCTCAAATGAGCTTCAAATTGAGATGTGACACATGCATCAATAGTATAGTGACCTGAATTATGTGGCCTTGGTGCAATTTCATTAATTAATATATCACCATTATCTAATAAAAACATCTCTACACCAAATATACCTGCGCCTGAAAATGCTTTGATAGCGTTTTCTGCCAATAAGGCTGCTTTCAAACGAATTGAATTAGGTAATTCTGCTGGACAATAACATAAGTGACAAATGTTATTTTTATGGATAGTTTCAACAACTGGATAAGCGTAAACACGATTATCTAAAGTACGAACAATCATGACAGATAATTCTTTAACAAATGGAGCCCATTTTTCAGCATATAATTTACTTCCCTTTAAGGCTTCTAAAGCTTCTGGAATACTAGATTCATTTTTGACTACAAAATTACCTCTACCATCATAGGCAAATGTTCTTGCTTTTAACATAAATGGATAGCCAAATTTTTTACCAATAGATTGTAATGATTCCTCTGTTGGATTTGTAATTGCTACACTTTCAGCAACTTGAATCTTATTTTTTATTAAAAATTCCTTTTGTTTATACTTATCTTGAATCAATTCAATCGTTTCTGGAGATGGAGATATTTGTAATTTAGGGAATTCATCCTTCAAACTTTTTAATGTTGGAACATCAACATGTTCAATTTCAATAGTTAAAATATCACACTTAGAGGCTAGTTTTCTGATATCATTAGGATTAGAGAAAGATCCAACAAGATGTTCTGTTGAATTTGAAACTTGTTTAGCAGGTGAATTTTCAGCATCTAATACTACTGTTTTAATATTCAATTTATTAGCTGCTTCGACAAGCATACGACCTAACTGGCCACCACCTAATATACCAACGGTTCTTGAATCCATTATAGTATAATGTCTATTGCTATGCTTTTTTCTTTTTAAATATTTAATTTTACCTAGCCCTAGAAAAGTTGTGGAGCTATTCAATGTTTTATATATTATCTGCTTAACTGAAATATAAAATGAACTTTGGATCTTGAAAATTATAATCTGCTATGAAAAGTTAAATACCATCCACATCAGCAAGTTCCATTTATATATCGAAAGTCCTTCATTTCCAAAGAATAGCTAGATTTGCTTTGTTTTGTGGTAATTTTATATTTATTCCTCCCTAATATCGATAAAAAGAAATTTTGAGAAATGAAGAAAAATAAAAATAAAATAAAATCAAACGGAGTCAAACAGAGTGAGTCAAAATTTTTCCCTTCTAGATGTTAATTAAACATGTATAATGCCCGATAAATCAATTATTTTTTGCTTCACATATACTAAAATATTCACATTTTAAATGCGGCTACTAAAAATTTACATTATTTATTTGTATGCATTCCATTAATTCAAATCATTATTCGAAAAAAGTACCAACAACAAATGAAATCAGTGAAATAGAAACAATCATATCTATTCACAAATACTCGATTTCATAAAAAATTTCCTCCTCCTCTTCCTCTTCATCATCTTCTTCCATTCTTGCTTTATTGTAACTATCAATAGATATATATACCTTGTTAGGTGATTCTACCTTTTTATAAGTTGAAGTAATGCTATTTATAGAACTAATAAATGGTGTTTTTGACACAGAACTATCCTTATTCAAAGACATATTAGAATTTTTATCAAACTTTTCCAATACTCTAAAAGCTGTTATATTATTATTGTCTGACATAGGTTTCTTATGAAGATTGTACTTTCGTATATATATGTCCAATTGAGTCTTTTTCTGTTTGTTTAAATAATTTTGTATGATAATGTTCCCTAGTGTTTTATCATCGTCTATCATCCTCAAAATCTCACATACCATAGATTTTACCTCGTCTATTTTTTTATTTAAAGCATATAACATAGATGAATCTGTTAAACTTCTATTACTTGACTTATTGATCGATGCACGGATAGATTCCATTGATGTAGATTTTTTTAAAACTTTTGATGGAAGTGAAGATATAGATGAATCAGGTATAGAGGATTTTAATACTATTTGCTCTTTTGATGTAACTATTATTTCTTTCACAGTGTTCTGATGCTCTGCAGGCTTGAAATCTCGAGACCCATTTACTTTTAAAGACAACAAGTTCCTAAAGGATAATGAACGTTTTATAGTGGATTTACCTCTTCTCTTGAATGGTGATGAGAAAAATGATAAATTTGATCCTGTAAAAACTGAGTCTTTATATGAACTGTCATATTTTTGATTCAAATTGAGATCAACACTAAGTATTTTATCAAACAAATTAAATGTTGTAGTTTTAACAAAGCTGTCAATAATAGAACACTTGCTTGAATTCTGATTTGTAGAATTTGTTTGTTGAAAACTTGAACTGCTTGATTTCGAAGATTGCTGATGGGCATGATATGCAACCCTGCTATAGATCATATTGATATCAAAATTCTGAAAATCTTTGTATCTAGTATCAAAATGAGATAAAATATCTAAAGGTGGAAAATTCATGCATACATATATTAATTTTCTTGTATATGAAATGGCATTAGTAGTAGAAATATCAAATAAAGATTGTCTTATTATCTCTTGGCATTCATTGATTTTTTTAATTACTGCATCACAACTAGTAGTAGATACAAGGCATACATCCAAATTTGTAAGTAGTTCAATTGTTTCATACAAGATATAAAACATCTTAATAAATTTTAGAATACTTATATCAAAAAGTTCATTGACATATATTAAATTATTATATGTTTCAGAATACTTTTGAATTAAGGCAGAAATTGTATTGACATTAATTTCTTTAATAGTAATGGGCTTTAGTAATAAAATTAATTGAAAAATTTGAATTCTTTTTAATACATTTAAAATAGTCTTGTTGTCTCGTTGTTCATATATCAATATTCTTATGAATGAATTCATCAATACAGAGCGACAATGATCTGATTTTGGTGAAAAGGAATCAGAAGAAAAACTGAAAAATGGATTATAACTGTAGTTATTGATAGTACTATTACTGATTGACGTAAGTGGATTGAAACTAGACTCTGACTTACTTTTGAATTTTATATTATTTAATCCATGAGATAAACTATTGATACTATCATTAATTTTGTATGATTTTGCCAACATATTTAATGTTTGTTTTCTCCAATCTGTTTGTTTTGTTTTATATTTTGATGAACTGTATATTTTTTCTGTATCTAAATCATAAAGAATATCATATATATCGTCTTGAATTTTAAAAATTGGATTGGTTGTACCAATAATAAGTTTGAGTTTTTTATGTGCTAGAGATTGGATGAAATCTTTTAATAGAACTACAATTGATATATCTATATAGGGAAACGCATATATTCCATTAAATGCTGGATCCTTATTTAATGAAACGCCACTTATTAGATACGACATGGAAAAAACTAATTGACATAAATAATCATTCGATGTTTTTGTAGACATTATAAAAATGGTCCTTATTTCCTCAACATCAACTATTTCTAAACTTATATCTTTAACAATTTTCAATGCATGCTTATAATAATAAATATCTGTTTGAATATATGATTTTAATAATAACCTCTGACAGAGTGGTATTTTATTAATTTTATATTGTGAGTTTATCGGGATAGTTTCCACAGGTAAAAAATAGTATACCAAATCGTTAGAAATAATACTTTCAACTTGATCTAAAGAAGAAGTATTCTTTGCTAAAGAGTTTTTGAAATTTTGTAAAATTGAATTAATTATTATTTGTTCGTTTATACCTTCACCGAAAGATTGGATAATCTCCTGATATAAGTTTCTATTGAAAGTATCTAAAAAATTTATCTTGTTAACTTTCTTAAAAAAATTAGATATTACTTCCACACACCGAAGATTAGTGTCATTATTATCATCTATGTTATTTATCCGTAACATATCCATTAAACCCTCTAGGAGAGAAGTTAACAATGTCTTCCACTTTAAAAAATCGGGAACATTCAGACCAAAAGCAATAGAGTTTATAACAGCACCTCTTTCATTATCTGGATCAGCTTTGGCAATACATACATTGATAAAATAAAGAATATCTAATTTTTTATTCATTTTATCTATGGACGGGACCAATTCATATTTTTTTGTTGTGGGATTGAAATATAATAGAAAATATGTAAACTCCACTTTACCTAGACATTTTTCTATATTGTTGGGTATCATTAATGTCGCCAAATTAATCGACTTAAACACTGGTATATCATTTGGGTATTGGTATCTAAGTATAGACCCTAATTTATTATCGAATTCTGAAAATAAAATGTATTCAATGTTATTTTTTCTGTTTGAACTACCATTTACCATTTCTTTGTTAATTAGGGATTAGTATGCATAAAATAAACAAAAAATAAAAAAACATAAAGAGATATAATTCCTACCGATATAATGTTTAATTAAATATAATTTTTTCTTCTTATTTTGAATGCAATGCCTATGTAGATGCATGCTGATCTTGTTGTCTCTTTGTATTTTATCTTTTCGAGTTTCTACATTTTATTTTTTTTCAAAGGATTGTTTCATACAACCACTTCTGAGGATATCGCCGTACATATGCCAAACTTTTACAAAGATTTTCCTCAAACTATACTTTGCAGCGAGAAAACGGTACAAATACACTCACGATGATTATAACCACTATTGAGGATAAGTTTATTCTCATATTGTAAATAGTTATAAGGCGTGAGGTTAAAAAAAAATCAATTACAAAATATAGTCATTATACTATAAAAATCCAATATACATTTTCAGATGAATACATATATTAATACTAACATATAGAGATATAGATATATAAGTTTATTTTTTTACAGTTATTTTTTTTATTTTTCGGATGCTAGTTTGAATGTGTATTTATTGAATGCTTATAATAATTTCGTTAATTGTTCGTAGGTGTAGAATACAGCAGCGTTAGATGGCATTGATCTAATCAAAGTAATTGTCAATCCTCTATAAAATCCACCAAACCCATACTGCCCATAAATATAATTGATTGCATTCCTAAATCCAAGTTGTTCTGTCTGCATGACTGATTTTATTGTATCAATAGGGAAAACACTTCCATTGAATACAAAACCTGCTATTGCACCACTAACTAGTAATACCCACGATGGAATATGCACGCTCTCAGGATTGGAACCTTCGTCAGTGTCTCTATCCAAAATATTCCACGACCCAGTGATTTTATACATGAATAGCCTTTTTAATAACTGGAAAGTTCCAAACCATATCAAAGACCCAATTGCCTCCCTTATAAAAGTCCCTAATTGGCCTTGCCATAAACCTAATACACCATTTTCTTTAATAATTGCCTTTATCGTAGGTACTATATCTGTATTGTAATTTTCTCGACTATTCGATACTAAATTTTGAGAATCATATCTACTACTTGGTGTCTGCTCTAATTGCTTGCTATTCACATCCTCTATTAATTCCTCTTTATCATTCCCACGTTTATGAGTATATTCATTGTTCTCGTCACCATTCTCAACATTTTTTGCATGTTCAGAAGTTTTCAATACTTCCAATTTACCTAATTCAATATGACCTCGACTTTCAATATCGATCCCTTCATACATTTGTACATATAAATTAGATAATTGTAATTTACATTTTATTAGTTCTACTGGAGTCAACACAAAACTTGCACAGGAACCAGAAAAGGAACCGGAGACCAAAATAATCCATACTATATTCCATTGGGTATATTTCTTCAACAAATTATAACATTGATTATAAGAAACAAACAAAATTGCATTTTCCAATGAGGCTCCAAGTAAGGGAGATAATAAGCCTTGATAAAAACCGGTCAATATCCCCTCATTTTTATATGTATATTGGATACATGACCAGGTAGTTGGAAAAATATTGGCTCCCTGAGTCTGCATTCTCACTTTGATAGTGTCAAATGGATAGTCTATGAATTTGCCTAATGCACCGGCCAATGACCCACATATTATTTCCCAGATGGCATTTTGTAAAGTCATTTTTATTCCTGCTTCACTGGTCCAGTAAGTTGAAATTCCATATAAAATAAATGTTTTCTTTTTAATTGTGATAGCCACACTCTTTATTTTATTTTAATACCAAACGAAATTTCAACCTCATCATCTTTTCGATTTTTCCTCCAGAAAATGTGTCGAGACCAATTGAACAAAAATTTTCCAACTATATCCTTTACTTGGAAAAAGAAACCAAAAGGAAAGAAAACAATAATGTGTCAAATTACTCAAAGAAGAAATTTATGCATGTAGTGTTCAAAATTCAAAAAATTTATATATCAATTATTTCAAATCAACAAGATCTATATCTACCTCTCATACTATATATATATGCATGTTCACAATTTTATATCTGTTAAAGAGAGCAATCTATGCAGTTTCTACCACGCCTTCTCCTTGTAATAAAGGTATTATTTCATCGAGAGTATTAACAGTAAAATCTATCAAGTTTCTATGCTCATTTAATAAATATCCGTTAACATGATTTTTTAAAAGTATCGTGATACATCCTGCAGAATGCCCACTTTTCATATCATCAAATGAATCACCTACCATAATTAGTTGACCTGGTTCCGTCTCTAACAGTTTGGAAATATGCAATAAAGGTTCTGGATACGGTTTGGTTGGTCTAAATTCTCTTGTTAGAATATGGTCAAATTTTGACCATTCCTGTGGAATATATTTATTAATCAGGTAATTAACAGGTGTTATAACATTTCGAGTACAAATATTTTTACTAAAGTTATTTAATGTTAAAAACCTCATCAACTCAATTAAGCCAGGTTGTGGTCTCATTTCTTCCATCGCTTTAATCTCTACCTCATGAATTTTTTCTTTTGCCCATTTTTTATCTTCTGTTGTAGGTAGTTCTTCAATGAATTCTAAGATATCTTTTTCTTTATTATTTAATCCAATTACTGACCTCATTTCAGGAAACATCCATGGTTGTGGTAAACATAATGTACCATCCATATCAAAGATCACACCTTTGATTTGTTTTGAAAATCCAATATATCTATCAAGCCTGGTCATTAATGAATTTGTCCTCTCTACAGATCCAATTTTATTTTTTTTTATTATTGTTGGAAGTATACTAAAGCTGTATATAAATATATAAAAAAGCACGTATGTAGTAAATTACATATTCTTCAACTATGTGGGAGTGATTAACATGTCCACGTAAGCAAAATAAACGAAGCATTAATACATTTTTTTAATCCTCACTTATTTTTCAATGCTCAAGAAATCTCCTTGAATACACAATTTTCTTTTGATTCCTGGCTATTTTTTTTCTTCTCTTCACACAAGCAAAAACTCCTGTACCCTGTTGCAATGTTGGTATATCAAGCAAAAATAAGAAAAGAAAAAAAAAAAGAAAAAACATAGATGAGAAGAAAGATGTGTGCAGAATTAATCATAACAATAACAATTGTAGTGGAATTCAAGACAGACAAAATATCAAGACATAGGATCTATAGTGTTCAGCTATTAAAGTTTAACACAGTATAAGATAAAAGTCTGTCATATTAACAATCAGACATCGTCACCTTTATCTTTTTATATCTTGATAAAAATACGTATAAATAACTTACACAGTTTTGGTAAAATATTTCTGCAGCAAATTGTGCAGAATCATATATTTATAAAAATAACCTTTCACAACCTATATATTCATTGCATTTCATAGGATTGGATGCTAGATAGTTTTTGTTAGTGTTATTACACTTTTCTTTCTATCTGTTATTGAGACGTAATTTACTGTAGAAGAAAATTGCTAGAAAAGAAAATAAAAATAAAAATAAAAATAAAAATAAAAATAAAAATAAAAATAAAAATAAAAATAAAAATAAAAATATAGAAATGTTAGAAACTAATTCAGCAATCAAAGAAGATTGTAACGCTAAAGATAGCATAACTAAAGAAAAAAAAGTGTTGGATACATGAATTAGATATTATTTTATTCTTAGATGTGTATCAAATTAATAAAAGCGTTTTTTTTGAAAAAAAAAGAAAATACTATTCACCTGCCATAGAATTTATTTATTTTCATTTTGTTTCTTCAGTTTAATGACTTCAAGTGTACCTTATTTTAATGAAGATGAGATGGGACATAACCCTTTTGAAGATACTGTTCCAATATGGGAACCTTCCAATGTAGCCACTGAAAATCATGAAACCACTAACAATAGTACTACTACTAGTAGTATTGATGTTAAAGAGAATAATAATAATAGGGATGATATTAATGAGAGTTTAGAAGAGCCTATTTCTTCCAATATAATCAAGACAGGAGATAATAAAGAAACAGAGGGTAACTCCGACCAAGAAAGTGAAGATATAAGAAGAAATAAATACCTACCCGAATTTAAATTCCAATCCAAACATTACTTCCATGTTAAAGTAATTGGCCTTGAACGTGTTGGTTCAAACTCAAATAAACGTGAAAACCCAACCATTATATTTAAATATGACACGGATATACCATTATTTCGTCGTAAAAAATCTAATAAGATTAAAAAGACAATCCAAGAATTTAAGGAATTTTACAAATATTTAAATTCATTTGTATTTGAATGTTTTGTACCAACTTTACCCTTACCATACACACACTTTGGGATAAGCAATCAAGAAGATTATGAGACTGTATTATATCAATATCAAAAATGGTTTGACCGTGTGATAAAGGATCCACTCATTATTAGTAATGAAGAATTTGTTTATTTTATCGAGAGTGATTTTAATACATATTGTCCAATAAATCATCATAATTCAAATAGAAATGATCTTAATCCTAATCAGAATTCCAGTTTTATTAGATATAATGGTATTAAAAGAAAGACCATGAAACAATTCCAACCTCCATATGATAATAATTTGATCCTAGCAGAATTCAGACCATTAGTTAAGACCTTGTATCATCTATGCCAGTCTATTCAAGATTACATGTTATTGATAGACAAGAATTTTGGTATCTTGATTCAACAAGAGAGTACATTAGGGAAAGAATTTATTGATTTAGATAGTTTGATTGGAAGTTTTAATTTGCCAGAAAATATGACAAAAAACTTTTTGCCATATGAAAAATATGGTAAAAATTTAATCACGGTTAGTGATATAAATAGTGTTTTAAGCACTATGAATTTAGCTACATTGTATGATGGGTTAACATGGGTTGTTAATGATAGTTATGGTGTGAAGGAGTCATTAACAGATAGGCATTTTGTTATGAGAGATTTAATCAGCCTACAAAAACAGAGTAAAATTAAACAAGAACGAGCTCGTAAGTATCGTAATAAAAGAGATGTAAATCCAATTAAATTGGATGAAGCTATAAGAGATTTACAAAGTGTGGTAAAATTAGAACAACGTACCACCTTAAAATTACATAGGATAACGACTAATATGGAAATATCTCGTAAGGAATGGCTAAAATGGTATGAGGAATGGATCAAACATAATATTAAAAACTATGTGTTGAAAAATATTGAATATGAACGTAAAAAATTGAACGTTATGGAAGGAGCACGTTTAAAGATTCGTGGAACGAATGTCAAAGGTGGATTATCACGTTTAGGTAGAGATCATTTAGTATTGTCGAATCAAAATATACAATTATCACAACAGAAGGACATTGATACATGGACAACCACCACGCGTCATATTAAAAACATGAAGGAGATCCTTGAATCATCAAAATTAGAGCAAGAAAATATATCAAACAGTGATAATGATAATGATAGCACCAACACCACGTATAATACACTTTGCGATCCCAAAGCGGCTGTTCGACTTTTGGGCCGTGCCAATTTTTCTTAGAATATTTTATTAGGCGATCAAAGGAAACAAAGTGTTTTTATTAGAACAAAAGGTAAACTTGTGTGCGCTAATACAATTGGTTGTATCCCTGATAAATTATTTTATTTGGATTTTTATTCTTTTAGTATGTTGCTTTTGTTGAATTAGAGATGCATCCTTAAGAATTAAACAAAGAAAAGAAAAAATAGCAATAGAATACTACTTGTTTAATGCAGATAATAGCACGATTTTATACCATTAATACGATTCAAATATCAGAAAACAATAAAACCCTCTTGCAAAAATAACAATATGAGTATTTTCTAAGTTTCTTTTTTTTTTTATAATAAAAAAGGCACAACCCTTTATTTTAATTTGAATTTTGATGTACTTGTTATTTAAACCGTGTGATTCTTGGTTTTTAAGAATCATGAATCAGTTTGTCTTTTTGCCATTTTACTAAGTTATAATAATGCTTATGAAGAAGAACAGAAAGCAAATAGTAACTAAAATATTTATATATATATATATATATATATTAATATTGAGAGGAAAAGAGGAGTGTAAAAAAGGAGAAATAATACTAGCTAAGACAAAGTAAAATAAAATAAAACAAAATACTAAGAAATATGGTTGCTTTCACTGTAGATCAGATGCGTAATCTTATGGATCATGTGACTAATGTTCGGAATATTTCCGTTATTGCCCATGTCGATCATGGGAAATCTACTTTGACTGATTCTTTAGTTCAAAGAGCTGGTATTATTTCTGCAGCAAAAGCGGGGGAAGCTAGGTTTATGGATACAAGAAAAGATGAACAAGAAAGAGGTATAACTATTAAATCTACCGCAATTTCTTTATATGCCGAGATTCCAGAAGAAGATGTGAAGGATATTAAACAGAAAACAGACGGTAGATCATTTCTAGTCAATTTAATTGACTCTCCTGGTCATGTGGATTTCTCTTCTGAAGTCACTGCTGCTTTAAGAGTCACTGATGGAGCACTAGTTGTGGTAGACACTGTAGAGGGTGTATGTGTTCAAACGGAAACCGTTCTTAGACAAGCATTAGGTGAAAGAATCAAACCAGTCGTTATTATTAATAAAGTGGACAGAGCTTTATTGGAATTACAAGTCACAAAGGAGGACCTTTACCAATCTTTCTCAAGAACTGTAGAATCTGTTAATGTTATTGTTTCTACATATGCTGACAAAATAGTGGGTGACGTTCAAGTAGATCCTTCAAAGGGTACTGTTGCCTTCGGATCAGGGCTACATAGTTGGGCCTTCACTATTAGACAGTTCTCGGAACGATATGCAAAAAAATTTGGTGTTGATAAAAATAAAATGATGACTAAGTTGTGGGGGGATGTCTATTTTAACCCCAAAATTAAACATTGGACTAATAAAGATAGAGATCAGGATGGTAAACCATTAGAAAGAGCCTTTAATATGTTTGTTTTGGATCCGATTTTTAGGTTATTTGATGCTATTATGAACTATAAAAAGGATCAGATTCCAGTATTGTTAGAAAAATTAGAAATTGCATTAAAGGCTGATGAAAAGGATTTGGAAGGAAAAGCTTTATTAAAAGTAGTTATGAGAAAGTTCTTGCCAGCTGCTGATGCCCTATTAGAAATGATTGTCATGCATTTACCATCTCCTGTCACAGCACAAGCGTATAGAGCTGAGCAATTATACGAGGGCCCATCTGATGATCCGAATTGCATTGCAATTAAAAATTGCGATCCCAAAGCTGATTTAATGCTTTATGTCTCAAAAATGGTCCCCACTTCAGATAAAGGCAGATTTTACGCCTTTGGTAGAGTCTTTTCAGGAACTGTTAAATCTGGTCAAAAAGTTCGAATTCAAGGACCTAATTATGTCCCTGGTAAGAAAGATGACCTGTTTACTAAGGCTATCCAAAGGGTAGTTCTTATGATGGGAAGATTTGTAGAACCAATCGATGATTGTCCAGCAGGGAATATTATAGGTTTAGTGGGAATTGACCAATTTCTATTGAAAACAGGCACTCTAACTACTTCAGACACAGCACACAATTTAAAAGTCATGAAATTTTCAGTATCACCTGTTGTGGAAGTAGCTGTAGAAGTGAAAAATGCTAACGATTTACCTAAATTAGTTGAAGGTTTGAAAAGATTATCTAAATCGGATCCTTGTGTCTTAACATATATGAACGAATCTGGTGAACATATTGTTGCAGGTACCGGTGAACTTCATTTGGAAATTTGCTTACAAGATTTAGAAAATGATCATGCCGGTGTCCCATTAAAAATTTCTCCACCAGTGGTTGCATACAGAGAAACGGTTGAATCTCAATCATCTCAGACTGCTTTATCTAAATCTCCAAATAAACATAACAGAATTTATTTAACTGCACAACCAATTGATGAAGAAGTCTCCTTGGCTATTGAAGATGGAAAGATTAGTGCAAGAGATGATTTTAAATCCAGAGCCAGAGTGATGGCTGATGAATACGGTTGGGATGTCACTGATGCGAGAAAGATTTGGTGTTTTGGTCCAGATGGAACTGGTCCAAACCTGGTCATTGATCAAACAAAAGCGGTACAATATTTAAATGAAATCAAAGATTCTGTGGTGGCTGCATTTCAGTGGGCAACAAAAGAAGGTCCAATCTTTGGTGAAGCCATGAGGTCTGTGAGAATCAATATATTGGATGTTACATTACATGCAGATGCTATTCATCGTGGAGGTGGTCAAATTATTCCAACTATGAGAAGAGCTACATATGCTGCATTTTTATTGGCTGAGCCTCGTATTCAAGAACCTGTGTTTTTAGTAGAGATTCAATGCCCCGAAAATGCAGTAGGTGGTATCTATTCTGTATTGAATAAGAAGAGAGGACAAGTTATATCTGAAGAACAAAGACCAGGCACTCCATTATTCACGATTAAAGCATATTTACCTGTAAATGAATCATTTGGTTTTACTGGTGAATTAAGACAAGCTACTGGAGGACAAGCTTTCCCTCAAATGGTGTTTGACCATTGGGCTACTTTAGGATCTGATCCCTTAGATCCTACTTCCAAGGCTGGTGAAATTGTCCATGCAGGTCGTAAAAGACACGGTATGAAGGAAGAAGTCCCCGGTTGGCAAGAATATTATGATAAGCTATGATATAAAATTCAACAGAGCAATAAGAGTAGCACAAAGATAAAAGAAAGAAAGTAAGAAAGTAAGAAAAAAATCATTTTTTTATATAATCTACACTCTATAAGAATTACTGTTATTTTATTTTATTTTATTTTATTTTTTTAGTAATTTATGTTTATTTATATACAGAAATACAAATGTGCATCTATGCATGTATATAATGCAAGTATCGAATCGAAACATATCAAATGTTTGTAACAGCGTAATATTCCATTCTCAGATATACATTAAGGTTAATTAAATAAATCACCAAGCTTGATAATTTTAAGCAGACCATTTAAAGTGTCATTCGTCTCAAAACTTTAATTGACCAACAAGAGTACAAGCTGGGAATATAACCGAGGAGCTTCAAAATGACCTCGTTACCTTATCAACCTCTTTTTTTCTTTTGTATGAAACAAAGTGTCTATGTTTTGGATTTTTCTGTGTTTTGTCTTCTTTTTGTTTCCCTCTTTTCTATGTTTTTTTTTGTACAACAAATAGCCCTAAGACTTGTATTTCCACATGGCTATGCCGAAATCTCGGACACCGACTTCTCGCAGAATCGTGACCAATGAAACAGTGTTGCTGGAATTTCGTCGTCATCAAGTAAAGGCCTTCTTTTTAAAGGGGGAGACAGTGGAGGGGAAAGATGAATGGAACGATCACCTGTGTTTCTCTTTGGTGAATCAATAAACAATGTCACAAGGGAAGGAATTTTCAAACTACTACTGCTTTAATAGCAAATCAAAGTATATAAGGTTATCCTTGATGAACAAATTTTTCAGTGGGATTGCTCGAGGAAAGAAGCTAGCTATGTAGACGGAGATTGGGACACTTACTTTCTTGCTTTCTTTTTGTAATTCTGTAAACAAGTATAGAACGTTGCTAGCTTCCTCTTCTATTCTCTTTCGCTTTTCTCTTGTTTGCCTTGTCTTGCGTTGTCTTGCCTTGTATTGGCTTGTAACTTTTGCACTGCTTCTTTAATATAAAAGGGATTCCGTACGTTCTAGTCCTTGCAACCCCGAGCGTTCCCAAAACTCTGTACTGGTATCAAAGCATTTAACGTAATAAGAAGATAAGTGCTAGATTAAATAGTAGTAATAACAGTCACCATAATAAATAATCTTCATCTCATAAACACATCTCCTTCTCATATATTTCTTTTGTTTCCTTTTTGTTATTTTACTTTTATCATTTCTATCATTAATATCAGTACCTGCATATAAAAAACATGTTAAGAAACACTTTCCTAAAAAACTCTGTTATTTCAACTAGAAGATTTTTAGCTACCTCTGTCAAAAAGCAACCAAGCATTGGTAGATTTACTGGTAAACCAGATCCATTGACTGGTAAATACACTGTTTCTTTCATTGAAGGTGACGGTATCGGTCCTGAAATTTCACAATCTGTCAAAGATATTTTTGCTGCAGCTAACGTCCCCATCACCTGGGAATTCTGTGATGTTTCTCCAATTTTTGTTAACGGATTGACTACTATCCCAGATCCTGCAGTTCAATCTATCAATAAGAATTTGGTTGCCTTAAAGGGGCCACTAGCTACTCCAATCGGTAAAGGTCACAGATCCTTGAACTTAACTCTAAGGAAAACCTTTAACCTTTTCGCTAACGTTAGACCAGCGAAATCAATTAAAGGTTTCAAGACTACATATGAAAATGTCGATTTGGTTCTTATTCGAGAAAATACAGAAGGTGAATATTCCGGTATCGAACATGTCGTAGCACCAGGTGTTGTCCAGTCTATCAAACTGATTACTCGTGATGCCTCTGAAAGAGTTATCAGATATGCTTTCGAATATGCTAAAGCCATTGGTAGGCCAAGAGTCGTCGTAGTTCACAAATCTACTATTCAAAGATTAGCTGATGGTCTTTTTGTTAATGTTGCCAAGGAACTAAGTGAACAATATCCAGACATTAAATTAGAGACTGAATTGATTGATAATACTGTCTTGAAGTGCGTTATGCAACCAGATGCTTATAGCGATGCTGTCGCTGTGTGTCCAAACTTATATGGTGACATTTTATCCGATTTAAATTCTGGTTTGAGTGCTGGTTCCTTAGGTTTAACTCCATCAGCTAATATTGGTAACGAAGTTTCCATCTTTGAAGCAGTCCATGGGTCTGCCCCAGATATTGCCGGTCAAAATAAGGCTAACCCAACTGCTTTACTTTTATCATCTGTTATGATGTTAGAACATATGGGTTTGAACGAGCATGCCTCTAAAATCCATAATGCTGTCTTAAATACAATTGCTTCAAGTCCCGAAAATAGAACTGGTGATTTAGGTGGTACTGCAACAACCTCCTCATTCACCGAGGCTGTTATTAAGAATTTGTAAGTTTTCTTTTCATAAAAAAATGTATTATATCATTTCGGCATCGTTGTTTATCGTTTTAATGTCTATGAATAGTTATTATTAATTTTCTTTAAATAATTTAATGAATTAACCTACATATATTATTTATCATGAGTTTTTGTTACACCTCTCTTTCTTTTTTTTTTTTTTTTCAGTAAACCTCTTTCTATACTTTGAAAGTAACTGACTACTTTTAAGTGAGGGCAGGTGTTTAGTTAATTTAAATATATATATATATATGTGTGTGTGTATGTGTGTGTGTGTGAATGTGAATGTATGTTTGTTTCATTTTATTTGTATTTCTTGTGCTTATTCACTAGTAAAATAATTTCCATCAGATTTCATAAACCTGTTACAGCCTTTATTTGCATTAATCCATTTCAAAATATCTTCATCTGAATCTATATAATCCTTCTTACAATAATTGAACATAATTGGAGTCTGATTAGGTCTTGAAGTATATTTATATATTGTCTCCTTAACTTTATCCTCAGTGATATTATTAATAATTTGGAAGTCGGTACCATTTGTATTGCTCTGTATTAAAGACCATTGAGCCATATTATTTTTATCTCTGATGAAATAGAAATATGGAGAAATAGTGACCATTACTAGTAATAGTGGTTCATCGATTAATCCCATTTTCTTAGCTGACTCAATAATGTAATATTCAGGGTGCGAAATATTCCATTCCTTTTGTAATTTGTTTCTAAGGTCCTCACATTCGACTTTCAAACTTTCTAATCGATTTGTAATTTTCTCTTTTATCAAGATCAACGATTGTATATAATTGGAATCTCCGTTATCATGTTCCATATACTTTATACTACTGTTTAAAATCGTCAAAATATCTTTACCTTGAAAACTTCTCAAAGATTGAATTTCACTCAGACATTGTTTCAATCTGCTATTAGCTTTTCTTCTTTTATTGATGATGTGTTTAATCAATTGGTTTTTGACTGTCATAGTATATAATTGAGGGTAAAATTCAAATGGGATATCCACACCATTTGGTACAGTAATGTCATCATCTGTCATATCATCCATCTCATTGAAAATGATGGTAAAAAATGGAGAAATTGTCTTTAAAAGATTTTCACTATATTCTTTTAATGTTTCTTCTACTTCTTCCTCTTCTTCGAGTTCTGGATACAATAAAGCATTGAACATTTTATATAAATTTGTATCAAATTCTTCTGGTGGAAAGTGCAATAGCATAACATACGTTTCATGTTCAGAATCTGTTTGATTTTGTCTATAAGAGGCTTTGGAGATAAATAGATTATTAACTGAATTTTTGTCAATATTTGGACATAGTTCTAAATCCATTATTAGAGACCTTAAAAAACTTGGTAATATTTCATTTAGTCTATCAGTAGATTGCAATTTCAGTCTTAACTGGTTATCAAAGACCAATTGGAAAATAGAGGCTGATATGTATGCTCTGTTGGAATTAGGATTGTTAATTGTAGAAATTAATTTTTGTAATTGCCATAATGTTTCAGGTTGAATGTCATTATCATTATCATTATTATTTTCCTCATCTTTATCATTCTTTGTAGGAATGTTTTTGTTGCTGTTATTGTTTGTTATCAATTTAAAGGAAGGTTCATTTAATTCTAAGCCTTTAAACCAATTTGAATCATAATTTAAATCTTTAAAATCAGGAATTAGAAACCATTTGGGTATGAATCTAGATATGCAATATGCAAATAGAGTTAAATAATTTTCGATTAAACTATTTGGGGGCAAAGAAAGAATAATGGTAGGATTTGAAGAATCGGTTTTAAAGATTGGTTTCTTCATGATGCTATAATCTGGTGAATTATCATCTATACTGGTAGCTGAGGAGGAAGAGGAGGACAAATTTGAGGAAATAGATTGGTTAGGAATATTTTCATTATTATTGTTATAATTATGATTATGATTATGATTATTATTATTATTATTATTTATGAGATGTGACAGCTCACCGGGTTTAAGTTGGGAATTTTCGTCATTTAATTGAATATGGTCTGGTTTAGGATTATCAATAAGAGTATTTTGTTCATTTGATGATATTGGTGCGGATAATATGTCGTTAGAAAATATAAAATTGACAGCGTCTTCTAAATTATCATTAAATCTTTTTAAAGCATCAGAGGCAACATCGACTGGTATACCCATTTCAACTAAATATCGAATATTTTGGTTCATTATGAAAAAGGTATTATATTTTATAGGTATTCTATAGTGAGATGTTTGTGACTTTCTTTAATTTATTCAAATATCTTTTTTTTGTTTGACTGATTATTTTGGTTATTCCCTTAGGGCTGAAATTACCAATTATTGTCAAGTTGTTTTACGTTATCACTATGGTACCTGTCAAAGGTTTCGATGATTGTTTGAATATTTGTAATTCAATTTAATACAGTTTCGAACATGTATGTGTAAACACTGTTAGAGAAAAAAAAATAAAAGGTTAATGATGTATGTTAAAGATTGCTAAATCTGTAGTACCCGCAACAAATAATCAAGATGAAGATAGAAAATAAGGGGAAAGAAGAAAAGGCAAATAATTCTATAACCCTAGAGAAATTGTGCAGCTACCCTTAGAAAAAAAATACAAGCCCTCATTTTCTAATCGAAGATAAAGGGAAAAAGAGAGGAGTGAAAAAAAAAAGCAGACACACTTTCTCTTTCTTTCCCTCCACAAATAGAAGCTTTGTCTTCAACCCCAGATTCAAAAGAAAGAAATAATAAGAAAGAAAAGGACAAGAGAAAAAATCTATTACCAGCGACAGCGTTTAAGGATTTTATCGATACCCAAAATAATAGATATATAGTTATATACATACTAGAGATTGTAATCTCTTCTGAAAAGTGCACCTCGATTTCCTTTTTAGGATATGCTTGTATTTTGAATGTTTTTTTATTTTTGGATTTTGGTTTTTTTCTATTTCTTTCTATTTTTTTCATTTTATATTGTATATTTCTATTTTTTTTTTTGTTTTTTTTGACAATAGGACTTAGTTTAACATTGATGATGAGTAGGAAAATTAAAAGTGCCATTATCCTTTTACGGAGAATTAACCCCACCCTAACCATGACTTCTAAAAGTCTTAACTAACTCATTATGATAAAAAGAAAAAGTTGAAAGTTATTTCCAGTCTTGTTCATTATTATTTAGTTTTACTAAAGATCTAGTTCATTTTTTTGTCTTTGCCCAATAAAATTGAGCAATGATGAATATGTTGGTTCTTCTCTTTCATCTTCTCCTATTTTTTTTCTTTTCTAATTTAAAATACATTTATTGACCTCTCTAGATAAGGCATTAATGTCAGTTACTGTCAGATACTTCTATTATACCCCGTAAAACAACAATTAGTTTTAGGAGTGTACGTTCAGAATAATTGGTACAGTTGCGTTATTTCCTAACAAAGAAAAAATATGTTTCGGTCGAGAACATAACTCCGTTTTTGAAGAAAACAAGAGTTTCTGTATTCGATCATATTGTAGATAATTTCCAAAGGAAACCACAATCTCTAATATACATATATAAAAAAGATAGAGACACAAAGATTGACTTGTCCAACTTTATTACTTTATGTTGTGTGTATTTTTCTATTAAAATTATCTTTCCCATTTGTATTTCTGTATTCGTATGAGATGAGGGAGTCATCTATTCAGTAGATTGCTTACTAATATTCTTAAGGCACTTTCATCTTCTAAAAATAAAATTGTATGAGATAATTTTGAAATACTTTTTTTAGTTTTTTCTTTTTTTTTTTTCTTTTTTTTTTTCTCCGATTAATTTAACTGAACAGTTACTATAGCAATGACGAGCGCAAAATTCCAGTATTGTTTTTATTATTAGAAAAGCTGTGTTTGTAAAAAAAAAAATATTGTCTGATCCTCTGGTTCTCCTTTTCGTTCTCTTTTGTTCTCCTTATTCAACAAACGTCCTGCTGTCATGATTTTGATCTCTGCTGTAGATCTCACAATAGAACTCCTTTGTATTAAACTGGACGGATCTTAATTTGCTTTTTCCAGTTATTCCGACCTGTCTCTTTTCGCACATGGTGTATTGTGTTTTATCAATACCCTTTGTCTCATCTAGATTATCTTTTTATACGAAAAACAATGCAAAAATATTTTTTTGCATTGTTTCAACTTTCTTCGAGGCCCAGAGAATACTGCGACTATGGTTCTACTACTAAGTCATATGATTTCTCTGGACCCTATTGTTTAAACATTCTACCTTTTGGTTTTGTGTTCTATTTTTTTTTCTTTCGAGACTTTTTTTTTTATGTAACGAATATTGTTCTTTCGATATGTTTCGAGTCCATCTAATAATTTATATATTATTTAGCAGACAAGCAAATGGTTCTTCTGCTTTATAAGTTTTGTCCCAATTAATAAAAGGGCAGCTATGCAAGCTTTTTGGATGAAAAAGAAGGGGATCTATATTTAACGTCTGGTTGATAACTTCTTGAAGTAAAATATAGAAAAACAAATAAGAAAAAAAAATACAAGCGAACGTTATTTGTTTGATTTTAACATGAAGGACGATTTTAGGAGGAGCAGTAATACCACTACTAAATCTGGATATAACTCTTTTATTCATAAACTTTATACATTACTAGAAGATGAAGTATTGGACGATTTAATATGGTGGTCTGACGATGGAATATCCTTTCATATTAAACCAGTTGAAGAATTTAGTCAGATGTTATCGAGATACTTTAAACATACTAATATCACAAGTTTTGTCAGACAATTGAATATTTATGGGTTTCATAAAATTAACAACTTTATTGATACTACTATATTAGATAATGTAGACTATAAAACTACCGTTGATGATAGTAGGACTAGTAGTAATAATAAAAGTAACAATAATAATAGTAATAGTCAAAAAACAAAGTCAAGTAATAATAGTAATGGTGTTGAGCCTATAAAGATATGGGAATTTAGACATAGTACAAATTTATTTAGAAAGGGTGACACAGTATCTTTAAAATACATTAAAAGAAGATCACCATCATCTAAGAATATTTATTCTTTAGCTAATAACAGTAGCGGTAATAACAATAATATTTTTCAACAAAGGCATAATTCTAGTGATAATCCATTATTTCATGATAATCGTTTTAGATTTATATCGTCTCATTCAGAAACTTCATTAAACCATTATCCTCATAATCAGCAGTTGTACATAAACGATAATACTTTGAAACACTGTAGTCCGATTAGAACTGTGTCAAATGAGTATGACCCCTCAATTATATCCCCTCATAATCCTTATCCTTATCATCACTATCAATCCTATCCACAACCTAATCCACATTCTCAATCACATGTCTCTTCTTCCTCTCTTCCTAACTCAAATATGGCATATAAGGTCAAACAAGACACTTTGATTGAGGACTTAAAGGATACAAATTTGGATATGTTGAAGTTGGTAGATTTGCTAGGGTTGTTTATATCCATTTTGTCAGATAGCAATGTTAATAAAAATGATGTCAATCTACCGAATCAGTATGGCAATTTACAAAACGATCTTCAAATATTCAAACAAAATATAATTAATAGATGGAATAAAAATATTGATATATATCAAAGCGTTTTATCATCTCTGAATAATAACAATAGTAATAGTAACAATAATATTAATAATAATATCGATACTACAACTCTTCAACAGCAGAAGGTAGTTCCTGTTGTCCATGGACAATCGGTTCAAACAATCGTCCCTACCACAGTTGCTGGAACTGGAATCCCTACCGCACATGTGGTTGGTTATTATCCTTATCATCCACCGATACCATTCAACCAACCTTATGTAATTCAAAATACTCAACCTAGTAATACATCAAATTATCCAATTAATCAAACATTTCATAACAAAAATGAAATGACGATGATGAACCCATTTGAAAATGGAAGTGGTTCAACTAAAAGAAATATGAGTGTCTTTATTGATCCATTAACCCCTGTAGCTCATCCTAATAGTACTGGCACGCCATCTCTGATAAAACCAGATCCAATAAATAATACCAAAAGTGTCAATAGTGCTATTGCTACTACTACTAACACTAAACTACTAGCTCATAGAGGATCGTCCGTTTCTTCTGTCTCTATTGCCTCTATAGTTGACCCTCATAGAAGAACACCAGAGAGTTTATTAAAAGAAACTTTTGATCATGGCAATAGTAGTAATATTAGTAAATCAAATATCTCTAGGAATACAAGTCCTCTGGTTAATAATATCGATGAAGAAACCAAAAATAGATTATCTAGTATTAAGCAGGAACAAACACGGCAATGTATTACACCTCAATCATCAGTATCATTAGGTAAAGATGAAAAGGGTTACATTAATCTGGGTGATACCACAACCAACGATGCTAATGAAACTAGGAATAACAATGATGACTCTAATACCATTGATAATATTGGTACGAACAATAGTATTGGTAATAATCAGAAAGTGGCATCCAATGTGCAAAATCATTCTGTACATAGTTATACAGTTAAGGATATTTTGAATGATGAGACCTCCGAGTATGATGATTCACAGTCAGATGGTCATATCAACAAAAAGATTAAAACTACAAATTAAATTAATAGAGCAAGTCGAAAAAAAATATTCAGTTAGTATTATTGGATAAATCGTTATTTTATTCTGTTTTATTTTGTGTTATGGCCTCTTTTTAACAATTTATTTGATTTCATGATGATAGTTTATTTATGATTGGTGATAGATAGTTAGATAGACAGTTTTATTCTATATTCGTTTTTTTATATATATTTGATTACGGATGTTCTTAAAAAAATGTAATCTTAGTTTTATTATTTTTATAACCAATTTTAACAATTGCATAGCTAGTTCTATATAAAAAAGATGACCCATAGTAAATAATTATTGCTTAAGAATATTGGAATTTATACGTGGCTATGCTATATAATACTTTGGAAAAATATTGCAAGTTTTCCTTCCGTTTTCTAATATGCAAATAAGCACTTGTGTTGAAGTATTCTGCTTCCATGAACATCCCAATCAGTAGAAGTAATATACAGTTCTTCAATCAGTTTTATTTGAGCCAAGACTGCTGCACCTTTCCAAAGAATTAACGAAGGATCTCTATCATTCGGTGCAGGTATAACTGTAACTGGTAAATAATGCTCACCAGATGTATGAGTTTCAGTTTTTCGTAGATACTGGTCCAACTCTTGTCTTACCATTGCGTCAATTTGTTCTTTCAAACTATTTTCGCTAACGTCGTTTATAGAGTGTGTATCCTTTTGTGATTCATTGTCTGCACTTTCCATACTTTCTTCCTCACCGTCTTCATCTCCCTCATTTTTGGTGTTATTAGCCGTACTGCTTTGATTGGGAACAGTATTTGTGGAGTGGTTTTTGTTGGTTGTTTCTAAGTCCTTGATCTTTTCCAATAGATGTTTGTAAAAAGTGCCAAAGGAATTTAAACTTAAAATTCTAGGCCTCCAAATGTTGATACGATCAGTCAGCATGAAATCGAATGCAGGGATACTAGAAGAACCACCAATAATAAGAATGTTTGAGTAAAATACACTTAACTTAGCTATGTCAACTTCCAATGCAGCATTTGTTATTGATTGGATAATAGCTTTATCCAAAGGTACCATGTTCAATTTTTTATTGTGATTTGTAGTAGATGTTTCCACCTCTCTGTTCTCAAGAACATTGTCTAATATATTTTTTATCAAATTAAAATCATTCTGAAAATCAGCATAAGTTGTATGATTTTGACAGTTTTCATGGGTCAATGAGCCTAGATCATTGGGTAAATTAGTAAATAAGTCTCTTGAAATAGGAATCTGCTGTCTTAAAATTTTGTTGAGGACAACATTTTCTCCATTTTGTTTCAAGTATGTAAAAATTTGAGGTTCAAATAGAGCTAATGGAGCTAGCATGACTTCATCGAATGTTTTGAAATCAATTTTCTCAGTTCTCTCATTAGGGATACGTCTTATGAAATTGAATAGTTGTGTTGTAACATCAATATCCTGGAAAGTTATGCATTGCTTTTTCAATGCCTCTGCGTTTCTCCAACCGCTAATATTGTTCATATCCCAATCTTCGTATGGAAAATTACTCATTAATAGCAATTTGGCAAATAGCCTTGTAATATCATCACCACCATAATCTAATGTCACGCAACTATTCTCCACTACGGCACCGTCATCTACACAGGCCACAGTTGTCTTTGTAGCACCTACATTAACCACACAGGAAGAAACACCTGTTCCAGATCCATAACATGCTGCTAGTGATTCTTGCATAATGGCGACCGCAGAAAAGGACATTTCGTTTAATAATAGACGGATCATATTTTCGACGTGTGATTTCTCGTATATATCTGGAATTATCAAGACCCCTTTAAAGATTGTCTTTTCGTTAATATCTTCATCCAACGCTTTAGTTTGTTCTGATGTTAGGAGATCCATATTTGCTTTGTTGTTCTTGGTCTCTTTTCTTCTAGCAATTAGTTCTCTGATGGCATATTTTAGGATTCTTGTCACATCACTGTATACCTCTTCAATGGAAGAGTAGTTTTCGTCAGTAATATTGAAAATTGTTCCGGTGCTTGAACAACAGAATGGTTTCCTATGGATAAAATTTTCGTTAGTACATCTTAAAGCATTCTCACCAATGAAAATTTCATCGTCATGTGGAGTTTGAATCCAGGATATTCTGCCAAGGTCATGCTGATCGGGGATTGGTTCTCCACGAGTCACTGCATTGAACCCACTGACCTGATCATAACTGTTAGATTGAATTTTTCTCTTATAGTAACGCATTCTTTGTTTAAAAGTGGACTGTAAGTGGTCTTTTAAAGAATAAAATTCCTCAGGTTGAGCTTCTTGCAATCTATTAGTTTTTTGGACTCTTTGATGGCCTTCATTAAATTTTGTGGTCGGAATTGCAACACAGTTTGGTATTATTAAGGGTTTATTATCCAATGCAAAACCTATTTTAATAGAGTCCGAACCAGGCTGAATGATGATTGTGGATGAAGGGTTACTAAAATCAATCTCGTCATTTCTTGCAGTGTATTCTGATATATAGGATGTATTAGATTTATCTGTGTCATTTGAGGAGTTGTTATTTCTCAAGGATTTTCTTTCTCTTATAGCAAATATTTGGTCATCTTTTTTAATATAATCAGAGGAATAATTTTTTTGATTGATGACAGTTAAAGGTTGAAACCCACCGGAAGAAGGCAGAGTAGTTGATTCAACTTTTTCGATCCCAATAATTTTCAGTCTTCTAGCAAATTCTTCAGCTGCTTTAATACGACCTATTCTTCTTTTTTCTAATAGATGTAAAGGAACTTTTTTACTTTTACTCGGATCATATTTAGGGGGGTTTTCTTTTTCTTTATTTTGGTGTTTATCTTTATCATTTTCGATAGGACTACTATTATTATTGGTAGGATTAGAGTTATTATAATTAGTAGCAGTGGTGGTGGTAGAAGAGGAAGAAGAAGAAGGAGCATTATTATCTATTTTGATTTTTTTAGTAGCAGGTTCTTGATTAGATTCATTATCTTCATTGACATTAGAAACAGACTTTGATAATTTAGTTTGAAATTTTGCTGTATTAGATATGGATACTATTTGTTCTGTTGTTGTTGTCGTCGTTGACGTATTAGACGTTATAGCAGGATTGACATCTTGGTTAGACTCGACATTTACATCATTTTCTTCTTCTTCTTCTTCTTCTTCATTATCTAATGGAATATCAATAGGATCCTCATACACAGGATCAGTTTCTTTCTTTCTGTCTTCTTCTACGTTCATGATATATATGATATGCTATGATGCACTATATTCAAGGCCTATTATATTCTATTATATTATCATATAGTATATTACTATTTAATACTATTTTATATAGTGTCATAAGAAATATATACAACGACTACGACAAAGAAAAAGCATCTTTCGCCATCATTATGTTGTACAAGATTAACTGAGTACATTTATTGTCGAATATTACCCTCTGATACTAACTGTACTGTACATGTATAAATTTTTCTCTTCTTGTTCCTCACTTCTCTTTTCAACGAAGGTATAATCAATTAACAAAAAAAAAAAAAAAAAAAAGAAACAACTTTTTAGAGGAATCATTTCCAATGTTCTAACGTTTAGTATGTGTTTCTATTGTTTTCGGTTTTGAAACAAAATTTAGGACTGCTCATCTTTCCCAAAATAGTAATTTTCAAAGATTTGTTTTTTTTTTTCAAGAAAAAATTAAAAAAAAATTATGTAAAAACCGTAATGATTATGAGAGTGATAAACTATAAGACTGAATAATACATAAATCAAGAACATGTTACAATCTGATGAGGAAACATCACATGCACAGTTTAACTATTTGTTTTAGGCGTTTATGTTCAATGTCGATGGACACTAGATCAAGGATTATATATATATATATATATGAAGGGAAATGCAGGTGCGTTGTATTCTTCTGCCGTGTTTTTTTAGTTAGGGTTGCATACAAATTATCAACAAGACCCCAAGCAGATTTATGCTAAAGAATACTAATATTTGAACTATTTCCTACCTTTTCTTCTCCACCACTGTATTTCTTTCAATTATAGGAAATCAAGGAGGAGGTAGGAGAGATTACGCTTATTTCTTTGTATAAAGGTCGAAGTGGACTGTAGAAGGAAAAGGATGATTATATGTATATGTATATATACATATTGAGAGAGAGAGAGAAAGAGAGAGGAATCCTGTTCAGTGGTACACAGCTTCCCATAGTTATAAGAAGTGACATAAAGATGAAATAATGGTGTATTGGAGTGATGTTCAAAAGAAAGAGTAATATGTGTACACTATTGAAAGAAAATCGTAGATTTCTTTTTCCCTTGTGCAGTTCTCTCCTTTCCCTCCTCACACTTATTTCCTTTTTTTTACCTTGTGTTTTGCTATATTGATACAGTAGTTTACTAGACGATAATCAGTTCAACCGATTATTACATCCTCTATCTTCCAGTATGTTTCTTGTAGTTTGATGTTTCATTTAAAAGAGACCATGTTAATGAAGCTCTATAAAGTTTGATTTTCTACAGATCGATAAACGAGCGAATGAATGAATGAATATTTATACATATACATACATATATATATATACGTAAAATGCTGTGCATATGAGTTTAAAATGCTTGGGAAAGTCTTTCTTTTCACCCTTCCTTCCAGTCTACTCCGCCAGGCTCCCCTCTCCTTCTCTCTCTTTCCCTTTGCCTTTCCCTCTTCGTTCTTCTTTCTCTCTCTGTGGAAGTTTGGACATTATATTTGTCTGTGGGGAAATATCTCGACATTCTTTCGTCGGTCGTGAAGCTCGAAAAGGCCGAGAAAGATAAGTACAAATACAAATACGATATATTATTATTTATAGCAATAACAATTTAGTGACAAGAAAACACTTTTGTAATAAATAAACAAAACACAACACTCTTCTTGTGTTTGATTCTCCTCTGTTTGGTCCTTCGTGTTCATCAATACTATCTGTCACAGTGTAAAGTGATAATAATATTATTTAACACAAACTACAATACATCAATCCGAACCGGTAAATCGATCAATAACTAGGTGAACAAGCAAATTACATCAAAATATGTTGAGATACAATAAGCTATCCTTAATTCACAAACTCGGTCGTAGACTCTTACACAACAAAGACTTCATTCAAGGTCCCTATGATAAAACTATCCAAAATTTATTGTTGCCAAGGGATACAAAGGTCATCTTCCAAGGTTTCACCGGGAAGCAAGGCTCATTCCATGCTCAATTATCAATGGAGTACGGTACTAACGTTGTTGGTGGAACAAATCCTAAAAAGGCAGGTCAGTTACACTTAAATAAGCCTGTATTTGCTACCGTTAAAGAAGCAATGAAGGAAACCGGGGCTACTACCACAGGGATCTTTATCCCACCCCCTCTAGCTGCTTCTGCCATTAAAGAAGCTATTGAAGCAGAGATCCCATTAGCTGTTTGTATCACTGAGGGGATCCCACAACATGACATGTTATACATCAGTGAAATGTTGAAAACACAGGATAAGACCAGACTGGTCGGACCAAATTGTCCAGGGATAATTAACCCCTCGACTAATGTCAGAATTGGGATCCAACCTTACAAGATCTTCAAGAGTGGTAAGATCGGAATTGTTTCCAGATCAGGGACATTGACATATGAAGCCGTGCAACAAACTACTAACTGTGGATTAGGTCAATCTTTGGTCATTGGGATGGGTGGTGACGCCTTCCCAGGTACCAATTTCATTGATGCTTTGAAATTGTTTTTGGATCACCCTGAAACTGAGGGTATCATTATGTTAGGTGAAATAGGTGGTAAAGCAGAAGTTGAAGCAGCCCAATTTTTGAAAGAATATAATTATTCAAGACCTAACCCCTTGCCTGTCGCCTCCTTTATCGCTGGTAACGTGGCTGGCCAAATGAAAGGTGTTAGAATGGGGCATTCTGGTGCTATCGTGGAAGGTTCTGGGACTGATGCTACATCGAAGAAAGAGGCATTGAGAGCTGTAGGGGTTAACGTGGTTGAGTCTCCAGGTTTCTTAGGACAGGCCCTAATTGATGAATTTAATAAATTGAAAAAATAATGTTCATTCTTATTCATATTTTGGCTATTTCTTTTTCTTTTGTTTTTGCTCTGTATCTAAGTTAAAATTCTTATGTATATATATATTCTATAAGCTTATCTAAATACACCTCAATATTTAATACCAAATCATCCTCCACATTAATATAACATCTCCCCTGACCAACAAATCTATTATTAGAACTGACTTTCCCAGATGATATGCTTGTATGCCAATTTTTGACATCCCATTTTAAACCACATGTTTCAATAATCGTAGTAGGTTTGCCTATAGGTAGTAGTCCGCAGTTTCCTATACACTGTTTTCTCATCTTATGCTCATATTCTATCATTGTACCACCTTTAGGTATCAATACTATTATATCTGTACTAGTGATAAATGAGGTTTGAAAATAAGGATCACTTTCTTTCAACGTATATAACTGTGTTACCGAATGTATAGTTTGATCAAATCTTCCTCCAATACCATTGACTACTATAAGGTTCATCGGAGGTAACAGATCTAACCTGTTAACTTCCTGCATCATATTATCATAAAAAATATGGATCCCACTCTCTAATTCAATGCCATAATTAGGTTCACTTTCATTCTTTTGTAAGTACTCTTTGAAACTCCTTGAATTATGATGAAGGGAAATTAAATTTACACACTTCGTGAAATCTGTAGAATATTGAGTAGTCTGTTTAATAATCTTTACATTTAATGATCTATAATAGTCAAGAACTTCCTTGTCGATCGAATCTAAGTCTCCGATAATATAATCAGGTATGTGTTTTCGTCTTTCTTCCTCATCTTGGAAAAAATTGTATACCTTATTTGCTGCACCGTCTGCACAGACTCTTAAGCAACTATTATCCCAGAGGTTAATGAATAATTTACCTATATCTATGGTTTGGTTCAAAATTAATAGTGTTATTGAGGGTGTCCTAGTATTTATATTCTTATCCTGTTTGAACCCTCGACTTAGAATATTGATAATATTTCTGCATGGTGATACTCCTTTAACTTCAATTGATTCTGGATTCTCTATAACTATCTCTTCTTCTGTCATTTTCTGTCCTTTTTTTTTCCTTATTTTGGGATATTTGTTCACGTTAAATTCTCATAATCAAATGGGTATGGGGTTGATTGTTATTACTATTCTAATGTATTTTTTCTTTCTATTTATTCTGAATTCGAGATTTTTCAGATTAAATTATGTACACATATATATATATAGCTCTGTATATGTTATTTGTTATACACCGCTACATGCGGTTTTTTTTTTTATGTTTTTTAATTTTCAACTCACCTTAACAATATTAAGATTTGAGATAAGAAGAAAAAGATTTGATTTAATGGAAGTTATTAGAATTCTATTGTAATTCCAACATAATGATAAGTAAAAGTTTTGGAAAGAATTGTGTATAAAGTGTTTATATATATGCCAGTACAATAATTACAATTACTATGATCTGTGCGTTATTTAAATGATATAGATTTCTATAGTAAGCAAAATGTATTCTTCTTTCAAAGTCTATAATTATTGTGGAAAGAAAAGAAAAATACTATATATTCATAAATATCAGTGTTCTGGCGTATTTAATGACCAACAATCTATGACTTCCTGGGGATTAGCATAAAACCATACAGTCTTGAATATTCCTCTTGTCAATAAGTCGTGAGCAAGATCTCGGTGTTCAGATTCAGGGATGTCTTTTGATAGTTCCTTAAATTGTTTTTGGTTATATTTTTTAGAAGATAAGTCAGATTTAGCTAAATGTACTACGTATGGATTTATCTCTCGTGCTAAATTCTTATTTGTCGTAGTAAAAAAATCGAATTCTACGCTGTTGTCATCATCCTCAGGTCTTTTGTAATTACTTTTACCTTGGAACTTATCTAAGATTTCTATAAGCTTTCTAGAATTTCTTGTTCTTCTAACAGTTGACAGGTTGTAGTCTGGTATTCTAGAACTTAAATAATGAATGGATTTTTTGTTTATATCTTTCAAAGTTCTACTAGAGTTGGGACATTTGCCTTCATATTCTTTTAATTGATAATGCATGTATTGACCAACATTAACTTCAAATGGCATCAGTGGATTCCTTAAATTATTCATTATATGTAACCTATAATCTATCAAGTAATCATTTCGAAGTCTCATTTGTTCGTCTTCTATTCTATCTAGTATAAGAATGTTTTCTGATGTCATAAGAGTACTATCTATTTCTTTTGGAATCAATGATTTTGTTCTTGTATTAGTGTCTAATATATCAGCAAAGGAGATTAGGTCATAGATTTCGCTGTAGTCTGAAATAGATTGAAGTTCTGGTAGTCTTATTTTATATTGAAGGGATTTATGATTGACAGCTAACGAATTGTTATAGGCAAATAAATATTGTAATTGTAATAAACATTTCCGGATATCTTTTTGGTTTGACCTAATTATCACTAGTAATATATCTTTTGGAATTTCTAACCCCAAAGTTTTCATATATTCAGTAAGGAATGCCAATACACTCTTTGTTGACACCTTTTTAGCTTCAAATATACTTTTACTGTCTTCACATAGTTCAATTAAATTTGTAGGGATAAAATTTATATCTTTGCAAAGTAATATGATTGGTTTTCTAGATTTGAGAAGTAAAGTCTCCACCATAACCCAAAATTGTTTGTCATGCTCTTTAAACAACACATCAACATCATTAAATAGAATTATACCATAAGATTTTTTGACTTTCACATAATGAGAAGTACAATATTCTGATAATGTGTCTAAAAGTTCTTTTTTGCTTCGATCCTGTGAACTGTTAATATCTAATACTTGACCATTTAGCGAATTCATTATTGTGTTTATTAGAATTGTTTTGCCAATGCCGTCCCCATGCAAAATCATCAAGGGCACAAATTCTTCTAGTTCATTTTCCTCTTCTTGCTCTTCTACCATGTCATCAGGTATAATAAATCCATCGAATAATATAGTACCAGGTTCTAAAGATTTTCTATTTTTTTGGCTTTTGAAAAGTGAATATCTTGTAGTTGGTTTCTTTAATTTTTCAAAAGCATTTATTATCCATTCATTAACTGACTTTTTTAGTCTAGTATCTAATAAGATTTCAGCTATATTATGGGGTTGAAACAATTGAGTCCAAAGTGTAGCATGTGTGCCATTTCTTATAGAAGTTTGAAATTTGTGTGATTCCGCTTGTTTATTAATTCTACTTTTAAGGGACTCATACTCCTGGGGCTCGAATTGGTATTGGTATGAAATAACACCTGAATTCTTTTTGTGTAACTGTTTTAGTTCAATATCATTATTATTGGAAGTGATGTTATTAAAAGATTCAAATGGTTCAGTCAACGGAGTATGGGGTAAAGGTGGTAGTAAATTATCTAATTTGGAAACACTGTTACATCTCCTGAAGGGCTTTGTAGTATATTCGTCTTCATATGTATTTGTAGCAGTATTACGATTATTGTTTCTCATATTCACTAGTAGTTCCTTTAAGTTGGTCTTCTTTACATTGGATATTGGTTGAATTAACTTTTTTGGATTAATCAATTTTTCAAAATGTTCGTTCTCCAAATTTATTACTTCTTGCATTTTCAAGTGATCTCCTTCATCAGCTGTATCTTCTAAATCATCTAAAGGTACTACATCTTTTTTATATCGGCTCGTTTTTGAAGATTTTATTTCTGTTTTAGTTTGCCTATTAAACTTTGGTGGTTTCCTCATTAGAAATGTCTTCACCGAGACGTTGGATACATTATCACCAACAGGAATAATTTTTGGTTTATTTGTTTGAACATTATCGAGGTCTACCTGCTCAGGTAGTTCCACAAGGTCGACAGTCTCTGGGTCTTTCGATATTCCTTTTACTTTGCTCCCATTCAGCTTAGTTCTCTTAGATATAGGGTTCCCATTCAGTATTTGATTCAAAGACACAGATCTTTTCATTTTCACATCTATTGGAGTAGTTTGATTGTTTTATATTGTCCCTTTAGAATATCAGATATGATCATTGATATATCCCGATAGGATCTTCAGATATTTGGTGTCTACGATAGCATTGAAGGATCTCATATAGATGGTGACGTATTCTTCACAACTGAGATGAAAAAAAAAAATATCGTCCTTGAGACGCGTAAAGTTGTATTTAAGAAGGTCAACAACTTATACAACCCTTGTAGCCATGCTTCTCGGTAAAGAAAGGAAAGCATCATGATGATGAAAATGAAGAGAACTACTAAGGTCATGTTCGTAGTTGTAGGACAAGATTCAATATTTTTAAGTAAAAATAAATTAGACCAACTAAAAGTGTTTTGTAAATAAATTATATTTAAAAGAACATCCTACACAAAAAGTAAATAAATAAAACCGAGAAAGATCACTAATTTACTGTACGGTTTGATTCAACACACGATATCACTTATGGTGATTGTTTGATGTTAGTATAAAAAAATTACAGTACCTGTCAATTATTAGTACAAGTTCAAATGCCTCTCTAGAACGGTATCATAATTAGATCAAATGAATAAGAGCCATTAAAATAGCGCTGAATAGAACATCTGAGGTTAAACTAGCTGCCAAACCTTCATATTTTGCAACTGTAACACTTTCCGCAGAATTGGAAGCAGAAGTAGCAACACTTACAGATGGAACAACATTGGCATGGGCAGATTCCATGCTTACTTCTGAATGTGCAGTAGTGGTAGCAGTAGAAGATGTAACAGAACCTGTCTTAGCACTTTCTGAACATGAAGGAGTGTATGTAGTGATAACAACACCGTCTGTAGTATAAACTGTACTAACTCTCAACACTGGTTCACCATGTAGGACAGTTTGACCGTTTTGGGAAGAAAACGAAGTGGTAGCGGTGGATAGTGAGCAAATTGGACATTCAGTGACATCTACCATGCGTGTGCTCTCAACAATAGCGGTTGTGACGGAGTGAGCAACATTTGTTTTAGCAGATGCAGTTTCACCAGCAGCATGTGTCTTACTACTGGCACCAATAGCAGAACCACGACTGTTGCTTGAGTTAGATTCCTTTGAAGTGATGGTTGACCTGTCAGTAGCATCTATAACAGAACTATGACTGTTGCTTGAGGTAGATTTCTTCGAAGTGGCATAAGAGGTAGAGGATAACTTAGGTTTACTGGAAGTACTACTTGAAACCGATACTTTCAAAGGCATGACATTTTCAGGGAATTCACCTTCATAATTACCAGGAGGTGCGTATTTACAAACAACATAATCACGATAATAGGTGCCACAATATTTTACAGCACAACCAACCTCCTTGGTGGATCTCCAAACAACTTGTGTAAAATGTCCAGTTGCCATGGAAAAGCCAGGATGGCTGTAATTATAATGTGCAATTTCACTATACCAGGCGTCCACAGCAGCGACTACATTAGGAAATCCCAGGGCAAGGTTTTCACCGTATGGACCATGAGAGTGCACAAGTCTACCAGATGAACAATCATAAACGGCAGCATACTTCTCAGCATATACAGCTAAAGTATTAGACCAGGTCAAATTACCAGTATCGACATGCAAAGCTCTCAACTTATTGTGTGCGAGAACAATAGCAACCTGTTCTTCTGGAGTCAACGCATATTTAGTATAATCAGTAGATGTTGTTGCAGTGGTGGTTGATTTGTCAGCAGCATGTATAGTAGAACCACGAATGTTGCTTGAGGTAGATGTTGTTGCAGTAGTGGTTGATCTGTCAGTAGCATCGATAGTAGAACCATTACTGTTACTCGAGGTAGATTTCTTAGAAGTGATGGTTGATCTGTCAGTAGTATTCATAGTAGAACCATGACTGTTACTTGAGATAGATTTGTTAGAAGTGGTGGTTGATCTGTCAGTAGCATGTATAGTAGAACCACGACTGTTGCTTGAAGTAGTTGTTGGTGGACATAATTCTGTGAGTTCTGCCCAGTTAGTTATTGTGTAAACAGGTTCATAAGTTGATTTCGGAGTTATGTAAACTGCAGGTGCAGTAAGAGTTTTTTGATGTAGAGATATAGATGCCCATCTTTGGGAGCCGGTTAACCAGTGAACCGTTGAGAAATTAACACTTTTATAAGCTGGTTTCAGAGGCACGACATTTTCACAGAATTGACCAAGTACATTACCAGCAGGTAAGCACTGACACACAAAAATATAAAAACCGGGAGAATATTCTTGTGCAGCACAGCTAACCTCCGTGGAGAATCTCCAAACAAGCTGTGTAAAATGTCCAGTACCACCGGAACGTTCAGGATCGCTGTAGTTATAAAAAATAATTTCATCAAACCACATGGTTACACCGTTGGTTAGAGGACCAGGTCCCCCGTAAGCGTTTGAACCAACAGAGTAGTCGTAACCTGGAACGTCTGATACAGACCTCCAACCACCACTACAAACCCATCACGCAGCCCGTTGGGCCAAATCATCAGACCAGGTCAAATTAGGAGTGTCAACAAACATAGATCTATACCTATTATGTGCGAGAAGAACAGCAGCCTATTGTTCTGGAGTCAACAAACACTTAGCATCCCTAGATGCATTATATGGATCATTAAAAATTAGTCTGTCCACTGTTACAATAGGACCTCACCTTGAGTAATCGGTTCAAGATAACTAGTAACATAAGATATTTGCGCCTTCGATACAGCAGGAAAAGCAGCTAAAAGCAGTGTAGCGCACAATAATAAGGTATTTGAGACCATTACATTATTTTCAAATATTCAGAATTATTTACTATTCAGTAAACTATATAGTTTGGTGTGTATACTTTATGGCGTCAGTTTTTTTGGTTATTTGAGGTGATACACTTAATTCTGTTATACTGGTAGCATCTGGGAGTATAACGAGATGATGCTCATGCCTGCAAGAAGAGAAGCAAGAAACGAAAGAATATTCAGACATAATCCATAGTAGTTTTATATAAAAATGTGCTCATGACTTGCAATAAAAATGATTGTTTAATAGGTTCTAGATTTTTTGATTACACAAGAATAAAATACAAATAAAATTTTGCAATAAATCTTCAATAATAAAAGTGTGTACAGGAGTAGAAACAGAGAATGAAGAAAAAGATTTGTAATCTTCAAAAATTGGACTAAAAATCTAAGTAAAGCACAAAAACACAGCATAATCAATCATTCTATTATCTCTAATAGAAAAAATTATCACTGTGTGGTGGTTTCTTTAAACAAAAAAGGAAACAGAAAATGTTGAGTCCTCGAAAATATTTCCAAATGGAGAATTAAAAATATTGTTTATTGTTTGGGCATTTTCACATTGCAGAACAATAGAATCAGTTTTGTCTAGATATTTTACTTTTGAAAAACATAAAAGGGAAAGTTTACAAGTTTAAGAATGGACAAATAGTTTTTTTCCTTTTTGCTATTGTGTTGGAAACAATCGTCTTTGTATTTGATGCAACGACAAAAAGAATAAAAGTGAAGAAAAAAATTACACAAGTGGGAAAAGAAACAATACAGACAATTCTAACCACACTATAGATATACATGTTTCTTTGTGTTCTATTTTTAAATTTTTGTCCCTGAATTATTTTAGAGAATCTCCACACTTATAACATTAGTTTAACCTTTTGTTTACAATTAAAATCGTCCTAAAATCTTATGTTTTCTTTGTATCTATTTGGTTTTTAAGGATTATCGCTCCTGATTAGTTAGTTATTTGGTGTCTATATCTCTCTTTTGTACATATCACAATATTCTATAGTAAATCGATCTATAGAATGTACAAAATTTATTACTTCATTCTCACTAGAATATTAAAATTTTTGGTAGTAACCGTGAGGTCGAATAGGAATGTATAATTTAAAAAAAGGGGTAAAGAACTTTTATATGCATTGTTACTGTTTGTACATAAGTTATATAAAGTTATATACTATAAGAACCATCAACAATTTTTTTTCTTTTTTTAGTTCGTATTGCAAGGATCAGCACCTTATATGACGTTAGCATGTAGTAATATTTTTTATAATATTCAACAATTGTAGTAAAATTGTTCTTTTTTCAACCAAGAATTTATTATTTAAAGTTATTATTGTTCTAGTCGAACACCTATTATGATAAAGATATAAAATATGATTATTCTCTTGGCATATTTGGATCTCAATTGGACTTTTTAGTGTGATATTCCTATTTCCGATTTTTTCTCTTTTTTCTGATCTAGCATACGAACAATATAATTTGTAACACTCAAAATTCTCCATTCAGGTGGAATATTTTTTCCCCTTTTCGGATACACAGTATGCAAGATATGCAAGAGTACTACTGAACTAGAAAAAATGTCGTATACTTTGTGGAATCCTTAAAATCTTTTACAATGTTGTTTAATGATAACTATTTGGTTTAATTTTAAGACAAACAAGAAAAAAAGATCATTATTATCATATTCAACCTATTGTTATGATGATATTTACTTATACTGTGTCAAAGGGTGATAGGAAGTTTGTATCTTTTTAAAATAGCAAGACTTGATAACAGAGCATTTCTTTTTGTTTTTTGTTTGTTAATTGGTGGTTGAATGGAATGACTTATAATAGCAGGTTCTATATTTGATAAAATTTACTTGATCTAGCTTATGTGTCTTAATGTGAATGTAAATGCCTTTATTCTAATAACAAATATATAGTATGAAACTTCAAGAAGTTATGAATATAAACAATTCGAATTTAGTCAACAACATAAAGCTTTTTTGACAAAGACGATTGGTGTTTTTTTGTTTAATAAGGTTTTTATAATTAATAGATTGCTGTTCGTCTGTAACATAGGAAATATGGAAAATGTCCATACTGATGACTAGAATAGATACTATACAATGAACTATTTTTAAGCATTTTTTTTATATTTATATTATGGGATTTATTGTTGTCCAAAGCGTCTTCTTGTAGTAGTATTTAGGAATATTTCTGTTAGTAACTAAAGTGAGGTATTCTTATTCCGAAGTTTCGTGATGTGTCTAAAAATGGAAATTTAAAAATGGATATATTAACAAAAAACTTTTGGAGAAAACTATTAAAAATAACCCTAAAGTTCTATGGCTTTTGTAAAGAATTGACTTACAATTTAAAAAATGAAACCTAACACGAGTCCTTGGGACAAAAAATAAAAACAATCAATCTAGGATGGTTGTTAACTGAAAAAAAGAAATAAACTTTGTTGGTCACTTTGCTTGTGGAATTGAACAAAGTACATTCCAACAAATAAAATACTATAAAGTAGATAAATACTGAAGAATAGTCTTCTTAAAGAAGATAATAACTTGTTTTTTTTACTTACTTACTATATTCATTTTAGAAACAGGAAAATATAATTAATTCATCTTGATATGAGTTCAAGCAGAAAGTTAGTATCTTTGTCGAGTTGCAAAACTATATTCAAGCCCTCGTTTGCTAGAAGAAGAGTTGAACAATCAAACTTGTTGTAGTTTTTCACCCTAAAAACAGTTAAACAATCGGAGAAAATTTGTCCAAATGTAGACAAAATTTAACTGGTTAGAAATTGGAATTAAGTAATTTTACCTTTACCAAAAGTTTTCTTTGCTTTTGTTATTAGAGAATAATTAAAAAGTGAAATGAGGTTTCTGTGGTAATTAGTCTGAATATGTGTTTACATGGCAAGAGCATGCTTTTTGTTTTACTGAAACGAACAATAGATTTTCAAACGATAAAAAAATTTTTCATGAAAAAAAAAGGAATAATTTGAGTTAGCTAAATATAAACAATAATAAATTAAAAAAAATTTTCAAAGACGTTGTGTTTGTCTTTTTGTGTACATTTTTTGCCTATTATAAAGCAAAAAAAACCAAGGCCAGCCCACAATTCCGTGGTATTTTTTCTATCTTGCTTCTAAAAAGTCTTATAGTATCTATAATATTGTATTGTACTAGTTATATTGTCTAGCCATGTTGGCTACATGAAGGGAATACTAACATAAATGTGTAGTTTTAATAATCAATTTTTTCTAATACTCCCAATTTTTTTTATTTTGATACAGCACCACCAATTTGAATTCACATTACAAGTATGGATGTTACTTTTTTGGAAATATAAAAATTCTTCATTCTGTTTTTCAGAAAATTACAATAATGCCAAGTTGTGTTTTGGTTACTGAAAATTCGTCATGCAGATAGTGTTGATTAGTAAGAATTGCTATTGTATCTTTATAATATTTGGATAGAACCGATATATGTATTAAACAAGATTGTGCTAACGTGAGGTGTTTTTGAAATTATAGGAGTGGGGATTTTCTAAAATAATTCAGGGACAAAAATTTAAAAATAGAACACAAAGAGACATATATATCTATATCGTACTAACATGATAAAAATCGGGCATGAAATAATATTCTGGGTTTTTCCAGCTTTCGTCTTTGTTTAGAGCTAGGGTTTATAGAATACGGTTCGGCAACTTCGTAGCTCAAAAGTAGCAGATTTTGTCAAGATAACTTAATAATGACATGTTTTCTTTGTCTACTTGCTTTTTCTGTGAACCTAATTAATTTTTTTCATTCTTAAAATAAAAAGATAGAACAATATTTGTGCGCAATCACAAGAGAATAGTTAACAGTAGGATTAACATTGTTTATCTTTATATATTCAATGCTTTTTATGTAATTCCAACCGAGATGACGTACATAAGATTTAACAATGTTAATTTGATTTTCTGATTCATTGTAAAAAAAAATGAACTTCAGATTTCAAAAAATATATATATATCATGTTCTAAACGACTATGTTTTGAGTTTTATATCATGTATAATTTTCCACCTGTTGTATTCTTTACATGATATGGAATGACTAACTGTAAATGAGGTCTTCTCATAGTTATTAAACACTTTATATACTTAAAAATCAAGGAAAAAAACAGATTAGTTTAAGATACTATTTATGATGTTAGTTTTCTTTTTTCCCTTAGTTTTTCTTTATACTTGATATATAGAAATAGGATTAAAAATAAGGAATGTAAAAGATATATATTAGGAGGGTTGTGATATTATATTATAAGCTCTAGTTGTTTTATAAAAAAACAAGACCTGGGAAAGTATCAGTAACGAAAAAAAATAAAAAGGGGAGTTTGGTGTAGGGTTAATTGTGCCATAGATTTATAATAAATTACTAATCATTGTTGATATTGGTGAGACAGTTTTTAAGTGATCTCTTTATTAATGTCAATAACAGAAGGACTAAAGGTTCTATTAAAATGATAATTTAAAGTTTTTAAAATCTTCAAATATGTAGTGAATAACAAATATAAAGCATTTTTTTTTTTTGTTGTTGTTTTTCTTTGTATATTTTGAATTGAAAGATGAAGGAATTCTTCATATGGCTAGTATTGTAAGTTTGTTTATGATTGTCTTGGTTTTTTTTTTTAAACAATTATTAATAATAATTGTTTAGTTTACAAAAAAATCTTTTAAGAAATTGAAAAAAAAAAGAAACTTGAAAAAAAA